CACACACACACACACACACACACACACACACACACACACACACACACACACACACACACACACACACACACACACACACACACACACACACACACATTCCTTTCTCTCTTCATGAGGACATGTTGTCATACTAGCTAGCTGTACAATTCCAGAAAGAAGATCTAGCCACATCACTCCACATCACGTCGCGTGAACGACTGCATCTACATCGGCATCGCATCGAGAGCTGGATCACAGCCCTCCTGTTCACAACTTGGGAGCACCACCGTCTCCAGTCCTCTTGACGACGGCCTTGATCAAGCCACTAGGGTCCGCCTGTGGATGGAACACCTCCGCCGTCGTCTCCGTGAGGTTATCCAGCTTAGCCCAGTCCAGATTGATGGGTACATAGTGCTTATTAGGCAGTGCATACCCTACATCCACCAGCGCGTCCGTCGTAGGTGCATCTCCTAGAATCTCAGTGCACATGAGGTACAATGTTGCTTGTACAGAGGCGGATTCGTGTGTTGCAAAGACGCGGAGCGTGTGTTTGCGCACACAGGAGGAGATGGCGTTGAAGTCTGGGAGGGTGGGGGAGGAGAGGTACTCCGACAGAGAGCCGGTAGGGAGGGCGAAGTTGTCTTGGAAGGTGGGGTGGGCGAGTGGTGTGGTGTAAGCACAAGTGGGGACAAGACAAAGATGCTGATCTTCTCATCCTCTTTGGTTCTACTCACATTGACACTCGACACTGGTGCTGAAGATACGATCATTGACTGCCTTGAGCGTGGTGAATTCGTCCCTCCAGAAGGAGTGGAAAGCACTTCCCGAGCTCTTGAGCACAAGGAGGTCCTTCATTCCACCTTTGAGCTGTGTGCAGACAACAGCGTCCTGTCCATTAACTCTAGCCTTCTCCGTCTGTACGAATACTGTCCTCTTCTCATCTCCATCTCGCACAAAGGCATGCGGATGAGGACCATCATCGAGCTCGATCCTAGACCACTTTTGTGCAATTACATCAATGGTGCATTTGGTCACATGGTCATACCTCTTTACGAAGTGATTTCCCAGCTCTAGTGCAAATTTTTCTGGACAGAGGACAGAAGGTCCGTCCAGGGTCTTTGCAAAGTAGTGGATCGTGTTCTTCTGCGTGTCGGTGGGGACGACGAGGGTGTTATCACCCTCGGTGTAAGAGGTATCGAGGGTGGGACCAGTGAGGAGGGACTGGACGGTGTACTCGATGACGTCCTGTTTCTTTGGATTGGAGGGATCGCGGACTACTCGGAGCAGACGGACGAGGGACTTGCCGTAGGAGAAGGAATCGAGGGCAAAGGCTGACGAGGAAGAGGACGAGGAAGTCATGGCGAGTAGGGCTGGCTAGGTGTGAGTGGGTAAGAGGGAATGATGCGAAGCTGTGGGTGCGTCGTTGATACGAGTGCTGATTGTGCAAGTGCGGGACAGGCAAGTCAGAAGCGAGGTGGGATGGTTTATCGATCGGGGCCAGGATTGCTGCGAGCAAACGACTTAAAGTGCTTGCCATCTTTATCTCCTCGCAGCACGCCCGGGTGGTCAATGCACTTTCCCAAGTTCCCGCGTTCACGGCATCCCGCGGCCCGGGCCAGGGGCTCAGCTCCGCGCTCCCCATTCACACACACAATCAGGGAAGGAGGAGGGGTGAGCAGTAGCTACAGACGATGGCAATGCAGCGAAAAGGTGTTCTAATGTGTCAATTACAGCACACGTGTAACTCTCTTTTTACAGCTTCCCCTTGGTCGCTCCCTCGTCCTTGGGTGCCTCTTCTTCGCACACCTTCCTCATAAACCTCAATGCCTCTACAATCTGCTTTGCAAACTCCGTCGTGCTCGTAGCCTTGCCCGAGTGCTTTGACTCGATTCCAAACTTGAGCAGCGAGGCACCAGCCAGGTAGTTAATTCCGTAGCCGTCCTCGTACCCAGCACCGAAGCCCGTGCCGGCAAAGCGGTCACCTGCGCTTAGTCCACTCGTGCTGAGTTTCCATGTCTGGCTCTCGGCGAAGAGGGGATCCTGCAGCAGCTGAGGCACCTCTCCGTCCAGCTCTGCGTTGTACACCAGCCTCAGGCCAGTGAGATGACGGTCCACTCCTGAGCCCATCGAGCTAGCTCGCGTCTGTGCATTGTGAGCTGTAGCCGCCTTGGACAGAAGCGGGTAGATTTCCGATGTAGGCTTGCCCGTTCGCACTGCCTTGACAAACTCATAGGCTTCCGTAGAGAAGGAGCGGATGACGTCTGTGCGGCCGTGCTTGTAGATGCGCGTAGACGCAGTCTCGTACGTAGCCGTCTGTCGACCAGCGATGGTGGCATAAGCGAGCTGCAGCGCCATCTGGATGAAGGCGTCGGGAGATTGCTTGCCCACCTTCTTCATCCACTCTGCACCAAATTCGTCAAACCACAGGGTGCGAATGTCGGAGTTGGCAGCGATCTCCTTGGCCTTAGCCTCTGCCGAGGTGATGCTGGCTTGTGTCTGCTCGTCGACGACCCAAGACAGCTTCTTCCAGGTAGGCACGCTGCCCGCCTCTTCGCTCTGGCTGGATGGAGAAGGCAGAGGAGTGCCCGGCGCTGGGCACGGCTCGGCAGCGGCATAGTCGGCCACGATCGAAGGGATGAGAGCATCGCACGGGGAGTGCTCGCCCATCATACCTGCTCGACCATTGGGCTCCACTGTCACACTCAGAGCCTTGTCAAACCACCTGTTGTGGCCGGAACGACCTGCACCAGAGGTGTTGCGAGCATGGGCATCGACGGAAGCGGGAGAAGCTCGGTGCGGAGGGGCAGGGTGGCCCTTTGGTAGACCGAGGTTGGATGAGTCCAGACTGATGATGAATAGGGAGTCCTCGATAGAGCGCAGTGAGGCGACGTTGGTCTCAGAGCTGATGAGGAGATGCTCGCGAGCTTTCGCCCAAGTATCGCGATCATCGCTGGTCAAGACACCTACTCCCTCGCCGTCGGCTTGCTTTGCGTCGTTGACAATGTCCCACAGCGACTTCTCAATGTCTGCCAAGTTCTTCAAACTATTGTCCTTGTTGAGCACTTCCAGAGCGTAGAAGTTGTCTCGGACTGCCACAGTGATATGTCTTGCCTTGACGGGATGAGCAGGCTCTGTGTTCCAGTCATGTGGTAGCGCTGGAATTCTCGAGATGCCGAACAATCTGCGAGCGGGACGATTGAACCAGCGAGCTGTGGGCGTCAGCCATCGAGGAAAAGGGGAAGAGGGACCATCTATAGTGAGCTCTTTTCTCTCACCGTGTGTACTGATGCATGCAGAACGCACCCGCCCGCGACGCGTCTGGCATGATGTCCTCGCTAAAGAAGTGAAGCAAATGGCGTAAGAAGAGGTCAGGGATGTCAGCTCGGCTGAAGCAAAGTCGAATGCCTAAGCCTGAGGGCGTAGCTCACCCATCTAGCCTCTGCTTGAAGCTCAGGAATCTATGAATTAGCCATGTTGCTCTCCTGACTCCCCATTCGGCCTGATCCCACTGCTGCTTGCTACCAAGTCCAACGCCTTCGAGTCCAGCGACATCAAAGTCCTCCATCAGCGCCGGATCGGCTTCTGCGGAAGTGTCTTCCAGCTTAGCCAGGGGTGTACCAGGGTCGGCACGGAACATGAGCCACCAATTAGAGTTGACGAGCAGCGGGACACGCCACTCATGGTAAGCCTTGACAAGCCAATACCGATCGTCGAGCCAATTGTTGGGTGTTGTGCGATCCACGTCTACCAGACGATGTTGCAGCTGCTGCCCCAGCTTGCCCTGTGCCTTGAGCTCCTCTGCCCACTGCTTGCGCTTCTCCAGCTCTGCCTCGGCACTGCTACCCTTGAGCTCTCCCATTTCCTCTTTCTGCAGAAGAATAGGCTCGAGGGTCTTGAGGTACCGCTGAAGGGTGCCATCGAGGGGTGGAACTGGAAGGCGAGGCAGCTCCCGTTGCCGCGAGAACGTCTTCGGTTGTGTGGTACCGGGAGCTCCGCGGTATGGGGTGAGGGCGAACATGCTGCGTGTGCTAGAGGTGAAGGAGCGAGAGGAAGAGGAAGGGTGGAGACGAGGTGTGTATGATCTGGGTATCAGACGAGGCATGCTAAGGGCCGAGGCGGATCGCGGACGTGATGGTACAAGGAGAAGAAGTCGAGCGGGGAAGGCAGGGGTGAAGATGCGGGGAAGGCCAACGCCAACAGCCGGGCCGGTCAAGATGAAGCGCCGTCGTTGAAAGTGTTGTGCCTGACCCGATCCGATGGGCGGGCGGAGTTGGATTCTCCATGCCAGGGACGGCGGAAGCACGGATCAAATCGCAAGTCGCGGTTGTGATCAAGATAGGTGGATAAAGATAGAGGCATTCACCTTCGTCGCAGCACCCAATACGATTGAACACTCCGTTGCTGCTCCACCATGGCCACGCCTGCGAGCGAGAGGACTCCCCTCTTGAAGGGAGCCGGCCAGCAGGCGACTCCCGGCGGTGCCACAGGCGAGGGCTCCAATGGAGCGGCGAATGCGCCTGCAAACGACCAATCGCAGGCGGTGATAACGATGCCCCCGTACAAGACGCTGATCCCTGTGCTCACAGCGCTGTGGGTGCCGGTGTTCATCTCTTCACTCGACGGAACCATTGTGGCAACTCTGGTCGGCTCAATCTCATCGTCATTCAACGCATCCGAGCATGCGTCCTGGTTCGGCACGACCTACCTCCTGGCTCTCGTGTGCGTCAACCCTACCATGGGACGCATGGCCGATCTGTTTGGCACACGGATAAGCTCCCTCTTGAGCATCGCACTCTTCTCGGTCGGAACATTGACGTGTGCAACTGCTCCCGGACTCTCAATCTTCCTCATCGGTCGAGTGATCCAGGGTGCTGGGTCTGGAGGCCTGACCACTATCTCTAATATCCACATGTCCAAAATCATCCCTCTGAGGAACAGAGGCCTGTACCAAGGTCTGACCAACATCGTCTTCGGTCTCGGCAGTGGTAGCGGCGGGCCCGTAGGAGGCCTCGCAAATGACTCTGTGGGCTGGCGGGCAGCGTTCCTGATCCAGCTCCCGATTCTAGCCATCGCTGCTGTGCTATCCGTTTGGTACGTCCACGAGGTGCCTGCATTTCCCAATCCCAATCTGTCTCTGCCTCTTGGAGCCAAGATCAGGCGAATCGATTTCTTGGGATCGCTGTCCCTCGTCAGTTGTGCGACTCTTCTCCTCGTACCTCTCTCACTGGTCTCGGGCTCTGGCAGGTATTTCAGCGAACCTTTGATCTATGCTCAACTCTTAGGAGGCCTTCTCATGGGCATAGTCTTCCTCTGGATCGAGGCGCGTGTCGCTGCTTACCCAGTGCTACCTCTGGGCTTGCTCAGGGATCGTACGGGTGCTTCCTGCGCCATCACCAACTTCACCCTCAGCGTCACGACCTTTGCTACGCTCTTCACCTACCCAATCTACTTCCAGGTGGTGCGTCTGACCTCAGCCACCAATGCTGGACTACATCTCCTACCATACAGTGTTGCACTAGCAATGTCCTCTATGGCAGCTGGCTATTGGATGCGACATACAGGTAAGTCACATCTTGGTTTTGACTATTTGAAGGAAGGCCGCCATGTACTGACAAGATGCTAATCCCCCCACCCTGCTACCTTAGGCCGCTTCAAGAAGTACAATACCGTCATGTCCTTCATGCAGCTCCTTTCGGCTGCACTCATTGCCATGTTGAAACCGGCCTCGCCAGATTGGCTGACCTACCTTGTTCTCTTCCCGATGGGATGGGGAGGTGCAGGTGTGCTGGTCTGCAGCCTGATCGCCATTATCAACAAGGTTCCCAAGGAGCAGATGGCAGTTGCGACGGCGATGACCTACCTCTTCCGTACAACAGGCCAGGCACTGGGAGTGTCTCTCGGCGGCTTCGTGTTGCAGTCTACCCTAAAGCCCGAGCTGGACAGGCGATTGGGTGATGAGCACCTGGTAGAGGAGATTCGGCATGCCATTACCTTGGTCAAGAAGTTGCCGCCAGACGTCCGTGACCAGGTCGTAGAGGCCTTTTCAATCTCTGTCAGAAATGTCTTTCTGGTGCTATGCGGTGTCTCTGCAGTGACTGTGCTGGGCAGTCTGCTGATGGAGGACAGGGTTCTGCCGGACCATCAGAAGGGCAGCGCAGAATCCGACGAGGAGAGGCCAGGCGACGGCGAGCGTGAATCGTAACAATCTAGACTCTCATCATCTCAAAGCAATAGACGTCACATGTATCCCCCGGCTCCTTGAGCGCTGAACTGGAGTCCCCCGGAACGGAGAAGGCGCTGTACTCGACTGGACAGTGCGACTAATTAATTATGGAAGTTGTCGAGCGATGACGCGACGCTCCCCTCCACGCCGCGCCACTTTTCTGAGTCAGCCATGCGGGAATCAAAGGCAGAGGCGGAGACCAAGGGCGGAAAGTCGCACGGCGCCCCCGCATCGACGCACGAACCGACGAGCATCTACCGAGGCCAAGCGATGCGAGGCATCAAGTGAACCCCTTCGGATCGTCTTTCACCCTTTACCTTACTCTCTACCTCAATCTATTCAGAGGTTTACTAGCTATAGACACAAGTCTCGCCCTTCGATTCCACAAGCACCTCTGCCAAGACCAGAACCCAGACCGTACACAAGATGCCTTCTTCAAAGGGAGAACCCACCGACCGTGAGTTCGGAAGATCTGGTGGAGGCCGGTTGTGCTTCTTATTCCCACACCGACGGAGCCTAGCAGAGTGGCTATTTACTCTACCAAGACAAGACACTAACACTACTCTCGTCGCCCCTGTGTCCCTGACCCCTTGCCCTTGCTATATCCTTAGCCGAGCTCCGTGAGAAGATCAAGAACAAGATTCAGTCCGAGTCTGGCGGTGGTTGGGCAGCATGGAAGGCAGGTGAGTAAAGCGCGTTAAAATTGCCCTTTTCAGCCGCAAGGGGCGCCCCTGCTGACCCTGTCCACAAATTCCACTGCCTCACCACTCCCTCTGGCCCCACTAGCCAAGCTCGCAAAGGAGTACGAGGCCCAAGGTGGAGGCTACAAGCCTACTGCGGGTAAGTCTGAGCACATCAGGGCGGCACGCCCTGCCTCACTACCCGACCATTTTCTGACCTTTGCATCATTGATCCGCTCCTCTTTGTGTTTCATAGACAGCTCCAACAAGCCCAAGAAGGGTACCCCGGAGCCAAAGGAGGGCGTAGACAAAGCCGCCGGAGGAGCTGCTCAGACGAAGAAGCGCGAGAAGAAGGAGAAGGAGGCCAAGGAGGATGGTGCCAAGAAGGACGACGACAAGAAGACCAATGGCGAGAAGAAGGAGTCGACTACTGCTAACACTGGTGACAAGAGGAAGAAGGACGAGGAGAGTACCGAGGCTGCTGATGGAAAGAAGGCCAAGACGGATTCCACGAGCAAGGCAAAGGCTGCCCCTAAGAAGAAGGCTGAGAAGAAGGAGCCTACCAAGGGAGAGCGCAAGCAGCCTTCTCGTGGTGTCAAGAAGTAAAAGCCTCCAAGAGAATGGACCTTACCTTCTCTTCCCGATGCGACCCTTCCCCATCTTTTTGCTACTTCCCCTCTCTCCCTCCTCTCGACTGGGTATCGATATCGTTCGTCTATATCGACTCAACAATCGTCCGCAACGCAAGTGCACTCCAGTCTGGTTCTCAATCGGCTTTTGGGATATCTTTATTGCCTCGTCTGGTCGTGTAAACGGGATATCCAAATCTAGTACAATCGCAATCTTCGCTGCCTGCTGCAATGCTACCATACCACGTTGCATTCTCATTCGTCGTGCTTCGGGGCTGCTGTGTGACCGAGGAGAAGTGCCTCTGCAACCCTACCCAAAACTCTATTTGTCTACCACACTTGCTGGTCGCAAAGGGTCATGCACCGTCTCGACCTTTCCCCACGCAAGGTCCCCTCTCCACCCACCTTTTTCTATCGACTCACATCACATCAGCCGGCGCAGTAGCTCCCCACCAGACCGATACCTGACCATTTCCAACGCAAATGCCTTCATCTCCACAGCTATTGCGTCCAGCGTATCGTAGAGCTCCTGACACTGCTCGGGCGTTGGTGGTGCGGTTCGATCTGGAGCCCGACGAGTGAGGGCTTCTGCAATGCGGCGCAGGTGAGTGGGTGGGGGGAGTCCACGTTCGATCTCTTGCTGTTGCGCTGCCACCGTGGAGTCGAGCAAGGGTAAAAGCTCGAGAAGGGATGTCCGATGCAGGAAGCCGAGGAGCGAGTCGAGATCCCGAGTAGTGGCCTCGCTGAGAGAAGAGCGCCGGTAAAGCCCCCCTCCTTCTGTCCCGTCATCGTCTCCCTCCAGTGCTGCATCGCCTTGATCCTCCATCCGTCTTCTTTCCTCGATCTGACTGATTGCAGAGAAGCAGCGAGAGAGGTACGTCGGGAGGAGGTGTCGGTACACGAGAAAGGGCACAGATGTCTCTCCTCGCACGTTGAGCCCTAGCAATTTGAGCACAAAATCGAAGGACTTGGATTCATTGGCCGGCAGAGCATGTCCTGTTGCTTGAAAGTAGATCTCAGGCTCCCAGGAAGACTCTGCAGAATGCATGTGCTGCCCGCTCGACGATGCCATCCCCTCCACCAGCTCGATTGCGATGCGGGGCGTGTGCACCGCAATCGATGCGAACTTGTCCGGACCCAGCTGCTCTCCGCCTAGTTGACCAGAAGTGAGAGACTTGAGAGTGTCGGATAGCTTGCGCGACTCGCTCAAGGAGAGGGCACGCTCTGATGCAAGGTTCAGAAGAGTGAGAGCTTCGTCAGGTCGCAAGGCAGGGGGAAGTGAGCTACCAACATCGTTGTCATGTCCAGCGGATGCGTGCAGAGGGAAGCAGTGAAGCTCTTGCAGCTTGAGTATCTCGACTGGACTTCGTGAGAAAAGCGTAGAGGTATCGCTGAGGAGTTCCTGCAGAGCTTGTGCCAAGTTGCTTCGCACATTGGCATCAGGTCCTTGCTTCCCGGCTTGTGATGCACCACTATTGCTCAAAGCTGATGCACATCCCTTCACCAAAGGACGAAACGGCTGCAAGCTGATCTCCACTCTCTCGCTCAAGTAAGGCTCCATAAGTATGTAAGCCGTGAGCCAGATGGTCAGAGCCAGCTCTTCTTCCGTCGGCCGACCTCCAGCGCCATGTCCCTTCCCTGCTCCGTCTACGAGCAGCTCACTCTGAGCGAGCTTGAGGACAGGAACTAGTACGCAGAGCCTGATCCTGAAGGTTCGACCAGAGGAATCCCGTGCTGGTAGGCTAGGTATATGCGACAGAGGCTGCGAGACATTGAACGAGGGTCCGAGCACCAGCTGGGCCCATATCCGGTAGAGGTGCCACTCTTCCGCCTCCCGTGATACGGAGGAGCCAATAGATCCAGAGCCAGCGGGCGATTGCAAGCTTTTTGGAGTGTGGACGGCGGCCTGACTCATTGACAGCTGAAGGGAGGCAGCAGAATCTGCCCGAAGGCAGGCTCTGCAAAGTCAGTATGACAAGGTGGGAAGGAAGTGCGAAGCGGAAGCGGAAAGGGCAAAAGACCGTCTCCACTCGGCGCTCCAGCCACGGCAGACAGACCAGATGCTACAGGCTACGCGGGTTTCGAGCTACGGAAGATTGATACTGCAAGCTCTCTTTTGTTTTGGATAGTACAGTGTGAGGCCCAGAGTCTTCTAGAGCGCCCTCAAATCTCCCCAGTTCACTCCATGTCGTGCTGCTCAATCACGTCGTCCACCTTCAACACTGCCCTCACCAGCTGCGTGGCTAGTAGCAGCTGTTGCCTCTTGCTCTGCAGAGGATCAAAGACCCTGCACCTCTTCATGTCGTTGTCACCATGACCCATACAGTCGATGCCCAGCTTCGGGTCGCCCTCCAGGACCTGTCGGCTCTTGACTTCGGCCAGCGTCTCGATGGGCGGGTATCCAGAGTTCTCGGCCAGAGCGAGGGGAATGGCGTCCAAGGCTGAGGCGAAGGCCCTCATGGCGTACTGCTCTAGCGTTGCAATCTCGTCTGCTGCCTTGGTCACCGCCACCGAACCCACAATCTCAGCCGCACCCCCTCCATAAACCACCCGGTTGTCGACCACGAGGTTGCGCACGACGCAGATGGCGTCGTGAAGCGCTCGCTTGGCCTCGTCGATGATCATCTTGTTGGATCCACGAACGAAGACTGTGACTGCTCGAGGGTTGGCACACTCCTCGACGATGAGCATGCGATCCCGCGTGGTACCGAATGTGACTTCCTTGACCTTGCCTGCCGATCCTAGCTTCTCTGGCGAGAGATCCTCGAAGCGCGGAACGATGCGACCATTTGTAGCAATAGCGATCAGCTCAATTTCGGGGCCTCCCACCCACCTCACTGCTGGCAGGTCATGTTGTAGCAGCAAGTGGTTGGCCTCGTCGTCAAAGCCCCACTGACAGATGACCAGGTTGGCTCCACAGTCCTTGACCCTCTTGATCATGTCCTCGAACGTCTTCCGCTCGTACTCCTGCAGCTTCTTGTACTCTTCCACCGACGAGATATCGAGCTTGTGCTTCGTCTTTGGACGAGGAGGCTCGAAGGGGCAGGTCAGGATAGCAATCTTGGCATCCTTGACTTCCCGAGGCATCTGAGGGTGCGAAAAGTCCTTGTCCACTACAACACCGTGCACCAAGGTCGTATCCTCCATTGAACCTCCGATCTTGCCGTCCACCTTGATCAACTCGAAGTCAACGTCTCTCCTCTCAAGGTCCGCAACAGAGAGCACCGAGTCCACTGCAATATTCGCGAAGAGGTCGGAGGCCTTGGAGACGATCTTGCTACCCAGAGATGTCTTGGCAACCTTGATCAACTCTCCTCTGTCCTCGAGGCTGAAGTCAACTCTGTCTGCCACCTTCTCCAAAGCTGCGACGGCGATTGCGCAGGCTCGCTCGTATCCATCAGCGATCCTGATAGGGTGGATACCTCTATCCAGGAGTGTTTCTGCCTGCTCGAGGAGCGCTCCAGCAAGGACTGAGGGAGGGCAATGAAAACGTCAGAATCAGCATTCGCCCTCTGTCATTAGCTCTTTTTGCTGATCTACTCACCAACGACGCCCGTTGTTCCGTCTCCGATCTCATCGTCCTGGCTCTTGCTCAGCTCCACCAGGAGCTTGGCAATCTGATGGTCGAGCTCCATGTTGTTCATGATGGTAGCTCCATCATTTGTCACCTGGATCTCACCATCTGGCGAGATGAGGATCTTGTCCAGTCCTCTTGGACCCAGGGATGTCCTGAGAATAGAAGAGACTGTCTTTGCTGCACTGATGTGGTTCTTGATCGCCTCTACGCCTGTGGCTCGCGTCTTCTTGCCCTGCTCTCGTACGACGATGAACGGCCTTCCGTATTCATCCTGTGCGTAACCGATTTCAGACATTACGCAGAGAGAGGCGGGGTGATGCTGGTGATGAGGACGATGATGCGTGAGCGGATACTGGTGACGAAGCTGCCAAAAGTGTTGCTTGGTTGCCTTTCTTCCTTCCTCGAGGTTCGCCTCCGCCGTCGTGCGCCTGGCGTCTTTCATCTCGGCCCCGACGCGGTGGGTGGCCCAGGCGCTTTAATCTCCCCGCCCTCCCAGCAACTCGCCGGTGCCGCTCAGATCAGTCTGCTGGAATCGCGCCAAGGCGGTACCGGCCACCGCTGCCTTTAGACTCGTCGACGTACCCCGCATTCTGCAGCCACTTGGCTCTCGATCCATACAGACACACACTCACCAACACCCCCACATCGCCATCATGGCATCACCACCTCCCTCTCCCAGTGTATCTGCATCCTCACGCAGAGGATCCAACCCTTTCACTCGCAATCAAGACAGCGTAGACTCCATCACAAGGAGCTTGCGCAGGCAATCCTTTGGCGCTCACTCCACCTTTTCAGACACAATCGATGAAGAGGAAGACGACGAAGAAGGCGCTGCTACGACTGCACCCGGTGTTCGACAGATCGAAAGGGGTGTCGTGGGCTCAGGCACTGGCGTGTCCGTCAATGGAGGGCCCTCTGATGTAGAGGGCATTCCCATCAAGCCTGCATTGGGCCCGGCTGGAGGCGGTAGACGCCATCTCAAGGTCGGCAGCATGGAGGATCCTGTGAGTAGGACAGTAGCTCCTCTGGAGAAGCTCATCTGACGACCTCTATACCACTTCCACGTACCCGTGCAGGATGTCGTCTATGGAGAAGAGCGTCAAAAGCTTGGACGTACAACGAGTGACAACGCAGCCAATACTGCTACCCACAACAGGGCCCCCGGCATCATCCGTACATACAGTATGGCTCAGCAAAAGCGCCGTCCCGTCGTCATGAATGACGATCGTATCATTCGCCAGCGCAGACTGAGTCACGATGCAGTCCAGGAAGGGCCCCGACGCTTCATTGTGGACGTAGAGGAGACGATGAGGCTCGTGCTAGAGCAAGAAGACACCGACGGCAACTTCCAGATCTGCGTCACTGACAGCGGACCAAAGGTCTTGTCTCTGGGCACAGCGACCAGCAACGGCTACAAGGGCGTTGATATCCGCGGAACCTACATGCTGTCCAATCTCTTGCAGGAGCTTGCCCTAGCTCGCGAACACGGAAGGAAGCGTATCGTCCTCGACGAGTCGAGGTTGACGGAGAACCCCGTAGATCGGCTCTCTAGGATGATCAGCCAGACATTCTGGCATAACCTGACCCGCCGTATCGATGCTGGAGGACTCGAGAGAATTCTAAGCGACCCCAAGAATCGCTCGAAGCAGCAGACACCTCGCATCTTCATTCCTCGAAGCGAGACAAAGCAGATTGCTTACTATCAGAAGTTCGCAGATGAACACCCTGACTTCAATCTTACCATCGAGATCCTTCCCGAGATTTTGACCTCCGACTACACTCGTGATCTCAACGAGAAGCCTGGTCTTCTTGCTCTGGAGATGAAGGAGGTCATCAACGAGAAGGGAGAGGAGACATTGGAGGGCATTCCCTTCATTGTGCCAGGTGCTCGCTTCAATGAGCTCTACAACTGGGACTCGTACTTTATCTCGCTCGGTCTCGTCGTTGACAACATGGTGGACATGGCCAAGGGTACCGTTGACCACTTCATCTTCCAGATCAAGCACTACGGCAAGGTGTTGAATGGAAACCGTACCTACTATCTGATGCGAGCACAGCCGCCCTTCCTCACTGACATGGCCCTGCAAGTCTATTCTCGCCTTGATCCGTCAAAGGAGGAGGAGAACAAAGCTTGGCTCAAGAGAGCGATCCAAGCTGCTGTCAAGGAGTATCACACAGTCTGGACTGCCGCGCCTCGAAAGGACCCAAAGACTGGTCTGAGTCGCTACCGTCCCGAGGGTCGGGGTGTGCCGCCCGAGACCGAAGCAAGTCACTTCACGCATGTGCTGCGCCCGTATGCCGAAAAGTACGGCATCAGCGTCAACGAGTTCACACACAAGTACAACTATGGACTGGTCGATGAGCCCGAGTTGGATGAGTACTTCCTGCATGATCGAGCAGTCCGAGAGTCGGGTCACGACACTTCGTACCGTCTCGAGAAGCGGTGCGCCAACTTGGCCACCATCGACCTTAATGCCCTTCTGTACAAGTACGAAGTCGACATTGCCACTGCCATCCGCGAGCTCTTCGACGACAAGCTGGAGCTCGAAGACGACTTTGTCCTGGGCGCTACTCTCCCGCCCTCCATGTCGGACCAGCAACCGGACACGCCATCCCGCTCCATCGAAACGCCACAAACCTCTGCAGAGTGGTTCGCCCGTGCCGCCTTCAGGAAGAAGCAGGTAGACAAGTACTGTTGGAACGAGGGCCGTGGGCTGTACTACGACTACGACACGGTCAAGGAGGAAGCCTCGCACTATGAATCCGTCACTGCCTTTTGGGCCATGTGGGCTGGTCTTGCCTCTGAAGCTCAAGCGCACAAGCTTGTAACGCAGAGCTTGCCCAAATTTGAAATGCAGGGTGGACTTATTCCCGGGACGGAAGACTCACGAGGCAAAATCACCCTCGACAGGCCTAACAGGCAGTGGGACTACCCTTATGCTTGGCCACCCCATCAGATGCTCGCCTGGGTTGGACTGGAGCGATATGGCTACCTCGAGGAAGCTCGTCGTCTAGCCTACCGCTGGCTCTACCTCATGACCTCTGCCTTTTTCAACTTCAATGGCGTCGTACCCGAAAAATTCGATGCAGTAGCACTATCGCACATGGTCAATGCGGAATATGGTAATCAGGGAGTGGACTTCAAGTTTGTTCCCAGGGAAGGCTTCGGTTGGTCTAATGCCTCCTTCCAGGTTGGACTTACCTTCCTGACTGTGCAGCAAAGGAGAGCAGTGGCTGCTCTCCAGCACCCAGATGATTTCTTCAAGACGAACAAGAAGTAAAAGATGGGAAGGGTGGGGGCTGGAAGGAAGAAGACCACGAGGAGAGGGGATATGTTGGTTGAAATCTAGAGTTGTGTACGACTTGAAGGAATGTATAGATGGCTGGAGGTAAAGGAAGATACGTACAGATTGGACAAGAGTAGGGAGGAATGCTTGTCTCGACTGCTCAGATTCGCGCATTTGTGATCGACCCTACCCGTCTCGACTCGACTCGACTCTTAATGCTATACGCTGCTTATGCATGCCTTGCTCGCAGTGAGGATGAGATTGACAAAGGGTGGATTGAATGCAAGGGTTCCTTGTTGACATTGTCTTTACTAAGTACAGCACTCCTGCTACTTCCAAATGTCTCCAAATGGATCGTCCTTTGCAGCGCCTCCGCCTCCAGCACCACCGCCACTCGCCGAAGTGGTAGTCGAGGTATTGAATTCCCCCCAGATATCACCCGAGCCCGAGCCACCACCGGTGCTCGCTCCTGCCCCGCTCTTGTTCGGAGGACTGCTCATCGACCCTCCTCCACCCCAGACGTCCGCAGATCCAAAGATGCCAGACGAGGAAGTGGCCGTCGAGGTAGGAGCAGCCCACGGATTAGAGGCTGCCGCTGCCGCTGTTGGAGGGGCAGCACTAGACGAGGTGGAGGTGGAACGAGTACCCCGAGCTGCTGCTGGTACACTGCTTCCGCCCATGCTCAGCCCGCTGAAGGCGTCCAGCCCCCCGAATGCTCCACCTCCAGCGCCGCCTGCTTGCTGACTGGGCATGGGAGGTGAGCGCACAGATGATGACTGGTTGAAGAGAGAAAGGATATCCGACTTGCCCCTTGCGCCACTGTTGGGGGACAGCGCTGCTGCTTGAGGCGGCGGATCATGCCAGTCGAGATCAAACAGGCCTCCCCCTCCTCCCGACGCTGCAGGAGCGGCAGGCTTGGCTGATGCGGCCGGAGCTGGAGCGGGTGCAGTGGTCGTCCGAGTGGGCGCAGCATTGCTAGAGGCTCGAACGGCGGGAACATCGTCCAGCAATGAGACGCGAGGGGACGTCACGCTCGTCGAGGCCGGAGCTGGCATGGGATCACCACCTAGGAGGTCAATGGCAGTAGGTAGCGGTGCAGGAGCTGGGGCGCGAGCTGATCGGCTAGAGGATGCAGTGGAAGTTGCTGCGGGTGCTGCTGCAGCGGCAGGTACGGCAGAAGCGGCTGCTCCTCCATCCAGTACACTAGGATCGCTCGGCGGCTGTCCCTCCTTGGCCCACCGCCTCGTCTCGTACTTGCTCCTGATGAAGCTCTCCACCTTGTGCTCCGGGGGAATGTGACCGGCTTTGAGGTGAGCCTCCCAGTAGAGATTGACTCGCTTGTTGCCCCACTTTTGTATCGAGTCCATTTGCTCTGGCGTCCAAATGTCTAGGTCGATGGACTTGACCTTTGAGATGTGGGTGCCCATGCTACGGTGAATACCTGAGCAGCGAATACATAGGAAACAGCCACTGACAGGACGAGGGAAGAAGGTGTGATAGTCAGTACGAGTGGACCACATTCTGCGCAGCTACACCATCAGTGTACTCACATGTTCCATGAAGCCCACCGAGGATCGTTGCGTTTCTGCGAATTGTCGAGGCAAAGGAGAAGAAGGCGTCAGTGGCTCGCCCCGTCCGTATATGCTGCTTGCTACTGTCCCTTGTGTCTGCTCCCACTCACGCAGTCTGCGCAGGTCTTGTTGTCTGGCTGCTTTACGAGTGCCCTGAGTGTCTTTGCATTGAGGTCGTTCTGAGCCTTTGACTGCACTGGGCGTGACATGGTGAGAGCAGGAAGAAGTGGTGAGGTGAGGTGGGTACGAGGTGGTGGAGCAGGAAGGAGCTGCGTGGGTGTGCGTCCCCTTGTGTGTGTGTGTGTGTGTGGTGCGTGGGCCCAAGCAACACCCTGTGCGTGCGGGTGGCTGTTGGCCCTTGGCTTGGCTGTGCGCGCGTGCAGGCCACCCAGCGTCCACGCCCCGCCCTTCGGAAAGGGAGACGCCACTCCCGCCATTTAACTCGAGACGCGTTACTTCTTCCCGAATCGCCTCGCCCAAGTAACACCACTCACTATCGCAGATCATGGGTAAGTAGCACTGGCCCGAGGCATCTGGAGTGATGTGTCTTTGATGTTCGTGCCTCACTCTTGCTTCCCTCATGCAGCCGGCTACGGAGAGAACCCCTATGGACAAAATTATGCAACGGGCGGAGGCGGAGGAGGGGGCGGCTTCATGATGGGCGGCAGTCAAGGGGACAGCCCCTCAAAGGGAGGCGTGAGTGACAACAACGAGGGAGGGAGGCAAGTGATCCAAACGGAGCTCACATTCCATTGCATTGCATACCAACGTCATGCAGTTCTCGGCCAAGAATACCCTCAGGCCAGTGACCGTCAGACAAATCATCTCTGCCACACAGGCCCACCCAGATGCTGAGTTCAAGGTAGACGACCAGGAGCTCGGGCAGGTGAGTGCTTCCCAACTGCTATCGAGTGTAGCTTGACGCAGGAGAGAGGCTGACAGGCACCATCACTACTTCCTCCCACAGCTCACCTTCTGCGCTGTGATCCGAAATATCTCGAAAAACGCTACCAATATCTCCTACACGATGGAGGATGGCACAGGTGAGATTGAAGTGAGGCAATGGCTGGATAGTACTTCGGATGATTCTGGAAAGGCTGCCGATATCCAGTGAGTGCTTCGCAGCGGCTAAGAGAGGAAGAGACTTAATCGACTGAGATCCTGCTTCCCCACGCCCTTTAGAGTGAATACCTACGTTCGCGTACTGGGCACAGTGAAGGCGTTCCAATCGAAGCGCAGCGTGTCGGCCGGTCACATTCGTCCGGTGAATAGCTTCAACGAGGTGCTCTACCACAAGATGGAGGCAGTGTGGGTGCATATGCAGATCACAAAGGGCACAGGGCAGGTGAGTTCTGCGCAGAGAATTGACAGCGCTGATAGTGAGGGCCTTGCAGCTGACACTTCATCCTCCTGTGTCTCCTAGAAGAGCGGTGGTGGACAGGCTGCAGATTACGGCAGCTCTACACCGGCGACTGGTGGAGCCGACTTGACGTCAATCTCAAATCCGACGCAGCGCAAGATCGCTCAAGCCATTCATACCCTGGTCACCCCCGACTCAGAAGGCATCACGGTTCAGCAAGTGGCGGCAAAGCTGCAAGGTCTGTCTGCCGGCCAAATTGCGTCAGTATGGCGAATGAGGATGAATGTGCGCGTCCGTGTGCTAGAGAGAGAATACTGACGTCTTGTCGCTACGTCCTCCACTCCCTTACAGCAAGGAGATCGACGAGATGGTCAACAATGGTTTCCTGTACCACACCATTGACGACGACCACTTCCTGCCACCCTGATCTGGGACTGTACCACCTCTTTGTGTCTCTCAAGTCATTGCATCCCATTGCATTCTCGAGCTCGTCGTTGTGTGTGTGTGTGTGTGTTCTGCACTGCACGCCTGAGGTCCTCTGCCTACGTCGTCCACGCCCCGCCCGGCGGCTGTGACGCGCAGATAGACTGGCGGACCTCCATCTGCGCCTGCGAGGCTGAATCTGCGTGCCAGGCGACGACGACGACGGGGCCCAGCGGCTTCGATCTTCTCGCCCTACCCATTCACCAACACCATCACCACCACCACTCCATCCAGGTTCGCATTTCTCGCCCACCTCACACACTCTCACTAACCAGACAGTTCACTACATAAAGAGAACGTCTTTTGGGCCCACCTCCTTGCTTTATGACCGCTACTCCACCACCCACTGCGCCGACTCAAGTCAAGCAGGACAAGCCTCAGCTCGCTGGGACCAGGATCAAGCAGAGAAAGGGAGTTGCCAAGTCTCAGGCCAAGTTCGAGCCAGAAGCATTCCGCGACAGTCTCTTTACCCACTTTGAGAGCGTCACCTCGCCTACCGATTGGGATGGGTATGCTGCTGCCCTAGACCGAGCGGGCAACACCCTCGACTATCGCAAGTACTCCGATCAGCTCTTTGATATCCTCATTGCTGGAGGCATCTTGGCTCCCGGTGGATCTTATGAAGACGAAGATGCACCTCTTAGCCCCTTTGCCATCTTCAAGGCAAAGAGTGCAAAGGTGGAAGATGTGAAGCCTTACATTACCGTCCTTGACAAGGTCATTCGACGATACAAGTTCCTGCAGAAGCCACTCGAGGAGACGACCTTGACGGGAATGCTCCAGTACATCAATCGCTTCTCAAAGGAGCAGAATGAGAAGCTAGCAACGACCACGGCTCTGCTGCTGCAGACAAACTTGCTGGGCGCTAATGTCCTCCAAGTCCTACAGAAGGACCACCTCGTCAAGGACGACCTGGCCATTACCTTTGTGGACAATGTCTTCAAGGCATACCTCTCCGAGGCCCCCATCGAGGCGCTAGGCTCTGTCCTTCGCAAGGGAGGCATTCGCGACCCCCTCCTCTTCTTCCCCACTCAGAAGCGAGCTCAACCAGGAATCGTCACGAACCACTTCAAGAGCGTCGGTCTCAGCTCTGTAGCCGATTACTGGCAGAAGAGGGCTGCTAGAGATGCGCGTGAAGGGGTGATCAGCAGGTTGAGCGAAATGCAGTCCGACGAGAACACATCCAGCGAGGAGATTGTGGATTTCCTCAAGGAGCAGCGAGCCCGTACTGGATTGGCCATGGACGAGTACGTACCTATCGTCTTTGATGGTTTGGTCAAGTCCATCTCCTGGTCCACCCGTCCCGACCAGGCAGAAGCCCAGGCCACAAAGGAAATCTCCACCTTTTCGCCCATCCTTGCTCCGTTCACTCCTTCGCCGAAGGCCGAGATTGCTCTGATCAACAAGATTCAGCTCTTCTGCTTTGAGGAACAGCGCGCGCTCAAGAGCTTCAGCAACCTACTCAAGGTCATGTACAACGATGATGTGCTTAGCGATCAGGCCATCATCTACTGGGCTACCAAGGGCGCTAGACCAGAGGGAAAGGACATCTTCTTGCAGCAGGCCGCACCCCTGGTAAAGTACCTGCAGGAGCAGAGCGATGATGAGGATGATGAGTAAGGGAGTGCGGAGGGAGTGGGAGTGGGAGTGGGATGAGCGGAGAAGGGAAGAAGGAGTCAGGCGCAGCCCAGCTCCCAAGTTCTGGACGTGCCAATGAAATGCAAGTAAGGCTGTTTGGTGTTGAATGCAAAAGGGGAAAGATAGCATCCAGCAGCAGAACTCAAAAAGGGAGGGAAGGGAAGCGGGGAAGTAGAGCAGTGGTTGATGACAAGAGTTATGGTGTGCTTCTCCTATCTCCTGCTCGTCGAAAATGCAAACAGGCTTGATGAAATCCCTGAATCTGCGCACTCATTGTCAAATGTACTCCTTGACAGTAAGCGGTAGGACGGCAAGAGGAAGGAGCGTGAGGGATCTCTTCGCTGAGAAATGACAGTGGTATAGATATTTAGTAGTCCTACGTTGAACAGGTGACATACAGTTTCTCCCCTCGACACCGTGCCGTCCATTGAAGTCTTGCCGCCGCATCCCATTTTATGTCGGTCTGGATCTTCCCACCCAATGGAGAAGCAGGCTTCACTCGAGGTCTCACGCCCGATCTCCCTCTGGTAGCAACAGCAGCAGTATCACCAGCCTGTTCGAGCGGAAGGGAGATGCTTTAGCAGGGTCAGTAGCAATATCCCAGAATCCCTACGCATGCCCTTCGCTCGTACTCACCAGCCATCAGCACCACTGACGCTCCTCGCCAATTGCGCCACTGGGCTCTCCAGTGGAATGCGTATACCCTGCACGATAGGTACAGCTAGCGGGCCTGCTCCTGTTCCTGGCCCCGCTCCTGTCGTCGACGTCTTTCCCATCACTCCAGCAGGGTCTCCTTGCCGCTCCCGGCTCGCTTCAGTGGATCGAGGCGTGCTGGTTGTGCTCTGTGGAGGACTGAGGCTAAGAGGTGAAAAGTCGACTCCCAACGTCGGGAGGCGATTATCTGATTTGGTTGGGAGACCCGAGATGGTTGGGGATCCTTTAGATGCTGCTGAGATCTGCTGTTGTGGGAAGAGAGCAGGGAAGAGGACCGATAGGACGTGTTGCAGGGTAGTAGGCTTCCCGTCTTCTGTCAAGGGCGGTACCCCTTCTTGTAGTATTGTGCCGCCCTGGAGGACAAACTTGACCGGAATAGCCTTGAGACCCGGCAGCCCTTGTCCCTTGACTGTACGGCTGCCGCTATCTGTCGGACCGACTGTACTTGTCGTGGCACTACTTTCGGTAGCAGCTGCTGCCGTGTCTTCGCTTCCCTTGTCGATTGGCAAATTCGGATTCGAAGAATTGAACTGACTGCTCGCGAAGACACCACCAGATGGAGCCGCATATAGCGAGCTAGCTCGCCGGGGTACCAGGGAGGAGCTCAGGTCTTCATGACTGCTGGTATGAGAGGCAGATCTGAAAGTTGAAGGATAGGAAGAGGGTGGAGCGCTCGGTTGGGGTGGGGGAGCGGGGTAGGCTGAAGCTGCTGGGAGGATCCTGGAGGTGAGAGAGGTGAATTGCGCATAGTCGCCTGAGCATTTGGAGAGGAAGAGGGCGACAATCTTTCAGTCTCGATCTCCTTTCGACGTCACATCGAGTACTCTCACTCACCTCCTATTAGCGCGTCCCAGATGCCGTCCTGCTCAGGCCTTCTAAGGTTATTGACCTTCTTGGTATTGCCGTTGCGTACAAAATCAGCCTCCTTGAGCATGCCCATATAGGCCTGTTTCGAGCTTTCCACCAACGCAGCTATGACATTCTCGGTGGATGCAAGAGTCGGGTTGCTGGTAGGGCTCGGAAGCTTGGCGTGAGGCAGGTCTTTGAGTCGCAATGTGATAGGCCATGGTATGGGAGGTGGGTGTTGGAGGTAGGGGGAGGTACGAGAAGGAGAGGCTTCTCGTCTCCTTCTCGAGGAGGCGTGAGCTGCTTCGGTGCCTTCTGTGTGATGCCGAGTAGGAGCCAGATTGTCTACAGAATGGTCGTAAAGCAGTCCAATCGGCCAGTGCCTATTGTAAGAGAAAGAAGGAGACTGCTTCAGAATGTCTGCGTTGCGGCGTCCATGACGGCTGCTACTCACCACTTGAGCGGAGTGCCTCTATACTCGAACCACAGCTCCTCGTCCTTGATCGTAGCAGCTCCCCGGGCGTCGCAAATCAGTCCAACCAATGCCTCCTTGACTTCCTGCACAATAAGAGGAAGGTAGAGATTCCGCCTCACAGTCATGTAATAGGTGTACTCTGCAGCCAGAGAGCTATCTGACCCACTGGGCAAGTCAGACAGAGCTACGGAGACTGCCAGTGGCAGAGAAGAGGAGAAGACATCGGTTGCTATACGAGAAGAAGAGGAGGAAGCCGAGGAGGAGGGATCGAGAACAGGGCCGCTGGATAGGCGAGACGGTCCTGCGAAGCCGCTGCCAGAGGGACGAGCAGGCGTCGAGGACATGGCAGAAGGCGGCAGAGCCTAGGGTCTACGGGTGCGTAGACTCGATCGCTGAGCTGTCCTGAGCTGTATGTGTGACGTACTTGATGGTGAGGTGTGGAAGACTACAGAGCTGTGACAGCCGTCCTGTAGCATTGACCTTGATGGCCCACGAGGGTCGGTGCGTCAATCGGAATCCCCGATGCCACTTCCGTGATTCCACGCTGCTCGTGTGTTGATCTCCCAGTCTTGACCACCATCCTACTCACCGCAACAATCGCAACCACGACAAGTCTCGATTGACAGACCCAGCTACATCGTGAACTCGCCCCTCCCCGACAACAACAAGCGGCTCCTGTCGTAACGAACGCAATGGCTTCCGCCATGACAGCTACACGGCCGGCCGATAGCGCCTCCAACACACCTCCAACCATCACAAAGGACTCCGCCGACGACACAGATCTATCGAGTAAGACCATCTCTAGCCCACACGAGCTCACAGACTGGGTGGACGGACTGCTCGACACGCTTCAAAGCAGGTTTGACGTGATGCAGGGACAAGTAGAGGAAAGAAGTGAGTCCTCCAGCAGCAGAGGAGAGTGAGAAGAAGATGGACGTGGGAGACTGACTGGAGTCGCCTTTGCGTGCCCCTTGCCTTCTCAGTGTCGGAAATGGCTCGAAGAATCGATACGCTGGAGAACAGCATCGAGGAGCTGCTACAGGGTCAGAGCGGCGTTGCTCAGAACGCATCTGAAAACTAAAGGAGAAAAGTCCTGAGTAGGCTTCAAATCTCAGGTTTCACACCTCATAGCCCATGTCACGTCTGTAACAGTATCAAACATGTTCATACCTTGCCTCATCTCTACTTTGCCAAACATACGACGCTACGAAGAAGGATCACTTGTGCTCTAGTATGAAATTGCACGAGGATGGAGGAAGAGAAACAGCTACACGATGTCCAGGTCCACGGCAACATTTGCTACACAAAGAGTCTCCTTCCGATGCTCAGACGCAGATGAGGGCCCGGCCTCAGACACTTCCAGCTGGATCTCCCGGGTCAACCTCACCTCCGTGCCACATGTAGTACGTCCGGCAGTTCTCCAGCTTCTGGCAAAGCTCATCCACTTGTGCCTTTCTGGCTTCTTGCGCCTCCTTCAGCTGACGCTTGGCCTTTCTCCCCACTGGAGTGGCCAAATCCGATCCGCTCTTGCGAGGACTGGAAGAGCCACCATTGGCCTGATCCGACTTTTCGTTCTGAGCGCGGAGCTCTTGCTCCCTCTGCGCCTTTGCTTCTTCGTAGTCTAGCTGAGCACACCGGTACTTGATGAAAGCGATGACAGAGGTGATGCTGGCCGGATAGTTCGTGCCCATGAAGACCTTTCCCTCGTCAGGCAAGGGCGACGGCGAAGACAGAGAGGAACTACTGGACTCGTCTGCGCTTTTCGGAGCTCCAGTCTCGCCTGATATTTTCACGGGCGTTGTTGGTGCGTCCAGGACGACCATTGAAGTGTCACCGTCGCTGTCAGTCTGGGGTTGTTCAGAGAGGGCGGCCTCGACCTTCGCTGAATCTGACTCGGGCTGTGTCTTTTCTTCGGTCGCTGCTCCTGCTTTCAGCGGACTGATGTTGGGCGCGTTGGCAGGCATGGCTTCTAGAGGAGGAGCATGCTTAGTCATAGGCTCGCCGTAGATCAGCACACACCAGGCCCAGCGACCAAGGGTATGAGCAGGCATGTTCTCATTGACTGGTTGTGGAAAGGTGGGGTCAGACGATGTGTCAGTGTCGGAGACCACCATCTGGTCAAGGGCGGTCATACTTACATTCAGTCAATTGCCAATAGACTCTTCCATCGGCGTCGACTCCCAAGGGCCCAGTCCTCAGCTTGTTTGCCTCTGTCTCTTTGTATGCGTTGACCCTCGTATCGAGAATCCTCATCTTGAAATTCTTCTCCTTCTTCTCTTTCTGTGACTTCCACTTGTTGAAATTGTCGGCTTGAATCATGCTGGGTGCACTGGTCCAGATCTCCTTCTTGATCTCTTCCCACTCCTTTTCGTGCTCCTTCAGCTCCTCCTGCCGAGCCTTTTCTATTGCAGGAAGACGGATTGCCGCTGCCTTCAGCTCCTCGGCCACCTCAGGCGTCTGCATCACAGCTTCTAACAGACCGCAAATGATGGCAATCTTTTCTTCCATCTCTGGAGCTGGGGCGGGGCCGGTCTCGGCTGGCGGAGTAGCCTCTGCCTGCTTGCTCTCTGCATCATCACCGTCCGGTGCCGGTGTGGCAGTACTGCGATCCGAGGAGGTGCTTGCTGAATCTGAAGCACTGATGGCCACAATCTGACGCGACGACTTCCTTTGCCCTGCTGCCGCCGCTGCAGTGTCTGCGATGACCGATGAGGGAGTTTGGCGCTGCCGACCGCTTCGTCGGCTGCCCTCGGAAACGACTCTACCACGCTGAGCCCCCTTTCGACTACTTGAGCGCGTAGGAGGAGCGTCCTCGTCATCGTCTTGCTCCCAGTCCTCCCGATCGCTGTCAGCATCGCCTTCGCCACCTTCATCTTCGGAAGGAAGTTCGCCCTCATCCGAGGAGGAGCTCTCCATCGACTCGTAGTCAGCCAGGCTCTGAAGCTTTACCCTCTCTAAGGCTCTGACCTCTGCGGCTCGTCTTGTTCGAGTCAGGCGCGATCCTAGCAGTGTCGGCTCGTGATCCGCAGGAGTGTCATCACGGTCATTCCCAGGATTGTTTCCCTCGTCGTCAAGATCCCTCTCGATGTGAGGAAGAGTTGGCACGAGTGCGCCTACGTTCTCGCAAAGATCTTTGGCGGCCAACCATGGCTCCCCGCGTTTCAGATCACTTCCAAACTCCCGATAGGCTTTAACGACCCTTGTCGTCTTCGCCTTTGGCTGCGCACTATTACTATGGATATTGCTCAGGCCCGCAACGGCGACGACAATGCGCTCAAGGAGCAGCTGCATCTGCCGATGAGTCCAGCTATCGAACTTATCAAGCTGTGACAGTGTCGCTTTAGGTACCTTGATGAAGTCGAATCGGACCAGGGTCTCGTAGATCCAGATACGCGCCCAGATGTTGTCAGGTTTCAGTATCGTATCGATGACCTGAAGCTCTGGTGCTGGTACGGGCGTAGGAGCCTTCAGAGGACGTGAGAGTGATGTTTGTCGAACAATCTTGGCCTCAGAGACGCTCGGACTGGAAGCCGTAGCGTTTGCTTTTGCCTTTGCCTGAGACAATGTCTTCTTTTCACCAGCGGAGGTCTTCCTGACGGTCGCAGCAGTCTTACTTTGACTACCTTTTTGCTTCGCGTTGACCTTGTCCGCAGAGACAGAGGATGTGGAGGGGCTTGCTGGTGACGCAGCTTTGCCTGCGTCCGCTTTCAATGGCACCTCCATCGAATCCTTTCTGTTCTTGAAGCCGCCCAGCGGAGCCAGGCCTCCCTTCTTCCTGCAAAGACTACACTGGCATCGATCCTGACAGCGTGGGCACTACAGGCGACGAAAGGAGGGCATATTAGTCATCACTTAATCAAATAGTACACCGTGGCTGTTTGTCTCACCTTGAAGTAGAAGGGGGCTTTCTCCCCGCCCTCGTGTTCCTTGACGTCTACATTTGACTCGTTCTGGCCTTTCTGCATGATGTTCTCGACAGACTCGTCGTAGTGCGTCTTCAGCGCCCTGTCGCAGTATTTGAGCGCGCATCGCTGTCCGTTGGGCCGCATCACTGAGGCGTAGGGGAGGTGGGTTCTCTGTCAGCATGTAGATGCTCCGGCTATCTCGCTTCGCTCTCGAGATACTCACTAGTGCAACGTATCATCTCCGTTTGGCAAGCCGATCTGTGATGATGGCAGAGAGGCCCGTCCCCCCATGCCGCAAGCTTCTTCGTCTGCTTTACGTCATTTGTAGAGACGCTTGAGGTTCCGGGACTGCTCTTGGCCGTCTCATTCTTGCTTTTCTTGCTCGGCCCGCCGCTAACGTTCGTACGTACTGCAGGACTATCTCCAGAAGAAGGCCTCTTCTTGGTGAGCTTCTTGACTTGCTTGGGAGACTTAGGGCCCAAGGGAGGCGGGTCCGAGAGGTCGTCATCGTCCTCTTCCGCTGGTGTCTGGCCGGCAGAATTGGGCATGAGAGGAGGTGTTGTGAAGTCGATCTCATCGCGATCGTCGAGAGGAGGCGTTGTGTGAGTCTGCTTCCCATTGCTTCTGCTCGCTTGGGCGGGTGTAGATGATGGTGTGTAACGCTTCTTACTAGAGGAAGCTTCGTCCTCCGAGTCTGACAGAACAATTGCTTCGATCAGACTTGACGACGTCCGCGGCCTGAAGCTCACTGAGCAGACCAGAAGGAGGTTCGAGAGACAAAGTCAGTTCAAGAGCATCTATGTTCACGGAACACCTTGCCGGACAGTGGAGTAGACTGAATGGCCGAGGCGAAATGTACAGCCTCGAGCAGCGGTCCCGCAACTCACATACGCTTTGTCTCATCGCCTTGGAGGGTGAGAGGGGGGTGGCTGCCGGCATGCTGTGCTGGTATTCAGCAGACAGAGCAAGGATGAAAGGCGAGCTCTCGTGACAGGAAAAGTTGGCAAGTAAGGGGAAGGAACGGGAGTAATGAGGGCGGGCAGGAAGCGTCACGCGGCGCGTGTTCCCACTTCCGTCGTAGAGTGCTTTGACGATCAGAGGCGCGGCAGACGCTCCTCAGGCTTAGTGACACTAAAATGGTAATATTACAATTGAGGCCTCAACACAGAGTCATAGCAGATGCTGCCTCCTGATTTTCGAATACTTGCAGAGACGCAGATGGAACGACAGCGTCGCTACTACAGCACTTGAAAGAATACAATGCTGTTGCCGCCCGCATCGACACATGTCATTTCTCGCTGACCCCAGGAAGTGTTTCTGGGCTTAGCAAGGATCTTGGAAGAGCCAAAGTGGTGTGGTGGAAAGTAGTTCGAAAGGTCTTGAGCATACTTTTCCATCTTGTATGAGAGCTCAGCATACAAGTCTGGTGAAGGGGGTGCGTTGTTTGTAAGCAGTTGCTCGGTCATGGCCATGGCTTCCGCTTACTCACTGTCTACGCTATCTACCTCTATCCAGAGACTGCCCTTAGGTACAGGCTCGTCAGCGGCTGCTTTCCTCAAATAGAGCGAAACGCCGCCCTCGCCTTTACGAGCTCCTGGCTCGGCCCGGTGTAGCTCAGCTCTTCCCGCATCGGCAGCGCCGACGACTGCAAAGCCAAGCACCTCCTTGTACCAAGGAAGAGCAGTAGGAATATGAGTCACAGAGAAAGAAGGGATGGCGCGCTTGAACGTCGCGAGAATTTGAGGCGGCAGACTCTTGACTGTGCGCAATGATCAGACAGGGTCAGTCTTGGAGGTGCACACTATTGCTGGACTTCAGAGACATGACTCACTCTGTGGGCTTCCATCTTCCTCAAAATTGTACTTGACGCCTGTTGTTGCATTAGCTGGCAAGCCCATGTTGGTGGATCTTGGGAGAAATTTGGCGTCTGAGGCGACTCTTTGGGGTGAAAGCAAGATTCGCAAAAGCCGTCAGGTGGCAGGCTCTGCAACATGGAACGTCCTCGGGAAACTCACTTTCTTTCAATCTTGCCCTGCAGACGCGAGCTGAAGCCTGTCTCTTCGTCTATGGGCAGAATTATGTGCAGGTCTGGCCGCCGGCTCGCGAAGGCGACCATACCTCTGGAGAAGACGGAGGGTATTCGAGGCTGCGCAGCGCGAAAAGGCGTGGCCAAAGGAGAGACGAAGAGGACCTCCGTCCGTTCAGGAGCTGGACTGTGTCATGCTCTCAGGTATCAGGGCTATGGTGACCGTCTTGTATGCCAATCGCGTGGATGCTCAGCCAGATGTGGAATGAGAGTGAGTGTTGTTGGGGGAGAAAAGGGGGAGGAGGCGAGGCAGCTCCGCTTCCAAGCTTAAAAAGTGCGTGCACGGACGGCCGGCTGTGCGAGACGAGCCGTGAGGATCTGCTGTTGTCCGGGCGAGGAAGTCGCCGAGGTCCTTCTGCGCCTCTCCACACCTTGACTGAACATTCTCATTCCCAAAGGGCGGCTTCGTAGCTATGGCTTCTGTTGGAGACTGTGAGTGTCCCCCTGAGGTGGCGATGCAAGGTCAAGAGCATCACAGCAGCATGCAGGAAAGGTGTCAAGGCACGCAAGGGGCTTGGCGGCAATGTTGAGCCTTCGATTGCTATAGAGCACTGACGAACCTTCCGATCCGACGTCAACCTTGCGCTGGCGAAGACATCTTCTTGATCATCGTACTGTCTATCATTGGCGGTGTGGTGTACGTGATGAAGGCGCCAGCTATACAGCAGGGCTTTGCTGACGCGAGCGATAATCTGAAGGTGAGTGCTATGGGCAGCATCAGAACGACAGAGGTGGCGAGCTGATCTACTTGGGGGCCCTTGCTGATCCGATGGCGCCGAGCAGAAGAAGGGTGTCTCTTTGGACTCGTCAGGGGTGTCTATCAAGACGAATCGAAGGGCTCCTACACGGGAAGAGTACCTGGTAAGTACAGTAAGAAATAGGCAAGAGAGAGGGAAAGACGTAGGCTCAACGTGCGGCTGTTGTTCGCTTCTTTGTGATCCTTTCCAACCGATAGGATGCCACACAAAGGTCTTTCGCAAAGAGCTCGGAGATGATAGCCCAGCACAAGGACGCCTTTACGACGACTGCCAGTCAGCGCTCCAAGGATCAAAAAGCAAAGACGGAGACTGCGTATCGCAAGACCGCCTGAGGGCATCGCTCATTGTGTGGTGACAGCTGGACAGACTTGGTCATATGTAGCATACAGTGACGAAAGGGTCGGCTAAAGAGTAGAGCAGCCGAGGGGCACCCTGGGCTGGAAGACAATGGCATAGCGGCGAGAGCTCTCACCGCTGGACACGGTGTGCTCCCATGTGTTATGACTCCTCCGCGCCGATGAGACAACGAGGATGTCCATCACTCTGTGACGTCCTTCCATCTGTTGTAACGCAGTTTGTCTGTATGCTGTCTTCGAGCCAGGTGTGGTGTACGATTGTCATTGCCGTACGCTCCCTCTCCCCCGCACACGATCGAGGTCCGCGTCTGTGGCTGCACCCTGTCTGCATGGCCGGCCCTGTGCCGCTTCCGAGGTGTTTTGTTCGAGTGGAGCCGGACTGACCAACGCTCTTGTTCCTTGGCTTCTTTCCGTCCTCCTGCTTCTAAACATGCCTTGCTACCACCTTGCCTACACTCGCACTTGACTGTAAGAGCCACTTCGCCACTGCCAAGCTGCCCACAAGAAAAGCACAGACACCCAGAAGCGATTGTGCGGTGTTGTTGCTCGTGTTAGTCGCAAGCTCTTGTCAAGGCAGTGACGGGCGACTTGATAGGCCCTCCTAGCCCCATCCATTCACTGGCAGGTCTCGTTCCCTTCCCCCTTGCTCATCCATCCCATCGCATACATCATCCGTCATGTATCACAATGACTTGAGCAGGAGAGCTCGCAATGACTCGCACGCCACAAGAGGGAGCAATGGAGCAGGTCCTTCCCGAACGCCCGGAGCGGTGCGCAACCCTCGATCAGATGACCTTCAGTCGTTAGAAGCAGTACCAGTATCTTCCGTGGAGCGACTCGCCAGCCTCATATCGGCCTCTTCGCCAGCAGCCACAGGATCATCGACACCGGTAGGGAGCTCACAGCGATCAGATGCTGGCCGCATGCCGGGGGAATGGACCGCTGACAGGGGCGAAACGAGTAAAGCAGGAGCGTACTCTGGCGTCCATAGCAGGCCATCGAGCCCATCGATTGCAGCCAATTTCCAAAGAGAGCGTTCCAGAACTCCCGGAAAGCGAACTTCGATACAAGCAGACAGATATATACCAACGCGACAATCGCTCGATGGCCAGACGGCAGCCTTTCAGCTCATGGATGGATCTCCATCAACTCCTCATCGCTACAAGAGAAAGATGATACCAGAGATGGATGCGGAGCAAGAGGAAGCCGATTATGCATTTGCCAATCTTTTAGGCTCAGAGATCTTTGGTCACGACCCAGCAGCATCAGGCTCATCCTCTTCCGCGCCGAGCAGCATCAGTCGCTCGGGATCTCGGCCTTCGGCTCATACCCCTACCACGCCCACGCGGCGGAACCTCTTCAGCTATAATTCCCCTTCGTCTTCGCGATCACGGAGCAGCGGGCCGGCTAGTCGTGGGAGAGACGATACGAGGCGCATAGATCGGAGCAGCGTTGGGTCCTTGCCCGCATCCAATGGCTCTGCCCTGGGTGGAGGCGGGCTGTTCGGATCAGCAAAGAAGAGTAGCAATGCTGTCGTAGCGCCGCCGGGATCACCAAGTCATCGAGCATATGATACCAGTCCTGTCAGGTTGGATTCGCAGAGGATGCTTCTGAGTCCACGGAGGGCTCCTCGTACGGTCAGCAAAGTACCCTTCAAGGTCTTGGACGCGCCCGATCTGGCTGTGAGTGGAGAGAAGGAGGAGACAGTGAACAGTGATGACTTTAGTAAGCTGACCCAATCACTGCTCTGTTCTTTTGCAGGACGATTTCTACCTCAATCTTGTCGACTGGTCATCGACTGACACGTTAGGGGTGGGCCTGGACAAGTGTGTGTACTTGTGGTCGGCAAGAGACTCCAATGTACAAAAGCTGGTCGATTACGAGACGACAGACGACCGGACGACTTCATTGAGCTGGGCTGGTAGAGTGAGTATGCGCGAGGGGTCTATCGCTTTGCTGGGCCTTCCAGTGACTGATACGACGCTTCCTTCGATTTCACCATGTTCAGGGCAACCACATCGCAGTCGGCACACAGAAGGGCCTGGTGCAAATCTTTGACGCCGAGACCTTGAAACTGTTGCGTACAATGAGAGGGCACGATCAGCGAGTCGGGGCTTTAGCCTGGAATGAGCACATCCTGACCTCAGGATCGCGGGATAGGGTCATCTACCATCGCGATGTCCGCGTACCGGAGCAGCATATCCGTGAGCTGCGAAGTCATAAGCAAGAGGTCTGCAACCTCGTCTGGAATACCGAGACGAACCAATTGGCCAGCGGTGGCAATGACAACAAGCTTCTGGTCTGGGACTCTTTGAATTCCACGCCTCTTCACCGCTTTACGGAACACAAGGCTGCCGTGAAAGCCATTGCTTGGTCTCCGCATCAGCAAGGTATCCTGGCCTCGGGTGGAGGTACCGCCGACATGAAGATTCGATTCTGGAACACCATCACCGGTACTCTCCTTTCCGAAGTGGACACTGGCTCGCAAGTGTGCAACTTGATGTGGTCACGCACGGCAAATGAGATCATCTCTACGCACGGCTACTCCTCTGGTAAGATCCAGAACCAGATTCAGATCTGGCGATACCCTACAATGCAGCAGATTGCAACCCTCACTGGACATACGATGAGAGTACTGTACTTGGCCATGAGTCCAGACGGGGAGACGATTGTCACTGGTGCTGGCGATGAGACGTTGCGCTTCTGGGACCTCAATACCCCGAGCAAAGGTGCCAAGGGCGGCTCAAGTGTGACGGGAAGTGGTGGAGTGGGCTCACAAGAAGGGGTAGTGAATCCCTTTGCGAGGTTGAGGTGACCTGCCATGTGAGGAGTAGTGCGGCAGGAGCGTCCAACTTGCCGCCTCTTTCCTCCTCGCCTCTCTCTTGTCCTTCTTTGCGGGCCACAGTCGCAATTGCATTCTTCACACTGGTGGCTCTTCGAGCATATCGATCCGTTTTTCGTGACACGCTTATTTGATTGGGGCGACAGAGAAGTCGATTGTCGGGATGCCGATCCGCTGGTGTTGACTTCCTCAGAGTACAGGAGATCGCCAAACAGTCACCCGCCACGCCTAGAGCGAAGTCAGTGGGTACACCGAGGGCTGGATGTGAAGGCGACAGGGGCCTTGAAAATTACTTGTGGTAGTGCGAGCGACTGACGAGCCTGATGCAGAGGAGATGTTATTCTGCACCTTTTGCTTTCCTTCCTGTGAAGCGATCTTGCGCCTTGCTGTCCATTATCGTTATTCTGATCTGAGACTTGGCCTTTACTGGCCGTTAGTACGGCGAGAACCCTTATCTTCTTCATCTTTCAAGGCATTCTGGTCTTCTGCCCCTCTCTTGCAAGGGCACGTCATATCATCACACGGCTGGTCGTCATCCTGGCCGGAGCTAGAGTAGTCGTTATCTGCCATTTCGTTCTCGTCTTCCTCGCCGAGCTCTCGGATAGTGGCTTGAGTGGCATTCGCTTCTACATGGTCATGGTCATAAGTGCTGGGCTCGTGCAAGTCACGAGAGGACCCGGCTTGAGGAACTGAAGAGGGTGGCAAGAGATCCTGGGCAGTGTGCTCACGGGAAGTGGTAGCTGTTGTATGAGCGCGCTGAGGACTACCGGGTGCCGTGGTGGCCGTCAGACGTGGTCGAACGCTTCGAGGGGCGGATGACACCGTCGATAGACCTCTTCCCAGTCCAGAGCGTCCTACGGGTGGAGCTCTCTGCCTCCTCTGTACAGGCTGAACTTCGTCTGTGTCGATCTGTATGGCTCTCTCTGGGCATGATCCATCCTGTTGGTAGCCAGACTGACGTCGTGCACGGCGCGCTTTGCGAGGCTCAGCGATGGTAGTAGGCTGGATTCCCCCGATCCTCAGCGTCCCCTTATCGAAGCTCATGATGAGTGCGGCCCCTCCATTGATGTAGAGGTTGTTGATGGTGACAGTGGTCGGCATTCTGAGTCTTGGTTCAAGCAAGTAATCGGTGGGTGGACTGAAGAGGAAAGACGGACACTGCACGGACGATGAGGCCAGTCCTTGTAGCTAAGCGTGGGTCGGACAACGAAATGAATGCTGTACGAATGTGGCTCAGGCGTGTCCCGCTCCCGGCTCGTAGCACGCTTGGCCCAATAGGTCTTCACGCCCAGACCAGATGAAGATAGTACTGAGATACATTATTTACATTGTGAAGCTCGTTGTGGACGCTCATACGCAGTGTAAGGAAGACAAGGTGAGAATCAATATTGGTGCAAGGAGCAGAGCTAATAAGGAGGCTCAAGCGATTGGAGGGACCCGCTAGCGATAGAGTGAGACGCTGTCTCGATTTCTCTACAACATCAGTGATGCTGTGATCCACAGTACTAACACGACGATTCCTTGCTTGACTTCGTATAATGCACAACATACGTGCCTTCATACTCATATGGCCGGGTCTGAAATGCATGTTGCCCCTCCACTGTCCTGCAGTTGGACCATTGAGTCTAGGCGGTAGCGCAGATGGTGAGCAAGGAAGTACGTGGCACTTACACGAGGAGGAGAGTAGTCGCCAGTGAGGATAAGAAGGCGAGGACGCTAGACGCAAAGACTTCATTGCTACCAGGCAGCGGCGCTAGCGGTAAGGCACAAAAACAAGGGGACGACGAGTCGGGTGACTTGCCCAGGCTTCCGTTCCGGTTCCGTTGCTGGGTCTCCATGGATGCGCCACCCAAGTCCAAGTCCAGAGAAAAGCGACCGGATCAGTGATCGCAGCGAAATCACGGGCCACCTGCCCTCCGCCTGCCTCTTCCCCCCACCCTGCCCGACGGCCCGCGTCTACCAGTTGCGCCTCAGGAGCGGGCAGCTAGGACAAGCGACTTGGAGGTGCTAAACTCGACTTGTTTCAGCCCTCGCTGTGGGCCAACAAAAGACGGCGACTGCAAGCCGGCCGCCGCGCGCCAGAGAGACGACCCGGAACCAAACACGGCCAGCTAAGCATCTCCAAACGACGAATATACTCGCTCGCAATCGCCTTTGCCTCATCATCCCCCCAACTCACCAATCCACCTTGACTCCCGTACCACACACTACATCTTAAAACCACAACAAGGTGAGTCATTGCACCATGACACTTTCGCACACATCAGCTATATATATCTGACCAAGCATTGCTTCCCCACTGCTTCCCATCCACCTTCCCATTGCACTTGTTCTTGTCATTCACAAAAACGTCTCACGCGCGTCATCCCGACCACGCCCCGCCACCTTGTCGGACGCTGCTTCCTGTCCGTATCTCCCCTGTCCCCATTCTTGGCGGTTTACCCCCCCGCTGCTCCCGTGCCGCGCGCCTCGCAACGCACGCATCCGCCCCGCCTAAATCCATACACCAAACCTCCGTCGCCATCAACTCTCCTTCCCTACCACTCCACCTTTATCAAAACATCATACACAGCGAACATGGCCAGAACCAAGCAGGTACGTGGCTCTAGCAGTGGGCCCCTTCCGGGCCGCCAGCATCGTCACTCGCCGTTGTTGTCATCGCCATCGGCAACACGGCTTTGATGATCGGAGACCGGCGTCGGATATCCATCCAACAACGCGATATCGCTCAGCATGTACTGACATCGCCTCACCACTCACGTCTCCTCTCCCCTACAGACCGCACGAAAGTCCACCGGTGGAAAGGCTCCCCGAAAGCAGCTCGCTACCAAGGCTGCCCGCAAGTCGGCACCAGCTGCCGGAGGTGGTGAGTATCTCGCGAGCAGCGACGCGTAGCCAAGGCAGGGGATGGCTAGGTGGCGACGAGTCATGGGCGGCTCAGTAGACACTGGTGGGCATCACCGCTGCCAGCTGAGCCCTCGCTTTCAGCGTCGTCGTCGTCACCACCATCGTCTCTCGGAAGGACCCGCCACGCGTTTGCTGCACCTACCCTATCGCTTAGCATCGACTGACACCACACCTTATGGCCACCTCTGCGCCCCCTCTCAGTCAAGAAGCCTCACCGATACAAGCCCGGAACCGTCGCTCTCCGAGAAATTCGACGATACCAGAAGTCGACTGAGCTCCTGATCCGAAAGCTGCCCTTCCAGCGATTGGTTCGTGAGATTGCTCAGGACTTCAAGACCGACCTGCGATTCCAGTCGTCGGCCATTGGTGCCCTTCAGGAGGCCTCCGAGGCTTACCTCGTCTCTCTCTTCGAGGACACGTGAGTAGTCAGGGCGTAGGGGTGAAGCACCTATCGGCGAACGCGTCGTACTGACCCCTCCCTCTTCTCTTCCATCCAACTTTTACAGTAACTTGGCTGCCATCCACGCCAAGCGAGTCACCATCATGCCCAAGGACATCGCCCTCGCCCGCCGACTCCGTGGAGAGCGATCCTAAGATGGGAACAGGATATTGGTCTGAAGGGGGTGCTCTCCGCACTCTCCTCTAAACGATCCATTCCGTTGTACCGATCCAGTTCGCCATATCTCCCTCGTCGCTTCGAAGACCTTCTTGCGCTATTCCCAGACGTCTTCTTCTCTAGTCGACGCCCGACATCGTTGTCGCGCCCTCTTTCACTGTCCTGATTCCCTTGTACTTTCGATATGTTCTTCTTACCATGCCTTGGCCCCTTACTATCCACTTTACTACTTCTGATCCATGTTTGATGCCCTTTGCCAGCGCGATGATGGTGTCATCCGGTGGCGTACAACAACACTCTGCTGACACTGACCCCTTGGTCGTCATCATCATCATCGTCATCATCACGGCTCGGGACTCACAAGGACACAGTCGATGCTGAGCTAGACGCTGAACTGAAACGAACCGAAGACGAAGAGAAGTGGAACGACCACTCGACTCTGACTCGAAGTGCTCAAACCCGCCCCCCACTCATCGTGCTGCGCAAAGTATGAGGATGGTAACAAGTTCATGACTCGACGTGACGTGACGTGACGTGCTGCTCCCCTCTCCCCTCTCCTCCCTTCGTCTCCCCCTCCCACTTCCCCTCGTTTCAAGTTCAAGGAATCGACTGACTGAGCACTGACTCCTCCCCCCCCCTCCCGCCGATTTACTCGTCGCCCTCGTCGCCCTCTGCCCTTTGTCCTTTGCGCTTTGCGCTCAGTCGTTGACCGCTAGGCCTGGACTTGGACTTGATCGTCACCGTGATCGTTGTGCACCGATGCGACTTCGGATTCGGCTTCGGCTTGGGCGTCGACGTCGACGTCGACGTTGAGCTGCTGGTAGGAGCTCAGTCTAGCTCAGCTTGGCTTAGCTGAGCTTAACTCAAGGCTGGGATGGACTTTGTGCCGTCCTGATTAGACGAGACAATGAGTCAACCAGTCAATGAGGCGGTGAGACAGGTCAGCACCACGGCAGCACACACAGCGCAGAGGCCCAGCAGCAGAGTAACAACGACGAAGGTCACAAGCAGTCAATTGCAATCCAGTCGCATCCGGTATCGATTGAATAAAGTGAGGCTAGCGAGCGAGCGGATAAGCAAGCGGTGGAGCAAGCGTACAAGCGTTCGAAGTGAAGTGAAGTAGACTTTGTACAATGGGGCCGGGAATTTCTAGTGCCGATGGGAGCGTGGGAGATGGGCGAAGGAAGGAAAGATGAATGAAGGAAGACACTCGAGAAGATGAGAATACGTGAAAGGATGGAAGGAAGGAAGAGAGCCAGAAAGAACGGAGGATGAAGAGAAACGAGGGATGAAGACTGACGGAGGTCCCGGTGGTATGTACAGCCTTGTAGGCTCGTTGCATGGGAGGCGTGGCAGGGAGATGGATGGGAGTGAGAGGCTTCCGCATCTGCCCTCTTACACTCCCTCAGTTTGAATCGGTTTGATGATAGGTCCCAGAGGGCTCGAGATACAAAGCATGGTCGCAGGTGACGTAGTGGCGGCGGCTCAAGCTGTGAGGAGGGCGAAGTCCTTTTCCCCCTTCCCCTCAGACTGGCTGTAGGTCCTGCAACCGCACCAAGTTGGCATAGATGCCATTGAGTGCCATGAGCTGGTTGTGCGTCCCCGACTCGCCCACCACTCCATCCTTTAAGCAATAGATGCGGTCCGCCTTTGAGATGGTGCTCAGTCTGTGCGCAATGGCAATCGTCGTGCGACCCTTGGCAGCGGCGTCCAGTGCCTGCTGCACCACCTTTTCACTCGTAGAGTCCAGAGCTGAGGTGGCTTCGTCCAGCAGGAGAATCTTGGGATTCCTAATCAGAGCTCGCGCAATGGCCAATCGCTGCTTCTGACCACCCGAGAGCTGAGTACCCTTGCCACCCACCTCCGTCTCGAACTCGTCGGGCAGGGACTCAACGAATTGCAGAATGTTGGCTTGGGCGCAGGCACGACGCATGTCCTCCATGGTCACCTTGTCAGCGTCCTCAAATGCGCCCAGACTCAGGTTCCAGGCAATCGTTCCATCGTATAGAGTAGGCTCCTGCGAGACCAAGGCCACATGACGTCGGAAGGCCTTGAGGTTCAGATCGCGCAGATCGTGACCGTCGATCTTGACTGAACCACCCTGAGGGTCGTAGAAGCGCTCCAGGAGCTGAATCGTGGTCGACTTGCCGCATCCAGATGGTCCAACCAGTGCTACGTACTGTCCAGCCTTGATGTCCAAGTCCAGTCCTCGTAGCACTCGGACAGTAGGTCGTGTAGGGTATCTGAAGTGAACACCCTCCAAACGAATGTTACCGGTGACCTTTCTCAGGACTTCTCCCTCGGTCGACTCAGAGTCAATCTCAGGGACATTGTCGAGCATGTTGATCATGTCAGAGGCCGCATTGTGGAAGTTCGAAATGTCTGGCACAAAGTTGAAGACGTTGCCGGCCTGAATCGATCCAAAGACGACAGCTGTGAGGACGGTGAAGAAGCTTGCAGAAGTGTACTCGCCATTGATCAGCAGCGTTGATCCATACCAGAAACCGAGAGCAATGACACCGAAAGAGAGAGCCTGACTGACGGCATAGAAGATGTTAGAGACAAAAGCGGCATTCCTGGAGATGAGACCTGGAGCGACCAGGGCCTCCTTGTAAATGTCAAGACAGTCCACCTCTCGTGTCAGGCTTTGAACTGTGCGGATGGCAGCTGCAGCTTCGCAAGCCCGTTGTGCCGAGGCATCGTGTGCCTTCTTGATCTTGGCGTCCTTAAGGACGACAAGCTTGAGACGCACGAATCCGGCAGACAGTGTCAGTGGCGTGCAAGCAATGCAGACCAGAGCCAATTTCCAGCCATATGCCAGAGCGACGGTAAATCCGACTACGAGCGTGGCAAGAGACTGAACGATGGTGCCGAGTGTGACGCCGACCAGTCCGTTGATCTTTTGTGCATTGTCAGCTAGGGAGTTCGTAAGAGATCCGCTGGAGACGTCGTCCTGATCGAAAAAGGCGCAGTCGGCTCGCAGGAAAGCTCGGAGCACCTTCCTCCTGAGGCGCTCTAGGAGCACACTGGCGGCGTACATCATAAAGGTCGTCTGAATCACAATGGCGATAGAAGCCAACAGAGCGATGATGAACATGTAGAGGGCATTGTGATCCGACGCAGTGCGCATCTCGCTTCGACCTGGCTCAGCACAAGAGCCACCGCTAGCGTCAGCACAGAGGGCAAAGTCCCCTAGAGCCTTGCCCATGACGATCGCGAATGCCGGGTAGACAGCACCGCTGGCAATGGAGCAGATGAGCGAGGGCAGGTAGAGGGTAAATGCATACTCGCGGTTGATGACCATCAGACGCCAGAGACATTTGAGTGTTCCCATCTGATGTTCCTTCCTGCCAGCCTCTTCGTCGGCGCGTCGTCCCAGGACGAGACTAGCAATACTCTTCTTTGAGGTCGTGCGATCAAGTCCCGCAGGCATCTCGGGACGGCTCTTTGCTGCCGCGAGGGTCTCTTCCATCTGTGCCTGCTCCGTCTCGGCGATGGCTTCGACAGGTTCCCCATCAGCCCTGATGCCTTCAATCTTCTGAGCGCTGACGAGAGACGCATAGGCTCCATTCTTGGCGACCAAGCCATTGTGAGTACCTTGCTCGAGAATCTCTCCCTTGCCCATGACTACGATGTTTTCAGCGTCTCTTATGGTCGACAGTCGATGGGCAATGGTGATCGTCGTTCGTCCTTGAGCTGCCTTGTGCAGTGCGTCCTGCACGAGCGACTCGCTCTGTGTGTCCAAAGCACTTGTAGCCTCATCCAGAAGCAAGATCTTCGGGTTTCCTACGATGGCACGTGCAATAGCAATGCGCTGTTTCTGGCCCCCAGAAAGGAGGAAGCCACGCTCGCCGACCATCGTCTCGTATCCGTTGGGCAGCTGGGTAATAAAGTCATGAGCATTTGCTTGTTTGGCAGCCTCAATGACAAGCTCAGCCTTCTTCTCAGCATCGGCATGGTGTTGAGAGCGGTTGATCAGACCATGCAGGATGTTGTCTCGGATGGAGGAAGCGAACAGTGTGGGCTCCTGGCTGACGAGAGCAATCTGCGACCTGAGCCAGGTGACATTGAGATCCTTGATGTCATGACCGTCCAAGAACACTTGACCGGCCTCTGGGTCATAGAACCTCTCGACGAGACCCACGATGGTGCTCTTGCCCGATCCGGACGCTCCAACGAGGGCAGTGGTCTCGCCTGCCGGAATCACAAGAGACAAATTGAAGAGGACCTGAACATTCTTGCGGGATGGGTAGCGGAAGTCGATGTTGCGCAGCTCAATAACACCCTCGCAGGAGCTGGGCTTGAGACCCTCAGGCGATGCAGAATCGATCTGCGGTACACGGTCGATGGTGGAGATGATCTTGCCGGCTGAAGCAAAGGCGAAGGACACAGCCTGGGCATTTGGTGCGAGCATGGCCATGCTGAAGGCACCGATCAGGATCGAAAAGATGACGTTCACGACCACTCCCGTGTTGATCTCTCCGCTGGCAATGAGCTTCGAGCCAAAGTAAAAGGCCAGAGCATATCCCGAATAGATGATGAAGAAAAAGATGCCAAGACCAAAGCCTTGAACGATGGCTTTCTTCGTTCCTTGCTTTGTAGTCAGAGCATTCGACTCATTGTACAAGTCCACCAGGCGAGACTCAGCACCAAAGGCCTTTGCTGTGCGCACTGTACTCAGAGCTTCCTCAGCGAGCGACCCTCCGTAAGCGACGTACTCGAGCTCCATCTGGTGGAAGCGAGAGACAAAGACGTTCATGACAGCTCCTGCAATGATGATGCATGGAACAATGGAGGTGAGGGCGAGGGCCAACTTCCAGCTCTTGATGTAGGCGACGACGAATCCCGTGACAAAGGTCGAGACGAACATCACGCTCATGGGAACTTTGTCGCTGATTCCTTCTTGAATGAGATGCGTATCCGACTGCAGTCGCGTGGTGATCGTACCAGCACCAATCTTGTCAAAGTAGGCAATGTCTTGACGTAGTGTAGCAGCCAGAAAAGCCTCTCGTATCCTCCTGGTGATTTCTTCTCCAGTGTAGACCCAAGCAGCAGAGTAGATGTAGGTGGCGCCAAACATTCCGATACCAATGTAGACCAAGAGAAGAGCATCGTGTCCCACGTCGCCTTTGAGCTTGGCCGAGGCGGCAGCCTGAGCCTCTGGGCCTTCGGTGAGGGAGTACGAGTACTGCAAGAAGGCAGTGGTGAGATCTCCGAAGACGATTGTCATTAGGGGTTGAGAAGATCCAGCAGCGGCAGCAGCGACCAAGCCAATGATATTCATGGCTAGATCAGTCTTGCTTGCGAACCTGATGAAGACGTCGTAAAATGAAGCTCGGTATACATCTTCGTGATCGTCTTCGTCTTCGTCGAAACTGCTGCCTTCCGCAAGTGAGTGGTCCCTTCCATCCTTCTCTGGGTCCGACGAGGAGGCGCCTTCCGCTGACGAGCCAACGTCGCCTTGCGGTGGTAGAACATCGGCTTCTGATTCTGTCCCCACCGGGGGCGTGGATGAGGGTGAGTGTGCCGTCTGACCTGTACTACTTGAGGGTGGCGAGGGGTGTAGAGACCGTGTCGTCCCTTCGGCCTGGAGGTCTTGAGCTGGAGTGAGCGCCTGTGCGCCGAGGGAAGGTCCGTCTAGGGGTGCTGGTTGAGCGACGGCACCGGTTCCGCCCATCATTGCACCGGCAGCTACTGCTGCTGCTGTTGATGATGCCGCGGTAGAGGACGAGGTAGCTCCCGTGGCAGCGTTGGCATCATTGGCGGCACTTGTTCCCTGCTGATGTTGAGTCACTGGCTCATTGGCGCTCGCGTTCCGATCTGCTTGAGAAGTGTAGCCGCTCATGGCAGGCTGTTCAAGATCGGAAGGAGATGTGATGAAGTCAAACGCAACAAGAGGAATGAGAGAGAATTCGAAGGGTAGGAGAAAGAAGTGAGAGTTGAGGAGAGGGGTCCTGTGGGCTCCGGGATATTAGAAGCGGAAGGCACGGGCACGGTTGAGGACCTGTGAAAGAAGAGGAGGGATCCGGGTAACCTGGTATTGTTGGGTGAGATGTCGGAGGACGCGGGTAGTTCTGAGGTGAGAGATAGGCGAGCAGGCAGGCAAGCAAGCAGCGGCGATAGACTGCCTCCCGCGAACGTGATTGAAGCTGTGGTGGCTTGATAGGGACTTGAGCAAGAAGAGGTAGGATTCCGCGAATGGGAGACAGGGGGCAGAGAGATGAGAGGTTTGCCTAAGAGGCCGGATGGGCGTGAAGAAGAGGCAGCTCGAGCGTAGGAGTCAGCGCGGGAAGCTCGAGCAGGGGCGGGGCAGGGCGTGGGCGTGGGGGTATGAGGTGGGTGGGTGGGTATGTGACCATGAGGGTAGCAAAATGGCAGCAGCGGAACTACTGCCTGGCCTGGCAGCGGAACAGCCCCTGCCAAGCGCCCCGCCTCACACCCAGACCTCAACCAAGCCTCCCCGCACGGCTCAGCTCAGCTCAGCGCCTGGGCGTCAGGCCAATCTTGTGTGTGGACTTCAAGCTACTCGCATTGCGGCCAGGATCAGCCCCTACGCATCGTAGCATACAGATAACGCGGGTATGAACGACACCGTGACGCTAAACGGACCGAGATGAGAGACTTATCAATCCGGTGAATGCCCCTCAATGCACTCTATCGTAGCCTTCAAGCGTCTGTGCGCTTAGCCTGCCGCCCGAGCTACGGAGCACCGTGCAGACAAGGGAGACCCCGAGGCAGGGGTGACTCCTGAGGCGACAGACGGAGCGATGATCTGACAACTTACTCGACGCTTTCCCTCATCCCACAGCCAGCATATGGACTCATTGATCATTCTTCCGTTGCCTGATGATGACCCCGGGACTGGCTAGGCCCATCTATCCCCCGACCAGGTCACCCTCCCTGTACGCTCCTGCGCACGGTCCTATCGCTCCGCGTTCTGATCCTGCTGGTCGTGCCAGGTCCAACGACGGCGCCTACTCGCCTCTGCAGTCTCCAACAATCGCTCCAAGCTATCGTTCTCGTCAGCCTAGCTTGGGCACCACCAAGCCAGAAGGCCTCCCTGAAAATACTCATCAAGCATTTCTAGCATCGACCTCTGAACAGCCGTCCTGCTTCTCAAGTAGCGCGCCGGCCAACTCTGCAATCCCCTTCCCGCTAGCCTCACCAAGCTCACAGTGGTCGATCTCTCAGGAAAAGGCAATCCTTACTACGTTGACCATCTTGGCTTCGCTCCTAGCCGGGACTTCCACGTCTCTGCTGAGCTTCTACCGCAATAGCAAACACGCACCCGAAATCGTTTCCGCTCTCACCTATGCCGCCATCGGACTCGAGATCTGGGGATCCGTCGTGGCTGCTGCTACTATGATCATTGCCATCTCCCTTGAGGCAGCTTGCGTAGAGAGGGAGGCTCATAGGCATCACAAGGGCAAAGCTGTGTACCAAGGTGCATCTGAGGAGGCCGGTGTACAAGCGACGTACGCTCCTCTCCGAGCTTCGTACCTGAGACAGAACGAGGCGACTCGTCTTTCTCCGCTTACGCTCAAGGTGCTGGATAATTTGACTCTAACCTGTGGCTACCTGATCCCATTCGCTGCCCTGTTGGAGCTCATTGCGCTCGTCGCATACGCATATTCGTTGCTCGAGCAAAGGGCGGGAATTAAGGACGAGGCGGTAGCAATCACCCTGGCCCTGACCATGGGCGTAGGGACGACCCTGGCAGCAATTGCCTCGGCTTACTGGAGGAGGTCCGATAATCGGAAAACTCAAGCAAGTCCGAGGAGAGGAGAGCAGCAGCAACAGGGTGGGGACCAAGAAGAATGGGTTTGGTTGCGTGAGGCAGAAGAAGGGAGGGAATCTTCCCTTCGACCTCCTTCCATCACAATCTAGTTGGGCGAAGAAAGGGGGAGACTACCCGGACCGACCCTACTTCGCTACCTATCCGGTTTCTGAGATTGGCATCTGTGGGATCGTGCTTGCTCACCCCTTCAAGGGCATGTTCTATACCCGAGCAATCTCTGAGCCCTGAGGACAAGACTGTCACAGAAGTCACCTCGGAGAAGAATCCCAGCAAGTCACAGTCAGATCACGATCCGTCTCTTCGGGAGCACCTATGCTCCACAACCCATCGTCCTCCGTCCCCGACACTTCAAGCCTCCCCTAATTCTCCTTCCAGTGGCTGAGATCAGCCCGACACAGGACCGCCAGCCTCATTCGATCCTGTCCACAACGCAGACGCACAACGGCGTCGGGATGCATCTTCGTATTGATTGCGACGACTCAATGGCATTGAGGTGAATGAGGCTCACCGGCATCCTACTTGCCCTCCCCATCGTCTGGCTCAAATACACCACCACTGGCGCATATCGCATCACTTCTCCTCTGCGGCTGCCGTCATCCTGAGTAACTTTGGCTTGATGACTTTCAGCCAGTGACTGGTAGCCAAGACGGGGCTTGTGTGAATACGATGTGAAAGTTGGCGCAAACTCCTGACAGGTCTTTCGCTATTCACAGCCTTACTGCAACCTTCGTGCGCTCTCGATCCTCGTAAAGGGAGTTGACTGCCTTTCTCATTTCACTACAGGGGCACGTCGTACATCGATGATTCAGCAAGGCTGGCCGTCGCAAGCGCATCGCTTGAGCAGAAGTATCCACTGTGCTCCACTCACTCGTAATCGGGCTGATATTCACTGAACAGGAAGGAAGACAAGGGGATCGACTGGTCGGTATTGATTCCCCTTCGGGGCTAGACGATGCTGGTGTCGAGACATACCTGATGTACTTCTGGATCCCTTCCATCATCGCTGCATCTTCAAGCTCAGTCCAACCTTGGGCAGCTCCACCGGAGCCACTTGTTTTTCTCGGAGATCCTTGAGGAGTGGTCACCGCCTTGGACTTCTTTGAAGGAGTTTGGGGCATCACGGTGGACAAGTCGTTGCCGTTTTCTTCGCTTGGGGATGACTCAGAAGCATCTCGCTCTCTTTTCGGTGTCTTCATCTCAACGATTTGTTAGGAATACTGTATGTATAGACATTCGATTGGGAAAGAATCGTACTAGTCAGGGGGTAGAATGCAAGACGATAGAGAGGACAAAGGAGGTGTGGCATATGATCTGTTCAGCAATCGTACCTGAGAAGAGGGGGAGCAATCGATTTATCCCTCACATCACACTCTCGTCACACCAGGCTGAAAGCAAAGCTCGTCATTGCTCAGGGCATCGGGTTAGTCTGACCTCAAGTCCAACCTCCGAACCTGTTCAAGCTGCTGTGACTCCCCCGTCACTCCTTTCCCAGGAGCAGCTTTCGATTTCTCGCCTCCCCGTCACCCTATATCATACCCTTTCGCTGTTCGACTTAGATTCGTCTGCCATGGCAAAGCGAAAGGCTACAGAGACTCCTCCCTCCTCTCCTTCGAAGATAAAAAAGGCATCACCAGAAGGCGGCGATGCGGAGAAGAAGGCGCGACCTTGGACTGCCGAGGAGGACGCAGTTTATTGGAGGCACATACTCGCGTGAGTACCAACAGAGTACAGAAGACGGATTGAGACTACGGTACTACATGCTTACGAGTAACAACCTCTCATGTCTATGCCGCCATACAGGACCTACAAGCCTGACCTCAAGTGAGTCAGCTTGAGGTCTTGAGCCCATATCGGCGAGTGGGACTTACGCCGCTGCTTTCGCCCCTATCTTCGCATCGCAGAGCCATTCACTCAGAGGTCATGAAAGCCGCAGGAGGGGCAGAACGAACTGCAAAGGCTATACAGAGGTAAGCTCAGCTGCAGCGGAGGCTGCCAATTCCTCTAGCTGACAATGTCTTTTTCGATTGCTGGTCACTCGCATCACTCCGAAGGCATTGGGACAGTGCCATTCGTAAGCAGCTGCTCGAGCTTGCGGGCAATGTAGAGAAGACGCAAGAGCAGGCCAACGAGGCATGAGGAGCAGCTCAGAGAAGCTGGCTAAAGGTTGAGACTGTGATGCACGCCCCGCCGCTTCGGTCCCCGATGACTTTGTCTGAGCTTACATGCAATGTATAATGTCGTTGCCATTGAGTGAGAGGCTGGAGTGGTGATGAAAAGTACATAGTGCTCTCGAGAAGCCCTCCCACGCTTTTGAGATGGAGACGAAGTACGAGTCTGGCGGGAAGTGCTGTTTCGGGCTCGGCAATTATACATCAAACGGAGCATCGGGGGCCACTGGCAAATCTGCGCAGCACGATGTCTAGCACGACGAGTCGTCCTCTCCACAGTGCCTGACCTCTCACTGGCTTATCTTTGGACTACCCGTGAGCGCGAGCATCTGCGGCTTCAGTATTTTTTGCCATCGACTGCGCATCGTCAGAAAGTCGATGTCAACAATGGTCAGGTTGTCACCAAGCTCTCGTTGCGACGCTTTTCCTTGACTTACTCTCTGACTGCCACTTTGCTACGCTCTGGACCTTCGCCGGCTGCCTTGACACTGGGAAGGACGATGCTTGGAGGACAGGTGGTGCAAGATAAGGCAAGAGTTGAAGCGCGTCAACTTGGCTGCACGAGTGACGTCTGGCTGATCGGTACTACAGAACAAGCTCACCTGTAGTCGAGTTGGTGAAGTCTGACGCACGGGAAAGAAACAGTATCTCTGTCACCAATTCCGCCAGCCATACGCCACTGAAGACACCTTGACTTACAGTATGAGGTCATGAACAGACTTCAAGATCGCAGCGTCCTCTGCCGCGGTCCAAGGCCGTCCGCCTCCTTTGGCAGCCTTTTCAGTACCGCCCGTGTCTTTCTTTTTGACAGCCGTTTTGACCGCTGTAGTCTTTGATTGCTTCACTGTCTTGAGCTGAGACTCGAGAGCCTTTTCTTCTTCGTCTTCGTCGCTGTAGTCAATCTGACGCTTACGAGCTGGCATGAGGGGCACGGTATGGGGATTGCAATGGGTCTGGAAGGTCGATCCAAGCAGTCTGCTGGAGAACGGCAGTGGCGACGGCGGTGAAGAGGGGCAAGGAAGGTAGACACCAACAGACGGCGAAGGGGGGTGAAGGGACGACACAAGAGGGGACGGTGTTGTTCTGGATTTCACGACAGGATGACTGCCTTGAAAGTTCACATAAGCAGCTGGATGATGACGAATGAAAAAATCAATCTACGGAGGGCGTTGCGTTGCTGCAGAGCAATGTTATCTTGGCTCAAGCCGCATGCCGGCAGCGTACCCCTCCGCGGCGATATAATGGTTGCTCCTGCGGTCCAGGTACGACCGCACAGAGGTTCTGTGTGTTGAGGGTAGACTGGTCAAGGTACAAGACAATGCGACACAATGATCCCACTCGTCGCCTACAGCGATCGACTTCCGCAACGATTCCTCTTTCTCGCCGAGCTATCCATCACCACAAGTGCTTACTACATCGAAATCGACGAGTCTCGTATCATGTCAAGTTCAAAGCGAGAGCGCGAGACGCCAGAGTACATGCCCAGCGAAGAGGAGTACAAGTCCGAGGCATCTGAGCCCACTACGCCGAAGAAGAAGAGCAAGACTACGCCTCACTCATCGCCAACTAAATGCAAGACTGAAGGCGGAGAGAAGCCACGATCATGGACTGCCGAAGAGAACGCCATCATCACGCGAGGTGTGCAGGCTCTCATTACGTGGGTGTCATATGCTGCCTGAGAGTACTGATAGTCTCTCGCTGACTATTGACTGCCGACCTCCCTTTCATTTCCACGATAGCACTCATCAGCCTGATTATAGGTGAGTCTCCATGAAGGCAGTCGCGTCAAGTGCGGATGTGTGATTGATGAGGTGCACCCTTTTCGGATGCCTGGGAGAACTGTAGTACCATACTGCCAGAGCTGGAAGCAGCTAACGGTGGATATGTGCGTAGCAAGAATGCGGTGCAGCAGTGAGTCGACCGACCTAGGAGGTCCAGCATGCTATCTAGTCTCATCTCACAAATTGGTGAAACCTCTGGACTTGATCGAGCGTAGGCACTGGAGCAAGGTCTTAAAGCAACAGCTGCTCGCATCGATCAGCTTCACCCCTCAAGCCAAGAAGAGCAAGTAGAGCGGGCATTCCTCAACCGGCAGAAGAGGGTGTTGAAGGCGTAGCAGTGGGTCATGGTACACTTTTCGAATTTGCTCACTCTTTTGTTGTCACAATCTCATCTCTTTGCTGTGCAAACCCTCGCTGCTCATCTTCGAATGCCTGAAGATTGCTCTTGTGACTTTTGCCGTGCCTCATTGCAGAAAGTTACTGCCTTGTTCGCACATTGTCTTGCTCAGCTCCCTGTCAATGTTCCTCTCCTTTCCATACAATCTTCTACCCGGACAGCCTCATCATATCCACCAATTCTCTCTCCACCATGTGCAGCTACAAGCGTGAGCGCTCTACTACACCTGAGACCAAGCCAGCAGGGGCGAGGAACTCTCCAAAGAAGAAGACACCTTCCAACAGAATCAAGGGCGAAGATGGGACCAAGGATGAAAAGGCGAAACCCTGGACGGCAGAGGAGGATGCCGCTCTCATGAGCGGGGTTCGTGAGGTCATCGCGTATGTATCAAGCCCTGCTTGGAGCGGATGTCACGAGGAGATACAACACTGAATCTCACTTCGTCTGTGGCTCCCATCTTGCAACCACAGCAAGTACCAGCCGGACTATTCGTGAGTGAATCAGATACCAGACCATATGCTCTTCGGCTTCTCGCTGACCTCTTCCCCCTCCCCGTGCTCCTTGTAGTGTCCTCGTCCCTAGAGTCACCAAAGCTAGTGGTGGTACGGAAAGAAGCAAGGAAGCTATCGCCTTGTGAGTGTCCATAGCGCCACCCTACCTGGCGCGTTACGCATGAGCGTGACTGATGCCAACCTCGCTGCCCTTGCGCTGAACAGTCACTGGTACGTCGTCAAGCGCAAGCTACTCGAGCAGGCTGGAGAGGAAAAGCCTGTAAAGAAGGCCAAGAAGGCCTAGTGAGCGCCAGAGAATCTGTCAATCGCCCGCTTCGGATGATAGGCAAGGGCTGCCAACGAGCACCAATCTTCCTCTCTAATCATCCACTCTGCTGCTTTTGGTGTCAAATGATGAAGATACATTCTATAGTACAAGAGCATCTCAGACGTGCTTGCCTGAGCTTCTTCACTCCCATACCTTGACAGCACCTGTCCGATCGCCTGCAACGATGCATCGGAAGGGCGACTCAATGATGGCCAGAGCGGTGATGGCATCGCGATGAGCTCGCATGTAGGCTTGTGCCTGCTGATTCTGGTGAGGAGAGAGGAGCGGGGATCGGATAGGCGCGGCATCTCGGCCTGCTAGAGGAGTCGTCGTAGCCGTTGACTGATGGTGGACAAGGCGGAGAGGCTCGCTGCCTTCGGTCGACAGGGTCCTGAGGTCGTGAGAGCGGCATAGAAGGGTCAGCCTGCTGGTCCACCGCTTGAACCTCTTTACTCAATGTTCCGCATCACTCACTTGAATTCGCCTTTGCCAGTCTCGGCCAGGCTCACGCATACGCTCCTCTCTGGCTTTCCCAAATCCCAGAAACGAATCTTGCAATCCTCTCCGGCACTGACCACGTAGCCAGCAGGGCCATGCCCATCGCCCGCTGCAGTGCTTTGCCCCGGCCTTTCCACATCCGCTGCCAACTTGCCGGCATCGAGCCATCCTCCTGACACTTGACTACTGCCTCCGCCCAATTGGCCCGAAGTGTACCCCTCAGTGCTGGCTAGAAAGCATTTGACGTGACAGTCCTGCCTGATGCTTGCTGCAGTGTCTGTAGTGGAAGTGTAGTTTTCCTCAGCCGCCTCAGCCTCTCTCGCCTCTCGCCCGCGTACTAGCTGCTCTATTGCGGCTGTAGCACTGGACAGACCCTCCATCTGAGCTGTGACTGTCTCCCGAGAGGCAGACCTGATGTTCTTTGAAGCGCTTGCTCCAGTGGCAAACTCGTACGACTCCACCATGACACCTCGGTCAATGTCCCACGTCTCAATCAGCGTTTGTATTGTGGTCTTGGCCAGAGATTGCTCCTCGTAGCTGATCATCACCCACCGGCCCCTGCCCTTGCTAGGATGCAGACGGCAGTCTGTCACCTTGACCAGAGTCGGCCCGCACGGGTGTTCGCTGCTTCCCAGACGCCAGCTCTTGACGAGGAGCCCAAAGCGGAGGTCCCAGAGTACCATTGATCCTCCTAGGGTACCAGCAAGCAGCCAGATGCCCTGCTTGTCTCGACACATGCAAGTGATGGGTCCGAAGTGAGAAGGATTCTTCAAGGCTTGAAGGACTTGCATGGTCCTCAGATCCAAGATGGTGATACGGGAATGGGATGTACCTAAGATCAGCTTAGCCGAAGGCGAATCGGAAGAGCTTTGCAGAAGAGACACGACGTACTCTCCGGGTGTGCTCAGCTGGAAATTGCTTATCAAGCGAGGCTTGCCATATCTCGGAAGGCTAGCTGAGCTCAGGTCTACTCGCCACACATGCAAGCTTCCGTCGGTAGCTGTGCTAACAAAGCAATGCGTCGACTCGAGGGCAATCAAAGAGGTAATCTGCCCCGAGTGAGCTGAATAGGTGCTCCGCGAGCGAGACGTGACGTTCTTCTCCAGTCGAGCTGTGTCCCAAATCTTGACGGTACCGTCCTCAGACCCGGAAGCGAAGAAAGCGTGATCTGGTGATACAGCGATAGTGGTGATTGGCCCGGTGTGCTCATTGAAGTACGCAACCAGCTTGCCTTCGGGTCGGCGACTGCCTCCGTTCGTGTTCGACGTTGAAGCTTCACGAGCCGTTCCAGCAGGCGTCACACCAGACGGAGCTGCCTTACTACTCCTCTTTCGAGATGCAGGGCTCGACCCGACCCTTGGACCTAGCTCGCCAGAGCGGTCCCTGAAGTTCTTCAGGAAGACCACTTCCAGATGGGCCAGGATGTATGGGTCCGAACCTTCATATGTCGAACGGAAGAGGGGACCATCACTCTCTTCAATTCCGCCAAGCCCAGCACCTGGTCCGCCCCGCACTGTAGGCGTGACTGAGCCTGCTGGTGTTGGCGCCTCCGAAGCCAGTGTACTGGTCATGCTGATCGAGCGGAGCTTCGCTGCTAGGTCTGACATAGTGCCTGTCGCATTCGCAGAAGACTCTGCTACAGAAGCCGGTGCCGCTTTGATGACTCCCAAGCGTGCTTGTCCCGAAATTGACCGCTGGCTAGCCAGAGAGATGGCAGTGCTGTCGGGTCCAGCGCTAGAGGCGGAGCGTGAGGGCCGGCGACCTCCCCCGAGGGCATCGAGTCTTCCTGCAGTTGATGTCATGCTTGCTCGCCGGCTAGCATCACCTGCAGCAAAATCAATGGAGCCTGCGCTGAAGACACGAGCTTCGCTTATGCGTCGCCTAGCAACCTGGCCCGAAAAGTCGGAGCGGATAGTTGGGGAGCGGGCTGAGCCAAGCTGCTCAACATTGGCCTGGTCTCCAGCAGATGGCGCACCTGATTTGTTGAATGAGAAGAAGATAGTCTGCGGAGTGACCTCTTTCAGCCTCTGTACCTCGGTATGCTGCCTGGTTGGAGGTAGAGACGGGTCGTCCGTCGCATATGGTCGTTGCCTAGCAACATGCTTGGAGACCTTCCAGATGTACTCTCGAAGTCCAAGCAACTTGACTTCGTCGTCGGGTCCAAAGCCCAGCGCACGCAGCTTGTCCATGAAACCGTCATCTTCATCGCTGCGAGGCAGCGGCCGCTTGACGAGTTCCTGGCCATCCGAGTCGGGGGAGGTGACCATGAGTCTCAAACCCTCAAGGGCAATGGCGTTGCCCACGCCAGCCTTGCTGCTGAGCAAAGTCACATCGTCGCCTTTCCAGAACGCCGTTTTGCTTGCTGTTGCGGCCCAACTCAGAGCAGCTTGCAAGATGTTGCGAGACAGTGGAGCTTTGGCAGACTCGATGATACTCAAAGCTGACAGATTCTCGAGTTCATACGTGAGAAGCGGTCTGATGGATGGGTACACAATAGCCCATACGTCAGTCGCATCGAGATGCGCCGTCGCATCCACCAGAAAGCGTGCAGCGGCTTGCCGGATCCACAAGTTTGAGTGACAGAGAAAGCCAGCGGTGGCGCCAACGAGCTCGAAGATCTGGAATTTGGAGAGCAGCAGAGACGCATTTGCTGTCACGACTTGGCCAAGGCCGGCCAAAACCCTGACGACGACGAAATCTTCGGGATCTGATAGAGCCTGAACCATGAGGGGGACGATGTATTCTTCCACGCTCCTAGATCCAGCCACGACAGCGAGATGCGGTATTGCTTCAAAGAAGGCGTCTCGAAGCTGCCAATCGCGGTCGTTGAGATAAGTGATCATATGGCTCAGCAAGACATCGTTGGTAGTGACATTACCCAGGAGAGTACACATCGGCGCGATGCCACTCAAAAGCGACCTCTTGACCGCTGGATCTGAATCCGTCAGCAATACAGTGACTTGCTCCTGTGCAAAGTCGCGTATATCTTGCAGTTGGGCATCGTAGCTGGCCTCTTCAGATTGTTGGTCAAAGTCTTCGAAGGTCTCTTGATCCGCTACGAAGGCTCCGGACGCTCGAAGTGCCTGCGTCTGCTGAAGGAAGCGCTGTGCGCATGCTGCGAGGGCGGGAAAACATGCTGCGTAGGCCCTTCGGACCGTTGCGGATGTATCGCTAGCTACCCGGCGCAAGTTGGGAAAGATGTATTCTACGCAGACACTTTCATTGGCGGGTGTGATAGTATTGACGAGCAGAAGAAGCTGTACTGTGGAGCGCACGGCAGCAGCTCTGACTGCGGCGCTGGGATCGTCGACCAGAGCCACAAGGTATGGCAGCACCCGGTCGAGCTTTGCCTCGTCCGTCAGCCATCTCGCAGACAGGTGGAGTAGTACCTCGAGAGCATGCTCCTTCGATGATGCTCTCAGGGCGTTCCGCAAGTTGCTCAGAATGACAGACAGCACGATCAGACCGGTTCCATCGGTGTTGTTGTGGCGGCGGTGGTGACTCAGTAATGAGCTGCCGAGGCGAGGAATGTTCAACTGGATCGGTATTGCCTGCTCAGCAGCTTGTACTGAGCCCTGTACCAGAGGATCTCCGCTTTCCAGATCGTCCCCTTCAATCATCGCATCGATGTCGCCGTCGCTGTAATCCGCGTCCAAGTGACGCACTACTACTGACCATTCCTCGTATAGGTGTTCCAACCGCAGGTCAGCCTGTCGTTGTGTTTCTCGTACTGGATCCTCTGTATTAGATAAATGGCGGTCGGACTCCGTACTTGATAGATGAGAAGCGCCGGAGCTTGCGATCTCCTTGTGCTGTTCACGAAGGGCTGAGGTGGCTTTCGGGGTATACCGCTGTAGATCAACAAGGTACGGATGAAGGAACGATCCAAAGACCCGAGGGAAGAGGTCTTTCTGCTCCTCAAGACATTGAGTGAAAGTAGGCCTCTGGGCAGGGTCTATGGAGAGCATACCTCGAATCATCGATCTTAGGGGCACATCGTGAATCTCGGCCAGAGGTGTCTCGAGATCGTAGCGTCCTTCACGGTATTTGAAAAGTTGACTCAGGGTGAACAGAGGGACGCCGTCTCTCCACAACTCTGATATGACACAGCCTAGTGAAAAGACGTCCATGGCTTCTGTCACCTTACCATCCCTCTTGCCCAAGCCGAGGATCTCGCTGTAGGGGTCTCCCGAGCTAGTGATCGAGGTATTGCCGGCACTGCTGGAGGCAGGTGCTGTGGAGGACGAGGCGCCAGAACGAAGGCTAGCTTTCTGTCTCGCAATGTCCGAGCCGGCAGAGTAGAAGCGCTCTGGAGCAACGTAGCAAGTTCTCCGCCCCGATGCATCGAAGAAGAAGGAGAAATCGGCGGGGTCATCGAGAGGTAGATAGGTTGGCTTGAAGGAGGCGGCGAAATCCGTGACGAAGACAGACAGGGACGACGTGACGAGGACATTTTCCGTCTTGAGATCGCCGTGAGGAATCTGTGATGCGAGGGAGGGAAGTCAGAATTCAGTGACACCTCTGCTGGCTAGGCCATTTAGCTGCGTTCGACTCACATCCTTCTCTCGCGATGCTCTCATAGCAGAGATCAGCTGATAGGTGATCCACTTCTTCTCCACCACCGTCAAGAAGGGCCGAGTACTGATGCGATCGTAGAGATTGCTCGAAACCCATTGGCGGATCAAATACCCGGCTCTGTCTGTCTCTCGTGTCTGTTGGTATGTCAGAACGTTGGGCACAGTTGCGAGGGTTTCCCGCTCCTTCTTCAGCCTGCGAAAGAGATGGCGCAAAGGGAGAGAGCCATCCGGCTTGACGAAGGTCTTGACGACTATGCGGCCTTCTGTATGACGAGCTCTGACTGCCTTGAGGAAACGGGATGAGCCCATGCTCTTCTCGTATTGGACCTCATTCTCGCCCAGCTCAGCCAATATGCTGACTCCCAGAGTTCCCCTCGCAGCGGCCGAGGCAGAGTTGCCCATCGTCTCTGCAGTAAGCCTTTATCTCGCCATGTATCAGGGGCACGATGAGGTCTAGCCTAGGTGAGGGTGGGAGAATATCAGGCAGTGGATGGTCGCAGTGGAAGAGGTCAGCAGTTAGTAGGACTCGCCCGAAGCGAGGTGGGCGAGGTGATGTACAATGCCTCTATGCACGGCCCAGCGCCTGAACCACGCGTCTGGTCCATAAGACGGAACGGAAGACAGATGTTTTTTGATGTCAGAGCTTGTAGGCTCCACCCACCATAGCTCGTCTCGTACAATGGTGCTCTGAACTCTTCTCGAATTATCAGCTGTCAGGGCCAGTGTATTATGAGGGTTTTGTGAACACCTAACATCCCTCCACTCCCTCAGACCAGCTCTCGTCCGCCGAGCTGTAGCGTCTGCCAGACGGCCGGTAGAAGAGCGGAGTTAGGCTATTCCGAGAAGGAGTGACTGACTCAGGCACGGCATCGGAAATAGCCATGGCATGGCCCTGCCTCTTCTTCCTGCCCATCAACTACCACACCACCACCTCTCTGTCTGGCCTATCATGACTGCCATGACCGCAACCTCGAGACCCCAGGCAGCAGCCAGTAGGTCTCTCGACGGCGGCTATGACTATTCTGTGGGCACGTCGATCCCAGCGAATATGGCCCATGCTGTGTCAGTGAGCTTGCCCAAGTGGAAGGACAATGTCGACTACGAGGAGGGCAAGTTGGACGATGTCATGCAGATCGGCTACCCCAGATTCTTCATTCACAAGAGTATCCAACAGGTCAGTCGCAGGCATGCCAAAGATGCCTCGTTCTAATTTCGCTCGACTAACCTGGGTCACTCTCTGCCCTATCATTTCCTGCCAGCTCGCGGCGGTACTCGTTCGCAAGTTCGGTACCCCGGCACTAGGAGCCAGTGAGGCTGAAAGGTGCCTCCTGCTGCCATCTTCGCGCTCAGCTGACCGGTGCAGAGCTTTCATGCAATCGCAATACGCGAAGACTCCGCCTGCGAAAGGGGAGTCGTCCCAGCTACCAGTCCGAGTGGTACAATTCAGCCTCGTTAGCCCGTCTGCAGCTGGCGAAGGACCCGTGGCGAGCTCTCAGGAGCTGTCGCTCAGCGCAGCTCCCGTATACCTCTACATCGTCCTCTTCCCGGCTTCTGCCTTCCCGCTAGCGAAAGCCTTCTGGCAACATACCGGGGATGGCATCAGCAGTCGCTTGGCAGAGCACAGTCTCAGGATCTTAGCAGAGATGGGTCGAGTGGGTGATGACACACCATCTCCGGGCACACGGACACCAATTCGCAAAGCGGTCGAAGACGATGCATCCGAGCCGGTCCATCGCCGCTACTCAAAGAACCGCCATTACTCGAGAGCCAGCTCCTCAAACGCGGCTCCTTCGGCTCTTGCCGCCTCTGGCCCCATCAAAGCTGCCATGCCCGCCCTCAGAGCTGCTCAAGATACTGCCGACCCTGATGCTGAGCTGGAGAGCGGCAGTCAGTCTGCCTACGTCGAGGAGAGATACGGTCGTAATTTGCCGGCCAGTTCAGCTTCTCTTGCAAAGAAAGTACTCAAGAGGCGGATTGCCGGTACACTGCTGGCTGATCGCCTGCCACCTCCGAACCCGGCGGAGGACGGCTCGCAGTCCAAAGAGCATGAAGTTGGCACAACGGCCAGAGAAGGTACGCAGCTGAGTGAAGACGACGTCTTCCTCTTCCCCACTGGTATGAGTTCGATCTTCCATGCTCATCAGACTGCTTTGCGGTGGCGGAAGCGCTCCGCTGGGGTTGAGAAAGTGGGAAAGAGTGTCTGCTTTGGCTTCCCTTACACGGACACTCTCAAGATTCTGCAGAAGTGGGGACCAGGCTGCCACTTTTACGGAAATGGACAGGACTCTGATCTCGACAACCTCGAAAAGCTGCTGCAGGCCCAGTCACCAAGATCAGGCGAGGCACCTGTCTTGTCCCTCTTCTGCGAGTTCCCCAGCAATCCACTCCTCCGCTGCCCTGATCTCCCCCGGATTCGTAGATTAGCTGACAAGTACAACTTCGTCGTCGTGGTAGACGAGACGATTGGCAACTTCCTCAATGTCGAAGTTCTCCCATATGCGGATATTGTCGTATCCTCACTGACGAAGGTCTTTTCAGGCGATGCCAACGTAATGGGTGGTTCGATGGTCATCAACCCTCAGTCAGTCCACAAGCAAGCGCTGAGGGCGGCGCTGGAGGAGGAGTACGAAGACAACTACTGGGGAGTAGACTCGGTCTTTATGGAGCGGAATTCTCGCGACTTTGCTTCGAGGGTGGAGAGAATCGACCTGAATGCCGAGGCCTTAGCAGACCTCTTGCACGGTGAGATGCTGAAGGAGCGGGACGACGAGGTGCCAAAGGCCCGCCAGGTGATCAAGGGAGTATACTATCCGAAGTACATCACTAGGAACCACTACGATGCCTGTCGTCGAACCAAGAACTTGCTCGGCTCAGGATCAACCTCTCTGAGAGAGGGAGGAGGATACGGTGGTTTGTTCTCTGTTATCTTCACATCAACGCAGGCCTCTACCGCCTTCTACGACGAGCTGAAGTGCGCAAAGGGTCCCAGTCTTGGTACCAACTTCACCCTGGCCAGTCCATATGCCATTCTGGCTCACTATACCGAGCTGGACTGGGCGGCCCAATTTGGCGTGGACAGTGCGCTAGTGAGAGTCAGTACGGGTCTGGAGGAGACGGAGGAGCTGAAGACGATGTTCAGCAGGGCCCTGGAAGCAGCTAGGAATGCGGTGTGAGCTGATGATCGGTCACAATGCAAGGCGATGTGTTCTATTCCAATTGTGGCTGGCCGAGACAGAAATCATATCCGCTTGGCCCTCTAAGAATCTCTTTCTTCGACTAGTTCTCCCACTATCGGATACTTGGCACTGAAGTGACCTTCCCATTCCCTCATGCTCGTCTTTTCACCATGACTAAGGTCTGCTAGCGAGTCAATTGGCTTGTCCAAAGGTGTGAGCATTTCTGTAGCAGTCGCGATGAGGCTGTCATGTTCAGCTCAAGGGTGACCAAGGAGAAGTCTCGCACGAGTGTGAATGTGGAATGTCTCACCTAAGTCGAAGGACTGCTTCGCCATGCCACGTGAAGCATCACGCCCTGCAAAGTTGCCATAGGGTCCGCCTGTTCGAAGATGGAGAGTGAGCATCAGAAGCTGTATCAGATGGACTAATTGCCACACTCCACAACTGACCTGGCCCGTAGAAGCGTCCCCCAGTCGACACATCAAAAACCTTCCGGTTGATGGAGAGGAGGATCGTCGCTCCGCCCTCTTTACTGCTCCCATCAAAGATCGCCAGCGACCTTGGTGTGTACTTCTTCCACTGTGCAGACTGAGGATGCTGAGCTGGGAGGTAGTTGTAGGCTTCCGATGAGGTGATTCGACTTGCCTCTGTGACGGTAGGAGTGAGGCTGGAGATGGAAGTGGGAATGAAGAGCGGGAGGAGGAGGTAGAGGAGGATACCGCTTAGGGCGAGATTGAGCGGGTTGTGTGTGATGGCCTGGAGCAGCGGGTGCGCAAAAATGCTTGCACTAGCAGGTGGCGGGCTGCTCTTGAAGAAGTCCATCTTTGCCTGAACTTGTGTTGTGAGATTTGAACGAGGACACCGGTCAGGAAGATGGGGAGGTCACTTCTTCGGGCCGGCAACGTCGTCAGCCCCGTCGGACTTTGCGGAAAGGGAGATGGAGGCGAGGCGAGTCTGCCTGCGTGCCCGCCCGTGTGCTTGGCTCTCTTTCTCGCCTCGCCTCGGCTGCCGCGCGCCCACTCCTTCTTTTCCAACAGACGCGGGGCAGAGAGAGCAGAGTCAGACAGGCCTCTCCACGCCCTGAGCACCTTCTGGTCAATCGATTATACCACTCCTCTTTGCCTACGACGTCCTTGTATGCGACTGAGTAGAACACCTCTCACAACCTTATATAGACTCACGCCAAGCTTTACAGTCCTGCCACTTCCCAGCGTCACACCCACGCACAATCACCTCGGCAGGGCAGCACTTCCTCCCGCCCTCCCCCCGCCTCTCGCACAGCTGCAACACCTGCGAACAACCTTCACCACGAGGACACCTCCCAACATGGCCGCCGACAGCAACAGCTCGCGCTTCGCCACGAAGTCGCAGTTCGGTGAATGGCCAGCCAAGAAGGTTCGACAGACCTTCATGGACTACTTCACAAAGGACAATGGCCACACCTTTGTTCCCAGCAGCGCTACAATCCCCTACGATGATCCCACGCTCCTCTTCGCCAATGCCGGAATGAACCAGTACAAGTCCATCTTCCTTGGTACGGTCGACCCTTCAACCTCCTTTGCACAGCTGAAGAGAGCTGCCAACTCGCAAAAGTGTATCCGAGCCGGTGGAAAGCACAATGACCTGGACGATGTGGGCAAGGACACCTACCACCACACATTCTTTGAGATGCTGGGCAATTGGTCCTTTGGAGACTACTTCAAGGCGGAAGCTATCCCGCTGGCTTGGAACCTGCTCACAAAAGTCTACGGGCTACCAGCTGATCGACTGTACGTCACCTACTTCGAGGGAGATCCAGCTAATGGACTGGAAGCAGACATTGAAGCTCGAGACCTGTGGCTCAAGGTCGGTGTGCAAGAAGACCGCATCTTGACTGGCAATGCCAAGGACAATTTCTGGGAGATGGGAGCGACTGGTCCATGTGGTCCATGCAGTGAGATCCACTACGACCGCATTGGAGGCCGAAATGCTTCTCACCTCGTCAACCAGGATGATCCTGATGTCTTGGAGATCTGGAATAATGTCTTCATTCAGTACAATCGCGAGCCTGACTCAAGTCTCAGGCCGCTACCTGCTAAGCACATCGACACTGGTATGGGCTTCGAGCGTCTTGTCTCTGTTCTGCAGGACAAGCGGTCGAATTATGACACGGACGTCTTCGAGCCTATCTTTGCCAAGATCCAGGAGCTGACGAATGCTCGGCCGTATACCGGTCTTCTGGGCAAGGAGGATGCCGACGGAATTGACACTGCCTACAGAGTCGTTGCCGACCACGTCAGGACACTGACGGTAGCCATGACCGATGGAGGAGTGCCCGACAAGGATGGAAGGGGCTACGTCCTGAGACGTATCTTGCGAAGGGGAACCCGATTCGTTCGCAAGTACTTCCAAGTGCCGATCGGAGACTTCTTCAGCCAGCTTGTCCCTGTCGTTGTGACACAAATGGGCGACTTCTTCCCAGAGCTGCACAACAAGGTGGATGACATTCGCGCCATCCTGAAGGAGGAAGAGGAGTCCTTCTCGCGTACCCTCGACCGAGGAGAGAAGCTCTTTGAACAATATGCTGCCAAGGCTATCGAGGCAAAGGCTACTTCGCTGTCCGGAGAGGACGTCTGGAGGCTGTATGACACATATGGATTCCCCGTTGACCTGACGCTGATCATGGCTCAGGAGAAGGGTCTGGGCGTCAACGATGCTGAGTTCCAGGAGGCGAAGACGAAGAGCTACGAAGCTAGCAAAGGAGGCGCACGTACGCAGGAGGAGGGCATGCCCCGGTTCGACGTCCATGATCTGGGCGCGCTGGAGAAAATGGATGATGTACCAAAGACCGATGACTCTCACAAATTCGGCAGGGGCAACGTCTCCGCTACGATCAAGGCCATCTACCAGAACAAGGGCTTCCACCCCTCTTCAAACGGGCCAAATGTGGACACGTCGAAGCCCATCGGACTGCTCCTAGATCGAACCAATTTCTACGCCGAGTCTGGTGGACAGCAAGCTGACACCGGAAGCATCGTCATTGACGGCAAGAGCGAATTCGAAGTGCTTGATGTGCAGGTCTTCAATGGATACGTTCTGCATTCGGGTTGGTTCAAGTACGGAGAGCTCGCGGTCGGAGACGCCGTCGTTGCTGGCTACGATGAGCTGAGGAGGTGGCCGCTGCGCAACAACCACACCGGCACCCACATCCTGAACTTTGCTCTGCGTGAGGTGCTCGGCGACCACATTGACCAGAAGGGCTCCCTCGTTGCTCCCACTAAATTGCGATACGACTTCTCGCACAAGGCTGGTGTAACAAACGCCGAGATGGAGAAGATCGAGAAGATCTCTCTAGACTGGGTCAAGAAGAATGTGCCCGTCTACAGCAAGGAGATGGACCTGGAGAGTGCCAAGAGTATTCCTGGCCTGCGAGCCGTCTTTGGCGAGTCCTACCCTGACCCTGTGAGGGTAGTCGTGATCGGTTTCGACCCCAACGAGATCGAGACGGACCTGACAAACTCGAAGTGGGCTAGCACGTCGATCGAATTCTGTGGTGGTACCCACGTTGCCAAGACTGGAGACATTGGAGACTTTGCGATTGTCGAAGAGGGTGGAATCGCCAAGGGAATCAGGAGAATCGTCGCCGTCACTGGCGAAGAGGCACAAGCTGCAGCGCGGGTAGCAGACGAGGCCTCTGCTCGTCTAGACACCATTGCCCAGCTCAAGGACCGCTCGACGAAGGATGCAGCACTGAAGAGCTTCTCCGTGGAGATTGGTCAGCTAGAGATCTCTGTACTGAAGAAGGCTAAGCTGAACGAGCGCTTCTCAAAGGTGAGAAAGGACCACGATACCGAGCAGAAGAAGGTGGACAAGGAGCAAGGTACAATGGTCTCGAATGCCATCACTGCCTACTTTGCCAAGGGTGGCGAAGGGGAGGACAAGACTTTCCTGGTCAAGCTCTTCGATGTGGGTTCTAATGCCAAGGCGCTCGCTGCTGGTATCCAGACTGCCAAGAAGCTCGAAAAGGCCGTCTACCTCTTCTCTGAGCAGGTGGATGAGGAGGCCTCTGCAGCTGCTAAGAAGGAGCTGGGTGACGAGAGGATGGTCAAGGCAAAAGTGCCACACTGCAACTATGTACCCAAGGCGGACCAGGAGAAGGGCTTGGACGCCCGCCAATGGGCGGATTTGGTCACGAAGAGCATTGGAGGCAAAGGCGGTGGAAAAGTCGATGGCGCCAATGGTGTTGGAGAGGATGGAGGACCGGCAGTGGAGGATGCGCTTCTTGCTGCTGAGAGATTCTACATCTACCAGACGACGGAGAGCGGTATGCCCAGGCAATAGACGAGGGGTAGAGACAAGGGAAAGTGGATGTGAAGGGACAAGCAATGCTATCATCTGCTCATTGCTATTCAATATGTCGTGACACTGTGCTACTTGGGGGTTTCACCTACCACCTCTGCCTCGCTTGCCACCTCCTCCCCTACCTCTACCCCTCCCACCACCACCACCACCACCTCCTCGACCCCGATGACCTCCTCCACCACCTCTCAACATGCCTCCTCCCCCTTCATCATCATCACTTCCCACATCCTGATCATCTCCAGCACCTCTCTTTCTCCCTCTTTTACCTCCCGCTCCACCCAATCCCTTCTCCCTAATCTCCCTAGTGGCTTCCCTCGAAGCCTCCTCGACCCTCTCCTGCAACACCGCCACCTGTTCCCTAGGTGCTCCATAATCGGTCAACTTTGTATCGATGACCTGCTCGATGCGCTGCAGGAGTTCTACATCGTACTGCGTTACGAGGGTGACGGAGCGACCGGACCGGCCTGCACGGGCGGTACGGCCGACGCGGTGGATGTAGTCTTTGGAGTGGGTAGGGATGTCGAAATTTACCACCATGTCCACTGCGGGGATGTCCAGACCACGTGAGGCTACATCGGTCGCTACGAGGATGGAGCGTCCGCCTGCCTTGAACTTGCTCAGAGCGCCGAGACGGGCAGATTGACTTATTTGACCATGTAGGGGGATGGCGGGAAAGCCTAGTAGGCGGAGCATGATGGCAATTCGCGAGCAGTCGTGTACTGTGCGGACGAAGATGATTGTAGAGGTGGCGGAACGGGAGGTGTCGTTCATGAGGTAGACGAGGTAAAGGTCTTTTTGTGCAAAAGGGAGGAAGAGGTAGTGCTGCTTGAGAGTGGAGACGGTCGAGTATCTGAAGGAGCGAGGCAGAGGTAGCAAGGGAGAAGGTCGAAGAGGGTCAGCATCCATGGCCAGTGCAGAACCTTTGAGACTTTGCAGTCTACTCACTTTGTGCCCACCTCGACCCTGACTGGATTGCGCAAGCTGGCCCGTTGCAGCTTGGCCACCTTTGTTGTCATCGTCGCACTGAACAACATTGTCGTCCTCTCCTTTGGAATATTCTGCAGCAGCTTATCAATTACAGGTCCGAAGTCCATGTCCAGCAGTCGATCAGCCTCATCCATGACGAGGAACTTGAGCGTCTTGAGATTGAAGCCTTTGGTGTTCTCGAGGTGGTCCTGCAGTCGACCGGGAGTGGCGACGATGATGTGTGGTCGCTTGGAGAGGGCAATGGATTGCGTCATCATGTCCATACCACCGACGATTGTTACACATCGTACGCCGATCGTCGAGCCCAACGAGGAGAATTGCGCGGTAATCTGGTAGGCTAGTTCACTGAGATGACGAGGGGCAACGGAAACGTAAGAGTCAGTGAGCTGCTCAGACGAGCTCTTCGATTGAATCAGCGAACAGCCACTCACCGAGTAGGAGCGAGAACACAAGCAAATCCTCCCCGTGGCTCATCCCACAGTGCCTGTAAAATGGGGATGGCAAAGGCAGCCGTCTTTCCAGAACCCGTCTGCGCAAGGCCAATGACGTCCCTGCCCTGCAACGCCTCTGGGATAGCCTGCGATTGGATGGGTGTGGGGGCCTTGAAGCCTAATTGATCAATTGCCTCGCAGATCTGAGGGTAGACGCCTAGCTCAGCGAAGGACTTGACTACCTCCTCCTCCTCCTCTGCGTCTGCTTCGGCGTCATCGTGAGGCGCAGCGCTGGCTTTCTTGGTGGATCCGGCCTCTAGCGGGACGGAAGAAGGACCTGCAACGGCCGAGCCTGAAGATGAGGCTGATGACGACGATGAAGCTGACGACTGGGAGTGTTCATCATCGCTGTGAGCAGAAGCTGAAGCCATTGTGTATGCTGGATCAGGAGTAGGAAGGTCCAGGTGGAAGCTGTGAAGCCAAGCTGATGGTGATGGTGCCTGCGAAGCTTTGCCATTAAAGCCACCGGCAGCGGAAAGGAACTAAAATCTTTGCCCGGCGGGAATCGAAGCCAAGGTGCCCTGGGCGCGTGGGCTTGGCTTGGGCGCCTGCGCGGTGCATGGCAGGCGCGAGGGGCGGCCAGATGGAGTAGGAAGCACAACCTCGCGACTCCTGGACCATCACGCCCTACCACCAGGGGCAGCCCATCCTCACGCCTCGGTACTCTCCTTCTCCTTGACGACCCACACACACAACGACACGATCAACCAACGACCCCTTTCCAGCTCATCCCGACCCCTCGATACGAACACTGCAACGACAGACAGCAAAAAGATCACGAAGCCAAAGGCGGCGAAACACTCCCTCGACTATACTATCCCCCACGACGACAACCACCCCACTGTCCTCCACGACATCACCCAACTCACATCTTCGCTTACTATTGACGACCTATATCATCTCCGACCTCAGCCATGGCAGCCTTTGCGTCTCAGCAGCGCCCCAACCTCTCTGTGGACGTCGGGCTGGCTCAGACCTCTGGCAAGCACCCTCGGCAGAGCAGCAGAGCCCAAGTCCATGCCGACAGGTCGGCTCAAGCTCCTCGTACTCAGCCTCGTCAGCAGCAGCAGCGGCAACAACAGCAGCACTATTATCAGCAAGATCAAGGCGGCTTCTACTCGGATGACGACGCATACAATGGCAACGATCAGACTCAAGGAGTCGCTGGTCAATACGACGATCCCGTAGACTCGTCGGACGAGGAAGAGAGGCGTGCAGCGCAAGCGCATGGGTCACGCTACCAGGACCAGCAGCAGCAGCGCAGGCGGACAGACCAAGATGCCTATGCAGCCGAGTACCACAATGGAGTGGACGACCATAGCTACGCCGATGAGAGTGATAGCATGAGCCGAGCGCAGGTAGGCAGCAGCATGGACCACGACCAGGAGGAGGAGGAGGAAGATGGTTTCGAAGACGATGACATGGAAGAGGAAGAGGAAGAGGGCGACGATGACGAGCTGTCGAGCAGCCCGTCTATTCCGGATGAGAACATCAACTTCGATCTCGTGTACGCCCTCCACAACTTCCCGGCGACAGTGGAAGGTCAAGCGACGGTCATCAAGGGTCATAGCTTGACTCTTCTGGACGACTCCAACAGCTACTGGTGGCTAGTCAGAGTCCTGCGGACACAAGAAGTGGGGTACATTCCCGCGGAGAACGTCGAGACTCCTTTTGAAAGGTTGGCAAGACTCAATAAGCACAGGAATGTGGACATCACGGTCGCTACCGATGACGACGTGATACAGGTGCCAAGCCGCATCTTCTCCTCCCATCTCGTCAAGCAGCGGGATGCAATAGCCGAAGCTGGTCGGTCAAAGCATTCTGGCAAGCTTTCCGCCCTATCACGACGAAGAGACGGAGCTCCTATGGCATCGCCCACACCTCAGGGCACTGGTAAACCCTCTGTCGTCTTCGGGCCTGACTCTTATGTGGAACACAGCGGAGACGAATACGAAAGTGATGAGGAGGGCGAGTACGAGGACGAAGAAGGAGACTACGAGGAAGACGGAGAGGAAGGGGAGGAGGGAGAGATGGATGAGGATCAGATGCGAGCGCAGATGGAGCAGGAGCACAGCTACGATACTGATACATCGGATCCAGACGTTCGTGGCAGGGGTGCAGATGGGATGGCCGATACATCTGAAGCATCGACGGTGACTCAGTCACGGCCAAACGCCTCCGTGATCCCAACGACCGCCGCCGGAAAGAAGGCGTTCCTCGATAAGATGGAACCGGACGATGGCATGGATTGGGATGCCCACGAAGGCCTGAAGCAGCAGCAGCAGGCGGAAGCAGGTTCTGGTAGGGCTCCGAATACCTTCAATCCTGATACCTCGGTCCAGTCTCAAGATGCACACTCTCGTCAAGATCCAGCTCAGCTTGCTAGGGGGTCAGGATCTTTACAGCAACAGCCTCAGGGCTCGACTGGGGACGATACTGCTGGCATGTCGCACGGAGTCTCGGACCGCTCTATCGCTTCAATGACTTCGAGCGCTGGAGAGCCGGCACAGACACAAGGTAACCGAAATCGCGCCGTATCAAATGGCTCTGAGATGAGCCAGCTTTCCTCGACAACGAGTACAGCGTCGGTCAAGGACAAGGATCAGAAGCGGAAATCCAAGGGAGGGTCCATTGATGGCAGTGAGGAGCCAACTTTCAACGATGACAAGTCAACAAAGAAGCGATCTGGCGTCTTCTCCGGCCTCTTCTCCCGCAACAAGGACAAAAAGGACCGCAAATCCGGCTCATTCTCGTCTGCTGGCGGCAGCACGCTCGGAGGTCACCAAGACAACATTGTCGTCACGAGGCCTTCGACGGAAAGCACACGCGCTCGAGAAGCTTCACCGAGTGTCGCTGGTCCAACGGGCCTCAGCCGAACGGTGCAAGAAAGAGATAGGGCAACACAAGACGCATATTCGCGGCAATTCCTTGGTGATCGCTCAGGATCGTTGACTGATTCACTGTCTCCTAGGCAAGGCAAACAACGGCCCGGCTCACTGATTGCCACTCCCAACTCAGCGCCAATGCTCAATGTAGTGCGAGTCTTTGCTGGTGAGGGGATCCACTCCGACTCAACCTTCAAGACTGTCCTTCTGAATGATACAACGTCAGCTCGGGATCTTGTAAAACAAGCAACACAGCGGTTCAGATTGCATGAGGAGAACGCCGAGGTCCAATACCTACTCACTGTCAAGCTCCTGGAAGGCAATGAGAGGGCACTCGGAGCTGAAGAGAAGCCCCTCCAAGTCTTCGATCGACTGTGTCAGATGGCACCCGATGAGGCTGCCTTCATGCCAAGCATCAAGCGGTCGTCCATCGGATCAATTTCGTCTATCTCGTCCAACTTGAGCCTCAATCCTGCCATCGCTCGAGTCAATGGAGATTTCAGCGATGACCACTCTGTCAAGTTCTTCTTGACCAGAGTGATGCCAGGCAGTCGTAATGACCTCGCGGTGGAGCAGGGCTTGGACTCAGGACCTTCATACACATACGGAGACCCCACTTACTTTGCTGATGCATCGAAGCAGAAGGGTGTTGCTCCAGCGCTGTCTTCAGCATTTGGGAGGCCCCAGAGTCTATCCACATCGAACCCAGACTCGACGCTTCTGCAAGCGCCTACAGCCAGATTTGCCCTGCGTTTGCTTATCTTCCCATCCGAGCTGCCTGAGGGCACTGTCTTCGACCCCCAGACGAACGCCCTCATCCCGACTTCCGTCCTTGCTGAGCGAGGTCCAGGGGGTTCGGTGCCCTCGGAATACGTCGAGCAGCGCTTCCGTGAGAAGGTGCTCTCTCTTGCGAACAATGCCACCGTTGCGGAGGTGATTGAGACCGGACTGGATCGCTTCGGAATCATGGAAGGAGTTGTCGAGGGTGGAGATGACGTCGGAGACCGATCTTCACGGCGAAAGACCCGAGGCAGGATCCAGTACGGCCTTACCGTTGACACCTCGAAGGGTGGTCCTGCCCATGAGAAGTCTTTAGCGCCGAATTCGAAGGTTCTAGATGCCTATCCGGTCCCGCCCATCTTCAAGACATCGACGGCTAACAAGCGACGATCTACGGACTCGGCCATGCTGCTGAGCATGGCAGAGGAGCAGATCAGAAGCGACGATCCTGTCTTTGTCCTGAGGGCTGTAAGCTCACACGCTCATGCTCACGGCAAGCACGGTAAGGCAGTCAGAGCCCTGAGCCCTACCGAAGGAAGACTCGTCAATAGACAGGAGCAACAGCGCCAGGCAGACATCAACACCTACAAGGCGACGACATCAGAGGCCGATGACAGCGGCATCCTGCGAAGAGGGCAGTCATCACCGACTCAAGTCCTGGGGCAGTCGAGTGGGCCTGTCACCCCTCGTAGTAAGCAACAAGAAGTGATCGCTGCTCAGCGTGCCGCCGCCAAAGAGCGCAAGGCGGCTGTGTTGGGTGCCCAGCGCAACGATGTTCGAGGAGTAGATTTGTACCTGGACAACAAGGCTCGAATCCGTTCATCGAGGTCACTCGAAGGCACTGTGCGATACTCATACCTCCCCGACTCCATGCAAGAATCGGAGATGGACATCAGTGCAATCGTTGAAGACGTGCTGGCTGACCAAGACCCAGCAAGGTCCGGTGATTACCTCGACGCTGGCAACGCCCGTCCTGCCGGTCCGGCCCGAGACGCCAGTACAGTGACGCTGAATACTTTTCACAGTCCTCCCTCTACTCCTTCTGGGCTTGCTGCGCCTATGGACCCGAAGGAAGCTCACATCGAGTGGCGATCGCGCAGCCAGGCGGGGTCGACTGCTCCTCTCTCCCTGGGAAGTGGAAAGGGTACAAAAGCTGCCGGCCCGAGTCACAGAGATCTCCTGGAGACTTTCGTCCGCAACCCCAATGCGGAAGAGTCTACCATAGAAGATCGCATCGACTCAGTCCTGTCCCGAGTGGCCCGCGACGGCGGTGCTACACGACAAGCAAATGCTGCAAGTCAGGTCGGGCGGACTCCTGGGCGCCGGACGCCGACGACTGGTCAGACAGCAGCTGAAGAGGTCGCCCAAGCGCCCTCTGCCTACAAGGCAGCTGGTGCCCCTGTAGAAACGACCGGCGATGCCTTCGGAGGACGCAATACCGCCGACACATACAGTGGCAAGTCAGGAGTCGACAGCGAGGTCTCTCACGATGGGACCACGACTACAAGTCCAACGCCGGTCTCGACAGCGGCGCCGGTCACTGTTGCTACAGCTGCTGCCCGAAACCTACCCACAGGTGCCATTGTCACTTCGCAGGCTGCCAACGTCACTCGAGGCCTCGATGTGTCCAGCAGTCGGGGCATGCCTACACCGAGGCCATCTTCGCCGATGCGCATCTCTCCCTCTTCATACGGTCCAGCGGCTTATATACCCTCTGACGACTTTGGTCTGGATCATCTCTATACCATTGTGGATGCGGCCATGCGTCGAGATCCCGCAAAGTATATCCAAGTGCCTACACGAGCCCGATCCACTACTCCGGGGAGCAAGAGATTGAGTGGACTGGGTTCGCCCTCGCTCGCATCACCGCATCAATTCGCCCAGTCTATGACCTTCCAGCTTGCTCCTTCACGCGAGCCACTGCGACCACAGGATGCTGGTCTCTTCTTTGTCCCGCCTGCGTCAATGACAACAAATGGGGAAGACAAGATCGGAGCGGAGCGGTATGCCCCTGTCAATCGACAATTGGGCCAGATGGAGGAGACGCTTGACCAACTGCTGGCAGATGTGATGAAGGTGTTCTGAGGTCGAGTGCGATCTGCTACGCTACGGGACTGTGTCTAGACTTTCTTCCCCATTTCAACACGATCCTTTCGCTTTACCTTGCCCACGCCTGCGCTGTCACTTTGCCGTTCAAACTTTCAGGCTGTTCCCGATCTATATGCGTGTATGGCAATGTGCTGCACATTGCTGTCCTGTACAATCTAATGCAAGCCCGGCTCACAATTCTCCTTGAGATCTTCAGCGGTGGCGGGGCAAAGGGTGCGAGATGACCTGTACCCGTAGAATCCAGGTCAATAAATCTGTCATGGGTGTGTGTGCTTCAGCCCGCATCTCTACGCTTACGCCTACGCCCACGCCCAGACATTCCATCTGTCACGCCCGCGCCTAGCGAAAGGCGTGGCGCCGAGGCGCGAGTCAGGCGGGCAGGCGACGTCAGAAAGTTCCACGCAGGGTCTCATCACACGAGAAAGGGACATAGCATTGGGAAGTCATCGGACAAGGGTCAATGCACATGAAGGGGGATGAGGTCGACCTCGCAAAGTGTGACGCTCGAGATCAAGGTTGGTTGAGCAGGGGTCAGGGCGGAGCCGACTAGGCCCGGATCTCGATTGCCGCGAACCCTCAAGCCACAAGTTGCTATGATCGTCAGTGGCTGCTTTCTTTCCTTTCTGACTACCAAAGAAGCAAAGACGTCCCCTGGTCCTCTTTCGGGGCACGTTGTCCGAAGGGGTTTGACACGCGCGCGCGCGTGGAGTAAAGGTGAAGCCAAATTTATGACAAGCGAAAGGATGTGGAGCCCGAAGTGGAAGGCGAAGCGAGCAATAGTGAGCGAGCCGAAGGGCGGCGGGCTGACGGACGGCAGGCAAGCAGGCAGGCAGGCAGGCAGGCGTGCGTGGTGCTATCTACGGGTAGACAATCGTTTGGGAATCTATGAAAGTTTTCATTGCTGCTTCGGTTGCGGGAAGCGGCCGGAGTGTATTTGCCGCGAGCCGCGGATAGGACGGAAAGTATCATAGCCCCAATCTTCCTTGGGCGTACCATTTTGCACACTCGTAAGAAGTTGAGGTGAGCAAAGGCCTCTCTCTCTCTCTCCTGGGTGCGATTAGCAGATGGTCAATGGTCACGGGGTTCCGCGGTGGGACTAGTCTGCCGGGCTGAGACTTGGCAACGGCCAGCCGCAATGACAATGACCCGTGGGGGCACAGCCGGAGCTTAGATCCGATGGACAGCCGTGGCGTACGGAAAGGGTCGATCAGAGACGAGTGGAACCGGCTGCCGGACTCTGATCACAGCCAGCGGCTTGCGTGCGTGTGCTGATCTAGACTTGTCTCTCTCTCTCTCTTTTCTTCTTCTTGTGATGTCGGCGTCCGCCGTCTGAGCGGCCGATCGGAAGCCGGAATAGGAGCAGTAGCAGCTGCTGCTGAGCCGCTGGCGCATGATGAGCATCATCATCGTACGTGCAAGATTGACAATGTAAAAACCTTTGCTGCCCGACGGAAGCCTAGAAGGGTCCTTTTCTGCTGCTCTCCTTGTCCTCGTTCATTCGTGGGCCTTCTCTGCTTTCCTTCTGTGCACGCAAAAATGGGCGTGGGGGAAGGCATTTGCCCGGTTTCGAGGGGAGAGCAACACCGAGAGGGGTTTGAAGTGCTTGCCAAGGCGTGCGTGATGGTCGCAGATGGGTACACTGGTCCAGTGGCCTATCGCGGCACACCTGCCACTTCCGCAGGGCGCAGAGGGCCGGACTTAGCATCGCACGGCACCAAGGTTAGGCATTGGGGCTGGGCAAAGGCAAAGGGAGGCTCTGCGTCTCTGCCTGCCTTGGCCTGCCGGGGGGGCTGAGCTGAGTAAAGCAGGGAAACCAAAGTGGCAGCCGAGAGGTGCAGCGCGATTCTCTGCGAACCACGCACCGCACGCACTGCACGCAAGCACGCAAGCACGCACGCCCGCCACAAGGGCAAAAGACCAGGCAGGACCAAGAGGCGCTCTGACCGGAGAAATCGCGTGCAGGGTGGCCGAGAGCGAAAGAGGCAAAGACTGAGGACGACGAGGAGGCGCCGCCCGCCGCCGAAGTCAGGGGCTCTTGCCCAGTGAGCGTGCTGGCAGTATAAGTTCTCCTCGTCATCGCGTTGCCACTCGTACGCTCCCCCTTCTTTCCATATTCATCACCACTCTCTTTGGTCTCCTCCAGAACTTTCCTTCTCCTCCTCCTCACTCCTCAGCACCACACTCCTCTATCCTGACAAGATGCAGTTCTCTACTCTCCCTCTCGCCGTGGTGGCCGCCTTCGCCGCCACTCTGGCCATCGCCCAGTCGACCCTCACCGTGAACACTCCCACGACCCTGATCGAGTGCCAGCCCGCACAGCTGAGCTGGACCGGTGGAACAGCCCCTTACTACCCTCGTATCACCCAGGGTGGAGACGTCTCTTCGACCTTGAACACCTTCGACACCACCTCTTCAACCACCATCACCTGGACGGTCAACATCGCTTCCGGCACCACTGTGACTTTCGCCGTCACTGACTCCGCTGGTCTTTCCAACGCATCTGCTGAGGTCACTATCCAGGCCGGCTCGTCTTCTTGGTAAGTCTTCCAAGCGCTCTTGCCACAGTCCTGACGCGCCCTTCCGCCGTCCGAGACGCGTTCCCCGCCTCTCCAGAGCCACGCTCTGTGGCAGCGACAACACAATGTTCTTCTCTGCACTGTCCTCCGGATCTCTTTTACTGACCTCCCTTCTGTGTCTCCTCCTTGCACTCTTAGCCTGAACTCCTCTAGCACCGGTGCCTCTTCCACTGTCGCTGGCGCCTCGAGCAGCTCTGCCGCTTCCAGCTCCAGGGCCACTTCCAGCTCCTCGTCGGCCGCCTCAAGCTCTTCCTCTGCGTGAGTTGCATTGTTCGCCCATATGTGTCTTCAGCCAGCCCAGGCACTGACGACTGTCCCTCTGCATCCTGCCCCGCAACTCCAGCACCTCCACCAGGGCTTCCTCCTCCAGCTCTTCGGCCGCCGCCACTAGCGCTACCAGCTCTGCTGCTGCCGCTGCCACCACTAGCGCCGCCGCTAGCGGAGCTGAGTCTCTCCGAGGCTTCCCTGCTGCTGTTGCCGGCCTTGTCGGTATCGTCGCTGCTGCTCTGCTCTAAGCAGTCCAGCATCTCGCCGCTTCGTTGGACAGCCAAAGGAAGCGATCCTGAGTTCGGTAGGCGTGGTCAGCATGCTACGGCAAAGCTCCCGCTACTTTTCCTCATCCCGATCACTCTTCAGAACCCGCTCGCGACGTAGCAGTATACCTCAGCAGAAGAGGCTCTGGTCTTTTTCACTAGGTCTCTAATCTGCTACTAGCCCTTTACCCCTCAACGTATCTACCCCTCCTTGCGCCCCTTGGCGCCTGAACGTTTTTCCCACCCCAAAGTTCTCTTTTCCGTTCCCTCTGCAAATATCTCATTACCCCTTTTTAATCCTGTCTACGTGGCTCGCGCTTGGTCTGTGATCGTTGTGGGATGTGTTCTGGTCGTCGGAACGAAAGTGCATCGAGCGATCCCGCACTGGCTGACTGCTCTCTTGCCCTGGCGCCGCAACATCATCGACTCCATCTTCCCGTCCAACTCTTCTGACAGCACTTCTCTACGCTCATCTGGCTCCCGCCTGGTAGGAACATACCCGCTTTCACTGATTCACGTACACGCACTTCATCCTAGGCCCACGAAGGACGCCTTCAGGCTTCGCTCCCTCGCTTATCACAGGGGCGCGTCAGCCCAGCCAGCTCCACGCTGCCACGCGCGTCCGTTTCTGGCAGCTCAAGCCCCGATGCCCCGATGTCCCGATGCCCTTGCCCTCATCAAGCCTTGCCGCACGCAACTTCTCCAATCGACACAAAGCGCAGCGCAGGTGACGACGTCTGAGCAACGAGGGTCAAGGAGACTGCTGGGAATGTAATGTCCCCTTGGAGTAGGAGTACTCTGAGCCAGGTCGGTCGAGGTGGACGTCGAGGAGGTAGGGCCAGCACAGGGACTTCAAGCGGCGGCGGTGACGCATACATTGCTGTCGTGGCCTACCTCTTGCCAATTCATTCTAGCGCTGCTGCAGCACCAAGATTGGATACTGATCCACCACGTAGCGCAATAATCTTCGATGTTGCTCATGGCTGTACGGAAGCGGCAACGCGCGCCTACGAAGACTGGTATGGACGGTTGCAGGAGATCAGGAGGAAGTGGGACGATGCATTCCCGCGATGGAACCCACACATCACCCTCATTCCGCCCTTTGTCGTACCCAGAGACCCTCCTGGTCAGCTGGATGATGTTGCTGGCAGAATCAGGACGGTCTGCGAGCAGCAGCCGAGATTCAAATTGGCTCTGGACGACTGCAGTCGCTTCAAGCTGCGGGCGTACAGCAACATACATCTCCGGCCGTCTTCGGGCCAGCCTGGAGCCCAGAAAAAAGAGACGAATGACCACGTGAATGAAGCAAGGGGGAGGTCAGAGTTGGTGATGTTGCAAGAAGGGCTTCAAGCTGTCCTACCCGAAGCTAGTCTCAACCGGCGGGGAAAGGGCAACGCTGGAGGCAATGGCCAGAAGCGAGGGCAAGGTGGCAGCTCACGAGGTGCGCCGGCTAGTCAGCGCCAGCAACGACCTTCTTGGCCCTTCAATCCTCACGTATCTCTTGGTCAAGCTCGCAACCGGGAAGAGGTCGACGTACTGTTTAACGCAGCTCGAAGTTTGAGCAACGGCCCTCGCGACGAGGAGAGCGAAGAGGGCATTTCGGACACTGCTCCGAAATCAGACGTCGAGCTGCCAGTCCAAGAGGTGGTGCTACTGTACTTTTCTCAGAGTCAGGGCGGTCCCTATAGTATCTGGGACAGCTTCAACTTGTCAGGACCTGCTGCACTGCCCTGAGAAAAGGGGGTGAGGTGCATATCCCTGGCCGTGCCTAATCGTCGTTCTTCAGAATCCGCCTCGCTTAGCTGTTACACAATCACCATTGCCGTGGCGCGTCTCAAGCCCCGACGATGCCACGCTACCTTGTTCGTCTTACCCCCGTGTCTGTTCCTCCGGATTCCAGTTTGCCGGTATCGATGTACGAGTAGAGGTTCTCAGCATGATTCCTGTGCCACTCGATCATCTTTCAGGAATGACGAAGGCTGACTGGGCTACCAGATGCGTTCGAGCAGGATTCATACCCAGAAGCCGCCTCTTTCCCCGATTCAGTCCCCCCAGCGTGAGCCTGCCAGTGTCGTTGGGCTGTCTGGCCCGTCGGCCTGTCCGTCTGGCTGTTTGAATGTCCGGCCGCCTCGCCCCTTTGGCTTTCTGGGCCCCTTGCTCGGAGCGGAGGTCGAGGTGCAGCAAGGGCGACAGGTGGGCCATGCGCCGCCGCCCCGCCCGCCCGCACCACACACACGCCTGCACACACACACATACCCGCCTCGCTCCGCCAGCCCCCCCCGGACGTGATCGACGTCGTGCGTGCCAGCTCCCCTCGATCTCTCCACCGTCATCAGTAGTCGTGCTCACATCTCTTTCTTCCATCATCTCCTCCCCGCTCCCCCTCGCTGTATCTCTTCCCACTGCTTGCCCGTCTCTCATCTTCCGGCCGAGAAGCCCCCGTGTGTGTCTTTGCAGCGTCCGCACCTAGCTCTATCCTCCAGAGCCTAAAGCCTCGAGGTCTCATCCTGCGCGTTCCTCTGCTTTGCTCGACGCAAAGCATCGCAGCCAACACCGGCCCGCCTTACCCAGTCCTCTGACGTCCAACCGCAAACGAGCATAGTAATCCGACTGGCCACGATGGCTGCAGAGCAATAACACCATCTGGTCTGGCCACACGCATCCACCTACTGCCACATGAACAACGTCTGCGACGTTTACCTGACTGCAACCTCAAGGATTCCCTACATTCATCACACCTACCGCACACCGGTCCCATTTGACTTGCTATCCATCTAGGCTCGGACAGAAATGCAAAACAATTCGCCCTCTGGCACGTCGCGTACCCCGCGCTGGGATGACATGCCTTCCCCCAAGTCAACTTCGCATCCTGGGTCAAGCCAGTCTGGCAAGCCCATCCTTGCCCCCGCCTTGGACTCGTCTCTGACGGGCATAATCGGCGACTCTTCTTCTCGACCCACGAGCGCTCTCTCGAGCTCCCCTTCTCGTCCGCCTATGGCTGGCAGGGTCCTTTCGCACTATGGATCCGTCAACCCATATCAGCCTAGGGACAACCAGAGGCCTTCCCTCAGCCAACGCCAAGGCTCGAATCTCTCTTCTCCAGTCAAGGCAGCATCAGACTTACCATCTTCGGCGCAGTCCGAAGCTGCAGAGGACCACTCCATCGCTGAACACGCCATCGATGAAGACGAGGATGCCCTCGATATCAGCGGCGTTGGTCTGCATGCTGGAGATCTCGCGCCGGCAGGAGTGACGCCCTCGGAATCCTCCCCGGCCTTGTCTACGCCGGGTCTAGGCGATGAGAGCGTTGGACCGAAACACATTGATGCTTTCCAATGGGGTGGATCTCCCCTATCAGCTCCCACAGAGGCCATCGTACCCTGGGATTATATGAGCCATGACAGCAATGGAGGTTCGGGCTCTGCTGCTGTCCCGGCATCAGCAAGCTCGCCCCGAATCCGCACCGTGAGTAAACTTGTGCAGCTTGCGGAAACGTCAAGCCCTCTCTCTTCCCCACTGACATGCATTCTCCCCCCGCCTGCATTCACTAGCCTCTATTTGAGAAGAGTAACCCTGTCGAGAACACCCGGCACTCCTCGATCAATGTCTCTCCAAGCAAGATGTTCACCCCGCTGGATCCTCCTGGGCCGTACGTGGGACAGCAACGATCCACCTCTGCAGCTACTGGTCGATCCTCGAGCCTGACAGCCGCTGGCACCCCATCGTTCAGCAATGCGCCGGGATCCAACAAGAAGCTCAAGAACCCATTCGCCTTCCTTCGCAAAAGAAGCTCTCATCTTCTGAGAGATGGGGAGATGCCAGGTAATTTTAGTACTTCTTCTGGCTCCAGTTTCGACCCACAGCGTAAAACCAGCGCCGTCTCTGGTAGCTCGCGCTACTCCTCGCCACCTCCCTCGGCCACCGCTTCGCGGCCTGGCTCCTCTTCTCACTCTCCCTCCATGGCCTTCTTCACGGGCCGTGGCAGTCTCGAGGGATCTGTCTCTTCAGCAGCTCCTGCAAGTGTGGGGCCGGCGAAAGGCCGACCAGAGAGCAGAGCTGGAGATATGCAAGCTCTCGGCATTGACGAAGAGGTCGAATACGCCGAGTACTCCATTGCTGCTGGTGCATCAAATTGGACGACGAAAGAGAAGAGGAAGAGGCTCGGGAGACCTCTGACCAAGGAAAGAGAGGCACGACGAATCGGATCGCATGATGATCTGATGGGTCTTAGTGGACTCGGTCCAAGTGGATCAGCGAAGCGGACCAGCGACGGCACAGCCAATAGTTCAAAGAAGACATCGGTCGATGCAGGCCAGGAACAGAAGGGCGAGATTGGGATGACGCTGGACATGAATTTCGATCAAATCGACGACATTGTTGACTCGACAGTCCACAGTAGTGGCGCTAGCGCCAGTGCTAATGTAGGCCCAAAGGATGAGCCGCTAAGCGACGAAGCTTGGGGACAGCAGCATCAGCCTCCTGGCAAGCAGGTTCCTCGTCCGGGAAGCCGGCACCAGTCTGGTGGGCACACCGTTGACGCACCCCTCGGGCCCCACAAAGCTCTCATTGCAGACGCTGGGACTACAAGAGCGTCAGCGCCCAACATCTCTCTCTCTGCCGTTGGATCAGGCAAGCGCAGCGCCAGCCCATCTTCTCCACTTTCTTCTCTTGGCCAGGGCGAATTCTCCAGGGCTGGCCTGCGCAAGATCTCATTTGCGGAAGTACAGAAGCTGTCTCAATGGGATGGCAAAGCAGATCATCGAGGCAGAAGAAGCTCGGCCGTTTCACCCAGTGGTCTCAGCAATCTATCACCGCGCTCCCTGGATCACTTTTCTGCCACAGCTATGCAAGCTAGCAGATGGAGCAACGTAAACGGAGCGACCGGTGGCGATGGAGATGCCGGGGCGAGAGACCTCAGAAAGGCGTCGGCGATCAGTCGCACCAGTGCCAGGAGCGGTGTGTCGCCGAAGTCGTCTGCAGTCAGCCTGGCACTCCCTCCATCAGCAGAATTGTCCGAAACGACAGCTCACTGGTCGAAGCAAGGCTTTGCGGATCCCAGCTACGAGTTCCCTCCCTCTGGCGTCGCAGCAACGATGGCTATCGATCTGGAAGAAAGGAAGGGATCTGCCGGGTCTACCGGTACAGCAGGAAACGCTGCCTCGTCCTGGGCAGCGCCTGACTCATGGGCAGTCCAGCCAGACAAAGCCGACGAGCAGAACACCGGCGACAACAGTAGTGACAATGACAGCCAGGAGGCAGAGCAGACGCTGCGATCTCCTCAACAGAGCCGCAAAGGCTCAATCCTCAGCCTGGGCTGGTCACGTCAGTCCGTCTCATCTGGAGGCCACCCTATGACAACGGTCAGGAGCAGAGGCAACAGTAGCGCAGGAGGCGATGCTGATACAGTCTCGAGCAATGCCATGACACCTAGTGCCTCGATGATGGGCGGTGACGCCAACGGCGATCTGGCACACATTAAAGAGCAATCAAGCGTTGAGGCTCTGACACCTGCTGAGGACGACGGAAGCACATCTCCTTCTATGCTGTCGCCAATGTTGTCGCGTGGAGGCGTTCTTGCCAGCGCCACCACCAATGGCTTCGATGCAGGTGATGGTACTTCGAAGGGGATGTTTGGTCGCGGCGGCAGGCAAAGGGCAGGTCCTCGTCCAAGTACCTCTGGGGCGGCTGGTAGTTCCACAAAGACGCCGCTGTCGAACATGAATGCGGCAGAGGAGGGCGATGCTACGGGCCTTGCCGGTTCCGGTGGCGCAGCTACCAAGAAACCTACTTGGGCGGCTCAGTCCAATCAACTGAGCGCCGCGCTCGCACGGAATTACATTCTGCGCATCGACACACCCTTTGGCACTCGGACAGTCTCGGTGCCTCTCTTTGCCAACGCATCCGAGATACGATCGATCATTGCACGAAAGTCAGTCAGCGCCACGGGTGCGGTAGCTTACCGTCTCTTCGTCCGAGACAAAGGATCGGAGAGACCGCTGGGCGAGTCTGAAAAGCCTGCCTTGTTGCAGAGAAGACGAATGGAGCAGGCCGGTTACACCGAGGCGGATGGTCTGGAAACCCTGGGTCGAGAGGATCACTCTTACCTTCTCAAGTTCGTCTATCGTCCTGACTCGGTCCCGAACTTCGATTCGGAATCGTTCGGCAATACGGAGGACAGGTTTTCGCATCTCGATCTTTCCAATCGTAACATCGAGATGGTGCCAATCTTTGTCTACCGCCATGCAGACTGGATCAGCTTCCTCGATTTGTCTGCAAATCCCATGTCGGATCTGCCTACCGACTTCATTCAGCTCTGCTCGAATCTACGGACCCTTCGTCTTTCGGCCCTAACGCTCAAGAGAGTGCCCCAGAGTATCCGCAACTCAGAGACGCTGACGCATCTCGATCTTTCAAATAATCGCATCCCCGAATTGACTCACATCGCGTTGGATCAAGTTCCCCAGCTTCGATCGCTCAAAATTCAGAACAATCGACTTGCGGAATTGCCGCCGTACTTCAGTCGTATGAAGGCGCTGAAGCAGCTCAACATCTCGAATAATCGTTTCGATGCGTTCCCATCGGTCATCTGCAACCTCTCCGCCCTCTCCGACCTTGACATCTCATTCAATTCCATTCCTTCGCTCGATCCCGGGATTGGAGATTTGAAACAACTGGAGTCCCTCATTCTAGTGGGTAACTCTGTGGAGAGCCTCCCTGAGGCCATCAGTGGTCTGTCGAGTCTGCGCAAGATCGACCTGCGGCGTAACGGCGTTCAAGACGTGTCGGCATTGTTCCGCCTGGAGACATTGTCTGAAGCTCACTGCGAGCACAATTCCATCAAAGCGTTGGATGCTGTGCTAGCTGGCAACCTGAGGAGTATCACTTTGGGTCACAATCCTTTGAGCAAGATGACGATTGCCACTAGTGCTAGGTCACACCTTGTAAAGTTGGATCTCTCTGCAGCCAACCTGTCGAGGTTGGACGATGATCTTGTGGGTCACCTCCGCGCCCTTCGCGATCTGAACTTGGACGACAATCAGTTCCTGTCCCTGCCAGACACGCTTGGGCAACTCACTGAGCTTCAGGTGCTCAAATGTACCAACAACCACCTTGCCAGCCTGCCTGAGTCGATTGGCTCATTGTCCAATCTGAAGTGGCTACTGGTCCACAACAACAACCTCAAGAGTCTTCCCAGCAGCATTTGGCAATGTGGCAAATTGGACACCATCAACGCCTCTTCTAATCTTCTCGAGAGCTTCCCACTTCCGCCCATGTCCACAGAGAGCAGGGGCTCAGATCCCACCTCGAAGCAGGCCGACGCTCCGACTGCCTCTGCTGTCAGCCACACCTCTGCTGCTCTAATGGACCCGGCCGCTAGCAGAAAGGGATCGGTAAGCTCCTTGAGCGCTGCTGCGAACGCGCCCTCGGGCAGAAAGCTACCGCCCCTTGTATCGGCGCTCAAAAAGTTGCGTTTGGCAGATAACCGTCTCACCCACGATGTACTCGACGTCCTCGGCTTTTTCGTTGAGGTCGAAGTGCTGAACTTGAGCTTCAACGAGATCTATGAAGTGCCCCAAATGTCACTTGCCAAGCTCACAAAGCTGCGAGAGTTGTATCTCAGCGGTAACAGTCTCACCAGTGTGCCCACCGACGACCTGGTGTACATGAAGCGACTTCGCATTCTGCACATCAACGCCAATCGTCTACTCACCTTACCAGCAGAATTGGGTCAATTGACTGACCTCGCCAATCTCGACGTCGGCAATAATACCCTCAAGTACAACATTTCCAATTGGCAATTCGATTGGAACTGGAACTCAAACCCGGGGCTGCGCTACCTCAATCTGTCTGGCAACAAGCGTCTGGAGATCAAGACCAAGATGACCGGGGTGACTGGCGGGCGCAAGACCGACGCGAGTGACTTCCAGCGTTTGCTCAACCTGCGAGTGCTCAGTCTGATCGATGTGACCGTCCTGCTGCAAGCGATGCCAGAGGAGAATGACAATCGCAGAGTCAGAACCTCCCTTTCACAGATCAACAACATGTCGTATGGAATGTCGGACGCTTTGGGACGCTTCGACAATCTCAACGTGGTTGATGTCGTTATACCGCAATTCCGTGGTGACTCAAGGCAATGCGTCTTTGGTCTCTTCGAAGGCAGAGGGCATAGCTTGCAGAGTGGAAGTCGCATCGCCAAGTTCCTGAGCGACTGGGTGAAGAGCCGCATCGAGCGAGAGATGGCCGAGGCCTTGGCGCACAAGGAGGAAGAAGGGGCTGGCGATGACATCAGGTTGCCAGACCGTGACCAAGTCACCGATATATTGAGAAGAGCTTTCCTTCGGCTTCAGCAAGAGTATGCCTTGCTGCTCATGGCTGAGACAACACGCAAAGCAACAGAAGCGAAAGCAGCGGCCTCGGCCAATGAGAGCAAAGCCTCGGCTCCTGCCATCGCTGCTTCTACTGCCAAAGCTCAATGGCAAGCTGGTGCAGCTGGTGTCATCCTTTACATCGCCGATCGCACTCTGTACTGTGCCAACGTCGGAGACGCTCTTGCGGTCTTGTCACGAGGTGGCACGGCGCAGTCCATCTCCACACGACACAACCCCTTGGATCGAGCAGGAACGGAGCGCATCCGCGCTTCGGAAGGTTGGGTCTCGCTGCGAGGATACGTCAATGACATGCTGGATGTGTCTCGCTCTTTTGGATACTTCCACCTCAACCCTATACTCACGGCTGCTCCGATGGTAGCCTGTGTTGAGCTGGACGATGCGGATGAGTTTGTCATCGTCGCCAGTCGAGCTCTGTGGGAACACATGTCCTTCCAGACAGCGGTCGACATTGCCCGAACGGAGAGGGGCGATTTGATGATCGCTGCTCAGAAGCTCAGAGACTTCGCTATCTCATACGGTGCTGAAGAGAGTATCATGGTCATGATCGTCGGAGTCGGCGACCTCTTCCAGAATCGCACTACGCCGGGCGGCACCCTAGACACTTCGATGGACTACTTCAGGAAGGCGCACAATCGCAGGGAACGAGGTGCCAATCTCGTCGGAGACCGCACCCTTGCGCGTCTCGAGCGAGAGGTGGCTCCTCCAGTTGGTCAAGTCGCCTTGGTCTTCACGGATATCAAGAACTCTACAAGTCTATGGGAGACAAATGGAGGAATGCACTCGGCAATGCGACTTCACAACGTACTCCTTCGAAGACAGCTGCGAAGCGTTGGTGGTTACGAGGTCAAGACTGAAGGTGACGCTTTCATGGTCTCTTTCCCTACCGTCACATCAGCCCTTCTGTGGTGTTTCAACTGTCAGCTCGCCCTGCTTCGAGAGGATTGGCCTCAGGAGATCCTCGAGTCGGAAGACGGTAAAGAGATCCTGGATGCATCAGGCGATGTCATCTACAGAGGTCTCTCGGTCCGAATGGGAGTGCACTGGGGTCGCCCAGTGTGTGAGGCCGACCCTATCACTCGACGAATGGACTACTTTGGTCCCATGGTGAACAGGTCTGCTCGCGTCAGTGGAGCTGCTGATGGTGGTCAAATCATGGCTTCGAAAGACTTCATTCACGAGCTCACCAGCCTGCTGAGCGCCTTTGACGAGGCTGGCGGCAATGGCCAGGTGGACCTCGACGAGACAGACCTCACCATCGAAGACGACCACATGCGTGTGTTGCCTTCCAACGTGAGAAGAGACGTAGTGCTTCTTCGCCGCATGGGTTTCGGTATTTCCGAAGTCGGTGAACGGAAACTCAAGGGTCTCGAGACGGCAGAGGTTCTCAACCTGGTCTATCCCAAGGCATTGGCGGGACGAATGGCGACGCGTGAAGATGCGCCGGCTCCTCAGGTGTTCGAACCAACGCTCTCCTTGCTCAGCATCGAAGAGATCAAAGCTCTTGGTGTCATCTGCCTACGACTCGAGGCATTGTCCAATGCTCAACTCTGCCAGGCCCTGGTCATCGAGGGCGCTGCTGACGGTACGAATGCAGGCCCTTTGATGTCTGACGCCGCTAGCATCGCTTCTGCCTCGACATTGAAGACGATTGCAGCAGCTGCAAACGGCGGCAATGCAGACAACAGCAGCGTCGTTGCGGCATCGACGGCGCTGACATTGGTTCCCGCTGCGAGTCGGCAAAGGACAATGGAGGAGTACCTCGCTCATCACCCCGAGCTGCTCTCCTTCGCCGTCCGCGACGATGCTACCGACGAGGAGCTTGCGGCGATTCTACAACAGCTGGTCACGAGGACTTGCAACGCCCTGACGATGATCATGATTCGCCTTCAGGTCTGCGCTGCGAGGAGAGAATTGCCCACCGTCGATGCACAGGCAATCTTGGCCCTCGTTGCGCCCTTCCGCGATCTATTTGGCTAGGAGACTTTGAGGTCAAGAGGGGGGTCGTGACAAGTCTGTCTGTCCGAAGAAGCAAACAAATTTCACATTAGCTCAGCCCTCTTATGTGGAGATCTCGACCATGATTCCAATATCTTGCTCTGTATCCCTTGTCTCCAGATGTACATAGGAACATTCCTACTATCTCTGTTCACCTTCACCATGTTCCCTGCTTTGTCTTCTCTTCACGTGCAAATAGCAAATGCTTGCAACTCCTGTCTGCCCCCCCCTTTCTGCCTGCGACAATTGTAAAACAGACGGGTCGCTTCGACAAGGACGATAATCAGTGACATTATAATTCTGCAGAATGGGTGCGACGGATGGGTGCGAACGTGAAGCTCTAATCTACCGTTGTCTTTTCGCAGCCGCTTGTACCCTCTACCCTCTACTCCGCTCGGCCCCTCCTCTACTGCCTTTCCTCTACAGCCACTCAATCGTCGCCGGAGGCTTGGAGCTAATATCCAACACGACCCTGTTTACACCCTGCACCTCATTGGTAATCCTGTTGCTAACCTTGCAGAGGAACTCAAAGGGAAAGGGGAACCAAGTTGCCGTCATAAAGTCGGTAGTCTGAGCAGCTCGAAGTGCAATGACTTGATCATAAGTTCGTTTATCTCCTTGTACACCTACCGCTCGTACCGGGAGGAGAACGGCAAAGGCTTGAGAAATGTCGTCGTAGAATCCTGCAGCGCGAATCTCTTCAATGTAAATCTTGTCTGCTTGTTGTAGGATGGCCACTTGAGATCTGGTTACGGGACCGAGGATACGAATTGCGAGACCTGGACCGGGGAAGGGATGACGACCTACTAGGTGGGCGGGAATGCCGAGGAGACGACCCAGAGCGCGCACTTCGTCCTTGAAGAGCTCGCGAAGGGGCTCGATGAGCTTCAGCTTCATGTCCTCTAGCAGACCTCCAACGTTGTGGTGGGTCTTGATTGTCGCAGAGGGACCCTTGAAAGAGATGGACTCGATGACATCTGGGTAGAGGGTACCCTGCAGGAGGAATTCGTACTTGCCCTTTGCCTCGTGGGCTTTACCCGCCTTGAGCGCTGCTGCCTCTTCCTCCTCGGCTTCCTTCTCCAGCTTAAGACCTTCCTCTTCAAAGACGTTGATAAAGGTGTTGCCGATGATCTTGCGCTTCGTCTCTGGATCATCCACACCTTCTAGACGGGACAAGAAGAGGTCCGAGGCATCAACGACGGTGAGTGCGACTCCAAGGTCCTCTGAGAGCATCTTGTGAACCTGCTTTGCCTCATTTTCCCTCAACACTCCATTATCCACCATGACTGCGTGGAATCGGTCGCCAATAGCCTCATGCATCAGCTTGGCCGCTACAGACGAGTCTACGCCTCCGGAGATGGCGCCGATGACCCTTCCCTTGGGCCCGACGATGTCCCTGATACGCGCAATCTCCTTGTCAATGAAGGTGCTCATGGTCCAGTTCCTCTGGCAACCACAGATCTTCAAGAAGGCATCGAAAAGCTCCTTTCCCTTGGGCGAGTGGGTCACCTCGGGGTGGAATTGAATACCGTACATGGGCTTTTCGCGGTGGGCAATGGCAGTGTAAGGTGAAGTGGCCGTCTTTGCGATGATCTCGAATCCCTCTGGCATCTTGGACAGCTGATCTCCATGGGACATCCAAACGGGCACATCATCCCCTTGGCCGGCAAAGAGGGCATCCATGCGCTCATTGCCAGTCTTGACGACGCTGACAGTCGAATGTCCGTATTCCCTGCGATCGTGTGGGTCCACTTTTCCTCCGTGGTTCCAGGCCATCTCCTGCAGACCGTAGCAAATACCCAACACAGGCACCCCTTGATCAAAGACGGCTGGGTCGACGCGGGGAGCTCCCTCGTCATAGACGGAGTAAGGCGAACCAGAGAGGATGATACCCTTTGGAGTCCAGTCTAGATCGGCAATCTTCTGAGTGCAGGGGAGCATCTCACAGTAGACGTTGAGCTCTCGACATCTTCTGGTGATGAGGTGAGAGTACTGGGAGCCAAAGTCGAGGATGAGAATCGAGTCGTACTGACTGTGGATGGCTTCCGCCGAGGCTACCATCGTGGGGCGAGAGGCGGTAGGGGCAAGGGCGAGAGATGAGGTGGGATAAAGAGAGTCGAAAGGTTGTAGGAGCAGCAATGACCCGGTATGGTATGGTCCCGCTAAGAGACGTGGTACGGCGGTGAGTGAGTGAGTGAGCGCGAGTCGAAGATAGAAATTTAAATTGGTCCTGACTCTTCCCGCCGTCGAGTCGATCTTCCCGCGGCCCGCGGGAAAAAGACGCGCCGCGCCACGCCAGGCGAGCGAGATAGCAGTCAAGGGTCGCCTGTATCGCAGCCATTCGCCGAGACCAACACTGTACTGTACTGCTGCAAATAACCACCATCTCCTGTTCTCGATGCTCGTCTTGCCCCTGCGTAGCCTCACACGCTCAACTCTTCCCATCACAGCTAGAGGCCCCTCGCACACCCGCCAGGCGCGAAGCATCTGTCACTCCCTCCACCTGATGAGCCCCTCTGCACTCGCATCGGGCAAATGCGAGCCATGTAAGAAGGGCTCGCCGAAGCTATCACAAGAGGCGATTGAAGGCCACTACGAGGAATTGGGAGGGACACAATCTGGTTGGCGGATAGAGGGCGTAGGCGCTGATGAGGAGCAGGCGTGAGTCCGCGGGGAGGCTTGGAGGAGGGAGCGGATTTCTCGCAGCGACTGATCCTCGAGTCCCCTATCACTATCCCTTATGCGAACAGTCTCCTCAAATCCTACCGCTTCAAGAACTTTCGAACCGCACTCGCCTTTACCAACTCTGTAGGCGTCCTGGCAGAGGAGCAGAAGCACCACCCCAGGCTCATCACAGAGTGGGGATCGGTAGAGGTGGGATGGTGGACACATGCCATTGGTGGGGTAAGTGGGGGAGGATCACAGCCAAACGCACTGCTCGGATGACTCAGGCAATCCCCCTTTTCCGCTCCTCACCTCGCAGCTTCACACAAATGATTTCGTCATGGCGGCAAAGACGGATGAAATTGCACAAGAGGCAGAGGGGCGCAAATAATAGGTGTCACTGGTCGCCCTGTAGGAACAAAAGTATCTATTGGAAGTCGCCGCCCATCAGATGGCGAGATATTTTGGCAGGCTTCAAAAAGATCTCTTGCCGCTTTATAATCTAGGTCGCGGTGGCTGGTATACGCTGCTGCTGGTGCCACCGCCGCACATCTTCTGAATCGCCTCGACCAACTTGAGACCTGTCGTACCAGATAGGCCAGCAAGAGGATGTCAGCGGTCAACATGGAGCAAAGTAGCAGCTACACTCTGCGCCTTGCACGACTCACCAATCATCTTGGGCTGCTCCTGTACCACCAGGTGGCCCCCGGCCAGCGTCTCAAACGCCCCGCCCATCTCAGCAATTGCATCATTGATGGCCTTTGTATCCTTTTCTCCCTGTACACCATTCGTGTCCATTGTAAAGTGATGCAGCTTTCCCTTGAACTTCTTTGAACGCAGAGAAGCGAGAGCGAAGGGGCTTTGCATCAGAGTAGTGGCAAAGTAGGCCGCTTCGTCCCATTTGCTCATGCTGAGCGTGCTGCCCTGGGAGGGAGCATCGGGCAGGGGAGTAGTGCCGAAGCGGGCGTAGGAGCGGAGGACTTGACGATCCCAACCTGCGAAGAACGGGCGGCTGAGGAGGTAGTTGAAGGCGGCTTGTCTGCGATGTTGGAATGGGAGAGATCAGCATCATAAGGTCTGGAGACGCATTCACAGCCGACGACACCAACAAACTCACTCGCTTGTCCAAATGTCTCTCCTCACGATTGCACCAGTAGCGAGAGGTTGATCTAGGGCAGCCCTCCCCTCCTTGACCCAGTCTTGACCTTGAGACACCACACGGTTGGGGGAAAGACAATTAGCGTACATGTTTGAGTGTTCCGCTCAGATCGCTGCCAACTCACGAATCTCGGAATGCACTAGCACCGGATCCACCAGAATGATTCCCTCGAACATCTCAGGTCGGCCGCCCATGACGAAGCTTAGCGCACCCCCACTGTACGAATGCCCCACGGCGATGATCCTCCTCTTTTTCATGTGCGGGGACAATCCAGACGATGACCGACCGAACGTCTCTGCCGATGGCTTGAGAATCGTCGGCAGCCACTCTGGTCCGAACGCAGCAGGCCGTGCACACCCTCGTGGTCTTCCGTTGGTATTGACGCTAGCCGGCAGGTAGCGGTCGATGAATTGGATGATGTCCCGTCCTCCATCGAACCAGGAGGCCAATTCGCCCAGGGAGCCTCTATTGAGCGGACCACTCTCGCCAGAGCCCATTGTATCGAGTGTCCAGATCTCTTCGACCCTGAAGCGCTTACCCTCTTGCGATGGTAGAGCTCCGAGGATAGTCTTGATCGTCTCCGCCCACGTCTCCTTGTGGAAGCCATTGGCGTGAGCAAAGAATAGCGTCACGACGTTCTCCTCTTCTCCGTCCTGTTCATACTCTTCTACAGCATCACAGACGGGCACGATGCGCTGAATAGTGCCCCAGAGCTGTGGAAAAGCCTTGGCAGTCAATTCCTTGGCTACGCGCTCCGCCTCCTCCTCCGATTCTGGCGGCTCCAGCTCTCGGTAAGTATATGTCTTCTTCCTGCGCTCCCACTCAGTCAAATCTCCCTTCCGCCTCCGCCTCTCCTCCTCTTTCACCAATTCGGGCTGTGTAGGCAGAGGCAATGGGTGCGAGGTAGAGGGAGAGGGGCAGGGGCACGGAGGAGTAGTGCAGGCGGGGTGAGAGCGAGGGTAGGCTGCGGGGAAGATGTGATTCGTAGACACCCAGGTGACTCCTGACGTTGACGAAGTTGACGCTGCAGAGGTCTGACCAGCTTCTTCCCGTAAGAGGATCCGAGAGGGACCTACGTTGCCTCCGGGAAGGCGATGCAGTGGTGGGGCCGTAGCATGAGGCGCTGATGAGGGAGCATGGAGGAGGGGCAGGAGCACCGGGCACCGGTCGAATCTAGCTTCTTCGTCGGCCATGGCTGTTGGTTGAGCTTGTGCCAACGAAAGGAGGAGAGACCGATGCAGCGAGGTCCGCTCAAGGATGGGTAAAAGAGATCAAGATGACACGCAGGAACGAGAAGAAGGGATTAGACTACTCGCAGTGCCGTTAGCCGGAAGTGCCGGAAAAGGCGGGCCGGATTGGGGCCCCACGCTCGCACAGACAAAAGGCCAAGATTTCAAAGCCAGAGACCGGAGACGTGGTCAATTTGCTCATAGCCGGCCGATGTGGTCCGATGATGTCGAGGCAGATTGTCACTGAACGTCGTTATGATGGTGTACGAAAAAGAACATTCGAGCCAGACTTGCTCGGATAGATGTAATGCATGCTAGAACCCTCAACCCCTCTTGCCCCTGTCCAGCTTCCGTCTGGCTTTCTCGAGCTCATGCTGCTTCAGACGCTCCTCCTCCCTCCTGTCCTCCAACCTTGCTAGAGCGGAACTGTGGGGTGTCATAATACAGAGGAGATGTCAATGTCAGCTTGGAGTCTGTGCACGCTTAGTGTTGAATAGGACATTGGAAGCTCACCTTCGCTGGTCTTCCCGGAAGACACTATCTGCGTCAGCCTCCATGTCATCATCGCTGTCTACTTGGCGTGCAAGGTATCTGTAAGGGTGAAATGACAGATTAGGAGAATGAGCATGCTCCTTCGGTATCATCGTCTGCCATGCTTTGCGCTACACTCACTTTGACTTGTCCTTGCCCGGATTCATGATCGACCAAATATCATAGCCGCCCTCTTCGTCTCTATCGTCGATGAAGCCATCGTCATCGTCATCGTCTTCACCGCTGTCATCATCTTCCTCGTCCTCACTGTCGTCTTCGGACTCGGAGAAGTGCATGCTCTTCTGCTTCTTGCTCTGACTCGGTGCGCCCTTCGCTGACTTGACAGCTGCATGTTTGCTCGTGCTTGCCTGCTTCCTCTCGGCCTCCTCACGAAGGAACTTCTCGCGGGCCGTCTCTGGTCTCCGGGGGCCATCTGGTGAGGTAGTCCCGGAGGCGTTTGCCTTGTTTCCTGCCCTTCCGTTGCCGTTACGACCACGTCCTTCGTCTTCGCTACTGCCCCCTTCATCGACGAGGGGTGGCAGTCCTGCCCTGATCCGCGCCAGCTGTCGCTCCTCTTCAGCCTTCCTCTCCATGGCGATTTTCCGGCGCAGATCTCGCTCTCTACCTTCAGTATCGCGAACCTTGACGGAGCTCTCCTTACTTGCTGTCAGTGCTCGAGCATCCTTGTGAGCTCTCTCGGCTTGCACCAGCTGTCTTTCGAGGGATCGCAAGATGGCTGAAGTTGTAGCCTTCTTGATAGGTGCTCCTCTGCTATTGATAGATGGGTTTCTGGCGCTAGAGGCGGACTTGAGAGGCGTGGAAGAGGAGCCAGCCGAGGCGAGTCTCGAAGGACCTGCTATGGGGCTACTCGCTGATGGCGCTTTCGGCCTCCGGAGATCCAGGCCAAGCACTTCCCGTTCCCTCCTCTCCCGCTTCTCTTGCCTCGTCAGTGGAAGATAGTCGGAAGACGATGATGTCGATGTCGTCTAAGGAAGAGCAGAAGATGAGCGGTTCTGTTCGCGCAACGACGAGCTCACCTCTCGACTTCACTCACCTTGCTGCTCCTTCCGCCAAGGCCTGCCTTTTCTCTCTGCCGGATCATCTTCGAAGTGATGAGCTTCGTCTTTGTAGACTTAGCAACCTCTTCAGCCTTCTGCTCTCTCTCGCGCTTGCGCTTGCGCAGCTCTGCCCTCTTTCTCTCCATTTCCTCTTCAGCCTCGGCCTTTCTCTTCTTCTGATCCTCCTTTAGCTTGAGCAACCGCCTGCTATTCTCCCGCTCTTGACGCTCGCGAGCATCCCTAGCGGCCTGCGCCTTGGCGGCTTGCTGCTCCTTTGCTGCCCGCTCTCTGGCCAATGTGGCCTGACGATCAGCATCCTGCTGTTTGGCCAGCTGCTTGAGAGCTTCAAAGTCGCCGCCGAGGGCCATCCCGGTAAAGAGGACGGTGATGCTGCCGCCGGAGGTGATGGTGAGTTGCTCCAGGCGGACAAGCGCGCTTAATAGGTTTAACCGCCAGTCGCCTCCTTTCCGTGCTGCCGTGGCTGGTGGGAAAGCTTAGCTAAGCACCACGATTAGACTAAGTGGGCCCTCGCTTCCTTTCCCACTCCCTCCTCCCGTTACCACTACTCTGGTACCTCACTCCCATCGACCTGGCAGCGGCATTCCTTTTAAGGCTGTCCTGATACGCATCTCGCTACTGTACTAGTACACATCGTAAAGAAACACGCTTCTCCAGCTGCGTTCATCCTCGGCCTAGCTTGGCATTTCTATCAACCCGGGCGCCCCCACCCCCGCATTCGCGTCTGGCTCTCGCCATCACTCGTCTCTCCTCTTGACAAAGACCGACGCGAGTGCAATGGATGCCGTCATGCAGCTGGCCAGAGAGGCTAGCAACCATCAATATCTCCCCGCTGCAGAACAGTCGGGCTCTTCGAATGGGCAACAGAACAGCAGTGGTCACGGAGAGGGAGATCAAGGACACGAGCAGCAGGGCACCTCGACAACGGCAGAGGAGCCTGCAAGCGGAGCTAGTGGCGGAGGCAGTGGCACTGGTAGGGGTCGAAGGAAGGCTGCACCTTCTAATGCGTATGCCAGAGGTGGACGAAAGCGCAAGCTGTCGAACAGGACCCCGCCGGCTGCAGCCACGCAGGACGAAAGGGAGCAGCTAGCCACTCGAGAGGAACAAGCGGCCGACGAGCAGGCTTATCATCACGATGCTTCCACTGCTGCTGCCTGGATGCAGGACCGTCTAGAGGGCCAGCAGCAGGAGCAACACCAGTACGACTCGTATGGCTACCCCGAGAACATGGCTGGTCCCTCTGATCTTGCAGCAGCCACTGCAGCCGCGGCGGCGGCAGCTGCTGCCGCCACTGCCAACAACCACCGTCTACCCCTGCCCGAAGACGGCGCCGAAGAGGATCAACTACAGCAGCAGCAGCAACAACAGCAACAGCTCGAGGGCAGTCCTCCATCTCAATCCGCCTCTCCTTCCAACCGCCCCCTCTCTTCCACGAAGCGCGCCGCTCAGAATCGAGCCGCCCAACGCGCCTTTAGGGAGAGGAGGGACAAGCACGTCAAGGAGCTCGAGACTACAGCTGCGCAATTCGCCCAGATACAGGCAGACTATGCTACACTGCAGGGCAGGTATGCCGAGGCGATTGCGCTCATTGATCATCTCAGGAGGGAGAATGAGGAGTTGAGGGGAGGAGAAGCTGTGGAGGAAGGGCAGGGACAGCAGGGAGGGTATGCTCATGCTCCTGCTCATCCTGAAGAAGGTGATGTCGAGGGACCAAGGGCAGAGAATCCCACAGAGGGGCTGGAAGCTGTTGCGAGCGCAGCGGCAGGAGCCGCGAGACTGGCCGCTGCTAGCGAGCTTCGTCAGCAGGAAGCACAAGGCCGTGAAGAACACGAAGGGGGACAAGCCTCAGCTGAGAGGGAGCAGGAAGCTTTCACTGGTGCTTCCTAGTTGAGGCTAAGGCCAAGAGGCGAAAGGCCAGGAGGGCAGCCCTGAGCTCTACCGTTGTACCACAATAATCCGACGTCGCGTCTCCTGTACTGCATACCCGCTTTCCTCGCAACACCATCTCGCAATGTTAGCATCCAACACTTCACGTATGAAGCTTTCAAGCTTCATCACTGGTATGATATGAAGATCGTCTATTGCCCAACCCCGCTTCCACTCTCACTTGGCACCAGCAGCGACCTTTTCAGCATCAGCAATCGACCCAACAGTGGTCCCCGCTCCCGTCTTGCTCAACTCCTCCTCTGCTCCTCCAGCCGGCTTTTGCTGACCACCTGTCTTTTCCCTAGGCACCACAGAAGGGTCAATCTTCCTTGCAGGGTTCATGAATTCCCGAACAACGTCGTCGGAGATTTGAGCTTTGCGCTCTTGGAAGCCCTTGACAACGGCTTGCAGCACGGCGATGCACTTCTTCTTGAGCTCGCCGGTGAGGAGCTCTCCTGAGCGGTAGTTCTGGTGGGACAGGGAGTGAGAGATGGGGGTCAGTGAGTCTTGTTGCGTTGCAAGGCATGTCCTGCATTTAGTCAACTCACCTTCTCCACTTCTGCCATCTCGTCGTCGCTCTCTACAAAGAAGCTCATGTATTGGAAAGGAACGTCCACCTCTGGCCTGCCTCCCAACCTCCTGTGCTCCTCAGCAGTATCCCTACCTCCACTAAATGCGTGCTTGTTGATCTTGTCCTTGATTTGCTTGGGTGTATCCGACATGTAGATGGAAGAGTTAGGGTTCGATGCGCTCATCTTGGTTCCGGATCCTTGCAGAGCTGGGAAGAACTTGGCGTGGATGAGGCAAGGCTTTGGCAGCTTCAGCCTCACGGCTACGTCTCTATTTTGACGGAAGTAGGGGTCTTGGTCAATGGCGCAGGGGATGAGGCATGGGATGTCCGTCTTGTCGCCGAAGATTTGGGGGAACGAGGAGGAGAAGGAAGGGGCTGATTGGACGGAGACAAAGTGGAGCTTGCCGACATTGTCGCTGTCATTGAAACCAAAGGTACCCTTGCTCTGGTTGGTAGTAATGCAGCGGGCGATGCGAACGACGTTGTGGTAGAAGGGGCCTCCTACGTAGTCAAGGTTGCTGAAGATGAATGTCTTCTCCATTCTGAAGCCACAGGCGATGATGTCTCTGCAGTTCTCAAAGGCGAATCTCCGCACGTCCTCCAAGGTAAGATTGGGCTTGAAGAGGAACTTTTCATCGTCTGTGAGCTGTACTACGAGGGGTACGTCGAATACGTCCTGCAGCCACTTTGTGAAGAGGAAAGGGATGAGGTGACCCAAGTGCATGGTATCACTACTGGGGCCCCTTCCTGTGTAGAGGTAGAATGGCTTCCCTTGCTCGTACCGTGTGAGGATGACATCGAGGTCTCGATGGGAAAAGAAGCTGCCTCTTCTCAGCAAGGGGTGTGGCCTGTGTCCGGTAACGGCCTCGAAGCGCTGCAAGAGATCTTCGCCGATGTGTCTTGTACCAAACTCCTTGATGAGCTTCTCGTAGTCGATGGCAGCTATCGAGCCGTCCTCGCCAGTTGCGCCGGATACGTCCCAGGGTGTGACCTTTTGTTCGGCTGAGGAGAGGGCAGGCTGCGAAGTTGTGTTGGAAGGGGCTGAGGCTGAGGCTGCATCCTGTACGGAGGCCTTTGACATTCCCTCTACGAGTGCGGGATCGTTGGCTGTGGACGATGCCATTGTGTGAGTGTGGATGTATGCTGGACACTTGGTATGATGGATCGAGGGGGAGCGTAAAGGTGAGTGTGCGTGTGGTGGTGGTGCCTGGCGTGTGCGGTGCTTCTCTGCTCTCCTCTCCTCTGCGTCTGTGCAGGGCGGCTGTGCGCGCGACGTCGGTCACGCCCTCCGAGGTGCGACGCTCCCGCCCGCGTCCACGCCTTGCCTTCCTTCCACCTCGTACCACATCCATAAAGTCACCTCAAGTCCACGTCGCAGGGCCACAGTACTGCATCTCAGCGCGTATTCTCGTGGAAAAGGACAAAGGAGCTGCTCTACCTTGCTCAACTACCCTCCTTTTGAGGACACTTTACGCTCAAATCTCGACAGCGCAGACTAGACCTTCGGACTGAGAAGCTCTGAACGCGTCTGTAGAGAGTCCGCTTCTTCTATCCACAATTCCCAAAAACATACCAATCAACATGGCTGGACCCTCATCAAAGAAGGGAAAGGATTCGTCGGGAAGCAGCGGTCACAAATTGTGAGTCAGCTCCGAGCAAGCAGCATCGACATGAGAGCAGCTGTACCCTCCGTCCAGCTATCAAGCTGGGCAGAAGCAGCCAGGCGAAAGTTGCCCTGCCTTCACAGTGCGAGGGCTTTGCTGACCGCCTTTCACATCGCATTTGCTCACTCACAGTCAAGTTGGCGATGTCGTGCTAGCTAAGATCAAGGGTTTCCCAGCTTGGCCCGGAGTGGTGAGTAGGATCCGCAAAATACTCAATGCAAAGCCACAGTCCTTCATCTGACTCGCCAATCTGCTCCCCTACCCATCCTTCGCCATCAGCTTGTCGGAGAGGATCAAGTCCCGGAAGTTGTATTGAGCGAGAAGCCTAAGAACACTTTCATCATCCGTTTCTTCCCCAAGGCAGACTAGTGAGTTCCGCTTTGGAAGCTCATAAGATTGAGCGCAGGACTGACTCATTTGACCGGCGCTCCATCCCGGACCACCCATAGTCATTTCCCAAAGGCCTCAGATCTGACTCTGCTCACACGAGCGGAATGCAAGGCCTACGCAGAAGACACGCATCGAAAGGACGGAGAGCTCAAGGCAGCTTACAAGATTGGAGCAGACCCAGACGATTGGATCAGTGAGACTGACGCTGTCGTGCGGGAAGCAGAAAAGGCCAGGAAAGAGGCTTTACTGGAGGAGGAGGAGAATGAGGATCAGCTCGCAGAGGATGACGAGGAGCCCAAGCCCAAGAAGCCAGCAAGCAAGAAGAGGAGCGCGGCTCCAGCTAAGCCTTCTTCATCGGCTGCAACAAAGAAGGCAAAGACAGAAGCAAAGGACGCGAAAGGCGCGGCTCCAAGGAAATCTGTAGGAGGCGATGACGAGGGGGACGATGCAGAGTTGGACGAGGCAACAAAGAAGGTGAAGGGCTGGCGGCATGCGCTGCAGCGAGCCTTCCTCCCCAAGGGCAGGGATCCGACAGAGCAAGATGTTCAAGGTCAAGATGAGACCTTCACCACCGTCGAGAACGCAGACATCACATCAGATCAGCTCAAGGCTACAAAGATTGGCAAGGTGATGCGCAAGATTATCAGCTTGGAACACATCCCTACAGACGATGTTCACCACTTCAAGGAGCGGGCAGAGGCCTTGATCAACAAGTGGAGCAGCGTCTCCCAACCATCGGCTGCACCAGAATCAGCGGCAGAGAAGAAGCCGGCCGTCGATGGAGATGCCTCTGTTACCAAGGCAGAGGCTGGCGCTGAGACAAATGGCAACGGAGATGCAGACGTCGGAGACCTGACGGAAATCGCGGACACAACGGCTGCTCCTGTCACCAATGGGAGCGACTAGACCTTCGTCTGAAGTCTGGAGGATGTGTAGGAAGATATGAGATTGAGACGAAGGAATGGCGTCCAGGACGAAGCATGATGCAGAAAATGGAGCTGGATCGTCTGGAAGACCGAATCCACTGCAGAGGGGGTGCATAGAGATGTGAGATGAAGAGACGTTGCTCAACCAGAGCAAGACCCTCTGGCTTGCGGGAAAGCGGTTCGCCTCGCCTCTCTGAGCTGCCATATCCCAGGGGTTCCGAGAGACTGGCACTGTCACCTTTCGTCGTGCTTGCAGCGCCTCTCTTCTTGGTCATCGATGTTTCCTCCTTGTTGTCCTTGTACCACTTTGCAGCCCGAAATATGAATCATCCAGCGCAGAGATTTTTGGTCGCCGAGTCATCGAAGGAGTGAGGTTGCTCTGGCCAGCTGCGCGAATAGCAGCGTCGTCTTTGTTGGCTCTGGACTAATCATGCATGACCACGCAGAGGTAGTAGAGATCCTCCACACTGTGTTGCTCCCTGCTCATATCCTCTCCCCTTGCATGCCCACCCCTTCAGCGCCTGGCGCAGGCAGCAGATGCTGGTACCCATGTCCCTGTGTCTGCTGCTGTTCCTGACTCCTCATCTCCAACCTCTCCACCTGCTCCAAAACTCTATTCTCCCTCGCCCTAGTGCGTAGCGCCTCGTACCTCTTCCTCCCCTCCTCACTCCGAGCCCTCCTTCTCGCCTCTTCCAAACTCTCCACCGCATCTAGATGTCTACGCTCTGCATGCGTGACGGCCTGATCGCTCTGTAGTCCCAGTCTGTGGAATTGGAAAAGGGCTAGCGTCCAAGTGACCATAGCCACGGCGGCAAAGAAGCGTCGATTGGAGGCATAGCGCGGCCCCGCTCCTGCCGCACCCATATTATGTTCATAGAATCCCGCTCCACCTCCATTCCATGCTGCTTTTGGTCCACTAGAGGAAGAGTAAAAGTTTGAATAGGAAGACCCAGCCTCACGTTGCCAACCCGATTGATCGTGTGGTGCTTGCCAGGGCCGGAACCTCGTGCGAGGATCGCCCCCGTACCCGTGCCAGAACCCGTCGTTTTGAGGTCCAGAGGCAGTAGTGAAGGCACGACGACGCTGTAGCTCCTGCCACTCGGCCACGTTGGGTCCAAAGGAGGAAGAAGCAGAAGAGCTCCCACCATCCCAGCCTAGACCATACCGGTCGAATGCACTGCGCTTGCGAGTATCAGAGAGGAGCTCGTATGCCTTGACTACCTTGCGGAACTCCTCGACGATGACTTCTTGCTCCGAATCGGCCTTTGCCTTGCCCTTTTCCGTCGCTCTACTTGACTTTGCTCCATCTGCATCACCACTGCCACTGCCACTGCTGCTGCTGTTGGAAGCCGTGGCAGAGCGACGATCCGGATGAAGAAGCTTGACTAGGTCGTAGTACCTGTCCTTGACCTCTGCATGGCTCGCAGTCCGGGGCAAATGGAAGATCTCGTACGGCCCTGGATTGGAGAGGTGAGAAGGAAAAGCTAGCTGGGACGATGAGGAGCTGGAAGAGGCGACAGTTGCGTAGCCACAGCAGGATGAGGAGGAGGAGGAAGGTGAAGATGAAGCTGGGCTGCCTAGGAGTGGTAGTGAGACGGCAAAGGGGCTACAGGCGCTGCTCGGACCTCGTGCTAGCCGACAATGGCCGAGGTGGCGACTATAGGCAGCACAGGACTCTCTGAGGAGCATGATCGGCCGACATGGGTAGAAGATCGGGGAGTACTGAAGGTATGAAGCAACTAAGAAGTACCCTTATCGAAATGTGTGCTCCAGGCCTCTCCCGGTCGGAGCATTTAACGGAATTTACCTAATCAGGCATCAATCGACGCGGGCAAGCACTTTATTCGCACCATGAATTCAATGACATTGTAAAGACCCTTGTATGAGAGTCACAGATGACGATCGTACAAATAAGATCAAGAAGGAAATCGTCACTGACATGCTTCCCTTCACGCCTGGCCTCGACCTCCTCGGCCTCCCCTTCCTCCGCGTCCAGCGCCGCGGCTGGGGCCACTGGGGACTCCGCGGCCTCCACCTCGGCCTCCAGCACCGTTCGCGGCGTGCCCACCATTCATGTTCAGGCTGGCCAGCAAAGGATTGAGAGAGGCAGTCGCAGCCGCCCTCTGCTTTGCCTGGTCTACACTCGGTCGCTCCGTACCCGCCGCAACGCGCGAAAAGTGCGTCTCGGGTCTCACCACCGTGCCGCCGCCGTTGGCATGGCCATCTCGGTTGAGGATGTGCACAGGCGCACCACCGCGAGGAGCAGGAGCAGGATGGAAGAAGCTACTGCCTCTACCGCTACCGCCACCGCGGGTGGAAAGGCCCTGATAGCCTCCTCGAGCACCTCCTCTCGTAGAGCCGTGGCCATCGGCTGAATTGCCATTGGCCTGGATTGGACCGATGGTCCTCTCTAGAGCGTTTAGACTTGCGGAGCTATCCACTCCACTGGCGCCCTTCGTACTGCTGAATTGAGGTTGGGTCAGATTCAACACCTGGGCGAAGCCGATCGTTGCTCCACGATGTGCAGAGCATCGACCTCCGAGGGTCGTTCCGGCCAGGAAAGGGTTGTCAAAGACGACCTCGACGCTAGTAGAGGTAAGACCAACAACCACACCTCGTGCGCTCATCGGTACAGTGCCCGTGTCAGAGACTGCGATGACTCGGTCACCGAGCTCGAAGCGCTGAGCTTGCAGACGGTATGGCGCGTGAGCAGGCTTCAGAAGCGCAGTGCGGGGAATACCTTTGATGATGGCTCGCTTGACGACGCTCTGCTGTGCTGAGCGAGCGCCAGCAATGCGATCAGTAAAGGACTCAATGGAAGAGATCGCATCTTTGCCCAGTTGCTCAGCATAGAGTGGTACCGCCTCCAGATCCCTGACACCTTTCTCCTTGATCCACTGCTTCAGCTGTGCCGTTCTCTGGGGAGCAGCAGAGTCACCAAAGAACTGGACAGCCTCTCTGAGATCGGCCTTCTGATTGGCCATGAGCGCCTGAGGCACTTCTGGGAACTTGTTCTTGTACTCATTGATGAGCTCAATGGCCTTGTCGGAGAACTCCCAGCCAGCATTGTTCTTTCGACTGTAGCCCAAGACCTTGTTGCCCTTCGCCTCGAATTTGAGGTTCAAACCAACGTTGACTCGGCCTCCCTCAGGTGTCTCGATGAGCATCGAGCTGGTCAGCTTGCTCAACGCCAGGCCAGATAGGCCACACTTCTTGGAGACGACGAAGGAAGGGTAGTAAGCCTCTCGAGATCGCTGAGCGACCAGCTGATGAAGGGCCTGATTCTCCTTGGCCTGATTCAAGAAGAAGGCAATCTCGATGGCGAGTTGGTTGCCGGTACTTCCCACGACGGCTGCAGGTGACCCGTAGGCTTGATCGCCAAGGAAGAACACCTTTGCCTTCTCTGGGAATTCCTTATGGAGAGGCAGAGCTGGGCGTTCGACGAAGCGATTGTCCTCCTTGAAGACATCGGGTACGCAAGTCTGAATTGCTTGCTCGACCTCCTTGTCAGGCGACTCCTCGTAGTCCTTGACGAAGGAGCCATCTTCGAGTCGCTTCAGGCCCTTCAGAGGCCTGACATGGAGCAAAACGTTGACGTCTCCTACTTCCACGGCGAAGCGCTTGCTATAATGATGCTGGATGCGCGAAGCCTTGCGCCTCCAAGCACCTTGTGCTTCGGAGGAATGAGGGTTCTGGATGATCTTCTTTGTGTTCCCGACGAGACCCATCTCGTATCTGAACAAGCTGTCGGACACTGCAGTGACCAAACCTTCATTGAGGTAAGGCCAAGAGATAAAGGTACGCTTGCCCACCATGGTCTCCGCGAGATCTTGCACTTTGGTGTTCTCGTAGGAGTTCTCGACATTGATGACGATGCTCTCGCCCTTTGACTCTCCTTGGAATACACTCACTCCGTGGTAGCCAAGACGAGCATAGTGAACCAAGGTCTGGATAGATGGGAAGCCAGCGTGGCCTTGCTTGCCCATTTCAGCACCCTCAGGCAGACCCTTGACGAGATGCAAACCATCCAAGGTAGGCAGGTGGAAAACCTCCACCTTGGCCTTGCTATGCACGATATCAGGGAAGACGCCGGGAAGGGACGATGGGTAGTATCGCTCAGTCTCGGGGTCATAGAGACACTTCCAGCTGTCGCCGAACCCATTGCGGCTCTTCTCTTCCTTGGTCAGCAGGCCGGATCGCTTGTCGAGCGCTTCGAGCAATCGCTTCTCATCGATGAAGGGAATCTTGACGACCGCTTCCCAGTCCTGCTTTTTCCCGTTCAAGTCGGCCTCAAAATTCGATGGGTAGAAGTCGATGATGGGGGAATTGGGGTCTGTCATGAGATCGCGGAACGCCGGAGGGATATGCGTGTTGCTGAGAGCTGGCAAGACTCCCATCAATTGGTCGAAGGGTCGGAAAGGCTTGCCAAGGTTGAAGTTGAAAGTCATCTCCCCAACATCAAGAAGATCGGAAATCTTGGGCGCGTAATGATAATCGTAGAACCATCCCCACGATGCGACACCATCGTAGTAGTAGTGCAAGACCCATTGCAGGCCTTCAACGTATCGGTAAGCGAGCTTCTGCACTGCTTCCTTGTCCTTGTAGTCGATCTCCAGCTTCTCCTTGTAGTAGCTCCTCTTCCACTCGTACATCTTTTGATCCACCATCGCCTCGTACTCTTCCTCTTCGTCCTTTTCTTCAGCGGACGCCTTGTGCGTGCCGTTGCTCGTCTCGACCTTGGCACCGTCATACTTCTTCAGGACCCGAACAATCGCAGCCTCGCTTTCTGCCGCCGCAACCTCGTCTTCGTACCACAGACCTTGACTTGATGAGATCGCTATAGCTGGCCGGTCCTCGACTGGGTCGTACTCGTCGAAGCTCAGTCCCAGTCCGAGATTGCGGCATAGGTCAGAGACGAAGTCCTTATCTTCATCGCTGAGATCGGTCGAGAGGAAGAGATCTCTCGAGGCACTATGCGGATTGACGCGAAGGTCCTGCACGAATGCCTTGATGGTGTCGTACACGCTCTTCTGTGCTTCTGACATGAGCACCTGATTCTTCTTAGCACGAACCTTCTCCATAGCCTTGCTGTTCTTCTTTTGTTGATGCTTACGCATGAAGGTATCGCCAAATTCTTCCTCAAATTGTTGCCTCTCGAACTTCGTCAGCTCTGCGAGGATCAGCTGCAATCGATCCACTCGCAAGTTGCCAGATTCGTTCAGGTACCCTCCAGCTACAGGTAGGACCCTCTTGTAAATATTGAAGAGCAGGGGCAGAGCTCCTTCGTTGATATGCATGCCGGGAAGATGTGGCAGAAAGTCATTTCCGACGAAGATGTTGAGGAGAATGAAGTCGTCGATAATGCGCTCTAAACTGTACTCAAACGGTAACACTGAGCGTAAATCTGCAAATTCGAGGTTGAGGTACTCTCGGAAGAGTGATAAATGTAGCAGGAAGAAGTTCTGCGACTCGAGTCCTCCGCTCTTCTTCTTCTTGGGGCCAAAGCTGACTTCCTCTCGGAGAAGGGCAAAGTGAGGATCGTGGCTCAGTAGACCCAGCATGATGAGATCAGCATCAAGACCGTAGAGGCAGTGACGAACGTTCGGGTTGTAACCCGGTTGAGCCTTGGCAAGTCGGATGTACTCCATGACCTTGTGCTCTCCCTCTCCGGGCACATCGTGACCAGACAGAATGATCTCTGGACCCTGCCATGCTGCGTCTTCAGTGACCTTCTTGGCGATGAACCACTTCATTTGCTCGGATAGACGAGCCATGAATGGTGTACCTGAGGGCCAGTCATGGGGGCTCACTGTGTAAGCTGCCATACCCATGCTGCGTCAGTGGCAACATTTGCCATGGTACTCACCTGGTGTGATACAATTTGAGTCGAATGCGTCTTCCTCTGGCAGCTCCTCGCCCCTCTGCAGAGCTTTCTGCTTGAGATCCTTTGCCTCTTTTGCAGTCCTAAATCTCCTACTCCTCTGCTGATTCATCTTGGCCCTCGGGGCCACTCCATCGACGGCGAGGAAGAAAAGCTCTCTCGGCTTAATCTTGAGGAAGATGTGTTCGATATATGAAAAGACTGCCAGGAAAATCTCCGTCTCTGTCATTCTGAAATGCACATCCTCGTCGTTTGGGTGAGAACAATTGTGGATAATGCCGTTCATGTCCAGGTAGAGACGGTCAATCTCTGGCACCTTGTTCTCTTCTACCAGCTGACTGATCAGCGGGTAGCGCTCCGACATGGAGCGGAAGAATTTTGGGATACCTGCAGATAGCGAAGATATGGAGTATCAGCATCATACATGCAGAGGAAAGCTTCTTGCCTCAGCGCACCTGTACGTACCCATAGCTACTTATTCCGCAAAAGTGATTGTAGTGAAGTGAAAGTGATGGCCAAGTTGAGATATCCGCAAGCCTGGCGAACAGTAGATGCTAAGGTGACAGGGAATATACCGCACGAAGGAACGAGTGTTCGTCCCTACTCTCGATACACGAATCAGACGCTGACGATGACGAGTGTTGGTCAAGTTGGTTGGGTAAGGCAGTGGCAGCGATGGTCTTTCGTATGCGTCTGCACAAGGCTCGCGCTCGCTGGTGGAGTCGGGCAGGAGCGGAGCTCGAACCAGGGCACCTTCCGGTCCGATCGCTCTTCCGTCCAAAATTTAGACCGGAACCACGGCTTTCCCGTCCTTCCTTGGATACCACTAGTGAGAGAACCGATCAGCTTCACTTGCCGCCTCACCTGATCTACAGATATGGCCAACCCACGACAACGGAGGAAGACCCGTAGCGGAGCTGCCAACGGCCCCTCGGCCGCCGCCAAGCGTCACCAGAAGAAGAAGCTCGTACGAGCGCCCACTGTCAAGGGACCAGAGGCACTCAAGGATAAGTGGGATGGAAAGAAGACTGTCAGGCAGAAGTGAGTCTACTTCGGTCCAGAACCGCATTGCTCATGACTCCTTGGCTGACCTTGATTTTCGCCTTGTATATCGCAGCTATGCCGCCCTGGGTCTTCTCTCTGACCTCAAGCTACGTCCCTCAGGCGGTCTAGCCCCAGGAACAGAAGGAGGTGCCTCCCTCACACCCGCTGCTTCCTCCTCATCCGCGACTGCTTCAGGCAGCGGTAGCAGTGGCAAGCCTGGCAGGGGCATGGGACGTATCATTCGTGATGCAGAAGGAAATGTGGTAGATATCATCGAGGGATCTGCAGAGCCGGAAGATACACCGTGGGGAAAGCCTCTGAAGAACTGGGAAGATGAGGAAGATGAGGCGGAGGAGGAGGAGGAGGAGGAGGTAGAGGGACCGGCGAAGGTCACTGCTGCACGGGAGGAGAGCGAGGTTGTCAAAGGTATGTATCCGTGCTGATCGAGCACCTCCTGGTCCTCCGACTTATTCTCACGATCTCATCTCCTTCCTATACCCTCGCAGCACTGCAAGCTGTGCCAGACCCTGGCCCCCTGCTCCGCCACGTCTCCGAGCTCGAGGCGCACTGGCTTCTATCCCTCGTGCGGGAACACGGCGAAGATGTGGATGCGATGGCTATGGACAAGAAGCTCAATGAGAATCAAAAGACAAAAGGAGAGATCAGGTCGAGGTGAGTGCAGAAGCTGGGCAGCAGAGCCGTAAGTACGCCTGGCGCAGAGAAGCTGACCAGACATCTATGCTTGTGTCCCTTCGTCATCAGGATCAAACGGGCAGGAGGCTTCGAGCCGATCAGGACAGCCATCGCTTCTCAAAACTCGAGACAGTGATGACCAGCGTCCTGTTGCTTCACTCGTTCCATTTGTACATTCGTTGCTACATTCTATCATCTGTCATGGATCAAATCATACCTTCCAGTTCATTAGAGAGAGATTGGCTGTTCTATGAAGATACATGTTCGAAGGGAGGTTGCGTTTCCTTGCGACAATCAAGACCTGGAGATCAGGACGAGGAGACAGAGCAAGGGAAATCACCCGCCTGAAACGGGTGGAATGACAGCAACATCTTCTCCTCCCTTGAGCTGTGTAGCATCGCGATCCTCTGCGTCCACCATGACCTGATCCACACTCCAATTGCTCCTCGCAATGACCTCCATCAACCTAGCAGGATCCTTGACTCCTTTACTCTGGTGAATGAGAGCAGGCACTTCGCTCAGCTTGAGTGGAGTGCTCACAAGCGGAATCTTGATCGACGATGTACCAGCGGCATCTCGCGCAGCAGCAAAGAAGAGGATGTTGACCTGCTGCGCCGAGCTCTTGTGTAGGAGTCCGCGAGAGGTGGAACTTGCAGTCCTCTTGTGCTTGCTACTGCTATCGCTAGACTTGTTACGTCCGTCGTGATGAACGATCTTGGAGATGGAGCCAAACAATCCACTACGGCGATGCGAATCGCCCTCCTTTCTACCTCTAGCAGATAGAGGCGTGTTTGACCTGCTCGGAGGGTTGGTGGGCGGTTCGCTCGCGGCTCCCGTGCCAGTCGTCTGCGCGTCCTCATCGACCTGATCCAGCCTCCCAGCCTGTCCTTCGCTAGGCGTGACAGCTGCGCTTGCTCCTCCGCCAGAGCTCTTAGACATACTCAGCGTACTAAATGTACGATCGAGTGGGTTCTGATCAATGCACCCCGTCGGTGTCTTGAAAGCTTCATTTGTCTCTGTCACCGTCCGCGAAAGTGGTTCCGTAGAGGCTTCAGTTTCAGATGTGGCGACTGCTGCATTTGCACGAGCATGAGAGGCATTCACGGCATCTTGCCTGCTACTCTGAGCCGAATCGACATCTTCAATCTGCTTCGGATCGCTGACTTGAGTCGTGGGGGCGTCTGCCGGCGAGCCTGATGCGGTCCGAGCCAAGCCACGCATGTCCTTTGCTTCGCTGACGACATTTGCGACGTCGGCCTTTTGGAGCGCTTCAGCTCCTTCCGAGTCGTTTCCACCTCTCACCACCCATTCAGAAGCGCCAACCTCGCTGTTGCATTGCTCTTTGAAACGCTTCAGCATGGCGGCACGCCTCTCTTGTGTCAATTTCACAAGATCAGGCCAGTATTGGTCGTGGTGATATGTTGGGTCGACTTCTCCTCCATAGTCCGAGCTGAGTTGACTGAGAGGGACTTCTTCTTTGATTCCCTCGTCGAATTTGCACTTCGACTTTGTGACTGGGTCGATGAAGCTCTGAATGGCGCTCCAGAATGCCTTGAACACCCAAGGGACGTTGATGCAGAGAGCAACGCCCAGTCTCTCCACGTAGTGATTTTGAAGAATATACAGCATGAGCTTCGCATTGGCAATACTGGTAGGGTTTCGGCTCCTATTGTCGAAGTTGATCAAGAGAGCGAGCTGCTCAACTCCTGGTGGCATGAGGTCGATGCAGCTCTCGAGAATCCACACTGCGAATCGCATCTGCGTTGGGGACTCCTTTGTATTGTTGCGATGCGGATGCATATAGTGCAAGGGCCGGGCAGAATTGTCGAAACCCATGACGGTCTCCTTGCCACTCTTGGCTTCTTGCTCCACTTCGGCTGGATCGATTGAGTCGACTCCAAATTCACGCCTCCAAGCGATAGTCTCGGCAAGACGCTTCTTTGCGGCGTTGAGATCCCACTTGGTAGCCCTGAGATAGCGCAGCATACTTTCTCGGGACAGCATCCTCAGCTTCTCCCACTCTGTAGGTGGCTCCTCAGCTTTTCCATCCTTCGCGTTGAGAGAAACGGGATAGGTCTTTCGTTCTCTAAAGTACACGAGCATCTCCGCCAAGAGCTTTTCTTGGCTATCAGACAACTTTGCCGGAGGCTGTGGTCGACATCCTTCCTCGGGCTTCCTAAAGACTCCCGTGAACGCTCGGAGCGAAGGATTTTCTACCGCTGTTTGCTGGGAATTAGCCCTGGATGATGTCTTTTTGAGGTTGTCCCCTCCTTTGCCATAGTTACTGTACCGGCTGTAAGTCTTTTCGAGCAGACTAGACCGACCAGTCGCTGACGTCTCCCGAGAACGTGTCCTCGATGGGTTGACCATCTTGTGCAGCAGTGCAGAAGTGATGCAGAAAGAGGCAGGCGGCGTTCCAGAGGTGGAGGAAAGAAAGTAATGATCGAGTGTCCGATGGGGAAAGGGGACACTGGCGCCAATTGACGTAGCTTGAAGAAGCAAGCAGCGTTCGAAAGAAGTGGCAGGTGTCTCCTCAGACGAGTCAGGAGCAGAGACCCGACGAGCTGCGCGCTTCTGTTAGACCTTCGCGAAAGATGGGGCTGAGCCTAGTGGAGCAGAGACTGGAGCAGCGGTGTACCTGACTCGATTGATGGAGGAGAGGTGAAGATTGACGAATTGATTAAGTAAACGGGCACGGAGTGAAGAAAATTGAAGATGACTGGAACAGGTAAAATAGATGGCGGAAGTTGTGAGCACGGGAGCGTGAAGGTAGGCTATATCGCGGCGGGGGTATGACAGAATGCGTTTGTGCCGACGCTCTCGCTCGGTCCGGCCTGAGCAAAGGCGGATGATGCATGTCATGGCCCCGCGGCAAGCTGGAGCCGTCTTTTATCCCCGAGATCCGCCCCGTTCCGCTCATCGCCGCCGCTCATCGCCGCCACCCGAACGTCTCCTCACTCACCTGAAACAAGAGCAGAGGGCGGACCTGACAGCACACGCAACAGACGACGTCGATGGAAAGACAAAAGGTCGCCGTCAAAGTGGCAATGTTCCTGCTTGGCTGCTCCGAGTGGGGGGCAAAGCAGCGAGGAGGAGGAAGAGGACGCCCTGCGCTTGCCAAGTCCCGCTGCAATCTGGGAGCGGGGAGGGAGCGGAAGTGGAGGCAGTCCGCCCCATGCATGCATGCCTACATCCCTCCTCGAGCCGCTGCTGCGCTACCTACGCGGCTCGCCAAGCTTTACTAAGCACTCGCAGCGGCTACGATCGCCGCACTTCTGCATCGTGAGAGAGTCTGAAGTGCGATTCACTATCTTCTGGCGTCTCGATACGATGGAAGAGCCATTACGAGCCCTTGCACTGATGTGTGCCTCGCTCGGTGCGTCTGCAAAATGCAGAACGTCGGACATTCTCTGAGGTGCAACGGTCAATGCACTAAGTCGCCCCGGTAGCTATAGCGTGGTCACAGATAGCAGACGATGAATCTGAAGACTCTCGAACGATGCCCATCCAGCATCCGGTGTCCCCAATTTGCACTTTGGGGATGTGGCCAGAACGCCCTGTGCCGTCGAGCCCGGGATGACAAGGGTCTTGAGAGAGGCGAGAGGTCCGAGTTGCACATCGTCGTCGTCATTCGTCGTTGTCTCATAAGGAGGCTGTACGCATGGCATTGCTAGTTTCCAGGACATTCGTGGCCATCTTATGACGGAATGCTACGCGACGAGGGTGGAAGTGGACGAAGGCACGGGTCTTGATTGATTCGATGTTGTGCCGCGTATTGAGGGCAAAGGGGCGAGGATGGGCAGGGCGGCGCAGCGCAGGGCAGAGGAGCACAGCAGTCAGGGCAGTCACAGATTCATTCATGTGCTGGCTTGCCGTCCTACAGCCGCCGCCGCCCCCTCGCCCCAGACTAAGCCTTCAAGAAAGGGGCTGGACTACGGCGTCACCTCTTCTCTCTTGTTCCATCGCTACCACCGAAATCAAGCTACGGAAGATCACCACCATCTCGACCACCCTACCTTGCACCACCTCCAAACCCACATACAATGCGATCACAAAGCGTAAATGCCCTCCTCGGCTGCGCCGCTGCAGCCCTCCTCGCTGCCAGCGTGCAGGCTACCCTGACTATCGACACTCCTTCTGCTCTCGCTGAATGTCTCCCGACTGCAATCAGCTGGAAGGATGCTACACCCCCAGTCTACATCTCTGCCTACCCAAAGGGTAACACTGCAGGCAAGGCTTACACCTTGATCACCAAGTCTGACCAGGCCACCGGTAGCTTCTCCTGGACGTGAGTAGAGTTGACGGATAGTCTATACAGCAGAGTGTACAAGGAAAGCTAATCTTAGTCCGTTGAAACAATCACAGTGTCAACCTGACTGCCGGTACCACCACTACCCTTGGCATTCGTGACAAGACCGGTCAGGTGCAGGCCACTGCACCCGTAACCATCTTCGAAGCACCAGCTGGGACCGACGACTGCAAGCCCATCAAGCCCTACGATGGTGGCTCCGACTCGACTCCTGCAAGCGGTGGCAACAACACGACGGCCAGCGGTGGCTCTTCTCAGACTCCTGCATCCCCCACCACCCCTACGAAGGGATCAGGTGGCTCTTCTTCTTCTTCGGGCGGTAGCACCAGTGGCGCTGCCGGTGGAGCCAAGGACACCACCGATACTGCTGACACCACTACAAAGAACGGCACTGCCACCGCTGGATCTGGTACCGACAACAGCACCGTCCCCGTAGACGGTTCTACCACGCCTGGCTCTGACACTGATGCCAACGATGCTCCTTCAAACCTCTGGGTGGGCTCTTCTGACCAGAACTACATCCTCATCATCTCGGTACTCCTCTCCACTGCAATGGCCGTCATGATCGGTGCTTGGAGCGAGTAAAGTGCAAGTTGCTCGCGGAGATGATGTCTGCTCATGTCGCCCACAAAGTCAAAGAAAGTAGCGTCGATAGCCATCTAGCCGCGCAGACCCTGTCAGTATCTCCTGCTTCTTCTTAAACCCCTTTTCAGAAACACTCCCTTGTTCCCCACCCACGACCTCTTCTTCCCTCTCAATATAGTCTCTTTTCAAACATGTCCGTCCCCTCTGCGCGGCTTTTGCTTCGTCACCCATGCCCTCTCAGCCCTCCGCCGCATCCACATGCACACGTTCCTTTTTTTTTCCCCGCCTTTCGCCCAATCACTCCACCTTTGACATTTGACCAACAAAACGTTTTGCTTTACCTTTACCCGCCGACTGCCTCCTGGTGTGATCTCGAACAAAGGCACGAGTGAAGTGACCCTTTCAACGAGGGGAAAGCGTAGTCAAAAGCGTAGTCAACCACATTAGTGATTACAAAGGCGTCGTCACGCACCAGCAGAATGTGAATCGAACAAAGTAGCGCCTGGGAGCCGCATGCCAGGAGACGCAGGAACAAGGCAAGGTAAAGGTGGGTATTGATTTTGACGAGAAAGAAGGAGCGTGTGAGACATGAGGAAGTCGAGTGGTCTTGGACGGGGAGGCAATCGCTTTTAGGGAGGAATCGTCGTTGAAAGGAAAGGGCGGCGTGTAGAGATGAAAATGGAAATCTTCTGGTGACACATTCTACCTACGTACGTCATGAAGTGCATGAGTGCAAAAGTGGAGGAGGAGGAGGAGGTAGGTGGTCCGTCCTTCTTTTGCTCCCATCCATCTACCTGTCTCTTTATCTGCTGCGTCTGTCTACATCGTCTACCGCGGCGGAGGATGGGCAGCGGCAGACGACATGTCCTGCATGGGGTAGCCATTTTGCGATCCTACAAGGCTATGGCTGAGGCTGTGGGTGCTTGCAACATGACTACGTCTACCCTGCCCATGCTCGTGCTCCTGCTCCTCTCGATGCGGAGAGATCATCTCGACGGCGTCCTCGTCCGCTTTACCGCCAGCATGACGATAGCTGTCGTGCCCAGAGGCGGATCCTTGTGGCGAAGGAAGCCCATTGGCATAAGCGGTAGGATTTGCACCGGAATGACCTACACTCCCCGGACCCGATGTAGGATGCGGATGCAGCAGGCCACTGGCCCCTGCCACACCGGTCCCGATCTGCGATCCCATCTCTGCCAGTGGCTGATCCTGCAACGTGTACGCACCAGAGGCAGTCTGTTGCGTGGAAGTGTCTTCTCCTCCAAGCATATGCAGGTTTTGTCGGCGAGGTTGCGGAGAGGAGGGTGACTGCTGCGAAGACTCGCCATCTTTGCGGGGACTTTTGAAGTACGATCGTCTGACTTGCTTCAGGTGATCAAATGGCAGAAAGTGCAACTCCATCTGTTTGAGTTCCGGAGACAGGGTGTTGATATCCCTCTTCTCGTCCCTCTTCCTCGCCTTCAGGGGGTTGTCCTCTAATAGAAGCTCCTCCAACTCATGTGTGGCATCGAAGTTGGCCTTCTTCGAGTCTGGCTCGAAAGGCGGTGTGATCTGCTTCCGTTGTAGAGCATTGAAGTCGATGGAGGCGAACCAGGGATGTGCAACAAAGTCTGCCAAGCCACCTTTACAACCCATACGCTTGCGAGTGTCCCTCTCAAGCATGCCGCGAATACAGCTGACAGTCTCGCGAGAGACAAGCTCATCGACGTTGTCTGGGAAGCTACACCGGTCGTTCATGATCGAATGTGTCAACGCAGAATTCGTTTTGCCGTTGAATGGCCGGCGACCGAAAAGCAGTTCATAGGCGAGAACGCCTAATGACCACCAGTCCACAGAAGACAGATAGCCCCTCTTCGTCAGGACCTCCGGAGCCATGTATGCCATTGAGCCTGCGACGGATGTGAGAGGACGCCGAGGAGAGAAATGAACAGCTATGTTGAAGTCCGTCAGGTGAGCATGGCCCTTCTCGTCGAGCAAAACATTGTCTGGCTTGATGTCCCGATGAACGATTTGCAGGTTGTGTAGGTAGTCCAAAGCACAGGCTAGCTCGGCGACGTAGAAGCGGACGATATCTTCCTTCATGTTGCCTGACCGCTCGAGGTGGAAACGCAGGTCCCCTCCGAGCATCAAGTCGATGACCATGAACATGTTCTCATCATCCTGGAACGCATACTGCGAGGGAGATCAGGGAAAGCCTCGATCTGTCAGGTCCCTTTCCTTGCTGTGCCATCTTCTCTCGTTTCACTCACCCTCAAATTGCAGACGAATGGGCTCTCGATCTCCTCGAGCAACCGTCTCTCCTGGATGATGTTTGACACGGCCCGCATCCTGACGCATTTCGTCTTGTTGATGTATTTCAGAGCATAGAGGCTCTGGAGGGCATACGATGAGGCACTGTCAGATCATAATCATCCTGCTTCGAGTTTGGGCTCTGGTCGTTCATCCTCACCTTTGTCTGTTTGTGCTGCACCACTCTGACTTTGCCAAAGGCTCCTTTGCCCACGGCTCTGAGAAGATAGAAGTGATATAGATCTACTGGACCCTCGAAATCAATCGGCTATAAGAGGGAGGAGGCGGTGGAAGGACGTCAGATCATCCTTGGAACCTAGGCCCCTGATCGACGTGCTGTGCTGCCTCGCATATACTCACGTCCGGCTTGCAGCAGAATGCTCCCATCTTGTACTGCTTTGCGGCTGACCAAGGGGAAAGGTCTGCCCCACCTCAGCGGAGATGGGCGCTGGAAGAGAGCGCCGAGAGCTCTGACAGAGTGATACAGTGCCGATTGTACCTGACCTGGGCGCCCCGAATCGCTGCGATAGATGGGGCGCGATATGGGCAAATGGCGGAGATCGGCTGATTGATTCCTGCTCGAGGGTAGGTCTCGTGACCTTATTGCAGGGACGGCGTCGGCGTCGGCCCCCGGACTGCTACGGCGCAACGTGTTGTCACCGTGAGCACGAAGGCAGCAGGAACTATCGAAGAAAATCAGTGAGCCGCGATGTAGGGGACCTTACAAGACTGAATTCTGGAGAATGCCGAGGTAGCAGATGAGAGAGGGGAGGGCGATATGCAGTGTAAGAGATGTGAAGATGCTTTGAGAGGCTCGTGACAAATCTTGATGTTGTGTGCGATGAAGAGGGTGATATTTGCCAACCGGAGTATTGCAGTGATGAATGCCGGACCTTCGTCTCTGGGGTCGTTTGTTTCGTCGGATGTATATCGTCAGGGACCGTGTGGGTGTAGCGGTGAAGAGGTGCGAGAGTGCAGTCAGGGCTGCAGGGCCAGAATGGCTAGACACGGCAGAGTAAAGTGATCTGGGCAGGGCAGGACCGATGGCATCAAGGTGCCAATGGAGCGTCTTATTGCCCAGGGCGAAGAGGTGAGTAGACCTGGGAGGCAGGGATGGGTGTGGGGGTCAGGCCGGGGTGATGAGCCCGACGTCGCGTATGACGAGACGAGAGATTCTGGCTGGGCGGCGTCGGTGCTGCATGGCCGGAATAGAGTTTTGCCCGTGGCGGAGCGGAGCAGAGCGGAGGCGCGACAGACGGACAGGCAGACACACACACATACACACACACGCACACACGCCTGGCTGGCCGTCCGTCTGCCTGGCCTTCGTCGTCGTCGTCGTTGCTGCGTGGCTGCACTTCTTCTTTGTGGCTGATCGCTTCCTTGCGGTGGCCGTCTCTCCAAGCACCCTTGGCCGCTCTGCATACGACTTCTTCTTCTTCCTCCGCAATTTCCGCCATCCTTGATGGACAGTGGCGGCGATGGTGATGACAATCCTCAGACAATAGCAGCGCTAGAATGGCCTGAGCCTCCCCGATTCCGCTTCAGTCCCAAGGAGCCTCCGCGCCCAATTCATCAGTTATCAGCATCGAAGTTCATACCTCGGCAAGACAAGACCGAGGCTAGAGGAGCGCTTCCGTCACAGAGATTCTGGAGGAGGGCCCAATGGTGAGAAATGAGAGGGCTCCATAGTCTCTACTAGCCCCAGCTGACCCAGCCATCATCCGAACATCTGCAACTCAGGTCGCCCGACGGAACTCATTTACTGGCTCAGACCGAAGCTCACGAGCTTGATCTCTTCTCTTTGACCGAAGGCTCATCAGCAGCGATAGACGACCAATCACAGGCTACGGGACCATCATCGTCAGATTCACAGAAGTATGGTTTGCAGCACGTCTTTCGAATCGCATCCCCTACGACCATCCTGGATTATGGCTGGTATCCTTTTGCTCGCTACGATGACCCCACCAGCTGGTGCTTCATCTACTCCTCCACTTCCATCCCGTCCAAGCTGATAGATGCCTACAATGGCTCAGTGCGAGCCACGTACGGCTTTGAGAATCACATCGAGCAGTTCATCGGTCCCCAAGCAATGGCCTTCAGCATGGACGGAAGCAGCCTCTATTGTGGAGTCGAAGCTTCTCTCGCATGTTTCGCAATGGTCAGGCCGGGCACAAATACCTGCTCCACCTTGCCTTTGCTGCCCAATAGGCGCGCACAGGGCAAGCACTTCCAGAGGGGCGTCATCTCCTCCATTGTCGTGGGCCCTGCCTATGCTCCCTCTGCTTCGGCGGGAGGAGAATTGATCGTCGTGGGCACATTTGCTGGCACAGTAGGCATCTACGAAAGGGCAGGAGACGCTGCTCCTGGGGAGTGGACCGCCGCTGGACGGAAAGTGAAGGTTGCTCATGAGCTCTGCCTGGCTGGCTGGATCGAGGAAGAGGGCACCGGGGTCACACAGGTAAGTCAAGTTGGGGGCAGCTTCGACTCGCGCACATTCTGAAGCTGAGCAATGTCCTTTATCTGTGTCCCTCTAGCTCCTTCTCCATCCAACGACGCCGTACCTACTCTTCGTCTCTAGTCGGAGGAGTGCCCTCATTAACTGCTACGATTTGAGATACCTCTCCTCGATACCAGACTTCACTCTGCCGTCGGCAAAGACGACCGTCATAGCCATCTTCCAGCGATCGCCCGAGAAGAACGCATCGGCGACGGTCCAGCAGAGGCTTTTCTTCGACGTGGACTGGGCAGGTAGGTGGCTTGTAGCGGGCGACTCTCAAGGCAGATTGAGAGTCTGGAATTTGGAGGACGAGACAGCCAATGTCGAGCTTCGAACGGAAGGTTCGACAAGGACGCGAATGCCTCACCTAGATCTGGCTTTGCAAAAGGGTGAGTACCGACTTTCATTCGAATAAGGCGCCAAGGCATCCGGTATCTGAGTCTCATGGCTCACCGTTACCCACGCCTTCGCCCTCGATCTACAGACAGCATCTGCTCACTCGGGTTACACCCTCTCCGTCCGCTGCTGCTAGCGACTAGCGGCTCTCGACAATGGCCAGAGAGCTTTTATAGCCGCGATTCCTCGGTTGTTGCTACTGGTGAAGGCAGCGGCTCAGAAACAAGCTGCTCCGCATCGTCCTCCGAAGGGAGCAGCACCCTCATGCATGATCAGGAGCACATCACGTTGCCGGCAGTCCGGGCACGGGAGTCTTGGTTTGCGAGGGATGCGAAGATGGTCTTGTGGGATGCATCGTGATGCGTGAAGGTATACACTTGTACTACCCACCACTCCCTTGGCTCTTGGCGTGAGAGCTGTGCCTTGCAGCCGACCTTGTAGTAAAAACGCGTAGCGCCTGGCGCCCACAGGATTCCCGATCGCTTCTGTGTTTCCCTTGACTTCGGTAGGCTCAATTATTTCTGATTTGCTCCGCGAGCTCCACCCCGCCCTTGCTTGCTTCGCGTCTCGCGTGGCCCTTCACTTCTATTCACGTCGATCTTAGACGGTGAACCGCCAAATTGGGCGGAGCAAGGGACGTCTCTCTCTTCTCTCTTTACGCAGTGCTCTGCCTACGTAGTGGATCAGCGAGTTAGCCGATGGAGACTCGATCATAATTTCGTCGTCTGTTTGTAGAAGCGACTCCGCTTTGCCGAGTTGGTTCACATGAGACTGAAGGGCCTGGTGAGGCTTGAAGTCTGATTAAGTAAAATTAGGCCAGGCGAGGCGAAGTGGTGCGCGAGGCAGGCGCGGGGGGGCGGCAGGCAGAAGAAGCAAGGGGGGCGGGCCCACAGCCGCCTTCACCCTTGCTTGGGGGATGGGGTGGGGTGGTGCTGGTGCTGGTGCTGGTGCTGCCCGCCCACAAGTTCGGTTCAGTGGGTCTCACGGACTTTCACATCGGCGGCAGAGCTGCACGATGAGCAGAGCGCCTCCCGCTCCATCTACAATCAATCAATGCCAGGATGCACATGCGCCGCCCCCTCGGCTCAACTTCCATGGGCCGGTAGCAGGAGCAGAGTACCCAGCCAGTCAGCCAGTCAGCCAGTCCACTCGGTCAGTCACTCCGTCGGTCAACCCTGCCTGTCCTATTGCCCCACTTGGACGAAGTACGACGTTTATTTCCCACCAATGCTGCATGTCCGCCCTCTCGCAGCTTACGCCACTTCTTGCGGTCCCACTGTAAAGGTATGGCAAGCGAGGCAAGGCCGAGTGCGAATAGAAGCAACACTTGTGTGGGCGACGGTGGATCCAAACAGCGGGCAGCAAGCACCAGGCCGAACTTGCCAAGCGCTGCGACGGTGCTCGCTCCTCCCCTGACCTGCCCCTCCCTCCGCCCCTTGCCCCGCTCCGCGATTCCGCTCCTGATCGATCAGCCAGCCACTTTGCAGCCCACACCCGATCTCCCCTCTCTCTCACCTTTACGGCCTGCCCCTCGCAGCCGCCTCCGCCTCCATCCCTGCCGTTGCCGTTACCTGTGCCGCGTCCCCGACCGCACCCCAATCACCATCCTCGTTCCCAACACCTTTCATCTTCGGCGCCATCCCCCGATCCGCAAATTCGTATCCTTTGCGACCTCGCCATCTATACCGCTACCAATTACTTGCCGTGACGTCTACCCAGGTGCTGCTGGGCGGCAATTCAGTCACTCTCATCTCTCGTTCTCCATCCCCATTCTCCCCTCGAACAGAGCTTGCGGACAGCATAGAGACACTCATGTGTGCTGCAAGCGCTCACACTTGAGACACGACCACATAGACGTACAACACACGCTCCCCATATACGACCCAGCCTCGCATCTTCACGACCAGCAAGCCAACCTCTGCCTTTGGGCCAGAGACGCCATTGGCTCTCTGAGAGCGGCACCGGGTTCAGACAGCTCCTCGACGAGACAGTCGCGTAGGACAACATGGCCCAACTCATACATCCACCTCGGCCCTTGTCGTCGCAGCCGCCTCTGCAGGACCTCAGCCGTACTGATTCTGGCAGCGGCGTGAGAGCCCAACGTCTGCGTCCTGTAGGGGCAATCTCGCCTTCCCCTCGTCAGACACAGACGAATCCACGCATCTCACAGGGAAGCAAGGGCACACGTGGTACACCGCCTCTGCGCCATCATGACTCGTCACCGGAGATGCTGCTGGCCTCACTCCCCGCGCATAGGGTTCAGGACCGAAGATCGACTGCATTGACTGCGAACCACGACGGCTCTGCTCCTTCATCCTCGCGGCCATCGCTGAACCTACTTGACCCCGACACGATTGTACAGGCTTCCAATCCAGCCCACCCGGACCATTACCTCTGGCTACAAAGGAACCGCACCAATTCTCCCATCTCTCGTCGCAAGAAGGTGCCTGTTCTCGATCCAGATGACCCTGCTCTGACAGACAGTAGTGCAGGACCCTCATGCGGCGGTCATTCTGCAGATGCGAGGGTCAGCCTTCGAGCGCAGCCATCTGGAGGCAGATTGGCTCCTTCTCTCCGCGGCACGATGCTGAGTAGACCATCGTCGTCAGTTGCTTCACTTGACTCATCGTCAGACGGGGCTCTATCAGTGCCCAATACTCCTCGCACGAGGAGAAAGTCCGGCGACCGCTCCCCGAATGGAACAGTTGGATCCTCGTCTGATGCAAAAGCAGCTGCTCGCAAGAGGCGGCGCGAGAGGCGGGAGAGGAGGGAGAGAAGGGGAGCCATGGCAACTCCTCCACCTCCTCCGGTACTGCCGCCGAGGGTTAGCAGCACTGCTGCACGGGAAGAGGACAATCTCGAAGGCCTGCCGCCTCTTGAGAAGGCAGTCTATCCTCGCTCTGCAGTTTCGCCCATTCTTCCCCCGCATCCAGTGCGTACGCTGCCAATTGGCGGTCGGACCTCTTCCAATCCCGCTCTTCGAGCTTCGGCGCAAGCGGTGGCAACATCTCCCGCTCTTCCGCTGCCTGTGAAAGCCGTCAGGCTACTGGGACCGGAGTCAGCGGCGAATGAGAATTTCTACCTGGGTGGGAACGATGGTCTTGGGCGCTGGCCGGCCGAGGAGCCCGAGGAGGTGCCTGATGTCTCTAGGAGCAGCAAGCAGCGAGGCCGGAGCGCATCTCTCGACCTGCTGAGAGAGCATCTAAACTTCTTCCCGCAGAGGGCGACAAGTCAACAGACCAGCAAGCCGTCAGAGAGCAGCGGGCCTTCCCGCATACGAGCATCCTTCGATGCGCTGCGACCCCATCTTATGACCTTGACTCGGTCCAATGGACCGACTTCGGCTCCTGAGGCAGAAGTGGATTCTGATGCGTCCGAGACGATGGTCATCAAGCAAAAGCCGGAAGGTAAGATGCGAAAGGGGCTGCGGTCCATCAAGTCTGTTCTGCGCCTACGCAGTGAGGCCGCCGAAGGCAGCGCCACTGCGGAATCTTCCAGTCTGAAATCGCCCACCAGGTTCCCGGTACAGAGCTTCGCGCAAAGTACCCAATCATTGGATGTGCCGCGTCGGTCTTTGCAGCTCCGGAGAGCAAATACACCCGCAGCGTCTGCTGTCCCCGCGGGCTCGATCTCTGTTCCTCTGAATTTCAGAAAGCTCGACGGTTGGAGCAGTACAGATCAGCGACTCAGCTTCGTGGGCGAAGAGGTTGATGGCTCACATCATGGTCGCGATAGCGTTGATTCAGGCAGCAGGACAGCCATTTCAGCTGCGATGACACCGATGCCTCTCGATGCTACCCCTCCCTCAGTCAGCCCCGGTCTCACGGACCCACGCCGACTTTCGATTGGGCGGATCGCGCCACAGCTTCAGACCGTGCCAGAGATCACACACGACCTGGCTCAGAACTCACCTCGGCGGCAAGGAGACGAGCGGCATCCTCCGCTTGCGGAAGACAATCGCCAGTGGCAGAGCGGCGAGCGTGAGCGTAGCTCGACTGAGCCGGTCAAACTCACCGGTAGCGGCTTCTCTATTCGTCCGACCAATCGATTGCGACAGCTGCCCAGCTTCAACAGTCTGCGAGGTGGGCAGACCTCGGCCACTTCTCCTCCCGCGTCAATTTCGGCTGCCGGAAGCACTGCAAGCTCGCCTCAATACGATCCTGCCTCAATGTCAAGACAGCAGGGGTCGAATGGATCAAACGGGTCGAAGGGGCGCAGAGGTCTTTTCACGTCTCTGTGGGGCCGCGGTTCCTCGACGCCAAGCTCAAAGGGCGAACAACAGTCTTGGCCTACGTCTGAGCTAGGAGCGGACTCATCGGCTGCAAGCTTTGGTTCTACTGCTCCTACCCCAATCTCTCCTAGCAGTGGTGAGAACAACCTACGCAATGTCCTGGAGCAGGCATATACCAATTCTTACGGAGCGTGCGAGGTCAGTGAAGGTCAGATGGGCGGACGTACGAACGGACCCTCCGGATTCATCTTCGTCCAGCCTCCTGAGACGACAGATGCAATGGGTCTAGGAATCGCAGGCACTAACAGATCTGGAGCTCGAGAGCTGTCGGCTGGAAGTCAGGCTCCAGCTGGCCCATTCTCCAATCCGATGCCTGCCTTCGGGTCCAGATCGACAGATTCGTCATCCTCTTTCGCGACGCCAAGTTCGGCAAAGCTAGCGCAGTCGTCTAATGGCGCCGAGTCGAATATTGCTCACGGAACACCGGCTTGTCCGCAGAAGTCACCAATGCCACAACGATCGCCATCTCACGCGACAGCAGCAGAGGATAGGCCGCTGGATCTGGCCTTCCTTCAAGCTGATTACCAGCATCGCTCGGCGCTGCTGACTGGCGGCGAGGCACATTCAGCACAATCGACTAAGCCCCAAGTCGCAATCGCTACCTCGTACGACAAGGACGCAAAGACGAAGGCCAAGAAGCGATCGCCCTTCCTCGAGGTAGTGGCGGCGGGCAGGAAGTCCTTTAGCAAAGACAGGGCTCGTCAGTCTTCGAATCAGCAGCAGAAGCAGGATCTGGTGGAGCAGGGCGGCGATTTGCCTACCATTCACAAGAGTCTGGGTCCCATGCTACTCAGTGATGGACAGAGAGGTGGATCAGGTATGGCAGCAACGGTGGACAATGCCCCGACTGCAGAAGACGACGATGAGCCCTGGGATGGCATGGATGTAGAAGAGGAAGGTGGTCTGCGCTCAAGCACCTCATCCGGTTTGAGACCGCATGCTCTCGGCGAAGGAGTGGACATGAGACGGGGAGCTAGTGCCCCTTCGTGGGACAGTGCCTCTTACCGACATTCTCCGCCAAGTCCTGCGACCTCGCCATCTGTCTCGCCTTCTAGTCGACAGCGCGAGAAGACCAACCCAGAGTCAGACCAGCCTCTTTCGGTCGGCTTTGGAGACGACAACGCTGATACCACTGTAGGGCCAAGCGGAACTGGTAGGAGTGGAGAACCGTCCCTGCTGGTGCAGCCTTCGACGCCTTCGCGAGTGGATGTCTCGGCGAGAGATCCATCGGAGATTCCCGCTCAGGCAGCTGCTCAGAGCTCTTTGCCACTGGGTCAAGCGAATGCTGGCTCCTTCGGGGTTCGACGAGCCTCGCTAGGGCGTCATACCAGCCCTCCTGCCATTCTGCGATTGTCTCCTTCCATGCAAGAGATCGTTTCCACGCCTCCTCGTCCCATCAAGAAGGAGTCTGCGATGTCATCAATCGACACTGGAATGAGCTCGAGTGTGTCCTTCAGGTCTGCCATGACCAGTCCGCTAATGACCGGCGCACGCAAGTCGTCCGCGCCGCTGTTCTCCGGGCGCAAGTTCTCCCTTGGCGACGCCAGCGGCTCCCTGCCCGGTTCGGCGAAAAAGAGCGAGCCGAGTCCTATCGCGGGGCGCACTTCCTTCAGCATGGATCGAGATCGATCGCCGGTGGCCTCCCCGTACACGAATCATGCACCGATGTCCTCCCCTAGTGGCAAGGGCCTTAGGGGTGCCTTTGCGAAGCTAGGCATCTCGAGTTCGATCAACTCAGGCCTCTCTTCTCACGCCATGAAGAGCATGGGCAGCACAATATCGAACGGCTCGACAGGTAGCTATGGTGCCAGCCACATGAAGAAGGGCATCAGCTCCGAGTCGTACCCTTTCACAGCATTCAACGAGGAGACTCGGCCAGAGTGGGGACCATCGCCATTCGAAGAATCAAGGACAAGCAACGGCAGGCCTGACATGCAATGGTCGCACACCAGTCGCTCTACCAGCAGTGGCAACTTGACTGGCCATGATAGCAGCCTGTCTGCAGCGCAGGAGGCCACGCAGATGCTCCAGGTCGAGACGGAAGCGCTGCAGCCCACTCCCGCTGCGACGCCTTCCACATTGACCGCTCCCGGAAGGCGCTCCAGTGGGTCTTTGAGCCCGAGCTTCCGAGGGCCTAGCATGGATAGTCAGATGAGCAGGGGCAATAGTAGTTCGCACGTCCATCCGTCCCTTCAAGCTGCAAGCATCTACGGCACAGCCACTACTTCCTCAACTTCTATGATGCCTACACGTCCTCCACGCTCTCGACCACTCCCCGGATCCGAAGGTCGGGGCACATCCCCTACTACCTCCCACCCACATCGCCAGGAAGGGACATCTAGCTCCGCGGGCTCCCACACCGCTCCCACACCCTCACCTCGCGCTCAAGAATCACACGACGTGACTGCTCTCGATGCGATGTTGCGTGCTCAAAAAGCTCGGGAGGAGGAGATGTTCAAGGGGATCATGGCGAGGAATCGCACTCGCACCCGCACCGAAGAGGCAAGATGTCAAGGGGCGCACTCCCCCTACCTCCTCTCACCAAACGCTCTGAGTGATGGACGCTCCAGTGCTTTCCTCTGATCTTGTTGTAATCTTGCCGTGCCATTCCATTCGTCAATCGAACTATACCCATTTCCCCACACGCGTTCACGGGTCCTTACCTCACCCTTTGCTTTGTTTGTTTGTTGCACCCTTGAACCCCTCGCTAGGCTGTGTTTGCCCCCGCCCCCCCCCCCCCCCCTGTTTTCGCTCGCGTGGGGAAGAGAGAGGAGATCTCACGACGCCCATCTCCTCGGCATGATCCCTGGCTCTCTTGACTCCCACGCCACGCCCTCCAGATGAACCCCCTTGCCAATTTTTTACCACGGTCCCCCTTGTTCTAATCTCCTTATCTCTGTCACTCTCATCAGCCTAGTCTTCTCTATCTCTCATCACGCTAACAGACAAGGGAAAGGTATTGTGAAGATTGCATCAACGAGCGCCATTGACTGAATAGGCTGGACTGAGAGATAGAGAAGGAGAAAGGAGGCTCAGCAGCGCCTGACGGCTGGGCTGGGCTGAGCTATCGGGGGCCTCGGCGAGCATCATGAGCTGAGCTGAAATGAGCTAGACTGAGCTAGACTGAGCTTGTCTGGTCCGGTCTGGTCTAGCCTGATCAGACGCCGAGAGTGGAGAGGCTATAATATGAAGAAATTCTAGGAACAGTGAGGCTAATAGGTATTGGGCCGTACAGGGAGGTGGATAGCGCGGAAGGAGTTTGGAAAGAGGGCGAGAGGACAGCCGACCATCCCGGTCTTGCCACAATTGCATGCACCCCAGAGGTCCAGCCAGCCTAAGGGTATGGGCTAGGCTGGGCCAGTCTCCGTGCCTCACTTGTCAGCTGTCATTCTGGTCGAAGTTTGCACGAGCTACGCCCGTCATGTACCCGCCACTCAGCCGACTCTGGTAAATCAGTCAGTCAATCAAACACCGTCGCAGTCGCAAGCCTATCGCAGTTTGGGAAAAGCTAAGTTTTTCCCCAAAGGCCGAAGGGTCTTTTTCCATCCTCGCGCCACCCGGCCTTTGTCTTCTGATCGCCTGACATTTCAAAGGTGGAGTGAGAAATTGATAGCAATGGGGTTCACTTCGGTTCGGTTCGGGTGTGGTCTGCAAGCTTAGCTCGCTAATGACTGGACCCGGGTTCGGCCAGGTTATCGTTGAACTCTACCCTACCCCACGGGCCATTGGCCAAGGAGACTTAGATAAGGGGAGACCTCTGGAAGGTCTAGCACCACGATGAAAGGGGGAAGGGGGGGAGTGACTAAGCGAGGGGGTGAAAGCTGCCGAGACCGAGACCGAAGGGTGGGTTGGGTGGCTGCAGCGCGGGGCTCCTCATTGGAGTTTTCAATGCCCGCCCGTTGTGTCCTCTACTGCCTTGACCTCTGCATGGTGGCGGAGGGGGAGGGATCGGCACGTGTATTGTCCAGTGCAAGGTCGGACTGATGTGCCTCGCTTCTGTCGCTACTCTGCCGTCGATCCCCCAGAGCTTCCTAGCTTCGCAAGGGTCTGGGGCTACCCGTCGCGTTGCAGACACCGGAGCGTCGCGCAGCGAGCCACGAAAGGGTGTGGATAAGTCGCATGCTCATGCCATGTTGGGAAGTCATAAGCGAGGATGGTGCCGTTGAGAGTCTCTCGAGACCTGAACAGTGGACACCTCGCTTGCCTATGCAAAGCTACGGATCGCGCCGGCTATCAGGGTCCGTTGAATGCTGGTGCAACACAAAGTGAGACTTTGGTGTAAGACGTCGCGCGAGCCTCTGCATTAGATTTTACTGTACTACTGGCCTCTCATGAGAGACTCAGTAGTGAGTCGGTGACCCCAGGAAGCTTCCTGACGTAGGTTGTCAGCGTTTGCTGAGTAACGGCATCTGCCAGGTAGAAGCTTTGCCATGTGGGCGGAAGGGGCAAGGGATGCGGTGGGCGGCCGCTTGTCTGCCCGTCTTTCACTCGGACGTAAGCCTTTCATGCAGCTCTGATAGCCAGACAAGAAAAGCGGCGAACGCTGGAGACGAGGCCGAGGGGCGGATCTGGAAAAGTGGTCCAGCGCCATCTCGTCATCGATTGGTAGACTGACCCGACGTTTGCGTGGGCCAAGAAAATCGGGTTAGACTGGTCTGGTGCCTTGATGCACCTCTTTCAGACTGGACCCTCCTCGCGCTTACCCTCCCCGCACTCAGCTCACACTCTCATCGCGCGCATGCAAGCGAGGGCCTAATCACTTCCAACCATTACTACCCGGGCGGTAGACGAGTATACCAGGGCGACGGAAGATTCAAGCGGGGCAATAAGGCAGCAAAGGGCGGAGGAAGATTGCTACCTCGTCCAAGCCCTTGACCCTCGCCCTGCCTCCTCGTCCTCTCATGCCCCGCTTCGTCATTGCCGCTTTCGATTGGGCGGGGAAGAAGGGAAAGCCAGTAGCGATCACAGGCCATGCGTGTGGGCATGGCGGGTCAGAAAAGGGCAAGAGAGCATGCGTATATAGACTGTCAATGCCTGTCACCATTTCCCCCCCCCACTTTCGCTACCAAATCTCATCAGTCACCAATCAGCTTAACCGGCCCTTCAGCTACTTTCTACTCGCTCTCAACCAAAACCACCTCACACCCACTCAAACCATACACCAGCATGTTCGCCTCTCGCGTCATTCTCCAGGCCCGTGTCGCCCCCACCCTCACCCGCTCCGTCACCACCATTGCCCGTGATGCAGCACCAAAGGTCTCGTCGAGCTCCAACGCCGCCGCCATCAGCACAACAGCCACTGCCAAGGCTGCTGTCAACTCTGACAAGCACACCAGGGACTTCGGAGGAAGGTTGATCAGCAAGAACAGGTGAGTTGGTCATCACGACCTGCCCTAGGCGCGTCGGCACCATCACCGCCGTTCAGTACGAGGTTCTCACACTTTGCCTCTTTTTCCGCCACTACAGGACATATCACCAGAGCACCAGCTGGGAGGGATCAGACATGCCCGTCGTGAAGCAGATGACACAAGCCGAGGAGAGGAGGAGGAAGACTCAGTTCAAGAACGCCATGGACTTCTAAGCGGAGAGACTCTCGTCACTCGCGTGGAATTGATAGCCATATATATGCGAAGCGGAAGCAAGATGGGTATGATGGAAGAGGAACTACAGGTGGAAGATAAAATGAACCAGGAGATGTTACACTGGCGTTGTTGTATAACAGAAAGAAGAGAAGAGAGACGAGCCACGTCCTGTATTGCGTCCCCCTCGAGGGGCTACCAACAAATTCATACCACACTTTACTGTGACCCAGAAACCTAGCTCTGTCCCTTTTGCACGTCTGAGCTCTATTGTCAAGGTTGTAGAAGCTCATACGACCGTCTGAAATTAGCACTCTTCCACCACATCCAAAGCAGCAGTGGCAAGCCGACAGTGTCTCGTCTTACATGACAAGAGCGCTTTTTGGGTGCGCCTGAGTCTCTCCACTCCTCGGAATCTCGACGGGCGCCCTTTCCGAAGCGTCGCCCTGGTCCCGCTCACATCCTTCCTGCCTGCCTGACTTTCGCTTACCCCACTTGCCCTTGCAAGCTCCTCATCAAGAAAATCGATCAGCTCGAGGATCAGAATACACTTGCTCCGAGCTCTCTGCGAAGGCCAACCTCCCTTTCCTCTTACTTTCATCGCATCCCAGTCCAATCCTACCTACCTTTCATCCTTCCACCCATCCCGCCCGCTCAGTCCACTTCAAAGATGTCCGGCGGTCGCTCATCAAACATGCTGCCAAAGAACGACTCGCCTGCACACAAGTCCGTAGCAGAATTCGTGCGGGCAGGTGGCGCTAGGGATCGATTTACATTTGATGGGAATAGGGGAGAGCAACAGGCGAAGCTTTGTAGGATCTTGCCGGATGGGAGACAGCAGTGCATGGATGTTGCATTGGAGTGTGAGTAAGAGATTGCAGTCGAGAAAGAGGAGAGGAGTCGCAAACGGAGCTTTGCAGCCTCACAGGCGCCGTGAGGCTTCGCTGCTAACTGCTGGCTCGCATAGCCTTCCCCAAGGTCGGGCGCTGGATGCTGACCCTGCCTCACTTCTCTGCCACTTCAGCCAAGGACCTCTTCGCAGCCATGCAGTCGCTCAACTTCTTCTGCCAACTACCGCAAGTGAGTGCTGCTCTTCCGCTTGTCACACTTGCCTCAAGCGAGACCAATGGATTGTTAAGAGTTCTGACCCACCTTGTGTTCCGCATTGACCTCTCTCTCCTTGCTCTTCGCAACATCGCTTCAGGACCCGGCAAAGACTCATATCAACTGCGAGCCTATCCCGCAATGAGTACTCTTTGTAGAGAGATCCGGGGGGTAACAAGCTCAGCATGTTAGGACTTGATGAGAGGACAAGGGCTATTCGTACTGAGACGGAACCGAGACACAAGGAGCCAAGGAATCTGCTGCCGGATGAGCAGCTTGTAGCACACGCACCACTGCACTTCAGCAAACACATATCTCTTCTCCATGGAGAAAAGCACAACGCCAATGTCATCACTTTGCATCTCACATCGCCATCAGGTCGACCTCTCATGGTGTGGGCGCGGTATGTGTCATCACCTGCCTCCAATGATGCCGCGTCGAAGTGTCTTGAACAGGCCACTCTCGCCAAAAGCTCCCTGAGCTCTGCATATGGAGCAACGCTGTGCATCACCTTTCCTTGACTTGACTCATGAGCTGCACTTTGGTTACCGCCGTCACACCTCGTTGCAAAGTAATGACGGTGAGGCATGGGCGTGCTGTGGCCTCACTCAAGGCCCAGACGCGCGCGCGTGTCCCGTGCTCATCTGTATTCGCCTGCCTTGTTCCTTGTTCCGATTGGACATCCTTCCTTCCCAGAATCATTTACACCCCTCACTACGAGCCGCTGAGCATCCCTCACACACAAGCTAGCACCACTGATGCTCACAGGACGTACTCATTCTACCTCTTGCACTTTGTAGCTCGCACTCTCCTCTCAGACTAGCTCCTTTGATTTCATCACACGCGCCGGGAGAACAACACTTCCTGAATACCTGCATAGCGTCATCTGCTCCCCTACCTCACCTGCCGCATAGTCATGGCCTCACGCTCGCGGATCTCGCGAGCAGGTACGCTTGACAGAGATATGCCTTTCTCCGAGCCAGCCGGCCTCGAAGGGACGGCACTTGATGCAGACGATAGCGTCGGAGGAGCTTCTACTAGCGGAAAGAGGCGTAGTCGAGTAGAGATCAATCGACGCGTCCCACAACAGAGCTTCGCCTATGGAGCTCCCAGCGATGGCAAGACGAAACCCAGGAGCTCAGGATCCAATGGTCGGAAAAGCATCGGGGAAGGAGCTTCACCGCCCCCTCTTCGGAGCCAGTCTCCGGACAAGTCATCGGCAGGCCGAGATGCGTCCGAGCCACCGGCTGACAGTACAAAGGCTGCTGCTGCTGCCCGCTACGCTGATCTCAAAGCTCGCAAACAATTTGGAGCAAACTCAGCCTCCATCTCTGGTCTCAACCTGGTAAGCCAGTCGTCTCCGGCCCCAAGGAGGTCAGCTCGGCTGAGTGTTGCGTCTGGAAGTGTAGATGCAGACGGAGCAGAAGTGAGGAGGAAAGCTATTGCCGAGATCGAAGAGGACTTGGCTGAAAGCAGTGGAGAGGAGGATGAACATGGAAACACACGCAAATCTTCCGTACCCCCTGCGGCAATCGCTTCGAGCATGCCAGCTTCGAACAGCACGACAACCCTTCATGGACGGAGCAGAGGTCCAGCTGGAGGGACGCAACTCAATAGCTTCTTTCTGCGGGACCCGGGTCGAAGCATATCTCCAGCGCCAGCAGAAGAGAGGAGGGGCCAGATGATCACGACTTCATCTCTGCTTCGTGGTGTGCAAAGACCATTCCGGGATCCACTGTCCCCTTCAAGGGGAGATGCTGATGCGACGAGATCCAGTGACGCGGGAGACTCGAGATCTTATGCATCAGAAGAAGCCTTTGTTCAACGGCAGGGCCAACAAGACGATAGGGAGACAACGCCGCCAGCCAGAAGTCTGAATTGGCTGCAGAATCTCAGTCCTTGGCGTAGAGGCATCGCCGCAAGCAATGGGCCGAATGGCCACGTTGCTGACAATGCGCAAGGGATGGACGCATCATCACACGCCGCTCGTCGGAAGCCAAGATCGTCTCAAGACAAGACATATCACCCTCCCAAGGACGGTGAAGAAGATGACGAGTCAAGCGAGGACGGAGATGGTAGCAGGAGCAAGCGGTCGAGGAGAAGGAAGAGCGACGACAAGGGTCACAGCGCCAGGGGAGGAAGGGATGACAACAAGATTTGGTCCTCGACCAAGACGAAGCGCTCAAGGAGAGGTCGCAATGGCGTCGTGGACGAAGAAGGGGATTCGACCCTCGAGGGCATACATGGGCACGATTCAGACGTGGAGCATGAGGGAGAACGGGGGGCCAGGAACGACCAAAGCGGCCACCTGGGCCAGTCGACAGCTTTCCGCAACCTAGCATCGTTGCATCGATCAATTCCTCCGGCTGCATACAAGTACGGAAGTCTTCTTCTGGCTGGTCTACTGTTGGCTAGTGCGTTGGCCCCATCCGACGGGACCTCGCACCAGTCGATGCGGCTGCCCCTCTTCGGTCGGCGCAGCACTTACACGCCTCCAAGTCGCGCCCCAACGGACTTTGAGAGCTTCGTCTCTCGTTTGGTCTCCCTTGAGTCTACCGTCGGAGCTCTGAGCTCAAAGTCAGTCTCGCTAGCTCATTCTCACGAGCAGATGTCGTTGCGCATTTCAGCCCTCGAGCTCAGTTCAAGAGAGGTCAAGGCCCTGCTGAATAAAGTAGACGTCACGGAGGGAAAGACAAGTGGACTGACTGAGAGGCTGAAGACGTTGGAAGACGTGGGGAGGCAATTGCAGAGCCAACTGGATAAAGTTGAGCGGATTGCGGCAAATGCCCCCCAGGCACAGGAGAAGGCGCAAGCGGAGTACCAGAGCAGAGTCGACAAGCGGCTTCAGGCTCTGCAGGTGGAGCTGAAGAGGAACCAAGACGAGATGGCCAAAGTCAAAGCCAGTGCGAGCCAAGCTGAGAGCGTAGCTGAGAAGGCACGAGACGCTCTCAAGCCACTCCTTGAGGCTAATCTGCCTGCGCAGATGCCTGTTCGGCTGGACAAGAAGACTGGCAAACCGACAATCGAGCCTTGGTTCTACGAGTCACTCAAGAGCGTCATCGGTCAAGGAGGCGGCTCAGGAGCCGGTGAAGCTGCTGTGCCTTCGTGGGAGAATTTCAAGAACGAGAACGAAGACGCCCTTCGTGCGCTCATCAGCTCAGAGAGTGGCAAGCTGCTGGCACACCAGAGGAGCGCGGCGGGTGGACATGCGATCATATCCAGATCTGACTTCCTGCAGGTCTTGCAGTCCGAGATCGAGGGCATCAAAGCCACACTGGAGGAGACGTTCAATCGCAATGCCCAGGAGATGCAGAATGACATTCTCGGAAAGGTCCGAAGTCAGCAAGCCCTGTTCGAAGAGTCGGGCAGCTGGTCCAAGAGTCGAGGTCCTTCGCAGCAGCAACAGCAGCGAGGAGCTTCTGCATTGCCGTCCTCAGTCGATCTGTCTTTGTTGCAGACCAAGGATGGGTCTGATCCAACGGCCTCTATCCTTGCTCTCATCGAGACTGCTCTTGAGACGTACTCTTCCGACCGTATTAACAGGGCCGACTACGCCCTCTACTCCGCTGGCGGTAGGATCATCCCTTCGATGACGTCTCCTTCTCTACAATTCTCCTCTCCCGGCAGCGTACAACGATCCTCCTGGCTCTCCTGGGTGCCCGGCATGGGTTCCAGTAGCACGACGGAGCATTTGCGCTCCCGCTCTCCAGTCGTAGCGCTTCACCACGACAACAGTCCGGGGATGTGCTGGCCCTTTGAAGGACAGACGGGCCAGCTGGGCATTCACCTTGCTCAGCCAGTCCTGGTCACCGATATCACCCTGGAACATCCACACGCCTCGCTCCTCTTTGGTGACAACTCGGCCGCTCCCAAGGAAGTCACCGTCTCTGCCCTCGTAGAGCGCGCAGAAGATCAACGCAAGCTAGCCGCCTGGCGCCGGCGCGTCGCACAGGAAGCAGCAAAACGACGGTCATCCCAAGGTGATGAGGAGGAGGAAGAAGGCGAGGAGCTCGAGATGTTCGAGCCGTCTACCTCGAGCAACCATCTCCACTTGGCCACATTCGCCTACGATGCCACCTCTACACGCACCTTGCAGACCTTTCCCGTCTCGGCCGAGGCGCGTGCGCTGGCAATTCCGGTGAGCGTGCTGCAGGTGAGGGTGCTGAGCAATCATGGAAATCAGAGGTACACGTGTCTTTATAGGGTTCGAGTGCATGGAGAGGGTGTCAAGAGGTCGGAAGAGGGGGGTGACTGAGAGAGAGGGGTGGGGAGGGGGAGAGATGATTGGAGCGGAGAGGAAGAGCCACCTTTGGCCGAGACGAGTAGACGACTTCACATTTCCTCATTGTGCTCCTTCCACCGGTGTATCTGATCATTATACAACCTGTCTGTCACCTTCACCTTCATCATCACCATCGTCATCATCATCATGCGCGTCCATCAGTCAGCGTCTGCAGGATGAGAATTGGGAGTGAATGAAAGGAGGTATCTGTATTGCTACAAGGGGCAGTATTCCCAACAGGACACGGGCTGGAAATGAGTTTGATGTATGCGTGAAGATGCGAATATGTGCGTTTGCGTGTTTGCGTGTGTGCGGGTAGGTATGTGGATGTGGGTGTGGGTGTGGAAGGGAATGCAAACAAGAGAGAGATGCTTTCCTTCCTTCTGCTCCCTAATGCTTCCTTGATGCGGGGAAAGTCTGAGAGTCGCCTCCTGCCTCTTCCTTTCTTCCTCCTCAGATCCCCTCTCCCTCCCTCTCCATTCCTCGAGCTAGTCTCGCATCAAGTAGCAGATCTAGCCCCATTCCTCCTCGCCTTCGCCCGGAAAGACACGCACTCCCCTTCAGACTGGGAAGAAGCTCCCTCATCCTCATCCTCTTCTCCCGAGACGTGTCGATCTTCCCTCCTCTTTTGCTGCTGCTGCTGTTGTTGTTGTTGTGAGGTATGGGGAGGAAATCCCTCGGAGCGACTGCGCGAGCTGCCAGAGCTCGAAGAGCGACCTGAGCCTCGCCTTCCCCAGGAGGGCGCAGCAAGACGCGAAGTAGGAGAATGAATATGAGAGGCGCTCCCGTTCTGATCGGATCCAGGTGCACTACTCGTATGAATCATGGCCGGAGTATGACTAGGACGAGAAGAGGTGCTGCCGGCTGGAGTGGTGACGCCGGAGAGGCCCAAGCCGGGGGTGAGTCCACTAGCGGCTTGCGCTTGTGCTTGATGCCCATCCAGGACAGGGCCCATGACAGTGAGACTGCTCTCGTCTGCATCGGCAAATCGGCTCTCCTCGCCCGCATCGAGCCACTGTCGTTTAGGCAGCTGCAACAAGTCTTCGCTTCCGGCACTGTACTGCTGCGAAGCAGGGTGTTCCTCGCCGCTCGCGCCTGCGTAGCCTTGCGATCTCGCTACAGGCGGCGATTCGAGTGGGATCTGGCCTTTTCGCAGGGCTGCAGCCTCACCAGAGGAGCTACCAATTGGCATCGCTGCTGCAGTACCTCCGGTGATGGCGGTGAGCGAGGACACTCTGCTGCCATCCTTGCGGTCTTCCTGCTGATACATTGGATTAGGAGAGCGCAGGTGGGAGGGCCCGGAATCTTCCGTCTTGCCGGTGTACGGCGGCTTGAACAGATTGTAACCACCCTCTACACTCGGCGTAGGCGAATGATCTGCATCTTGCAGAGAGCGGGAGAGCTCGCTCGAAGGTGTGAAACGGCTAGCACTTCCAAAGCTGTGGCTCCACCCTCGACCATCGTTTCGAAGGAAGGATCCCGGTCGAGAATCAAGACCGGCATCGTCGTCTGAGAACTCCAGCTCATCGTCAATATCGTTGACGTCGATCATCGGGGGAAGCTCGAAGCCCCCGGATAGACCGTGGCCATCCGATCCGGCATGTACATCGCGTGTTGCTGGTCTCAGAGCTTCCATGGTATACGCTGCAGGCTGACCCTCGCTCGATTGCCTCGAGTGGCCCCGGAATCCTCCTTCCGTCTCTGTAGATGACGTTGCATGTTGCGCAGCTGCTTCGTCTCCTGTGTGATAGTGCGCAGCGGCGGAGGTGGCTCGAACTCCAGGAGTACGAAGATTAGGATCTTCTCCTCTTGACCCCCCACCCTCTTCTCGAGACCATAGCCGGTGCCATAGATCCCCTACGCGATGATGAGAGCCAGCAGCAGAAGACGCCGAGCGACCGTATTCTCCACTTTTCTTCGAACGATTCCAGGAAGGATCGCGCCCGAGCGTGCGACTTGCTCCACTCTTAGCAGGAGTGTCTGGCGTCCTTGTGCCGCCCTTTGCAGCGGAGCTGCCTGGACCCTCACGACTGAGTGCAGACGAGACTGCGGGGTTGTGAGCAGCAGACGAAGCAAGACTTCGATTGGAAGCTCGGGTACCCAAAGTCTCGAACCTCGTGTCAGAGGAAGAGCGATCGGTAGACGGCCTGCGAGCAGTGGATGCGGAGCCACTCCTGGGCGCTCGACTGGTCGATCGCCGCCGCCAAAGAGGTCTGCGCGTCCCTGTACCAGCAGCTCCGTGGCCTCCGGAAGAAACGATTGCTGTCCGGTCTGACTCGCTCTGGGAGTGATCGGCGATCTGACGAAGCATTGCAGCTGCGCCAGTAAGATTGGGGGAAGACGGTTGAGAGGGAGCTCCGCTTCGACCTCCAGTCTCAGTGTCGGCGACAGAGCCCTGGTAAGAAGAGTTCGAGCGCTGATTTGATCTCTTGAAGAATCTGAAGGTATGGTGCTCAGCATCGGTACCAGGAGTAGTACGGCTGCTGCCACCACGGTTGACGCTGCTTTTGGGAGAGGAATCGGTCGAAAGGAAGGCAGACGAAGGACCATTTCTATAAGGGGTGGCCGACGGGAGCGTCAGGATCTTCAAATCGTCCACTTTGCTGGACTGAGATCTGCTTCTGGCTCTGCTGAAACCGCCAGTACCACCGGTACCAGACTCTCCAAACAGCTTGAAGCGCCAGTTCTTGATCCTCTGCTTGATCTTGGAGAAGCCTGTCAGAGCGTCCTCTACCTCTTCGTGAGTGACTTGAAGCGAAGGGAGCTGTGTCGGATCAGTATCCTGCAGCCACAACTTCGGATCCTCGAGGTCTTTGACGATCCAGGGATGCTGTTTGACTTCCTCCAATTTGATACGAGTGACTGGATTCTTGTCAAGGAGACGATCGAGGAGGTCACGTAAGAGTCTCGCATCCTCTGTGAGGGTTGCTTCTTCTACGTCAGGCCCCTCTACGCCGTCTGTGTCTGTGCAAACATCTCCTTCCTCATCTTCCCATGTCGGCAAGGCGGCCCAGCGGGGCTTTCGTGGGCCAATTGGCATCCGATCGGCGCCGGCAGTCGCTGCTAAAGCATAGTCCTCCTTGGGAATGACGCTAAACAGGACGAATTCCGTCTCAGCATTGAAGGGCGTCTGACCAAACAGAAGGCAGTACAGCGTCACCCCCAGAGCCCAAACATCGATGGCTTTAGTGATAGGCGGTCGTATTTTTTTGGCGGCAGGGGGTGTATGCGGCGAGCTGTGTCCACTCCGAGCCCCTTCTTCGATCCAAGGAAATTCTCTTCGAGTCAGCTCGGGACTAGCGCCTGGCGTCCTCGCAGATGCTGTAGATGGGTTTGAAGCATCTCCAACTTGGCACAACTCGGGAGCAAAGAAGGCAGGGCTGCCAGCCGTCTTGGCAAGCTCGTGGTCATCCAAGAGACCGCCGTACTTGCCGCTCACGAGACTATTACTAGTTGGTACTCCGCCAGCTGCCACAAGCAAAGCGTAGCTGAAATGCGAGACTCCAAAGTCAGAGATCTTGACAGTGTGATTCCCGTCCCAAAGAAGATTAGCTGGCTTGATGTCCCGGTGGATGATACCCTGGTAATGCAGATACTCGAGACCTAGAACGACATCTCGAATGATAGACCGGGTCTCACTGACAGTCAGGGTTGGAAAACCCCGATCGTCTACCCATTTGACTTCCCCTCCGGCCATGTACTCCAAGACCATGAAGATTTTCTTGCTTTGGGGATCGTCAATCACTTCCTTGAGCTTCACGACATTTTCGTGGTTGCACTTCTTTAGAATTGCAATCTCTCGCTTGACCTTCTGATCCGTAGTCCACATCTGAGCTTTTCTTGCCTTGGCCGCTTCCTTCTCTCTTTGACGTTGAACCTCGAGATCGGCGTAGGTTGGACGGCTAGGATGTCCCTCGCCCCATCGGCCATACCGAGCAGCGGCGTACGGCGACATAGCAGAAGGAGAACCGGGCGACCCTGTCCCAGAAGGGCCCGGAATTTGCTCTGCTCCAGTGTTGTCTGTTCCTTGAGGAGGAGCTGTATCGCTTGCAAAATCGATCGCCTTTTTGTTTCCTGCGCTGGCGATGTCCGGGCTCTCAGCCTTTGGAGCTGCCAGAGCGGCCAAGTTGTCCCTTGTTGACTTTTGCCCCTGCCAGGCGCCAGTGAGAGCCCCCAGCCGCCTCTTTCCCTCTCGCTCTACTATCTTGATTGCAACTCGCTCTCCTGTCTCTGTGTCTCGAGCGAGCCTGACCTTTCCATGCTGACCAGAACCGATCTGCTTGTCCATGATGTACTGATTGATCATCCTCCGGCCACTGACATGAGTCTGTAGCTGTAAGTGATTCGTCTCTAGCACAGGACCTGGCTTGCTGAAGGCTCCACTCGAAGGCGTAGACCTGCCTGAACGAGGGGAGCTGGGGTGAGTAGTCGCTCTGGAAGTCGCTCCACTTGTGTTGGTAGTCGCGGCCGTGGTTGGAACACTACCGTCCGTGCCCTTGCTGGCGGACGCCTCAGTGAGCATCGTCTGTGGGGAATAATGTCGTACTGTGCGCTTCAAGGAGCTGCTTGCTCTCGATACGTCGCTCGTGCGCGGCGCTTGATGACTACCTTCCCCTGACTTGCGGGACGGGCCGACTGGTGGGGAGACGTTGTCTGCATTGTTGGACTGCAGTTGAAGCTGATGTAGCTGCAGAGCGGCTGTCGCGGCCCCCATCATGGACGTGGTGTTCGTAGAAGGTGCAAAGGAGTGCGGGGAGGCGGCGCTTGACCTTCGGGATAGGGCGGGTGATCGGGAGTGAGACCGTGAGGAAGACGAAGGCGGCGTGCGATTTGATCCATCGTCCAAAGGCGACCCTGGCAAAGACCAGACTGGATACGCCAGGTCCTCGACAGCGTTGGCCTCGGCTGGACTGCTGTAAAGAGCTGAAGAGCCACTGGAATGACCACTCTGCCGACTGCCTGCCGCCGTCATCTCCGCCGCTCGGGCGGATGAGGAAGCCTCTGCTGCCATTCCCGATCTGAGCAAGGCAGTCGCCTGAAGCGAACCTCGCCTGCCTTCTAGAAGTGGGACCGAAGGAACTGGAGAGGGAAGAGGCGACGGCTGATAGGACCTAGACGGACCTCGATCGAATGACCGAGTTGCGGTCAGGCGAGATTGGACAGGAGGAGAAAGATGGCGAGGTGAGGGTTCAGGCTGGCCTGCTGCAAAGGGTATATGTTCAGAAGAATGGTGAGCAGCAAGTGCTTGGGCATACTTGGCCGCGGCCCTGGAGATCGGAGCCGTCAGAAGGCTTGAGCCCCTGTCATCCGCTGGTCCGGCTGAGTGTTCTTGCTGTGAGAGGCGTCTGGCGATGATAGGAGCGGCAAAGTTGCCGTGATAGTCGTTGCTCTTTGTGCTACTGGCGCTGCTTCCCCTGCGTGGGAAAGCGGCAGGTGGTGGGGGTAGTAAAGACGCAGAGGACAGATGAGATGGACCCAGGGGGACTGAAGGTGGACGCGAGTAGTCCTTGTCGGTGGACCTGGTGCAAGCTAGCGGGGCAAAGGCTGGCGAAGATGAGGGCGATGAAGATGACGAGGAGGAGGAAGTGGTATAATGGGGAGAAGCAGAGGTTGCTGATGGGCGTCTGGGTGCGGCGAGGAGGGTGGAGGAGACGAGGAGGGGGGAAGTGGGAGCGGGTCCGGGGTTGGAGTCCATGTTTCTGGGCTCAGAGGAGATAGAGTTGAGATGAGCGGCCCTTGTTCTCCCCTCGTGCGTCTTGGTCGTCTGCCTCTGCAACGCCTGGACGAAGAAGCGAGGCGGCGACGACGGACTTGGAGGCCGGGGTAGGGCAGGGGTGGACAGAGAGGGGGTGGCTCACCAGGCTCTCTGACCGAGGAACATGGAATTGGCGTGGGAAGCAGCAGCAGGATTACAACTTCAGGCGCGGCAATTCAAGACCGATGGATGGACGCTGCACGAACGCACGCACGCACGCACACGCACACGCACAAGCACCCTGGCACCCACACTCTCACGCACGCCGCCCAGCGGGTAATATTAAGATGCTCGCGGGGCGTGGCTGTGTGTGTGTGTGTAAGCGATGATGGTGGTGAGATGGCAGGCAGAGACAGACAGACAGACAGAAAGACAGCCAAGGCAGACGAGCTGAGCCAGACCCCCGATACAGAAGGAGCACCGAGGGAGGGGGGGAGGGGTAAGTAGAATGGTGCCCGGCAGCGGGACTTGAACCCTCAGCCGAGTACGCCGTCGTATCAAAGGCGATTGATCCAGGGCAGGCAGGCAGGCACCCGGAGCAGAGGCAGCCAAGCAGGCAGCGACCATCAGCCACACACCACCACTGCCGCGCAACGACGGAAAGGGAGGCGTGGTCGTGACTGCCCTTGAAGTCTGGCGTGGGAGAATTGCACCCTGACAGACAAGCAGTGGAACAGCTTCTTCGGATCGCATCGACTACCAGTAGTGCGGCAACCCATACATCCTCATCACTCCCCTTCAGTCCCTCGATTGCGGAGACCGATGCCCCTGACAGCAGCTGGCACTTCTGCCGCGGGGGCCGCCGCGGCCGCCACCAGTGGAGAGGACCAGCTGAGGATCGAGATGCTAGGCGCGGGCAACGAGGTCGGAAGAAGTTGTTGTGTCTTGACGTTCAAAGGTGAGCTCAGGGAGGAGTATGTAGCCCAGGAGCAATGGGAGAGCTGTAAGTAGCTGACGCAGTGGATGACCTTGCAACTCTGATCCAACTCTTGCTCTGTCAGGCAAGACGGTGGTATGCGATGCTGGTGTTCACCCTGCATATACTGGCATAGCTGCTCTGCCCTTCATCGACGAGCTGGATTGGAGTACTGTAGACGCCCTCTTGATCACCCACTTCCATTTGGATCATGCCGCCGCTCTCACCTACATCATGGAAAAGACAAATTTCAAGGATGGCAAAGGCAAAGTCTACATGACTCATCCCACAAAAGCTGTATACCGCTTCCTTATGTCCGACTTCGTCCGCATCTCCAATGCTGGTTCAGGGGATCGCCTCTTTGACGAGACGGAAATGCTGGCATCCTGGAGGCAGATTGAGGCAGTCGATTTCCATCAGGATGTCTCCGTGGGAGGTGGTCTGAGATTCACACCCTATCATGCTGGTCATGTGTTAGGTGCCTGCATGTTCCTCATCGAGATTGCAGGGCTGAGGATTCTCTACACGGGAGACTTCAGCAGAGAGGAGGACAGACATCTGGTACAGGCAGAGATCCCTCCCGTCAGACCAGACGTATTGATCTGCGAGAGCACGTACGGTGTGCAAAGTCTTGAGCCCCGGTTGGAGAAGGAGCAACGATTCACAAGTGAGTACTCCGTCAGGGTTTTCGCAGCCAGTCCGCGTAGTCGCAAGGCTGACATGCCCTCCGCTTTGGACTCGCCAATAGCCATGATCCACAACGTCGTATCAAGAGGTGGGCGGGTGCTGCTCCCTGTCTTTGTCTTGGGTCGAGCTCAGGAGCTCCTACTCCTCCTCGATGAATATTGGTCTGCCCATCCCGAATTGCAACGGATACCCATCTACTACGCTTCCTCGCTGGCGCGCAAGTGTATCGGGATCTACCAGACTTACATTCACACAATGAATGAGCACATCCGCTCTCGCTTCAATCGCAGAGATAATCCCTTCGTCTTCAAGCACGTCAGCAATCTCAAGAGCTTGGACAAGTTCGAAGACAAGGGCCCTTGTGTCATGATGGCGAGTCCAGGTTTCATGCAGAGCGGTGTCAGCAGAGAGCTTCTCGAGAAGTGGGCGCCCGATCGTCGCAATGGTCTCATCGTCACGGGATACTCGGTGGAGGGGACTATGGCTCGATCTATCATCAACGAGCCAGATGAGATCATTGGATTGAACGGACAGAAGATCCCGCGGCGGATGACAGTCGATTACATCTCCTTCTCAGCCCACGTCGATGGGACTCAAAATCACAAGTTCATCGACGAGATCAAAGCTCAGCACATTGTCCTGGTGCATGGTGAGGCTACTAATATGGCTCGTCTGCGAGGGTCTCTGCAAGGAAAATACTCTGACAAGTCAGAGGTGAAGATCCACACTCCTCGCAATTGTGAACCCTTGATGCTGAAGTTTCGAGCTGAAAGGCTTGCAAAAGCAATCGGCTCGATTGCCGACAACCCTCCCAAGCCGGGATCGACTCTTTCGGGTCTCCTAGTGTCCAAAGACTTTGCCTATACCATTCTTGATCCAAAGGACCTTGCAGAGTTCACGGGGCTAAGTACTAGTACGATCATACAACGGCAGAGGGTGGCCCTGAACGTCAGTTGGGAGATGACGAGGTGGCATCTGGAGGGCATGTATGGCTCGGTACAAGAAGGAGTCGATGTTGAAGGGCGGAGAACAATGAGGATCATGGGCTCAATAGACATCAAGCAATCCGCTCCACATGAGCTCCTACTGGAATGGGTCTCGAGCATCAACAACGATATGGTGGCGGATTCTGCCCTTGCGCTGCTCCTAGGCGTTGATTCCAGTCCTGCGTCGGTCAAGATGACTACAAGACCTCACAAGCATGATCATGGTAGTGAAGAAGCAGATGAAGAAGCAGACGACCGGCATCCCTTTGCTGATCCAAAGGCCAAGAGCGCAGAAGATTACATTGCCATGAAGCGGATCGCACGCGCCGCTCAAATCGCGACCTTCCTCGAAGCTTACTACGGAAACGTCGAGCAGATTACCATCGGGAAGGCGCCAGAGGAGCAGCCGGAATCAGGCGAGGCACAAGGCGAGACAGAAGATGCGGAAGAGGCAGCAAATGCCAAGCAGGAGGACGGGCCGCTGATCAAGGAGGAACCTACGGACGGAGGCTTGCCGGAAGAGGCTCAAGCAAAGCAGGACGGGGATACCAACGGCGACGTGGCAATGACGAATGGACATGGTGGTGCCGGTGACACTCCCTCGAAGCAGACTCCTCCCTCACTCGAGGAGCTCATCGGCGGTCCACCGCGCCAAGCACTCCGAGTTTACCTGGACGACAAGGTGGCTATCCTCGACCTGGATGAGCTGGCTGTGTACTCTCGCTCTGACGCTCTGAGGAAAAGAGTGCTACACCTGGTCGCGCTGGCGGATCGGACGGCTACTTCGACGAGCGACGCGTTCCGGGATGAGATGGAGGGAGCAGACGGGGCAGTCGAGGAATTGTTCTTGGGCGCACATAGCATCCCCGTCGAGCCGGGAGAGGCTGCAAGCGGAGAGGGAGTGGAAGATCGTGGAAGTAAGAAGCCGAAGCTAGAAGCATGAGAAAGCGCTTCACTGCAACAACAACAACACCACATAGCCTGAAAGCAATACCATCATTACCACGTAGAGCATTCATTCTGTCGTTCGGATGTGGCCTGCCTGTCTGCCTCTGTGCCAAAGCTGCCGCTTGCTCCTCTTCCGCTTTCAGCGGGCGGGGCTCCACATCGGCTGCAGCCTGGGCTGCCATTTCCGTCGTGTGCCTCGGTTCCATACCACCGCTTGCGATACTCACATTACATCCATTCTCCCCTCGACGTTCGCTTTGACCCACTTTACAAAGTTGGTCTGATCTGCTGGCGCTGGCCCACTTCCTACTGTTTCCCGGAGTCGCACCAAGCGTGCTGTGTCTGGCTGCCCGGCTCTCCCTCCTCCTCCCTCTCCTCCTTCTATTATTGGCAATCCCATCCATCTCCTCCCAGCCTCGCATTACCACAATGCCCTCCGCCCATACTCCCCTCCGAGTGCAAGTAGCCACCTTCAACTTCAATCTTCAAGGCGCCAAAGACCCTTTTCCCGATCTGCAACCTCTACTCATCCCCACCCTCTCCGAATCACGACGAGAGTATAATGCCTCTTCTCTCTCCTCTGGCAGGGAAGCACCGGACATTTATGCTGTGGGATTTCAAGAGTTGCTGCCCTTGCACGAAGGATTTGCGGATTCGCTTGCGGCACAGGAGGTGCGAGCTCATACGGTCAGGGAGATCAAGCGGGCGTTGCGACCTCATGCGGGGGTGACCAGGCCGGACGGAATGTATCCTCCTGGGGGTGGGCCAGAGGACTACACGCTACTGGGCGAGGCGCACCTGGTTAGCATCTCCCTCTTTGTCTTTGGTAGGGATCGAGCTGGAATTCCTTCGAGGGTGAAGGAAGTGCGCACATCGACGGCTGCTGCGGGCGTGTTCAACCTATTGGGGAATAAGGGTGGTGTTGGCGTTAGACTGGTAATGCAGACGGCGCTGCAAGGCAAAGAGTCCAATCTCACCTTGGAGGATTCTCGCGAGGTACTCACCTTTGTCTGCGCCCATCTTGCCGCTCATGACCACATGTCTCCCCGGAGGAATGAAGACTTCAAGACGATCGTCAGCCGATTGGCCTTCCCACCCAGCTCTGCCCAACCTCTACCAGTCGTATCCGACGCCGGAGCCCTCCCAAATCTTCGTACAGGTGGGGATACATCAAAGTTGCAGGAGAAGTACGACGCAGATCGAGCGACCCAGTCTGAGCGTAAGAGACTGGCAAAGCGAGGAGTACAGGCTGCTGTGGATGGGAAAACGCACGGACTGTACGATGCACATCACGTCTTCTTCTTTGGTGATCTCAACTACCGTCTTGACCTCGGTGGTGGCGCTGGCGCGGGGGAGAAGGAGCAGGGCCAGCTCACAAAGGAAGACGTCTCGAAGAAGGTGGCAAGCAAGGACTTCGCCTCGCTAGTCCCGCACGACCAGCTCACGATCAACAAGAAGCAAGGCAAAGTATTGCAGGGCATGACAGAGGTGGATCTCAAGGACGCTGCTTTTGGTCCCACGTACAAGTTCAAGCCCATCAGAGGCAAGGCCGCTACTGCCGCTGCAGCTGGTGACGATAAGACAAAGAACGCTGGAAAAGGAGACGAGCTAAGCCCGAAGCGGGTACCTGGATGGCCGGATCGGATCCTCTGGGCTAGCGTGGGCAAGGAGAATGATGAGCTACAGGGTCTCAATGTCGAGCTCTACCGGAGTATCATGAGTTACACAGTGAGTCAAAGGGACCTAAATTCCGCAGTGTAAGCGTGAGATCTACAAGTGTACTGATTGCTCCTTCCCTATGGCAACGCCCCTACGCTGCGCAGATCTCCGACCACAAGCCTCTCACCCTCCTCGCTTCTCTCCCCTCGCTCCCCTCTTCAACTCAAGCCCTCCTGAGCAATCGTTCCCCCTACCCCCTCTCATCAAGCTGGCAGTCATCCCGCACCCTCGGAATCGCACTGGATCGTCTCGTGGGCTACATCTGGTCCACCCTCGTCCTGCTTGGCGCGGGTAAGCTGCTACTGGGAGCGGCAGAGGTGGCAGTACTCGCGGTGCTGGGGGCGTGGTACCTTTCTTCTGGTGCTGCTGCTGGTGGGGGAGGTGGGGATCTGGGATATTGGTTGGGTAGTCTGAGTGGGAGACCTTGAAAGAGTAAAGGCGTAGGCTGCACGATTTTGGAAGTAGAGTCGATAAGGATAGACGTGCCAGTGAAATATACCAGATCATACCATCCTTTGCACTCTATCACAGTGCAAAGCAACTCTCACCACCCCAGTCAAAGGAGCCCTAGAGCAAACGATCAAGATCGAAGAGGTACAAGAGAAAAGAGGGGTGGAGAAATAATAAGACTAACAACATCTAGGCCCTCGCCTTTACGAGCACGATCATGACCCTCAAGTAACCTCCACGCTAATCTCTCCCCCACTTCCCTCTCCTTTTCCTCTTCCACTCCTTCTTCCTCTTCCAATGCCGATTGCCTCACTTGCACACCACCGCAGTCATCGTCATCGACATCGTCATCATGACACAACGCCCCAACCCGACCCGATCCAACCCGATCCGCACAGCATCCCCTCCCATTCCATCCCGCGATCAGGGCACGACCGCCAGTGGAAGAACAGGAGAGATGGGGATGCGCGCAGATCGAGAGGTGGACCTTACTGTGCTTGAGTACCGTTGAGAGTCCTCGACTGTGACGAGGACGGTGACTGTGGTAGTGACTGTGACAGTGACTTTGACAGTGACTTTGACAGTGACTTTGACTTGAGCAGTGGCAGCGCGACGTGGCAGAGGCGAGGCGAGATGAGGAGAGGGGAGAGGGGAGGAGAGGAGTCGCGCAGAGGTCTTGCTGATCGGCTCGCCTATTTATGATGGGCCATCGAAGAAAGGTGGTACAAGAGGAGGAAGTGAGAATGGAGAAGCGAGAAGAGAGACATGAGGGAGTCTCCCTATCTAGCTGATCTGTCTTGGATTGGGAAGAGGAGGGTTTGGTGATGGCGAGACGAGAGGGAAGCCCGGGGAGGGGGGCTGCGCGAGGAGGAGGATCCGATTGCAGGTGCAGGTGTGGGTGCTCTTTGCAGATCTAGGTAGTGTACAATGTGACTAATTACAGGGTCTCAAGATGAAGATGAAGATGTAGATGCGTGATGCGTGACGAGTGGTGTATGCTAGGTGAAAGATGCTACGTCCCTGGAGCTTCTGGCATCTATACTAGTCGGGTGGGGGATGAGGTTGAGGGTATCTATCCTCTCTAAGTCTCACTCGTCTTGAGCAAAATACGCCGCAGGCGCCGCTGCTCCCACTGCCCTCTCCAGCGGCCTGCCTTGCCTCTCCTCAGCCTCTGCCTCCCCCCTCTTCTCCACATCTGCCTCGCTCGGCCCATCGCGAGGGGGTGCACCTTCCTCTCCAGCCGGAGGCCGCGAAGCGTCGCGTGCCCTGGACCGAGATCTGGACTTCTCCTGCTTGACTCTGAGTCTTTCCGTCTCTTTGCGAATGTCCCGCGTGGCCTGCATCTGCTCTCGGCAAAAGGGACTCTTTTCCCTCAGCTTGTGGCCGAAGAAGTACAGGGCAAAGGGCACTGCGGCTACCACTACAGCTAGGAAGCCCCAGAGGGATGAGGCCCATTGGTATCCGAGGTTTTCATAAGTCTGCACTACAAAGAGAGTGAAGCTGCCCGAGAGGACTTCGCGCATGAGGGACTGGGCACCTACGGCACTTGCGGCGTAGAGGGAATAAGCGGCGACTGTGTAGTCTGACACGGCGTAGAAGATGATGTGGGATACGAAGCCGACGAGACCGATAGCCAGGACTGATGAGATCCAGTGTACACCTGGCACTGCTGTCCAGGCGAACCAGAAGAGGGCAACCGGGAAGAGAGGAGAGACGACGAGCCAGAAGAGACGCTCCTCTGGTACCAGCTCGCCATCGGGGGACCGCCGTATGGAGCGACGCTCCCATGCTTGCTGAAGGGGTAGACAGAAGAAGGCTAGGAATGACCCTGTCAGAGCTGCTACTAGGGGAAGCTCTTCGTTTCCATTTGACCAGCCATAGACGTTTCCGTAAACGAGGGAGAAGCCGAGAATGAAGGCATAGATGACCATATAGTTGAGTCCATCGAATAAGGCGGTAGTCAAAACGATGGGCTCCGTGACGAGCATCCACGCTGGTCTTCCTACGGTCTCGGTGAATCGCATCTTCCAAGTCTTGGCTTGAACGTCCTTCTCGTGCAGACAGTAGAACTTGTCATCGCCAGTCTCCTTCCTCTTCTTGGCAGCTGCCTTGGACAGGATCACACCACCTCTTGTTTCTCTGCCGAAAATGAGCAAGACGCAGGTGATGAATGCCATGCCCAGTCCGCTGACGCCAAATGTCCACCTCCACCCATGGCGAGCGTAGATGTAGCCGCCCATGACTGCTCCCAGATCAGCGCCCACCTCGGCGGCCAAGCAGAACAGGTTCACTCCCCAGCCCTGGTCTACCGGATCCCAGAGATCGGCAACAACGCCGATGGAGTTGAAGGTAGCGGCGGCGAAGAAGCCAGCAACGAAGCGGAATGGAAGGATGAGGCCCAGACTGCCTGCTAGTGCGCAGGGGATCTGGCATAGACTGACGATGACAATCGACCCGACGCCGATCCATTTCCTGCCGTAGTCTTCCGATACAGGCGCTACCACGATGGGTCCGACGGCAAATCTAGGAGCAAGAAGAGGAGGAGTGACACAAGTCAGTTGCAAAGTCTGTGCCTGGCCGTCTGTCCTACTGTACTGCTCATGCTCACCCAAAGAGGTAGATGGCCTGCACTGTCCTCATTGCCGCCTCCGACACTCCCACGGCCTCAGCAGCAGCTGCCGTAGCAGGGGCAAAGAGTGAGGAGATGGCCTGTGCCCAAATCTCGGGCCAGAGGTAGATCATATAGATGGTCCACTTGTACCATTCTGGCCAATGTCGCGGGTCCGAAGGGTCCTTGTATGAGAAGGCTACAAGATAGGGATCATCGTCGTCCTTTTCCGTCTCGCGAGTCACTTGACGAGAGAGACGACTGGCAACGGAGAGACGGCGAGCGAAACGAGGTACGCGAGTCTCTTCGGGCTTGTCGTCCGTCGTGTTTGATCGGTCGCCAGAAAGCTGGCTGGGAGCTGTCCCATCAGAGAGAGGTGGGGCTGTTGTTGGCTCTTTGAAAGCGCCGCTGCTACGGGAGGGTGACCGTGGGGAAGACGAAGTAGTCCTCTCTTGCGTCGTGGCAGAGGTAGGGGAGTCGGGGGAAGCGACGTGCTCTTGCACGTCCATTGTGGCTGCTGTTGCCCCGGGGGAAAAGGCTCGGGCAGAGAGGGAGAGATAGAGCGGGGATGGAGAAGGAGCAAGAAGGAGGGTGATGCGTGAGGATCTACCGTAGTGAGGAATCCTTCATAGCAGCAAGCACGACGTAGATGGATGGCAGTGGTGAGGAGGCAAGGAAGGGGGATGTTATTGCACACCCACTTTTGTCAGCATGGCCAGTCGATGCGAGTCACGACCGATGAGCACCGACGAACGAGTGAATCGTGATTGCCTGCAGCCGAGGCGCACAATTTCCCTCTCGGCTTCCCGCGGGCGGAATCCTCTCCCACGCGAGCAACCGTCGGGCGGACGTGAGCTCTGCAGAGCTCCAGGCGATCTGGGTCCTCTCCTCGAGCGGCACGTACCTCTGCTCACCTCTGCCAAGCGAAGAGCAGGAGTACAAGGAGGAGGAGATGGTATTAACAAGGAGAATGCAGCAGGAAGAGTGGAAACGCTTGGCGTCTCGACTCTGCTCAGAACCGGAGAAGCTCGTAGACGATGATGACCAGATTCAGCAGGCAGAGGGGGACTGAGCGAGCAAAGGAGCAAGCCAGTCAGCTCTCGTTGCCCTGTTACGACCTTTCAGGGATTTCACCTTGTGACTCACCTCTCAATAGTGTCCTCACTGCAGCAATCAAGTTCACTAGCCTCTCCTTGACCCCAGGCTCCGTCGGTGCTCCTCCGCCAAAAGAGTGCTGCTGCTCATACTGTATCGAAGCGGGTGACCAGCCGACTGAAGAGTTTCAGTAGGCCAGAGAAGACACAGAGGGAGGAAACGAAAGTCTATCAGCTCTCTGCACCCTCTCGCTCTCTCTCTCGCTCTCACTACCGCCCTCCCTGCTGGGGAGAAGGACGCAAACTCACCTCTTGAGAGGAATCGCTCCTCGTTCAAAATGGCCGCTGCATTCAGGCAGAGGACCGAGACGTATAGGATCGTACCAAAGACCATCTTCGGCCTCGCCAATGTCTTTGAGAAGCTCTGTATGCCAAGCCTCGAGCACTGCGCTTACAAATTGGAAGTCAAGGAAGAGCTAACGGAGATGAGCTACGAAGGTTGCACTTCTTCCCCTTCTCTCCCTGTATCAGGTCCACGAGGCTCAAGGGTGAGTGAGAGAGAGCTCTTGACGGGGCGATGCAGGTACGCTGAGAATGTGAACAGCGACTTTGCGGTGGGGAAGGAGGACGAGCAAAGGGCGTGCGTTATAGAGTGGGGGAAGTGGTGGTCAGAGGTGAGAGGTCCTTGAAAGTGTTGCTCGAGAAAGGACCCCGACACACGCACGACGACGCGGACCAGCACTGCAGGCGGGCACCAGCCAGCCACGCGGGCATCTGAAGCGGGGCAGGACACCTCCACCCAATACGCCTACGCCTCGAGGGGAGTGGAAACACATTTGCAACCCACACGCACACGCAAACGCTCGCTCGCTCAAGATGTGATGATCGCAGGGGAAGCGCCCCTGGCAGCGCAATGTTGTTGTTGATTTAAATGATGGCAAAGTACAGGGTTTCGTCTTTTTCGCTTTCTGCTGCGCTGCAGCCGTCTCCTCTCTCCCCTTGACGTTTGACCCATACCTGTCCCTAGGTGTCGTGACCGGGAATCTTGAACGTTTGTGCGTACGCAAAGTGATTTTGCACTGAAGAGGAAGCGGGGAGAGGTTGAAAAAAAGTCAGCTGCCGTCAAGTTGCTTCACTCAGTCTGCGACCTATCGCTACTCACTCAGCTTGAGGATAGAATTCGGCGGGGACATTGACACGAGCGTGTAGGACACCTTCGCCAGACCCTCGGTCCTGATCAGTTTGAACAGATTCGTAGCCACCGCTCCCGGATACGAGCCCTCTGTGTACCACCGATGGTTGTATGCCGTCAATCTCAAGCTCATCCACAGACTCCTCTGTACATCCCTCGCCTCCACGTACGACTCCAGCAGTCGCAGGTAGCCCTTTGCAGAGAACTTTGCCTCGATACACCTCTGGAAAGCATCTTTCGCTTCTTCCTTGTGGTGCAGCCGAAGCGCCAGCTCGCCGAGGATCTCCCACTCGGTACCGGTCTTGCGATACGGCAGACCTTGTGTCTTGTAGTGAGCCAATTCGGCCCGCCAGATGGTGTAGACGCGAAGGTCCTCGTAGAGGACCATGAAGAGATTGTCCAGCCACCGTTCGCAAAGTCGCTTGTTTGTGAACGAGAAGCCAGAGGCAGGCTGTTCGTCTCTTGTCGAAGGGTCTGCGTGCTGTGCTTGCTGCTGCTCAGTGTCTGCTCCCGTAGACGCACCTTGCACTGTTGCAACAGAGTCGGTCCGACCATGCTGGGCTCCGGCTTGAGCTTGTGCGGGCTTCTCCAAAGGAGGTGGTGTGACCTCAACCGCACCTCCACCGGTCTCCTCTTCCCCCGCCGTCTTGCCTCCCTCAGCTCCCTGAACGTAATCTGCAATTTTAGCTCTCTCCCTCTCGTGGTCGCTTTCCGTAGATATCTTGATGGTCGGTATGCTGTGGCTCGACGAGTTCGCGCCAGCATCCAGGCCAAGTTTCGACATGCCGTCTTGAAGTGACTTGTCCCCCGAGCTGTCGAATGTCTCGTCTCCGATCCCATCATCACTCCCTGGCGTCGGCGGGATAGCCTTAACGGATGCATTGTCGTCATTCTCCGCAGCTGACTTGCTCACTGTAGATCCTGCAGCGGTGGTTGAACTTGAGGTAGCCTCCCCAGGCCGCTGGTTGCGATACTCCTCCTCCATGACAAAGACGGCGCTTCGACACCGAAGCAGCTCGTCCCAGCCAATGCGGCTCACAAGCCGTGATAGCAGAGCATACGCTTTTGCGAAGGTACCTCGAAGAGCTGGGGCGGGAAGGCGCAGCAGGGCAACATCGGCTTCATTGTCCTTGGCCGATTCCTCGTCGAGGAGACCACTGTCCGCGATGAATTGCTTTGTGGGCAAATGCGTCTTGGCAGGCGGCGGCATGCGATGAAGGTCCCGCTCGTTGTACGTGAACATGGGACACGAGTTGAGAGTGAAGAGTGCCTAAGACGAGCCAGAAGGAGAGACGGCCATGTCAGAACATCTCGGCAATCGTACTGCCTCGCATCGCCTACGTGCCTACTCACAGACTCCCAATCTCCCACGTTGATGTAGCACTCCGTCAGCTTGGCCCACGTCACAAACTCGCTAGGAGCGCAATTCACTGCCTGCTTAGACAGCTGCAACGCCCAGTCTGCTTTGCCCTTTGACTTCAGAAAGTCAGCCTGTACGTGCAAAAGAGCGTAGGAGTGAGGCGTCTCCTTGATAGCAGCATGCATGATCTGAACAGCTTTGATCTCTTCATTCATCCCCAGGTAAGCTTGAGCTACCAGAGCTGCCACCACTGGTTCGCGAGCGTAGAGCTTCTCGAAGAGGTTAACGGCTTGCTCGTACCTGCCTGCGTCGCCGAAGTACTTGAGTACTCCATTCGCGAGATGGTTGGAAACCACTGTAGCGACCTGAATCTCTGGTTCAGAGCCCAGTTGCCAGCCCTTGAAGAAGAGGTTCTCGGCAGCTCGGAGAAAGCGATGTTCAGCCTCTGGCCCTGCAATGGGGTCTAGCTTTCGATAACCTGCTAGCCTGAAGTTGGCGTCATCTGCGTATAGGATGGAGCGGAGGAGGGCAGATAGATATACCTCCTGCCAGATCTCGGGAGTGGGAGGATGCCGGTCTCCTCGCAGATCGACTACAAATGCATCAACGCTGCCAGGGATCCGCACTTCAACTCGTACATCGACCCGCGAGAAGGCATTAAAGCAGCTGGGGTGGTGAGACGAAGCGAGACGAGTCAGACTCTGTTCAGCTTGAGATCAATTCACTGGACTTTTGCTGCCTATGAAAACGTACCAGTAGACTCCACTCTTGAGCTTGTAAGACGTCTTTCCAGAAAACCATGCGGGGTTCTGCTCCAACTCATAGGTGAGGGAATTGATGTAGGCGGCAAGGGCAGCCGAGGAAGAGGCATCTACTCCGGATACATAATGGTATGAGCCAATCTGATAAGCGAATAGGAGAGTCGTATCAGCGCCGAGGTCACGAGAGCGCCGTTGCTGACCTTGCCGAGGTCATGCTCATCTACTCACATCTTTGGAGCCCGTCCTTCCCGTGGTCTTGATGACATGGCAAAGATCGGGAGGTCCAAGCTCCCTGAAAGATGCCAGGGACTCTGTCCTAGAGTTTAGACTTTCGCCAAGGTCGGCCTCGAAGAACTCCGGTTGAGCGACAAAGGCGTCACCCATTGTGGTAGTGTGCAGCGAGGAGCCCGACTGCCGCGGTAGGACTGACTGGTCAGGATAGCCGGGTTGGACAGATGCGACTATGTGAGACTTGCAGGGGAGTCAGCTGTCCGCCAATTGTGGATATCAGCGCCGTTGTTGCGCTGCTTGATACGGAGGGTTGTCGAGGTGGTGATCTGAGTGGTGATGGTCTCACCTGGTCCTGTATTCAGAAGGAACGGACCAGGCAGGCAGGCGGCAGGGCAGGGCAGGGCTGTCCCTCTGTGCCGTGCCTGCTGGAGTTGCGATGCCTGTGCGCCTCGCCGTTCCGATTGGGCGTCACGGCAATCGAGGCACACACACACACACGCACGCACGCACACCCACACGCCCAGGTGCATGGCAAAGGAAGCGGAGCGGAAGATCAACACTTTGCACAAAAGCAGTGAACGTCGTACCGGTCCCCAGTCATCAGCACCCTCCTGGCATCACCTGAGGCCACTTTCACCACCACACAGATCTTGGACTCATCGGCAGTCACCTCTGACAGACTGTCTTTGCCTAGTGCAATTCTCGACATCACAAGCTCAGGCCACTGTCCGCAAGCTAAGACCAAGTCAAGCCTCCTTGTACGCACCCTTTTCCTCTTCTGGCACGCTGCTCTTGTAGCCCAGGCCACAGACGCCGGAGGTACCTCAGGCAGGCGACCTTGCCCTGCAGACCTCGTCAGACTTATTCTCAGGCCACACCCACTGTGCTCGCCTACTAGCACGGACGCTACATGGCTCCCAATCCTGTTGGCCATGAGGCAGCCGCTCCGCCCCTCGTAGTCGCCCAGCACTTTCATAATTCAGCATTGAGCAGGATACACCTACAGCAACAAACACAGCGCAACAAGCAACTACAGCAGCAACTACAGCAACAGCAGCAGGCGGAACAGAGGCAAGGCCCGAGTCATCGAAAGCAGCCAGGAACAGCGTCGGGCGGAGCAACATCTCGGCTTCCCACTCTACCAGAAGCCTCCCATGCCAACGCCTTGCATGAGGCTACAGGGGCCTCCCCTGTTGGTCTTCCAGCTCACCTTGATGCTGCCATAGAAGAGGCGCTTGCGGGCCTCTCTGCTCCTCAAAGAGCTCTAGCACACGCCAAAAGCGCGGGGTATGGTCTGGCAGTCATGGAATTGGCCAATGATGAATTCAGGCAAAGGTGGGAGAGGCTCTGCCTGGCAAGCTCGGAAGAAGACGATGTAGGAGAACTCTCTGCTCAGGCTGCTCAGAATATTGCCCTGCAGAGTGTATGGCAGCAGCAGCAAGCAGCAGCAGCGCCCACCATGCCTCAAGGGTGGTCTCCCAGCCTCAAGAATCCGGGAGGTGTGGGGGGCAGCTGGGAGTTGCTACCTGTCAGTGGGGATCCCTCGTCCGAGGGGAGGGCTCAGGGCATCCCGCGCAGTTCGAGCCGCGGAGCCTTACCTCCCCCAAAGCTCACAATGCGAGAGGCCGCCCAAGCAAGAGCTATACTCGAGGCCAAGAAGAAGAGGCTAGACCAAGCGAGAGAGGCGGAGGAGTGGAGAAAGAACCCTGCATTCCGCCGAACAGAGCTCAACCTGACCGCTTTGGACGACTCTGAAGGGGTGATAGCCATGGCACCTGGCTGGCTAGAGCTGGACTCTCAGGATGAGGGTATCCGCTTGGACTCGGAGATCGCTTTGCATGCTCTCCTTACTTATGCTTCGTACCTCTCGATCTCCACATTCATTCTTCCACCGCCGTCTTCGGATCCTGCGAGACGGCACTTTCTGCCTCACTATGCTCGAGCTATCAACTCTGCTCTGAATGCAGGCCCTGGAGGTCAGGGCGCTCCCAGCGCAGGTAGCTGGATGGCACTAGCATTGAGGCTACCGATCTCATCACCCCATGCCCTTGCACAAGTCCTCGCATCTCGGTCAGCCAGCTCAATGAGTACACATTCGGCAGGGACATCAGTGGCAGCGGGTGGTAGCAGTAGCCTGAGAGCAGCCGATGATTGGGCCTTTGAAGTCTGGACGCAGATCCGGCATCTCTGTGGCTACAATTCCCGCCTGCAGATCATGCTGGACCTCTCCATGCCCTTGCCTTCCTCGGACGGTCTGGCAAGGTGGCAGGCAGAACCAGTCAAGCATCTCTGGCTCCCAGCCAGTACCTTCTTGGCAAATGCAAAGGGCTTTCCGGTTCTCTCAAAAGCTATGCAATCCTTCTTGCGGTCCCTCTTCACCAAGCATCCGAAACCCATGGCTATTCTGTCCGGCACACAAGAAACTCTGCCACAGCACACGCGCGGCGGGCCAAGCTCCTATCTCGAGTACCTGCGACATCTCGAACGGACGGCCCCATCAGAAGGAGCCGTGGCTGTCTTTGCGAGGGGATATGCGGACTGGTTGCAGGCTCCTCTACAGCCCCTGATGGACAATCTAGAAGGCGCTACCTATGAAGTCTTTGAGCGTGATCCAGTGAAGTACGCTCTGTACCAGGAGGCCGTTTACAAGGCCCTGATAGCCCGTCCGGCTGGAGAACGGACACTCCTATGGGTCTGCGGAGCGGGCAGAGGACCGCTGGTCAGTCGTTGCTTAGCAGCAGCAGCCGATGCTGGCAGGGACATCAAGATTGTCGCTCTGGAGAAGAACCCTTCGGCGATGATTGCGCTGCAAGAGAAGCAGGCAAAGGAGTGGGGCGCTGATACTGTGGAGCTCCGATTTGGCGACATGAGGACTGCTACTCGTCCTGCGCGAGAGGAAGAGCGGGCGGACATCCTTGTCAGTGAGCTACTGGGTAGCTTTGGTGACAATGAGCTGAGCCCCGAGTGCCTGGATGGCGCTTGTCGCTTCCTCAAACGGAACGGGATCTCGATTCCTTCTGCATACACATCATATATCACGCCTCTAGCTTCCTCCAAGCTACACAGCGAGATTCTCTCCTCCGGCTCAAGCAGTACCGCAACATCCTCTGGCCCCTCCGTCTCAGGCAACAATCCCACCGCATCGACACAAGCGCAGATCAAGGCAGCTGAAACGCCTTTCGTGGTCCTCTTCGGAGCCGTGGATCTTCCGGCGTCCGACAACGGGCCTGCTGGCAGGGAAAAGATCCAAGAATGCTGGACATTCGCTCACGGGCCCATCGAGGATCTTGAATTGCCCCTTGACGGTACAGGTCTGCCGATCTCCAATTCGCACAATGTCCGCACCACCTCCCACACCTTTTCGATCCCAAACACTACCCTCTGCCATGGTCTAGCGGGCTACTTTGAGGCACACCTCTACGGGGACGTCTCCCTTAGCATTCACCCTGACCCATCGAGGGGCAGCACAGACATGCTCAGCTGGTTTCCCATCTACTTTCCGCTGAAGGAGCCTCTGTACCTGCCTGCAGGGAGTGAGCTAGACGTGCATCTCTGGCGACTCACAGCGGAGAGGAAGGTTTGGTACGAATGGAGCTGCGAAGTCTTCCTCAACGTAGTTCCACCCGGCGGCGCAGCCGGTGGAGCGGCGAATGGTCGACCATCGTCTGCGCTGACAGTCGTCGGAGGGGCTTCCTCGCCTGACCCCTCCCAGTGGTACGGCGGTGGCGGTAGCGGTCCAGGTGCCGCCAGTCCTCTGCTCGGCACGCAATTCAATCACCCTCACTACGCCTTTGCCAATGCAGTCAATACTCCCCGCGTCCCTTCCTACGGCTTCCCAAGTGACGGACAAGGTCATCCCGCGCAGAATAATCGGCGGGCATCTGGAAGTACAGACTCGGCTATGCACCCCGTGAATGGGAGGAGCGTAAGCTCCCAGGGACAGTATCAGCCTCCTGGAGGAGCTGCTGGAGGCGGAGGGGGACTCGCGGTGCAGAGGGTCAAGATTGCAATGTCTTCACTGCAGAACCCCAATGGACGGAGCTCATGGGTGGGAATGTAAGGAAATGGAGAGAGGCACCACATGTCACGATTCGAGTGTAGTCACGATGAGATCCTATCGACTTTCACCTCTTGTCCCTTTGTCACCCGTCAAGTCCTGTTAGTAAGTTCTCCCTTGTCACTCTTTTGCAAGGCTCACAATGGAAACTTCAACCCGTTGAGACCTCGTATAATAGGCAGTCTGTCGAGCATCTCGGAATGGGCATCACTTGCTGCAGACTCTGATCGCCATATGAGAAGTCCGTATGGATTTTGAGTCTAGTATAGTGACAGCCGCGCCATACCCATGGCTAAACAAAGGGCTCGCGCATCCCCTTCTAGGCCTCCTCGTCCTCTGAGTCCTCATCACCCTCGACTTCCGTGTTCTCCTTCTGTGCCCGAGCCATGAGCTGAGCCAATTCCTCGTCCTCGACCTCGGAGACGGCCTTTGGCATCATCTTGACATTGATTGCTCCACCATCCCTCTTGATCTCCTCCTCAATCTCCTGGAGTGCCTTTTCCAGCAACTCAATTCCACCAGTCTTGTCCGTCGAATGAGACACCAGGACGTAAAGAGGAGGAGCGACGAGCTTGACCTTGATTGGCACCACATCGGTCGAGAGGGCCTCGGCTTTGAGGAGGGCACGCTTGATGGCGTCGATTCCTTCGTAGCCGAAGCAGGTCACCTCTACGTCTGCTCGAATCTTTACGGGTTGCGGAGTCAGACGGCGGGCAATGTTGGCCTGCAGCTCCTTCTTGACCATAGCATCGATCTCCATACCGCCGAATACTGCCTCGGGCTCACTAGAGCATGAAAGAAGAGAATGAGAAAAGCTGCATCAGATTCGTGCCCTCACCACTGCCTGCGATTCGCTACATTGCGCCTCGCCCTAGGCACGCGACTACTCACGTAACAGCCAGCTTGAAAGCATCATACGAGTGACCAAACTTCTTGTCCAACGGCCATGCCACCATCTCGTAGAGCTCTCCTAGCTTCTTCTCATCGGCATCCTCGCCTCCCGAAAGCTTTCCAGCAACGTGTGATAGGATGGAGTATACGGCCTTGGACTTGTTGAAACGCTCTTCGCACTTGAGGACATCGTCGGGTGAGACTCGACGCTTTGACAGATCGATGTAGCCTAGAGGGAAAGTGAAGGAGATGAGCATGAGCTTGAGACTATCCCATTACGCTGTGACAACCCAATGTCCGGTAACTCTTGGTCCACCTGCTCGCCACAGCAACTATCCCTCCTTCCGCCCGATACCATTTGCAGGCTCTGCAGTCCTCTCGTCTTCGCTTGAAATGCTGCCACTCCCTCTACACTCTTTATCATCCTCACAGCGCAGCGCGATTCAGACTCACCCTTCTCCTTATCCACCCTGAGCACAACCACAACTTCATTCCTTCCGACCCTGATCAGCTTCTGAATACTCCTAATACGTCTCCTCGAAAGCTCGCTCAGCAAGATCATTCCCTCGGCATTGTCGTACTCGAGGAGCTTGACATAGGCTCCCATTTCGGCAATCTGGCGCACTTGGCACATGACGACTTCGTCGATGTCCGGAAGGGACTTTTCGTAGTACCGCATCTTGAAGGTGGTGTCCGAAGTGGGGAGGAACAGGGGTGGGGAGAAGCCTTTGATATGCGGATTGCACTGGAAAGGCTCAGGATCTTTCGCAAGATTAGATGAGGAGGTTTGAGAGCTCCTGTTGTATGCGTCAGGTGGTTATATGCTCGGCAATGGTGATGCTGCAGGCGGTAGCGGTGGGGAAGAAGAATCCAAACCCAGGCTGTCGGTCGGTCGGGAGCGAGTCATGCCTGGGTCGGAGCGGAAGAAATCACGTGCGGCAGACGGAAGCACACTCGAGGGACCGAGGGCAAGGATGTACACGGTGCAACTTTCGTGATGAGGGGCAAGGCAAATGAGCATGAGCTGGATCAAAGCATCATACAACGACATCACTCAAGCGAGCGAACGAACGGTTTCAGGCCTCGTTCGGCAGCACTTTCAGGCAGCCTCGATGAGGTGCACGATGCGGAAGCCGGTCAATACCAACATGTTCAGTGATATCTTTTGATTCCAATTGACAACAATGCAACAAGCTCTACTTTCAGCGGATGAACAGATAAGCAACTCCTACATTCGAGTCCTCAATCCGACACAAGCTCGTTCGCGTTCCACATGCGTGCTTAGTTGAGAGCCGAAGCACCAGTGACAATGTCGACCAGCTCGTTGGTAATGGCAGCCTGTCGTCCACGGTTGTAGGCCAGGTTGAGCGAGTTGATCATGTCACCAGCGTTCTTCGAGGCATTGTCCATGGCGTTCCTTCGAGAGTTGATCTCAGCAGCATGGCCTTCCACGAGGGTGGCGTAGATGGCGTTGGCAAGGGCAAACTCGGCGAGGTCCTTGGTGGTGTCCTCCTCCTGCTCGTAGGTCTTGAAGCCGGGAGCATCACGCAGAGAAGCTTCCGAGAAGACCTCCATGATGGCGGACTCGTAAGTGATGGCAGAGACGTAGGTGTTGTAGACGATGTTGACCTTGTCGAACTTGATGCCGCTGGAGACGATCTTGTCGGTGATGGCAGAGGCATCAGCAAAGGTGGGGACGTCCTTGCCGATTTGGTTGAACGAAACGGCAAGGTTCTTGGGCAGAGCTCGAGACAGCTGGGCCTTGGGCTTGTCGCCGAGAGCGAAGATGGCGGGTCCATCGGTCGAGTCAGCGTCGGCGGCAGCTCCACCGATCTTCCTCATCTCAGCTCGGGCCCGCTTGACAACGGACGAGTGGATACCACCGCAAAGACCCTTGTCGGATGAGATGACGACGTAGAGAACCTTGCCTCCCTCGGGCGACTTGGCCTCGGAGTTCTTGAAGACCTCTGTAGTATGTCGAAATGGAGAGAGTCAGTAGATCAGCTAAGGGCCCCGGATATTGAGAGGACCAAACTGGTTCTCCTGTCTCATCTCCTGTCTGCCTGCTTCAACGACTGCTTGCATCCGGCGCACTGAGCCTCATAAGGTCACCACTCTTCCCTCTGTATCGTCAAATCTGCCTGGGCGTCCTTTATCGAGCGTGCAGATGCCGACCCCCCCTTCCCCCCGGTCCCTCCCAACCTCAAATCGCCCATAGCCAATACGCACCCTCGTTGGCCTTGCCGTAAGATCGAGCAGCAGCCATAGCCCTCTGAGCCTTGTGCAGCTTAGTGGAGGCAATCATCTTCATGGACTGTTGGAGTACGAAGAGGGATTAGAGTATGGGTCAATACCGTCCTACCAAAATCTGAATGGGGACTTTCGGGTCGCCGTCTGGGCCGTAGCCTGTCCCAGGCCTCTTGCTCTATCCTTGATTCGAGCGCCCCTCTCTCGTCCATCTCCGTTCCCCAGAACTTCAGATGCCCACCTTTGTGATCTTCTCGATGTTTCGGACAGACTTGACACGCTGCTCAAGCTCTCGCAGGGTAGCCATCTGGGAGGCCGACGAGTGGAAGCCAGCGGTGGCAGCGACCCTGAGGGTGGGGGCGGCGAGACCTGGAAGGGCTGCCCTTGTGGCTCGAGGAAGCATGGCCATGTTGCGGGGTATGGTCGGAGGCGGGTGGAAGGGTATGAGGGAGTGGTGGTGATGGTGGTGGTGGAGAGTGGTAGGAAGAAGGTGTGTGTGCCTGTGGGCGTGCGGGCGGGCGGGGCCGTGGATCCCAGCGATGCGATGGGAAGCGATGGCTTCCGATGACCGCGCGCAGCAATCCACCCGCCACTGGCCAGAGCCATGAGCCACGCCGGGCGACAAGGGCCAAGGCAGAGTGACTCTTCCAGAGACTTTTGGCTCACGATCACCTTCCCACCTCCATCTAACAGTCACACGAGGCACGACTGCCAGCACCATCGTACTACAGTGCAGCAGCATCATACAGCATATACAACACCCTATACTCCATTCTTGCTCCCGAAGCACACGACCTCGCGCCCACCATGTCAGCCGAAAATCCTGAAGAGCCCCTCTTCGACCCTTCGCTCAAGAAGAAGAAGAAGTCGAAGAAGACAGTCGACTTCTCTGGCCTCGACGATGAGGAGACCATCCCTGCCACAAATGGGGATGCTGAAGCAGCAGCAGCCGATGTCGCGGCAGGAGAGGCTGAGGCAGCTCCCGAGGCAGCAGGCGAGGAAGACATGTTCGGCGGGCTAAAGAAGAAGAAGAAGTCCAAGAAGGCCATCCCGATGGATCTTGACTTGGTGAGTGCGGTGGCCAAAACAGAAGCTACGACAGCCCGCGAACGCTTTGCTGTTCGCTGCTTGTCGCCATTATTGCTGACGCATATCTGCTCATCTTGCTATTCAGGAGGAGGCATCAGCATCCACAGCAGCCGCCAATGCTGAGCCAGCATCAGAGGCTGGAGCCGCCGCCGCTGAGAACACAGAAGACGGGGACCTCGACTTCGGAGAGATGAAGAAGAAAAAGAAGAAGTCGAAGAAGGCAGCTTTCGATATGGAGGCATTCGAGAAGGAGCTCGGAGAGGGCGAGGGAGAGGGAAGTGGAGCAGCTGCGACTGGTGGTGAGGGTGACGATGATGCGGATTTGGGAGACGACCCTTTCAAGGCCGACGATGGAGACGACCAGGCTGGAGGTAGCAGTGAGCAAGTCGAGACTTGGCATGGCACGGACAGAGATTACACATATCAGGAGCTCCTCGGACGCTTCTTTGGCACCCTGAGAGCTCAAAATCCCGCCCTGTCTGGTGACAAGAAGAAGTACACCATTGTCCCTCCCCAGGTGGCGCGAGATGGATCGAAGAAAACCTCGTTCGCCAACGTCATCGACATCTGCAAGAGGATGCACAGACAGCCAGACCACGTCATTCAATATCTCTTTGCCGAGCTGGGTACAGTCGGCTCAGTCGACGGTAGTCAAAGGCTAATCATCAAGGGTCGATTCCAGCCTAAGCAGATCGAGAATGTGCTGAGGAGGTACATTGGTGAGTGGGACTGCGTAGTGGTCTAGTCGAGTCTCCGAAACGTGCTTGCTGATCACAGTCCTGCTTTCCGTTCTCTGCCGTACACAGTGGAGTACGTGACGTGCAAGACCTGCAAGTCGCCCAACACACTACTGCTCAAGGAGAACCGTATCTACTTTATGAAGTGCTCGTCTTGCGGATCGCAGAGGTCAGTGTCGGCCATCAAGACTGGTTTCCAGGCACAGACGGGCAAGAGGTCGAAGATGAGGACAGCTTAGAGGACTTGATGAGAGAGCTGCTAGCGACGGGTATCGGTCAGGATAGCCGGAGATCCTACCAGCTCCGATTTGGACGTCCTTACGACGTCTGCCTGTACATGTTCCGGACATGCACTTCCGCCAAAATGCACTTACCTTTCCTCATCGAGGATACGCTATGTTTCGCCCTGGCCTGATGATCTGCTTGAGTCTTTCTCGGATTCTGACTGCGGAGGTGGGTTGAGGTTCCTGCCTACCTTTGTCTGCCCCTTGACGGGATCGAGTGTGGGACCTCTCATGACAATGCGCCAGAAACGACCCCCTCCGATGCTGACGACCCCTACCTGCTGCCCATCGGTAATTGAGAGGAGAAGAGGCAAGCTATTCGCGCCCTTGCATGGGAATCTGACCCTGAGCACCATCTTGCGCTCGAGACGCTATGCTGCCCCGTCACCCTTCTTGCGGAATGGTCCCACTGCACTCCTCGACCTGCCCATCGAAGTATCCCGCGATCCTCGCAGGAAGATAGCAAAGCAGCTCTAGTCCCTCACTCTTTGCCCCCTGAGCACGTTGCTTGACCTCGTCTGAGCCGCTAACCAGGAAGCGGCACGCGCATCTTCGTCATCTGTTCCTGGGCGTATCGCGGCTTCGAATAGAGCTTCCTTTGCTCTTTGACGTCTGAGAGTCGGAAGCAAAAGGCTGCCCTGGGCTCCGGATTGCCTCGGATCCCATAATACCCGCCCAGGATGTGGACCTGCCAGGCCAGCGATGCACCAGACCAGATCGGTACCATGCCTTCGAGACAGCAAAGACCAACGTGTTGCTGTCGTGTAGGTGGCAACGTGCTTCCCCGATGGGGTACAAGAGGAGCACCGTGAAATGCCAGACGCCCTCATTCCTCGCTCATACCCACAAAGTCCACCTTTCCCTGGCTTTCTCTAGCCCCTCCTCGGATTCCTACCATCTTCACGATCGACCTGATCAGCTGCTATAGTCTCACCCGACTTGTTGACACCTCTTAGACCTCTCGGACGCAAACATGAAGGTCAGCATCGCTTTTAGCCTCTTGCCTTTGGTCCTTGCCATCGGAACGACAAGCGTTCAAAGCTTACCTGTGGGCTCTACCCTGAGCAGGGTGTCCGGCTCGGTGGGTACCTAGCATGTGAACAGCCAGGCTGAGCACCGTCAGCACATTGTCTGACACGAGGCACCGTCTCCATTCATATGAGCAGGGTGAGGGCTACTCCGGTGACGGTACAGGTCTCTGGGACTCACAGAGTCTCAAGCGAGCTACTGGGAATGAGAAGTCCTGTGAGTTCGACGCTAGCATCTGGCCTAGCTTGCTCAAGCAGTCGCTCACAGTGCAGCCATCTATATCCTCTGTCGCCAGCCATCAAGAGCGTCCTGGACAGCGAGCTCAACCCATTGGCCTCCCACGCGCCGACCAAAGAGCGTCGTAGCGACATTCCCGAGAATCTGCACGGAGACGGTACGCATCCTCTTCCCCGAAGCGCAGTTTCGGCGTCGAATGCGAAGCGCTTCAGTTTCTGGGAGCATGCGCTCAACGTAGCGAAATGGGACGAGGCACACCGTGGGCCAAGCGAGCCCATCTCATCACCTGCGGAACGTTCAGTGGAACACCCTGCCGAGAGCGCCATCGCAAATCTACTCAAGCGCTTCAGCTTCTCTGAGCACGCCAAAAACGTCAGGATCTGGAACGCTGCACACCACATCCTAGACCACCCCATCGACCAGAGAGACACCACCGTTGGTACACCGCGAAAGAGGTTCGACTTCTGGCTGCACCAGGCCAATGTCCAGAAGTGGAATGACGCACACGCCGATGACAGCAACGGTGGCGACAGAGGACACTTCAACCACGGCCACGGCTTCATCCCCATTCGACAGCGAGAGGAAGACGCGAAGGTCAAGGCTCGATCGAGCTGAAAAGCCGGCAAGACAGTTATTGCTTCCCCGATGAGGAGGTCCCCATCCCGATGTCACTCTGATTTGGCCGATGGTCTTTGAGCAGGAAGCAGCGCCCTAGCGCAGTGGCTGTAAAGTTTATCGTACTCGTCCTCATCTGCCAGACCACTGGATCTACGCCCATCAAGGGACGGAAGTCGTAGGCATAAAGGCCCGGTCATACGTGCTTCCAGCCCATCTTTCCCTCCACCCTTGCCGCTTCGCCATGCGGGGCAGACCCACTGTACATTGTCACAAGATTGTCCCTCTCTCTGATTCGCCCTGATACTCCTCGAATCGATGGTGCCTCTTCGCTGCCTCAAGCTTCACTTTCATGAGTCCACTATTCACTTGCCTAGCGCGAAGATGCGGCCCTTTGTCTGTGTGGTGTTGCTCTAGTTGTCCGACGCTGCAATTCCCGAAGTCCGCGCGTGGCCTGCTGGCTGGAGCCTGGCTCCGCCTCTCCACGTCGTCCAACATCTTCCTGGGCTTCCCACTCACATCACCGCTCCATACTGCCCTTGAGAACACCCTCGGCCGTTTCTAGCTCTATTGCTCACCCCCTCATCCTCGTCACTGATATCTTATATCACTGGCTATCATAGTTGCGCGTCAGCCTCACCCGCCCGTCGCCGCCCCCTCGTTGGTCTCTTCGTCTACGCTTCCCAGCTTACTTCGCTGTCCGAAGGCTCATCATGCTATCCGCCGCTGAGCTTCAACGCCTGCACCAGCAGCAGCAAGGTGGTCAAGGTGCAACCTTGGTCACTGGATCCTCTGCTGGCGCACCCATGTCGGACCCCTTTCCTTCGCTCACCGAAGATCCTTTCCCAGCATCTGCTGTGAATGGTAACGGAAGGGCTGCCGGAACAAGCGCAGCTGCCGCTGCCGCTGGCTCTGGCGCCAAGGGCAACAAGCAGCAGGAAGCTCAGCCTGATTTGTGAGTTGTGTCGAATCTGTTGTCGTCCATCGCTTTAGTGCTGACGAGATCGTCTACCTAACCCCTGTCCTTTCGCAGCAACTCTCAGGCTGCATTCCCCTCGCTCGGATCTTCTGCCACTGCGCCCAAGGGTCAGTGGGGCAAGAAGCTGTCGTCGTCCACTGCTGGCTGGTCCGGATCTGCACCTGTCATTCAAAGAGCCGTCTTCCAGGACTTCTTCTCCATTCCTTACAATGAGGCCAACAGCGCAAAGGTTGGAGCAGCAATGACTGCTATCGAGAAGAAGTACAAGAATGCCATCAAGATTGAGGCTAGTACCACTCGCAGCACGAACACTACCAATTTTGTCGTCAAGGGAGCCAATGAGGCCACTGTCAAGGCTGCTCGCAAGGAGCTTAGCGTTTCCCTGGCCAAGCGTGTGACTCTCGAGGTTCCTATCCCGCAATCTCTCCGAGCTTTCGTTATCGGCGCAAAGGGAAAGAACCTGAAGAACATTACCGAGCAGACCAACTGCCGCGTCAACATCCCGAGACAGGACGAATCTGCAGATGGCAATGCAAAGCCATCTAGCGGTGCCCGAGACGAGATCGACTACGAAGATGACGAGCAGATCTCTGTCGTCATCGAGGGAGACGAGATCAATGCCCGACAAGCAGCCAAGATGATTCAGGATCTTGTCGCCGAGAGGACATCCAAGACCACTCAGCGCTTGACTACTGTTGAGCATATCTTCTACCCCTTCGTCGCTGGTCCCAAGGGAGCCAATGCAACCCGCCTGGAGACCGAGGTCGGCAATGGAGAGGTCAGCGTCAGAGTTCCCCCTCGTGCCGCTTTCCTGCCACCCAAGGAAGCCGAGGATGAAGAAAGGGAGCCAAGGCGAGAACGAGACCTGTCCATTGTGGTCACTGGAGACCGCGAGCAGGTGCACAAGGTGGTCCAGACCATTGAGGCTCAGGTGGACGAGATGAGACGCAACTTCCGCAAGCTTGATATCCAAGTCCCCAAGCGCCAACATCGATTCTTGGTTGGCGATGCTGCCAATGACATCTTGGCCGCAACTCAATGCAGCGTTGAGCTTGCACCGCAGGACGACCCCTCAGACAACGTCACCATTCGTGGACCCCACACTCAGCTTACGCTTGCGCTCGGCGCAGTCATGGACAAGGCCAATGCTGTCAAGGTCGAAGTCGTAGACGTCGTTGCAGCCCATCGATCTGCTGCTAACCCTCTTCAGCATGCCAAGAATCTGCTGCGGTGGCTCGCTGCCAGCGGCAAGCTTCCCCGAAGCGAGGGCGTACAGATCTACCCACCTCGGGCTGCTCTGATCGAGAGCACAGGCAACGTCCAGATCGAGATCGTAGGAGCCGACGAGGCTGGCGTCGCCCAAGCGCGAAGTAACATCGATGCAATTGTCAAGGGAACGCCCCCCAGCTTTACTGACTCGGTAGAATTTGACCCCTTGCTGCAAGGTATGCTTATCGGCAAGAAGGGATCCAACCTCAAGGAGTACGAGAAGCGAGGAGTCGAAGTCTTGTTCCCTTCAGCTTCAGCTGCTGGTGGGGAGAGCTCGGCCGAGATCCTGCTCTTCGTCTCCCCGTCAGCCTCTCTCCCTTCTGAGAAGAAGGCTCGCGAGGCTGAGGCCAAGAAGCTACTGGAGGGAGTCAAGGCTGACATTGTCAAGGCTTCGCAAACAGCCGCTGACTTCAGGACCGAGGTTCTCAAGGTACCGGCTAAGTTCCACAGGGCCATTGTCGGGACCGGAGGCAGCACTCTCAATGCCGTGCTCGGCGAGGAGCGCCTTGCCGACGTCCGCGTAGGAAACACGGGCGACCAGACCGGAAAGGAGGACACTATCACTATTCGAGGTCCATCTTCCGAAGTCGAGCGCGTTGCGACTGAGCTACGGAGGATCGCCAAGGAGGCAGAAGATGATGCTATTGTCAACGGACACGAGGTGTCCTTTGCTGTTGACCCTGCCCATGTCAAGCATCTTGTCGGCAAATCGGGCGCTGCCATCACTAAGCTGAGGGAGGAGCTGGGTGTTCGAGTGGACTTCGATGATGCCGCAGGTGCTGGCGCTACAAACGGCGCCGCCAAGCCAGCCAAGAAGGCTTCTGTCACCTGCAAGATCGTCGGCCGTAAGGAGAATGTCGAGGAGGCCAAGAAGAGGATCTTGGCCCAAGCTGAGAAGCTGGCCGACGAGCGTGAGGAGGTGCTCAAGATTCCGCAGAATCTGCATGCTGCCGTGATCGGTAAGGGAGGTGTCTGGGTCCTGAGGCTGCAAGAGAACCACGGCGTTCGCATTGACTTTCCCCGACAGGGAGGTGACAGCGCCAATGGCGAAGGCAACAAGCGCGAGCAGAAGTCCGACGAGGTCATTGTTCGAGGTGGCAAGAAGGGTGTCGCTGCTGCAAAGGCGGAGATCATGGAGCTTCTCGAATACGAAAAGGAGAACAACAATGTCGTGGAGGTATCTGTTGCGGCACAGTCCATTGCAAGGATCATGGGCAAAGGTGGAGCTACCATCAACCAGATCCGAGACGACAGCGGAGCTCAAATCGACGTCGATGCTGAGAATGGCAAGGACGCTACAAGGATCAAGCTGCGCGGAACAAAGTCTGCTATTGCTGAGGCCAAGGCAGCCATCATGGCAATCGATGCCGAGGTCAAGGGTGAGGAGACCTTCACTTTGCACATTCCTTCTAAGTACCACGGTCAATTGATCGGTCCTGGTGGACAGGGCATCCGAGACCTCATCACTCGTGCTACTGGCTCTGACGAGGCCGCTTCATCTCGATCGGCTACACAATTAGTGCAATTCCCTCGACGTGGAGAGCAGAATGCTGACGTTGTCATCGTCAGGGGTCCCTCTGCCATCGCTACCAAGATCAAGGCCGATCTCGAAGCAGCCGCCAAGGTCTTCACTGACCGAATCTGCCACGGTGTCGTTGCCACACCCGACCAGCAGCGCCTGCTCATTGGCCGAGGAGGATCAAGACGGTCTGAGCTCGAGGCAAAGTACAACGTGCGGCTCGTCTTCCCTGGCCGACCTGAGCACGGTCAGGAAGACGTCCTCAACGTCGCCGAAGTCGGCGAGGCCCCCAAGGAGCACATTGTCAAGATTCTTGGAAAGGAGTCGGACGTAGAGAACATCAAGAAGGAAATTGCCTCTTCGGCAGCCACTACTTCGGTCGTCAAGGTGCCGCGCTCCCTCGCCCCCAAGCTTGGCCAGCCGAACTTCTTCCGCGATGTCCTCTCTCGCTTTGGCGTCTCCATTGATACTCCACGGGCGAGTGGATCCTCCAGCTTGTCGAAGCCCTCGGGCTCCGTCGTCACTCAGTCTTCTGCTGCCGAGGCGCGCATCGATGCGGACGAGACCGACGATGATGCCAACGGAGGCCTCTCTTTCGAGCTGATCCAGCTCGACCAGTCGACCGAGTCGGGCCAGACTGTCGATTGGACCCTGAGCGCCAAGGGCGAGGCGGAGAAGGCCAGCGCCTCCTTAGCCAAGGCAGAAGCGTACATCAGGAAGAGCATCTCTGAGGCGGCCAATGTCACCCATGAGGGCAGACTGATCGTGCCCGAGTCGGCAGTGCCACGCATCGTGGGCAAGCGAGGGGCTGGACTGCAGAGCATCGAGGCCGACTCGCCTGGCGTGTCAGTAGAGATCCCTAGGGAGGGTGGCGGACTCTGCATTATCCGTGGATCAGAGAGTGCGGTGCTGGAGACTCGAGACCGACTGGTCAGGATCGCAACTCAGCCACCTAGGCGGGGCGGTAATGACTACTGAAGAATCGGTCGATCACGGAGGGGAGTGAGCAGGAGGAGCGAGGCAATACCGCATTAGTGGCTGGTTCGGGTCCTTTTCCTCTGCATGCTCGCTCGCTCCCATACACTTCTTATCATCATCATCATCACCATCGTCAATATAACAATCTTTCATGTCACTCATACTCTGTTCGTTCTCATGCTCGCGTCAATTACATCAGTGATTTCGATTCTACTCCCGCTGCATTGTGACCTGGTACAGTGCGCTCTTCTCCTCTTCCAGAAGAGCAGACACAGTCCCAGACTGACTGTTAGCAGCCCAAGCTCGCTCTGCCCACTAAACTCGCCTCCAAGTGGCCCTCCAGCAGGTCGTATAACCAAAGATGAACTGGACACTGCCGCCCGCCGCTTGACCTGCCGTCTCCTCCTCGGCGGCGTTCAGATCATCTTCAGTAACACCACCCTCTGGAGGGTTATTCGAGAAGTCAGGCATCGAGGCGAGGGAGGCAAGGAAGGTGTGCATTGCTCGTTGGGTAGGATAATCTATTGGGCTAGTGCTATATACAGATACAGTGCAGTGCGCGGGGAGAGTGGCCGGGGAGAGGGTTAAGAGGGGTCTGATGCTCGATGCTTTCCTAGTGTTCAAAAATGTTAGATGCAGAGACGAGACAAGAGGGACGAACCTGGGAGGGGTGATGCTGCTGAATCCAATTGGCTCAGAGGTATGTTCTATGGCAACAGAATGAGCGGAGGTCGGGAAGACACATGCCTGTGTGTCTAGGCAGTCGTCGTCAGCAGCGAGAGGCCACCGACAAAGGACCCCAGCAGAAGCGTCCCAGCGACGCTTCCTGCGACAATGATCCACGGCGCATCTGCTTGGCTCCGACGAGCAGCAGACGAGGAGCTACTGCTACCGCTGCTAGTAGATGCATCGGCAGCGCTGGAGTCGGTCACGTTTGTGCCGTCTCCCGCCTTGGTCTGGGTGACAGTAAGGACATAGATGTCCTTGTCGGTCTTGATCCCATGGTTGATATCAGAAAGCGTGATATCGTCCGAAGCATCAAAGGTTACCATCGTCGAGGTGTACTGACTGTTGTCTTGCGGGGAAGTAGTGCCAGAAGAATTGGTAGCGTTACCCACCAGCCAGTCTCGGCCATGGTCGTACCCATTAGGTGCGATCGTGTGGCTCTTGGAGGAAGACTCTTCCACAGAGACGGCCATGAAGATGGCGCCGGTATTCTGCTGAACCCAGTACCGGAAGTGCATACCTCCATTTAGACTCTCCTCACAAGTAGTGATGCCATTGTCGAAGTTGTACCTGTACAGGGCCGTCTGATTGACACTGCCCTGCCCATCATTGAGATTGGCAGCTTGATCGTCGCCGAGGCTGATACCGAGGCAGCTGTTGGGGCTGTAGAATAGCGACGAAAAGAAGGGCGCTGGGTCGGAGAGGACGGCTGAAGATGAAGCATTGGAGATGATGACGTTGAGTGGCTCTCCGAGGTTGGAGTCGGGAATGATCGTAAGATAGTCCTCTGGTGCCTCCCATCCCGTCATGGTGCTTTGCCGCTTCATGTGGCGCACGGCGGAAGAGGTGACCGTTGTGGTGGCAAGAAGCAGAGAGCCCAGGACTGTCAGGGCAGATGACGACTTCATGATGATGTTTGTGAGGAAAAGATGATACAGTAGTCTAGCTAGGTGGCGAACAGCGACTTCGAGTGAAGAGGAACGACCTGTAGAGTGAAAGTCGCCCAGGATCGAGATGAAGAGAGTGCTGCGTAGAGGAACCTTGTAGCGTACTCTTGTGTGTGACGGCTTGAGGAAGGATCGTTATGCCACCAAAGGAATGTCTGAGAGGCAAGAAGAAGGAAGGAGTGAGAGCGACTTATCGAGGGAGAAAGGAAGCTGATGGTAGTGGTCTCGTTGAAGGGGAGGGCACAACACGGAAGGGCTGGGCCAAAATGACTGGCAGGGGTGTCAGATCTGTTCCGCACGGCAGACACACAAACAGTGGCAACGCCGCCTCCACTCCTTCGCGGCCAGGCACAGGAAAGGTACCACGGCCCTGCCAAGCTGTCAACCATGTCCCGTTCCTGCCGCACGGCTTAGTCTAGATCAGCGTAAACCCTCCCAAGCGAGCTGTTGGCTTCATCATACCGTGCCGGTTGATGCTGCGACGAAGCCGCGTCCCTCTCGGCACGCCAGACGATGATTCTTGGCAGAGCCTCTCCGGCTTCCCTCGCGGAGAATTGCATCTCTGTGTTTCTTTCGCGTCGGGGTTCGCGACCCTGATCACCGACGGGGATAAGCGCAGCGCAGCCTCACATCTTCGCGTGATGTGGACCAAGCCGAACTCTGAGCAAGGGGGCCGTACCCTTGCTGAGTGGTCGACAGAGGAGCAGGTCGTGCTGCTCTGGCAGCCGGATGAGCCACGACTCTTCTCGTTTGCATTGGAGGGGCCCATCGCTCTGTCGCTCTGGAAGCTGCAATTGTTTGACATCACCCCCGAGAGACCTCCACTCACCTCACGCCAGCATAGCCTCCGACCTTACCATTCGAGAAGTCCGCCTTCCCTCCATGGACAGAGAGTGACGCTGCCGGAGTGATTGAACGAGTGGGACCACTAGCAGGGTATCGCTCATCCAGTCAAAGACAGGAGCTATTGATGTGCCGACGCAAAGTGGATTGTCTGTGCTACAGCAAGTGTTTGTTCACATGCGCACCGCATCACAATCAGCCTATAGTACTCTTCTGTCCGCCATCAGGGTGACTGATGCAATGGAATACGATTGCGCAGCCCGCATCGCCTTTCGGCGAGGCGATCATCTGTAGTATGGCCCGAAATGACTTACGATGAGCCCTCTCCAAAAGATAAGGGTCTGCGAGGGCAGACACTCGTTCCTAGTCTCACGGCTTACGATCATGTGTGCCTCTTTCAAATACCTGAGACATACTTCTCCTCAATCTGTCTTGCATCAGGCGGGGTAAGGTGGGGGGTATAGGCCTCGATCAGAAAAGGGTGTGGAGCTCCCTTACCCCGCTGAGACTTGGGTGGAGTCCCCACATCTACCCCGATGGCGTGTATCAGGGAAGCGCTGTCGGAGCTTCCCACAAACCCTTGCAGAACACACAGTACGGGCTGAGTGAATCTGTGCAAGGCATCTCACATGGTATGATTGAATGGCACGGAGAACATGTTGGGGCGATGTGGGGGCATCGGACGATCCCCGCCTGGGTGGCTCAGACCTGGTCGCCCGAGCGTGGTCCCAATGTAAAGAGGCCGGGGAAGAGATGAGACTCCACGATCAGAAGTTCTGCCGAAGCTGTGCCGTGGGAGAGACGGCAAAACTCGCCGGGCGGGTAAGGCGGCGACGGGAAGCAATGGGCACATGCGCTGTGGTGAAGATGCGTGCGGAAGATCGTGACCCATGCAAGGCGCAATTTCGCCGGAGACACACCGGCGACCTTTCCCTCAAACTGAACTCGCCGAAAGCGCCTGAGCCGATTCTCCAGAGCCCAACAATTCTTACTACCCCCCTTTTGGCTCGACTGGCGTCGAGAGCTGTAGAGCTAACACCCTGACTACATCTCTGAGTCTAGCCTTCCTGTGAGAGATTGTGCGTGCATCCAACCCGGAAGTCTCGCTTCGCGCACCTCTACCGCATTGACAAAAGAGGTCAGCAGAGGCCATGCGGGCTTGCAGGGCCCGCGTCATGTCACTCCTAACATGCTGCACCTTGCGCTCTGTGACCTCCTCAAGCTGTGTACCCGAGAGTGATCGCTTCATGTGCCGTAGTGCCCTCATGTGATCGGCCCTGGGGAAGCCAGCCACCTCCGTAGCCGAGGACGCAGGTCAACACGGGGGCCCATACATAACAAGAGAAGATTTGTGTCTTCCCCTCATTCCATCCCCAGCTTCTTCCAAGGCCAGACCATCCTCCTCCCCCTCTTTCGAACCCTCGCCGTGCCCACCATACAAAAATGGTTGCAGGCACAGACTTCGTTGCCTACGACGGCCCCGCCGTAGGCTCCACGAAGTTCTTCTCAAAGGCCAACTCCAAGCCTGTCTTCTACGCGGCTATTGCAGTCTTCGGCGCTATTCTCTACGGTGAGCTATAGCTGCATTGATACTCTGACTATCATCTCTGTCCATCACTCACCCCGGACATCCGCCTCTACCCTCCCTTGTTCGCAGGTTATGACGGAACATACTTCACATCTATCCTGGCCATGGACCAGTTTTTGCGTGACTACGGAACTCTTCAACCCAATGGTACCTACCTCGTCGATTCATCCCGACAGGGTATCCTCGCCTCAGCTGTGCAGATCGGAGAGTTCTTTGGCTCCCTCACTGCATCGTTTATCGGAGACCGCTACGGCCGCAAGGGAGGTTTCCTGGGTGCCTGCGCCTACGTCACCGTCGGTGTCATCATCCAAATCATTCCCAAGGGAAGCGTCGCTGCCCTCGGTACTGGACGTGCCATCCTCGGAATGGGTGTGGGAGTCGTCAGTAACGCTACGCCACTCTACCTTTCCGAAGTCGCACCGACTGCTATTCGAGGTGTGGTCGTCTCAAGCTGGCAACTGATGCTCGCCATCGGTCAAGTCATTGGTGCCTGTGTCGGACAGGGAACCAAGGACATTACCAACAGTGCCGCGTACCGAATCCCTATCGGACTCAACCTGGTCATCGTCCTCATCATCTGCCTCGGAATGCTCATCCTTCCCGAGTCCCCACGATGGCTCCTCACCAAGGGACGCGAGGAGCAGGCCATGGCATCGCTCAGGAAGATCAACTCATCGCAAGAGGACCCAGAGCTCGTCGCCTCAACCGAATTTAAGGCCTTTGCCCAAGCCCGCCAAGATGAGCTCGCAGCCCAGGGCGATGGCGGCTGGGCTTCTATGGTCAAGGACTCCGTGGAGAGAAGGAAGTTCATCTGCGTTCTTGGAGTCCTGATCTGCCAGCAGATCGGCGGTGTTCAGTTCATATTTAGCTACACCACAAATTTCTTTTTAGCTATTGGTATAGACGACGTGAGTACGATACGAACGATGCGACGAGGTGTGGTATGTGGTGTGGTTGGAATCGACTCGGTACGAGCATTTTGCGGATGCGCCTCGCACGGCGGAATTAAATTAAATTGGTCTGGTCGGAGTTTGAAATATATTCAAGCCTTGGAGGCTCGAGCTCAAAGTCGCTCTGTGGACCTTTTACTGACTCTTTCACTTCTCTCCCAATTTCGTACGTCTCAGGCCTTCCTGGTAACCATCATTGTCGACGTTATTGAAGTCTTCGGCGTACTATGCTCTTTCCTGGTTATCCCACGCTTCGGCAGACGTCCGCTGCTGATCTATACGTCAATCCCGATGGTCATCTCTCTCTTCGTCTGCGGTATCCTCGGTTGCATCGATAACCGCAACACAAACGAGAATCGCTGCATTGCTGCGATGATCTGCATCTACGTATTCTTCTTCAACGTAGCCTGGGGACCTCTGGCTTGGACCATGGCCTCTGAGCTCGCCACCGGCCAGAACCGTCAGAAACTCATGAGTCTGGGAACCGCATGCTTCTGGGTAATCGCTTGGGCAGTCACTTTTACACTACCCTACCTGTTCAATGATGAACCAGGCAGTGCTGGTCTTGGACCGAAGATTGGCTTTATCTACGGTCCAGGAGCGCTCATTGCCCTCCTCTTCGTCTACTTTTACCTTCCCGAGACCAAAGGTCGAAGTCTCGAGGAGATCAACGAGATGCTCGTCTCCCGTGTGCCCACTAGGAAGTGGCAGAGCTACACTACCTCCATTGAGAAGACGCACGCGGCTAGAGTCGATGCTGCTGCTGGTGTTGGTGGTGCAGGTCAAGCTCGACCTACCAGTGCGTCGGATGTGGATGAGGAGGCGGATATGAAGACGGAGGGAGAGGTCAAGAAGGGTGGGGAGCTCAGTGGAGCAAAGGAGACGATGAATGCTACGCATGATGCTTAGATGTCGGTTTTTGTTGTCATTCACGAAGGGGCGACCGGGCGGGCATTGGAGAGAAGCGAGCGAGGCGAGCGAATCTCCAATGCCCCCCCGGTCGCGCGTGCCGCGTATCGTGTCTTATTTACCAGTACATAGAATGAAGCACTGTGCTCTTGCCGAGAGCACTTGACTTGTCTCAAATATGTGTGAAGATCGTCCATTGGATTGAGATGGTACCCCGTGAGGGAAGAGCGAATGAGTAGAGCGAGAGACGGACGATGATCAGAAAGGGCCCGGTCCTTCCATCCTTCCCGCCAGGCTGGCTCGTGCTCAACTCTCTCCCTGTTGGTGATAGGGAAGTCGAATCGGACGGTACGATCGAAAGGATGATGATATTGAGAGCAGAAGTAACAGTGGTAAGGATGAGAGATATTAGTATGAAGAAGGAAACATGGCTATAGGGGTCAAAGCTACCAAGGCGGCCAGCGGTCAGGCACGGAAGTGTCACGCGACACTTCCGTTCCGAAATTTTCGGACACTAAAGCTGATTATGTAAGCCACGTTCCAACACTCCCCTACTATCCTTCCGCCCACTCTAAGCCACCGCTCCTCACTTCCGCTCCTCTGGCGTCCCCTCTTCCCGCGGCTGTCCTGTTGCGTGATAAGATCTACGATGCTGCTTGGTTTGCTTTGGCTCTGTACTTGTCCACGAGTCCCTTGTACTGCTCAAAGAAGAGGAAGAGCAGTGTAGTCTGGGGTTGCAGTCGGAGCCAGGCAGGCAGCTATGGCAGAGCGAGCAGAGGAGAGACGATGTGTCAGTCAGTCAGTCACTCACTCACTCTGGACCTGTGCTTCGCTCAGAAGTACTCACCCAGCCCCTCATGAAGACGGCGGGTCCATCCCTGGCCAGACTGGTACGAATGACCTGCAAAACTCCCTCTCCCGTCTTACTGTTCTGCACCCTAGACTTGACGACATCTACTGGCGTGCAAGCAGTAGTAGCCAGTGTTCCCGCACAGAACGAAGCTACAAATTGCAGTACAGGTCCATCTGTCATGGAAGTAGCCGAGAGGAGAGCTCCCTTGAATACATCGTACGATGCCAGCTGCGCTACATTCATCACGATGGACCGGGTCACGTTGGGCCAGAGACCGAGGAACATTCTCCCTACGCCTTCCTCGCGGGTGATTCGAAGCAGACCATTGAGACAGTTGCCGTATGCGAATCTTTCAGCCGGAGGTCGGTTCAGATCTCCACAGGTCCTCACCAGCACCAGCTCGGCAGGATTTCCAGTGACACCAGCAATTGCTCCAGCTGTACCAGCGCAGAGAGCCAGCTGTGCCGTCGTGGGGGTGGTCCCTGTAGGATTGGTAGGCGAGGCAGGTTCGGTGTACTGTGCCTTCATCCCTTCATATACGGCAAAGCGCGTAATGGAGTAGGAGAATTGACGAAGCCAGGTAGCCGTCAGGCCATGCCAGAGTCCACGTACACCCTCCACGCGAGCTGTATCGGCGACACTCTTGAACATGTTCGTCTTGCCAGCTGCAGTCTGTAGACGATAGCGGGTGAGATCTAGAGGGTGGGTAATAGAGGCAGCAGAGGCGGCAGCTGCGCCTGAGAGTAGTTGATGGGAGCAGAGGTCGAGGGTCAGCTTCGTCTGCTGCCGGTACTGCCCACACGATTGCAGCTGAAGTACTCACCTCCGAGCCAGAAGGGGTATGCTTGCTTCTTTTGTGCAGTGGCCATGGCTATGATTGGGCGTGGGGTAAGGTGAGAGCCAGAAGGGGTTTGGGGTATGAGGTAGAGGAGGGGGCTGTAGTGGTTCAGCAGGGCAAATGTGGTATCGAGTGGAGTGCAAGGGGATGATACGGAAAGGAGACTGGAAGGTGTTGAAGCAGGAAGAAGCTGACTATCGTGAGCAATCACCGGAAGCCAGATGTGTGGGACAAGGGATGGATGAGCCAAGCGAGGTGTGGGCGAGGGGGTGCCGGGGGGCGAGGGAGAGAGAGACGAGGTGTCAGGCGGACAGAAAGGGTGGTTTTCCGAGGGAAGGAGCGAGTCAGTAGGGTAGCACTGCTCCTCCCTGGGCCGCTTCTATGCATCCTCCGCGTTCCGTGTGTGGCCGAGAGAGCCGAGGGGGGCAGGTTGAGCCCAATCAATCAGGTGCCCCACATCCTCTGCTCTCCATCTCTCCCTGCCACTGCCCTGCCTCACCTGACTAGAGGACCCTTCCCATTCTCGGCGCACCTGACCTCGTTGCTCCTCGGGCCCCCCCATTCCCCCAGCCAGATAAGGCAGCCGAGCTTGCCTCGGCTCTCTGCCCTGTCCTTCTCTGCCTTTGCTCTGGCTCCCGGCCCCACACCCCAGCATGGCCTGAAATGCGGGGTTTGGGTGGCCCATGCGAGAGGCGCCCGCTCATCTCCGCCTTGTCCGCGTATCTCCCACTGCCGCACTGCCGCTCTCCTGCACACACACCCCACAGCACGGCACGGCGTGGCATGGCATGGCACAAGGGCGCGCGCCAGGCTATGCTATGCCCCGCCACGCGACGCGGCGCAAGGAAGGAGCCAAGGAAGGTAGGAATAGAGCTCCAGGTGCTCGTGTACGGACGGACGAAGACGGGTGGTGATAGACGTCCAGTAGTAGTGGGGGAAGATCGCAACCCCCAGAAGCAGATGAAGCAGATGAAGGGAAGGCCTGAATACGACGGCGCAACAGACACCAGCAGACGCTCTCCATCGACTGAGGCTAATAGGCCATTGGAACAAGTCAGACCTTCAACACACAACACGCAAGAGGGACATGTTCGCTCGTAGTGTTTCGTTCATTCATTTGGTTGTTCGTCTTTGAAAAAGGGAGTGAGAGTGAGAAGAATGAATAGATGAAAGATACAGGGTGGAGAGAGAGAGACACTGGGAACCGGATCGCGAAGGAGAACAATTGGTAAAGGCATGCGCGCAGAGCACTAGGCCCTTATTGTGCTACCTGGCCCCTACCGCCTCCTTCGTATGCTGGATTTCGTCAAGGGGAAACATTCAAGGTGACCATCGAAGACGTGCGAGCCACGCGCCGTGCCTAGGCCGGCAAAAACGTATCATCGTAAAGAGAAGTGGTGCCTTGGAAGCCGTGTGCTTTGTGTATGTGCGAGAGATTTTCGTGAAGGTAAGAGTCGAAGTGCGAGCTCGTAGCGTGACGCGTTGATAAGCCTGGGGTGTATGTATTTGACAAATGAAGAGAATGATCTAGGTGACTTGAGAAGATGTTGTTGATGAAAAGCGGAATTTGAGCTGGGATATGTGTGTATCCAAAGGAGGGCCTTGGTAGAGAAATCCTTGCGTGACGAATTGACACTGCTGTTGCTGCGTAGTGAAGAGCGTGACAGGAACGTGCTATGTACTGATCGGTTCAAAAGTACCTTTCGTTGAGGGCAGCAATCTCTCTGCAGAGGAATCCCCAGTTGAGCCTCAGAGCGTCAGCCTTGATTCCACTGGGAGAGCCAGAGCCAAAGGCCCTGTCTGCAACATTGGCCACGCCGAAGCCATAGGGCGATCCAGCACCCTGCCCGATGTCGACGTCGAGGTCAAAGGCGTCGTCTTGCTGCTGGCTTGCAGCGAAGCCGCACGAGGCCCCGACAGGCTTATTGGTGAGCTGGCGAGGAGGCAAAGTAGGCTGTGCTCGCTTCTTTGCCTCGAGGGAACAGTCGATGGCTGCGACCTGACCATCTGATGTCATGGCAGAATGCTCTCGCAGAGCTTGCTGTCGCTTCGCCTTTTGAGAAGCCACGAAAGTCTCCCAGCCTCGCAGCTCCCAGAAGAAGAGAAGGTGAGGCTGGATGAGGATAGACAGTCGGCGAGAGCGTACAAGTAGGTAGCTTTCGACCAAAGTCATGTCAAGGTGCGCCATAACATAGGCCAAGACGATGGTGGTGCTTCGAGAGACACCTACTCGGCAATGCACGAGCACCTTGCCACCACTTCGGCGAGCGGACTCAATGTACTCGACTGCTACACGCATAGTAGACCTCAGAGGGTCAATGCCATCATCGGAGACGTTCTTGAGGTCGAGGACAGAGATGCGTCCCGCTTGCTGTTCGTGCCACAGTGCATTGAGAGCCTCAGACTCTGGAAGGCGTGGCAACGTCGTCTGACCACCTGGACCAGATGAGTCTGCTACCGCTGCAGCGGAAGCAGCGGGCGGGTGAAGAGCGCTCTCGCCAACGGAGACGACATGGGTAATGCCGAGTGCATGGAGCATCGCCGGGTTCAGGGCATGGTTGAGATTGCCTAGGTACAAGAAGGGAAGGATTCGAGAAGGGAATGCGCCTTCGAAGCGAGGGTTGGTAAACCAAGCGTGGGAGGCCGTGGCCTCCTTGGTAGCGGCAGCGGCTGATTGGGCAGCCCGTACCGAAGCGGGCGTGGGCGTCAGCGCTCTCGAAGGAGGACCCATGAGATCAACATTGGAAGGCGCAGAGCTAGTAGGTGCGCCGCTTGGGTTAGTCTTGCGAGCGCCAGCAGCAGAGACCAATCCGGCAATACCTCGCTGCCAGACACTCTGCTCAGCATTGACCTCAGTAGTGCCAGCGGGCACGCTGTCTTTCCTTGCCACAGGTGAAGAGCTGCCGTTGCGACGTCGCTGATCTCGCTCTTCCGAGCCCAGCCATGGGAAAGAGTGCTTCGACCTAGCTCTGTGAGAGCTTTCAGTCGGGCTTTCGGGCCTCTCCGGTTCTTTGGGTCGAGCGGCCACAATGTACTGTTCTAGCTTCTTGAGGAAGGCGACATCGCGAGCATAGACGAAAAAGGAGCGCTTGGCCCGCTCCTGAAGATCGAGGTAGGCCTCTGGCAAGCTGAGACCACGTGCGTACATCAGGTAGGCCAAGGCGAGAATGGAAGTCTCAGTGTATCCGTCGCCACAGTGAAGGAGAACGCGATGTGGCAAGCGTTTGCTCGGAACAGCAGCTTGCTGAGGACCTGCGCTGGCAGAGGTACTCCGACCACGGCTGCCATTGACGGGTGCCAGATGGGGCGAAGGGCCATTGTGATGTCGTCCATACTGAACACTTCGGAAAGCGCCCGCTAGAATTCCACCATGAGAAGAGCTGACACTCGAGGGAGCGGCGTTGACCGTTGAAGTGGTGAGTGCTGCTTTCGGTGGTTGTGCTTGAGCCTTGATCCATGCGCACAAGTTCAGGATGTCGGAAGCGGCCTTGGCGAATTGCGCTTCTTCGGTGAGACCGCTGACAGAGGAGCACTCCAGGTGGACCAAGTCGGAGGGACCGTCTCCGTCAAATCCTTTCCCTTCGGATCGCGCAGGGAGCTCGGGAGCGAGAATAGAGGCTTTGTGACCACATGTCCCATGACTGCCGCTGCTGTTGAGGCCATTGAGGCTTGACTCATCCATGTCGGTCGATTGAAGCGCGCGGAGGATGTGGCGGTTGCTGTCTTCCATGACAGAGTCGTAGGCGTCAAGGAACTGAGATGCATGCTGCAGCTTATTTGAATCTGGGACGTCAGCGGCGTCGTGGCACTCGATGCAGATCGAGAAGCCATTGGGGTTGGCTTTGCGTGTGGAGTCATCGTCGCTCATGCTGAGCGAAGAGAGAGAGCCACAATCGTCGTCACCTCTGATCAGAGGAACGTCGGCGGAGCAACCCAGCCAGACATTGTCATCGATGGCAGTCGCGGTGGTCAAGCGCTGCATTTCTTCGCGCTCTCGATCGACAAAGTCGACGCGGTCATGGGGTACGCCGTGACGGTCGATAGCGATCAGATGCGGGAATTGTTCGAATGCGTCAAACGCCTCGGTCACTACGAAGACGTTGTAGCGCAGGCCACCGAGCTTTCGCTCGAGTCGATTCTCCCAACAGGTCTCTTGAGCTTCTCTGAACCACTTTGCGAGAGTGACAGCCCCTTCGTGGATCCCAAAAGGACAGTAGATGACAATGTCGGAAATCGTTGCGTACTTTGCAGCCTGGATCTTGAAATTACGCAAATTGACGCCAGGATTCTGAGGAGGCGTGAAGAATGAGGCTGTCTCTACCATGACGCAATCGCTTTGTTGCAAGGCCGCGGGCATAGCAGCCGGGCTAACGTGAAAGGTCTTGTTTGTCTTCCTGTTCAACATGAGAGGTGGTACAACGACCTCGTAGGGGTACAAAGACGAATTGAGGATACACTTGTCGGGCTGGGGATTGTACGAATTCGACATGGTGCGACGGTGGCTCTTCCCACTGTCGTGCATCGACTCGCTTGCGAGTGAAGTGGCAAAGCTAGTCTGCGACTCGGAGCGAGACTCGTCATCATCATCGTCATCGTCATAGTTGTCCGAAAAAAATGAGTGGCCTCCAGACTGATCAGACGAGCCCAACGACGAGGTAAAGGAGGCGTTTGAGGCGAACGTTTCTAGACCAAAGCTTGCTAGACCGCTGGATCCATTGTTGGTGCTCGTCTGAGTCGATGGTCCATTGTCGGTGTGTCCCTCGCCTTCTTCACCACTTGACCGTCGACTAGCATTGCCGCCGCTAGAGGACGAAGATGGTGAGGTAGGGTCGACAGACTTATCCTCGTGACAGTGACCAGAGGAGGACGCTGCACCGAAACCAGTCATGGAGTGTCCGTTGCTGCTTTCGACTCCCGACATCGCGAAGCGATTGTCCTTGGCAGATCCCGAGGCTGACTTGCGTCGACGCTGCTCTTGCTGGTGTTGCTTCATCATCTGGGCTTGCTGAGCAGGTGTGGGCAGATCTGCTCGAACGACGGTCAGGCCTCGATAATTGGGGGCGGGTTGACCAGAGAGAGGAGCCCTGAAGAAGGTGTTTTGCGCGACGTTGTCTCCGTCTACGCCATGAAGGAAGGGAAAGACGACTGAATGTGGCACGTCGAGTGCGTTGTATTGGGCGTGTACTTTTGCAAACTGGGCAGCAGTCATCGCCCTGATGGGCGGAGCGTCGTCGCTAGCAAAGATCTGAGGCAAGCCGTCCTGCTCGATACAAGTGCATAGCGCGGGTTGGTCGTCAATGATGGGGTATTGTTCGATGTCGTCGTATTGGAGGCCCCACGTTTGACCGCTCGATTGCTGTGAGTACGAAGGGACGATGTCCATGAAGTCCGCCTCGTGGTTGCCATCACCGACCAAGGAGGCGTATGAGGCTGCCTCGAGATCACCTGCATTGACACCGTCGGCAGCAGTCAACCGAGGGGTCGTCGCTTGTGGAAGCTCGTTAGCCTGGCTTTGAGCATCCAGCTTCGCTTGAATCTCTTGCAGAAGTCGAGGGTCTGATGCATATTGGCGGCTGCCGGCCTGACTAATTTCTCCTTGTTCTTGCGGAACCTGGACAGACACAATCGTCGAAGAGCATTGACCGTCTCTACTGGCTAGAGGATGAAGTGATACGCTGGTCGCTGGGTGCTGGGCAGCCATGCTAGTAGCCATCAGACTTTGAGGGGAGGGCGAAGAGGCGCACAAGAGCAAAAGGACAGGGGAGGTTGCCGTGGCCTTTGTGAGCGGGCTACTCAAAGAGTGTAGTGGTCAGGTATGATGGTCGGTGGGGATGGTAACGAGGGTAAGAGGTAGAGGAGGAGGAGGAAGAAGAAGACTTGGCAGGAGACGTCCCTCGGTGCCGTGAATGTAGCGAGGAACGAAGAAGGGGGCAGGCCAAGCGCGGAGCAGAGTTGGCCCCTCTTTGCCGTTTGCTATGGGAGCGGGCGGACGTACGGCAGGGCGGGCGTTCGTTTGTCACAATTGCAAGTGCGGCCTAGGGTGGACGGCTCGACAGCAAAGAAGCACAGCAGTGGCGCAGGCAAGACGCCTTCGAAGGGACTGGCTTTGGAGTCCGATGTGAGGGCCTCAGAGAGCTTCACGATCGCGGCTGATTAGACGGATGGACAGAGGGACGGTGTCGGGCCCTTAGTCGAGGAGGAAGACGCCTGGTGAAGCAGGTGAACGGCGTCTGGACCTTGGCTCAATATTTGACGGAGAAATGCTCGGTCCCTATGTGATCGACAGTGGGAGGGTGCTCAATTTGCGCTAGAGGGGAAGCGGTTCGTGCGGATCGTGATGGAACGAGAATTGGGGATGGGGAGGGGGCGGCGGCGGCGGCTGGAAAGGCCAGAGCAAAGGACGACGTATTAAGGGACCTGGACAAGGATGCTGACGGCGGTGGTGAGGATGAAGGATGATGGAGGAGAGAGGTAGAGGGAGAGGAAAGGAGAAGTATAGGGAAGAAAGATTGCCTGTTTCATCATTCACACTGCAAGCTATGGCCGTGTGTCGCGAGAAAGGGGGGGGGGGGGCGTGAGGATGGTACTGGGAAGCTCCACTGGGCCCCTCCCTGGCTCCCCCTTACTGCCTGCCTGCCTGCTGCCCTTCCCCCTGCCTGTCGGCAACGCCTACACGCGGGCGGCCATGCACATAGCCAGTCGGCACGCCGCTAGCCTTGCCCGCCGGCGCCAGCCACACCACGTGGATCGTCTTCGATCGGAGATGCCAGTCGTGGCGGAGATTCGAGGGATGATTGCCGTGCTCGCGTGGTGCCTGGGGGCTCCTCGCGACACCTCACAAAGCCCCTTGGCCCCCCCCTTTTTTGTTGGTGAACTTTGTTTGTGCTTCCCTCGTAGCCACGCTGCTGCGTGCCATCAGGCATTCCTGCGCGTGAGCGGGGATCTGCCAGCCATGAGTCTATTCGCCTGTTGAACTCCAAGTCGACTCCGCCGAGGTCTAGCCGTCCCGTTACACATGGCTCGCAGCTCGCGTGCGAACCACTTGCAGAGCAGCCTATCACACTCACGGTGACATCAAGAAGGCCGTTGCTCGGTATTTTCTTTTTTCCCAATCAACGCCTGCCAAACGGGCACTAGAAAAGCCTCTGGCATTGTGAGTGGACCTCGATCTGCACGCCAAATGAGCACAGCACCGGAGACGAGTGAACAAGGGTGGGTGGGGGTCTACACGTACACACCCTCGATCGTCACACGCTACCACTTTGGGCTGCCCCTTTTCCCCGTTTGCATCGCGACGTGCAGGCTGCAGAACTCGTTGCCCCTGCCCCTCTCGTCACCGCCACCGATCCTTCGCTGCGCCAAGGCTGTCCTTGCGCTTCTTGCCTCTCAGTCACTCCCCTCCACCCATCCATCGGCCTTAGGCTCCCGTATGCAGGGCAGCCTGGAAGGCCGCACAGCAAAGCCACCGACTTTGACCTCTTTTTGCTTCCCCTCACCAGACTATTGCACCCCTATTGTCCCGTAAACGCGTATGGCCGGCCAGAGCAGCGGCACAGCGCGGCATCACGGCGTTTCAAAGATTCTGCGATAGCGCCTGAAGTCCGACGATGTGAGACACATGGATCGGACGAGAGCAGATAGATGCCGTTGGCAGCCATAGCTTGCGAATGACGACAGTAGCGAGCGCCTTGACTTCACACTTTTCTCGGTGCGGCCCTTTTCTCCGAGCTCGTCCATCAGTCAGCATAGCTGCAGGTACAAGCTGCGAAGCGACTCCACAGCTCGGTCTAGTCTTTGCGTGATCATGAAAATGGGGTAGGGTATATGCGGCAATGTCTAGTGTACAGTACAGATTCTTTCAGCCGTCGCTTGCGGCATTGTAACCATCTCTTTCCTCTAGGAATTCTAGATATGCTAACCCTACTGTGATCCAGAAGCTGACATCGATACCCAGCGCTCTCACCGCTTCTTCCTGGAAGACGAAGCGGCCGTGCGTCTTGCTGTTCCACAATGACCAGCCGTCCTGATCTTCATATCGCATCACCTCCACTGAGCGATCCTCCACTTGTGAAGAGGAAGACAAGTCAGAGTTGGGCACATCGATCCATCGGACAGAGAAGGATTTGGCTGTGTCAAAGGCAAGAGGGGGCCGAATCGGCTCGGGCACCAGGCTCCACACCCACCTGGCCCAGCCGAGGCGATGCGACCCTTCGGAAATTCTTCCTGGAGCAAGCGCAGCTCCGGCAGGCTGCTGCCGGGATGATGCTGGGGCAGAAGCCGCGCCGTCCACGAGCAGAAAGTAGCACTCCGTCGGTTGCGATGTCCTTTGCGATATCGGATGCGACCCAGGCGGGCGACTCGTAGCAGAAGGAATGAGGGCGGGCTCGACCAATGCGTCTGTGCTTCTTCCATCCACCTGTCTTCCGCCTCCTTTATCCTGTCCATCTGCTTCGCAGCCATCAGGCGCACGCGCCGCCTCTATTCTCGATATTTGAGAGCGTGCTGTTGCGTCTGCCAGAATTCCATTCACCAATCCAGCTGTTGACCGTTTGCGTGAATGGGTCCCATTGGGCTGCAGGGCGTACGAAATGGAAGACACTCTGGCTGTGTGGCCTTGACGTGACTTGTCACAAGCTGCACTGGGAGGTGGCTGCGTGCCGTCAACTTCGACTGCGATGAAGTCTTGACCGTCTGCTGCACCTGCTGCCTTGCGAACGATAGCCTCTCTCCGTACTGCTTCCGCCTTTTCAGTCTCCGTTACCTCCTGAATATCAGACAGGCATCGACTCAGAGAGGCATTGTCAATCCGCGTCCGCATGCTGAAAGTGAGGGGCGTGCTGGTAGGATCGCGGACCCCGGTTGCCGAAGCCACGTACTCTGGGCGAGCAGGACGGAGAGGAATCTTCAGACCAGGCGGCAGAAGTGGCGAACGGATGTGGAGATACCATCTGCTCAGCGAAAGTAGCACGATACGTCAGCGCTCATGATGAAGTCCGGCAACGTAGCGCACTGGCCTCACTGGCGCTAGCTCAGATCACTCACCCCCTGGTCGGCCTGTGGATGGTCCACGACGCCTTTCCTGTCAGGGCGTCGACAACAATGTCCATTATCTCATCATCTGCTGTCAATTGTCGCTCCCTGAACCAGAGTGGTCTGGGCGGCGCTGACACTCCATGCTTTGGACCATGCTGTGAATAGCTTACGCTTGTGCGAGCCTGGTGCGATCCCTGAGGGTCCTCAGTCACCTGGAGACGGAGGTCTGAGACGGACTCGGTCGCCGTGTGGACCAAGTAAGAGGTGATGCGCGGCGCGAGGTTGTCAAAGGCATCGCTGTCTTCGCTGGCTGCCTGCGAAGCTAGTGTTGGTCTCGGGGAACGATTGGAATTTCCTCGGGGTGGGTAGGACGTCCGCGATGGTGAGGCTGCAGAGTCACCTGCTGCCAGAACAGCAGCCGTCATCGCAGACAGACAGGGAGAAAGGAGTCTTGCTGAGTCGACAGAGACGAGGCTCGACTTGAGGAGATGGAGTGAGATGAGGTGCAATCAATGGCCGGATCAGGGGCAAAGGAACAAACACACACCGGTCCGGAAATAGAGCTGTCAGACGCGAGGTGCGGAGTTCGGTCGTCTAGTCTCATCCACACAGGCCACATCCCCTCGTATGAGGCAAGGTCAGCCAAGTCCTTCCTATCTGATTGGCGAATCCTTCTGGCTCTTCCTCGATTCCTTTCGTCTGCTCCATCTCTCCTCGCCCTCGCTGGCTCATGGCCACAAGAGCCTCGCTGAGGCCATGGCTTAACACACGCCTTCCGTATGCATCGTCGTCTTCCCCTTCAGATCGGCCCTACATCCGCTCATCGGTGTCCTCTGCCCGAATCTGGCGGTCATGGGCAGAGCCGTCTCAGGCAGGCCCCTCCAAGTATGCGACATCAGCGGCAGGTGGAAGTGCCTATTCCACTGCTGTCGGGTCGCCGAGGCACACCGACCAGTCTGGGACCAATGCACCTTACCACGAAAGTCTAAGAAGGCCAGCAAAAGCCCAGACATCTCGCACGCAGAAGCAGGGCTTGAAGCTGCCGTCCACTTCTACCGGAGAGAAGTCTGAAGAGGGTAAGTACCCCTAATCTGAACTCTTTGCTTATCCTTATCTCGGCCGCTGACTATCGCCGCTTACTCTGCCCTGTATCTCAGCACCTCGCAATCCTCTCGGAGTCCAGCTTTTAGCGCCTGGCTTCTCGGCTCAGATCTTTCCTCCGACATCCGACCCTCCCCCGCCTCTTCATTCGCACGCGGTTTCGCTTTCCCATGCTCATCTAGCATCTCATGGTTTGTCTCCATCACAGGGCTCAAAGCTCAAATCCACCGACTTTCCACTACCTCCTCTGCAAGGCAGAGATCTAGGGGAGCACTTCTGGAATCTAGGAAGGGAAGCAGCTCAGCCATGGCTCAGCCTCTCAGAGGATCTGGCCGGGGCTGCGCTACTTGAACCGCCTAGCGAGCTAGCCACAAGTCAAGAGAGACTAGCAGAAGTCGACGATGATGGGCGGCCTTCGCCTTCTCATTGGGTTTCGATGGACGCCTCTTTGCGGGCGATGATGGATCCACGGGCTGCGCAGTGGCTTCGTCGCTCGGGGTGGACCAAGTATCCAGTCTTGACTTCTGCCGACGGCAGAGACTCGATCCTTGGAGAAGGTGAGGCAGTACCCTACCCTGATCCGAGTGACGGCGCTTTGGTCTTCGATGTCGAGACAATGGTCACAGCTGGGCCGTACTCTGTCATGGCTTGCGCTGCAGGGCCCAAAGCTTGGTATTCTTGGATCAGCCCCTGGCTGTTGGGAGAGACCGATCGGAAGGATCAGCTCATACCTTTCGGGGGAGATGGAAAGGAGAGACTCCTCGTTGGACACAACGTTAGCTATGATCGCGCAAGAATTCGCGACGAGTACCGGCTGCGTCAGTCAAATATACGCTTTCTTGATACTTTGTCCCTCCACGTTGCCGTAAGAGGCATGTCATCTCCGCAACGACCGGCCTGGATACAGCATCGCAAGAATCGTGCACAAAAGGCTGCTGAAAAGCTTCTTAACGATCAGCAATTACGAGACGAACAACGGCAAGAGCTTCTGAAGCTGTTGGGCGGCGAGGAAGTTGATGCGACCGGACTGGGGAGCTTGGGCGATCTAGGTCTGGATCTTGAAGCCCTTTGGGACATGCATTCTCCGACCGACTCAGTCATGCCCTTGCCACTGTCAGCAGACGGAGAAGTCACCAGTTTCAAGGACAGCGATGTTGGCTCCACAGGGCAATTGCAGTGGCAGGACATCAGCTCGACGAATTCGCTCGCCGATGTCGCGTCGCTATATTGTGATATTCAGCTGCCGAAAGAGCTGCGCAACATCTTTGTCGATGCCAAGGATAGGCGCGAAATCCTCGACGAACTGAATAATCTGCTCAATTATTGCGCCAGAGACGTCTCTGTCACACATGCTGTGTTCTCAAAAGTCCTCCCGGCTTTCAGAGAGACATGCCCTCATCCAGCCACCTTTGCAGGTGTTTTGGCTCTTGGCAGTCCCATTCTGCCTGTAGACGATGAGTGGGTCCAGTACCAAGAGAGATGTCAACAGAAGTACGAAGACGCTCTGAAAGGTGTCAGGATAGCACTCATTGAGCTGGCCGAGGGACTGCGAATGACACACTCAGTGAAATGTGAAGAAGGGGAGCCCAAATGGTGGACGACCGACCCTTGGCTGTCTCAACTCGACTGGACACCTAAGAAGCCCAAGAAAGTCAAGCTCTCCCCTGATAAAGACGATGACGAGTCAGACAAAGTGCCGCGGTGGTATCGTGATCTTGTCCTCGGACCTCGACCTCCTTCGACAGCACAAGGCACAGCTGCTGAGATGCTACTGCTGACGCTCGACGGCCAACCGATTGTTAAGCAAGATGGGAAATGGTTTGCGGGTGCTGAGCTACTGCCGTCAATGCCCACTAGCAAGCAATTCCTCTTGAGCGACGCGGGAAGAACGGTACGATCAGCGTTGGGAGAAGAGGGAGAAGCTGTTCTGACGGCAGTTCGCGAGAAGCTTCCCAAAGCCGAAGTCTCAGAAAGACTGCGAGCCGCAGCTGAGCTTGTTCTTGCACAGTCGGGCTCAAACAGCTCTCTCCGAACCAAATTGGACGCTCTGGATTGGACAACTGTTCACGCTCCTGTGCCGGAGGACGAGGCGAGCACAACATCTGGCAGCGAAGAGGTCACCTGGCCCAAATGGTATTGGGACCTGTTCAAATCTGCCACCGGTCTGCTGGAGCTTACGATCCGAACTAAAATTGCTCCGCTGCTGCTCAAAGTCTCGTGGCGAGGCTGTCCCCTCTACCACAGCCGAGAGCACGGATGGATCTATCAGCATCGGATCAGTGAGAACACAGACTTCTCGACTCGGCAAAAACCACTCGTCTTCAAGCATGAAGCAGATTCAGCACTCCAGGAGATGTCGGCAGATGTCAAGGCTGCCAACTCTGTGCAATTCTACAAAGTTCCTCATTCGGCTGGCGACGATGCTAATGTCGGAAGTCCCTTCAGCAAAAGCTTCGTTGGTTACTTCGAAGACCAAACACTTCGTAGTGAGCACCCTGACGCAATGGGCAAACAGACTGCCAAGGACGCTCTAGAGCTGAATGCTCAGTGTAGCTACTGGGTTGGTGTGAGGGATCGAGTGGCCAATCAAATGGTCGTATGGGAGGGCGAAGGCGACTCAGCTATGGGCATCGAGCCTGGCACCAGCGGGATGAGGATCGGTGAGGCCGAGGCTGCTAGACAAAAGGGCCTCATCCTGCCTCAGATCATTACAATGGGCACCATCACACGTCGCGCTATCGAGAAGACCTGGCTGACAGCTTCCAATGCGAAGAAGAACCGAGTCGGATCAGAGCTGAAAGCAATGGTGAAGGCACCCCCCGGCTGGGTCATCGTGGGCGCCGATGTAGACTCTGAGGAGCTTTGGATCTGTTCGGTCATGGGAGACGCACAATTCGGCCTCCATGGTGCGACAGCTGTTGGCTGGATGACGCTAGAGGGCACAAAATCTGCCGGGACGGATCTTCATAGCAAGACGGCTAGCATCTTGGGGACTTCTCGCAATCAAGCCAAGATCTTCAATTATTCCCGCATCTACGGTGCCGGCATTCGTCACGCTACTCAGCTACTGCTAAAGGCCAATCCCGCGATGCTTAGAGGAGAAGCCACTCGCCTTGCAAAGGAACTCTACGCTACGACCAAAGGCAACAACACCCACTCTGCCGACAGCTTTGGACGCAAGTTCTGGTTTGGTGGGACGGAGAGCTTCGTCTTCAACAAGCTTGAAGATGTTGCACTAAGTGAGAGACCTCGAACACCCGCGCTGGACTGCGGAATCACAGCTGCCTTGTCACGCAAATTTCTTCCCAAGGCACAATTCGGTAACGGTCGATTTGGTGAAGACTTCATGCCCAGCCGCATCAACTGGGTCGTTCAGTCAAGTGGTGTGGATTATCTCCATCTCCTGGTGACCTCCATGAATCATCTGTGTAAACATTACGACATCGCAGCAAGATTCATGCTGAGTGTTCACGACGAGGTGCGGTACCTCGCAGAGGAGAAGGATGCGCACCGAGCAGCGTTGGCGTTGCAGATTGCAAATCTCTGGACCCGAGCTATGTTCGCTTACAAGCTCCAGATGGAGGATCTGCCCGAGGGCGTTGCATGGTTTGCTCAAGTGGACATCGACAAGGTCTTGCGGAAAGAAGTTGACGACCCTTGTGTCACTCCTAGCCAGCCTGAGCCTATCCCTCATGGCAAGGCATACGAGATTGCCGAAACGCTGGACCTCACTCATGGCGGGTCGCTATACAAAGACGGCAGGCCTATGGGGTCTGAGGGGCGCCGAGCTGGCTTAGAGACAGGAGCTTATCCGCCTTACGTTCCCTCGGACCAGAAGCATCGCTCGCTAGGCGAGCGAGGAATGCTCTTCCTCCAAGCTCAGGCTTCTGGCGATATCCACGAGATTCGCGCTTTGGAACGTCGAGCACAAGGCCTGGAATCGAGATCAGCAGAGAGCGGTGATGTGATGAGACCTACTCAGGCAGATTTGATTGACGTGAGCTCGAAACGAGGTGGCAAAGCAGAGGCCAAGAAGCGAACATATCAGAAAAAGACATCGCAACCTATGCCTAGAAGAGCTGCCCCCCCTCTTCAATCGTCGTCAAAGGCAAGTCTCGATCGGAAGGAGGCGTCTTCTGCTCGCCTGGCACAAGGCTCGGTGAGATATTCATCGACAAGTGCCCATGAGGTTGTTGCAAGCTCCCTGTTGGAGTTAGCACACGCAATCCCGGTGCGAAGACGAGCCCCGATAATTGTGGAAGACAGTGGGCGCTACTGGGAGTTGCCTGGCTACTCCAGCTACGTTCGATGGCAGCTTTACCGTCAGCTACTTCGCAATTACCCAAAGCGCTATAGGCGTCATCTGAGACGGGCGATCCGTAGCCGATTCCGGTTGTTGAGCGGTCATGATACCTCTGCAGCAACCGCTCTACGCAATATAGAGCGTGCTGAGACTTTGTTGAGATTGTTCAAAGCCGCTAATGCTCGGCAGGACGGAGCGCGGGAAGCACTGCACAAGCTGACTGCTGAGCGCGAAGAGCGTTATCGTCTGTTCAAGGAAGGCCTGGCAAGGCATGCGGCCAAGGGGACTGGACGGCGTCCGCACATTCTCACTGGATCCCTTCTGCGACCCCACACCTCCCACGGACCTCTACTACGCGTCAAGCCTCCTCAGCCCAAGATCTCGATGATGATCCTTCACCGACGTCTGGGCCGCACTCGCCGCATCCACCGTGGCTATGAGCTCTTGGCAGAAAAGGACATGTTGTCGCAAGAAGGCAACTTCTACAAGGGTCTGCTGTCACAAGTTCTTGAGCCGCGCAAGCGAGAAAACGTCGACAGGCCCCAACTTCCTCGCCAGTCAGGCCGGCCAGTGTACAAGCCTCGCACCGTGCAGCGGGCGGAGGCAGCTGCTGCAAGACAGATACGGATTGCCAAAAAGAAGGAGCGATCCGACCTCCTGGACGATCTCAACAAGTTCGGACCAGGCTTCACTTGGTACGGTCCCATCTCGGATTGGCAGAAGGAACAGACACAGAGCTTCAAGCGCGACTCGGAAAGAGCCAATGCTCAGTACACGCCGGAGATGTTGATGAAGGCAAAGGCAGCTAGACGAACTCACCATGCGTACTTGACTATGAAGGCGGAGAAGCGGAGGCAGCAGAAGGCAGCAGCTAATGTCAAGGAGACGACGACAGGGCAAGCTTGAGGGTTGAGGGATATCTATACTCCTGTACACTACACATCTCGCAGCGTCCCATTAAAGGAGGCTTTCTGCCACTGAAGCGGGACGTTCAATGCAATTTCAGCTATACCACCCTTCACGCGTCACTCCCCTGTTGGGCAAGCGACGGCGTCCAGTTCATCTTCTCATATACCACCTCCTGAGGGAGTTGCCTGGGGCAAAGTAGGAGCGTTCAATTCATTTTCAGTTACACAACTCCCTGGGATGGTCTCAGGCCGACAAGCAGGGCGGCGTTCAGTTCATCTTCTCGTACACCACCCCCTGGGATGGACTCAGGCCGACAAGCAGGGCGGCGTCAAATTCATTTTCTCATACAGGACCCCTTGGGGTGGACTCAGACAGAGTGCCAAGTCATATGGAAGAAGCGCAGCATGTGAAGTAGTGATTGCCATGCTAATCAAGCGTCGTGTCTACATCGCAACACGCCGCTTCCAACTCCAGCATACAAAATTCTTTCCCGCTACACAGCAAAGTCGATTCTCACCGCTCCCGCATCTGTCCCAGTCTAGTTGCCAGCGACGGACTCTCCCTAGCTTGCATCCTCTCCTCGAGGGTAGGCAATCCAGGAGCTCCACCGAGGCGTTGCGCAAGCGTATTACTACCGCCGCCGCCGTTGCTCATGCCATCACCCCTGCGACCCCTTGCCCTGAAGCTCCCTGATCGACCGTATTCATCAAAGTCGTCTGATGCCATACGAGAAGTGGAAGGAGCGATGATGTCGTCTGACCATCCGGCCATTTTGGAGCTGACCATCGAAGGAGCCTTGTGCCTTCCCCTTCCTCTCACCTTGATGCCAGTATCGGGGGCGGCGCTTGCTGATCCTAGCAACTCACGACCGCTTGAAGAAGAGGCAGAGTAGCCCGTGTCGTCGGACGATGGTAGCAGTGAAGAGGCCCCTACTTGCCCACGAGCGGCGTTCCATTGATCCATCTCGTCATCCAAGTCATGCCTTGCAGCATAAGACCCTCTGCCTCGTCGGTTGGTCCTGCTGCTGCTGCTGCTTCCGGCAGCTGGAGGAGCATCGTAGCCATGGCCAGAGCTGCCGAGACCTCTGACTGGCGAGGCAGACCTCCGGCTGACATCGGAAGCTTCGCGAGAGGCTCGATAAGCATTGAGCTCCTCGTCAAGATTGTCCATGGCTGTGCGGTGAGTCGCTCCTCGTCCCCTGACCTTGCCCGCCCCACCCTGGCTGCCTTCGGCGTCCGGTAGGAGCTCAGCCTTCTCTCCAAGTGCTCCCACGTCGAGCATCCTGGACACGACTTCCTTGCCGGCTGAGAAGCCGTGCTCTTTGTACCACTTTGACTCATCTTTTGCCCTCTTGGCTTTGACGTCTGCGCTCTCGAGGGCAAATCTGGCCCAAATGGTTCCCTGTAGACGTTTGAGATGGTCCATTTCAGGCGAAGACCACGCAGCCTTTCTCTCCTCTGCTGCCATCTCCCGATAGATGTCCGGTGCGTCGTCTGGTATTGTCGAAACGCTGGGAGACTCGCCTCGCAGCCGCTCAGCTTGAGCAGCATAGTCTCGCTCTATGCCAGTGTAAAGTTTTGTAGGGAAGCGGTGAGCTGAACGTGGGACCAGGAGAGCCTCGAGGATAGCTTCGGGCCATTGCTCAAAGTTGCCTGACGACTCTCTGTCCACCTTGTATTCCTTTTGGGCAATTGCGATCCGCTCAAATTCGCTCATGTCTGGGAGGGCGGGAGTGGTGGTGGCAGCGGAAGAGGTAGATGGGGCTGGGCAGATATACTCGAGAGCGAGGCGGGCAGCGCTGGGAGAAGCAAAGACGACATTGACCGAGGTATCGTTGATCCATTCGAGGCCGAGAGGCTGAGCGCCGTAGTGTGTTACAAAGGCAAAGAGCCGCGATGTTGATAGCTTGGAGATTGGATTGCCAGTGAGGTGAAGAGCGGACAACCGTACGTCTTGACCACCGCCAATAGGGGATGGGACTTCCGGAGGTGTGTAGTCAGCTGTACGGGAAGGCAAAGACGGGGTCAGACGCGGCGCTTCCACTGGTCCAGCTGCTCCCTCCGCTTTGCGATCGGTCCGTACTCACCCTCCTCGTTCCAGGCTTTTGGTGCTGTTGCATCTGTTCCTTCCAGCTGCTCCTCTTCCGCCGGCAGTGCCCGAGGTCCTCTTTGAGCTCCAGCTTCGATGCCCAGCTCTGCTGGATATGGGTACATCTTCACTCCTTCGTAGGGCCTCTTTGCAGGCGAGGGCGATCGGCCTTCGCGATCGCCCATCTCGGCATCATCATCGTCGGCCTGTAATGTCGATGTGAGCCGCGAGCCGTCGTAGCGTAGAGGAGTGAGCGCAGATGCAGCGTCTGGATCTCCATAGTCGAGGTAGTCGGCCATGGCTGGTGATGGATGGGCCAAGGTGGTGAGCGCGAGACTTGGGTGGAGCGTGTTGGGTTGCAGCCGGCTGCGAAGGACTGACTGACTGGCCGACGGAAAAGGAAGCGGAGCCGGTGGGGGGGGGAAAGGCAGACTGACTGACGGGGCCGTGTGAGGGATGATGCGCTGCTGCTTGCTGCTGCTGCTGCTGCTGCTGCTGAGGCGCGGGTGCCCTGGTTGCTGCCTAGTTTTTTTGCCGAGCAGGGCGGAGTGTGAAGCACAGACGCAGAGAAGTCTGTGCCGCGGTGCAGTGCCGGGATGAGGTGCTGTGGCAAAGTGCCTGGGCCTCGCCTCGCCTCTGGTTCCCCACAGTCATCCCCTCGCCGTTCCCCGCCGCCGCCGACGTCGACGTCGATTGAGCGTCGCCTCTGCTCCAAGGCCACCTCGCCTGCTTTTCACAGCAGAGGAGCAGCAGCCATCCATCCATCCACCCCACCCGTACCGCCCTTCTCTTGCCTGGTCTCCCCCTCCTCATACCCCAAATACCCTTCTATACCCTCGTTTGTCGTTCTGACGCATTACAGATCTCCCTCTTCTACCCACGCCGCTCCTTTATACCTGCCCTTCTGGCAGAGCAAGACGCTGCGACACTCTGAGCCACTCGCCCGAGCAGGCTCGCCCCGCCTCTCCTTTGCCAAGCACTCGTCATGGCTGCCATCATCGACTACGGGCGCCGACGCGGTGGCGCAAGAGGTGCACGGCGTCCAGCCTCGACGGTGGAAGACGACACTACAGAATTGACACCCACCGATGCCCCACGCTCTCGTGGGCCTGCCACGACCATCTCGGGAACCGATGCTTACGCTGAAGACGCATATACCGCCGCCAGTGAGCCCGACAGTCGTACCACCATCGAGACACCCACAGAGTACGATGACGGAAGGGACGGACCGTATCGCGGGGCTGCTCCTCGAGATGTCGATGTAGAGCACAAGGCCACAAAGGGAGAAGATGACGCCTATCGTCGTCAGCAGGAGCAAGACGACCCCGAACCGGCCTTCTTCGACCCCTCGTTTCCATCCTATCAGGAACAGTCGAATCTAGAGATGCCCTTCTTCAACCACGTCGTTGCCAACTATGGCGAGATGGGACCCATCGGCAAGGCCCGTCTGATGTTCCGACAGGCGCTGTCCTTTGGTCTCTCCTTTGGAGGTCTGGCCCTCGTCTTCACCCTCGCCTTTGTTTCGTACTTCAACCCACTCAAGAAGTCGCCCGCTCGAGCTAAGCCGGATCGTGAATACGAGCGCAGGATCACCGGCGAAAGGCTCAGTGGACGACCCGAATACTATTCGGAATTCTGGGGCTACCAGTGCGACCGCCACGAGATCGTGACCGAGGGAGGCTGGATCCTGTACGCCCACCGAGTATCAGACCCCCGTCGACCTGGACCGCCCGGTCACCCAGTCATCCTGCAGCACGGTATTCTCTGCAACTCGTCCCACTTCTTCGTCAACGAGGAACGCTCTATGGCATTCTGGTTGGTAGATCAAGGGTACGACGTGTGGGTGACAAATATCCGTGCCAACTTCAACACTGGACACACCGAATTCACCCGCTTCGACCCCCGCTTCTGGGCTTGGGGTCTCAAGGAGCTGGCCTTTGATCTAAGGGACGTAGTCGAGTTCATCTGCGGTGCCACTGGCAAGCCTCGAGTGGCCTACGTCGGTCACTCGCAAGGATCCGGTTCCATGTACCTCGCCCTATCCCCAGGTATCTGCCCAGAACTCGGCCAGCGTCTCAGCTGCTACGTCGCCCTGGGTCCTTCGGTCTACGCTGGACCTGTGTTGAGAAAGTTCCCCTTCTCCCTCCTACGTATGTTCCGAGGCCGAAGATGGTGGTCGCTCGTCTTTGGAGTCAAGGAGTTCATTCCTGCTCTTGCCATCTTCCAAAAATACCTCCCCGCCTTTTGGTTTGGCCACATTGGTTACGTGGTGATTGGGTACCTCTTTGGCCACCACGACCACAACTGGCTTGCTCGACAGAAGCCCAAGTTCTTCCGCACGGTGCCGGTGCCTACCTCTTCTGAGCTCCTCTACTGGTATATGGCGTCCTTCTCGCACCGTGGATGCATCTTTGACCCGCGCATGTCTCAGCCCTGGTTCCCACCGACGTTCCCACCTCACTCTGTCGTCTACGGTGACATCGACTACCTCGTTATCGGCAAGCCGCTGATCAAGCGTATTGAGCAGTACGAGAAGAATCTCAACATCGTGCACGCCGTCGAGCTAGAGGGGTACGAGCACCTTGACATGATCTTCGGCATCGACGCTTACCGTACGTGCTTCCCGGTCATCAAGGACACCATCGAGAGCACTCTCCACGAGAGTGAGCGACCACAGGAAATGACCGAGTACACCGGAACGGAGACTGACTCGCGAGAGTACGACGATGAATACGTCAGGGAGGACGAGGGGACAGAGATGGGCACCTCCTTCACAAGACAAGACTCGCTTGTGACGGATGACAGGAGGAAAGGCTACCGCACCAAGAATGGATCCTCTCTCGGTAGACAAGACTCCCTCGACTCTGACGAGACTAGGAGGGGCTACCGCACCAAGGGTGGCAAAGGCAGTGGCTCTAGGTTTACCGATTCGATGCAAGACTACTCCAGAGGTGGCTCGAGGCGATCGGATTCAACTCTTCGAGCCCCCAGGGGGATCCCAAAGCGAGGAGCCAACAAAGATTATTATGAGGACTAAAGAAGTGGCTACTAGGCCTCTCACCTCCGGAGCTCGAGCTCGTCTTTTCTTACGATGATACCTTCACAGGCGCAAAACATTGCCGTGCGTTTTTCTCTGCTTTTTCCGGCCTTTGCCAGGTTGCGTTTCCATTATTGTATCTTGTTTGTTCTCTCGCAGGTATGCTCTTCTCTCTTGCCTCCTGTCTCTTCGTTTTGTTCTGGGCCCCTCTTGTTCTTTTACTCTTGTGCTTCCTCAGCAGCACGGTCCACATTCGCTACCTTCCTGACGTCCCTTGCCCTGCTTCCCACTGCCCCTTGGCTACACGAATGCAACTCCACCGTCTGTGTCATCTCCTGCTCCCGTGTGAACGTGCAATCCACCCTGCTCAAGTCCGTTGCCTCGTCATGTGTGTGTGCATGCTGCAGCCTACGTAGGCTGCAAATTACGACATATCCCCCCCTTGATGGCTTGCTTCCTTGCGCTCGCCATTCGTGCATGATTTGTAAAACCCGCACTGCAGCAGCAAGCGTGCATGAGGGGGCGAAGTGGAGTGGAGTGAGGACTGTTCCGGTCACCTCACCAAGGGGGGGGGGGGGGGGTCTTATCGCAACACGTGGTGGGGGGGGGGGGGGGGGGGGGGGGGGGGGGGGGGGGGGGGGGGGGGGGGGGGGGGGGGGGGAAGGGAACCCTTTAGGTTATTGCTTGCTTTGCTTAGGAATGAAGGAACGAATGACGGGATTCAGGCCCGCCCCGGGACATAGGGTGTGTGTGCTCTGCACTGCACCGAGGCAAGGCAAGGCACTTAGTGCTGAGGCTAGGGGACTTTGTCCCTTGAGATGAGGAGGGGGGAAGCACACACCATTGAGACAGGATCGGCAACGAGGAGGGCCAGAGGGAGCAATGGGCGAACAGGAGCTGGAAACACGTACGTTGTGGCTACCTGACTACACCACTGCACCATCTGATCCTCGAGCTCGTGTGACAATTCTCAACGTCAACGTGAGCTGGCAGGAGATCCTACCATCGCTCCTCCTCAAGACTCAATTGGCCCCTATTGCCCATCTGCCTCCCCTCTTCCCTACATCCCCTAAAGGTCTACGCCATCATGGTAGCTCCATCCCAGAAGCAGATCATTGACTCGCCCGTCGTCTCCGCATCCTCTTCGTCGTCTTCAACGAGCCTCAGTCCACCTCCAGCCCCGACCCCGACCCCAGCAGCAGCACCAGCTCAGCGCAAGTCTCGGGTACTGAGCCGCAAGACGCACCACTCAGTCATCGAGCGTCGTCGTCGCGAGAAGATTAACGAGCGTCTGATCCGCCTACAGTGTCTCATCCCCGCCTGTAGGGAAGAGGCACTAGACCTCCTCTCTACTAAACCTCCCAAGGCAGCTCGCGGTAAAGGAGTCTCCCCAGAGACAAAGGCGAAAGAGATTGAGCGCTCCTTGAGTGGAGAAATGGTACTGGAGAAATTGTGCATCATTAGCCACAGTGTTGACTATATCCTCGAACTTCAGACGCAAGTAGCAGCATATCGCAAGCTCTGCATGTGTGACCCACCGGTAGGAGATGAGATGCAACCGAGGGATCATCAATTGCACGTTGAGTATGCGCATGAGGGAATTTTGCACAGGGCGAATAAGGAAGAAGATGGGGGAGTGGGGTCAGAGAGGGATGGCAGTCCATCTGTTGGAGGTACAGGGAGAAATTCGGACACTCTGATCAGTCCTGCTACGAAGGTAGGAGCGGGATCTTTCAAGCGCAAGAGACACTGGGGAAGCAATAGGATTCCAAAACCCACTGCTACGGCGCCTAGCTCCGTCAAGCGGACTCGAGTCGATAGCAGGCAGAGTACAAGTAGACCTACAGCCTCTTCCGTCTCTCCAACTCATGAGACTGTAGAAAGCCTCTGCAACACCGATGTTGAGAGCCACGACAATGACGACGACGACGACGACGACGATGAGTCTGAGGAAGAATCGCACGAGGCAGTGACAGAGCCCGAGGTCGACGACGAGGGATACTTGGCCTTTTCAACGGACAGCAACAGCAGCATCGACACTAAAGTCCCAAGCCCAGACCCAAGTACACCTGGCTCCTTGACCACCAGCCGTCGTCCCTCTCTGTTGTCTCCAAGCACTTACCAGCTTCCACCTATACAGCAGCAGCAGCAGCAGCAGCAGCAATATCCTGCATCTTTTCCAAGTCTGCAGAGCGCTCCTACCCATCGAGCACGGCTGCGTCTACAGAGGGTACCTGGAATCCTCAGTCTCGGTCTCGGTCTGACTCCGGATGATCGATTGGGTCATAGAATGTACAGTCGTTATCCAGCCACTGGGCAGCCGCTACCGCAAGTGCACACAGAGGGAGAAGATGCAGAGGCAGGATCAAGTGCAAGTGCAAGTGCAAGGGTAGTGCAGGAGCGAGGAAAGAGATGCTGGGAATAAATGGTCTTTGCGCCGGTCGTAGAGCGAGATGAAGAGGATGGAATAGACAGACAAGCGATTGGACTTTCCATCGCAAGGGATTGTTGACCTTTAGGTCACGCCATCACAGAAATTCAATACCACAATCGTGTCCGAAAGAGTGGCAGCGCGAGCGAATGCGTCTGAGCAATGCGATGTACATTTGGTCGTAGGAGCGAGAAGCACTTTACTTTCCATACAAGAAGCAGCCAAAGCGACCGGACAGAGACCGTGAAGGACCAGAGGAGAAAGCGGGCAACAAAAGTACAGTGGGTGCTCTGCAAGGTACGGGAAGCAGGGGAAGGATATGGTGGGTATTGCGGAAGGTGAGAGAGAGAGCAGCTACGTCGTCGAGGGGTTGAGAGATGAATACCAAGGACTTCGAAACCCAGCTCAGACGTTGTTGTAACTGTACTGCTTGTTCTCGTAGTAGTACTTTTTGCGCGTCTTTGGGCTCTCGGTTCGGATCAGACCCAGCCACTTCCAGACAAATGGCAGTGCAAAGTGCACGACCATTGTGAGGAACACAGGTCCGAGGGTGAACCAGGTGACGATGACTTCTGCCTTCCACCTGGTCGACTCGTTGAGATATCTCACAATGTTGTCATTGGCCTCTGCCAATGTTGAGACGTCCCAGATACCCAGGTAGGACGAGTCGACGGAGGTTGCTCCGCCTGACTGCATGAGGGTGAGGGAGCCTGGCACACCCTTGACGAGGTCCTGAATGATCTGACGCAGGTAGAGCTGCTGAGACAAGTCGAATGGCTCAGAATAGGCAGACCCAGCACTGAAGCTCGGCTTCCGCGTGACGGCAAATGCCGTGACTGCTCCCGCGGATCCGGCAAGGAGACCGCTGAGGAGGAGGAAGATGAGTCCCATGAGGATCCAAGCGCTGGTTCCTTTGCCAGTGTACTCTCCACGTCTACCGCCAAACTGTCGACCGGCGAGGACCAGACCGACGGCAGAGAAGAAGAAGGTCAAGGCACTGACGATGAGTAAGACCAACTGGATGGTGAGCCAATTGTTGTCTTCTAGTGTGACAAAGTCTGCGAGATTGCTGTCTGCCATGGCACCGCGCACATCGTGGAATATCTGCAACAAAAGGGAGGTCGGAGAAAGTGAGATGGAGCGAGTCAGATCGTATGAACATCTTCTTGGCCCCTTTCCATTCTTGTGCCCATCCAGCTTAGCAGACCGTCATACTCACGCGTATGTCAGCGCCACTGATTCCCAGCAATGCAGTCGAGAAACCAAAGCATGCGAGGATGAGTGGGATCTCCAAGAGTTGTGGTGCAATCGTCGCCACCATTGTGTGGGGTGTGTGTCAGAAGGGAGGGGAAAGTGCGTATGGAGTAAATTATTCGCCTCTCCGTGGTGAGGGAGGAGGACTTGAGGGGTATCTGCTGAGACGATGGTAACGCAGGCGGTGGTATAGGTATGATGAGGAAGGACGCAGTCACAGAGGATGGACGGAATAGATGAGCGGGTGAGTGAGTGAGTGAACGAGTGAAGGGCGGTGGTAGGATCCGGGGTGCGAGTGCGAGTGTGAGTGTGAGCGTGATTGCGGGCGAGGTGCCATTGACGTATGCGAGGCAGCAGAGGCCAGGCGCGGGGACACTGTGGGGAAAAGAGGCTTCGGCAATGCAAGGCGTGGCTGCAGCACAAACGCAGAGGCAATCCAACCGCACCCAACGACGACTGCTGCTGCACACTCATCGTCCGCACGGCGACCAACGAAGCCACTCGCCCGCCCGCACACACGACCGCCAGCATCGGATCGGAACCAATGCAAGAGCAAAAGGGCAACGCTCACACCTTCGAGCATCGCCTGCTTCCGCACTTCCTTCCTTCCTTCCTTCCCTCGTACGCAGACTCCATCTTGCAAAAGTGTACCTCCTACCGCAATGTCATCAAGGTGGGACGCAGCACCACAGCAGCAGGCAGGGGCAAGTGCTAGTGCCAGTGGAAGCGGTAGCGGCAGTCCACCCAACGATCCAGCAGCAGCAGCAGCCGCGGCAGCAGCAAGGATCGCAGCGTCCTATGGCGTGGGATCGTCCACCGCCCCTTCCTCGCAAGCCCTTACCACCCTGAAGTCGCAGAGCAGTGGCGGACCTCCAGCAGACAAGAGGAGAGAAGGAAATGAGGCGCCATTCAATGAGTTCGTCGATGTGAGTACCACCCGCTGGTACATTGTAGCTGGTGTCCGGTCACATCATAGACCTAGACTTGCAGCGCGTGTCTCTCACCTTTGAGCTCGTCTGATCCCGTTTTCTCTTCCCTTTCCTCCTCTTCTCCATCTCAGATCAACGATGTCAAGAACCGATACCTCATCACCCGCGGTCCCACGCAGCACCAGATCCACCAAGACACCGGCGCGTCCCTCACCACAAAAGGCACCTGGTACCCAGACCGCAACCTGGCCAAGCCTGACAACCCTCCTCTGTACATCCACATTGAAGCGCAGACCGAAGAGATGCTCCAAAAAGCCCTCGCTAGAGTCAATGAGGTAATCAATTCTGAGGCGCCGCAACTTATCGAGGAGAGGGGCATGAGGGGTAGAGCACCCCCTCCTGGTGGTGCCGATGGGGGCTATCGCCCACCAGGGGAGAGGAGGAAATGGACAGAGGAGCGCATCAATTTAGGTCTGGAGTCGCTGAGGAACTTCAATGTGCGAGCAAAGATCGTGGGGCCCGGTGGGACATTTGTCAAGTACATCCAGGCAGAGACGGGAACCAGGGTGCAGATCAAGGGGAGGGGAAGTGGATTCATCGAAATTGATACCGGAAGAGAGAGCGACGATGAGATGCACATCCACATCACGTGAGTCTCGCAGACGACCACCCCAATCTCATTCATTCCCAGAGGGTCTATGCTCACTTCTCGCCCCATTCCCTCTCACAGCGGACCGGACGACAACCAAATAGCCGAAGCCAAAACCCTCGCAATCGACCTGCTAGACGCAGTCAAGACCGAGTGGGAGAAATCGCGCCAAGTCCTCGAGCAACAAGGTTTCGCGGTCCCCGGTCCGGATGGGCAATGGCCACATGCTCCTGGTGGCGGCAATGGAACTCCTGCTGGCCCCGCGGGAATGAATGGTGGTGGAGGGTATGGAGCGGGATATGGTGCTCAGCAGCAGCAGCAACAACAGGGTCAAGGATACGGGGGTGGGGGCTATGCAGCTCAAGGTCAGCAGCAGCAGCAGCAGCAGTACGGCGCTCGCTCCCCCGTAGGTCAAGTTGGAGGTCTTCAGCCTGGTGCGGGTATAGGCGCGGGTGCGGCAGCAGCTGTACCCCAAAAATCGCCAGAGGAGGAAGCGCTGGACAAGTACTGGAAGGACTATGTGAGTAAGCTTGAGGAAATCGTCTAGCTTCGCAAATCCCCTTTTCTGACCTGACTCTCTCACAATAATTTCCACATCTTACCTCCTCCATAGATCACCTGGGAAGACTCCTTCAAGGCGTACCATGGTCGCGTGCCTACCAAGGAGGACGGAGGACAGGACGTGCCGGCAAAGTATCGCCAGGCGAGATGAAGGATGGTCGGTCAGGGGGGCGGGAGAGGGAGGGAGGGATGAGAGGAGAAGCAAAAAAGAATCACGCCATATCGCTTCGCTTTGCCATGCCATGCAATACGTGCAATGTGGGTCCTGGTATCCATTTGTGTAAGCTTGTGAACGATGAGTGATTCTGAACTTGGCGTACTTCTGCGAAGAGTGGCCAGTGCCCGTCACACGAGCGTCGTGATCGAGGCACGGGAGGAAGGCAAGAGGGTCCTCAACTAGCCCTGTCGTCTCTACATCGCCATTTAGGTCCTCCCCTCAGAAGGAGAGCCACCCTTGATCCTTTTTTGGCTTACACTCTCACCTAGATCCCCCTCCCAAGCCCATTCAACTTCAATTTTGGCGGCAGGTCATCCCTGGGATCGTACTCGTCATCGATTTGACTGCAGTCCATCCTGCTGAGGAGAATGTAGAAGAAGCGAGATTCGAATTTCGCATTAGTCTGCACGACTCTTGAGTCTAGTGAGGGACAGCTGCATCCAAGAATGAGGAATAATGGGACGCAGAGACGGGCAGGATGAGCCCATCAGTGGTGATGATGGCGCAGTCACTTCTGTATCAAGTCTCTTAGACACTTACCGAAGTATCACAGGCCCGAAGCACTTCGACAGGAGTTGCGCGTCAGCTTCCGTCTTCTTGATCACTTCCTCCTCACAGAAGCCTTGCAGGGCTGCAATGAGGAACAGCAGGACCCTTCTGTTGATGGCGGGCAAGAGGACGCTGCCCACCAGCGTGGTGATGGCTTTGAGATTATCAGTCGAAGCAGCCTCAAGGCAGTGGTTGTACAGGCCTTGAGGGATCAATGGATCCTCCAATTCCTCAAAGAGGGTGACAATCAAGGTGGCAAGCGGTAGCACAGCTGCATGCTTCTCTGCGCCCGCGACGCAGTCGTTGAAAGACAACAGGCCTTGATCGAGTTTCGCCTTCAGTACCCGCGACATTGCCGCATCGCCTGGTGCTTGGAAGACTCCAGCGACTTGAAGACCTCCGTACACTACGAGCCGAGAGAAGAGAAAGGGCAGTACGGCCGGAACACCGGTGGTCGGCGGGAAGTCCGGAGCCGGTATGATCATTAGGTGCGCCAAAGACTGGCCGAAGACTTCCGACGTTGATGCTTCTTCCCATGATCTTTCGACATCCAGCAGACCAGGAGCAGCAAACATAGTGGACCTGCGTCTGAGTCGCTTTCTCGTGAACATGATGGCTTTCTTTTCTGCGTGACTGGCCAAAGCAGCGATCGTCGCATCTTCAGCTTCGTGCTCGTAGGTATCTCTGATGAAGTCCATCAAGGCGTCCAAAAGCTGCTTGTTGAACGGTACAAATGCCGATAGTACCACACCAAGAAAACGCCAAGCTTTCGCCCTAGATGCAGGAGGAGCGGCCATGCTCAGCCTCGTAATCAATTGGCAGAAGATCTCATCTCTCAGGTCAGGCGTACTGATGCCTACCTCCAATAACCACTTCTGCTCCTCTAGGATCGTAGAAGCCTGCCCCTTTCGAGAGGGACGGATATAGTCGCGCTTACGGAGTGGGCTTTGACGCACCTGCGAAAATCGCATGGCGGACACGACAGCGCCTATGGCAACTTTGCTTGCCTGCTTGCCGTCCGCCTTGTAGCCAATGGCCACAGCCGGTGGCTTTGGATAGAAGACTGGCTTTGTGTGCTCGCCACAGAGACGCAAGAGGACCTTGAATGTACATGCAGCGAGGTGGTGCAGTCCTTTGTCAAGAGGCAAAAAGGTGACATCGGCGAGTGGGCTTTCAAGCCAGAGGAGGCTGTCCTGAGGTAGCTTTTTGTTTTGAAACAGACCTTTGCGCTGTACCGCTAGATTATTCAACGCAAAGCGTTCGAAGTGCTGCATGGGATTGGGAAGCTCTACCGAGGAGGCATTCATTAGAATGTCGATCTGTTCGAGTGCCATTTCGCTGCTCGATGGCCGTTCGACTATAGGAGGCTGCGTTGCTTTCAAGCCGAACAATTGTTTCAAATAGATCTGGCTCTTCTTCTTTCCTTTCAGCAGCGTTGTTTTGTACCGCGGGTCAGAGGTGGGTGAAGAAGGCGCAGTGCCGCTATCGTCCGCAGTCGATAGGCTCTGCCCTGAATGGTAGGTACTTGCAGTAAGGCTTTGACCGGCTTCAGTTCCGCTCGATCTGCGGTCCCTTGCGCTGCTGCAAGCCGTTCCTGGTGGTCTCGGAATTCTCAATAGGGATCCCACCGAGATGGGCCTGCTCGAAGTACCGGCACCGGGACCAGAGGGTGAAGATGTAGCTGCTCGTGGGCTGCCACTGTTTGCGAGCGTCTTTTGGGAATTGGACAGCGACATCGCCAAGCTACGCTCAGTGATACTCTGTAGCTGGCATACGAAGCGAGTTTGCTGCTCGTTGCTCACTGTCCTTCGTCTTCTTTGGGACAGAAAGCGCCCATCGGCAATCGCACCAGTGTACTCAGCTTGTGCTGCATCGTCTCGCGACTCTTCGAATCCCGTGGCTGGCCGAACACCCCCTCGACGAGAGCGTCTTCTATCGCTGAGCGAGAGCTCCTCTTGCTGTCCACTTTCTACAGAGTGCCTGTCGCTAGGGGTAGGAGAGGAAGGGGCGGAACAGCTCATGGAGAATGGTCGCCTGCTCGAAGAGCGGAACTGGACACTCGGCACGTTCCTTCCGACACTATCGGCCATATTGTCCTGCAACGCTTTGACCGGAATGACCAAGCCCCGGGGACGTTCCCACTGGGTTGTCTGTGTGCTGTTCTGGTAGTAGTAGAGCCGTTGAGTCTTTGCATCGTAGAACTCGAGCCAATTGCCGTCTGGGTTGACCGGCAGCACTGCTGTCCCTGCAGGTAGCACCCATCGAGCTTCGCCCATAGAGGGATTGTAGAAGAATTCGTGGCCCGACTATGTCCCGCAACAAATTCTGTTTCAGTACTGTACCGACATGTCTCGCCCTCAATGCGCCTCACTCACACCAGGATCAATAATGACCACCCAGAATTGCTTGCCCCAATCATCCGTCACTGGGTACCTGACGACACCCGATGAGCTGGATGCCCGCTGGCGGTCTTCTCGACTGACGTTGCGGTGAGTAGGTGTACTGCTCTGTTGCGACTCTGCGCTGTGAGACCGTCGCGTAGGCCTCTGCGGTCGAATCGTCAAGCTACTCGAAGTCCTGATGATGACATCGCTGTGTCTGGTGCTTGGTTCCACTGACAGGGAGCCCTCTTGAAAGGGCGACAAGAAGGCCACGCTGTGGCCTTCTGGTGACGGACCCGAAGCGACTGTAGAGGCGAAAGAGGTTCGTGCGGACGTATAGGGGCCGACGGTGGAATCATAGGAGGCGATTGACAAGCGCGGTAAGCTGTCGTCCGTCTCCTGAGCGTCCTCCTCGTCCGTACACTTCATCGATTCCGCGCGAGGAAGTACAGAGGAAAGTGTGTCGCCCGGGCAGGGCCAGCTTGGATCCTGTCTTCTGCGGGTGGTTGCGTCGCTACTTCCCGAGAAAGTTCTCGATCGGAGGGAGGGTAGCACTGACATTCGAGGACAAGAAGCTAAGGGATTCTGAGAGAGCAGGTAGTCGCAGGCTGAGCTCGAGCTCCTCAAGAAAAGGGCCGTATCGGGGGCTGCCTTGGCGTCGGACTGGCTCTTGCGCTCATCAAAAGTACCGCTATAGAAGACGACAAAGGCGAATGAACCGAAGTGGTGGATGCTGATGATGAAGAACGAGAAGTCTTTAGATCGGATTGAATCGCCTCTTGTCAATGTCGCCGTCAGGCACCAGGGCCATTCCGCTCCGTCGGGCCGCTGTAGAGCCGTCGTCGCGGGGGAGGGACTCACGCTGACTACGGTTACCCACTGCTGTGAGCTGCGAGGTGCACTCAAGTCCCTGTTCTGACAGGTGTGCAATGGTAAAACAAGGGCCGAAAGAGGAATTCAAGGGTAGCGAGCATCGAGGGAAGGACTACGCAGGACACGAAAGACGGAAGATGCTCCTGACACGCCGCCTGGCCTGGGCTGCACCTGCACTCGTACCTGCAGCTCGCTGATCACTCAGAACCCTCCTCCCTACTCAGCATCAGATCCAGAGCCACACTTTTACGGACGGCACAATCGTCGACATACTGAAAAGGAATACTTGAATTGGTTTGATATCATGAATGCATGGGGTACACTATCCTTGTCCTTTACTTCTCCTACCCTACTTCTCCATTTCCCCTTCTCCTGGTCCTCCCCCTCTCGAGACGAAAGTGTGTAGAGTCATGTTGAGTCGTTTGAAGTGAATGATGAGCAGAGGCGGAACGAGAGGGTGGAGGGCAGCAGAGTGGCGACTAAAGCATTGCAGAGTAGCAATTCCTTTCACCGAATGCTTCCTCGTGGCCTCTTCAACATCTCAAGCGATGCAAAGTGATGAAAGGATTCGAATGGTAGCGCCGAAGCTTGAGGATGTGAGGAATGTGAGAATGTTCCGTGAGTCTTTGTCCGAATTTGAAGTAGGAAGAAAATGGTAGTAGCTTCCTGGGTAAAACATGTGTGGGTACGACGAGAACTTGCAAAGAGGAAAGACGTAAAGCATCGGAAAGGTTCGTAAGAGGAGGGGCAGCCTAATCTGACTTCATGCAGCAGGCGAGTCCGGGTAGTCTGGGTAGATGGAGCGAGAGGACTAGCTTCCTCACCAAGAGAGCGAGCCCAACTAGGGTACTCTGCTGCCCCTCTGGTGGTTATACCGCTTTTGTCTTCTAGTGAGGGAATTGGATTCCACTCAGCATACGCGAGACCTCATCGACAGTCTGCGCAGGCACCTGCGAGCTACCAGACGCAGATGGTGGCAGACGAGAGATGCTAGCCGCGGGACTGTGGCCGGGTGCATGACCAGGGCCAGCCCTCGGAATTTGATGGGTGTAAGGGCTTCTGGCTCCATTCGCACCATTGACTGGCCCTCCGAAAGGGGAGGGGAAGCCGTAAGCTGGCCCACCGGTGTGTCCTGGGGTGCGGAGACCGAAGCCATTGCCGTTAGCCGGCGCACCGTAGCGCTGCTGGACATAAGCATTGGCCTCTACAGCGGCCTGCTGAGAGCTCATTTTGCTGATGTCCAAAGACTGCGTACGGTTGCCGTGAGAGTGGATCGCAGACCTGCCATTACGAGCATTGCGTGAGCCATCGTCGAGGTCGTAGGCATCAACTGGACCTCGACCGTTGCCGCTGTGCGCGAGGTAGCCAAAGTCGTCACTTTGTCGCGCGTAGTGCTGGGTATGAGGTCCTTGAGCCACAGAGTGGGGGTATTGCTGTCGAGGGAAGGCGACGCCGGGGCTGACGGGAGGTGCAGCGTTGGACAGCGTCCCCTGGCGGGGCTGGACGCCCCATACGTCACTGCTGATGCCACCGGGCATTGAATCGCCGTAGGGTGACGAGTACAAAGATGAGCCGATAACGGGCGAGTGGCTCGGGTTGGTCGCATTGACAGGCCCGCCGAGAGGCCCATTGCGGGGGACAATGCCGGCTCCATTGCCAAGGCCAGTTCCAGAACCATTGCCCAAGCCAGTGCCGAGTGCAAGCCCTGGTGCATCGAGCGGTCCGCCCATGCTTCCGTTGATGCCGCCATTGCCAAAAGCACCCGAGCCACTGCCTCCGATGGCGAAACTTTGACTTTGGTGATGACCGAGGACGCGGGAGGGATTGCCGCCGAAGCCAGCTGGCGAATCGAACAGAGCCTTCAGCGAGGGTGAAGAGGCGGCACCACGCAGCCGTGCGCTGTCATTGAAGCGAGCAGCCAGCTCGGCCTGGTATTGGGAGACGCCACTGTCAAGGACAGCCGATGAGGCCTGACCTCCTGCGCCCGACTCTGCTCCAGGTGTAGAGATCAGCTTGTTGGCAAAGTGAGGAAATGCGGCAGCGAAAGAGTCGGAGCGAGATCGTTCAGCCGGCGGTGGGTAGACATTGATATTGTGGGAGATCAAGAAGTCCTCCAGGAGATCCTTAGCTGCAGCCAGATTGTCAAGGTTATTTGGACTCAAGTGCATCTTGAAGACAACCTCTGGGCAGCTAGGAGTGAACTCCAGGTATGCGATGTTGATGTTCAGGTCTCGCTTGATGCGCTCAACGAAGGCGATGAAGTCTTGAGATGACAGCACTTGGGGCAGCGCCGTGGCGTTGGGGGTCCTTAACTCGGCTTCCACAGGGACATGCTCCATGAGCATGGAGCTAGCTTGTTGGAGCTGAATCTCAGGACCGAAGATCGATACAAGGTCCGAGCAAGTCTCTCGAGGCGGGAAGTGGATCGCGCAGGAAAACTTGTTCTCAATGTCATGAATGAAGATAGCCTTTTCACCAAGCAGGGTCCGGTGATGGCGACGAGGAATCGTCACAGTCTCGGTGATGTAGTCCTTGTCCTTGGGATTGACCATCTCCATGACGGATTGCTTGAGATTTTCGAGATTGATAGCGTTCTTGGCGGGTGTTCGAGCAATGACGTTGTCTTCGTTGTCGATGTAGCCTCCCAAGGCATTGAATTCTTCGGCGTTGGAGAACTTGACGTAGACGCCGTACTTCTTCATCACCTTCTGGATCTGCTTCCCGCCCACACCAATACATCGCTTGTGATATGCCTCGGGGACATGGAAAGAGACCTCGGCGGGGAGCTCCTCTTGAAGCAACGCCAAACCTTGCAGAACACTTGCGCGATCTGCACCGGAGAGCTCGATGAGGAAGTTGAAGTCATTGAACGTCTCGAATTTGATTCTGACGCCGCAGGTCTTCATGATCTTGTTGATCTTGCCGCACTTTCGGCCCTGGAGGAAGTCCCGCTCGGTAGCGGCTAGCTCGATCTGGAAGCGCACTTCGACAGTGAATTGCTTCACAAAGTCGAGATCAAGGACCATACTGACGGCATGCTTGACCTCTACCTCGACACCATAGATCTCAAAGCAATTGTTCTTGAACACCACCTCGGCACCAGACTTGTTGACGATGGTCTTGAGGAAGGGCGTGAGATGAGCGGCATTGACAGTAGGGGGAGGCTGCGCGCCTCCATGGTAACTTCCGACTGGTGGTAGCAGCCATACGGAACCGATGTAGAATTGACAAGTAAGAGCCATCAGTGTTCGGATGGACCTCTCGATGCTGACTCTATTGTCTCCGTAAACGGAGACTACGCTGACTTGACTTCCGAGAGGGGGCAGCCCGATAAAAGTACCATTGTCTATCATGATCTGACGAACATCCTCGAGGTGATCTGCCAGGAGCCAGTCGATCTTGCGAGGCAAGATACGGGTGTCTCGAGATATGGTGCACTTGCTCTTCTGGACGAAGATTCCATAGAGCATATCTCGAGCTCGCTGTACACCGAAGAAGTCACCAGTAATATGGATGACACTCTCCAAGGAAGTGTTGGCGCCGAGTCCAGCACCACCGACGTTGCTGCCCAGAGGAAGAGGCAAATAGATACTCGTGCAAGTCTGCTCCTGAATCGCTTGGATGACATGACGTTTCCTTCCGCCAATGATGTTGTGGAACTTCTGATCAATTTCACAAGTGGTTGAGGTAAGCCCAATCTGTGTAGAGGAGAGGGCGTACTATGTCAGTTTTGCGCTCAAGGAGTATCCGTACTGCAGCTTGCAACTCACCAGCTCATCAAGAAGAACCAATGTCTTAACACGAGCGGACTCCACGCCCTGAAGCTGGCCAGAGATGACGAGATCTACATTGCGTTCAGACTCAAGACCGTATCCCAGGTCGACGCCGCGGGAATCCTTGCCGACGACGGCGACGCGCGTATCAGTGAAAGCAGCGATTTCATCGAGCCTTGCACGAACGTGCGACTTCAAAGTGTTTGGTCCGATGGTCGATGAAGTCATATTGTCAATCACATCAGCTTTGCCGACCTTGACGGAGACTTGGGCTCTGAAAGGGTGTTCTCGCATGATCATTGCCCTGGCCTCCATGACTGAATGAAAAGTGCCGCTCAGGTGAAAGTTGTATCGGGGGATCTTGCTGTTACTCCCTTGGCCCGACTTGGAGTCTGACGACAGGGAAGGACCGAGCAGGGAAGCTCCCGATTGTTGCTGCTGACCCAGAGTGGAGCCTAGCGACGTGGTGCTTCCAAAGTTGCCGTTTGAGGACATCGCAGGAAAATTGATCCCGTTGAAGCCGTTGTTCATGTCTTGAGCGAAAGGCTGCGCATAGTGCTGATAAGGGTAGTTGCCTTTACCTTGCAGATCAGATCCATTGCCCGGATACGGCAGCTGCGGAAGCTGTCGTTGTGTCTGCCCTCCGAAGGGGGAGTAGGGAGAGTATGGAGAAGCGGCACTAGACGGCCAGGTGCTGACCGACGACGACGAAGACGTAGCTGTATGTCCCGGCCCCGAGCTCATCGACGTAGCGTCGTCCTGGACGGGCGTGCAAAGAACGTGGGTCGAGGTCGCGTTCATCACATTTTGGCTCAGCTCTTGCGTGGCCTGGGCCAGCTCTGATGCAGTTAATGGCTGTTGAGCACCGAGAGATGTGATTGAATTGGAGTTCGAGTGACCAGTGCTGGCAGGAACACCACTCGAAGATTGTCTGTCCGTCATGATACTGCCTTCTCGCTTTGCAGCAACGTCCGTAGTAGCGCAAGGAGCTGCGCTACTGTCGGGGGAGGAGGCAGTCATCGAGGAACAGAAGTCGAAGGAAGAGCGGGTCCCAGCAGTAGACCTGCTATCGCGCATGCTAGCGGCAACCTCTTCTCCAGGTGCTCCGACCTTGCTTGAGGTCTCCTCCGGAACAGACAGAGGCAGACTGGCACTGCTGTTGAGTTTCATCTTCCTTCGCTCGGAAGAGGCTCGGCCAAGGTTGGTGTCAGAGCCAATGGCGCCAGGCTGGTGTGCCGCTTTGTCGCTTTCATCGATGACATCGTCTTCCTTTTCACCAGTCCCGGTGACCTCGGCGATCCTGTCGCTGGTTCGCTTGCCGACAAAGGCGCTGGGCATGAAAGCTTTGACGCTAGGGGGAAAGCGAGAGCGCATGCTGCCCAGCCGGCCCGTGGTAGGCTGAGGGGTGGGAGCAGTGGAGGCCTCATCGTGCGGCTGCTTGAAGCCTTGAATGGGAGAAGTGCTTGCACTATTGGGGCCAAAGCGATCAATGTTACCGCCCGTTGGGGTGCTTGCGGGTGCTGTATCCTCTGCGACGAAGGCATGGCCTCCGGCGGACCGGGGCAGGGCAAAGGAAAGGGTGTAGCTCTCCATGGTTGTAGCCAGCTCAGCCTCCCGAGCTGATTATGATCGGTGTGGTGGAGTCGAACGAGTCACCGTTAGACGTCGACACCCGTCTACTCTAGTCTCGCCCAGCGACGGGAGCAAAAGTTAAACCACCTTTTTCACTGCCGCTCTGCCGGTGAAGGAGGTGATCAAGACGAGACGTCTCAGGAAGCGCAGAAGGTGCGAGGCGGAAGGCTTGAAAGTATGCCCGTCACCGAGGCAAGAGCAGTGGGAATATGTGAATAGGAGAAGGAGCAGCAGCAGTCGATGCGAGGTGGCAGAGGAGAAGAGGCAGTGCGATGCAGTGGGTGTAGCGGCGATGGGTATCAGCGCTTGCAAGTCTGACTACCCTTTCTTTTTCTCTAGGTCGTCGTGATGGTCGTTAAGGGTGAGGTCCTGGCAATCGTCTTTACCAGTAGATGATGCGACAGGAGGAGGGGGGGATGACGAAGAGAAGAAGGAAGAGGAAAAGACTGCCCACTATATGCTCTGGGTGACCCTCTGTCTGTCAGTCTGGTGTCTTGGGTGAGGGGGTGGGGGGGTATGGAGGCCGCGGCTGCGTGGCCCACTCGAGGAAAAGCCAGGCGGCGGGAGCAGATGGAGGCGCCGTCGGTCAGGCGGGCAGGCGGACGGCGGCCATGCGTGTGTGCAGCAGCGCAGAGTGGAGCCCAGGCCAAGCAAGACACCACGAGGCGGCGCAGTGGAAAAAAAGTCCGGAAAGGAAGCAAGGACGTCGGGACGACGGACGAATAACCCTCACTACGTCTCAGGCGCACAAAACTTCTCGACCTTGATCACCCTATCACTGTCCAAGCTCGCCTACAGAGACATCCGCAGCGTCTCACACTCACGTCATGGCATCCACCAAGGCACAGTCCACAAAGGCTGCCGGCAAGCGAGCCGCCAATGGCACTCAGCCCGAGCCCGAAGCTGCCATCCCAATGGGAAAGCTACTAGCTTCCACAGGTAAGCGCGATTAGCAGCACGAGAATGACCTGCAGGCCGATCCTGATTCCAACGATCTACGCAATGTCTCTCATCACAGAAAAGAAGACGAGAGACTCTGCAATCAAGTCGCTCTCTCTGTTCTTGGCCAAGTCAGGCGAGGAGCCCATCCCGCCCCTCGAGATGGCCAAGCTATGGAAGGGAATCTTCTACTGTGAGCGTCGCGAGCTATGCGAGCTATGCCATCGCCTCGGCATCACTGACATGTCTCATCGTTACAATTGCCAGGTTTTTGGATGTCAGACAAGCCACTGGTACAACAGGCTCTCGCTCAGGAGCTCTCTGACCTGCTCTTGAGCATCCCAGGCTCATCCAAGGTACCGGCAGCAGTGGAGGGTGTACATTCTGAAGATGCTGAGGGGATGTCAGCCAGAGCCAAGGGCGGATTGGCCTTGCTCGAGGGCTTCTGGACAGCAATGGGTAGAGAGTGGTCAGGCTTGGACAAATGGAGGTGAGTAGCAGACAGGCAAGTACGCGGACAAGAGGGTCGCTGGTATCTGCAACGTTGAACTGACAACCTGACCACCTCGCTCCATCGCGACGCTGACAGAATCGACAAGTTCTACCTGCTGCTACGTCGCTTTGTCAACGCTGCCTTCCGTTTGCTAGCTAGCGAGGACTGGAATGAAGCAGCCGTCGCACGCTTCGCAGCCCTCACCGTCAAGACGGGCGGGCCCCTATGGTGAGACAGTTTGCCAAGACCTGCTTCACCTTGTGACTATACCAAGCTCACACTTCCACTCACCCGTCTTCTCATCTCAGCGCCAACGACGTTCAAGTTCCAGCAGGCCTGACCTACCACATGACGGACGTCTATCTCGACGAGCTTGAGAAAGCCCTGGTCTGGGCCGAATCACAAGCCGACTCCAGCTCCACTTCCAGCGAGGCTGCTCGCGCTCCAATTCTCAATCTCCTCAAGCCTATGCTGGACACAGCCTCTACATGCCACTCCAGTACAGTGTTCGACAAGGTACAATCCAACGTTCTCGAGCCCCTCTGGGAGGACTGTCTCGCTGCCGATGCCCAAAGTGCCGAGCGAGCAGCGAAGCGCAGGAGGAAAAACGGGAGAATGGTGCAGCCCACCGAGGCCGAGGCGGAGCAGGACGAGGGCGATGTAGTCTACCCTGCCATTCTCAGGAGCTCGGGGATGACGCCATTGAAGCTGAGGCAGAGCATCTTCAAGGATCTCTTTGAGAGCGCAAGTCGGGAAGAGGCAGTTCCTTCGCGGAGGAGGAAGATCTATGCTCTGTGGCAGCAGGAGAAGGAGAGGAGAGAGAATGCTGGGGAGGACGATGAGGAGGAGGAGGACTAGGGAGCAGACTCATTGTCACTGTGGCTGCTATAGGTATTCCTCTGCCCCTCTCGAAGCGACCAGACGGAATCTGGTGCCTGTGCACCCGTCCGCTCCCACATGTCACCACACTGTATCTCCCAGCTGTGAATGTTATCACGATCTATTGCGCATCCTACCCAGCCTGAAGCGCACGCACGACGGTCTCTTCGCCGCTCTACATCCCTAGTCTGCCTCTGCTATTCCAACATGAAAACTCTCCACACCTCACATCTCCTCCGAAGGGTAGTTTGCCTTTGGGTTGAAGAAGATGGCCTGCTGACCCCATGGGAAGGCCTTCTTGCGGATGTTCTGGTACTCGTGCTTGGGCTCTGCAAGATGGTCGGAAGGGGTAAAGAAGAGAGATGGAAAGCCAGAGTGAGCACACTGCTTGGGACGGAAGGGATGCGAACGCCAGATGAGAGGAGACGCCGGAACGGTCGCGATACTCACTACCCTCCTCTGGGAGCTCACCGCCTAGCAGCGCAAAGGAAATGTCAGAAGTAAAAGGGAGGTCAGCAGTATCAGCAACAGCGTCGTGAACGAGTTCCTTTTGCAGAGAAGCTGTGAGGACTCACCGTTGGCAGCAATGTCGTGGTCGCGGTGCTGAATGTGGGCCGCTTCGATCTGGTAGATGTACACGGCAATGACGGCGCTGCGAGGTTTCATGAGTTTGAGAGAGAGACTGTGAGATCAGCAATCGTCCCAATTTCGAGGTAGCCTCTTGAGACCTGCAGCTAGCTCAAGATCTATGTCCCATTCGAGTCCCTTTGCTGCTCTATTCTGTATGCCTCTTACGAAGGCATGGACTCGTAACCTCCTCCCCCGAGCCTTCCTCTTCCCTCCTGGCCCCTCCAAACAGGAGCGACCACCTCAGAGAGCCATCCTACTCACGCTCCAGGTAGACAGACGTAGAAGCTCAACTTCCTCCACAGCTCAGCAGACTTGGCAGCGTGGTCCTTTGCGTGAGCCTGTTCCTCGAGCACGGGGTCCTTTCCAATGGAAGCGGTGCTGCTCGAGTTGAATCGCTTGGGCACGGCCAGACGCTGCATGGGCGCTGCGACTGGCTGGCGAGCCAAAAGACGGGCGGTAGAGGGAGAGAAGAAGCGGGAGGCCATGGCTGATGTTCGATGTGGTAGTGGGCAATAGAGGGCAAGGTGTGGGATCTTGACGATGAATTAGAAACACCCAAGTGCGATTGTTCGGGCGAGGGAGCGGGCAGCCGAGGGGAGAGACGGGTTCCGAGGGCAGCCAGGCAGGCGACGGATGCGCGCGGAGGGAGAGACGTCGCCTGCATTGGCCCCTCGCGCCGCCCCGGGAAGGGATACCAGAGTCGGGCGGGTCATCGTCTATCAACCTACACCTCTACATCGACAGAGAGGAGCAGAGAAGCCAGTCACTAGGTGAGTGAAGCCGCGTTGTAGGAGACAGTCGTGAAAAATCCCTGACCTCATGTCCGTCTGCCCCTCTGCTCCTCCTTCCAGTCACAATGGCCGGCCCCACTCCTCACCCAACAAGCCATCGCTCGCGGTGGTACACCAATGTGAACAACTTTCACCCTCACCAGCCCGCATTCAAGCATCGCTGGGGTGCCAAGCTACTAGGAGCGACAATGTGGTTCTGGATCATGTACCGTGCAAAGCAGGATGGACCTGTGCTGTTGGTGAGTGCTAGAGACAAAGGGCCGGAAGAAGGATCAGCTACTTTGGAGATGAGGCAGAGTAGGGCAGCTGAGATGAAGGGAACGAGCAAGTCTTCGATGAATGAGGGGAGCAAGCGGGACTTGCGTATCACTGATCTCGAAAAGCCGAGATGCAGCGATCAGCATGCTCGCTGGGAAATCGATGCTTCAGATGATAGGGGGCCTCCTTACGAGATTCAAGGGCGACCGCATCTCTACCAGCTTTCTTCATATCTCCATCTGCCAACTCCTCCCCACGACATTTCTCTGACACCCCTCTTTGCATCCCTTTCTCCCCATCTCACCTCCATTCTTCTGCTTCATCCCTCCCAACCTGCTCACTCTCTTTCTCCGAAACGCTACTTACTACAGGGCCTGAGACATCCTTGGGACGGACACCACGGCGACGACCATGGCCACGGACATGGCGGGGAGGAGCACCACTGAAGCTGTAATTAAAGTCAATCAAATCAAAGAGAAGTCGAGAGGCGTAGAGCAGGAATTCGCTGGACAGTGAAGGGGGCAAATCCTGTCAGTGGAAGCGAGGGACGCGTGGATAATGTCATCCCTTTCTCTAGAAGAGGAAACGGCCAGTGGCCAGCGAGTGACGAGGCGAGATATACACACAGAGGCAGAGAGAGGGAAAGGGGAGACTTGCCTGCTAGGCCTGACATGGCTCTTCCCAACCTGTGCGCCCTGTACTGACGAGCTTGATCCTGAGACACACACACACTCTCTCTCCCTCTCCCTCTCTCTCACACACACACCTCTGGGCACTTGCGCCCAGACACGAAGCACGACAGTCGACGCACAACAGACGAGGAATGAGGGGGAAGGCGATTGATGGAATCATATGCACAGATGCTATATACAGACAAAAAAGGGCCACGGACGCGACCCGACCCAGAGGAGCATCGCTACAATGCTATGCTAGCAGGGTGGGAGGTCCGGGCAGGGAAGTAGGGAGGGGAGAGGAAGACCGAGTTGTCAGCCTCCTCTACGAAGGAGGGGAAGAAAGAAACAGAAGGAGGGGAAGAGGGGATGCGTGTGGTGTAAGGCTGATGGACCGCCTAGGTATCGCTTCGACCGTCGGAGACGTCATTGATCTCTTGTTTGTGATTGATTCGTTGATGAGCTTGCGCAACTGTGCTCTTTTTGACCTCTTTGCAGGTGCTCTATGTTCTCTCTTTGATGATTTGCGTCGATGTATTTGTTGAGGCTGGCTTGCCAGCAGGATGTGTTGTTCGCGTGTCTTGTCGTCGTCTCTCTTTACACGATGGCCACGTCGTCGTCTCGGTGAAAGTCTAGTGGTCCCAAGCCTCTTGCACCCCTTGCCACGTCTCGTCTCGTAACGTCAAGTCCTCTGCTCTCAGTGATCTCAGTGATCAATCTCACCTCGGGCTTGAGCAGCTGCGACTTTTCCCAGAATCTTGACCTGGTCAGCCACGTCCTTGAGCACGCCCAGTACCCTCTTGTTGCCCGCGGTGAACTGGTATTCCTCGTATTCGAGGTTCCATTTTGCGCAAAAGGGCTTGGTGAACCGATCCCTGCAGGCTCGCAAGTTGTGTCGAGGTACCCTAGGGAAGAGGTGATGAGTGACCTGCATATGCAGACCGCCATGGATAAAGTCGAGGTAGGGAGGGCATTCGACGTCCATTGTCGTGCGCACCTGGCGCGAGGGGAAGGACTCGGTCAGACCCTTGTCTTCGGAAGACTGGGCAAAGTGGGAGAGGACAATCTGTACGTGGAGTGGGCTGGTGGTGATGTGGCTGACTAGAATGTAGCCGATTCGGACGGACCAGCTAGGGCATCCGGCCAAGACGGCGGCGAACCAAAACCAGAAGAAGACGACGCCGATCAACTCGAGGCAGAACCAGCGGTCTCTCTTCGAGTTCATTGCCAGATAGCCGTACGATTCGGCGTAGAGGTTGAAGCGACCGACACCCAGTAGGATGTAGTAGATCTTGTGCTGGAAGGTCAAGAAGAACTGAGCTGCAGCGTCAAAGGCTAACACACGACGGTAGTAAGAGGACCAGAGACCAAGCTCGGTCTTTGTCTTTGTCTTTCCATTGTTGTTGTCATTATCGCCAATCTGCTCATTGCCTTTTGCATCCTTGTCCTCAACGACGAGGAAACGGGGAGTGACGGCCAAGAAGGGCATGTGCTGGAGATCAGGATCGTGCTCGGGATGGTTGGTGACCAGATGGTGGACGTCGTGGCTGTCTCGCCACCACCCGAGAGAGAGACCACCCAAAAAGTCGGCAATGAAGAGACCAATCATACGGTCCACAGCATGGTGTCCGGTGATACCCGTGTGGCCGGCATCGTGTGCAGAGAAGGTCAACTGATGCCAGACGAGTCCGAGGAAGAACGCCGAAGCCATGAACCAAGATGTTCGACCATCTGCGTAGGTCCAGAGCAGGGCAGAGGTCAATGCTAGGAGTGTGTAGCGGGTACACTCTCGGACATAGCCCATAGGATTGAGCTTGTACATGCCTGCATCGCGAACCTCCTGATGCAGACGCTTGAAGTCTTCAGCGATGGCATGCTCGCGAGCTGCATCCATGCCCTCGGGATCGGCAGGGGGCTCGAGGACTTTAACGGGCAAAGGGAAGGACAGTGGCCGAGGGTCGTCGTCGTCTTGGTCAGGCAAAGACGATTGACCATCGGAGTAGCCCGAATCGGAACCGGCAGTGGGACTGAGTCCTCTGGGAACGACGCCAGCCTTGCGATCGAGGACAGTAGCTTCCTTGCGCTCCCAAAGATCGTCGTGGGCGTGAGGGTGGTCCAGCTTGCCGTTGCGGTATCCGAGCTGAACGGGGGGTACGAGAGGCTTGAAACCCTCTCTAGATCCATCCGCCCTCTGAACGCCGAACCAGTCATCTTCGTCGAGCATGGCGACGGCAAAGGCGCCCATTCTCTTCAAGGTCTCCTGCGAGTGATAGACGGACATCTCTGCGCTGGCATCCCTGCCCACAAAGTGAAGAACAGCAAGCTCACCGCCGGGATGCTTCTTGACCCAGCTGTCCAGCTTGTAGATGTAGCGATTGGCGAGTACCAGAACTTCTCCGTGAGCGATGCGATGTGCCAGTTGGGCGCGGCTGATGGTACGCTTTGGCTTGGCCTGATGAGCGTGGCCAGCATCGGGGGAGGGCAGTTGCTCACGAGCGGCCTGTGGAGTGAGCGCGTCGACGGAAGATGCCATTGCAATGAACGTGATTGTTTTGAGTGGAGGCCTTTGGACGAATTGGCAATGGTGATGGTGACTTCGACGATGCGATGGGGTAAAGACGGTGGGATGCAGACTACGGACGGGGGTTTGAGGCCGGGATTTATAAGAATGGGCCTGGGCGGGGGGAGGAGGGCTGATAAGAGGGCTGCTGTCGGCAAAGAGAAAGGTGGGCCGCTGGAAGAGGTGGTGGTGGGGCGCGTGGTGGTCTCCCTCTGAGCAAACCCTGGCCAGGGCCGAATGAACCAACTTCGGACGGCCTCGACCCGGGAAAGTGCAACGTCTTCTTCTCGATGGATTTGGGCGTTGGAGCAGAGGTGTGACGAGGGACAGATATCGGCAGCAGAGTGAGATGGAAGATGCGTCGGTGCCTGTCTCTCATGCGCCCTTGCCTTCTTCCTGTTGCTTGGCCCCCCCGGTGGCACCTGCGCCCCTCGCACCCACACGCGCGAAAATAAGGCGTTTCAAGGGGCGCTGCTGCTCCTGCCGTCCTCGCCTCTCATGCCACCGCCCTGACAAAGGGTATTTAAAGCACGAAGGCGTATCCAGGGCCTACGCTGTACAGCAACACCGCCGAGGAGGAGGAGCAATGAAACCCTTCCCAAAGCGCACAAGGAAACCAGCACCTTGCGGGGTACGTGCGGCAAACCCGGGGCAAGGAAGAAGGGGGTGACAGACACGTTGACATTCACAAAGGGCAATCCAGGCGAGGCATGTTCATCTTACATCAGTCACTTCAGACCTAGGCCTTGCCCAAATTCTCATGGGTACCACCAGCAGTCCCGATCAGCGTGAGAGCCTTGGCCTGGGAGCGTAGAACGCTGTGGTTCTTCTTCTCGTGTCGGTGGCACAGCCCCATCTCGCTCGTGGAATCACGTCTCGGTCCCATCACATCACGTCTCTTCCGCCCCGAGGTTGAGCATCGGGCCAGATCTTGCCCCCTTTCCTGAGGCACCTCTCCGAGCTCCGACTACCCAAGATTCGGCTCCGCAAATCTCCACTCTGATGTCTGTCCCGTCGAGGGCGCGCTCGCGCTCACTTCTTCCCTTTCCGCCTCGCGCCCAGAAGCCAACAACCAACACCATCAGCAGCAGACGATTGACACTTGCCCCGCATATACGAGCGGCCTTCCTCGCGTGCAGTCGCAATTGCAGTCATGTACAATGGCACGTCAGATGCAGCAGGACCCTCGACTGCTACACCAAGGCCTGCACTGAGACAGATCGTCCATGGTGAGCTCGAAACAGTAGCATATACGCTGCGCCAAAGTGTCCACGCGCTTGGCGTGAAGGACATGCCCGGCTGACCCTAGTCTATCGTCCTACGCCCTTCTCTTCGTCCCATTCCTTCTTCTCCTCTCTCTCTCTACTACCAGTCGAGGTGCGACAGAATGCAAGATCTACAGTCCGCAATCGTGACATGAAATACGCCGTCACGCAGTGGATACAGGCCAGCTTTGCTTCTCTGGAATGCGATGCAGACATCGATCCGGGGCTATGGGCCAGGATACCCACTCTGGCGGGCAATATCGATGCAATCAGGGTAACCGAAGGAGGTGAGAGGAGGGGAATACCAACCTGATTAGCATGAGCTCTCCCGCTTTACTGACGTGGGGTCGCACCTCCACTGTCACCCTCTTACAGCCAGGGACCATGAGATCGTCCCAATCTCCTCCTGCTCCCTGAGGGTTCACGTCTACCAGGGTGCTCCGATAGACTCTGTGGAAGAGCTGGCAGCGGGAGATCCGGACTCAGAAGAAGGTGGCGATGTCATGGCAGCTACCGTCACAGAGTTGCCGAGTAGCGGTCTAGAAGGGGTCTGGGAGAGGTGAATACGCCAAGGGGAGAGGCGCAGAAAAACTTCTCACTACTGACGGACTGCGATTCTACCACTTCTTCCTCCAGCCTCATATATGCAGACGATGTCAAACAGCGGCTACTGAAGTACATTCATACGACTTTGACTTTCTCGGATGCCCTGGTGGATGGCAACATTATATCTTGCAATAGGTGAGGCAGTGCATGCCGACATTTGGATCGACGTTATGCTGAATGGGCACCTACTGACTTGTCCTGTCCCTTTCCAGAGTCGTTCTGTTGCATGGTCCACCGGGTACAGGCAAGACGACACTATGCCGCGCCCTCGCTCAGAAGCTTGCCATCCGGCTGATGTCGCGCTACTCGCATGGCAAGCTGGTCGAGATCAATTCTCACTCCCTCTTCTCAAAGTGGTTCTCTGAGTCGGGTAAACTAGTACAAAGGCTCTTCTCAATGGTGACGGAGATGGTCGAAGACTCGCACGGCTTCGTCGTCATCCTCATCGACGAAGTCGAGTCCCTGACGGCGGCGCGCGCTGCCTCTTCATCTGGTACGGAGCCGTCCGACGCACTCCGGGTCGTGAATGCCGTCTTGACCCAGTTAGACAAGCTCAAGACGAGACGCAATGTCTTGGTCATGACGACGAGCAACATCTCCGAGAGCATCGACAATGCCTTTATCGACCGAGCTGACATCAAGCAGTACATTGGACCACCAAGCGAGAAGGCGATTTACTGGATCCTCAGAGGTTGCTTGGAGGAGCTGATGAAGAGAGGACTTGTGCAGACGACAGTGAGTGTCATCCCAAAATGGGCATCGTCCATGCGAGAAGTCTAATGTCTGACCCTCATCGTATCCCCTCCACCTTCTCTCCCGCTTTGAATCGCTCCAGCGCCTACTTGACTTCCAAGCCTGTCAGCACCAACCCAACGGACAAGGTCTAGGCCCGTCGATCTACTATCCCTCAGCAGCATCCCTCAGCGCTACCGAAGATCCCCTCAAGTCCGGTAGCGCAGCAGTAGCAGCAGCAGCAGCAAACGGTGGTCGCGACGAATCCGAGCGCTCCCAGATCGCCTCGATGGGTCTGTACCAGCTCGCGCACGACTGCGTCGGCATCTCGGGGAGAGCTCTACGTCGTCTGCCCATTCTGGCGCATGCCCACTATCTTGCTGGGGACGAGGGGGAGTGGGAAGGAGGAGATTTTGAGGATGAGGATGGAGAGGAGCAGAGAGGTAGCGCTGCGCCTGGCGGAAGTGCAGGTGCAGGTGCAGGTGGAAAAAGGGGAGTACCGGTCCACCTTTGGATTGAAGCGATGCGGCGCGCTGTGGTGGATAGTCGTCTGCAGCTAGAGGGAGCAGAGAGGGGCAGCGGTAGTCGTCTTGCCAGCGCCAATGGCAATAGCAACATTGATGGTGCGGGTGGCATTGCGGCAGGTGCAGGACCCATGGCGCAGTAAGAGACGATGAACGGTCGCTACCGATCTGTACTATTTCTTCTCCCCTTGCTTAAAAGCTCACTTCACTGCCTCAAATCAATACGGCTCCTCCACCCTTTTGATCATCCTTTGAGCAGAGAGAGTGTGAGTGTGTGCTTTCGATCCTCTACTCTTCTCGATGACATTTCAGTTAAATACCAATACCAATACCAATACCAAAGGGAAGGTTCCAAGAAGGAGGAAGAGAGGCCAAATTGTAGAGAGGCACGTACTACGCACTAGGTAGGAACTGTAGTGGATGGATAGGTAAACCAGCACTTTCAGAGCCTGAGCGTGAGCGTGAGCGTGGCAAGGAAGACGGGAATGAAGATTTCTGACTTCTTCTTCTATAATACATACATACAAAACAGCTTTAGGGACAGGTTTAGGGACAGGGACAAGGCGGGGATGTAAGTACGAAAGGGAGGGGAGAAGAGGAAGAGGAAGAGAAAGGGAAGGAAACACGATCCGGTTTGGGGATCCATGAATATGCAAGAGGGAGAGGGAGAGGGAGAGGGAGAGGGAGAGAGGGGGGGGAAGAAATAAGGCATGAAAGGACTAGTGCTGGCGTGTATGAAGGAATGGAAAACAGAACAGGGAAGAGACGAGAGAGAGAGGGAGGGATGCCATGAAGTAAATGCCGAGAAGAGTGATGGGTATCTCTGAAAAAGTGAACTGAACGAGGAACGGGAACGAGAATGAAAAAGGGAAAAAGAGAAAGAGGGGAAAAAGGAGTGCGAATCGTAATCGTAAAGGTTTTGGGTCCGGTCCTGTCCGGTCCAGTCCGGTCCAGTCGAGTCTAGCTTAGTACCGCGTCATTGGTCGTCTTCTGTCTGCCTCTTTCTTATTCCTCGTGTGGAAGATCCAATACTGCAGCGCGTCCGTTGCGAAATGCCTCATGCCATCAAGGCAGGTCAGCCGCTAGTGTAAAAGGCACATCCCGCCTAGCTGATCCTTCTCTCAGTAGCGCCCGAGCAAAGTTGACCAAGTGCGGCACAAGGACTGCCGCGCCAGTGGCGCCCGCATCGAGGGGCCAAGCCCAAGAGGCCTGTGGTGGGTCCCCTCCTTCCTTGTCCTCCTTTGCAGCAGAGCGTGCCATCTTCCCCGGATCCAGATCCCTAAACGTCGCCAGTGCATCCAGTAATGTGCCCACACGATTGCACTTTTCCCATGTGCGCGGAAATTCTGCCGAGAGGACGGCTGGGCTAAGGGCGGAACGGGCGACGGAGAGGAGGCGAGCGCAGCGCTCTTCGTCTGCTACGACCTTGGCGAGGGAGGAGGACGCGTCGGTGAGAATTGCTGTGAGGTCCAGAGTGGGTGCGGAGGCACCGCCTTTGGTTCCGGCCAGGGAGCTCAGGGTGGGGAGAGTCGAAGCGGACTGAGTCCTTTGGAGACCCAGCAGGGGAGACGCAGCTGATGTTTCGTGTCCGTTCTGAGGGCTGGCCTGAGACGCCGGCGAAGCAGCAGGCTGCGTCGAGCCATTGGCAGAGGAAGACGAGGACGAGTCTGCAGCCGCAGATCTGCTAACAAGTCTGGAGAGCCTGACATTGAGCTGCTTCTGCTCATGCGAAGCGACGTGTCTGAGCACAACTGCCTCTAGCAATCTGCAGAGGCCCGCAAGAGGGTAGTCTTTGGCTTTCTCGTGGTTGGCGCAGACGTAGTGCATCAGACCCGACAGGCTGGTCCAATTGGAAACAATACAGCCTGCCTTGCCAGTTGCAGTGGAGGCAGCATGATCTTCGCACCAGAAGGCGTACATGTAGAGTAAGATAGCCTCGGTCTGTTCGTAGTTGGCCACACGCTGCACCGCTGCGCGGGCTGATGAAGAGCTTGCGGGTGGTGCAGACCGGACTCTGTTGTCACCGGAATGCTTGAGAGAGCGGCCTCGAGCTTGATAGGCATTGGCGACTCGGGTGAAATCCTCCTTCGTCCACGTACGTGTGGGCAGTGAAGCGGACGTAATTTGGTGGGAAGAGCCGTTCTGCGACCAGGAGGACTGGCGGCTTTCTTCTCGGTCACGAACGCGCGAAGGAGGAGGAGGCGATGGAGAGGGCGTGTCGTAGTCACGGCTAAGATGTAAGGAAGGGAAGGAGAACTTCGGAATACGTCAGTCACTCTCCATTCGCAGCCCCAAGAGGGAGACTTTCCCGGGCAAGGACAGGTCGAAGTACTCACGTGCTACTGCTCTCTTTTCTCGACCTGCTCTTCTTGACCACTTTGACATCCTTCTTGCTTGCGATGCCATCTTCCGATTCTTCGGCCACCGACTTCTTCCTCTTCAGCTGAGGGCCGTCTCTGGCATCGTCGTCATCATAAGCCGAGCCAGACTTCTTCTTTGTTGCTGCAGAAGAGAGATGAGCAGATGAAGTTGAAGCAAGGGGAGGCGCAGTGTGCTTGGCAGTCGTTGCCATCTGCGACGAATCTGCAGCCGAGGTCTTGTCCTCCCTCTTGGCCTTCTTGGGCTGCTCGGGCGCGTCGGGCGAAAGGTCACTGTCCTTTGCCTTGACCCTAATTTTAGCCTGCGCAGTGCGATTGGATGGCACGAGGCTAGGCTCCGAAGGCAACTTCGTCTCTATGCTTGCGCCTGAATCCAGCGAGTCGAGGAGCTACAAGGGTTCCAAGAAAGAGTACAAAGGGCGAAGCGCAGGGGTGGGTGCAGGGGAGAAAGGGAAAGGGCGGGCATGCGATTGGGTTGAGTGAGCGGCACCTGGGCGGCTGGGCGGCAGAGGCACAGAGGGGCGAGTGCCGTGGCGCAACGGGAAATGCAGGTCCGATTCCGTTCGGAGATTGGAATCTCCCGTGCGGAAATCAGACCCAGGTGACCAGAGGACACAAGTGGGAACTCCGCCCTGGCCATGCACATGGCAGCAGCCACCCGCCCACGCACCCACCCACCGCCTATCGCTCTGCGTCCACTTACCTCGAGTCGTTCTTCGATCTCCTTGATCGACAGATATCTATTGAGCACACAGTGAATGGAGAAAGGGGGGCAAAGAAGGAACTGTCAGGTCTTTGTTTGCATGTACACACCCAGTGGCCCGCTCCGTCGACGGGAATGAGGGAGGGGATCCCCGCCAGAGCTGAGTGTGAACCTGCTCAACCTCCGTAGTGTACACAGAGGCATCTCCGCCTCATTTGTTGTGAGTCGTGACAGGCGACGTCATACGATCTCAAATGGCAAGGCAAAGCAATTTTGAGCGTGTCGACGACAACGCCCTGATAGCTCTGGGGAGTTGGTTGAGTGGTGGAGACTCGGGAGCATTGCTCTCCAAAGGATCCGCCATGCGATGCCCCCCCCTACGCCGACTGCTTCTACGCCAAATTGATTCAGGTCCGTTTGCTCACCTGCGCGCAGCCACACCATAGGCGCTGTTACCCTCGTACGACTTTCCCGGTAGTAGGCCATGTAATAGAGCGAGATCAGGAGGTGTTCTAAGGCTGTTGCCAGTGGATGTGGAAGAGGTGGACAGGGCAGAGGGAGAAGTGCTATTGGTCGTAGGCGTCACTCCAGATGGAGATGTACTAGCATAATAGCCCGCGCTGCCATTGTGACCATTGCCATTGCCGTTCGTAGAGAGGTAGCGAGAGGATGTTGCTTGCATACTGCTTCCCTCTTCATCGTGGTGAGAGGGATGCCGGCGCCCACTACTACTGCTACTCCGCGAAGGGCGTTGATCGTAGTGTGCGGGCGGTGGAAGTCTCGAGTGGGACCAATTGTCCGAAGATCGAGAGTGTGTCATTGATCCAGACTGAGCTGCCCAAGTCGAAGAAGAGGTCGAAGGGGATCTAACAGACCAATCGTCTTCGGGATATCTGCGTCTCCGGTAGTGATGGTCTGCGTCTCGATCGGACTCGTGGTAGGAGGCGCGATCGTAGGAATCTCTATGTCGCTCCTTCTCCGCCCCGCCCGACCATGGCAGGGAGGAGGCAGAGCTCCGTGGCCGATCTCGATGCCTCGAGAGGCCTTCGTGGTCCATTGTGGCGAGCTCAAATCGCAGCAAGCAATCGGGAGCCAAGGGAACGCAGGCGATCTACACGGTCTGGCCTGCTAGGCTGAGGTAACTCCCGCACTGGCGGCGGCGATAGTGCGAGTTGGGCCAGTCTCTCGATGCAATGGCTCGGGTCTGGTACAAGTCTCTAGCCTGATGATGATGATGCAGCTACGTCGAATCTAAAGAGGACAATGAGGAAACCCGAGAAGGAAGGCCGGGGGGAAAAAGGGGAGAAGGAGGTGGGGGGGAGGGGTGGAGACACAAGGCGGCGAGCCCGACTGCAATGGGGGAAACGGGGCTGGCTGGGTGCAACGGGTGACCCTGACCCGACCGGACTCAATTGCTTGCACGCCTTCCTCCGAGCCTCGGCGGGCGGGCAGGCAGGCAGGCGCGGGCAGGCGGGGCAGGCCACGGACGCAACACACACACACACTTACACGCACAGCGGAACTTGAAGATGGCGCCAGGCCAGACCAGAGCAGAGCAGAGCACTTGCCAATCCAGCCGAGACCCAGGGGAAAAGCTCGCTCGCACCTTTACACGATCGGGAGGCGTGGTCTCACTTGGCACTCTTTTCTGAACCCACGGCGACTTACGCACAAAAAGGAAGGGAGAAGAGGGGCATAAACATCATCGGAGGGGCAAGACCTGGGGGGTTAGGTACTTGCAAATGCCGATTGGGAAGAGAGGAGAGGCGTGGTTGATGATACTAAGCTTAGTCAGCTACTAATCGATTCGGCTAATGCATCACGTTCACCTCACAAGAGCACACCAGACCCTTGAATGGAATGACCATCATCAGAATCTCAATCTGCACTGGTGCCCCCTAGGCGAGGACCAAGCGGGCGCCAAGAAGGCGGCGGATCGCGAATAAAGACTCGAAGCTCGAAGCTGCAGAAGGTCTCGCTGGGAACGGACACACAGACACCCGGAAGGAATTCCTCCCATGCAATCCTCATCGTGGGAACAAAGCGCGAAGTTCCCGGGCATACAATGAATAATGAGAGTGATGGCCACGAAGACAATGCTGCTGCTGCTGATGATGATGAAGGTGATCTTGATAATGTTCAAAAAGACAAGGTTGGAAAAGAGATGTTGAGACAGATGGGAGGACAGATTGGACGACGAGGGAAATCTTTCTTCGTTCGTTGGTTCGGCTTTCGAGTGGGAAGACGAGGTGATGATACTGAAATGAAGACAGAGATTTTACATATGGAAAAGAGACATGACAGTGGTCAGAGACGGGGGAAAGAGGCTGAGTGGTCGAGCCAAGGGGGAAGAGCGGGGCAGTTGCAGAAAGGTTGCGGTTGAGCTTGGGAATCGAGAAGTACAAATTCTTGCTGGGTAGGGTTGAATCTCAATAATAGAATAGTGGCAAGAACCTCAGAAGCGGGTGGTGGAGGCCCATCTTTCCGAGTCAGACTGAAGCGTCAATCGCCTCAAAAGGGACCTTGACCGTAGCCTACCGAAGGCGGTTGGTAGTGACCCCGTCCGTGACCGCCAGCCCCGCCAGCACCACCGCCATTGGCGCCTCCGTAGCCTCCATAGCCGCCTCCAAGACCACCCATCATGCTGCGAGGGGCCAAGCCGGCACGAGGGGCACCTCCCCCATATCGATTGCCAGAGGGAGAACCATAGCCTCGCGAAGGACCCGTCGGAGGGGCTGGTCCGTTGTCCATGCCACCGTACAGTTGATGAGGCGGAGGCAATGCAGAAACAGAGGACGGGCCACCGCGTCCGTATCCACCTCCGGACGGAGGATAGCCCATGGCGTGGTGAGGCTGCTGGTGTCTTGATGGAGCTCCGTGACCTTGGCCTTGTGCGGCTGCAAGAGCAGCCATCGTCTGGTAGTGCTGCTGCTGTTGTTGGGCGGCTGCAGCCAGGAGCTGCTGGTAATGTGCGTTGCCGGCTGCTGAGCCAGGCGGAGGCAAGTTGCCGCCGCCCATCATACCTCCAGCGCCTCCTCCCATACCGCCTGGGCCTGCCATGTCAAAGCTTTCCCGCTGCAGCTTGCTCTGGATGCGCTTGCCGTAGGGCGTGTTGCGAATCATCGGCAAGATGGGGCGAATGCATTCCACCAGCTGAGCTCGCTGTATGGGGTCCGAGTAGTCAAGGGCAGTCTGCACGACGTAGTTGGCAAACGAGTCTCGCAGCAGTTTCTCCAATCGAGCCCTGTTCAGCAGCTCCTCCACAAGAAGCCTGCGCACCGAGTCGGGAGACACCCGGATGCACTTCTCAATGACGTTCGAGCTGAACTTCTGCACGGAGAGCAGGCATACGTTGCCAATGAATTGGCGGATGACAGCCTCGGTGAAGCGAGCGTCGTTCAGATCGAGGATGTACTGAACGACGTAGTTGCCAAATGGGTCCTGAACCAGAGTCAAGGCATTGTAGGTGATCTCCTGTACCAGCTGTACCCGCTGCTTGTCAGAGGCGTGGTCGACACATCGCTGCAAGACGCAGCAGCCGTGGCGGTGGGTAGCGACTTCGACACAGTGGGCTGCCACGGCATTGTAGATGAATTGATTGTCTTCGCAACCGAGCCGGTTGAGACACTTCTGGATGACGTGGTTGCCATTGAGGTCCTTGATGAGCGTCACGACATTCATGCTCAAGGCCATGATGATGGAGTGGATCTGCCTCGAGGTGGACAAAAAGTCGATTGTCTTTTGGACAGCTCGGGTTCCGTGCATGTTGAGGGAGATTGTCACCAACTCTGATGATACAGACTCAACAATGAGATCGCGCTGCTCATCCGTGCAGAACTCCAGCATCTTCTGACACAGGTAGTTGCCAAACGGATCCGTCATGAGGTCGGCAAAGTGGGAGAAGGTCTCTGCAAAGATCATGTCTCGATACGTCGGGACCCCCTCTTCGAGCTTCTTCTGTAGGTACCGACAACCGTGCTGATCCTTGCACAAGGTGAAAATCTCGCCTTGGAGATCTTCCAATCTAGTGTTGATATCGAGTTCTCCTTTGCGAGCAGCAAGCTCATCCGCGGTCAGATTTTCGTCTGGGCCTCCGTAGCCAAATGCAGAGTTGATGCCAGTACCGTTGCCGAAGCCGCTGTAGAAGCCACTGTTGCGGTTTTGGCTTCCGTCGTCATCAAAAGGTCCAGAAGGCGGCATCGAACCAAAGCGTCTGTTGGAAGAGCCGTCCATGCCGAATCCTGGGAAGTTGCCTGCATCATCACGTGGGCCAGTGTGTTGACCTGAGCTTAAGCGAGGGCCGTTGGCACCGTCATTGCGACCTGAAGCACCATTGCCATGGAATGCGCTGGGTCCGTTAACAGAATCGTCACCCAGATGCGGGCGGTTGGTCAGACTTCCCCTGGCAGCCATGCCTCCGTAAGACCCTTGTCCGACAGCGTGAGGTGAGGGTGATGCGCCCGGACCTCCACCGAGGCTGACTTGACGATCTTGAGGCGCACCAACTCCTCCTCGGTTCGGCGTTTGTCCAATGCCAAGAGGCCGCATCGCAGGGTTGCCACCACTGAGACGAGGGGAATTGCGCTCAGAGCGTCCTCGACGGTCGATGAATTGGTCCTCCCTGCCACGGCCTTCGAATTGAGGCCATTCCGACAGGCGGGGCCCATCTCCTCCAGCGTTGGCGCCTTCACCACCAGGACCTCGAGAGTTGTAGCGTGCATCATTCTTGGACAGCGGAGCAAGGTCCAGCGCTGCAGAGGAAGTGGACAGCTGGTTCGGCATGGCCGCAAACTTGTCATTGCGCAACAGCACAGGAAACTTGTCGTCATCGTCCGAGAGATTGTACTTCTTGACGAAGGCTGAGTCCTCATTGTCAAGCTCGTCATCGAAGAGGAATCGTTCGTTGAAGACGGGTGTCATGCCAGCACTGCCACCGACTTCCGAACCATTGGTACCTGCACCCTCATAGCCTTGGTTGTTGCGTGAGAGCAGACGAGAGACCCCTGGAGCTAGACTGGCAGAGACGGGCCTACCACCAGATGCTGTTCCGGGGGCTGAGCCGCCGCCGCCGCTGCCGACATTGAGACGATTGAAGGAGCTGGCCAGGTCATTGGCACCAGTACCGCTCTCGCGGCCAGAAGGCGGCAGAGTGGTGTCACGACTACTTCGGCGGGTAGAAGAGTTCGATCTCGTATTGCTCAAAGGTGCGAGGCCGGGGACGTTGCTACCGTTCCACCCGTCTTCAGTGTCATTTTCTCCGGTCAGGCCAGATCCGAGCGCGTTGCTCGTAGGACTCGATGCAGCGCTGGCTCGCAGAGAGCTGATGAGTTGCGCCGAAGGACTTTTGCCAAGGTTCGTGCTGTAGGAAGGAGCGCCGGTAGTGGAGGCCGTGGGACGTGCAGCGTCAAGGCTGCTACGAGGGGCTTGAGCCGACGCACTGGTGGTGTTTTCAGCCACTGCACCTTTGCCGTCTTCCTGTCGGAGCAAGCTTGCCTCCTCCTCTCGCTGCTGCTGCTCAAGAGTTCTCATCTGCTCCTCAAACTTTTGGCGCTGGATCTCTCGCTGATGTTCGTGCTCGAGACGCTTTCGCTCGAGGCGCTAAAGGACAAGGAAACACCACGACATAAGATCAGTCTATGCTTTTCAATCTGGACGATTGCCTCAAGCCAGCTCGAGTACTCACAGCTTTGATCCCCTCCGTGTCTGATGGGTCAAGAATCCCACTCGAGTTCATGCTATCGAACTCGCCAGAATTGCGGCCACCAGAGGGTAACGATGCAGCTGAAGCATTTGCGTTGGACCCCGGAGCGCTTGGTGATGGTCCGCGCTCGGATCCGATGGGAGAGGGTCCCAGAGAAAGACGCTTTGCCTCTGCCTCATTGGATGGCGAATTGTTCTGTGAGAGCTTGTGCTCCGATTGTCTTCCAGATGGCTCCATGCTGGGACAGAATTGAGTCTTCAAGGGCTTGGCAAGAGTCTCGTGTGTGCTTTTCCTCAAGCCACTGTCCACTTGACCTTGTAGTTGACAAGCCAAGACAGAAGGACTAGATTGCGACCTGAAGAGGGCTCTTTGTTGCTGCTGCACAGAAATGTACAGGAGGCTGGTTGAAAAGACGGCTACCTAGTGGGTACTGATGAGAGTGTGTGTGGTACGAGTGCCAAGAGAGAGATTGAGCTGGTGTGCCAAGAGAATGAGACCACGTGTCAGGCGTCAACGTCAGCTACTCACACTGTATTTTCGGGTGCAAGGAGTGAGGAAAGTGGGAGGCGTCTCGAGACCCTAGCGCTGGTATATGCCGTCTTCTTATATGCTGATGTTACACAGACCTAGAGTAGCACACTTGTGGTGACACAAGAAAGGTGACCAGTGGAATGGAGGGAATATGAGAACAATCTGTACGAGCTTGACAGCGTCTTGAAGAGATGGCAGGGAATGTTCTTGAACCCGTTCAAAGAATACAAGAGGGCAGTGAGCTCTCTTCGAGGCTTGTGCAGCTGTCTCGGATCAATTGTACAAGGCGCGTGTTTTGCGTCTGCTCTCCTACAGGAAGGTGGTGGTGAGCTCGTGTGGAGATATCGAGCGCGTTGTGGGGATAATCTATGATTCGACTGCGTGACTTGATGTATATTGTACGATGATGCCTGAGATGTTGTACACTTGAGGGGCGATGGGGTCTCGTGGCTCGTCGGAAATCAATGGTGATACAAGCTGGTGGTCGCTATTTCTGCAGTTGTTGAATCAGCACTTGTTCGCAGACGTAGTCTATCGCTAGGCTTCCGCTGCTGTGCTCTCTCGACTGTGGATCGTGTCGAGGCGTGAAGAGCTTCGACAGCGGTCGGAAAGGTATGCTCTGGAGCTTGTCTGTTCTTCCAGCAATCCCCCAAGCAGGTGCCAGTGGAGAGTTGGACAGGTGTGCTTTCGAGCCTTTGTGCGCGGTGCCTGGGCCTCGAAGAGTTGAGTGACGAATGATTCTCCTCTGCTAGGGGTCAAGTCTAGCGAAAGGGTAGAAGTCAAGGGGTGCTGGTCGATGTGTGGGTGCGTTGAGCAGGGCAAGAAGGTAGGAGAAGAAAAGGGGACAGGACCCTCTGTGTACGAATATAGTGACAGCTCCGAAGGCGCCCTGCCTTCCTCGTCTCACCACGCAACCGAGGCCCCGAAGGAAGAAAAGAGGCGCGCAGTGGAGCAACGCCCACGCCTTGGCCCATTCTACCCCGCCCCGAGCCCCACACGCACTTGCACATCCAATATCACACTTTCGGAACATCACTACATTCGTCAACAAAGTGGAAAGGTGATGAAATTGTGGTATCATTGACTACGAGCCAAAGTGGAAGGACAGAAAGAGATGTGACAATGCTGCTTAGGTCTGCCCCTGCCCCTGCTGCTGTTGCTGCTGCTCGGCAATAGCCATATTCTGCCTCTCATTCTTCTTCTTCTGCAGACTAAATTGAGTGCTGATAGCCGTCGTAGTAGTCCAAGCTCCTCCAGCGGCCTCATCTTCTTCAGGCCAGAGCTCGAAGATGCGCTTGTAGGCAGCCTTTCTCTGGTTGAGCTCGCTCACTTGCTCGGAACTAGCTTCCAGCTTGAGCTTCTCTGCCTTGAGCTCTGTCATGCCATTCTCGATTACAATGATACGGAAGATGTCTTCGCGCATTCTCTCGGTCCATCTCCACCTCTTTGTAGGCTCAGGACCGGCGGAAGAAGTTGCCGGGTCGGCCACGGGAACTGGCGTGAGGTTGCCATCAGCATCGTTCAATTCAATAGGCGCCGTCTCGGTTCCCGGAGCATTGCTGTTAGAGGCCTTCAGTGGTGCATCGCCTGAAGTCTCCTTCCACAGCTTGACCTGCTCTTCGAACTCGGCTCGATGAGCAGGCAATGCTTCTTGAATAGCCGCCTGCATGTCGTTGAGGACGTCGTCCTGCAGCTCCTTGAGAGCAGTCATGTGATCCTCGTAAAAGTCTCTTTTAATGAGCTTCGACATCGTGAAGCGATTGTAGGGAAAGATGTTGGGCAAGTAGTTGAAGAAATTCTCGTTGTACTGACCGAGATCAATAGCGATCTTGGCGGCCTTCCTCAGGGGCTGGCGAAGATTAGGCGGGAATTTGCTTTTGACCTGGAAGCTCTCAGCGGCAACCAACCTCCCCAGGTATTCAAATTCGGCTGCAAGCCGCCTGTCTACCGGCTTCATTGGATATAGCTTCTTCTTGTTGGCTGAAGATGGCCCTGCTTCATCTTTGACCTCGATGGGACTGTTTCGGCTCCCAGCGTCCGGCTGAACGGGCTCAGTCCCGACGAGACCCAAAGCGGTTGGAGGCAGATCACTAGGCGGCATAGAAGGTACGACTGGGAGACCTTTTTCTTGGACTCGAAGATGATGCAGCATGTTGGAGACTTCGAGTTGGGTGCCAGCAGCAAGGTAATGTGGTCGTGCTGCTGCACTGCCATCGACTCTGGCACCAGAAGCAGCAGGAGTTCCGCCTCCTGCGCTGCCATTGCTGGGTCCCGCAACAGAAGCTGCCGAGTTCCCAGCAGCAGTAGTCGCTGCGCCTTTGCGCTTCTTCTTTGCCACTGTCTCGAGCTCGACGTCACCCATCGCAATGTAGAAGCCCTTTGACAGAGGCTTGGCAGAATGAGTCGGCTCATCGATTTGAAGCTCTGAATCGTCGACGAAGGGATCATTGACGTCGTAGTCTTCTAGCTCGTTCCTCTTCCTTCTCTTGCGCCTCTTCTTCTCACCAACAGGGGGAGCATCCACCGGGTACCGGTTGAGCAAATGGGCGTAAGCGCCCAGATCCCCGAGTCCTTCAGGTGCGGCGGATGCTGGGGTCGAGGCAGGCCCGACAGTCGCGCCAGCAGCTCCAGCAGGTGTAGCTGCTTCCTTTTCCTCCCACCAGGCTGCCCATGGGTGACTTTGAGACTTGAGTTCTGTATGAAGCAGCTTCGGAATCTCGAACAGGTACTTCGTCTTTGTGAATTTGAGGGGCAATCGGATAGTTGGCAGAGCCGGCGGAGCCTTTGGCAAAGACACGTCTACAGAGTGGTCTCGCTCTTTGCGCTTGATCTGCTTCTTGGGCTGTGCTGGTGTTGCTCCAGCCGCTGTAGACTCTCCATCGGCCGATGTCGTTGCTGAAGGCTCGCCACCATCGACAGCAGCGGCTGTCGTATTCCCTCCTTGAAGGGATGCACGCTTGACGGACCCTGTCATGGACACGTCGCCATTGGTCTCGACGGCATCGCCTATCTTGCGGCCGGTCTTGGCATCATCTTCGTCTGCATCGAGGTCTCGGGAGGCTGTCGAATTGTCATCTTCCTCGTCATCTTCCTCATCGTCCTCGTCGTCATCTTCTCCGTCTTCTTCATCGTCATCTTCATCGCCATTCTCTTCCTCTTCATCTTCGTCGTCTTCGTCTTCATCTTCATCGTCATCATCGTCATCTTCCTCACCCTCCTCTCCGTCTGCTTGGGCTTCTTCAGTCTTCTCTTCGCTGCTGATAGGCGCCTGTGCTGGAGACTCGCCTGCCAAAGGTGCTGTAGTAGTGAGGCCAATGCGACGCTTTTTGCTAGGCGATGCAGAGACGACCGGCTGTTCGGAAGGTGTCTCTACAGCTGGGGTGTCTCCATTTGAAGCTGGCACCTGCGTCGGGGTCGAATCGTCTTGCTGAGCGTCCAAGGCAGGTGTAGGAGGCATACTGCTCCTAACCGATGGAGAATTGGCAGGAGAGCAAAGAGCTGCTAGGGAGAATTTGGACCTCGCTCGTCCAGCAGGGTCGTCTTGGTTGATCCCGCTACCATTGGTGGTGACTGGGGCCGAGATGCTGTCGTGAAATTCTTCGGGCGGTGAGAGGGGCGACGATGGTCTATCAACCTCCATTATTGTATCAGTCAGTCGAGGCGATGAGGGCGACCTTTGCTGCTCCTGCCCCTTCTTCTTCCTCCCGTCCCTATGCAGCGTCTTCCAGGCTGCCCCTACTGGAAAGAGAAAGGCAAGGAAGCGGTCCATTGCGAAAGTGTCAGTAAGACAGCACAATGGTAAAGCTTTGTGATTCTAGGCATTATCAGGCCCACGATGAGGTGTGGCATGACTGTTGCTCGTCGAAGCAGCCAGGGAATGGTTGTTCCGGTTTCGCGTCCTACTTCCGTGCCTGACGCACTACTCCCACCTTGAGACGCGCTACCCAACCTGAAGCCCTGTCCGGACTCCAAGGAGTGATCTCGCGCGTCCGCTTACTGCTGGAGCTGCCAGACAGACCCCAGACAGGGAGCAAAGAAGCCTCAAAGACTTCATAATTGCAGCTGTATGCTTCTCATTGAATTGAGATACTCACTTTATAGTGTGCAGAAGTCAGAATGTGCTGGTGGTGAGGGGATTGTGGGGAGATGGTCTGTTTCACCTGCTGGGGAAGGATACCATTGAGTAGAGAGCGACTGTATGCTGCACCCAAGGTGAGGTATGTGAGGCGCGTGTGGCTGACCCGGAGGCGTGACCAGTTTTTTCGCCGTGACCCGGAGCGAGGTGCGCCGTAAGAGTGAGGGTCAATGGGTTGGATAAAGGACGAAGAGGCAGGGAGGTCAAGGAGTGGTTGGTAGAGAGGAAAGGAGAGATGACGAGGGCTCTGGGGGGGACGAGATGGACAGACAGAAGAGTGCGAGGTGATGGTCTTCTTCTTCTTGGGAGGCGCCCGGCGGACGTGGTGGTGCACTGCCAGGCGGCTGGCTGGCAGGCGGGGCGAAGGGGTTGGGCGCGGCTAAAGTGGACTTGAGTGCCTTGGCAGACGGACGATGTCAAGACTTGTCGCTGCTGCCCTTGAGTGGTGCTTCCTGATCAACGTCTGCTCCGTCCGAGACTCCGGGAAATGGCCTTGAGTCTAGCAACAAGCAGCAGCACCACCACCACCTTGGACGCCTCGCGCCTCACGTCCCCTTTCCGTGGATCGCCCGTCCTCCCCGATGGCACTTGCAAAGGCATCGTCCTGAGCCAGAGGGGAGCAATGATCAGCACCTTTGTGGACTGTCAGTATCATTTGGCCATTATTGATGGCAGCCTTGGGAACTCTGGCGCACTCAACGCCTCACCAGCAGGTCCTCTGCCACCACTCACCCACCTCCGCTCGGCCCATCGGCGTTTTGCCGCGAGATTCCGGAGAGCCGCCGTGAGGAAGAAGCGCAAGGGAATATAAGTAGAATACCCGAAGTCGTGTCTGCTCGATCGACCCCCTTTTCCGACTGGTTGTCAATCATCATCAGCATTACAATATGGCCAACTCGTCCTCCCCATCGTCCTCTTCTTCGTCCGCTCCTCAACACATCGTCGTTGGAGCCGGCGTCTTCGGCACGTCCACGGCTCTGGCCGCGGTGCAGGCGGGGCACGGAGTCACAGTACTGGTGGGTAAGCGACAGAGACCTCGAGGATGCTCACAGCTCGAACCGTGCGCTGACTTTTCCTCCATCATCTCTTCTGGTGAATAGGATCGAAGTAGCGATGGCTTCGTGGCACCTGATGGTGCATCCTCCGACCTGAATAAGATCATCCGAGCTGATTATTCCGACCCCTTCTACCGTGTCCTGGGCAAGGGGGCCATTTCGGAATGGCGCACCAACCCCCTCTACTCTCCCTATTACCACGAGGATGGAGTCTTCTTCTACTCTGGTCAAGATGGAGACCCAACTGCTGCAGAATTCATGAAGCAAGGCGTGCACAATGCCGCCATTGCCTCTGATGTCCACTTTGAGCGAATGGCAGTTGGAGTGCAATTGCCGAAAGTGGCTCACCTCCTGGCAAGCGAGGAAGAAGGCAAGGCGTGCTTTCCTCCTTCACTAAGGAATCGCGTGGGCGGCTTTATGAGCAAAATGGGAACGGGAGCTACTTCGGGCTACTGCAACCCTCGCGGAGGCTGGGCAGAGGCTAGGAATGCTACCGTCGCTGCTTTGCAGGAGGCTCAGAGGCTGGGTGCTCAGCTGGTAGGAAATGCAGAAGTCTCATCTTTGATCAGACAGGACAGCAAGGTAGTCGGTGTCAAGACCTCGGACGGTCGCAGTTTCACCACCCGCAACGGCGGAGCAGTCATCATCTGCGCAGGATCGTGGACCACGGATCTCCTCCTGAACAGTCTTCTCCCCCCGACCCTTGGCAAAGCATTGGGAGAACCAGCATCCACTTCTGGACAGACAGTCATCACTGTCAAGCTGGGAGAAGAAGACCGGCTGGCTCACAAGGGCGCTCCGGTCACCTTTAACATCCAGACTGGCTTCTACACTTTTGCTCCTGACGCCTCTGGAGTGCTCAAGGCGGCAATCCATGGACCAGGCTACAGCTACCCAGCGCCTCCCTGCGGAGTCGTCGGCGAAGCCTGTGCCTACCCTTCCTTCAGCAGCTCCTCTTCCGCCCCCTCAACCTCCACCGCTCCCTCGCCCAAGGGAATCCTCGGTGGCCGCGCCATGCCCTTCCAACCCACGATCCAGACTGGCAAAGAGGAGCGTGTGCCAGAGGGAAAAGACCGCGAGATGCTACAACAACTCTTGGAAGTGTATCCTGGTCTGGAAAAGTACAAGGAGACATTGCAGACGAGAATTTGCTGGTACTCGGACACGGAGGATGAGAATTGGATCATAGACGGCGTTCCAGGCCAGCACCCGGGGGAGAAGGTGGAGAACTTGTTCATCGCTACGGGAGATAGTGGTCATGGCTTCAAAGTGAGTAGATGCGACGCCACATGTGCCAACGACGTTGTAGCTCGACGTGTCCTGACATCCTCCTCCCTTTCACCTATTCAGTTCCTGCCAACCATCGGCAAGTTCATCCTCGGCCGTCTCCCCTCCTCACAGCGTCCCGCCTCCATCCCCGCCCTGACTGAAGAGCAGTCACGCTTCTGGTCATTGGAGCACCATCGTCGTCTCAAGAAAGAGGTGGCTGCTGCTGCCGCAAAGGTGCGAAAGGAGATAGGGGACGCAGCTACGAACAATTTGAGAGGCCGGTTGTGAGCTCAATAGATAGATGGATGGGCGCAGAGGGAGCGGTCGTTGCGTAGCATCAGGACCACGAAGAAATTGAGACGTAGAAATCTCTGGAGCTGTGCATTGCACTGGCTCAAGTGACGTGTAGCATTTGCCTCGGCGACCACATTGGACGAATTGCATATCCCATCACCTCTGTCCTCCTCGTCCCGTCTCGTCCGTCTGAAAGACTGTCTGCTTACGACCTCCCAAGGTGCTCAGGTAGTCCCTGATCCACCGATCGCGCGCCTCCCCCTCGTGTCTCCAAGCGCGATAGCGCTGATCATTGCGTAAGATGGAATGAATCTCCTCTATATCCACCTGATTCGCCATGTCAACCAGACTTGAAACAGCCCCCTCCCCGTTTCCATCTGCATCTTCATCATCGGTGGGCTCGATTCCTGCTCCACCACCAGACGCAGCAGCCGTCTCACCGAGGAGCTTCTGCGTAGTCGCCTCTTCCTCACGACCGCTCCCGCTGGCTTTCCTCTCGGCTTCTGAGCGTAGACGACCCCAGAAGTCGACGAAGCTGTTCTCTGTAGTGGGTTGGGAGACAGACAGAAGAAGGAAGAAGCGTAAGAAGGGGAGCTGTACTCTTGAGTCTCCATGAGGTTCAGTTGACTCACCTTTGAGCATCTCATCAAATTCGGCCCTGGCCCTGGCCTCCCTCTCCCTCTTCCAGAAGCGCCACTCCTCCAGCAGAGCTTCTTCCTCCCTCGCCTGCCGCACACCACTAACGAAACCTCCCATCTTCAGCCTCTCATACTCCACATCGTCCCTCACTAGAGGCAGGACTACCTCTGCTTCGGCATCGAGCGCCGGTGCGTACTTGAGGAATATAGCGCGGAGTTGTTCGCGCTTCTTGCTCGTTAGCTTGGCTACATGCTCGTCGAACATCTGACGCTTTTGGTGCACACCTAGACCAGGAGCTTCGAAGCGAGCATCGCCTGCGAGTTGTTCCGAGATACGAGACCAGGCAGAAAGCGGGTCGCGGACTGCGTCTACTAGTAGCTCGCCAAAGTGGATTGCACTGTCGCCCCTGGTCGCCTCACCCAGTGCTCGTCGATTCTTGCGCTCGACCTCTTGGCGCTGTACGCGGACCTGCTCTTCGCGATGTCGCAGAGCCTTTTCCCTTCGATCGATTGCATCTCGTGGCTTGCTGACTCCAGTGTCACCGGCGACAGAAGGGCTGGCCGTCTCAGCTGGCCGAGGTGGCATCATCGTTGCAGAGCCTCCCTTTGCCCACTTGACGAAGAGCTCTGCTCTCAGCGAAGAGCTACCGACAGCATCATATTCCTGCCTCCTCTCCATGTCCCCCATCTTCTTGATCTTGGGCCAGACGTCCTCTTTGAGCTCCTTTTCACTCATTGACACCCACCGTGTCTCTTTCACATCGCCAGCGACCTGTCCGAGCACAGACAGGAAGTTGCGCTCGGCAGTCTCAGCAGCTTTACGCTTCACCTCTCCAAGTTCCTTGAGATGTGCCTTGAATTGTTTCTCACGCTCACGATCATCTCGGCCAAAGCCGTAGAAGCGTCGATCTTTCTTGAACTCCTTTCTGAAATCATCGAAGCGAGCCCGAGTCGACTTGACGTGATCGGTGAGGAGCCTCTTGTATGCATCAGCCGGGCTAGAGGAGAATTGCTCTACAGATGAGGATGATGCAGCTGCGGGTGCAGCTCCGTTGGAAACCGAGGTCGATGCAGAGGGTGCTATTCCGGCTTTCTTCTGCTCTCGTTTCTCCCTCAGACGCATCTTGCACCAGTCATTGAAGGCATCCTGGCGATCTCGCAGATTAGCAAGGGCGGTGTAATCGCTGAGGTGAACAAACTTGGGCAGCTCGTTGTCCCAAGGAGCCATCGGATTGACCTCGTTGGGCGTGCCATTTAGAGTCCAGAGCATGTGCACAAAGAGAGCTTTGCCTTCCTCTACTGTCAGAAGAGGTCGCTTAGGGATGGTCGCCGGAGGCGGCAAACCAGGTGGTGGTCCCCGGTAACCCCCTGGCGGCGGCGGAGGTGGTTGGAAAGAAGACGGTGCAGGAGGCATAGGCGGCTGAGGAGGGGCTGAAGGAGGAGGTGGCCTGCTGAGAGCTTGCACTGGAGAGCTCGAAGGCTCCCCGAAACCGACCTCCTCATTCGCCTCGGCAGCCATCTCTGTCGCCAATTGACGTTGCCATGCATCTTCGTCTAGATCTTCCTCCTCTCTGTCGCCCTCGTTGTCATCTCCCTCGCCATCTTCCCTTGTGCTCGAGGTCCGTTGCTTCTTGGAAGCAGGTTCATCGGATGGCTCCTCCTCATCCTCTTCTGCAGCCTCCTCTTCGCCTTCAATAGCTGGGCCGCCTAATAGCTCAGCTACGTCGATCCCAGGCTCTGGATCATCTGGGATTTCAAGATCCACTTCCTCCCTCTTTCGCTTCCCTTCATCTCTGGGCTCAAGATCTTCCGCGGGGCCTTCTGCCAGAGTTTGTTCCGAAAGCGTCGAAGATGCAGCTGCCACCCGTCCAACTGGATCCGCTTGGTCGGCAGATTCCTCGTTTGCAGCTTGAGCGTTTTCCATTTCCTCCACAGCTTGCTTGATCTCGTCGGGTATTGTCCACTCGCTGCGCTTAGACTCGACGTGAGTGTAGAAGACATTGCCGAGATTTGTAGTGACCCTCAGCCAGCCCGGCGCGCTGGGGATGGGGTCCTTTTGCTTCGGCTTCTCCTTCTTTGGCTTCTTATCGCTCAGAGCAGCTACCGGAGCTATTGTGGGCGGAGGGCCAGAGTACCCCATAGGCGGAGGGAAAGTGGCTGGGTGTGCATGGGTGGACTGGCCGGTGGAGGCATTGAAGTAGTATACCTGGCCATTGGGGGCGGCGTGCTGACTCCAGCCAGGAGGAAGCATGGCGGCGCCATTGGGTATTGTAGACGGCCCGGCAGCCCCTGGATAGGCAGAGGATGGGTACTGTCCAGACATACGAGGCAGCAGATGTGATAGCCTGAGCTCAGGGGAGCATGGAAGAAGTGAGCGAGTGCTTCCGTACAGTCACCTCGAAGCCTGGAGCTCTTTCCGTTTTGCGCGGAGTGCAAGCGGACTGACTGCCTCCAAATCTCAATTGTTCCGATCCTCCTTCCTACGATCATCCCTCGACGTATAACATCGCTCCTCCTTCGCACTACCAGTACCTCCTTCTCTGCTCCGACGATGGACGACGAAAGAGATATTTCAAGGCTGTGGCGAGTCAACAAGACCATCCACGAGCTCGTAAGGGACAGGGTACGTAGCAGGCAGGACATGCGCCTCGTGCCAAGCGAGTGCATCAGTCCGCTTTACTCACTTACCCCTCCCCTCTCCGTCTACAATGACCCATCTTGCAGGGCTTCCTGGTTGCCGATCATGAAATCGAGGTGTCTTTGGACGATTTCAAGGCCGAATTCGCAGCCAACGGGACCGTAGATCGTCAGAAGCTTAACTTCTTCACACATCTCAAAGACAATGAGGAGGAGAAGATTCTCGTCTACTATGCCCTTGAGAAGAATGTTGGAATCAAGGGAATGAGGTCTTTCATCGGAATTTTGGAAGAGCAGAACATCCAGAGGGGGATCATGATCTGGAGTGAAAAGATGACGTCGGCGGCTAGGAAGGTAAGTTCGTCATGGCGCCCCCTACTTGCAGAGCAGCAGGGCAGTGGGGAGGTCTGAGGGCTCTCTGAAGGCATGAAGCCGCTGCCCTGCTAGCATCCCCGTAGGGTTGGGAAGGCAAATGTCTTCTGGGCATTGCAGCAACTCATGTTTCTTGCTTCCTTCCTCGATCACTCATTTCTCCATAGGTCATTGACGCCATGCGGATGCAATTCAAGCTGGAAGACTTCGAGGAGGCAACTCTCCTCGTAAACATTACTCACCATCATCTTGTACCGAAGCATGAAGTCATGACAAAGGAAGAGAAGACAGAGCTGCTGCAGAGGTAGTGAGTATACAGGCCCATGTCAATTTCTACCCCGAAAGTCTGCTCTGACATCTCACACGCCCTCGTCCCTCACTCTTGTCCTGCAGTCGTCTGAAAGAGACCCAGCTGCCCCGAATCCAGATCAACGATCCGGTGGCTAGATACTTTGGTCTGACACGAGGTCAAGTCGTCAAGATTACTCGTCGTGAGTATCTCTGAGATTCACTCTACATTCCCCTCTTGCCGACATGATTTACTGATCCACCTATCCGTCCTCCTCTGCCCCTCCAGCGTCGGAAACATCGGGGAGGTACTGCTCGTACCGGATCTGCATCTAATCGTCCCCTCTCTTCTCCTTCTTGTACTTTTATCTCTCGACACGTTCACTCTGAATTCAAAAAAATCACGCTAGCGTCATCATAAAGTCATGATCATAAAAGTCGAGGATGCAAATGCGTGGTACAATGGGAGACAGGTCGTGAGAGTGAGCAAGACCGACCGACCGACCGACCGACCGATTCCTTTGCCACATCTTCCGTACGCCCTTTCTTCGGTGCCAGGCCTGATTACAATTCGATGAGAGCAGGCACGTCCGCCTTCTGCCATTGCGCCGAGTTCCTGCTGTTAGCATTCGCAGTCGCCTCGGCCTGGCCAGGCTCGGTAGTAGGCACAGAAGGAGCGTCCCAAGCGTAGTACCCGCCTTCACCACCACTGGGGGCAGCACCGACGACACTCGGATCTGCATGCCCATTGGCGCGATGTGCACTCGAGGCCTGGCTGTTCGAGCCTGCATCGTATGGAGCCGAGGGGGCGTTGGAGACCGTGGGGGAGGTGACTCCATTGGGGTAGTGCTCCGATGCCGCTGATGGAGCATACCCTGCACCTTGGTACGGATCGCTTGGCGCCCCTTGCTGTGCCTGTAATTGTTGCTGTGACTGATAGGAGGGAGCACTATGTGGACCGCCTTGTTGAGGTGCATTGTAGTCATACGCAGACTGCTGACTGGGAGCCTGAGCATAGTACTGACCCTCGGGCTGCGGAGGAGTAAAGTACTGCTGCTGAGGGCCCGCACTCGAGGCTGGTGGCGACGAGACGTGGGAAGGGGCGTACTGTTGCTGCTGCAGGGACTGCTGTTGATGGTGTGCTGCGTACGGAGCAGCTGAGGCTTGCTGTGGAGAGTCCATGGGAGCAGATGGCAGGGAAGGGTACATACCCCCGCTGTTCTCAGCGGGAGCTTGCTGGGGTCCAGACGGAGCTTGCTGTGGCTGGAAAGGAGGTTGGGAAGCATGGACGTACGCCTGCTGCTGCTGATGCGGCTGCCAAGTGTAGTTGTTCTGTGGCTGCTGCTGTTTATAGGCGGGCTGCTGATACGGAGGCTGCCCGTAGTCGTATGCAGCAGCAGATGGAGGCTGATAGCCGTATGCCCCAGCAGGACGAGACATCTGAGCGTCAAGAAGACGGTCGTACAACCGGACCGCCTCAGTCAGCTTGTCGTGCATCGACATCAGGACCCCATGCCTCCTCCCAGCTTCATCTAGACTGCGAGCCATTTTAGGCCGTGCTGCTGTCGCTTTGTCGTAGAGGGATTGCACTTGCGGATTTGGCGCAGGCTCAATCCCAGTCTGCCGAGCGTGCTGCTCTTGTAGTCGAAGAGCTTGTGAGAAGCTCAGAAGCGAATCAACATCTTGCGGGGGAAGCTCGAGGGATGGGGGCAGCGGCAATTTCGATTGCTGCTCCTGCTGATATTGCGAGCTTTGCGGGGGAGCGCCGGGAGCATAAGCAGCTTCATCACTGAAGTCAGCTGGAGCACTCGGCGGCGGCGGCGCATACTCCCGCAGACTCGCAGCAATGGCAGCGGCGAGGTCTGGGTCATCGTCTGCGTCTGTTCCCTCGAGCATACGGCCGTTTGCTTGCCGTGTCGCCCTTTGCGCTGATGGCTCGGAGGGCGCTGAGGTCAGACGCGAGCTCGAGGCACCCCCACTGTCCTGCAGCGAGAGCTTAATGGCGAGGGCCAGATCATCCTCTTCGCGCTTGCTGTTCTTGGGCTTACTACCGATCGTGGCGGACCGATGGTGCGAAGCTGCGCCTCCTCTCCCGGATGGAGCAATCATGGGCGTTGCTGTGCTGGTCGACCGTGTGAGCTTTGGCAGATTCTTTGGCGGGGCTTTCTTGTTAAAACAGCCGTCGCAGACCCTGACGTCCTGGCCGATGCCGTACCATGGCAGCGCCATAGTGTGCGACGAGCACTGCTGACAGAAGACGTTACCACAGTTCCTGCAGTGATGCTTCCTGTTGAAGGTCGTGAAGCTGGTCCGACACCGCAGACACACATCTCCATCGACCCATTCTGGCGCAGTGAGCGTCTCGACGAACGCCGCAGAGGCAACTGTCGCTGAATCTCGGGCCGGGAATTGAAAGCCTTCGTCTTTCATGAGTCGATATGCTTGTGTCATGTAGCCCATCTGCGAAGGCTTCGCCTCTGCGATCTGAGCCCATTCCTGTATGAGACGCAGAGCTTTGGCTTTGACCTCATGGTTGACAGGGGGGCTGCCTAGCATACGGGTCAAGGGATCCATGAACTCGCGAGATGCCACTTCAGCGAGGAAGTGATCGCCTCCATTCTTGATGCAGATGTCCGTGAGCTGCCAGGAGGAGGGGCAGCGGGTCAGACGGTGGGTCAGTATTGCAGCCACGGCAGAGACACAGCTCTGTCACTCCACATGCGCCACTTACCCCTAATGCAAGTAGTACGACGTTGGGATTGGGATCGGTGATGCGCTTCTTGATGATCTGCATTGCATTCTTGGGCTGAACCTGTTTGGATCTGACTTGATCGCATACCTCGAGGTTCAGAGCGATGTCCTCCTGTCCAGCCGGTAGCAGCTCTGAGGTAGCCTTGCCGACTAGATCGGCGAAGGGATCAGAGCCCCACCACAGGGACATGACGGCAAGCTGGTCAAGGCGAGGCTGCGTATGCTACGATTGCCGGCAGATCAGGCGATGCAGAGGATGACGAAAGAAGGAAGAGATGTAGCTGCAGTAGTAGCAATGGTGGTAGATGGTAAGGTATGGTATGAGATCACCACGGAGATTGCATCGTTGCTAACGGAAGGAGCCTCCGAGTCTGGTCCAGTCTACCTCCGCGCCTCGGTGGAGTCGACTGAGCCACGCCACGCCAGGCGGGTGAGCAAGCAACCCGCCCACCCCCACGCGGGCGGGGAAGAGGCGCCAGGCGGGGGCATCCACTGCGCGCGGTGCGAGGCGCCTCTCTGCCCGCCTGGCTCGTCTCATCGCAGGCGCCTCTTCCTCCTGCCACCCGTCTCACCCTCCCTACCCATCCACTCTGCCACTGCTCCTTGGTTGGAGCCTCCCCCCTCCTCAGCCATTCGAAAGATCGCATACACTCGTACCGCTCGACTGCATCCCTTCACTGGTGACCTGCAATCAGCCCTCGTACGCGGATCGCGTCTCCGAGCGTAAAGAAGAAGAAGGAAAGACGGATCGACTGGACTCGTACCCGCTGTGGCGTTTCCGATCAACATCCCCTTCTTCCCCTTCACCTCGTCTCACACGACTCTCGCCACTTGAGGAAGCTCTGTATCGACAGACAGACGACGACTGCGCCAGCTCGAATTTGAACGAGGAGAGGATCACATTCCAAGCGACGGATCGAAGGATTAGAGTAGTCAGCGCTGCAAGCAGATAGCTCAGCAAAGACGCGCTCTTCTTCGCTTTCCTCAGCCTCGGGAATCGGATCTTTGGGCTGAACACTTTGGACGCAGGCTGGCTAGTGTTTGGAGAGGCAGTAGACATAGATCAACACCAGTAACACTGGCAAACACAAAAAAAGAGGAACACGGTCTTTTCTGGGTGGTGATTGCGTTGACAGGAGGAGAGATACTTGCCACAGTCTTTGACCGAGTCAGTATCCTGCACTGTTGAGAGGCAGCTCTGTGTGCCGCCCTGAACATAGATCAAGCGGTGCTGATGCTTTCTCTGGCTCTTCCACTCGTGCAGTAGATACCGGATAGCCATCCGAACCTGAAGCGGTAGACCTGCCGATCCATTTCCCTACACACTTCGTCTCCCTAATCGCATTCACATCATGTCCAACGGATATCGATTCGCATATTCTTCCCAGCCCCAGCGGTTGGTGAAGGAGGTGCAGTTCGGAGTTCTCAGTCCAGAGGAAATTGTAAGTATCGCACTGGTCGCTCGGTCCTCCGACGTCGCTCACCTTCAGCATCTATCCGCCCATAGAACAAGATGTCGGTTTGCAAAATCGAGTTCCCTGAGACTACGGACGAGACAGGAAAGCCAAGGGCAAATGGTCTGTCGGATCCTCGCCTAGGCACAGTTGACCGCAACTTCAAGTGTCAGACTTGTGGTGAGGGCATGGCAGAATGTCCCGGTCACTTTGGTCACCTCGACCTTGCACGGCCCGTCTACCACATCGGATTCATCAACAAGATCAAGAAGATCTTGGAGAGCGTCTGTGTGCACTGTGGCAAGCTGAAGGCTGACGCATTGACTACAGACGGCTTCGCAGAAGAGCTGCGTTTGACGAGCAAGAACCGCAAGCGCAGGTTCCAGAAGGTGTGGGAGCGCTGCTCCAAAATTGCCACCTGTGAGGCTGATGAACCGAAAGAAGAAGATGAAATGGGAGATGGCGAGGAGAAGGTCTCTCACGGTGGGTGTGGTCAGGAGCAGCCTGCCATCCGAAGGGAAGGCCTGCGTCTCTACACACAGTGGAAGAAGACAAAGGAAGACAACGAGGATGGTCAGGGCCCGAAGATGGCACAGCCCGAGAGGAAGAAGCTTTCTGCTGCCGAGGCTCTTGCTATTCTCAAGAGGATTCCTGACGAAGACATCGACGTCATGGGTCTTTCTAGAGAGTGGGCGAGACCAGAATGGATGATCATGACGGTCATGCCTGTTCCTCCTCCGCCGGTACGACCCGGTATCTCGGAGGGCGGCACAGCCAAGGGCGAAGATGATTTGACCTACAAGCTAGCAGAGATCATCAAGGCTTCGCAGCAGCTTAAACGCTTCGAGGAGGAAGGTGCACCTCCTCACATTGTGGACGAATTTGAAGACGTCCTTCAGTATCACACGGCTACCTATATGGACAACGATATCGCCGGTATTCCCCAAGCCCTTCAGAAGAGCGGACGACCGGTCAAATCGATCCGAGCTCGTCTGAAGGGAAAGGAGGGTCGTTTGCGAGGAAATCTGATGGGAAAGCGAGTCGACTTCTCAGCTCGTACCGTCATTACTGGTGACCCGCATCTGGACCTTGATCAAGTCGGAGTACCTAAAAGTATGGCCCGCAACTTGACCTACCCAGAGCGGGTCACCCCCTACAACATCTCTTACCTGCAGCAGCTCGTCAGGAACGGGCCTACGGAGTGGCCAGGGGCGAGATATGTCATTCGAGACACCGGAGAGCGTATCGACCTCAAGTACAATCGGCGAGGAGACATGGCTCTGCAATTCGGCTGGATCGTCGAGCGTCATCTTAAGGATGGTGATTACGTCCTTTTCAACCGTCAGCCCAGTCTTCACAAGATGAGTATGATGTGCCACAGGATCAAGTTGATGGACTACTCGACGTTCCGTCTCAACCTCTCGGTCACGCCTCCGTACAACGCTGACTTCGATGGAGACGAAATGAATTTGCACGTTCCGCAAAGCGAAGAGTCGAGAGCAGAGCTGAGCCAGATCGCTTGGGTGCCACGGCAGATTGTGTCACCCCAGGCAAACAAGCCTTGCATGGGCATCGTGCAGGATACGCTCTGTGGTGTTCGTAAGTTCACACTTCGAGACATGTTGATGGACTTTGAACAGGTTCAGCAGGTGCTCCTTTACGTGCCAGAGTGGAACGGCGAGATGCCTATGCCATGCATCCTCAAGCCAAGACCGTACTGGTCCGGCAAGCAAATCTTGTCGATGTGCATCCCTAAGGGTATCAACATCTTCCAGGGCAGTGAGGCATTGAAACCGACCACCAACAACTTTGCCGACACCGGCGTCCACATTGAAGACGGCGAAATCCTCTTCGGTGTCATCAACAAGAAGATTGTAGGTGCTCAGGCTGGTGGCCTTATCGACATCATCTTCAGGGAGAAGGGACATGTGACATGTCGCGACTTCTTTGGAGGATGTCAACGGGTTGTCAACTTCTGGTTGCTCCACAACGGGTTCAGCATCGGTATTGGAGACACCGTCGCAGACAAAGCTACCGCTGCTTTCGTCACAAGTGCTATTCAGCAGGCCAAGACGGAGGTAGCGCGACTGATCGAGGACGCGCGCCTTGACAAGCTCGGGACAGAGCCAGGAATGACACTGCGAGAATCATTCGAGGCGGCTGTCAACAAGACACTCAACACCGCTCGTGACTCTGCTGGTACCAATGCCGAGAAGAGTTTGCCCGATTGGAACAATGTCAAGCAGATGGTCATTGCTGGTTCCAAGGGATCTTTCATCAACATCTCCCAGATGTCCGCATGCGTCGGTCAGCAGAGTGTAGAGGGAAAGCGTATTCCCTTCGGGTTCAGACATCGTACACTGCCTCACTTTGCAAAGGATGACTTCACTCCGGAGAGCAGAGGCTTCGTCGAGAACTCGTATCTCAGGGGCCTGACCCCACAGGAGTTCTTCTTCCACGCAATGGCAGGTCGAGAAGGTCTGATCGACACGGCGGTCAAGACGGCCGAGACGGGTTATATCCAGCGTCGTCTGGTGAAGGCGTTGGAAGACGTCATGATCTGCTACGACGGAACGGTGAGAAACTCGACCAACAGTGTGATTCAATTCGCTTACGGAGAAGACGGCATTGACGGAGCCAAGGTCGAGAGACAAAATCTCCTCACGCATACACTCACTCATTCGGAGTTCCGAAGGCGCTTTAGGGTGGATCTGCAGGAGGGAGGCTTCCGCAAAGGCAGTCTTCAGGCTGGTCTGGATGACTGGTCACCAGAGCTGCAAGACTTGTTGGACGAAGAGTACACACAGCTAGAGCAGGATCGCAAAGATCTTCGAGGATTCATCTTCAAGACCGACAGGAACGACGTTCAGCTGCCCATCAACATTGCTCGTTTGGTACTCAATGCCAAGCAAGAGTTCAGGGTAGACCCTCGCAAGCCTAGTGACTTGTCTCCCGCCGATCTTATTCATGCGGTACGCGAAACCCTGGACAGGCTCATCATTGTTCGAGGCAAAGATCGAATTAGCAAGGAGGCACAAATCAACAGTACACTGCTTCTGAAGATCCACCTTCGAGCTTACCTCGCCAGCAAGAACGTCATCGAATACCTCAGACTCGATCGGAGATCGTTCGAGTTCGTCCTTGGCGAGATTGAAGATCAATTCGCGAAAGCTGTGGCAAACCCCGGAGAAATGTGTGGCACTCTGGCCGCTCAGTCGATCGGAGAGCCTGCGACCCAGATGACGCTGAACACGTTCCACTATGCTGGAGTCGCTAGTAAGAACGTCACATTGGGAGTGCCGCGTCTGAAGGAGATCATCAATTGTGCCGAAAACATCAAGACCCCCATGGTCAAGGTGTATCTGAAGGCTCCCTACAATGGATGGGGAGATCACAGCGAGAATCAGCAGGCGCTGGCCAAGCCGATTCAGGCTGCGCTGACGCATACGACGCTGCAGACTGTCACTGGTGCCGTCGAGATTCATTACGATCCTGACCCGACAAATACGAAGATCGCCGAGGACCAAGACTTCGTGGAGTCTTTCTTCGCCGTGCCCGACGAAGAGGTAGAGCGGACGCTGGACCGTCAGTCGCCTTGGCTGCTCCGCTTGATCCTGGATCGTGGTCAGATGCTTGACAAGAATCTCACAATGGCAGAGGTAGCTGCTGAGGTATCGCGGATGTTCGGAGACGACGTCTTTGTGATGCATTCCGAAGACAATGCGGACCAGCTCGTCTTGCGAGTGAGGACGGTCAACAATGAGCCCGACAAGGAAGCCATGATCGTCGACGAGGAGACTTTCTTGAAGCAACTGGCTATCCAGATGCTGACAAGTATCGATCTGAAGGGTATCAAGGGAATCCGAAAAGTCTTCATTACGAAGACCGACAAGGACGCGATGCGCATCAATGCCACTACAGGAGCATGGGAGAAGGTGCAGGAGAACATGCTTGAGACAGAGGGCACCAACTTCAGGGAGATCCTTGCCGCCGATCACGTCGATCCGAACCGCACAGTCTCGAACAACTGTGTCGAGGTCTTCCACGTTCTGGGTATCGAAGCTGCTCGCATGTCTCTACTACGGGAGAGTAAGCAGGTCATTGAGTTCGACGGTTCGTACGTCAACTACCGTCACTTGGCCTTGCTATGTGACATTATGACCAGTCAGGGTATCCTCATGGCAATCACAAGACACGGTATCAACCGGACGAACCAAGGAGCACTTATGCGCTGCTCCTTCGAAGAGACCGTTGAGATCTTGATGGAAGCCGCAGCGATGGGAGACATCGATGACTGCAAGGGCGTCGCTGAGAACGTCTTGCTGGGTCAGATGGCGCCTATGGGCACGGGTGCGTTCAGCGTCAAGCTCGATGTCGAAGCTCTCAAGGACGTCATTGTCGACTACCGAATGCCTGTGCAGGCAATGATGGCTGCTGCAATTGACCCTTCGGGCAGCAAGACACCTGGTGGTATGATGACTCCGTACGACTCGACATCACCTCTGGGAGACGATGCTTTCGGAGTGCAGGATCAGGCAATGTTCTCCCCATTGGCTCAGCCCGGGGAAGATGCTTACGATGGATGGCTTGCTCCTGGACAGAGTCCAATGCGAACGCCAATGGGTGGCCAGTCACCGGGTGCCGGTCTGTATGGAGCTTCGCCAGGCTATTCGCCAGCGTCTCCGGCCTATGCAGCGATGTCTCCTGGCCGTGGCGGCATCTCGCCTTGGGTGGCACGTGGTGCTGCTTCGCCGAGTGCTGGCTACAGCCCGGCTTCCCCCAATATCAACTTCGGAGCCACATCGCCGAGCTACAGCCCTACGTCTCCTTCGTTCAGCCCAAGCTCACCGAGCTTTTCGCCCACGTCGCCAAGAGGCTACAGCCCTGCGTCGCCGAGCTTCTCGCCAACGTCGCCAAGGCAAGCGTCACCCACATCGCCGTCCTATTCGCCTGCCTCGCCGCGGTGGAGTCCGACTTCGCCCAAGGGCTACTCTCCTGCTTCGCCGGCTTATTCTCCCTCCTCGCCTCGCTTTGCTGGTGCAACGTCGCCCAAGATGCCTGGAATGTCGCCAACGAGTCCAGCCTACTCGCCGACGAGTCCTCAGTACTCTCCCACCTCACCACAGTACTCCCCAGCCTCGCCTCAGTACTCGCCGACATCCCCGCAGTACTCGCCTACCTCTCCGCAATACTCTCCCGCTTCACCAGCCTACTCTCCCTCGTCGCCAAAGTGGTCTCCGACGTCGCCCCAGGCCAATGGAGCACCCAATGGCAACGGTGCGAGTGGTTCGCGGCCGAGCGGCGCCTCCTCGCCCAACAGAAGCCGCTTTACGCAGCAGAGCTCCTGGGCTTCTGGCGGACGGCGGTGAGTCACCACCAAGGAGCGGCCATGCTCTTCAGGCCAACCAAACCCTTGAACTACAAAAAGCTTCCTCCTCGCCCCTGGAATGTCTGCCTTTCTTTGCTCTTTCCTTCTCACGAATGTCTTTGATGCTCCTATGCCCAACCTTACTTTTCTTCCCGCACTTTTTTTAACGCTATTCTTTGCCCACCCCTACCACCTCTCCTCGACCCATACTCATCTATCATCCACCCATCCACCCCACCTATCTCCCTCTATCGCACTTGTTCACTACTAAGACGTCTACATCCATCTATCCATCCCACCCACCCATCCATCCACCCATCCACCCGCCTTCACAACATCAAAAACGAAAATGCACAAAAAGGAAGTTTTCTTACCCGTCTATTGCTTGTCGTGCTTCCTTGTGCAAAGAGAGTGAATAGGGAGAAGGGTGTGCCTTTATCGCCTGAGAGGGGTAGCGGGCGTGTGCCCCATCGTTGATCAGTCTACTCATGAGCTGGTCTCGTTGCTTGACGATGTATCATGGCGAATGGGCGAGGCAGTAAGGGCGACGAGCAACGCAGCGCACACAGACGTCTCACATGAGGACACAGACTTTGGGAAGGGACAGGAGAGGAGAGGAGAGGACGAGAGACGTGAATTGAGACGTGAAAGAAAGAAAGAACGACCAAAGGACTGACTGGGAATTGGAATTGGGGATTGGAATTGACTATGAGTACAAGAGGTTGAAAGGTGGGACTTTTTGGAGACGGGGAGACCGGAAAAGGGATGAAAGGAGGCAGGATAGCTTCAGCTTGTTACTTTTGGCTGGGGATTTAGGCATGAGGATAATGGGGAAGATGGCCCGAGGGACCAAGATCCAATTGCCGGATGAGAGAGATGCTGAGGGATGCTTCTAATGCTGAATCTACTCGATCTGGAATGAAGAGTGGGAGTAGTCGAGTCTGACTGAGTTGAGGGGTTGGGGCCAATTCTTGCGTTGTAGGCTATGGACATGTGATTGAGGTCGGGATCTAGTGGTGTGGAGGGTGAGGATCACCCTCCTGTAGTGTGAATTGTAAAGTATGGCGTCCGTCGGTGAGCCGGAGCGGTGCTCGGCCCCGAAGCGTCTATCTGGTAGTCGTCTCAGTCGAACCTGCCTTTGCCAAAAGAGATCTCAGTAGCGACCAGCGGCAAAGAGTCCACCTAGACTACTTCTCCTCCTCCTCTCCTCTTCCTCCTGTGCACGCATCTGCTGCTGATACTGAATTTGATGCCACTGCTGCATCTGCTCCAATTGCATGTTCATGGGCACATTGTTGAAGGGCATCCATCGACTGCGATTGTCCCCTTCGGTCGACGCCGCATTCTGGTTGATACCACCAGTGGTCAGTGGCGCAGAGGTGGGCTGCACAGCACTGGCTAGTTGACTGGATGGACCAGAGGTAGAGGCGGAGCTTCCGTAGCTGAAACCGTACGCCTCTGGTGACAGACGAAGCGGGCGGATCGGCAGAGCCTGCCTCGAGGGAGAGTGCGACATCGACAGCGAGCCACTCTGATGACCTGCATTCGTCTGCCAAGATCCTCGCGGAGAGGCAAATGCAGCCAAATTCAGGCTACCCCTCCTGGCAGCGGAAGCGGCGGCAGCGGTGGCAGCATTAGCAGCCGCATTGTTTCCTCCGGTAGACCAAGGAGCGCCGTTCGAGCCACCAAAGTAAGAGACGGGAGGGGGTAGGTGCAGAGCTGGCAGTCCCAAGTCTTTGCCAGCAGCAAGCTGGTAGAAGGCCAGACCTCGATCGTCCCCACTACCTTGAAAGCCGGCAGGAAGGCCGTGTGGGCCAACGTAGCCTTGAGTCAAGCAGTTGGGAGTCAGCGGCTCTGCGAAGATCGAACGGTAGAGAGCATCGTCCGGGAAAGGCGCACCGACACTGTCATTGCGAGAAGCCAGGTAGTCAGAGCCTGCATGAGTGGTCTGAGGTAGCTGCTCTGCACCGAAGGCGCCGGCGCTGCTTGCTCGAGAGTAGCTGCGACAGGGGTAGCCGTCGAGCGAAGGAGCTTCTGCAGATGGTGTGAGACCTGCACGCTTGCTTTCACGACCGTTGATGTTGTTTGCCTCGTCACCTGTCTCGAGCTGATCTTCTCTGCCGCGCTTGCGAGACAGCGAGTTGGCGCTGCTGTCAATGCTGCTGCTGCCGCTGTTGCCACCAGAAGACAGCCTGGGAGCACCCAGATGAGTTGAGTGTTGCCATCCAGTCATTGCGGGCATCGAGGATGGAGCCGTCGTAGAAGATAGCGAGCCATAGCCGGATCGGCTGCCAGTCGACAAGGGTGAAAGCTTGCGAGCTGACATCCTTCGCTGCTCGGGGGAGTATGCGAAGACATTGTCTCCGGCCATTGGGAGAGTGCTCGTGGCACATGTCGAAGCGGCGCTGCTTGCGGTGGGAGCCGATGAATACGTCGAGTACTGTGACAGTGGGCTCGGACTTGTGGCGCCACCACCTTCCTGGTTAACGGGAGGGAATGGGTGGGATGGCGACCAGGCTTGAGGTAGCGACTGCTGTGAGGGAAGGTGACTCTCGCTAGAAGGGCAGAAGCCAAGCTGCGAGAAGGAGTAGCGCAGAGGAGGGTAAGGCTTGGGCGACAGTTGCTGAGCCGCAGCCTTGCGCCTAGCTGATTCGCGCTGCTCCCTCTTCCACAATGCTTGCGTTCGTTGAGTGAAGAGGTCGTCAATAGTCTGGAGCCATGCTTCATAGTCATCCTGGTGGACGTATATGCGCATCTGCAAGCCCAGCCAGAACTCGACTTCCATCTTTGTGATGTCTTTGAGAGGGATACCACTGATGTCAGACCACGTCTTGTTCGTATAGGTGTGGTCATCTAGGAACTTGTTGCCGAGCATCATGGCGGTCACGGACAGTCGATATTCAGAGCCTTCCTGACCCCGGAGCTTGGGATGTTGCAGCTTGAGCCGCTGGACATAGAGCAGAGCCAGAATGAGAACAGACGTCGAGACTTGTGTAGTCTTGATAGTGTCTCGGATGAAAGCCACGAACTTCTCCTGAGGATGGAAACGACGGTCGGGCGAGGAGCAATCGTCGAAGGAGCCATTGGTCCATCCGCTGGAGGCGCCTGTTCCCCTTCGCAACTGGTGATCTGTATCTGCCGACTGCCAGACTGCAGTGGAAGGCGCAGACACCGAGGTACCGCCGAGCATTGCAAAGCGGTCATCGCCAGAAACGCTGCTCGACGTGGGCCCTGTCCTTTTGCCAGCAGTAGCTAGTGGAGAAGGTTGATGAGGGGCAAAGGCAGCTGTCGGGCTTCGGACAGGTGTCATAGGCCGCGAGGCTCCAACCAATGTGCTCGAAGAAGGCGAAAACCAGATCCAGCTGGGGAGAGTGTACGCCACGGCTCTTGTCAGCTTTGTCGTCGACTGCGAGGCCCAGGTGGACGCTCGCTCTTCGTTGCTTTCCCAGGGGCTTACTCACCTAATCAGCTCAGCGAACCACTTTGCCAAGGCATCCGTACTGTTCTTGGGCGGCGCGCTGGAGCGCCGCCTCTTCGGGGACCACATAGCTTGTTGCTTCTGCGGAGGTATAGCAGAGACGCTGAGGTTTGCATTTGATGATGACGCGGACTCCACCGAAGGTCCAGACGGGGGCAATTGGGAAGTTGAGGCCTCCCACTGGCATGCGTTCCTCGCAGCAGAAGTGCTTTGGTTTCCATAATCGAGAGTGGCATCATAGATAGTCCTACTGCTGCTAGCCACCGGGGCTGCGTCGTGGTAATGCTGCTGTACCATATCCTTGGACATCATGCTCGGCCGTGTGGCTACAGGCAGCGATGTCAGCGGCAGGGCTACTGTCATCGAGATGGTAAGGACTTGGGGTGTCAGACACCTGGTCCTTTCTTTTCGTCCGAGGACAGAGGAATTACCAAGTCTTCACTGTCATCCAGGGGAAGGGGACGGCAGCAAATGTGTTCGGGTGGAGGGTGTTCGGACAGGCAAGCGAACGCAGTGGACCGTTTGACCTGTAAAGCGTTTCCTTGGGCGAAGAGGCAGGTAGGGCGATGGGGCAAGATTCGTTTCTTGGAGGTCGTTGGAATGTTCTGGGACAGGAGGAGAAGGGAGAAGGGTCGATCTGCAGTAAGAGCAGTCGAGGAATATATGCGTCGTGGGTGATGGTTGTGATGCAGTCGTGTGATGGCTCGTGAGCAAAGGTAAGGGCCGTGATGATCCGGACCTTGAGAATAGAGAAGGACGAGGTAGGGACAAATGAATGACCAGTCTGAGTGGACGCTGGAAGGGAGGGCTGTGGGGAATACTATTTCCAGGGCGGCCGGGATAAGGTGAGGAACGAGGGACGACGAAGGGAATTGTCGGCAAGCAATGAGGCACACACGCACCTCGTACCGCCGCACCCGCTCCACCAACTTGCGATGCGATCGTGAGGGACCAACAACCCAGCGGCACCAAATTGGGCCACTCGGTGGAGGCACGTTGGGCCGGAGTTACGGCTTCTCGCTGCTGCTGTTGCTGCACAGCGACTATGCGAAACAAGGGGGGCGAGCAAAGAGAGGCACGAGGCGCAGGCCAAGAGAAGAGGGGCGGACCATGGCCAGAGTCTGGATAGAGTAGCTCTAACCCTCTTGCACCCGCTGGCTCAGACACAGGCAAGGTTGTGCCGAGGTGTGATCCATCGTCGTCGGTGTTACCTCGGTAGGAGGCCAAGGCAATCTTCCTCGCCTCGAGGGGTCCGTCGAGTGGGATGCACGTCTTACTTCCGTGCGAATGTCGGGGTGACAATGTCCGCCTCACGGGGCAAAGTGGGCAAGGGCAGGGCAGGCAGGCGAAACAGGCGCAGGCAGGCAGGCAGGCAGGCAGGCAGGCAGGCAGGCAGGCAGGCAGGCAGGCAGGCACACAGCAGACAAAGCGATCCAGGGCGCCCCTTCCGCGGAGAGACAGTCGCAGCACAGTAAGCTTCTCGGGCCGCCAGAAGCCGTGGCCAGACCACCATCGAGAATAGCCACTGGTCCGTATGCGAGCGGCGCGGCGGCGGTGTAAGGAGGCAATGAATGCTCCTTGAAGCACAACGGCGGTGCGCTGTGCGGGAGCTACAAGACAAGGGGACCGCCCTCTGCGTTTCAGCCCTTGGTCCTTGGCGCGGTGCCAGTGCGTCTCAAACACGGGCCGAGCAAGGCCGAGGATGGCTGGCACGCAGGCGGGCAGGCGGCAAGGCGGGCGCCCAACCAAAGGGAATCCGACGTCCGACTTTTCTCGTCCGAGTTTGAGGCAAGCAAGAGTTGGCCCTCAAATCCAGCCATGGTCATCGAGACTGACATTGCAAACGGGAGAGGCGGGACTCGGGCGGCCAATGCGACGTTGCGACGTAGTTGCGGCGCAATGTGAAGATGGAGAGGGTGAAATTCAGTTCAAAGGGCTCGAATTTCATGACGAAGCGGCGTTACCGAGGCGGAACTCATCATGTGGCTCCCCGATGCACTGTCAGGCAGGCAAGCAGCCCGGGGCTGAATTGCATCAGGCATGCTATCCTCATTTGGGACTGTGGCCCTTTTGGCGAGCCCCCTCGCTGCCTTTGTCTTGTGTGTCAGTACGACATTTATTTGACTCGCGGCTTGTTCTGTCGAGTTGTGGCTCGGCTAGATTTTTCGATGAGCCTCCAATTGCGTCTCATCTCGGCAAAGCCCTCGTCGCGTGCCTGCCCGCTGCGCCCTTTCCCCACCGCTCCCGTCTAGCAACACACATGCCTGCCGAGCAAGGCGTACTCATGCCGAGCCAAGAAAAGGAAGCTCTCCTACGTGGATCGCCGATGGAGTGTGATGACCGCGCATTGCCGAGAGTAGAGCAAGCTGCGTTCTAAACTTGCTCAATACAAGCAAGCACGCCGGATGTGTTGCACCGGTCATGCTGAGCATAGCGCCTGCAGCACCGCCATGGTGGACCTGAACAGATCGACGAGCCGAGCTCAGCATTGAAGAAGGCGCGCCGGCAGATGAGCGAAGCAAGGCCACCCTACTTTACACGCCCTACACGGCCAATCCATGCACGCGTCTGAGACAACCTCCGCCCATTCAGCTGATATGAGCATCGCTTAGCAACCGAGAGTCGGACAGCTTCATTGATCCTAACCCTACGGAGCCCCAGGCAATGACAGTGTAGCGAACTGGAATGTATCGCGTCGTGCGACCAATACTTGCTCCGAAATCTAGTACGCCTTGCTCAGGGCTGTGTAGCCCAATGACATATGAGCACTCCCGTTTGCAAGTCGGGCTTCCCACGCGCAAAGTGACTCACGCGCAAAGTCGATTGCTCTAAACTATTTCTTTCTTGCGCCGATCCCTTCGGCTCGTTGCTTAGATGATTGGCCAGATCAATCCTTTCCGAGACAGTCATACTCGGCGCCAGTGATGGTGAAGCTCAGCTCAGATCAGCTCAGCCCAGCTCACCCCGCTTGCAGGCGAAACTCTGTTGCACAGGAGGCGTGATCGGTGGCGATCCAGGTCGCCCTCCTGATGAAGGTAGAGAAGCTTCACCAGTGGGACACCGTGAAGTGACGGAGATCTTTCCGAAACGAATCGCCAAAGCCTGGACACAAGGCCATAGACCCCGACCTTCGCCTACCCCGCTCAGTAGCCCGCGTGGGCAGTTGCTGCTTCCGACCCCGACGTAGCAACGACGGAGACGCATATGCACTGGGGCCTTCAGTGGCCGACGACGTCTCCTCTCAGTATTGCCTCTCCGCGCTCGATGAATTTGGCGATCGTACACATAACACTATCCGAGCTCAGCAACTATCAACCTCGCTTCCTCGCCTTCGCCTTGCCCTTTGATCGGCCGAGTGTGGGAGGAATGAAGAGGCGTTTACAGCGATGGCGCCGCGTAGGGCGACAAAAGGACTACGAATGTCCCTCCGCAACCTGGGCCTTTTGCTTTCCACATCCAGACTTGGCAGTCCGGCGGGCGCAAGGACGGGGAGTAATCTCGTAAAGGTGCAGCGGGGCAGCATCATTGACCCGTACGACGAGACTGAGTCCCAAATCATGGGCCAACCCAATCGGCCGGCCCAAGGAAGGATCGACGGCGGACGTGTAGCCTTGGCAATGGATGGGCTCTAGACCAAGTGAGGGTCTTTCACGACGGCAATTGCGCTATCCGTTTTGCTGAAATGACCGTGCGTGCGTATGCGCCTTACCCCCTGTTGACCATTGCGGCGGAGATGGGTCGGAGAGCAACCGAGAGGAGCTTTTGGTCAGCCTTCATCAGCCCAGACGGCATTGACAACCGACCATGTAAGGGTCTTGCCTTCAACCGACCTCGAAATTATGAGATTTGGTACACAGCTCGATCAGCTCGCCAAAGAGGAGGAAGCGAGGTCCGCATGTCTAAGCGAGACAGCAAGTGGGGACGATACGAGGCCTCTGCCTTTCCCACGCCTCTTGCCAACCCCGTCTCTCTGCCGGTCTCGAAGCCTATCCCCCTAGCAATGGTACCCACTCTTTCGGGGCCGTAGGATGCTAGCGTGAAGGTGCGTAAGTCGAGGGATCTGAAGCGAATTCTGCTGTTATATTCTCATGGGCGGGCAACAAATGTCCCACAGAGGAGCCGTCCCTCGTCGATCGTAGTCGATCAGAGGAGGATGTTGAGGCACCCTCTCCGTACCACAAGAATCGCCCGCGCTTTGACATCTTCACCTGCCTTACGGTGACGCCCACACACGCCCAGTGTAGGCGTGGGAACCGTACTACGCCAATCTTACCTCCCCATTTCTGCTAGTGGCCCAGACTTGCGGACATGACATTTACGCCCCCGTTGTCGTAGTGAAGCTTTCGCCTTCACTGAATCGGCATGTGCGAGGAGTGTTTCCAGGAAGAGAGTCTAACATTCTTCGCCACGCACGAATTCTCTGAACGTGAGAAAGACGCTTGCGGCCGATGCGTTTCGGATTGAGACTCGGCGCGCCTCATTCCTCATTTAGCTCGACCGATTCAGGGACTACCGGTGAAAATCAGCGATGGTGTAAGCGCGTCGCCTTTGTGTCGCAGACGATCTCCTGGCGCCGCTTTGGCACTCACACCAGCCGTAGCGTGCCAAGGAGACACGGTAGGTTCCACCAGAGCCTGGTCTGATCGAGGTGTCGACGCCTGCTCCGACGGCATCCGTCACCTCGACGCCTTCTGTGCGAATCGGTAATAGAGAGACTGCATCAGGTCTAATCTGCTTCGTGCGTGGCGACTTTGCGCTGTTCCCACACACCTTCTCTCAGCCTTTGCGCTTGTCTGTTAGCTCCTTCGCCGCCATCCCCTCGGTCAGAGATGGCCCCAGATGAGGAGATCACCCTCTGCCACGGCACGCTTGGGTCTTGCAGAAACTTCAGAGCCGCACCTACCATCCTCGAATGCCTAGGCGAGCCAGCTAGCCGCGCAATATGACCGTAGCTGGTGACGTGACCAGGTGGAATCATACGTGTGATCTCATACACTTTCGCTAGGCATGAGGAAAAGAGCTGGAGAGAGGTAAGAAGATTCTGTTGCTGCCGACCTACCCTCACAGCTCTGTGCTCACCGTGGAACTCGGCCGCATTGACAGTTGTCATAGTTCAGCTCAGCTGGATGATCAAACCCTCCCACCAATTCGGACGTCGCACACTTTGAGTCTTCTGTCTCGCCCAGCAATGAGAAGATCTTCGATGTGGTATAGCGGCCAGACACGGAAAGGAGCCGCTTGTGGTCGTTCGCTTCCTCCACACGCGGCAAAACTCATCCTCGTCTCCGCTCGTCCTTCCTCTGCATGGGCCGACTAGACCGGCTACCTTCGCAGCGGCGTACTGAGTAGACCAACAGCCGTCCACTGCTGTCGACTTCCCTATTGTCATGGTAGACGGCTCTCGCAAGGCCTCCACCTCGCGCCGCCCTCGGTCGCGATTGCCATCGCGAAGCTACTCACCCCTATCCGTCTCGCCTTCATCCTCTGTCGAGTCGCTCCTGACGGCTCAGGCCCGACCCCGCCCTCTCAAGGTTGTCATCATTGGACCTGCGTCCGTGGGAAAGACGACGCTACGACAACGGTACTTCACTCGTCGTTTCCAGCGGAATTACAAAGCGACTATTGGGACTGACTTTGAGGCAAAGGTAGTGGAATGCAAAGGGACGGACTGGGGTACAGCAGCCGATGCGCAAAAGTCTGGTCTCAGGACTGCGAAGGGCAAGGCCAAGGCGACGGACTTCGTAGGCGGCATTGCCGAGGACGAGGAGATAGGCCCATCTCGGAAGATACTGCTGACTGTATGGGATGTGAGTCCGCATTGGATGTTCTTACCCTTGTCTTACGCTCACTAACATCGATCCTTCACCTACCCCTATTAGACCGCAGGCCAGGAACGCTTCAGAGCCCTGGGATCGGCCTTCTACAGGGGCGCTGATGCGGTGGTCATCTGTTTTGACGCCTCGTCCGAATCTGAGGCACAAGTTCAGCATGACATACAGGAATGGTACACTGACTTCAAAGACAAGTCAGGCTTGACAGCCTCTCAGAATCGGCCGTTCTGCTGGGTCGCAGTGGGCTGCAAAGCCGACCTCAGAGGCGATGGCGCGGTAGCGAGACGGCAAGTCAGGCAAATGCTCAATCGCCTCATCGCGCGGAGGGGAGGAGACAATGCTGATGGTGGTCTGCAGACAGGCGGGGAAGGTCAGGGCGATGAGCCCCCTGCAGATCCGAAAGACGTACTCTCACGAGAGGGCATGCACGAGGAAGACGACCGTGATCTTCACATTGACGAGCATGTCCGCAACGGGGCTGTGAATCAAGAGCAAACGGAAGGCGCTGAGGCAGGTGTGATACGCGATCCCATGGAAAAGTTCGAGATTGGCGCCAAGCCGGGTGAGAAGGTTAGTAGGGCAGATCTGAAGCTGGGCAGAAGTCCTTCAGCAGAATGCCAAGATGAGATCCATGGCCATCTGCAAACGACAAAAGGCATGATCAGAAGTCGGAGCGATGCGACGGATGCGACGGTCGAATCCGTGAATACTGTCCGCGAGAGGGCCAGGGCGGAACAAGAAGACAAGCATCGGCCCTTCCCGAGCTCTTCACCTCCACCATCCAGTGGCAGTCTGTCGGTACCGCCCCGGACGCCTCCTCCAAAGAAGTCTTCCCATCTGCGACGTCCTCGGAACGAGCGTGGCGACAGTGATGGTACAGCACCAGTCGATGTGCGCTCGCGCTACGACTCCAACATCTCCATCTCTTCTTCAGCTCACTTGAGCGTCTACCATACCCCAAGAAATTCACAGATGTATGGAACGAGCTCTTCCGCTACAGACAATGAGACTGGCTCGCCTCGAGGTGTACGCAAGCTTGGTCAGAAGGCGTCACTCAGTACTCTCGGTAAGGACGACGATCCGGCCCTCGCTCCAGAGACGGAGAAAGAGCAGACAGCATTCCGTAGTGGATTGCTCTTAGAGGAAGATTCTAACACACGGAAGACGGAAGCCACTGCGACGCCAGTTGCTGCAGATCCGCAGAAGCATAGTACACCAGCCCGCAGGCGAAGATCCCTCTCTACAGCTTCGGGTCAAACGCTCGCTGGTGCCAAAGCCAAGGTACATCGACAGCTCAATGGCGCCGAAGCGGCTGAAGGGGAGCTGCAGACTCCTGTGCGCAAACACCTGGACGATCTTCCCTCACCACCTCGACCGATCCAAGGCTTTTCCCTCTTCTACACTTCTTCCCTTGACGGCACCAATGTCCAGGCCGTCTTTGAGCACATCATTTCCCGCTGCTCGGCCAAGTGGGACTGGGACGAGTATACGCATCGTATGGATGAGCTGCATGCCAGACGACGTAGCAGACTCCTGGCTGGAGGCGCTGGGGTGAGACGGAGGAGGAGCATTTGGGAGACTCTTCGAGGCGGTTGGAAGGGTGTAGGAGGGAGTGAAGACGAGGAGGATCGCATGGATGAGGAGATGAGGAGGATGGTGAGACTGAGCGATGGAAAGGGAGACGACCGGGGCGGATGTTGCTGATGGCTCTGGCCGTTTCTCCTCAATATTCGTCGCTGCGAATGCGATGCCAAGTCTCATTTGCTTCTCATCGAAGGGCCGCGTAGGTAACAGCATGCGCTCACGGCGTCTCAAATTCCACTCCTTCCATTGCCTTTCCCACTTTTGGTTGTTTTCTGCTTGCGAACTCCCCCTCCCCGCCGAGCATCGCGTCTGCCACTCCCAATTGCGAGGGATCATTTCCTTTCTGCTCTTCTGTGACTGCCTGCTCGCCCTGCACGAGGGAATCGTCAAAGTTGGAAGAGACGCCCATGGACTGTTGAATGTTGTCCTGTTGGAGTTTGGAGTCAGACAGGGATTGTTGGGAGGATTGTAGTTGCTGGAAGGGCATGATGGGGAGAATGTGGTTGATACCTTTGTGAGAGAGATGGAATGCGAGAAGTTACACTATGACGGGCAAGACTTACTTGACTGGTCGCCTGAGCTACCTCTTCTACGCTAATCCTGCCCTCTGCGAGAGCTTCTGCCAGCTCTGGATTGTCCTTCTTCAGGATCAGAGAGCGTTGTCTCACCGCATCTCGGTATTCATTGCCTGTGGAAGAGCCGTTGGCCTGGAAGATTGCTTCCTCCAGCGAGGAGGCTAGCTGGGAAACGTCGGAGGCGCCGCCCGAGGGGAGAGAGGCAGCAATGGACGTCTCTAGGAGCTTGGCGGACCTGCTGCGGATATCGTCTGTCATCTTGAAGGGCTTTGGGAGGATGTCTTCGATGGCAAAGAGGCCCACAAGATATGTTACAGGAAGCTTGTGCGGGAGTGAGCTTCTTTGGATCGTGTGGAGGGCAGGAGTCGGACCGGAACGAGTTTCAATTGAAGACATACTTCCGTTCGGCGCCTTCTTCCTTACGCCGTACCACAGCCCGGGCACACAATCGAGCTGAGCTGACAAGCGAGATGGCATCCAGACCTATCGTTGGGCCCACCATGCCCCCCGGGTACCTTCAGGCCTCTCGCGCCAGCGACGAGGACGACGACGAGATTGGTCCGGCTCTACCTCCTCCGCCCGGAGATGGGGCAGTAGCAGGGCACGAGGATGGGATGAGCTACGCAGAGCGGACTTTCCTAGAGAGAGAGCAGCGTCAGAAGCAGGCCGAAGCAGTGAGTACCATGACTGTAGAGCAGTAGCTGTCGCATGATCGGCGAGACGATGGCTGACAGACCTGACGCTCCATCTCTCACCTCTCGCCTCAGGACGCAAAAGCAGCACAAGAAGCAGCCAACAACAGCCGACCAGACTGGATGCTTGCCCCGCCGCCTTCCTCCTCCCTTTCCTCTCTGCTTCAACCAAACGGCGGCCCTCTCAAAGCCCGTGGCTTCTCCCAGAACACCCGTGTTCAAAAGGGCAATTCCGCAGTCGGAGCAAGTCAAGGAGGGGACGAAGGTATGGCCCTCTGGACCGAGACGCCTGAGCAGCGTGTACAGCGGATGAAGAACGAAGTCATGGGTTCTGGACCGGCTACTCCTCGCGATCTGGAGGAGGAGAGGGAAAAGAGGGTGGCAGAAGTCAGAGATGCTGAGTTGCAGGAGAAGGTCAGGAAGCTGGATGGACAAGCTGAGAGGACCAAGTCGCTGCTGGAGCTGCATCAGGAGGAGAGGAGGAAGGAGTTTCTTGACAAGAAGGGCAAGGGGAGGAGTACAGGGGAGGGATCTTCGTCGGACCGCAAAGGCTTGAGACGGTTGGAGGCTCTTGACGGCTCGGATGATGAGGATTTGCCAAGAAGACGTAGAGATACGTCAGACGAGGAGAGTCAGAGGAGCTCCAGCAGACGCAATGGCGACAGCCGCCGGAAGGACTACAACGCAGACTCCAGGAGGAAAAGGGACAGACGAGTTGCGGACGAGGAAGACTCTGACGAAGAAGACAGGCGGAGACGACGAGAGAGAAGAAGGCGGAAAGAGGAGGACCGAGAAAGGGGCAGAGAAGGCAAGGGCGAAGAGAGTAGAAGGAGAACTTCCCGCTCGCCCGAGCGTAGGCACAGCCATCGTAGTCGACACGATGGAGACAAAGACGAGCATCGGCGACATCGAGATTGCTCTCGAGAGCGACATCGGGATCGTGACCGCAAATCTTCTTCGCACAGGAGGCGTCGCCATCGGTCCTCCTCCTCCTCCTTATCTCGATCTCCTTCTCCTGACGCTCGTCGGCGAGACAAGGAGAAGAAAGCGCAACACAAGGCAGAGAAAGAGAAGGAGACTGGCAAAGGTGGAGCCTCAACGATGATCTGGGATCGCGATAGAGCGATGAGTTTTATCCCTACGATGGACGAGAAGAAGAAGGCAAAGCTGCTCAATGACGCTCGTGGACTGGGTGATCGATTCGGTAGCAGCGGTTCTGGCAGCAAATTCTTATGAGCGGCAATTGTACTTCAATGCCGAATTGATTGGTTGTGATGCAGACTAGAATGGCATCTTCATATCATCTCTTCCTTCCACCTTGATGTCTTCTCAACGAATGAAAGCATCGAGCCTGGTCAGCTGTGCGAACACAGCCTGCTCGATCCTGAATCGCAGCATTCCAGCAAACATCATCAACGACCTCGCCTTGTTCCTGACCTCGGCCAGACGCGCCTCCTTGCCCTCCCCCGCTCCATTCGTAGCAATACCACTGGTGGTGGAGCTCTTGAGAGATGCGTGGACCTTGTAGAGGATGTCCATCGTCATCAGGAGCAGCTCGGAGAGGTTGCGTCCAACTGACTCGTCAATGTCCCTGAAGAAGGACTCGGCTCGGCGGGAGATGGAGACGACATCCCCGGAGAGGGGGAATAGACCCGTAGACTCGATGGACTGAGGGATAGATGGTATGGGTCGAGAGAGAGTCAATCGAATTGCACGCAGATGTATCGACGTTCTGTCAGCCTCTGCACTACTCACGTTCAGTCCCTTCTCCATGTCGCCGTTTCTGACAAAGGCCACTGCCCTTCTCAGCTCCAGGAGCAGGCGACAAGTCTCCCGCTTCCTAGCCTCTACCCTCCTCACGATATGGTTTTGCCCTTCGTACGTGTCGAGGATGGCCTTTGCCAACTGCGCCGAATTCTCGGCAGCCGAAAGGTTCGCCTGTGGGTTCAAGCTCTCTACTGCATCTGGATCGGAGAGGAAGAGCGAAGCGCCCAATTCCCTGTTCAGCACAGAGACGACAGTGTCGTACTCCTCTGCCAAGTTGAAGAGCAGGATGGCATCTCGCGTGCGGTGTTCCGCTTCGGACTGCACAGCAGCAGCTCGAACAATCTGCCTAAGGTAATCCCTCTCGTCTGCCATACGCAACAGTTTGAGGTTCTGCTGGATTGCACCAGGTACCCGAGCCCCATCAACGCGGATGTCCCCAACAAGGTCTGTGTACAACCTCGTCTGACAGACAAGATCCTTGATTGCGTCGTAGCACTTCTGACGCTGGTCCTCCTGCGTCTCCCTTGCTACAGAGCTCTCTACATTGAGACAAATGAGGTAGAGGTATTCGAGGGCCGAGCGCGCATCGGAAGAAGAGAAGAGCCGGATGTGGCGAGAGATGATCCGGGCCAGATCCAGAGAGGGGATCTCTCGGCCAACAGCGTCGCTCTGTGTCGTAAGGATCTCCCCGCCAACGGCCGATCTGCTGCTCTGGGAAGAAGGGCAACGCAAGAGTCCATAGTATGCCAGGGTAATTGCGAAGTGCACTGCATCGGCTTGGTGTTGGGGTCGTGAGTAGAGGAAAGCCACTGCCCTCTCGAACTCGCCGCTGAGGAGCAAGACGAGGAAGTAATGAAGGGGCCTACGACCCTTGGGATCGAAGTGCTTCTCGCCGTATGTCCTCAGCTTCCTGGCCAGATTCTCGAGAGTGTAGCTCTCCCTCTCGTCCTCATCGGCTTCATTTGCGGTAGAGGGAGCCCCGCCAAACGCTCCGCCGCCCACCGAAGGCTCGCGCGTCATGATGAGCTGCAGCCATAGCCAGTTCTCTGTGCTCCTGGTCAACGCAGTCGGGAATTTGCGAGTCGGATCCACACGACCCACCAACCGGTAGAGGGCGATCTTGTGCGGGTCGACGCCGCTAGCGTCTCCTGTGGAGCTGTTGCCGCCAAGGCTCAAGTTGCGGAAGCGAGCATTGTATTCGGCAAAGAATCGATCTCTGCTGCTTCTTGAAAGCCCTCTTCCCCCGCTCTCGATCCACTCTCGGAACCAGCCCACGAAGCCCCCGTCACCTCTTCGTAGGGCACCCTCGTACTCCTCCACCTGCCGCAGAGCATCCGAGGCGTGACCAGTCCTGAGAAGGTGGAATACGGTTGCCCACAATGGCAAAGCGACCGAAGTCGGTGACTGCTTGACCAACTCTAGCTCTGGAGCCCATCTTCCTTCGCGACTCAGCAAGCTGACTCGGAGGAATGCTGCTACTCGTGACACGATACCCGGTTGTCCTCCCAGCTGAGCTTTTGAGGGGTTCGAGGCGATGATGTTGTCGACGTGGGTCTCAAATTGCGACTCCAGGAACGCACGAGCCCCCCTTGCGATCTTCGAGCGCAGCTGCTGGCCCTCTGGCGAGCCGTAGAGTCTTGTAGCATCTACGTACGCTGATGAGAACTCTCGCTCGCGTGGCACGTTCCCATGCTGGTCTTCTCCGACGATATTCTTTACTGCCGTCCAGCATTCTGCCAATTGAGTCTGTGTTTCACCAGCTCCGCCCGTCGAAGCTTGCGAAGTACGGAGGAGCTCGGATGCCAAAGGGAACGGCGTTTCACTGAGACGATGCTGGTTTAGAGAGCGAATGAGGGTATCGTAGGACATGAGCTTGGTGTGCATGGAGAGCGATGTCAAAGGGGGATCGGTCATAGTTGAGGAAGAGGCTAGCAAAGCCTTGCCAGCTGAGCCCTTGCCTGTGATCTGGCGACTGCTGCCGGGCAAGTTGTCGCTCATACCGCTGACCTGGTGTTGTCCGAGCTCCTCAAAGATCTGCTTCTTCTGTCGACTCCAGCGTGAATGCATCGTCCTAGCGAGATTTCGATTGAAGTTGTCCAAGGTCTCGCGCCTGCCTTCATCGATGGCGCTCAGGATGATCTGCTGCTGCTCATGCTGAAGGTAGCTCTGCACGTCAGTATCCTGGAGCGGCTCGAGGGGCTCAAAAGCAGACGCAATATTGGTCTGATTGACGTTCTGCGAGAGGGTGAAGGCATCAATGCCTGCTGATGCTAGGAAGTAATGCCTGTTGTGAGGGAAGTAGGAGATGGGAGGCGAAGAGGTGAGCAAAGGGAGCCCGGTAGGTCGCACCGCCTGACCGACTCACGCCTTCGAGTCTGCGCCTGTAGGTACACCTGATGACCCTCCTGCTGCCAAGCTCCTACTCTGGCTCTCCAGCTGATCAAGGGCGAGGTTGATTGAGGGAATGTCCGACCCGAGCCCATTGCGGTCGCGCTCGATGGCAGAGGTGAGCTTGCGCGACTGAGAAACGAGGTCAGACAGGGACGGCGCCCCCGTAGAGCGGCTCGTAGAACCAAATTGTGCCATCTGGACTGGTGAGCTCAGTGGAGGCAATGACGAGAGGCAGGCGCGATGTGTGGGGAGGGCTCAGGAGGAAGGACGCGGAGAAGGAAGCTCTCGAAGTGGTACTGGCACACCTGTTATTCTCCCTCCGCTGGTGGCTCGGCTCCGAGTCGCGCCGCCCGAGACCTTCGCGGACAGTCTGATAAGATTGGCAGACGAGGCGAGATCAAGACTTCGCGTGGCTCAGCTTTCCCCACTTCTCCGCACCTCCTTCACACCATGTCCACTTCAGCACTCGAAGAGAAGCCCTTTGTGACCATGGCTTCATCGACATCTACTCCTTCAACTCAACTCCCTCTTTCCAACATCTCAAGGCTCATGAAGGCGTCCTTGCCCGCTTCTTCGCCCTCCTTAAAGCTCTCCTCGCCTACGAAGACGATGATGCAGGACATTGTTTCTGAATTCATTCTGTTCGTCACAGCAGAAGCTCAAGAGAGAGCAGAAGCTCAGCGGAGGAGTACGCTGAATGGGGATGACGTATTGTACGCGCTCGAGGTTCTCGGCTTCAGAGACTACGAAAGGGTGGGAAAGGTCTGGCTGTCGCGGTATCGCATAGTGAGTCCACTGGTATTTGCGGTCGCGGAAGGCAGTCTTTTGCTGACAATCGGGCTGCTTTCTTCAACAGGCGACGCAACAGAACGATCATGCTGCCTCTTCGAGGGCATCGGGCAAGCGATCGCGGTCGGACGAAGGGGACGACACAAGCAAGACTAGCAAAGCCAGCAGGAAGTCGTGATAAGGATGAGTCTCTGTGATTGGAGAATGTGGATATTTGATACCCCTATGTATACATGTAAAGATCCTTTGGTCGCTCTCACTCGGGGCAATCTCAGTGCCCGCCGGGCTGCATGGTGTCGAGCAACTCTCTGAACTGCCCAACGATCTCCCTCTCCTTCTTCTCCTTCTCCTCGTTCCTCATCTTCAGCAAAGTCCTCTTCTCTTCTGCACTGATCACCTGGTTCTCCTTTCTCATCCTCACTGCATTCATCCTGGCATGACGAGATCCCGACATGACGTAGCCAACCTTCTCGTAGTCTTCGATCTGATCCGACGAGAGACCGATCTCTCCTCGTCGGGGGATACGTTGGCCTTCTTGAAGGAACGCAGCCATGGCGGAACCTTCTCCAGGCAGAAGAGCACCTCCGTAAGCTCTAGGATCAACGACTTTACCATCGGCAGTAAGGGGAAGCTTCGGTCCTATCTCATCGTCATCCGAAGCATCTTGAGCGAGCTTTGCAGCCTCACCTACTTGCAGACCATGAGCATTTGAGGTAACAGTGGGGCCGCGCTTTGCTTCAGCTTCCTCGCTGCTGCTTCTGCTGGTTGAGCGAGATCGGGAGCGCCTCCTGCGGCGGATCTGACGATCCCTGCTTCCCGACCGCTCTGCTCCCTCTGTCTTACGCTCTTCATCCGAATTCCGAGGATCTTGGGAGCGAGAGGCGCGATGCCGCCTCTCCCGATCTCTGCCTTCGCTTCGGTCCCCATCCCTTCGTCTCTCCTTTTCCCTCCTTCGCCGCCTCCTCTCCCGCTCGTACTCTGAGTCGGAATCTTCCTCGCTGTCTTCGTAGCGTCTTTTGTGACTAGAATGACGACGATGAGAACGATGTGAGGATTTGTCACGCTTCGATCGCGACGACGAGTGCTTCGACTTGCTTTTCTTCCTCTTCCTGCCTCCGTCATCCGAGTCGGACCGGTAAGGTGACTTGGGAGAAGGCGGCCAAATGGAAAGAGTAGAATGCTTTCTCTGCTCGTTGCGGCTAGAGAAGAAGTCACCTCCACCGGCGCTGGGGCCGTAAGATCCCCCTGGTGCATGTCGTGGTGCTACGCCTTCCCCACCTTCGCCTCCTCGTTCCTCCCTAGGACCTCGCCTTCCCCACACGCCGGGGGGAGGAGCGCCGTACTCTTCGCGAGGGTAGGACTGATGATATGGGATGGGAGGACGGTCATCGTATGGACGATCACCACGGGGGGGTTGTCGATCCCAGTGTGGCGGCGGTGGTCTCTGGTGGTAGTCTTCCTGGCGGCTGGCGGGATACCTCTCATAGTCATCTCTCCTTGGAGGCGGACCAGGCGCTGTATATGCGTTTCCACGATAAGAGTCGTATGTCGGCGAAGGGCGCCGTGGGTACCGGTCATGCTCCCTGCCTTGGCTGTAGTCACCACGATAGGCTGAAGGGGATGGTGATGCCCTCTTGCCATTGCCGCTGCTGCTAGTGCGCTCTGCTTCGCCTCGAGCCTTCATGAGACGATCTCTGAGCATCCTCTCCCTGTCCTCGCCGTTCGAATGAGGTGGTGGAGGACTCCCCATATGCTGAGAGGAAGTCATGATGGGTCTGGGTGGGGATGCTACCAGGCAATGCCATGGAATGCTTCCTAAATGACCCACGGTCGTCGTCTACGCCTGGCCTGGCCTTGCCTCGCGGACTGAGCCTGGAGATGCGCGCGCGCTCAGAGGGCGACGGTTGCTCCTCTACTCGTGGCTGCCCCGCCCACATCTTCCCGACCTCGTCCATCCACCATCGATCGCTGCCTCGCCTGTACTACGCTCCTCGTCTGCGCCACGAGCCGCGTTCATCCAGCTCTCCCTCTCAGATACTCACCATGAGTCTTTCCGTGAGCGGACGTCCGCCGCCCTCGTTGCTCACCGATGCATCGACGCGTTCACGCCTCGCGACCCTGGTACCCAATCTCGAAGCCTCGCTCGCCAATGCCTCCTTGAGCCCGCCAACAAGCAATGGGACGCTGGCCGCCACCGATCTGCAGAAGCTTCTGTACAATATTCAAGTCTACCAGCACGATTTCTTGGGCGCTGAAGCTCCCCAGAGGCCTGCAAATTCGTCTACCTCTAACCCTTTGGCCAAACATCCTCCCCGCATTCCAGCCCAGCACTTCCGCACCACTGCATCCCTCGCGTCTACAGAAGGCCCCTCCGCCGACTCGAGCGTATTCGACGTCCTGGACGCAGCGCTGCAATTCCTTGCCAAGCGTGGAGACAAGACCATCGAGCTCGCTGGCGATGCCTCGAATACGGAATTGATCGCTGCTATTCGAGAGCGTCTGAGACAAAAGGGATGGCTCAAGCGATTCCGAGTAGCGGCAGAAGGGGACTTCAGCGAAGCGGAGAAGGAAGCATTGAAGAGGATGGCAGAGGGATTAGAGTGTGAGTAGATTGTTTTTCACACTTTGTCCCAGCGGGTTGCTGACTGTGCCTCTTTTGATTGCTACCCCTTACACCCTTCAGGCGACTGGACCGACGATGCCACACAAGCCACGCACGCCCTTGTACCATCAAATACGCCGCCAGCTTCGCCATCGGGCTCATCCCCGGACTACCACAGGACCTTGGCTAAGTCATCGGACGGCAAGAAGGCTCTGGTTCACGTCTGGTATCGGCCGGACTCACACGACACATGGCTGCCGGCAACAGATTTCGCTGATCCAGAGCCCGAGCCAGAAAGCAAAGCGCGCTGGGAGCTAGAGAGCCGTTGGCTGAAAGACGGAGTGAGGTACAACGAGCTGATGAACGAGGAAGACTACGAGATCTTTGCAGAAGATGCGCCTGCACCGGAAACTGTGCCCAAGAAGCGCGAGATGCCGGACGAGATCATGGATGACTCCTTGGACAGCCCGGCTCCAGCTGAAGGATCTTCGTCGAAGAAAATCAAGCTGCTCGTTGCCGCTAGGCCTGTCGGGGCTGTACCCATTGATCTTACAGGAGCTTCTGCCTCAATCCCTGGCAAGGTCTACGAGAAGGAGCCTATTACTGGGGCCGCCATCGGAAATCTGCCTTCCGAGCCAGCGCTCGCAGGTGATGTCACTATGGCAAGTGGGGCAGACAACGCCGAGGCTCGAGCAGATGCAGATGACAGTGACGACATCCCCTCGGCCGCTGCCATTTCGGCGCAACATCGTCAAGCCGCTGCTCTTGCCAAACGCTATCTAGCCTCTCAGACTCAGGAGATCATCATCCCATCTTATTCAACTTGGTTCTCCTTCAACACGATCGCTCCACTAGAAAAGAGGAGTCTGCCGGAGTTCTTCAATGGCAGGAACAGGAGCAAGACTCCAGAGATCTACAAAGAGTACAGAGACTTTATGATCAATACCTACCGCCTCAATCCCAGCGAATATCTCACCTTCACTGCATGCAGGAGAAATTTGGCAGGAGATGTCTGCAGTATTATGCGTGTTCACGGTTTCCTGGAGCAGTGGGGTCTGATCAACTATCAAATTGACGCTGAGACCAGGCCAGCTGCTCTTGGCCCTCCTTTCACCGGCCATTTCCGCGTCCTGGTGGATACTCCGCGAGGCCTGCAACCCATGCATCCCGGCACCCGCCGGCCTGAGCAGCCTGGTCATGCAGCTCTTTCCGCTAATGGCGTTGAGCAAGTCAACGGACATAGCACCAAGGAGCCTGCCACCGTCGATCTGTCCCTTGAACTGAGGAGGACTGTCTACTCGACCACTCTGCGGGCGAGCAAGAGGATCAGTGAAGCAGAAGGTCAGAGCCTAACGCAGGCGGCAGACGCAGCAGTCTCATCCGGAGCCGCTGCTGGCCCCTCGTACTCCTGCGATACTTGCGGAACAGAATGCACTCGGTCGCGCTACCACTCGATCAAGAACAAAGACTATGTCCTTTGCCCTGGATGCTACACAGAAGGACGCTTTCCGTCTTCGATGTTCTCTGGGGACTTTGTCCGCATCGACGATTTGCCTTTCAAGCAAGGCGGCGGCTCCGCTGCCATTGAAGGATCCAGTGGTGAAGAGTGGTCGGATGCCGAGATGCTGAGACTGCTTGAAGCTCTGGAGATGCACGGAGATGACTGGTCAAAGGTGGAAGCTCATGTGGGCACCAGAAATGTGGAAGAGTGCATTTCGCGATTCGTACAATTGCCGATCGAAGACCCATATCTCGGCGGTCACTCCAAGGGTACTGGCGTGTCGACTTCTCAGTCCGACCTCGGCCCGCTGCAGTACCTGCGAGACCCCAAGGCGCTCAATGGGGCCACTATACCATTCGCCCAAGCCGACAATCCGGTCATGAGCGTCGTTGCCTTCCTTGCGAGTGCCGTCAGTCCAGCTGTCGCTGCCGCTGCAGCACAAAGCGCTCTAGGCGAACTGACGGATGGGCTGAGACAGAGGCTCAAGAAGGGCGAAGAGGTGCGACCGGACGATGTTGCCGCCGCTGAACCTGCTGCGTCTGCTGCTGCCGGTAGCGCCGAAGTTACCGAAGCGGACGCAATGGAGGTGGACAAGCCCAGCAAGCAAGTCGATGGCACTGCCTCAGCGCCCGAAATCGAAGTCAACATCACCGACGCTGCCAAGTCTGAGCTTGCCCAAGCCAAGGAAGACGCAGAAGATGCTCCTCAGCCTACTGTCGAAGGCACTTCTTCCAAGCCCAAGAGCGCCCTGCCCCGCAACGCAGTCGAGCGAGCTGCCTCGATTGCCCTCGGCGCTGCTGCCTCCAAGGCATACGTCCTCTCCTCCTTTGAGGAGCGCGAATGTCAACGTCTGGTGAAGCAGGTCCTGGAAGCTCAAATGCGCAAAATGGAACTCAAGATGTCCCAATTGGACGAGCTTGAATCCTTGGTAGATCAGGAGCGACGCATGGTCGAAGTTGAGAAGCAAGGTCTCTTCAGCGATCGACTAAAAGTACAACGTCAATTGCGCGCTGTAGGGGAGTTGATGAGAAAGGCACAGCAGCAATTGCAACAGGCACAGAGTCAGGGAGCCGTACAGGGACAACCGGTCAATGCGCAGGATCTGCAGAGGGTGGAGCAGATGGGCGTTAGGGATGGACAGGGACCGCAGGTTAGAGATGCTGGACAGGGTCAGGGAGTCACGCTCCCACAGGGTGGGACAGTCGCGCAATTGTAAGAGGCGACACAAAGGGTCTCTTCACCATACCTTTCCAAAAGCCCCTGTACGACTACCTCTCTCCTCGTCTCGTGCTTCTGATCCTTCTTGTCACCCCATAAACAACGCTAGCGCCTGAAGAGGAACAATTAACATACACAGATAGCATTGCGACTGTGTGTCTGTCTATTCTGAAAGAAGAGACTGGAGTGTCAAGCGGCGTGTCGCTACTGGTGCCTCGACCGATGGTTCAAGCACCGCGTGCTAGCTTGAGCAGCTCTTCCTCCTTGCCCTCCATCAGCCGCACAATCTCAGCCCCCTTGACCGCGGCCATTTGTACGCATACAGCAATCAGGTCCTCATCTTCCGCAGCACCCACTGTCCCTGTTCCTCCCCCAGCGGATGTATTCTTGACATTTGTAGCCGAAAGAGGTCCGGTGGAATGAAGTGCGCTCAGCACTGGCTTCTGCTGCTGCAGTGTGGTGGATGATCCTGCAGTGTTCGGGTAGGAGAGGGAGAGCTGGATGCAGGAGGAGAGGAGGTCGGATTCGAATGAGGAGGGAGTGAGGAGGAGGGTCCTGTTCGTGCGAGTGCGAGGAGGAAGTGATATGTCAGTAAAAGAATGAGACGAAGCCGGTGTAGCCCAGGTCAGGAGAATCATGGTAATCCAACTCACCCTTTGTAGATGCCCATGCTGAAGGCGAGGGGAAGAGAGGTCATCTTGCTCTTCAGGGACCAGTAGTCGGCCGCAGAAGGCGAGGCGATGACTACATTCTCGTCCATGGAGTAGACGGCTTTCGGCAAGTGAACTAGTGTGATGGCACATGGAAGGGGAACATCATGGCTTCAGTCTTCATTTCTTTTGCCATCCCATGGCTGTAACTGGGGTGCATCTCCTTCCTGTTCTGCTCGACTTACCCTGTCTCAAAGCCGCGATGATAGCCAGCATACAAGTCTCCAGAAGCGCTCCATCGAATCCTATCACCACGCAATCAGCGAAGAGGGTCCATTTTGCTCTCACTCTACCACCACTACCACTGCTACCACTCTGTACAGCTTCCTTCCCCGCGCTGTCATCCGCTGCGACCAGATCGGTGGGTATATGCAGCACAGAGGGTTCAAAGGGCATTGCTGCGTCCAGGAAAGAGAAGAGCCTCTCCGTCGTCGCCTGAGCGTAATTGGATGGCGCTCCAGACTTGAAATCGTTCGAAGGAGAGGAGAGTGGTGTGAGTGAGATCGAAGGGATGATTGTTGAGCTTGAGCTTGACGATGCACGAGATGATGATGAGGAGGAAGAAGAGGAGGATTCGGCAGCGGAAGGGTAGACGATGCTTGGTGTGATGTTGCAAATGACCGTTGTGGATCCATACTTGACTAGTGCCGAGGGGGAAGGGATGCCTGCAGTTCGATTGGCCGAGGAAGAAGAGGAGGAGATGGGGCCAAGATTGAGGTCTACTTGCGGGAAGGTCAGAGGGGAGGAGGTGGAGGAAGAAGACCGGGAGGAGTGGGCGAGATGGTTGGAGAGGTAGAGTTCGGGATGCAGACGTGCGAGGAGGGCGGAGGCATTGCTGCTCCCTGTGGCTGCTGCCGTTGTTGCTGCCGTCGCTGCCATGCTGTTTCACTCAGTTCGTAGGCGATGCTTCGTCAATGGAGAGATGGTCTTGGTGTGAGCGTCCTCGTCGCTGAACCTTCGGAAACAGGAACATCTGCGTCTCTGCCAAAATTGTGCCTCGGCGCGATTCCTGCACGACGGCCGCCCCGCGTCTGACCATGAACACTCAGAGGCCCGGAGCATAGACTAGTCACAACAAGCCCGAGCTACAGCGTCGCACGACTCGTACGGATTCAGACTCCCGTGGTATGGCAGGCATTCGGTTCTTCTATGCGCTAAGGGTGCTGACGGGTGCAGTACGCGTGTAGCGCCGTCAAGTCTACTCTAATCAGTGGCTCTCTTCTGTGCAGCAATGCATGTTCACGCCAACAGTCTCTCTACGCCCTCCCAATCCCAGACGAAGCCAACATTAGGCAACAGCTCGCCGCCAATCTATTCAGCAATCAAGTCCGAAGGAGTTTCAGGGAACAACGATCAGCTTCGCTCTTCGACGCTCATTACAGGCTCGCCAGCGCTTGAGTACTCACGATGATATCGTAAACGCCCGGTGTTCGCTTGCCGCCAATCTTAGTGTAGAATGCTCGTCCACCCACATTGTCAATATGTGTGGCGACTCCCAATACGGCCTGTGCTGGCGCCTGATCCACGCCGTCACTGGCAGGTGCAGCAGAATCATTTGCTGTAACCATCGCCTCTCCACCTGCACCCACCCCAAGTCGCCGCCTCTCCTTTGGGGGCTTGACGAGCTTGCCTTCGCTCCTAGCGAGCTGCAGGGCATACTTGATCAAAGGTAGAGCTATCCCCTTCCCTCGACCAGACGTGTACAGACACAGGATCTCCCACGGGCAGATCTTACCTAATGGCGAGTAACCACTGGGCGGTCCGAACTCCAACAACCCGATGATCTTGCCTCTCTTGCCTCCCTCTTCCTCCGGATCATCAAAGGCGATGATAGAGTAGATTGTGGGAGAGGTGATCCTCTGTAGACGCATCTCTCGAAGGTACGCTTCGGCCTTGCAGGTGCCATTCAGTGCAGTGGGTGTGGGAAAGGTGCGGCCGAGGGCAACGACGGCGGGGAAGTAGAAGTCGAAGAGCTCTTCCCCTTCTTCGGGAAGGGCCTGGCGGATGAGCATGGCCAGACACGAGAAGCTGGACGATGTGGGTTTTGCTATGTGCACAAAGCCGTGGCCATGGTGTCTCTGTCCTGTAATATACTATGGCTGATCACACCTGGGCGTGACTCATATCTCACCTTGTCGTTCTCCTACCTTCTTCTTCTCCTCCCTTTCCCCCGCACAAGCCACACCACACCTCGCCAGCCACGCCTTTGCTCTCAGCCATGCGGCCGATCAAAGCCGGCGCACCGGGACCGGCGTGTGCGTGTGAGACTGACCCACACCCGGTGGAGCGAAGCCAAGGCGTGAGTGCGTGCGTGCGTGCGTCGAGTGCTAGATTCCTCCAATCCTTCCTACTGATTTCTTATCACCATCTGACACCTCACCACATACCCGCCGACCCTTCTTCAACATGTTCTCACGCGCTCTTCGAACACCCGTCGCTCGAAGTCTAGCCTCTGGCAGCTTCGCCTCCCCCCTCCCCCTCTCCTCGACACGCTGCCTCTCCACCACCCTCCCCCGGCTGAGCGACGCTTCCTCTACCTCCTCCTCCTCCTCGTCAAACTACAAAAACATCCTCGTCTCTTCTCCTGAAAAAGGAGTCACACTCATCACGCTCAATAGACCAAAGGCGCTCAATGCCCTTAACTCGGAGCTCTTCACCGAGCTCAACCATGCTGCCAAGACGGCAGATGAGGATGCGGGAGTCAATGCCATTGTGCTGACCGGCTCAGAAAAGGCCTTTGCGGGTGCGTTCAAAGTCGACAGCTCAGCCGCTCGTGTTTTCATGCTGCAACAGCCCCCTGACACCTCTTGATTCGCCTTGCCTCTTCCCCTCACCACACAGCGGGAGCCGACATCAAGGAGATGCTCTCCAAGGACTTTTCCACTGCCTACAAGTCCAACTTTCTCGGTCACTGGACCGAGCTCACCCAAGTTCGTAAACCCATCATCGCCGCCGTTTCAGGTCATGCCCTAGGTGGAGGTTGTGAATTGGCAATGATGTGCGATGTGATCCTTGCTTCTTCCACTGCCAATTTCGGTCAGCCGGAAATCAATTTGGGCGTCATCCCTGGTGCTGGAGGATCGCAGCGTTTGACAAAGGCGCTGGGAAAGTCTCTCTCTATGGAGCTTGTACTCACCGGTAGAGGACTAAGTGCGGCAGAGGCAGAAAAGCACGGACTCATCTCTCGCGTTGTGCCAGAGGGAGGCGATGTAGTGGCCGAAGCAGTCAAGGTTGCGGTTCAAATTGGTAAAAAGGGACAGATTGCCGTACAGGCGGCAAAGGAGGCGGTCAATGCCTCGTTTGAACTGCCACTGGCGGAAGGATTGAGGGTGGAGAGGAGATTGTTCCAAGCCTTGTTTGCTACAAAGGATCAGAAGGAGGGAATGGGCGCATTTGCTGAGAAGAGAAAGGTGAGTAAGACGGCATGCCAAGATTGCTGAGGGCAAGGTACTGGGTTGAGAGCTTACTGATCGCCCTTCTCGTATTCTGCACACACCCACAGCCCGCCTTCACTAACGAGTAGACACCAATTCTCTGCAACGATGAAATGCAATATCCCACTTGGTTTTTTGCTAGCTATACATTCTGTGCTCCTTTACCATGGGCCCGCCTGCTCAAGCCACGTTTGCCTTCCTCTTCCTCGTTACCCCTCCACCTTCCTCCGCAGCGCGTCTCCTCATCTCCTCTTCACTCCCTTCAAACCCTTCCTTTTCATACAGAGCCGCCACCCTTCCTTGCTCATCTTGCTTCTTGAGCTCGCGCAGCCCCACGAGATTATACCCAACCATGATCTTCTGTCTGCGCAGGTTCTGCTTTAGACTGCCCTGCAGCTCCACGAGGGTGGAGCGCATGACGGCATTGGAGACGATTTGGGCGTGGTGGGTTCGGAGGAGGAAGAAGAGGATGCGCGAGAGGAGGGCAATGGAGAGGTTCATGTGGGCCCAAGCGGCTAGATAGCGCATCAGGGAGAGGACCTTGTCGAAGGGCAATGTCAAGAGGGCATCGTCCAGCTGAGCAGGCAGAATCTTCTCCACGACCTTGAGCACGTACAACTCTGGCACCGTGTCCTCCTCTGCCTCCTCTTCGCCTTGCTTGGCAGCACTAGCGCTCTTGTTGCTGACGGTAGAGGAGATCTGACCTTCGGGGAAGGCAGCAAGGATGAGAGCGCTGCGGGGTGGAGCGGCCCCTCTTCGCCCAGACTGGATCCACTCGCGACGATGGACTTTGTCCTCGTCGGCGAGGTCCAGTGCCTCCATGAGTCTCTCCCCAGCCATGAGAGTTTGAGTACTAGAATGTGTCACGGCGGTAGCCTCTTGCTGCTCCACGCCTTCTTGGGCCGTCTGACCGCCAGCAAGGGAGCCCACAGCTCCTACCTGACCCTCCTCTCGATCTCTAGCTTCTCGCTCAGCTTGCTCAAAGAGCTTCTCCTGCTCCTTCTCTCGCTCTTCCTCTAGGAAGAGGGGCTCTTCCGTCTTTTCCCACACCCTCAGACTACGATCAGCACCGCTGCTGACGACAAGATCGCCCTTTTGACCACAGGCCAAGCTCCACACTTCGCCGTGGTGGCCTTCCATGGTCTGGATCAGCTCAAAGCGGTCACCGTCCCAATACTTGACCAGGCCGTCCTTGCCGACGGTCCAGAAGTGGTGCGATTCGCCCTCTCTGCCGCCCAACAGCCCACCACCCTGGAAGCCCTTCTCAAAGGCGCAGGACATGATGGACTCTTGGTGGCCAAAGATGGACTTGTGGCAGTCTCCGTAGTCGAGACCCCAAATCTTGATGTTCTTGTCCGCAGAGACGGTCACGCAGAGCTTGGAGTCGGTAGAGATGTCCAGTGACAGGACTGGCAGCTTATGCCCGTACAGAGACAGGAAGAACTTAAGAGAGTCGGCGTAGAAGACCTTGACGGTATTGTCTAGCAGGGAGAGTGCCAGAAGCTTGCCATTGGGTGAGAAGCGAGCGAAGAGGACATCATCTGTCATCTTGAGTGTACGGACATGGGCCAGACCGAGCTGCTGAGGCCGACTTGGCTTGGGTCTCCGAGGGGGAGCGCCAGGTGCCGGCTCCTCCTCATCGCTCTCTTGGTCTACCTCCCCATTCTCGCGTTCCATCGTCCTCATCTCAAATTCCCAGAACTTGACGTCTTTGTCTGCACTGGCACTGATGCACTGCAGGCCGTCAGGGTGAAGTGCAATGCTCCAAACTGGGCCTGTGTGAGCCTGGATTGTTTCGATGTTCTCTCCAGCTGGTATGTCATAGGTTCGTATCGACCCATCTTTGCAGCCTACGACGACATGTCGATCTCCTGGTAGCCAGGCAAGAGTGAGCGCATACCCGCACGCCAGCGTTCTGATGCAGCGTCCCGTCTTGATGTTCCAGACCTTGAAGGAGCCTTGCGAATCTGCCGAGGCCAGTAGCGAGTCGTCGGAAGAGAGACCAAGCGCTCTCACTTCGCTTCTGTGGCCAGGCAGCTCCAGCGAGCATGCCAGGCTAGCCTCCGTGGGCGTTACTTTCTTCTCGGCTTTCGACTTGGGAGGCGAAGGGATGTTGTACACCTCAACGCTGTTGGCGTGTGTGGCGCAGAGTATGCTCATCGAAGCTGATGTAGCCCTGCTTGAGCTGGCAGCACGGGTATCAGGTCCACTCGGGAATGCGAAGCTGCGGATTTTGCCTGACTCGGGCCGAATGATTGTGTACGGCTCGATGCGGTCCAGCCAGGTGACCTGCTCATCCTCCTCATCTTCTTGCTCGCCATTGAGTGCTTTTGCTGTGCCCTTCTTGTCTGCCTTCTCCCTCTGCCGCCGCTTGCGCCGAGCAATCTTCTTCTTCATCTCCTCCTCCTCCCGCATGCGAAATACTTGCACACTGCGATCCGAGCTGCTGATAGCGAGGTAGGCCTTGCTGATGCCTTTTTCCAGAGAGCTGTAGGCGACTTGTGTGACTCGGCGCTTTGACGCCAATTCAACGTTGCCCAAGGCGACCAAGACCTTCTCCTTGTCGCTTCCGTCCCCAGTCATCGCTTGCAAGCCCTGCGCCAGCACTTCCGCCCGAAGAACCCACACTTTAGCCTCTCCTTCGGCGCTCCCAGTGACGACGAGAGAATCACCCACGCGCTCTGAGCTTCCTGCGTCTTCCCTGCCGATCGGAAGAACGGCAAGACTCCAGAGCTCCCCTTTGCCTGGCACGACTGTCTCGATGCAGTGCTGTAGAGCAAGATCCCAGATCTTCAACAGACCATCCTTGGAGGTCGAGAGGAGGTGGCCAGAGGCGTTGACGTCAATGATCTCAGGTAGGGAAGAGGTGGAAGCTTCGCTGTGGACCGATAGCTGGACAAAGGCGAGGTCGGTAATGAGATCGCGATGACTCTTGAGCCTGAACATGCCCGTCTCCGCCACTAGGTCCCACAAAATGATGGTAGTGTCCTGACTGCCGCTGGCCAATCTCATCCCTGCGGCATCAAATGCGAGGCTAGAGACGGCTTTGCGATGTCCGTTGAAGGTCAAGTGGACTGAAGAGGTTGTGGAGTCCCAAAGGCGAATCGAGCCATCTTCGTAGCCCACAGCGAAGAGGTGAGAAGATGCAGCAGCAGGACACCTTGTAAGTGCTGTCACCGGGGAGCGGTGGCCAATCTCATGCCACATGTCGACCTGTGACAAGACAAGGAAAGCACATTATCAGCCGACAGTGTTGTGAGTACAAGCGCAGCCCCGTCCAAGATGCAGAGCCCTGCACTGTACTTACCTGCTCTCCCTTCCTGACATCCCATACGATGACATCCTCCAAGGCGGGCACGTATGCAGTCTTGCCATCTGCGTCAAGGACAGACCTGGCGGTATTGGAGCAGATGACGCCAAATGCCTGTGTAGGCTCATGGCGGAGGTACGAGCGCACCATGTCGTTTGTGTGAGTAGGCGGAGCGCAGCGAGGATGGCAGTACGCTCTCCTCTGTGTCCACCACGAGAAGAAACGGAAGCGCCAAAATTCTGGGAGCCAGGTGGGGCGAGCCATCGGAACGGAAGCTGTGGCTTGGCGCGACTCCACTCCCGCTTCACGCTTGGACCTGGCGAACATACGCGGACGGGCCCATCTTCAGCCAGGCGCTATTCTTGCAACCATCTGACCATCCTCACTCTCTTCGCTACCCACATGGCCTCGACAGTCGACGTCAAGTCGGCATTCAATATAAAGGTACTGAAGCGTCATGATGCAGCCATCGACTCCATTGTGCACTCTGCTTCCTTTGTCGTACTGTACTTGTACGACACAACGAAGGGAGCATGGTCAAAGACGGGCATAGAGGGACCCATGTTCCTTTACCATCGCACTCAAGCTCCTCACTACGGCATGTTCCTGCTCAACAGGAACGGTGTGGACAACTTCAGCGTACCGCTCACCAAGGATGACGATCTGGAATTGACCGACGAATTCGTGATTCTGCGGACAGAGGATGCCACATCATTGGGAGAGGAGGAGGAAGATGATGACGATGAGAAAATCATTGGCGTCTGGGTCTTTGAGAAGGATCAGAGACAAATTGTAGGCAATGAAATGCTGAGGTGAGTCAGAAGCCGAATCTACGATGCAGTGGAAGCCGGCTGAGACATGTCTCTGAATTCATTCCTCACTCACATCCGTACAGGTTGCAATCACTAGCAGCCAAAGAGGATGCCGCTCCGTCAGGATCAAACAGGAACAGTTCTGCCTCTTCGACATCCCAGGCCCAGCCCGCCTCCATCTCACTAGACGCCCTCTTCGCATCTGCATCGCAACCATCACCTTCTCACCCTCCCCCTGCCCAGCAACAGCCTCCTCCTCAATCCACCTCGTCCGTTGGTAGTGGTCCGGCTCTGCTAGATGCCATCTTTCAATCTGCTTCCTCTCCCTCTCCACGCCCGAGCCCACAACCGACTGCGCCCCCTGTAGCGCCTCCCTCCGCCCCCTCAGGAGCTGCAGCCTCATCGTCATCGTCGGATGCAACGGCCGGACTGATGGCGATGCTCGGGCTAGGCTCATCGGCCAAGCCTAGTGCTCCTGCAGCGCCCCCACAGAAGGAAAGCAGCAGCAGCAATAATCAAGAAGGATCAGCTATAGGGACTGGTATCCTACCTGCCGGTTTGCAAGCTCTCTTCAGCAGTGCAGCCTCCGCTATCCCTTCCACCTCTGGCTCTAGCAGCAGCAACAAGGAGGCTCCCAGCAGCACCAATGGGGCCAAGCCTGCCGCCAATCCTCCTACAGGTCCCAAGCGCGCTTCCACGCCTACAGGGCCCAAGGCGAGTCAGAACCGATCACCTGTGCAAGTAAAGCGCAACGTGGCCGCCTCCTCTTCCCCTGTCAAGTCGGCCGCACCTATCTCGGCTCCTACAGGACCAAGGGCAGCCTCGAAGCCCAGAGAGGCTCCTCAGCAAGCTGCTGCTGCTGTCACTGCTGCCCCTTCATTCAGGGATACAAGCGCCGAGGCGGCCAATGGGCAGATGGCCAAACATGAAGAGAAGCAGAAGAGCGCCGGCGCTAGCAATCCTCCGCTCAGCAAGACAGAATTCATGCGAGAGCTTTTGGGCTTGATTCACGTGAGTATTATCGGCAGAGGGAGCGAAACGTGGAAGAGAGAGCGGCCGAACTGACCGAGTCACCATAACTCTGCTGTGTTACTTTCCTCTTGTACAGACCGACAAGGCTTTCACCGCGGATCTGTACGAAGCATACCTGTCTCGACAGAAACAGTGAAGTGCGCCAAGAAAGAGATTAATGACGAAGGATCTCGCAGCGGTCAGACCCCCACCCCTCGCAAACACTACTGTACCCCTCTGAGGCTCTGTACCCTCTGGTCAATCGCACATCTAGCAAAGGCGTACTCTGATCTAAGTCTGATTGATGCATTGCGATGCGATCGCAACGTGGGTATCAACATGGTATGCGTCGTGCCTCGAAACCTGTTCTCCGCCTCTTTGCCTGCTTCCCTCGCCTGGCTCGGCCAGGACCTCACTTCGTCTCGCCTCTCACCTCTTACCTCTTACCTCCTACCTCCTACCCAGTACCCAACCAATCCCCGTGCTCCTCCTCTTCTGCTGTCCCAACCAACTCTTCGGGGGCGGCGCACTAGCCTCTACCGCCAATCCGCCCAAACGCGGGACTACTCCGCCTCCCCCTCCCCTTTCCCTTCCTCGTCCTTGTCCCCCTACTCCTTCGATTGCTCCTCCATTGCCATTTTGAGCTGATGCGGTTGCGCCTGAGTGAGGATGGAGAGAGGCAAGTATATTGAGGTTTTTACTTGTGCGGGAGGAGGAGAGATGGTGGAAGGCGGAGAGCATTAGAGCTTGCTCTTGCTTGAGGGTGGACTGGGAGAGGGATGGGTCGAGAGGGTGTTATAGGTCAGCTTACATCGGCTGAAGTAGGACGGGCGATAATACGACGACGACGATGACGACGACTCACGTTTTCTCTGCGAAGCTCTTCATCTGCTTTTACTCCTGCTCCGTTCGCGTCTCCGCCATTCTGCGACGCTGTGCCCTTTCTGGCATCCTGCAAAAGCTTGTCCTGCTGACGAATGAAGGCCCTCGCCTTTCTCATCTTGTCCTCCAGGTCTTGCAGACGAGATTCAAGCTCCTTGTTCTTCGTAGTCAGGCCTTCGCGGTCATCTGGGGACAATGAGGTCCTCTCTATGGTAGGCCCTTCTGACCTACCAGCCGCCCCGCTCTCCATAAGGGAAATCTTATCCATCAGCAAGCCCTGTATCTGAGAGCTCATGCTCTTCTCCAGCTCCTGCGCAGAGCGCAACTCCTGCTCAAGCGTCTTGACCTTCTCTTCCAAATCTGCCCCCTCTTGGCTCACAGTGGAGCGCAACGAGGCGAGAATATCGAGCTTGTCCTTGTCGACTAGAACTAGATCCGCCCGGGCGCTGGCTAACTCTTGTTCGTTGCTCTCGTACTTGACGCTCAGCTCAGCATGCTCTGCTCTAAGGCTATCGAGATCAGTAATGACCTCTGCTAGACGCAGCCGTAGAGCTCGAGCAGCCTCAGGCCCATCAGCTAGTGACCCTTCGCCACCGGTACGGATCTTGTCCAGCTCTCCGTCACGCTGTAGACGCAGTCGGTACTCTTTCCAGTAGTCAGCTTCATATCTTTGCTTCATTCTTTGACTGTCCTCCAGAAGATTCTCGAGGACGAGGGCGTCAGAACTCTCGGCCTCTTGAGTCTTGGCGCTTTTGAGCTCACGTGAGAGCTGATGTATGCGAAGCTTGAGATCTGTAGTCGTCGTGCCTCGTAGAGTATCTTCGAGCTCAGCGTCGAGAGGAACCTCGCCCCCACTTTTCCCTGCAGCTGCGTCTTTGGAGGACCCGAGCTCCATCTCCTCCACCTTCTCGCGGTACAGCTCGATCTCTTCAGCATCTCTTGTACGAGCCTCTTCCAAGCTTTTGAGCTGCAAAGCGCTCTGCTCCAGGTTGTACTTCAGCGTGCCCGTCTCCTCTGTCAGACTGCCGTTCCTCCGGGTAAGATCGGCAATCTGCTCCTTGTACTTCTCGATCAAAGGCTTGTACTCAATGACTTTGGCGGATTCTTTCTCTAGAGCCGCATTGCGATCAATGAGCTCGGAGTTCTGATCTTCGAGTTCCTTCAACTGGCGACGGACACCGGCCACCTCTTCGAGCTTCTTGCGGTACTTCTCGTTGGCATTCTCGGTCCGCTGCAGGCGGTCTGCAAGGTGACGATACTCGTCTACTTCATCTTTGAGCTTAGTCGCTTCGTCCGCCTTCTTTTGCAAGTCAAGGACCTATCGCAGGCGGTGAGGTTATCCAATTTCGTGAGCTCCTGGTATTCATCCCTCAGCGGGAAGTCATCACTCACCTTGGTAGACATCTCCTTGTCCAGTGCTGTCAGTCGCTCTACCTCGCTCTCAAGCTCAGCCAGATGATCTTCGCTTTTCCGTAGCCGATCTTTCAGTGCTGCAACCTCGACCTTAAGAGCAGCTTCTGCTCCCGATGCGAGGTCGCTCTGCTTCTCGGCTCGCAGCCTCTCCACCTCTTTGGCAAGATCTTCCTTCTCATTCTGCGTGTCCTCCTGCCCCGCCTTGAGAGTTTGATGATCTTCCATAAGAGCGAGATAAAGCTTCTCTAGGTCGGTATGTTGTGCTCGTAGCCTCTGTAGCTCTGGACCCTCAGTCTCGCCGCCAGAAGATGGCGCCACTGCAGAGGCGGGAGGCGAAGCAATGCTTGACTGGCCGCTCATAACCTCCTCAATGACCACCATCAAGCTCTGCTGGTCTTCTTGTGCGAGAGTCTGGATGGCAAGGACATGCTCCGCTTTCGTCGCTTCCGACTGAATGGTGATGCCTATGGCTAGCTTGCAGAATTTGGACAGCTCCGTGACTGACGAAGAGCGAGCGATCTCGTTCAGGTCGGGATCGGCGCAGGCCGGGGGAGGCGAGAGCAGGAGAGTTTCTGTATAGCTGTGAAGCCATAGAGCATCATGTCAACCTTCCAGGGTCTCTCCATGTTTCTTACGATCCTCGTGCGAGCGCGTCCTTCCTGATCACTCACTATTGCATCATCAGCTTGTACAATCTCTTCAGCGTCCCCAACTTCAGAGCGTAGTTCTCTCCATTAGCCTCTCCTGTCTGAGCGTGCGGATTGAGAAAGTGGGCCGCATCTACGACAGCCAGTATCTCGAAGAGGGCCACGCCATCCGCGAGATCCTCTGGCTGCTTCAGCTGTTCGGCTCGCGCAGGGAGGACAGCTTTGACCCATGAGAGGAAGGCGGATGCCTCTCTTTGTGAGATGCTCCGAGGTGCCGGAGAAGAGCCAGCAGCAGATCGGGCTACAGGCGAGCTCTTGTCTTGATCCCCATTCGATGGCATCGCTGGCTCATCTGAGGCGCTGTGGGGAGATAAGGACATGTCCGCCTTCCCCCCTTCGAGCGTAGAGAGGGGCAATGTCCTAGCGCTCTTGCCTTGAACCCGCCCGAAGTCACTCGACGAGGGGGCTAAAGGAGCAGCAGACCTTGCGAACAGGAGCGCAAATGAATGCTTGTGGGCTTGAGGATCAGCACGGCCGCAGAAGATGTGTTGTTGTTGTTGTTGTTGTTGTTGTTGTTGTGATGTGATGTGATGTGCTGCGATGTGATGCTCTCGAGGTGGTGGTGGTGTTGGATCGAATGCTGCTCCGCCCTGCAGCCGCTCCTCTCAGTCCGTCCTCGCTGCGACCCGAGTGGAGCAGCTGCAGGCACACACGCGCCCATCCAGCCTGGCCCACCACTGCCAAATGTTGACCAACCACTTGAGGATGCAATTTCAAAATCAAGATCTACCGTGAGACGGAGACGGAGAGCTGCGAGTCTCGGCCTATGGTAAAATGAGATGGGAGGAGCTGTATGCAATAGGCGAAACAGGACAAAGGCAGGAACTCGTGACAAGGTCATACAGCAAGGAAGGATGCGCGAGAGAGGGCAGAGTACAGAACAATAGCGAGATTATGTGGTAGGAGCGAGGTCCACCTGTGATTATGATGGCGACCTTGAAGCTTGTGTTCGCGGTGATCAGCAGATGACACAGCAGCAGTTGCTGCCGCCATGATGGCCATCATCAGCGGCCGCTGCCCCGGCTCCCGTACCAGCGGTAGCCCCAGCCGCTTTGCCCACACCTCTTCCGTGCTTGCTCCCTTCGGGCTGTGACTTGAGCCTCTCCCGCTCCTCTTCCTGTATCCGCTCTTCCTCACTCAACCACCCTCCCTTGACCAGCAGATGTACCACAGTCGTCCTGCCTGGCACAAGACCACGATATTGCGGCGAGACGGAAGAGGACTTCTTGCTCTCTTTTGTCGTTTGCAGAGGTGCATCAGCAGGAGCCGGACCTAGTATTGTCGTATCGGGCAGGATGTGGCCAAGATGTAGTAAGCGGAGGGCAGACGAGCTGGAAGGTCGGCTGGGCCACTCCTCTGGCCAGGTCTTCCAGATTTCCTCGCGGACCTCTTCCACTTTTGTATCGTGCCTGAAGTCAAAAGGTTTCCTCTGGCCAGTGGCGAGGAGAATGTCGAGTCTAATCCTTCCATTGAGCGACGATACGGTGCTTTGTGACTGGACAAGGGGTGCCATTGTCGCAGCACTACTTGTGGTGGCCATAGGTACAGAGGTAGGCTGTTGTGGCTGAGAAATTGAGCTGGGCGACGTTGTTGCCGCTAGCGTAGTGGAAGGTGCACCCGCTTGATCTGACGATGTGCCTGCTGAAGTCGATGCTATTGGCCGTGCCTGGAGGGGGTCTCCATCGCGAGGTGCCTGAGCTTCCGAGCCGGAGACAATGGGCGTAGCTTTTGACATTCGAAGTGGCAACGATGACAAAGCTGAGCAGTCAGCTTAGAGACCACTGTGTAAGGCAGGATCAGAAAGGAATCTGTGTGTGTCCTCGCTTGACCTGACGAATTCAAAGTTGTGGCGGATTCCCGGTACAGATTGCGGAATACGGGCCGAGCGGATGTAAGAAGCTGGGAAGCTAGGAGAGATGCAAAGGGGCACTGGTAGGAGTTGCGGCAGCAGAGACTCTGTAAAGCAAGAGATGAGATGAGTGCTTCAGGCTTCAGGTACGATGAGTGAGAGGGAGTGAGTGATGAGCTGAAAGGTCCAGAAGTCCTCATCTTTTTACACAACACTCGCCCCCCGGGTGAGCGATTGACCCCTTTGGTCTCCGTCAGCGACTCAGACGCCGACGGCAGGGCCCGGCTCTAAGGGAAGCTGCCCATGGGGCCATGCAGGCCGTGCAGCCCCCGCGCCCCCGCTCCCGATGATTGCCCGCCCCCTTTCCGTTGCCGGGCACCCGCTCCCACAATGACGGGGCCACTCGTCCGACTGCTCTTGTCGTCCCACGCGAAAAAGGGGGGCGCGTGAGAAGGACAAGGACGTCAGGCCCTCAGCGTGCATCGCCTCGCCCCTCTCTGCCTTGCTCACTCGGTATCAGAAGCATGGCAGCATCCTGCATCCGTGGCTCATGGTTTGTGGAGCACCATCGCACTTCATCCTCGCAGCTCGACACTGGGCCACTGCTGCCAGAGCTCGCCATTGGCCCAGCATCCTTTGGGCGAGGGGCAAAAATGGTGGTGGCTTGCACCGCCCTTGCCAATTCTTGCCATGAGGCAGCCATGGGAAAGTCGATCTTCACTCTTGCTGTTCTCCCGTGCCACGCCACGCCACGCCTGGCCTTGGCTAGCCAGCTCTATCTAGTCCCCGCACTCACTTGTACCACGCATGACGGTGTTCTTGTGCGCCTACCGGCGTGTAGCTAGGCGGGGCCCATTCCCTGATCTCGTGACATTCAGTAGCCTACGCGGTTACCACACGAGGCGAGAGGGAGCGGATAATCTTATCTTATCTTCATGCACTTGTCCCCTCAGCATCCGTTCCGAGAAGCTCGCGAATCTGGATGAGGGAAATGCCTCCGCTCACTTCCGACTGGAAGATCGACCGATTCTTCGACTGCGGCTGCCCCTGCCCGTGATCCTGAGAATGTCATGGATTACGACGAGCGAAGATTAGTCCTATAGCAGAGTCTCGGATGCGTTTTCCCTCATCGATAACGGGGCTGAAGCACTGCTCCCCATTCGCGCACCGTGTACGAGTCAGGCGCGTCGCGCATGTTTCACCGCCGGAAGCAATTGTGAACCTCGGAGGCTGCTGTCATCACGGAGGCTGATGTCATGCTCTGCGATGGAGGTATAATTGATGTCCCTCGTTCATTGATACTGACTTCGCAGGTATCCTCACCTCCGCTCACTCGAATCCAGTCTACCCAGCTCTACTGTACGCCCTCACTAATCACCAATCACCCACCAACACCACCCACCACCACTCACCCCACCAGCACTTTACGAGAATGATTGCCATTTTCAACCGTGCCTTTCGCACACGCTCTGAGATCCGACAGCCTCATTCCGAGCCCACTGGGCCTTTCCACCTCGGCGACCTCCCCACTGTACAGGCTCACCAATGTATCGACCGTGCCGAGCCCGATGCCGCGCTGATGCTTCTCCCCTCTGCCAAACAAGGCGGGCGCGCATCCATCTGGCTCACCGGCGATGCCAGCCCTGCAAATCTTACCATCGCCCGAAGCTTCTTCAACGCTCTGCTCCGGAAGCAAATTCAGCTGGGTGACCACAAACCCCTAGCTACCGTCGACGTCTCCACAGCCCCTCACCTCGTCAACGCTCGCTACCCAGGCAAACTTGGCGAAAAGGCCTTCAAGGCCGGTGTGGGCAAGAAGCGTCCCGCCTTGATGTTCTACGACACCACCATGGCCCTCTATGCCATTGGATGCGAGAACACCCTAGCCATTGAAGTAGCCTACAAAAATGAGAGCATCGAAGGTCTCCTCCTGAGCGCTCTACTCTGGACCCAGCAAGGCACCGATAGCCCCTTGCCCATATACCAGCCGGTCAACTTCCTCGGTGTCAAAGTTTGCGATGAGACGAACAATGAGGACCCTACCCGCCCAGCCTGGGCCGTGGTGCGTGCCACCAAGGCAGACAAGACCGGCCGTGGCACCACAGAGATCTTCCTCTTCAATGCTTCTGCCGAGTGGGAGGAAGCCTGGCGCACACAGCTCAAAGACACCCACCTCACCGGTGTCAAAGTGATCACAGACCAGTCGACCATTGAGATCAAGCCGAGTTTCTTCCACCCTGCATTGCCGGATGAGCACGACGGAAAGACACAGCGCATCAAGGTGGATGAAGAGATGCTGAACAGGGCATTTCACAAGGGACTGGGAATTTCAGAGTCGGTAGTGGCTCAGAGGAAGTACACCGAGTGGGCCATGCCGGCATAGGTGCCGGAAAGGGGAAGAGAGAGAAAGGGGCGAAAAAGGAATCGTTCGTTGCTTTGTATATCCAGCCTTGTCAATAGAATAGAATAGATGATCACATCTCAGATTATGTCTGCACTGTTGAGCTCGAGTGTGTACAGCATGCGAGGTGCGAAGGGGTGACATCAAGTGCCAGAACACGACTGCAAGTACCCAACACTACACCGCAGCATATCTCACCGCACCTTCTCTTCCGCATCACCTCACTCCTGCCTATCAGCTCTGCTCTTTCGTCTTCCTTCCTCCTCCCACTGCGCAGTCCAGTACCCAGCATAGTACCACGAAGAACAGATGCGCTGCAGGAGCTCCCCACTCAAGCTTCCCTCATCCACTGTTGAAGGGATGGTGGGTCCTGTTGCGCTATTTGGGAGAGATGGTGCAGTCTGAGATGCAATGAGTGGATGAGAAAGTGCAGGAGGGGGCATTGGCGGCTGTGGAAGACTGGTGTGGGCGGTAGCGCTTGAGGAGAGCGCTTGCGGCATTTCAACATTGGTATCACTTATGGCCTGACCACTTGCAGATGGGTCAATGCTCGTAGCAGTATTGTCTGCCATCGTCGGCGCATCGCTCAAGGTAGTAGATGGAAGGGGTACCTCTGCCCTCGCTATTGGCTGCGTTGCTGCCTTCTCGACAGTTTTCTGCAGCGCTACTGGCGGTCTCGCCTCGTCGCCAATTCGATTACGCGTCGAGGCTACTGTAGCGCAGGCTGCTTGCCAAGCTGCGTTGCCTGGCAGCCCGATCGAGGGAGGGATAGCTCTGCCAGTGAGAGAACGCTTGCCTACAGGGTGGACTTTGGACGTTGCTGCGTTCAGTGTGGAGCCCACCGGTGCCGAAGGCGTCGCGGACAGCACAAGAGCAGGTGCTGTGACAAGCTGGCTGGTACCAGCTTGCCCTTGCTGCCTCTGCCTCTCTTCCTCCTGAGCCTGTTCCTGTGCCTGCGCTTGCTCCTGCTCGACCTCTTTTCTTAGGTCTTCAATCTCTTTTGCCTTGCGCGCCTTCTCCTCCAAGAAGAGTCTCAGTCTCCTCTTCTCCTTGTTGTTTTCAGATATCTGCTGAGCTTTCAGCGCTGATTTGCTGCCGGAAACGGGGGCGTCGTGCCAGAGAGCAGAAGGATGCTTGACTGTTCGAGCTGTAGCAGACGTTGTGGTAGTGGAATCCTTGCTCGAGTGAAGGAGATACTCCTCCGTCGCTGCTTTCCAGGCGTCTACGAGTGCAGACTCGTCCCACAGCTCCGCCTCTGTAAGGACCCTGCCTCCATCAGCTGCCACACCGCTTGTTCTCGGAGGAGATACTACTGTTGCTTGCTCAAGCGTTGCCTGCGTTGTACTGCCAAGGGGCTCTTCCCCAGTGTCGAGGAAAGCCGGAGGGATGTCCGGGATAGCAATGGAGGTATTGAGTCTGCCCATGGCATCCCACTCGGCCTGAATACTCTCGTCGTACTCCTCATCTTCCTCGCAAGCCTCTTCATTGCCTTCGTAGACGTTGTCCTCGTCGTACTCCTGTTCATCTTCATCGCCCCACCCATCGTCTCCCTCCGTGTGCTTCCATCCTCCTGCAGTAGAACGGTCTGCCGAAGTTTGCTGCTGATGTGAAGCGTTGCCATTGGCTTCATGCTTCGATGGCTCGGCATCAGCCATGCGCGAATGATTTTGGGCAGCTTCTGTAGTGAGACCGTCGTAGTCGAGCCCACCCATGGCGGCCCCATTGCCCATCCACTGCTCTTCCATTTCCTGGCGCAGCGAGGCTCTTTGGAGTTTGTTGTCCTCATTTTTCCTGCGCTTTTTGCCCTGATGTACAATCTCCTGCTCGACAGCTGTATCGTCTGAGCTCAGCAGTGGCCGCTTTTGAGGGTTATGCTCCTGGTGCTGACCGTCTGGCTGCTCAGACGCCTGCTGCTGAGCCTTGAGCTGCCTCTTCCTCCTCAGCCGTTTCTTCTTTGCGTAGGAGAGAGAGCCGTCATTGGTAGACGAGCTCGGAGAGGCTGCTCTCGCCTCTTGACTAGATCTCAGCGGGGCTTGTGGGATGAGGAGTGCGCCTTGCGAGGGCTGTAGCGATGCATCTTCTTGCTTGACTGCCTGCAATGCCTTGGTATGGCTTGTAGGTGCAGCCGCCCTGCTACTAGACGCGGACGTCGAGGCCACAGGCGCCGCGCCGTAGTCGATGTCATCGTAGGAGACCAAGCGCCGTGTGCTGGCCATGACTTGGGCAGAGAATCGCCTTATAGAATCGAGGGTAGGTAGGACTAGGAGGGGACCATGTGCGAAGGAATCATCTGATTTGGGAGATGCGAACGGAAGTGGCGCCAAAATTCCTGGGTGCGAGCAGCAGCAGCTCCACCTCGGATGACCCGAGCGAGACAAGCAGCTAGACTACCATGACCACCTTCCTCACCAAGACTCCATCTCATATCAAAGGCGCATGGTATCGTCTCCAAAAGTCACCGACGCTCCTTCAGATCTAGCAAAGCCCAAGCCGACTCGCCAAGACCCACCTTGCCCCTTGGCTGAGCTGGTCCAGTACGACTGCCGCATCTCAGTACAGAGGCTGCCCGAGGGAAACGTAGAGGAGTGCATCGTCTGCGAGGAAGTGCCCCGGATATTCAGATTGTGAGTCATCATACAGCGACATCGAAATTTGAGCTGAGGTCAGTTCCGCTGACATTCTCTCATTGAGCTGCGCAGGTGTCCCGGACGACCCTCTGTGGAAGTAACGCGTACTGTCAAGTTTGACTCGCAAGGACGCGCATACGAGCCACGTCGCCCTTTAGCCTAGCCTGGAAGCAGCACTCAAGCAGCATATCCCATGACGGGCGAGTCATCAGAGATGTCATCCACTAGCTCTGCAGGTCCTCTGCGATTGACGCTCATCGCCGCCCTGTCCCCGTCCAATGGGCTGGGCGTATCAGGCGGGCTAGCCTGGTCACTCAAGGGCGAGATGGCCTACTTTCGCAAAGCCACTTCCTTTGTCCCTCCTTCATCCCATCCTGCTGCTGGAGTAGAGACCAAAGGAAAGGCAAAGAACGCAGTCATCATGGGTAGGAACACCTGGGAGAGTATCCCGCCGAAGTTCAGGCCACTCAAAGGGAGGATCAATGTCGTTGTGAGCAGGACGACGGGTGAGGAGAGGGAGAAGGAGCTGGGAATGTGAGTATGCAGTAGCGAGAGAGAAGAGCAGAAGGCTGTGATACTGACAAGGTCCGCTTGCTGCCCTCGGACAGATCTGCCTCACAAGACGCCTACCTCGTCTCATCCCTCCCCTCCGCCATCTCACTCCTGCAAAGCTTCCCCTCCGCCTTTGCAGACACCAGCGATGAGCCCTCTAAGCCCCTCCTTGCACGCACCTTCCTCATCGGCGGTGCCCAATTATACGCCCAAGCACTACAATCCCTCACAAGATCCCAGGAGCTTGATCAAGCAAAGAATAAAGAAGACGCAGTGCTGGATCGTATGCTGATCACTAGATTGCTCGCGCCAGAGCACAACGAGTGCGACGTCTTCCTGCCAGAGTACAGGACCGCCTCGCAAATTCAAGAAGACGCTACACTGCTCCCCTCTGCCTCGCAGCCATCGGAGGCAGACCGAAACAGCAACGGGGCAGGAGGGCAAGAGCAGGAGCCTCTCGCTGAGGCTCAATGGCACAAGGAGAGCCACGAGATCCTCCAGCGATTCCTCGGTCCGGAGAAGGTTCAAGCAGGGATCGTCACAGAGGGTGAGGGGCAAAAGGAGACCAAGTATGAATTTCAGCTTTGGAGTCTGAAGGGCCAGTTGTGACGTGATGAGATACAAATGGGAAGCGATGCCCGGAAGGGAGGGAGTTGAGAATAGGATCGGTATGGGTGGATGAGACTGGGCAAGCAGTCCAGCCAACGAGAAATGTACGAATCTAGCACGGAATCTCTTATATACAAGCATTTTGACCAGTAAGACGAGGCGATGCGAGATCCGAGGGGCACTTGTTCCTTCCCCAGTCTCAATCTCAGCCTGAATTCTGCCCAAACTTGGCCTCCAACAATCGCGAAAAGGCGGAGGAGTGCCCCCTTGCCGCTGCCGTGGTCGTCTCTGCACTGGTTGAGGGCTCTGTCTCGCTGTCAGTGCTGTTGGCAATCCCGACTGCTGTCCCCGCCAGCGGGTCTGCAAGGTTGTACTGCCTTCCCTGCTCAACATCGCTCCGTGGTAGCCTCGAGGAGCATTGTAGCTGGCTCTCCACTCTTGGCTTCGCATCACACATTGTGCTAGGAAATTGCAAAGCGGCCTCCAGGGTGGAAGAGGAGCGAGAGAGCCTCTGTACTTCCTGAAGCGGTGGCTGTGGTGGTGTTTCTGAAGAGTTCAGCACCGAGGCTGCCGCCGACGCAGCTGCTGGAGTTGAATCTTGCGGTGTGCGAGCAGCCAGCTTCGGTGAGCCCTGTTCGCGAGCTGGAGTCCAGTAGGTAGACTGGCCGAAGAGGTGTGAGGCAGACCGTCCATGCCCGATTTCGTAGCTATTGACGTTGTCATTGTCATTGCTGCCCGTCACGCCGGAGACCAGAGGTTGGTAGTATCCACCGTTGAGGTAGTCGAGCTGCCGCTGGTAATGGTGGCGGTGGTGGTGGAACTGACCAGCTTGATACTTCTTGCTCGGATCCACGATAGCAGGAAATCGGAACGAGGAGCAGGAAGCCACTTGCTGGCGGCCCACTGGCAGCACAGTGGTGGCTCCTTCGCTGTCCTCGAGGTACTTGCGGCCGATAGGCCTTGGATGGCTTTCAGCGGGGGCAGAGGCCGGGGCCCATGCAAATTGCGAAGAAGAGGAGGAGGGTTCGCACCCAACTTGAGCTCTGTTGCTTTGACTGTGAGCTCCGGAAGGCAGGTCAGGTCGGTCACGCCCCTCAGCGTTCTTGGGTCCCTTGTCAGTGGCAATGAGCCTAAAGTCAGGACGCCGCAGAGGCGCTACATCGTCACTAGAGGCAGCTAGGCTGTTGCTGTAGTTGATACTGCGAGGGCGTCCGTTGTGCAAAGTAGGTGCGAGAAGCTCCATCGATTGATGCAACGGCGGTAGGTCTGTACGACTGCCCACGAGCCAGAAGGGGCCGCCAACGACATTGGTCTCTGCGACACTTGACGAGCCGGCCCGTGTGCCATCGCTCCGCCGTTCTGACACAAACGGGTGGTCACGTGCAGTCGATGACGAGTGGTACGGCAGTGTATTCAGACTGCCCGCATAGGGTGTCAGGCCTGAGGAGTCGATTATCGGTGTCTCGGGAGGGTCGTCTGAGAGGGAGAAAGAGCGTCGTCTGTGATCAAGCAAGCCATGGTGGTGTACTGATAAATGGTGCCTGGTACTGGTATCTGGAAGTGATGCTTGTCCTGCTCTCTGAGCATCGGAAGGATCCCTTTCTGTCAGACGACGGGCGTAGCCAGGCTCCGACGCTTCTTCGAAGTGCGTGCGAGCATGCTCGATGCTGGCCTTACGTTGTTGTAGCCTCCTCCTAGCTTCTGTTGCCCGTTCTCGACGCTCTTGCCGGCGCATCTTCGCAGCTCCCTTGGGTCCGCGACGAAACTTGTAGTCTGCAGATATAGGGCAGAAAACGAGAGAAAAGTCAGGGGCAATCCAAGATGATCATGGACATTCGCTTCTTGAAGCGACTGTATATAGGCACCTGGGTGACGTCGATCAAAGTCGTTACGCAGCTCTCCTGCCTTGCGCAAGAAAGGCGCTTGCTGTTGGGGTGTGAGGCCTCTCCACTCGACGCCCAGCGCCGTGCTAGTGGACGAGCGCCAGAGAAGTTTGTGAAAGGGGACAGGGGGCTTGCTTTCAGTACTCCCAGCTTCAACATGCAATATTTTGCGAGTCATACATACCTCACGTCCGATGGCTTGAGACCAAGATCGGGTGTACCCGACTTCCTTCTCTTCCTACCTTCATTTGTCCAAATCGTTTCCTCGTGGACACTCTCTATCTGTGCTAGCTGCATCCGACGCCATCGAGCAAAGATCTGGGGAAGAACGTCGCCATCAGAAATCAGTCCTCAGGCTCCGAAGGGCTCACGCTTGCACTTGTGCACTTACCAGAAAAGCATTCATCGGCCGTCTCGGCCCTCCATCCGAACGAGGCTGCTGCGAGAGAAGATCGACGACTTCATCCAGCTGTCGAGACAGGTTTGCCTCGTCGGCCGGTTCAGCAGACTGGGGGAGCTTGAGAGGTGTTGGAGGAGAGCGACGAGGCGCTTCCGCTTTGACTTCATTCCCTTTGCTGGGCCAGCCAGGCTGAGTGCTTGCTTCGGCTCGACTTGTGGTGTTGTGGTGATGATAGCGATATTGTTCGTGGTGATACAAGTCCGACGAGGAGATACTTTGAGTCCATGCTTCACTTGAGTCGCGGAGGTGAGACGACATTGCCTGTCTAGGCTCGTCGGCGGTCTCGAACAAAGTCTGAGATGGCAGCCGCACTGAAGCCAGTTCTCGACGGTGCGGGAAGGGTGCGACAGCGTGGGTACGAATCGAAGCTGTTCCCCACGTTGGTGAAAGGAAGCTTCGCACCGGCACTGCACCCATTCTATAAGAATCTCCACTCCTGTTTCCCTTCCTTCACACCCGTCCAGTCAGGTCGAAATGAAAAAGGGGAAAAGGAACGAAGGGGTTCAGGAGCTAGGAACAGCTAAGTTTCAGCAAGCAAGCAAGCAAACGAGCAAGCAATTATTGCACCATCGCACCGCCCCGCACCGTCTTACCCGGAAGCGACGCACCGCGATAAGCGGCGAGTGTGAGAGTCTCAGTCTCCTCGAGTTTGGTGTCGATCAGGGGTCAAATGAAAGAGTTCGTGAGAGCAAATACATGCCGATCCTCAGGAGAAGCTCCGAGCCAGGAACGACGTGGCTCAGGCACAGGCACATGAGGACAAGGTACACTTCAAATGCTCACCTCTTAAGTCTCCGGGATCGTAGTGCATTCTAGCGTGCCTCTGTTCTGGTCCCTTTGCCCTGATCAAGCGTGGCCCCCGATCAAGTGAGATGCGAGAGCAACAGAGCAACTCCCGGAGACTTTTCTCTCGTACGGAGCTGCCCTGGAAAGACATTCCAACTGCCCTTGAACCCGCCCTGCAGCTCGGCGCATTCCAGATCCTTTGAATGGAAGAGAGTACATCACGATCTCTCGCAGCCCTTGGCCCTCCTCACCTATGCGTCCAACATTGGTGCACTGTGCACTAAAGGAACGCTGCAGGGCGTGCTCTGCACTGCTCTGCACTGTACCTGACCGAAATTGACGTAAGGCGAAGGAGTTCTCCATCTCCGTCTCCATCCTTTGGGGGTGTCTTTGCTCTCTGCTCTCAGCCAGACTCGAAGGGGCCGGATCGGCATCGGGATTGTTCGCTAGCTTAGAGCGCTCACTGCGCTTGACTTTTGATTTCACGTTGCACAGAGAGATGGGAATGAGGGGGACAGAAACTCCACGGGCGACCTTCTCCCTTCGCCTCTGCTTCATATCTCACGCCTCTCAGACGCTCAAACCTCCATTGCTCGCATTCCCCGTCGAGGGTCTCGTAGACGGCGACCGCAGCGAGGACTGTTGTGACAGTCTCATATTCTCGTTCGACCCGGCTTGGTCGGTCTGTAGGACCAGCTCCGCATAGAGCATCTTGTAGCGGATCTGTATTGCCGAGGGTGAAGGCGGTAATATCAGTACGACTTCTCACACGTGTGCAGGTCGCGATGAGACGAAGTTGCCACTCACCAACTCTTCTTCCGTCTCCTCCTTGGCCACTTTACTCAGTACTGCATCCTTGACTAGTTCAACATGTTCCCCCTGAATCTTCTCCAGCTGATCCTCAAGCTCTGCAACCTTTGCCGCCAAGTTCCTATTGACGATCCGCGCGGCCTCTAGCTCCCTCCTGTGCGCAGTGGCAGCCTTGACACTCTCTTCGAATTCGGCAGCATACCCATCGAGGGAGCTGGAATGGATCTGTACTGCATATGCTTGGCGTGCAAAGCGATCCACATCGTACGTCTCGACCTCACTGCCAGTAGCAGCCTCGGACTTGTATCGGTCGAAGATCTGCGTGTTCTTGAGGTACGCCGGCGCCTGTTCGAAGTTGAGCTTGAGCAAATCCTCTTCAGCACCGGACATCAGTCCCACGGCGAAGCGGAAGATGGCTTCGATGCCCTCTGCAAAGACGCTGTCCAGTACACGGTATACAAACTCAAGCGGGAAGCGATACGAGAAGAGGGTCATGAACCATTGTGTTGCATAGTGGCTCGTCTTGACGCCTTGGCGTGTGAGGTGGCGATGCAGGAGTGGTAACAGATCTTCCAAGAGACGATCGAATTGGAAGAGACGCAGCTGCAGACCTGGCATATTCGGTGTGAAGTGACTGCGCAAACCGTACTACCGAGGGAAAAAGAATGCTGCTGCGTCAGTCGTCTTCCCCTCGCCCTATTCACCACTTCTGATGACGTACCGATTTCATGAGCCTCGCAAGAGTGGAGAATGCTTCCTCATCTGGCATATTGAGTAGCAGCGGGCCGACGATGAAGGCCATGCCTTGAACATATCCTACTTCCTCGTCGTACAAAGAGTAGGCCTTTACGACATTGTACAGATTCTCTTGCCCAACTCTGCCGTCTTTGAAATACTCCTGCTCGGGAAAGGTACGATTGAGGTCCTTCTTGATCTGCTTCTCGTGTGGAGAAGTCTTCTGGCGGATATACCACGCATATATGAGCTCGAGCTCGGGATCTTTGCTTGCACTGAGGAGCTGCCAACAGAGACCACGAAGCTGTGAGGGTATGCCGATCTGGATAGCTCTGCTGAGTTCGCGAGGGTTCTCGTGAGCGACTTCTTGATAGTCTGAGGGAGGAGGATAGAGAGGCTCGTACTTTACTTCAAATGCTCGAACTTAATTGGTCCCTTGATGCCACTTACTGTTCATGACTCTTCCCCAAAAGTCCCAATCTACGTCGTCAGAATTGTCCGCGTGCTGTGTGGTGTCCGCCTCCGCCTCCGAGTCTGCTGTCTGTATCGTTGTGTCTGCTTCCTGCACATCCTGATCAACTTCTGGCGCTGCTTCTGCTCCCGTCCTTGTCATCTCACTGGTCGTCCTTGTATGCCGCTTCGATTGTCTGTGTATCCTCTCGAAGTTCTCCTTGAGCATCTCCATTCCAGCTGTGCTCAACCTTTTGCCATCTGACTCTTCCGTTCTGCTTCGGATCCTATCTTGGAAGGTGGAGCTGGAGCCAGCGCTGAAGCCGTGGTGGGAGAGTTCTGAATCAACGTCAATGCCACCTGCATCAGCGATAGTGTTGACAGAGGCTGACGTCTCGGGTTGAGACGATCCTGTCACGCCTGTGCTGGTGTCCTCTGATTGTTCGTTGCGATCGGCTGTGCTGGTCAAGCTGACAAACGAGAAGCGATTGAGACTCGGGCTGAGCGGATTGTGATTAGCTTGACTCGGTCCAGCCTCAGCGTTCTGGGTTTCGGTCTGTTCTGAGGTCGATATTTGAGCAGCTTCGAAGACTTGAGGCTCTGCTTCGGGTGTCTGGGTTCGGCTAGTGCGGAAGGGGTTTTCAATAGTTGCATCGGGGTCAGTCAATGAGACTGCTCCTTCCGAAGCTGCCATTGGCGGTAGGTCCTCTATGGCTGCTGCCACCTCTTGTTCTGTTGCCAAGGAAGACGATAGAGATCGGCTCGGGGGTGCTCTGGAGGGCGATGACTGCAGGGACGACTCCACTTTACCACGCGAAGGACCGCCGGATGCTGATGGAGAGGCAACAGGCGAAGACTGGAAGCGAGCCATCAGAGCAGCTACGGAGCCTTTTGCTTTAGCGGGTGATGTGGTTGGGGCTACAGTAGTGCTTTGCGAGGCGGAGGATTCAGGCTCTTGACCGCGTTGTGATGAAGGAGGTGACATGGAGGACGTGCTGGCTGCCTTGGAGGTAGACGGAGCAGCGACCGAGGCCGTCGAGTCTCGTCTGTCGGCGAGGTCCACAGACTCGAGGTTGCCTGCGTTGTCTGAAGACATCCTCGACAGCTGAAGAGAAGTACGGTGGGACTTCGATGACCGAATGTTTGTGGCGGGTCAGGCCAGGAGCTGGTGGGCGTATGAGTAGCCTCAGACAAATGTCGGCCGAGGTTCGGTGGTGTTGGTGTGCATCTCGCGTCTGGCCTGCTGCCCAATGCACGGTGCGGGGATTGAATCTCGCAGCTGCCGCTGGCGTGGAGGGAAGGAGGGAGGCAAGTGTACCGCTGCTGCTGCCTCTGTGCCACGCCTTGCTCGCTACCCCGCAAAGGCCGTCCAGACGCCGAGAGAGATGGACGTGGTATGTCAAAGGGGGATGTCGTCAGCGCGCAATATTCGAAGCAGAGTAGCAAGAGCAAGGCATGCCGTATACCCGAAGATGGACGATGCCGGAGCAACGCGCTTGCAAGGAAGGAGTCAGGCACACTCGCAGCAGCGCGGGGGAAGCAAACGCCTGGCGGGTTGCGCCTTTGCTCGTTGCTGTTGCGTCTCCTGAGCGGCGATGATCGCAACTCGTCGATGGACACCTCGAAGATCTCAGAGGCATAGCAGAGTTGCTACAGCGCACATCTACAAGTAACAAGGTCAAGTCTCGCCAGGCTCAGCTCTCGTCTGCCTCTTGCCCTTTCCACCCCTCTCCTGCCTCTCCTCTCCTCCCAAATGGCATACCTCCCACTCCCAACATGGTCAGATCACCTCGACAAGGTCACCTTGCTAGGCCTTCCCATGATCGGGAGACAGCTGGAGCTCTTCTTTTCGGGCATCGCCTTCTGTCTAGGAGGGTGCTACTACGTCACACATGCAAGCACAGATTCCAGGACACTCCTCACACTCACTGGAACCGTAATGGTACTCCTATCCATACATTCCATTCTCATACTCGAGATCAGCTGGCGCGCCCAGATGCTCGATGTCAAAACCTTTGACCAACGATGGATGTGGGAGTACGTGGCCACACGTGAGTGACTCAATCCGACTTGAGAACATAGATGACCTCCCGTATCCATGAGCCCGAGCAAAGCTTACTGAGGATGACTCATGGCCCCCTTTTATATCTATTGCACAGAGCCAACACGAGCAACCATCATGGCTCTCAGCCAAGGATATCTCGCTTGGAGGTACTACGCCCTCAGCAAGACGTCTCGCACACATGGCCGCGTAGCCAAGCTCGTCGCTCTGATGACAGCCACCGAGTGGACAATGTACATGATGATCACGCCCATGACACTCTGGATGCACTTTGGCGATCTCACACCGGACATGGAACAGCGATACAAGGTCAACATCTCCCGACTGTACTGCAGCGTCTGCCTCATGGCCAACATGATAGACTCTACATTGGCTATATGCTTCTGCAAGAGGCTCTGGTCACTCCGAGGCGCCGATAGGGAGCTAGACTCGAGCTTGAGATACGTCTGCTACGTTGCGCTAGGCGTTGGCCTGTCAACGGCTATTACCGTCCTGGCAGTGGCTTTCATGTTCCTCCTGGGCAAGAGCGACAGTTTCCGCCTCATCGCAGAGCTGGTGCCACCTTGTTATGCTGCCAGCTTCTATCTCTCTCTCCTCAGGTGAGTTTCAGCGTCGCGAGAAGATTGCCTCTCCCCAGACCTCTGACGATTCTGTCTTTTGCTTCCTCTGGCACCCTTTATCAGCCGAGAGAAGATCCGCTCCACAATCAGAACGCGACACACCCGCCGGGTGCAAGCAGCCGAAGTGCACGTAGACAACGTCCTAGACGTCGAAAACGGTCCCGTCTGCCTAGAGAGGACGCAGACGCGCGTCGAACCAGTAGAGGCCAGCCAGAGCATGGCGGCACAGCTCCAGCGGACTACCCCCAAGGGCTCAGAGGGCGATGAAGAGTCCCTCACGCTCTCCCAAATCCTGCGCGATGGGAACACAGATGCCAACGAGAAGCACCGAGCTTTGCGGCGCTCTTCTTCCTCCTCCTCCTCCTCCTCCTCCGATGCTCCTCCCTCGCCCTCCCCCTCTTCCGACGCTGTAGGTCATCCCGACATACCCTTGTGCAGAGCAGAATCGGCCTCCACTGCAGCATCTGCCTCGTCTGCCCTCATGGGAAGCCTGCGCACCTGGGTTGGGGGCAACTCACCTTCTTTGTCCCCAAAAGAAAGCACGGAAGGCAGGAGTATGGAGGCGCTGCGGAAGGAGGACAGTCGCAGCTTGTAAGCTGGCGAGCAGAGAGAAGTGAACATCTTTGGCGACAGATTTGCCCTTCAAGGTCCTTCCATGTAGCCCTTCCCTTACTCTGCCCTCTTCTCCTTCTCCTTTACTATCCCCTCATCTCAATCTTAAATGGCAGGACCACCATCATCTCACCACTGGAACAACGAACGAGAAAAAAGGAGATAATGCATACAGATTTTCGGAAAGCTAGATGTAAGATACATGAGTGAGCGTGGGAAAGAGAGAACAAGAGACTTGTGAGAAAGTCCTCTGGGTATAAAGGCACGGATGACATGGCCTGATCTGCCCTGATGGGAGATACAATGTGGCATGGCGTGGCATTCGGAGACCAGATGGGGAGAAGGAGGAGACCATGTACGATGCGACTAACGAGCTCGCCCTTCCCCCCTTCGCCTATTCCGGCACTCTCCAAGCCATCAAAGTCTAGACGCGAAGCGACGCCACGATTCCCTGCAATCGAAAAGGCGCCGTGGCCGGTCTTGAGCTCGCGCTAGAGGGGACGGAAGATCGAGCCGTCGACCTCGACCTCGACATTGATGTGGACATACTTGCGGTGGAAATGGAAGTGGAAGGGGAAGTGTCAATCGATGTGGAGTTGGAAATAGAGGTGGAGAGGGCGCCACTGGAGAGGTCGGCTGCTGAATTTGAGATCGAGATCGGGTTTGAGATCGAGAGGGAAGTAGAGTTGGAAGGTGCGGTGGACAAGGAAGTAGAGCCAGCGGCACCAGCACCACCACCGGGAGAGGCAGAAGCAGCGGCAACTATTTCCGAAGCCAGACGCCACGCTTCAATGTCGCTCTTCTGGTAGCCAATTGTACTCGTCGTCGTTGCCGGACGGCTGGAACTGCTCTTGCCCTTGGCTTTGCCTTTGGCCGGGCCTTTTGGTTGAACCGTGTCAGCCGTAGGGAGCTCTAGCTCAGAGAGGACACCAATCCCAAAGGTACCTGTACTAAGGCGCTCCATTCGTCCGACTGGAACCTTTTCTTCTTGCTGCTGGGCGTACTCGCGTGGAGACTCAGTCCTCTTCTCGCGAGCAGAAAGCGTCCCGTCGCTACCTGCGCCCTCAGATCGTACAGAGCTGCCATTGCGGTTCACCTGTAGACTGTCCGCACCGCTTCCGCTATGGTCCAGTACGCTACCAGAAGGGCTCAAGTGGGTAACAGCGTCCCTCCACGAGTCTCGCTCCGACGCCGCGGTACCTAGGGACAGTGACGAGGCCTGTGAGAAGGAACGCATAGCGGCGACTGCCTCGGCGGAACCAAAGAAGCGCTCCTCCTGCGAGCCGTTGCGAGCCGCTTCTGCCGCTTGAAGCGCGTCGCGAGAGGCTTGCATGCCGCCTTGGAGAGTAGAGCTGGGTGCTTTCGGCCAGGTGATCTCGCCAGAGGACTCGGAAAAGACAAAGGGTCGCAGGGAGCTTAGGGGAGGCAGAGGGTCCCTGGCTCGCTGCTTCTGCTCGCGGCGAGTGAGGACGGGCTCTGCGGGTGCAGCAACTTGAGGAACGGCGTAGCCGAGGGCGGCAGGTGCTGGAGAGCCAGACATGACTTTGGCGGGCTCGTCATCACTGGGATGCCAGGTTGTCTTGCCTTCAGCAGGGTCAGAAGGACTTGATGGTTTGCCCTGATCATCATCGTCTTGTGGTCCAGGACTTGCAATCTCTGAAGGTGGCCTAGATCCAGTGGGAAAGGGAACACCCTGACTGGTGTCAGCAGCTTTCTTGGCGACTCTGCCTGCACTTCCGATCTTCTCTTCTACGCCGGCAGTAGTCTGAGGCGAGGACGTCAGTGAAGCGGAGACGAACGAGTCCAGCGAGGGCTTGCGGAGTGGCGTAAGCTCTCCCGATGGCAACAGATTCAGGAGCGCTGTGTCCTGAACCGCTTCATGTGCCTGTGGACGGTCTTTGTTGCTCAAAGCCATTTCGGTCTTGTCGGCGTGACCATCTCGGCACTTGACTGACGCGAACGAAGCGGAATGAGAAGGGCTGATCGGTGGTTCCTGAGCGACGGAAGCGTCGACACTAGTGACGGGCAGATTCACAGTGCGGGATCGCATCGGCTCAGCCGGCTGGCTCGCTTTCGCCTGGTCAGTCCTCCTTCGACGACGGTCACGAGGTGGTCTTTGAGGTGGGAGAGGTCCAGAGATCGATGCAGACCGATGGCTTGGAGCGAGGGAGCTGAAAGACGGGTACGAAGTAGCGATGGACGTGACGGAAGGATGGCGAAACGCAGAGTCACTGAGGCTCCGCTCTGAGGCGTAGGGCGTCACTATTCGACCCGCTGGTCGTCCGGGAGCGCAGGTGGATCTGCTTCTTCTTGGTCTGTCCGCCGACTCGGCTTCGATGCCCAGTCCTTGTGTCGAACGAGAGGACGGTCCTCGAGCGACCACGGGTACGGGCGGTACCTCTTCTTGTGATGCGTCAGGGTTGCGCACCGTCAAAACACCGAGAGCATCAGGGCAGATGACGGGGCCAATGTCGCCAGCTGTAACATTCTGTACGTCTCCAGCAGCAAGGAAAATGGCATTGAGATCGGATCTGCTCCAGCCTACGAGTCTCTCGGAATCCGTAGTGTGTAGAGATGAAGAGGTACTTGGGCTGAGAGGCAAAGAAGGTACCGGAGAGGGAGGCGAAAAGCGACCTCCCCGAACAGTACTGGATATGGGTGATAGCTGGCGTCGAACAACCTCTGCAGGCTTGGCTAGAACGTATGGAGTCGACCTCGTTCGGCGCCTGAGCCAGGTGCTATCCTCGCCAACGAGAAACAACTTGCTCTTGACAGACCTGAGTAGCTCCTTTGTTCGAGACTGGGTCTTGGGAGAGTGGGATGGTCCAGCACTAGCTTCGATCCGCGGAGGTTCCTCAGTGGGCAGTGGTCGTGATGTGATCTCTTGACGCACTTCACTTCGGTTGTCCATCGGGGTGGCAGATGCAGAGATGCGTGCTTCTTCATCGGTGAAGTGCCTGCCTAGTGATGGTGAATCTGCAGGAGAGTCGCAGCTGATTGAAATATCATCGAGGAACCACTGAAGCGGGCGCTGTTCATCGAGCCCAGAAATTTGGCCGATGACAGGTGCAAGGGAAGAAGTTGAGGCGGTAGCTGAGGTCGTGCTTTGAGCGCCATCGCGAGCTGGATTAACGTCGAACATCTCGCAGACGCTGAGAGAGGGGGCAGACGCACGTGAGAGCATTGCAACAGTTTCTCGATGATTGCTCTGTCGGGACTGGGAGTCGCGTGGGACAAGAGGGGAGCGAGAACGCTCTGGAGAGGAAGGCCTCCTCGAAGCAGCTACCTGTGGCGGATCCTCCTGATCAGAGATGGAGGTCCGAGCCTCTGGGATGACATCCAGACCACTTGAGCTGGACAAAGGACCGGTGTGTCTCCTGCTGCCGAATCCTGGACGTGTGAGAGAGCTCATAGAGGGGACTGAGCGAGTGCGGCTCCTGCTCAGAAGTGAAGGCATATGCAGACCCGAGGAGGATCGACGAGGAGGTATCGGTGGTGGAGAAACCTTGTACGATCCTTCAGCTGGCACGTCATACAATTGGATCGGACAGATGCCATCTCTGACTTCAGCTCCAGGAGATTTGCACAGCACGGGTTCTGGGTCCGGCGACCATGGGCAACCGTTGAGGGGATCGTAAGGCCTGATCAATTCCGAAGCATGTGTGCTGTTGTCTTGGTCGCGCTGAATTGGTATGACTCGATGCGGAGAGCTCTGAGCTTCCGATGAGTATGGTTCTGCTAGTACATGTATGTCGTACAGCTGTGGGTGCTGGAGTGGCGGTCCTTGAGATGGCAATGACGGGTCTTGTGAATCCGTCAAATGCTTGAGGCGCGGCGAATTGGCAAGGGCCTGAGCCTGGTGCTCGTCGCTTGTATGGGCTTCTTCTTGACAAAGGGGAGGAAATCGACAGCTCGGAGGAACGTCAGTGATGATGTCTTACGACCAGAAAGCGAGAATTGCGACTCACCATCTGGGATTTGCTTCTGTGCGTCGTCGCCATGGTGGCTGCTTTGAGACGTAGCATCGTGGCTGGCCCCGGAAGACGCCATGCCTGGCTTCAGGCCTTCCGCCGGGCGGAGCAAAAGACCAACACCTTCGGAGTTGCAAAGTCAATGGTGATGAAAGGAAGACGATACCGGGGAAAGAGAATAAGAGGGAGCAAGGTACCAAGCAACGGGGACGAGAGGGGAAGAGAGAGGGCAATAGAGAGGATAGAAGATGGTCAAGGTAGGGATGGGAGTGGGTAGCTGAAAGCACGGCGGAGGGGGGCTTCGTGTGATAGAGGCAATTAGGGCGCCAGCCTCCACTGAGTCGGGGTCCAGGGCAGTGGTGCGCATGTCGGCTGACTTTCCACCATGCATTGAAACATGTCAATCTGCGACTATCACCCAACAAACAAGCCGCTGGAGCTTCACGAGCTGAAACCACCTGAAAACATTGCAGACTCACGCGAGGTGATCATTTTCCACCAGCGTTCCCTCGCTCGTGTCTGTTGACCCAGGCATCCACAGACTGCAAGACCTGAATCACGTCACCGGCCTCGTTGAGAACTCCTTGAAGTCGATCCGACATGACGTCGACCTTGTCGCTGATCTTCCTCCTGTTGATCGCATCGCGTTCCCTCCTTTCGCATTCGTCCTTCTTGTTGGCGAGGTCATACAAGAACTGACCAAGCTTGAGCGTTGTTCGAGCGGCAGACTCTAAGGCGAGCACTGATTTGCTCTTTTGGTCGCACGCCGGGTCTTCAAAGTCATCAATATCGTCCGAGAAGCCAGACTTGGCAAGACCTTTGTACACGGCCCGAAGACCATTCATACTCTTGACAAGGTGCTGTTCAAGCTCGTCCCTGTCTAGAGGTCCCGCCAAGATCGGCACTGGATCGTTGGTACCTGCCAAGATTTCATCCGAAGACTTCCCCGAAAAGACCATCTTCAGAGGTTCGTCGGAGGTCAGGTCCGACTGAAGTTCCGGCGGGACTGTGGTTGCCTGTTTCTTGGATACTGAGCTTGGTTTGGGATCGGGCCGGGCGCTGCCTGCCAAGTCGGCTGTGGGGCGCGGAGCTGCCAGCCGCTTTCCAGTACGTCGTCCGGTAGCTTTCGCTGCGATCACTTCTTCACTCTTCTTCTTGCTTGCCTTGCTTTCAGAGGGAGACTCCCTGTCGACGACGAGACTTGACGCAGTCGTAATGGCTTCTTCAACCGCTGAGCGCTTGTGACCTTTCTCAAATTGGGCGGCCACTTCGTCCACGTCGCTTTCATCGGACGATGAGAGTTCAGGGGAGGCTTTTTCCTCAGCGTCTTCCTCAGCGTTTCGCACGATTTGAGGCTGCCTCATCTTGAATGTACTGGAAGATTTAGCAGCTTCGGCTTCGGCACCTCTACTTTTGCATGCTGTAGCCGCCGGAGGCCCACGACTTGTCTCCATCGTGGCAGAGATTTGAACAGCATCGCCAACCTCATCCGTAGGAGACGGGGCGCTTTGGACGGAGCCTCGTCCCTTCGAGACCGCGTGACGGCTTCGTTGACGTTCAAGGGCAATCTGACTGGGGCTAGTGGGACTGCACGGACGATGAATAGCTCTGTTATCGATCAAGTTACGAGATTGACAGCGGTCTCGCTCGAGGATGCCTGAGATCCCCGGCGAGTGAGGACTTGGCTGGCGGTCGTCTTCGCCAGCGCCGACTTGGAGATCCATGAGCTCCTGCGGCTCTTCAGTGAGATCGCGGACCCCGATCGCACTGTCTTTGCGGTACTTGGCCGTGCTACTTTGCAAGCTGGATGTGCGACCCAGATCTTGCTCGCCTGTCGCTGCGCCTTTAATGCGAAGGCCGTTCCTTGCCCTCTTGGCGTTGCCTTCTCCCAAAGGACCACTCTCACTGTTCTGAACCTCCTTGAGCCCATCAGAAGAGGTCATGCGATCTTCTTCGGATGCAGCAGCAAGAGCTTCGGTTGACTGCATGCGACGTTGGACCAGCTTGACGTTGGCACTGCTCATCCATTCCGCAGTCAACCTCTTGGATTTCTTCTGCAGCTTGCTCTTCTTCGACGACCGCAAAGGAGAGGGCGAAGGTGCTGGCGGAAGGAAGTGCTCGAGAACATCATCATTGCCTTCCTTTGCTGCGGTGGCGTTCTTCGTCATCTGCGTCTTGTCAGTCAAAGGGCCCTTGACAGGCCGTTTGGTCGCCGATTTGAGGCTCTTGGGCCTAGGGGGGTCGGAAGCGACTGCCCTCTTTCTCTTGGCGTTATCACGAGCTATGTGATGAGGATTGGAGTGCGCCTGTAGGTCTTGATGTATCTTTTGGTGTCTCTTGTCGAAGCCGCCCTCGTCAGATGACTCGTCGCGGTCACTGTCGTCTACACTCCGCCCCCTCTTGTGTTGCCATGTCTTGCGGAATGTCTGTTTCGGCGTATCAATGACGTGATGTGTCTGCAGACTTGCAGGGGGAGGCTCAGTGGCCCCTTCATCATTATACCGGTTGGACGATCCTCTTCGCGGCAAAGCAAGACCGGGGCGATCAAGAGCTTCCATGTCGGCTACTAGTACCCTATTTGTCTCCCCTCCACTCTCTTCGCTTAGTTCGGTGAGATCGGAGTCGTCATCCCAGAGTGAGCGAGCTTGAGCGACTTGATCTTCGGCGGAAGCAGTGTTCTGAGAGGTGCTTTCCGGTATTGCTGACTGCAAACCGGCGAGATGAGCAACTTCATGCCTGCGCTGAGATACAAGAGCTATTTGAGGGCCGTCTGCAACTCGACTGCCAACCACGCTGGACGGGGGAGTCACTGTTGGTGCAACCGATGATTTGATAGAGAACGCAGGATGCCCTGGAGGGTCCTTGGTTAGAAGCTTGTCGATCGCTTCGGGGAGCAGGCCAATTCTGACTCTCTTGGCGTCCCTGCGGTGAGACTCGAAGGACTGTTACAGAGGGCGGTGCGCAAGGACACTGTTTCAGAAGTGACGATCCATAAAGACAAAGCTTGACTTCTGACTTACTACACCTCGAGCTTTCAAGGCCTCTTGAAGGCGGGCGCCTTCTGCAGGCGATAAGGCCACCTTGAGCCTCGGGCCAAACTTCAGATGATGAAAAGAGGCAGCTGTCAGGCAATGTCGATCTGCCCATACAATGGCACTGTCCGATCGAGAGAGCAACAGCATTCGTGGTAGACTCACCTTCTCTTTCCTTCCGTCCTCGAGGGTGAAGGTCAGTGTGCCCTTCAGCTCGAAGGTAAACACGTTCTGCGTGATTGCTCCTGGGGCAGATGCTTTGTTCTCCTCCACCTTGACCGGATGCATGGCCGCAAATGCAATCGGGATGGGGACGGCAGTATTGCTCTGGTTCCAGAAGAAGCGGCAGCACGACCGACGTCAGGCACTCCGCAGGCATCCTCACCTGCCATGCAGCAACGCCTCACCTGGCGATCGTGCCATTCGACGACAAATGCGGCATCAACAACGATGTCGTGGCGTGCATGATCATCCAATTTTGGCCAGGTGAGCCAGTGTGTCATGTTCTGCTGAGGAGAGTGCACCGAAAGGGCCCTGAAAAGCTGGGGTCTGTACTAGACGGAGGTTCAGTCACACTACACGCACAAGTCCTGCTACTCTAAGTACAGCGCTCAGACTCACTTATCAATGTCTAAACGGCCGAGTTGTTCATGTACTTGGAAAATGACAGCATCCCAATCGTCCTTCTTGGCTTTGACCAACGCGTCAATCACCTCATCGATTGCCGCCTTCCTCTCCTCATCTCCCTCATCAGTCTTATCAGCACGATATTTCTTGAAGAAGGATGCATAATGCTGCTGCAACGCTCTAGTACTCTTATCTTTGACGTTGACCACTGGCCGAATTGCCCAAGCCAAGGTCATGGTATCGCAACTGGCGACGAACAGCATTGGAGGAGGGTAAGCAGAGTTGGTATAAGAGCCCCATACCAGGAGCTCACCTTTCTTCGTAAGTTCTCCATGCGAGCCAAATACACCCGAGTTCCTCACTGTGATGGCGCTTAAGGTCAGTCAGTGCTGTGACAAATTTCGGAGGCGCCTACCTTTGATGCTCACGACGAGAGGCACTGGCGCAGCAATTTTCGTCCATACTTCGCATTTTCGCCCAGTCGATAGAGAAAAGATTGAAGCTGCGGGAGGGGCGTTGCAAGCATGTAGCAATCTTTTTCAGACAACGGCAACCACTTGTCTTCGAACAACGCATATCCACGAACACTCTTACGCCCAGCGAGTCCAATAAAGTCGAGGTAGGCCAAGTCTTTCCACGTCAGGACTCTTACAATCAAGGGGACAAGGGGTGCAGCTCCGCGACTGTAGGCTGCATCACGGTCAAGCAGGATAGCCGCCACAGTACATCAGCTTTGTCTAACTCTCCTCTTCACCGCTAGCGCTCAACGCTGCGCACTACTCACCGGATTCAGCAGACCTCTGAGTTTCCCCATCTACGCCAGGCTGTGCAGACAGGCCAGTGGCGACCCACTCTAGGAGCGCGGCGGAAAGGTGCTGCGCCGCCAAGCGTAGTCGAGATGGCTGTTCTGGATCCATCAGACGGTGGGCCTGACGATGAAGTCTCCAGGCGCATGGAATGATGTTGAGCCAGACATAATTCTGAAGCTGTGCGATGAGGCCGTAAGTCTGGTCCTGGTCATGGGAGAGCAGCACAGCTAAAGCTTGCAAGAGGTCCTTGCTGACAGAGTCAAGTATGGCCTGCATGTCATCACTTTCCGAGTCCTGCATGGGATGTTCGGCAGAGGTCACAGTCTGCCAGTGTTAGTGTCAGGACTTCGTCCTTCGGACAGTATCGAGACGTTCTGCCGCACTCACCCTGAGGCTGTGTATGCCTGACAAGATCCTCTGCACACTGCTCAATGCTTCTGAGGCACCTTCGTCTGCAGAGCTTGCGCCAAGCCTGATCGGTAGGGCATCTTTAAATGCTGCGACGGCCTGAGCAGTGCGCTCGTATGAGCTGTTTTCATCTTCCATGATCGAGCGGATGCCCGACGCAAGAGGGAACCAGAGCTGGACGAGCAAGTAAGGAGCTGGAGTCGCGGTCTAGTGAAGTGAAACCCGCTAGTAGAAGGAGAGGGATAAAATGGGATCAGTAGAGTGGAAACAAGGAGAGGACGTAAATGAAAGTGCGCCTGACTGCGCTTCGATTGCTGCCTGCCAGACGGACGAATGATCCGGCGTTTGCTCTCGCGCCGTACAGGCGCGCTCCGACAGCAATGGCAAGCGGTAATGGAGATGCGGACGTCAAATTTCATAAGTGAGAAAGATACGGTTGAGATGATGGATACAGGAAGCCTTTTGAATGAAGGAGCGTCATAACTTCACAAGATCCCCTGGATGGTACTCGTCTCGTAAAAAATGCAAAGTGCCCTCTTCCCCGTCTCACGAGCAATAGCCTGCGAGAAGCCTGACGGGATCAACGACCTCAGAGAGGGGGTCTGTGTGATGATTACTTCGCTTGGTCGTAGCCTGAGCGTCCTCGATACCTGCAGCGTGCTGCTTACGCTTGCTCAAAACGATGTCACGATGCAGAAGGAGCGACAGAGGGGCTTGCTGTTTGACCAGATACCCTTTGCGTCCGGGCAGCGGCGACGATGGTGCTGACGCCCCTCGCAATGCTTGCAGTGAAGGCAGAGCAGCGATAGGGCGCCGATGAATCGAATTAAGGTCTTCCTCCTCTGCCTTCGCATCATCTTCAGTGTTCTCCTTGCAGTAGGCAGAATGCCTAGCCGCTACTGCTAGCCTCTCCTCTTCGCCGAGATTGCTGCTTCCGGACCATTCAAGCTGATGTAGAGCTGCGCCCCGCTCGTCTGCATCGGGAGCCAGTAGCCTTTCCATCGCCCCGATGCCAGCTGGTTCTACGAGGACGTGTGGTTCCAGGCGCAAGAAGAACGCAAGGTCTCGGAGAGACAGGCTAGGCCGAGGAGCCTCAGACTGCGCCACCGACATTCGATAGACCGGCCGGTGCGGTAACGCGGATGGACTGTATGAGTTTGGCAACACTATGCCGCTGTCATCAGCGCCAGGAGGGCCTCTTTTCAGCAAGTGTTGAGCAACTCTGTCGTCTTTGATTTCGTCCTCGTACTCATCGGCAACCATTGAGTCGTCGCTGGTGTCACCGTTCCTCTGTGCTCGTGATTTGCCTTCTTTCTCAGAGTCCATTTCGACATCGCTGCCCGCATCACTGCCTGAGCCGACCTGAGTGGTGGCGGCTGTGCTGACCAGGCTGGTCACACTGGCATCAGGACCGACGCCGACATGGCGAGTGCCAGCAGCATTCGTGAAGATGGAAGAGGCAGCGGTGGACAGTGACGAGGAGCTAGTACTATTCCGGCTCGACTGCTGAGACGGCCGAGAGGGCACTGATGTCATGATCTTGGCGTACGCCTGGTCGAATGAGGCAAAGTCAGGTAGCTCTACCCTGGAGGTACCGTTGGGCGATTCATAGAAGGTCGCTGAACTTGATCCTGGTAGACTCGTTACACTGCTATCGGCACTCTCGATGTTCTGCTTCGCGGGGCCACGTAGTTGGACGCCTCCAGCAGCTCTGTTAGCTCGGACGGCGAGAATCATACCGCTTACAACATTTCGGATGTGAGCCTTCGAATGACAAAGCAGCGGGTGCAGTCTCAGAACGTCAGATCAGAGTCCTGCCGCCAAGCTGTACACTCCTCTCCGCATTGTCAACGTACCTGCAACCCGGCCGAGAGCATATCTGCCGCATCCATAGACACTCCGTTACTCAGCCCTGCCTCAACCGCTGGTGCCGTCATTAGGTCTGCAAGACCGTCAAGTTGTGGCAGTGTCTTACTTTCAACACACAGGGGTACTTTGCTGGATCGCAGCAGAGCTTGTGCGGTGGCTGATGGTGGTGCAAGTCATGTGCACTGTCAGCACGGGTAGAGAGACCTCGTAGTCTCGTTGCAACTTACCAGCAGGCAATGTGGTCCTGTTCTCTTGGCAAGCAAGGTCCTCCGCTATCACCTCCTTGAGCCAATCCCTGCCTCCAATTTCGGTGTGCAGCTCTTTCAGACGCTTGCGCTCGTTTTCCTTGGTCTTCTTCTCCTCTTCCTTGCGTTTCCGCTCCAGGAGATCAGCACCCGCACCCGCCCAGGAGGATGTGTTTGCAATGGATGACAGGTTCCGGGAAAGTGGTTTGCTCATCGACTTGATTCGTTGTCGTTCTGCTGTGGTAAAGGAAGCAGCGAGAATACTGACACGCTTCTCGGGCTCGATGGATGCAGTGGCAGCTTCCGCATCGACATCCTCCGGTTGGAAGTCGCCGTTCTCTTGCTGGTACGCATCCGCTTCGGCTTGGCGGATGGAAGTCTGATGGTCAGAGTGGGAGGCAGAAAAAGTGCCAGAGCTGCCCCAGCCTTTGCGGGAAGCGGAAGGGCCGGGAACAGCGGATGATGCGTTGTACAAGATCCCTAGCACCAGTGAATTGTGCAGATGAACTGGTACGAGGGTGGAGGAAGCGGATGGATGACAATGATGGTGAGCAATCAGAGTTAGAGAATGAATCTGATGGAGAGGTCCACCCGGACACGCTGGCATCTGTGCCGTGGGCGGATTGCAGTAGGCTGACGCTGGAGCTCGCTCCTACTCACCATCTTCAGATTTGAGGCACGCGCGAGCTTCGCTCTCGAACTCGATCCTGGAAATCTTCGCTGTGCAGAAGCGCAGCAGTGCATCCCAGTATCGCTTGCCTTGTCCACCAAGTGCGGAAGCCAGCTTGGCTTTGAGGTCTAAGGTGAGCACCCTCGGGGGTACGTGTGCCGAGGGCAGCGAGCTGGAGGATGGCGGATGGTGTTGGTGCGGATGGTATCCCGCGGTGCTGTTAGCGGATGGCTTCTGGTAATGAAGTGCACCTTCTGCCATGCTTGTAGAGCCCATGGCTGGCTGTTGTGAATCTGATCGTGATGCCCGGATGGCGGATGCAATGCTTTGGTTGGCTTGACGTGCTCTTCGCTGGCGCTATGATCGTCAGGAAGCCGCCAGAAGTCAGAAAGTGGTAGGGCTCCTGAGGTAGCGTCGTGGCCCCGCTGCAAGGCAATGGGCGAGATCGTCAGCGGATGGATCGAGGCTGTGGAGACGAAGAGGATGTGAATGCCCACTAGTCTAGCGATATACAACGACGACAATCACTCGAACAGTGGAAGGTGCGGATGGTGGTGGATGGAATCGGGGAATGCCCTTGTCTGGATTTACCTTCGCCCAGCCATGCAGCGCTTCCACTTCCCCACCGCGGGCGCAATGACGCTAAGCCCGACTCGGCTCGGGACAGAGACAGAGTTGGAAAGTGTTCGGGCCACACGAATCCCACGGTATCCCACGCCCCGCCTTCATCACTTGTTGTTCGTCAGGTCAGCTTGTGCTCTCTCGTCAGACCATGGTAAATGCTCATACGTCAGCCGGGCAGTTGCTGCTTTGACCCGCGTGAGGTGCGAGCAAGCCGGCGTTTAGACGTAAGCTCCGGTACAGTCAGCACCATCCGCTCACCGGAGGCATTCCATCCACACATCCACCTCATCGAGCAATCATCTGACGATCGTGCGGCCTCTTGAAACTGTCTACACCGCCTCATGGGGATCCTAGCCGTGTCTGACGATCGTCCCGCCCACGACGGTGTACCGTATGCACATCCGCGGCTGAGAAGATTAAGCGGAAAGAGGAGCGGACGTTGCGCCTCCGGTCCGTTCACGATGCAACTCGTGCTCCGTCGCGCCACGCGAATCGGAGCTGGAAAAACAGATCAACACTTTGGTTCAGTGGTGTTGCTTGGCTCGCAAAATACACGACCCTCGGCCAGGCTCGGCAGCTCGTGAACCTTCTCTGTTCAGGCCTCCACCACTACTCCCACATCACAATCACCGGTTCCCTCACGCTCGAGCGACTTTGCCATGTCGCTTGTCGAGCTTCCGACGACCAGGACCAGGGCGCGGCGAGTGCAGGGAGTTGGTCTCCCTACTCAACAGCAGAGGCGGCGCTCTCCGACCAAACACCACAGAGCGGATGTTGAGCCAAGGCGGGCCAGTCTCGAGCAAGGCGATGGCATTTCCCAATTCACGCCCGCTGATGGGCAAGACAAGCTCAGAGAAGCACTGAGAAGGTCTGCTTCCGCCGTCTCTCCACCTCACGCAAGCGACAGCGGCTCAAGCAGGGCGGCAGCCAACCGCTTCCAGGCAGCAGTCTCGCCCGTGAGGTCGCGAAGGAGACTAGCAGCGACAGAGGATACGGATTGTGCGAAAGCAATAAACGTCTCGGATTCACTTTCCAAAGGGGAATCAGAGCGAGGTTCTCACGGCTCGGACATCGACACACCATCCTTCTGCGGACCCTCAAAGAATCCTATCCTCGCCCGCAGGGTGACTGCCGCCAGCAACAAAGCTGCTGCTGGCGTCAATCAAGCAAGTCTCACGTTACCTATCTCCTTTACGGAGAGTGCCGAAAAGGCCACAAGCTCTAGTGTGGGTTCGAGTAGCCAGAAGCTCGAGAAGTCCTCCTCACCTGTGACCTCATCTTCACCAGCAAGGCGACCACCCATGGCGACTCGCACCTCGGATGAGCGTTTGGCTGAGATCCGCGCCAGACTTACAAAAGCAACGGAGAACGCAGCAGGCGAAAGGCAAAGAAGAGACCTAGCAGATGCTGACGTGGTGCGGCGCCGGACTCGTAGAACATTGCTGGATCAGGAGGAGAATGCGACACATGATGAGCCCTCTCCGAGAGGACACAGCGAAGAGCGATCCCGCGTCGGTGGAACCTCGTCATCAGCCAGGCGTGTGTTGGTTGCTGCTAGCGCAAGCCCAAGAGTTTCACTAGGGAGAAACGAGCCTATCGAGGCTTCTCAGACCCCTCCTCGCACGCGAAGATCAGATCGAGAAGCTGATACGATCGACCAAGAGCTTGACGGGTCCCCGCGGCAAAGCACAACACTAAGGTCACGTACACGGCCTGCGCTGTCCCGAGTTAGCTCTGACGAGAGTCATAGCTCTGACACATCTGATCAGCATTTGCAAGTCAAGAGGCCTTCATTGCAACATCGGAAGTCCTCAGAGGATGGCACTCGTCGACCCTTTTCAACAGTCAATGCTCTCGATACTGCATCTCCTCGCCGGCGGCGGAATGAGAAAGAAGTCGATGACGAGCAGACTGATCAAAGTTCCCCACGACGAGGTGCGAACAACGTCTCGCCTGCACTGGCTTCACTGGAAGCATCCCTGGCTCGCTTGGGAGCTCGCAGGACAAATCAGCAATCTGGCCAGGACGAACCAGTCACACGGGACCGTTCCACACCTTCCAGGAGAGAGAGGTTGTCCGACACTACACAACATTTGACAGTGGCCACACCCGACGAGTCTCCGAAACTTAGAACGAGTATAGGAAGACATCAAGATCGTCTCCTCGATAGTGAGAAGGGTGCAGACCAAGCCGGCAACTCTCCACGCAAGGAGGTACCCTCTACCCTCCCGCTGGTCTCCCCATCCAGCAAGCCGGGTATGACTTTTCTCGAGAGAGCGCGGGCGGCGAGAGCGCGAGCACAGACCTCGGCAGCCGAAACACTGGCAAAGCAAGAAGCCGAAGAAGCCGCAGCTCGCGCTAGAGAGAAGCAAGAAGCGGAGCAAGCCGAAATCGAGAAAGTTCGCGAGGAAGAGGCTGAGCAACGGCGACTGCAAGCACTCAAGAAGATCAGTCGTCGCAGAACCCTACAGGCTATCAGAGACGCTCCTCCGGGACAGGCTTCGGAGGATGAAGAGGACGAAGCGAGGGTGGAGAGAGAGGTGACACCGATGTCGGAACGAGAGTCGTCACCTGAGCTGGGCGACAATAGCGAAGCTCTGGCACGAGTAGCGAGAGCTGAGCGGAGCGCTCTCAGACTGCAGCGCGGAAGGTCTATGCACTCCCCTGCGCCCCCCCATCGGTCTCTTGAAGCTGCTGAGAAATCAAGAGAGCCGTCAGAAGGGATCAGTGGCAGAACAGACGACCACCGAACCGCTATAACGGACGCGGCCTCACTGCGCAGACGAGTGTCCGCAGGAGGAGCACGAGTCTCTTCCATCAGCCGCATGGACAGCATTAACCGCATGGAGAGTCTCGCTGCTCCCTCAGAGGGCATGCTCAAGGGCGTCGTAGTCCTCGTAGACATTCGCGACCGCGACGGGAACGACATGTCCTCCCCGTGTGGAAAGCTACTGAAGGCTCACGGAGCCAAAGTAGCTTCTCGCATTCCCTCTGCTGAATCGAGGAGGACCTTGACGCATATCGTGTGGAAAAATGGGACGCCCAGTACCCTCAGGTACTTCAATGGGCTCGACGCTGGAAAGAAGCCGTTGATCGTTATGCCGTCCTGGGTTGATGGATGTCTGCAAGAGGATCGTAAGATTGCAGAAGAGCCGTATCTCGCAGAAGTCGGGAAGAGCACATTGTGGCAGCAGGTGAGTTACGACCCGTCTGAGGCCTCCAGGCGAATTCGCGCTCATCATTGGCGGTCTCTCCTTCCTCGTCTCATCAGCGACGCGGTCCCGCTGACAAGAAGGAGGTCACACACCGTCCGACGATCATCGCAGGGGACAGCAGTTGTGAGTAGCCTTCCTTGCCTTGCGCCGTTCAGTCTAACCCGATCTCGTCTGACCAGACCGACTTCTTGCTTCGACAGTACTCGAAAAAAGCATCAAAGATGCCTTACAGGCCATTTTGGCACATGCTCCTTTGGAGCCCAGTCCGCTCAGGACCGCCCTTTACCTGGATCTGTAGCCTCCTTTCTCCTACGTCTACCCCTGATACTTCTTGACCTAATCGCAACGCAACAGTCCCGCAGATTTGACGCAACGCGAGGGTGTAAAACCAGATTGTCTCTGAAATCTCTGATCCTGGCGCTATGCGCCTGCGTGAAGAATCTCACCAAGCCAAACAGCAAAGCGCCTAACAATCGTCTCCTCTAGACTGCCACTTCCAGCGGTCTCGTCCAGAGCCATCTCCTGCTTAGCCGCACCCTTACTTGGAGGTAGCGTGCCCTGACCCCCACCTTCCTCTTTGGCCGTCTTGCCTAGTGCATTGTTCGTAGCGAAGCTCGTCGAGTGGATCTTGACAAATTGCCGCCGGAGACGTTGTAGCTGTGCAGCCGTGGGTGGCCGTTTGCCCTCCGGTAGAGCTAGTCTGACTTGCTTGATGACTGTCGAGTCTGGCAGAACCGGACTCAAGATGACCGGCCCGCCGCCCTCGGGCAGCCCTATCGAAGTTTGATGGGCGAGGAGAGAGGACAGAAGGCACTGAGTGGATGTCTCTAGTACGGCGAGGTAATTTGTGGACGTCGTACGGTTCTGTGGATGAGGTTGACGAGGCCTGTTCAGTGCTGCAAACAATTTGCTCCAGCAACTAAAGCACTTACTTGTATCACAACATTCGGCGCTTTTGAGACCTTGCCTTGCGTGACTGCCTCCCAAATCTGCTCGTAAGGCGGCTCCTCCCATTTCTGCTTGCCTGACTCTTGACTCGCTCCGACAGGCGATTCTGCGCCTCCAGAGGCGAAGACTTCGGTGCTCAATACGAAGAGAGGCGAGTCCCACCGTGTCATAGCATTTGGCTCCTCGTAACGCATGAAAAGGTCGTTGATGCTAGAGTCGGAAGAGGCGCCATTAAGCATATCGGGATATTTCACAGTTCGTCCAGCGCTCCAGTCTACTCACGTTTCCTCATCGTAGGCCTCTTCACCTCTGTCTCTCCTGCTGCTATTCCATTCTCTGCACTTCTCCTTGCCCGTATTGACGAAGACGCTGACGCATGTCAAGCCCACTTCCCTGGCAGCACACCAAAGCTGATACCTGAAACCCTTGATGTTCAGTCCCGCCCCGCCATCGGCCACGATGATGGCATCTTTGACCAGTGAACGGGAGACGAGGGACAGATAAGAAGCTCTGGCAGGCTTCTCGTTGCGCTGCGAAGCATACGTCGACTTTGGCAGATGCACAGTCGAGTCGGTCAGGTGAACTATCCGGGATGGAAGCGCATTGAAGGATGAGGATGGCAGAGCATCAAGTCGCTTCTGCCAGTCGGCTATCAGCTCTTGGCAGCGAGTGGTACGACCTGAGCTGGGCAGCCCAGATACGATGACGAGGGCCATGCTTGAGGAGGAGGCCTTCGTGTCCAGGCTTGCGGACAGGAAGATGTCTATTCGCCTCTGTGCTTCCGGCGGAAGAAGATCCGAGCCACAGGTTGCGGTGGAGGGCAGCAGCTCAGGATCGGAGTGAGTCGCCTCCTTCCGCTCCATCTTTCGCAACACTCTACAACGCAACCCTGAAAGATCACTCGAGGTCAGCCATAGCTCTGAGATTACCTGCGGCCCTTGGCTTTTGCTCAAGTCGAGGTGTACCCAGCTGTCCGGTCTAGGAACGACGATGACCGTTGGACTTTCTACGGCCCCTGCTCTCCGGCTCTCGGCAGTCCGGGGGCCGCTGCTCCGACCAGCAGTAGCAGCAAGTAAGGTAGGCCAGTTGTCCTCGCCCTCTCGTCTGCCTACGTCTCTGCACCATGAGAAGCGTTACAGCAGCGCGACTTCCGGGCCATCAACCTCAGCAGCCTCAAGCCCTGCATCATCTTTTGGCAAAGGGAAGCTCGCAGCCATAGCCGGAACTACAGCTGCTGGACTCCTCCTGGTGTCTCAGTTTCGTCCCATCACTGCGGAGGGTCCGGCTCTGGAGCTAGGTGATAAGCCATCAGCAATGGTAAGTGGCGTATTTCTGTACACCCGGCGGCTCGTGCGACCCACTTTGACGGATGGTCTGACTCCTGAAACCTTACTGCTCCCCCCTATTTCAGCGTGAATTGCCTGAGATTGCCCACCTCGACCCTCGTCTCTTGGAAGACACTGACGCCCCAATGCGTAAACGCATGGAAGTATACATCAAGCTGCTGCAGCACAACATCGTGAAAGCTTTGCAAGCAGAGGAGCCCGGAGCTCGCTTCCTCGTAGATTCCTGGGTCAGGAAGGAAGGTGGGGAGGGCATCTCATGCGTGTTGCAAGACGGAGCCACGTTTGAGAAGGCGGGCTGTAATATCTCGATTGTGCATGGAAAACTCCCGCTTGGTGCTATCAAGCAGATGGCATCTGGGAAGATACAAGAGAGGCTCAACTATCGGATGGATGGCCCCAATCCCGAAGTGGACTCTCTGCCCTTCGTCGCCGAGGGTCTGAGCCTCGTTGTCCATCCTGTGAACCCCTTTGCGCCAACAGTACACTTCAATTATCGCTACTTTGAGATTGGACACCCTAAGACACTCAAAGATGGTTCGCCCAATCCTCGGTATCAAGAGCCCAAAGATGCGGGGGAAGGAGGCCCACCTCCAGCAGCCTGGTGGTTCGGCGGTGGTACGGACTTGACACCCATCTACCTCTTCGAGGAAGACGCAAAGCATTTCCACTCTGTCCTGAAGAAGGCAGCAGACAAGAACGATCCCGCCTTCTACCCTACTTGGAAGAAGTGGTGTGATGACTACTTCTGGATCCCACATCGCAAGGAGACTCGGGGAGTGGGAGGAATCTTCTTCGACGACTTGACTCTCACCTCGAGCTGGAATGTCACCCGTGCTGCAAAGCTGCCGAAAGAGTACATAGGGCTGTCTGCCGGAGGTGGTCCCTCTGACCCTGGCAAGCCGATCTCGACTACACATCAGCATGACATCCATACACTGTTCAAGACTGTCCGCTCCATGGGAGACTCCTTCCTTCCTGCATATATCCCACTTATCCAGAAGCGGAAGAACATGCCATACAGTCAGAAGCATGTCGACTGGCAAGGCATACGAAGGGGAAGGTATGTGGAGTTCAACCTGGTACATGATCGCGGAACCAAGTTCGGCCTTCAGACACCAGGCGCTAGGATGGAGAGCATTTTGATGAGTCTGCCGCTCAAAGCCAGGTGGCAGTATATGCACGATGTGAATGGAACAGGTAAGCCTCGGGACAGTGGCGGCGAAGGTAAGGATGACATGAGAGAGGAGAGGAGATTGCAAGCTGTCCTCGAGAAGGCGAGAGACTGGGCATGAGACAACATACCGCTGGGCAAAGGGTCAGGGAACATCAAAGCCATTGTGAACACAGCTCGTAGCAGTGATCGCAGCTTCATCATCAATACCACTTATTGCCTGTCGTCATCGCTGCTCGTCCTCCGTGTGCGTTCCTGTTGCTCGAGGGTCCAGTCGGCCTCGGACCGGAACCAGAGACGCAAGCGAGCTCCAGCCTATTTTGGCCCCGGGAGACTCTGCTCACCGAGATTCTCACCTTTCCTCAGATCTCATCTCACCAGGCCTTCCTTTGCTCATTTCGTCTCATCCCTGCCGCCTCTCCTCTTCCATCTAGGACGCTGAACCCCGCTTTCATCTCCCCCTTTTTTTCTCACATGAATTGAATACGCCTGCCTCGAGCCTTGCGACTCAACGGGCTGCACACGCCCCACAGCGGCCGACATAGCTGCAGGATAAGATGGCTCCGCCGGATTCACCGGGCTCAGCTGAGGGAGACAATGCTCCTCCAAACTTCTTTTGTCGTCCAGGCAGAGGTAGGATAGGCAAGAAGGGAGGCACAGGCGCGGCTGGTGGATCGTCCAGATCTCGTACTGGACGGGCTGGAGATGGAAGCTCAGCGGGCGGGCTAGAGGGAGGGTTTGAGGCTGCGCAAGATGAGCAAGAGGAAGAGGAGGATGAGGATCCTCCTCGTCTGGCTTTCCTGCAAGCCATAGTCGAACACCATACTCGAGCTAGGGAGACGCGGCACAACCAAGCCAGAGTCGACGCATCCACCAAGGCTTGGAATGTCCCAATGCCAAGCACAAGCAGTAGCTCCCAAACAAGGAAGACGGATTCTTCGATAGCAAAGGGCAGCCCTGCCAACGGAGGCCACAGCAACTTGGGAGCCAGTAGCAGCACGAAGAGCAATAGTGGTGAGGACCAAGCTGGAGAGACCTCAATCTCGTCAGCATCCACCTCGTATCAGTCTTCATCCCTCTCGGGAATGTCCTCTGCTAGTTCGAGCCAGACCGCCAACAGCTCCCCCGACTTGTCGCCGCCTGGTACCTCTGAAAGATCACTATCCGACCGAGCGAAAGATGGCGAGCTGCATACTACCCACTCATCCTCGTCTCGAACGACAGATGCAGCCTCGATGGTCGAAGAAGATCAGAGCGTGGAGCAGGTACCATGGTTCTCTCAGCTAGCCTCTCTTCCTCACCTCCGCTCAGCTGGTATTCCCCTTAAGCCTTCCGTGCAGCATGGAATTTCATCTGCAACGCCATCCAAGAACTCTGCTGCTTCGTCGTCGCTGGCGAAGTCAGGACGTATGAATGGCGCTGCTGCTGGGAGCTCGATGGGAAATGGAGGTTCTCGGGGAGTGGGGCCGTCATCAACATTGCTTGGGCTCGGACAAGAGGAGGAGAGTCAGCCCTTGCAGCCTCCCGACAACTTTGCGATGGTCAATAGCTGGCTCTACAGGAGCTCTTTCCCGAAGAAGAAGCATTTCCCCTTTCTCAAGACATTGGGCCTCAAGAGCGTCTTGACGCTGATCCTTGAGGAGTATCCGGAACAGAACACGCAATTTCTCGACGAGGAAGGCATCACATTCTATCAGTACGGTATTCCGGGGAACAAGGAGCCTTTCGTCCAGATCCCAGACGACAAAATCGCAGCCGCTCTGTCAACGATGTTGGACCGCCGCAACCACCCAATGTTGATCCACTGCAACAAGGGCAAACACCGCACAGGCTGCCTCATCGGCTGTCTTCGCAAATTGCAAAGCTGGTCTCTCACTACGATCTTTGACGAGTACCGCAGATTTTCCTACCCGAAAAGTAGGAGTATGGACCAGGAGTTTATCGAGTTGTTTGATGTCGGGATGGTCTGGAGTCAGCTCGAGGAAGACGGAGAAGCGCTGGAGTGGCTTCCGCGCTGGACCGTATTGGACGAGGGGCGCAATCGGATTCGAGCTAAGCAGCAGCCTGCCCAAGAGGAGGAATCTCAGCAAACGAAGTTGTCGGACAACGAGCGAGGTGACGAAGGAGCAGACAATCAAACGGCGCTGTCATCGAGGACAGACAGCAATCCTGCAGTCGTGGTTCAGGCGGAAGGTGATGGCGATGATCGCACGCGGCGGCGGCAAGATACACCGATTCCCCTGAGGGGCATGTAGCCTCGCTGCTGCTGCCGCTGCTCCTCTCCCGTCCTCTTACGCCTTTGTGATTTCCTGTATTGCCTCGTCTAATATTAACATGCCCTTCTATGAGAATACTGAGCTCTGCAATGTGCCTTCTTGCCCAGTTGGCGGGTTGCGCCCGAGCCTCCACTGCGTCTCCCGACTTTTGTAGACCGGAATGCACCTTCGTCCCTTCATTGACCTGATCTCGTCTGTTTCGCGCTACAGACACACAATCCACTGCTGTGTACAGTAGAAGCAACCCAGCCCCACTCGTTACCCCTCTCGCAACGTCTGAGGTCAGCTTCAAGCCGTACATAATGGCCTTCTTCTACCGTCGAGCCTCCTCCCCCGTACCGCCCCTATCCCCGACCTCTTCATCCCCATCCTCCGCTGCCTCTTCCAGCTCTCTCGACGAGCCACCTCCGCACCGACGTCCAAACCGACCCTCTGACCATACAAAACGCCGTGCTGTGTCACCTGCTCCGGGAGCTCCAAGTATCGGTGTAGCCCCAGCAGTCATCCCCGATATGCGCTTTGAGCAATCCTACCTTGCCAGTATACGGGGATTTATCCATGAGCTCGAGCCGGCACAAGCTAGGAGGGAGAAGAAGGAGGCAATTGCTGCTTCGCGGCGGAAGCATAGAGGAGTAATAGAAGAAGAAGGAGGGGTTGGCGAGGAGGAAGAGGTTGGGGAAGAAGAGGGAGAAAGGTGGATTGAGGCTCGCAACCCCAAGGGCGAGCCGGAGCTTTGGATTGGGCGGTTGAGAATCGATTGGTGAGCTTCTCTAAAACCTATCCGATCTGAGCTTTCTGGAAGCAATCGCTGATACCGCCTCTTCTCCTGGCTTACTCTTTACAATTCAGGGTACCCCTCCTCTACGTGACCTTTCGGGACCAGCTCCTCTCCCCCCTCGTGCAAGGCGCAGTATGGGGAGTAGTCGGTCTGTGTCTCACACAAGGTAAAGGAGCCCTCAAGGCTTATCTCTCTGCTCCTCGGGCTCAAAAGCGGCGGGGGAGCGCGAGGGGTGGTGGTTGGTGGGGATTTCAGGGAGTTACAGGCTTGCAGGAGAGGAGGAGCAGATCATACTGATGATGATGATGATGATGATGTTGCTTGTAGCGCAGGACGTCAGCAATCATGCGAAGTGCTGAACGCAGGCCATTGACCTTCACCAATGTACTTGTATCAATATCACGACCCAACCATGTCCTCTACGTCGGATGCTCAGTCTGAGACGCTCACGTTGAGTGAGCTGATAGTATTACAGGATGCACAGCTCTACGCAACTGCTGCTTCTGGGGCTTGCTCGGCTTGTACAGCAGTCGCTGCAGCTACCTCCTCCACAGTCATCTTGCTCGTCTCCTTCTTCCTCAAGACACAGACTCCCTCTACATGGTGTGTCTGCGGGAACAAATCCGCTCCTCTCACACTGACAATCTCATACCTGTCCTCTCCATTCAGTCCGACCATCATACCTACGTCCCTCGCCTGCGTATGGACATTACAGCTGACGTACACGACGAGCTTCGGTCCTAGTGCGGACAATTGACGGATGAATTCTTCATCGCATCCTTTTCGAGGCGGGTCGATGACCACTGTGGTACGCTCGGGAGGGTAGGCAATCGTGGCAAAGATGGCCTCGGCGTTCCCAGCCAGGAACTTGACAGAGGGGAGTGAATTGAGAGCTGCATTGCGCTTGGCGTACTCGATAGACTCGGCGGAAATTTCCACACCGGCCGTCTCCTTGAAGAGGGGTGAGAGGAGAAGGGCAAAGAGACCTGAGCCACAGTAGGTATCTACTAGGTACTGATCGCCTTCTTCCGAGGTGGAAGAGGGGTCGTTTCGCGCCGTGAGGATAGCATCTCGCACATAGGCGACGAGTGACGGGAGAACGCTTCGATTGTTCTGGAAGAACGAGTTCGATGGAGTTTCGAATAGAGTCGACTCGACCTTTTCACGTACTACGGAGCGGTAGGATGTAATGACCTCTGAGCTTCCCACTGTCGCTGGGATCGGTCCACCATCGCGAGTAGGAGCCTGCAGGTGGGCGGCAGCGGTGGCACCTACGGCTTCAGCGAGCGATAGGTCTGCGCCGAATGCCTCTGTTGTGAAAGAGTCACGCAGAAGCAAGGTAGCGCCTGCTCGCCATGAATTGATGTTGGCCTTGACCTTGGCCCTTTCCACGGGCATCGCTTGCCGGATTGCCGGCGTGGCAATCGGACAATCTTCGATGTCCAGAATGCCCCTGCCTCCGCCTTTGAGCTTGTTGAAGCCGACGTCTGTCTCCAGGCCCCATTGCTTGGTCAGCTGCTCCAGCTCATCTTGATCAACGCCCTCGATCTGGTTGTTTGCCGTACCATTGTTGCCTTTTTTCGAAACGGCCCCTCTCCAACGCCTCGGAGCTGGCTCGTGCTGCCGCCTGAAATTGGCGAGGGAGAGGGGCAGCTCGAAGTGGGGAGTCAGCTTGGTTCTGTACGAGTATTGGAGGGGAGACGGCAGAGTCGGTAATGTCGGGGGGATCGAGGAGGAGGGCAGCTTGGAGAAGTGAGCGAAGGCGTTCCGCACGACATCTTGCTTGATCTTCAGCTGAGCCTCGTAGGGTAGCATCTAGAAGGGAGGCGACGCAAAGCCATAGCCAAGGTCAGCAAGTGTGTAATCGAGCGTCATCTGTCTGCACGCCGATCTCACCTGATATTGGCATCCAGGGCAATCTCCGAAGTATTTGCAGCCAACCAGGTCGTCTCTCCTCTCTTCGCTCTTCTCCAACACTTCTACGAGGTCGCAGTGTGAGTAGAGGCGCTCGTTCCGATCGACGCGGACCCGCACGAGCTCCCCAGGCAAAGCGTGTGGAACAGCCAGGATCCAATCATTTGTGGGGGCTACAATGAGACCTAGACCTGCATAGATACGAGGCATATAGGCATAAGTGGACAATTGATAGCGCAGCATGACCGCCTACTCGTCCTTCTGCCTGACTCACCATGGGCGCTCAATCTCCGCACCCTGCCTTCGACAATGGTATCTCTGGGAAACCTCTCCACCCATTCACCCTTTCCTCCATCGGCCTGCATGATGCGTTCCACCTCTTCCTTGCCAAGGATCTCCACAATGTCGAACCAGATTGGCTCCTCCCCCGTCTTGGCCAGAGCGGACTCTCTGGCCTTCTCCTTGGCTTTCACCTTCTTGAAGAAGGACTTGTCCTTGCGAGGGATGGGGTAGAGCGGCGGAGGAGCTGCTGCTGAGGTAGAGGGGGCGGAGGAGGAGGAAGCAGCGGTAGCCTGAGCTGCTCCTGCGTCGCCATTGGCCGATGATGTTGGTTCCGCATGACCATTCGTCTCGGCGGGGTGCTGCGTCCGTGCCTTCTTTGAGGGCGGCGAGGGGGGAGGCGTGGGAGCCATTGCGAAGGATCTGACGATCAAAGGAGCTCTATGCTGACGAAGAAGGGGTGTATGCCTCGCTGACAGTCTAATCAGGCCGGACAGCATGCGAGTATGGCTACGGGACGCGGCGAGTGAGCTTTGCGGAGGAAGATCTGGGCATGCACCAGGGCGGCTACCAGGCCAAATCTTTTTTGAGATTTCAAAGCCGAGACGGGGGCGCAAAGTCGGAACGGAGCGGGAGAGATGGCCGATAATCAGGGCTTTGGAGTCTTGCCCACCCCTTTCGCTGGAGATCGACACACTGAACATGGCAGAGATGAAGATTGCAGATGAGTCGTAAGCATAGGACATCCGTTGATGGTCAGCGACACAAACATCCGGCTGAGATGGACTCGCAATTTAGTCTCGCAGCGCTGAACACCCGCAGCCGTAGTGGTCGAGGCACCGCTGAGGGTCTCTACGCGACACGGCACCCTCGTGGTGAGACTCCTCCAGAGAGTCAGAGCCGACGCAAAGCATCAACCTCGCTGCTGAACCGGCGGCACAGGACTTGGCTGGTGTGAAAGGAGCGAGTCATGGACGCGTGTGACACGTACGACGCCAAGAAAGCAACACCCCACCGATGATCGGAGTCTGGAATCGAGGGTCGCGCTCCATCGATTGCCTGCAGTGTCGGCTAAAGCTCCGCGGAGCCTCCGTTGCCATGGGACGTAGCATCAGGCCATAGACGATCTCCTTCGTCCCCCAAGCATCACCCATCTACCTCGGCCATCTCCCTACCACGATACCCCAAGGCCAATCTACCTCGGTAGCACCCTGTTTCCATGTTACCATCTCCCAGCATCTCAGTGTCGTTCGAATCTTCTTGACCTCGGCGCGTTTCAGGGGGCAGAGAGGGGGGCACGGAACCAAAGCAAATCCTCCTCAGTCCAGACGTCAATCTGTCGCGTGCAAAGGCTCGTCACAGCAGCCTGACCACTCAGCTCAGGCTCGTCGTACACCGCTCCAGATACCGTGTGATCTGACAGCGACTCGCTCTGCACTGGACGGGTGTAGAGGAGAAACTACAGCGAACTCATCAACGGCACAGCGATGGGCGAACCAGCAGCTGCCCCATTGGCGCAAACGGATTCGCTGCTAGACTCCCAACCAGAAGCCTCGACGTCAGGGGTCCCTGGCTGGCAAACTTCGACTCCTGTACCTCATGAACAGGATGAGGAGGTAGATCAATCTGAAGAGGTGGGAGACGTGCTATGCGGAGGATGTGGGAAATTGATAAACGAAGACTCGGCGCAGGGAGGGGTCATTCATTTTGCGTGAGTAAAGATTACATATTGCTTAGTCCAGGTCGATTTCTGAAGACTCTTTCTCATCTACTCATCCATGCCGACCGTCTAGGACGCAGCTGTGGCACCTGGAATGTTTTCGGTGCGCCAAATGCTCCCAGCCCGTCAGTACAGATCGAGACGACATCCTCCTTCTCTCGGACGGACATCCCATTTGTGCAAGCTGCAACTACTCTTGCCAGATCTGTGGATTGCCGATTCTGGAAGAGGCGATCATGACCGGTAAGTGAATTCGAACAAGGCGTAGATGAGGCTACTACTGACTGTCAGATGCCCTCACGATCTGCCCTCCCCTTTCCACTTCTTGTAGGCGATGAATCCTACCATGCTACTTGTTTCACCTGCCGCTCCTGCAAAGAACCGATCAAAGAGCTGGTCTTCGCGAAGACGAGTCAAGGTATTTACTGTATGCCCTGTCATTCGGAACGGGTTGCCCGAAGCAGGCGGCATTCAGAGGCTCGAAAGAAGAGCGGGAAACACAGGGACGGATCTGTGAGTAGAATCAGAAGGTGTGTTAGCAGCGTGAGCGACAGCTGACTGAGATATGCCCTGCTTTCTCATTGTGTACCAGACACGAAGAGCACGGCAGCCAACTGATGGCTCGCAGTCCACCGACAAGGCGACGAATGCCGACGACACTGCAACGCATTCCCAATTACCTCCTTCCGAGCCCAGCGCGGCATCCATCGCGACTTCGGCAAGCTTAGCATCTACTACCGAGGGCACACGAGCACAGGACAGCGAAGTATCACAGCATTCGGACCAAACTCTACACCCACTTTTGCCTGGCCACACCGAGAATGGCACTGGAGAGGCCTCACTCCCGTCCAGAGCCGTGACGCCCTCGAGTGAACTGCCGACGACTCCACAAATGCCTTCGCCACCACTGGGGACACATCTCACGAGCCTGCAGTCGCAGTCGCAGTCGCAGCTTCGCTCGCCCTTTTCATCCTCGCCCGCCCAGAACTACTCGAGGCCGGTGCCACCATCGGCAGGTGCCACATCGATGTCGCGGGGCGTTAGTAGCAGTGCAAATCATCAAGAGCCATCTACAAGTACCGCCTCGCCCCCTTCTCGTTTGTCTGCAGCCGACTCGACGAGAAAGCGCGAGTCTCCCTTGCCCGCAACCCCCATCGGTGCTTCCGCGGGACTCACGACCGCAGGGGCTCCCCCGAATGGGATGGGCGACGACCACCACTCACAGCAAGGTTCTGTGCAGCATGTTCCGGTCATACGGAGATCTTCCGACTCGGACGCAAAAGATGCAGTCGCAGCTCTCAGGAGCATCACAGCTTCGGAGTCAGCACCAAGTCACGCTTCACCGAGTACAAGACCCGGGTCGGCCGCAGCGATCAAAGTAGAGCGGGCAAGCTCTTCTCAGGGGTTCGGTGCAGACGGCCGAATTACTCCCACTCCTACAGTCTCGGGGACTGCCAATTATGAGAGGATTCTAGGATCACCACTCAGACACAGCAGCTCCCCCGCAGCGGCCATTCAAGAGTCGCCTGTACTTCCTCGGAGTCCTTCAGGTCTGCTTCCTCGAGCGTCTCACTTCTCATCATCATCTGAAGACGACGCTGAGAGTAGAGAGAGGAGCGCAACTGCGCCAGTCAAACGGGCGTCACGCTTGTCCCACATGGAGCTGTCATCGCAGGATCCCGCTATCCCCAAGCGACTTGATGGTCTCTCTCCAGAGCCTGCACTGGCCGAGACGTTCTCCTTCTATGACGCTGACTTTGCCAATCTAATTGATTCGATCAGTGACAATGACTTGGAGCGCACAGCGTCTCAGATGAGCAGTCCAGTGCTGGTAGACGACGCCTCATCTCCATTCGCTGATGGGCGCGCTCAGAGGCGAAGCCACGGTCAGGTGGAGCTCTCGTCTACCGATGAGACTCAGATGGTCACATCGCAATCAGCAGCCTCTATGATGACGATCCAGGCACGAATGCGTGAATCTATGAGTCAAGCAAGGGACGGACAAGTCAGCATGGAGACAGCCTTCATTGAAATGGTACTGCAAGAACTCGATGACACACGGAACCGTATGAAAGCTTTGCGCAGCAAGTATGATCAACTGAAAAGGGCAAGTCAGTATGCCGTCCAAGGGATCGATTACGCTCGTGTTGAGTATGACGCTCAAAGACAGGCAAGATCAGATGCTGAGATGGAAATGCTCAAGCTCAAGGAGCGATTGGCTGAGCAGGCTAGTAAGCTGGCTGCGTTGGCTCACTCAGAGAAACAGCAGGAGACATTGGACCAGCGATCGAAAGACATCAAGACTTCTCTACAAGACATGACGAAGAGTCTTACGAAGCTTACAGTGGAAAGAGACCTCAAGGCAGCAGAGGTGGCCGAACTCATTGCAGTGCAAGAAGGACGAAGTCAGCTGCCCTCAGGCCCCGATGCCTCGTCAAATGGAGAAGCTGAAAAGCTGCTGCAGTCCCGCTTGAGTCTCAGGCTGGACGACGTGAAGGCCAGGTATCGGCAGGACATCGAGCACCTGACGGATCAGCGAAATGAGCTGCTGATCGAGATCGAAGATCTGCGCCAGTCTAGAGATGTCTATCTGGAGGAGACTGAGACGTTGAACACACGAAACGAGGAATTGAACACGCTGCTGTCGAGGCTGACTGCGAAGGTGGAGTCGATGTCCCTAGCGGACCAAAGTAGCAGCGTCAGCAGTAGGCAGTCCTCGCGGTCCGTACAAGCGGGTCCTGGCGCCGGTGCGGGCAAGAGCAGTAGCGGATTTGGTTTCGGCTTCAGTACACGAGGTGGCCGAGGACATGCAGTCTCCCCCTCGATAGCATCTTCTCGAGATGGTTTCACAGGCGGAAGCTCAGCAGGATATCACTCTGCCGCAGATCCAGAGCCCACCACTTCGGGACCAGCTCCTTCTCGAGGTGCTATGAATCTGCCGCCTCAGGCAGCTGCCCAGACCAGAGCTGAAGCGGTCGCTCTGGCCTCTCTGGCTTCGTCTTCAGGTGCCTCATTGCCTCTGGCGCCGTCGAATAGTGCTCAGGGCGGAGCCAACAACAAGAAGTTCAAATGGATGAAGCCAATCTCTTCTTCCAAGAACAGCAACCCGCAAGGTCTTGCGGGCCCTCCCGTCAGTCCATCTCCACCGATGCCACCCCCCAAGAACGGTCACCATGGTCACACTTCCTCTGCCTCGCTGCAGCCCTCTCTCTTCTCATCACAGCGGGAGAAGGAGCTGATCTCTCACGAACAGATTGTACGGGAGCACGTCTTCGTGCCCTTCCATGTCCTGCGGCCAACAAGATGCTTCGCTTGCCAAAAGAACATGTGGGGTCAAAGCGAAGTGCGGTGCGCCTCCTGCGGTCAGGTCTGCCACAGCAAGTGTCTGTCAAGCCTGCCCATCTCCTGCACTCAACCCTATCTGGGTAGGGCAGATGAGCTGGGCTCTGAGCCAGCAGGGCCCTCGATGTTCGGTCGATCTCTCGTTGAGCAGGCTGCAGCTGAAGGGAGGGACATTCCACTTGTCGTGGAGAAGTGCATTCAAGCCGTGGAAAGGAATGGGATGGACTATGAGGGTATCTACCGCAAATCTGGTGGCAGCTCTCAGCTGAGAGTCATCACCCAGCTCTTTGAGAGGGGCAGTCATTTCGACTTGGACGATGTAGAAAGGTGAGCCTGCTTCAGAGCCAGCAAGCAACCCCCTGCGAGGATATCGCTGACACCTCTTATCTCTATCATGCCTCGCTTTCGCACAGATTCAATGATGTATCCGCCGTCACCAGTGTCCTAAAGAATTATTTCCGAGAGCTTCCCGAGCCTCTAATGACCTACGAGCTGCACGAGGGCTTCATCAAGTGCATCGAACAATTCAAGACTTCCAAAACGAACGAACGACCTTCGTCCTCGGCTGGTGAGAGCGGGCCTCTTGCCAGCGGCAGTGCAGGTCCCGAGAATGGGAAAGTAGAGGATGCCAAGTTGCAGAAGATGAGGGAGATGGTAGGCCAGCTGCCGCGTGCTCATCTCGAGACGCTGAAGCTTTTGATTGGTCACCTGAATCAGGTCGCTCGCAGGAGCGACGAAAACCGTATGACAGCGCGCAACTTGGGTGTAGTCTTTGGTCGTGAGTACCTCGACGTGGCCTGAAGGAGCGCGGCAAAGTGTGCTGCGCTATACTGTAGGCTGACTTCTCCTGCCCATCCCCCTGACAGCTACCTTGATGAAATCTCCCGATGCCTCAAAGGAATTCTCAGAGATGGGCGGCAAGAGCCTCACCGTCGAGTACCTCACCGAGCGGTATCAAGACGTCTTTGCCTGAACAAGAGCTTTGCAAACCTCAACACCACTGTTCTTGACCAGCACCGGCAGAGAAGAAGAACAAGGGACTGCTGGTACAGTTCTCGTCGTTTCCCTACCTTTTCCCGTACTATCCCTCCCTCCCTCCCTTCCTTTCGCTGGTCGATCTTCCACTCTCGTTTTGTTTTCGCCTGTCTTTTTGTGTTGACTCCCCTTTTTGTTTCCCCCATCGTACTTTATCAATCGAGTCACAGTAGCATCTCCGATGGCAGAGTTCGGCGTGTAGACTAGACAATGGAGTGTGCGGCAGAGTCGACTCAGAGTCAGAGTCAGATCCAGATCCAGTTTGCTTTTTTACACGGTATGGAATTCTGGACGAGCAAGCGTTGATGGGCGAAGTATTCAGTGAGTGAGCCGAGGATTGCCGTCTAGTAGTAAGTATGGTACAGATGTATGAATCGTAGAGAAAAGAAGATGTCTGTCCCCGTCTCTTTTCGACATGTATGTGTCTCTCCTCCCTCCCCGCCCGCCCGCCTTGACCCGGCCAATTAACCCCCTCCCTCCCTCAATGACCTCTCAATCTCCTATGTCTCTGCAATGCATCCTTTCTAGAAAAGACACTCCCACACCCCGATCTTCCATCACACTTCCATTCCTGTGTCGCCTGACTCTTTTCAGGATCCACTTCAACATAGAGGACTCTACATTGACTCTTACTCAATTTACCCTGGCGTACAAGGGCTGCTTCTTCCTTTGCGTGAATCGTCTCCCTGTGACGAGCTAGATCGTAGGGTCGATGGAATTCAGTGCCGCACCGGGCGCCAGTGAGGGGAGAGAGGTACTCGCAGACGGTCAAGTGGCCGTGTTGAGAGACGCCACCCGAGGCGGCAGCAGCAGCAAGGGCAGCGGTAGTAGAGCCAGCACTGTGTCCGAGTGCTTGATTTTGAGACTCGGGACTCGAGAGAGAGTGACCGTACATAGGTCCCGATCCCCCACCGCCGCCGCCAGTACCGCTCCTGCGTGCTTTGTTGGCAGCAGCCGTTGTACGACCACCCTTCTGCTGCTGCTGCTGCTGACCAGCTGCTCGACCTCCGGACTTCTTGATAGGCTGTTTCTTCTTCTTCTTGCTGGCACCTGCCCCGCCCTCGTCGGAAAAATTGGAGACATCGCTATCGGCCGTAGCGGCATCATCGTCGTCTTCGTCCTCTTCTCCTTCGGCGTCTTCATCGTCTTCTTCCGACTGCCAGGAAGCACTACTTTGTGACCCTTCGGAAACAGCCAAAGAGGCACGCCGCTGCTTCTTGGGAGAGCTAGTAGCCGCATGGGGCAGAGGATAGCCGCCATATCCTGCCTTGACCTGCTGACGACCGAATTGCTGCTGCTGCTGTCCCGTGAGGCCTCCAGTGGCCCTCCGTCCAGCATCTCCTGCTTGACGACGCTGTTGCTGCTGTTGTTGCGCCTGCGTTTGCTGCTGTTGGTGAGGCGGGCTGATCACTTGTGCTGTACTTCGGATAGAAGGGCTCAGCCTTTCTTCATCCTGCGACTGAGCTCCAGACGAGAAGTCCATTGCATTCAATGAGGCGGCAGAGAGCGGTGCTGTACCGAAAGCGCCATTGGTGGTCGAAGACGAGGTATTGAGGTTGGGTAGATGAGGATGACTCTTGCTAGCCCCCTCAAAGGAAGGATCGATGGCTAGTCCACTCTCTGCGCTGCCGGGCATGTAGCCGTAGCCTCCTTGCAGACCTCTCCCCCGAACCGGAGGTTGAGCAGATCCAATGCCGCCCTGACCTGGTGAAAAGCCGGAAGGCGGTTGGTCCTGCAGTAGTGCGGGCGGAGCCTGACCAAAGTCCCGAGCGTTCGCTCCATTGAAGCGCGGGAAGCCTCGCGAGTCGGCATCTGTTGGCATGTCATCTTCCGACTCACTGCTCGAGGAGGAAGAAGCGAGGAAGCGAGGAGCACCAAGACCACCATACCCGCCTTGTGGGTGACTACGACCCGGGAGGGAAGGTCCGGCGCTTCGATTGAGGTTCGAATTCCTCTGCTGCGAAGACTGCTGCTGTTGTTGAAGCTGCTTTGCGAGCGCTTCATAGTTGAGCGGCTCCGGGAAGCCAGTTGAGGGCGGGATGCTGAAGACCTTCTCATCTTCATCGTCTGTGTCTGGTGTAGCATCACTACCAACAGGGCTGAAGACGCTCATCCCGCTGCTAGCTGATGAGTCTGATTTGAGTGGTCCACCCTTGTCATTCACACCGCCCAGCTGTTGTAATTGCTGCTGCTGCTGTTGTTGTTGCTGGAGAGACGGCTTTACTGTATCTCCTCGCAATAGCTGGGGCTTCGGTACGACGCCCGATCCGCTACCGCCGCCCGCACCTCCTGCCAAGACTTGATCTATGCCTTGTGGTGCAGTAGAGAACAGACTTCCCTGCCAGCCGCCGTTCTGTAGCGTGTTCTCAATGCCCTTGAAGTCGAGGAAAGTCTCCTGAGGTGAGACGGTGAGTCCAGATCGATCTCTTGTCATGGGGCGTCTCGATGGGGGCCACTGGCCCTGTGCTGCGCCTGAAGCCATCAGAGCAGCTGCAATGTTGCTGGCGTATTGTCCGCTCAGATCAGATGCATTGAAGCTATTCGTGGGCAGACCAGTCCAGCCCGTGCCCTGTCCCATGCCGATCCCACCGGGAGCATTCGAACCCTGCAGGCTACCCTGGCCTTGAGGCGGGCTCTGGCTGAACCACGGTCTTGAGACGGGCAAGAAGCTAGAGTCAAAGCTGCTGCTCCTTCTGCGCGGACCAGGAGGAGGTCGAGGTGCTTGCGTTCTCCCTTGCTGTGAGGCAGACTGCTGCTGCGAGCCTTGCAGCTGGTTCGGTGTGACTCCAAAGCTTCGATCGTTGGCGTTGCCAGCCGCTGGGAGGTTCGATAGAACACCTGGGAAGAGAAGGCTCAATTGCGCTTGAGTCAGACCGCTTCCATCATACCCAGAAAACGCAGAGGTACTATCTTGCAGGGCACCAAGGGAAGCGCTGCGGTCTCCAGCCCCAGGCGCTCGAGCATTACCATTGAGGCCATACCGACCAGACTCGCTCTCCGCTACAAAGTTGTCCACTGCAGCTCTCAAAGCCGACTCCATCTCGGCATCAGAAATGCCTTCGCCGATTTCAGAAGAGCCGCCGCTGCCGCTCTGAAGCGACGGCTGCTGCTGACCTTGTTGTTGACCCATTGCGCTCTGAGCTAGGGCTCGTAGTGGTCCTCGCAGCGCTCTCTGGTCCACTCCAGCAAGATCCTGCCGCACTTGTTGCCTCGCGAGAGCTTCTTGAGCAGGCGTTGGGTCCATCTGTACCGGTCCTGTATCAGAAAGGAGACTGCGGGAGCTAGAACTCGGTGTCACTCCAGATGACCTACTTTGTGGAGGAGAAAAGGCATTCCGGAAACTCGTGGTGCTGCCCTGACTTGCATTGCTCCCGGAATCGCCCTGAAGCTCCGGAAAGAGACTCGGCAGAAGTTCCTCTTTGCCGTCACCCCCCAAGGAGAGGGATCCGAGAAGAGGCCCGAAACTTCCGCTGGGCGGGTTCCGAGGCGAAGTGTCGGCCAAATTCCAGTCCTCTATAGGTCCAGCGAGGTCTGATAGACCGGTAATGGAGCTACGCTGATGCGAATTGGGATGCGGGTGGCTCCTTCTTCTGCTCGGCGGAAGAGCTTGGTTATGGTGACCCGTGGGTGATTGATGGGAAGGGTTGTTGGAGCGGCTGCGTGGTGTTCCAGTGGGGTTGAGTGCGCTGGAAAGACTGCTGGTAGAGGAGGAGGCGCCATGACCGCTGCCATTGGGTCTCTGCCTCTTGCGATTGGGCAGGCCGGTGGTATTGCTCAAGGTCCCGCTACCATGGCTACCGACCGAGGAAGGGCCTCCAAAGTCATCCTCCAGTCTCGAAGCTGGGCTAGAGAAGGGTGACTCGCCGCCTGCAGCACCTGCTTCAATCGAGCCAGGTCCGGCCCTATATTGAGTAAAGGAAGGCTTATCGTGGATAGGAGGCCGTGAAGGGTAGGGATTGCCGGACCATTGTGCGCCCGAGGAGAAGGGCCCTGTGTCGTCAAAGAGAACAAAGTCGTGCCCAGCTCCAGTGTTGTTGACGTTGCCGCTGTGATTATCGTTGTTGGCGCCATTTGGGGGTCTGATGCTCGAGGCCATTGCGGTTGCCTGTGTGGGTGTCTGCCCCAGGTTCTGCGTCAAGACCAGCGCGGGACGTACGCTGCCGGAGGTAAGAGACGATTACCGCCGTGTGGACAGTAGTGTGCAGCTGCCGAGGCAATGATGATGTTCGAAGAAGAGGAGTAGTAGAAGGGGGTGAAAAGAATGCAGAAAAGGTGATGATGGCCCGGAGATGATTGCAGCAAGATGCCAGGGGGTTGGTTGCTTGGCCTTGCTGTGACGTGAGCGGAAGCAAGTCTGACCGACCGGGTTGAGCCTGGGGCGGGGCGTGTGGAGGCGTCTGCCTGCAAGGTGATCCCACCAACGGACGTCTCCTGGCGCAAGACGGCGTGAGGGAGCGAGTCTGTGCAAAGGCTATGCTGGAGGATCAGTGGCCGATGGGGGTCACGATCATATCTCTTGTTTGACAGCAACCTTCATCAGCAACTCGCGACTTGTCGTCCCCCACCGAGGTTCTCGACGCAGTTGGGCCTCCCTGGCCCCCCACCAGGCCAACCATCCATCATCAGACGCGGACCACTCGCGTGCGGATGCGCACCCGATCCCTTGTCTTGGCTCGGCTGCTCCGCCCTTCAGGTAATCGATTTCTTACGTCATACACGGCGCCTTCCCCCACACACGGGCACCACGGATTGACGTGCACACACGCTAAAGCACACCCACATTCACATTACTCTATGCCGAAATGCCATTGAAGAATGGCTCAAGCAACACTGCGAAGCTGGCCGAGGGGGTGGATGCACAGCCCCAGGGTCTGGCAAGGGAAAAAGATGACGAGCGGCATCTGGTGTGACAAGTCAAGGGCCTGCTGTCAGGACTGTCAGAGGTACGATGCGGGTCAAGATGCACATCATCTCCGCTCTTGCACGCTTCCCCCGAGTGCGCACGGTTCTCACTACCCGTCGTTCATGTCCACTTTGCCAGCAGTGGTAGCTTCTGTAGTAATGAGAATTCTTCTTTGCGTGAAATGCTGGCTGATTGCCATTGTGATGCAGGAGGGGGACAAGGGAGGCTCTCGCCAAAATCTATAAAGGGAGCAAGAAGATGTAAAGGCTAATGAAAATTTGCCCAAGGCCCCTTACCAGCTGTCCTTCTACGATGAGCTGGATTCAGCAGCTTCCGCCAGTGGATTGACTTCCTCCCCACCGCCATCCGTCTGGGGCGCCTTGGGCGTCTCCAAGGCGATATTCTCCATGATGGTCGCATCCTCATTCCCGGTGCCAGGCACAGGCGAGAGATTCGGTGCTACAGAAGCTGGTGCAGCATGGGAATGGGGAAAAGGGAAGGATCCTGTTGCCCCACCTGCATTTGAGCCTTGCGAAGCAGGACCACTCGAAAGCGCCGATGGCTCCTCGTCTGCAAGAGCAGCTACTGAGCTAGTCGCATCGCTACTGCTCCTTCTCATCGATGCTCGTCCCCCAGCTGGACCAGATGGGATGCCAATGATGTGACGCAGTAGATCTGACAAGGCCAGAATGCCCACCAACTTGCCTCTCTTGGTCCTGACACGTGGGCCTTGCTTCTCTAGCATCTCCTCTAGCTCAGCAGGTGAGCGCGGTGGTCCGGTCAGCGGCTCTTCTGGGAGACCGCTCTTGGCAGCATTGTATTGACCCTGCGTTGGAGCTTCTCCCTCCGGCTCAGGTTCGATGATGAGCAGCCGATGCACTCGTCGTCTTCGAAGCAGAGCAAAGATGTTGGCGACTGAATCTTCGGGAGAACAGCTGTATACGCCCGGAAAGTCCGCAGGGCGACGAGTCAAGGCTGAGCGGATCGTCAGATCCAGATCTTGGTAGGCACCGGAGCGCACGAGGGTCTACGCAGGGGAAGACAAGAGAGTTGGAGTCAGCAACGGGCAAACTCATCCAATCCCAACCTCCCGATCTCAGCTGTAAACTCACAATGACATCGACCGTCTCATACATATCTACGACATTGCCTTCCTCATCAACAATAGGAACCGCTGAGATGCCCCTTTCGGAAAACATGTGGACGACATCAAAGACTGTCGTGTCTAGTGTCGCAGTGTAGATGGGATGATACGGGTTCGTTGCAGCGCTGGAAGGCGGAGCAGTGGGTGTGGGTATAGTGCGATTTCCCCTCCCGCTGGTACTAGCCGTTGTAGACGTATCTGCTACACCCGAAGCAGGATCTGGCGTGAGGCCAACAGAAGGCGTATCGGCTGCAGACGGCGTCGATGGAGCACCTTCGGCAAAGGGAGTGAGGTTAAAAAATTGATCTGTGAGCTCTTGCTTGGGTGTTTGCTCCTGGCTGTTCGATCGACTGTGACTGCCCGTTGCATCCCGTGTCTGAGCGCGCGGATCCCTAGAGGATTCATCCAAGCCATGGGGCAATGGCGGTACCGGAGGGATCTCCTCAGCCAGCGCAGCCGACGAAGGAGCAGCAGAGGCGACCCCTGACATCGCACTGTCGCTCCTCTCACTTCCGCGCCGCGAGCCTGGCGTAGGTCGTGGCTTGTAAGATGCTATGAATGTGCCAACTCCGAGAGACCGGATAGATCTATGGAGAGATGCCGTCTCACGACACTGGGCCGCAGCAAGAAAGAGGGAATGTTCAGCGTCGGGAGCTTCTAATGCGCCAGAAGCTTTGGGCCTGGTATACTCACGTTCATTGCGATGAATTTGAGAATTCGATATTGTGTGAGTACGCTGACGACTGTCTCGATGCCAGTCTGCTCATCGTAGTCTAGAAGAGGAAGTCGTCGAGCATGCGTCTTCATCAGCAGCTGACATGCTTCGAGGAGGGGCCGCAAAGGATGACAAGACAGCAGAGGGGGCGGAGGTACTGCGAGCGCCGCCTCGATATCTGAGTAGCGAACGGAGGAGCGTTTAGATACGACGATGTCAGTCGATTAGCTCGCTCAGCCCTCCTTGATCAGCAAGGACTCACCTCTGAGGCCCTCCAAGCGGAATGTCTCTACCTCCTTCTTCGCCGTGTCATAGCTTGCATGGTGATAGTAATACTGGATCAGGTGAATGATATCGTTAACAGTCAGCATCCCCGCAAAACCAGGCTTTGAGCGGCTTGCGCTTGGCGCTTTGATCTGAGCAGCCGAGGCTCTTTCCCAAGCCGGGTTAGTGGCCGATGCAGACGGATCGGAGGTGGTTGTAGTGGCAGCAGGAGCAGATGCGGGTTCTAGAGGTCTGTCTGTATCTTCTTGCGCGTTCGATCTTGCGAGACCATTTGGTAGAACCTCGGAGGGAGGAGGAGATGCGATGGAGTGCCAAAGAGGCGCGGAGACGACTCCAGCACCCCACATGACATCCAGAGCGGGGCCGACGACGAGCTGAGTGTCTAGTACGATGAGTCTGAAGCTGACTGGGAGCATGTCATAGCTGCTACGTCCCTTGAGAAAGTGCCGGATGGATTCTAGGGCGAGGGCATGACGATCCTTGGTTCTCCGCCCCGAGCTGTTTCCACCTGTGCTCGTACGATCTCTACCAACACGACTAGGACGCGAGGCGGTGGTACGCAGACCGGATGCCAAGCCAGTGGTGGAGCTGGCGGACTGTGCGTGGCTATGGGAGGCTGAAGCGGATGAGCCGGCCTCTAATCCCGAAGCTGGCGCTTTGCGGCGCTTGATGGAGGTAGACCGAGAAGGAAGAGGGGAAGAAGAGGCTGGGGTGGGATCGCCACTGCTCGAGCCTGAAGCGGCCGGTCGACGCGTAGAGCTGCCTAGGAGGTCTGCTTGAGAGATCTCCATGGCACGCAAAGGATGAGTCGTGTGAGGCTTAGTGGAGCAGAGGTGAGATGGGGCCAGGCGCCGCCCAATGGATGTCGTCCGGTGTCGCGCAGTGGTCTATGGATGATTCAAAGGAATGTGGTGATTGTGCAAATCAAGTGCGTTTGGTAGTGAGGACGACGCCCGAGGTGGAGCCAAGGTGTTTTCCCACGGTCGGGACAAGGCGATACCCGCTCCTGCCTTGCCAGCCAAGATGGGTGGTGCGCTTTGAAACTCTCACGGCAAGAGTGAGGGACCTGAGAGATGGGGCCGGGTGCCAAGAGCGGGGAGCAATACGACGACAAAAGAGGACAAGAGAAAGGGCCAGTGTCGGTGACTTGCGGAAGGGACGGTAGTAGTAGAGGAAGAGGCAGTTGGGGGGCAAGAAGCGGTATGGCGGTGTTGCCTCGCGTATCAATCAGCCAGAATCGATCCACCTCAGCTCGCTCACACGCCCAGACTCAGGCACAGCGCGCACTCGCACAGGGCACCACGGCACTCAATCAACCCACCCCCGCCTCATTACCCCACACCCGCACAGGGCACTCCACACCCGCACACGCACCACCACCACCACTACCATCACCATGTCGCCCTCTGCTCGCCCAGTGGAAAACGTATGGAAGTATCCTCGTCCACCTGCTCTGCAGAAGACGGCCTCCCGACTGAGGGTCATATGGGTCCATCCCGGTGGCAAAGAGACGACCGTCGCTGATACAACACAAGGCTACCGTGTGCTGGAGACCAGTCACCCTGTGAGTGGCGGGTAAAGACACGATTTGACCTCATGAAATCTAGATATCTGTGACTGAATCCTGCTGATCGCCATCGATGTGATTGTGTATCTCATCCGTGCCAGCCTACCGTAAGTGTCTTCCACCACCCTCTTCAGCCCCCTCTTTCACAAGTCTAACCTCAGCTCCTCCCCCCTCACCTCAAAAGTACTACTTTCCCCCATCCTCCATCCTCAGTCCCATGCAGCTCAGATCCTCCTCCGCCCGTCGGACCTACTGCGAGTGGAAGGGAACCGCCGCCTACCACGATCTGGTGGGAGAGGAGGGAAAAGTGTTGAGTAAAGGACGCATATGGAGTTACCCGGACCCGACGGGGGGATTCAGGGAGATCAAGGTGAGCTAGACCAAGAGCGGGAGCGGGAGCGGGAGCGAGCGGGAGGAGCAAACAGTCTTCTGAGTACTCCTATGCTGACGTGGTTGTCCACGCCTCTATTGCGCTGCTCGGCAGGACTTCCTGTGCTTCTACTGCTCCTCACGCAGTGATGAGTCGACCGCGGGGAGCTGGAAATGTCTGGTGGACGAGGACGTCGCAGCGCCGCAAGCCGGTGATTTCTGTGAGTTTGAGTGGACTGACGTGACGGCGAGATCCATTCAAGACTTGTTCTTCTCTATGAAGCTCTTGAAGTTTTGCTGAGCTGATGAAATTCCTTCCTCATCCATTGTCTGGGCATACAGATGGATCTTGGGTTACACCGGAGATTACGGGAGGGGAGAAGGGGTTCAAGGGAGGTGAGTCGGGAGGAATGATCCTTCAGGGCAGCAGCCCGGCCGGTTATTGAGGACTATTGCTGACCCACTTGCAAATGGCCAACAGGCGCAGGAACAATGGGCTGGTGAAGAGAGCCCACAGCGATCGAATGGCGTTCAGAAGCATGCTGTGTATCGTATGATTCTAAATCTAGCTTTAATGATTGCTGACAATAATAATGATGATGATGACGAGGATGTAACAGTGTTCGTATCTGAAGTGGTGAAGTGGTCCCCTTTTTCCATTCCATCACTTGCCCTTCCCTCCTTCAGAGTCTGCAGCAGCAGCAGCTCCATCTCTTCCTACTGCCCCTCCTTCTCCCTCGACCACTCCCTCTGCCTCTGCCTCCGCCTCTGCCTCCGCCTCGGCTTCTTCTCCATACACAGCATCAGCCCTAAACAGCACCTCCATTGCCGGTATATACTTTTCCATCTTCCACATCTCGTTCATCCCCAATCGAATCAAATCCATTCCCACTGCGACCAGCGGCCTCTTCTTGTCCTTGTCCTTGTCCCCATCAGGCTGGGGGCTCACAGATCGCCTCTCTCCCCTCTTCGCATTGGCTTTTGAATTGCCAGAGGGACCTAGATTGAGCCTGGGCATCTTCGGATAGCGTTGACTGAAGTGGGTCAGGAGAACAACATCGCACTGTGCTTGTCTCGCGAGGCGCAAGGCTCCGCCGATTGTGGAGTGGCCCTTCATGTCTGCCATCTCGGCCTCTTCGTCCTGCATCGTCGCCTCGTGGATCAGCAAATTGACGTTTGCAGCGGCTCGAGCGAGATTGGGCGTGGGACGCGTGTCACCAGAGTAGGCAAGGGAGAAGCTGGCAGGCGGGGCTGAAGCCCCATTGGAGCTTGATGGTGGACTCAGATTGAGGGAGTCTGTACCCACTTCGATGCTCTGGCCACCGGCAGTAGCTGCTTGCGCTCCAAGTCGCAGGACAATACCGTAGCAATGTCTGGCTCGGTGGTCCACTTCGCACGTCTGCACGCTCCACATTGCGCCAGGTCCGCCGAGGTCCTTCTGTAGCAGCCCCAAAGCCCAATGAGTCCTCGTACGCTCCTCGACCTTGGTGCGCTCGTACAGCTTGAGTGCATCCGAACGGAAGAAGGCACTTGTCTCGGCGTCGAAGCCCTCTCTGACGTTGGGCGGCGGCGGCGTTTTGGAAGTGAGTGCCGCGTCGGCAAACGCAGGCATGCCTCGATGGATCCCGAGACTGGGGTCTTCCTTGATTGCGGCAGCCCACACAGCCTCATTGATTTGCTTCCTCTGCGCGGCTTGATCGCTGCGCGATAATCCACTGAAGGCTGGTTGGGCCAGGACGCTCTTCTCAAAGCTCTTGAGCCAGCGTGTGAAGCCTGGCGCAAAGCCAGAGGCAAGATGAGCGATGTAGGCATGGTCATGCTCGGCGAGGTCCTTCAACGAGGCCGACTCCGAATCTATGTGGCCCACTCCGATCTGGTAGTCAAGGTGCTCTGCTTCGAGCATGACCACCTTACCGGAGAGATCCGCATTGACCGTTCCGTACTGCTCCTCAGACAGGACGTTGAGCGGCTGGATGTCATTCCACTCGTGTACGAATTGCCTGGTGAACCTTCCGGCCGCTAGGTAGAGAGTCGACTTCGCGTCCCCCAGCTCGTATCTCGCGCGTAGTACGGAGACCAGGCCAGCACAATGATCGGCATGGATGTGGGAGACAAAGACCAATCGAAGATTGTAAAGGATATTCCGCAGGAGTGGACTGTCTTTGCCGTACATCTGATGAAGCTGACCAAGCGTGCCTTCTCCAGCATCGAGCAGAACGTAGCCATACGACGGTCCACCATCCGGCGCAGGAGCGAGCCTTTCAGGGTCATTGAAGAACCGAGAAGGCAAACGAACGAGAGTAGCGCTGAGGCCGCGAGACTTCGTAGGTTGCGCTGATCCTGTGCCTAGCGTAATGACGTCGATATCCTCCCACTCCTTTCGCACAAGCTGCTCGCTGGCGGAGGTCGCTTTGACTTCCTGCTTAATGGGGCTCGCGATGGCTTCGTACTGTTGATAGTCTTCGGCTCTTTTGAGCTGTAGTAGCTTGCGATTCGTAGTGGCTTCTGGAGTTAACTCTGACGTTTGATCGCCTTTGCTGCCCCGGCGCATCTGTAGTCTAGGGGAAGCAGGGAGATCGCCTTTAACAGGCTCGCCATCATCCTGAGCATCTGCTTCGGATACGGCAGTGCCCGCCGCTGCGACGTCGAGAACAGGCTGAAATCGGTCGAGAGCTGAGAGGCGGGGTTGCAACTGCATGGTCTCATCCATGTCAAGCCCCCTTGCAAGGGTGGAGACGCGGGGAGAGATTGAGGCAACGTCCGCCGTAGCTTGCCCTGTGGAGGGCGGCACAGAGAACATCCTTGAGTTCAGTTTGCTGAGCAGTCGCAGACAGTATGTCGGCGAGGTGTAGAGGATGTTATCCGCTGCCAGTTCCGGGGCAGTGAAGAGATGTGCTGTCTCGGTCTGAGACCAGTCAGTCATGAACCGCTGATATCGCCCGTCTTGTAGCACTGAGAGGGGGCTGGTATGTACCATGAGCACAACACCGCGGTCTCTCGTGGCTACGGCCAACGTCGCTGCATTCTGCTCCGACAAGAAAGATGGCAAGTGGCCCGTTGTAGGTAGGTGAATTACCAGCACCACGGGGCCGGGGACATCTGCGGCGACGCATTGTGAAGGCTGGACCACGACGTCCTCCATTGCTTCCTCTTCCACCACCTTCTCTGTTGTGCGAACGGCTTTCTTCTTGCTGCTACCTCCAGACGAGGGATGCTTGAGCTGCGACCAACGGACCTTCTCACTGTCAGACATGTAACTCCAGCGGGCGGGCCGGCGGACTGTGACTGCCTGGCCTTTCTGGAGAAGTCCAAGGTGAGGGCCAGGCCGGATACCAAGCAATTTCGCTGCCTCCATGTCCATCTTGCCCGCCGTAGAAGGCAGAGTGGCAGCGTAGCTCAGAGCAAAGGGTTGCGTCTCGAAGTGCTCTGCGCCCTCCACCGAGGATGGCTGTACAATAGGTTTCGGTAGACGGTGGATGTTCCAGGCTGCTGACTTTCCCCTGGGGATTACTGACGGGTCGTCTAGATTCAAGGGCACCCCCCTGAAGCCACTCGTGAGCTTGAACATGTCATGGGCAGTGTCGAAGACTCTGCGCTGAATGGACTGAGGCGAGGGCGCCTGCAGTGGCGCGGAAGGTGGCGGTGGCCTGGTGAGGCCAGCCGCATAGTCTGCTGCATCAGCCTCGGTGTTGGAGGTTGGAGGCGCAAACTGGTGCGGCATGTCTTCAGATGATCGTCGACGCTTACGGCTTCCAGAGCTGCCACCTTCTTCGCTGGATGAGGAGGCGCGCCGAGGCGCCTGAGCCTTGGAGGTCCAACTCTGCTCGCTGGACGGCAGACTCCGTATTGTTACGCCTCCTTTCTCTACAAAGAGAGGCTGTTTCGATTGCAGGTTGCCGTTGGTGAGCTTGATGGCGTCCAATGCCTCTCTCACTTGCAGCTGACAGCCTATCCTCTTGGCAAAGAAGCGCATCGTTGCAATGGCGTGGGCCAGAGTCGGAGGGCCATGAACGCGTACGAGGGTCTTTCCAGCATCTGCCGACGTCATGAGGAGACCTGCAGTGGCGTGAAATAATTGCGATGCAAGGCAACGAGTGAGCCAGGTGCCTCGTACCATGCCCTTACCCTACAACTTGTCACGCCTGAGTACGCACCTGGCAATCCCCTCGCAGCCTCACACACATCTGAGACAAAGACATTGAGTTCTCCCTTGCCTCCTAGTGGAGCTCTTCTTTGGGTCAGGGTACGCACGGTGCCCTCTGGAGCATTGAATACGTACTTGTTGGTGCCGACTGTGAGGACGATGAGCGGGTGGGGTGTGGGGTTGGAAGCTGCTGCTGGAGGATGTATGACCCGAATGCTGGAGATCATCGTGACCGCTCTTCTCGATGGAGGAGTTGCGATGCAGCGAAAGCTTGATCGAGTGCTGCTGCTGCTGCTGCCGCTGCCGTTGCTGCTGCCGCCGCCGCCGGCAATGCCGCCAATGCGCTGTAGCCACCAGGGCCGCCTGAAGGAGGCGGCGAAGATGGTCAGCGTGTCCAGGGGATGATCAGGGTAGGAGAGTAGAGGCGAATGGAGCAGGGTGCGCCCCGAAGCGTGGGCAAGGACTGGAATTTAGAGCTCACTGCTGCCGCTGCTGCCGCTGCTGTGTGTGAGCGGTGTGGGTGTGGGTGTGTAGGAGTGCTATGCGAGGTGTGACTATTCGTGGTGATGCTTCTTCCTGTTGTGCTTGTGCCCTGCTTGCTCATCTCCTCCGTCCATCTGAGCGCCTCGCTTCTTGTAATTTTCCCATGCGGTCGGAGTCTCAAGGCGCGGTGACGACGGACGAGGAATCCGTTTGTCGTCCGTCGATTGGAATCAGCCCGCACTGTGGGGCTCCGCCGGGGCGAGGCGGCAGGACAGGGCAGGACAATCAAGGCAGGGCGCACCGGCAGGGCAGGCAGGCAGGGCACACACACACACACACCTTGGTCGCCGGTGTAATCCCACACGCACACGACGCAGCAGCAGCCTAACGCCTCGCCTAGCCTCACCTCGCTCCTTGCCTCCTGTCCACCTGACACCTCCCCACTCCCTCCCTCACCATCGATCACTCCCTGGACAGTCTATTTGTGCTCCTCGACCGTCATCAAGGCTGCCCGCACTTCTTGCTCCATCTCCACTTAGACAGATATAGCCATACACAGACACGTAGCTCTTGTCGAGCACATCCTGGCGCCAAGTCCTCGAGCATCGTCCATCGCAAAGAGCTCGTCTGTCTAGCTTCTTCTCCTGCAGCACTCTATCTCACCACTGCCGGCTACAGAAGACCTCAAGGGTGGCAGCGGAGAGGCCAGCTGCAGGATCCCACCACCCAACCCACTCGAGATGCTTGGGGTAAGTCTGCTCTCCTCATGTGGCGTCATATCCCCACTACCGGAGGAAGTGTCTGAGAGTTCTCTGCCCAGGTTCCTCGCTGCTGACCATCTGCTCAACTGCTTTCTACTCCCCCATTTTCCCCCGGCGCCCCTCTCAGCAGCAGAAGTCAAGCTACGTTTGGAGCCAAGTGCGTAGCGAGAAGACCCGGCCTGAGCTGAGCTGCAATGTTGCTCCAGTTGTTGCTGACTCTACTGCCCCACCACCGTGTTCCCCTCTCGCAGTCAGACCTCGAAGACCTTGGTCCATCCTCGCCATCGCCATCTTCTGCAAAGAAGGATATTTCAGCCACGACAGATAACAAGGATAGCCGACGAATCTCCCACAGAGCAAACGGATACTCCTCAAGCCTGCCTCCCGCGGATAATCACGAGCTCTCGATCTCCCTCGACTTCCTCCACAACGCAAACGAGGACGATCACCTCTACGCTCACGGATCGGACCATCCTGGTGGACACACAGAAGCTCGCAATAGTCGATCTTACGCCCGCGTACCATTTGGCGGTCACAGCGCGTCTTTACGCACTCCCAACTCCTCCAGCTGTCTCGGAGAGGATCCATCGAGGACAGAAAGAGAGAAGGGTTGGCCAAGTCCATCGCGAAGCGTCTCCCTACAAGGGGCAAGGCAGCCGCTCCTCACTCGCCAGCTGTCTCACAACACTACTAGCCACATCAGCGAACACGGCACACCGCCCTTTCCACCTCCCTTTTCTCCCTTCGTCGCTGGCCCGCAGAGTCCCTTTGCACCCCATTCGCCTGCCACGGGCGGTCAGCTTTGGTCCGATTCCACCGCGCAGAGACCCAGCTGGTATAGAACAACATCGAGGCTCGTGGACGAATCGGACCCAGTCGTTTACTCAAGCTCAAGCAGGAGCAATCGGGAACCCTCACTGAACAGGAGTCTCAGCAGAGGACACGAGTCGATCTACCCTTCTTCGCCCAACTCGGCAGCCTTGGCTAGCAGCTTCCGCTCCACCGACCACTTCCAAAACGGAGCAGCCTTGAACGGGACTTCCTTCTCGTCTGAAGCTTCCGCAAAAGACTGGCCATCAGAGGTGCACAGGCACCAAGTCGCGTCTGCAGCCTTGTATCGGTCAGCGAGCGCATCCCGAAGCCAGCGCAGAGAGGAAAGTCCCCGGACTGATTCTTGGTCCACAGATTCTGACATGGGTGGGCCCATAACGCGAGAAGGTGGCCGCCAAGCTGGCGTGCCCGCGGAAAACTTTCGTCCTGACCCTGCCGGTCACAAAAGGTTGGGACACAGTCCGTCGCGACCAGATGAATTTGCAAGTTCTCCAAGAGTCTTGGAAACGATGCCCGAGGGTTTTGTGCATCATCCTACAACTCAACCTGATTACAGCGCTGGCCGCTTTCCGCATTCACGGATGCGTTCTTCTTCTAGCGCAGCCAGCTTGACGGCCGGCAGTGGTAGAAGCGAGGATAGTGCAACAACGCCACTTAGCGAAAGCAGCGCTACCAGTCCCCCGCGCCGACAGTATGGCCAAGCTCCTTCCGCAATTGCATCGGACTTAGCGCGATCCCGCACTACGGAGGCTCAACGTCCAGGTGTGGAGATCTGGGGTCGTGCAGTCTCCCAGGGGCCCAGCAGCTACGGCCCACGAAACGGTTACGAAGGTGACATGACAGCTAGGCAGAGTCCAGCTGAGTCCAGGAGGGTCAGCGTCGCACCTGGCCAACATGGCGGATCTGACGATGGCGCCTTCGGTGATGGCAGCTCTCACATGGGCGGAAATGGGGTTGACAGCACCTCTAGCTACCAGCCCCCTCACATTGCTTATCCTTCCCAGCACGGCAGCGAGTCTCGGCGCCACTCTATTGCGGCTACCGGAAGACTTCCCGTTGCCAGTGGAGGTCAGCGTAGGGCTGTCGGCTTCGAATTGCGAGATTCGGCTGGGCCAACGCGAAGTGTATCGGTGGACCGGGATCGCGTTGGTTCTTTAGAAGCTGAGACGCCTCGCTCAAGACCTCACATTACGTCAGCGGCCTTCTCTGAAGATGATCTGGCCGCAGATCTCGGCCATTTGCAACTAGAACTAGATCGTATTTCAGCAGAGAGACAGGAGGCTGAAGCTCGAGGATTGAGTATCAACTTGCGCGTTCCTTCTTCACAGGCCGCTACGAGCGGTGCGCATGCTGCGTCTATGCCCCCTCTTTTCGGAGGCGGCGACCGGAACCTACATCCAGCAAGCAGCTACTCCTCTCAAGGATGGGAAGCTATCATACAGCCACACTCTCCATCCAGCTCTTCCGGCTTCGAGTACGCAAATCAACCGGCGTATCGCTCGAGTGCTTCTCACTTCTTGCAGGCCCCGCAAAGCAAGAGTAGATCGGCTTCAGTGGGTCCCACAGCCGGTGGGGCACCACTACGAGACAGGTCTTTCAGTACTACAGAGAGTCGTTTGCCCTCTGCTAGATTCGACGATGACACAAGAGCTGCAGACTCTGGCACTGCAGCGCCAGCAGCTTACCGTCTATCGCCTCAAGCGCAAGCTTTCAATGTCGGCAATAGCAATGCACAGTATCGGCAAGAGCAGCCATACTTGAGTATGCCATCGGCCCCGCCACCGTCTCTCGCTACTGATCCCCGTGCAGGCGCAGCGGCTTCGATGAGATTCGGCAACAGCTTATTGCCTGGTTCACTTGCAGGCCCCTCTGCCGCCGGGGCAGCTCACAGCGGTGTCAATGCCTCTGCTGCGATCTTCACCCCGAATCTTTCTGGCTTCGGTGGTGACTACGGGTGTTTCGGACGTCACGATGACATGCCTAATCAACAACAACAACAGCAGCAGCAGCGAAACAATCCCGCCTTCGGTGGAATCGGAGCGCCTCCCTTTACACCTTCGGCCTCAGGCAACACCAGCGACGCGCCAGCTTCTGGCTTGAATGAATTTACTTACAACAGCCTGGCTGGGCTGGGGACCATTTCTGCTCCGTCGGGAGCTGGCGGACCCGCTTCCCTTCAAGATCTGGGTCGTGGGGTTCCCTTCTCAAGTCTGCCCAGGGACACGCCTCTGTACATCGTCGGCTTCAAGCAGGGCCGTACAGATCTATTCTTTAGACCTCTTGACTCGACATCGAGGGGCAGTGAGACGATTCGGATAGACGACCTGGTCATTGTCGAGGCAGATCGCGGCAAGGACATTGGACGGGTTGTGAACGACTCAATCACCGTTGATCAAGTGGGGTCTTTCCTGAGCAGTCAGGGGGCTGGGCCCTCTTCGTCGGGCCATCCAGCCAGCGGCAAGTCCAACACACCAGCCACCCGATCTTCCATCAACCCGAAACGCCTCTACTCCAAAGCCTCCCTGGCGGATACTTCCCTCCTAGCCTCCAAGGCCTCAGACGAAGAAAAAGCTCTGATGATGTGTATTCAGAAGGTGCAGCAGCGCAATCTACCCATGCGCGTGATCAGCGCCGAGCTGCAGTGGGATCGTCGTAAGCTCACCTTTTACTACATTGCCGGCTCTCGAGTGGATTTTAGAGCTTTGGTAGCCGACCTGTTCAAGATTTGGAAAGTGAGAATTTACATGAGCCAGATCCCTGGACCGGATCAAGAGGGTGGTGGGAGCGCAGGAGGTGGCGGACCTGGACCCGGACCACATCGCGGAGGAATAACGTCACTGGGTATGCCAGGAGTTGGTGGACCTGGCCCCGGATGGCCACCGCAACAGACACCTGGTGTCGGACAGTAGCCATAGCGCACAGGAACCAGGCTCGGGGGCAGTCGTGGAGATGGTGGTAGTGGTAATGGCAGACGGGTAGGCAGCGCAGTGGACTAGCCTCGTGAGAATGCGTACTAAGTAGAAGAGGTCAAGAGAGCGGGGCAACGAGGACGTTTAGACTAGAGGGAAAATCTGATCCGGCCTGGCCTGGCCCAGCCTAGCCTAGCCTCGCCGCTCGGTATTTGCGATGCGAACATTGACCCCGTAGGGGTTGTCGACTCATAGACGACCCGCGGACGGTCAATCTGTACTTGTACCTGTTTATGGCCCCTTGTTCCTCCCCCACTATTTGTATCTGCTTGACTTGCAGGCGACTTTTAAGGCCAAGGCGGCGTGCGTAGGCATGCTTTACTTCCTCTCCTGATGTGCAATGGTATTATTCGCGCATTGTGCAGTCTTACTTATGGTAGCGATTTGAGAGCGAGCGCGGTAGTGCTGTGGTAGGCAGTGCTTGAGCGAATGGTCCGACTTGGCTGTTCTGAGTCTCTAAGTCTTAGGACGTCAACAAAAGAGAGGATATGGAGGGTATGGAAGTCGAAGAGTGTGGAGACTGGGACAATTAGACGATTCACAGCCTTGGGCAGTCAGCAGAAAGACCCGACTCTCATTGCTTCTGGTATCACCCTGCAAGCTATAGCATGAGTCCTGTGTTGCAGGGCATCGAGCAAGGGTTCAACTTCAATCGCCCTCGACAGATAAGACGTGCCCAGTGCTCGTGCGGGAAAGGAGCATGCATAGGTTGGCTAACCCCATAACATACACCGACCGACTGGGACAATCGCAGCCTCTTGATTGCCTACCCAGGACAGCATCCCGGTCCCGCACAGATCCACGTTCGATGAGATCTGAGATGTCTAGCCTAAATTGACTGGGCTTAGAGTGAGGGGTCCTCACCCCAAAAAATCCGTCGGAACGTGCACTGGCGTTTATTTCGCCTTTCAAGGTTTCACGCTGCAGCTGGGTTCTGGCTGCAAGGGTCCAGGGAGACAAGGGAGAGAGATTGCGGAGGCGGAATTGTGCAGAGGAGCAGGCAGCAGGAAGACAGTGCGATTCAAAGTCGAGTTGAGATTTCACACAGTGACATCAGTCCTAGTTCTGCCGGCGGCGGCGGGGGTTGAGTGGAGGGAACGAGGCACAGAGAGAGAGACTGGGAAAAAAGGAAGAGAGGCAAGAGGGAAGGAGATTTGGTAGACGTACAGTGTCGAGATTGCTAATCTGGAGATACGGTCAGATCATTTTTGACAGAATATTGTAGAGGCCTATATATCCAAGTGGAGTCTTTCTTCTCCAGACCAAATTCCTTCGCTCTCCTATCCCCACTTTCCTCCACCCGCAACTTCCCCACTCAGACACAATGCCCTCTGCCACGAAAGCAAATGGGGTCGAGAAGCCCACCCTCTCTGGCCAAGTGGCCCGCGTGGCCGATCGAGACCCGCACTTTGACAATAGCGACTTGGGTCTGTTGAGGCCGGGAAAAGTGCCGTATGGACTGGAACAGACGTACGTGGCGGCTAATGGCAATAGGGCAGAGTACCTTGAGAAGACGAAGGATCTGACTTACATGGAGAGGGTGAGTCGAAGGCAGTGGGGGCGAGGGTGGGTGTGAAGACGAGGGAAGATGTGACTGACCTGCTCGTCTGCGCCTTTTGCCACTCCAGCATTGTGTCTTTTTCGACGGAACTTTGAGCGGTGTTGTCAGGCCCATTGACACCTTCAAAGGCTTCTACGCCCTGGGCTTTGGAGTCATCTTGTCTGTCGCTGGTAAGTATCTCCTGTCGAAGGATGGCTAGTCAAGATCCAACTAGTGCTGACGAAGCATCCTCGTAATTGCCCCCAATCTTGTACACACAGCCATCTTCATTGTTCACTCTGCCTTTGCGTACCCAACGCAGCCTACGAAGGGCCGGAAGGCAACGTGGCGTGAGCTGATCCCCGACCCAACCTTCAACATTCACATCGGCAACATCAACCGCTGCAAGCACGGCAGCGACACCGAGTCCTACGACAGGCGAGGTAACTTCCAAGAGAACAAGTTCCTCACCATTCTCGATGACTACAGTTCCAAAGTGGGCAGAGATGCATTGAGCTTCAGCGACATCTGCGTTATGCTCTACGGTAGGCGAAACTTGATGGACGCCTTTGGCATCTTTGCCTTTATCTTTGAGTGGGGAAGCTCCTACATGCTCGTCTGGCCTGCTGATGGATACATGAAGAGGGAGGACATTGATGGACTGCTCAACGGGGCCATCTTTGTTGACCTGGCCCACAATAGGCACAAGAAGGGAGCCTTCGTGGCCAAGTGAGGGATGATCAGGCTTACTAGAGGAACGATTGCCTAGATGAGGGAGAAACTTGAGAGTCCACCTTTTACGTTTGTTATACCTTTTCGCTGTAGAGCTCTTGTCTCCTTTGCATTCGGATTTGCAACTATACGTATCTAGCTCTGGCGGTGGGCAAAGAAGTCGCGGGCGACGCTCGAGCCAAGTGTGATTTTGGAAGAATGTCCTTGTCTCGCTGCTCCCGCGCCTGCTTGATTCCCCTCACTTTACATCGCACACCTCCTCACCGCTAATAATGTCCTTACAAGTCGGCAAGACGGTCGCCGAGAGGGTGGAATTACTCGATGATGATGGAGAGATGCAGCCCAAGGTAATTGAGAGGAGCAAAGAGGCGCACCCAATCCCCATGGCGTGGCCACTGACCATTGTTCCACTCTACCTCGCTTCCCCTCTGCCTAGTTCGAAGACGCACTAGCATACATCTTCCAGAAGTATTGTTCTGTTCCCGGACCTGCTTCATCTTCCAACACAGCTTCATCTTCCACCCCTACCTCCGAGCCTACCACTGCAGCACCCCAGCTCGGCTCCCGCCCGCCCGCAGGAGCAGTCATCACAGATGTGGCATTGGACCGCTTTGCCTATGAGACCAATGGAGCGCCCTTTCCCGCCGAGAGTAAGGAGGAGCTGAAGCAATTCTTGGACTGTGATGACCAAGGGCGCTTGACAGTGAGTAGCGAAGCGCTGTCGCTTGACTCCGTGAAGCGTGGGACATGGGAGGTACTAACCGAGCTGCGCTTCTCTGCTGGCCCGGCGCTCAGTATGGAGGCTTCATTGGGATGTTTCATTTGCAAGCTGACAATGACCTAGAGGAGACATGGAAGTGAGTCCGCTCGCTGTGCAAGGAAGAAAATATGCCGTTCTAAAGTCTGAAGAGACCACGGTCCACTCTCCTCCTTCCTCGCAGAGATCTTTCCACGCACGGCTTGTGAGTACCCTTCGTCCATCAAGAGACCTCAGCTCTGCTTCTGATCAGACGTCACTGCTTCCACTTTCCATCAGCCAAGGAAACCTCGACCTCGTCTCCACACGGCGAGAGGATCAAGCAGCATCACAGGAAGGCGGAGCGCCTGGAAAGACAGCAGGCGGAAAGCAGGCAGATGAGAAAGAGGCAGGCAGTGAGATCCAGGATGGATCAAATTCGGGTGGGTCTTCCTGAAGTGATTCTGTTGAAATGGCAGATTAGCATAGCCTACACACAAAAGACAACTTTTCAATCTAACATTGCTCGTATTCCCACCTCGCCTGACTTCTGCTGCGAATTGCCATTACGATCCACCAGATCATCTCTCTACTCTCCTTATTCCCTTGCATGTCAAGCACATCCTGCGGCTCTCCTCGAATACGACCTCCTTGGCCTACCACCTGTCCACCCATCTGCGCATCAATGGCGTTTACTGGGGGCTTATGGCGCTTGAGCTGATGGGTAGGGGGGAGGAGCTCAAGGAGGACGAGCTCGTCGACTTTGTGATGAGCTGCTGGGACAAAGAGAGCGGTGAGACCTCTGGTGCTTCTGTAGGATCACCTGAAGTTGAAAGGGATCGCTGATATTGCTTCTCCTTCCAATCGACGCAGGCGGCTTCGGTTCTTTTCCCAAACACGATGCTCACCTGCTGAGTACATGCTCGGCAATCCAGATTCTGGTGATCAAGGACCGGTTAGAGGCAGTGGACAAGAAGAAGGTTGCGGATTGTGAGTGAAGTTGTAGGGCTAGTCACAACCACAAACATCAGCTGATGATCACTACTCCTTCTCTCGAATCAGTCGTCCTGTCTTTGCAGAACCCAACCTCGAATCTCTTCTTTGGCGACTCGTCGCAACTGGAAGAGGACAGTCGCTTCTCCTACTGCGCCACTCTTACTCTCTCTTTACTTGGCGCTCTACACCGGCTAGATCGGACCCGGACAATAGCGGGCATCATTGCCTGTTCCAACTTCGACGGCGGATTTGGCTGGGTGGAAGGGTCCGAGTCTCACGCAGGCGGCGCATTCGTCTGCGTCGCCTCTCTCGCCATTCTCGACGCTCTGCCACCTCGCCAAGGAGAAGGAGAGGGAGACGCTGCAGTAAGCGACCTCATCGCCCTCCCGCCAGCTAGGGTGGACAAGCTGTCCAGCTGGCTCAGTGAGCGACAGCTGCCCAATGGAGGTCTAAATGGCCGACCACAGAAGCTCGAGGATGTGTGCTATTCATGGTGGGTGCTTAGTGCCCTCTCCATCCTCGGCAGACTGCATTGGATCGACGCTGGGAAGCTGGTCAAGTTCATCTTGAGCGCTCAGGTGAGTACACGTAGCTAGGGGAACTGGGCTGGACGGCAGCCTGAGCCGGAACTATCTGACTCGAGCTCTCATCTTCTACGTACCTTCATCCTATCTCGCAGGATCCCGACTCTGGCGGCATCGCTGATCGGCCTGACAACGTCTCCGACGTCTTTCACACCTTCTTCGGCCTGGCGGGCCTCTCGCTGTTAGGTTTCCGCGGGCTAGGGAGCCCCCAGGAGACACAAGGGCGGAGAGTGGACCCCATCTACGCCCTTCCGGAGAGGACGGTGGACCGGTTGAATATTCATAGGCCATACCAGAGATTATAAGCAATTGTAATGCATGTCTTCTTCGTGTGTCTCTCCTCGCCAGCTTGCACCTACTCCAAATGTACAACGATGTTTCACCTCGCCGAATATCATCTCATCCACCCTCGCTCTCACTCCCGCTCAGGGCAGAATCGTAGCCACGAGTCTCCTGGTGTGCTTAGCTGCTCTGAATTCGCAAAGGTAGACGCCTTGCCAGGTGCCCAAGTTGAGCTTGCCGTCGGTGATGGGCACCGTGATACTGGTGCCGCAGAGGGCTGTCTTGGTGTGACTGGCAGAATCGTCCGGTCCTTCGTCGGTGTGACGCCAGGGCAGCGATTCGGGTACCAGCTTATCAAATGCCATATCCATATCAGTGCGCACGTCTCTATCGAAGTTTTCGTTGAGAGTGAGGCCGGCCGAGGTGTGTTGAATGAAGAGGGTGAGCATACCGACCTGTGCGACGAGCGGGCGGGCGGAGCACGCGGCGCGAGGCGGCGAGCAGGGCGGTCAAGCCAAAGCGTGAGCAGGGAACAGTAGTGGATTCGACCTCATGAGAGCTGAGAAGTGGTTGCTGCTTACCTTGGTTCCCTTCAGCCCTTCCTGAATGTTCTTCATCACCTCGTCTGTAACGAGGTGACAGCCCTTGCCTCGGCTTGCGAGGGAGAAGGTCTTCTGGAATGGCATATTCGCGGTTGCTTTCTGTTTCTCGAGCTCGTTGATCCGACGTTGGTGTTCTTGCACCAGTAGGGCGCACGCAGAATCGCACTCGGTGGGACTGACGAGGGAATGGGAGGTCTTCTTGACGGAGTGCCAGGGTTTCTCGGTACCGGGCCAAGACCAGTAGATGAGCGCTAGAAAGAGGACGAGGAGGATAGTCCAGGTGGGGTCGGTCTTGATCTGCGAAGCTCTTCTGCGGGTATCGGAGCTTCTGTGAGGGGATTGGGCGTAGAGTGTTGGTTCTGAAGGCATTAGAAATGAGGATGGGATGCATTGCTGCAAAATCGGGAATACCGCGGGGCAGCGTGCGGGAAGGTGGAGGCACGGCAGACGTCACTTCCGGCTCTGCGCGTGAGGCCGAGGGAGACTTTGGCTTCTTCCCGCCGTGGAGCCGGGCCTTGGGAGCTACAGTACCACTTGAAGCCGACTTACTACCAGGACCTTCATCCCACCCGACCTTTGCCATTCGGGAGACTCGTATCCTCACATTGCACCTCGCCACTATGACAGACATCTCCTCGCAGCTGCACGCCGGGTACGCCCACCCGCTCACCCGGGACCTGCAGACTCCCACGCTGCGCAAATCGATGTTCATGTACCCCCTCTTCATCACCGACATTGAGGATGCAGCTATGGACCTGCCCTCTATGCCTGGACAGAAGAGGTGGGGTGTGAATAAGCTAGAAGGATTCATTAGGCCTTTGGTAGAAAAGGGACTCAAGAGCGTCATCTTGTTTGGGATTCCAGAGGTCAAGAAGGATCTGAAGGTGAGTCACAGACTTTAGATGTCAGCTGCTACGATCTGCATAAAGGCGCGGCTCAGAGCTGATTTGTTGTCTGCTTTTTCGCTCTCCATCCTTGTTTCCGTCCAGGACGACAGAGGTACTCTCGCCGACGACCCTTCCGGTCCGGTAATATCGGCCATCAAGCTCCTCTCCTCCAAGTTCCCCGACCTTTACATCGCCTGCGACGTCTGTCTTTGCGAGTACACGTCCCACGGGCACTGTGGTATTCTCCACCCAGATGGACTCATCAATAATCCTCCCTCTGTGGCTAGGCTGGCGGAAGTGGCGGTGAATTATGCTAGGGCAGGAGCGCATTGTGTAGCACCTAGTGATATGATGGACGGAAGGATCAAGGGAATCAAGCAGGGATTGATCGAGGCAGGACTGGTAGGGAAGGTGACGCTGATGAGTTATTCGGCCAAATTTGCTAGTGGGCTGTATGGTCCTTTTAGGTGAGTCTCCACTGCTGTGTCTGCAGATGTGTGAGCATCGTGCTGATCTCCTGGCATCCCTCCACTCGCCTGCCTTGCTCGCTCGCCTCACAGAGATGCAGTTGACTCAGCCCCTTCCTTTGGCGACAGGCGCTGCTATCAGCTACCTCCCGGTGCTCGAGGTCTCGCACGTCGAGCAATCCAGCGCGATATGGCCGAAGGCGCCGATATCATCATGGTCAAGCCTACTCTCCCCTACCTAGACATCCTCTCCGAAGCTCGCTCTCTCGCTCCTGATCACCCACTAGCCTGCTACCAAGTCAGTGGAGAATTTGCCATGATCCACGCGGGAGCCAAGGCGGGGGTTTACGAGTTGAGGAGAATGGCAGAAGAGACGTGCGAGAGCGCAGTGAGGGCGGGAGCGACATTGATCCTAAGCTACTTCACACCGGACTTCCTCGACTGGTTGGAGGCATGAGAAGGTGCGGAATGACGACGGTCATCAGCTCCTGCTCGTCGATACTTCACAGCAAGGCAGCTTAAATGGAAGGGTGATGCATTGTCGACGGCATCGATGACTGTTGTATATGTAAACAAATGTGATCTGGTTCCACCCTTCCTCTCCAAGCGCCCTTCTCAGCTTGTGAAGTGACGCAGTCCGTACAGCAGGACCCTGCCCCGGGTATTTCCCACAGCAACGTACTGACTGCCATGAGTTGAAAAGGCAACATCGCTGACATGACCCAGAGGTGTTCCGCTCGTGGGCCAATTGGAGAAGACTGTCAAGGATGGCAGATGCAGCATCCTGAGCGAGTCCTTCTTGTTCTGACTGGCGAGAGCAAGGATCTGCCCATCGTGGTTGTACCTCATCGTCGTAGTCGTCGTTGTGAGGTTGCCGATGGACTTGTTCGCGTCGATGTTGGCCTCGACCAGTCCACTGTCTGCAGAGGTGGATCCAGCCAGTAGTCGCTCCATCGAGTACATGTTCACAATGCCGCTCTCGCTTCCCACCGAGCACCAGTTCCCATCTGGGCTCAGCCGCAGGCCAGTAGCTCCAAACAGACCCACGTCCCGCTTCACCACCTCGCACTTTGAATTTCTCACATCCCACAGACTCATTGTGCCTTCTGAGCTGAGGGAGACGAGTCTCCGCCCTTCAGCGCCTGAAGAAGGGTCCCAGTCGAGGCCAGCTAGAGCTGAATTCTGGCGCAGAGAGCCAACGATGGACCCGCCTGCGCCTCCAGAGACAGACCAGTCTAGCAGGTGGACAGCCCCGCGCCTTCCTCCAATAGCTAGCAATCTCGATGCGCCCGACCCGTCGAGAGGCTGGAAGCGAGCTCGACTCAGGTCACGTTCCTTGTAGTCCTCCTCATTCAGTGCGCCTGAGCCCGAGGCAGCTCTCCAGGGCGAGGAGCGCAACACCTTACCAGCTTGCAGATCGTACGAGTAGAGGTAGGGCCGAGGACCACTGAGTAGGATCGAAGACCCCATTGGATGAAATGCAGCCGTCGTGATAGGTAGAGACGGGACATGAAGGGTCTGCAGAAGCGGATTCGAGGATCCATCGATCTGGAAGAGGCGCACTCTGCGATCCCGCGAGGCAGTCATGAGGACCTTGGCCCTTGCGCTAGGATGGAACTCCATGCACTCCACTGCACTAGCTAGGTCAGCGTCCAGGCCGTGATTGGCATCTCGCAGCCTCTCCAATTCAAGACTGCCTGCAGGAAGCCGTCCCTTGGCATTGTGTCCCGTAGCTCGAGCTACTAGGCCTGAATCTCGCGAGAGAAGGTCGGAAAGCGTCGTGCTCGGAGAAGAGATGGTGACAGATGCCTTGTTGGCAGACTTCTGAGCAAGGGCCTGTTCTTGAGCAGCGGCGCTAGCCATGCTCGTACGAGAAGCCCAAGACGGCCGCGGGTGCAGCTTCTCGTACATCTCCCTCAATCTCTTCTCGTACTCCTTGCCGCTTAGCTCCATCTCATCTCTGGAGGTTCGCAGTTTCCGTAGCCTCTTTGTACCTGCAAAAGATCCATCAGGCGCCCTGGCATTGGGCCCGACCAGGGGAATGAGCATGGAGGAGACGGAAGAATCAATCCATGCCGGCCGCCGCTGCCGTGAGTCTAGCTGAGGTTCAGGGGATGGGGAGAGCCGGGAGGGACCAGCAGCCGACTCTTCGAGGACCTCTACCTCGCCATCCTCCACATCGTCCTCTTCATCCTCGCCAGAAAGGTCTGCGTCACTATCACTACTACTACTGCCACTGGCATCGTCATCGTCTGCTCCAGATCCAGTGTCTAGAGCAAAGAGCTGTAAGGATAAGGAAGTGTGTGCAGAGCGTCAGTTCAATGCAGAGCAGAAGGTGAGAAAGAAGGCAAGAGACGCACCTGGTCATCTTCTACGTCCTCTAGTCCGGTCTTCTCGAAGTCCTCAAAGCCTGTGTCCCAAGATTTGTCACCCACTCTGCTTCCAGAAGAGACGCCACTGGAGGTGACGGGGATGTCGGCATTCCTTCCAAAGAGGGATGTGGCCAATGCTAGTTCCTCCTCAGTGGCTTCCGAAGCGCCAGTCTGCCGGGAGAAACGGGAGCCAAGGGGCTCTGGCTTCGCTTGAGTCGTCTTCTGCTTCTTTCGAGAAGGCATGACGGCGGCGATGGGAGCAGACAGAGGCTACGATGATGTGCGTCTGGCGTGACCGGTAGTACAAGTGACCTTCTTCCTGGCCGTGGGCCCAAATCCAAAATTCCTGGTTCCGCATAGCTCCGTTCCGATGGGTGACCAGGGCGGGCGGGAGGATGCGCGCGCGGCGTGGGCCATCCCGCCATCGTCGCCGTGTGGGTGGGAGCCGCCCCGGGTCTTCCCACTGGCGGCGGAGCAGTGCGTTGCGCCTGGCCTCGTCTCCACCGTCTACCTCGACTTCTTCCCATCACTCATACCCGCACATACCCCTTCATCGCATCCCTCCCGTACCATCACTTCGTAGCACAATGGTCTTCGCCCTCGCCACTCGATCCGCTCTGCGATCTGCCGCAAGGCCCGCTGCCTCCATGGCTGCCAGGCCCGCCGTGATGCCAGCTGCCATGACCCTTGGTCGACGTGGTTATGCCGAGGCAGTCAGTGACAAGCTCAAGCTCAGCTTCATCCTCCCTCACGCCGTGAGTGGGCTGCGACAGATATGACAGGACAAGTGGCCTGTACAAAGCGCTGAATCAGGCATGACTTCCACTCTCTCACCGTCTTTCCCTCACCAGGCCATCTTCGATGCTCAAGAAGTCACCCAGGTCAACATCTCCGGTTCCACCGGAGACATGGGTATCCTCTCTTCCCACGTTCCCTCTGTCGAGGAGCTCAAGCCTGGACTCCTCGAAGTAATCGAGAGCTCCGGTACAAAGAAGTGGTTCGGTGGGTATTTGCGAACATGACTGGGAGAAGACGAGATTTAAGGATGAAGAGAGGAAATGGAAAAGGGGAGGGAAAGGACCGGAGGATGTCGCAAGGAGAGCTTGAGCTCAAGTCACTGAGGAGAGTGGTTGCATGAACTAGGATGGCGTGAAAGATGGGCGGCAGACGACAAGAAGAGGGCATGAACCTTGAAGCGAGCCGGAGGGATGTGTACTGACCAGGCATCCCTTATCCTCGTTTTCGACCACAGTCTCTGGTGGTTTCGCTACCATGCACCCCAACAACCGACTGACCATCAATGCAATTGAGGCCTACCCCCTGGAGGACTTCTCTCAAGAGGTAAGTGCTATAGTGGCGTGCTTAGGGTGCTCGTTATCTACCTGGTCAATCCAGAAGCTCACAATGGAGCGTTCATCTTACTCTCCTTGCAGGCCATCCGATCTGCTCTCTCCGAGGCACAACGAACCGCCGGCGGATCCGGATCGCCAGAGCAGAAGGCTGAGGCTGAGATTGAGGTAGAGGTTCTCCAGGCTCTGCAGTCTGCCGTGTCTCGCGCTTAGAGTGCGTTTTACCGCGAGCTTGTGCGTGGGGGCCAATGGAGATGTAGGAAGACCGAAGACGAGAGGGACGGACTGCGCCCTCTCCTTGTACAGAAACTAGAGTAGTGGGGCGAGACGCCGCAATCGAATCTGTTTGGACATCACTTCGAAGTAGAGATGTGAGCACGATCGACTGCATCCTCATCGAGATACCCGAATAGGTTAGGCTGGGAGAGCAGACGAGAGCGGTGGAGTAGCAAGGCATCTATGGATTGAAGTGGACGAGAGGGCTATATGATACATTCCACGAAGGTTCGTGAAAAAAAGGAAAAGAGCGAAAGCAGACGTATGTGACAAGGAAATGTATGAGAAGAGTCGACGTCTAAGTAAGTTTGGGGCGATAGTATGAAGTGGTATACGAGAAGAAGAAGGAGGATGCTGTTGTGCCGACGAAAAAAAGTGGATAGCAATCGTCCGATACTGAGTATGCGTTGGTGGTGAGTTCATCTATGACGTCTTGACGACGCTCCTGGCATCCTTATCTATGCGTCACCTCGAGCACGTCCGTCGTGTTGAGCACGGCCATTGCCGACGCTCTATAATCGTCAGCGATGATGCTCGTCTTGCCATTAGCTCCATAGCTCATCATCTGCACTGCGTCTAGGTCATACTGTGGCCAAGCTGGTAAGCCAGGCTCAGCAGCTGGGTCGAGATTGGTGGCGAAGCTTATCCACTGACGAGACATGAGGGACTGGAAGGGGGAAGGGTGTCGTTGGTCGCCTGCTACGCTGTACAGGGCATTGAGGTCGTCGGAGTGGGCAACGCCGAGGGAGACGGACTCCTTGTAGGAGGGACAGCTGTACAGCCACGTCCATGCAGCGGGTGTGTTGCCAGTTGCGAGACCTTGCCAAAGGAGGTTACGACGGTTAGACTGGAATCTGATGTCTCCGTACAGGGCCGCGGCACGCTTGAATTGGTTTGTGTGCCCAAAGTACCGATTGGTGTCGCCTCCCGTTCGTGGTGTAAAGGGACTGCCCTCCTGCGGTATGTCAGGGTAGGCATTGAGCACCTCGTCCATGACATTGTTCTGCATCGTGGCTGTGCCGTCGGCAAAGTAGACGCCTCTGAACCAATCTTCCAGTGAAGAAGAATTCCCAAGATCCCTGGGAGCAAAGATCGTCCCTTCGTCCTCTACGTCTCCAATCATGATGGGAACAGAGGCAAAGGCGCCTGCACTGAGCGTCTCGCTTGGTGGACGAGCGAGAAAGCCCCCTCGTCTGGCACCGCCGTCAAAGGTGGGCAAGAAGGGGTAGTTGCCCAGATAGTAATGGCCGGGATCGCCACTTCTGTCGTTGCGATTATTGGCGGAAGTGCGAAGGACGGTCCAGTCGGCCCCTCGAATGCAATTGAGGCGAGCCTGTGCAGTCTGATAGGAATCGCCGCCACACCCGGCATCGCTGAGGGTGACATTCCAAACGTCGTCCTGATGAGCAGGCTCGGGGATCGCGGGGCCGGACGGCGCACCACTCATCATGATAGCACCCCGAAACAAGGGTCGAGGTGGATTCGTTGGCTGTTGTGCGTCGCCACCGAGAGCTTGTCCTTGATGACCTAGTAACTGAGCACTGACACCGAAAGAACCTGCCGACTGACCCCAGATGGTTACCTGCTGAGGGTCGCCACCAAAAGCGGCAATGTTGGTGTTCGTCCAATTGACTGCCATCTTGATATCCTGGTAACCCAAGTTGATTCCAACTGGCTCTCCTGGCAGATTCTGAGTGGTACATCCAGTAGCACTCGCTGTGCAGCCAGATGGGTTCAGTCCGGCGAGAGTGGCAAGGTCAGAGCTGGAGGAGAAACCAAATATGTTCAGGCGATAATTGATGGTGGCCACGATCACAGGCTGACCAAAGCGTAGACCAGACTTGATGATGGGCGTAGGATCGTAGAATGAGCCTGCGCCGTTCTGAAAGCCTCCTCCGTGGACGAAGAGCAGTACAGGCAAGGGCGTAGAGCTCGATGCATTATAGGGCTTGTAGATGTTGATGAAGAGACAATCTTCAGATTGATCGCCGATGTCGCCCGCTTGAGGGCATATCGGGCCTGTAACGTTAGCCACGACGGTAGCGGCGTTTGCTCTACGTAATGCAGGGGTGGAGAATTCACTCCACCGCTTCTGTATCACTTGCACTGACCTTCCGACCTTCTGATGCGAAGCGTGGAATGCCTTTTGGGCTAGTTGAGCAGCCAGCTTGAAATGATGCAATGGATTGAGGAGATGGGCGGCACCATTCTCGGAATGTCCGCCGGATGAGGAGCTAGTGGCAGGCGCAGGGGTATTCTGAGTGGCTAGATCGATCATTTGCGGTGGGGCGAAACGAAGGTCCCCAACCGGTGCTTTTGCATAGCGGACACCTGTTGACGCAGAGAAGGAAGAGAGGCGATGGCGGCCGAATTAGGGGCCGAATAGCACAACTCTCTCCTCTAGTATGTCCTACTCACCTTCCCAATAGGACAAGTAATTTGCCTCATCGGTGACCCCTTGCAGAGTCGCCCCAGAAGAAAGCGTGGCGAGAGGCGTCGAAGCTGATGAACTACTGTGCTTCGCCAGGACACCATGTGATGATAGTGAAAGAGAAAGCCAGAGAGCCAAGCAGGCGGCAAGCAGACAGCCCTTGAAGTTGCCGTGCATCTGGTGATGGTCGGGCAGCCCGGTCTGGTGCGAAATGTGCAATGACCACAGCGGTACGCTACGGTTTCTTCAGTGATGGTCTTTCTGATGTGGCAGCTGCTCTAAACGGATGCTTTTGTAGGTGATTTAGAAGACCTGACCGACAAGGATTGCTTGCAATCAAGGGGCAGGAGCCGGCCGTAGAGAGCTGCAGGTCCTTGTTTCGGACGTCAGACGACGTAAGCCTGTGATGTCCGGAATGAGAAGCAAGAACGGTCAAGAAGAGGCGGCAAGGAGAGCAAAGGGGGGTCTATGCACAAGTATATACAGGAGACATGGTGAGTTGAAGGCAACGGGAGGGTGGAGAGGCAATGCTTCCGAGGGCGGAACTGGGTGATTTCGCCAAATGCCGCCCGCCCAGGTCAGTCGGGGGTGGCTGCGCCGCCGGGTCCTGCCAATTGCCCTTTGCACTGCCTCGCAGTTCCATGGTTCGACCTTGCCTGGTCTTGCCCTTGAACGACTGCCCTACCTTTTCAAACTTCGACGTAGCCTCTGACACGTTCCCTGAGCCCCGAGAGCGAGGACAACCCTCACTAGCTCCGACTCGCTTCGAAGGGAGAATACATCATGGACTCCCCACCCAATTCCCGCAAGCCGATCTGGGTCGTCGGTGATCTCCTTTCGGCGGAGGCGCCCCAAAGATAGGATCCAGTCTCCCCTTGCTTTGTACAGGCATCCTGTTGTTTGTTGATCTGATCTGCATGGTTTTATATCGATAGCTAGACCCACCTGAGTCAAAGGCGGTGTCAGAGGACGCGGGGGGCGGCCATCCCCGGCGTGATTACGGACCGCGTCTAATCTCCGGGGAGAAGCGCAGGGAGGAGGCCCCTGCACCCTGATGCCGAGGTGTGCCCTGATTCCTTCCTGTCCATCGCTCACCTCTCTACGCGCCCATCATGACCGAAAAGCTTGAAGGCTCGACTCTGCCCTCCAATCATCAACAGATCAGTCGGCGCCACGCTTCTACCAGTCCATGGCGGTGGATCGCGACTTTGACCTCATTCGCCTTTCTCGTTTGGGTCAACTGGCAACATCTGACGCCTTACACAAGCCAGCACCCGCATCCTCCACCTTCGACTCTCTCCTCTGCTCCAGATGTCTGTCAGCAGCCGGCGCCATGGAATCCTCCTCAGCATCTGACCTTGCCGGTTCGTGATGCAAAGTACATGGCCAAGGTTCTGTCTGGTGCCGTACAAGTAGACACAACGGTACTCGACGACTGGGGAGTCTTATCTGCCAATTCAAGCGATGCCATCAAGAAGCTCTACGACGATGCCTTCCTCCCCTTTGAAGCCTACCTGAAGACGGCTTTCCCTTTGGTTCACGAGCACCTCAAAAAGGAGGTCGTAGACTCTCATGGCCTTATCTACACATGGCAAGGAAGCGATGAGAGCCTCAAGCCCCTCATCCTCATGGCTCATCAGGACGTGGTCCCAGTCGAACCATCAACGGCAGATTCCTGGAAGCATGCCCCTTTCTCTGGGTTCATAGACGAGGAGAACAATGTCGTGTGGGGCCGCGGATCTTCAGACGACAAGTCGGGCCTGATCGGGGTACTTACTGCTCTCGAGTCACTCTTATCGCTCAAGGATGGCGCCTTTGTTCCTCGCCGCACCATTGTTGCGTCCTTTGGCTTCGATGAGGAGTCAGCTGGGTCTGCTGCCGACGCTCTGGCCGCCTTCTTGGTCGAGCGATATGGTAAAGGTGGAGCTGAATTGATTCTCGATGAAGGGGCCCAAATCATTGCCAAAGACACGCCCGTGGGAGAGGGGGGTCTCGGCATTACCTTCGCCCCGCCAGCGACGGCAGAAAAAGGTTACATGGACGTCAGAGTCATTGTCAACACTCCTGGTGGCCACTCCTCATTGCCACCTCCACGCACCGGTATTGGCTATCTTAGCCGTCTGGTGGCAGCCATCGAGGATAATCCACCGCTGCCCACACTCGATAGTGTTGACCATCCCGCTCTGGCCACGCTGCTATGCTTGCGACACTCGCCGGCAATAAAGAAGCGGCGCAAATTGTCAAAAGCCCTTGCAAAGCTGACCTCTCCCAAACTTTGCCCTCGCAAGGCCAAGACTGTCTTCAAGGAAGTGCTCGCAGCGTTGTCACCAGATGAGCAGGCTGTGTTCAGGACGACACAGGCCGTGGACCTCATCTCTGGGGGCGTCAAGATCAACGCTCTTCCCGAGCGGTCTGTGGCCACGATCAATTTCCGCGTCGACGTCAACACCCCCTCTGACGACCTACGAGCTAGCCTTGGTCAGCTCGTGGAAAAGGAGAGTAAGAAGCTAGGCTTAGAGTACAAGGGGTGGAAGCTTCCCAATGATCAAATGGTAGACCCAAGAGGCAAGCATGAAAAAGACAAGAAGAAGCCATACGTTGGCTCTGTTCACCTTGAGCTCACCTACGCTCCTCTGGAGGCCGCTCCTCGGACGCCAGTGTCTGGTGAAGACGCCAATGCATGGCGGCTGCTTAGTAGCGTTATTCGGGCCACATGGAAGGATACCGACGGTAGCGATATTCCAGTGGTTCCCTCGATGATGAATGGCAACACCGATACGAAGAGCTACTGGGACCTCTCTCGCAACATCTTCCGCTTCTCTGGCGGCACGGTTCTTTCGAATCCCGCCACCCCGGACTCGGGCATCCATACAGTCAATGAGAATGTCCAGATCGAGGGCTTAGTAAACGGGCATGACTTCTACAGGAATCTCATTGTCGCAGTGCAGGGCGAGTAGAGCCTCGGCGTGGGGAGGCGAAGGAGTCTCACGTGGGAGCCAATTGTGGGTGGGCGAGCAGGAAGCGGTAGCAGGCGAATCTGCGAGGGCCAATTGTGTGCTGAGTCTGAAGATACAGCAAGCAGCAGTCTCGGTCGCTATTCGAAACCGCAAAGATCGCATCATGATGTGGCAGAGTAGCCTGTCAAACATTGCTCATCTGTCTGATAATCGACGGTGGGCCCCCTTCTTTTGTGCTGGGTGTGGGTGTCTGCTGGTGTGCCTGGAGTGAGTGAGGCTGAGGTGTCCTTGAGTGCTTGGGTGTGGCTGGGTGTGCGTCCTTCTGCCCCGCCCGCGTGCGTCCGGCCGGGAGATGCGCCACGGCGGAATCGAAGTTGAGTCGCGTTCAGCCTCGCATCCGCATCCGCTGCTGCTGCCTGCCTCTCCTCTGCCTTGCTGCCTCTGTGTTTGCCTGTCCGCGGCACCCCCCCCCCCCTTCCCCTCGGCCTACCATTACCACCTTGCTATTCAGCGTCGCCCTGTTCGCCTTGCCCCTCTGACGTCGTCTCCAAATCCTTCCCTTGCTACTATCACACTCTGCTCGCCTCTTGAACCTCTACTTCCACCACTCCTTACCATTCCGAGCAAGAAGCTCTCCCCCACCTTTAGCTGTTGCTCCATCACAACCCGTCAATTCGCGGCCCCTTTTTGGCCCTGAACTGCACCAACAACACAACCCACACATCGGGAACGAGCCTCGCAGCAAAAGACCCGCCTCTGTTCCTAAATCTTCGATCATCACCCAATTCACTCTCGCTGGTAGCATCGATTATCCCTCTCTCTACTCCTCATCCTCCCTTCACGAGACGGCCACCCCCGCAAAACCCCCTCTTAAACGCAACGCCGCCCCAGCTGGCCAATTGTAGGCCACCCGCGAGATTTGGTTAATATCCACCCGATCACCAGCTCACTAGCGGCCCGCTCAGCCGTACCCCGAGCGTCCGCCCAAGGCACTTCTAAGGATCCCCCCACCCTCTCCTTCCTTGGCGCCGAGTCTACAGGAACCATCACTGCATACCCCACCGGCCCTTACACCCATCAGATTCCAGCTGCTCCTTCTGCCGCTCACCCCTGAGCTCAATCAAGACGCTCTGTAAAGCAAAGAGAAGAGAAGATGAACGCACAATTCCTGAGAGAATACAAGCTGTACGTGTCCAGCTCCATGGGCCCGTGCTGGCATCATGGCCCGCCGCCAGCTTGCCAGCGTCTTGTAGGCACTTTCAACTGACGCAGTGCTCCTCTGACTGCTTTATCCCCCTTTCTCTCTTCCCTCGCAGCGTGGTAGTTGGAGGAGGAGGTGTCGGAAAGTCGGCCTTGACGATTCAATTCATTCAGAACCAGTTCCCAGAGGAGTATGACCCAACAATTGAAGGTGAGTTGAGATCGAACGCAGGTCCGCCGGAGGAGGGGGAGGAGTGTTGTACACGGGCCTCAGCTGCGTGTACACAGCGCCAAGCGATGGCTGAGGTGGAATGGGAAGTAGATTCAGGGAGGGTCATGGTGTAAGAGGCAGGCCTTGCAGGCTTAATTGCCTCAGACTTCGCAAGATGGGCGATTCGCATGGCTAAGCGCCGCCAGTGAAGGGCTTCGAGGGTGCTTGGGAGGAAAGGGGACCGCCTCAGAGAACCTCCACGGAATTGGAACTTGTGTACTGACATTCACGCTGCTCCCCTCTGCCAGACTCATACCGTAAACAGTGCCTCATCGACGAGGAGGTAGCATTGCTAGATGTACTGGATACTGCTGGACAGGAAGAGTACAGGTGTGTACTTTACGCAGCGATCATGGCAGAGTAAGGGGACCTCCCGCTGAATCTACCTTCACATGCTTCCCAACAGCGCAATGAGAGAACAATACATGCGAACCGGTGAAGGTTTCCTCTTGGTCTACAGCATCACCTCGCGGGACTCGTTCGACGAAATTTCCATCTTCCACCAGCAGATTCTGAGAGTGAAGGACAAGGAGTACTTCCCTGTCATCGTCGTTGCCAACAAGTGCGATTTGGACTACGAGAGGCAAGTGGGAACCCATGGTGAGTCGAGGATTGAGCGAATGATCGATGCAAGCCTAGAGCGAGGTATTGATGAATTCACGCATCTCGTTGCTTTCCACAGAGGGACGGGAGCTTGCAAGGCACTTCGGCTGCCGATTCATCGAAGCCTCGGCCAAGCAGCGCATCAACGTTGAGGAGGCCTTTTCGAGTCTAGTGAGAGACATTCGAAAGTACAACAAGGAGCAAGCTGCCGGCAGACCAGGAGCCGGTGGACGAGCAGGGGCTGCTGGTGCAGCAGGCGGTGCAGGCGCAAAGGGCGCAGATGGTACCCATGGTGGTGGCGGCTGCTGTGCAGGCTGCAAGGTGATGTGAGAGAGTGGCGAGCAGAAGACGGGAGGGAAGGCATGCACAGTATAAAAGCAAGCACCGGCGCCCATGGAGAGGCGAGACAGGTCACGAAGGAACGCAGCCCGGCGGATGAGGGAAATGCTGCAGGCTATTTGATCCTTACCGATCTAATGAACGATTCCACAGGGGCTTCCTCCTCGAATACCCCTTTCTTCCTTTTTCTTCTTCTTTCTTCCACTCTGCGCTGCATTTCCACCCTGTGGTCTTCCTCTTCTTTTTCCTTTTTCCCTTTCTCTAATCATTACATTTCTTCCGAAGTGAGATGGGCTGCGTGTCCAGTGTCTGTTGCTGTTGCTGCTTCCTCAGGCTCGCTTCCGCCAAAGGTGCACGGACGGGCAATTGTGGATGTGGATGTGCCGAGGCGCATTGCATTTCTACACACACACGCCTCTAAGTAGCCATACCAAACCAGCGCATACAAGACAGCAGTGATCGTCCAGCTGCCCTAGACGGGCGCTTACCGCTCAAGATGCAAGCTGCGAAAGCCTCTTCATCGTCTTCGCCCCCCTCTCTCAGCTGCCAACGCTGCTCGCAACCACTGCAGCTGGACGAGAGTCTGAGCGATGAAGCCCTCCTAGCTTCAGCAGCTTCCTCGTCGTCCAATGAAGGAGCCCTGACTACCTCCAACTACGACGTCATCTCTTCTCTCGTCACTGCACCCTCTTCGACTGACAAAGGGGAGACGAAGCAGTCAACACCTCTGAAGCGCGTCAAGGATGCTGAGTTGAGAGAGGCTGTACTGCAAGATCACCAGCGAGAGCATCGGCCTACAAAGGATGACTCACGTTCAACTTCGAGGTCAGGAGCAGCGCCCAACTCTCTCACAGCACGTCTGTCTTTACATTCGCGCCTCTTCGATTTGGTCTCCTCCTTTGTACCCGCTGGGACTACAGCAACAGTCCCTTCGGCCTCTTCGTCCTCATCCGCTTCTTCCTCATCCCACCAACACCCTGCCACATCAGGAGCCACGGCAACGGCAGCAGCAGCAGGTCCACGCAGCTTTCCTCTGGGCATCGATCATCCTCTATGTCTAGATTGCTCAGACTACTGTCTCGAAGTGATACGCAGGCAAGTGGAAGAAGTGCGCAAGGAGCGAGATGCACTTGGCGAGTTCAATCGGGAGCTCGAGAGGAGCACAGCTGGTAATCATGGTCCTGCTGAGGGAGAAGGAAAAGGCAGACGGAGGATAGATGGAGAGGCAGAAGTGGCTAGATTGGAGGCGGAGATTGGGGAGTTGCAGACGGCTGTGGATCAGGCGGTTGCGGCGCTGTACAAGTCCGAGAGGACGAGGAAGGACCTGGAGGAGGAGTTGAGACAATTGGAGGTAGAGGAGCGAGAGCTGGAAGCTGACGAGGCTGAGTGAGTATTTCGAGAGACGAAGTGGCAGCTTTACGCCTCCTAAGCCTGGCATTATGGCAGTACTGATGCGATACGCCTTCTCTTCCTTTTTGCTTCAGCTTCTGGGCGGGTCACTCGAAGCTTCTTTCGGAGACGACAGCCTTAGAGTCGACAAAATCATCTCTGCAGCGGTCTCTTCAAGTCTCGGAAACAACGCTGGCTCGGTTGAACTCAACAAATGTCTTCTACGACGCATTCTGCATTGGTCATGAAGGCGGTGGAGGCCCTTCCTCCTCTGCCTCGAGCAATCGCAAGAGAGCCAGCGGGACGGGCTTAGCCACGATTAATGGTCTACGCTTCGGCAAGATGTCATCCTCTTCCAGTGGAGGTGGTGCTACGAGCGTGGAGTGGAATGAGGTCAATGCGGCCTGGGGACAGGTCGCCTTGCTGGTGGAAGTGCTCAGGGGACGTATCGGTGGGATGCTAGAAGGACAGACTGCCCGAGGCAACCTTTCCACCCCGGGTAGGAAGGGTCGGGAGTTCGTGGGATGGAGAGTGAGACCCAAAGGGTCCACCTCTGCTATGGAGAAGCTCGCGTACTCCGGTCAGCACCCATCAGCAAGCTCGTCCGCTTCGCCGTCTGGTCACCAGAGCGAAGACATCTACGAGCTGTGAGTAGCGTAAAGATAATGCAGTGCCATTCTCTCCTTCGGTTGACACTTCCATCTCTCCTTCATTTTGTCCCTCAGCTACCATCCAGGTCCTTGGGCAGGCGTCACTCGCATGCTCCACTCTCGACGCTTCGACGCGGCCATGATCGGCATCCTAGACTGCACCTCTCAACTCTTCCAGTGGGCCGAGAAAATCTCTGTTGCTGGTCCTTCTAACATCAGCTCAAGTGGTGCTGGAGCTAATGCGGAAATACCTTCCGATCCTCCACGAATGATCCACGCGATCAATGGAGAGAAGATTGGCGACACCAGCATACGACTGGCGGGGGCTTTCTTTGCTAGTGAGGAGACGTGGAGTAGGGCGACCAAGTATCTCCTGGTCAAGTGAGTCGGATGCCAAGACGGGAAAAATGAGGAAAGACATGGCGCTGACGCTCACACTCTGCATCCCTTTGGGCCTCATCTAGCCTACAAGTACTCATGCACTGGGCTACACGCAACGAAACTGTTCCTGTGCCTGCTCCCACTCAACCCTAGCCACTTCTGTGAAGGATCTGCAGCACGCATCCCTCCCGTGAGACATATGATACCTCTTTTGATACTTCAATTGATTACACCGTGTACACTAAATTACAATGGCTCAATAGGAGGTAGAGGACCGACAGGCACCACGCGTGTAGGGTTAACATTCGGGTGACTCTGGTAGTAGTGCGCCTTGATGCTATCAAAGACGGTCGTCTCCTTGAAAGCTGGTTCCTTCCAGTAGAGTTCCCTGACCCACTTGTTGAGGTGTGGGTAGCCATGTCGGATCGTACTGATATTGCACTTGAAGTGTCCCACGTACACCGGATCGAAGCGAATGATTGTGGTGAACAGGCGGATGTCGGCTTCTGTTAGTCTATCCCCGACCAGGTAGCCAGACTTGCTCTTGGAGAGGATACCCTCCACCTTGTCCAGTGCCTCGAAGAGGGGCTTGACATTGGATTCGTATGCCTCCTGCGTTGTAGCAAAGCCCGACTTGTACACGCCGTTGTTGATCTTATCGTAGATCCACTCATTCACACTATCGATGTCCTTTCGCAGGTCTTCCGGGTAGTACGTCACTCCCTTCTGAGCAGCAGGCACATACTCGTCGAATGCATCATTGAGGATACGAATAATTTCTGCCGACTCGTTGTTGACAACCGTCTGCAGCTCCTCGTCCCAAATGATGGGCACAGTAGAGCGAGCCGAGTATTCTGGATCAGCAGCGAGGTAGAAATCTTTGATACGCTTCTTCTTCTCGTGACCGGGCACGTAGCCTGTACCAGGGATTCCTAGACCTTTGAGCTCCTCGTGTGTGTCGCCATAAGGAGGGAAGGTCCACCCTTCGGGGCCTAAGAGACTGTCCACGACGGAGACGGGGAGCACATCGTCTGGGATCTGCTTGAGATGCTTGAGGATCAGAGCACGGTGTGCCCAAGGACAGGCGTACGCTACAATCAAGCGGTACCTGCCCTTTGCCGGCGCGTGCTTTCCGCCAGCCTTGATGGTCTCTCGGAAAGATGAGACCTGGCGGCGGAATTGGCCATCGGTGGAGGACCACTTGGTCGAGCCATCGCTGTGGTTGGCATCAGGCTTGGATGCGGAGGAGGAAGACATCCTGAAAGATCGAGACTGAGAAGAGAAGAGGTAGTGAGAACTTCGAGGCGCAGATGAGAGAAGAGGGAGTGCTCGAGATAGATTGAGCAAAGGTGGCAGGCGAAAGATGGACATGTACTAGTCGTAGTCAGGATGACGCTGCTCCTCTAGATTCTGAGCTTCTGAGCAACCTCTACGACTGGCCGAATGTGCTCCACAAGTCTCCCGGGCGTAAGCATCGGAACGGGAGGAGATCTGCCGCCTCCACCTGTGCGGGAATCATCGCGCCATGGCAAAAGTGTTCTGGCGTCGGCAAGTCGGCTTCTCCGTCTGCTAGGCGGCGAGCCTGACCTCTTCCGCCCTCTGCTTCCTCTTCTCCACAATCCCCCACAGCAAGGCCAATCGGGGGCGACGATGCTGGTCACTTCCTTTATAAGACGGTCTCTAAGACCTTCTACCAGCACATTACCCTTCTCACCACATTCAATACCAGCACCCACATTCACAGTAGTCAGAATGGCAAGCACAACATCAGGACCTGCTCCCCCCAAGGGAGTCTGGAGGACAACGGAGCTCTCCTCGATCCGCTATGGGCCGGGATGCCTAAGGGAGGGTCTTGATGCCGCCTTGAAGGAGGATCTCGGCGGTCGCAAGAGGGCGCTGATTGTCACTGGCAAGTCGCTCAGCACCAAGACTGATGTGATCAAGAAGGTCAAGGAGGCCCTGGGAGAGCGCTACGTCGCAACCCTCGATGACATTGGCCAGCACGCCCCTGTAGACGCCATTCACCGTGCCGTGGAGCTTGTCAAGAAGGAGAAGATCGACGTGCTCATCTCCGTCGGTGGCGGCTCGCCCATTGACTCGTCCAAGGCAGTCTCTTTCTACATCCACGAGGAGCAGAACAAGGACAATGAGGATCCCAACTCGTTCATCCCTAGTATTGCCATCCCCACTACCCTCTCGGTCGCTGAGACGACGCAGAATGCTGGTTTCACAAAGGATGGCAAGAAGACTGGCGTCTCGCACCCGGCTCTGGTACCACGCGTGCTGATCTTGGACGCAGAGCTCACTCTCTCTACGCCAGAGAGGCTCTGGCTCAGTTCAGGCATGAGGGCAGTCGATCACGCTGTCGAGGGACTTTACCGTCCTGGTGACTTCAACTGGGTGCTGCGTAATCAGAACCTCGGTGCTCTTCGTGAGCTCTTCCCCCTACTGCGAGCAAGCAAGGCTAATCCTAACGATTTGCGCATCAGGCAGAAGCTCCAGCTGGCAGCTACCAGCAGTCTCTTCCCTGAGAAGAGGAGGGGCAACCTTGGCATTTCTCACTCCCTGGGACATGCTTTGGGCTCCACCTACCAAATCCCGCACGGGATCACCTCGTGCCTTACTCTCGCACACGCTATCGAGTACACTGCCAAGCTGGAGACGACGCCTACCGAACAGCTCCTCTCCCTCGCAGACGCACTGGCGTACATTGCGCCGCAGACGAACCGTCTCACAGACCCAGCACACCCAATCTCCATCGAGGAGGCGAGACAGAAGGGTGTCGAAGTCGGCGTCGAAGTGGGCAAGCTGGTGCGTGATCTAGGCCTGAGCACCACCCTCGACGAGTGGAAAGTGCCCCACGAGGACTACGAAGGCATCGCCTCGCACGCCGCCGGCGGTGATAGTGCGATTGCCTCCCGCGTCCAGACCCAGATCTTGGGTAGGATCTCAACCAAGGGCCCCGGAACTGGCGCGGGCCCTTCTTCAGCTGTGAGTAAGGTATGAAGGAAACCTCTTCTGAGCACCGGCGCTCATACCACCATCATCTGGTTTATCCTACACGCAACAGTCCGCCTGAACACAATCACCTTCCTCCCCTTCCCCCTCCTTCCCCCACTCCGTCCCCTTCCTCTTCTTCATGCATTGCAGAGACGCCTGCACACAATTCGAGACTCCACGAGACGCACTCCTCCTCCGCCTCCTTCTACACCTCCTCCTCAGACTCCGCTCTCCTTCAGCGACGTCTTCCCAGCCCTTTTGCGCTGTCTAGCCTATGGCTCTGTAAGCTACTTTACGCTCCACTTGGCCTGGCAACATCTAGACGAGGTGGAGCAGCGGGAGAAGATGGATGGGGAGAGGAGAGGGATGGAGGAAGCGGTGAGAGAGGCAAGAGGGAGGGTGGCGGTATCGCAGGAGGTGGTGTGAGATGAGGTGAAGAAGGTGAAGGGTGGAAAATGTATTCTAGCTGTCCTCTTTGATCAATATCACCATCATTGAATGAAGAAATGCGTCCTACATGATGCGATGCGTCAATGAGAAGTCTGGGGCCAAAGGTGCTCCTTGTACTGTCTAAAACATCGTCCCGCAGTGTGAGCTCCTCTCATCTTCACGCAAGAGTGGGCCGGGCAGAAAGGTGATGTTCCATTCATCTTCTCCTACACCACCCCGGTAGAAGTCAGGTACAACGGACGAACCAGCCAATGTGAACCGCTCCTACATCTCGGCTCCTTTGCCTTTGGCACGCAACTTCTTTCGAGCCTTGGCCACAGGTGATCGCTCGATGCCCGAATCGCTGCCTCGTCGGGATGGCTCAGCGACGGTGCCATTGAGAGTATCAATGGCGAGGATCCCCTCGGGTCGATGTCGCTGACTCTTCAGTATGAGAGCTCCGGTTCTCTGCTGGACGATATGGATGAAGGCCCAGGTGAAGAAGAGCTGGTCGCGCGTCTCCTTGTCCAGGCGCACTTTGCGCTGCTCAGACGTCTCACTAGCCCCGGGGGCATCAGGGTCCTTCTGTTCAGGCTTGGGCTTGACTCTATTGTGCGCAGCGGAACGGTGGGGACGGATTCGACTAGCCTTGGCGATCGCAGTAGCACTCGACAGCTGCTGTGTCCGCTTGACGACTTTCTGGGTGAGAGCTTGCGTCTCGGATTCTGTAGCTTCAAACTCCTTGACCAGTTGACTGGCAGAGGCAATTGCCTCTTTTCGCGTCGCAGCGTCAGCCGAGTCCATGTTCGCCTTGCAGTGCTGAAGCCCGTCGAGGAGTTTGGCGACCCTTGCGGCATGGGCACGGTAATCCTCTGCCTCATCTGCATCGTCACTGATGTCGCTTGCTAGAAGAGTAGTTGGGGATTTGCTGAGGGCTGGCAGGGCTGGCAGAGTAAGACCTTCATTCGACTGCATCTCTTCTGGCTTGTCCGCAGGTGCATCTCCTAGTGAATCCGCATCGGGCACTTCCGCAAGCGCATCGAAAGGATCCAGACATGAGGACGCTGGCAGAAAGACTTCTTCCACTACACATGCTGTATCAGAGCAGACTAGCGTTGTCTCGAGGACTAGCCCGGCGCTCTTGCCTGACTCCGGGGCTGCCTGTTTCGCAGGCAGAGACCCCTCTTCTCGCCTCGGCGTCTGCGAATCGGACTGTTGTCTTTGCTCTGCTCCAGGAGTCTCGACCAGCGTTTTGTCCGGTGCCGTTTTGCATTCGCCTGCATCGACTACAGGAGGCGCAGGGACAGCGGCGGGCGCCTTGCCGACTTGGCCCTTGCCAAGCTTGCAGGTGGTTGTGGGAGACTTCTTAGCCGGCAGACGGCTGCTATCAGTCTTGACCTGGCCTCGCTGTCCTGCCAGCCTCTTGGCTTCGAGCTCCTTGAGCTCTTTCAGGGCTGCAGGGTTGTGCTTCTGTAGCTTGAGAACCTCCTCGAAATCTCGTTTCGCTTGCTCATATCTGCCCTGGCCGACTTTGCTGACTCCACGACGAAAGAATGCTTTATAATTTGATGGATCCATTGACAAGGCTGACGAGCAGTCCGTCTCGGCTGAGGAGAAGCACTTGAGCTTGATCCGGCAAGCTGCGCGATTGAGCGGGTAAATGGGATCCTCTGCGTCATATTTGATCGCTCGTGTGTAGAGCCCATTAGCTATGACATAGTCGGACATCGTGTATGCAGTGTTACCAAGGTCTCGGAAGTGCCGGGCAAGGATCCTGCGATAGCCAATGCTCATTGCCTCAAGGGCCGGTCTTTTCTTCTCGTCCGCCTTCAAGAGACGGTCAAGGTCCTTCTTGAGCTGTGTGTGTTGTTCACGCAGAGAAGGAACAGGGACATCTCTCTTGCGGTGTAGCTCAACGCTCGGGGCCGATGGTCCAATGGTCGGAGGAGGCCCGGCAGCAATCAGCTCGCGCATGGCCACTGTATAGTACAGCTCGAGGCCCGTGAGACCCGAGATAAATTCGCGGCTGACTTTCCAGGTCCGTATGTGCGTCGCTTCAAGCTCGCCGGCGGCCTCCCACAAAGTATCCCTCATCTTGTTGAGCGCATCCGTGATCTCGGTCTTGTAGGGCAAGCCTTCAAGAATGATGCCCGAGTCCATCCAGTCCTCATCAGCAAGTGATTCCATCATGGTCACCACTTTGGACTCTTTCAGATGCACAACTTCAATTGGAGGTGGAGTCACCTGGACTTCCTTCCATACTGTCACTAGATGCTCCAGGCAGGACATGCAATGCGTGAAGGAGCACGCACAGGGAGGTCCTAGTGTACCAAAATCGTGACCATGGCTTGCGCCTATGTTGCAAAGAGCATCAAAGCAGTCGTCGGTACCTTGCAAGATCAAATCTCCACCAAAGTCTGATTCGCAGAACTGCTTGATGCATCCTTTGAGCTCTTCTTTGAGGCTAGCATTGTCCGCCATCTCTTTGATCAGCTGCATCATCAGGAAGATAGCATCGTTGCCGAAAGTCAGCGAATCTTGCGACGCCAAAAGGCAAGTTGCCTTGTTACAAGCTCACCTGGAGGTCGAAGTCAACGTCGGCGAGCTCAATGAATTGCTCTCTCGTCATGTGATCTTCGATTCTCTTTGGTATTTCGCGAAGATTGCTTGAGGCTGCGGTGTCAAATGCAGCAAGGAAGACTTCCTTGAGCAGTAGTGAGACTCTTCTCAGCCTCGAGCTCGATATATTGCGACTGTCCGTGCGAGAAAGAGGCGGGACGCGAAGGGCGTTCAGTCATGTCGATCGGGGCATCGCGATGACAGACCGAGTCAGGGCGAGGCCATGCTAGCATATAGGGGCGTCTGCGTTCCCTAGCTCGGTGAGCGATCGCCATCGGCTGCTTCACCATACTCACTGGTCGCAGTCTATACGGTGATCGTCCGGGTGCGGGTCACGATCCAGCCGAAGACCGGAAGGTGTGTTAAGTCTGCCGGATGTACGTCGCGAGGTGATTGGCGGGATCCCGATGGTCGCTGCTCCTTGCTTTGATTCTCTCTCTGCCTTGCGTAATTTGTTTGTTCTGCCTCGCGCCATGATGTCGATGCGATCGCTGCACTGGGGTATGAATGGGTATAAAGGGGCGGGTATGTGTGGGCGGGTATCCTGAATCAGGTATGCTGTCGAATCTATACACCTTGTCGTATCACTTTAGCGTCTTGGGTCGTCAAAGAAATCGTGAGGTCATTAAGACGTGAATTGTTCGTATCTGGTCCTCGATACGGGCTGCAGGGTCATCTACTGATGCGAGACTGTAGCGAATTGTGTATGAGACGCTTCGGTCAAGAGCTGATCTTTGGGGATCCAGAAGGAGGATGGCAATGTGAAGGTGGGATGCGAAGCTTTCGATCATCGATCGTGGCCCGCGAAGCCCCTTTCCCAGCGGCTGTCACGACTGTTCCCGTATTGACTGGAGCAGGCGATTGAGCAGTGAGAAGGGTGGCAAGGCTCCTGGACACCAACGGAGAGGAGCCAGGGGAAAGGACGCGCCTCGTCCTTCGGACAATTGTCGTTACGCCGCCGGCCTGTCAAGGGTGCTTGGGCCCACGCGAGGCCGTCGGAACGGAACCAGGGCGGGGCAGCAGCTGCCGCCAAGTCTGCCTTTGAGTGGTGCCGGGCTGCCGGGCTGCCTGGCGCCTCTGCTCACTCACGCGCCCACGGAAGGCGGGAGTCGAGGGCCAAAGTGCTCCCGCCGCTTCGGCTCCTTCCCATCGTCACCACTCGCATCTCCTCCTCCACCATACCAGGGCCGGACAAGGTGACATACCGCGGCTTCTGAACACCCACACACTTTGGGTCTCGTCTTCGTAATCCTTCGCAGTCATCTTCCACTAGCATATACACCCCAACATGGTCGGCCAAACATCCCTCCTCGCACCTCTGTTCGAGCAGCAGACCATTGCCGCATTGGCATACGTCGCCTCCATGGTTGGCACCGCCCTCGCCTTCGCAGCGTTCGCACTCCCCAAGTCATCCTCGCCGTCTTCCACCGAGATTGCAGTCAACGGATCTGCAAAGGGAAAGCGGCAATCACCTCGCAAGAGCAGCCCGGCCCTCACACAAGCAGAACAGGAGCGGAACATCCTTGCCGGAAGCAAGGTCAAGCTCATCTTCACCTGGCTCGTGTTTGACTGCATCTGCCACTTGACCCTAGAGGGATCTTTCCTTTACTTGTCTACCTTTTCAAGGACAGTCAACAACTCAAAGGGCTTCTTCGCTTACCTCTGGCAAGACTACGCCAGGGCCGACTCGCGATGGGGCACTGCCGACCCTACAGTCGTCGCTCTTGAGATACTGACGGTATTGGGCGCGGGTCCCATGGCTGGCTATTGCGCCTATCTACTGAGCCAGAATAAGTTCAGTTACCACTACTGGACCGTCGTACTCTCCACTGCCGAGATCTACGGAGGCTTCATGACCTTTGCCCCAGAGTGGCTGACCGGATGCAAAGCCCTGGCGTCCGACAATTGGATGTTCCTCTGGGTCTACCTCTTCTTCATGAACCTGGTGTGGGTCTTCATTCCCTTCTACCTACTCTATGACTCTTTCAGGGCCATCACCACCAGCACTAGGGCTGGAGCTGTGAGCCACATGACGAGCTCGCCCGTTGGCAGTGGAGTAGTGCAGCAGGTCAAGACGATCAAGGTGGTAGAGACCGTAGGAGGTACTGCGTCGTCGTCTGAGCTCTCGAACATCGACACACAGGGCGCTATAAACAATGCCAGGCAGGCGGAGGAGAATGTTTTCCTCTTTGTGCCAAATCTCGTAGGTGAGTCTGTTCGGTATTGACACTCGCTACCTTTCCCGATTCTGACTTTCACCTTTGATCCGAATTCTTTTCCGCAGGCTACACTCGAGTCATCCTCGCGGCTCTCTCTCTGTACTATATGCAGATTCATCCCAAGGCTTGCACCTTCCTGTACGGCGTCTCATGTCTCCTGGATGCAGTAGACGGAGTGGCAGCGCGTCGCCTTGGCCAATCGACCAAGTTTGGCGCGGTACTAGACATGGTGACAGATCGTTGCACAACGGCCTGTCTCCTCTGCTACCTTACAAAGACCTACCCCAAGGCTGCCCTCGTGTTCCAATTCCTGATCACACTCGACTTTAGTAGTCATTACATTCACATGTACTCCTCGCTCTTGACTGGCGCGGCCAGCCACAAGCTCGTCACTTCGGAAGTCTCGCGCATTCTGTGGTACTATTACAACGACAGCGTAAGTCGCAGCTGAACGCCTTTGGTGAGGATCCGGTCGCATCATCTGACATCTTCTTCCCTTTCCCTTTCTAGCGCACCCTCTTCTTCTTCTGCGCAGGTAATGAGCTCTTCTTCGTCTGTCTCTACCTGATAGAATTCTACCCCACTCCCCTGGGGCTAGATCCAGACTGGCTCCTCTGGCCTCTCGGCTCAGCTCTGAGGACACAACTGCTAAAGCAAGCCGCTCTGAGTCCAGACGGCTGGAGCGGTTTCTTCTTTGCCGGCGTGGGCAAAGTGACTTGGCCCATGGTGGCTGCTGCCATTACGCTTCCCATCTGCTTTATGAAGCAGGTCTTCTCTGTGGTTCAATTCTGGACTGCTGCTAAGGTCCTTGTTGGAGTGGATTTGGAGCAGCGGAGACAGCTTAGAGCGGAAGGAAAGCTCTAGATGTGCCATCGCAGGCAGGGTGCAAAGGACAAGGAATTTGCACTCCTCTTGGGAAGCGCTGGGGTAGAAGCAAAGAGGAAGGCCACTAGATGCGGACACCTGAGGAAGTAGGAGTCAGGAGGTTGCAGAGGGCTACGCTGTGGACGTGGTACAGGTCGTAGCGAAGCAAGGCTGGATAGTGGGTTGACGCGGTATCCACGCGTCAAGCGTCATACGTTACATCTCCGGACGCGGAGCGTCAGAAGGAAGGGATCTCTGGGACGGTGATCATCTCTATGTACCCGAGCAATTATGGCCAATGAGACAATTACACCTGATTTCTATGGACTCTTCTATTGTACAGATCATCTCTTATGCGACTCTTCTTGTGCGCTCTCGCCCTGTCCGCCCGTTCTTTCCCCCACGTCCCTCCCGAGTCGAACTCTCCCCAAGTTCACATCACGCTCACGTCCCTTCTACTGCATCAATCATTCCGCCGGGTATACTCATTCCTTGCTAGATCCACTCATCGCGCCTGCGACTGCGTGGAGGCGGCCAAACAGATCCTCCTTGCTTGAGCGGCTTCTTCGATCCTGGCGTGCTCGCGCTGTCCTCTGCCTCCGAAAGTTGGCGCTGACGCCTCGGCCCCCGGGAAGGGCCCTGCATGACCTGTTGATGGTCATGCGTGTATGAGATGCCGTGGGAGGCAAGGATCTGATCCTCGACGGCTTTCTCCTTGCCCTTTGCCGGACTGGACTCTCTCCTCTTCTTTCGAGAGATGCTCCCACTAGGCCTTGCGTCCGCATCCGACTCGCCAGCATCGCTTCTGGTATCCTCGCGCGTGTTGGGCTCTTCGTCGCTGTCATCACCGTGAGCGCCAGCAGCGGGCGAGCCGAGGTCTCGGAGGAATTTGCGCACCTCTTGAACGGCCTCGTCGACCTCACAATCCTCGATGATGGCCTTCGTGATCGTGCCGGACTCCCGGAAGGAGAGGATGTTCTGAAGCCCAAACAGTTCTCCTTCGTACACTCCTTCCACGCCCGAAAAGAAGCGTCGCTCAGATGATGCACTGTAGGCAATGTTAGCGGCCTGAGACTTGTAAATTTGCCGGCCATATATAATCTCCTCGAGCGTTCCCGCGCCAATCAGACGGTAAACGTACACGTCCCGCTGCTGGCCGAAGCGGTAGGCTCGGTCCATGGCCTGCATATCCTCTGCAGGGTTCCAGCTCGGGTCGAAAATGACCACCTTGTTTGCTCCAGTAAGGTTCAGCCCGGTGCCGCCAGCGCGTGTAGAGATCAGAAACAGAAACATTGACGGGTCGCTATTGAAATCATCGACTTTCTGCTGTCTCTGAGCCTGGGGGGTGGTACCATCAAGGCGCAAGAATGTCCAGGCAGAATGCTCGACGAACCACTGTAGCCAATTGAGGAGGCGAATCGACCGCGAGAACAGAAGGACTTTGTCGCCCTGCTTTTGCCAAGTGCCAAGCAGATCGCGGAGGACCAGCCACTTGCCGCACAGATTGGGCTGGAGACCATTGCTCGCGTTACAGAGCTTCGATTCCCAACTTTCTGGCCAAAGCGACTCCACATAACCCCGCTGCTTCTCGAACCGCTCACGTACACTCTCCTTTGGACTGCGGAGATCTTCCGGGTCGGGAAAGAACAGCGCAGCGTGGTTGGCAAGGCAGGTCAGGATATTCATGTACCGTAGAATGTCCCTGGCGGCACCTTTGTTGCAGCAGTTCTTGCGGCGGAAGCGTCGGCCCTCGTTGTCCTCGCGGCCGCAGGGGCAAGATTCATTCATGCGCAGCATGAGCCTGACCTCAGGCAGCTCGCAAAACATGCGATACCCTTGCAGCTGTTGCAGTGCCAGAGGACAGAAGATGATCTTGTCCGTCTTGGCCGGCATCTGGTCGGCGATTAGTGCTTTTGTCCGGCGCAGCAGAAAGGGCGGGAGGAAATTCTTTGTAAAGAGCTTGCTAATCAGACGATGATCAGCCACTTCTTCGGCAGAGGCTCCCCTGCGTTGGCCTAACTTCAGAGGCATTGCAATCAGGTCTGTCCAGGCCTTGATGGTGCCGAACTTACGGGGATTGGTCCAGTCGAAAATGGACCACATCTCCTCGTAGCGGTTCTGGATCACCGTCCCGCTCATTGCAATGCGCACCGGGCACCGGAAGCGATTCATGGCCTGCGTCCCCTTGGTGGAGGCCGACTTGAACTTGTGTGCCTCGTCCATGAAGATGCACGAGAAGTCGAGGTCCTTGAGCTCATCGATACGCATGATCGCGTATTCGTGAGATGCTACAACGACATCAAGTCGCCCCCGTTTGAAGGCCTGAAGGGGATCGCTTTGTCCTGTGCCGTAATGTGCGACCTCGAAGTAGCCCCAAGTCTCGAGCTCCTTCAACCAATTCCCAGTGACAGTCTGGGGACAGAGCACGAGACACGTAGGCCATATATCGTTGGCTCGGGTTCCCGCTGCAAAGCGGGACGCCCGAGAAGCCTTGATCCGGCGGTCGAGGTCCTGCTCTCTGCCGGTCTTGCCCATAATTGCAGAGAGGAATCCGATGACTTGCACCGTTTTCCCCAAGCCCATGTCATCCCCGAGAATGGCACCTCTCTTCTCCTGCCAAGCCTTGAACATGAATTTGATGCCCTCTCTCTGATAGTCTCGCAGAAAGCGATTAATCGAGGCGGGAACCTTAATACATGCCTCGGAATCCAGGATCAAGGGGCCAATCTCAGCTTGCTCCTCAGTGCAAGCAAAGCATGGCCGAGCATCTCTCTCTGCAGTGATTGGCGCTTTTTCGTCCTGAGGCAGCTGGCTCAGGCCAGGCCGAGCGACGGGCAGAGCCTTGTGCTTCAGAGACCGCGTCGTCAGCGGAATTTCTTCTTCTTCAGACTCGGAATCTGATTCCTTTGTAGCCTTGACAGCGGAGCGGCTTCTGGCGAGGGAGCTCTCAATCGAGCTTTGAGCCTGCGAGGGGGGACGCAAGCTGAATACCTCGTCCTCATCCGAAGAAATGTCCGTCTTGACTTGAGCGATAGCAGACCGTTTAGACTTGGGAGGCGCGAGCATATCCTCCTCTGACTCTTCGTCACTAGACGCGGCAGGATGGGTGCCAGCCTCATGATTCCTCAAGGGAGAATGATCAGATCCTGGGTCCTCTGTAGCAGGAAGCTGAAGCAAAGGTTCGTTGTCATCACTGCTAGCGGCTTCTGCAGCATCATCGTTCGATCTGCCTTGGTGTGGACGAGCTCTAGATCTCTGTGCAGCGGACCGGGCTGTTATACGGCCAGTGAGAATTGGTACCAACTCCTTCGATGTGGGATCTGCAATTGGACAGAAAGCCGAGAATCAGATAAAACGATCTTCGTACAATCGCTTCAAGATGCTTGTCTACTCACCCAGCAGCTTGCAAAGACTTATAACTCCATCCTCATACTCTTTCGCCGATTCCTCTCGGCTCTTCTTCTGAGGCTTCTGACCTCGGGTCCTCCTATAGACCTTGGCGTCCTCCTTTGCCTCCTTAGCGAAATCATCATCCGAGCTCATCGGCTGCGAAGAGGGTCCGGCTGCTGGGAGAGCTTGAGAACGACCTTGTCTCCTCTGATTGAGAGACATCGTTGCTATTGAGTTGCAATGTGAACATAATTTGGGGAGTTGATGGTTGTATTGAGGGAAGAAGGGTGTGCTATGGCTCCATGGACATCAGGAAGCAACGGAAAGGGGCTGCATCTCCACTTCCGTCCTCGCGTCTCTCTTTCCGTCTCTTGGCTCACATCTTCCGCTACATCAGCCTGGTGCCGTCTAGGAGATTGCATCCGATCGTACGTCTCCTTCGTTCTGTAGCACTGTAGCTATCTGCTACACCATGTCGGACTATTGGGTATCGCGCAAGAAGTGGACTTGCAAGTACTGCGATATCACCATAAACGATGACCTGCCCTCGCGGCAGCAGCATGAGGGAGGATTCCGCCACAAGAACAACGTGGAGAGGGCCTTGAAGGACATCTATCGCAAGAGTGAGCAGGACAAGAGGGACAAGGAGCATGCTAGGAGGGAAATGCTCAAGATCGAGCGCGTGAGTAGCTGACTTGACAGACGAGGACGATTGTCACAGTGTTCTTATTTGACTTGAAACCTGTCTATTCTACCTCCTTCCTCAGCTGGCGAAGGAAGCTCATCAAGGGGACCTCGAACGGCAGTCTGGCTCACCAGCAGCTTCAGCTTCCCAACAACAACCATCCTCAGAGGCAAGCACATCAACCGATGACTCCTCATCCGCCTCGACATCAACCGCGAAGCCGGCACCTCCCTCGACCAGGGCCTGGAAGCCCTCCGACCAATTGTCCGCCTACGGCTCAGCAGCTGCAGACGAGGCGCGGCGCTTAGCAGCAGAGGAAGAGGAAGCTGCTCGCGAGGCTACCGAGGCAGAGGAGGAGGCTCGCAAGCAGGGCATAGCCGGGGAATGGCAGTCCGTCGCCGAGCCGACTCCTTCGGGGTCTCATCTGCAGGGAGACGGGCCGGCGAGCGATCGAGATCGGGCTAGGGCCTTTCGCGTGCGAGAGAAGGTAGCGCCTTCCTACCACGATGGGGGAGCGGACGAGGAGGGATCTCTAGGGCCCATCAAGGTCAAGAAGAGGATCAAGGTCGAAGCAAGTGCGGAGACAGAGGATGAGCAAAGGCGGAGGATGCTGCCACAATGGACGAGCATGTCTCTGAATCGAGGCGGCTCGGCGATGAAGCAGGAAGCAAAGAAGGAGGAAGACACAGACGAGAAGCCGGCAGTGATTCCACCTTCCACTTCGCAGCCTTCCAGAGAAGAACTTGCCGTTAAAGCAGAGGAGGAGGATCGGGTGACCAAGCCAGAGGAGACGAGTCCAGCGGTCACTACAAGTGCAACCGAGAAGACGGACGGTGGTGGCGGAGAGCTGGCGACGATAACACCTGCGACGACAGCAAGAGAGGGATCTGCTGAGGAGAAGGGTGGAGGCGGCGGAGGCATGTTCAGGAAACGCAAAGCTGGGGCAGGGGCAGGCTCGAAGAAGGTTCGGATGTTCTGAACACAGATGAGAGCAACATTGCCAATGGCCGGCGCCTCAAGTTATTGGGATCGCACACTCAATGTATATCTTTCAGGATCATTTCGATTTGAGGGTATGAACGATGTGACTACAATGACAACGCCTACTTCCAGTCATCGAACTTGAGGTCCCACCCGCCCCAAGTAGGCTTGATGAACCTCTTCTTCTTCCCCTCCTGCGAGCTCAGCTCATCGATTTCCTTCATCTCCTCTGCACTCAGGTGGACCAGCTTGGCATTGGCCTCGATCCTAGAAGGAGTGACAGACTTGGGGAGAACGGTGACTCCCCTCTGTGCGCCCCAAGAAATGATGATCTGAGCTGGCTGCACACCATGCGCTTGAGCAATCTTGGTGATCACGGGCTCCTGCAACAGCGGTGAGTCAGTCGACCCTAGCGGCGAGTAGGCCTGAGGTGTGATGCCCTTAGACTGGCAGAAGCGCACAAGATCGTGCTGAGGGAGATAAGGATGCAGCTCGATCTGATTCGCTGCTGGCACGACTGAAGCTTCCGCCAGGAGTTCTTCCAGACGAGGAATAGAGACGTTGGACACACCAATGGCGCGCACTTTGCCACTGCCATCATTGAGGATCTTCTCCATGTCCTTCCACGTCTCGGTAAAGTTGCGATCAAAGTCAATCTTACGACTGCCATCCTCGTTGACGGGGATCTTACCCTGTCCAGAAGGCATAGCGACGGGCCAGTGCATCTGCCAGAGGTCAACATAGTCGACGCCTAGACGGGAGAGTGAGTCGTTAAGGTTCTCTAGCGGGTTGCGGTGGAAGGTACCCCAGAGCTTAGTGGTGAGGAAGATCTCTGAGCGAGGAACACCAGAGTTCTTGATACCTTGACCGACCTCGGTCTCGTTCTGTGGGATGCAAAGGAGAGGTAAGCACGGAAGTCTCGATGCTGCGATCGCCTGACTTCAGAACAACTCACATCGTATGCCCAAGCGCCATCGAGCTGTTCCGTAATAGAAGCGAGCATGATATCATATCAGTCAGTCGCAGCACTTCCAATGCTCTGTTACACCCACCAAAGCAACTCACATGACGGTAGCCGGCCTTCAGTGCAGTCTCAACGGCAGCAGCGACCTCTCCAGGCTTGGCCTGCCATGTGCCCAAGCCCACAACAGGAATCTTAGCGCCGGTGTTGAGTGTGAGGTGGGTAGTACCCGCTGGGACAGATGGGAAAGATGAGCTCATGCCTGTCTCTGTGTGTTGGCTGAGGGTGATGTAGATTGGTAAGATGGTGGAAGGGGAGGGGGGAAGTGTGGGGAAGACTGGCTTTTGAGGGGGCAGCAATGCGGGGGAAGGGCTAGCCTTCCTCGCCGCGAAGTCGCCGAAGCGGAGCTTGGTCGGACACCAGTGCCAGTGGCAGTCAGGCAAAGCAACTCACACCACCTCGACTCTACCATACAGCTCACGACGATCACACTCAAACGTAGCGTTTCTTTTTAGGTGCCCCCAGGCAAATCATATGTCAGGCGAAGAGAAACGCTAAGACAGACAGAGAGTTCCTACGAAGACCCCTTCCCAATGACGAGAAGAGCTGTGGTTCTGCTTCTGACTGATCGACCCTAACAATGTAACCTCGACTGACGATCCGCACTGAGGGGAGATGATCAGGCACGAGCCAATTGCTCGTCCAATTTACGGTGCGAGGACATACTCGCCCCATTCTTATCCAGAAACTTGCTCTCTGGACGCAGACCAGGAGCTCCACGCTCCGATCTTCCAAGATACGAGCATCGACTCGTTCGAGGCTGAGGCACGAGTCGGATCGGCCTCACATTTCAGGGCAACCAGCCCAAACTTGAACTTCGGGATTTGACGACCCGACAGACTCACAGGCACAACGGCCCAACAGATTCGCAGGCACAACGGCCAAAACAGGACACGACGGTCCAAACAGATTCGAGGGTACACTCACCCCACCGGATTCGAGGGTACTCTGACCCAACTTGACAGGACAACACTGTGCCCAAAGACTTGCTGACGCACTTGCGCAGACTTGGTACCTGCTCCCGACGTAGAACGACGGCCGGAAGACTTGATTCTTGATTCTACTCTCGACGTATGACGACGCCCGAGAGACTTGGTTCGTGGTGGCTCCCGACGTAGACGACGTCCGGGAAGCCTCGATGCTTTTAACGTGGTCTTCTAGACACCTGCCCAGTAAGATCCCACGGACACATTCGATCCTCCTCCTTGATGACGAGCTACTTGCTGCTGCTGCGCTAGTGGAGGGCGATGGAGTGACCAGTGAAGGTTTCCATTCGACCCCTTTGCTTCTTCCTCGACTCGATCGATCTCTTGCTTCTTTCTTGCTGGTAAGCGACATCTTGGTTCCTGCTCCGTGTCCCTCACGGTGACACGGTGACTTGCTGATCTCAATGCTGATAGGTCTGCTCGGAGGTGACCTTAGGTATTCTTGGGTGATGTGTGGCCTCGTGCTCAGCTCTTGTGATTCATCCGTAGGCTGAAGATGATGAAGGGATGGGACGAAAGGACGGTCAGTATCGAAGTCGACTAGCAAGAGCGTGGAAGGATGTCGAGCGTCTACTCACTCCACTAACTATCCCCTACCCCCTCTCAAGTGCCCAGCGAAACAAGTCACCTCTACCGGCTGTGGTGAGGCTCTCAAAGATAAAGACAGGATACTCTTGGTCTACTCCTCCCAGACTGTGTGGCAGAGTGATGGCGAGGTCACACTACGCTCGAGAGCGTGTGCTCCGTCCCAAGCGAGGGGAGCCCCGATGGCTGATGAAGAGGTGTAAGGAAAAGAGGGAAAAGGGGTAAAGGGGCGTGGCAGGGCAGGGCCTTTATGTAGGCCCGCTCGAGGCACGACGCTGTGCTGAGCCTTGTTCCCCTTGTGCTGGCCAATTTGCTTCCGCGAGGCACTATGCCAGTGTCCTGGATCCAGGGCTGCCTCGTGGCCCTGTGATGAGATGGCGTGTAGCAGTGGCCCGAGCACAAGGGGTCTCGAGAGCAATGTGATCGGTAATCCTGCCTTTCGGAAAAACTCATACTCACGAGGCAGCCGACTGGCTACGTTAAGAGTGTGAGAGAGCAACACAATCACACCGAATGCGAGCAGAACATGTCCTATTCGTATCGTGGTATGCGCTGGAGCGAACGGGGGATGATGTTACAAGGGCGGACGGCTGGCCAAAGTGTCCCCCAGTGCCAAAAGGGGCCTGTGCCAATGGAAGGCAAGAATATGTGTGCAAGTGGAGACAGATGAAGTGAGGGAAGAAGGGACAAACTGCGCACGGTACAAAATTGCTCTCATGCATCGGTCTACAGTGTCGGCCTGGATCAAGACGAGGAGGGAGAGAGGATGGGTAGGAAAGCTCCGACCTTGGACAGAAGCGAGAGGGGTGAGGTGAACATGTGTCAGCCCTTACTGACCGCTGCCTGTCACCCTGCCGTACATTGACAACTCACCACCAGACTGGGTAAGTCAAAGACGTTCCTCTTGATACTGAAGCAGGCAGCACAAGGCACACTACTGCCATCTGGCCTCTTCAATACCACATTCGCAACGATGCTCTGACTCGTGTTCTCAAAGGCATGAGATGCAAACTTCTCCCAGTACTCGAGCGTCGAGTTCTTGTCCCAGAACTCGTAGATCCGCCTGCCAAGGAGAGTGTCTCGAGACCACCCTGTCAGCATGGAGAACTCCGACCCAACCACGCAAATCTCGCAGGTACGCCGCCAGACGACCGTAGGTGTCCCCGAGAAGGAGATCTGTAGAGCAGGTCGACAAAAGCTCAACTTGTCAGCTCGCGCAGTGGGGCAGGATGTCTGCTGATGCACTCACCAGCTTCTCAAGCTCGAGGACGGTCCTCTGTATGCTTCTCTCCACGAAGATCTCATCTTCTTCGGTCAGAGGCATCTGCAGTGCGATCAAACTCGGTCGAAAGAGACCAAGGGCTCGGACGATGCGAAGCACTTCCGCCTTCTCGAACTTCTCGGTGACAAATTTGAGAAGGAAGTGATAGCCTTCGGTATAAGGAAACGGCTTGGCGGTCGAGCCATAGATCTGGTTCACCCTCTCCCTCCATTGGGCTTCCAGCATCTGCAAGTCTGGTCCATTGTAAGTGGCCCCGCCCCTGACGACTGCCACGTTGTTGGCTTGCCCGGTAGGGAGGCCCTGCTGCGATGCAGATCCATCGAGCTGACCGCCAGTACGGCCACCTACGTCGGGAGAGTTGCTATTTGCAAAGCCATCCTCAAAGCCCAACCGCTGGACGGACCCTAATGACGGCGAAGGCGACGGGACTTCGAGAGCCTTGAAGCCCCCTGAGCCAACCTCGCCCGCGGCGGCATTCGGATCGTTGCCACCGATGGCATGAAGCTGGCCAATAGATTCGGCCTGCTGTTTGCTTGGGTCATTGCTGTATCCAGCTGCTGATGAGCTCGCGAATGGAGTCGAAGAGGATGACGCAGAAGCCCATACTCCGCCGTTCTGCGGCTGGACATCAAGTAGCCAATGTGACGACTGGTCGGTTGCCATACCGACACTAGGAAGGTTCGTGCCGCTAGTCTCGAAGAAGTTCTTGAGGTCAAGTCCACCAGAGACTCCAGGGGTCATTGCTGGGTCTTGCCCCTCTGTGAATGAGGAGCCATACGTACCATCCTGGTCTGGACTGCCAGATAGGAGACTTGGATCGATGCCATTGAGCATTGCGCTCAAGATCGAGTACTCCAGAGACGTAGCTTCTGACTCGAAGGCATGCGGTGGTGTAGGCAGCGTATTGAGCCCACCAATGTTTGCTGCTTCTCCAGCGAACATGCCGGCAGGACCGAAAAGCTGTGAGCCTGCCACAGGTGGAACTTTGTTCGGAGACTGGGCTCCGTTGCCGTCGACAAAGGGGGGAGGGCCAGACGCCGAAGTTGACTGACGCCGGTAATTCCCTTGGCGGGCCGCGGAGGATAGTGCCATCTGATCTTTCCATTCTTTCTCGGCCTTCTCTCTCGCTTTGACTGCTTCTAGCTCTTCTTCATCCAGCAGGTATTTAGCTCTCTTTCTCTTCCCATCCGTACAGTGTGCTCCCATTCCCTTTTTCAAACATCTTGTACATGGCCGTGCTGATGAGTCCAAATGATCGACTTGGTCAGTATTGCTTACTTGCGAACGAACAATGTCACTCACCATCATCGCAGGTCAGGTGTGCCTTCTGACAAGCTGCGCAAGCTCGATTAGCCTTCTTCTTTTTCCCTGGGCGTCCGCTCTCGTCTCCGTCGCCACTTCCACCATCAGAGGCGACGCTTGTGGACCTGGCCTCACTGTCGTCTTCTGCCCTCATTGTCAGAGACTTTTCCCGTTTGATTGCCGCTGGTCTCTCTCGTGCTGGTTTAGCCTTATTTGAGCTCGAAGATGAAGCTGCAGAAGGAGACACCGACGATGAACCCGAGGCAGAGGGGAAAGATGACGTCGAGGCGAATAATCCTTGAGACGCGGCTGCTCCCCCAGTGAGAGCCATGATAGTGTTTCCTGAGTGGGTGGGGCGGACAATTATGGAGCGATGTTGCTTTTCCGGCTCGGGGAGTCAGTGTAGCCGCCCCTTTTTGGATTGGGAAGCCTCTCGATGAGGGAAATCAGAATGACGCAGAATTCTTGCCTGCCGAGAAAGCCGCTTTGCTCACTGCAACGGAGACCGTGGTTCGACTATGGTCCCGAACGAGCGCCTCGATGCAGATCAGCGAGTGCGTGACTCGGCGCTAAGGTGAAGAGACGTAGCTGGTTCGGGCGGTCTCACTGGAGCCACATGAAATGCGTCTGCAGGGGATCAGGAAAGAGGAAGATGTCCTTGTGTTGTTGGAGGCTATTGGGTTACCACTCTCCTGCGCCAGGTCCTCGAGGCGCGAATCAGTAGTCCTGTCTCGCAAGATGCGAGGAACAACGGCTCGGTGATCACACGAGAATCCCCTACTAGCGGATGATCGACTCGGTTCAGTCGATGTGAAGAAGATCTCCGCTTCTGCTGCCCTGGTTTGTTGACCTGAGAACCGGGGTCGAGACAGTTGCTGATGGCAATCAGGTACGAATGCTGGGCAGAAGGGTGAGGCCGTGCGAAGCTCCTTCGGATGCTTTATGCGGCCGTACTTGCGCCTGCAAAAGCGGCAACGCGGGCACCTACAGCTGGCCCGAGGATACTTTGGCCAAGGGATGTCTGGAGAGTGAGAGATCCAGTGGAGGTCAAAGGGCAGTGGTAGGAAGGTGTGAGGAGACCGAAGGAGGTGGCCAGGCCAGACTCTTCTTGGGGTAGGGGCGAGCCACAAGGCTTGGCCTGTGAGCCGTGCCATCCCTGAGCCGCGCCTGGCCCAGAGCTCCGCCGCCCTGTTCCTGCCCCGCCCCGCCCTTCCATCTACGCCGTCGCTTGACCCCACTTCTCACCACTACCGACCGTTCGCCTGTCCCTCGCTGCTACTCCTACAGCAAATCATCAGCAATGGCAGCCTTCAGAGCATCAAGAGCTCTGCTGAATGAGAGCAAAAGGTCAGGACAAATTAGGCAAGCGGTGCTCAGGCGCCCCTCTCGTCTCCCATTTGCAGTGCAATTGCTAATCCGTACCACTTCTTCCACGTCCGTGCTCCACCCTACAGCTACACCTCACCACACAAGTACCACTATGTAGAGGGGCGATCGCCGTTCTGGAGGAAGTTCAGGGAGATCTTCTCGGCCAACCCGGAGATCAGCTCCGGTCTGCCTCTTCCTCACATGGTGAGTACAGCTTGCCAAGGCGGGGGGCGCATAGGACCTGGCGGGAGTCCCGAGATCAGGCCTTGCAGAGGTTGCGGAGCCTCTCTGTATCAACAGGTCCGTCATTCGATCGAGGCTGACTCTCTATGCGTTCCCTCGAACTCTTCGAACTCTCCTTTAGCACCGATTTCCCACACCAGGTGGACGCAAGGAGCACGGAGCTACTGCCCCTTCCCGAGCTTCTGACCCAGCTGGAAACATGTACTACAACCGAGACTTCCGAAGGAAGTATCCAGCTCTGGATATGATCACACAGCAACACCTGACCAAGATCTTGCTCGCTGCTCCTAACGAGGATGGAACAAAGACGTGAGTTGAAACAGTACGGGAAGCACCTCGGAAGCGAAAGAAGCATCCTATGATCTGGACAGTCAACGACATTTGATACTGACATCTTTGAGACTTTCCTGATTCCCTCCCGTATTAGTCTTGCTGCCCCAGGAGACGACACGTCCTCGCCCACAACCGCTCTCACCATTCCCTCGGACCTGTCCTCGCCTTCGGCCTTCACCGATGTTCTAGCTCAGGTCTCGAAGAAGGACGAGAATGCCTATTCGACCAGCAGACTCCCTCCTACACCTCCTTTCAAGAGGCCGCACCACATCCTGAAGATTCAGAAGGGGGCTGTGCCGCACGACCCGCACGCTTACTACCCAGCAGAGAACTACGCCTAAGAGCACGGCATAGAGGAAGGGCAGGCAGGGCAGCGGATATGAGCTATGCTGATGTGCAGGGGGACAGGCCGGATGTTCGAAGAACGCATGTTACCGTCGTCTCTCTCGGTCTGAGCGCCGTCACTATCTCAATGTTCATCCTTTGCTCCCGAACGAATCTACTTTTAGGAGCACGATTTCCCGAGCGAGCGGTGGTGGTGCACAGAGGTCACGTAGTTCCGGGTGCGACCATTCGAGGCCGCGAATTGAAGGACGCTTGTCCCTTATCAGCAGAAGGCCATCGCAGCGAGGGGACTGAGGATGATTCAAAGTTGGCCCACGTGCGCGGGTATCGCTATCTGTATGTCTCATGGCCTGTATCCGTGCGCGTGTGACTCTTTACCCCGGATCTTGGTCAGCAGGGTGTACGCTCCGCCACTTCCTCCTCAATACCACGCTGGTGGCCGTCACACCGGGCTTCATGGCGCATCGATTCGAAGTGGCTGCCGTCCCATATGCAGCTGGGACCTCAGCCGAAGGCGACAATGGCGACGCTGCCAGACTGACCAGCTTCCTGAACGACCCTAGCTTGATTGACTTCGACCGACTCTTCGTTCAAAGCTATGCGTCCTCCTCCTCCTCTCCTGCCTTGCCCGACCTGTCATCGCCGGCGGAGACCTATCTGACAGGGGAGCCTCGTCTTCCCTTGTGCTCCAACACTGGCACAAGCTCAGCTTGGTCACCGCCTTCGAATGGGGTGAGGATAGCACGGCGAATGGGCGTGAGCTGCACAGCCTGCTCCCTGAGAAAGGTCAAATGTGACAGGCAAGAGAAGGTGCACGCCAGACGCAGGTCGTCAGGTGACTCGTCGAGCCCGAACGACATCGTCTGCTCAAATTGCTCCAGCCATGGCCTGCAGTGCACTCTTAAAGAGAAGGCAAAGGTAAAGACTCGCACGGGGGCTCGGCTGAGGAAGCTCAAGGACCAACGGCAGGATCATGACAATGCCAGCAATGCATTCTCTACTGTCGAAACGCTCTCGCAACCCAGCGACTACGAACCTAGCCCACCTGACAGTACAGCCATTGGTCCAGCTCATGGTCTGTTCGGCGTGCCGGGTCTCACCCGCCCCATCCTCGAGGCCAGCCTTCAGGCCTTCTTCAAGTGGGTCGGGCCATCTGCCTTTCCCGTTCGAGCTTCTGACTTCGCCCGAAGCTATACGGCTTTCTGGGATATCCAAGAGGGAAGACGTCCACGAGCATATCCAGTGATCATCGAATACATTCTAGCTCTGGCAGCTGCCGGTGTGAGTCAGCTAGAGCCTGAGGACGACTGCTACCTTGGTCCTCTCGTGGATAAGTTCGAAATGCAGAGGAGGATCTTGGTGAGGGTTGTTCGCCACATAAGAGAACAGCAATGGAGGCAGCGAGATGACAAGGATGCTATGGAGGCGCTCATGGCCGTCTACACTCTCGGATTTCTCGATGCGGAAGAGGGTATTCTTGACGAATCTGAAGAAGACTGCCCTACCAAGAAGCCAATGTCAGATGCCACAATGTCGGCGCTGCTGATCAAGTTGTCGCTCAACAGGGCTCCAAAGCTTGACCCCCGAGCTCCAGCCAATGGTCCAAGATGGAGAACCGGCAGAGGAGAGCGGCTCGTGGACGACGAAGAATGTGCACTTCGGATCAGACTCTTCTTCTCAATCTATTACAACGACTCGTACCGTGCGTTCAGCATCAAGCAGCCGCCCGCCTTGACGTCGGACTGCCACGATCATCAGGAAGCGGATCTCTTATTGCACGCAGACTATGCTAGAGGTGTGATAGATGTTGTGCCCTCTATCACAACGACTGCCGAGGCAAAAGCTTTCGAAAATCTCATCGATCTCAGTGCGGTCCATTTGGGCCGATCCGTGCGGTCGTACCTTTCTGCCTTCACGTCTGTACGCTCTCAAGGGCTGGGCATACCGGCCTCTACAGCTCTAAAGGCGCTTCAAGACTGGCGAGACTGGTACAAGGCACACCAGGCACTCTTGGCCATAGATGATCGAATCCCCTTGGACTGGCGGAGAGGAAAGGCAGCTAGGCCGACTGGTCACAACTTATACGCGCTGATTCGCTGCCTTTTCTTCGAGATGCTCTACAATGCTCAGATTCTAGCAGCGACGACCGCCATCCAACAGTACGGGTTGAGACAGGAAGAAGAGACGTTGGAGCTGGGACTGGTCAAGGCAGAGTTCGAGAACACTGTCTACGAAAGATTGAGTAGAGTGGCAATGATCAGCAGGATGTGTGGCAGACTGGGCGTTGTACGGAGCTTGCCGCTCATATACAGGTAAGTTGCGCGCCTTCTCAAATCAATGTCCATACACCCACCAGACTCGCTGACTTGTCGGACGCCTCTCCAACTGTGCTCCCTCCCCCACGTAGAAACGTCAGCTCGGGATTCTGTGCCTGGACACTAGGAGAGATACGTAAGGTCTCTCTAGGAGGTGCAGAAGTTCCGGACGGACAGCCGCCCATCCCCGCGCTCTTCTCCATGATCGAGGAGATCGCGTATGGCATCGGCACCGTCGATTCGGCTCGCAGCACCCCAGCCATGCACGCCTCCCTCACTGAACAAATCGCCCTGGTGAAGGCCCGAGTACTAGGCGGCGATACATTGCTGGCGCAGTCTGCCGGCTCAGTCAACCCAAACCAAGACCCGCCTGCCCCGCCTCCGAGTCATAGTGCCAATGACTCCGATGGTCTAGTGCCACCGGCGGTGACCTTCGCTTCTGGCTTTGAGATTCCCCCTCCCACTATGGAGGAGCTTCTTCGCAGCATGGAGACTGAATGAGGTTATCCGGGGCCCAAAGTTGTGCCACGTGGTGCGCGCATTATCCTCTGTATCATACCCTCAGCGTGTCTGTATTGTTATCTGTGGACATGTAGCAATCTTTGACTTTGACTCGTTTCCAAGACTGCGCTCCGAAGATCCGAAGATGCCGTCGAGTCATCTCCCGGCGGATGGGGAGACACTGCCCGCTGCGTCGTCGGACATCGGACGTGGACGCAGCGGAGGCGCGAGTGATCTGGGCGCGGCAGGCGGAGCGAGAATAGACTAGACGAGACAGTATTCCGAGGAACGATAGTCTCGTATCAGCCCGTCCGCCTGACTCAGACCGTTCCTTCTCAGCCAAAGCCTCGTCCCTCGCATAACTCATCCTTGGCGAGCGAAGAAGTCTTCCAATCTGGGTCTGGATCTTCTCATATATTGAGCGTACCCATCTGGGCACTTCAGACCACTCACAGCAACGCAAACCTTGTTCTGCCTGATCTGTGCTCGCCCTCTCCGCCCTCACCCATTCTCGTCTTCCTCTTCCCTCTCCCCCTCCTCCTCATCACCACCACTAGCTCAACAACGCTGGATACTGTGAATCAGACAGACGTGCATACACTGACTTTGCCTATGCTGGGTTGTTCGAAGGTTCACGACAACGTCGACTGGACGCCATGCTTCCGTGAAAAGTGAGTTTGCTCTGGCCCACGTAACGCCAGGATCTTTGTGCTAACTGGTCCCTCTGCTGCCTCGTCATCAGGTTCCTCAACACAGCGCTACCTCTAGGGGCGCTTTTAGTCTCCCTGTTCGTCTTCTTGCTGCAATATGCGCACTCCACGCGGAAACATAAGAGGTCCGCCAAGGTCATTGCTCAGCTGGACCCCTCTGCGTCCAATTTTGCTACCGCTCGACTCACTGGGGAGGGCGGAGTTGATGGGCAAAGAGTGGACCAGCGAAGTAGCCTCTTCTCGAGGGCTGCGAAAAATCTTCCTTCATGGAGGTCTTCCAAGAATAATGCCAAGAAGGGCAAGGGATTGGCAGGGGAACCAGTCAGCGCAGCGACTGTTGCCGTTTTCAGGACGGAGAATGCCATGATCCTCAACGAGGTGCATTCCATCCCTCTGCGCCAACTTTCAGCACCTGAGCTCGCCAGGAAAAGGGTGTTGGACACATCAAAGAGATGCGTTGATACATTTGGCGCCATCATCATAGCTTCGCTACATGCTGCTGGCTGGATGATGGGAGGTGGACGGACAGAGGCAGTGTGGAGCACAACATGGGTGAGTGGATGAGACATCAGGAGGCAAGGTGAGAAGAATTTCTGCAGAGTCCTGCTGACACAACATTGCCGATCATTCACTTCCCACCTCCAGATCTATCTCGCAGTCTTGGGAGGCTTCTCACTTGGTACATCGCATTCACTCTACAGCCACAAGACGGCAATCTTTCTGATCTACTTCGTCGTCGCAATATCAAACCTGCGCTCGACTGTTATCAGTCATGAAGAATTCAAGGCTGACCTTGTCCTTGCAGCGGTGAAGCTCGCAGCGGCTGGCCTCATCCTGATCCCCACGTTGTTCTTCCCGCTAGAGAGTAAAGTCCCAGCTCACTTGGCAGCGATCCACCGCACAATGCAAGCTCGATCTCAATTCGGGGTGCCGGGCACAGCTATCCCTTCTCCTGCCCCTAGCTCGCCTTTGTTGAGGGCACAGAGAGACGATGAAGCCTCAGCTGATCTCAACAATGGCGACCTCTTGGACCGTCTCGCAGCGAGAAATGCGGAGGAAAAGATTCGGGATGAGGCTCCTCCCCCACCTGAAGTCCAAGCATCTCTCTACAGCCGCCTCTATTTCAGCTTCGTCACGCCAGCAATGATCAAGCATTACAAGACGCAGTTTACACTGCCCGCCGTGCCTGATCTTCCACCGGGCGATAAAGCCGCTGCTGTCGTGGCCAGCTTCAGAGCCGAATCCAACCGTGACACAAATGACAAGAGCGGAGACGCCAGTACGCTGGTACCGTCCAATCGTCCCCTAGCTGGAAGGCTCATATGGCATTATCGCAGCTTACTCCTCCTACAGATCATGTGGGCCGCTGTCGAGGCTGCTCTGGAGATGTCTCCCGCCGTGGGACTGCGAGCCTTGCTTGCCTATCTCGAAGAGAGGGACGCAGAGAGGAACGGAGGTGCCAAAGCCATGACCCCAGTTCACATGGCCGTATTGTACGCAGTGGCGATGGGAGTTGGACAAGCTCTTGGGGCTATTTGCGCTTCACAGAGCTTGTTCATTGGTAGGCGGATTTGCATCAGGCTTCGTGCTATCTTGATCACCGAAATAATTAGCAAAGCCTTGAGGAAAAGCGATGTCAGCCGAACTACCAGCGAAGAGACAAGTTCGCCAGCTGAAGGTGTCAAGAAGACGAAGGGAAAGGAAGACGACAAGCAATTGTCTGCTACGGACGGTCAGATTGCGAATCTCGTCTCCGTCGATGTGTTCAAGGTCTCGGAAGTATGTGCATACTTGCACTTTGTGTTTCCTCAGGCTCCTCTCATCCTTGGCCTGGCCCTCTACCTCCTTTATAGTCTCTTAGGCTGGTCCGCCCTCGCGGGCTTCGCCGTACTCGCAGCCGCCATGCCAGCCCAGGCTCTTGTCGCGCGGTTCTTTGTCAAACTACAGAAGCAGCTGCTAGAAGCGACCGACAAGCGCCTGAACCTCACGACTGAGGTGCTCAATTGTATCAAGACTGTCAAGTTCTTTGCATGGGAGGAAGCATTTGCTGCTCGCCTAGGAGAAGCGCGAGCTCGAGAGCTACGCGTCCTGAGGAAGCGTAGCTTTGCTTGGCTCCTTGCGACTTTCTTCTACTTTGGCAGTCCTGTGCTCGTCACCGTCGTGACGTTCGGAATCCATACCCAGGTCCGCAAGCAGGCCTTGACGGCTGAGACAGCCTTTACAGCATTGGCGCTCTTCAATCTCATCCGAAATCCTCTAGATGCTCTGCCGGACATGATTGTCAATATCCTCAGTGCGCTCGTCTCAGTGCGACGTATTGATTCTTTCTTGAGAGAGCCGGAAACCCTGAAGTACGAGCAGTTGCTTCGAAACGAGGCTGACGGACCGCCAAATCCGAGCGACCCTGTCGTGGGCTTTGAGCATGCCACCTTCGTCTTCGGAGCAGGCAAAAGCGATGCTGGCGCCGACAGTGATGGAGACGCAACCTCTGCTGAGCAATCCTTCGCTCTTAAAGACCTGACTTTGCATTTCCCAGAGGGCAAGCTCAGTATCATTACGGGACCAGTGGGAGCGGGAAAGACCTGTCTTCTGCTGTCTCTGCTAGGCGAGACCAGGAGAGTCAGCGGTCGCACTTTTATGCCTTGCCCCATTGCTCGTGCATTGGAGCCGGTCAATCCCGCCACGGGACTATCCAATACTGTCGCCTATGTCTCCCAAAGCGCTTGGCTCCTCGGCACTACCGTCAAAGAGAACATTTTGTTTGGGTCGCCCTACAATGACCAGCGTTATCGCAGTGTCCTCAAGGCCTGTTCTCTCGAGCCCGACCTCAAGATTCTCGAGTATCACGACGAGACTGAAGTGGGCGAAAAAGGCACATCGCTGTCCGGGGGACAGAAGGCCCGTGTCGCTCTGGCCCGAGCTCTGTACTCCTCTGCACGGTACATCCTGATCGATGACGCCCTCAGCGCAGTCGATGCCCATACTGCTGAACATCTGTACAAGGAGTACCTCCTGGGACCTCTGATGAGCGGTAGGACATGTCTATTGGTCACACACTCGGTCTCATTGGTCTTGCCCGGCGCCTCATACGCCGTGGTGCTTGACAATGGACGAGTGACGCGAGCCGGACCAGCTGACGAGCTCGCAGCAGACGGCGTCTTTGACCATGAGACTGGACCCCGATCGGTCAAGCCGACGGAGAACGGATTATCGAACGACAAAGGCGCTTCTGACGATGAAGCTAATCCCATCATCGAGGAGGTCGATGATAATGCTCGTGCGCACGAAGAAGCGGAGATCAAGATCAAACAGGATCGAAAGAAAGTCAGCAAGCTCGAGGAGACGTTTGGTCAGGGAGCTGTTGGCGCTGCTCAGTACTACCTTTACGCTCGGTCATTCTTCAAGAGCGCAGTAGCCTCTGTGGTCTTCTGGATTGTGGCAGTGATCCTCTTCTTAGCTAGCAGAGGAACCGATGTGGCCAACTCGGCTTGGCTGCGCAAGTGGGCTGCTTCTTACTCGCCTCATCTTGTCAAAGAGCAAGGACATACGTCTCAAGAGCTTGGTACGCTGCAACAGATGATTTACAATCAAGGGCCGGCTCATGCATCGCAAGTAGTCTTTGCCAATGGCAATACTACTGCTGTCAGTAGTCTCTGGCAGCCTATTACCGCCTTGATGGCTGACAAGGAGCGACCAGATTTGACCCTCTACTACCTCAAGATCTATCTCCTGATATCTTTCGCATTCATCGCTCTTTCTATACTCAGAGACGCCGCCGTCGTCGTTGGGTCTGTCTCCGCCTCACGAAACATCTATATTCAGATGACCGATGCGGTCCTCCGAGCACGTCCGCAATTCTTTGACAGGACTCCTGTCGGTCGAATCATCAATCGTTTCAGCAAGGATCTCGAGACTCTCGATCAGGAAATTTCGGGAATGTTCCTGTTCCTGATCGATCGCATCATTGCAGACGTGATCATCCTTGTCGTCGCCTCGTACGCCTTGCCCTTCTTCATCGTCTTTGCGATCTTCGTCATCATGGTCTTCACTGCAATCGGCGCACTCTACATAGTGTCCTCACGAGACCTGAAGAGGATCGAGTCTGTACAACGATCTCCGATCTTCACGCTCGTTGGAGAAGTGTTGGGAGGTGCAGTAGCTATCCGGGCATACGGCGATGCCGCTCGCTTCACGCGTCACTGCTTGCGGTTGGTTGACAAGGCTTCTCGACCCTTCTTCTTCCTCTGGTACGAGAACAGATGGCTTTCCATGCGCGTGGACAGCTCCGCTGGAATGGTCTCGATCGTAATGGGCCTCGGCATCATTTATACGAAGAGCATTGACGCCGCCTTGGCAGGATTCGCATTCTCGTTCACCATTCAGCTTGTCGATGCTGCATTGTGGACGGTCAGATGCATCACTATCAACGAGATCAACTTCAACTCGGTAGAGAGAATCGGCGAATACCTCAAGATTGAGCCTGAGAGATCCATTGGCACGGAGCCGCCTGCCGCTTGGCCATCTTCGAGCGGCAACATCGTCGTGGAAGACCTGACGGTCAGATACACGCCTGAATTTGAGCCGGTACTGAAGAATGTGTCCTTTGAGATTCAGCCTGGGGAGAAGGTCGGCATCGTAGGCCGTACTGGAAGTGGAAAGAGTACCCTAGCCTTGTCCTTCTTCCGCTTCCTCGAGGCTGAAGCAGGACAAATCATCATCGACGGTATCAGCATTTCATCTGTGCCGCTCAAGACGTTGCGTCAGAGGCTTACAGTCATTCCTCAAGACGCCCAACTCTTCAGCGGTACGGTTCGATCGAACCTGGATCCCTTTTCTCAGTACGAAGAGGGAGAGCTGTGGCAAGCTCTTCAGCGCTGCAAGCTCGCCTCATCTGGGGCCACACCTGCCGCGTCTCGGGCGCCTACGCGTCCAGGCTCACCAGTGGCCGGCGAAGGATCCTCTCTCTTCACATCCTTGAATGCGCCCATTGAACAAGGTGGTCGCAATCTCTCCGCTGGCCAACGCCAGCTCCTAGCCCTTGCCCGCGGTCTGCTGAAGATGCGCGACTCGCGCATCCTGATCCTCGATGAGAGCACCGCCAACTTGGACACTGCCAGCGATCAGCAGATTCAGCGTACGATCCGCAAAGAGATGGCACCTGGCGCCACCATCCTTGTCATTGCCCATCGGCTGCGCACGATCATCGACTTTGACAAAATTCTTGTCCTCGACAAGGGCAATGTTCTTGAGTACGACGCTCCCCTCACGCTTTTGCAGGACGAGAAGAGCTCCTTCTGGGAACTCTGTGCCCGCTCGGGAGAGCTGGAGATGCTACAGGAAATGGCAGAGACGGCGGCCGAGGAGAAGAAGAAGCGACTGTCACAGGAGGGAAAGCAAGTAAGATAGAGACGTTGAAGTCAACAGGAATGGAATTCGATATTTGCAAATAGATGACCTTGTGGTTTCCTGACCGAATACTTTTCGCCGACCTGGGCCAAGTGGCTGCTGCCACAGTGACCTTGTGACAGCTTCCTCGCCTGAGATCAGACAACCATGATCAGAGTGAGCACACTATATCTGTTGAAAGCCTTCTGGAGACATGTTGTTCGATGTGATGCTGCCCGAGGGCGTCAGAAGGATTTTACTGATATTGTGCAGATACAAATACAAAGGGAGACCACAGGCAGAGATGATGAGACCGAAGATGTCAAGGCCCTAGGCTCCAAAGCCGGCGGACAGAGTGGCGATGGCGATAGTGACGAACAAGGTCTGGATCCCTATGTCTCCTGCGATGCTGGAATTTACTCCTCAGCGCCCTTCTGACTCTCATCCGCTCGGCTTCGTACCGTTCCTTCTACCTTTTCCTCCACCTCTTCTCCTGGCAGACTGGCAATCCACTCTGCCACTCCATCCCAAAGACTCTTCTTTGTTGCCATGGCAAGAATCATCACTGCTGGCAGGTGAATCAAGCTGACCCAGAAGCACCACCTTGCACTCTTCTCTGTCCCCTTTCTCCAGAAGCCCCATGCAGCCTGTACCAGTACCAGATTAGGAGGCAGAGAGAGCAGAGCGTAGGGCAAGGCAGCTACTGCTCCGCTCAGGGGAAGTGCGACGGAGCAGATGGGGAGGAGAGCGAGGGCGTACCGCAACGAGGTACGACGGTTCAGCGCTGGGTCTGTCACGGACATCATTCTGTATCCACCTCTTGCGTACTCGGAAGAGAGATTGTGCGAGAGGGAGTTGAAGTGAGGGAATTGCCAGGCGAATAGTAGCGCGGCGAGACACCAGGCAGGAGCATCGGTGGCGAGATCGAGGGTGCCGGTACAGGCTGCCCAGCCCATCAAAGGAGGTAGGGCGCCGACAATGGCGCCTACCCAGGTATTGGCGATGTGCCGCCGCTTCATCGGGGTGTACACAAATGCGTACAGAAAGATGTTGGAAAGACCGAGGAAGGCAGTGAGAGGGTTCAGCATTGCCAGGGTTGCTACGCCGCCGACTGTTGAGACGCCGGCGAAGCTTGCGGCTTGCAGCGGGGTAATGGCACGAGATGGTAGAAGCCGATTACGTGTACGAGCCATCTGTGCATCATATGGAATCTCTCGCAGCTGGTTGATAGCATTTGCTGCGCCCGAGCAAAGAGCCGTACCTGTAGCCAAAGCCAGCAAAGTCCCCACCGGGCCCAGGAACGAGGCTGAGGAAGAGACAGCGAGGATTGAGGGGCAAAGAGCGTACCCAGCCATACCCGTCAGCGTGACGAGAAAAGTGAGATTCGACTTGGACAGTCCGAAGATGATCTTTGGTATAGACTTCAAGCCCACAGGCGGCACTGGCCGGTAGAGCGACAAGTCGACGGGAGGTGTAGCCTCACCAGTACTTGGAGCCACGACAGAGGGGTCGTTCGATAGAGGCGCCCAGACGCTCAAGCTCTCAGCAGCTTTGGCGTCATTTCCTTGCTTGGGGAAGGCTCCCAAGGACGGTACCCAGATGGATGCGAGGGAAGGGCCGGGCATATCCTCGGCACTCCGAGGATGACTAAAGAAGCGTTGCTGTGGCATGGTCTCAGTGGTAGCCGTTGGAGCAGTGCTGGAGGCTGACGAAGCTGCCCTCGACTGCGTTGTGTATGAACGCCTTCCTCGCCAGTCAGAAGATATCCTCGCGCTTCCAGGCCTACTCACGCCAGACCGGCGCATAGGAGTGGTATCAAATGCAGGGCGCAGACAACTCCAGTCGCCCTCTGTGCTGGACCTCCCTGCATTGCCTGCATCTGTTGTGCCATGACCCTCCCACAAGGAGGTCCATGTCGCAGAGCTGCGATTCGTCTGATGGCATGGAGAAGGGGCCGGGGCCGGTTGCTGGAAGCCGGCCAACCGAGAGAAGGCAGCGGAGAGACCAGCCCAGATCTGCATGGCAGGCCGAAGGCATGTCAGCGAGGGCCTCGGCAACATTCAATTGATCCTTACGACTCACCTTCTTGCCTGGAGCAGGCTCGATCTTGTCCACTTCGTGCTCGATAATCATACCCGATGACGAATCGAATTTGTATCTGAAGATCACGGCATAGTCATGCACTTGTTGCGTCACTCTCACCACACCTGTGAAGGTCAAGCGGAGGACCAACGTTGCCTCCCGATTGCAGCCTGATCCTGCCAGCGCCTTCCCTACATCCGATCCAGAGCTGCTCTCTGTCAGTTTCGCTGACGTCCCTGAAGACCCTCTTTGTAGACGGACTCGCTCGATCAGTACAGTCGTTTCGGAAAAGAGCGCTCCGAGAGCGTGCCGAAGGATGTGAGCAGACCCAAAGTACATTGTGCGTCCGGAGAAGGTCAACAGCCTTGATGAGCTACCGTCTCCGCTTGCTGAATGAGAGTCGAGGGATCCGTCGGAGCTACTGCCCGTCGACGCTGTAGGGGGATGGAACTTGAAGACGATGTCCGGGTGGTATACGGGACAGTCGGCATCTGTCCTCAGGTGGGGCGGCAGGCTCTCCCTGTGTCTCTCTTTTGCCCGAGCAGTAGCGCCAAACACTCCGAGGATGGCACCAAGACCCAATCTGTCCAGGCTTGGGAAGCCAAGGCCACTGCTGGAAGAAGAGCTAGATACGTGGCTGGTGTCGTAGTCCACGAGACCGATACGCATGAAGTCGCTGAGGGTAGCACGCAGCAGGGACACTGCTCTCCCCAAGCGTACCTCGAACTCATGATCCGTTACAGCACCGGAGCTATCGCCAGTCGGTCTCGGTGGAGTTGCAGACGACGAGATTGCGGGGCTCGGGCTGAAAGAGACTGTCCGGCGAGGGCGCTTGGCCATCGCAGAAGGTCGGCGCGGCGAGAAGAAGTCCGGAGCCAGTGAAGGAAGAGCGGAAGGCACATGACCTGGCGCAGCGGTACGGACAGTAGCAGTGACCGGAGATTGAGATACGCCAAGCAAGACGGGTGCAACATTCTGACAGCCGACGTTGCTGCTGTGCGTTGTAAGGTGCCTTTGCGGTGTAATCCTGCCAAGGGAAAGCCGGGAGGAGGATGCTGAGGCGGAGGCGGTATATGCGCTAATGCCACTGCTGCCGGCTGCCCTCGCCACGCCACCCGCATGTAGACTGGCCAAGGTCTTCATGGCGGCCTGCTCGTGGTAGCGTCGAGAGTTGCGGCTGGCAAGGACGGGACGTGAGAAGGATGGTATCGCAGGGCAGTCGAGACTGAGCCGAGGTGGCCTGACCTTCTGACCACCGTCTCCCTTCTCAGTGGTGAGAAAATTGGGCCGCGGCGCCAGTCGACGGAAAGAGAGACGGGCCGGGAGCGGAAGCGGAGCAGTCGACCGCGTTGCACTAAAGCTCAGGATATTCATCCTTCCTCACAAGCAACACACCATGGTACGTCGGTGAACGTCGTAGAGTGGGATTGTGACCATGCCACCGATGGCTTCTTTCGCATCAGCTGACGTCTCTTCGGCCTCGCGGTCGCGCTCGAGGGCCGAAGTTCTGCGAGCAGAGATCAGCGATGTGGCCGTGCTGGGGACGCTGCTGCGACCCATAGCCTTTGCAGCCGTGGCCACCTTCTCGGTCAGCGAGGCAGGACTGCAAGTCACAACAGAGGCAGATCGCTCCGTACAGGCCATTGCGTACGCATCACAGGCCATCTTCTCCCGCTTCTACTTCGAAGCGCCGCCGGACCAGCAGCCCCCCGCGTCCAATGCATCATCTGCTCTTGACGCACCTCCTCCATCGCTGGACTTCGACCTCAATCTCCATACGCTGCTGGAATGTCTGAACGTCTTTGGAGGAGCTCCTACGGGCAACTCGTTCACCAGCAAACGAGATCAGCCTAAAGATCGCTTCGCAAGAGGAGGCAGCCCGCGCTGGAGGGACGATGAGGAGGAGCCACGAACGGGGGCATTCAGAGGGCCACACCCAGGCAGGGAGGAAAGCAAGGCAACTTCAATGAGGATGAGTTGGCGGGGGACCGGCTACCCGCTCATCTTGCTACTGGAGGAACAAGATGTCACAACACGCTGTGAGCTCGCCACTTTTGAACCAGGGTACAATCTCGGGCTCGTGTACTCGCACGAGGACACCCAGGCTCAAGCCATCATGACTTCGGAGTACCTTCTCGACGCTCTGCAGTCAATCGATCGGTCGTCCTGCAGCAAAGTCACACTGCTCTTCAGCAACTCCTATACGATCTCTCGCGGGCGCAAGAGGCAAGGCAGGACCAGTAGCAGTCAGAGCGTTGGACTGGGCATGACGTCCTCGGCCGACAGTGCAGGATTGGGTCAACCGATATTCAAGATCTCTTCCGATGGCGACTTTGGTACTGCCGAGGTGAGTTACCCCTGCGCTGAAACCCTCAAAAACCATTATCAGCCACTGACTGACATTTCCAATGCCCCTGCAGACCGAATTCCCCAATGATGTCTCCGTTCTTGAAAAGTTCACCTGCGCAAAAGAGACGATAAATTCGTACCGCTGGTCCCACTTCTCCCGTCTACTCAAAGCTCTGCACTACTCTATCAGAGCCTCCATACGTGTCAGTGATGCGGGCCTGCTGTGTATCCAGCTAATGATGCCAAAGGGCACAGGTCAGACGAGTGGGCCAGTCAGCAAGGGTGGGGCTGCTGGCGGAGCAGGGCAAGCAGCAGGCAAGGGTCAGAAGGATCTAGCTAGTGCGGTACAAGGGCATGGCTTTCTCGAATTTCTGGTAAGTCATCTAGCGGTTGTGAGGGTCATCAGAGAATTGACCAGAGGACTGATCTCCGTGTCGACTTGGCCCTCTGCAGATCGCACCTCTCGACTTAGACGAAGGGTCAGTAGAACGCGAGGAAGAGGAGAGCAGAGAAGAGGAAGACGCAGAAGACAGAGACGAGACAAGCCTCGAAGACTCCACCAGACAAGGATCTCAACTGGGCAAGCGTAGTCGGGATGTGGGCGATGAGACAAGCTTTGACGAGGATGGTCTGTCAGATTGACACAATGACAGACGCTGTTCGGTATGCACATGTAAATTCAATTGTAACAACAGGAAAGCGACATGAGGGGCGTGAACACGATGCCAATGCGTACGGGAAGGTAGAGCGAGTGCTGGGTAAGGGTGATCTCCAAAACTTGCAAAACAGATGTTTCATCTCACGAGTCATCCACCTCCATCTCATCTCCCTTCTCTGCTGTCTCTTGCTGACTCTTCTCGGCCTCTGTCTCTGTCTCCGTCTCGGTCACCGTCTGAGACTGCGAGCCTTCCCCCTGTTCTACAGCTACCGAGGAAGATTGAGTTGACTTCTCCCCACTGCTCTGCTGACGCTGCAGAAAGGCTTGCTCAGCCTGGTCCAGAGCGTCCAGGTCCAATCCGACATCTCCCTCATCTCCAAACTCGTCAAACTCGTCGTCTACATTGATGGCTGCTGAAGTTGCTGTTCCGGCCGAGGAAGAAGGTCCACCAGCGTTGGCGCCATTGGGACGGGCATAGGGTCTGTTGGCACTGTGGAAGGAGGCACTGTCTACCTGCTCCTGCTTGAAGATGGATCGACTGGAGGAGGGCGTACTGCTCAGAGCGGCCTTTGTCCACTTTGGCTTGCTCGCATCGTCGTCCTCAACGAGCGAGGCACCAGCAGCGCTCTCCTCTTCATCTTCCATCTTCAGATCATCGCCAGCACCGCCCTCGTGCTCAATTTTCCAGCTCTTCTCAAAGTAGCGATTCGGATGCGAGACGCTCTCACCATTGCCGTCCAGTCCCTTGCCCTTTTGGACCTTGTGAGTGATCTCGAATAGACGGGTGCAGGCGACGTGATAGTGTCCTGCTTTGACGCTTGCGAGAATCTCAGAAGACTGCTGGCTATTGAGCTGATAGGTCGATGAGAGGGAAGCGCTCAGATTCTGAGGAGAGTAGTGTCGGAATGGGCAACCGTGGTTGTCCTGAGGTCCAGGCGTGTCTTGGGTGATGATCCTAGCGCAGGACCGAGCTGGGTAGTCCACCCGTTTTCCCTCCAGACCGTAATTGTGTCGAATGTTGTACTTGTACTCCTTTGTAAATTTGTCGTCGGTCATGTTGGCGAATGATCTCCTCCAGAAGACGAGGGCTTGCTCTATCGTGACGCCCATCTCCTTGAGGAAAAGGCCGAACTGCATACGTCCCTGATACTTGAGATGCTTTCTCTCCTCAAGCGTCTGTCCCAACTGGCGCATACACATCGGAGCGTGCTTCTTGATGAGAGCGTTGACCATCTCGGCTCGAATTTGAATCGCCTCTCCATCTTCGCCAACCAGCGAGGTAGACGTGGAATTGTAGTCAGAGGACACACCGGCCAAGAAGCCCAAAGAGAGGTGGGAGAGCAGGGGCAGCAGACGGTCGTCTTCATCGAGGCGTGGCAGTGATCGGGCAGTATACTCGAGTTCCTTGTTCAGCCGATTGGAGAATTCGGCAAATACCAGACTCGCCTGCTCTCGCATAGGCACCCATGCTACACCTCCTCGGAGGAAGACTTTACGCTTCTCCACGAGATCCAAGACCTTTGTCCAGGGCACCTTGAAGAAGCCTTCCGATGCCCAAGTCGAGCTGAGCCACGGCGTTACGGCTAGCAGCTGTTCCTTGAAGGCCTCTTTCTCCTGACTTGTCACGCTGTCCCACTTGAGATTGAGGGTGTTCAGGAAGTGCTCCCTCTCCGCTGAGTCGTCTGACTCGAAGCGAAGGCGGAACAGAATGGACTCTGCTCTGACAAAGCGGCGGTGTAGGTCCTCGCTGTAGCATAGACGAGCATGGAACAAGGTCGCAATGGTCATGTTGAGTCAGCATCTGAACGCCATTGCGATCGACTTGGTCTGTAACTCACCTCTTGCAGAATGCCAACCGGAGGACAAAGTGACTGACGTGATCTCTCAGCCTCTCCTTTTCTACATCCACACCCGTCCTGATCGCGCTCGTCGCGCTCAACGGCAGGTACTTGTTCATCTGCTGACCAACAAGAGTCTTGAGCTCAGTCCAAGGCCTATTGCGAGCCTGACATGACTCGATTTCGGCGAGCACTGTAAAGGCGCGAGGATGAGGATGTCAGCACCGGATCGGCTGCTAGCGTCAGCCTCTTCGTGGCTGCCCACTCACCTCTTAGTCTGTCAATCGCCCATCCCTCAAATTCATCGATGGTCACCTCCAGCGTTGGTGGCTTGTTGTAGAAGTTGAGGCGGTTCGGGTAGCGCTTGACACCAGTAGGCCTAGAGGAGCCTGTAGCGTGTCGGTCCACTCCCCCGGGGGTAGCCAGTCCCGAGTGACGGCCACCCAGGGACGAGTGTCCTGCTGGACTGGGATTTGCCGTGCGAAACATGTCTCAGCGACCAAGATATGGGAAGGGACAACAAACTGAAGAGGCAGTCTAGTGGAGAGGAACACGAGTCGAATGGAAACAGAAGGCGTAGCGTGTGTGCAACGCAAGTCACTTGCACTTGACGCGGGGCGTGTCTCCGCTCGCGTTGATTGAAATTCGATCGGAACGGAGGCCGGAAGATAGTGAGGAAAGAAGGCTGAGCTCTGTACTTCGAGTACTTCTTACCTCTCTGCTGCTTCCGCTTTATCGCTGAGCATCTCCTCTTACTTCCAAAATGTCTTCTTCGGTCGAGCTGCTACCTCACCAGCAGTCATACCTTTCTCTGCTCCTGGCTTCTCGTATCCTTGCCTTCGATGGCCCTTATACGCTGAAGTCGGGCCGTAAATCGCCCTACTTCTTCAATGCCGGTCTCTTCAACACTGGAGCCAAGGTGGCAGAGTTGGCTCGATGCTATGCAGAGGAGATCGTGAACAGTGGCCTGCTGGGTAGCAAAGAGGAGCAGGAGAACACAGTGCTCTTTGGACCTGCTTATAAGGTGAGCGACGGATCATGTGGAGCTATGCGGGGCGTTCCTTATCTGATCAAGATGCCCTTGATGGATGCCCAAACCTCTACAGGGAATCCCTCTAGCTACGGCTGTAGCTCTTTCGCTCTCTCAGGCTCCCCACAACATCGATCTCGGCTTCTCCTTCAACCGCAAAGAGAAGAAGACACATGGCGAGGGCGGCAGCCTGGTGGGCGCTCCTATGAAGGGCAAGAGGGTCATCATCCTGGACGACGTCATCACGGCCGGAACCGCGATCAATGAAGCTGTGGACATCATCAAAGCCGAGGGAGGGCACTTGAGCGGCATCATCATTGCCTTGGACAGGCAGGAAAAGGTGACAGAGACAGACGACGTGTCGGCAGTGGGCGCTGTTGCGCAGAGGCTAGGCACAAAGGTCACCTCGGTGGTGAATCTGAACCAGGTCATTGCTTTCCTCGAGAGCAAGGGCATGTCCAAGGAGGTTGAAGGCATGAAGGAGTACAGGTCACGCTATGGTGTCCAATGAATATAGCCTCGCCTTCTGGCCTTTCACACCTTGGACAACCATCTCACAGAAGCGATGTCTGACGCAGAGTGAGCTGTCGGACGATTGCTACTCTCTGAAGCCTGAATATCATCCGCTCCGATGCCGTTGTAGAGAAAGCCAGCCGCGTAGAATCATCGATGACTGTCGACTGTGCCCTGCCCTTACCCCAGAATCTCGTCAGTGATGCTATTGCATAGTTGACCGTACACCGAGCTCGGTCCGGACGTGATTCGGCACTCTACGCTTTCTCTGCAAGGCCCTTCTCCGCCGACTCATGGATCTCAGCTACGGGTCTAAAGTGGCATCTCCCCTGGTCAATATGTTGACACTTCGACTCAGGGACGAGATCTATTGGAGCGGGATGGTCGGGCGATAGGGACGAGAGAGGTAGAGGGGATATACATCGGACGATGGCGTGACGATAGAGCTTATAGGAAGAGTCAGAGCGCTGTCGTGCCATCGAAGGAAAGGCAGTCGTCGAGAGCAAAAGATGCAGCTTGCGCAGTAGAGCTTGAGCAGCGAAGGATATCCGACGTGCTGGTACGATCGCGTTCCGCACAGACCAGGCGAGCACCAGATCTTGCAGACGAAGATGACCGAAGGAGATGACCGATGGGGATTGTACTTCACTTTGTACCTGACATGGTCCACCACTCCTTCTTCGCCATTTCTTCCCTATCTGCTCTTCAGAGCTGAATTGGCTAAGAGCACTTCTCTGCCTGCCCGTTTGTAATCGCTGTTAACCCTTGCTACGGCCTTTTCACTCTCCGCACAATTCCGGCCACTGGCCGGAATATCCTCGTATGCGTCCGAGCTCCAGCGAGCTCCTGGGAGAGCCGAAGACGCCATGAAGCCAATTTTCCTTGCTGGCGATGGCTCGAGGGGAGAAAGGTATAAAGGCAAGAGGAGAGGAAGAGGGGAAGAGCCGCCCTGCGCTTTCAGAAACCTCCTCATTTGACACACCACCTTCAGCATGGCTAGCCTTCGTTCCACTCCCAGTACTCTCCTTGCACGCTCACGCCCTCGTGGTGTCAAGGCAGCGAGCCTCATCTTTGCTCCTTGTGGACGTAGTCTCGCTCACGTAGCAGATCATCACCACCCGTCGACATCTGCAGATGCTTCCTCCGTTCGTGTCAAGCCGTTCCTCCTCGAGGACCTTGTCGCAGAGGGTACGTCTGAAGAGAAGCTGCCTCAATTCGTGCTCTCTCGCAAGGCTGGCTTTCTGCCCCGTCAGACGCCTCTGGAGCACCTGCCAAAGCAATTCGAGACCCTGGACTCGCTGCTCAAGCGCATGACCATCCGCCAGTACGATGCGAATGGAAAGCAGTCCGGAGACGGTCTGCTTGCCAAGGGCGAGTTTGGTGACGCTGTCCAGCGTGAGCTCAAGCTGGGCGGCATCGAGGACAAGGCGGTAAATCAAGCTATTGCCAGTGGAAATCAGCAGCTTCTCTCAGCCCTCTTCCGAGACTACTGCTTTGCGACCAGCGCTTACCTCCTAGAGCCGACTGATCAAAGCTACCGCAAGACCGGCTTCTATTCGCCAGGTCGAGACCATCTCCCTGCGCAGCTGGCTGTCCCCCTCACGAAGCTGGCAGACGCTCTGGGCCACCAGCCTTTCATGGAGTACGCAAGTAGCTACGCTCTAGTCAACTACAAATTTCGAGACCCAGCATACACTGGCGGTGAGGCTGGTCGTTACTCCTTCGACAACATGGACCTCATCAGAAGCTTCGAAGACCCCTACGGTTCAGAAAGAGGCTTCATTCTCGTCCACATCGTCATGGTTTCCTTCTCTGGCCAGGCACTCAGTGCTACCGAGGATGCTCTCGTAGCAGCTGGCGAACGAGACCTGGTCCGCTTCGAAGAGGCTATGAGCCGACTCCTCGACACCTATCGCAAGATCAATATCGCTATGGAGACCATGTGGGCTCGAAGCAAGCCGTCAGACTACCTCAAGTTCCGAAGCTTCATCTTCGGCACAGCTCCTAAGGAGGGCAACCCCATGTTCCCCAAAGGTGTCGTCTACGAAGGCACAGGAGACAAAACTGCCCGCTACTTCAGAGGCGAGAGCGGTGCCAATGACAGTCTTGTACCCCTGCTCGACAATCTCCTCGAGATCACAGCTGCCTTGCCTGCCAACGAACTTACAAAGACTCTGCGAGACTTCAGAAGCTACCGACCCAAAACACAACGCGAATATCTTGAGTCTCTAGAGGCACGAGCTACCGCCGCTGGCGTCAAGGACTTTGCGCTAGGCCCTGCCGGCAGCGCCAAGGCCAAGGCTCTCTACCTCCTCATGGTGGACCAGGTGCGTGAGTTCCGAAACCGCCACTGGATGTTCGCCAGGGAGTACATCATCAAGCAGACGACCTTTGAGTACGCTACAGGAGGCAGTAAGATGCTCTCCTACCTACCCCACAACCTCGGTGTCGTCCTGTCCTTCCTCGACGAGTCCTACGCCGCCTTTACCCACAAGGACGATGCGGAGCTCAAGGCACGAGGGGAGCACAAGCTACTCGACGAAGTCCACGAAGCAGGCAAGCGAGCCGGTGTCCAGCATCGCGTCCTGTTGCGAGAAGTCGAGAAGCTCAAACAGGATGCTGAAGCAAAGGAGAAAGAGGGTGACCCACTGTACAAGGGGCGAGGCATGCTGGGAGAACAGCGAGACGATGGCAGGGGATGGGTTGGTGCTGACGGTGTCGGATAAATGCGACACTAGACTGCTTTGCCGGCACAGTGCCGGGTCGCGAGTCTTCAACAGGCTCATGGACGGCTACCGTCCAATGGCGTTCGTCGCCTTATCTCTCCGCACCATTACCCCATGTACTCGACTCATGACTGTTTCCCCTTGATGTTGGTCTCCCTTTTCGCGTAGTAAGCTTCCCTCTCCCTTCTTGACAATGCAAAAAGATCCTTTTGTCTTCGCGACGCTCACACAACCCTGAACCCAGCACGCCTCCAATCGAACAATCTCGTTGGGCAAGCTTTAGCGTCTGGAAAGATCGATGAATTTCTCTGATGATAGAACATCCCACTTCACTCTTCTGGCTTCAAATTCCGACGCAAGAAATTCTTGACCTCGCCCATATACCCCTCGTAATCATGCCTTAAGAGGGAGCAGTGAGGCGCCTGGGTCCATCTCCGGAGAACGATTCTCTCCTGAGCATCCAGCACTGTCACCTTCTCCTCTCCTCGCTCCTTTGCATGAGGCCCTTCCATATCGACGACTTTCGCCGCAGGAATAGATTGGGCTGATGCGCATCTCCTTGCGTGCTCTTCGACTGCCTGATATGGCACAAGTGCGTCTGCCTTTGAATAGAGGTAAAGTCTAGGTGGGAGCAGGACTTGCTTCCCATCTTCTGCCTCTGTGATGGCTTTCCGTGGCCAGAGCTTGGGGTCGTTCAGCGCCGTCCTCATACGCGCATTACGACTGGCCTGACCTCTCAACTTGTGCAGAGCGAGGACGAATTGGAAGACCATGAAGATGATGATCCTGAATGTCTGTCTGAGGAGCACGCGTATGAGCCAGGGCCTCGACCGTGCGGCCAAGGGCATAGTGAAGGCAGTAGCACCCTCCCATGCCCTGCCCTTTGAGGGAGAGGAATCGAAGATCGTTGCGCGCGGAGTGAGAGAAAGTGTAGACGTTCGGAGGAGGTGAGCGAGGTTATTGCCTCCTCCGTCGGAGAAGGAGTGTACGAGGAGGCCATACGGTTGAGCTGGGAGAGAAGGTGGGACAGAGGGGGGAGGTGCAGCATCTTCTACCTCTTGGTCCTCCTCCGTCTTCTTCATCCCTTCGGTCTCGTTTTCGTTCTCCACAAGCGTGACCTTCGATTCGCTCAACTGCTGCTTCTGCTTCTCCCGCTTATCCACATCCAGGCTCAAACCACTCCTCGAAGCATCTACTCTCCCCATCTCTTCTCGTAGCTTGCGTCTAGAGTCTTCCTTGGCCGTCTCTTCTGCCAGAAGCCGATGCAGCACTTTGAGAGAGTTGGATTTGTCCGTGTTCATATGCGATTTGCCATTGGAGAGCTTGATCATGATGGTGCTTTGGGGAAGCAGAGTAGCGTACGGCTTTGCGTACTTGAGTAGGAGAGGCAGAGGAGCGTCCATCCAACCCAGGAGTAGACTGCAGGCGAGAAGAAAGGAAAGTATAGGCAACAACGTCAGTGGAAAGCCATTGTGACTTGGACCATTTGCCTACTTACACAACTCTCGGGGGCGCAATGCCTTCCAGAGCGCCCTCGGTCTTCTGATTCTTCTTGAGAGGTGCTGGACGGTACACATAGAGGCTCTTGGCTACCTCGTCCAGCTCAAAGGGCTTCTCTGGCTCTTCCACTCCCTTGTCAAGCGGCGGAGCTGGTGTGGACCGAGGGTCCTGGAGGGCAGACAACGCTGGCTTCTCCTGCGATTGAGCTCCTACTTGTTCTACTGTTGACATTTTGCGGAAGAGGCGTGCAGGGAGCGGAATAGGCGAGCTGAGGTGCGAGATGGGTATCTTTCTACTGCAATAGGGATCACCTGCTGCGAAAGTGAGTCGATGAGGAATGTATACTCGCAGTAAGGGAGAACAGGATATCATCCACTACCGAGGGTACTGTCATATATATGTAGAGTCGGAAGGATGGGGTAGCAGTGGAGGATGCCCGTGAATTGGCCCGGGTCATCGGCTGCCTGCTTCTGCGCCCGGAGTCTCCGCTCCACTCCGCCTTCCGAGGTTGAGCGTGAGAAGATCAGCGCCCCAAGCTTTATTCCTGGCCGGACGTTAGACTGACTTCTTCGCTCCGGGGAAGCATACGATGTCAAACATCCTCGTCTACTCTGGACCAGGAGTCTCCACCAGCGCACTCGCCCACACCTTGCGGGCACTCGAGTCGCTGTGTCCCACATACGATGTCCGGCCCACTTCGGCGGAAGAGCTCGCACTGGCCCCATGGCAGGAGACTGCGTCCCTGGTAGTCATTCCTGGCGGACGAGATCTTCCATATGTCGAGGAGTGGTCTAAGCTCAGGATTAGGGAGGGGAATGGGGAGGGCAGTAGTGCCGGCGCAACAGCTCAAGACACCGTCAGAAATTGGGTGACCCAGGCAGGCGGGGCCTTCTTAGGCATCTGCGCTGGGAGCTACTTTGCCTCGTCCACTTGCACCTTTGAGCAAGGCTCTCCTATGGAAGTGATCGGAGCAAGGGACGGTCTGAAATTCTACCCAGGAGAATGCAGAGGCACGGTGTACAAGGGCTTCGTGTATGAAAGCGACGAGGGTGCAAGAGTGGTTCGTCTGGACACAGCAACGCAAGGAAAGCTAGCGATGCACTACAACGGTGGTGGAGCCTTCATTGATGCGGACAATGCACAGGGGGTGGAGGTTCTAGCTAGGTATCCTATAGATGACTGGGACGTAGCTCAAATGAGCGTCAATGGTGGTGAGACCTACGCAGGACAAGCGGCCGTGGTCCTCTGCCAGGCAGACAAGGGAAAGGCCCTACTCTTCGGAACCCACCCAGAATTCAGCCTGCTGCCTGGCAGTCGTCCAGTACGCCTGTCTGGGGCTCCTGAAACTCTCGTCGACTCAGGCGTATCATCAAGCAGGGAGAAGGACCAAGACGGTGATGAGGGTATGGCAGACGATGAGCGGACAGCTGAGCAAGTAGCAGAGAGTCATCGCAAGGAGCTCATCCAGGAAGATTACGAGCGGAGGCGGTATTTTGGACGCTGCCTAGCCACCCTTGGGCTGCGCGTCCTCATACCCGGGCAAGAGGAGGAACACCCCGCCTCTCAGAAGCACGCTGCCACGTCTGCTGAGCTCGCAGCACAGGGGCGACTGTCGCCTCTGTACCTCGTTGCAGCATCGGACGCCAGCCTTCAGCAGACACTGAAGGCCATCCAAGAGTTCAGCGCAACCACAGCCTCTTCTTCCGAACCTTTGGCGCATCTCACAGTCTCTACCGGCCAAGGTACATTACTGACGGAGTCGTCTCAGGGCTACTTGGCCTCGACGAAAGACAGCAACGATGTGCTGCACTGGTATGCAGCAGTTTCGCCCGCTGCGCAAGAAGCCCTCACGGCATGCGACGGAGGCTTCTACCCGACAGAAGAAGAAGACACAGAGACGGTCAATCTGCACAAGGTGCCAAAATACCTCATAGCCTCGTCTCTGACGGGGTCTAGCCCGCAGCGTCATTGGGACTCGTCTCTCTACTTTACCTCTCTGCAGCAAGCTCGGTCCGCACTTGACGAGGTGCCCGTAGAGGAGATTGGGTCTGTCATCCAGTATGGAGAGAGGGTGACCTCCACACAGACTATGCTCGACAAGAATCCTCGTCTGATGCGACTGCTGCCCAGCGGCTTCACTTCACTAGCCACCCACCAGATCTCTGGAAGAGGCAGAGGCGGCAATGCTTGGATCTCGCCTCTGGGCTGTCTTCAATTCAGCACCCTGCTTCACATCCCTGTCTCTCCCTCTTCCGGATCAACACAGGCGTACCATCACAACCTTGGCTCTACGCCCATGGCCATTGGTCCAAAGCTGGTCTTCGTCCAGTACCTTGCCGGCCTGGCAATCGTGCAAGCCATCCGAGCTGGTCTAGGTGCAGAGTATGCTGAAGTAGGTCGAAAGGTCAGACTGAAGTGGCCTAACGACATTTATGCCGAGGTAGAGGACGGTCCGGGAAGTGAGGAGAGGAAGGGAGTCTTCAAGCACTTGGGCAAGAGCTGGGCAAAGATGGGAGGAATCCTCGTTAACAGTCAATTCGAAAAGGGAGTGTGGTCGCTGGTCGTCGGTGAGTCCGTGGGCTCGGGCAAAGATACAGACTCTGCTAGGGCGAGACTGACTTTGATTCGCTGGGCACATTGCACAGGTTGCGGCATCAACACTCTCAATCCCCTTCCGACCACGTCCCTCTCAGCCTTGATCGACACCTACAACGCCAAGCATTCGTCCTCTCCTCCACTGGCGCACGTCTCGCAAGAGCGTCTTGCCGCCAGCATCCTGACGACCTTTTCCTCTCTATGGTCCCACTTTCTCCTCTCGGGCGGATGGTCCCCGACCCTCGCCCGACTCTACAGACAGTACTGGCTTCACTCCGATCAGATCACCACACTCACTACGCTACAACCCCCACTGAAGGTGCGCATCGTGGGCATCTCTAGTGATAACGGTACACTGAGAGCCGTGGATCTTTCCTCGGGAGGAGGGGGAGGAGGGTGGGGTGGAGCGGCGGAGATTAGGAGCGAAGATGAAGAGGTAGCTTGGGGACCTTCTGCCCGGCGTGGGGGGAGGGGCGGATGGGGTGGTGGCGGAGCGGGCTATGGATCTGCAGGAGAGGGAGTGATTGAGCTGCAGCCTGATGGCAACAGCTTTGATATGCTCAAGAACCTCATCAAGATCAAAGAGTGACGCGGATTGAAACACCCGAGACACAGTGTCCTTGTCGGTGGGATTAGTGCAATGGTATATTACAGATGCAAGTGATTGACGAAGATTTACTCATGTACCGAACCCAGCCCATGTGAGACTGTAGAAGGCCAATTTGTCCTCCTCCTCCTCCTCCTCCGCCTTTCCCTCTCCCTCCGCTCCCTTGCGCCTCGTAGCAATCAAGTGCACCTTCTTCACCGCCGTCCCCAATCTCCCCTGAGCAATCATCCGCCCTACCTCAAACCCCTCTTCCTCATCCTGGGGTACAGTGAGGGTATAGTGGGAGTGGTAACGAAAGGGATCGCCAGGATAGGCGACAAAGTCTCCTCCGAAGCGCAGACCACAGGAGAGGTAGAAGGAGCGAGAGGTATTGAGGTGGGTGAAGATGGCTTGCTTGGTCGTGGTGAGGTCGAGTTTTGAGGTGGAGCCTGGAGACATAGACGTGGCATCGCTCGGAGCGGTGTACCAGGGTAGGCCTGTAGAGGCGTCGTGTGTCGTGTGGGCATAGTTGTAGCTGGAGAGGTCCACAGCTGGCTCCTCAGCAGCGGGCTCTGCTGCGTCTGGCCTCGCTGACGATGAAGACGCCGCCAGCGGCTCAGCCTCTGCTGTATCCTTTGGTTCCGTCTCCTCCTCTCCACCCCCTTCACCAGCTTCGAGCTGTTGCAACCTGAGCTTCTCCCTCTGTCTGGCCTCCCTCTTCTGCTGCACGCCCTTGGCCTTCTCATCCTCCAGCTCCATCGCTTCGGCAGTCGTCGTCATCTTCTTGTCCTTGTTTTTGCGAGCTGCACTGCTGCTCTTCAATGCCTCTTCAAATCGTCTCTTCTGCTCTACGGAGGTGGTGTGCGCCCTCTGTCTCTGCCTGCGAATATCCTCCTGCTTCGCCGCTTCCCATTCTTCCCACTGCGCCTTTGTCGGGCTGACATGCGCCTTGGCATCATCTACTAGCACAGCTACGCCCCTCTGTAGGAGCAATCCCACCTCTTCTGGCATGAGCTCGAGGGGCAGACCGAGGTAGGCATTCTGTTGTGGCAGCAAGGGGAGGGAGCCAGTGAGGATGCCAATGATGCGGTGGTGCGAGCGAAGGTGGAGTACGTCCGAAGCGGACCAGACATAGAAGTGGTCATCGAGATGGGAAATTGGGATGAGGCGGCGAGGTGCAGAGGTCGTGGCAGAGGTGGAGGCCAACAGCTGAGGCTGAGGCTGAGGGGAAATCGCCATGCTTGCCGCGATATAGGGACGATGTAAAGGTCTTGGATGTGACCCGTCTTCGTTGGTACCCTTGACTTTTCTTGGAGTTGCCCGCTGCACCTTGCTGCCGAAGGGTTTGATCTCCGCTCCTGGCGTCTCCGCTCCGATGGCTGGCTGGAGGTCTGGACCACGCGCAATGGCAGCAGAGGGAGAGGCCTGTGCTGTGCGGCTCCAACACACGCCATCCGTCATCAGCCCCTCTGCCCCGCCTCGCCCTTCGCAATCACAGCCTGGCAACCCACACTTCCACTTTGCCTTGAGACCTTGACCATACCCACGATCTCAGCAAAGGAAAGAGATATACAACAACAGTCACCCAGACAGAGCACTCTTCCATACCAACACTTCACATTACCGCAAATAATGGCAGACCAACTGGTGAGTGAACAGCTGCCCACTCGGACCATCCGTGGTGGAGGGGGTTGGGGAGCGTCGATGGATCTGGAAGCTTGCATCGGCTACGCTACACCACGATTATCGGGCACCTCAACAGGCAGTCGTTCGTATCAGGGGAAGCTTCAAATCTTCGCGCCGATACAAGCCTGGGAGGCTCTCAAAGACCTAGTCCTCCGAAATACAGCCGTGCTGCAGAGCTCTACATCTTCTGCGCTACCACGAGCGAAGGGAAGGTCATGGACATCAATGATGCTGCTGCCATCAAGTTGCTGGTACCACTCAGACTGACTCTGTACATCCCCAAACCACAATTTTATCCCCCTTCTTCTTCTATCCACGCTTCGCAGACCGAAGGTGAGTTCAAAGCCGCCTCGTGACCCCTCGCAGCTCGTCCCAGATGAGGATGATGACTGACTTCTGGCCCGTATCTCTCGCCTTTGTGCATCCTCCCCGTACGAATCGACAGAGCAAATTTCCGGTGAGCACCCTTTGCCTTTGCTACGAGCGCAGCTGAGATACGCGGTTCATGCCTGACCCCTCCGCCTCTGCTTTGTCTTCTCAATTTCGTCCCTGCAGAGTTCAAGGAGGCCTTCTCTCTCTTTGACAAGGATGGAGATGGATCTATCACCGTCAAGGAGCTCGGAACTGTGATGCGATCCCTTGGTCAGAACCCGACCGAGGCTGAACTGCAAGACATGGTGGGTTAAGAAGATGGAGGTGGAGGAGGAGCGGATATTGGTCGGACAGGCGGACAGGCAGACAATGAGGGATTGAGAGTAGGGTCTGATGCAGAACTAACTTCCTCTACATTCTCACCCAACAGGTGAACGAAGTTGATGCCGACGGCAACGGTTGCGTAGACTTTGCAGAGGTGGGTTGCGCTGATTCTTTCGCGTTCGTCATCGGGCTTGCTGACTGACGCCTGCATCCCCCCTTCTGCTGTCAGTTCATCGGTCTGATGGCCCGTAAGCTACGAGATGTCGACAGTGAAGAGGAGATCAAGGAGGCATTCAAGGTCTTTGACAAGGATGGTAACGGATACATCTCGTCGGCCGAGCTGCGTCACGTGTGAGTACAGATCGGGGACAGAAAATGGCTGGAAAGCTCAAATAAAGTCAAGGCTGACCACAAGCTCCGTCTTCTGCTTTCCTTCAACAGCATGACCAACCTGGGCGAGAAGCTGTCAGACCAAGAAGTCGAGGAGATGATCCGAGAGGCGGATGTTGATGGTGATGGACAGATCAACTACCGTGAGTAGAGGGAAAGAGGAACATCGTAGGGCGATCAGAGTGATTGACACTGTGGTACTGTTTTCTGCTGCCCTGGCGCTTGCAGAGGAATTCGTTACTATGATGATGAGCAAGGTGAGTACACGGGGTGATCAGAGCACGTCCGTACTGCGTTGCTCAGCCACTGACGCTCCGTCTGTTTTAACCCTCTCCTTTTTGCAGTAATTCGGAACCACGCAATGTCCGAAGTGCACTTTCTCTGATGTCTAAGCTCGTGGGATAGGCAGATCTCCCTGTTGCGGCAGCTGGCTGCAGTGACGCAACTACAACACGATGGGAAACAGGAATTGTGGTCAGCTCAGCTGGATGGCCGGTAGAATATTCCTCCCTTGGCTTCTACTTGAGATTCTCATAGCCGTCTGCAATCCGTCTTCCCTTCTGTCTGTCTGTTCTCCCCTGTGACTTGGACGCCTTGAACCGAGGGTGTACCCTGTCTTGCGCCCCTTTGCGCGTGTGCGGGTGTGCGTGTGTCTGTGTCGCTGCCAGTTGCAAACACGCATTCAAAGTCAGACAGGGGGCGTTTGGCGTGGGTGGGTGCGCGTCTGGTCTGCGTCTGGTGGTGTTGGTGTCAGAGGGCAGGCAGGCAGGCAGGCAGGCAGGCAGGCAGGCAGGAGAGTCAAGAGTCCCCCCGGCGAGAGGCCAGAGGCAGGCGTGAGAGCAACAAAGACAGACAGACAGACAGACAGAGACGCCTTGATACTTTCATCCATTGCACTTGCACTTTGCGCCTGCCTTTCCGCTTTTACCATTACCATTAGTACTACTCCCTCCCTCACGCTCATAGTTGCATTCTCATATACTATACTTGAAGGAACAAAAGTCCTTGGTCGTAGCAAACATCAGAAGAGCAAGAGCAGAGCAGAGTAGAATATAAAATGGTGAGTGCCTTGGACGCTGAGGTGGGACGGGATGAGATGGGATGCGGCATCGGTAGGCAGGGCGGCAGGAGTGTAGGCTGGAGGACAGGAGGCGAGGATTTAAAGGTCGGCTTAGCTAGATGAGGCGGGCAAAGAGATGAGAAGCTGGCAATCAGCTCGATAAAGCTGCTCTTGGGAGGATGGGACCATCGTGGTAGGACAGGACTCCAAGGACAGGCAGACTTCTACCCGTACGGATCAGTGATGGCCAAGAGAGGCTTGTGAGATTGCTGGAGCTAGGAGGCCCTGGATGCGGCGATAGATGAGGTGAATGAGCTCGTACTGACATTCGGAGCTACATCTTGCCCCCTCTCACCACTCGGAACAGTCCGACGCAGGTAAGTCTATCTTTCCTTTCCAAACACCAGGTACAACGGTTGCTCATCTTCCCCTCCCCGTCTCCCTCTTATGTCCATCCTTTTTCCCCTTCGACCTCCCGATCGCAGAGTTCAAAGAAGCCTTCTCCCTCTTCGACAAGAAGGGTACCGGCCGCATTCCAGCGCAGTCTCTTGGAGACCTGCTGCGTGCCCTGGGACAGAACCCGACACAGGCCGAGGTGGGGGATCTGGTGGCACAGGTGGGGGGCAAGGATGGTGAGTACGGCGGCATAGGGTAGGAGATGGTTGGGGAGAAAGGTGGGGAAATAGGAAGAAAAGGAAACGTGGTCTGACAGTCGCTCCGTCCTTCCAATACTGGGCTGCCTTGCAGTGGACTACCAAACATTCGTGAACATCCTGCACCGTCCGAATGGCTTCAAACCAGCTGGCACACCGGGTGAGTCTAACGGCTATATCACTTCTAGTCGGCGCTTGGTCTCCAGAAGCTGATTCGTGTCATTCCTGCCCTCTTTTATTTCGCAATGACAGAGGAATTCATCCGAGGCTTCCAAGTCTTCGACAAGGAGGGCAACGGATACATCGGTGTGGGTGAGCTGCGATACGTCCTTACCTCTCTGGGCGAGAAGCTGAGCGACGAGGAGGTGGACGAGCTGCTGAAGGGTGTTCAGGTCGGCAAGTGAGTATAGCGGAAGCACGAGCGGCAGACAGCCAATCGGTGGACACTACTGACGATCCTTGCCCCCTTCATCTTCCGCTGCTCTCTTCTCTCTCCAGTGATGGCAACATCAACTACGAGTCTTTCGTTCGACAGATCCTTGCTCAGTAGATGGGCGGTTGCAATCTCTAGGGGTGGCAGAGGCATCGCTCTGATCTCGGTCTCTTGTCACTTTCGCCTTCACGTCTGTCTCCCACTCTTTCCTTCCCGCGGCTATCACTGTCTGGCAGCTTCGATATCCGCTCGATCAGCTTGTCGTGTGTGGTAATGACGAATGAGCATAGCATGGCGTATCAGATCGCACATCGCATCGCGCATGGCTAGTATGATTGACAGGCGATTTGATTGTTTGACTCGTAGTGCAGAGCAAGAAGTCGCATAGTACAAAGAGACAAGACCGGAGGCGGCTCTGACACACAGCAAGTCGTCGAGCCCTCCTCTCCCCCACACACAGAAGCGCGTAGCGTAGCATAGCTGAAACCCTCAAACCAAGTGTCACTTGACCCTTTTCCCTCTATTCGGAGATTCCCCTAACTCCATCCGACCTAAGTGCAGCATTTCCATAGTCTCTCTTCTCCAATCCAGCGTCCTGCGGGAGGATGTCTCGATCAAAGATGGCCGTGGGCAGCGAAAGGGAAACGGCAGCATTGGGGGAATCTACAATGCTCCCCACGTGCGAGTCGACGGGTGCTGCACTCAAAAGTAGGTAGGCCTGCTCTCTAGTGTAGCCCAACTTTTGGAGGTAGGAGATACAGTTGCGTGCAGCGGCCTTGTAGGCCGTTGTAGCACACATGCTCTTTTGCTCACCGTCGGTGTGAAGATTGACGGAAATGCCTTCGAAGATGATACGGGCGCTGTATTGCGGGTCCACGGGGCTGGGACTGATTGTTGGGAGGGGGTCATCAGGGCAGAAAGGGAGTGAGTGAGGATCGCCTTCTCCCTTGCGATTCGAGAATCTCGAGAAGACTCACAGGAAGATGGGCATGGTCATGGCGAATTTGTCCACACCGCCCTTGATGACGCTGACCTGCAGTGTGACAACACCGGCCATCTCGATGGCTCCACAGAAGCTCATCTATAGTAGCAAAAGACGATGAAGTATTGGTCAGTTTAGATTTAAGAGGATGCGACGGATGCCTGCGGGCGAGCGAGTCAGACTCACCTCACCGTCTCCCTGAGAGAAGTGGAGATCTCCAAAGCTCAAGCCGGCTCCCTTTGTGAAGACGGGGAAGTAGCACCTCGAACCTCTCGAGAGATTCTTGATGTCAACATTCTGTAGAATGGAGGAGAGACAGCGTCATAGTGAGCGTCATAGATCGTTTCCGCGATTGTGCTCCCTGAGAGGCCCGTGCCCTGCCTCGGATACTCACACCTCCGTGTTCTCGGCCAGGAATGGTCCTTGCTCCCTCCTTGTAAATGCGCTGCTTGACCTCGTCGGGCAGATCCTGTCCTACATAGGCGCCCTTGGGCTCAGGTGGGAAGGCGACTGCTGGCACCGGGTCTTGTCCATCAACCTTGTGGTCATGGATCAGCTTGCCCTCTCGACGGTTCCACTCCTTCAAGAGCTCCTTGGAGGGTCGTGTACCGATCAGACCTGGGTGCGTGCACCCGGCAAAGCGCACGCCAGGGATATGGCGCGAAGTGGCGTAGATTCCCTTGAAATCCCAGATAGCCTTGGCGGCCTTTGAGTCGAATTCGGTCGCAAAGAGACCACCACCATTGGTGCGCTCAAAGATTCCAGTGAAGCCCCAGGGGTGCTCCTCGAAGGGCTGCACGTCCAGGATGTCCACCACCAGCACGTCCCCGGGCTCAGTGCCCTCCACGTCTACCGGGCCAGTCAGGTTGTGAACCTAAGGCAAGAAAGGAAGAAGTGCAGACCACACCCCAGTACGTCAGCTCTCGCTCCAGATCCTCATCCGCTCCCAGCACCTCCTCTTGGACAACTCACTCGAGTCAGGTCAACGTTGCGAACGTCATCACTGTCATCGTTGTTGCCAATCTGGCCACCGGTCCACTCGTGGGCCTCGAGCTTGAAGATGTCTCCAGGCTTGACAGTGACAAAGGCTGGGATCTCGTCGTGCCAGCGATTGTGGATTCCCTTCTGCTCGTAGGCAGGCTTGGTGGGGTCCACCTTGATGAGGGTGGGAATGGCTTGGCCAGTCATCTTGGAAGCGTTCATGATGGGCGGTCAAATGAGAGGGTAGGCAAGGTAGGAAGAGAAGAGGGCCGAAGGTAGGGCTGGGTGAATTGGGGGGGTTCAGGGGGCTGCGAGGGCGTGGGGATAGGTCACTTTAAGGATGTCGTGTGCCCTTGCTGCCCTGACCGGCCTTCCCTTTGTAGCCCTCCCACGCCATCATGACCTTGGGTCAGCCGATTCTGCAGTCAGCAACGGCCAATGATGGTAGGCACGAGGTGCATCTCCTGTCCATCTACTTCCACACGCCCTCCTCTGCTCTTCTTCCCTCGTCTAGACTGCACCCTGCCACCTCGCCTAGCTATCCAAGCGGGGTTCTCCCCCTTTGATTCCTCAAGCCCCGGCTGCAAAGGCACTCGACTCGACTCGCGTGGAGGCATGCACGGACTTCCCCGGACCCAAGCCCGACGCTGAGAGATAAGAAGAAGAAGCGCACGGAGCTGCCGGCTATCAAGGAAGAGAGGCACTGTCCAGACCAGGCAGGGCTCACTCAGAGGACAAAGACACACGAGGCTCAATGGTGTTCTCACGCTCACAGAGATCTCGAATGAGGCCGCAGGTACGACTTGGTTACACGGTGACGGGCGCACTGATCAGCCGCTTGAACCAGAAGCCGCTACTGCAGGCGCAACAGCAAAGAGCAAAGTACGCACTGTCTATATTTGCCAGTCTATTAATACAGATTGCGGTACAACAGTTCGAGGCACTGCTGCTGACTCCTCCAAAACTACCGTTCAACGTCGTCTTCGTCGACGCTGCTTCCTGTCCTCCCCCGAATCACGTCCTCTTCTTCTCGCTCGTCCCCTACACTGTGCGTATCGTCCCAGCCGATCGCGACGAAACTCAGTAGTACCGCAAGCGATCCAATGTTGGCCATCGTGCCTCCGGAATGCGTGCCCATGAGCAGGTCGATGAAGACAGCAAGAGGGATGGTGAGGGAGAGGCCGACCGTTGCGACGAGTGGGGCCGTCTTGAGCATGGAGAGCAAATAGGCAAAGTCGCTGATACAGTGAAAAAGGCCAGCGATCGAGTCAGCAGCTGCATGGACGTCTACAAAGTACTCGGTCGCCGCGCGTGCATCTCATTTCTCGACTCACCTGACGAAAGTGATACCCATATTGACCCCCACGCCCACCCAAGTCTTGGTATCACTGGGCAGCTGAAAGGTCTCCCAGCCGGTAAGATGGAGGCCAAGCCCAACAGGCCACATTGCCAGAATGTTGAACGCCCCGACGAAGCCAAAGAAGAGCGGCATAGAGACGCGATCTTCCGATTTGATGCGAAGCTTCAACAGAGTGACATAGACTGCGTAGCAGAATGCCGATAGCAGGGCGAGGAAATCCCCTAAGCGGGCATTGACGGGACCTTGCACTCCCACCTCATCTACTTCTGGCAGTGAGTCGGCATGAGTTACGAGCGCCACTCCAAGGAAGCTATCAAGGGAACTTTCGGATCAGCTCATGACTCGCTTCTCGAGTCTCGCTCGCCAAACGCCTCACCTGACAAGGACTGCGAGAAGCTTCGCCTTCGTGACACGCTCAACGCCAGTCAAGCTACCCAGACCTAGTGTGAAGAAACCTGCGGAGCCAAAGGGGATCCAGAAGAGGTAAGGAGACAGAACAGCAGCCAGGCAGACCTCACACACGTCGACTCACCACTTGCACTGCTCAACGTTGTGCCGCTTGCTACACTAGTCATTCCCAGAGCAGCAGTCAGACTCCAATTGGCAGCAAACCAGACAAGAGTGAACTGCCCCGCCAGCACTGCTGTTTCTCGCAGTGTCAGCGGAGGAAGAGCTTGCGGCGACATCGATCCACCTTCTTCGTCCAGCCTGACCACCGGCCGCCTTCCATCAATCGAAGACGGCCTGCCACCCTGCGCTAGGCGAGGCCGTACATCGCGTATGGCATCACAGCTCGGTGAAGGGAGCCGGAGAATAGTGCCATCGTACGCAACGGCATCGGACGTGGCCAGTCGGGAGTAGCTCCCGCGCCTCTGTCGTGGTGACTCCGGCAGAGCGAAGCCTATTCTAGCCCAGAAGCTACTTGCTCCATCCTCCTTGCTGTCGCTGTCATGTGACCTCGCATCTTGAGCTGCGACTCTCCGTCTTCTAGGCTTGTGCAGTGCCAATGCAAAGGGTATAAGGTAAAGAGCAAAAGATGAGGTGTTTGCGTATGTCACGGCAAATGGTTTGTCCCAGCCTGAAGTGAGGATGTTATTTGTGAGGAAGTTGGACGCCGTCCACAACAAGACGACGAGGATCAGGAGGGCGAGGCCGACGATGTAGTCATGCTGCCTTGCCACAGCGGCCGCACCTTGCGTCCGAGAAGCAGCGGGTCTGGCTTCATCCATGATTGTTCAGGCCGCAGGAGGAACGGCGGCAGACCCGTGCAGAGGGCTGTCGAGTGATGAGGGGTCCCAAGACAAGGGGAATCGCTGATATGACTCACTGACGCTATTCCGGGCGTTCAGAAAGGTTCATTCGCGATTGCTGCTTCCGTTCCGGCAGCCAATTGGGACATCCGGATGCTAAATGCCACGCGAGGAGGGATTGCGCGCTCCTCTGCCGACGGGATGGTGGATGGCGTGGGTTGCTTGCATCGCCCCTTTCAAGCTGTAGCCGCCTCTACCCTCCGAAGACTCACCGCTGCCCCGTCCGCTACTTGTCCGAGACCAACGGAAAGAGATCTGCAGGACCTCCATCGCCCATCCTCCCTCCTCCCCCCTTGGGCACCTCATACGATACCTCCTCGCCCTCCTCACCATCAAGGACTAGCAGGGTAGACCCCTCGTCCGTATCGCTCAGCCTTCCCCCTTGTCCCTCCCAAGTCTTGGTCTCCCGTCTTTGCACGGCCAAGGTCGCACCTTGACGCGTGGGTCTCAACTCGTGCGCGAAGAAGTCTTGAATACTTGGGTTGATCGATCCCGCAACTCTGCACTCAGTCAGGGACAAGATTGATTCCGCCGCCCATCAATACCATCTCACGCGTCTCTGACCGCCTCGCGCGCCGCCTCGGTTCAACCGGCTCTGCATCCTCTCTCTTTCCGAGAACCCTGCGAGGAAGAAGTCGATAGCGCACGCCGCTTCGGTAGTCGATCGCGTCCACCATGTCAGCAAATGGAGTGGCCGTCGGTCACCAACAGCAGCAGCAGCCATCTACTGCAAATGGCCATCACCCCGGAGGATCGCAGTCCTCGGGGGCTGCTGGAGGGTCCAGTATGCAAGCCATGCTTGCTGGCATGACCCGCGAAAGGCTACAACAGCTCGTCAATGTGAGTATTGCTCAGCATGTATTGGCTTTCAGCCTACCTCGATGAACGAGGCTACTGACCCAGAGGTGCGCTTGATTGTCTTCCCAGCGAATCGGCACTCTCAAGAGTCAGGGAGAGAATGAGAACACCAGCCAGGAGTATGCAAATCTTCTCAAGGTCTTTCGCGCATTCCAGCAGTACCAGGCATATCGGCAGCAGAATCTAGCAATGCAGACCAAGGATGCCCCATCTCCTGCACCGAATGGAGTCGCATCCACATCGAGTAACGCTGCTGCCCCTACACCAGAGAAGGCGAGCGATCAAGCCCCAACCGCTGCCCCTCCCGAAGTCAAGCAACAGCCAAACGGCACTGCTGCAACTAGCAGCGAGGAAGGCCCCGTAGCATTTACTCCGGATCAATTAGCTGCCCTCAAGGCTCAAATCATGGCATTCAAGCTCATCTCGCGGAATTTGCCTGTGCCGGTTGACATACAGCACGCCATCTTCGGCAGGGACAAGGCCATGTCGGACTTGCACGATAAGATGGAGCCTCTCACCGAGCTGGGAGATGGTGGTAAGGTCGGGGCAGCTGCTCTCGCTGTTCACGCTGCAGCTGATCCTGCACATGCTACAAAGGCTGCTGAGGCAGGCGCCGCCATCCCTCGCATTCCGTCCCCTTCTCACAACCCGGAGAGCAAAGTGTATCCCTACAACGCTTACAGGCAGCCCTGGTCGTATCTCTCGAAGCCCGGTCTCGGCTTGGAGCACCTCACAGCTGCAAAACAGCAGCGTGTGCTCATCCCTAGTCTTCTTCCTCGTGGTCTCGACCCCCAACTCCTTTACGATGAACGCAATCGCTTCATTGACGCTCGCATCGAGCAGCGGAGAAGAGAGCTCGAGTCTCTTCCCTTGACGATGTCCGAGCTGCCAACAGTGGCCGGAGTGCTCAAATCGGAACAGGCTGATCAGAGACTGGGAGACGATGGCACCGGTGTCGATGAGGGCAGCCCTTTTGCTGGTATGATTCAGTCGGAAAAGACTTTTCAGATGGACAATGCCAAGGTGAAAGCGTTGCTGGAGCTCAAGTCAATTGACCTACGTCACTTGCAGCGGTCGGTCCGCGAGAAGCTCGTGAATGGTTTCTCGCACACCACATCGCTGGGCATGGACCGAACAGGCTATCGTCGATGGAAGAAGACGACACTGCGAGATGCACGCAAGACTGAGCAAATGGAACGGGAGAACCGTCAAGTGCGCGAGAAGCAAGCTCGTCAAGGACACACAGACTACCTGACCGAGATTTGCAACCACGGGCGGGAGCTGCAGAAGGCCCACGCCGCGGTATATGCGCATGCTCAGCGAATGGGCAAGGCGATGCAACGGTTCCACACCGAAACCGAGAAGGAAGAGCAGCGTAGAATGGAGCGAGTTGCTAAGGAGCGTCTGAATGCCCTGCGAGCCGACGATGAAGAGGCGTATCTCAAGCTCATCGATACTGCCAAGGACACCCGTATCACGCATCTTATCAGACAGACTGATGCCTATCTGTCTGGCCTAGCCCAGAGCATTCAGGCTCAGCAGAACGACGAGGTGCACGCCGACGCTATTGCGGCAGAGCGAGCCGGTAACGCTGCTGCGCATGCAGAAGAGCTTGCTCGACAGGCTGCGAACCAGGAGATCGGTGCTGCTGTCGATGAGACGATGTTCGGTGCTCAGAAGGCTGAAGACGAACCTGAAGACAAGGGCAAGACAGACTACTACTCTGTCGCCCATCGTATTACGGAGCGTATCACCGAGCAACCTACCATCCTTGTTGGAGGTCAGCTGAAGGAATACCAAATCAAGGGTCTCCAATGGATGGTGTCGCTCTACAACAACAGGCTGAACGGCATTCTCGCCGATGAGATGGGTCTGGGCAAGACGATTCAGACCATCTCGCTGATCACCTTCTTGATCGAGCACAAGCGTCAGCATGGGCCCTACCTGGTCATCGTCCCTCTCTCTACACTGACCAACTGGATCAATGAGTTCAACAAGTGGGCTCCGGCAGTGAATGTCCTCACCTACAAGGGCACACCGAATGTCCGCAAGGCTGCTGCAAGTCGCATCAGGGCGGGCGACTTCCAAGTACTGTTGACGACCTATGAGTACATCATCAAGGACAAGAACCTTCTCGGCAAGATCAAATGGGTCCACATGATCATCGACGAAGGTCATCGAATGAAGAACACGCAATCGAAGCTGACTCTCACCTTGACGCAGTTCTACACGTCGCGATACCGACTGCTTCTCACGGGTACGCCTCTGCAAAACAATCTGCCCGAGCTGTGGGCCCTGCTGAACTTCGTGCTGCCACGAATCTTCAACTCTGTGAAGTCGTTCGACGAGTGGTTTAACAGTCCCTTTGCACAGGCTGGAGCCGGAGACACGAGCATGCAGCTGAATGAAGAAGAGGCTCTGCTGATCATCAAGCGTCTTCACAAGGTCTTGCGTCCCTTCTTGCTGCGTCGTCTGAAGAAGGACGTCGAATCGGAGCTTCCCGACAAGGTGGAACGTGTCATCAAGTGTAAGATGAGCGCTCTGCAAGGCAAACTGTACCAGCAGATGAAGAAGCACAAGATGATCGTCTCTGGCGACGACTCCCTCACTGCCAAGAAGGGCAAGCCTCAGGGTATTCGTGGTCTGCAGAATGCTATCATGCAGCTGCGAAAGATCTGCAATCATCCTTACGTCTTCGAACAAGTTGAAGTGACCATGAACCCCACCAAGGCCAACGGACCGGACTTGTATCGTGTCGCAGGAAAGTTTGAGCTCTTGGATCGTCTGCTACCGAAGCTGTTCGCAACGAAGCATCGAGTTCTGATTTTCTTCCAGATGACGGCCATCATGGACATCATGGAGGACTTCCTCCGCTTCAGGAACTTCCAGTACCTTCGTCTCGACGGTAACACCAAGCCCGACGACCGTTCGCATCTCTTGACCGAATTCAACGCGCCCAACTCGCCGTACTTCGTCTTCATCTTGTCCACCCGAGCGGGTGGTCTAGGACTGAACCTGCAGACGGCTGACACTGTCATCATCTACGACTCAGACTGGAATCCTCATCAGGATCTGCAAGCTCAAGACCGAGCACATCGTATCGGTCAGAAGATGGAAGTGCGAATTCTGCGTCTGATCACTGAGAAGTCCGTCGAGGAGCACATTCTTGCCACTGCTCAGCACAAGCTAGAAATCGACGGAAAGGTCATTCAGGCCGGTAAATTCGATAACCAAGCTACCAACGAAGAGCGAGAAGGCTTGCTCAGAGCCATGCTGGAAGAAGACAACGACGATGACGGAGAGGAAGAAGGTGACCTCAACGACGAAGAGCTCAATGAGATTCTTGCTCGAGGCGACCATGAAGTGGAACGCTTCAGGGAAATTGACGCTGAGCGGAACCAGCAGGAACAAGCCGAGTGGAAGGCTGCAGGCAACAAAGGCAAGGCGCCTGAGCGTCTGCTGACGGACGCTGAGCTTCCTGCGCTCTACCAGCGAGACTTCGATGCCGAGATGCTCGAGGCAGCAGTCGAAGAGGAGCCAGCCATCCGCAAACGTGCTGTTGTACACTACGACGATGGTCTGACGGAGGATCAATTCCTCAGAGCCCTCGAAGACGAGGACGTCGACCTGAACGATGTGGTAGAGAAGAAGCGAGAGAGGGCCGAGAAGCGCAGAATCAAGCAAGCCCTGTCTGGCGAAGGTACGCAAGACGGCAGTCAGACCCCCGAGCCCAGTAGCAAGAAGAAGGGCAAGGGGAAGAAGGGTCTGGGTGCCTCGAACCTCAACGACGATGACTTTGGAGACGATGCTTCGAACGCAGGGTCTGCACGGAAGCGCAAGCGTGGCAATGCCCTGTCGCCTGCAGGGTCCGTCGACAGTGGCGGCTTCGGTGGCGGCAAGCGTCGCAAGGGGGACGATCCTGTCCGTCAACACATTGCCGCTGTACTGCTCCAATGCTACCGGGCTGCCGAGGCCTGCGTCGATGAGACTGGTCGAAAACGCAGCATGATGTTCCAGGATATCCCAAAGAAGACCGACTACCCCGACTACCACGTCATTATCCAGAAGCCCATTTCCCTACGTCAGATCAAGAGGAGACTAGACAACAAAGTCTACAAGACTGTGTCTGAGTGTCGAGACGACTTCCACTTGATGGCGGCGAATGCAAAGACGTACAATGAAGAGGGGTCATGGGTGTACGTCGATGCTGTTGAGCTTCAGGCAGCGTTTGACTCCATGTACAACCAACTCGTACCTGGCAGCGGTCTACCTGGAGCCGAGGGAGGAGGAAGTGCTGGCGCTGGGCAGAGTGGAATGTCCAGTGCAAATGGTCAAGGTGCAGGAGACGATGAGGAGGAGGAAGAGGACGAGGAGGAAGAAGAGGAAGAAGAAGAGGCTCCTGTGCCGCCGAAGCCTTCAGGGATGAAGATCAAGTTGAAGAGACGGAACGAGATCATGGACGAGGAGTAAAAAACAGAGAGGATGGGGCAACGCTGGGTGCTAGACGCTGTTGTTACTTTCCTTCGCTTTCCTTAGAGGACTTTTTCCGCACCGCAGGCCACATGGCACTCGACAGACGCGAGCTTTCCTTGTATCATCACCGGGCAACTTTACAAAAGAAACTACAGAAACAGAAAGAGAATTCAAAGATGGTCTCGGTTGTTCATGTCTCGGGTCCAGTCGCAAAGTGAGACTGATCAGGGGATGTCGTATTTGCATTTGGCGGGCCGCGGATATTATCTAACGAGTACTACTATAAACTTGCCTTTTCTTCGGTGCCACTATCTACCCTGTAGTTCCTCCTCCTCTGACCCGCTCTCATTCCTTCCCTTCGATTGCGCGATCAGCTTCTTCTGCTTCACGGTCCTCTCACCCTCTACACCTTCTTCCTATGCTCCGGCGCATGATCCGTCTCATAGTCAATGTGGATAAAGCACCGATCCACATCCGGCAATCCCTCGAGCTTATCCTGCAGCGACTGAGCGACATCGTGAGCCTCCCTCAGGGGCGTGTCGGGATTCATGACAATGTCAACCTCTACATTGTACTGAGGTCCCGAGTGGTAGGCCTTGACACTGTCGATCTTCTCAATCTGCTCATGGAAGAGCATGACATTGTACGTGATGAGCTGCAGGAAATCAGGTGGTGCACCCTTTCCTGCCAATTGGGAGAAGTTCTCAGCAGCAGTGAATGACCAGACGGTGACGATGATGACGGAGATGACCATGGCTCCTACTGGGTCTAGCCACCAGACGACTTTCGATCCGAGGGCAGACGTGAGGATTCCCAGTCCGTTGATGCCCAGGTCGTTGCGGTGGTCGATGGCCAGGACTTCGATTTGTGAACTGAAGCGACGATAGGCTGTGCAGTAGAGGAAGAGGGCTAGCTTTACGGCAAATGCCACTCCCACGGCGACGAGTGAGGCAACGTTGAACGTCTTGTCCTCGTTGTTTGTTGCCAAGTCGCGGATACTCTCCACGATGAGCACGATGGAGACACAGCCCATCAGGAAGGCATACACGCAATTTGCCACGTTCTCGAAGCGACTTCCACCAGCAGGCCACTTCCTCTCATCTACTTTCCCCGACTTCTTGTGCAACAGCAAAAGAGCCAGGTTGGCAAAGGGGTCGAAGACACTATCAGCTGCTGTGGCGAATAGCGAGAGGGACAGAGACGAGATGGCGGCGTATAGCTGGAGGATGGCGAGGATGCAGTTGGCCGCAAAGGAACCATAGATGGCAAACTTGACCTGGATGGCATTGTTGGCTCGATCTTCGGCGTCGTCTTCACCGTGTGCGTGGAGAGGTTTGAGTAGGTTCTCGATGTGGTTGTTCTGAGCCTCGTAGAATGTCTGGAGACTCTTCTTGGCTCGAAAGCCCTTACCGGTAGGACGGTAGCGCAGGTCGGACTCTTCGACTTTCCTCGAGCGAAGCAGGAGTGGGTCCGAAGCCGAGGTGACGCTGATGGCGTTGCCACTTACTCGGGACGGCATTGTGCTGAGTACGGGTAGGTCACTGCCCATGCCGCGCTCCATGTCACTTGACTTGAAGTCGGTGGGCGACTCGGGAGGGTAAGTGACGCGGGGCAAGGCGGCCTGCTTTCCCTTGTCGGATGAGAGGGGATGCGAAAGACTGCCTGCGTCGCTGCCACTCCTCTGAAGGGGTACATCGCGGGATGGTCTGGGAGGTGCAACTGCTGCTGGGCTGGCGAGCTCAGTCTCCTCATCCCTGACTCGTACGGGTGAGAGGGGCGGTGATACTCCTGGCTGGTGGGAAGTGGAGGCGTTGCTGTCCCCACCGCTGACCATGGAGACTGCTGATGCTAGCAAATGCGACATTGCGATGAGGAAGAGATGGGAGGAATGGTGAGGATGGAAGGCAATCAATTCAGGCAGAAAAGTCCCGAGAGAAGCACTGGCAGGCACAAAAGACGTCTTATCGTCCGCCTGGCTGTGCGCCCCAAAGCCAAAGCCCCACATCCACTCACCGCCTGCTGAGTCTTGGCACGGACGACTCTGCGCGCACACATGCAGCGACGCACAGGCCAGTCACGTTACCCGAGGTCACATGCCGCGGCTCAAACGCGTCCTCGCAGTCTCAGCCCCGCACTTTCCACATCCTACCAACCACTCACATCGATGCAACCATGTCTCCCTCTTCCCGACCTCCCCCGAGCTCTGCATCAGACAAGCAGTCTTTCGCTTACGAGTCGACTGCCAAGCGATGGTGGGGATCAAACACCGAGCCCAGCATCTGAGCATATGCACATACAGCTGACCGTGCTACCCCACACCCATCCTCCAGGCCCACCATCTTGACCCAGGCCATTGATGGTCTCTACCAGGCCGCCTCGGCATTGTCTAGCTCCTCTTCGGCTCAAGATGTACGCGCAAAAGTCGACGAGTCCAAGTCGATCATCGAGAAGCTCTCGAAGCTCAAGCACGATATCGGTCGAGACCACCCCCTGCACAAGCTGGAGCAGGATTCTGGCCCCTCGGTCGACCTCTACAATTCCATCATCGAAGAGGAAAAGCCAACATGGTTCACTGCCGCTTGGTTGTTTGCCGAATGCTACTTGTACCGACTAGTGAGGATCTACTTTGACCAGTCCCAGCACTGGAAGTATTACGACCCCTTTGCCAACCAGAAGATGAGCGCATTCAGGAGCTCGGGAAGCGCTATTGAGCAGCTGGCCAAAACTCTCGAGGATCTGATCAAGCAAGCTTCTTCAGGACAGGCAGCGGCTGGAAGCGAGGAGGGTATGAAGGTAAGTCCACATTGCAAGTGGACTACAACGGCATTACCCATATACTGACAGCAACCGTAAAGCCTGCCTTCCTCAGCTCACCTTCTTCCTGCTGGCTCAATCTGCACTCTGGGGCAACGCTACCGATCTCTCCCTCCTCACATCTCTCAGTCACGCCGACATTCAATCTCTCCAAGCTGGAGGGATCGGAGCCGACGCTCAAAAGGGCAGAGAGCGCTTCATCTTGACAGGACTCGGAGCGCTCGACTCTGCATGGAAGCAACTTTCTGCTGCGAAGAAGCAGGGCAGGGGCGGCCGTGTAGACATTGTCCTGGACAACTCCGGATTCGAGCTAGTCACAGACATGATGTTGGGCCATTGGCTGCTGGAGGCTGGATATGCATCGGAGGTGGTCTTCCACGGAAAGGCAATCCCTTGGTTTGTCAGTGATGTAACGCCGCCGGACTTTGCCTTCACGATCGAGGCTCTACAGGAGCAAACGTTCTTCGATGAAAAGGAGAGCAAGACAGTCGAGCGATCCTTGTCGCGTCCTCGCGGACAGGCTAACGTCGATGATTTCACTGGTGGTGAGCGCCCTCGCCCAGCTGGCTCGCGCTCTTTGAAAATGGAAGCTAGTACCTCACGAGAGAGGAGCCCAGCGCCAGCTGGAAGCAAGGGCCTCCAGGCCAGTGCAGGCGCCGTCGGCAGCGATCAAGGCAGAGGCCGACAGCCCGCTGGTTCTCGTTCCCTCACCATGGACCCGGCCTACTTCCAGAATTCGCGATCGAGAACCGTATCTCCAAGCCGCTCCTTCCTGGTCGACTCAACTTCTCTCTCTTTTGCGGACCTAGCCATCGCCGAAGAGGGGAAGAGCGACACTGCCTCTCGACCTTCCGCCACACGATCCGCCTCTGGCTTCCGCTCTCAGTCTGCAAGTGCAGCCAGCAGCAGTACTCAGCGCTTGGCGGCGACGTGGAGCCAGTACATCCGCGAAGGCAAGTTCAAATTGTCCGTCCCCGTCGTCACCAAGCTCGGTGAGAGCACTGGCCTCGCGGAAGGAGACTTCTGGACCGAAGGCGTAGGATATGACCAGATGGGTCAAGTGGCTCCAGGGCTCCTCTCTGAGCTCAGAGAGAAGAGCGCTCTAGTCATCTTCAAGGGCGATCTCAACTACCGTAAGCTGACCGGTGATCTGCAGTGGCCTACCACGACACCCTTTGAGACGTCCATTGGCGCATTGGCTGGTTCGTTCCCACTGTTGTCACTGCGAACCTGCAAAGCGGATGTCGTGGTTGGATTGGCGGAGGGAGTAGAGGAGAGGGTTGCCAAGGAGGATCCAAAGTGGCGAGTCAATGGGTCGTATGCGGTTGTTGAGTTTGTTGGCAAGAAGTGAATGCGAAGGGATAGAGAAGCATGACACAGTACAGCATCGCAATACGATTCTGAAGGGGCACACCAAAAGAGAGGCAAGGCAATAGCAGACGTAGAGCAAAAGCCGCAGCAAATGTGATGGTAGAGACAAATGACTTCATTAAAATTGTAATGCAGGTATAAAGATTACTAAGAATGTCATAGTGTAGAGTGTAGAGTTAAGGTGACAATGAATGGGTATGCTAAATTAGAGGAACTATTGTGTTTGCGGTTACGGTTGCATAAGTGTATGAGTGTGTAAGAGTGACAATTGATGTAGATACCGGTGCCAGAATTAGAGGAAGCCCTTGTTGATTAAGGCCGCTGGCGATGTGCCGCTGGCCATTGTATTAGTCGGGTGTAAAGTTCCGTTGAAAGTAGATAGTCAAGGTAGATAGATATGTAAGTAGGTAGTAGGTAGTAGGTAGTAAAGCGGTGACTAGTGAATTTGATAGAGGTGTAGTAGGGTTGCTCCACTGCTCATCACCAAGCAGTAATAGCAGGTAGGTTCACGGACCTGCCGGGTGTGCTAACAACAGTAGCGGTCGAAGTAGTCCAAGAGCTAAGCCACATTGTGCTCGTCCAGGGCACCTCATCCACAATTGTCGAAATTACAGTCTGCGTTGTCATCGCTGGTGCCAATGTAGTACTGGTAGTCAACGTCGAGACTTGTGTACTCGTCGTAGTGACGCGTTTTGTGCTGTACGAGAGGTTCTGTGCTAGTGAAGCCAGAATGGAGGAACTCTTGTCGCTTCCGCTTGTGCACTTGCAGGCGAGTGTGTAGGAGAGACTGCTTGAGCTTGCAGTGCAAGTGGAGGTCTTGACCTTGGAAGAGCAAGAGCTGGTACAGGCGGCGAGGTAGGTGCTGCAGAAGGTGCTCGCGATGGACTTGGTCGCGGTTGACTTCTTGACGGAGCGAGCAGACAGCTCCACCTCCTCTCCCTCCTCCTTCTCCTCGTCCTCGTTGACATCGCGACGCATGATGTCAGAAGCGGAGATGGCTACGATGAACTCGCCAGAGTGGCCAATCTGGCCCAAGCTAGCGACGGAAGACGTGGCAGCAGCGACTGCGCTACTGGCAGCGCCAACCACGCTGCTGACGACGTTGTCCACGCTCACTGCTGCCACCACAGCACCACCATTTTGAAGCACCCATGGTGTAGAAACACTAATCACCGTCGTCGTCGTCGGTAGAGTAGTCTTGGAGGTGACCGTAGCGGCAGTGACGGTGAGTTGAGTAGTGCTGATCACCTTGACCTTGACGGTACTAGTCTGCTGCACAGTCTTTGTACGTGTCCGTGTGGAGCTGACCGTCGTCGACATTGTGGAGGTGAGGGTAGCGGTGTTTGGACTGGCGAGGAGGGCGACTACGTCTCCCGTCACATCCGTCGTGGATGTCTTGCACGACACTGTTAGTGCTGAAGAAGAGGAAGAGCAAGAGGAAGTAGTGTTTGCCCATAGTGAGCAGGCTTTAGTGAATGCATCGCAGTACGCGCTCGTGCTTCTTGTCACGGGAGTCGCCTGCGACGGTGTGACTAGGAGAGCAACGAGGGCGAGAAAGCAGGCATTGAGGAAGAGAGAGAGCTGCATCTCGCGTTGATAGATGATGAAGAGGGTAGGAGTCGTTCTATGGAGAAAGCATGAATGGTAGAGAAGCAACTCGTAACAACGGGTGGATGCAAAAAAGGCAAAGATTATGATGGCAGGGGGAGAAGGGGGGGCGCGAGGCTCACTCCACTCCTCTGACTATATGGGGCGCTAGTTCCTCTTCCGGCCTTCGTACACTCCCCCCCCTCTCGGAGATCATAAACACGACTCAGCGCCGCTCGGATGGTCACGCCTCTTTTTTTAGCGAATGAGACATCCAAGTCCTAGCCCCTTGCTTGTGGCCTCACCAGTGCCATTGCCACGATATGCCGCTGAAGCGCTACGAGGCTGAGACTCCATACGCAGCATGTCTCATGATGGAGTTGGTGCTCATCTTCCCCCCCCTTTCCCTAGCCTCTTGCATCGACGCTTCTGGCAAAGAGTGGCAATCGATGGAAGCGGGCAACAGCAGAGTGGCCAGGGCCGCGACTCGAGGCCCACACCCAGTGTGTCTCGCGGGGCGTCAAAATTCTCCGTCGGGTGGCGCAATGGAACCTAATTGCATAGAAGCCCGCCACAGAAGTGCCACGTGGTGTGGGCGCCATGGCGTCACGACTGTCACTCCACCTGCCAAATCGGCGCCGATGGGGTTTGAGATGGCTTTGCCCATCCAGCCGCGTGGGCGAGGTCTGGACGTACGACCGTCTGGCCATCTAGCCGACGTGCCGTTGAGCCGCGGCGCACCGCTGCGTCGGGACAGTCCCATCTGAGACTCGACGAGAGACATGACGACGTTCTCCGCAGCCGAGCATCTCTAGTCTGAGCAGAGGACCTGGCGATCTCCCTGTTTGTGGCGCGTACTTCGATGGACACAACCCGCCCTCAAGGTGGCGCGACGACGCGTGCCTCATGCCTATTCTCTAAGACAGGACCCAAGGAACCCGACGATCGTAGCCGTCGGGGTACTCCCATCCGAGACATGGCTAGACTCATCTCGACTTAGCCCATTCCGCGGAGTACAGGTTGACTCATTACTCAAGGCGCACGGGCAAGGAGCAAGGCGTAGACAGAATAGCCGGTACGATCGCAGATCACGCGGGCAAGAGAGGAGGAAAGAAAAGCATTTACCGTTATAAAATCTATCTATCGAAAGAGTGGGGCCGAATGAGTGCTCAGGCAGGATGTCAGGTGGTGCGGGTAAAGGTGCCGGGCAAGTAAAGGGATTTGAGCAACCGCCCGAAGTCGGCAGGGACAGCTGACAGGACGTGGCGTCGAGAGATGGACAAGAAAACCTCCGATCATCTAGGCAGTCTCACGCTTAGTCATCAGCAGATCGCAGGGCAGCTTCGGGAGGACCACCATAGACTGTACAGGGAGCAAAGCAGAGCAAGCAAGGTAAGCAGATGCATCTTCGAATCCGTCGCTGGCGCTGCATGAGTGCCAACTTACCGTGTAGTCTGGCTCAGGCGTCTTGCCAATCTTGCCATCGCCGCCATCGATCTTCCAGTCAAAGTTCCTGACAATGGTAGCGATGATGGTGCCCAACTGAAGATAAGCGAATTGCTCTCCGATACACCTGTGCCTGCCTGCTCCAAAGGGCAGGTAGGGCGAGTTGGCGCCGGTGGAGACTGCGCCCCATCCGTAGTCTACCGTTTCGTTACTGGTAGCAGCCCCTTTGGTAGCCTCGCTCTTGGCGCCTCCATTCTTCTCTTCTGACTTCAGGATACCTCCCTCCAGCCACCTCGAGGGCAAAAATTGGTCGGCATCTGGCCAGTAGGTAGGGTCAATTGCGCTCACACCAGGAGCTGCCAAGACGTTGTGTCCCTTGGGGATGATAAGCGTCTCGCCTTCCTTCTGCCTGAGACCAGTTCCTCGGGTATTGGCAGATAGCGTGGGGGGCACGGGAATATCCTGCAGCACTCTCCTCATGAGTGAGTGGAGAGGAGGATGCATACGCAGGGTCTCTCGAATCACGGCATCCAGGACTGGGAGCGAGCTCTTGCTAGTCTCGTAGTCAAGAGGTCGCAAGCTGCCGTCTGGCTCGCCATAGACTCGAACTTGCTCGTCATAGATCTCCTGAATAAGCTCAGGCTTGGATCCCAGGCGCAGAAGTGCCCAAGACCCTGTAGCGGATGAGGTGTGCTGACCCGCCATCAGCAAAGCGATCATGATGGTCGAGATCTCTGTATCAGTCAATGGCCTTCCGTTCTTGTACTTCTGCTCCATCAGAGTAGCAATCATGTCATGATGCTGCGATGGCTCAGCGCCCTCGGCGCTTCCGGCAGCTCTGCGCTTGGCTACGATCTCGCTGTAGAACTGGGCCATCTTACGTTGAGCTCGGTCTCTCTTGAAGTTGGCAGGGAGGGGCAGGCCTGGCATGATGAAGTTGAGAGGGGTAAATCCACCATCGAGGTCATGGTAGAGGCCTGCGAAGGACTTGTCCAGGTTCTGCCTGACCTCCTCGCCCTGTAGCGTTCGAGACGCAGTGAGGATGGTGAGCTCACACATCGCCTTGAAGATGTCTACTGGCGCCGATTTTCCGCTCTTGAAGCCCGCAAACTTCGGATCATTCTTGAGGAACTGCTCGGTCTCGTCAACGATCTGTCCGACGTACACCCTCAAATTGTCACTGGTGAGGCCAGATTTGACAAAGCGCTTCTGCTCCATGAAGACGGCATTAGGCACGTCGTACACGGCATCCTTTCCGAAGACGGGTGTGATGACGGGGTTGTACACGTCCTCTGCGCAAACCTCGGAAAGCTTGCCATTGAAGATGAGGTTGGATCCTTTGGGTCCGAGAGCTACGGTGATCTTTCTGCCCAAAAGGACAAAGGTGAACACGTCGCCATACTTCTCCTTGCAATCGAAGAAGAACGTGTAGGGGTCCATACCGTAGGTGATTGCTGACCCAATGATGGGAAAGTAGTGGAAGACGACCGGTGGGGCACTTCGAGACTTGGGCAAGAAGAGCTGAGAGGCTACATTGAGGACGACCGACGCGACCACGAAGGCAATGACGATGATTGGGACCTGGGCAGCGACGGGCAAGTCGCGTAGAATGGGTGTGGCGGCAATGGCCCGCGAGAAGATGTCCATGGTGGATGGAGGGGAGGCGAAGGGTGGCGAGGACGAGAAACGAAGATGGAGTGGGTCAAGAAAGAGTGTGGGTGTCGTGGCCAGAAGGAGGAGAGGGGGGGAGGGATGGCGAGGGCAGCGAGGAGGATCAGAAGGATGGTTGGGGGGCGGGAATTTGGTGAGAAGCAATCAGGGGCAATGCATCCTTGTCTGTCTGTCGATGCAGTATTCCGCCCAAAGGGGGAAAAACAGAAGAGGCGCACAAGGCCCACGTCGCCCACCACCGCGCGTGGCTGCCGTGTCAAGCCAACGCACGCCTGCCTGCCTGCCTTGCCGCTTGGGGCCCACACGCGGAAAGACACAGGCGGGGGCCTGAGCGCCTGCAGGCTTCCCGCCGACGCACACCTTCCTCGCACCGTACCGACACCAGCACCAGCACATCGTCCTCTTCTTCATCAACCTGTTGTGGCACTCGGCGTGGACTCATGACGGCAGGAGAGAAGGCTACCCAATCTACATTATCATCAGTACTCGCCTTTGAGGCGTAGTCATTATTCACTATGGCGTCCATGCATCGTCTTGTCGCTGTCCTCGCCATAAGCGCGGCTGTGCTATGCCCCTCCACCTTGGCTTCGCTACTAGGGCAAACCGAACAGCATGTCTTCTCCACCCCGGACGTAGAGAGCTCAGCGTCTTCGAGATACCCCTGGACGAGCCTCTCACATGCTGGCTTGTCGATCAATTCGCCGCCTGGCGATCGGTACTACGGCCCACGTTACCTTACGCTCACCACTCTTTCGCAAGCCGAGTTGGACCCTTCGACGGCCCTTTTGCACTTCGGCCAGGTCCATACAAGGGGCTGGAATGAGGTGATGAAGCATTGTGGACAACCAGGCGGTATCGAGAGCTGCGAAAAGGCTGATCTGCTCGCAGCGACCAAAGGCCTGCGCAAAAGTCGAGCCTGCAAGCCGGTCAAGGCGGCCGTGGATGGCAGGGCGGTCTTTGACCCCGAGGCTTCTGGTTGCGAGCCGCTCCGAGAGCTCTGGAAGCACACCGCTATCCAACAGAGCCTACAGAAGGAAGATGAGTTGCTGAGCTTCACTGCACACCTCGAGATCAAGCATCTTCCAAGTTCGCTTCGCAACGGTACCCACGTGGATACCTTTTGGCTGGCTCACTTTCTCACTGGTCAGAGAGCAGCTTGGCCACTGAGCAACGACCTCTGGTTCAAGAAAGAGAAACGTTTCGATGTGAATGTAGAAAGGGATGAGGGAGAAGATGAGAGATGGCAAAATGGTACATCATCGAACAAGGTCGCAGGGCTGATGCAGGATCCCTACCTACCTCGGGCCACAAATCCGAAGAATGGCGATGCAATGAACGGGGTGGACACGACGGAAGCGAGATGGTAAGTGTAGACTATGCGATCGTGATTCAATTATCGCAGGCTGACTGTTTATTACCATTCCCTCAACAGGAACCTTGGCATCTCCCTTCGACTACCTCCACCTCCTCCCTCCAATGGGTCACGTTCATTCCTTCTCCCCGTTCATGCTCCGGTCGGGGGCCAAGTGATATCGTCGTCCCTCTATCGGCGCCGGAATGCTCCTTCTGGCGCCAACGACGAGCAAGGCTGGGTAATATCCATAAGAGACGAGTGGTCCTTCGTTTGGCACCTCTTTGGCATCAGTCCCTACCATCAGAACGTCTATGAGGGTCAGGTCATCCCCAAGGGCTACATCGTCGGACATGTCTCGTCGAAGCCTCTCGAATCCAAGCGACCTTTGGATCAAGATCCTCCTGTAGATCCGCCTGAAAAGCCACCCGGCGGTGACGGCAACCCGCTGTACCCTTACAGGTTCCGCGAGCTGCGGATTGGTGTGGCCAGACCTGGAAGAGGCTGGAGAGATTGGAGAGACGCATATGACAATGGCTGGACATGGTATGATCCGCTGAGGTTCCTGGGGGGCGATGGCAAGGCGGATGGCCAGCAGGTATGTGGAGCATGAGGGGGTGATCTGAAGCTCGCATGCTGACCTCCCATCATCTCCTCTCTCGTCCCCAAACAGAGACCGCCAACCATCTTCGACCCGCCTACAATCTTCTTCTCGCGGCCGTCTCCTTACCCGCCCGCGCCGCCATCTATCTTTGCGTCTGCTTCGACCCTCACGGCTTCAGGTGAACGCTCGCCTACCCTCTCGGGCGACGTGGAGATTATCATTGGTCTCAAAGCCTTTGCCAACCCTCTCCAGCTCGCGCCAGGAGAAGAGGGTCGGGCAGGTGCTACAAAGCTGGATCCGCTTACGGTCTCAAAGGTGGAGTGGGGAGTGAGGAAAGTCAAGGCCGGTATCAGGAGTCAACCAGATACCGGTAGCGATTGTGGAGGGCTGGGAGAAGAGGACTGGAGGTTGGCCTTTGACCATGATCGGGTGAGTGGAGAGACAAGGTCCCCAATCCGCATCCTGTACTCTGCACTGACACTCGGCGTGCTTTGCCCCGGTTACAGATACCACACAGATGGCCGACAGCTGCCTCGGTTCTTAGCAAGGCCTCACAGTTCGACAACGTCGATCCCACCTCAGATCTCTGGAACTACGTCGTTCCAGCCTTCACCACAGGCAATTACGCTTGGACGAGGAAGAAGTACGGCAGTCAGTGGGACTGGAAGGTACGTTTGCTCGGCACACCGCAGATGCTGGTGCTGCTGTACCGCAAAGCTGACATTGTGCTCGCCCTTTCTCTCTTGTCTACAGGCTCGCTACCTCTTCTACCCACTCACCCGCACGATCCTGACCACAAATGCTCCTCTTTCCTCCTCCTCTGCTACTGGTGTCAACATCACCTCAATCGCCCCACATGGATCTTGGAACACACGATTGGAGGCTCCCCCTGTACCTCGTAGGGGTGCGGTGCTATCTGCGTCGCAGGAGAGTGGTCCTGGAGAGTACATTCTCGCGGTGAGGGCTTATGATGCTTGGGGCGGGAGAGTGTGTGCCAAGACGAGGGTTTGGCTGCAGAATTGATGCGCAGGGAGGAGACGGGAAGCTTGTTCATAGCCATATCCTATCAGATCAGCAATGCCAAGGATTCTAAAACTTGATTTGTGAGGAGGTTTCGCTGCTGCTGATCAGCGGTGACGTGTCAGAGGCGGACAGTAGGAGCGTCCTGCTCCGTCGCGACTCTTGCTTCTTCCTCGTCGTATATACTAGAGTATCCTCCTGGCAAGCCTCCACTACCTGTCTGTCCTCCAGTTCCACTCCAGAAGCCTCCCAACCCACCAGCTGTAACACCAGCAGCAGCCGAGCCCCATCCCCCTCCTCCTCCCATCCCCCGCCCTGCACCACCCGCAATGTATCCCTCATCCCTAACCACATTCGCCATCAATCCCGCACTAGCCATCTTGAGAATTGAATTCGCCCCTACACAAGCGATGACTATCGTTCTGGCAATGTCCGTCTTGTAAAAGAGCCAGAAAAGGTCCATTGGTATCGAGGAGCCCCAGAGGAAGAGGATGTGCGGCGTGAGAGAGGTCAGAGAGGGGTGAGTAGAGATTAGGCCTGCTAAGGAGAGGGGGAGGGAGTAGGAAGGATGACGTGAGAAGAAGGAGGGGATGAGAGAGAGGACCTGCGGAGGGGAAGGCCAGCCAGGGTGTGAGTTTGCTACCTGGTGGTCCACCCAGATTTCACGAGTGCGCTGGGGTCACTCACGCAGTGAGCTACCATGAGGGCTTCTAAGTCGATGGCTTGCACGCTGGGTGGTAACCGCTCCAAGATCTGGATAGGCAGCAGCATAAGCGCCGGAGGGTAGAAGCTGGCCGACGACATTGTAAAGGGAAAGGACGGAGAAGTATGTTGGTAAGAGTCTCTCTCGAGGAGAACCTTGCAGCGAAGCGAAGTGTTACTTTCTGCAAGCCACGGGCACATTGGGGCTGAGGTTCCGATCCGATCCCTCTGTCGGTGCAGTCAATCACGCGTGGGTGCGGGGTAATGTGGGTCCGCGCAATGTGGCTCGTGCTGAGCATGCGACTGATTAGCCACCAATTGAGTTGAGCACAGGGCAGCCCTCAGTCACGCTTAGACGAGACGCACACGGTCACGCCGCCCCGCCAGCCATCCATTCACGCCCACCTTACGCAGAGGCAAATATCATTCAATCTTGACTTGCTTCATCCATCTCCCTCGTCTTGACGATCATCGTCTCTCCTCCTTCGTAGACGATGTGCTACTCACATCCACTCTACCCGCCCTCTGACAACCAGCACGCAGCATCCGAAGCCATCCGTAGAAGGGACAGCTCTACCCGCTCCGTACCTCCGCCCACCACTTCCCTCCGTCCACCGGGCTATCAGCAGAGCACCCATCCTGGCAGCGAGACATCCTCGTCTTCTTCGACGACTCGACAGCACTCCGAAGCAAGGCGACTACGAATCGACGTACCCGCATACGTAGCAGTAGGACTCATGGGCGGTACTGCTTATCTCATCGTGCGTGCTCGCCACAGGACTGCTGCTCGGCTGGCCACACTGCAGTCAGCTAGGGACAAGGCGGTAGGTCAAACGCTGGGGTGGAAGCATGCCTACCTCGCTCGAGAGAGACTTCCTGCTGCTACTGGAAGTGGCTTTCATGGTCGACGTCAGAACTTTGAGCCACGTCGGTCTCATCGGGATTGGCATACGCAGCCTAGAAATCCGCCTGGAGGGTTCATCGATCCTCGCACAGCTGAGGCGGCCAGGCGGGAAGAAAGGCAGGCACTCGACGGGCCACCTCTCTTTGAAAATCTTGCCGACACCGCCCGTAGATTCTGGGGTCTTGCGACAGGGAGGAGTCTCGAGCCATCCGAATCTACCGGTGAGCGTCACGACAAGTCGAAATCGGAAGTGCAGAGTGGCACTGCGAAAGGATGGCAGTGGTCCTGGGGCACCGGGACATGCCAGCCGCAGGCGTCGCGCCAGGCTTCAACTCCTGCTGAACGATGGCGACGAGCGTTTGGAGCTGGGGCGACTAATTCTCAGACTGATCACTCCGGCTGGGAAGCCATCGTTAGGCAAAAGACGCTAGAGAAGGCAATGGAAGCTGCTCGGTCTTCGACACCTACTTCTGCACCTTTGAGCTCGTTGAACGAAGCTAAGGACGCTGGTGATGTGCAGCCCACCAGGAAAAAGATGGACACATCAAAGCAGGCATCGCAGAGGAAGATTCTAGTGGATGATGCATTCCACGATGAGCTGGACAGTAACTTCCTGCGGCGACACATCGACAAGACCAAAGCCTCTACCATTTCTCCCTCAGTCCCATCCGCCGTGCCTCGGCAAGAGAGCAAGAGCAAAAGGGATCCCGAAAGCGGTACCGGCAAAGGTCAACACTTCTCAATGGACAATCTCTTTCTAGAGTATCAGCTGGAGGACGCGGCCATAGAAGGGCGCGAAGCTCGTGAGAGGATGCAGAAGAAGCTCGAGGCGAGCAAGAGGAGCAGCATCGGAGGCACTGCATCCAAGGAGGCGGGCGCAGTCGAGCATGGGGAGGAGGACCTCCGCGAAGCTCGACTTGCCGATCCCACCTTGTACGGAAATGACCAAGACGCAATCGTCGACGAGCTTGCCTCTGAGCTCTTCAATTCCTCTCCTTCAGCCCTCCATAGCACAAGGGAGCCGCTTCAGTCTCGATCTCCGCCTCAGGCAGCAGCCGTAGCAGAAGAAGAAGAGGGCGCACCTGCGGCGCCTACGACGAGTCTCTGGGAAGCGGCACTAGAGTATGCAGAAGAGGAAGGAGCTGCGGTGCGTCGCAGGCGGGAGATGGAGCATCGCCACCGTCAAGAGCGTCTGGAGCGGACCAACTCGGGCATGGGTGCGAGCATGAGTAGTGATGCAACCCCGAGGAGGATGGTGCTAGAGCCAGAGGATCTGGATGAGGCACTTGTACTGCATGAACTTGCACAGGGGCAGGGTCAGGGGAAAGGGCAGGGGAGTGAGCACGAGGACGTGTCGACAGGCGAGAGGTCGCACGTCGAGGGAGCAAATCCCTCTTTCCTTGTCCCTGAAGAGCAGCTCAGCTCCTCCTCTTCGACCTCCTCGCCCTCGCCCTCGCCTTCGCCTTCTAGCAGTAGGCTCGCGGCGCTGGAAGCTCGAGTGGACCTGGCTAATGCTGAGCTCCGCTTGGTGCGCTCCCAGATGGCTCGGCTGCAGAGGAGGCTTGCTTCTGCTTTGGAGGAGCGGAGTGAGTGAGGTGTGGGAGGTAAGTCAAGGCGTGAGGTGTCAGACTTGAGGTGGGTGGTATGGTAGTGGGATTGCAGATGGTTGCAGAGATGGGCGTGGAGAGGGACGATGTATTCTACACTTGTTGTTGTTGTCTGTCTTCTCTATCACATGAGACTGTATGAAGACCTCATTGGCATTCGCAATTCACCTCTCGTTCACACATACATACAGTACAGTCCGTGATGCGACTTGTTGAGTAGAGTGCAAGGCTGGATGCATTGATAATGATGGGGTGGTGGTGGTGCAGGACCGTGTATGCTCTGGAACAGGAGGGAAAAGGGGGAAAGAACAAGACTGGGGAGCGTAGGGAAGGGGAAGGGGAAGGGGACAAGGATGGGGATGGGGAAAAGGGGGACGAGAGGGCTGGGGAAGCTAAGAATGGGACAGGGACGTAACAGACGTGCCAATGAGCCCCTCATGTCTTCCCGCCTCCGCCATCACCATCACCATTAACGCTCAATTTTCCCACGTCCTTTTCCAAACCTGCCACGCTCGAACCTCTGCGAGAAGAAGCCGCTACAGAGCCGTTGCCGTTGGCATCACCATCCTCTTCGCCATCGGCAGTGCCAGTGGTGGACTTGCCACCGTTCTCGTCTTCGTCTTCGTCGCCGCTCCAGGCTTGACGCTCCTCTTCCTCTTCTTCTTGGCGGGCTTGTTCCCAGCCGGATTTGAGGTACTTGGACATGTCGAACTGCAAGGAGGGACAGGACCAGGAGAAATTTGGGTCAGGGCTGTGTGATCTCTGACTATGCGAGCCACGTAATCTAGTGATACTCACGGCATTGCCATCGTCCTCGTCGTCTTCATCGTCATCAACCAATGTACCCAATGTGAACATGTCTCGTCCACTGAGACCATTGGCCTTGTTGGCAGCTGCCTGTGCCTCCTTCTTCTTCTTTGCCAGCTCCTCCTCTGCCACCTTCTTGTCCACTCGGTCTTGCTTCCACTTGGCAAACGACTCGACTGTGACTGGGGTGAGCTGAGTGCCCAACTTGTGACGCTCCGTCTCGAGGAACTCCTCTAGAGAAATCTCTGAGGCCTTTGCCAGCTCATCAAGCTCCTTCTTTTGCGACTTGAGAACGAAGCCAGGAGGCAACCTGTGCTTGTACATGCACTTCTCTCCTCCATTCGGACACTCCCAGAACCATCCGTACTTTCCATCCTCGACGGCTTGCAAAAAGAACTTGCAGACCTTGTCTGTTGTAGACTTTGGGTTTCCATGCTTGGACAGAATGACACTGTCGAGCTTTGCCAAGTCCCACTTGTCCATGGTGTCCTTCTTCTTCTCATCGTCGGCTCCACCTTCTCCTTCCTCTCCTTCACGCATGTCGGTGTAGATGTCCTTCTTGTCCGTCTTCCTGCCTGGCTCATTCGAGTGGGCAAATTTGCACTTGGAGCCCTTTTCACATCGTCCGGCCTTCCAGTATGCACAGACATACATCTTGGGGTCTGAGGGGTGTAGGATATGAAGGAGAAGGGATCAGTCTCCTCCACTACAGCTCGACCTTGATATCGACTTTGACTCGGTCTGCCTACTCACCAGCTCCAAAGGGCACCTTTGGCTGTACGATTGCAAAGAGCTCTCCTTCAATCTTTCTCCTCTTCTCTGCCTCCTCCTTTAGCCTCCTCTCCTCTTCCTTCTTCCGGGCCTTTGCCTGTGCCTCTCTGTCCATTCCGGCCTGGGATTGCTGCTGCTGGATGATCTTGACCTGCTTCTGAGCTGCTCCTCCCTTCTTGTTCTTCATACCAAAGGTCTATTAGGTAGCGCAGAGGTACAGCTACGTCAGTACAGATGTTTCTCGTCACTCATTTCCGTCCACACCCCAGCCTTCGGGTGGCCACAGAAGCCACTATGCCCACTCACCTTGTCCACGCTGGCCTTTGAGCCGGCTCCTCCGGCCTTCTTCGGCGGCATGTTGGGCGAATTCGTATGTGTGCGACGGAGGAGGTGAAGTCAAGGGAGATGGCCGTGGCAAGGATGGCAAGGTTGATGTGATCCTCCAATTGGTGGTGAGCCAAGGTGAGTGAGTGAGTGAATGAGGGCCTCTACGGGACGAGGCGCTTCTGGCCGTCGCGCAGCGCAGTGCCTCTCCACCCGAAGACAAAAAAGTCAGGCAGGAATTTCAACCAGGCACGACGTCGTACGAGCGGAAGCACGACAGACGCAGAGCATAGAGGGTACACCATTCCCCCACCATCTCCATCATCACCACGGATACCACGCAGGTCCATGCTACGAAGACTAGCGCTGCCTACCAGCAGACGGCAGTCACTACAGCATGACCAACACATAGTCAGCCTCGCCGCCAACGCTTCCTCTGTCCGCCAAGCCCACCACGCACGCTTCACCCCCAATGCTGCAAAGAAGAGGCGAGCAGCTCGGCCCCTGGCTGCATGGAAGATCAGAGAAAAGGAGCTCAGATCAGAGCTCACCTTTCTTGAGTCTCAGGCAGATGAGTTGCAGAAGAGGAACAAGGCAAAGGAGGCCACAAAGGATCTGCCCGAGCTGGACGAAGCCAGCCTGGATGAAATCTACCAGGGCGTCAAAGCAGGCGACCCAGTCCCTCCGGAAGAGCTCAAACTGCTAGAGTCCCACCAACGAAAGTCTACCGAGAGGTATGCTCGAATCGTCCAAAACGCAAGGAAGCTGCTCCCGGCGTCTGCCCAGCAGCAGGAAAGTCTCCCTCCCCGCACCTTTGCGGAGCGGATGAAGGAGAGACTTATGGCCCTCTCTGCTCGCTTAGAGACGATGCAGCAACAAGCCCTCGTAGAAGGGGCTCCGTCGAGTTCAGCTGCCACTGGAGCCCTAGCTCAATGGAAGGACAGGACGGGCCAGCTCAAGCAATCCCTGGAAGCATTGACTGCCGAGGCCGAAAGCCCTGAGGGAGAGGAAGCAGCAGGGACCGGGGAGATGGAGGATGACCAATACAGACACTTTGAGACTGTAGGGCTGCGCTCTGTAGCTCGTGCACCAGATGGGGAGGACCAGTCTGGGTCAAGCGAGGTGGCTCAATCCAATGCTCCTCAAGAACAGCTCACATCGACAGAGGAGCTGGTAGGCAAATTGGTGACCTTTCTCGAGGCTGCCGAAGGCTCGAGCTCTGAAAGGCATGCCATCGTCTCCACTATACACCAAAAGGACTGGGTAGCTCTCGGACTCGCTTGCGCTGAGCAACGTGATGCTGAGCTGCTCAGGAGGACATTAGAAGCCATCGAGCAATTGGCTGCCGAAGAGCTCATATCACGAGACAGTCTCGATGCATTCTACAACTCCGTGGCCGACGCTTTCGCAGAGCAGGGCGATTCTACGACTTGCGAAGCCATCGTGCAGCACCTGGTCAGCTCGGGTCGGGCGCCTACGTCCTTCACACATCATGCACTCGTTAAAGCCTATCTTCGATCCCCTAATGATCGCCTCTCACAAGCGCTGTCACTCATTCATCATTTGGAGCTCACGCCCACACCACCCTCACAAGCCACGTACTCGATGACCATATCTCATCTCCTCTCATCGAGTAGCGAAGAGCTCAGAGATGAGGTGTGGGGCGTCTGGTACAGAATGAGGTTGAATGCCCACCCCGTCCCAGATGCCGTAGTCTGGGGCAACATGCTTCGAGCTTGTGCTCTAGGCACCAGCCCCGGTCGCGACTCTGCACCAGAACATCTTGAGCAGCACAGGAGCTCGAAGAAGGTCCCCACCATGCGAGAATTGAGAAGGCAGGATGCGTCTGTATCTCAGAGAGAGACTGCACTGGATCTCTTCCGCGAGATGACAGTTGTACACGGCATCCGGCCGACGCCAGTCTGCTACAACAATCTCATCCTGGCTTGTTGCAGAAGCGCCGACGAGGGCGCTTACCTTGATGGATTCAGGTTGTTGAGTGAGATGATCACTCTCGGCCAAGAGACGGGAATCTCCAGCTACGAGCCGGACCGAGCGACATTCTATGCTTTGCTGGAAGGCTGTAGACGAGGCAAAGATGTGCTTCGTGCCAGATGGGTCTTGGCGGAGATGATTCGTAGCTCCGCACCCCTATGGTCAAGCCCTGCCTCTTCGGAAGCTTTGACTTGGGAAGAGAGGGCTAGATTGGAGGCACGTATGCCGGATGCCAAGATCTTGTCGCAGCTCTTCTACACATATACGGGCTGGAGACCCACTCCGGTCGCCGTTAAGGCCAAGACTGCAGAGAAGGTCCGATCAGCGCAAGGGACACGGAAGGCTACCAGCGCAGACGTTCAGGACAGTGACTCCTCGAATCAGGCTCTATCACAGGTCGACCTCGACGAAGCAGCATCTGAATTCTCATCGAGACCTCCTGCTACCTCTACAGAAGTGGTTCGAGAAGTCAGAGGTCTCTTGGCACGAGTGATCGCGGACCGCGTCTCCCCAGGCATGCTGCCCATAGGGCCAATGTCGTCCGTTGAGATCTCCACACGTCTCCTCAATGCTTACCTCGCAGTGCTCAAGACGCACGCTCCTAGAAGCGAGTGTGCTGCCTATCTCGGCTCTGCGGTCCGATCGGATCAAACGCAAGATCCGCCTCGACCCTCCCTGTTCGAGCAATTAGGCTTGACGCCCTGTGGTCATACTTGGCTGCACGTAATGGAGGCCTGCACTCGCTCGGGCAAGTCCCCCTACACGCGCTCTCTGGGAGACTGGGCGTGGACTCAATGGCGCTCCATGGAGGATGAGGCCCTTGCACACGGCTCCGTATCGGAGTCCATGGGTACGGACAAGCGCAACAGGGAGCGCATCTGGGCCGAGCGGATCCGCTTTCTCTGCACCTGGGGCCAACTCGACGAAGCTATGGCCACCCTAAGAGACTTTGCTAGACTGTACCCTCCCATGCCCAAGCCTGCGCCGCTGCCCAAGGCGAGAAGGAAGATGCCCTTTTTTGATTTCAAGGCGGTGCTAGAGACGATTGAGAGGGCGCAATATGCTAGTGGGAAGGGCCAGTCGCTCCTCGAGGCAAGGCCGGAGCAACCTCAGCTCACTAGCCAAGCGAGCGAGGCGGAGGAAGTGGCTACACCGAGCGCCGCAGGCAGTTCCACCTCCATTTCAGAATCAGACTCTGCCTCTACCTCTGCCTCTACGACTACTCCTTCCACCACCTCCCCTCCCCGCTGGTCCTCTTCACATCGAGATCGACCCCCCAGCTTGAAGTTCTACGACCTGAACCTCCTTCACCAGCGTCTTCTCGAAGCCGGAGATCGCTCTGCCGACGTGGCCTATGTGGGATGGTTGTGTAGGGTTTGGGAAAGTACACAGTCTGTTGGTTGGAGGAAAAAGTATGTTGATACTGGAACTGGGAAGGGGGAAGTGGGAAAGGTGGGGGAGGAAGAGGGGAAAGAGGAGAAGGTGGATGAGGAGGGGAGTGTGCAGCAGCAGATGGGAGAAGTAGCAGTGGAAATGCCTGTCTTGACGGATGAAAGGGATGGGAAGGAGTCAGTAGAGCGGCTGAGCGCATCTGGCTAAGCGGCACGAGGTGGGAGCACCAGGAATGCAATCGAAGACATCACAACTCTTCTCCCCTCTCCTCTGGTCAAATGTGTGGTGAGATGGATAATCTAACTCGATGCTCTATTGATATGAGGATGATGATGATGATGATGATGCTGCTATGAGGTTTTACACGAAGCTTCTCCCAAAGTTGCCGCTCTCGGCGTTACTTGGCTTGATTGGTGTCACTTCTAGCACCGAGTAGTGGATGAGGTTGAGCGCTTTGAGTGCTGATTTGGCATGAATGACGCAAGAGATGCTGAAAAGGAAAGGAAAGGAAGGGAGTGTGATTGATTGAGGGCAGTAAGGTTAGTGCTGCTGCTCACTTGGGAAAAAAATAGAGCTCTCGCACCAACAAACTCACTTGATCTCATTAGCGCCCTGGCTGATCATCTCAATGTTGATTCCTCCCTCTGCAAGTGTGGTGAACATCTTCCCAGCCACACCGACCATATGTCTCATCTGTCTCCCCACCAGACTCAAAATTGCCATCTCACGCAATACACTGACGGTGCCTACAACGCCCAGCTCGCTGCAGATTGCATCGAGTGTTCGGGTAGGTCGACGGAGCGAGGTGGCCGAGATGGCCATGGAGACGTGCACTTCCGAGGTAGAGATCAGGTCCACTGCCACGCCATGTCGGTCGAGTGTGGAGAAGATGCGGGAGAAAAAGGAGTGAGAGATGGTCTTGCGGTTGGAGTGAACATTGAGAACCATGACGTCCTCCTTGATGGTGACTGCCGTTGGCAACCTGCGTTGAGGCAGAGGTCCATTGGCATTCGCGGAAAGAGCGTTGAGGGTATTGGCATCGAAGCCAGGGTATGCGCTGGACATGCCCCACGGTGGGAAGGCGCCTGGAGTGTTGGCACCGCTTGCAGCAGGGGTCTGAGGCTGCGTAACGTGTCCTTCGACCAAGTGATCTTTCTCTCCCTCTTCGGCATCGGGCAGGATGACCGTCCCAGAACCACCAGGGTTCTCTACGTTCTTGATCCTGATGGGAACCCTCTTTCTGATCGCTTGCTCCATGGTGAAGGGATGGATGACCTCACTGCCGTAATAGGTCAGCTCTGCCGCTTCCTCTGGCGAAATGGAAGGGATGAGCCGAGCAGTGGAGACCTTTCTCGGATCAGCAGTGAATACGCCGTCCACCTCCTTCCAGATCTGAAGTTCGGAAGCAGCCAAGCCGACGGCGCAGAGGGCGGCGCATAGATCCGTGTATCCTCGCCCGACCTGTGACAGCAGAGAGCCCGGAACAGCTCCAAAGTAGCCTGTCACAACAGGGACGCCCTTTGCGGCGCGACACTTCTCGCCCATGCGTTCTGCGAGCAGATCGTAGAAGTGCTGGTCCAGCAGGGCTTCGCCATCAACTGCTGCCTGATTGCCGATACTACCGCCTGCTCTCCGGCGTCGAGATGATGCCTCGTCAAGGAAAGCGGCATCAATGACGGACTCCATGCCTACCAGCTCGGCAGGGATGCCCAGATCCTGCAGGGCGGCACAGACAAGTCGGCAGGATAGGCGCTCGCCGAGCGAGAGGATGATGTCCTTAGACCGGGGCGAAATCTCCTCAATGATCTGAAGATGACATGAACGGGGGCGAAAGCGACAGGAACCGCATCAGAGCTGTCTTCAGGAGCGCCAACCATCGCCGAGGGTCATCCTTACTCACCTTTGCTGCCTGCAGAAACTGGCGCAACCTCTCACAATCTGCCCGAACATCTGACTCGAGCCTCTGCCTGAGCTCCAGATCCTTCTTTACGGCAATGTCGACTGCTTTGAGATGCTCTTCCAGCAGGACCTCGACAGTCTCCTCGAATGCCAGCTTGGCAGGCAACGAGGCGGTGGAAGAGGAAGAGGATGAACTCCGGTTGCTGCTGTTGCTGAATCTGCTGTTGTTCCACTCTGCCGACATGCGAAGGTTCAGGGCTGAAGCGCTCAGATCGGCATCTGTACCGTTGTCCGGCTCCAGAGCCTGCGTCGCTGCGGTCAAGAGGAGGTTGGTTGTGCCCTTTGCCTTGGTCGAGCCCGAGCGGGCGGAACAGACGAGTGCAATTCGCAGTCTCCGCCCGTCAGTGGCAGCAGCGGCTGCAGACAGGTATGATGGAACGATCTGCGAGGTGATGGCAGGCAAGAATTTGCCCACTGAAGTCCCGCCGTACTTCTGTACAATCCATTGCTCTGGCTGCAGCATCTGGGAAGAGGTTGGTGAGGGCGTGGAGGACGAGGCGGCAGAAGGCACCCGCTGCAGCGTGGGTCTGTGTGAAGAAGAAGCGGGGACAGGGCGAGTGGAGAGGAACGAGTCTTGCGTGGGAGTCGACATCTGCCCACGTCAGAGGTGAGGGTCAAGGTTGTGAGCGGCGAAGAGGAGTAAGGGAGAAGAACGAGGAAAAGGACAAGGAGAGTAACACTTTTGTCGTCGGTACGAAGAATTGCCCTTTGCTGCTGCTGCTTGACTCGTTCGCTGCAAAAGTGCAGACGCCCGCCCGCCTTTGCTCTCTCCCTGCTTGACTCCTTTCCGCTTGGCCCCCTTCCGTCGTGTTTTGCGCGCGACGCTGCACCCAGGCCAGGCCAAGCCAGCCTCGGGCTCGGACTGCACTCACGCCCACGCCACGCACCCCGCTCAGGGTTGGAACAAGTGACGTACTCGGGAGCGCAATCGTCCCCACCGCCACCCTACCAGGAGCAGGGTACACCAAGTAGCTCAACATACTAGAGGACGACTACCACTCACCCTCTCACTCACCTACTTGCTCACTACCTCGACGCCCATCTGGCCATCTCGCGCCGACCCAAGTCCTCTCGTCTCGCCTCGCCCGGCCCCGGCGACTTTCTCGGGCCCGGCCATCTCTCTCTGCCCCACTCCCTGTCGGCGAATCAATCAGCTCCTGCCCTGCAGCCAGCCATCTGCATTGACACCCGCCGGCCCCCTGGCCAGACTCGACTCGACCAGAACTTTGTCTCATTCCCCCACGCACCTCGCACCGGCATTCGTCTCAATAGGGTTCCTGACAAGGATAGATCGCCTCTATCAACCGCCCTTCTGCATCGTTCGTCCCCCCCAAGCTCGCATACATACGACATACGGCATAGCAACACCATCACAATCACCGTCAAGACTTCCTGTATCGCGCCACCTCATTCTCACTTCGTCTATGCTACAATTCCGAAACACTGCCACCAGATAATAACCTCACATAACTTTCAATTCACATTGGCAAATGTTAGCAATATCGAGCTCACTCCAGATCGCTTGAAGCGGCATATCCTATCCAAAACATCCGCCAAGGAACAAACGCTCGCCCCACAGGCGTCTCATCACAAGTCTTCCATCCTGGCTCTTCCTCCCTTTCGCTCTCGCTCCCAGTCGCTCTCAAAGACCAAAGTACTGAATACGCATCGCACTGGTCAACGTCTGTAGCTATATCCTTCACGATTCGCCTGCGTCACCGACAAGTCTTGCCTGTGCCACCTTCCTGCACACTACGCGTCCTCGATTCCACTCCCACACAATCTCGCGCTCCGCTGCTTGCCAGTAGCAGCTTCGCCCGCCCCGCCTTCATCTGCCGACTGATTATCTGTCCGGCAAGTAGCATCAAGAAGCCAGAGAGCGTCTAGTACGCCTTTGGTGTGTTCAGCTGCGAGCTGGGAAAGCCACAAGATGCAGTCAAATTCCGGAAGCTCCAAACTTTCAGGCGAGCCCAGCAGCAAGAGCGACATTTCCGGAAATGACATTTCAATGGGGACCCACACCGGCAGCATCACAGATATTGCCGGGCTAGAGGACGATCACGGCTTGTCTAGTTCGAGTGAGACTGCCTCCATCGCCTCATCTGGGGACACAGCCTTGACAGAGCCATTGGCGCCCTATACTACGTCGAAGGCTTCGGTGGACAGCGCTCTGCAGGCTGGTGGGGCAGCTGCGCCCTGTGCGACAGATGATACCCAGTACACTACCTTTGATCAGTTGAAGCGTGAACTGCATTGGTCTCTCAAGAGTCGCGCCATCGCCAATACCGGGCCCGAGCCTTTCAAGTGGTTCAACCCCTCCGCCATTCCTTCGCCGGCGGCCTTCCACTTTTGGAGGCGGGATCAATGTCAACGCTACAAGCTGAAACTCGGATCTACCGATGAGATTGCCTTCTACGAATTCTTCATCGACACCAACTACCACTCAAAGATCAGGCAGAGAATCAAAGACGATCAGACGCTCTTTCAACAGCATTTGGTCAGGTGCCAGCGCCGGGTCAAGCACAACGATGCTATGCTCGCAAATGGAAATTGTCATACTGGCCTCAGTGCAGCAGAGCACGAGCTCTACGAACGGGTAGACTGGATCTTCAACGGCGTGGCCGAAGCAGCATGTCGGCATTCCCTTCCTGCACCTACAGCGCAGGAGCAAGCTGCTCTTGCGCGACCCAACGAGCCTCCCCCCGCTGCTGAACAGACACCAAGGAACAAGAAAGGCTTCCCAATCGTCTACTTCACCGAGCGCGATAACTTCCATGAGCAGTGGAACGACTATTGCCGGACGCAAGGACTCAATGCTCAGAATGTCCTCTATGACTATGCGCCATTCGCGTCCCACAATCCCTACTCTCTATACCACAAAGTCAAGTACGGAGACTTCGGGAGTCCGCATCCTTATGTCCCTTTTGCCATCACGAATGCAAAAGAGTGGAGAAAGAGCTGCGAAGACCAGGCTCGGCAGGAGGAAGAGGCACTGGCCTGGCTTGCGCTGCGAAGGAAGTATGTCGGGACTACTCAGCAGGAGCTCGATCTGACTGGCCGGAGATTAAGAGGTGATCAGGAGGAACCGACATTCCCACAGCTGCCCGCCTTGGAAGGTGGTGTCTCTTCGCAAGAAGCAAGCGTCATACCTCTTGTTCCTCTCAGCATCTCCGACGAGGCCGTGGTTGACCAAGAGATTGAGCAACCCCAAACGATGGGAGTCGGGGACGACGCTCGGCCTCTGGTGAGCACTGAAACTGCCAACGGCATGCAAGGCAGCAACGCAAATGGCAATGATACATCTGAGCTGCAGCAAGCAGCATCAGCGTCAACGGCAGATACCCTCAATAATACAAGCGTAGCCGCGGCTACCTCGATCTCCCATCCCATTACTGTATCTGTCATGGTACCTGAGGAGACGATGCCTTGGCTCAGATCTCGCGTTTACAGTCAGCTTCAAAGGGATCACCCAGAGAAGCTGGAGTACCTTTGCGATGTTAATCGGCGGCAACTTTTGTGGCCGAAAGTGAAGACTACGGGCGGAGGTCTCAAGCCCGCACCGGAACATGGCAATGACTTCTCATCTACCGGAAATGCCATCGACAAGGGGCATGTCAGAGAGGAAGCCGGACCTATTGTACGCCTCAGACCGGCGATGAATTTGGCAGCTATCGTCACCGATGATGAGGTGCCGTGGCGGTCAGGTGGCAAGCTGCTCCTGCAGAAGACGAGTGCAAATGATTCCGATGCGATGCCATTCCATCATTCGCTGGCGGGTGCCGTAGCAGGGCCGCGGTGGTCTCACGCCGTGGACAAGTCGGAAGAGCCACCTTCGTCTTTCCGACTGGGGAATTTGTTCCTCAGCTCTTGTCCTGGGAAGAAAGTACGGTTGACTGGTGCGGTGCGGGGCCGAGGAGCAGTATGTCGGGACTTGGCCATCGACCTGCAGCGCTTCAAGAGTCTCGGCGTCGGGGCGCTCGTCTGTTGCCTCAGTGACGCTGAGCTGGGCGTCATCGGCGTTCAGTGGGAGGAGTACATGAAGGAGGCAGCCAAGCTGGGTTTGGACCTCGTCCGCGTCCCGATGGTGGAGGGCAATTGCCCTACATCACAAGAGTATCTGGATGCCTGGCTGGAGGAGATTGTCTACCATTGCACATTGAAGGGTGTCAATGTGTTGGTCCACTGCAGGGGTGGTGTCGGCCGAGCCGGCACGATTGCTGCCTGTTGGCTTGCCAAGATGGGTCTCGTCGATGAATTCAGACCGCCCAACGAGGTGGCTCGCAGAGGCAAGGTTCTGCCTGCGCAAGAGCTCCTCTGGCAATGCCTCCAAGTCGTGAGGATGAGGAGAAGCTCAAAGGCAATCGAGACTGCCGAGCAGGCTGCTTACATTGCCAAGTACGGCGAGTACCTCATTGCACAATGGGAGAAGCAACATCCTGGCCAAGAGTATCTTGGCGCAGAATACCGCGATATGGTCTCATCCTACTGGGACCGGATACGGTGGGAGACAGACGAGTGGGTCCAGCAAGAGATTCGCGAGGCAGAAGAGCGGCGGAAGAATGATCAATCTAGCGCAAATGGTAGCGAGTGCACGCAGACACCTTCTAACGGGTTGAAGGATTCCCATAGCCATCATTCCAATATCCGAAGCAAGTCTGCCGCTGCCTCGCCCACCAAATGCGCAAAGGGGATCGCTCGTCCCACGCCCACTACGCCCAAATCCCGTGTCGAAGGTGGTTCGCCGTTGATCAAGCTCGGTACTTATCCTAGCCCACAGGGTCCTCTGCCCCAGCGGAAGGCATCATTAACCAATCTATCGGTGCCACTAGCCGCTGAAGGTCCAGCCAGCACAGGAACCGATAGTCTCCCTGCCAACGACCAGGGCCGCAGCGACGAAGGTGAGCCGAGCAGGAAACGCCGCAATACTGCCTCGCTCAGCGTTGACGACATGAAGCTGAGCGATGCCGAGGAGCCCGTTGCGGTGTCCACCCTGCTTGCCAAGGCCGGCGCTGGCGCTGACGCCGACGCCATGGACGACGGTTGCGCATGCGACGAGGATGACATCGAGACCGAGTTGGACGCATTTCCCGTCAATGGTCGCTCGGGCGAGGGAGGTTGTTCTGCTGAATTAGCAAGTGGTGCTGGCGGCGCTGGTACTGACACTGGCACTCGCACTAGCAATGGTACGAGCGCGGATCGACCCATGCCTGAGTCATCTTTGTTCAGTGGGTCCGAGGCTGTTGGACCCGCTAGGTGAGAAGAGGGACGCCCTGCCTCTCGAAGTGCTAGTCAAGGGTAATCGAAGAGCGGTGAGCCGTTCCCTTCAGCTAGGGCCCTAAAGAAGGAAGGTGGGGGGAGAGAAGAGGATCAGCGTTACAACATCAAAGGGAAGGACGAGGCTTCTAGCTGGCTATGCTCTGCTACGCTACGCTATGCTATGCCATCTATCATATCAACGTGTCACTGTTCTCCTTTGCATCGTCCCTATCATTATTTTCTAATCTTCGGGACATTCATAAGTCTACCTGCACTTGCAATGTCATGCATTCTTGCAATCTCCAGGCCTTCCTTCCTCCTTTCTGTAATGCAAGCGACGATGTGTCTTTTGCTGACGCTCAAGGGAAGCTGTCCAGATCGATGCTCACACCGAAGACGTCAGTCGACTCAACCTGCTCCGATTGGGGCGGTACGAAGAAAGAGATGTATAAAATACGGCATTATGAGTGATAAATATTAGGCGCCGACCGCCGACCTTCTCCCCACGGCGTTAGTCCTCGTCCGGACTTATCGACGTCCGGACAATGGAGGCAATGCTGCCTCGCTTGCAGCGCCTTCTCCCGTCTCTTGCCCAGTCCCAGTAGCACCAGCACCAGCACCAGCAGCAGCAGCACTGCCAGTCCCATTTGCATTTCCATTACCATTTCCACTAGATCCAAATGGCCAAATCCTCTCGACAATCGTGCCCGCGCGACTCCTCTTGCCATGCTTGTTCATACTCATCATCGTTCCCGATCGTGACCTGCCAAACTTGCTTTCCATGTTGGGTGAAGCTGAGGTGGGGTAGGCACGACTGACTGCTGGACTTAGAGTTGAGAAGTGCGGTTTGGCGGTGGTGGGGTCGTTGCTTGGTGAGGAGTGGTCTTGTGGAGTGGACTGCGAAGTGAGGAGGTTCTTGCCCTTGAATTTGAGGTTCATTCGCGAGGGGCGCTGTGTAGGCGAGACGGGCGCGACAGATGTCGCATTAGGATATTGCTCAGACCCGACCAGGACAGACACTTCCGATGGGTCAAGAGCGACGCTAGACTTGCTCTTTCGGGGTCCCTTGCTCGAGGAAGACTTTCTCCCATCAGATTTCGCCCCTCCTTTTTCAATAAGACAGCTCGTCGAGGTGTGTTCCGAACCAGCCACACTCGAGTTGGAATGGTGCGCATCTACATCCATCAAGCTCGACTCTTGGCTAGGACGCAACATCGAGGTCAACTTGCCTTTGGTGCGACTGAAGAGGCCGGAGGAAGCGCCAGAGTTGACAGATCCTTCGTGCGGATCGGCAGAACTCATGTCGTGCTCTTGACCCGCCGAAGTGGGCCGAGATCCTTTTGAAGACATTTGAGAGTCCCTGACGTCTAGTGCTGGCCCTGCATCCGATAGAGAAGCTCCTGCCAGTGAAGCAGCCATGACCTCAGCATTGGCTGCATCCTTAGCATAGGAAGTCTGAGCTGCGGAAGGAGAGGCAGAGGACATGAATGGCCTCGTCTGCTCGGACCTATGCGCTGCAGAAGCTTGTGACCCTTGGGCAAAAGGCAACACCATGGATGGCATCGATGGACTGGGTGGGATCGGAGACACGCCATCTCGAACGTAAGGGAACTGCTCCGGCACCGCCAGCGAGCTCTCGGAGGTGAAGCTCCTTTGATAGACGCCACCAGCGTATGGCTGTAGTACCGAGCAATTGCTGTATGATGCGCGAGGTGTTGAGTGGCCGTAGGGATGACCCGAGGCAATGGAGCCTCGCAGATCAACATTGTGAGGGGAGTACGCGTGAGAAGCAATGCTTTCGCAGTCAGAATGAATGCTGAGCGTGAGAGAGCGACGCTTCTCCTGACGTTCTGTTCGCATCAAGGGCGATGAGGACATTTCCACAGATGTTCTGGTCGTCACTGTGAGCGCCTTGGCGATCAGGCTCGCAGAGGGCCGAGAGTCCATATGGGCAAGACACATGTGCAGCATTTCGATCATGGACGCTGACAGGTGCACAGCCTCTACGGGCAGGACGGCTGCTTGCGAGGTGACTGAGAGCAGGTCAGGGGGCAAAAGTCAGCGGGGTTTGCGTAATCATCCGGCTTCTATGATGCCAACTCACTCCTGACGATCCTGAGAGGATAGCGTCTGGCCCATTCGTGGAAGCGAGGCAGGGCTCGCTCCCCGCGGTGTAGCCGGTGACGAGGCTCCAGGGAATCTTCTGGGTCCTCAAAGGAAAAGTCGAAAGGACATATTGTGCTAGAGCTCTTCTTCTGCTCCAGCGGAAGGGTCCGAAGCAGCAGAGCAAGCACAGAGCATGCCCAACTCCAGATGTCACTCTTGATTCCCCAGCCCCTCTTGAAGTCTTCGTAAGCCATGTCGAAGTAAGTAGAGTTTGTTCCGAAAGGAAGGAGATGCTTGCAGTTGACATAATCATGGAGAATACTTCGCGAAGTGTTCGAGCTATCGACGTACCGACCAGCCTGCAATAGCACTTCGGGCGCCATGAAGTATGGGCTTCCGGTCAATGAGCCCAACCCTTCAGTATGGACCATCGTAGCCGTCTGGGGTGGCACAGTGCCCTCTGCAAGGAACTGGTCCAGCTCCTCCACGGCAGAGGTCGATTCCTTATATAGATTTGGTACGCATACAAAGCGCCTGCTGGCTCCCAGATCGATGAGCTTGGCGACTCCGGTCTTAGAGTCGAGCATTACGTTTGACGGCTTTAGATCACCGTGTACGACTGAGAGTGGGCAAGGCGTGGCTTTAGTGCTTGTGTAAGGTGAGATTATGCAGTTGTTGTAGACTCACTGTGATTGGCATGCAAGAAAGCCAGACCGTGGCTCATGTCTCTGCTGACAGCTTCCACCTCGGCATATGTCCACTGCCTCTTGCGCTTGACCCAACCTTTCGGTGTCAGCACTGCGTCCAGCTCGACCATCCTCTCAAATACCAACAGCCTTGGTACCGGTCCGGTCTGCTCCTCCATCTGCGCAGAAAGCGCGCCATTAGCTTCATCGACGAAGGATGTGCCATCATGAGGATTGACAGAGAGAGGGAGGTCTGCTAGTAGACGTGTTACCCCAAGTTTGGAGTAGGACTTGCCGCTACGCTTGGCGATGGTCTGGAGAAATCTGAAGATACGAGCTTCACCTCTGCAGATGCGGGTGTGAAATCCGCTCGCGTCGCCGTTCTTCAGTGCCGCATCCGCTGCCTTCGCCGCTGCCCTTGCAGCTCCTGTCTTGGGCATTTCATCGAAAGCGCCTCCGCAGGGAGAGCGGCAGACTTTTACGACGATCACTGCTGGACCAGCCGGTTTCTGGGGGCTTGCCGATATTGTTCTCGACAAAGATGGAGCCGCGTTCGCCGAAGCGTATCTCTGCGTCGGGGGCATATGTGGTCTGAGCGAGCCCTTTGTGGCACTTGAAGGGTTGCTTGCTGCCCTGTTTGCCTTCGCTTGCAGCGCAGACGTCAAAGGGTGGAAAGTATTGTCTACCTGCATCTCGTCGGGCAGCGTAGTGGCGATGGAGGCTGGCGAGGCAGTAGCAAAGCTTGCAGCATCATCTCGCGTGGCGTAAGCACTGCGATCTGATGACTCTTCTCGCCGCTGGCGCTCCTCTAGCTGGGCTGCGAAGAATTCGTCGTCTCGCTCGAACCTGGGTGAAGAAAGAACGTTTTGAGTTCCTTGTCGTAGTTGATTGATTGGTCTGCGGCGTCTACTCACCTGTACACTGTGCCGAACCCTCCCTGAGATGATAAAGATCGTTTGTGTCAGCGATCGCCCATTCCTACACAAGCATACGCCTCTGGACCTTGCGCCTCACCTTTCCGATGACGGCCTTTTTGGCATCGAAAGCAGTTCCCTCTCGATTATACCTCGACAAATTGAAGCCATTACCGTCGGGCGCAGCAGACGTCGAGAATACGAGGCTCAGCGGCGGTAGAGGCAGGGCAAGGGAATCGACTGGGACCACTGGCGCAGCTGCTTGTGCGTGCTGGGATGAAGACATAAGGGATGCTTTGTAGACTTGAGAATAAAATTAGGTGCGAGTGACGGATGTAAATGGAGCAATAGAAGGTAAGCCTTGAGAGAAGAGAGTGCTACGGCTGATTGTGGGTAGCCAGGTAAGCTGCCGAGGGAGGGTCCACGACGACTGTGACTATATGCGGGTTCCGAGGCCGTCGGTAAGTAGAGAGAGGGCCCCACCTGTCTTGCTCGACGGAGGCTTTTCCCTTTTAATGGTCGGTAGCCACGCTCAGGGGTGATGGTAAGCGCCAAAGGAGTAGTACGAAGAATGGAGTAGAACATGATGCATCGTCGCCCCTTCGTCGGGATAAGGAGTCAGGGGGATCCGGACGTGGAAGAGCAAGGATGGCCAGGGTCAATCTCCACCCGCGGTTTGGGCGCTCAGGCACATCATTGACCCTGACCCGCACTGGAGCCATGTCCGCCTAGCTTCTCTCAGTCTGAGACCAAGGCCTGTCGACCGTGAAAGCATCTCCTTACCGTCAGGGGGATCGAGACGGGGGCGATATTGGAGTAAGATCGCATTTGCATAGCACATGGAGACTCTTGCGGTCAGACCCTCGCGCACCTCCTCTTTGTCATGGACACAGGCTGTGTGCGCCAAGCCTTGACCTCCTGTCAGTCACCTCCCCATAGCGTAGGGACGTGCTCGGAGACGTTGACGTCCAGACAGACCCATCCGTGCCATTCCTTTGGATATAACCGGGACTCAAGGCAAAGGCCGGACTGACCTCCTAGCCACGCCGTCATTGCTAGCGGCGAGGTGAAGTGGTGAAGACACCGCCTGTGGGCGCGCTTTGACCCTGAGACTGATGATCTTTCCGTATTAGCCCGTTCTTATGGACATCGAGTACTGATGAGGGCTTGTGCTTGTCAATACTAGTGTCTCATGTTGCTTACTTCGCCTCACTTCGCCTCATCGTCGTGAACAAGGAGAATGGGCAGCGGCAAGGGGTCATGCTCCGCCCCGGCCGAGATGCCCTGCTTCCGTTCCGAGCGCGCGCGTGGCTGCTTGTCCCCGCCTGGCCCGACCACGCTGCCCGTCTCGCCGGTACGACCTTCTCACCGGCGGCTTCAACATCGTTATCGTACCTGTACCCAGTCTCATATCATGCGGCTCGACACTACCAAGGCATCCGCTATCCCAGAAGATGGCTCGAAGATCACTTTTAGTTTGCTGAAACTCGTAAGCGAGGCTCGCAATGAGCATGGAATGAGGCAGCTCGACTATGAGCGCTACCGGTGAGTGGACGCTGGGCCCCGAGCGCATGGAAAGATGCTTCCAAATGACTCACCTAGCTTCACTTGTTCGTCTTGTCCAGTCAATTCTGTACAAAGAAGGTTCATCGCCTCCGTCAAACGCTCCAACTGACGCACAAGGATGCCCAGCATACAGTCAAGACACAAGGGTCAAAGGGAGGACAGACGCAGAAGTCGAAGAGGTCAAAGAAGAAGCAGACGGCGGTCACGCAGAGCGCAGCGGACAAAGCAAAGGGCGGCAACGTCTACACCGAGAAGACTATCAATGTGGCAGACGTCAAGAATGACAGGTGAGTTGCAAAGCTAAGGGTGAGAATCTCGCATGCAGCTCGTCATTGACCATTGGCTCTTCTTCCCCTCGAAGGCCCGCGCAGCTGCTCCTCTTTGAAGCCGAACGAGCCTGGGCTCATTCACAGGACCTCAAATCTCAATCGAATGAAGCAGAAGAGGATCCCGTTCTGCGCAAGTCAGGCCTTGGTCGAGCACGGAGAGCTGTTGGCTGGGCAGATGACTTGTTCAAGCTCACAGAGTCGCTGGCCTCTCGTGTAGATGCTCACACCAAGGTCGAGGTGATCAGCTACCGCCTCTCTACCAAGGCCTCGGCTCTGTTCGACAAGGGAGAATGGGAGTCGTGCCTTGAGCATCTCTGGGTCGCTCGAGTCTTGCTCACTGCGCTCGCAAAGGGAACCTCGGACAGCCGAGCGGAGGCACTGGCCAACAGCTTCATCGATGCCGGAGAAGCTCAGATGAGGTTCAGTGCCTACCAGATTGGCGAGGAGCAGCAGGACATGGAGATAGTCACACAGGAGATCGCAACTCCTGCCACCTGCCAGCGTATCGTGCCGGGCTTCGATCAACTTGTTCAGAAGCTCCGTGAGAGCCAGCCCATGGATGCTGGAAACAAAGAAGCCGCTGTTGAGATCGAGTGGAGGGAGAGAAAGATCCCACTGAGGAATGCAGACCTGGTCGATGCCGTTCTTCGAGTCCGAAGCCAGGAGGCGGCTCTCGTGGATGCAGTCAAAGCGACGGAACAGCACGAGGGCGAGGCGGCTGCTGCTGCCAAGGCTGCAAGGGCCAAGGGCTCCAAGCCTGCTAGGATCTCTCATGCTGAAAGGACTGCACGCAAGAGGGCGGCTGCTGGCAGCGTTGGCGAGACGAGCAAAGCAGGCGCCAGCGGTAGCGTTGCTACCCAGCGCGGAGGTCAGTCTACCAGCGACCCCTTCGACCATGCTCTCGCTGCATTGACAGACGGTGAGCTTCTGGCCCGTAGATTGGTCGACGACAATGCCGACGCCCTCTCCAAGAGCCACTCTGCTCGATACGAACGAGTCGGTGATGATCTCAAGGCAGCTCATGAGTGGCTACAGTACCGTCTGCTCAGCTTGCAGATCAGGAGGAGCAACAAGATGGTCGAGGAGGTGGAAGAGAAGGCCGCAAAGAGGGAAGCGAGGAAGCAAGCTGCCTTGAAGAAGAAGCTCGACATCACATCTTCCGCCAAGCGATCAGGAGGCAGCGGAGGCAGGAAGAAGAAGCCTGCCGCGGACTCTGCAGTCAAGAAGGAGCCAAAGAAGCCGCAACCTGGCTCTCGAGCCAAGGCTGTCCGCTCTACTCCTTCGAGTCACCATCGTCGTCCTGCAAGAAGCGGGACAAGACATTTGCATGCTCAACGACAGGCAGCCCGCACCGGTCGAGCTCGACAGGTGGCAGAAGGGCAATCCCTCCGTCGCTCCGCTCGTGCCATCCCTGCCCTCGCCAAGCTGCTGGACAATTCCGAGTCGAATCTCCTCTCCATTGCGGCACTCTCGGTCATTGAGTCTGATCCGGACGCATCCACCATCGTTGACGGCGAATCCGCCTGGTACCGATCTGAGCTCCTTTACCATCTCGCCCGAGCCTACTCTCTCGCTGGTGAGAAGGGCGAAGCCTGTCTCCTCCTCCGCCGAGCGGCTTTGTGCGTGCGTCAGGCTCGACAGTCGCTGGACCTCGTCGACGACGCTGCCGTCGTGGAGGAGATGGACGCCGACATTCCACCTGCTCTCAACGAAGCCCTCTTCACCAAGTCCGAGCGAGCAATCCAGGTCTCGCTGCGCAAGATTCAAAAGGAGATGCGACAGCTGGAGCACAGTACCTCCAAGGTTGTTGGCGCTTCGTCTTCCCTCTCTTCGACCAAGGCAGGACAACAGCTCCGTCTCCTCGCTAGCAAGCACGTCGACTTTGACCCAGAAGACGTAGCCGAGGCATCTCGCCCCGATGAAGGAGGAGAGGAGTTGGAAGAGGAGGAAGTGGAGGAAGTTGAGCCTTCTCCTGTTCAGCAACCCAAGTCCGGCCAGGCCAAGCCTACTCGTACTGCCCAAGAGGCTCTCGCGGCCGTGACCGGGGACGATGAGGATGAGGCGGAGCACTTCGAAGAGGCTCCTGCCGCTGCTCATGCAGAGGGAGAGGTGGAGGAGGGTAGTGATGAGGGAGAATTCGCTGCTGCGGAAGATGCCGAGGGGGACGGAGAGGAGGAGACGGACAGTGAAGAGGACGAGGAGGAGGTGGTGGCAGCAGAGCAGCAGAAGAAGCCGGCTGGATGGCTTGGAGGGTGGTTTGGACGCAAGTGAGCTAGTGTGGGTTAGTCATGCAATGATAAGGGCGAATACCAGTGGTCAGATACAATCGCCAAAGAAGGGAAAAATGAAAGTGTTTGGTATTGAATAACAAGTGGCCAGTGTGACAAAAGGGTGATTACCGAGTAGAATTGGCGGTGAGCATTGGCGTCGCGTCACAGGCGTATCTGAAAAGGGCTTCGAAAAGGGTATAAGTTGCAAGAGCTTAGTGAAGCTGCTCTTGTAAGGATGAGAGTCAAGGTCTGCCCAAAGATCGTGCTTCTGCACCTCACTCCCACCAGCCATCCTCGCGCTTAACAACGACTACTTCCTCCGACTCGCTCATGGTGCGTTGACTGCGCACGGAGCTAGCAGGCATAAAGTCTCTGACGGACATCGTGTAGGATTGAGGTCCATTGACGAATGTCCTGACTTGCTCGCTGCGGCTCTTGCTCAGAAGGTTCGAAGTGGTGCCGCTGCCGAAGACGCTGGCGCTGAAGCTGCTGTCGCCGAGTCCGCTGGACTCTCGAGGGCGGGATTGTCTGTGGTCCTGTCCCGAGCTCTGATGGCTGGGCGGCGACGGGATTGCCCAGACCGAGGCGGAGAGACCACTCTTCTCGGACTTGATCATGCTCCATGATCCCTGCTCCGCAACATTGCTTTCATCGCCTGCTGAGCGATCTAGAGTATCCTCTGATGTCGCCTGTCTTCTCTGATGCTGCTTGCGGTGAATGTCATGTGCCTCTTGCATGCTTTGCTGTGCTGCCTCCGTCTGTGTGGCCACGGAGAGGAGAGCGATGCACTTGCTCTCCTTCTCGTTCAGCTGCTCTTGCAACGATGCCACTTCTGCTTGACTGTTTGCTAGCTCCCGTTGGCAGGCAATCAGCTCCGCTCGATCAACCAGCTTCTCCTTCATTGCGACGAGCTCTTCCTCCAGAGTCATGAAGTGTTCGTGGTACTTTGAGATCTCACCACGCAGCTCCTCCTTCATTGCCTCAGAGGACTTCAGGCGCTCCTCGGTCGCCTCCTGCTCGCCAAGGCGCTGCTCCAACTCGGCAATACGTGCTCGAGCGTCTGCCAGCTCTTGTGACTGGTTCTCAGAGTCAACTTTGCTCTTGGCGAACTCAGCGAGCTTCTGCTGAGCTTCTGCCGCCTTTTGCTTTTGCGAAGCGGTGAGAGTCTGCAGGTTGCCTATCTTGGCGTCTTGATCCGCGATGCGCTTTTGGAGAGAGGTGATCTCGCCTTCGTATCGGGCACAACGATCGAGGGCATCTCTAGCGTCCGCTCCTGCATTGGCTGTTGAAGCGCCGAAGGCTGCCAAATAGTCACGTACCGCTTTGCGAGATTCATCTGCATCTTTCTGTGCAGTCTCAAGTCTCGAGAGGAGGTCCTGCTGTGTTCGGGCAGAGAGCTCCCTCTCTCTCGCTTGCTCTTCTCGCAGATGGCTGACTTCATCTGACCACCTAGCAAGAATGCTCTGCAAGGCCTCCTCTTCGTCCGTGTCCTTCGCACGACCCTCTTCAAGTCTCTCCAAATCCACCAAAGCTTCAGTGTCTGCGATTTTGGCTGGGGCTTCCTGATGCTCATTAGATGCGCGCATCGTTCCGAGCGCCTTGATGTGACCATCGATGTCTTTGAGCGCATCTTCCAAGCGACAGCTCTGCTCGCATAAGGCTGTACAGGTACCCGCAATGGTATCCAATGCATCTCGCATGACGCTCATACTTGTCCTGCTTTCGTCGCCTTGTCGTCTGATCCCCTGCAGGATGCCTTCATCCGGAGTGGACAACCTGTCTGTGATCATTCCGAGGGACGTCAACAACTCGCTCAGGATGGCAGTATGCTGAGCGTCCGACTTTGGGGCCTCCATGAGCTTAGCACCAATGATAGCAGGGATCTCACCAAGCTGCCGTTGGAAGTCGCTCTGGTGTCTGACCATCTGATTGGCCACAGACAGGAGAACCTCCTGGCCTGATAAGAGCGGGTCAAAGAGGCTAGTGACGGGCTTCAGAGCTGCCATCTGACCCGCTGCATGCTTGTCAAGGCGATTTACGACCGGTGCCAAGATGTCGTCCTCGGTGCGGCTTCGGTCAGCTGACCCCATGATGGGCTGCAGCCTTTCAAACACAGCATCTACGATTGCAGCCGGCTCCATGACACCTCCAGAAGACGCCCGAGCCTCCCGAGCATCGGAGATGATTGGAAGGAGTATCTCGGTCACCCGAGCTGCAATGAGGTCTGCATCCTGGCCTGAGAGAGATGTGATTCTGTCGTCTTGAGGTCGGCTCGTCATTGCCTCGAGATGAGGAAGAATTCCATTGATGAGCGCTACCTGAATGTGTTCCGAGAAGTGATCGCGTATCTCATCCCAGCGCTTGAGGCGAGACGCTAGCGATTCGAGGACGGTCGCCGCTAGGTCTTGTCTTTCACCCTCGACCAAAACGAGGGCAGCGAGAAGACGTTCGTCCATCAACTTGCTGATCTTGCCTACTTGATCGTCGAGTAGTGACTGCCTCATGTCTTCCAATAGGGAGTGGGTGCGCTTACCGCAAGCTTCGACCATCTTTTGCACAAGACTGGATTCGTCCCCTACTGCTGGTGATACCGTTCCACGTCCGATGAGAGACGAGAATCGAGACACGGCAGCATTGAGCGACCCAGCAATATCCTTCTTTAGGTCTTGCATCTGCACTTCAATGGCATCGGTGACATAGTCAAAATATACATCGGAAGGCGCGTCGACGGTCCCAGCCTTGCGTTTGGGCGATTCGGCAACACCATCAGTCTTGGCTGCTGCCGCATGCTGCAGGGCCAGATCGCGCAACTGCTGCGCAAGCTTGCCCTCGAGAGAGACGCTGTGGTTCGCAAGCGAGCGATCCACTTTGCTTGACAGCCCGTCAATGAGCAGCTGACGGTCTTGAGCGCTCAATGCAGTCTGCAAGCGCAGTCCAGATTCATCACGACCGTCTTGACCTCCTACCTGAGGCCTCTTGTTCGGAGCAGAATCTTGGAGAGACGCATTTTGGAGCCGAGGTCTGTCTCCGGATCCAACACCTGTAGCAGCTGCTCCTGTAGCACGGCTGCTAGTCACGCCAGCACTGCCTTCGGATGGTTTGCGGATAGGGATGGCTTTGCTGCCCAGGGAGGTGAAGGTGAATCGTCCGGTAGGTACGGGTATCTGATACCACTGCCTCATTTGCGCCGGGTGGACAGCAGGCGCGATAGGCGGAGCCGGTCTCAGTGACGGAGGTCTAGGTAGAAGAGCATTAGGAGGAAGCAATGTATTGGGCTGAGGGACAGGCCGGGCCCATGTCGGAAGGAAGGGAGGCGCAGAAGGTCGTAGTGATGGCAAATTGCCGGGAGGCAGGCCAAGGTCGTTCGTGTTGCGACGGTGTCCAAGCTGTCTCGGTGATGGCTGAGGCGATCTTCGCTGGCCGACTCCGCTAGAGACATCTCTTTGGGGGCTGCCAGACAATGGTGTTCCCAAAGGTCGGGTGCGCTTTTCTCGACCTTGCTGGGCTCGTGCCTCTGCATCGCTCTGAGAGTCGCTGAGACCACTCTGTGCCCATTCCAATGGCAATCGTGGAGCATTTGCAGGTGGCACAAACGTAAAAGCGGTTGCGGGTATCTGGTCAATGGGTCCATGACCCGCGCTGTGCAAGGGCGAGCTAGCCTCCGCCCGAGCAAAGCCAGTGTCTATCGTACCTCTGCCCTCGGAAACTTCATGGAAGGCAGAACATCCGAAGCTTGAAGTGCTAATGCTCGGTAGTCTCAAGACACTGGACACAGTGGTGACGGCAGCTCCACTACTGTCAATCTGGTCTTCGGCCGTCCGTCCCTCGTACCTCCGAGACCTAGCACTTGGCTTGCTAAGGTTGAGATGCTCTTGCGCAGTGTCACGTGAGCGAGAATGGCTGGCCCAGCTATGAGTATCGTCTTCTTGGAGAGGTGGCAAAGCTGCATCGTCGTCGGATGGATTGCTCATGAAATCCCATGAGCGGCTACCTCGCGTTTCTCTATCAGGCAGGACTGCACTACTAGCAAAGGTGTCAGTAGTATCAGCTCTTGGTCTGCCGCCGAGGAAGCGCTCATCAACGTCTCTTGCAAGAGTGTTGCCGTCTGATGAGCCTACAAATGGCGTTCGGCAAAGTGTCCCTTGACGGCTTTCTCCCAGCCCGACTGCCTGGTCGCCGCTTCCGCGAGAGCACTTCATCCTCTGGCTCCCTTGGTGTCTCTCTGCGTCGTAACTCTCCAAGTCACTCTGTTCAGACGCATCAGCGTCTTGCGAAGCATGTGTGCGGAGATCGTCTTCTATCTCCTCTCGCTTTGAGGTACCTGTGAGGTTTCGTTCGCTGAGTGGCATCGCTGGCTCCTCGACTAAGGTCTCTAGCTCGTAGCCAAATCCGGGTCCGAGCTCTTTCCAGGAGAGTTTCGTCAATGTGCGAGAATCAGGGGGAGAGCTGGCAGAGCGTGAGTGGCTGACGCCTGATTCCTGAGGTGCCGATAGTTCCTTCTGATCTCGTTCTAAGGGAGACGGCAGGCCGAGAGCCATGAGGGCGTCAGATGCGAACGGATTGCCAGCATTTGGCATGCTCAGAGAGACGTGGCTGAAGTGCACAGGTCTAGTGTAACTCGCGAATGAACGGTCACGTGAGAGATTCGGCGGAGCAGACCTTGGAATGGAGCTGGTGTCGACTTGATGCTGAAATGAGTCGTCAGTAGTCCCTCGATGGAAGACATTGACGTGTGCCGGCGCAGAGGTGCCCTTACCGCTGTGAGAGATTGCAAGTGGAGCCCTCTCTACAGCGAGACAGGATGCAGGGGAGGCGGGCTCCGTCTCGGCAGAGACTTCGTTTGATGTGTTCAGAACCTCCAAAGCTATAGGTCGATTCAAATCCTCGTCGGCTTCTGGGAGTGCAACTTCGGTGAGTCGCTGAGGCACTTTCTTTGTCTGAAGCTCACAGCTGATTACGGCTTGTGTCGGTGACACCGAAACTGTGGACGCCTCTGGGACGCTGACGAGGATAGCCTCACCCTCCTTTGTACAGCTATCGATCTCCAACTCCGGCTCTGACGGCTTCGTCTCAGCCAACAGCTCAACCGCTGGATCCTTGTTGCCCGACTGACCATAGGCATTCCAGGAATCGGAAGCGGGCATTTGCACCCGAGGAGTACGCGACGACACGCAATCGTCAGGGAGGAGGGGAGACAACGTTCGAAGCTGCTCGTCTGTAAGGACGGCATCGCAGACGATGTCTCGCCATGCCCCGGGCTGACGCCATGGCCACTTGCTCCTAATCTGTGCCTTGAGCGGTGGGGAAGGGACTGTCTCGCTGGCAACGGATTCCTCATGCTTGGATTCTTCAAGTCCCTGTGTCTCTTCTTCGACTTCTCCCCGGCTCTGTGCCTCCGTCTTTGTACGGGTTTCATCAGGCAATCGGACGACCGAGGTCCGAGCAGTGGCCGCCTTGACCTGTGGTATGGCAGAAAAGGCAGAAGATCCGATGCTCACCGATGGTGTGTGATTGTGACCTGTAGTCACTAGAGGGCTGTAGACGATACTTGGTCGAGGTTTGAAGGTCTTCTTTCCAGATGTACTGGGCCATGAGAAGGGTCCGGACTGGTTGCCAGTGAACATCCACTGCGGATGTACGCTGGGGCTGACACTTGGCCCAGTGAGGGAGGGAGTAGGAGGCTCTGAGACCCGTGGTAAGACACCAGTAGACAAGGCGTCACTTGCGCTGGGTGAGACATTGCCGCTCCCGAAAGGTGAGGGGACGAAGTGCTGGTGCAAAACAGGCTGTAGAGTGTGTGGAGTGACCTGAATGTTTTGCACGTAGCTTTGTTGAGCTAGATTTGCTGACGGATAGAAAGCAGGAGCAATTCTGAGTCGTGGCAATTCGCCATGTGTGCGTCCGCCGGGCTGGAGTTGCAGTCCCGGCTGAAGAGGTTCTGAGCCCCGAATCCACTGGGACGTGTTCACATGTGGCGGGACTGGCTGAGGTGTTGGCAGGATCATATCGGTGAAGATGAGTCAGTGGAAGGGGGATTTTGATTAGATCTGTATCGTCCCACGTTTCTCACTTGTTCGATGGGCGGACGTTCGGCTTCTCCTGCCTGCTGAATCTCTACTGATGACACTGACTGAGGGCTATGGCTGGCCAGCGGCTGATCGGGTGCCGCCGATATGTCATTTCGAGAATTGCAGCTGTTCGTAAAGGATGGCTGAAAGGCCGGTGCTGAAGCTCTGAGAGTACATTTGCTGTTTTCTTCATTCGCGGTCGGCTTGTCATTAGGATGGACGATTGAGATTGGGCGAGAAGTAGGTGGTGCGAAGAAGGGTATGTCCCGAAGAGACTGTGGGCAGGTGAGCAGAGGATTGACCAGACGTCAGCAAAGGCACAGCAGTAAAGCTGTCTTGGGTCATGTCAGGAATCAAAGGCTCACCGTGGCCATGCTGACCTCTGTGAAAGCCCTGGAGTTGCTCTAGTCCCTGCTTGATCTCTCCGTTATGGCAGCAGCGGCTGTCATTCAGAGCCCCGAAGGCGTACTCTGGCTGCGTAGTGGAGTTCAGCAGTTGGCGAGGAACTGACAGGAGAAATTGCTGCAGCGATGAGGGTGTGATGTAGATCGAGGCTCAGGGGCGACTGAGGAGACTGCCGCGAATCTGTGCGGTCCAGCGGCGCTGCTCGTGGTACGACAAGGCGCTCAGGAGGGAACTTCGACCGTGAGCGCTGTCAGAAGGATGAGCACTAAGTCGAGGGTGCAAAGGGTGGTGCTTTGCTCCTGGACGATGGGCCCGGGAGCATTGCTCTGCCTCCGTCGACAAGGCTTCCTACCTCTTGCGATTCACACTCCGCTTCCGCCGCGGGCCCAAGCTTCCGTACCGCGAAGCAATTGACAGCCCCGCCCTAACTCTTTACTCAGGTTCATGACCATCGCGACCGAGTTGTAGGGACGGCTGAGGAGGCGCATGCTCCTTGGAGAAAAGCAAGTGGGCCGGTTTGAAGGAAGAGACGGGGACCGGGAGCTACCTTGTCGAAAGAACCCAGAGGGAGAAGTGTGGGCACAAGAGGTGACTCTGTCTACTTCTCTGCCTCACCCTGCTACCCAGCGCTTGTCCGTGGACATTCCCATTGTGCGCTCTCCCGTCCCTTATCGCTAGTACCTCATGGTACACCCATCTTCACAAGGTCCATGTCTTACCGCTTGCTTGCTTGTATGGCTTATTGATTAGATGATGGTCTCGCTCGCACTGTCCCCTCGCCCTGGCCTTTCGCAATGCGGACGCGGCGTGCGGGTGGACGGGCTGACGGACGGAGTGCCATCCCGCTTCCGCGTCCTATCTTCCGGCTCCGCTATGCTGCAGCCTTGGCTGCCGTGCCTGCCTTGGCCCTCCCGCCCCCGCCTTACCCAGCCGTGCCCCGCCGAGGGAGGTGCTGCTGCTGCCGCCGCCGCTGCCGCCGCTCTACGCTCAACTCGTCTGATCTCTCATTGCAATTCACGATCCACATCCTATCCTCCTACTAGACTGGTGTGCACCACTGCAGCACCCTCGCATCGTACAGCGCAGGCAGACGGCCTCCTTTGCGGCCTCGTCGTCGGGTCAAGCTTGAGGTACGGGAGCAATTTTGCCTCCTTTGGCCCCTCCACCGTTCCATCCGCCGTGTCTGGCACGCAAAGCCACCCTCGTTGCAAGCCGTCGCTTTCATCCTCGCAACCATCATCGTCGTCGAATTCTGTGCTCAGACAGTACTCTTCTGTGACGACTCCACACAGCGATCTGGACGCTGGCAGTGCCGTACGTCATCCAGCTGCAAACAGAGGCCTAAGCCAATTGTTTCACAAGGTCTTTACTTCTCCTCCGCCTGCAGCAATGTCTCTCGTACCCGTATCCTCGCGAAAATGGGAGGCCACACCCCCTGCCTCCTCTTCCTCAGAAGCTCGCGATGTAACAGATTACTCTTCCCTGGCCTCCTCATCGTCATCCTCCTCCAGCCACTCTCCTCGACCCCTCATCGATGAAGCTTTGTTAGAGCAGTCCTGGGACGACATCGTGTCTTCCCGTATCCCCTCGCGCTCCTCTGCTAAACCGGATGACAGATCGCTCTGGCAACATTGGGTGCAAAGTACGATTGACTCAATGGCCGACGAGGACTCGACTTTCTTCCTTTCCTCGGCCACTGGACCGTCGAGGGAAATCCGTCAGCAAGTTCCGGCCTTGTCTTATCCACAGTCCGGACAAGGGAAACGGCAACGTGGTGGCTCCTCAGAGGAAGCTGCAAGCAGTCGAGCGATGGGGGAGGCAAGTCGGCTAGCCTTCAAGAGTCCGAGCCAGCCAAGGGCTTATCAGGATGACCGAGCTCAGAAGCAAAAATCGAGGTCGCCTCGGCGACGGACCGCCTCTGCGCCTAGTGGCGGGAGCGATAGCGTTCCCAGATGGGTTCAGGCCCTTGGCAGTCAGGTGGTCAGCAGCCAAACACAGCAGCAAGTGCCCTTCGAAGGTGGACCACCCGATACACTTCCTTCCCAGACGCCCTTTCCTCCGCCACAAGCGCCGACTGCTCGACCTATGCCAGGAGGCGGCAACAATGACAGCGCTCTCATCATCCTCCTACCGCTGCTGGTGCTCCTCTCAACGCTGCTCTTGGTATTGCTTCTTTTCCTCATCCTGCTGATTGTCATACGCAGGAGAGCAAGGATAGCTCTGTTGTCCAGTGATGGCCCGCTGGACGTGGGCCGGGAAGAGGAGCTTGAGGGTACAGGCGGACTTGAGGGTCTTGAGGATCGCTGGCTGGAGACGGTGGATGAGCCCACTCGTCGGGGATACTCTCGGGCCAAGGCTTGGCTCCTCTCCCATCCCCCGAGCTCCACAGCTACAGAGATGACAATGTCACAACTTTTGTCCATCCAGGAGAAGGGCGTCTCGGCATGGTCTTTTGAACCAGATTACGAGGCGAACTCATCCTGCTATGTCGAAGCTCGTACGGAGATCACCTTCGTGGCCGATGGTCAGGGCATGGCACCTCAAGAAGGTGGTGGCTGTTCTGTTCAGAGCAATCTCCCTCTCCCAAAGATCAACGAAGTGTACTACTGGGAGGCTAAAATTTTCACCAAGCCAGAGACGACGACGATCTCCGTCGGTCTAGCTACCAAGCCTTACCCCTCTTTCCGTCTACCTGGATGGAGCAAGTACTCGGTCGGCTTCTTCTCTTCGGACGGATTCAAGTGCCACAACTACCCTTTCGCTGCTCAGTCCTACGGCCCAGCATACGTGCAGGGAGATGTCATTGGGATCGGATACCGTCCGCGAACCGGAACGGCCTTCTTCACTCGCAATGGAAAGAAGCTCGAGGACGCCTTCGTCGGACTCAACCGCTACAATCTCTTTCCAACCATCGGAGCCAACGGGCCTGCTGAAGTCCACGTCAATCTCGGCCAGGCTGCATTCGTCGTCATCGAAGCGAATGTAAAGAAGTGGGGTTTGGCTCCGATGAATGGGACTCTGGGTCCTCCCCCAGCATATGGCCAGGAGAGGGGTAGCATCCTAATTGAAGCAGGCCAGAGCTCGTCAGGCGGCAGGATGACGCCACCGCCACCGGTGTCACCACCTAGGAGTGAGGCTGGAAACAGTCAGGGGCTGCAGATTCCGTACGGTCATGGCCGCCGTCGGCGAGGCAACGAGAGTAGGAGAGGGCGACAGGCGATCAATGCTGCGAGTCATCAAGCAGGCGTGATGGCCGAGCAGGAGGCAGCAGAGCGGGATCGAGAGCGTCAGGAGGAGGAATATTCGAACCCCGGCAGAGAGAGGAGGGCTTCGACCTCGTCTTCCATCTCTGAAGCCCCTCTCAATCCGCCCACACCGGGTCACCTCGATATCAGCCTGCATTCGCTAAGAGGAAGCCATCGCATGGGGGGCAGCAACGAGTCATTGTCACCCTCGGAGGGCAACAGCAGTCGTAGTAGCAATACACTGCGGCTGCAAATGCACACGCCACCGGCCTCTGGACCGCCGAGTGGCCAGGACACTGGCAGCTACTTCCCGCCGACGCCGACGCGTCGCTCTGGAGGAGGTCAGGAGGGTCCTCTTGGAGGCATCACTGCCACTCGATCCGTCTCTCCTCCGCCATACAGCGAGAGGACTTCTTCCACCCTCGCGGCTCCTCCTTTCACCTCTCGGGACTCTGGCAACTCTTCTCCCTCTGGCTCCCTAGGCGGGACATCCGAGTCGGGCCACCGAGCTCGAAGGACATCTGGTCGTACCCACAGGATTGCCAGTAGCGTCTTTAGCGTTCTGGCCGACCTGCGTGGGGAGGGTAGTGGACAGGGGGATCTTGAGTCACGACCAGCTCGCGCTCAGCGCAATGCCTCTGAGCTCGAGTACGAGAGATCGGTGAGCGCTAGTCGTGACAGAACCGGGACTTCAGCACAGCAGCAGCAACAGCAGCAGCAGCGAGCCAATACATGGGGTGAGGCTCTGGCAGGCTGGTGGTTTAGCAGTCCAGCAAGGTGATGGAGGAGCTGTTTTGCCCATAGCTTTGCTTTCTCTTCCTCCGCTTCTTTACCTATGCTATTTTATGCGTGTCACTCGTACACTTCGAGGAGACTTTAATACATTGTACATTGCTTCTCTAGATGTGATATATGCCACTATACTGTTTGCTATCTGAGGTGTCTTTAGCCCTGCACAAAGAGTTTGGCTCGATGTGACATCCCTCCGCTACTCATCCCTGGGACCCTTCTCCTCATCAGCCCGTTCCACGCATTGGAAGAAGAGCTCCCATAGTCTGTCTGTGGCCACACTCTCCAGCACTACCACATTGGGTCCCTCTCTTCCCCACCCGGTAGTGACCTTCTCAGGCGCAGTCGATGTTGGAAAGTCGACAACGGTGGCTCCAAGAGCAAGGCTGCCATCGGCACACTCTACGCGCGTCTCGTATGCTCGGGGAGGAGCAAAGCGCTGCTTTCCCTCTCCCTCTCCTCCTGCTTCTTCGTTGAAGAAGATCTCCGGCTGCAGCACCCACGCTACAGCCAACAAGTCATGCACGGGCGGTCCCTCCTGAAATCCAAACTCTGTCCGATACGTATCGGCAAAGAAGGTCAAGATGGAAGCCAACGTCTTGCGCAAGGGGGAGACAGGTGGTGTGAGAAGACGCTTGAGTAGGTCCGGCCGGAAGATGGCTTGGTGGGTCACGTTGAGGCCGGCCATTGTGACGCGGATGGGGTGGTTGAAGAGGATGGCAGCTGCTTCTGGGTCGACGAGAATATTGAACTCTGCAGCGAGGGGAGAGGAGGGGAAGAGCCGTCAATGTGTGGACCTCTAGCTTGCATGTCATACAGAGTAAGCTTGGCTCACCCGCTAGAGCACCTCTATTGCCTCTTGTTCCAGGCGGCGCACCTCCCATAATTACAACCTCCTCCACTCCCTGTTCCGCAAGATCCGGAAATGCCTTGAGAAGCAGCGCAACGTTAGTCATCGACCCAGTGGCCACAAGAGTGAGCTTGGGGAGATTGTGTTCGATTCGGTAGGATAGCAGATCCGACCAGTACCTGAGCAAGTAGCCTGGAGTAGCAGGAGGTAGTTGTCCCTGTGATCTCACAACGGGAGGGTAGGAAGCCCATACCCGCTGCTGTACATGCTCGCTTTCTAGCTCCGGCAGACCCACCACGCCTCCGAGCCCATCATCGCCATGAATGCCTGGATCAAATCTTGCCGCTTTGATTAAGGGTAGCTCGGATCCCATGAAGAGATGCGTCCCTCCCTTGGCCAAAGCGACATCTTGTGGACCATCGGGCAACTTCGCCCCGTAGAAGGTGAGCAGCCGAGCGGCATTGGCAAACGTAGCTTGCACAGGCGCATTGCCACCCACGGCAGAACATCCCACCAGGTGAGCTGAGGAAAAAAGAGCTAGCAACAAAGCTAATGCATCGTCATGTCCAGGATCGCAATCCAACCAGATTGCTTTGCCAGACATTACTGATGGTGTAAAGACGGAGCGGACAGACAGGTTCACCATTCCGGAGCGGAAGCGCGGCGTCTTCTTCTTCTCCTTCCCCACACACGGAAGCATCGGAGAATCAAAGTCTCCGCGTTTTGCGGCTGCTGCTGCTGCTCTTGTTCCACCTACGCAATTCCTATTGACACAAAGCGCACATAGGCAAACGTGGTGCGGACTTTGCAGCCCATGTAGCGTCTTTTGTTGTATGTGTTGCTGTCAGTACGAGCTCGTATAGGCCGTCTCGGCACTGTACCAGAGTCGGACGCTGGGCCAGGATGCCAAAAGCCGATGTTTGCGCCCACAGTTCCTTTGTTCGACGGTGCCCTGATCGCCTGACGCCGACGCGCCATTCGAACTCTTGTTCGTGAAGGCATCGATATCGCCAGCCCTCTTGACCCTCACAATCAAGACATGTCTCACGCATCTTGACTCTTGCATCCTGATTCTACCTTCCGACCTTCACGTACCAGTCTCCTCCTAGCTCGAAACCACTCCGCTGTCTGCCTCTCTGCTTTCCACTGGCTGGAATATCCTTTTCCAGAATGCTCACCCGAACAGGTGCCGCCTTCGTCGGGCTCAACTTCGTACGTCTCCTCTCCATCACTGCTCTTCTCCTCGTCCTCGCAGCCACCCTAGAGGTGATGGTCATCGACGGCAGGCTCGTCGCTGCCGCACGCAAGGAAGATGCGGAAGTGTGGGATGACTGCGAATACGTCCCTGGCACAGATGTCCCTACGCATACTTGGGGTCTTTTCTGGACGCAGCTCGATAGAACTTTTGTACTCGTCTTGTGTATCATTTGCGTCTTCAGTGGTGAGTTGTAAGGTGGTCTACGTGAAAAGAATTTGCTGCCAGAAGCAATGCTGATCTTGGTCTTACCTATGGGAGCAGAGGCCAACTGGGGTGGCTACTGCGAGAAAGCGTTCAATTATTGTCTTCCCGTATTGGGTCGACGGTCAGGCACTGGCGCACTGGGAGGCGTCCAAATGATGGTAAGTAAACTTGAGATGCACTGGAACTCTGCCAATTGCTCTTGCTGACATCGCCTGGTTCGATAACAGATCGGCGCCAATCTCCTCTCTCACTACTCCGAAGGCTTTCCTCTCGCTACGGCCTGGCTCCTCTTCTTCGTCGGTCTCATCAACTTCCTTTTCGGTATCTCCTTCAAACAGCCAGCGAAAGATTACCGCTCCTTCACCGCATCGCGCCGACTGGCAGCCGGCAGCATCGGCTGGCCCAGACGCAGGACGGTCACAGAGGACATCGAAAAGGCTCCCAAATCCTTGGCTGGTGATGTCCAGCAGGTGCGGACGCTGGGTGAAGCCTTTGCACATTCTGGAGCTGATATCAGGGCTCATCAGGAGCTCTTGCGGGCACAAGCTCGTCAGGCCAATGAGAAGGTCGAGCGAGACATCGAGGCTCGTCTAGCTTCCGAATTCCGCGGTGACTCCAAGCATTCTGCCAAGATGGGAAGCGACCGTGGTCTCTCGGGCGCCTTTATGTACGACAGCGAGCAGGGCACCACTGTAGTCATCGGTCGACCGGCAACGCGTGCTGCTTCCATTACCTCTGCCTCCGTATCGCACGTGGTGCCTGCTCAATCCCGCAGAGGGTCTCACACGGTTGCATCTCCACCTTATACGCGCGAGCCTACCAACTACTTCACAGACGGCAGCCCAGCACGAGGACCTACTGCAGCACTCCCTGCCTCTTCACACGTCGCGCCATCTGTCGTCTCCTCTGCAAAAGGCGGCTTCAAGCGCAAATCTCTCGCTCTCGCCAAAGCCACACGACGACGACTAAGCAACAGCTCGACTGTCCGCGCTGGCACCGCTGGTCGACGCAGTGTTCTCTGGGGCCAAGGCACACACACCGTACCCAGTCTCACACGCCGACGTCTAGCGCAGCAGGCCGAGAAGGAGCGAGCACAGCTGCTCCGTCTAGCTGCCGAGCTCAAGCTACCCAGAAGCGACGAACACAATGCTGCTGCTGCCAGGTGGGAGCCCGTCGGTCCCACGGCTCCCTCCGCCAAGTCTACTTACTCTCGTGGTGACGAAGAGGCGCTCGTCACAAGCTACTCGCCCACCTCTACTACTGGCTTCACATCCGTTTCACGAGCACAGAGTCGATTCGGCACAGAGCTGCACATGGAGGAGATCCTGCGAACAGACCGCAATGCTCCGCCTCTTCCAGCATATGAGCCTGGCCGCTTCGCCGCTACAGGAGCTGCCGCTGCCGCTTCCATGCCTGCAGGATCCCGCATAGGACTACACAAGAGGTACGGTAGTAATGCAAGCTCTGTGCAGCCAGCTCCAGCACGCTTGCAGTCGGTGGCAGACGCAGATGGTCAAGACGTACTATCAAACATGCCTGTCGCAAGGCAGTGGGCGAGCAAGTGGGCGGATGACTCCCAGCAGGCCCAAGCCAGGCAGGCCAAGCTTCCTCCACGTATCTGAGTAAGAGGAAGGCAAACAAGATGCATCTTTCGCGACTTCATTCCATCACCTACCTCTGGACATTCACTCTTCCTCTTTCACTTGAAGAGCATCACTCTTGTAGATATCGTCTTCTTCTCACTCGCTCCTCTGTGCTCTTCTTTTCGAACCTTGTCTCGTCACTTTCACGTATCGCCTTTTTGCACATGAATGAAGTATACCGTTGCAGTCCGATTTACACAAGCTGGTCAAATTCACGTGCGGAGTATCAGACGACATTGTATCTCCCCACACCTGGAGGAGGGTTCCTCTGCTCCGCCTCGAGAGCAGCCTGTGTTGCCTCGAGCAAGATCTGCTTGATACTCCTGACCGCATGTTCCACCTTCCCCTCATCGTTGGACTCGATGAGCAGCTGCAGTTTCGGCGGTTCGCCGGGCTGAGGCTCCTTGCCTTTCTCGTAGAAGATGCCCCTATTGGTGATCGAGGCACCCGTCTCGGCAATGAGAGTGGACATTGTCTCTTTGTTCGTGCACCTCCACCTGGCCTTTTGTGGAAAGTCATTGATGGGTACAATGGCGTGGTAGTCCGTTGCGTCAGGATCCTTTGGCTTGCGACCCTTCTCGGCAGCTTCCTGCTGACGCTGGTTGAGCCGGGCTTGATGGGCGGCGTTGATCTTCGCCAAAGCCTGAGCCAGCTGAGCAGCATTAGCGCCAGAAGCCTTGGCGGCATCGATGACCTTGTTGTTGGCGTTCTCTGTGCTCCCTCCAGAGTCTGCGGCCGGCTTCTCAGACTCGCCCTCGGCCTTGACTTTGTTTGCTCGGACAGATTCGGGAGCGGCTCCCTTCTTGACCTCGATGTGCAGATCACGGACGCCGCTCATGTCGTCCTCGGCAGGTGGTGGACCGCGTTGCACCTTGATGTCGTCCAGCTCCTTGGGCACACCAGATGCAGCCGCATCCTTGCCAGCGTCTCCGCCGCCTTCCTCACCTTCGCCGTAAGCTGACCGCTGAGCTTTGAGGTTCTTCTCACGATCGCTCTCCAAACGCTCCAGACCTTTGCCACCGAAGCCAGAGCTGGCGACGTGTGCTTTGCCACTGGTGACTTTCTCCTGGAAGGCATCAGCCAGGGCCTGAAGCTCAGAGGGAACTGCGACTTTGCTCGCCTTCAACGCAGCGATGATGTCTCGAGCATACCTGTCTTGCTCAGGAGTGATGAAAGTGACACACGTGCCCTTGTTGCCGGCACGACCGGTACGACCCGCCCGGTGCACATAATCTTCCATGTGGTTCGGCGCATCGTAATTGATGACAAGCTTGAGCTGCTTGATATCGAGGCCACGGGCAGCAATCGAGGTCGCAATGACGACGTCTACCTCACCGGCCTTGAAGTCGGAGATTGTCGCATCTCGATCGACCTGATCCTGGCCTCCATGCAGTGACATCGTCGTGTAGCCTTTGCTAAGCAGTTGCTTGAACAACTCGTCAGCTGCCTTTTGGCGATCAACGAAGATAAGAGCTCTCGTTTCCCGATCCAGATTGAAAGTTTGACCGAGGATCTCGAGGAGCCTGTTGAACTTCGTCTCTTCTTCTCTGACCTCGATGATCTGCTCAATCTCTGGTGCTACAACACTACGGCCGCCGACAGTGATCTCGAGCGGCTTGTTGCGAAGGACTTTACGCGCCAAACTTTCCATCTGCTTTGGGAACGTTGCCGAAAAGAGCACCGTCTGCCGGTCCGGGCGGATGTTGTTGATGATCTTCATGACCTGAGGCTCGAAACCCATGTCGAACATGCGATCGGCTTCGTCCAAGACTAGGTAGGTGACTCTCCTGAGATTCGTCACTCTACCAGAATTGGCTGTGAGCAGATCGATCATCCTTCCAGGCGTTGCCACGACAATGTCGGCAGTCTTCTTCATCTCTGCAATCTGTTCAGAGATTGGAGCGCCTCCGTAGACACAGACTGCTCTGAGGCCGGTGGCCTTGAGGAACGGCCTGCTCTCCCTGTAGATTTGCACCGCCAGCTCTCTCGTCGGAGTCATGATAAGACCGATTGGGCCTTCGTTTCGCTCGACTGGTCGCTGATCCTTGATATGCCTGAACATCGGCAGAAGAAACGCCATCGTCTTACCGGAACCCGTCTTGGCGACACCGATCATGTCTCGTCCTGACATAATGGCAGGGATAGCTTGAGCCTGAATAGGCGTCGGAGAGGCGTACTCCAGCTTCTTGATCACATCCAGACAACTTGCAGGCAAGCCACAGTAGCTCCACTTGGTCAGAGGCTTGGGGCAGTCCTTGCCCCTCACCTTGATCGCGTCAAGCTCCATTCGAAGGCGGTCGGCATCTTCTTCCGAAAGCTCCTTGATCTCTGTTGGTGGGTGGTAGAACTCCTTCTGGAACGGCTCATAGTCCATTTTGGAATGATCGACCGTGGGTATATCCTTCTTCTTGATCTTCTTGGCAGCCAGGGCCATGATGTCCTCCGCACCAGCCTGATCAAGTTCGTCTGGCTCTGCTGTAGATGGATCCTCTACCACCGCGCCATCGTCATCGCCCATGACAGGGGCAACAATCTTCGACGTCTTCGTTCCAAAGCGTTTGCGATCAGCAGCATCTACTGTTTTGACTTCATTACTGACAGTGCTCATGAAAGCGTCCAGCGGATCTTCCTCATCGTCATCATCAGCCACAGCCTCGCGCTTGTCGATTTGCATAGCATCAGGGCCCGCTTCGCCATCGTCGTCACCATCGTCATCGTCTCCATCCTCCAGATCAGAGCCAGAGCCGACCTTCCCTCCTGCGCCTGGCTTGAGAAGTGGGTCCATTGGCGGCAGGTTGAGCTTCTTGAGCTGCTTCTTTGCCGGCTGATCGGAGTCGTCCATAGCTGCGCTCTTGCTTGTCTTGCCTTTGAGAGGATCAGAGCGAGCTGCTGCGAAGCCTTTGAGGCCCGACACGCTGATGGAAGTGGGGGCGTCGGAAGTCTTGGATGGCAGGGCGGCTTTAGAGGCAGAGATGGAGGAAGATAGAACGCGCGTTTGGTCAGTCTCTTCGGGTGTAACACGACCTCTGCGGGAACACTCACTAGGTGCAATGCTACCATGGGCAGCAGCGACGCTCTGCGCTCTCAATTTAGCCTCCTCGAAGGCCTTCTGAGCTTCCCTCTCGCGCTTCCATGCTTCGAGACGCTCTTTGCGGGCTCGAGCTTTCGGGTCCTCCGAAGTGAGCCCTGCGATGGTCGCAGGACTGCCCAAAGCGGGTGAGTCGGTTGACAATGGGCTTTCAGCTCCTGACTCCGGCGGAGGAGGGGCAGGCAGGAATGCCGGTCGTGTCGGCAATGCAGCAGGCCGAGGTGGCAGACCTGTAGATGGATGATTGCCATTGAGAGAGCCTTGAGAGTCGAGAGCCTTCATGGATGATGATGATGACGGCGGCGGCGCTCGGTCATCCAAAGGCCTCTTCCTGCTTGAGTCCTCGACCCGGCTTCGTGGTTCGTAGTCTCGTTCTCTGCTGCGCCGACTGTCCCTTCTGTCGTCTCTATACCTGTCATGGCGGTAGTCCCTATCTGATCCTACCCGCCGGTCACTTCCAGTATACTCTCTATCACGATGGCCGTAGCTACCCGACTGTCTGGAGGAGGCGTAATCATAGTCATGTGTTCCGCGGGAGGAGCGAGGAGGGGAACGAGAACGACGGCTCTGAGTCGGCGAGTGCTCTCTATAACCACTGCTGCTGCTGCTGCCACCACCACCACCCCTCGGCGCATCATGATGCTTACGTCTAGAAGATGAGCTTCCACCATATCGGTCATCGTAGTCGTAGTCTGACTGTCTCGCCATCGTTGATGAAGAAGGAGGGAGGTGCGGGACCGTGGATGAGTAGGATGGCAAGAGTCGGATGTTGCTGTGCGGGCGAAGGTCTCCATTCCGATCCTGTGGGTTCCGATCCTGCTTTCATTTTTCTCGACTGCTCCGATCCGATCGCTCGGCGTGAGTCTCCACCTGCTTGCCGGCTTCAGCGGATTTCAATCAGAGGTCTTCCAGTGTACACCAGCCTTCTCATTGACCATACCATTAATGAACTCCCTCAACATGTCAGCGGCTCGATCTACACTTCAAAGAGCGACCAGGGCAGTGGCTGCTCAGCCAATAGCCTCATCCTCTGCGCCTGCGAGGGCCTTCGCTACAGCAGCTTCCTGCCATGGCCTTCGCCACCAGAGAGCGCCTGCAGCGGCAGCGCCACTGCCTCGCTTTACGGCGCCGCTCTCATACAGGCCTCTCCAACGTGGCTTCCACACCTCCCAGCCTCGGTCGATGTTCATTCAGACAGAATCGACACCGAACGAGGACTCACTGAAGTTCCTGCCGGGTCAGCAAGTCATGAACAGCGGCACTGCAGAGTTCCTCGACTCTCGTGACTCGATGCGCTCCCCACTAGCCAAGACTCTCTTTGGGCTGGATGGTGTTCGCTCAGTATTCTTTGGCCCTGACTTTGTGACCGTATCAAAGGTGACGGATACCAATTGGGGAACGCTCAAGCCCGAGATCTACTCGACGCTCATGGAGCACTTTACTGCTGGTCACCCGCTCTTTGCCGAAGAGGGCGACCATGGTTCCAGCGATACGACTATCCTTGATAGCGATAGCGAAACTGTGGCCATGATCAAGGAGCTGCTAGACACCCGTGTCAGGCCGGCGATCCAGGAGGATGGAGGTGATCTGGAATTCAGAGGCTTCGGTGAAGATTCGGATGGGCTGGTCAGGGTGAAGCTGAAGGGCAGCTGCAGAGGTTGCGACAGCAGTACAGTCACACTGAAGGTGAGCAAGTCAATCGCGACCGCCTTCACTCGCCATAGTTACTCACGCCATGTACCTCCTCCCCTGCCGATGGTTCATACAGAGTGGTATTGAGAGGATGCTGATGCACTACATCCCAGAAGTCAAGGGAGTCGAGCAGGTGAGTCTATAGACGATCCCGAACAGGAGATGCAATGAATTTGATGACTGATGCTGACTGACTCGTCCCCCTTGTTGTTTCCCTCAGGTCCTTGACGTCGAAGAGGAGATTGCTCTGGACGAGTTCTCCAAGCTGGAGCAGAAGTTGAATCGTGACAAGGAGAGTGAAAGGAAGCGCGAGAGCTCAATGGGCTTCTCCGTGTAAAAGAGAGCCTTGTAGTGTCCCTTTGCGCAGCGTCTTCTTCTTCGTGTACACATAGTGGTTTACTTCATTTGAGAAAGGCAATGCTACCCATACCCTTTTCGCAGACCGGCTGGGAGCTCTCCTTGAGCCAAGTGGAGGATAAGCGTGTTCTGCCTCACGACCCCTTTCCGCGTGTGATACTGCAACCTTGGCCTTTGGTTCAAGGTTTTCAATCGCAGGCATGCCAAGCTGCTGATGATGGTGAGCTCGTCGACTCAGCAGCAGCAGCAGCAGCAAGCGCTTCATGATATCCACTTGCAATTGTGAGTTGTTCTTTGGCATCGGCTTCAGCCCATGCTGTGACTCGATCGGTACTGGCGGTACTGACCTCTGGCTCAAACTCAGCTGACCCTTCCCGTACCCGTGCATCCGTTTTGCATCACAGTGCAAGTCTGAAGCTGCCAGGGCATTGTCCTCCTGGCGTCTATGTCCAGCAGGATGAGCAGGATCCTCTGAGTGAGTTCCGCTGCCCGGGCAGGCGAAACAGAGGCAGGAAGGGAACTCGCTATCGGGTCGGGTACCAAGCTGACACTGCCCCGCTCCTGTCTCCCCATCCACCAGCTCTACACGGCGTCCTCTTCCCTCCCTCTGAAGGAATTTATCGCGGGGGCGTGTTTCGCTTTCTTATCGCTTGGACGGGGAGTGTCTTGCCCTCTGGCTCTACCGGAGAAGGAGGCGGAGGAGGGAAGAGCAAAGGGAGCAAGGCCAAGGGACTCATTACCTCCTTCCCACGGGTGACCTTCCAGGAGGGAGTGGGACATCCATTGATTAGCGTGAGTGTTCACTTAGAAAGGACGAACAGTGCCTCAATGTACGAGCTGATCATCTCCCTGCGACTCCCCTCCTGCTATCCGCAGAGCGACACCCGCCTCCTCTCCCTCTCTCCACGCTTCCCAACCTGGCGACCCAGAACAGACACCCTCCCGCACCTCCTCTACTACATCCGTGACGTCTTCAGCGCTCAAGCGCTCGAGGAGATCGCGACTAAGGAGACATGGTGGACAGACAAGGAGATTGGAAGGTGAGGGCGAGCACACCGACGATGTGGCAAGCGCGAGTCACCTCACTGACCAGTCCCCCTTCTTGCACCACCACCCTCGCAGGCTCCTCCAAACCCGCCCCGCCACCTTTGAGAAGCTGGCAGCGCAAAGCGTCACCCTCTCCTCCTCGCGCGCTGTCTTACACTCTTCGCCTCCAGCAGGCGGCAAGGAGCCTTGGTCTCGAGGAATCGGTTTTCCCGAGATGGGGGAGGAGGAATTGGAGGCGGTGAGGAGGGACATCTTTGGTTGAGCTTAGCAAGCGGAGAGATGAGGACGATCGTGATGAGCCAGAAGAGGGACCAGGGACGAGAGACATGCAGCAATGATACCCACTCTTCACTACCACATCACGCATAGAAGCTTTCTGAGAATACAGGGTGACACTGGACTCGATTGGATGAGCGCAAAGACAAAAGACGGGTAACAAGAGAACTCGTAAAGGTGATGTACAGGTAAGGTCGTGATTGTTCGTGAAAGTAAGGTTGCGTCATCTTGTTCGTAATCGTAATTGCGGCTGCTTGGCCGAGAAGGAGAAGCTCCCTCTGCTCTTTGTCCCTTCGATTCACCACCCCGCGCCTCTCGCGTCAGATCTGGAGTGACCACCACCAATCCTATCAAGCTGACTGTCCAACTTGAGACTCTCCATCCTCTTGTCCAATAGCGCCTGAATCCGATCATCCATCCACTCTTCCACCGTAATCGTGTCTTCTCGCCCACGGTACCTCGCATCTCGACTGAGACTGGCGCGCCATTTTCCCAAATGGGGCGGGCTGTTGGTCCAGAGCGGGGAGTGACGAGTGTCGATGTTTCGCTGCAGAAGGCGATAGGAGAACCGGGCGCCAGCAATATCTTGGAAGTCTAGACCATTCTGCAGTAGAAGTAGATAGTCGGCCTCGCATTCCTCTTCCTCTGGCGTGGTGAGAATTTCCAGCCATGCTTGAGCATACGGCGTCACGGCAGCAAAGCACGGACCTGTGTCCCGGGCGGTGGCACTGATGAGGAGGTAGAGGGGCACGTAGACCTGCCAGAAGACGTCAACGAACGGCCAAACTGATGAAGGCCGGCCTGTAAGCCACCAACCGAAGAGTACCCTTGCGCTGAAGCCTTGCATCATGCGCAGACGAGGAAGGGGATTGACGGCGTCAAAGAAGGAAGGTATCCAGCGTCGCGAGAGACGCGAGAGATGCCTCTGAATATGATCCTTCATTTGCGTAATGTGATAGGCTTGAATACTCTCACGCGTCAAGCGAGCTTCCCAGATACTTGCGATGAAGCCATTGGTGACTTCGATGGAGAGAGGCTTCGGTCGGCCGACTCGGCTCAGCATCTCGCAGACACCCTGCGCAGAAACGTTCGTAGCTGAGGAGATCTTGACCGCAGTCAAGTTGGGAAAGAGTGGCTCGCAGACGTGGGGTATGTATAGAGATCTGCGCAGGTGATCCACTCTTTGTCCGCTGACCATGTTGCAGTGAGTAGGGATATGTGGCATGATTCGTCCGGGTGGCATGGCCTCCCAGGCCGGGGCCGCGAGAGTGAAGAGAAGATTTGCAGGTCCTAGGATCGTTGGAAAAATTGCGTTGTGGAGCTCTACTCTAGTGAGAGGATGACCATGGCCATTAGCAGCCTTAGTGATAGCTTCCTGCGACCAGGAGGCGACGTTCGCAGTGGTCGTGTCTCCTTTGTAGTGAGCCACGGGAAGCTCCATCGACGGCTTCATCCCATTTGCCTGGAATCGCGACCTGATGCGTACGGCAGCAAATCCGGCCGCTCTAATGCCGAGGGCGAGCGATTGCAAGGCTTGATCGACAATAGCGACGCTGAAACCTTGTATGTTGGCTGCAGCTGCAGGCGGAGTCCAGAGCAGGGTCTCAAGTGACCCGAGACCTGAGAGCGCACGTACGAAGGCGTTCGATTCATGGTTGCGATACTCGCTGCTGATGCGATGTTCAGAGTGGTGCACTGCGAAGAGGGCAAGGTGTAGGTGCTTGATCTTCGAGCAGATCTCGAGGGCTTGCGAGATGTAGAGCAGACGCTTAGCGGACGCACTCTGAGGAACGCCCACAAAGTTGGCCGACCCATCTATGTCGGTATGTAGATTCTGGTGAGGCGTTCCTCCTGTCGCGGGCAACGTAGAGGCCTCGCTGCTTCCAGGCACGCCAGGGATGTCGATTCGCAGTGACCTCGTGTAGAGATCGCACGACTTGCGTGACCCGGAACGGGCAGAGACGAAACTTCTGAGCTGGTCGAGGGACCTGATGTGGACGTCCTTGTACAGGCAGACGACTGCGTGGGAGTGCAAACTTTTGCTGCAACAGAGTATTCCTGAAGCATTTGTGGCCACACATCGCTCTACAATGGCTTCTATCATTTCGGTCGGTAAGTCGGTGAGGGCGAGGGGTGGCTTGGGCACTGCTGGGGGCGTCTCTGGACGAGTTTCGTCGGGGGTAATGATCTGCTGCTGAGGTGGTCGATGCTGAGGCGCTCGTTGTTGAGATAGTCGTTTCTGATGTGGTCGTTTGTCTTTCTTCTTGCGCTCTCCTGTCTTCTTAGGCTCATCTTTGTTCTTGGGCTCTTCAGCGTCTTTCACAGGCACGGGAGGCTCTTCTGGGATTTTGACAGGCACAGGAGGTGATCCCACAGGTTCTGCAGCGATGGGAGCCGGCAAAGGCGATGCTGTCAGCATCGCCGCCCAGAGGGGTAGTCCGTATTGCGCCCAGAGTCTCCATATCAAGCTCATGATCCAGTAGTGACTCTTGTCTGCTGCCATACTCGCCGTCGAAAGAGACTTACCTGGCCCCGGAACGTCCTTCTTGCCTTTGCGCCTTGACTTGGCCATTGCTATGTCTGAGGCAGGGGGAAGATGTTGCGTTGTTCAGGCGGGCCACGTCAGAGCAAGCGGATAGAATGATCACCCGATGGAATGCGAGTACAGAGGCCGGATCTTCACCATGACGACGAGGAGACTGTTGCGATAGGGCTAGCAGAGACCACGCGAGCAGTACGAGTGAGTGCTGAGGTGGTGTCTGGGTATGACAAGGTGCTCTGATTGGTATCTGGTGCGATGAATGGGACCATGTGAGGCGATGCCCTCTCCTGAGTGATTTGATTGCGATTGCGCCCGTGTGTGGAGCGTGGCTGGTGCTGAGCGCCGTGCAGTGAGTGGCTGGATGCGCGCAGGGCGTGGGAGAAAGAGGCGGGGCCGGGTTGCGTAGAGGCAAAGGGGACAAGCAGCCAAAGGAAGCGGCGGCGATGATCATTTGATAGAAAGAGATCACACCCGAAGCATCCCATCGTCAGTCTACTCGACCCCGGATCATCCACTACTCGCACCCAGCTTCTTCAGCTTCACACGCTCCCTGCCAGTCGCTTCTCCGAGACATCTACTCTCTCCCCCTCCTCGCATCCATCACACGTCTGACGCGGCCGTCTACACGTCTTCCGCCGCTCCTCCACTCACGAGCTCATTCTTCAGATCCGCCTCTTCTGTTCCTACCCACAAAGCCCTCGATAGCGACGACTGCCACTCTTCCAGTAATCCGCCAAGATGTCGCGGCCGGCTTCCTCGAGTCTCTTTACAGGGGCAGCTAGGAAGTCTGGCATATCACTAGCCTTTCCCCGGGCAAATGGTACAGCCGGCGCTCACCTCTCCGTGAGGGAGCGCCTCTCGGCTAGATCTAGAGTCACCAATCTCGGAATCGTACTCCTCTTTGCCGTCACCGCTTTCAGCATGCTCCTCAATCTCCGCTACATATTCGGCAGGAGGGCGCCTACACCGCCTCCGGGCTTTGGCACTTGGACAAGCTTCCATGGCGTGACGCCGGCCGAACTACAGGCAAATCTCCCTTCGCCGCCTACCGGTTCCACGAATTTGGATCACCTCGTCATTGTAGCCGGGCATGCCGTATGGGGTGAGTGGCTCGGAGTCGCATTGACAGGTGTCCAGTAGAAGGAGGCTTGCGAGAGCAGTCGCTGATCTTTCGTGCCGCCTTCCTCACACCACAGCTGGTTGCGACTTCTCGGGAAGGGCGCAGGATGAGAACTGGATCCTAGAGTCATACCAGCAAGGGGGAAGCGTGAAGACGTTTTGGAAACACATCGAAAAGGGTTTGCAGATTGCAGACGCAGATCCCAAGTCCCTGCTGGTCTTCAGCGGTGGTCAGACACGTACAGTGTCTTTACAGACCGAGGCCGAGTCCTACTTCTCACTAGCCATCTCATCCGGCATGAACATCCCCGTTCTGCAAGGCTTCGACTTCCACATTGATGGAGTCGGCTCGTCTGGACCCGTGCATACTGCTACAAATCCCAAGGCGATCACCGCTAGCGCCAAGGACATTCTGGGCAAAGGGGCCCATGCCAACGCAGGAGTGCCCACTGCAAAGGGACTGCAAGGAGCTCGAATGACGACGGAGAACTTTGCTCTAGATTCCTATCAGAACCTCATCTTCTCCATAGCACGCTTTAGAGAGTATACTGGGTCGTATCCAGAGAGGATCACCGTAGTGGGGTATGGAATGAAGAAGAGTCGCTTCGAGGAGCTGCACGCAAAGGCTCTCCGGTGGCCCGTCAAGAACTTTACAAAGGGGCAAAAGAGATTCCATTACGTCGGCATCGACGACGAAGGAGACACCAAGCCCGAGTACGAGGGAGAAAAGATCAAAGGATACAGTCTCTTTGAGCGAGACATGTATGGCTGTCACGGCAAGTTGCTAGAGAAGAGGAGATCGCGGAACCCTACAAGACGGTTCCACCCTTATTACACTTCTGCCCCAGAGATTGCAGATCTCCTCAATTGGTGTCCGCCCGATGAGGTTGGACTACAGGGCGTCTACCCGGAGAGTGTACCTTGGGACTTGCGCGTTTCTGGGGAGCTTAGTGGATGGGGTAGGGCTACTACCAAGTTCCGGGAAGAGCACGGGAATAATTGGCTGGGAGCACCTGATACGAGGTGGCTCGAAGTTGGGCGCGAGAAACACTAAAGGTGTTGGGCTCGAGGCGCCCAGTGAGTGTACATCTGTGACGCTCGCTTTGTGTATACTGGCGTCTGAGGCAATAGAAGACACTTCATGCATCCGCTCGCCCCATGAGCAGGCACACATACGTTCAGACGTTTCTCTGTGAGGGATGGCATAGCATTGATAGACCCGTGCTGAATGGCCTGCTGGCTCATCTTCACCTGCGCAGATTCCACCTCGTCCCTCTACTAGAAGAGTGTGGCGTCTGATGCGCAAAAGTATCACTCCTGCCGCTGCCAGCATCGCCCCAGGCCCGCCTTGCCTCACCATCCCTTCGCTGATAGCCACCCCTTGCGCCTGAACCACCACCGAACGTTCGTCTATCCCCACTACCGCTTTGCGAGGAGGAGAAGGAAGAGAAGCGCCCTCCTCTACTTTCTCCTCTTCTGTCTTCTTCTTCCCTTCCCGCTCCTCTTTCTGGTCCACCTCGCATGTTGCTATGGTCATTTTGCCTCCGACGATCGCTACCGATGATACGGCCAATGTCATCTGCCATGTGTAGGGCCTGCATGGCTGCGAGGGAGAGCGTTTCTGTGGCAATTGCCGTAGGTGGGGGCAAGGGAGGGTCTTTGGTCTCCTCGGCTGGAGAGGGCCAGAGGGAGGCGAGGATGTCCGTCTCTGGCTCTTTCTCCGGTGAGCTTGACTGCTCATGAGCGCCTTGCGCCAGACCTCCATGCTCGATCTCTGTGCCTGTCTTGGGTTCGGCGTCTTTTGCTCGTCCAGCTAGGACGCTCTGTCGTAGTTCTCCCTGAATGCTCTGTCCCACGCCTACGAGACTTCTCGAATTGGGCTCGGGCCCCGCAAGACCGCGAGCGATTCGACTATCGACGATGCCCACGCCTCTAGCTTCCTTGAGCAGCTCCAGACAGCCGCGTGCGTCGCGCCATTCCTCCCATCGAGTACGGATCGCCTCGGTGTAGAGCTCGGCGGTGCAGCCCAGAACCAGTGAGCGTGGGCCGAGCGCTCGGGTGATTTGCAGAACGGCGAGGGCGGAAGTGGGTGACTTGAGGCGATCCCTGAAGTGGATGAGGAGCTGATGGAGGACAGGACCGTAGAATGGAGTGCCCATCCCGTATGCCGCTTGGTGGAGCACTGGCTCCTCCCCCGGGGCCGCGACAGCCTCTGGTCCTGCCTCTGATAGGGTTTCCGCCGGGGGCTGCATCTGCTGCCTCGCAGCGGCAGACCCCTTCCTGTGTCTCTTCTCATCGAATGCCCAAATCTCCTTTGCTGCCCAAGCCCAGAGGTCTGCTTCATTCATTTGCAGATTCATTTCCTGTCTAGCCTGATCCACACCAGCTTCAATGTCCTCTTCGCTCAGGTCGGATCCGATGCCCTCGTCTAGTCGAGCTAGACGACCGGAACCATCGCTGACAGTGGCTCTGTGGCCCAGTCGAGCCCTCCGACGATTCTGTCGGAGATCCTCTAGGTCATTGCGCCTGGCAAAAGAGCCAAGAGCGCCATCGAGCGCAGAGCCTGAGCCTCCACGACCATCGCTGCTGAAGCTGCTGGCCACATCCGCGAGTAGCTTTTGCCATTTGCGCTTTTCCGAGGGGTCCAACTTCGCAGGTGCTGCGTATCTATCCGAGCGCGAAGTCGAGTCATAACCTGACCCACGGAAACCCTGTCGCTGGGCAGAGCCTCCCAGTAGGGTCTCCCTTGGAAGGGTCCGCCGGGCGGTGCTGCGAGCGGAGGGGGGATCTGTTCGGGCAAAGGCGTCGGGCGAGTCGAAGAGGCCGTCGTAGGCTGATGCTGCGTTAGAAGAGGAGGAGGTGGAATCGTTCGCTGACAGTGAGAATGGCGTGCGTGTCGCCTTCTCCGAGGTAGAGGAAGAAGAGGCAGGGCTGTCTTCTCCCAGGCCAAACAGAGAGTTTAATCGTGATGCCTGTTGGTCGGACATGGTCTGTGAAGGTGCCTGACTACTGGCGGTAGCAGTGTCGACATCAGTGTTGCTACCTTGAGGTGCTTCGGATGAGGAGGAGGCCTGAGGAGATGTGGAAGTGCCTTCATCCATGACTCCTGCTGCAGAGCCATTCTCGTCTCGGCTGTCCTGCGTGCGTGTCAGAGAGCTGTGGAAGGACCGCCGCCTGGTGTTCCAGGCATAGCGTGTCGCTGATCCCGCAGAGGACGATGAAGCCTGTGTAGCGGCCTGTGGAAGACGAGGCGTATTTGCCACCGCGGCTGAAAGGAACCGTCCTCCTCGCATAGTTGAAGATGGCAGGTGATCGACTGGGAGGAGTCGGTGAACACCCTCCTTGGTCCTTCCTGGTCATCAGCCGGAATAATTTTGGCTGGGCGGAAAGACGTGTGCATCGGAACGGAATGTGGCTGGCGGCCAAGCGAGGCGTGGCTGAGTCCGTGTGGAGTCATTGTCAATCCTCGGCTCACTAATTGGAGCGAGAGGGCGCCTACTCCCTGATTGGTGCTTCCCCTCTTTGCCACACCTGAATACGTCCTCGAAAAGTCACAGAACCTCAACATGTCGCAATTACTGCAGACAATACTATCGGCAAAGCTGGCCAGCGCGTCCATTGACGACAATCGCGAGGCACACAATGATGACTGGGAAGAGATTCACACCAGCGATGAAGAGCTCGTCGGTAAGTAATGATCGGAATTGACAGGCACAGGAAATGAAGGCGCCATTGTCCAGTATGACTCATGACTCATGCTCCTCCTAATATATCTTGCCAGGCATCGCGACTGCTCCCGGTACATTACCTGGCACCCCAGCCGAGCTCAGCAGGCCAACATCGCCCAGTATGGCCGGTAGCAGCGGCCTTGCCTCGAGCAGTTTCTCAGCCCCAAAGATGAAGTCGAATCTCAGTACCGAGAGACCCGTGAAGATCAAAGCTCCCAAGAGCAAGACAGACCCCCTACGCTCTCTACCAAAGGAGCTCTCACAACGCATCTTCCTCTCTCTCCGCGTGAGAGAATTGGCGGTGCTATCCGTCGTCTGCAAGCGCTACCGGAGGTCAGCCACGCTCAACTACTGCTGGTATAGGCAATGCCTGGCGCAGTTTGACTCGCAAGATGCAACTGCCAATTCAGGCCCATCGCTTGGCTCATCTGGCAGCGGCGGTCACCACTGGACAAGGCGAGAGTCGCGTACCGATTGGAAGGGAGAGTACATCAAGAAGCGTCGCGGGGAGGCCAAGGACCGCGAGAGGGAAGAGCGTGGTGGCGGAAGCCTAAGCAGTGGATACAGCACCCCTTCAAGATCACAAAGACTGGCCGATTCAGGGCTGAAGACTGCCAAGGACGTCAAGGAGGAGCAATGGGCGGAAGCGGCAGAGCAGGAGCAAGCTGGGTATAGCAAGAATGAGCTTAGGCAGTACTACAAGGAGCAAGGCGGTAGCAAGGGCGGCAAGGCCAAGGGAGTCAAGGCCAAGAGCGGCAAAGGCTCGAATCGGGCTGGAGACGATGACCTATGGGAATGAGGTTCAGAGATTGGAGCCCCCAAGCGCGTCGTCCGGGCCTCTCTATCCACCCGCGCTCATCTCACTCTTGCGACCCTCACTGTACATTTACCCCTGCATCTAACGAGGTTTCGGACAATGCGTCTCTGTGACTCGACTGATTGCTCCTCTTGACTCGCTTGACTGCTGAGACTAGGGGTGAGGGGAGATCATCAGCATCGCGTCGGCGCCGAGCCGCGCCCAGTCATCTTTATCTCTGGATCTCCGGGCCGGACCCCTTTCCCGAAGGGCGGGCGGAGAGACAGGCGGACACAGGCACACGACGTGACACTGCCCTGAGGAGGAGATCGGAGGCACTGGAGCAGTCTTCCCCGGATCTCGCACCTTTGCCCGCAAGCAGGGGCCGTGTTGGATGCTCGGACCATCGGCAAACGAACGCATTCAGGGTTGCCCTGGCTTATCTCCCAACACCTACGCCTTGTACCACAACAAATACCAAACACCTCCTTAGACCCCTTTTGCTCTCTTCCTTTCCTACTTGCCACTCCACCCCTCTCACCCTCAACCCTTACCATCACCGCCATGGGCGCATCTCAGTCACAACCCGCCGCCGCCCCACCTTCAGCCTCTGCCTCTCTCAGGGAGAAGAGCGCCGCTGCCCACTCCTCGTCCACCCCTCCCTCCTCTGCCACCACTCGCCACCACTCTGCTGACCGACGTCTCAAGATCGATGCCGAGGCACAGGCAGGCCATCTCAGCCATCGACCCGCATCAAATGCCCTCGCCATCTCTGGCATGAAGCAATGGGAGAAGAAGATTCAGGACGTGAGTAGCCCAGCTGCCGGACTGCACTTGACATGCCCACCTTGTTCGTTCAGAGGCTGACTGAGTATATGCACTCCACTCCCACGACTACTAGGACCCCGTCTCTCGATTGGCCCAGCTCACTCTGCACAATGCAAGCGCCAACGCCTCTCTGCACCGCCGCAAGGCCGAAGTAGTCGAGACATTCGTCTTCAACACTGCTCTGGACCTAGAAGTCTCGCCCGTGTCCAACCAGATGTCCAGTGGTCGATGCTGGCTCTTTGCGACTATGAACTGCGTTCGGCTAGAGATGATCAAAACGCTTGGCGTGCAGGAGTTCGAATTGAGCAAGTCCTACCTGCACTTCTTTGACAAGCTGGAAAAGGCCAACTACTTCCTCGAGCAGATTCTGGACCTGTACGACGACGAGATTGACTCGAGGATCGTTGGCTACCTCAAGGGCGATCCCGTTGGTGATGGCGGACAGTTCTCAATGGTCGCCAACCTCTTGATCAAGTACGGAGTTGTTCCGATGGACGTCTACCCAGAGTCATTCAACACATCGAGGACTTCTGGTATCAACGAGCTCATCACACGCAAGCTCCGAGAGCACGCCCTCATCCTGCGAAGCCTCAAGCGCGAGACTGTTGCTAAGCTGTCCAACACTCTCGCTCCCGCTCAAGCAGAAGCTGCTGCTGACAAGATTTGCCGCCAGCGCAAGGATGCCATGATGGAGGAAATCTACCGCGTCTTGGTCATCATGGACGGCAATCCTCCCAAGCCAGACGAGCCTTTCACCTATGAATACCGTGACACAAAGAACCAGTTCAAGTCAATCACAATGACTCCTATTGAGTTCCTTGCCAAGTTCGCCCCCGGTTTCAAGCCACTGGAGCAAGTCTCCCTCGTCAATGACCCTCGAAGGCAGTACGACGTGTCCATGACCGTCAGCCGGCTAGGCAATGTACACGGCGAGTCTCCCGTCTTCTACGTCAATGCCCACATCGATGCCATGAAGCAGGCCACCATCGCTCAGCTCAAGGGCGGCCACCCAGTCTGGTTCGGTTGCGATGTGGGCCAAGCCAGCGACACCTCTCGAGGTATCCTCGACGTGGACCTCTTTGACTATGAAGCTGCCTTTGGTTTCAAGTTCGGTATGAACAAAGCACAGCGCATCGATACAGGGGAGAGTAGCGCAACACACGCAATGGTCATCGTTGCCGTGCACCTCGACTCGGCAGGCAAGCCAATCCGATGGAAGATTCTCAACTCTTGGGGACCAGATGCCGGACATAAAGGATACCTCGTCATGAGTGATGAGTGGTTTAGCGAGTATGTACTAGAGACGGTTATTAGAAAGGACTATTGTGAGGAGAAGCACTGGAAGCTGCACGTCGAAGGGATTAACAAGGCGACGCATGTACTGCCTCCTTGGGACCCATTCGGAGCACTCGCCTGATGAGGCGCAGTACCTGAGCGTCGGTTTGGCCCTTCTGCGGGCTTGTTCCTTTCTCCAATGCTCCATTTTCTCTCTGCTGCGACAATGTCAATACCCTACATATCACCTTTGTTGCGTGAGTCATGAGTCAACCAGCTCCAGTATTCCGCTTTGAGGATCACGAGACCAGACAGTGTCAGATTCGCAGAGACGGCCTGGCCTGCCTTACAATCCATTCGCCCGTCGTGCTGCTGAATCGTACAGGTAGATCATTTGACCCCCCACCTCCTCTCTTCGGCTCAGCTCAGATTCGGTAGAGGTAACGCAATATGAGAGGAGTTTGATTGTCTTTACGAACGGTAGCGACAATTTTACAAGCTAGTTCAGTTTGAGTAGATACACAGGGTATGCAGACTTTACGCCCTACCGTAAGCACTGATACTCGTCAAAGGTATGGTACGTGGTACGATGTACGATATCTCTACCATCGTGAGTCTCTGGAGGATTGGCACGCTCGATCACTCATCCTCTTCCTCCTTGTCGTTTGTCCTTCGTGCTGAATTCAGCCTTTCCGTACACCTCCTGGGCCCAGTCCAGCAACTCTTTTTTGGCCTTGCTGCCTTCGCCCCTTGTCGTCCAAGGGTCATCCCTTGTCTGCCGCAAGCTTGCACCTCACTTGACTGGCTTCTCGGTTCAAGTACCAAAGCCAAGGTCCTCTGGGTGGGCTTTTGGCAGGACATTCAGCAGCAATGCTCTTCTTCTTTTTGGCACCCAGCGTCACATTGGGAGTCTGCAGAGTCCCCTCGAGGAGCTTACGAAGGCGCTCCGGTATAGCTGACTCCGTTTCTTGCTGAGCTGATTTGGGCTTGGGCTTAAGCTTGGGCTTGACCTTGATCTTGTGTTCCTTGTCCTTTGGCTCGGCTAGCTTCTGCCTGACTTCGTCTGCTCACTTGCCTTGTAGGACGGCAAGGTCCTCAACAGCTTGCAGGATCTCACGAGCCCTCAGCTCCACGGGCTCGAAGGTCGCAGGATTCGGCACGGGTTCGCGTGGCCCGACAGTCATCGTATATGTCAAGACGTTGGCACACGACGGGTCCACATGTAGCCAGAAGCTATACTTCTTGGCCTCCGTGTGATTCGCCACGACATCTGCGGGAATGTATGTACTGGGTATGCAGATGCTGTTCCAGCGTTGTGGCACTGGCTCCCCTTGCAGCCTTCGTGGCGGGATGATGCAATTGAGACATGGAGCCTTTCCGGAGGTTTTCACGGAGCTCACAAAGTCTCCCTTTTCTATGCCGGGCAGGAAGGCGAGGTATGAGCCGGCAAAGGGCGAGGCAAAGCAGCCGCTGGGCATACAGCCGGACGAAGAGGAGGCCGATGCTGTTGCTGCTGCAGCTGAAGGCGATGCTTCTCCAGCCGAGAAGGGTGCTACTGTTGCCGTTGTTGCGGACACGGAAGACGAAGCCGAGGAGGTCTGAACTTTGCCAAAGGATCTTGCTACCATGAGGTGGATCTCGATCCACTCCTTGTTGGCCACCGGGGAAGAGTTCCGGTACTCTACCCATTGACTGGGCTGCCTTTTCTTGGTCCCGTCTACGTCCACCTGGAATGCCTGCAATTCGATTCCGATGCCTCTCAGCTCCTCTGCTTCCTTCCCGTGGTATCGGGGGAAGGCATAGCAGTCCGCTTCCTTCGAAGAAGCGCATCTCGACGGTCCAGTCGCCGCCGACTTGTAGACCAAAACGCTTGGCAATCTTTCCCGGCAGGTACGGCTTCCTGACAATTAAGCCCCACCGCCCGCACGACAGCACTACCGGCGCTAGCCCACCTTCCCGACCTGCCACCTGGCTGTCCATCTGGGCCTGCCAGACGATCTTCGTCAGGGTGTCGCTTCCAACGTATTCCTCAGCGAAACGATCGGCAGAATCTCCAACAGGAAGCTCCGCGACAAGCTCTCCCTTCTTTTTGATGTAGCTGACCTTGTTGTAAGCTACTACCAGTTTTCCGTCACTCTGCCTTGTGATTTGCAGCTTGCCGTCATCGCCCAGCTTGGAGACCTCGCTCCCTCGAGCCTTCTGAACTCGCAGCTGCTCGTGGTAGTTACCACCGGTCGCTGTGTCTTGATTGAGGCCTCTTGCATCAGCTGGCGGCCGGCCGAACACTTTCGTCCACTGATCCATGTAGAGGTCGTGGCGAAAGGCGCACATTGCTGCAACACAGGTCGCTTCCATGAGCGAGCACAGGGTAGTTCTCAGCTCAAAGTCGGTGTACACCAGAAGCTGCTGCAGCTTCTCCTTCGCAACGCTGCCGCGCTCGAGTTTTTGCATCAGGCTTGATCGCTCTGGGCACTCAACCACTACCACTTTGCATATCCTGCCCTTTGGAAAAGACTTGCGCGCCCGTACTACCAGGCTTCGTGACTCTGACCTTGCCGATTATTGCGCCCTCGCAGCGGTATCGTGCCTACTCATCTGACTCTGGGTTCGCGAGTCGCTCTGCCTTTTGAGCGCCAGCTTCCCGTCCTTACCCGGCTTGAAGTCTTCGCTCCCTCTTTCCTTTTGAACTCGCAGCTGCTCGTGGTAATTACCACCAGTAGCCGGGTCCTGATTCAAGCCAACGGATACAGCAGGCGGCGGACCGAAGACTTTCGACCATTGTTGCATGTACAGGTCCTGCCTGAATGTGCACATGACCGCAACGCAGGCTGCCTCCAGTAGTGAGCACAGGGTGTTCCTTAGATCGAAGTCGGTGTACTCGGAGAGCTGCTGCAGCTTCTCTTTCCAACGCCACCGCGCTCTAGCTTCTCCAGCAGCATTGATCGCTCCGGGTGCTCCACGAGAACGACCTTGCACACTCGGCCTGTCGGAAAGGCCTTATGCGTCTGCACCACCAGGCTTCTTGACTCTGACCTGTCAGACTCCTCCGCTCGCGCGGCAGAATCATGGCCACTCATTGGATGCCTGATGTCTTTGTCGCTTTTGCCGACATAGACGCCATGAGTGCCGTTGCCAAAGTCGATGGTAATTACGTAGATGCCGCCCGAGGCGAACTCGTGGGCAGACTTGGCTGCGATCCGGGCGCGTCCGGCGGCCAGGCTTTGTCCTCTATCTGCCATCACTTCCACAGCCCCATCCGACATGCAATTTACAGCTAGGACTGCAATCTGTAAGGGGCTAAAAGTACCCCAGATTGCCCTCCCGACTGCACAGAGGGTGTAATGGCGTAAGTCGTATAGGAAACGTAGTGCCTTCATCAGCTGAAGCGCACAGTCCTGACGAGCCTTGCTCAAATCGTCGTATTTTCTGCGGGGTGGTGACTTGAGTGCTCTGCCGCACTCGGACCACAAGTGCGTTCCGTACGTCGGAATTTGTACTGATGAGATGACATAGGTGGCTGATGTGACTGCCGACCTTGTTGAGATTCGACTTGCAACTGGCTAGAGCCGTTGGTCTCCAGAAAGATGGCATACGTCAATCTGCGGTGATTCGATGATCAGCTTTGAGAGTCGCTATGTCCAAGGTGTTGAGCCATCCCAGATCTCTGCTCAAGCCTTGCAGAGCTTATTCTGGCGTAGGCTTCACAGAAAGGTGTAGCATATGTTGCGGCGATGTGTCATGAGCTGCCTTGTCGCATGCAGTGGTGCATTCCCTGTGCGTGAGTGCGGCTAGTGAGACGCGAGAGGTACACAGTACGGCGTGGGTAAAGATGGCAAGTGGTGGGAAAAGGTAGGGACAAGAGAGAGCGAAGACGAAGAGATGGTTGCGTCAGAAGATGCACTACTGAAATTTCGAGAGCTGAACAACCCGTCGTGCGCTCTGCTAGAGCAACTGAGCTGCATTTCGTCATCCTTCAGGGATGTATGAGCTTCCCAGTTCACAAGGAATCGAGTGATTGCTGAGCTTGTCTCAGATTCGAGCCAAGAAAAGAGCCATCAAGCACAAGTGGAACGACACTGGGCACGAAGTACTCACTGTGCTACGTTGTGGAGTGATGAGGCAGTCGACGACAGCGGCGAAGCCATAAGTGGTACTGCTTCAGAGAGTGGGAGGGGTCCAAGCACTTGACGAGGAGCCACTCAGATGTGATGCGCGCAGTGTACCATTACTTGAAGGAGAAAAGGTTCAAAGTGAGTGAGCTCTAGCATGACTAAATCGCAAAGGATGGAATGACTTGCATGTACTCACTATACGAAGGCGTGGCAGTCATATGGTGTCATCCTGATGCAGGCTATGCTGATCTTCTCTGTATCGTTTCCAGCGTATCTGAGTGCCGGTGCTGTGATGATATGCTACTGCGAAGGTTGAAGTCAGTGTGCAATGAGGGAGGAAGGCAGGGATGCAGAGCGGCGGCGAGGTGAGCAGAGAAGGGTAACGAAGTGAGGCAAAAGGGGATCAGAAGACAAGAACGAAGGAAAGCAACGTCGGAGGGCACTCTGCGCAGCACGAGGCTCAGGACGGATGTGATTCGGAAAATACCGGGTGCCTGACCACACAGTAGCGGGCGTAGAGTGGCTCAGCAGGCACGGACGATGGTCCTCCGTGTGATCAGATCACACCCAGACGTTGCGGTGAGGAGCTCATTGTCCAGAAGATCGAGGCCACGTGGCCCTTTCCTTCCCCCTTCTCGTCGGGACAGACCTCATCGGAACGGCCTCTGGTTTCTATCAGCGGGAGTGGGGTGCCGCCCGAGAAGCGGCCCGTGGCTGCCGCCATGACGCTCACCTGCAGCAGTGGCGGGAGATTTTTCTGACTTCGTAAGCGGCACCAGTCGCCAAGATGCCCCATGCCACTGGACCCTGCCAATTCATACGTCGGTGGCGTTGCCAAAGCTCAACTTTTCGCTCAAGCGACTGAGATATCGCGGGCCTAAGAGCTCAAATCGGGGGGTATTGTGTCAGCAGTCTCGGGAGTGGAAACCGCGGTCTTCGCACGTACGCTATGCGGTGACTGCCCCATCCTAAGTTTTGCATATTAGACTCTTGTTCGATTGTATAAATCCTTTACTTTCCTTCATCATAGTCATCGCAGAGCTAAGTGTCCTTCATCACTACCACTTTCTCCTGAAGCCCTGGGCGTTGCTGTGCTTTCACCTCGAATTCTGCACTTCCGCCTCTGTCATCCTAGCGAGGCACAATGCTCGAGCTCATCCGGGACACGTTCTTCGGGCAGCTGATCTACCTGGCGTCTTCTCGCAAGCGTATGCAGTTCCCAGAGGAGAAGGCTGATTTTATTGTCCCTGAGCAATACCGTCTCGGCTACAAGGAAGCACAGCAGAAGAGAAATACGTCACCACAGGAAGGGGCGGAGAAGTCATACTTTGCTCAGGAGAGAAAGAGCACACACCCTCGTGGATCCCCACTCCAGACACCTGGCGGTGACGTTTTCGTCAACGCTCATCACGACGCACAATCTATTCGGGATGCCGAGGGTCAAACGCCCGGCGTCGCGAGAACGCCTGGTGCCACTTCCGGTGCCGCTCCCCCTCTTGGCTCTGACCGTGAGCCTCCGAGTCGTCAATCATCAGACAGGACTTTGGATGAAGGGCGCCGGACTTCAGGCGCACAATCTGGAGACGAAGAGAAGAATCAGAAAAATCTCCCCAACGCGCACGAAGACGACGCGGAAGGGCGAGATCCCTACATTGTCGATTGGTACGGGCCCGATGACCCGCAGAACCCACTGAATTGGTCGCAACCGAAGAAAGCCTTCGTCACCTCTCTACTCTGCTACCTCACCTTCTCGGTCTATGCCGGAAGTAGTATCGTCACACCGGGACTGGAGGACTTCGCTGCCAAACACCAAGTCGGCGTCGTCGTCGCGACGTTGTCTCTCACCCTGTACGTCCTAGGCTACGGTATCGGTCCGATGTTCCTCAGCTCCCTCAGCGAGATTCCTTCGATTGGAAGAAACGTTCCCTATATCCTCACCTTGGCTGTCTTCGTCGTACTTCAGGTACCCACTGCCTTGATCAGCTCGACCGCGGGCTTCTTCATCCTTCGCTTCCTCGCAGGCGTATTTGGTTCTCCTCCTTTGGCCACTGGAGGAGCTACTATCTCTGATATGTTTCATCCCAAAGTCAGGGCTCCTTGGATAGGGGTCTGGGGTATCTCTTGCGTTTGCGGTCCAGCCCTTGGACCACTGATCGGTGGATTTGCGTTCGACGGTACAAACAATTACGCCTGGACGATCTGGCCTATCCTCTTCGCATCTGGTGGAGCTCTCCTCCTCCTCATCTTTACCCTTCCGGAGACGAGCTCCACCAACATCTTGGCGAGGAGGGCAGCTAGGTTGCGCAAGCTAACGGGCAACAAGGAACTACGTAGTCAAGGAGAGATCATTCAAGCGAACATGACTGGCAAAGAGATTGCCATGATGACTCTCGTGCGCCCGTTCCTGTTGACCATCCTCGACCCCATGGTTTTGCTCCTGAACCTGCTGATCGGTCTCGTGTACGCGATCCTGTACGTCTGGCTCGAGGCGTTCCCGATAGTCTACGTTGAGGCTGTGTACACATTCAACTACGGCGAGATGGGTCTGGCTTTCCTCTCCATCCTAGTCGGCGCTGTTCTGGCCTTCGCCGCCTTCCTTTGGTACTGCAAAGTGCGGCTGGAGCCTATGTTCGATCGCAAGGGCGGTAGGCTAGATCCCGAGGATCGTCTTGAGCCAGCTCTGGTCAGTCTGATCTTCCTGCCCATCTGTCTTTTCGGCTTCGGCTGGACAGCTACCGCCTCAATCCACTGGATCGTGCCGACCATCTTTGCCGGAATGTTTTCAATTGGCACATTTGGCGCGTTCCAGGCGGTACTCAACTTCTTGGCGGATGCCTACCCTGATTACGTCGCTTCTGTCCTCGCATCAAATGACTTGTTCAGGTCGATCATGGGTGCCGCCTTCCCTCTCTTTGCTCGCGCCATGTTCAACAATCTGCAGGCGATGAATGGGCCTACCGCCTTCCCAGTTGCGTGGGGATGCACACTCCTTGGATGTTTGACCATCCTTTTCGTGCCTCTGCCATGGGTCTTCTACTTCTACGGCCCTCAGCTTCGCAAAGCCTCTCGCTATGCGTCATATTAAATTCAATGGAATTCCCGTCATTCCTGTCATTCCTGTCATTACCCCGTCGTGGCCCTTTCCGCATGGGTCTCGTTCGTGTAGATTTCTCCGCTCTGGCCACTGTCATTATGACCTATGTCCGTTTCTGTGCCTGATGACTGTGCGCGTTGTTTTCTTCTCTTTCGAAAGTCGAAGCATACGTTCATTCACCGGAGCGGACCGTGGACGTCACTATTTACATCTCCTATCTGCTCCACGCGGGGCAACGCGCCAGGAATGTGTGTCGCTCGCGCGGGTCGGAATGCGCTCGGCCGACGGCAAAGCGGGGAATCACGCAGCGGATTCTGCTTCGACGTCACTATTCAATGGCGCTTCTATTCGAAATCCCCAGTCTTCCGCCTCATGTTACATGACATGTCCACTGCGATATGGTTCACCGAGACAGCCAAGCTCGGTGGCTCATATGACCCGAGACATTCATTCAAATTTTCTACTGCACCCGGGAATGCTAGCCGGCGGAACACGAAAGAAGAGGGGGCCCAGGCGGAGGGGCCAAGGGTCTGAGCATGTAGAGAGTGGAAGACACAATTGTTGCCGCATTGCATGGAGTGGAGAATCTGTAAGACTTAGTGTCATGCTTCTATTGACCCTCAGCCTCACTCCGCCCTATGTGCTCCAAGCACTGCGTAGGAGAACGGAATGCGGCGGGGCCACGACCTTGGGGGTTGCCAGACGGGCATTGGCGGGCGGAGCTTCAATGACGGAGGGGCCAGGTGGGTGGGAGTGCAAGCAGCTTTTTCCGCCCCCTCGCTTACGATGCCGTCGTGGCTTCCTTTGCTGCCCCGAAGCCTTCTTCGAAGCACGATTCCGTGACTTTTCCGTCGTCCAGCTAGCTGCGCCTGGATTGATGGCGTGCCATGGGCCAAAGGATGTTCGTTTTTCGGACCCTTGGTACGCAAGAGCAACTTTCAGGTCAGCCAAGTAGAGACCTCGCCGGACCCTCGACCCTTTCGTCTCCGGTCTGAGTGCATTGCTGATGTGCATCCGTCTCAGACTCAATCAACAAGGGCTTTGCAGTCAGCAGACCCCGACGGATGCAAACAGGTAGGGCTACCCACGCTTCAGACACCAAGTCTTTCGAGGGTGACGAACGTTGCGCGGTGGTGAGACATTCAATGAGCAGCATGACGATGGCCGCTATGAGAAGCGGAAGGCCTGGACAGGACATGGAGGGACGGAGGGTCGGGATGCCAAGTCCACAGGAGCGGAACGCCAATTTGCCGGCGGAAGCGGCAGCGGGGGACAGGCGGGAGAGGGCGAGATTCCCCAGAATGACGGAATCCGTCCCTCTGCTCAGGGCGGACTTGGGAGTCGCAGTCACATGTGAGAGGGGCGGAATTGAGGCACGAGGTAGCAGGGTAGCAGGGTAGCGGGGGTCATCATGACATGCCGGTACAAGCACACTCTTCCGTAATTGTGACACACTCGCTGGGGTGCCTGGATAGTCTTCCAACAGAGGTCGTACTCTCTGCCCTGGTCCTGAGAGTGCCCTGACTCTCCTGGCCCGCCCATACGCCGTCGTTGCTCTGGTGCTGGGTGTGACTGCATAAACGGTTCCTGAAGTGCTATAAGAGCCTCTGCCGACCTCGCCCCCCTCATCCATTCCCTTCTTACTCACAAGCTTCTCCATTCTCTCCACTCTCGTCCAACTCGACTTACCAGCCCACTCCACCGCCCACCAAGCCAATCCACCTTCACAATGGTCTCAGTCAAGTTCGCCTCTCTTTTCGCCTTCGTGGCCGCATCCATGGTCGCCGCTGCCCCCGCCGCTCTCAAGAAGCGCGCCGACATTGACACCACCATCCTTCAGTACGCCCTTACCCTCGAGCACCTCGAGGCCAAGTTCTACCACACCGCCCTGAAGAACCTGTCCGCCAAGGACTTTGCCAACGCCGGCTACGCCCCGGCCATCCGTGAGCGCTTCGCCGAGATCGGTGGACACGAGATCCAGCACGTCCAGTTCCTCGAGGCCGCCATCGGTGCTGATGCCAACAAGGCCTGCACCTACGACTTCGGTGCCGGTGTCACCGACGTCAAGAGCTTCATTGCCACCTCTCAGCTCCTCGAGGGCGTTGGAGTTTCCGCCTACCTCGGCGCTGCTGCTCTGATCACCAACCCCACTTACCTCACCGCTGCTGGCTCTATCCTCACCACCGAGTCTCGCCACTCCGCCTGGGTTCAGTCATCGGCTGCCCTGTCCGACCCCGCTGGTGCCGCTTACGATGTGCCCACCAACTTCAACCAGACTTACTCGCTGGCCGCCCCCCTCATCAAGTCTTGCCCCAAGTCGAACACCGCTCTGCCCGTGATGGCATTCCCAACTCTCACCCTGAACCCCGCCTCCAACCTGCAGCCCGGCCAGACTGTCTCCGTCTCCGGCAAGGGTGTCAAGGATGGCCAGTACCTCGCTGTGCTCACCGCCGGTGGACAGTACTTCAGCAAGATCGAGAACGGTAAGGCCACCGTCCCCAAGAAGACCTCCACTGGACGATCTTACTTCTTGGTCACCTCCAGCAACGGTACCGTCTCCGACGACAGCACCATCGCCGGCCCCGTTGCCAGCGACTACCTCCTGTCTGCCTCTCAGGCCTACGACCTGGTCAAGAGCCAGTACTAAAGGTGCCAATCCACTTGTTGATACCCACTCCCGTTTTTCCATCTCGATGTCTCGAGTAGCACCACATTCGTCTTCATTGTACTTTTGAGTAGCTGTTCACAGTCATCATTTTTCGATAACCTTCCGCAAAAGAACATTCACTGCTGCCCTTTCGAATCGTCTGACTGCTATTTGTGCGCCGTATCGTGATCGTATGTCGGTTTGTTCTCTTGTTATCTGGTTGCCTCACCATCGACTGCTATCTGTCCCTGTCGACTGAGCGTAGCGACCTAGGGCAGCCAGCGAAGGCTGAGCACCGCGGGATGCCGCGCGCATGTGATGCAACCAGACTCCGCGCCTCGCCAGACGCGATAAGGTGAATTTTTCTATTCTCGCTGCCTGTTCAGTTTTCTATTTGGGTAACCTCCCCACTGCAATCTGAACATTCCTGATACCATCCTAGCACCTCAAACCTAGCAGAATGACCGCCCAGAACGGTACCGCCTCCGCCCCAGCCAATGGGCTTCTGCAAGCCTCTTCCTCCAAGGCGCCTTTGGACGCCTCTCAAGCCTTGGCAACTCTTGCAAGCTACCCGCATGGTGATGGTCTCGCCATGTCAGAGCTCATCGACTCGAGGACCCACGGCGGTCTGACGTACAATGAGTGGGTATGAAGTCGCGTTTTCAGCGGCGCTGAGAGCCTTCTCTGACGGCATGTCGCGTCTTTCCTGCTCCAATAGCTTCCTGGTTCTTCCCGGCTACATTGACTTCCCTGCCTCGGAAGTCAGCCTCCAGTCCAGGGTCACTCGTAACGTAGTCCTCAACACTCCGTTCCTCTCGTCGCCCATGGACACTGTTACCGAGACCGATATGGCCATTGCAATTGGTCTGCAGGGTGGTATGGGTGTCATCCACAACAACATGTCGCCTCAGGAGCAGGCCAGCATGGTGCGAAAGGTCAAGAAGTACGAGAATGGCTTCATCACGGAGCCCATGTGCTTGAGCCCCAACGAGACAGTTGGCGATGTTCTCGACATCAAGCAGCGCCTGGGTTTCGGAGGTATTCCCATCACTGGTGAGTCTTTCCTTCTCAGTAGTCGTTGCAAATGCCTTGTGGGAGAAATGGGATGCACCCTGTTCGGGGGGGCTCCGAGCGAAGGACCATCATCGAAGTGATGAAAAAATCTTTATTGCTGTTAACCTTCGTTCTGCTGAGGCCCTCTCTTAGACTTGAGAGGGCGATGCAGACCAACAACCTATGTCCACTGATTTACGATGACACGATGCAAGGGTGGCAAAGGAGGGGAGAGACGATTTCCGGCAGCATCCCAACACCGTGCGAGGAGTCAGAATCTGAAGCTGACCATTCTGCTCTTACAACTCTGATCGTAGACAACGGAGGCCTCAATGGCAAGCTCCTCGGCATTGTCACTGCTAGGGATGTTCAGTTCCGGGACCCTGCCGTTCCTCTCTCTGAGATCATGACCACTGATCTCGTCACTGCAAAGACTGGCGTCACTCTGGAGCAGGCCAACAACATCTTGCGAGACTCAAAGAAGGGCAAGCTCCCCATTGTGGACACTGAAGGCCGTCTTGTTTCCCTTCTAGCGCGCTCTGATCTGCTCAAGAACCAGAACTTCCCTCTGGCATCGAAGAGGCCCGATTCGAAGCAGCTGTATTGTGCCGCTGCTGTCGGTACCAGACCCTCCGACCGAGAGCGCCTCAACCTCCTCGTCGAGGCTGGTCTTGACGTAGTTGTGCTGGACTCTTCGCAGGGAAATTCGATTTACCAAGTCGAGATGATCCAGTGGATCAAGAAGACCCACCCTAACCTGGATGTCATTGCTGGCAATGTCGTGAACAGGGAGCAAGCAGCGACCCTCATCGCTGCTGGAGCAGACGCCCTCCGTGTCGGAATGGGTTCTGGCTCGATTTGCATCACTCAGGAAGTGATGGCTGTTGGTCGACCTCAGGGTACTGCCGTCTACGCCGTTGCCGAGTTTGCCTCTCGATTTGGCGTGCCAGTCATTGCTGACGGTGGAATTTCGAACGTCGGACACATTGCCAAGGCGATGACTTTGGGCGCTTCTGCTGTCATGATGGGATCACTCCTTGCCGGTATCGAGGAGGCTCCCGGAACATACTTCTTCCGAGAGGGCAAGCGACTCAAGGCCTACCGAGGAATGGGTTCCATCGAGGCCATGGAGCACCAGAGGAAGGGCAAGGTTCCCGGAGCCACGGGCAAGGGAGCTGCCAAGGCCGATGCTGCTGCCCCGGATGTCGCCCACGAGAATGCCGCTACTCAGCGATACTTCTCTGAGGCCGATGCCGTCAAGGTTGCCCAGGGTGTTTCTGGTGCCGTTGCAGACAAGGGTTCGTTGAAGCGTTTCCTACCTTACCTCTTCACTGGTCTGCAGCACTCGCTGCAGGACATGGGTGTACGAAGCTTGGCGCAGCTCAAGGAGTACGTTGGCAGCGGAAAGGTCAGGTTCGAGCTCAGGACTGCCAGTGCACAGGTCGAGGGAGGAGTCCACGGCCTGGCCTTCTTCAACAAGCAGCTCTACTCCGATGCTTGAGCGCGTGCTGGTGCTACTCTTCTGTTCATACTTCTCGTCACCCTCTCCTACTTATACTGCCGTGGCTCATGTGCTGCTTTCACTACTTTGCCTAATGCCATCTGCCTGCCTATGACCATCTTGTGCTACCTGCATTACGCTATGCGCTCGCGGAGCGGAAGGAGCAAGAGTGACGCGCCTGAGCGTGTGCCCACTTCCGGGCGAGTCTGACGCAGAGGGCCGAGTAGAGGTGAGCCATGTGCCTGCCTGCCTTCTTCCTTCAGCCCATCGTGATCTTCGCCCTTTGCACTATACCAGTCCCTCGTCGATCATGCCGCCAAAGGCTCCCGCACCAAAGGCGCCTGCCAAGCCCAAGCCTCTCATCAAGGGCCAGGGATCCCTGCAGGGCTACTTCTCCGGTGGCAGCATGGCTCGCGCCGAGGGCAGCGGTGGTGGAGCAAGTGGCAGTGGCAGTAGCGCGAGTCCGCCCAAGAAGGACAAGGACAAGCCCAAGGAGAAGCCTCGTCCAGAGGTCAAGCAGATGACTGAACCGGTGAGCATGTGCTGATTTGCCACGCTTTCGGTGGAGGATATGACAGTTGAAACATTCTTGCGCTCGTAATTCCTGCCCAGGTCACCGTACGCGGTTATACGCCGAGCAGCATGTCTCCCTCGCCTTCGAAGAGCAAAGCACCGTGAGTTGTAAGACAATGGCGCGAAATTCCTGCTGATGTGTTCTGACGCTCCCCTTTCTCTGCACACATTTCCTTATAGTCCTATTCGACCGAGACCTACGCCAAAGAAGGAAGATGAGGTCACAGAGGTCGCTGCTGCAAGCCGGTCGAATGGCTCACAGTCCAAGTACTTCCCCGAGACTGCAAAGAAGGTGAGTTGTCAAGTAGTCCGCCGATCTTCCTGGGCTTTGACTGACCGATTTTGGCATCGCAGGCTGAGCCAAGTAAGCTTCCTGATAGTGACGAAGAGGAAGATGAGGAAGAGGTGAAACCTGCAAAAGGAAGGGGCCGGGTGTCTGCTGCCAACGCAAAGAAGAGAAAGGTGAGGAGAATCACAGGAATGCTCTGAACGTGTGACTCGTATTGACCGGCTTAATCGTTTCTCTGCAGATCGAGGATGATGACGATGACGATGACTACGAGGAGGAGAAGGCGCAACTCAAGTCTTCGCCGCGCTCAAAGGGTCGAGCTTCAGCAGCATCCAAGAAGAGCCCAGCGTCAAAGACATCAACGCCGCGAGCAAAGAAGGCTCGAAAGCAAGAAAGCGATGACGAGCAATCATCTGATCTCGAGATGGTCGAAGCTCCCCCTCCTCCAAAGACGAAGAAGACTACCACTGCAAAGGCGGGTAGCTCAAAGAACAATTCTATCGCTCTGGATGACGACGACGACGACGATGAGGATATGAAGAAGCCCGCTGCCTCAGCGGTTGCAAAGTCTGCTCCGAAAGCAAGCGGTAGCAGCGCCTCAGCTGCGCCGCCCAAGCCATCCAAGGAAGAGGAAGCAGATGCAAAGGCTGCCCTTAAAGCTAGTCGTGATCGCGCTGCGCAAGGCCCTAGTGCTCCTGGCTCGAAGGAGATCCCGCAAGGCGCTCCCAACTGCTTGATTGGCCTGACATTCGTGTTCACTGGTCAGCTCGAGAGTCTGGAGAGGGAAGAGGCCCAGAATCTCGTCAAGGGCCTCGGAGCCAAGGTCACTGGTGCGCCATCTTCGAAGACGTCATTTGTCGTGGTGGGCGAAGGCGCTGGACCCTCGAAGCTCAAAAAGATCGAGGCTCAGGGCCTCAAGACGATCGATGAGAATGGGCTTCTCGATCTCATCCGCTCAAAGGAGGGTGCGAAGCCGGACGAAGCTGCACTAAAGAAGCTCAAGGAGGAGGAGAAAAAGATCGAAAAGGCTGCCAAAGCAATGGAGGTTGGCGGTGGCGGTGCTGGCATCGGTCACAAGGGCGCTGCAGCCAAGCCCGAAGAGACCGACTCGCATGCGCTCTGGACGACCAAGTACGCCCCATCGCAGATGAAAGACCTCGTAGGCAACAATGCGGCCATCGAAAAGCTCAAGGGCTGGTTGGAAGGCTGGCCAGCTTCGTACAAGTCCAACTTCAAGAAGCCCGGGAAATTCGGCTACGGCTGCTTCAGGGGGATCATGCTGTCTGGCCCTCCCGGAATTGGTAAGACATCAGCTGCTCATCTTGTCGCCCGTCTTTGCGGCTATGCCCCCATTGAGCTCAATGCTAGTGACGCACGTAGTAAGAAGCTCATCGAGCACAACCTCAAGAGTCTCATCAACAATAAGAGCCTTGACGGCTGGTACGGCGGAGGCGGTATGACAGTGGAGGGCATCACCATTCGAGATAACACCGTGCTCATCCTTGATGAGGTCGATGGAATGTCGGGAGGCGATCGAGGAGGTGTGGGAGCTATCAACCAGCTCATCAAGAAGACTCGGATTCCTATCATTCTCATCTGCAACGACCGCAAGAGCGCCAAGATGAAGCCCTTCGACCACACCACCTTTGGCTTGCCTTTCCAGCGACCAAAGGCTGACTCGATTCGTTCCAGGTTGCAGACTATCGCCTTCCGCGAGAAGCTCAAGGTCGACAAAAATGGCATGGACATGCTGATCAGCGCTGCTCAGAATGATATCCGACTGGTCATCAACATGCTCTCCACTTGGAAGCTAGGCCAGTCTGCTCTGAGCTACGACGACAGCAAGAAGCTGGGAGCTGAGAATGTCAAGCCTGGTATGCCCACCCCTTGGAGCTTGTACAGCGAATTGTCAAGTCACGCCCTCTGGGCTGCGTCTAGCAAGAAGACCTTGAACCAGAAGACTGAGATCTACTTCAGCGACATGGGAATGGTACCTCTCTTCGTTCAAGAGAACTACATCCGTCAACGGCCCCAAACAACGATGGGTGAGACTGATACAAAGAAGAAGGACATGAGGACTCTGCAGCTGCTGAATGGTGCAGCTGCAGCCATCTCTGACGGTGATGTGGTGGACAACATGATTCACGGCTCCCAGCAGCAATGGTCTCTCCTGCCTTTGCATGCCGTACAATCCACTCTGAAGCCAATGTCTCTCATGTATGGAATGGGCCCAGAAGGCTCTTACGGTCCTGCCTTCCCGGCCTGGTTCGGTCAAAACTCCAAACAAGGAAGATTGTTCCGAGCCACGGTGGAGCTGCAGACAAAGATGAGGCTCACTGCAAGTGGCTCGCGACACGAAGTGCGAGAGCAATACCTCCCCCACCTCTTCACCGGTCTTTCCAAGCCTCTCCTCTCCTCCGGCGCTTCCGGTATCCCAGACGTCGTCGAGATGCTGGACGCCTACTACCTCAATCTTGAGGACCGAGAGAACATCATGGAGCTCGGCGTGGGCAAAAACAATGGAGACGAGGTGCTCAAAAAGGTACCCACGGCTGTCAAGTCTGCCTTTACTCGACAGTACAATGCTGCTAGCCACCCCATTGCGCTCCAGAGGGGCGATTTGGGAAGTGGCGGTCGAGCCAAGCAGCTCGTGGGTGATGCCGCGCCCGATGCAGAGGAGGCCATCATTCAAGATGAAATCGTGGAAGAGTCGGGCAGCGAAATGGGCGACAGTGATGATGATCTCGACTTTACAAAGGACAAGATGATCAAGGAGAAGAAGCAAAAGGCGGCAAAGGGAAAGGCAAAGGCCAAGTGAGCGAAGTGATGGGCAAAGGATCGTCCTCCCGATGTAAGCTGTGGATCACGAACTATCAATGCCACTTTCCGGAACTCCCTGTTGCCTGACTTTCAACCGCTTGCTAGCTTCGTTGCCTGACACCTGACACCTCACTCGTATGCGATGGGATGCAAAATGTTTTCATCTCAAATCAGTCGAGCCGCCTCACCTCGCCTCAAGAGGGGGACCTTCTCGAAACAAAAAAGTACTGTACATGTTGGGAGGACTCACAGTCTCGTGACATAAAGAAGAAAAGGAAAAACCGAAGCGTGTGGGGGATCAAGTGCAGGGAGACATGTGCAAGAGTAGGGAAGAGGAAGAGAAGCATAGTACAACCAAATGGCGCTGAGCAAGACTTCTGAGACGGGAACAAGTAAGTGAAGTGCTCAGGTTCGAGTCTTGTGCTGCCAAGCAGATGTGGGTGAGAAGAACATCTGGGTCGGATGATGCGGCGGCGGCGGGGGCGGCGGCGGCAGTGCGGCTTGTGGAGGTAGAGGTAGAGGCGTCGCTGCACTTGAGCGAATAGAGTCTGTGCTAGACGTCGAGCGCAAAGGCCATGTTGTCGGGTAGAGGGGAGCGTCTTCCTCCTCTTCCTCTTCATCTTCGCCCGCTCCTGCAGAGACATGAGACTGGGCCTGGGTCTGGCCATGTCGCTCCGAGATGTCTTGAGATGGGACGTGCGCGTGGGCGGATTGGTGCGTGAAGTGCGACACGACGCCCAGGGATCCCTGCCCCTTTGCAGAGTATGGATTGTGGCCGGAGTTGGTAATCCAGGGGGAAGCCAGTCTCGTTGCGAGGCCAAAGTCGGCAGAGGAGGAGGTCGAGGCAGAAGAGGCATCGGCGCTGTAGGAAAGTTGCGGCATGGTTGGCTCGAGGTAGCTGGTGGTGGGTCTGGTGCTGAACTCGAGAGAGGTGGAATCTGCTTGCATGCTGGGGGAGAAAAAGGGCTGCTCGAAGGGAGGAGGTGCGAGAGCTTGGAGAGGGGCGTCTTGCGGTTCTGTCTCTTCGCTTTGCTCATGGGTCACTTCCTCCTCTTCATCTTCAGCAAGTGGAGAAGAAGCACCCAAAACGGTCGTCTCATGGGCATCTTGCTGTTCCTCGTCCATCTCTCCGGAAGCGACGCCAGCTCCACACGAGGGACTACTTTGTCGCCAAGACATGAGCTCGCTCAGAGATGTAAGGGTACTATCATCACTGGCCGCGCGCTCTTCTGCTTCCTCCTCATCTTGACCTTGAGCGCTATCACCAAGCATGTCCAAGTCTGAGTCGGATTCGTACTGATCTGCTGCACCTTTAATCCAGACGTGAGACTCCCTTGCTTCAAAAGATTTCTTCGATAAGCGATGAGATCTGGTGCTTGGACGTTCTTTAGCAGAGCCAGTGTTGGAGACAGTAGACTGGTGAGCATCCAGAGAGTTCTGCCAGGCCATGATGGCCGCCAGCGTCGAGGTCGCACCCAAACTGTCTTTTGTACATTCGACGGGTTGAGGTGGTCTCCGGAGCTTCACGGTCAGCTTCGGGCGCGAATTCTTCTCCACGAGGGCATCGGCCACGTCGATCACGGAAGGACCTTGAGAAGCTGATCTTGAGCGCTTGGTAGGTTTGTCGTCCATGGGAAGATCCAGATAGCCTTCTGCTCCTTCGTCTTCCGGTAAGGACGCACTTCGAGACACAGCTCTTTGTCTTCTCCTCTGACGAATGATGTGCACTTCTTCTTTCAGTCTGGCAATATCAGCTAGTAAAGCTCGCATGGAATCAGACCCTTCGGCCTCAGCAAGAATACGCTTCGGTCCAATCTGTGTCACGCCCATGGCTTCCTCCAGGTAATGCTTGACGGACCGATACTTCATCTTGCCAGACTTGTCTTTGAGGAGACTGCTCAAGGTGAGAGTCCTGTTTCCAGGTCCGCCTTGAGGAAGATGATGCGCCATATCGGCCTTGTGCATGCATAGCGAACAGTTGCAGATACCTCTACAGCGCGGGCAGGTCCAATCTGGATTACCCACATCCCACTGCTCGCCGGCATCGTCATCTTCTGTAATGCCATACCGTACCGAACAGCAGCCTTGACAATAGTTCAAGACGCATTGCATCGCTGCTAATTCACCAATGTAGCCGACCTGCCGACAGTACATCTTTGGCTCCAAGCTCTTGCGACGACATTGATGGCATGTTGTTCCAGAGTAAGCAGTCTTCGAATCCAGCTCGGCCATCTCCTCTTTGGATCGTCGCTGCCGCGCTTTGCCTGAGAGAGTCAAGCCGGCGTCGACTGTCTTGACGAGCTTCGCGCGAGGTGCTTTCATTTTGGGAGCGGTCTCCTTCGGCTTACTGCCGGATGCACGAGTCTGACGAGGCTTCTCGATTGGCGTCGGAGGGGGTGTTGGAGTGGGAGCTCGAATCGGAAAGTTGTCGAAGAAGAGGTAGTCATCTCTGGCCCTCTCTCGCACGGGCAGAACATCAATATAGGCCAGATCGTGGACAGTACCAGGTAGAGGCAGGGTAGTGGTCGTTCCGTCCTCTGCCAGCTTCAAGACCTTACGCTCCCAATGGCCATTCCTTCTGCGTGACTTTGTCTTGGGCTTCTCTGGCTCGGGAGAGGCTAAATCTTTCGAGGGCTTGGAGGGACTGCCAAGCATGACGTTCGATCCGCTAGGAGAGGGAGGAGCAGACTCTTGCTCTTCCACCGGCGCTTGAGGTCCGAGCCCGAGTTGAGCTAGCAGACGCTGATTCTCGAGCAGCTTCCGCTGTCTTCGGGCCTCGTAGGCTGCATCGCTTTCGTCGGACTCTGCATCCGAGTCGGCTTCTTGCTTGGTTGCGGTAAGGAGCGCGTACATCTCTTCGATTCTCTGCGTCTCTTCCGCATCCTCGATATCAAAGAGCGACTTGCGAGGTACGTCATCATCCATAACCTCCTCCTTTGGCTCGTATTCGACCTCTTGCGCTTGCGCCTTAGCGGGGGATGAGGGCAGCGATACATTTGGCTCCGAAGAGGTAGGGGCAGGGCTATCCGGAGCACTCTGGCTCTTCTGCTTGATTGCCATACTAGATTTCGGTGAAGGAGACGGCATGTGAGTCTCCAGCGTCCGATACTCGGTATCATCAGCGAAGCGACAGGGGCCCGGCGTTTTGCTCTCTAGCTGAGCATCAGGCGAGGGGACGCTCTCTCGGGTCTCGTTCTGCGCTGAGAGGTGAGAGGTTGTGGGTAGATTCGGAAGAGACGATACCTCCACCTGCCATTGCGGAGGCAGAGGTGGGGTCTGCGGCTGCCAGTCATCCGTATCCGCCTCATTGGCCATGTTGGCGTATTCGGCTGTGGGTTCGAAAGGCGGTAGCTGGGCATGCGGAGGAGTAGATGCTGTCGGAAGATGATCGAGGTCGTCGAGTTCGTCGATGCTTGCGAGTTCATCTATTTCGTCTTCCGACTGCTGCTGCTGATCGTGGTGGTTCAGATGACCCGCCATTGCGGCAGCATACGATTGGCTCTGGTACCTGATTGCACTGACGGAGGACAAGGTTCCCAGGATGGCTGCCTTTAGATCAGGGCTGCTCCCTTGTCCCGCCCGCGAGTGGTTGCGATTGCGAGTGAGAGCGCCGCGCGTCATCGTAGAGACGTAGCTCAACAGCCCGTGGATGTGAGCTCCATCGCTTGAGCTGCCGTGGGTAGAGCCTGCGGAGGACGATGTCTTGAGAGGATGGGTAGCATGTGGGATGCCGTGTGACTTGCGTCTGTCCCTCGGCGTGTTCTGTGCAGCCACGCCGCTCTTTCCGCTCCACGGGAGGACAACGTCGTCTCCAAGTCCAGTGCCGCCTGGCGCGCGCGCGTGCAGGAAGATGCTCACCGCCATACACCATACCGACAGAACCCATTCGTCTAAACCTTGGCTGTACCAAGACCGGCTCCCTACCTCGCTCCCTCGCCTTGCCGTCGCTGCCTAGGATGGCAGTGCCTGATTCAGGCTCGTCGGCTGCCGCCTCGTCCTCATCCTCCGGCCAGCCTCTGCAGCAGAAGCGGCTACAACAGGCAGCAGCAACCATCAAGAAGTTCTCGGAACAAGACCGGCAGGTGGTGGACCTGGCAGACTACCTCAGTGAGTAACGGGCAGGCATCAGGATGTGTCGAAAGAGCAAGGACTCATGTTGACGCCAACACCCTCTCTCCATCCTCCAGATGCGTCCGTCAATCAACCCTACAAGCTCTACCTCTCCTCCCCATGGGCTAGTCTTCGCAAGGTGCAGACTCTAACCATTCCCGATGCCGTGATTCAAGCAAGTACCTCTGCTCGATCCTTTGCGGCTCAAGGTCTCTTCCCCGAGATTGAGCGCGCTTGGATCATCATAGACAGCCAGCTCTTCCTCTGGAATTACCTCGAAGGCAGCTCATCCGCCTTCGAGTCCTATGTTCATCCTACCGACATCATCCAGTCCGTCTCCCTGGTCGCCCCCAAAGCCGGCGTCTTCATCGATTCGATCAAGCATCTCCTCGTCATCTCCACGCAGCAGTCAGTGACCATTCTTGGCCTGGCAATTGAGACGACCCCACCTCCGAATGCCCAGAGGGAGTTGCGGCTTTACCAGACAGACTTCTCCTTGCCCACTTCTGGCGTCGTGATGCGAGACTTTGTCGCAACCTCAGATGGCAGTAGGTTGTTCTGCCGAGGAAGTGATGCCTGCTTGTACGAGCTTTACTACCAAGCAAAGGAAGGCTGGTTTAGCTCAAAATGTAGCTTGAAGAATCTCACCAGCGGAGGGGTTCGGAATCTGTTGCCAGGATGGGCTGGAGGAGCAACCAAAGGTGAGCGTCAGAGTGTAATTGTGTAGGCATCCCGGCCTGACTGCTGACCGCCCTCGGCCCACCGCAGGCTCTCTGGAGAGCATCGTTGTTGATCACTCCAGAGCCCTCTTCTACGTCCTCGAGTCGCGGCGGACCATCTCTTCGTACTCGATTCCCTCGGCGCTCAATGGCGGCGTCCCGCAGCTCGTGACGACCTTGCGGGACATTCACCGGACTGCCTCCCTAATCTCACCCCAGAACGCATCCCTTCTCCGTCAAGAGGACTTCGCTATCATCAGTCTACAGCCCATCAGGGCTGAGGAGAGCAGGACGATCTGCCTCTTGGCTACCACTAGTAATGGCGTACGTCTGTACTTTACAAATCAGCGTAGCGGTTATCGCGCGTTCACAGCACCTTCCACGAGTCTAGGTGGATCATCTACTCTGGAGCTTCTCTACGTCAGACCACCACCTGCTTCTGGACTTAGCCCCACGCCGCTTCCCCCAACTGGGTCCAACTCAGGTTCAGCTGATCAGAGCGATTATCCTCAAGCTCAACCGCCCCTGCAACGTTTGAGCCACGCGATCTACAAGGATGGGCATTTCCTTGCGGCTGCTGCGTACCCGTACGGCAATGGTCTCGACAATGTTCTATGCATCAGTCGAGGAAGCTCTAGCGCTACCATTCTCAACAATACCACGGTCTCAGCTGGGCAGAATGGCGAAAGTGCGACGACGAGTACGTCTGTGATACCTTCTTCTGGGCCTGCGTCAGCCTCTACTCCTGCTGATCCGGCAGAGCAAGCAACGAACGTTTTGATACAAGGAGCTACTTGGGCTTTGGCGGAGGTCCCGAGGCCGAACGTGGGCCCCGCTTCCCTCAACCCCCTCGTGCGCCAAATGACAAGCTTGCCAAGGACTTTCTTGGCCCTCACAAGTACAGGGTTGACAGTTCTGGTAGAGAATAGGCCGATGGACCTCCTACGAGAGCTCTTGGACAGAGCAAGTGCTGCATCTGGCCAAGGAAATGCCGAGACCGTTGGCCTGGTAGAGGTGTTCAAGCGCTTTGGACAAGCCCAGTCATGCGCGATGGCTTTGGCCATTGCAACTCGCAACTCCCACGCCTCCTTCTCTTTGGAAGCGCTCCTGTCCGTGTCACGACCCAGTGCAAGCGCTTTTTCTGCTCAGATGCACACAGCCGAATCTCTACTCAACGCCACCAGAATCTACTTTGACTATGGAGGCCTACCCAGATACGATCCACCGCCGTATCCTCATCAGCCGATGTCGGAGGGCAGGGTAGTACTGAGTGGACGTCATGAGGGCCTTGGCGTATACGCAACTCGGCTGCTTCAGAGTCTTTGGGAGAAGAAGATCAAGGAAGTCGGACGCGTAGTAGGTACTCAATCAGCAGACGCCATCGTGGGCAAGGACATGGAAGAGCTGAGGTCTTTCGTCAGAACTCACGCTGAGGCGTACGGGCTCAACAACAAGCGGGGCGGCAGCAACGCGCCAGGCGGCGGCGGCGAGGGCGAGCTGCTCGCTCAGAAGACAGAGCAGGAAAGCCTACGGGCTCTCAATGCTCTATTGGAACGGTCAATTGAGGCCTTGAGCTTCGTGATCCTGTTGGGTGATTTTGGCTGGGAGAGAGTCCTGAGCAAAGTCGGCGATGTAGTCAGGGCCAAGGTGGACTCGATGTCATTTGGCGACCTTGTCTTGGAGGTGTCGAGCGCGGAACAAAGTGGCTCTGCAGGAGGCCCTCCTGGCTCGGCGTCCTCAGGCCAAGGTCAGCAGGCGATTTCGCGCTCCCTCGTAGAAGCCATCATCGATCTACACTCTGTCTCCTCGCCGTCCGGCATGGATGTCATTGCTGACCTGCTTCAATCGCGTTGCTCATCTTTCTGCGATGCCAACGATGTTCGCCTGTACAAGGCTCTGGAACACATTCGCCAAGCCAAGGAGTCTGCCCCGGGCCTCAAGAGGGACGAGGCGCTAAGGGAAAGTGAGATGCTGATGATGAAGGCTAGTCGTCGATTGCCATTTGAGCGACTGCAAGAAGTTGTCGGTCTCTGGAACTCAATGTCTTGGGTCAGCGCAGCCATTCAGCTACCCCTCAGGTGTGCTCAGGAATGGGACCCCCATGGCTTTGCAAGGGCATACCGAGCAGATGGCATGAGGGCGAGTGACGATACCCGTAAAGCTGCCTACGATGTGGCCATGAAGTGCTACGGTCTCGTGCTAGACACGCTCAAATCCCTCGATGAGAAGGCGGACGCTACTCCTCAGGCGGTCGGAGTCGAGACACTGCGATCGACGGCGTATGGTATTGTTCAGCAATCAATGGATCCCTTGCTCCACGAGGCCCTATACGACTTCCTGCTCCGATCAGGAAGGCGGGAGCAGCTCCTGGGCATGACTACGCCTTTCCTGGAAGCGTACCTGCAACAGGAACCACTCACACTGGAGAAGCTAGAGATGCTCTGGCAGTGCTATACCCGTCGCGGTGAGGGGGCTTCGGCTGCACGTGTGCTCGTCGGCTTGGCGGAGAGTACCGAATTGGATCTCACTCTGTTCCAACGTGTGGAGTACCTGACACTTGCGTCCAACAATGCAAAGTCGTCTACCCTGGGCGGAGGGTTGAGCGATCTGAATCATGCGACGGTTGCCTTTGTTGCGGAAATCGAGGAGAAGTTGGAGGTTGCTCAGGTTCAGGTCGAAGTGTATAGGGCTATTAGCGAGCTGGACGATCTGGAAGAAGACAAGAAGGCAGGTCTTCTAGATGACCTCGACTCCAGTCTTCATGACATCTCTACGGTGAGTCTATCAGCGAATGTCTGCAGGCTGAGAAGTGTCGCCTTGCTGACTTCTGCTTCACTTGTTTCATTCAGCTGTATCGCGACTTTGCGGATCCTCTTGGCCTTCACGACGTCAAGATCCTCATCTTCCAGGTGTCAGACTTCCGAGATGTTGAGCTGGTGGCAGAGACCTGGGAGCTCATCCTAGACCGTGCTCACCAGGAAGGCGGCCGATTGCTCTCACCTGACCGTGCATACGAGAGGGTTGCGGCGGTTGTGATCGAGCTGGGAAGGAGACACATGAACTCTGACTTTGCCTGTCCCATTGGTGAGTACAGATGAGGCAAGAGCAGCAGTGGAGCAGCTAGGGCAGTACGCTGACCTGAGCTCACTCGCTGCACTTCGAACACAGATGTCCTCGTTCGCAATCTGGAGCACTATGCCTTCACACAGCGTTCCTCCCAGCCCATCCCCATCGGCTGGGCACCACAGACCCTCCTGGCTGCGAGTGCGTCTCCAGAAGCCATCTTCGATGTCCTAGAAGGTCTGTTCCAATCCAAGGTCGAACCATGGCAGACCAAGTCTTCGATTGTCTTTCTTTTGAGCGACCTCTACCAGCTCATCTCCATCTGGCTAGGTAGTCATCTCAACTCTAGTGGGTACGACACTCTGCCCTCGTCGAACAGGAGGAGCATCGCCCTCTCGCGCTCTTCGTCCTCCTTTGGAGGCTTAGATGTCATGGAGAGCTTCCCTGCAAAGAGGGTCGACGACTCGCTGGACGCATATCTGTCTACACTCAATTCGCTACTGGGTCAATTGAGAGAGGTGGAGGATGGACAGCTGGCGAGGGAGAGTATCAATGGGATGAAGGTGCTGCAGGATCGACTCAGGCAGGCCTTCTAAGAAGGGGGAGGGGGGCGCAAAGGTTGGGCTCTTGGGGTATGAAAAGAGAGGAAGCATTGGGATGATTGTGGTGACTACCTCGTACGACGTTGTTTCGGGTAAAGTCATGTGGAGTCTCGAGTAATGATATACAGTAGTCCACATCCATCGTTATCTTCCCGATCCTGACCAAGTAAAAAAAGCAACAAACAACAGTAGGTTCGGGGGGGGGGGGGGGGGGGGGGGGGGGGCGGGTAGGCAGGCGGACGGTGGGCAGGGCGAGGCGCTAGGCAGGGGGAAAGACCCAGGCGGGGGGGGGGGGGGGGGGGGGGGGAGGGGGGGGCGTGGGTGTGCGTCTGTCGGGAGGGTGTTGCTCTCTCTGTGCCTCGTGAGCGTGGGCGTGTGTGCCGTCGGGGCTATGAGCTTATGCCGTGGCGGCAAGGGGGGCCTGCATGCGGGAAGGGCGAGGTGGCGCTGGGCGTGTGTGTGTCTAGACGCAAGGGGGGGCATCGGCCTCTGGCTCAGCTCCACTCCGCGTCTCTTGGCCAGGCGAGGCTGTCAGTGTCTGTCTGTCTGTGTCAAGTGTCAAGTGGGGCACGTCCGTCTTTCTTTCTCGAGTGTTGCGCTGTGGACCTCCTACTGCTCCTCCCTCGCGCTCCCCTTTCCTCGATCCTCTCTTCCATCGGTACCTCCTTACTCACTCTTATACGTCCAAGAACCAAAGTTAGACTCTGGCTAGTCTACCCACCTCCACTCTAGCTAGCTAGATTACACGATGCCCCCAGCATCCATTCTCGAGTCTCTCTTCCGTAGGCCACAGCGCCTAGTCGTCCTCCTGGCCGGTTTCCTCGTCTTTCTCACACTCGCCACTTGGATCAACCTCTCCCCAACCACATATGACAGGGTCAAGACGGGATGGACCAACAACATGCCAGCCGTGAAGAATCCCTGGGCAGCTTCCACCACTCCTGCTGGCACTGCTGGCTCAGCCGCTGCTGCTGCAGCTGGATACGGTGCGGCAAAGAGTGCCTCGGTGGCAGCTCAGGTGGAAGACATGTACACCTTTGATCCCTCCAATCATGTCCCTACCAGTCCCGATGATCTTCTCGCCTGGGGTCACAAGGGAGATGATGGCAACATCTACCCTCCCGAATTCATCCCTCAGCAAGCCAACAAAGGCCCTCGTGCCAAAGCTGGCTTCATTGTCCTAGTGCGAAATTCGGAATTGCAGGCTCTCAAGGAATCTATGAGGGACGTCGAGTCCAAGTTCAATAGGAAATACGGTTACCCCTGGATCTTCCTCAACAATGAACCCTTTTCTGATGCATTCAAAAAGGGTGTTCGACAGATGACCCGTTCTGAAATCAGATTTGGACTGGTTGAAGAAAAGCATTGGGGCTACCCAGAATGGATTGATAAGAATCGAGCTGCCAAGACTCGTGCGGATATGAAGGCAGCCAATATCATCTATGGTGATTCGGAGAGCTACCGTCACATGTGTCGATTCCAATCTGGCTTCTTCTTCCAACATCCCCTCACTCAAGATCTAGACTACTACTGGCGAGTAGAACCAGGAATCAAACTCTACTGTGATGTAGACTATGATCCATTTGTATTCATGCAGATGAACAACAAGACTTATGGTTTCACAATGGCACTGCATGAGTACATTGCCACCATCCCCACTCTTTGGGAGACGACTCACAACTTTGTCAAGGCAAACCCACAATACGTAGCAAAGGACAATGGTCTTCACTTTATGACCGACGAGCCCGAGCGTGGAATGGACCCGGGTTACAATCTCTGCCACTTTTGGTCCAATTTCGAAATCGGAGATCTTAGGTTTTGGAGAGGAGAGGCCTACACAAAGTATTTCGAGTACCTAGACAAGGCCGGTGGATTCTTCTACGAGAGATGGGGTGATGCTCCCGTCCACTCCATTGCCGCCATTCTCTTCCTAGATCGATCCAGACTACATCACTTTGATGACATTGGATACTACCACGTACCTTGGGACCACTGTCCTTCCAACAAGGCAAAGTATCACGATACGGGAAGGTGCAATTGTGATCCGGACAAGTCTTTTGATAGGGAAGGGTATAGTTGTCTCAAGGAGGCATGGAGGACACTCAAGGAGGGAGAACCAAAGTAGAAGGGAGAGACAGAGGAAGGGAGGGGCACTTGAAGGAAACCAAATGGGCCAACGGAGGCAGGGAAGTGCACGAGCGCTCCTCCTTGCTCTCCTCGCCTCCCCCCGTCTCTTGCCTCTTGTGGGGGAGCAGGTACGGACACCATTCTAGAAGTCCATCCCATCAGCATACAGCCGCGCATCTCGATCCCTCTTCCCACCTGGCGGTCCGGTCTCTCATTCCCCATCCCCCATCCCTATCCCCGTCCCTATCTTGTCCCCCCCACCAACCCACCTCTTTGTATTCTCTCTCTCCATCGTCCCCCCCTTCCTACATATACAGTCGTCACCTTTCCATCTCTTTTTCGATTCATGCCCCTGTCCATGTCCATGTCCGTGTCCGTGTCCGCATTCGTGTCCATGTCCGTGTCCGTGTCCGTCTTCTCCTCTCAATGGAACTCAATGGATTAGCGTTTTCTGCATCTCCCCTCTTTCTTTCTTTCTTTCAGCACTCAGTCGATGCGATGCGATGCGATCCAGATCCAGATCCAGTCGTGTTGTGATGTGTTGAGATCTGTTGAGATCTGTTGTGATCTGGCTTGATTTGATTTGATTTGATTTGATTGGATTGGATTGGATGCTTTTAGATGTGATGTAGTGAGAGGAGGAAGGGGGAGGGATGGGGGAGAGGATATAGTACAAGTACAACGAATGTGCCCGTAGAGTGCTCTAGATGCTCGATGCTCGATGCTCCGATGCTCGATGCTCGATGCTCGATGCTCCGATGCTCCAATGCTCCGATGCTCGATGCTCACCCCCCCTCAACTTCCCCCCCCCCCCCCCCCCCCCCCCCCCCCCCCCCCCCCCCCCCACCTCCCCTTCTCTATCGTCCATCACTCGCAGCCGCTCCTGTAGCTGCTGTAGCTGCTGCTGCTCGTTGTGCTGCCTCACGCTCTTTACGCATAGCCCAACGATCCTTTGTCTCTTCACCACCACCACCACCACCACCACCTCTGCCACCGCCACCGCCGCCGCCACCACCACCACCATCGCCATCGCCACCTCTGCCACCTCTGCCACCGGCACCGGCCGCGGCCTCTCGTCTTGGCCCCTGGTCAGGGCGGTCGACATACCTGTCCCTCTCCCCGTCCCTTGCTCGAGTTCGATCCCGCTCCCGCTCCCGCTCGCTGTCCCGTACTCGGTCCCGATCTCGATCCCGATCCCGGTCTCGATGACGATCACGATCGCGACCGGATGATCGATCGTAACCATACTCTCTGGAGCCTTCGTAGCGTTCATAGCTGCGCCCGTCCCTCGGAGGAGGCGATCGAGCTCGGGGATCTTGTGCTGGTCTTCTAGGAGCAGTTCCCCAGCCTGCATCTCTTGCTGAAGGACCACCACCACTACTGCCGCCACCACCGCCCTCGACTCGTCCTCCCCTCCTTTCCTGCTGGTACTGCGCCCTGCGCTCCTCCCTCTCCTTCTCCTTTTCGGCTGTAAGAACCGGACAGTCCTTCTTGCGGTGGTCTGGGGATCCGCAATGGAAGCATCCAGAGGAAGAAGCAGACGATGAGGGACCTGCAGAGGCACTGCCCAAGCCGTTGGTGGGTCGAGGATCCGCCTTGCGCGTCGTATCCTCGTCGGCCAAATGGGTGTATTTGCTCCTTCCCCTCTTTCCATAATCCCTCACTTGCATCACCTTGGGTAGTTGACTGATATCCACTTGTCCCTCAGTCTTCTCCGTAGAATAGTCCCGCTTCTTGAGTATGTCCAGATCTTGGAAAAAGGCGCCCTTGTGGTAGTACTTTTGCATGAAACCCATCTTCCCCCTCTCCTCGTCCTTGCGCTTGCAAGTCTCCTCAGCCCGAGCCGTATCCATCCTGAGCTTCTCATCCTCCGTCATATTCTCGCGACGGGTACGCTCTTCCTCTTCCTCCTCTCGCTGAATCTCCTGCTCCCACTGCCGCTTGATACGCTGCAGCTCGCGCAGGCGCCAGGCAGCAAATTCTGCTGCAGGATCCAAGTCGTCTGTATCGTCTAGGTCGGGCTTGGACTCGGCGGCTTGTTTCTCCAGAAGCTCCAGCTTGATGCGCTCGCCTGCTAGACGCTGCGATTCTAGACGGCGCTGAGCTGCTTCCGCTTCAGCTTTGGCCTGGAGGTCTTCGGCTGTCGAAGAGGGTGCGGCTGGGGCGGATGGGGCCGCTGGGCCGCTTGTAGGCTGAACAGAGGCCGTCCCTTGACGTTGTGATCTGGGAGTCGAGGAAACGTTCATCAGCCGCTCTGATCCTGTACTTGCTCCCAGTCGGTCATACTCACTTGGGCACAAACATCGGTTTGAACATCGGCTTCACCTCCTCCTCTTCCTCGCTGCTCTCTTCCTCTTCGCTATCCGTCTCGTACTCGCTCTCGCTCTCCGCAGCTTTCACATCGGGGGCTGAGGCGGCAGCTGGTGGCTTTGCATCTGCCGCCTCGCCGTCCGAGTCTGTGTCTGTCTCGTACTCGTCGGAATCGAATTCAGGCTCTTCAGGCTTGGGCTTGAGAGATGTGGTGACGGGGCGAGAAGTGCCACTTCCGCTGCCGCTGCCGCTGCCCACGTTGATGACGACTCCTGCTGTTCTTCTCTGGCTGGCAGGTCGATTGTTGAAGCTCTTGAAGTCGGTAATCTCCTCGTGCTTGACATCATTGCCTTGTGCCTGCCTCGAGCGTGGTCCATTTTGCTCATCGGCCTCTTCGCCAGACTCATCAGAGTCGTACCTCTCGCCTTGGACGGGCGCCTTACCCGGCCTGTAGCGAGCTGCTGGGCGAGCTACTCGATGCGGCCCCGAAGAGGACATTGTGGAGTCGGGCAGCGACTTGTACCCACGGCCTGGGATGTATGTAGTGCTTGAAGGAGTAAGTAGTCCCCCGACGAGGTTCCGCTTCCTCGTGGCTCTTTCCGTTCCGATGGCGCGATTGGCCGCTCCACTCACGGACCTCGGCGGATTGGCTTATCGAGCGGGCAGAGACAGGGCGTACCCTGGCAGCCCTCACCACCTCACTTGTGTACATATCCCTCTGCCATCGTCACCATCAAACTCAAGCATTCACCTCGCCATAGAACATGCTGCCAAGATCACGCAACTTACTTCGCCACCACACACGCATCGCTCTCCTCAGTGCGCCCGCCTCCTCCTCATCCTTGCACATCTCGCCACGCCGCGCCGCTCAGCCCATCAATCCATCCAATTCCGTCGATGCTCGTCTGGGGGTCATCGCCCCTCCAGCTCCGTCTGCCAAGGGAGAGAAGGAGCTGTCAGGGGAAGACAAGTCCTTCATCGTCCACCCTCGACCTGGTCCGAACCCGAATGATCTGTCGGATCTGCTGCGAGGGCCCTCTGGAGGGAATGCCAAGAAGCAAGATGGCGGGATCGAAGGCAAGAGACAGGGGATGATTCAATCTGTCAAGGGCACAGCAATTGGAGCTCGTAGGCGCGGCACCACCATCCCCTCAACCGATCTTGATGACGTCTCTGTAATGGAGGAGGAGGCAAGACAAAGGGCTGCTGCTCAGGAGGAAGGCAACGACGGGCCGTTAGGCAAGAAGGGACCAGTGGATAGGGAGAGCCCTCACAGCATTGACCAGCTGCAAGGTCGGAACGAGCTCGATGAACGAGTGCTGAATGCAGCTCGGGCGACGTACGTTCATGGCAAAGGCGCAAGTCTGAGGACGCTCAACGATCAGTTCGTATCTGAGTCATACAAGATCCTCCCCATCGAGCTGCCGTACGAGTCTACGCCACACGAGGAGAGGAAGGTGCCACTGCCTAGGACAGAAACGACTACAGTGCCCAGCGTCGAAGAGGATGATGGCATCCTCTTGTTGGCCTTTGTCGACAATGTCGATGCTCCTCGGGGTCAGGAGAAGATCTCGGTCTGCACTGGTTTTGGCGTCGAGGGTGGTGCAGAGCTTGCTGCGCAGGAAGGCCGAGATGGGGGCGAGCTCGTCGTCAGTGTCGCCCACACACTCAGAAGCTCAATGCCTGCTGCCTCGAGAAAATTGGCAGAGGGGCAGGGTCAAGACAAGTCAGCAGCCTTGGCAATCACTCGCAAGGGCCTTGTCTTTCCTGTCGAGCAGCTCGTCTCTTCGCTGCCCAACTCGGATCTGGTCTTGCTGAGACTGTCAAAAGATCCCTTGCCAGTTCAAGACCATGATACAATTGACTTCGCATCTGCCACAAAGTCCGCGGCCTCAAGCAGCAAACCGATCAAGACCCTACCTATCTCTCCCTACCCAGCGCCTCAGCACGCACACCTCTGCGTCTCCTCCTTCTGGGGCTTCGAGGATGACTCGGGCTGTGCTGTACCTCGCTTCAGCTTCAACAACCCCTCTTCGTCTTCTGCTGCCCAAGGACCACCCTCTTCGTCCTTACCAGCATCTAGCCTCTCCGTTCTCCCTCCATCCCCGCCTCCGCCTGGTAGGTCGGCGGCAGAAGTACACTCGGAAGGCGACTCGATGAATCAGTCTCGCTGGGGCGAGGTACGTCTCGTGGAATACAAGGACGGGAAAGGTTCCGAGGCTCAGCCAGGCACATATGATTCACTGGAAACACTCGAGTACAAGCTGGTCCAGGATAGTTTGATCAATCCAGCTGTGCTGAAGGGTGAGAAGCCCAAGTTCATCCCACAGGCAGCAGTGTCTGTGGGACGGGGCTCTGGAGCAGCCAGCTCTGCAGCGGCGGCATTACAGGAAGTCAAATCGTCACAGCCATCCGGACAAGATGGAAGTGCTGGAGATGCTGGCAAAGGCTACGGCGGGTATGGAGTCCCAAACTTCCCACCTCCCGGATCCAGTGGCGGGCCGATTGTCGATATGAGCACAGGGGCCGTCGTTGGAGTCACTCGTGGCTCCAAGATGACAACACTCGGTGGAAGGAGGGGAGAGGGAGTGCCCAGCGAGAAGATATTTGAATGTGAGTAGAGTCATGGAGTCAACTAAGCGCTAACAGTGAGACCAGCAGCTTATTGGATATCCCTTGTGACGGCATCACAGTCTTCACCCTCCCTGGCATGGGCAAGAAGCGACCCTCTTCTGCATCAACATCCAGGTCCAGCAGCTCGAACACGCAGCGACAGAGCTCTCTGTCGTCGAGCCAGACACAGAAGCGCTCTCTCAGCACCTCGGCTCGGCTGAGGGAGGAAGCTTCTACGCCCGCGGCAGGAGTTCCAATTGGTCAGATCGATCAGCGTCTATCTCTGACCTTTACTTGTGCGGTTCCGGACTGCGGCCATCGATCTACTCACGAGTTCTCCAAAGCCTCCTACACGAAAGGCATCGTTCTGGTCCAATGCCCAGGTTGCAAGAATCGGTGAGTTGATCGGAGAAGCCGTCGGTACAATGGTACGGAGAGCCGTCTCTGACCTACTCCTCGACCGTGCTCCACGCTTCGTCTCCACAGCCACCTCATTGCAGACAATCTTTCATGGTTCACGCAGAGCTCATCGGAACCCAAGACGGTAGAAGAGATGGTACGAGCAAACGGCGGCAGGGTCCGCACCGGCAGGAAGACGGTAGATGGCGAGGGAGACCAGGGTGAGACGATGGAGATCCTCACCGACAGCGATTGGGCTGAGGTCGAGAAGAAGTAGATATTCGACCTTGTACTATGCTCCTACATTGTGAAACATCATTGCAACGCTACACTCGCAGACTACGTTCTCACTTGCTTAGTCAGCGACCTGCTCAGCCCCCCGCACGGGTCCAACTTTTGTGCCTTGCTTCCTTCGCCCTCTTTCCGCCGGCCTCGCAGTACCGCGCCATTTCTACCTCGCCACCAAATCTGCCGGCTGGTCCCGCAGTCCTTGTTGCCATTCAGAATGCCTCCCTTTAGTTCTCGTCCCCTACGGTCGAGCTCGTCCCGCAATCCCCTCTCCAATTTCCTCCCCTCGATCCGGCGGAAGCCCTTCCTCCTCTTCGGCCTGCCCTTCACCTTCACCATCCTCTCTGCCGCCTATGGTCTCTCTTACCTCACCCAGACGCGCTACGAGTACAATGCCACCAAGGTGCAGAGTGTCAGTAAAGAGGAGGAGCTGGGTATGAAAAAGGGGAGGAGACGGATTGATTTGAGGGAAGAGTATTGGAAATTGAGCAGGGCAAGGGAGGATATGATGCTGGATGCCGATGAGCCGCTTGCTGCCGCCAGTGGGTCTGGGTCTGGATCAGGTGGAAGTAGCGCTCGGAGAGGTACGGGCAGAAGCGGAGGTGGCGTGGACGAGTGGGACGAGTGGGAGCCTAAGCGGGTCCCGAGACCGCAGGGCGTCGAGGAGTGGGGCGACGCCGGCGGATCTGCCCTAGGCGCCTCGTACGTGGAGCAGTCGGACAGCACAAGAGACTACCAACGGCGCAACAAGGACAAGAACGTGAGCAACTCTGCCTCTTCCTCTTTTCCTGGACTAGCCTCTTTACGTGCCGAGGGTCAGGAAGTGACGTACGACCTAAGCAAGGCTTCTGCACCTGATGCCCGTGGCAATCGGACCATTGTGACGGAGAGCGGCAAGAAGATTGTCATCGGCCCAGATGGCAAGCCCTGCAAGGCCTGCAATACAAGATTAGCTCTCAGAGAGGCAATGAGAGGCGCTGGCAGTGGAGCGGGCAAATCGTCGTCTTCTGCTGCCTCTTCCTCAGCCTCCCCAGCTGGCTTCTTTGGCGGTGCAATGGCAGCAGCGACTTCCCCTTCTTCGACAAGTTCGGCCTCCACCCTCTCTTGTCCTCCAGACGTAGAGGAGCTGGGTCGCTCTTCCTGGGATCTGCTCCATTCCATTGCTGCAACCTACCCCGAGAAGCCCAGCGAGGCAGAGCAGTCCGCTCTCCTCAGCCTCCTCAAGGCGTTGCCCATCCTCTACCCGTGTCGGCACTGTGCCCAAGCTCTGCAGGAGGACTACACCAGGAGGGATTCGGTGACTACAGCGTCACCTCCGTCTGCTGATGATATGAAGGTATCCGAGGCAGTAATCTCCAAGAGTCAGGCCATGCGCTTCACCTGCTCCATCCACAACGAGGTCAACGAACGGCTGGGAAAGCCAAAGTGGGACTGTGAAGATCTGCGGAAGCTGAAGGAGCGGTGGGAAGATGGAGGTCAAAAGTGTCTCTGAGCGAGATGGACCGGCCGGACATAGTGGCAGGAGACGCGGACATTGTACAACTTGATACCTCAGCACCTCTCTGCAATCTTTTGCAATCATATGCGATTCGCATGAATCATGGTGTGCCTTTGTCGAAGGAGTGTGTACAGATACAGATGTGATGAAAGAACCCCAGAAAACCAGCAGATCAGACGGCGGCGATGTTCACAGTACCATCCTTTCTACGCCTCCCTCCATCTCCTCCCCTCCCTGCTTACTCTTCTCCCTCTCCTTGCCCTTGTCCTTGTCCCTATCGCCTCCATACCCCCTCATAAGCCGATCAAGAGCACCCGGCGTCAGCTCGCCCGATCCAGGGAACCCTCTCTTCCTACTAGCGACTGGACTTCCCATCCGGCTCTTCCTGCCAGACCCACCGACTGAGCCAATTTCCCCGCCGGGACTGCCCGTAGCGAGGGATCCCTCGAAGTCATCGCGGGAATTGGCGGCAATGCTTAGCCCGAGACCGCCGGAACCATAGCCCGGTCCGGAACCAGAGGATTTGGGAGAAGAGCCCAAGAGGGAGCCTCCTGTGCCTAGCCCGAGACCGATGGGCATGGGCATGGGAGGACCACCTGCACGATGATAGTGGTGAGAGGAAGTGGGCGGGGAAGCGGGCCCGTAATAGGCCGCGGCCATTGGTGCACCCATGCTGCCGTTGCTCTCAGGACCGACGAGGGGAGTCGAGGGACGAGTGCTGGGACTGCGAGATAGTGAGGCAGTGCCACTTCCGGTGCCGACGCTTGCAGCCGCTGCAGAAGAAATGCCCCTACCCGATGGAGCCATCGACGCCCCGACGCTCTTTCTCCCAAAGTAGCCTCCTTCCCGATCCCGGCCTCCCATCGGCGGGCTCCTATTCGCCGCAGCTGACGAGCGATAGTATGGATAGCCACAGCCGCCGCCCGTTCCCAAGGGGCTTCCCCCGGTAAGATTGCCAGCTGCGACATTGGAACCGGCCATACTTGTTGCAGCAGATGCGGAGGCAAGCGATGTTTGGCCAGCGCCAGAGGAGGAGATGCCGGCAGAAAAGTTGCCGAGTCCACTGAGGGGGAGGCTTAGTCCAGTCAATGGGCTGACGGCTCGTCGCTTGTAGACGCTCGATGCGTACGGCTCAAACCTTTCTTCTGGGCCAAATTTGCGCTTGCTACGCGCACTTGGCGGCAATGCTCCTGGGCTCGAAGAGAGAGCTGGGTCGATGGCATTGCCGCCCATGGCACCCGCCAAGGCGTTCCCAGGCTGGCCTGCAGGAGACGTACTGAGCTTACCAACGTTGCCCTCCCTGTCTGTTTTGCTGCTTCCTGTACGATGGAAGCTGCCATTGTGGACACGATGGTGATGTCGCTTCTCCAGTGGTACAGAGACGGTGCCTGTGGCTGGGCTTGGGGAGTTGCGGAAGTCCGTCCAGGCAGAGCCCATGCGCTTGTGCGTCGAGGACGAGAGTGCTGGAGGTGTCGCATCGCCCGTCGGGGTACTCAATTTGGATGCGGTCTGGCTGATGACGCTATCGGATGTGGGGAAGGAGGAAGAGCGTTCGTGGCCTTTCTGCTGAGGATTCAATTGGCGTAGACTAGTGGCAGCTGGAGGCGTCGAAGCATAGTTGGCAGCATCTGCGGTCTTATTGTTGTCGTCTTCGTCGTTATCCATCGGGGTATCGGCTCCGCCTTCCCCGTTGGCAAGGGTCACCGAAGCGTTACGATGACGGTGGGTAGCAGGGTACGCATCGATAAGATCTGCGTAATTGTCTCGCAAGAAAGGAGCAGTGATGTTGGGCTCAATGGGTGGCGAAAGCACCTCTGAGCCCTCGGAGGTAGTGTGATCAGACTCAAAACCAACGTTGTCGAGAAGACCGTCTTCCTCTGGAGCGCCCGATACGGCCTTGCCATCCGACATCGACTCTTCGTCGTCCATATGAAGAGAGTAATCTGAGGAAGGAAAGCCTGTTCCTCCAGAGGTCTTGCGTGACGAAGTATGGGCGTCGACGAGATTCCGGCCACTGGCAGGGAAGGGACTTGCCTCTCGTTCTCTCCTGTACTCGAGGATCTCAGCTTCGTGACCCAATCTCCTTGTCAGCTTGGCCTCCGATGCAACCTCTGATTCAGAAGGGCGAGACTCATCACGCAGGAGAGACATGACCCGTAGGAGAGGTGGAGCTACAGAGCCTCGCCGTACTGTAGCCGCAAGCGATGGGACCGGGTTATCTGCAGAAGATCTCCGCCGCAAAGGCGGAGGAGAGGGAGAAGGTTCCATTGAAGCAGTGACGGCGCCCATATCATCTGCCAGCGATGTAGCGCCAGCCAGAGAGAGAGAAGCAGATGAATCGACTGCAGCTGTGGCTTCATCGCCGTCTGTCATCCTCATGTCCATGCCGTCCAGGTCGAAGTCGATGTCGACGTCCTCTGTTCCGTCTCCCTTGATCTCCTGAAACGGCGACTCCATTGAGTCCGGCGATACAGGTCTTCGAGGGATGGGAGAGCTTTGACGATCTCGGGGTACGCGAATTCTGTGCTGAGTTCGAGTCAGCCGCGGCGAAAGAGAAGGATGGCTGCCGCTGTTCCTGCCGGAAGAATGCTCAGAGGACCAGGTCCTGGTGGTGATGGATCCGCGCCGCTCGTCCCCTCCTGATTCGCCATCATCCTCTTTGTCTCTGCGACTACTTCCCGTCAGTCCCGCCCGCTGAAGATTGTCCCTGCGGCGAGCTGCAGACGAGGAGCCTCGCCCAACTGGACTCGGTGCTTCTGCGTCGCTGTCCTCCTCCTGCTGTGCACTGACGACGCTCTTAGCAAGTGAGCTTCTGGGTCGAAGAGCATAGCCGTACCCCGAGGTGAGAATGGGGGGTGCGATGCGCGCTTGCTGCGAGAGTAGAGAGGCTGAGGTAGCTCTCGGAGAGGGCAAAGCAAAGTCGGACAGAGAGGTGGTAAAGGCAGGGCGCGAGGGACGGGGACGACTGCCCGACGACTGAGAGGAGGCCGAGGCGGAGGGAGAGGTCTCAGAGTGGACCAAGGGCAGAGACGGCCGCCTGCCCAGCGAGTGACCGCTGTCAGCTGCGGCTGCTGTCCCGGGTGGACTCATAGCAGTGCATCGGTCATCGCGAGCCCTCGAGTGCTTCTGGGCTGGCCGAGGTGCACCTGGCTGTAGAGGTGATGATGCTGGGCTGCTACGACCATCGGCAGGCCTTGCCGCCCTGCCTATATGCCGGCAGCGGGGCGGAGAGACAAATGCGCGCCAAGGCAGAGGGCCGAGCGGGCGCCGCCTTTGGCGTGGGAGAGGGCCTCTGCTCCTATCCAATCCAACACCCAGCGACGACTCTACTCACCAACCTTGGCTGCTAGTCGTAACGACCGGATTTGACCCTTACGCATACAACCTCATCACCGCTCACTGTATCCATAAGATCGCCTGGATCCGACCTCTGATCATCCGCTGTTCTTGGCCTCTCAGGTCACGGAGATCACCCTTCGGCGGTTGAAGTTGCGACCGGGGCAATGAAGTGATGTTGGATACAGCGGCCAGCATGACATCCTCTGCTTTCCATCCCAACGTCAATGCACCTTCCTCGAGCACAGCAGAATCTCGACAGAATGTGCTGATCAGGAATGCAATTGCATCCGACTCTCAGAGGATTCGAGTGCAAGATGAGAGCACCGGGAAGTCGTATGAGCTACACTTAGGCAAAGGCGCTCCTTACCCCAAGCGGTACGGAGGCGACGATCCAGAAGACTATAGCTTCGAGCAAGAGTCCCCAACAAGCCCACAGAAGCTAGCGCCTCCGCTTGCTCCGTCCAAGAACCGGCTGCCTCGCACCACAGCGGGCAACGGCCACGTTCCGTCAGGCTCAAATGCGACGGCATCGTCTTCCTCTCATCGGGTTTTACGGCTACCCATGATCGTCAGACATCGTGGAAGTGCCCAAGTCCTCTCAAATAGTGCTGTCCCACGTACGAGCAGCGAGACAAATCAGCCTTCTCCGGCTGGGGACGCCAACGGTTCTCTCGCCCAGCCCGAGTCTTCGCCGAGAGGGAAAGCTCCGCCGTCACCTTCGACTCCTGTATCGACTCGCAGATCCCGGAGTGGTTCAAACAAAGACGCAGAGACTGTGGAGCAGCCGTCATCACCTGGCGATGCCCAACTCAAGGAATTGAACAAGAAGTACCATGAGTCACTCGCAGCCACTGCTAGCTCGAACCTGGCCCGTCAAAGCAGTGCAGACAGCAGCGGATATCATTCCGGGATGAATCTCTCCAACGGTAGCGCCAATTCCTCGGCCATACGCTTGAGTCCTCAGAAGTCCCCATCGCAGCATCCTCTTACAGCTCCGACGCGACACTACCCCATCATGAGCGAATTGCCTCCCTCTCCTCCGCTGGAGGACGAGGATGGTGACAGGACCCGCCGTCTGGGAAGCTCTACAGATTCAGACGTGCAGCGCCCCAAGTCTGGACAGAAGAAACCAGGCGCACAACTCACCATTGATACAGCAGCATCAGCTCGAAGGAGTTACACTCGACAGGCCTCGGCTGCTAGCACTTCGACCGCCTACATGAGCGCCGAAGAGGGCGTTTGGTCTCCTGAAGGAGACGAGGAAGAGCCGGCAACGCCCAAGGCAACAGCACCAAAGATGAAGATCATGCGGTATAGCCCAGAGCCGATGGAGGGCTCACCCCAGGGACTACAAGAAGGTGTCAACGATGCCCAGAGCTTGAGTGCTTCGCCATTGGCCGCCCCATCTCTGGAACGGACTATCAGCAGCACGTCATCAGAAGGCAAACCACTTCGAGCAAATACGACGTACAGCGGTCGCCATTATCTTCATCCTGCCTCCGCCCTCCCTAATGGACCAAGCTCTCCAAGCTCTCCATCGCGGCGCGGCAAACGTGCCGACGGGACAGTCCGGCAGCAACCTTCAAGAAGGAACACGACAGGATCTTCTACTGGATCGGCATCTGACTCAGCGCAGCAGCAGTCGAGCCTTGCGGAGGGAAGTCGACGCGGGCCCGAGAGTCGGTCCTTCTCTAGAGGCGCAGTACCGTCAAGTAGTCCTGCAGGCCAGACGAGTTTCATGGACAATCCCGCCGGCATATCTGCAAGCACATCTGCGCCCGGCGCCCGAGCCCTGCGCACGGGTGATGCAGGCTTCGATGAAGAGCTGGCAAAAGCCGAGGCCAATGTCAGAAAGCGGATCGAGCGGCAGCGTCGGGACGAAGAGGAAAAGGCGCTGGCTGCACAGCAGGCCGAAAAGAGTGAGGCATTGGAGAGGACGCAACTGCAGCGGGAGAGAGAAAGGGAGCGGGAAAGAGAGAAGGCTGCCGGCGGAGGCGGCGGAGGGGGAGGCTTGCCCGCTCTGATGAGGGCCAAGTCAAACCTTACCAAGCTTGGAGTCGGACAAGCGGGAGGGCAGTCGCAGACTCAGAGGGGTGGACCTTTTGGTACTGACGAAGAGAAGCCTATGGTCGTCGGCAACATCATCAACGAGAGCCACGTGAATTACGTCATGATGTACAACATGCTGACAGGTATACGCATCGGTGTCTCAAGATGTCAGGCCAAGGTGAAAAGACCTCTGGTCGACGAGGATTACAAAGCTAGACACAAGTTCACCTTCGATATTATCGGAAATGAGCTCACGCCTTCGGCTAAGTACGATTTCAAGTTCAAAGACTATGCTCCCTGGGTTTTCCGAGAGCTACGCGAGTACTTCCATCTCGACCCTGCAGATTACTTATTGTCACTGACGGCAAAGTACATCCTGTCTGAGCTTGGTTCCCCCGGCAAGTCGGGCTCCTTCTTCTACTTCTCGAGAGATTACCGGTTCATCATCAAGACCATTCGTCACAGCGAGCACAAGTTCCTCTTACGCATCCTCAAAGATTATCACGAGCACGTTAAGGCCAATCCGCATACCCTATTGAGCCGATTCTACGGCTTGCACCGAGTGAAGCTGCCTCAGGGTCGCAAGATCCACTTCGTCATCATGAACAATCTGTTCCCACCGCATCGCGATATCCACGAGACGTATGACCTCAAAGGGTCTTCGTACGGTAGGGAGTACCCCGAGGAGAAGGCAAAAACCAAGAAGGGCGCTACGCTGAAAGACATCAATTGGATCCGGCGGAGGCGCGAGCTCGAACTTGGTCCAGAGAAGAAGTCTCTATTTGCAGCACAGCTTGCCAGTGATGTGGCGCTGCTGAAGAAGCTGCGCATCATGGACTACTCGCTGCTGATCGGTCTGCACGATATGAGAAGAGGTAATTCAGAAAATCTTCGACAGGAGAAGCTGCAGATTGTCCAGCCCGAAGCAGGCACCGTGACAAGCGTTGAAGTTGCAGAGGACGTTCCCCGGGTATCTAACGGTCCATTGGCATCTCCGACTGTGGCGGGTCAAGGAGGCATGAACGCAAGCACCAGTTCAGGCAGCGGCGCTCCGATGCTGCAACGCTCTCGACCATCTCAGCGCAGTCACTCAGCCGATGTGGCGCCTGGCCGATTGCCTTGCAGAGGAAGTAGCGCTACTGTCCTCAGCGATGGCGAGTACGTAGATGCTGAGACGGGTTTGCCTGCAGCTCCAACTTCGAGCTCGCTCGCCGCCTCTGTAGTCCCCTCGAGTTCCAATGGTGCTGCAGTGACGAACCCATCTGGCAAGCGCGCCTCTGAGCAGAACGTCTTTGCCCTTCGTGCAGCCGTACGTCGCAGTGATCCCAAAGCTCTCGGCTCTAGCTCAACAGCACAACTACCTGCACAAGAGACTTCAGAGCGACGCCACTTCCTCTTCTACCAGGACGAAGGCGGCTTCCGTTCCACGGACGATAACAATGAGCCCGGTCCCTGGATCTACTACCTGGGCATCATCGATCTCTTTACGCCGTACTCGAGTATTAAACGCGGTGAGAATTGGTTCAAGCGCATCACCATGGACGGTAGGACCATTTCTGCCGTCCCGCCGAACCAGTATGGGAATCGCTTCGTCCAATTTCTCACTGCGGTCACGAGACCCATCAAGTGGAAGGATCTACCGCCTGGATTTGACAAGATTGAGCCTATGGAGTCGAGTGAGAAGACGACTTGACAAGGCGATGTGGCGCTAGCTAGCGCTCGAGGATGCGCTTCTTGACGAAGAGAGCACAAGATGTCTACCTAAGGGGGACGATCATAGCTACTTCTCTGGCACTACTCTGAGCTGCTCCACTTGTATCGAAATTTACCCCCATCGTCGCTGGACGACCCTCTCCACTAGAGCATGTCATGCTGCACTTTCCTTTTGGCCCAATCCGAGTCTTCTTTACCCATTCTCTGCCCACACGCATACACACACATATATCGTAGCTTTGCTTTTGGAGCAATTGAGATTCATTCCCTTGCTTCTTTGCGCCAGACTTCTCATACTGCTTTCTGTGCTCAAGTGAATTCATTCATTCATTCATTCATTTCCGTCAACAGCTTCAACCTGAGATTTCAGGACACTCTAGCTGCGTCTGAGAAGTACAAAATGAGGTTATTCGGCATGCTTGATCCCCTTTGGTATGAGATGCCCAGTGACTGTCTATGGATTCCCTCCTTTGTCCCGTAGCTGATGCGGCCATACCGCTCTCCTCGCTTGCGGATCGCCTCTCCTCTATTGCGTCTCAAAGAGGCGATCACCACAGTCTCCCAACCCGGGGAGGATGTATCCACCTTCCTTTGTCAACTGTGCATCTACCTGTCCGACATAGATCTTCAATCCAGGGAAGGTCTGTGCGACTTCTCTCAACCCTTGCTCACTGGCAAGGACACAGAGCAGCTTGACCTTTTCCACTGGCACACCCCAATCGACGATCATGTTCACACAGGCAGTAGCTGTACCTCCCGTAGCAATGAGGGGATCGAGGATGAGTACCTCGCTACAGGTGGGTTGGGCGGGGAGCTTGCTGTAGTACTCGACGGGCTGAAGGGACACCTTCTCCCGGAAGAGGCCGATGTGCAGGACCGAAGTAGAGGTAGGCAAGAGAGCCAGGGCCGAGTTGACCATTCCTAGACCGGCTCGCAGGATGGGCACGATGGCGATGCGATCCTATGAAGTTGGGGTGAGCAAGTGTGGGGAAAAGGGGATGCAGGACGAGAGTGGTGGAGGGGGGAAAGCGGCAAGATAGTGGATTCGGGTATCAGATTGAGCGCCCTTTTCCCCATTACCCCAGAATTCCGATGCGAGGTCAGCAGACCAGGACCACTACTCACTGCCATCTCATCTCCTTCAAATTGGCACAGTGGTGCCTTACCTGTGACCCTGGTGGTTGGTAAGCCCCTGGTTGCTTCTGTGACCAAGATGGAAGTAATTGAATCGAGGAGGGAGCGGAAGTCCTTTGCATGAGTGCTCTCCAGACGCAGGAGAGACAGGTGATGTGCCAAGAGTGGGTGGCCGACCAGATTTACATTGGTCGGCAAAGGAGAGGCCGAGGTGGAGGAGCTCATGGTGTGGGAGAAGTATGGAAGAAGCGAGGTGAGGTGAGGTGAGGTGAGGTGAGGTGAGGTGCTCCTGTCTTTGAGTGTGACTATGAGCACGGACGGACACGAGATACGCACACGCACACACGGACCAGATAGCGGGGGCTGTCGGACTTGGAAAGCCTTTGTCCGTCCTTCCCGTGGTAGCGTCGGACATCCCGGGAAGCGGAGGTTGAAGCTCAGCTAACTGGGCTCACGTGGGGCCGTCATCTGCCTCTTGCTCTCCATCTCGGGCCGAAAGCTCCGACAAAGGAACAACGTCGGACAGCTCCGTTCGGTTTGTCCCCGAGCCCAGCATGGCGCGTACGGTGCAGGGTGTCGGCCAGGTCGGTGAACAAGGAGGCCGACCCCACAAGGGCGCTGGGGTGCAGCTTTGCAGCTTCTGCAAGGGCAAATGGAGAGCGGCAAGTGGCGAGATGGTCATGGCTGTGGGCTCAAGGCAGGCAGCCCTGTATTCATGTCAGGTGGACTCGGTCGCAGTCAGATGCACACGCAGCCTCCGACTGCCACAGGGTCACTGCCCTCGCCCTCACGCCCAGCACCGCCAAGGCCAAAGAAGGACTCGACTCGACTCGATAAGTCCACTTTTCGCGCCCAGTCCCACCTCGGAACTCTGCAATTGTACCGGAAAACTCGCTTCCTCCGCTCTCGGCCCGCTCTGAACTGTTGCTCCCTGCTCCCTGCTCCCCCCCCACACCTCCGCCGCACCTACTCTCCCCCGGACATGTCTCATCTTCTCTCCTGGGGTAGCGAGGGACGCTGCTGAGCACTTAGAAGCTACATTAATCGTTCTCCAGTCTCCTTCTTCTCGATTGTCCGGCCCATACTTGCCTCCTCATCCTTCACATCCATCTTCCTCTTCGTCCTGCCTTTTTTTTTCCCCCACACCCAGACGCGTACCTGTCGCCCACCCTTTTGCTGTTCTTCGCAGCTCGACTTGAAGTCACGTACCACAACAGGGCCGTCAGACTAGCACCCACCTGTCTACATCTATCATGTCGGCTGAAGCTGGCCACATCCCCCACGATGCGCCCATGGCGCAGGACGTGGCGATCAACATCGATCTGCCTTCCCGCCGTGGTTCCCTGGACCAAGGACACGTGACCTTCGACGGCTTCCAGCTGGAGCAGGTGGACCCAAACAGTAAAGTCCACCCTTCGCACGACATCTTCAAGGACAAGAAGACGGGCAAGCACTACAAGAAGGTTGCACCAAGCTGGTCCATTGCCCATGCCGCCGCAAAGGGAAAGGGACAGCCTACTGTGGAGGGAAAGAGGGCGCACGGCACAAATTTCTCCGTCGGACACGCAATCGGCGCTTCCAAGAACAGAGAGCCGGGAACAGCGGGATCCAGGAGCGGAGCCACGACGCCCATTGCAACTTCCGGGTCGGGATTGACCGGCAATGACATGGAAAGGCTGGTGGAGAAGCTGAGATCCGTAGGTGAGTCGCCTTACGACCAAGGAGAGCAGTGGTAGTGATGCATTCTCTTGGAACGACTAATCTGACACGCCGCGCCTAATCCCACCCAATGCAACAACAGTGCGCGAAGAGGTTCGACAAGCCAACGTCGGTCACGCTGAGCACCTCGAGCGCGTCGTAGCTGAGACAGGACCACCCTTGGCACCCACTGTCTCCTCCACTGGCGAAAAGAGCAGTTTCGGCGGGGCTGGCGTCCCGGAGCTCAATGCCGAGGAGAGCAGTCCATCAAAGACCAGGGTCATCACCGAGACGGAGGCTGCCAGGGGTATTGACACCGACTCGGACGTGGAGGAAGCCTTCCCCAACAAGTGGGCAAAGATCCGCTACCAGTGTCGCGAGCCTTTTGCCGAGTTCCTGGGATGCTTTATCCTCATCACCTTTGGTACTGGTGGAGACATCCAGGCTCTCCTCTCGCCCAGCGTAGGCACTGGTATGGCATTCGGTCAATACCTCTCCGTCTCCTTTGGATGGGGTATCGGTGTCGCCATGGCCGTCTGGGTCTGTGGTGGAGTCAGTGGTCAAATCAACCCAGCCGTGACCTTGGCTCTGGCCATCTTCCGAGGTTTCCCTTGGAAGAAGGTGCCCATCTATTGGTTTGCTCAGATTTCTGGATGTGCCCTCGGAGCCCTCTGCATCATCGGTCTCTACTGGAACCCACTGAAGTTGGCAGACCCTGAAAAGACACAGACTACCGCTTCTCTGCTCACGACGTTCCCTCAGGCTTTCCTTGAACCACCCGGAGCTCGTCTATCGGGCTTCTACAATGAAGTCTACGCCACTGCTGTACTCATGATGGTCATTGTAGGAATCAACGATGGATCCAACACTCCCCCTCCAGAGGGAATGGCGCCTCTTGTTCTCCTTTGGCTCGTGACTGGACTAGGAGCATGTCTCGGATGGCAGACAGCGTATGCCGTTAACCCAGCTCGTGATCTAGGTCCACGTATCGCCCTTTCCATTGTAGGATACAGGGGACTCTTTACCTTTAATGCTTGGTACTGGCTTAGGACGCCTTGCCTTGGACCTCTGGTGGGCGCACCTCTTGGTTGCTTCATCTATGATGCACTCATCTACACCGGGGCTGACTCGCCGCTGAACAAGGCTTGGGGTGGAATTCGTTGGACAAAGAAGAGCAAGAAGATTCCTGCTGGTATTGATCAGTAAGGTCCGTCGCAAAGGAGTAGTGGGAAAAGAGAGAGAGAAGGAGCACGTAGGAAGAGAGGTGGAGCGATAATAATTAGCGTTCACATTCACATTCACATTCACATTCACACATACAACATCACACGAAAAAACAAGAAAGACGCACAGATTCATATGCACGTTTCACAGTTACTACAGCAATGTCCTTCTTGACGAACAATTGTCTTTGCAAATGCAACCCTATCAATTTCATCCTCGTTCTTCGTTCCATCTGCTCTATTACGACTTGATGCTTCTCGATTGCGGCCGTGATGACTGAGGACCCTTAGCACGCCATCTCTAGCCTTTACTACCTAGCGTTGATCGACTTCTCTAGTCAAGCTCTGACCGATCGATCACCCGCCCGAACGTATTCTAAGGTCTCTCTTCCCCCAGCTCCTGCCCTTGAGCCTGCTGCACCTCTGCAGCTGCCCCTGTATCCAGCGTCTCTCTTCGCACCTCCATCCCGGCCTTCTCCAGCTCCGCCTTGACTTCATCGATGCTCACCTCCTTTCGGTGGAAGATGCCCGCAGCAAGAGCAGCCTCGACGCTGCTACCTTGCCCCGACTCGCCCGCTTGGAGAGGCTTGGGAGTGAAGATTTCGGTGAAGTGCGAGGGATGACCTGCACCTGAAGAGGCAATGACGGGGACGGTCGTGTATCTTCGCACGAGGTCCACTAGCTGACGGTCAAAGCCCTTGCCTTGCCCATCGGCATCGATGCTGTTGACCAGTAGCTCGCCTGCACCGAGCCTTGTGACTGCCCGTGCCAGCTGGACAACATCCACGTCCCTCGTCTCGCGCCCGCCCTTGATCGTGCAGGCGTACCACCAGGAGCGCTCCCCATCGCTCACCACCGACCAGGCGTGGGCAGGTGGAGCAGGTTTTCCCTCCTCGAGGTAGACTCTCCGAGGGTCGATGGACACCACGACGGCCTGGTTACCGTATGCGCCAGCGATGCGTTCAATTCCCGTCTGGCCAGTCAGAGCGGATGCGGGAGCCTTGACTGGGTCAAACTCGCCCTCTGCCAAGGCGGCGAGGAGGGTTTCGGTGGCCGTCACGGCCTCCGAGCCGATACTGACCTTGTCTGCTCCGGCGCGGAAGTAGGCCTCGGCGACCTCCAAGGCAGAGTGAGGAGTGCCGTCTGGGTCGACTGTATCCTTGATGCCTCCTCCGATCGTCAGGGGGACAAAGATGGTTGCGGCTGCGATTTCGGTCATGGCAAGCATCGGCTGGTCTTGTAGTGCCGATGAGCGGAAAGAGGTGATGTTGAGGAAAGTCACCTCGTCTGCTCCTTCGAGGTAGTACCGCATTGCCAGATCCACCGGCTTGCCGAGATTGCGGACTTCTCCGTTCGAGCCCGTTGTAGCCTTGGCAGCTGAGCCGCTCTCTGCCTTTTCTCGAACATCGTAAGACTCTCCCTTTGTGACCACAAGATCGCCTTGGTCGTTCGACCTCACGTCCAGACAAGCGACGATTCGTTTTGTCAGGCCATCTTTCGATCGCGGCTTGGCTGCTTGTGAGGGCTCCATCAGCCACTTGCCGGTAGACGAGGAGGCATCGCCTTGCGAAAGCCAAGCTCTCAGAAGCTCCAGTCCCGCCTTTCCAGACTTCTCGGGGTGGAACTGAGTAGCGAAGATGTTGCCCTTTTGTACAGAGGAGAGGTACACCTCTGAGCCATACTGCGTCAAGGTGAGGGCGCAGTCCTCGTGAAGGTTGGGATCGAAGGCCACCCGGTGAGAGTGAACAAAGTAGAAGTGGTCACTTGACCGACTAGAGCTCTCACCGGTAACCTCGTCCTCGGCCAGGCCGTACCGAACGGCACCTGCCTTGACGGCGGTAGCCCTGTTCCATCCCATGTGAGGGACCTTTTGGCCGTTGGAGCTGTCGAATTTGCCTACTGCGCCAGGCAACACACCCAAACCCTCTACACCAGGAGCTTCATCGGATGACTCGAAGAGAGCCTGCATACCGATGCAGATGCCCATGTATGGCTTGCCTGAGGCGATGTACTCCTTGAGCGGCTCGGCGTAGCCTTGCGACCGAAGCGAGGAGAGCGCCTGACCGAAGTGACCCACTCCTGGGAAGAGCAATTTCTGTAGGATCCAAGGCGGAGGGGGTCAGTCTACGCCCAGCGATGTCAAAGGCTCCGGTCCGGCTCACCGTAGCATGCTTGAGATCCTCTGGGCTCTGGACCCACTTAAAGTCGTATCCTAGCTTTCGGATGGAGTTGGCCAAGCTCCGCACGTCTGCAGGCGGGTGGGGAGACAAAGGTCAGAAGAGGAACAGAAGTGCGCGTAGGCATCTGGCGCTGGACACTCACTGCCAGCTCCATAGTCGAGGAGGTAGAGCATGTTGCTGATGGATGTCTATCTATGGATGGGGAGTCAAGACGGAAGTGCACCGAGACCCTGTCCCAGTCAAGGTCTGGGCGTGAGTGTCCGCCCTCGGAGTCACGCCGGCGCCGCGCAAAATCCCATCTCACTTCCGCCGCCTTTCCGCTTCTTCGCATCAGAGACACACCATCGTACCAGTCGACCTCACCACTCAAAGCACTTGGATCCTACCGCCAGCCCTTCCAGTCTCACCTCGCTCTCCTAGAATGCTCACAATGGCATCAGGTACACCGCCTAAGATCCCCAGGGCTGTCAAGCTCATGGAGACGTACGCTAGCGGTCTGGGAGCAGTCAAGCTGGCTAGCAGCGTGCAGGCCCTGAGGCTGCAGGTCAACCGTAGACCCAAAAGGGTGGGAGAGGGGTGAGTAATGGCGCTCGGTGGACGAGAAAGACCCTATTTACGTAAGGTCCGCCAGGCTGATATCTCTACCCGGCGGCTTCTCTTGACCGCTCCTGCAGGCAGTTTCTCAAGAATGTCCTACCTCGTCTAGCCTACAACAACCCAGGCATTCCATTCCATGTCACCTACCTCCAGCAAAAGCAGCAAGAGCAAGCGACCGATGTCTCTGAGCAGGCCGAATCCAGCGCATCTGGTTCAGCTGAGAAGAAGCCCAAGAAGGAGCAGCAGGGGTCTGCAGTGATTACAATTGAATATGGTGAGTCCAAAATGAAGCTCACATCACCCGGCTAGCCAATGGCATTTTCTGAGACGGTTTGCTTCTTGTCTGCTTGTCTACACGTTTCCCTCAGCCGGCATTCCTGCACGTCAAATCCACTTGGGCGACAAGCCCTCTTCGTCCATCTCTCGAGAGCTGCTAGACCTAGCCAGGTTCACAGATGAGGCCATCTACAGCCAGTCGAGCAGCAGGAGGGCAGCGAGCAAAGCAACGAGCTCGGGGGCTACTCCAAGGGTGGATGGTGGTGCAGCTGAGGAGATCTTAGCACCGGAGGCGAGCGCTTCGAATTTGGCTGGAAGCGCAGAGGGTCTAGCAGATGTCGATGGCGTAGGAGCGATAACCTCGAAGCAGTAAGCTCTGGGTGTCATGATCCAATTGCTAGTACCCAAAAGGATGAGGATTGTGAATGTTTGTACGATTTCCTGCTGCCATCAGTGCTTTCCAGGTAGTATTTGCCTCTGCTACTCAAAGCGTTCAGGATGTCGTGACCGGAACGGAAGTCGCAGCAACACTGCTCCACTTCTGCGACGCGCCTGGGCCTTCGCTCATCCGCACCACAGCCGACCTCGGCTGTTCCTCCCCACCGCCTTTCCTTGCTACCTGCCATCTCAAACATAAGCTGTTTCTTCCTCATCTCTTCTGAAATGTCAGCCGCAGAAGGGCTTCCCAAGGAGGCACCAGAAGTGATGGCAGCGCCTCCCAACCCCGGCGCAGAGGCCGTCGCGGTGCCAGAAAAGTCGGATACCGTTGTCAAGAAAAAGAAGAAGAAGAACAAGAACCACAACAAGACGGATGATACTTCTTCACCTGCCACCGTTGTACATGATCGCGCTCCTTTGCAAATCAGTACAAGACGTGGACGAACCCTTCTTGACGTCGTTCAGTTCTCGGCATCTCTGCTGCTGCGCTTGTCTGTCTACATCTTCCTGCAGTGGATCCCTACCTCTTTGGCATGGCCTCTGATCCCCATACTGTATGGTACCTACGTCGTCAGCTGGCTGCTCAAGGATCGCGGGGTGAGGAAGCTCGTGAAACAGGGCAGCGCTGCGATTCTCCCACAAGCCGGTGCTGGCGACCTCAAGGAGCTCGCAGATGGTGTCACTGTGACAGACCAGACAATCGGGAAGCAGGTAGGCAATGCTCATCCTGCGGAAGGCGCAGGACTCACTGAGCCACCGACTGTTGAGTCTCGCCCCTCTTCTCTCTACGGCAAAGCCGTCGCTCTGGTCACTGGACTCTCCATTCCATCGCGTCGGGTCAATCTCCTCAATCTGGGCCTGCACACACTCCTCTTCTCCTTCTTCCTCGATTCGTACGGATCTCCCTATCTCTTTCCCTCGCACTTCGAGCACAATCTCATCTTCCACCGAGTGGGTGATATCGGCCCAACTCACTCCAAGATCCAGGTCAGGTGGCCTGAGCCTCTACCTCTATTCTCTGGGCTGGAAGAGACTTCAGAGGGCAGCGGCGTTCTAAGAGACGGGCTGCAGCGCGTAGAGAAGCCGTTCAGGATTGTCTACACTGAAGTTTCGAGCAAGGCGGGCATGAGGAGCCGCTGGGAGCGAGGGCCTCTGCTGACCCTTCTCGAGGAGAACGACTGGACTACGACTGCTAGCTTGAGCAACCTCTGGCCTGCTACACAGTACGAGTATCGTCTGGCTTGGGCCCACAACAACACTTTCGTGGCGCCTCACCGACTGCTTGAGTTTCAAGCTTCCGTCGGCGGAGTGGGAGAGGAGGAAGTGGCTTCGGCTTCCGAGAGGAACTATGTTGGGGGAACATTCAAAACTTGGCCAGATCCTCGTGTAGGCCAGGGTATGGGCGGTCTGGCCTCTACGCCGGGCTTGCTAGAGGACGAGGAGGACGAGAACGTGCCGTTGGATGATCCGAACTAGTGAGTGTACGATGCTTCAGGATTTGACTCAGATAGATTATGCGAGCTGAACCTTTGCAATTTCCCGTCAATCAGTTTCCGCTTCATTACCTCGTCTTGCGTCAAGCCTGACTTTCCCTATAACCCTTCTCAATTCGTCCTCTGGTCATGGCTGCTGCGACTTCTCCCTTCTCCTGCGCTTTACCTGCCTGCCGAGTGGGTAAGTCCTCAAATCAGCAACAGCTGGGCGAAGCGCAATGTCATTCCAGGCTTCGACATGATCTACGATCGCTACATCAAGGATCGCCCCGAGCCCTCGGTCCGCTTCCTTCTGTCCCTAGGCGATCTGATCTATGCAGACGTACCCAGGTATGGTGGACCAAAGATCGACACGTACACTCGTCTCTGGAGAAATCTTTTCGCTTCGCCTTCTTTCAAGCGGGTCTTTGAGAAGATTCCTACCTTTGGCCCGCTGGACGATCATGAGATCAAGAACAATGCTGCTGGTCAATTGACAGAGGGGACCGCTGTAGGCGAGGCCTTTGGCCCTGCCTTGCAGGCCTGGTCGCAGTACTTCGGCAGTGTTGGACCAGACCCACTCTCGCCCGGGAAGCACTATTCGGCTTTCAGGTACGGCAATGAGGCTGCGTTCTTCAACTTTGACACAAGGACCCAGAGGACCCCTTCCACGGGCTACACCGGCGAGGAGGAGGACGATCTGCAGCACATTCCCGGAGCAGAGGACGATGGTCTCCCGCCGACTGTCCTTGGTCAAGAGCAGAAGGACGACTTTATCCGCTGGCTCCGCGCCGTCAACAATACTGCCACCTTCAAGATTGTCGTCTCAAGTGTGCCCTTCAGCACCCTCTTTGCCCGCTCCACCCTGGACGTGGATGCCCGCATGGACTCTTGGGCCGCGTACCTCTCCGAGCGTAGCGAGCTAATGCGCGAGCTCGAGTACGTAAAGAACGTCCTCATCATCTCTGGTGACCGTCACCAGTTCCTCGCTACCTCTCTCCGCTCTGGAGAGGATCCCAATGTGGACAGGTACACAGTAACGGAGCTCTGCGTTGGGCCCCTCAACATGTTTGCCCTACCCATTTCCATTGGCGAATCGTCCGAGACGGACAAGCTGCTGAAGCACATTCCTCTCGGTCGGCAGAAGTGGGCTGACATCGTAGTCGATACGAGGCGAGTGATGGAGCCTCAGCTGAGAGTCAAGGTGTATGTGGATGGACAAGTGACGTGGAAGGTCAAGTTGGTTGGAGAACCAGTGGCACTCAAAGCTGTTAAGACAGTCGGGGGTATTGCAAAGAGCTTCTTGGAGCTGCTGAATTGGAGGCCGAGGAGGTGGTTCTAGAGTGGGATGCAAATATCATGACATTAGGCAGGGCGAGGACGGAGAGAAGTATATGGATCTGTCTAGAGTCTCCGGTACGATGGCCAAAGTGTCCATCATTCTCTGGCGGGTGTCCTTCTTCTGTCTCTACTAGGTATACAAACAAACAAATCTATGTCCTCCCTCTCTTATCAGTCTCCCTCTGTCTGTCCCTCATCCCGCACAAATGCGTGCAAAGCCCCCTCAACCTCGTCCCAGAAGTCCCTCACTTCTCCATCCCAAAACGGCCTCAGGTGGGTAGCCAGCACTCCACAAGTCCCATCCTGTGGGTCTAGGAACCAAAAGGCATTCGGCGTCCCCGTCCACCATACAGCTCTGTCGCTACGACCATTCTCCAATCCATCACTGACGCGTGCGCCAGCAAAAGTCCACTGTTTGGCTTTTTGGGGGTGGAGTGTGAAAGGGTAGGAGAGAAAGGGGTAGCTGCAGTCGAAGGAGCGCGACAGGTCCGGACGCATAGACTCGGGGATGCGATCTTTCAGCAGCTCCTCTACTGATGATGGCGAGAGGATCTTTCCGCCTGTGATTGGGTGGGTGCCACCATTGAGCAGCGCAACGAGCACTTGAGCGTAAGCACGTGGAGTGGAGAAGAGTCTGATTCCACCAGAGAGGTATCCGAGCTTCGTATCATCGAGCTGTACCCGATGGGGTTCCGTCTTAATACTCCCATCTGCCTCCCTCACATGCATAGGAGCTAGTCCACTCTGCACACACTCGCTTGCACCCTTCATCGTCATTTCCCCCTGCACCCCCAGCGGACCGTACACCCTCCGCGCGAGGTACTCGTCCAGATCTTGCGCGCCTGTCAGACGCTCCAGTAGAACGCCGACCCAATCCAGTCCGGGTGAGTAGCACCAGCGCGTGCCGGGTGTGGCTATGAGCGGTGTGGAGAAGGAGCGAATCGTCCCTTCAAAGGGATTGAGACCGATATGCTGACAGTAGTCTCTCGTCTGAGCGTGGAAGTGCGGATAGGAGAGACCGGAAGTGTGCGAGAGGAGCATAGCTAGAGTGATAGGCGGGCGATATCCTCCCTCCTCTTCCTCGCGGTGCACAAGCTTGAAGTGTTGCTCTTCCTTCCCATCGCCGTCGCTCGAAGTAGAGAACTCCAGCCTAGGGAGAGCCTTAAGCTCAGGAAGCGCCTCCTCGACGGAGTCGTCCAGCCCAATCAGCCCATCCTCGACGAGCTGCAGAGCAGCAACGGCCGTGAGAAGCTTTGTGCATGATGCAAGCCAGAAGACCGATGAAGGCCCAACGACTTCATCTTGACCCCACTTGGCGATTGCCTCTCTGTTGCTACTACCACTGCGGCTCTCACTGTCAGAGGAAGAAGCAGAAGGAGAGCAGACTTGCGCTACTTCTTGACCGGAACGATTCGAAAGATAGACAACCGAAGGCGCCAAACGCCCCGCGGCTACTCTCGCATCGAGGGCGGCCTGCACCTGAGATTGTAGCTCAGACGCCGCCGCCGAAGAAGAGTAAGGCGGAGCTACAGAAGGAGGAGCAGATGAGGAAGCCATGAGGATACAGACAGCGCCTACAGCTGCAATCGATGGTCAGCGAGGGGAAAAGAGCAGGGACCCAGAGCGGCCTTCTTCAGGCTACGCGACTTTTCTGATGCTGCAAGTCTATTTCTCCGGAGCTCCGCCCGCCGCTTTCGCCGGCAGCGGTCGAGCGCCACAATCTCTCCCTACTGTAAGCCACATTCGGGTCGGTACGATGAACAAGACCAGGCAGACTTGCTGATCTTGACAATGGTCGATCAGCTACTTGACTCTCTGCATTGAGCTTCAATCCGAATTAGTCTACCCTGACATCGAGCCATCAGACGACAGGAGCACGGCAGAGTGAGATGAGGTCGATCATTAAGGTGCGCATGAGGAAAGGAAAAGAGCTAAAAGTACATAAAGGAGAAGGGGGAAGTCATGCCACACCTCAGCAATCAGCAACCAAGATCGAAGGTCCACCAACGAAAGGGAGAGGGGAGCAAAGGCAGCTCAACGGTAGGCCCACACACGATGGTTGCGTAGTCAGCGTAGCGCCAGTGTCTCGACCCTCGACGTCTCAAAGGCAGCGACTCCTGCTTCTAAGATGCCACCACTGCTCCTTAAGCAGCCTCCTGCTTGGACTCGCCAGAGTCCTCACCACCCTGCTGGGTCTCGTAGTCTCGGAGAACTTGCAGGGCCTCGCCAACCTTGGAGTTGAGGGCCTCGCCGTCTTCTAGAACGTGCAGCAATTCGCTGACGGGCAGCTCCAGGATCATACCAGTGAGCTTGCCAGCCAAGTCGGGGTGGTTCTCCGCAATCTTGGGGTAGATGGCCTCTCCGAGCATCTGCTTCTGCTCCTCTGGTCCAGCGTTAGCCAAGGCAGCAGCGGTAAGAGTGGGCTGAGCGGGTGGGTATTGCTGACGGCCACCGGGTCCACGAGCACCAGCGGGCATGCCACGGCCAGGCAGAGGCTGACCAGGTCGAGGAGCGCCGTTGAGACCAGCGCCTCCAGGAGGACGAGGTCCGCCAGCCTGAGGAGGCATGCCTGGGCCACCACGAGGGGGACGAGGGGGGCGGTAGCCGGAAGGTGGAACCATTCCAGCAGGGAATTGACCGTAAGGTCCAGCCATAGGCATAGCCTGGGGCAGCATCTGACCGGGGGCGGGGTAGCGGGGTCGCTGGCCGACCATACCAGGCTGACCGGGGAAGCCAGGCTGAGGGAAGTACAGGGGCTGTCCAGGGTAGCCAGCAGGAATCCCAGCGGCGGCAGCTTGCTGCTGCAGGCGGATCTGGTTTTGCTGCATGATCTGAGCCTCGAGCTGCTGTCGTCGGTCCTCCTTTCGCTGGGCCAAGGCGACGTACAGAGGCTTGTTGTCCAGCATCTTGCCGTTCATCTCAGCGACGGCCTTGTTGGCCTCGTCGGGTGCAGAGTAGCAGACGAAACCGAAGCCTCGGGAGACACCGGAGGTAGTTCGCATGATCTTGCACGAGGTAATGGCACCGAACGGCGCGAACTCTTCACGGAGTCGCTCATCATCGAACTCCTCAGGGATGTTCTTCAGGTACAAGTTGACACCCTGGAACTTGGAGAGCTTCTCGTTCTTGGCTGCCTCGAAAGACTGGCGCAGCTCAGCGTCTCGCTCGTTCTTCTTCTGGGCTCGGGCGACGAAGAGCTTCTGGCCGTGGAACTCAGTGTCATGTAGGTCGTCAACGGCCTTCTGGGCCTGCTCGTGGTCCTCGAAGTTGACGAAACCAAAGCCGCGGCTCTTGCCTTCGTCGTCGGTGGAGAGGACGGCAGAGGTGATGCTGCCGTATCCCTTGAAGAGTCCCTCGAACTCCTCCTGAGTGACTTCGACGTCGATGTTCTTGCAGAAGACATTAGTGAACTTGGCACGGGCCTCCTCGATCTTCTGCAGTCGCTCCTTCTTGGGGACGTGGTGGCCGACGAAGACCTTCTTGTCGTTCAAGAGCATTCCATTGACGTGCTGGATAGCCTGGTCAGCAGCCTCGCCAGTCTCGTAGTGGACGAAGCCGTATCCGAGAGAACCGCCCTCTCCGATTGCGACCTTGCACGACAGAATGTTACCAAAGGCAGCAAAGGTGTCGTGGAGCGCCTTGTTGTCAATGGCCTCGTCGAGGTTCTTGATGAAGATGTTGCCCTGACCAGTGCGTCGGAGGGCTGGGTCACGCTGCGACCACATGATTCGGCAGGGTCGTCCTCGGATGACCGAGTAGTTGAGCTGCTCCAAGGCACGCTCTCCATCGTTGGAGTTGATGAAGTTGACGTAGGCGTATCCGAGGGATCGTCGAGTGACTGCATCTCGGCAGACTCGGATCGAAGCGACGGGGCCGATCATACTGAAGATTTCGAACAGCATGGCCTCGGTGACGGAAGGGTCCAGCTCACCGACGTAGAGGGAGGTGTTCTGACTCTGCTGGTTGTTGTTGGAGTTGGCAGAAGCTCCATTGCTCTGTTGAGGAGCAGGGGCAGCGGGAGATGCCTCAGCAGCAGCGCCATTCCCGGCAGTCGAAGTCTGCTCAGCAGTGGCATCCGGGGCAGCGTCCCCAGCAGCAGCCGGCTGCTGCTCGGTGGTAGTAGTGCTGTTGGTCTCGGGGAGCTCCTTGGAGTCGACTTTGGGTGACGTAGCAGACATCGTGGCAATTTTGGTTAGGGAGAGGGTAGGTAAGATGAGGAGTGGGTATTGGGTGTAATGGGAGATTTAGTCGGCTAAGGAAAGACGAGAACAAGAGGCGCGTCAGTACGGACTCCTCCAAGGCATGACTAGTGCCGTGATGTGGACTCACAATTCAAAAAGACTCAACACAAGAGGAAGAGCTGATGGAAACCTTTCGTATGGTTTGATTTTTCAAGTTTTTTTGGGCTTTCTGTGAGGGTAGCAGGCGAACAGGGGGTAATCAGTAAGGAGCTGCATCTTTGACCTTTGATAGTTGCGTCTGCTGAAAAGAGCACCGGTAGAACAGAGGCTGTGGACCCGTCTGAGCTCTGACACTCACTCTGGGGTTTATGATACTCCTCTCGGATTGGATATCCTTGAGAAAGTAGTCGTGGCAGGTGTGTGATGGTGATGGGTTGGCGGTGAGGAGAAGGGAAGGACGATCTGCCTCCGCTTTGGCCTCGTCTGTCCGCCTGGCCGAAAACTTTTCTGTCTCGGGCGCACGTCTGGGCCAAGGCGGGGCTGGGCGGCAACTGCGCGCGCAACGCCAGGCGGACGAGGCAGCGAGCAGCCACGCGACCAGGAATTGGAACTCAGAAAGTGGTTCACGCCTCGAGACGCGCGAGGCAGACGTCGCGACGGGGAAGCAGCCGGGCGGGGCAGCAGCCAGGACGACCTTCTCAATAAAGAGAAGGTACAGTCTGCCTCCCTCACACTTCACCATCTCCTCCACCGTCACCATCGCTACCACCCACATCTGATTCAGCATACTCAGTCATCGATGCAGACCTTCTGAACAAGTCGCTCCCAATCAAGCCAGACCCGCTGCATCCTCACGACCCTTGATCAAGCCCCAGCCTGCCTGCCTGCCTTGCATTCGCCTTTGTTCCACTACCTCACGCGACTGTGCCCACTGCCATATAGCGCATATACAGTCATCTCGCCGTCACATCAGGTGAAAAAGTAGGCAAGGTGCCAAAGATCCATCGATCCTCCTTTCACGACAACGACAATGACCCTCACTCGAGCCAGACAGCAACTGGTGCAGCATTCCAACTCCAACGAATGCCTCGACCATGACGAGCACTCCTCCTTCCTCGAGTCTTGCACGCCCAAGCAGCGCCTCACCAGGTCTGCTGCTGGCGAGCAGGAGCTGTCCAAGAGCTCCTCTGCCATGTCTCTGCTACGCAACGGTCTGGCGGCCTCAATGAAGCGCACTGTATCCTCCCCTTCCATTCTCAACGCAAAACCCTCGACACCCATGTCGAGGACGCGGTCTACGTCCAACTCTTCCAGCAACAAGTCAAACAGTAGCGCAAAGACCTCTGCTCCTGCCACAACTTCCTCAACACCTTCCCTCACCCGACGCGGCACATCCTTTGGGCCTCGCAAATCCAGCGCGGCAGACGGGTCGGACTCGTCTGATGACGAAGACGGCGCCTCTTCCTCTTTCAACTCGAGGTATGGCGGGTGCAGTTCCGACATTGACGTAAATGACAGAAGAGACGACAGCAACAAGGAGAACATCGCGCCTCTTCGCAGACTAGGTGACGCAGCGGAGGCAGAGAGCTCTGCTCGAAGGAATACCCCGAGGGGATCCCTCACGATGAGAAGGTCGTCTTCGTCTGCCAGTTCCATCACCTCGAGCGTTAGGTCGAGCGGTAGGCCTTCTCTCTCTGGACGATCAGCCAGCAACATTGCAGGCGAGGCGGCCAGCAGCCCATGTGAGTAACAGTGCATCGTTGCCGTGATGACACCGTCGACTTGTTGTTGACTCCTCCGGCCCTTCTTTTCCATCGATCGCCAGCTATCACTCGCCGCACGTCTTCCCGTCTTACAGCCGCAATGCCTACCACGCCTGAGAGCAGGAAGAGGCAACGCTCGCAAGCTGACGCTGAAGGCTCCGACATGCGTGCACCAAGCACTCCGATGACGCGCCTCCGTCTCGACGCTCCCAGCAACGACGGGGAGAGTTACTTCTCCAGTCAGGATACCCCGACGACGACGGCCGGATCACTCTTCGATGCCTCGAGCCAGCACAGCAGTGCTTATTCACGTGCCACCAGTCCAGAGGTAGACCCCTGCGCTGACGCAGATGTAACGGCTACTGCCGCCATTCCAGTCAAGGCTCTGTACAGCAACGTCTATGCTCACGCCCGCGCTTTGTTGAGATACGCAGCAGGAACTTCACTTGAAGCACCGGCACCATCATCACCATCGACTGGCGACGCAACACCAGGCTCTTCCTCTGTTGCTGCTGTGCAGATCGACGGCTCAGACGTCCAAGTCATCGGTCGACATCAGGAGCGTCGTGCCCTGCACGCCTTCATGTCGAAGCGCTTCGGCATCTTCTCCTCAGCCGACCAGGTGGATGCCAACATTGAAGAGCTACTCGACGGCAATCCAGACTCTGGAAGCCTCTACATCTGTGGTCTGCCAGGTACAGGTAAGACTGCTCTGGTCCGCTCGGTGCTCGGCGAGGTCCTGGACTTGGCCGAGACAGAAGCCAGTGCGCCGCGCGTGGCCTTTGTCAACTGCATGGCCGTCGATCATCCTCGCCAGATCTTCGTCAAGGTGCTGGCAGCACTCGGAGAGACTGTCAAGGGTGCAAGCGAGAGCCACACTGAAGCCGAGGCTGAGAGAAAGATGGACAAGATCGTCAATCAAAGCAGCCGCAGAACGTGAGTAGCAAAGCAGACCAAAGGCGTACGCGACGTTCAGAGACTGACAATCTTGCCTTCAAATCCCTTCGCAGCCTCATCGTCTTGGATGAGATCGACCATCTGCTCCGCTCTCGAGCTCATCAGAATGTACTATATCGACTATTCGCCTGGGCTTCCGAGGGCACCTCATGTGGCCTCATCGGCATTGCCAACTCTCTGGATCTGACGGAGCGCTTTGTCCCTCTCCTGGCCAGCAAAGGAGCAGCACCAGCGCTACTGCACTTCCGTCCTTTCGAGAGCAGGGAGATCGTAGAGGTGCTCAAGGCCCGACTCGGTGGTCTCCGACCTCGCTACGACGGAGAAGCAGAAGACGAAGCCATGACCGAGCTGGCGACTTCCTCCGCTTCGTCATCCGCAGTGCCGGCAGTGCTACCGCTCTTCATGCCCGCTGCACTTGAGCTTGCATCAAAGAAGATTGCCGCTGCAACGGGAGACTTGCGCAAAGCGCTCGATGCAGCTCGTCTAGCGGTTGAGGTCGTCGAGGGCGAGCAGCGCAAGCAGGCCCTCGCGAACTGTACCGCAACTGGCACAGGCACAAACACAGAAGCAAGCAAGCTCCTCTCGCATCTTACTCCGTCTTCTGCACCGAAGGTCACCCCTAGCCACATTCTCAAAGTAATGAGCGCAGTTCTTGGCAGCCCTCACCTGGGCAAGATCCGCCAGCTGGGTCTGCAGGCCAAGTTGATCCTTGCGGCGTACATCGTAGCTGAGAAGCGTGCTGCTGCCAATCTGCCCATCCTAGGCTCTGCCAGCAACGCTTCCTGCAAGAAGCCCAATTGTAGCACGGCAGGAGCCATGAGGATGGCTGACATTGAAGCGACCTACGGCGCGATGCTCGCCAACGACGGATCTTTCACAGCGCTCGAGTCTTCCGAAGTTTTGGAAATCTTCCACGGTCTAGAAGTACAGGGCACTCTCTCCCTTGGAAGCGAAGCAGAATCGGCCGGTGGGAGCAGCAACAGCAACAGCACCGGACTCACCGCACCCTCGGGCGCCAGCAGTCCTACCTCTGTGGGTGTCATTGGCAGCGGCGTCTCCCCAGGCGGCAAGCGCGCAGCAAAGAAGCAGCTCCTTGCCTCTAATCGCGTCGTCCGTCTTCTCCTGCCAAGGGAAGACGTACAAAAGGGAATCACTACCGTCGCCTCTACTCTTGGTTCCAACTCGGCTTCCTCGGATGGGAGTGCAGCTCCTTCGCAGGCGACGGTGGATGCAATCAAGCGCATGCTGACCTTTGAGGAAGAGAGAGTGCGAAGGAGCCGTGGTTGGGAGGAAGTTGCCAAGGCTCGAGAGGAGGTGAGGAGGGAGGAATTGGGTGGGGGAAGGATGGCGCTGGGTATCTAATCTGATCAAATCTGGCCGAGTGAAGTTACGGAAGGAAGGGTACGGTACGGTAGGGCTGGGTTGGTAATGATCTCGACTCTCCTTTCTTGCATGGTACAAATTTCTCTTGCACACTACTCATTGATGCGCATCGCATACTTAACGACCTCCCTCCCTCTCTCTCTGTTTCACTGTTTCTCACTCTCATGCTATGGCTCGCTACTGTAACTACTCTCCAGTTCTGTCTCGTATGTCGATTGCCCCTTTTGCAATGAATCTCCATAATGAAATGAACACTTTGCACTGATCGATGATGGGTCAGGTATCTTTTGCCGAATATTGTGAGTACGAGCATACAGAAGGGAGAACCGACACGACTCAACCTTGACCATGACATCGACATCGACATCGACCTCTCGTACTCTGACTGCCCGTTCGTCCGGTCACAAGTCGGCGAAAAAGTCATTGGCTTCCTTCTCCTGGCGCTGTGTTCCGCCGGCAGAGAGGGTGGCGAGACGTTGCTTTTCCTTTCTTGAGAGGTTGCGTGGTGGTGGTGGTGGTGGTGCCGGAGAGTTGGAGGAGTCCGAGTCCGAGTCCGAGTCGCTGTCGCTGTCGTCGTCATTGTCGGATGCATCGGAGACGTCCCCTCCATCGCCAGCTTTGGCCTGACTGAGATCGTCTGCCTCCTCTTCCTCTTCGTCGTCGTCGTCGTCATCATCGTCATCCGAGTCTGATCCTCCTCCCACTCTCCGAGCCAAAGCTTCTGCATCTTCCCCGACCCCCACTCCCTCTCCATCTCCTTCATCATCACTCTCATCCTCCTCATCTTCACTATCACTCCCATCCAAAAGCCCACTGATATCCGTAACCTTGACCTCGCCCCCATGTCCACAACTAACGACCGTCCCGCCCCCAGGCTTCCTCTTCATCCTCTCCACCGGCAAACCCATTCCATGATCGGCAACTACGCCTAGGAATTTATGAGGGAGGATTTGGACTACGCGTATTAGGCCGTCAGAGGAGCCTGTGAGGATGGTGGAGTCGTCCAGGGGAAGGAGAGTATCGATGGAGGCTGGATGTCCGGGGATGCGGTCGATGTGGTCTAGCAGACCGCGGGAGGGGGCCCAGAGGGAGAGGAGACCGAGCTGAGTGCCCACGACGAGCTTTGTGCCGCTGTTCAGGTTCATAGGGAGGGGGGAAAGAAGTCAACAACGGAGGCTCTTCTATACGGTTGCAAGGCTTTTCAGAGCTACTACCCGCACTCACTTTTTCACCGAGGTAATACTCAGCAGTTCATCCTCCTGATCATCGCTCACTTCCACTCCAGGCGGCAAGGCTAGTCCCCCAGCACCAGAAGCCGTCGTTTTGTTCTTGCCGCCTCCCGCTCTGAGGTCGATAACAGAGAGCGATCCATCACCACTGGTGCACACCAATCTCTCCCTCGCAGGCGTAGCCACCTCTGTCTCCTCTGTATCGTCTGCACTGTCTGCATCGCTCCCATCCCGGCCACGGCCAGCCTTGAGCCGCCGCTTGCGCTTGCGCTCCTCTGCTTCCTTCTTCTCTTTTTCCAGCTTGGCCTTCTGCTCCTTGGATAGCTTGGGCGGAATGAGATGCTTAGAGTAGTGGAAATCGGTAATCCAGTCGAAGTGATGGTCGTAGGAGCGCACAGGCTTTGACTTTCCCCCTTTACCGGACCCGTCCTTGAGTGCGGGCCCGCTACCGCTACTGCTGCTGCTTTTGAGTCGGGTGTCCCAGAGGCTGACAACCCCGTCGTCATCGCCAGTGACGATCAGGTTAGGGTCACCTGGCAGAGGCAGTAGACGTGAAGGTGCAGCGGCATGTGCGCCTGGGTAGGCCTGCACAACAGATGAAGTTGAAGTATCAAGGCTGTACAACGTTCCGTCTTTGCTGAGAGACCAGAGCTGCGAGCCATCTGCTCATCAGAGTGTGACAAGAGAGGAGACGATACTTGAGCGACACCCCTACTGAACGCTCTCGCAGCTCTGACTCCGCACTCACCATGGTTGAACTCCACACCTCTACAACTCTTGTTATTGTACCTCTTTGTCCACTTCTTCTCGTATAACTTCTTCTCCTTCCCCTTCCCCTTGCCTCCAATCTCCTCCTCTTCGTCCTCATCTTCAGGTTCCTCCCTCCTCTTCTTCCCCCTTCTCCTCCGAGCAGACTGCGACTCCTTCGCGAGCTGTGTCTCCTCTTCGTACCTGGCCAAATCCAGCAGCTGAACTTTTCCCGAGATGAGTCCGACGGCGAGGAGATGGGTAGAGGGGGAAGGGTGGAGGGCCAGGTCGAGGGCGTCGGATGAGAGGGGGATGTCCATTTTACTTGAGGGTTGGGGGGTAGCTGGAGAGAGGTGGAATTGACGAGAGGAGATCGCAAAGCGAGGTGAGATGAATCAGATCGGCAATAAAGGAGAAGAAGAGGATGATCAAGGAAGGCTACCAGATTTCAAGGAGACCTTGCCTATGCTAAAGGTAAAGGCGCTGCAGAGTGTCAAGTAGTGATGCGAAGGACTGGAGAAAAGTAGAGTGCAGGATTGCGGAAGTGGAGCTCGCGACGCACAGGCGGAGCGGAGAGGGCACGAGGCGGGCAGGTCAGGTCACAGGTCAGGCAGAATAGGCAGACATGGACGACCAAGGGTTCAGATGGTCAGATCGAATGTATTTCATATCGAGTGTGGTAAGCAGATGCTAGAGCTGATTCATTGACTTCATGTTCACGTCTGTGTATCGTGTTTGCCCCCCTTTCAGCTCCCACTACCAGCTGACACCCCACCCTCACAGCCTCGTCTTCAATCGGCTGCCACTCCCAGGGGGCGCCTCATCCTACTGTGCACTCAGCTCCACCTTGAGCGGATCGAACTTCCCACTCTTGATGTCGTCGAAGCTGCCCATTGTGCCTCTCTTCATCAGCTCAGCGCTCTGCACCATCACCGGGTCCCAACCCATCGAGGCCACCGCAGAAACCTTGCCATCACCGCGAGTGTAGTAGGCAACGAACTTGCCCTCGGCAGGGGAGCCTTCGACGTGTGGAGGCTGGTTGCCGGTGGAGGCATTGTTGCCGTCTGAGACAAAGCGTAGCTGACCTCCCATGGCAGACCAGAAGATGGGAAGCTTCTCGTACTTCCTTGCCGACTTCTCGCCGCGCTCCAAATTGGCAATCGTCTCTCCGATTGCACGACCCTGATTACCAGCCACATTCCAGTGCTCGATCCGGATCTTCTCCTTGCCATTGAAGGAGGGGAAGGTAGCGATGTCACCGGCAGCAAAGACAGAGGAGGACAAGTTTTGGACACGAAGAGTCGAGTCGACGAGGACCGAGCCGTCCTTCTCGAGTTCGGGGAAGCCCTTGGACTCCTTGAGGTAGTTGGTAGCAGGACCTACACCGACACCCAATAGGACAACGTCGGCCTTGATCGATACTTCCTTACCATTGGAGTCCTTGATCTTGACGGCAGAGACCTTACCATCACCCTCGATGGACTGCACACCAGCCTTCATGTAGAACTTGAGTCCATTGTTCTTCTCCTGGGCATCCTTGATGCCCTTGCCGACTTCAGCACCCAGGATGGCCTCCAGAGGCACGCCTTCCATGCCCACAACCGAGACAGACTTTGCCTTCTTCTGTCCGGCCATGGCAATGGCTGCTTCCATGCCGATGAAAGAGGAGCCAATGACAACGACATCCTTGTCCTGCTTGTCACCAAGTGCGCTGAGAATTCCTTCGACATGTCCGAGGCCGCGAAGCAGGTGAACGTTTTCCAGCTCTCCTTCCTTGGCTCCGGGAACGGGCAGGCGCTTGGGGATACCGCCAGTAGCAAGTACGAGGTGCTCATATGGCAGATCCTCGCCAGAGCTTAGCTTGACCTTGTTATCTGACAGTAGTAGGGACTGCGCCGAGGTACCAGTCTTGACCTTGACCTTGAGTACCTTCTCGAGGTGAGAAGGCGACCTCCAGACGACGGCGGAAGCGTCGGCGATGAGACCCTTTGAGAGCTTTGTTCGATCGTATGGAGCGTGGTCTTCGGATGTAACGAGAGTGATGGGACCCGAGTAGCCATTCTTCCTTGCAGACTCAATGACGTGAATTCCAACAGAGCCGCCTCCAACGATGACCAGACCTCCCTGCTTGCTCTCCTTGATGGAGCCAGAGCAGGAGATTGGCTTTCCTGGCTTGCCCTTGAGCTGCTCCTCCTCTGCAGAGACGTACACGTCACCGTTTGAGTCTACCTCTACTGGGAAGGAAAGGAGGGAGTCGAGGGCAGGCGAGTCTTCAATGTCTCCGTTCTTGGCGTTGAAGCAGGCCCCGTGCCAGGGGCAGACGAGATGACCTTCCTCGGTGAGGATACCGTTAGCGAGAGGAGCTCCGTAATGAGTGCACTTTGCGCTGGTAGCATAGATCTCTCCCTTGACATTACTAAGCAGGATCTTCGATGCATCATCCCCTTCGCCAAATGCGACAAAGTCCTTCTTCTGTCCCGGCTTGGGAAGCTCAGAAGCAGCTGCGAGCTTGATACGTTGAGGTGCCATTGCGAAAGCTGAAGTGGAGAATCTGAATCCGAAGCTGATGCGGGGTGCGGTGCTACTTTGCTTGAATAGTCTCGCTGTTGACTGGGTGAGGTTGAAGGGCAGACGAGGGAGCATCAAGTTCGTCGTATGATGAAGTAGAGGGTAGCAAAGGCAAGGTGATGACTACGAGTATGATGATGAGCAACCAGGGCGATGCTGACTGACCGACTGACTGACCACTGCCTCTGTGCTGCCCCTCATCATCCAGGAGTTTGTCAGCCAGGCTGGACGCACGGCCGTGTGGAGGCAAGCAAGGGTCCAGGCTGATTGCAAGAAAGCAGCCGAGCCACACGCGCATCTGGTCGCCATTCCCACGCGGCCATCAGCCAAGGCTAGGAAGAGACATGGAGCGTGACACGTGCAAGGGTCCAGACCGTTCAGAGAGACCGCTACAATGTACGTTGCTTGTGAGGAGTTCAGATGATTTAACAACATCATACAGTGCTGCGCTAAGCTATGCGCCAAGGCGGGTATGGTGTGGAACCCGATTCCGGCTCCAGTCTATCACAGCTCGGCTTTCCTCCCACCCTTCTTTCCTTCCTTCTTCGCCCAGTCTATCAAGTTCTGCATGATCCTCTTGGCCCCACTGAGGTAGCTCCCACCGCCAAAGAGATGCGCATGATTGAGGTGATGGTACAATTCGTACAGGTCCACGCGCTGCGAGTAGTACTCCACCGGCTCTGACTTGGGCAGTACAGCGTGGTAGGCTTCTGTGAATGCGCCGCCGAAACCTCCAAACATCTTCATGATGCCCAGCTCCGCCTCATTGTGACCGTAGTAAGAGCTGGGGTCAAAGATGACCGGCTCGCCCGTCTTGGATGCCTGACCCGCATTTCCGCTCCAGAGATCCCCATGCAGAATGGCCGGCTTGATGTCCTTGAGCGTATCCAACAGCAGTGGGTACACGTGCTCTCTCATCTCCTTCTCCAGCTCAGTCAACTTGGAATCTCCACCGTAGCTGGAGTTGATGCGCTTGACCATCTCGCCTATCCTCCTATTGGCCCAAAAGTCCGACCAGCTCTCCGTCCAAGTATTATCCTGCTCCGTATCTCCACAGTGTGTGGGCACATCGAAGCCAAACTTGCCATTGGGGCTCGTACCATGCGAGTGCATCAGTGCGAGCTTTTTACCCAGTGTCCTTTGGGCAGAAGACGAGAGGGAACCAGAAAAGTCGAGATAGTCCGTGCAGAGGTAGGCTTTACTCCCATCTTCGGTCTTGCCGTAGGTGTGCACCTTTGGCACCAGCCCTTCGCCCCTATCTACGTCTAGACCGGCAGCAGAGCAAGCCTTGTCCATTGCGGAGAGAGAAGCTGCTTCCCCTAGCACCTGTGCGACAGGGGTCGTGCACTTGGCAAAGAGGAGGCGGGGTGGGTCATGCGAGGTGGCTAGAAGGCGATTGGATGACGAGGACTCGAAGGTCCCGCCCAGATAAGGACAAGCTGTCTTCAGAGCCGACAGCAGCGAAGGATCGATAGCAGAGCGTGACATGGCGGATGAGGCCTTGAGCGTGGTACGAGAAGTGTCAACGGGACTATCGCTAAGAAGGCTGCAGGGAAGCGGCTGGTATCAGGCTTCTACGCAGTACAGTTGATCCTCCTTCCGCACCGCACCGAGTCTTCCTCCACATGGGGCGTCCGTGCGGGGGGCGTGGATCGGATCGGGAGGTGAGCAAAGCCGAGGCACAAGTGCAGCAGCACCTTCTTCTCGCTTACCCCGCGTCTACGGTACGACATACGCTGCACTGCAAGGCCCAACAAGACAGCAAGACCAGAGACTCCACTACGGACAGAACTTCAGATACCCTTCACTACCCTGGAACCTCGGCACACAAAAGCAGGCAGATCTCACGTCCACAAGCATGTCAGCATCCACGCCCCTCCGGATCCTCCTAGTCAACGACGACGGACCCCCTTCTTACCCCTCTTCCCCACATGTCCTCCCCTTCTACCGCGCCCTAGTCGCACGCGGACACAAAGTCAGCGTCGTACTCCCTTCAAGTCAAAAGAGCTGGGGCTCAATGGCATTCAGTGTAGCGGGGCAGGTGGGGGTATGGTGGTATTACCCCCCGAGGGAAGAGGAGGATGAGGGAGTGTGGGAGCGGGAGCGCAGGGCGGAGGGACAGAGGGGTGAGGAGGAGTGGGTCCTATTGGATGGAGTGAGTATGGAAGACTCTTCGAGAAGGACGCAACTACAGGTCTGAGTCTGTACAGCGCTACACAGCACTGACTCACTACATGATGACCCCTCTCCTTCTTCTACGGACAGTCACCCACCACCTGTACCAACGTCGGTCTCTTCAACCAATCCCTCCTCTTCCCCTCCACCGTAACCTCCTCCTCCTCCTCCTCCTCCTCCTCCAGCTCTGCCTCTACCTCACAACCCCCACCTTTCGACCTCGTCCTCTCCGGTCCAAACTACGGCCGCAATTCCGGTCTCGCCTTCTGTCTCTCCTCAGGAACCCTAGGTGCGGCCCTAGCTGGCGCCCTCACTGGCATCAAGAGCATCTCTGTCTCCTATGCTCATTTTCAGAAGGTTCCCGAGGGGATTCAAAGTAGGGTTGATGAGATGAAGACGAGGGGCGTATTGGAGGGGATGAGTTTGCAGGGAAGTAAAGGATCGGAAGAAGCAGGCGGGAAAGGGAAGCGTGGTGATCCGGCGCAACAGAGTGCTCTGGAGGCTGAAGGGGGCAAGAAACGCAAGGCGAAGGACGTAGCGCCTTCGGCTCCCAGGGAATTGGCACAGGTCGCTAATGAGCTCACGGTACAGATCGTAGAGAGGCTGTATTCTCAATGGGAGGATGGAGTAGGAGTCTATGGGTGAGTATTCGGAGCTCTTACTGCCTCAGGACAGCTCCAGCTGACTAGAAACTCTCGAACGTGACAACAGTATCAATGTGCCATTGGCCTGGACACTCAAGGAGCCCAAAGTGAGTTGAGTGATTTGATGAGGTGCTTGGGACATTTGTCCCGACAGTGACTTCCATGCTGACCTTCTCACCCTCATTTCCTCGCCTATTGCCTCGCCATTCTCAGGTCTACTGGACAAGGATGTGGGCCAGCACCTATCCCCGACTCTTCTCCCTCGTGCAGCCTTCTTCCACCTCATCCTCCACTGGCAGCACTTCAAACCATCTCCCTTCCTCCGCTCCAAAACCCAGTACCATCCTCTCATTCAAGCCAGAGATGACCGGTATGCTCTCACCCATCGGAGGCTTGGAGAGTGAAGAGGGCAGAGGAACCGATGTTTGGGCCTTGATGAACGGCTTTGTGAGCGTTACGCGGGTGCAGGCCAGGTATGCCGAGTGTGAATTGCAGGCAGAGGGCGAGGGGATGGAGGGGAGGAGATGGAGGCTATAGCTGCTTGCTGCAGGACGGCGTGTACGCTAGAGTTGCATCAGAATCCCGTCGAATCGCTAATGTGGCATCGAATAGGTTCCAATCTGACTCTTTCTTGCTGGTCTGGGGTGATGAACAGGCGTGCGACCCTGTCTGAGGGCTGATTGAGAGCTTACTAGGGTATCATCTGAGAGCAGTGCAATTCGGTATAGGAGCGCCATATCCTCTATGCTTAGGAGGGTATCGTGCCTATGCGCCATTGCACGTGGAGTCTGCTGAATGGATGCCGCATTGTTCGCTCAACCAAAGTGCAATTCTCGCGCCAGTGAGCATCTCGCCCAAAGAGGCATTCGAAGCCAGATCGGATCAATGAGGGCAGAGCGAATCGTAAATGGGCGCGTCGCGGCGTGTGTCGAACCGAGGAGTGCTTGCTGAGGGTCGCTGAAGGGGAGGGCCGAGCTGAAGGTGAACCGGCAGAAGGCCGAGCACATGGCTAGCTTGTTGGCCGCCAAGAGTGGATGCTTGAGTGTCTTCGACCGGAGAGAGGGCGGATTCGGCGACTTACAGGGCCACTGATGGCATCAGCAGCGGAGCTCGGCAGTCGCGTCTTTGCGGGAAGCCGGTAACCGGAGCGGAGAGGGCGCTCGCGTGTACATTGGAGTGTTGGACGGTGTTGGACTCTGGAGATTTTGGATTGGAGCTCCGAGCCCGGTTGGGCGGACCCCCCGGGGGGAGGCCATCCATCGCCAGAGCGATCGCCCCGTACTATACTGCTACTCTCTCCATTGATCGAACACCCTAGCACTTCCCACACACCCCCTGCTCCTGCTTTGCTCCTCCTCTACCTTCTCCTGTGCTAGCCGTCTTCGTGCTCGTTTTGCTTTGCTCTTCGTCGCTCCTCAAAGGACCCACGAACTGCCCTTTCGCTCTCGCGGTAAGACAACCGCCCCCAGCTTTCCGAACTTCACCCTTGCCTCCCTGTCTTCCCACCCTAGACAGAAGCAAGATGCCTGGCCCTCTGCGAGCCAGGAAATGCCATGCCTACAGGCCCTACGTGGTCCAAAGGCGTGGTTTCCCTCTCGGCCCCAGGCTCGAGAAAGTTGTTGCCTCCGTCCCAGTGAGTACTTGATCCGAGGCGCAGTGAGAGCAACGACCGCTACGTTGCACCGTCTTGCGTTGAGCCACAGGTTGACACTCTTCTGCTGCTTGCACCCTGTTCTTGATCCCACAGATGGAGTGCGACGACACCACCACCACCACCAACACCACCACCACCACCACCGCGGCCACCACCGCCAATACCCTCCTCTCTCTTTGGGAAACCTTGGAGATGAGTTCGACCCTTCAGGGCGAGGAAGGGGAAAGCTCCTTCGAGGACAGCCTGGCCTTCTTGAAGGCAAAGGTTGTTCGCGTGGTTGCCAACCCACGCAAGCGCAAGCGTGGCGCAGAAATGCCCACCATTGTGACCTTGCCGAGGTGCTCGACGCCTCCTGCACTTGCTCGCCCTTCGATGATGGGGCTTGAGGTGCCTCCTCCTCTGCTCCTACCGGGCGAGGAGGCAGGTGAGTATGAGGGGAACGAGGAGGTCGAGAACGCCTTCGCGCTCGCCTTCGAGGATGTGGAGAGGGAGGAGGAGGACGAGGAGATGAAGGTGGAGGGTGAGGAGGAGGAGGATGTGGAGATGGAGGAGGAGGAGGAGGAGGAGAGGGACGTGGAGATGGAGGAAAGGGTGGAGGACGGCTTGGAGCAACAGCAGCTCCAATCGGGCGATGCTTTCCTCGCCCGAATTCAAGCCTTGTCACAGGAGAGTGTGACTGCCAAGGTTGCCCGCCTCCGGGAGACACTGTTGCGAAAGCGACAGGTCCGGAAGGTCAGGGCGCTTCTGGCACAGCAGGACCAGTGGCTCCTGCCTAAACTCCAACGCCAGGAAGAGTGCCGGCGTGTCAGGGCCCTGCTGCAAAGGCAGGACGAGTGCCTCCAAAAGGAGGAGGTAGCTTCGTCGGAGGCGGGGGACGCTTCCATGGAGGAAGACACTGCGGAGCCTTCGCCCGTAGAAGACGCCTCTATGGAGGACGAGCCTCTCCTCCTGGTTGAGGAGGAAGATTGGATCTCTGAAGGAGGTCTTGAGGAGGACTTTGTCTGGGCTGACGGCTCGGATGATGAAAGTCTGGACCGTCTGGCGATGAGCCTAGACGGCGAGGAAGAGGAGGGGATGGATGTGGAGGAGGATGAAGAGGCACCTAGGGTGCCTCAAGGCATGTGCGAGGATGAGTACGACCCGAACGACTCTATCCTCCTGCTCATCCGAGCTCTCAGCCAGTAAACGGCAGGGGGTAAGAGGACGGGTTGGACTCGGTAGGGCATCCAAGGCCATCCTAAGAGGTGAGTACAATGGTGTCAGTGACGGTGCTCGACGCCAGACGCCATCATACTCACAGAGAATTCCATTGCATCCTTTCCGATGGTAGGCACCATCTATCAACACATCCATCAACCTCAAGGCGGTCTCGAAAGGGCCAAATCCGTGTGGAGGACGATCCGGACGATTCTTTCCTCCTGCTTGTCCTAGCTACCAGCGACTACTAGACGGGGGGTTAGAGGACGGGTTGGACTCGATAGGGCTTCCAACGACCCACCTAGAGGGTAAGTACGACACTCTCAATTAAGGTGCCCATCGGCAGACGCCAGCATACTCACGAAAATGCCTTTGCATCCTTTCCGAGTAGAACACCATCTATCAAGACTTCCAATAAGTCTGGGGACTCGATCAGGCTTCCATCGCCAACGATCCCATCATCCATAGTCTAGGACTCGACAAGGCTCTTACGCCAAGGTCCTACCATCTAGCACCAAGGACTCGACAAGGCTTTCAACGCCAAGGTCCTACTATCTAGCAATGGGTCTAGGAAAGGGAAAAGGCCTGCGACGCCAACCTAGAGGGTGAGCACGACAGTGCGAGCAACGGTGCTCATCGCCAGTCGGCACCATACTCACAAAGACTTCTTTTGGAACTTTCTCGATGCTAGATCACCATCTATCAAGATATCCAGCGATTCTAGGGCGGTCTCGATGGAAAAACCAACTGGGTGGCATGGTCATAGTGAGTAAAGCACTAAGGTGCCCGGCATTCGAAGGTGCGCAATGGTTTACTCACACATTTTGCGCTTGTGCACCATCCGGCACCCTCACTACCAGTCTGCAGCAGCTTCTCTCTCCTCTTCTCCCCCCGTCTAGGCACCAGAGCATACCCCAGAGCAACGATCAAGAAAGGCATCCCCATCCGTATAGGCAGGCACCCTCAAGGCTAGGTTAGGTAAACCGGCACTCCTTCAGCTCACCTCGTCTCTCGGCTCTTCGGTATCGTCCTTGGTCTTGGCGTCCTCTTCTTCTCAGCGTTACAGGTACTCGTTGGCACCCTAGGCAGCACTCCGGACTTACACACGACAATCAGGACGTGCTCTCGAGGTATGGAAGGGATCGTCTGTGATCCGCCTACTTGAGTCGTTCCTCCGAGACTCTGCACTAGCCATCCTGACAAGGTGCCGAACCGGATATCCCATGTACTAGCGGATGGTTCCCTTGGACGACGGAGGCTGGTGTACGATCTCGGGCCCCAAGGTTGCTCCTCTCTGATCTCGACGAGGTTGTCAACCAGTGATCCCACCCAATCCCGCGCGGATCGGTTCCTTCGGAAGACAGACAGAGAGTGAGTAACCTTTTCCCTTTGCTTCGCGAAGGAAGGCGGGTCTTCTCGGGCGGTGGCTGGGGAGTCATCGTTCCGCAGATTTCCTGAACGGAGGTTCCTAGGAGTTGGCACGTCGTTGGCTTTGTGAGTCGAGAAGCACACTCGAGCATTGCTGGCGGCGCCCTTCTCCGAAGCTCCTTCAGAGCCTCCCTTCTTCGTTGGCCAGAAGGTCATCGTTGATCGGCGGCGGTCCTCTGCGCTGTTGCTCTCCTAGCGGAGACGGCACGTAGTGGGATCGACCGTGTCTTTTCCATCCACTTCTCTTCGGAGACTTGGCTTGGGGGAGCTCGGCAACCTGGACTCCCTACCCAAAAAGTAGAGAGGAAGGGCGGCTGTCTAGAAAAGGGAAAGGACGTCCAAGAGGGCGAATCCACCCCGTGGCAGCCATCCGGGGAGTGAATGGGTGTGCAGCCGGTTTGTGGCGGCACCGTATCCTCTACCAACATCTTGCTTATCCTTTGGGATAGGTGAGGTGGCCGTGCTTCGGCCGGCTTTGTCGCTGTGTAAGGCCCCCAGTCCCCCCATCGGTTTGCTGCCGAGGTCAATGCTTGCAAGTATCTGGACCGTTGCGGAGAAGAATCGTCAAGGTCAAGTTCGGTATCGGAGACGTCGAGCAAGACCCAGGTCTCGTAAAGTAGCTTGAAGGTGAGTCGGCCCTAGCCTAGCCACCCCCCAAAGTCCTGCCGCCACCCCCCTACCATTCCCGCCTTAATACCCCTTGTGAGCTCTGGCACTCTGCGTGACCGAAGACATCCACCCCCACACCACTCCTGCTGCTGTAGCAACTGCAAACTGCAATATACCCCGACCATTGTCACCCACATTTTAGTAGAGGCACGAGGCGAGCGAGGGGACTTGTGCAGAAGATGAGAGCTGACCCTTGACTGTGAATGGTGCACCTTGATGGTGGTGAAGCAGATGCGAGAGAGAGTGGGCGGCTGTGTTGAGTGCTGACGTTGCAATGTCGAGTGGACGGTGGGTGCTGGGCGTGTCTGCGACGAGGTGATGCGAGCAGAGGGCGTGACGCGAGAGTGGACAGCGCGAATGAGGGGCCAAGGAGATGGTGCGAGCACCGAGTGGGGAGTGCGTGTGTGAGCGAGTAGATGAGCGAGGTAGATGTGATTGGCATAGATGGCCACCAGGAGGGTAGGTGGACTACATGATGGTTGCGATGGTGACGGTCCTGGACGATGGAAGTGGACGATGAACGGGCAGACGAGGGACGCAGCTGCGTTGAGCTCAGCCCCTTTGCCATTTGCGCCCCTTTGCTTTGCTTCCGGGCCAACCAACCCACGCGCCGCCCCGTGGCCCAAGCGCATGAGCCAGAGCAACACCACCACCGCCGCCGCCATCATCAGCCGTAGCCGTCATCATCACCATTGCCATCGTCAGCGTCGAGTGCTGCTGCATCGCCTCTGTCCCTCTCTTCAGGCAGAAGGCCCGACTCGTACGCAGCCCATCACTAGCCTCGCACCTCACACGCGCCATCTACCATCATGGCCACGCGCCCCGCTCGTCGTCCCCTCATCTCCTTGCAAGCCCATCTGCAGTCGCTTCTTCTCACCACCTCCCTCGATTCCACCACCAGCGGCAGCTCCTTTGGCGCGCAGAGTATCGCTGGTCCGTCAAACCTCTCCCAGACTCCAGGAGTAGACTACACCCAGGACAATCTGCAGCAGCTTGGCCCCATCATCAAGAGTCTCGATGAGGCGGCTCAAGCTGATGCCTTTCTCCGGCTACTAAGGGAATTCGCCAAGACAGAAGAGGCGAGGATCAAGACAATATGTGATGAGAATAGTACAGTGAGTCTGAACGAAGTGAGGCGCTGATCGGCTGCTATCCCCCGAGGGGTTGCTGACCAAGTCATTGAACGCGCTACCTTAGGACTTCGTATCGGCGGTAGACAAGCTCCTCAAGGTCCGGTCGAGTACCATCAGTCTCAAGCACAAGATCGGTGAGCTCAATCAGGAGGTTCAGGCAGGAGGAGCAAGTCTAGGGGGAAAGGTAAGCTACTGTTGATGTTCAACAGCGACTTCCAAGGCGGACGGCGCTGCTCACACATTTGTCACCTCTCGCTACTCGTCATGCATTCGCAGAAAAAGCAGCTGCTAGAATCTCAGCGGACGATGAACAAAGTGGACGAAGCGATTGAGACACTGCAGCTATGCCTCAAAGTTCTGGACATGGCAAACAGGATCGATGGTCTGATAGAGGAGCGCAAGTACTACCCAGCTCTCAGGGTGAGTCGGCGTGCCGCGATTGTGCTGCCCTGGACTTCACTTGACCCTAATGTCTTCACTCCTCTCCACAGTCGCTGGAAGAGTTGGAAGCGCATCATCTTGCGCCCCTCCTGGCGCACGATTTTGCCCACTATCTCCACTCGTCATTGCCGTCTATGCGTTCGCGTATCCGTCAGTCAGTGGTCAGGGAGATGAAGGAGTGGCTCTTTGAGGTCCGTCAGAAGTCAAGAACAGTCGGCAAGATAGCGCTGAAAGCAATGGAAGATCGACAAAAGAAGTGGCGGGTGAGAAGCGAGAGGAAAGGCACAGACGTTCTTAAGCTATCGAAGGTCAACGGACCTGTCGAAAGTGTCTACAATGAGCGTACAGAATACTCCTTCATGGACAATGAAGAAGTCCGGATCGACTTCGAGCCTCTATACCAGTGCATTCATATCCATGACGTCCTCAACCAGCGAGAAGAGCTACAGAGGAACTACCAAGAAGATCGCAGAGCTCAAGCGAACCTACTTCTGTCACAAGGCCTTTCCTTCCACCCTTCCAATCCGACCTTTCCCTCTCTGCTCGAAGAGGTAGTCGGCTTCTTCCTGGTCGAACATCACGCCCTCGACACGTGTCCAGCCGGCTTCAGGAGCGAGCAAGAAGTCGACGATCTATGGGACGACATGTGCGAAAGGGTGGTCGACATAGTCAGCATTGGCCTGAGGGACTGCAAGGACACACGGACATTCGTAGGCACAAAGGCGGTGGTGCAGACATTCATTCAGACTCTCGAAGGCTACTCTTTCTCGGTCAGCAAGTTGAATGCGCTCCTTCTTACCCTCTTTGAACGGTATGCTCATCTATTGCGGGATCGATTCACCGCAGACTTCCAACGAGCTGTCAGGGAGTCAGAGCATCAGCCAATGGTGGTCAACAATGCTGAAGAGCTGGAGAAAGTACTCAATGTCTGCTGGCTCAGACCTGGGGATGCAGAAAGTCTCAGGGAGCAGTCGCTTCCACTGGCATTGCCCTTCTCGCAAACGTATCCACTTTGCTGCATGGATATCAGGAACCTGGTCGACCAATACTACACATTCTCTGATGGATTCTCACAGCATCATCGTGACATCGATGACATTCTGAAGAAGGTGAGGATCGTGGTGTAGCAGGAGTTGTGCCTACGATGCGTTGATACTGACCAGGACAGCAAACCTCTGTCCCATCCAATAGTCGCTTGACGAGCTCCTCATCCAGCAGGTTTCCACAGCCATCCGCACTTCCGTCGAGACCATCTCCAATCTCTCTCAGATTACCCAAGTAGTTGTCAATGGTGAATTCTTCCGTCTGGCTTGTACCCAGCTCGAGGCTCTTCTAGCAGCCCTCCGAGCGCCACACAGAGGAGGAAAGCTTCGACTCGATGCGTCCAGCCACTTCAGTGCTACTCTCGACATTGCACAGGCTAGGATTGATTCTGCCATTGGCGCTAAGCTTCTGGAGTTCATCGATTTGGAGGACATGGACTGGACACCTAACACTGGTCTGCACAGGGGTGGTATCGGGAGACCTAGTGGGTACATTCTCGACATGGTCACCTGGCTCGAGACGATGATGGAGAGCGTGCTGGTACTATTGCCGAAAGACACCAAGATGAAGGCGTACAGAAATGCCTTTGCTTACATCGCAGGCGAATTGTTGGTGAGTACCTCTGACAGGCTGTGGTGAAAAGAGCGCGAGACATGGCTCACAGATGCATCGTCTCGTGATACACAGAACAACCACCTGCTCGCAACCGAGACTCTTTTGGTTAGCCCTGATGGCCTCGCACAGCTGCACAAGGACGTTGAAGCTCTCAGCTCGGAAGCCAATCGAGTCACTGGTCAGAACCTCGACGATGTGTGGGCGGAAATCAGGCAGGTGAGACTACGAAGAGAAGAGAAGCAGGCAGTGCTGCAGCAGATGTCTGTGTGCCGTATGAGCTGACATTTCAACATGACCCTCTATCGATATGGCAGACGATTGCTGTTCCCCTCAATGACGCCGTGACAGAGTATGTTCAGCCTACAACACGGCAACAGAACTTCAGGGAAGCCCGGCCGGGCAAAGTGTGAGTGCAAGCCGTGGGAGACGTCTTGGCCTCTTCTTTCCCTGACCCCTTTATCCGTTTGCCTGACAATTTCGAATAGATTGGGGATCCTCGAGAGACTAGCGCGCTACCATGGCTCGTCGCAACAGCCTGGTGATGCGGAGCAGGCGGCCAAGAGGGTCAAGGAGAGGGACCAAGTGTCGAGGCTTGTGAGGCGTTGATTGTTCCCAGTGTCTATACCAGCAATGTCTATGCGAGCTTGACCCCAAGATGCTATCAAAAGAATCTTTTGAGCATTGACGGTGACAGGATGTGGTCTCTGTAGCCGAGGGCATAGATGGTGTGACAGCTCTACTCGTGTACTCCAATGAGCGTAGAAAGCTTCTGAGTGAGCTTCTGTCTCTTATTTGGCATCTTGAGGGAGCTTGAGCGATGATATAGAGTGAGCAAACATAGCAGAGAGGGTCTGCTTGCTGTATCCTCCTAATGGTGTACGATTCTCAAAAGGCGTGCCACATCGCTAAGGCGCTGCGCTTCCCTCCTTGTGTCCCAGGCCAGGCACCGGCGTCGCTGTACTCCTCGCCGATCCCGTCCCACCTCGACTCTTGGGTGGTCTCCCCCTCTTAGACGGGATCCCACTCTGCGATCCAGATCCACTTCCACCTCCAGATCCAGAAGCAGCAGCTGCGAGCGCCGCGGCGGTAGCGGCTCCTACTGCTGCCTTTCTCTTGAGTCCACCATTGCCCGACTTGGACGAGACGTTATTCGCTCCTAGGCCCATGCATTTGGCCAAGTGAGGGGCGAAGCGGTTCGAAGAGACGTGACGGTTGCAGACCATGCATCGGATGAGGGGATTGGCGTAGGCGGGAGTGGCAACGACAGAGCCTCCGACACTACCGCTACCGCCGCTCTTGTGTGCAGCGGTGGACTCGGCTGAGGTGCTGTCCTTGGTAGGGTCCGAGGGGCGAGCGTCGTCCTCGTTGGAGCCATCGGTGGGCTTATCCACTCCCTCGACTTCGGACTTCCCGCTACCGGAAGCGGCGCTCCTGACTCTTCGACGTGCTTCGGCATCGTGTGTATCAAAAGCGAGCTTGCTGAGGGCGTCTTGGACTAGGGAGTTGAAGATGCGCTGTGCCTGTGGGGTGGGAAGCGGGGGAATTGCGGGCAAGGTGTGCTCAAGGCGTCAGTGTCTCTCATGAAACGTGGCTCCACTCCCTCCATCAAGACTGACGAGCTGAGTCTTTGTGTCCTTGGTAGTGTCTACATGCCATCCTCGCTGCGGAGGAGGTGGAGAAGACATCCTTGGTGACGATGCTCGTTGGTATTGACTGACGTGGTAGGAAGCATTGACTCCAGGTTGCCCCGACACGGAAGTGCGGAAATCAGACAAGGCCCCGACGCGAAAGGCTGAGCTCGGTCCACCCTCGACAGCAGCAACCACGTCTGCGCATCCTACCGACATCCATCGCCTTCCATTCCCTCTGTGCAGCTCATCGATGATATGCTCACCTCTGCTGGCCTTGTGAAGCTTGGCAGACATCCTAGCGGGAGCTCATGAACACCGTAGTCACGTCCAGGCGGCGCTGGACCGACTCCAGTAGCTCCTCTCCACGCCTGCTCCACCTCTTCTCCTTCCTCGTCTACCTCCTCGTCTCCACATCCTTCTCCTCGGAGGCAAAGAGATCGCAGCCGGTACAAGCATCCGTACTAGCAGCTCAAGGGACAGCAGCCTCTGTAGCAGGCGTCGGTACGCCCCTGGAAGGATACAGCCTCTCCTCGCTCGTACTCGTCAGCGCAATTGATGGCTCCCTCACAGCTCTGGATCGCAGCACAGGCGAAACGCGCTGGAATCTCAACAGCCGAGGTTCGAGCTTCTTCCAAGGTGGATCAGCTGCAGATGCAGATGCTCTGACAGACCTGAGCTCGTCTGCCTTCACGCCTCTGGTCAGTACAGAGTATGGAAAGCGACATACCTCTCTCGCAGCCCTGCTCGCCGGATCGGGAGCTAATGACGAGGGCGGAAGGCCTGGCAAAGCTACGCAGGGAGGAGACCGGGAAGGCTTCGCCTTAGATGGACTACCAACAAGGACAAGACATCTTTTGCAGGCGGCTGGGATGTACATTGTCGAGCCTGGGTCCTCTGGTAGACTTTACCTTCTGACCTCAAGGCGAGAGGAGGAGGGCGATGGGAGCTCTCCCGAGGGTGAAGCAGCCTTTGGTCAAGAGGCCAAAGCTCGGCTGCAGCGCGTGCCGTTGACTCTGCCGGAGCTGGTGGGCCTTTCTCCCTTTTCCTTCCCTGGTGACAAGGGAAGGGTATTTACAGGTACAAAACGGACCAGACTGCTTCGTATCGACCCTTTGACAGGGCAGCTGGACCGGAGCTGGGAGGCCGATGGGAGCGAGACGCCTAGTGATACAGGATATGAAGACGAGAGCCAACGTGACGACTACAGATGGGCCTACCTAGCAAGAACAGGTGAGTGGAGCAAATACGCAGCCATCATTTGCTTCCAGATGCTGATTAGCCTGCACAATCACTCGCAGATTATACCCTCTCCATCTCCCTACCACGTCGTCCTCATCTATCGCAGACACTCCACTACTCCACTTATGCTCCTCAGTCATCTGACGGTGAAGTCTCGTCGAGCTGGCTGCAAACATACACAAATGCTCGTCTACGCGGCGGCCGATCGCCTGGACTCGCAGCAGATGATGGACAGCTCATCTTACCCACTGGACTGGGCTCAGAGGGCAGAGAACGAGCGAAAGTGTCAGGCTGGAATTCGACGCGAGGTTCTCTTGACCACGCCTGGACGAGAGACATTGATAGTCAGGTAGTTGACATCTTCGATCTACTGCTACCGCGAAAGACCTCACGGCCTTCTCACACTCATCCTGTCATCGTCCCGCACCCTCCCTTTGCGCTTTCTGAGAAGACCGTTGCCGGCAGCCCGGATTTTGCGGGAGACGACATCAATGCGGCAGAGGAAGACACGCTCCTGACCTTCTCCCCTTCAACCGGTTCTCTCTACGCCCTCTCGTCCCGCCGCTTCCCTGGCGTGGTGAAGGAAGTCACACCAGCTCTGGCCGGCCTAGAGGAGGCCGATAGACGTTCGCAGGCACTCACACCTGGAGGAGGAGGAGGCACGCGAAGAGGAGGTCATCATCACCCAATGGAGTGCACAACTTTCGGCTGCTGGCTGGGCAGATATAAAGTCAATGAAGAGGTATTCGGAGATCAGGAGCAGACGAGGAAATTGCTTGGGCCGGGCAGGGGCCGCCCTACTCTGGACGGCAGTCATGATTACCAAGGACCCTTACCTCCTCCGCTCGGCCTACCTGAAGGCTCTTCGAGATCTGCAGAAGCTCAAAGGCAGCCAACACTGCCTTCGCATCAAGACTCGCCTACCTTTGCGGAGCGCACAGTATTGACTCTGAAGAGGCTTGGCACCTCCAAAAAGGCATTGGCTACCCAGGCTTTTGCGCTGCTCTTCTTTGTTGGCTTTGCCATCTTGTTCAGGAGAGGGACACAGATTCGCGAACAGCTCGATATGCAGAAGAGTTCCCAGATTGTGCGGGAGTCGGGCCTGATGTGGGACCCGCGCTTGCCGGCTTCGAATGGAGCAGAGGCTATTGAGCTCTCCAAGGGCTCGTCAGCCGCCAACATAGCAGAGGAGGAGCCTGCGTCTCACAAAGCGGCACAAGTGGAATTTGACCCTGCGGCGACACCGAAGAAGCAAGGTGGCATTGTCCCACCAGTTGACCACGAGGCAGCTGCTAGAGCTCTCCTCGCAGAAGAAGAGGCAGACGCCAGCGTAGCGTCAATCGGCAAGAAGAAGCGGCGGAAGAGAGGGAAGCGTTCTGGAGCGGCAGTAAAGGCCAAGGCGAATGGGGCTGCTGTTCCGAATGGAGATGATGAGAGCGGTTCTGAGGATGAGCGCGAGGGCGCGGCTACCAAAGAGCCAAACGGGCAAGGGAAGGAGCACAACCCGCCTGCTGCTCCAGCGCCCTCTGAGCTGCAACGTGCGGACAAAGTCCTGCAGAAAGAAGATGCTCCTTCAGATCTTAGCCCAGCTGTGGCTGTGGCTGCTGCAGCCGCTATGCCAGGTCCAACCACTTCAACGTCAGCTCTGGAGATCTCAGGCGAGGTACTCGGTTACGGTTCGTCGGGTACGGTTGTCTTCAAGGGCAAGTTCCAGTCAAGGCTCGTAGCCGTGAAGCGTCTGCTGGTCGACTTTGTCCACCTAGCCTCGCAGGAGATCTCCCTGTTGGAGTCAGCGGATGACCATCCTAATGTGATCCGCTACTTCTACAAAGAGCAGAAGGCCAACTTCCTCTTCATCGCTCTGGAGCTCTGTCCGGCTTCACTGGCGGATGTGGTTGAGCGGCCAGACGAGTGGAAGGACCTGGCGGTGCGGTTAGAGCCCAAGAAGGCCATTGCGCAGATCGCCAGCGGTCTACGGCACCTGCACGGGCTCAGTATCGTCCATCGAGACATCAAGCCTCAGAACATCCTCGTGACCTACAAAGATCCCCACCAACCTTCGACGTCTGCATTGAAGATGCTGCTGAGCGACTTTGGTCTTTCGAAAAGATTAGACTCGGTTGCACAGAGTAGCTTCTCGCAGACGATGCATCACCCTGGCGGCACGGCGGGGTGGCGAGCTCCTGAAATTCTCAGCGGTGAGGTCAGTCTCGATGAAGGCGGCAGTAGTGCCAGCACCTCTACCTCGACTAGCATCGCCGGTCCTACATCCGTCCGGAGCGCAGCGCCTAGGATGAGGCTGACGAGGGGCGTGGACATCTTTGCGCTGGGCTGCGTGACGTACTATCTCCTCACCTCCGGGGACCATCCTTTCGGCGCGCGGTACGAGCGCGAGGTCAACATTCTCCGCAACCAGAAGAACCTCTCGCGTCTCGGCGCCTTTGGAGAGGAAGGGGTCGAGGCTTCTCACCTGATCACTGCGATGATCGATTGTGATCCGACCAAGAGGCCGCGAGCGAATCAGGTGCTGGCACATCCTTACTTTTGGGATGCTGGCAAGAGATTGGCTTTCCTCCAGGATGTGAGCGATCGATTGGAGGTCATCGATAGAGAGAAGGACCGGGCGGGCGCTCAGCAGCTCGCTTCTAGCCTCGTCGCCAACGGCATGGCCGGCAATGGCAGCGGTGGTGGCGGCAGTAGTAGCAGTAGAGACTCAGCACTGGGCCCGCCCTCTAGCTCAATGTCAGCAGTCGCAGTTGCGGAGAGCGAGCTGATCCGGCAACTCGAAGTGGGAGCGAGGGAAGTCACTGCAGGCGGTGACTGGACAAAGAAGGTGGACAAGGCATTCATGGATGATCTGGGCAAGTGGCGAAAGTACCATGGGAACAGTGTAAGAGACCTTTTGAGAGCACTGCGCAATAAGGTGAGCACCCCATCCAGCCCTCGCCTTCTCAACAAAACGACTACTGAACCCAACGCCCCTTTTCGTGCCACACCGTCCCTGGAACCTGTCCACAGAAACACCACTACCAAGACATGCCTCCAGCGCTGCGACGCTCCATGGGGCATCTACCCGATGGGTTCCTCAGCTACTTCACACGTCGCTTCCCGCGCTTGTTCCTGCACGTGTACGAAGTCGTGGCAAGGGACGGATTTGTCAAGTCGGAGACGTCGTTTAGGGTGAGTGGACTGAAACCTCTGACATACGGGAGGGAAGAAACCGATTGAAAATGGAGTGAGATGACTGATGTTCGTACTGCTCTCGCCCTCGTCTGGACTGTCAGGAATACTTCGCACGACCAGAGGAAGACTGAGGCCAGTGTAACATCTGGTCTCAACTTCGACACCACCCCTTGTACAAATTCAAAATGCCCACTGCTCACGCGTCTTCTATCTGTAATGTTATGATCTCATTCTACTCGAACCACGTCGTCGTGACACTTGTGCTTTAGGTGTTCATCTCCCCCAAACCTTGCTTACACCTCCTTCTCGAGGCATTAGATCCTCTGCTGACTAGCCGCCGCCGCCTCGGCCTCCCGAAAGAGCCCAGCCGAAGGCCCACCCTTTGCCTCCTTGAGCAGCTGCTGGAACCTGGGAGCACCCATGGCCGCACCTCCTTGTGAACCGCCAGCAAGAAGTCTCTGCAGTGCAATGAGCGCACGGAAGGCGGCCCTGGTGAGCTCTGCCGACTTCTCTACATCCTGCTTGGTAGAGCCGTCCTTCAGCTTGACCTTGAGAGACTCGTTGATAGGGTCGGAAATCTCGTCGAGGGCCTGGGATACTTGCAGTGGAGCCAGGTCGGTCAGACGAACCAGGATTAGATAGCAAAGCAGCTTCACCTGATCGTCGTCACGCAAACCAGCGATGACTCGGTTGAGGTACTCGGATACATTGATCTGCGTGAGGCAGGTATCCAGCAGAGTGTACATTGTCTCATAGGCGTTCTTGCGCAGGTCCAAGCCATCGTCCTGGATGACAGTAAATGGTCCCATGGTGACCTTGCGCAGAAGCTCCTGACGGACGTGCGTCTCTTGGTATAAAAGAGGCAACAAGGTACTCAGGTGCTCTCTGATAAGCTGAGGCTTGTTGTGGGCTGCCGAGTTGAAGGCGAACATGGCGTGTCGGCGGACATCGAGATCAGGGTCCTTCAACAAGCACAGGAAATCGACGATGGAGGGGCCGAGCAGCTCATTGTAGACTGGTGACGCCTCTGTGAGAGAAAAGCGGATAGCCGCGATGACTGCTGCTCTGGTAGAAGCCGAAGGGTCCCGTAGACGGCCTTGCAATTGGACCAGGTACTTGGCCGGATCGGTAAGGGTCAAGCGCGCCAGGCACTCTGCACCGATACTTCGAGTAGCCTCGTCCTTTGTCTGACAAATGCCAAACAGTGGCACCCAGATCTGTTCAGCAAGGACTGTCAATTGCTCCGTAGATCCATGGGTGATCAGCTCCTTGAGAGCTGCGAGCGCCAAGAGGCTATGCTTATCAACGTTTTCGATGTGTCCGCGGATGACAGGCAAGAACGCTGCCTCGTTGCCGACGGCCATATTGCCCAGAGCAAATGCAGCGGAGCTACGAACCTCGTTGATTGGACTCTCAAAAGCGTCGTAGACTTTTTTCACAAGATCAGGGTGCTTCATGAAGTCCTCGAGGCGACCAACTTCACCCAAAATCAAAAGATTGAACGCCGTGGCAGCTTCCTTGCCCTGCGACGCAGCCTTGAGAGCTTGTCCAGCTCCGCTGATGATCGCTTCGATGTTACTTGGCGCAGCATTGGCGATACCGCCTACGCATCGGGCAGCATTCGAGTACGCGTGTGAGCCGGTAGAGTGATCAAGTGTGGCTGTCAAGGCGTGTAGGATCTCGAGAGCACGTTGCCCTTCGACAGTAACAGTGACCTGGATGAAGTCAACAATGGCATCGAGCGTGGTCCCTTGCACAAGAGGCTCTGCCAGCAGGAAGCTCAGGTGGGACAAGAAGGCATCCGTAGCTGAAGGCAGGACTTCAGGCTTGGCCCTAACCAAAAGGGCCAGTGCTAACAGCGCTTGCGGCAAGAGACTAAGGTCTGCATCCTCGGCTAGGAGTGGCGCTATCTGCATGACAATAGCATTGCCGGTATTTCCCTGCAGCTCGGTACCTAGCCGTATGAGAAGAGCTTCGAGTGCCTCGAAGGCTGCAAGCTTGAGCGGTCGGCTGCTCTGACGAAGGAGAACTGTCACCTCGTCAGTGCATGATTGGAAGAAGGCGCCAAAGGCTGGTCCCTGACAAGCAGGCGAGGACGCGATCTGGGCTACCACCTTCACGGTTGCAAAACGAGTTACCTCGTTCTTGAGGCGATCGACCAACAATGGAAGGCACTCATCCAGCTTGCTACCTAGAGCTGCGCCGGCAGATGACAACAGCATTCCAAGGCAAGCAACGGCCTTTTCTCGCAACTCCTGATCGGAGTCTTGCCCTTTGAGACGACTGACGACAGCATCGTACAGAGAGATGAGAAGACTCGTCTCGAGGCTGGACGCATCCTGCTTGTAGATCGCTGCTATCATATCGGAGCTTGCTTCGAGGGCCTCAACTGAATCTCGATGCGCTCTGCCAGTGATAGCACCGGCGAGGATTGGTATGACAGTGGGAAGCTGGTCCTGATAGCTCCGGGAGTTGTGAGCAACGAAGAGCACCCGCAGGAACGAAATGATCTCTGATTTTAGGGACGAGCCAGCGCCAGTAGCAGTTTCAGCTGTTTTGAGAGCCTTGTTGATCTGAGCCACGATGGACGGAATCTGAGCATCGAGGCCACCTTGCAACACAACTACCAGCTCCTTGAAGACGCTCGTGCTGATTAGGCGGGTGCCCGATGATTTTGAAGGAAGCTCTTTCAACAGAGCCTTGGAAATCACGGGAACAAGGGCACGGAGCTGCATTTGAGGGCTTGATCCTTCCTCAGCATCGAGGTTGTCGCGCTTCCTCTTCAATGCGCCTGGCGATTGCGGTCGCACCTCGGTCGCTTGGGGCAGACCTACAAAGAGCTGTATCTGCCGCAAGAGGGCTAGGAAGGTCTGTAGCACTTCCAGACGAACGCTTTCCTCCCTTTCTGAGAAGCGACTGACGAGGACTGGGGCTACTCTCGTAAGGAAGGTGGCCAGTAGCTCGTGCCGTGTATTGATGGCGGCCTGGAGCGTTTTTGCAGCAGCACGGCGCACTTTCCAGGACATGTCATCATCGTCAGAGTAGTCTTCGTCTCCTTCCAGATCGTCGTCATCTTCTTCGAAGTCGTCTGTCATCTCCTCATCCGAATCGTCGCCGCCAGCGTAATTTGGATCGTGCTTGATGGACTCTACAGCTGTGCCTACTACTGAAGTGAGGAATGGCGTTACTTCCATTGGACAGCGCAGGAGGGCCAGCTCCATAGTCTGAGAGAAGGGAAAGTATCAGCTACCGCCTTCCATCTTGGCGACTAGACTGATCCGCTCACCTGCAGTGTGGTCTCTCGCAGCTCGTCATCGTCCGTCCCAGCAGCTTCGATGATCTTGGGCATGAATTCTGGCAATCTGCGGCCCACCCTTCGCGGACTTGACCGAGCCAGAGCGCCAATCAGCTGTACGCTCGTCTTCCTCTTGTCTACGTCGGAGCTGCTCAGGCTTGTAGAGGCGGTCGTTGACAGCTGAGTAAAGGTCTCGGAAGAGGAGTTGGCAGCAAGGACGCCTGTTGGTTGCAATGCAGAGAGAGAATCAGTGACACGGTAGCGGTAGATGTAGTCCTACAGGGATTTCACTCACTGAGCGCCAGGGTTGCCCTTTTGCGGACAGCCACTCGACTATGTTCCAGTAGAGGGAGCAAGCTCTGCAGGCCGAGCTTTTGGAGTTGAGAATTTTCCAGAATTGTAGACGAAAAGCGAGTGAAGATCTCCGCTAGAACGTCCAGAGAATCGATGAGAAGCTCTTGTGACGCAGCGGGCTAAGCATAATCAGAATCAGGAGCGGTGTTAGTGTTCCTGATCAAATTCGGTGAAAACTTGGCCGTACTCACGGATTTGACCTCAGCCAATAGCTTCGGAGCTAGTGTAGTGGTCGCAGAGCGAGCTAGATTCGAATGCGAAGGCATCTCGGCAATGACGGTCTTGAGCCCAAGAGCAGCAATGTCTCGTACTTCTTCCTCTTTCGAGGAGATGCAAACTACGAGATAGTCTATCACAACCTGCATCTGCCTCTCTCTCACCCGGCGTACCAGCATCCCGAGGCTGTAAAGACCAAATTGTGACAGTCAGTGAGTCAAGCTGTGGGGCTCATTCCCAGCCGAACTCACCCCACACTACTTACCAGCGCACTGCCATATTCTTGACTTCGCCGTTAGGGTCCTTAAGCAGCTCGAGGACCCTTGAGACGACTTTGGACTCAATGTCATCGTCCATTGCGAAAGAATCCCTGCGAGCATCACTGATGAGATCATTGAGGGCCATGAACCTGAGGATGGGAGAGGTGACGGGTATTCTAGTCAGAACGATTCGTCCCCTGTCGCGTCGTACTGGAGAGGCCACTTCGCCACTCACCGGAAGTCTGCGTCCTGTGACTTCATCTGAGTAGGCAGCGTTGGGTGTGTGATAATCGTCAGTGCTGACGGTCATTGCAACGACAAAGCAGCGTCTGCTGAGTCGGATCAGCTCACCTTTTCCAGCAGAGCAGCGATGCTGCTCGAAGATACCCTCGACATCTTGACCTTCTGCGACGAGGGTGGCAAAGATGGGTCAGGAGTAGTACGAGGTGTTGTTTGAGCGAAGGCAAGGGCAAGGGTCTCGTGCGAAGCACCTCGGCTCGAGCCTTCTTCCTGCTCCACCTCACTTGTCTCAGACCAACTCCCTGCTTCCGTCTCGAACGCGCCTCGGTTCTCCACCGCCTCAGTACGGCACCTTCACGACGATATATGCTTTAAGTTCTGAAATGACAATGGAGACCGTTCAGCTTCAGTACCTGATACTGTTCCTCGTGTGTACGGGCAGGTCTCGCTGTCCTCCGAGTACCGCGAAAGACGTGCGACATGCGAGCTGATGCCAACGTTTCTCGCAGGCGAATCGTGTCATCGCTAGAAAGCCCTTGGGCGTCTCGGCTTCAGGTATGCTGGCGGCGAAACCACAGAAGACACTTGGCGACTCGATGTGCTGATGAGTGAGCACTTTTGCGGATCTTGCACGTACAGACTTTGCTCTGAGCCTAGCAACAAGGGCGAATACACTCCAACACACTTCATTGCACGCCTTGCTATTCGGCAAGGCTGGAGGCACTAGAAGCGCAGATACTCTCGCCGAAATTCTAGCTTACCGAAGGCCGATCAAGGGGAGCCAGAACGATGCCAAGAGCTGCTCTACCACTGCCGAAGACCTGCACCATGCGCGTACAGCCCTTACAGGTGTATTCCATCCAGACGAGCCGGCAGCTCTTGCGATAGCTTCAGACCCTGTCGTGTCGACGTCAGACCCGCCTAGATCGCTCGCTTCACAACAAACGGATCTTGCGAGAGCCACAGCTGGCGAGATCGTGGTGACAGCCATTGCGACGCCTCCAGAAATATCCCATACGGCCACCCCTACTTCTGACCATGATCAGGATGAGTGCGGGCACCTGACAGCAATTTCCGCAGACAAAGCCGAACTTCGCCTTCAGAAGACAACAGCCACTGATGAACAGCAAGATACTGATGTACAGCCACGAGGAGCATCCGAGCAATGTTCCGTCAAGGCCGGCCCGGAGGCAGCGGCAGCAGTCGGCTCAGGTGAGGTCACAGACAGTCCGGGTGGGTCAGGTGAGCTTCTATCTGCTTACGATATAGGTGCGCGGTCCCGTGGCATTGACCGCTCTAAACCGCCTCGTGAAGACGATGTTGTTGCAGATCGGACGGAGGACCCTGCCCAGGTTGCCCGACCGCCAACTGCCTGCACTGAGCCTTGTACGGATGCGGACCGCACCGACCAAGAAAATCTGCGTCGCCATCTTCTCACAACAACAGGCGAGGCATCGAACGGTATCAACGACATCCTTCAGAACTGCCTTGCCAGATGTACTGCTGAATCGGAGTCAGACTCAAAGGACACTCTCGCCTTCCATCGTCTCGTGGTCTCGATGTCATCTTCCGCAATCGTGGCGCTACAGCAGGGGCATGCCATGCTCGCCGAGATCCCGAAGAGCGAAGACGTCGTGGTAAGCTTCCTCGCTCAGACGAAGGAACTGTTAGAACGGACAGTCAACAGCTGTCTCGATCTGCTTCACCCCCCGGAACTTGCGATTCAACTTAAAAGGCATAAGCAAGGTGCTCCCAAGAAGCGGAAGCTATCAGACGTGATCGATACTCCATATTGCAATCCCCGTACTGTCACAAGTATTCTACTGGCTCTGATCCAAGCCACTCCGAGGGATCGAGATATCGATATAGCTTCGGTAGTAGCCTCGAGCTGCTCCTGTCGCATCCGTGACCTTGCGGCATTGGCGCCTCATAGGATCTGCAATCCAGCTTTGCAGCTCATCCGCACACTCTGTGAGCTACTTGACCAGATTGTTCTCTTGATGCATGGAAGCCCAAGCGGCGAGGCAGATTCAAGAGTACTGGACATTCTACAAGATTGTCGGGTGTGGCTCGCCAAGGGGGCTAAGTGTGACTCTCAATTCCGCCGAGCATGTCGCAAGAGGGTGATGCGTACCTTTGATCACATTCAAGCAAACTTGTAGCCATTCGTCACCTTCTCCCTTGTCCATCAACACTTCTACGATACGCTTTTGCTTCGCTGCCACTGATCCGTCTATCGTCAAGAGTGAGACCGGGTTTAGCGAAGCGCGGAAGGCGAGGAAGCGCCGCTTACATAAGTCGCGGTGACGAAGCGGGGGCGGGCCTGAGCGTCAGCCCTAGTCGCCCGCTACTCCTTCCCTGCCACCTTTCGTCCCTAGCTGTCTGTTCCACATCGCACCTCGCTCATCTCGCCGACGATGACAGATCTGCTTCCCTCTGCCTCCAAGTCGGGTTTCGACTTTGGCTCCTACTCCCGCAACAACTTTCTGGGCCACAAGGGCTACCCAGTGCCCAAAGCCACCTCCACTGGTACTACGATTGTGGGATGCGTGTACAAGGACGGCGTAGTGCTGGGTGCTGATACAAGAGCTACAGAGGGACCCATCGTTGCTGACAAGAATTGCGAGAAGGTGAGTGCATCGTCCGTCGAGCATTTCTCAACGCCTTGTTGCTGATATTTAGGTTGACTTCGCTCCTTGACTTGGTAGATTCACTACATCTCTGACAACATCAGGTGCTGTGGAGCTGGTACAGCTGCCGATACCGAATTCGTGACCGCCCTCATCTCGAGCAACATGCAGCTACACGAGCTACACACAGGGAGGAGACCGAGGGTAGTGACTGCAATGACGATGCTGAAGCAGCGGCTATTCCAGTAAGTAGCAGACGCGGGGAAGCGCCTAGTGTCCTCCAGGCGGAGACTGATGGCTATGCTCTACTGTCTGCCTCGTCTTGCACTGTGTAGATATCAAGGACACATCGGAGCTGCTCTAGTCCTTGGAGGCTACGATGCAACAGGACCCAACTTGTTCACAGTCGCACCTCATGGATCGACTGACAAGCTACCCTACGTGACAATGGGCTCCGGAAGTCTAGCAGCCATGGCAGTCTTTGAGAGTGGTTGGGAGAAGGACATGACTGTGAGTAACTGTCTCAATCTGATCGCCAGGACAGAACGAGTACTGACCTTCTGCTGTTGTTTTTATTCTCGCTGAGCAGAGAGAACAAGCAATCAACCTAGTAGTAGCAGCCATCTCCTCTGGAATCTTCAACGATCTAGGCTCCGGTTCCAACGTCGACGTCTGTGTCATCACAAAGGACCAGACGGAGATGTTGCGCAATTACGAGAAGCCCAACGAGCGTGGTCAAAAGGAAAAGTCATACCTCTTCCCCAAGGGAGTGACTGGATTCACAAAGGAAATGATCTACGATATGGTTGTGCAGGAGGATGTGCTTGCTGTGGGTGGGGGACCCCCTACCACGGCAGAAGTGGTGCCTGCGACGGAGAAGATGGACACTACGTGATGGTACAACGGACAGAAGGGGTCGAAGGGAGTACCTTAACTCTTCTTGCGTAGATGCAATCAAAGACATTGAGACAGAAAGTATGACTCGTGCTCGGTATGAATGAGAGCGTAGTAATGTGTGAGAGTGATGAGTTCCCTATTCGGACAATGAGATTGAAATGTACAACAGGGGCAAGAGGCGATGTACCAAGTCCAGGAGAAAGCGATGGGAGAAGCTGTCATCGATGCTGGTCATTGGAGCGGCCGTTCATCTACTGCTCTAGATCCTGTCTCACGCAGCCGAGGAGGCATCTCTGCCTCTGTCTTCTCTCGCCTGCCTTTCTTGCCTCTCTCGCAGCTGAGCTTGTCCTGCTACCCTGAGGGCAATCTCGTATATGCTGAACATGACCGCGGCATTCTGATCAGGTAGACACAGGGACAAGGTAAAAGGGAGGCAATCGTCAGTGATGCTCCAGCTGGCACGCTAGACCCCTCATCTTCGCAGCCTACTCACTGGTACCACTCTCATTAGATGTGCGCTCAAACCTCCATAGAGGGAGGCTGCCCCCTCCTCCTTCCACACCAGCTTAATAGTCTGTAGCAGACCTGTGTACTTGCGCACTCCATTGCTGTCCTGCTGCCTCAGTCGTGTCCGTATCACCTCGTGTGGATATGTGATGAGGGACGCTGTGAACTTGGCCAGTCCCGCAGAGCCAATCGTGCCCATGAGCTTTCCGGAGAGAGAGTCCTTGTCTGCAGTAGCAGAGGCAGAGGCTTTCTTCAGGCGCTCGTACAGGACCCACTGGATCGTCCCCTCTGCCACACCTAGGTACGATGCGGAGAGACCCTTGTACAAACCCCGCACGCCCTCTTGCCGCACGATCTGCAGCGTCATCTTTAGTGAATTGGTGCTTGGGCGTGGCGGCGAGCGAGCGGGACGGAAGAAGGCTTGATCTTGGGCGAGAGCCATGGAGCGGGCTGCTGACCTGACAGTCTGCGAGGACTGACCTGTAAGAAGCTTAGCAGAGGTGGTGAAGGGGGCTCTGGAAGAGGAAGCATGCGATGCTCCGGCGCCCAGAGTGGAGACCGGTGACCGTCTCACTGCCGCTGCTCTCACCTCCTTTGCTGCCTTTTCTACTGCGTGTGACTCGAGCTGTAGTCTTGTCTTGACGACCCAAATGGGATTGGTGGCGGTAGCGGTCGTAACCCCCGCCAGACTCGCCGCCGCGAGGTGAATGATGGGCGTCTCCCTTCCATTATTGAGCTTCTCAGCGAGAAGGATCTTGCCGTTGCCATAAGTATAGAAGTTGATTGATCGAGCCGGTACTGCTCCCACCAGTGTCGGGCCAAGGCCTTTGAAGAGGGCCCGCGGGCCTTCCTTCGCCGCGATCTCCTTCAGGAGGTGGCCCGTCTCGACGAAGGTATAGCTCAGCCGCTTCGTTGCTGCCCACAGGCCTTCTGAGCTACCCGAGGAAGCTGCGACGCTGGCGGCCTTCTTTTGAAACAAGTCCGATTGTAGACGGGTCTTGACCACGTCTAGGGGCGCTGTGATGCATCCTGCGCACATACCTCCCACGCTGGCGAAGCAAGAAGATCATAGTGAAAAGGGGTAAGCGTATGAATAATAGCCCTCACTTGACTGGTGCTGCGACTTACCCTCCAGCAACAAAGTGCAGCCATCCCTTTGGTGGCTCAAGCCTCTGCTCCTGCCGAGCGCCCTCGCTGCTGCTGTCCGCCTGCACCCTCATCTGCTCCACTCTGAGGTCTACTGCCGCTCCGGGGTCGGGATGTGGCAAGTCTGCCCTCTGTCGCAGCTCATCGTTTGATAGTGCTGACTTCCGTGCCGACGGAAAGATTCTGAGGGCTGAAGATGTTGAAGATGATGAGGAGGAAGAGGAGGCGTAGGACGATGAGGAGGCCTCGCTACTGTCTGGGTAGGCGTTGGCTGATGGTAAGACGGGTGAGATGGTAGCAGACTCGCCTTCGCCTGGCGACGCTGTTGCAGGATGAGGCATGACGGCGGCGCCTCGTGACTTGTACCGGTATCAGATGCTGTCGTTCTGTACCCTGTTGAACCTCAAGTGCGAGCTGCGCTTATGGAGTGATCTACGATGGACGATGGTATCCGGCGACGTGGTGTGGTCAGGAAGTATCGGAAATTTCAGCCGTCGCACGGTCGCTGCACCTCTGCCGCGGCTCATCTCGTAGGCGGGGAGACGGACGACGACGGCGCATCGCTCATGCTCCCACCCACCATACTCATCCTACAAACACATCGCAGCGCCCATCGTCATCCTCACTCACTTGCTGCTGCGCGATGGTCCTCACATCACTCGGACGTCGCATCAACTCGGCGTTTGCAGACCTCTCCCGCGCACCGCAGGTCGACGATGCCACCATTGAGGCCCTCCTCAAGTCCGTCTGCTCTGCCCTGCTAGAGTCAGATGTCAATGTCCGCCTCGTCTCCGAGCTGCGCAACTCGGTACGAGCCGAGGTGAAAGAAGGGCTCAATGACAAGAGCAAGTCCTCGTTGCAGGATGGTCAGCGCAAGGCCCTCGTGCAAAAGGCCGTGTTCGACCACCTGGTCAAGCTTGTGGACCCCACGCCAGGTCAAGAGCAATGGAAGCCCACGAAGGGCAAGCCAAATGTGGTCATGTTCGTTGGTCTGCAGGGAAGCGGTAAGACGACGAGTGTGACCAAGCTGGGACATCACTACGCCAAAAGGGGTTTCAAAGTCGGACTCGTCTGCGCCGATACCTTCCGTGCGGGAGCCTTTGATCAGCTCAAGCAGAATGCCTCCAAAGCCAATATCCCCTTCTACGGTTCTTATACCGAGACCGATCCCGTCGTCATCGCCAAGCAGGGAGTGGACTCTTTCAAGAAGAATAGGTTCGAAGTCATCATCGTCGACACATCGGGTAGGCATCGACAGGAAGCGGAGCTCTTCGAAGAGATGGTCGAGATTGCCGATGCTGTCAAGCCGGACATGACAATTATGGTCTTGGATGCGTCCATTGGTCAGGCAGCCGAGGAGCAGAGTAAGGCTTTCAAGGAGGCAGCAGGATACGGAGGTATCTTCGTCACCAAGCTTGATGGTCATGCCAAGGGAGGAGGAGCTATCTCAGCGTGAGTGCAAAGAGGACAGATCGCAGAAGGTGCGATCAGAAGGTCACTGACATCGTCTCCTCTACCTCCTCCACCATTGCGCCCAGCGTTGCTGCTACGCATACACCAATTCTCTATCTTGGACTGGGAGAGCATATCGCCGATCTCGAGATCTTCCGTCCTGCCCCCTTCATCTCGAAGCTCCTAGGTCAAGGCGACCTGACAGGTCTGATGGACAAGATGGAGGAGGTCCGTACTCAGAATCCTGAACGTCAAAAGGAGCTGATGAAGAAGCTGGAAGAGGGCGGAAAATTCACAGTGCGGGATTGGAAGGAGCAGTTGGGCAACATCATGGGTATGGGCCCTCTCTCCAAGATCGCCGGCATGATCCCTGGTATGGGAGCCATGCTCGGTGGTGGCGGAGGCGAAGGGGACGAGGCCGCCAACGGCAAGATGAAGCGGATGATGTACATCTGCGATTCCATGACAAAGGAGGAGCTGGACTCAGACGGATCTCTCTTCTACACACCTGTGGGCGGAAAGGGCAAGGGGAAAGCCAAGGGCAAGGAGGCTTCTTCTAGCAAGTCGAAGCAGGTTGCCAAGGTCGACGAGGAGGGCAAGAGCAAGGAGAAGAAGAAGGCCAAGCAGGTCAAGGTGAGGATGACGGCTAGGGCCAGGAGGGTGGCGCAGGGTAGCGGGACAAGCGTAAGAGAGGTAGAGGAGTTCTTGATGCAGTACAGGTGAGTATCCGAGCTATGGAAAGACAGCTTTGTGCTCCTCGAGCCCATCAGACTGACCCATGTCATGATCTTTTCCGCCTTCTCTCCCTTCTCCTCCTCAGGATGGTGTCCAAGATGGTGCAAAGCATGGGCGGTCTCGCCCGCTTCAAGCAGCAGACCTCCGGCGCCGGCTCGCGTCCAGGCGCAGGCGGCATGCCTCAGCTCCCACCAGGCGTAGACCGCAATCAGATAGCGGCAATGCAGAACATGCTTCCTCCGGAGATCAAGGCGCAGCTCCGTCAGCCCGGTGGGCGGGAGAAGCTCATGGCACAGATCCAGAGGGGGGAGATCAATCCTGCCGCTCTCATGGGTGGAGCGGGTGGGGCAGGAGGCCTTGGTGGGTTTCCTGGAATGGGAGGAGCTGGAGGAGCGGGTGGGATGCCTGATCTAGGAGCGATGATGCAGCAGATGGGAGGTATGGGAGGAATGGGCAATATGATGAAGATGTTTGGAGGCATGATGGGAGGCGGAGGAGGAGGACCGGGAGCAGGCGCGGGTGAGGGTCGTTGAGCCACCTTGTACTTTCTCCGTACGTATCCTTGAGGGAGTGGTACTGCAATCAACAGTATTCAAGTCAAAACAGAGCGTCACGCTGCGAAAGAACAGAAGGAGTGGTACAAATTGGATTCTATGAACATGGCTATACACCGCTGGTGCGAGCCAGTGAGGGCGATCATTAGACATGAGTGCGTGATAGGAGGCCCGAGTAGACGGGCACAATTTCCTAGCATGATTCTCGTAACAACGTGACGAGTCATTGAGTACATCCCCTGATGTTTGAAGGGCCACTCCCAGCATAATTCTTCAGAAGCTCTATTCACGAAGTGATTACATCGCATCTGCCTCCTCTTCTCGCTCCGTGCTATCCTCATCCTCCACAGGGATAGCAGCAGCGTGAGCCTTACTCGTCGTAGGAGTCGTGCGTCCCGAATTTGCAGCTGAAGCAGAAGGTGTACTGCGAGGCGTGGGCTTACTGTACTTTTTGGCCCAACCACCAACTAGACCTGCTCCAACGGCAATGAGAATCGTGAAGAGCATGCTGGGTATAAGTGCCGAGAGGGGTGGTCGTGGTGGGAGGTCTTTGGGTTTTGGAGGAGGAGGAGGAGGTGCCGATTTGTTCGATGAGGCTGGCGAAGTCAGTGGTGGAGAAACGACCTCGTTCGCAGCACTTGGGTGTCGATGAAGACTACTGGGATGCCTCATTGCGTCCTCCGCTGCGAGGGAGGCTCGACGACTGGAAGCCGAGGCCGACTCGACCATTGAGGGTGTGAAACTCTTGGCGACGGCAATGGGTACGCTGGCGGCGTAGGTGAGCGGGTGGAGCACGAGATGGTCCAATGCGTGCCTGGTGAGCTCCATCGTCGTACTGCTGCGACGACTGGAAGGGTTCGTGCCAGGGGAGGTTTCGCCAGAAGTCGTGGTAGCCGTGGTGTTGGTTCCCGTGTTCAGCCCATCTGAACTGATTGTACTCGACCCCGAGTCATCATCGTACTGCCCTTCTCTCATTTCAGAGGCAGCCCTTTGTTTGCCCTTGCTTTGCGAGTGAGCCCATTTGCGACTGGGGGCCACATCGTCCCAAGCGGTCAGGAAGTAGCTCATCATCAGGCAGCCTACCAGAGCCATGACGGTCGCTCCCGAAACACACCAGATGAGTGTGAAGTGCAGTAGCGGTCTAAACAGGGGGCCTGGCACAGATAGAAGCGACCTTGAGAAACCTAGCGCGTTGGTAGTAGTCCTGAATAAAGAATCTTGGGCGTGTTGCAGAGAGCGAGATAGAGGCAGGTGTTGGAGGTCCAACGGCGTAGGGTACTCAAGAGCAGCTTTACTTTCCGGCACGCTCCCACCGGTTCTTCGAGCCGCGAGGGATTGCTTGATTCTGTCCTTTTCCCCATCCGAGAGATGAATGGAGCCTCGAGGGCTCTGATGAGCCATTTCGCCGGCAGAGCCAGGACGTCGAGAAGTCGCGGTACGCTGGGATGCGAAGCCATCTCTAGACAAGGTCCTGGTCCGTCTCCGAGACATTGTACTGGAGGACGCAGAATTGAACCAGTGCTGAGCTCCACTTGCTGCAAGAGATTCTATTGCTGAGTGGTTCGAATTTGTGGGCGGCTCGGTAGTACGTCTCTGCGGCAAACCTGACGTGGGGTCGGCGGGTAGCCGCGATGGGAGAGCTTGGAAGAATTGCGGATTGAGGAGTCCCTCAGCAGCGAATAGCCCGGTCCTCGTTGGCCTTTCGGATGACTGAGGAGTGCGACTTGCGACTCCCTCGGACTTGAGAGGCGCTGCCTGGTCCAGCTCGAAGTTGACCTTTCGAGAGGCAGCTCTGCCTGTACTACGGGAGAACGAGGAATGAAAGGAGAGTTGCGTGGAATGAGAAGAAGAAGATGCGGCGGACGTGTGCGTCTGTGCAGCACCCATTGCAGAGAGAGATACAGCTGATCGTGTCCGTCTGCGGTATGATGAGCTTGTTGCATCGTCCTCTGCCTCCGAGCCAGAACTGACCTCTGGCGTGCTCGACAGTGGCGATCGTGATCCGTATAACGAGAGCGACGGAAACGGCTTGGGCTGGTAAGACACCTGCGAGAGCGGCTTCCGCCTTGTATCCGTAGTCGTAATACCTGAAGGCTCCTTTAGCGATTGCGGCCTGCTTCGAGGGGCCTCACTGCCTCGCAGCGGAGTCTTGCCCTTCCTTGTAGTGTCAATTGTATCAGCTAGCTTTGCGGATCTCGGGCTCTTCAAAGGCTTGTCGAAGTTGGTCCGCATGGATGATACAGAGCCGACGGTGGAAGAGGCACGAGAGCCTGCGCTTGAGCCTTCTACATCCGGGATGTCTCTTGAGGGAAACACAATGCTGCGTGGCGCAGGAAGAGTCTGCAGACGAGGCGTGGTAGGGGTGCTGCTGATATCTCTCCGTCCCCGCCTGGAAGTGGACGTCGGTACGTTCAGAGAATTGGCGTTGGGCTCGTGAGCCTTGCGGAGACGCTCGGCCAACTGGCCTTCTGGAAGCACATGCTCCCACCATCCATCAGATGACGAAGTCGAGCTTCTCCTGCCATTCCTGCTTTGGTACGGCGAGGAAGGAAGAGAGGCAGCCTGCCTCGAAGATGTACGAGACATGATGCGCTGCTAGTGAGCCCGAGGGGCAAGTGTAAGGCGTTCGTTCTTCGAGTCACTCTGCTTCCAAACGCCCTGAGAGTATCGTGCAGGATGAGTTGTGATGGAGGCACAAGATTGTCCTGCTAGATCGAAAGACCGAGTTACGATGTCGCGGTACCGAAATGTGACACAAATGTGCTCTCTGTGTGGTGATACAGAGTCTGTATGAGCACCAGGCCTGGGCACGTTCTGCTGCCAGTCGTTATCGTAGGATGCCAAGACCAGCTGCGAAGGTGGACTTGCGCCAAGAGATCCCACGAGGTCGCGGAGGCGTATATTACTCCTGAAGAGGTGGCGGTGGGTCCCACGACTGTGCCGGAGAAGCTTGTCTCTCGGGAGCTATTATGAGATTCTGATGCCGTGTCTGGTGGCTCCTATGGGACTAAGGAGATGAGGACGGGCACCCGCTCCGTGTATGCGAGCCAAGAGTAGCGATCACGATGGAAGAGGGCTATGCGACGAGCAGGCAGAAATCTGCAACGGCAGTGCCGGTGGTGCGAGAGGGAGAGAGATCGTGGACCCGCGGAGACGATGTATGTGCGAATGAGAGTCGACGACGATGAAGGGAGGCGAACGACCTGATATGAGTTGAGCAGACAGACGGAGTCCGTAGGGCGATGACGAGGAGCGAGGGTGTGGCTCCGAGGTGAGAGCCTTTGGCCCTACGCCTGCCCCGTGGGAACGTGTAGGTGTTGCTCTCCCCGCCTTCCTATTCCTATCGCTGGGCGGAGAGAATTCGCAGGCGATGGGCGCTCGCTGAGCGTGAAAGGGCTAGGCGGCGCGCAAGAGGGCGTGAGAAGCCGATAGATAAGGGGGAAAGATGGGCCAGTCAATGGTGGAAGAGGCTGTGTATGATATACGAGTATCCCGATGATTCTAAGGATGTAGCTGGAGTCATGAAGGCTCGCAGAGAATGCTTACGTCGTCGGCATTATTGTGTGAATGGGCTTGCCTCCCTACGGCACACGACCGCTATCACCGAGGAAGGACCTGCAAGGTGGCCGGATGCCTCGGCCTTGTCCTACCGTCTAAAATTTCAATGTAGCCCCGGTACCTTCCACAGAATCGCTGAAAATTAGCATCGTGGCCCCTTCCCTGTTTTGGCCTCATTCATGTACAGCGACCGTCGCTCCGTTTTGTTCCGAAGAGACCTTTCCAGACCTTTACGCTCAACAAAGCGTAAGGCCAGGCCGCGACGCGCTGGGCGCGGCGGGGTCCAAGTCGCCGTCCCGCACGCATGCCCAACCTGTGAAAGCCGAGAAGCGAGGAGCACACCTGGCCGCGATGTTCAGCGCTCGCAAGCAAGGACATCAGCGGGGCCCGATTGCACCTCCGAGATCTCGAGATGAGCACCTCAGGCCGCTTCTCTATCCCGCTGAAGAGCGTATGTCGGCAGCACTGACCTTTCAAGCCCTCGCGTGATGCGCACGCAAGGGCTCAATGTTTGGTTTTGTGCAGCCCGATCAAGCTCGGCACTGGTCACAAGCGTCATGGGGCGAGTGATGTAAAGCTGACTCCTATCACACTTTGTATTACTTCATGGGTCCGCACTGTAGGAATTTCCGAAAGAACTAAGCATTGGAGTCAAAGGTGAGGCCCTCTGCACGTCCCGGCAATGGATGAAGGCTCGACACGTATTGCTGCCTCTCAACATCTGCTCAGATGGCAACGGAAAAGGCGAGGAGGCAAGGCAATAGTAGCTGTGTAAAGAGCTGCTCCGTCGATCGTCTCCGGTCAGGGTGCTACGCTTCCTGAGCCATCTTCTTCGCGCAAGAGGCAAATCTTTCCCCACATCGCTTCACGCTGTTCCACCTCGGTGCTTGACAGCTCAGCTCAGACACATGAAGCCGGCCCGTCCCGGAGAACTGGTATCGATTGAGCGAATCGATAGTGGAAAAGCGGGGCCTGTCGACGCTCTGTGCTGCTGCCAGCGCTAGCCGAGCTGCGCTACCCAGCCAAGCCCGCCACTCCCTGTGTCTCACTGAGCTGATTCCCGGTACCAAGACCCGGCTGTGCGGTTCGGAGCGTCGATCGATCGGGTATCTTCGCCCATCGCCGGGTCGACTGTCCACGTGGGCGGACGGTTGTCCCGTTTAAAGTTCGCGCCCAGCGCCGCGAATTCAGGCGCCGCCTGACGCCGCCCATCGTCAGAGCTGGGCGTCTCCATCTTCAGACAAGCCGGCGGGCCGCTTGACAACCGTGTACCCGAAGCGGACACTAATCAAGGTATAGACACCTGATGTGTGAAATGGAGATATGTGGACGCAAGCTTTACGGCGATTGGAAGTATGCTGTGAATACACTTTAGAGAAGGAAGCTTTTCGGCCCTTCGGCCCTTTGTTCACCAATCTTGTCGAGCGCGTGGCCCTGCTGAGGAAATCTGTAGGCATGCATTGAGAGAGCGCCCGCGGATGTCTCACAATCCAGGAACCGGTCGAGCGGGAAAGCAAGCTCAGCCTGTCCCGGAGGTTGAAGGCCCCAAGACTTGTCTCTGAGGCAAATACACCGTGAGTTGCTGTCTTGTATAGTAGACCCTAGTCGGGCCGAGATCGTACCAAGGCGGTGCGCAAACCTTACTATCAACGCAAGGACGAAGGATGCTGGCTTAGCAAACTTGGGTTCTGACGAGTTCTCTGCCGACACGACAAGATGACCATCAGAGCTCTGCTATCCAAAGGTCTACACATAGCACGACCCCTCGCAGACATTGAAACCTCCGCTGCCGCCCAAGCGATAGCCCCGATCTGAGTGCCGCCGGAGCTGTACTATCCTCACTGACCTAGTCAGCCGAGAGCGGCGAGCACGCATACAGGTAGCTCTCCGATATTTCCGTGGGCACAGACATCGTCGACGGCAATTGGATTCCTGTACTTTCCCTGCCTCCTTGCATTGCTCACCTTGCGTTGTCAAGGCTAGTGGGCCCAATCTCTACCCGATCCCGCTTTCTTGCTTCTCCACGAAGGCAGAGTGAGATACTGAGAGGAAATGCATGATCACAAATCAACCTGACATATCGGGACCTACTTACACGGACGGGAGCGAAGTCTGACGGTTTGCAGAATTGGTTCCGTGATATCCCACACCAGTCTCTGGCGCTACAAAAGGCAACAGGACGTAATACTCTCCTCGCCTCTCGTGCTGTTCTTTGTTTCATTTCAATTCGTCCGGACGTCTTTGCTTTCGCTTACAAAGTTGCACACCATCACAGTGCTCACCGTGACCCTTATCCGAGCCGACCCATTGTAGCCACGACTTCAGGTGAGTACGCTGCCAAGCCCGAAATCCAGCCTCGAATACATCTCCTCGACTGTCAGGGTTCATACCCCACGAGGCCGACGCTCGCACTATCAATGGGCCGCATCGTACTGCAAGCGAGGTCGCTTGTACTCGCTTAGAAAGTAGCCGCTCGGAAGTCGCGAAGTGATTGATGGCAAAGAGCCGCTTTACACTGCTTGTCGTGGAAGCATGTGTCCCTGCTCATCGAGCGCTGCAAAGCAGTCGCTCCCAATGCAGATGCGTAGTCGAAAGGCTAGTCCGACAGCATTTGTCATCTCTGGTAGTTGTCAATCGCTGCGCCGATCCATGCCGGAGCTGCCTAGCTCTTCAAATCTGGGCCCATAAAGATGATCAGCAGTCACCGTCGCCTTCTGCTCCCCAAAGTAGGCCCGACGCAAAGCCGACGGCCGAGGGGGGAGGATGGCATGGCAGGAGGGCATTCCTGACCCGACAGAATGCGAGACAGGCCCTCGGAGAATAATTTGGCCCCACGCTGCAGCAGCTTCAGCTCCGCGGAGGTGCAGAGCAACAGGGTTTGGCCGGTTGGTCAGGCTTGGCTAGTACAGAGGATGGCACCCTTGGCGGGAGATTCCGAGGGGGATGTCTCAAGTGCGAGGGAGTTCCAAAGGGGGTCTGGCGGCGTTGATGGCGGAGATGAGGGGGGGCACCTTGCGGGTTGGCCGCGACTGGCGTGGTGCTTTGGGAACGCAAGCGGAGAAGCAGCGTCCGCGGCATGGCAGCAAGGTTTGGCGTCCCGCCCGAGCATTGCGTCAGGCACATGGCACACGATTCACCCGTGAACCTTGATTCCCTGACAATACCATGCTCCGACGACGAGACACCCACACACCCGTCTCGGGGGAAAGGAGCGGACAAAGGCCTGGTTGAGCAAGCTACTCCCTCGGCATCACTCGCGACTTGATTGTCTCAGAGCCAAGATGATTCCAGAGACAGCCCACAGCCACCTCTTCTTGCCGTCCATGGCCATGCTCTGATGGGATTAGCAATCCGCTCCTCTTATAACATCGCAAGCATCCCTTGGCCCCGCTCTGACCCCCTCTGTCTCCTACTTTCCCATCACACACTACATTCTTCAGTCGAACAGATCCCATTGCACATTGGGTACTGTTCCACCTGCATTCACGCATAGCATTCCCGTTTACATAGTCACTGTCACACACCTCATCTTCCTCTCAGCTCGCATATAGCGCAACTCAAAGCACCTTCCCATCACCTTACCCCGTCTAATATCACACCTACCAGCACTCTCAACCACGCAGCATGGACGCCAGCCGTAGCAGCATGTCTACGCGAGACTTAGACGGAGCATTGGCACAAGCCGCACGCCAAGTGGAGCTTGCGCGCCAAGAGCATCTGTACCTACAGCAAGAGCATGAGCGCCTCCGTCTCAGGCAGCGACTCGCGAGGGAAAGAGGAATGGAGCAAAGTGACAGGGAAGCTCACAGAGAAGCAACTCGACCGGCACAAGGCGGACGTGAGGGTCACCAAGACACCACAGCCGACAACTCTGCTCAGCAAAGGGATCATCCCGTCTACCTGCTCAATTGCAAGGGCTGTGGTTCTTTCCTCTCCGACCGGGGAATGAAGGCTATTCTGCTGCTCAAGCCTCATGTGACTCTCTTCTCGACCGACGTCATGCCGTCCAATGTAGGACCCCTCTACCCAGCCTCCTACAGGAATGCAGACCGCAGCCTCACACGATCCGCCTCTTCAAGCGCTCATCCCGCAGAGCGTCAAGTGGAAAGGACATGCGACTGCCTCACCGAGACCCTTGGCTGCTACGGCTGTGGTGCCCAGATCGGTTACCACATCATCTCTCCATGTGCCAGGTGTACTGCCAGCGTAACGGATCAAAAGAAGGGCTCTAACGGCCATCGTACAGTTCTCCACTGCTCCGAGATCACAGCAAGGGAGAGACGCTACGTGCCAGGCGAAGCCGGGGTGCGCTGCGCGCCTACGCCTTGTCCCTTTCCTCAAAACACCAACAAGGACCGCAAGCTGGCCTCTTCGATCGCTCACGGAGGATACTCGAATGCAGTGATGAACACCTTCCACTGGGGTCGAGGCTCACCTCTGACTAGGGACAACGCGCCATTCGACCGATACGCTCGTCCTGCCCGACGAAACGTGCGCATGGTACACATCGACCGCTCTGGCCCTTTCCATATCCACCGGCAGCGCATGAATGGCATCCGACCCGAAGAGATCGAGGATGACTTGAGCGACGGCGACGAATTCCTCGATCTGGACCTTGCCGCTCCTGAAGAGGACGAGGTGGAACTGCAGATGCAGCTCGACACGGACCTCTACGACGAGCTGGAGCAGGACAAGTTCGATGTAGGCGGCGGACGAGCTAGAGCTCTCTCGGCTGCCTCGCTTGTCAGAGAGCAACGCAGGCAGCAGGCTGCTGCTGCTGCCGCTGCTGCGAGCAAGAGCGGGGGTAGCGGCATGAACTCTGCCCGACTGCTCGAGAGGGGAGCAGTCGTCTACTGGGGCGACCTGGTACCTGGTGGGGAGAGGTGCCAGCCCTTTGACTCGGACTTGGCATTGCAAGTGCCAGTGGCGGTGAGGTAGTGGTGACGTCCTTGCGAGAAGAGATTTGAAGCGCTCTTCACTACTCCACTGCATGACGCTCGTGCAGTTCTTTCTTCGCGTTCCTTTCCTGACTATGCTAATATGCCAAGTAACGTTCAAATAAGCTCCATGCTGTACATAGCCTACTGCATTTATGTCTCCTTCCCTCCTCTCTCTGGTACTCTCATATGCATCTTATAGTCACACTGCTTCTCATTCACCATCTACTACCATCATATATTAGCCTCATATCTAATCGCATGCATCATATCGTTCCTCAGAGATTGATTTCGAAGTGTGAGCATTGCAATGCAAAGCGGTTCAGACGAAGCTATACATCTCTCCTCTCCGGTCCAGCTCTCAGCCGAAGAGAGCCTGATCGAAGCTGTTACCAAAAAGACCCGCCCAGCTGGGCGGCTCCGCAAAGCGGAAGCTGGACGCCTGCCCTTTGCTTTGCGTCCCTGTCCCTGTCCCTCTGAGCAGCTCTGCGACTGCTCCTGCGAGGTAGTGCGCATCGGGCCTATTGTCTCCCTCTGCAGCGAAGAGGAGCAACACGCCCACGTCTAGTTGTGTTGGTGTCTTTGCAGCAGTCTCATCTGAAGGTATTGTGGATGTAAGGTCGGCTAGCAGGCGTCTTGTGATGCCCGTCGAGGAAGAAGGGATGGGCGTCTCCTTCTCCCCCTCTTTGCCCGGGAAGTGACCCAGCTCTGGAACAGATGCACTCAGTTGCGCTAGTAGAGCACTCGAGGTAGAGGAAGAAGAGGTCGACGAGACAGATATGTGACGAAAGAGGGACTGTTGCGAGTTCATCTCCTCCTCTGTACGAAGGGCATTGTCCACGCTAGATAGGATCAGGACTTGGGCAAAACCTTGGGAGCGGACCCAGGATGTGAAGCGCTTGCTGAAGGGCCTTTTGCGCGCCTATAGGAGTGCAGGATGGTAGAAGTCAGATGGATGACGCAACTAGGAAAGCCAGATGATACTCGAAAGAGCTCACCTTGAGGACCGGACTCCTTTGCTGAATGACAGTGAGCTTTGAAGAGGGGTCGGAGTAGACTGAGGTGGATAGGTGGAATTCATGGTGTGAGCCACCTGTGGTCGATGCTGAATCTCTTTCAGAGCTGCTCACCTTCCAGCGACGTGGTAAGGCCTCCATTTCCTCCCTCGTCGGATCCTACGAAAGGAATCAGATCTCTAGTCGCATCGAGCCTGGCCACTCTCTGCAGCTTGAGCTCGGGGCTGTTGATGAGCAGGTCTACCGCCAGCTGTGGAATGCAGGCATGCGACACGACAGGCACGACGAGGACATGACCTGTGAAGTCTGGCAATGATGCACTCGCTGAGATTGGATGGCAGTAGCGTGGCAAGGACGACGACGAGGGGACGGTCATGGTGAGGGAGTGAGTGCTGCAGTACACACGTATGGCGCCGCAAGGAACGGAAGCAGCGAGGAGTCGTCAGCGTCGAGGTGCCTTTTTGACATGGCCCATGCGCAAGTGCGCGGGGGGGCGTCATCCCAGGGATACGGCCGAGAGGAGGCGAGGGAGCGATGCCTCAGCTCAGTCTCACACCCGCACTCACCACCACCACTCCTTCGCAACCATCTACGGAGACCCACAAGCATGACTGTCATGCCGCAGGCCGACACAGGCGCAGCCTCTTCGTCGCTGCTGGGGCTGCCCCACGAGCTCATCATCGACATCCTCTCCAGACTCGACCCCCGCGATGTGTCGGCGTTGGGCAGGACATGCTCTCACCTCAACCACCTCATAGAGACTTCCTCTGGCCTCTGGCGGAACCTCTACCTATCCCGATGGGACCTCTCTCATGATCTCGATCCCCTTCCAATCGCCTCGTCCAGCAAGGGAAAGGAGACACAAGGAAGTGCTTTGCCCTCTATGCAAGAGCTGGTCAAGCAGAGGCGCAAGGCTAGGAGCGATCTTCGCAGGGGAACAACCAGTCTACATAGCATGGTGAGTGGGTGGAGCATCAGCATCGATCGAGTACTGCTGTAGCTGAGTACCATCACATTCGTGTCATCTCAGCTACTGGACCATTCAACGACGCTGCCCACACTCATAGCCGCACTGCGGAGTCGCAGCCGGCGTCAGACTAGCAAGACGAATCCCAATGGCGACTCGCCGTCCAGCCAGACCGCTGCAACCTTTGCTTCTATGTTTCCTTCCAATATCGAGGGCGATTTGAGGTGGGCCACCTTTGTCTACCCTCGCGAAGATGTGCTTAACCTTCACGACTGGCAGCATGCTGTCAAGCAGGAAGAGGCGAACCCAATCGAAAACAAGCGTAGCTCGAAGGGGTATGGGGCCAAAAGCAATAGCTCGAATGTCGCCGAATCATCGCCGTCATCATCGAAGAAGCCTACAGCATCCAAGACAGACCAGCGAACTCGGCGCTCCTCACGCATCCGCAGAGCAAAAGTCCCTTCTTCCCTGTGGGGCTTCCTCAAGAACCCAACGGAGGACAGTAATGATGACTTTTCGTTGACCAAAGTATCCTTCGATGAGCAGCTCGCAGCAGAGCTCCACTGCTTGTACGGAGTGAGGAGGATGGACCCACCCTTGATCTCAGATAGGCAAGGCAGAGTCTGGAGAAGAGACCATGACCGTCTCGCTCCAAAGAAGCGTAGGCGAGGCTCAAGAGCTGGAGAAAAGGGGCGAAAGGCTGAGGAGGACGAGGAGATGCGCTACGAATCGGTTGAGCCTGAGTATGCAGGCGAATCTGCACAGGCGCTCCCAGCTCCTTCCAGACCCTTGCGAGGTGATGCAGGGGAAGATGTGGACATGCACTTCGTCAACGGTGCAAATGCGAATGACGATGACAATAATGATGGCAACGGCTTCCTCGACGGCTCCGGAGAGGAAGACACCGATGAATTTGATCTGTGTCAGTGGGCTCGACTGGGCTCCCGAAACGGAGTTGCGGGCTACCGTGACCTTCGCAGTCGTGCCAAGGAGAAGATCTACGATGTGGGACGATACTCGTACGAGAATGCCTACGGACCTTTTTTGCCCTTCAGAGCTACCGATGCTCCTTTGAGTCGCCGCCATGGGGTGACACCGGAAGGTTTCCCGATGCATCTCGCAGAACGTCTGCCTTTGTTCGCAGCAGTCGACATGGACGATAGCGGCGAGGCACACCTGTCTGACGATGACGACAGCATTGGGTCGGGCCCAGGTCCAGATGATCCAGTGGTGGAGATTGAAGAAGACGAAGTCGAGGACCTTCGCCGAGATCGGGAGGAGGCGGGGGATGCTTCCCCTGTAACCTCGACGGGCTGGGCCAGTCCTCGCGTCATCGATATCGACGAGATTGTGGAAGAAGGCGACGAAGAAGAGGAGGACGAGGATGACGACGACGACAGTTCTCAGGGCTTCCCCTTCTTCGACGACAACAGTCGAGCAGACAGATTCGCCCAGATGGTGCAAGAAGTCGCAGCCTATTCTGGGTCAAAAGTGCGCAACACAGTGGAGCGCATCCGTCGACTAGAAGCAGGCGAAGACCCCGACAAGCCGAACCCCCGGCCTGTCTGGCAGTCTCAGCCTCGCAAACGATCCTTGGTCTGGCAGAGGCAGCGGAGCATCGACTGGGTCCTGCTCGAAGCCATCATGGTCGCTGTACACTGCAGTCTGACCAGCGCAATTACGACGATGTTCTGGGGCCGGGGCTTCAAGCTGCCCCGTGGTGCTAGAGGCGATGCTGCCAATGGATACAGTGGTCGAGATGCGTGCGTCCACCTCCGCTCACGACGTCTTATCGAACCGCCGTGTGGTTGGCATCTCTCTCGAGGAGAGGTGGAGCAGGCTAGAAACGCAGAGACAAAGAACAAAGCTACTCAGCCCACCGACGACGACGACAGTGGCATCGTCCTCGAGGCCCAGCCTCGGCCTCAATCTAGTGGCCTAGAGAAGCCCTATGACTGGGCGCGAGCCGAGACTTCGACATGGGTTGGCACCTACTTTTTCAGCGACTACCCGATGTTCCTACGCTACAATGCCTCTCTAGCTCAAGACCCCACCGCTCTGCAGAATGGCGTCAGCCTTATGCGTCACGAGGAAGCCGTAGGAGACTGTCTGCAGCTCCGTCTTGAGCTCAACCCGATGGAGCGTCAGACCGCTCAATTCGAAGAAGGTGAAGAGGAAGCCCTCTCCAACGGTCCCGAGGATCCGGAATTCCCCACGCTCCGCTTCACCGGCCATACCCTCACGCACCACGAGGAGGAGCCACCGCAATTGCGCGGTCGAGCACATGGGTACGTCCGCCCCGTGTACGCCACCGATGGAAAACTCACCCGCTTCCACGCTTCTTCGGGTCAGTGGCTCCCTGAGATTGCCGGCGTGCACTGGAAGATCACGCACGCCTACGATGGGCAGGATCGCTGGTCCCTTTCAGGTGCTCAGGCTGGTCCACCGGGAACCAGAGCACCCATCTATGGAATCTGGAGCGATGTTGAAGACGAAGAAGCCAGTCCCGTAGGACCTTTTTGCTATATGAATGTGGATAGTAGACCTTGGAGAGAGGTGGAGAGGTTGCTTAGGGAGGAAGAAGAGGGTGAAGAGAGGAGGAACAGGGTGAGGGAACGGAGAGGGTGAAAAGATTCTCTGTGGTGGCGGGTCGATGTCTCTGAGTGTATCTGAAGGCGAGTCGATGTCTCTTATTGTACCTTTTGCGGCCTTGGCATTATACTATACATTCCTAGTGACGTTCCACAGTGATGACGTTTGTTCTCTCATCTAGTCGAGTCTAATCTATCCCATCGCCACCTCCCAAGCCTCCTTTGACCTCTTCTTCTCTTCCCGACCAGAACTTCCACTTCTACCCCTGATCTCTGTACTAATTGCGCTTGCACCTTCACCATCCGGAGCCTCTCCAGCAGCAAGATGAGCTCCAGCACCGCGCAGTGCAGCGACTACTTCTACATGACCGCCCGAAGCGGCGAGAAAGAGGGGACTGCGGCCACCATAGTCCCTCAAATGGACGGAGCAGCCCGCTTGCAGTAGCGCCTCGACGCATGCAACGTGACCCGAGGCGGAAGCTACGTGCAGTGGGTAGGTCGAGTCCAGGGGCGGGAGAGAGTTGCGTGGGTCGCCCTTTCGAGAGGAAGAGGGTGTTCTGTGAGACGACTGATGAGGAGTGGCTGAGGACTGAGAGACGTCTTCCTGTCTGCTACCGTCGTGAGTGGAAATGTGGATGGAGGGAGTAGAGATGGTCGCTGATTCTAACTGGGGGAGGGCGGAGAGGTGCCACTCGAGCGAGGCGACGTCCGCTGATGCTGCCGCTCGATGGATGAGATCTGTTGCATAGGATGGAATGGTATCAGTAGCCTATCCAAGACGTCAGGTAGCGAGGGGAACAGTAACTCACATGGTAGAATGGCGCGCTCTGCGCTGGCGATCTCCCGTTCAAGGGCTTTCCCCTCGGTGGAAGACTCGAGCGCTGTCTTCGATCCAGCCTCCCCTGTCTCGTCACCACCAGAGTCATCCTCGTTGGTCTCGTTAGGCCTCTCAAGAATCCTGCCGAGTAGGTCGGACATCCGCGCTCGACTACCGCCATCTGCTTTGTCAGTCGTCGTTGCTCTGCGATTGGCAGAGCTACCTCTTGCGAGGCTGGCCGATGAAGACGAGCCCGTCAGTTCGCCGCGTAGTGACCTTCCCATGAGCTCGCGCACCTCCTGTCTCGAGAGCTCGGGCTTCGAGAGCAGATATGCTAGCTTCGTCAGGGCACACTCAGGCGTCATGTCTCCACCGGCCACGACATTGACCGCGGCCAGCTTCTTGCCTACGGCATATATTGCGGAGACTTCGCCCTGAAGGCATTGAGTGATATTGATGATGACCATTCCTGCTTCCGTCGCCTCCCTGAAGGCTTCTAGTAGATCGGGTCTGCTGGGCGCATTACCAGCTCCGAAACTCTGTCACATGATAGTGCAAGAGTCAGCAAATCAGGTCATGAGCGAAGGAACACGGTAACGACAGACTCACTTCTATACACAGGCCGCTCAGACCGGACTTCAGAAAATGTTTGATGGTATGCGTCGGCATACCAGGAAAGAGCCGGAGAAGAGCGACGTCTGCGCTCATGCTCTCGTGAGCCCGGAACGGCTTGACTGTCCTCGGCCTCTCTACTAGGTGCCAAGCGACATCAATTCCGATGCCAACTCGAGCCAGCGGTGCCATGTTGGGCGAGTCAAAGGCAGCGAGCGCATTGTTACTGACTTTGCTCGATCGATTGCCTCTGTACAGCTTCGAGGCGAAGAAGAGACCGACTTCGGGGATGATGTAGGACGATGCGAGGATGAGGGCGCCGAGAACATTTTCGATGGCATCATTGCGGAGCTCGCTGAGAGGGACCTGTGCGCCAGTGACGATTACTGACTTGCCTAGGTTCTCGAGTAGGAAGGAAAGTGCCGACGCCGTGTAGCTCATAGTGTCCGTCCCGTGTAGGACAACGAATGCATCGAAGGATGTGTAATTGAGCTCAATGTCCTTTGCCATCCTTGTCCAGTCTTCCAGACCCATTTCGGAAGAATCGAGGAGAGGGTCGTACTCCAGGACGGTGTAGCGTATGCGCTGCCCATTGTGACTCGACTTTGGAGTGACCAAGGACGGAAGTTGCATGGAGAGGGTTCCATCAGGGAGGATCTGCTGTGACAGAGCATAGCGAGTGGAGGTCCCTTCCGGGTCAGAAGATCTGACTTGGATTGGCTTGCTGAAAGGAGGGCCATTTGTGAGGAGAGAAGAGGATGGGCCGGGTGAAGGAGCTGGCGAGGCTCCCCTTGAAGTTGCTGCGCTTGTGGGTGAGGCGGGCCGAGTGGGCGGTCTACTCTGGCTGTATGCGTTGGACCACTGCTGGAAGCGCTCGGTGGTATCGCTCCAGGAGAAGATGGAGTCAGCGTGAGGATCGTGGAAGCGCGTTTGGGTGCGCAACGTCTCTGTGAGGAATCCTGGGAAGGGGGCGTATCCGCTGGAGCCATGCTTGATCATGCCCAAGGTGCCGCCTGCGTAGAGGCAGAGGACCTTTGATTCGCCTGTGTGCGCCAGCAGGGGAGGTTGTGAGACATGCGCCTGAGAGTGATAAGGGGTACTTGTGCTCCTCACAAAGACTCACGAGACATGGTGGGCTGCTCTATGGGACCTGCTGCTGAAGGTGGCCGTATCTATATGCCGCCAGTGCTGCTGCTGCTGTTGCTCTGGGGTCCCGGTATCTTCTTGTCCTGGTCACTTTTTGCCTTTCCCCGCCTGTCGCCTCGACGGAAAGGGGGAAGTGGCCGCGAGGGGTTCAGTGGCTCGAGCATGGATTGCGCGGCGCGCCTCGGCCAGCGGAGATGGAAAAGCAGGCGCAACACGCAGGAGCATCACTTCGCCGCCTCGTCGTGGGGACAAGGCAGCAACGACGTACCACACCACTACCAACCACCACACAAGGACTCTAGTCAGAGAGCATATACCCACCTCGTCGTCGCACTGGTACCATCGAGCACCGCACTCAGACGTCTCACACCGCCCACACAGACCAACATGGCATCACGACGCCGTGCGACCAAAAAGGGAGTCTCCTTCTGCCTAATGGTGGTAGGAGCTTCTGGAACAGGTGAACAAAGGAGGACAGGCACAGGGGCCCATCCATCATCTTCGCATCGCTGACTTAGACCAGTTCAACCCTCTCCTCACATCTACAGGCAAGACTACGTTCATCAACACCCTCTGCGAGTCCGAGGTCATCAGTCACAAGGTCTCAGACAACCCAGAGACCGCTCACATTGAAGAGGGAATCAGGATCAAGCCAGTCAACGTCGAGCTGGACGAAGATGGTATGAGGATTGGTCTCACCATCGTTGATACCCCAGGATTCGGTCAGAACATTGACAACGAGTACGCGTGAGTCATTGAGCAATCTAGTCTCACATTCAACTCTCACAAGAGCACGAGAGCAAGGGGAGGTCCCCTGACAGCCAAACGGCAGGTACTCACGCCGTCACCTTCACTCGCTCCTCTGACCCGGCGCCCATACCCTACAGCTTCCAAGAAATCGTCGGCTTCCTCGAGCGTCAGTATGATGACATTCTTGCAGAAGAGTCCCGGATCAAGCGAAACCCTCGATTCAGGGACAACCGAGTACATGCCCTCCTCTACTTCATTGCCCCTGGACACAGCTTGAGGGAGATGGACATTGAGCTCATGCGCAGGCTGAGTCCGAGGGTGAATGTCATTCCCGTCATTGGCAAGAGCGACAGCATGACACCCGATGAGCGTGCATTGTTCAAGAAGAGGGTGAGTCTGGTAGCCGCGAAACATTGGAAGTGAGGTAGCTCAAGCTCATGACGACTCGGCCCCTCTGCCCCTACCTCAGGTCATGGAAGACATTGAGCACTACGGCATTGCAGTCTACAACTTCCCCTTTGACGTTGAGGAAGATGACGAAGACACGATTGCAGACAACAGCGATCTCCGAAAGCTGATGCCCTTCGCCATTGTGGGCTCCGAGGACGAGGTGAACATCCAGGGTCAACTCGTCCGTGCCAGGACATACCCATGGGGAGCAGTAGAGGTCATGGACCCCAGGCACTCGGACTTCTCGCGTCTGAGGTCAGCACTCCTCAACACTCACTTGACCGACCTCAAGGAGATTACACACGACTTCTTGTACGAAAATTACCGAACTGAGAAGGTGAGCTAGCAGACGCGGAGACCGGACCAGCGTACGGAGAATGAGCGTGACCGACTGACAGGGCCATCTCACCCCTCTTGATCTCTACAGCTCTCGCGAACTGTGCATTCCGACTATGCTGACGCGCCCATCCCAGGTGATGAGCTGGCCAACCAATCAGTGAAGCTGAAGGAGGAGCAACTGCGACGCGAAGAGGAGAAGCTGCGAGAAATCGAGCTCAAGGTGCAACGGGAGATCCAGGAGAAGAGGCAAGAGCTGCAAGCTAAGGAGGAGTCGTTGAGGAACCTAGAGAGCAGGCTGGCTGCCCAGGGCGAGGCCTAAAAGGTGAAGAGGCGATGCAAGTCGGGTACGATGGAAGCTCCCGCCTGAGCCTCACGATGGGGACGGGGACTGCGAACCAAAACCAGCTTCAGAACGAACACTTCACTGTATCTCCCTAATCCTCTATCACCCTCTTTGTCACTGATGTTCACGACTCACTGCCAGTCACGACCAATTACTCTTTCGATTGTGAGCAATCGATATGATATCCTCCTCTATGGGTCGAGGAGCTGTTGTGCTTCTATACTGTGTTTGTGACGATGATGACATTGCTTGTATGCAAGAGACGTGAGAAAAGAATGAGAACACAAGGAGCTATACAATGCAAAGAACACGAGACTGACACCCTAGAGAGTGTATAACGACGCCTACTTCCCACGCCACAACGACGGACTTCGCCTACACGCCGCTCAGAATGCCCTTGACAGCAGACTGAAGCATCCCCAACCCATGGAATCCGGCGATACTCTCCATATTCCTCAACTTCCTCACCGTCTCCACCCTACTGACAGTCAATCCCCACTCTCCAGAGCAAGCCTCACAGTGCGTTGCCAGATCCGTCTGTCGTACCCCTCCACACTTTGTACATCTCAAGTCTTGAAGAGTGAAGCTAGAAAGGTACGAGTAGGCAATCGATACCAGACGGGACTCGATGTGATCCCTATTCAGAGGATTGGCACAGCCTCCACAGCGCCATTGTCCCTCTAGTAAGTCTGGATCACGACACAAGTCCAGTGTGCGTTCCTCGGAGCAGTAAGAGCAGATGACTAGCGGAAGCTTGAATGGCTCACAGGGCTGGCGCCATTCGGCCTCTTTGGAGAAAGCGCCAACGGAGAGCATGCTGAGCAAGTTGCGACGTAGCACGTGTACTTCTTCCCCAATTGCTGGCGAGAGGTTCAAGACGGCCACGACTGACTTGACGAATTCCAAGGCGGGTGTCATGGCGCGTGCGATGGCTGGTGGTGGGACGATGCGACCGGGGAGATTGGGGAAGCTCCACTCTTCGAGGGCTGAGGGATCGTCACGGTCAGAGAGGGCGGCGTGATGCTGTTCTTGAATCTCCTTTGTCGTCTTGAGCAACCAGCGAGTCACTTGTCGCTTCAGGAATTCGCGCATGAACTTGACTTCCTCTGGAGACGTCTTCTCGAGGGTGAGATCCGCTTCCACCTCTTCTGCACCAGCTTCCCCATTTGTGGTGACATCTTGGGCGTTCAGAGCGGACTGGATGGCCCTGAGCGGTGTCCTGCCCACGACATGCACATGCTTCAGCTTGTGTTCGTATAGCGAGCGGATGAACCTCCCCACAATGTTCGCAAAGCGCGTCTGTGTCGCTGGAGGCAGGAAAGTCTGAATATTCCAATTCGCCTCGACGGTAAAGTCTTCGCTGGGCACCTCAGCTTCGGGATCGGCGGCATAGACGCCTCCGAAGTTGGCATAGTCCATCCAAAGGAGTTGCTCCCAGAAGTGTACAATCTCCAAATCTATAAACTTGAAAAGGTCTCGACTCGTGACGGCAGACATGAGGTAACGACCGTAGGCAGCTGCACTGCCCGCCGTTGGCTTGTTGGTTAGCAGGTACAGACGGTTGACACTAGCGTAGACGATTGTTGAGCCTAAGCGCTTGAACTCGCCGAGCAATTGGAGAAGAGTCTTACGGACCAGACCGTGCAGGTACTTTTGCATCGCAGGTTCGAACATGGCACTTCGATTGCTCGAAGCCCATCTCCAAAAGTTGTCTGCCAGCAGGGGGCTGTCCGTCGACCTGCCTCGTACCTTTGCAACGTACCACGACTTGACCATACTCTTCACCACACCGAAGACTTGGCTGGTGAGCGTGGAATCGCCAAAGGATACCGATGAGTGGACTGTTCCTTTGCTATACTCGTCTAGATTGTGAGAGGCATTGTCGAAGGCCATCGACCCTGCACCGTTGCCTTCAATGTTGTTGACCGCTCCCGATTGCAACACCGAGTTGATGGCGAGATCACGGAGATTGACTTCGAAGACGACATTAGAGTAACAGCCAGGCTTGGACATCTCGAGGTTCTCTACCTCTTCGATAGGCTGTCCAGCATTGTTGTTGTCCTGCTCTCTGCCGCCCAGATCTGGTGCGGGGGCACTTGACCACCACAACACCATGTCCTGCGCTGTCAACCGTCTAGCAAAGTCGACATCGGCCGCCAGAACAGCAAAGTCGACTTCCAAATTGCTCAGCGGCAAGTCGAAGTACGCCGCAACTTCAATTCGTCGCTTGATCATAGTCGAGATTCTGAAGTAGGACGCGATCATCCGGCGAACACTGTACAGCTGCCACCCCAAGGCAGGCAGATCGTTCTCTGCCTTGACAGAGGGGAACATCAAGACTGGAAATTCAGCCATGACGCTGCCCAGATTGATCTCATAGTACTCCTGAGGCTGCGAAGAGCTGATAGTGAGCAAGGCTGATCCTTGCTTTGCTGTGCGCAAAGCGGTAAGGTCACGAGCTAGAGCACGGAAAGCCCGCTGAGGAGTGGTGTGAACTCTGAAGTCGAAGTCGAGACCGTCCTCGTAGTCGAAGACTCCCTCGCCGTCTTGTAAGGCTCCTCGCCTCTTCTTTGTGGCTACGCGGTCTGCATATAGGGTGCTCAAATTGGGCACTTGTCGCAGACCAGCAGAGTCAACAATGTGAAGACGCATCTGCCCCTCGGGCGAAAAGAGTCCTAGCACGTGACGTCCATCTAGCTGAGCATGGTACAAGTAGAAGTAACGGATCCCTTGCCCTCGATTGAGATAGACTTGCTTCGACATGGGCGAGTACGACGTCTTGACCAAGTCTTCGAGCTCAAAGCCAGCGTCAAGAGCACGACTGAGCTTGTTCTGACTGCGAGCGTCCATTCCACATGTCGAGCCGAGCTTGATCAAAGCTCTCACATCCAGAGGCAGATGCTTCTCGTACACACCGTCGACTATCGGGTGGTTAAGCAGAGAGGAGAAGTGAGCTTCTTCCTCGCGGAAGACGTCTTCGGCCACGGTCACGCGGTAGAGATGCTTGCAAGCAGTACCGCGAGGGAGCGTCTTGGTCGTCTTCTCCACGAGGTACCCCTCTTGGAACATTCCAGGCTTTGGAGCAGTCCGCAGATTGAGGTAGAACTGGCGCGGGATGCGCAGCTTAACGGCTTGAAGATGTCCAGCGATCGATATCCACATGCGGTACTCGCCCGCGCGACTGGCAGGAGTGATCTGCACAACGTCCCATGTAGCAGTGGCCATGTTTGCAGTCCTCCTTGACAAGTGTGAAGTCATCAGACCTCCCCTTGTACCGCCTCGCGATGCTAGCATCCGCCCGTCGGGGCCAACACCGCCAGAGGCCTTGGCCACTCTTGCCAGCTTCCATCGAGGCTTCATTGCTGCTACCCAACCTCGATAGTCTGCATTGATGTCCGGGATCTTCGGCAGAGGGGGAGGAGCAGCTTTGGCTGCCTTGGCTGCTTGCTTTGCAGCCAGTGCGACTGCTTTAGCTTTTGCCATGTCTCCGAAGTCCTCCATGTCCGCGGTGATTGCCGGAGCCTTGACATTCTTGAAGGCGTCTGTCAGCGTCCTCTGCTTGTACTTGTCCTCCCTGGCAGCCACTCGCTTGAAAAGCCAGTCAGGGTGTCGAATTCGAGGCACAGGGTTGGGAACCTTCTGCATTGCGGCAGGAATGGTGATGAGCTTCTGAATGACGCTACCGAACCGCTCAATGTAGTAGCCCCAATCAAGAATGGAGCGCAAGTCAAAGTCCGTGATGCTGTTGTCCTTCAAGAAGCGGCGGAGGTAGTGCTGCTTGACGCTCTCTTCCGCGTTGAAGATGGCAACTGGCACCGCCCTCTCGGTGACAGGAGCGCCATGAGGCTTCGCCGAAATGATAAACTTACACGCCAGGCCCTTGTCCTTGACCATTTGTGCTCCCAGGAACTCTGCCAGACGCTTGGCAGTGGTGATGGCCGTAGACTTCTGGTTGCCATATTCTGACAACATCTTGGACATGCTCTTGTTCTCGGCAATGAGATCGATGAGCTCCACATCGTGAAGGGTAGATCCCTTGTCGTAGAGGATGTCCAACCATTGGTCGGCGACCTTGGCTACAGCAGCGTAGCATTCGACCAAAGTCTCACCCAGCAGGAACTTCTCGAAGATCTGCTTCTGGAAGTCCTTGATCAATTGCAGCTCTCCTCGGCGCTTGACCTCGAAACCTTTGAGCTCTGCCAACGAGCCGTCGTGTTCAAAGACGGCGTACCGCTTCTTCAGCAGCTTGTCCTCCTCTTTACTTGAAGGCAAGATCATCGCTCGGTAAGGTCCGTCGAGCTCAAAGAAGATGGAGTTCTCGCTATGCACAGCGTAGGCTCCAGTGTCCTTGTCCAAAGTGTGGTACTGATGATTTGTGAACTTAGCGTGAACAAGGTGGTTCAGCATGGTGCAGGGATAGCTGATCCCGTACTTCTTCCCGTTCTTGCACTTGAAGCTGAAGTTCTCAGGGAAGGTACCGGGAAGCATGCACCAGATACCATCAGTGTCCAGCTCCAGAGGGCGTCCGATGCGGTCGACCAGCTCTTTCGCCATCTGGATGATGGAGGCTCCGGTCAGACAAGTGATGCCGGCCATCTCCATCGAGTACCAGCGAGCTCCCTTCCTCATGACGTAGCCGTAGAAGGAGTTCAGAATACACTTGTGGGCAAGTTGCAGCGAGTCGTACAGGACGATCATCTTCTTGGCTTCGACGACTTCTGTCAAGCTGCCGCTAGAGGACGCAGAGTCGAGATTCTTTTTCCAGGTCTTGTGCAGGCCTTTGTACTCGTACCGACGATCTCGGAAATCTCTGACAGTGTCGATGTAGAAGGGGTTCTCCCTTTGACAGATAGTGGACTCTCGGATGACAGTCTTTGTCTCGTGGTTCTTTCGGTAGACTTTGCGACTGTAGTCTCCGAGTCGCTTGTGCAGCAGAGCAGTCCTCTCCGCTTCACCGAGGTCATGGTAGGTCCTCCGCGGCCCGTAGGCATTCTTTGCAGGGAACGTCTCGCCCGACAGTGCATTACGAATCATATTGACCTCGTCTCGCTTAGCAGGGAAGTACTCTCCCCTCCAAGCCCAGGTCATCTTCTTGTCGCACTTCATGCCAGGTCGATTGTAGTCGCAAGTGGCGCACATGGCCTCATCGACCACCGAGTCAGGTTGTAGCCGATTTGACAACATGATGTTGGGGTACATCGCTGCCACATCCAAGTGGTAGATGAGGGGCGAGTCTTTCCTCAGAGGGCGGTCTCGCAATTGCACAAGCATTGCCTCAATCTCTGCTTTGACCTCATCGTAGTTCTCGATGTCTTCAAGCTTCAACTTGCCCTCCTCGCGAATGCTGAATTGAAGTGCTGCATCGAGGTCGTCGATGAGTTGCTGAAGAGCAGCAGGATCGAGCTTGAAATCCGTAGGAATGTCACTCCGAAAGACGCCGGCTTCGAGAGCTTCGACGTGACCTCCAACGTAAGTCTCTGACTCGAGAAGATGGCCTTCATATGTACTGCCGACAGGATCCGTGTGACGATTGGGCATGACAATGTTGCCCTTGTAGGCCTGGACCATTAGCAACGTCTCGCACAGGGTACCACTTCCCTTCCTTAGGACCTCATCGGGATTCAGAGGAATGATGTTGCAGAGAGAGAAGATGAAGGGATGGACGTACTTCATGTACAGATAGTACGTTGCAACAGCGTCAGAGACGGAGTACTGCGCCAAAGTCTGAGGCTGTTCCATGGCATAGGGTGTCATGAGCTCCGGGTCCAGCTCCATGGGGTTGTATCCGAGCTTTGCCACAGTGACCGCCTTCAGGCCTTGACTTCCTTGAGGAAGGTACGAGTCTCGCTTGACCCATCGAAAACAGTCCATGTGGGCAGCTGTTCGGCTTTTGTACTCGTTCTCCATATCGAGCCCAAAGCCGATCTCATCCATCAGACTCAAACCATGGAAGGTGGCACGAGCATCGATGAAGGGAAAGTCGAAAGAGTCACCGTTGTAGGTGGCGACGACTGTCGGCTTTGCTTCCCGGTAATGTGAGAAGAACCTTTGCAGCACGCCCATCTCGTCCGGCTCATTGAAGATGATGAAAGGGCCTTCGTACTCTTCTTTCGGCGTATACTCAAAGTCATCAATGTCCTCGGAGACGATCTCTCGATTTGTGATCAGGAAACCTTGACCGTCAATCATGTACGAAATCATCATGATCACATCTGTTTCGGCGTCTGGGAACTTGAGGGGCTGCTTGGTCGTTTCGATATCAAAGGCAAGGACTGTCGGCTCAGCTCGCTTGACTCGTGTTGGGACGCTCTGTAGGCTGATTGTGCCTGCGTCGAAGGTGACAGTGTACCAGTGACCGACTCGAATGTCGTTGTCAATGGCAACGCGGAGGTAGTAGGGGACGTCGTACTCCCTCAAATCAGCGATGCAATCTTCGGGATCGAGTTTGGTGCCTCCTCCTTTGCCCTTGCCGCCCTTGCCGTTGCCACCGCTACCTCCCCAGCCTCGCTCTTGATCTCGACTGAAACCCAATGCTTCGACTTCGGCTTGCTCCATCTCGACATCGAGACTTGCTCCACCGTTGGCATCAGCATCGGCTAGCGTGTCGGCGTAGGTATCCACAGCATCACGCCTCTTCTGGAACTTCTGAGCCAAAGGCAGCAGCTCCATTCTCACTGCCAGCAGATCTTGAATGTTCCAGAAGTTCAGTCGCAGTAAGATGCGGTTGTTGCCAATGAGATGATTTGGGAGCTTCAGATCTTCTTTACGTTCGCGGCTGAAGGAGAGGATGAGACCTTCGAACTTGCGCTTGAGCCACTCTTCCACCAACGACTCCGTACCCGGCCTGGTACCGAGGAGGATGTATGGACAGTACTGGACTGTGACCTTGAAAGAAGAGGCGTCGTCCTCGATGAAATAGAAGTCAACCGCGGACTTGCCGGTAGGGTGGCCACCACCTTCGTCAGCTGGGTTGGGCGGTAGGAGCGTGGGATGCATGTTTACCAGCCAGGCTTCACGACTGGGACCAGCCTCAAGACGATCAAAGCCGAGCTTGGCATCGATCTCATCTTTCATTGCAGTCTGCTGGAAGCGTTCCTCGGCTGATGTACCATCAGCCTGACCCTTCATGAGGGATGCTCCAGCCGCTGCCACGGCCTCCCGGTGCGAGCCAGGGGCGCCTGCGGGTCCATCTCTGCTGTTGGAAGGCCCTCCTGACCGAGAGGGACCGCCGCCGCGACGCTTGAAAGTACCTCTGGAGCGGGTGTTGCTACCGGACGTCAGGCCGAAGGTCTTGTTGCCAGAGCGAAAGCCACTACCGCCGCCACTGCCGCTCCGAGGCGGTGCCATGACGCGGGCTAAAGGGGAAAAATGGGCTCAGAGCGAGAATGAAGCGGGAGGGGATAGATGAAGTGTGTCTAGAGTGTTTGTTTGCTCACCAGAACTTGCAGTGACGATTGGGTATATGCGACGGACCAAAGAAACAGGATATGTGTATGCGTAATGTGTGGGTGAGGTAGCCAGAGGAGCTTGGGAATCCCAGTCGAGTTCGAGAATTGAGCAACACGACGCGAAGCGAAAGTAGCGCGATTGAAACTCCGCCGACTCGATCACCTCCGCTCGCGTCATTTCCGCTGAGGACCCCCTACTCGCATGTGTCCACGATACGAGGATGAGACTGATATGGGCGAGTCGGCAAATCCATTGACATGGGACTCATCGCCCCTCGCACCTGCGAGATACGCCTCAGCCTCAAGCTCGCCCGCCCATGAAAGGGACCAGCAGCGGCCACCTTCCTCACCTCTAGGTCCATACGGCGCTCAGAGGGCCAGACCAGTAACCCCTGGGTCATTCGTATCCCCAAGGCACAGCAAGGAGTATCCGATCCCAAGCACAACAGCTGACGTCCTTGAAGCAAGGAGACAAGCATTTTTTACGCGGGGAGGCACGGCTCAGGAGACGCAGAGGCAGAGCTTCAGCCCCAGAACGAGTGACGGTCCCTCGCTCCGACCGGGCCCCTCCAGCGCTTTGCGCCGCTCGACATACAAGCAACCAGCTAGTGCTGCTCGACCTTCCTTCGGCGGCGCAGTGGCAGGTAGTCTAACAGATGATGGTGATGTCTCAGCGAGTCTGTACCGACAGAGGTTTCGAGAGCGATGTCAAGCGGTCATGGCAAGAGATCGGGGCAGGAACAGAGCATTAGCAAAGGCAAGAGGCAGAGACGTCTTGGCTGGCGCAGACGACGAGGACGATCAAGACGCTTTGAGGAGACTGCGATCCGACGACCTCTCTTCGAGCGACATGGAGGACGAGGGGAGCGGCTGGCAAGAAGATGATGAGGAAGTGAGTGCAATCTTGGCTTTCGAGCGTCATTCGCAGTAATGATCTCACCAGCGATACTCACACACTTCTTCAACACAGCTCATCCGACGAGTAATGCTTGCTGAGTACCGCCGATTACTCAATGCTCAGGAGTACAGTGGTCAGCGTGAATTAGGCTGGCTGGGCGCAGACGAGATGGCGTGGTTGGAAGAGGAATCGCGGAGAGATGATCAGATGAGAGACCAGCAGGGTGGTGAGTCGCAGGTGATGTTGAAGGTGTTTGGTGGCCTATTCACGAAACCTGACCGTGCCTTGACCGTGCCGCTCAATGACGTGTGACAGAGGAGCCTCCTTCTGAATTCTTCGACGAGGAGACAGCTCTGTATGAGCAATACCAGAATGCTGTACAGCAGCAACAGCGGCAAGGTGCAGATGGAGAGCTCGACTTGATGTCAGGCGATTATGATGATGACACGATCTTTGCAGATGCTTCACTGCTGGACCTGGAAGGAGGCCGTAGCGGCGACGGCGCCTCAGCTCGTATGGACACTTCTTAATTGTTGGGTTGCTTTGCATGACCAGAGGCCACACTTTTGTATGATATATACCCCCTTCATCGAGCAAAAACTGAGCTGAAGGGCTGAAGCTCAACAGAGTCGCGTTCTCCCTGCTTTGGGCGATTCTGTACGGGGGCCCGTCCCCACATGGTCGAGGAGTCACCTCGATACGTCAGCCCTGTGCAACGAGACCCCAAACGTGAGGGTCTCTGGTGATTGGACGAAGGTAAACACCAATGTGGTCAAGTCTGCAACTCCTCCGTCACGGGCTGGCCCGTCGACGCACATGCTCCGTGGCGGTCATGCCTTGAGCATCAGTGGTCTCTTCTACCCTGGGCACCCCTCGCAACCTTCCTGATGTCACAGTCCAATCGGATGCTTTATCTGTACATTGCTCTCACTCAGCTCATTCACAATGTAACGATGTATACCACCTTCTCCATCTATACCACCTCAAATGCCATACTTTCTCTCCATGTGGGCGTGCAGGTCGGCCTGAGGGCCGCTAGAGGTATATGCTGATCGGTGGAATAAAGTTCAGGACAAGTCAGTCGCGACCAGACGATGAAAATCTACATTACAACGGGTGACTCACATGGCAAGAAGTCTCTTGGGTCCAGTGTCTCGTCATTGCCATCTAGGATGTCCATCTGTAGTTGGGAGAAGCCGCCCCTGGTCGAGCCGCCAATGCCGCTGCCTGGCATCTTGTGAACAACGGGGAAATGAGGGTCCTGTAAAGTGGTACAGCATGCAGAGCAGCCGCTTCAGCCAATTGCCATGAGGATTCCCACATCGTCCCTGACAAGCTCTCGCTCTCGCTCTCTGCTGCTCTGTACTCACGTATGAGATGACCTTCCTCTCCATCATCGTCCTAATCGGCACGCCCATTCCATACACGTTCCTCCCCACAGTCAACTTGAGATTGTCTCTCGTCTCGTCCCACTTCTCCAGTCTCTCCTGCAAGGGGTGATGTCCGCCGCTTCCAGCAGCCGAAGTCTCGTGTGCAATGTTCCGGTGGCCGAAGCGGATGGTATCGTGGATTCCGGCGTGGACCGCGGTCGAGGTGGAGGATACGGATGTGCTGGATGAGCCTGATGGACCTGGTACGAGACGCAGGGACATGTCTGGCTGTGTCTGCTGTTGTGAAGAAGCCATGATGGTGTGATGTCGGGGACGTGGTAGTGAGGGCGTGAGGATATGACGAGGCCTCGCCCTTGAACGTCTTTGGACGTTGGCCTGAGCTCAGCTGGGCGGAGATCGGAACCGAGGAGCGCGAGCGTGGCTGCCCCTTCCGAGGATTTTGACTTTGGAAGTCAGTGAAGGGCGAAGGCGTCCTTCCTTCCGTTCGTACGTGAAGCTGCCTGCTCACCCTTCCTCATCCTCTCATCTCGCTCGTCATGGATCCAGACGGCTTGTTTGACTTTCTGGAGCCAGCGGCTAGCGGCTCGAAGAGTACACCAGAAGCATCCTCGTCCTCAAAACCAAATGGCAAGAAGAGGACTTCCGATGTGGCCAGCCCCGCCCCAGACCCTGCTGCCGCCCAGGCTACCACTGCTGGAAACGGCACAGCAGCAACATCAGAAGACCAAGTAGCCGCTCCGCCCAAGTCCAGATCCTCGTCACCCAAGAAGAAGAAGTCGCGGAATGTGGCTCCAGTCCCCGTCATCGCTGACGAGTACACTGCAGAAGCCGTGAGGGAAATACCAATCAAGGACGAGACAGGCGGTGGTCCTGCTCGAACATCGAAAGAAGGTGGAGCAGCCCAACAGGCTGCTGCAGAGCTGATGGGCGAGGAGACCATCAGAGGTACCTCTACCACCGTTGTCCCATCATCAAAAGGCTCAGGAGACGACGGTGAATCCAAGGGAGCTATGCAGATCTCCCACTCCATGCGGCATCAAGTCGCCATTCCTCCAGCTTACTCTGGCTACGTACCGCTCTCAAGTCACGTCCGGCCCGAGCCAGAGGCAAGGGAGTATCCTTTCACCCTCGACCCCTTCCAAAGAACATCCATTGACTGTATTCAGAGGAACGAGTCGGTGCTAGTCAGCGCTCACACCAGCGCAGGAAAGACTGTCGTTGCCGAATACGCCATTGCTCAATGTCTGAAGAATGGGCAAAGAGTGGTGTATACAAGTCCAATCAAGGCGCTCTCCAACCAGAAGTACAGAGAGATGACAGCCGACTTCGGAGACGTCGGCCTGATGACAGGAGATGTGACCATCAATCCCTCCGCCAGTTGTCTTGTGATGACTACCGAGATTCTTCGGTCGATGCTATACCGCGGATCAGAGATCATGCGTGAAGTCGCATGGGTTGTCTTCGACGAGATCCACTACATGCGTGACAAGGAGCGTGGAGTAGTCTGGGAAGAAACAATCATTCTGCTCCCTCGCAAGGTTCGCTACGTCTTCCTCTCGGCTACGATTCCGAACGCATTCCAATTCGCCTCTTGGATTGCTTCGACTCACAACCAGCCATGCCACGTAGTGTACACCGACTTCAGACCTACGCCTCTTCAACACTACCTGTTCCCGGCTGGCGGAGATGGCATACACCTGGTTGTAGACGAGCGTGGGACGTTCAAGGAAGAGAACTTCCAGAAGGCAATGGGAGCACTCGGTGAAGCTGCAGGTGAAGACCCAGCAGCTGCGGATAGCGGCAGGAATAAGCAAGGCAAGACGAAGAAGGGCGGTCAGAAGGGGCCAAGTGACATCTACAAGATCGTAAAGATGATCATGCTGAAGAACAATAATCCGGTGATCGTCTTCGCGTTCTCGAAGAGGGAATGCGAGGCACTGGCTCTGCAGATGAGCAAGCTTGAATTCAACACGGATGACGAGAAGGTAAGTCCAGCTGACCTAATGAGGGCATCGGCGTACATGTACTGACTCATTAAGCTCTGACCGCTTTCTACAGAAAATGGTCAGCACGATCTTCAACAATGCGATCTCCGCACTGTCCGAGGAAGACCGAGCCCTTCCTCAAATTGAGCACATCTTGCCTCTACTAAGACGAGGAATCGGAATCCATCACGGTGGTCTCCTTCCCATTCTCAAAGAGGTAATCGAAATCATGTTTCAAGAAGGTCTGCTCAAGGTTCTTTTTGCCACAGAGACTTTCTCCATTGGTCTCAACATGCCGGCGAAGACGGTTGTATTTACCTCCGTGACGAAGTTTGACGGCACAGAGTCGCGCAATCTCACCAGCGGTGAATTCATTCAGATGTCAGGTCGAGCTGGACGTCGTGGTCTGGATGACCGCGGTATCGTCATCATGATGTTTGACGCCAAGCTGGAGCCCTCAGCCGCGAAGACCATGGTGAAGGGTGAGGCCGACAGGCTGAACTCTGCATTCCATCTGGGCTACAACATGGTGTTGAATCTGATGAGGGTCGAGGGCATATCACCCGAGTACATGCTCGAGCGCTGCTTCTACCAATTCCAGTCGGCTGCCTCGATACCCGCACTTGAGCTCGAGCTAGAACAGGCGGAAGAAGATTTGAAACAGGCGGTCGTTCCAGAAGAGGAGGCAGCGGACGACTACTTCGGATTGGCGAAGCAATTGGACCTGCTCGGACAAGACTACCAAGAAGTCATCTCGCATCCCACCTATTCTCTGCCTTTCCTGCAGCCTGGCCGTCTGATCAAGATCAAGCACGAAAGCCTTGACTTTGGATGGGGCTGTGTCGTCAATTATCAGAAGCGCTTGCCGCCCAAAGGACGAGCGCCTGATCCAGATGCGAAGCCTCAGACGCAGTACATCGTCGACTGTCTTTTGCACTGCGCTGCTGGCAGCACGGTGCCGACAGGAAAGCATCAGAAGGGTCCTTCTGAGACTCGGGGGGCTCCCGAAGGAGTGTCACCTTGCCCACCCGGGGAGAAGGGGGAAGTCATTGTCGTACCGGTACTCCTGACGACAGTACAACGCTTGAGCGGCATCAAGCTCTTCTTGCCGAAGGATCTGCGAGCCAAGGAGGCCCGCGAGCAGGTGCGGAAGAATCTCGCCGAGGTTGCGAGGCGTTTCCCGGCTGCCAAGGGCGGTGTCCCCCTTCTGGATCCTGTCAAGGACATGAAGGTGACCGACGATGGGTTCAAGACTCTGCTTAGCAAGATGAGTCTCATTGAGACCAAGATGAAGGAGGCCGACCTTCATTCCTCTCCTAGGCTCAATGAGATTCAGGAGGCATGGCATGCAAAAGCGAAGCTCCGGGGAAGGTTCGAGAATCTGTCGAAAACGATTTCTGCAGCACACTCTGTCCTCCAGCTCGATGAGCTGAAGTGTCGCAAGAGAGTGTTGCGCCGCTTGGGCTTCACTACGTCAGAGGACGTGGTGGAGAAGAAGGGCCGTGTTGCCTGCGAGATCTCGACGGGAGACGAACTGCTCCTTACCGAGATGATCTTCAATGGCGTCTTCAACGACCTCACACCGGAGCAATGTGCGGCTCTGCTGAGCTGCTTTGTCTTCACTGAGAAGTCAGAGCAGCAAGTGAAGCTGAAAGAGGACCTTGCTGCACCACTAAGGGTGATGCAGGAGACTGCAAGGAGGATTGCAAAGGTCAGCAAGGAGAGTAGGCTGGAGATCAATGAGGACGAATACGTGCAGAGCTTCAAGGTAGAGATGATGGACGCCGTGCTGCAGTGGTGTCGCGGTGCCAAGTTCGCCGAAATCTGCAAGGTAAGTCGCTGTCATCGCACGGGACGAGTGAGACGTCGCACAGCTATCTGACCTGTTGGATCGTTATCTCTCCTCGTCTCAGCTCACGGACGTGTTTGAGGGCTCGATCATCCGAGCTTTCCGCCGTCTGCAGGAGCTATTGCGCCAGATGGGGCAGGCGGCCAAGGCCATTGGCAACGGCGAATTAGAGGACAAGTTTGCAGAAAGTCTTGCCAAGCTAGAGAGGCAGTCGAGCATCATCTTCTCACCGTGAGTGATTGAGGCGAGAGATTCAATCGAGACACTTGGATCCTGTAGCGCAACGCTGACCAACATCCCTTGCATTGTCCCGTCCGTGGCACAGGTCGTTGTACCTATGAGACTCATGTCTGCATCTCACGTCATCTTCCTTGGCCCTTCTGTATGTCTCTCCTTTCACACAATTGTAACCTGTACATCCCCCCATTCGAATTTGTGAGTCAAGTGTCCTCCCGCCCGCATGCAAAGGGAAAGTTCTCACCCTCACGCTTGCAATGACAATCTGGGCGTTTCATGACCGAGATCGCATGTGTCATTCGAGGTGTCCTTTTGTTCCTGAGTGTTGTTGGCCCAACGCCTATGCTCACGGCTCTGTTCGCCTTACAGGAATTTGATCGAGTGAGCCATCGATCAGTGGTGCCACCAGGTGCTCACAACTCTCCGTAAGTGCTTGTGGCCCTTGAAAGAAAAAAAACCTCCGAATTAAAGCTGGGCAGACCGGGGAATGGCTTGGAGAGTGTGTACCTCGATGACGGAGATGGCTTGGGTCGCGTGGCGAAAGCGGGGCAACCTTGACCTCGCTTGCGGCCTTGCCGCCACTGCCGCCCGCGTGGTGCCCTTGGCTCGGGCTTCGCCTTGCAGAAATCACCTGCAGCCTCGTCGAATTTCAATCGTCATGTGGTCGAGGATTGGGGTGGGGGGCCTCTCTCGCACGGGGTTAAGGAGCCATTAAGGGTCCAGGCTGGGTAGGCGATCTTCACAGCCCAACCAGCAGAGGGGCACAATGAGAATGCTCCGATGACCCGCGCCTCTGCAGCCCTGAGGATAAGGCTGATGGGAGCTGCAAGGCATAGCAAGGCAAGGCGAATCAACCCACGGAGGTATATGCCCAGTGTGAGATGAAGCCCCAGCACCTGTCCGCGTCGGGGCGGGCAATCGGTACTTCGATCGTCTCGATCTCTCCGGCGGCGATACGCACTGGCCTCGTGGGCGTCGCATCCCATCGCATCCCCGGTGAATCGCTTGGGAAGGTGACCATGTGGCGCAAGGGCATCGTACCTCGCTTATGCGGTTGACTACCATTGATGCCGGGGGAAGGAGACGAGAGATGCAAGGTACCAAGGGCATCAGGTGGTCCCGTCCAAAACGCCGCGGCTTCCTCCCACCCTCCTGCCTCGCTTCTCGATCTCCATCGGTCGGGCTGGCCAAGCCGCCAAGTGTTTCCCTTCGCTTATAAACCCCAACGACGCACTAGATCACCCTTCCTTGATGGGTAGACGAACAATGCTTTCCTCTCCCCACACTATATAGCCATCTGCAGTCACGAATCCACGTAGTGGCGCCTCTACAGTCGACCCTTCTTTCCTCCCGCTGTTTAGTCGACTGTCTAGCAGCCTGTCCCGCAGGACACAGATATCATTTCTTACTTGCTTGAGCCACACAGGCCCAAAGAAATCAGAGACGTTGAAATCAACCTCTCTCGTTTTCCACATGATGGGCGCCTACCTCCACGGCCTTTCAGGCGCAGGCCCTTCTGTATCTGCCTCGTCATCTCCTCGGACCAGCATCGCATCCTCTTCCTCCTGCTCTGAATCCGATAGGTCCACATGCACCAACATTACCCCTCCAACATCTGCGTCCACCTCCACTTTCCCAGAGTCTCTCAGCAAACAGGCAAGCGTAGCCGCTCAGGGAGAGCAGCGGGGCAGGTCACCAGCGCGATCCGCCCCACCTGCTCTGAGGGCAGAAAGCGGCACTACTACCGTGCAGGATATGCCTATGCCCTCAGGGAAGATGACAGCTCGACATCGCTCGCGCTTACTACTCGATCTAGTCGTCAAGGGGCAGGTCCCGCTCGATGCGCTCCTGGCTTTCCCAATTGACTTTACTCGCCTGGCCCAGCAAGGTGACTTTACGTCCGTTGCAAGACCCCGCTGCCCCAAGTCGGCCAGTGCGGGTACGATTGAGGGCGCAAGGAGGAGGATGGACGCTGCCCCGCAGTCAAACAGGCCATGTTCAGGCCCGTCAATTACCAAACGCAGTGGCATGCCAGACGCGCCACCTTCGAGGAAGCGACAGCGTCGCTGCATCGACCTTCCTGAAGAGGACTCCTTCGACACGGTCTCTACAGAGCCCAAGCGGCAGAGGCTTCAAGCTTCAGAATCGCCATCAACCTCACCTCCGTCCTCAACACAATCACTCCCCACACTCGGCAGCTTAAGAGCTCAATCTCCCCCTTCCCTTCTGGAGAGAAGGCGCCGCAAATCTCGTCCTCCTCCACACGATCCCGACGCTCTTTCCGAAAGCGCACCAGAACGGCTGCACGGCTCTGAGCCACCCGTCTCGTATGGCTATGATGACTCGATGGATGCGAAAGAGATTTATCAGCTCGCTTTGGAGCATCTGCCGCGCCCGCCGGTGATAGAAGTGGTCTTTGTAGAAATGGTCAAATTGGACGGATGTGGGAGGTGGATGGTATGTCCTCCTGTAGGCGCAGCACAGGGTTAACAGGCCAAAAGAGAAACGCGGACAGGACAAATCGCTAATTGTTGTACTATAGTGTCATTGGAATGAAGCCCGTAATTGAAATGTACATTTTTCGACACGTGATCGCTCACCTGCTCACGAAGGTCGAGGATATGGCTCGCCGGCTGCGCCTCTTTTGCCTCTGTGGTGGTGACGATGACCACCTCCACCGCCTCTACCAGCATGGTGTCCGTCGTTACTACCGCCACTTCCACTTCCACTGCCGCCACCTCTACCGCCGCCTCTGTGTCTATGTGAGCCTCTGTCGTCAAGCCTACCACCTCTGTGTCCGCCCGAACCACCACGACTCCCGTTGCCCACGGCACGATGGTCCGGTCCGCTGTCAAAGCGCCGATGTGTCCCTTCTCTGACTCCGTTCACTGTTGCTCCCCCTGCTGTTGCTGCTTGTCCACTGCGCCCTTGCACTTGATCTTCTCGCCAGACATCGTAAGTCAGTCCATCCCAAGACGGGATAGCTCTCCTGCTGCGCCAGGGTGCCGTGGGCGGGTCGTCCTGTGGCATCGCTGCGTGCCAAGCCTGCGTAGCCTGCTCAGCGAACTCTTGCATCACTTGGAAAGCCCTGTCAGCCTTGAGGGCTCCGCTACCAGATCCGTTCCTGTTGCCATTGGCGAACTCTTCGAGCAGACGCGAATGCGGAGCTGGGTACCGCACGCTGAAGTGGTTGAGAAGAAGAGCAGAGGCGCGTATACTGCCAGCGAAGGCGCCAGCGCCTTGAGGGGTGGAATGTCCACGACTGCTGGCCTTCTCTGTGACTTCCTCGAAAGTCTGCGGCTTCTTCGACTGTGATAGAGCGACGGGCAGAGCGATGTTTGTGCTTTCGTGCACGAGCACGTCTGAATTTTGTGCCAAAGGGACAAGACCCTTGTGGGCGGGCAGACCGCCAGTTGCATCCCTCGTGTCACCGCATACGCAAATCTTTCTCCCCTTGATGTCAAGAGGTGGCGGGTCAAGAAACGTCCCATCAGGAAGATCGACCCTCTCGCGCTGCTTGATCAGCTTCCCTACTAGAGAGCGCGGGTTGCGCACCCCTCTCTCTGACAAGAGCCGCTCCGCGTTAGCATCCAGGCGCTGGAAAGTGTCGCTCGGTAGAGGTGATGCTTGAGGTGGCTCCTTGAAGACGTATCCGACAGTGGGACAGCGATGAAGTATCGGGGCCGCACTGATGCTCACCCCATTGACTGAGGTGAAGTCCGACCAGGAAGCTGTAGCCTCGTCTAGCACAATGTCTCGTCCGAGCAGCTCAGACTCGTGAAATGGCAGGAGCGGGATGACTCTCTGTGGGCCGTGGACAGCTGCTGAGAGGGGCGCTTGGGTCTCTGCATAGCCGTACGACGAGGTCGAGGTCGAGGCGCTGGCCTGTTGTTTTTGCTGCTGGATTTGCTCGGGCCAAAGGAGCTCGTGGACAACGTACTTGCCTTGCAGACCGGTGAAGCACAGTGTGAGCTGTGTCCTGATCAGCGCTCGCAACCCAAGAGGTCCGTAGATCTCTACACGAGGTTTCTGCAGCAGAGAACGGCGTCTTTGATGAGCAGAGTCGAGGCTAGCTAAGTGCTCTCTGCTGACTCACATCATTAGGCTCCACCGGTGAAGAGGGTCCCATCATGGAGTAGAGGAGCGGTACGAGTCCCAGTACATGATCTGCGTGCATGTGCGTGATCAAGATGGTGTGTATGCTAGCCAGCTTTGCTTCCCCTCCGATGTGCCGATTCATCAGCTGGCGCTGTGTGCCCTCGCCACAATCGACCATGACAGTCTCTCGGTCTAGGTTGACTAAGAGGGAGCTATAATTGCGGCTTGAGCTGGGCTGACTGGACGTGCCCAGGAAGCGCAGACTCATTGCACTCGCCATGGTGGCTGTCAGGCCTATTGGCAATGGGTAGATGCTATGCTGAGCAGCCAAGATCGACAGCCAATGGCCACGGGTGTGAGTCGTGCTCTGCTCCACCTGTGCAACTGATATTTCCAATCTCCCCACTTCCGTCGGTGAAGCAATTCTTCGCGTCCCCTTTCCGAAGCCGCTCCTTCAGCATCATCTTCCCATCTTTGGCTCCCCTGTCCTGACCTCGCCGAGGATGAAGGCTGCACCACCTTCACCTCTGCTATCGCTCTTGACGGGACCATCGAGCTCTGCCGCCAGCACACTCGTACATGTCAAGCAGACGACGCTCCAGTCATGCGCTCCGCTTCTCTCTGAGCTTGTTCACGCAGCGCTAAACCGAAGCGAGAAGGTCATCATCCTCACATCGGGCGAAAGGCGGTCCCTCTCCTTTCTGGCTACGGAAGCTCCTCGCAGCGTAGTAGTCATTGCGCCGAATCGGTCAGCAGAGTTCGAGGGAACTGGCTATCGTACAGATGGGTACTGGAGCGAGCTGACTCGTGCCCTGTCAGAAGGTGAGCGAGTACCCGGAGCTAAATGAGAGGCCGGTGCGGTTGGGCAGCGGTCTACAAGCTTGTCGCTGACATTTCAACTTCTTCGCATCATCTCCACAGCATCATCGAGCAGTCGTCCCACAACTCTCATCTTGGAATCCCTAGACGCCCTCCTCGATGATGCTGCTGATGCTGCAGACCCAGCAAGAAAAGTCTACCGACACCTCCAGCGGGCAGCCTCTGCTCTTCCGGGTGAGTACATCTAGGTGTCTCATGGTTCCACCGCAGCTCATCGCTGACTTTTTTACGTCTCTGATGTACTTTACAGCCTACTCCAGGCTTGTCTTCGTCACTTCATCGCCTGGCGGGTCATTGCAACCTGTGTTGCAAACGCAACTGCTGTCTCTGATCTCCTCTCCTCACTTCCTCAAGTCACAAGCTCAGACAGAGTCGGTGCCCTCTGCTGGCCCCTCCTCCTTGAGAGAAAGTTCTTCCACTAGCGGCACTTCACCACCGCTATTGACTGTGCAAGTGCACCCGCCGGCCCTCTGGAGGCGCCTGCTCAAAGTCTACAGTACAAGTCTTCGCCCTGCTTCCACTTCCTCCGAGGCAGCTCAGCAATTGAGGTCAACATATCAAAAAGGTTCCTCAGAGCATCTCACTGCTCCCAGGAGGCTGCAACGGAGAGATGTATCGGCTGCTCGGGAGCGAGGAGCTTCGAGTCCTGCCGCCGAGCTAGTGGACATCTTCGACTGGGATGCCCGTACAACTGACCCGCGCCTCTGGTCTATTCTGGCACAGCTGGAAGCCACCTCAGATGTCACCGGAGATGATGTTGCCGGTCATGCTTGGTTCACGGACAGCGGGAACGATCTACTGGGTGAAGAGATCGAGGCGGTGCGGCCAGCTAGGTTGAGAGAAGCGAACGATCCGGCCGCAACGCCTTTCGATCCGGTAGCTGCAAGGGTCACATTAGCAGATCTGCTCGGTCCGCCTGCCTCTGGAGCATCGTCGAAAACGTCGTCTTCACACAATGCGTCCTCGGGCGTCTCGCATCGTAGTCGTACGGGCTGGGGCCTCATCACATCACAGTATCGCCTACCGGGAGGTAAATTTGGCGAGGAAGTCTTCGGGTGCGTGTGTCAGCTGCAACGACCAGGCGCAAGTGAAACCCAGGCACAACCAGAGCTCTTAGACTCGCTCAAGAGCAGGCTGCGCTTAGTGCCACTAGAGATGGGCGACCGACGAGCTGCTGCCGAATCGAGCAGGAACGGGGCAATGTCAAGAGAGCAGAAATCAGGAGCAGGAACTTCAGGAGGAGGAGCCGCTCCGCCTCCACAGCGGGACCACTCATCCCTTGTCGACTCGCTGCCGTTCAAGCTGTCCCTCACCGACGAGCAGCGCTCCAGAAGAGGCAATGTGGATCTACCCTTTGCGCCCAGCGATCGCATCTACGAGGGTCTTTCGTCAGAGCAAGCGGATACCATCGGCAATGGCAGGAGGACGGGTGGAGGAGAAGAGGGAGAGATGGGAGAGATGGGACTCAGAAGAGGGACGACGGGACAGAGCACCATCTACTTTGAGCCGGACAGCGCTGATGAGGAAGATGAAGAGGATCCGGACGAGGATCTAGACTTTTAGTACCCATACGCTCAGAGGTGCCTCACCCAATCTGTATGCGCTGCACCTCTCGCTTCGAGCAAGCATCGTGCATTCACGCTGCCCTATCTCCGGTCTCTTATCTCATCTCCTTGATCGATTCCACTGTATTGCTGTTTGCTGACAAGTGGGAGACGACAGTCTACAAAGAGCCCAACATCACTGAATTATTTGGCCGGGGAGACGCTTAGACGAGACGCTCTCCGCTCTTGTCACCGTGTCCTTCTGCCTCTGCTAGGAAATTCTTGATGAAAGCCTCTTCGTCACTGTGAGGACGGAGAAAGAGAGCGGGTAGGGGATTGGGGGGAGTGTGAGCGAGCAGGACGGGGAATGGTGCGCTGTTGCATATGTGTGTGCGCTCCGGGGGACGCTTGTCTGAATCAGACTCTCCAGCGCCAGCCTGACAAGCTTGATCGCTGCTAGACCATCGCCAATTATCTTCGTCCGACCTCTCCTTGCCTCCTCTCACCCGCCTGCTGGGATTATCTCCACGCCTTCGCCCCCTCCTTTCACGTCTCTCTCCACTCCTCTCCCACACTCGAATATCTGAGCTTCTTCTCATACTCACGAGCTAGCAGCATTGATGGGTGGGTCGACCGACTTGGGACCTCCAGCAGCTCCTCCAGCAGGCTTGGGCTCACTGCCTCCCCTGGTAGCGAGAAAGCCACCAAGACCGTAGAGGCCAAAGATGCCTAGGGCGAGGTGCTCGTTGAGGATCTTCTTGCCGGCGATGCTGTGGAGAGGGGCAAGTGATGTGAGCAAGGAGGAGAAGCGAGGAGAGGAAGAGAGTATTAGGAGAGAAAGGTCTGCTCACGTGTACGACATGTTGCTGGTATCTGATATGCGATGGGATGAGTGGTGGTTCCTGTCTATGAGGTGGTATTCCAGTTGGCGCCGCCTGTGTACCCACGATGGCTCGGCCATTCGAGGGAGGCCGAGGGGCGATGCGCGCAATCCCGGACCTTCCTGCCCTGCCTTGCTTGGCTTCCCGTCTTCCGTTCCGGTGGCAGCCATGCAGGACCCATTGACCCACTCCCAAAATTTTGGCTCAGAGGTGCGTGCAGGGGCGGATCTTCCTAGACCACCTTCAATATCGCAGCAGTCAGGACAGCAGCGAGAAGAGGTTGCAGTACCATTGCTCCATTTCCTTTACGACCTCATACTCGCCAGTAGTCGAATCTACCGCCCACCATGCCTGACTCACCGCCCCCACGGGGCTCCTTCAAGCACATTGGCAACAAGGAGAAGCGCCAAGTCGAGTACCGCAAGTTCAGATCGGACAAGCGCAAGGGCAAGCTGGCTAGGAGGATGGCACAGGCAAAGGAGGAAAGGGGACCCGGCGGCGAGGAGATCAAAAAGGTGAGTGGTCAGACGGTGGAGAGTTTCCATCGAGAGATGAGCTGGGTAGCCCAGGGCAGACAGCTGATCATACCATCTCCTCCGGCTCCTTACAGGCTCGACTGGCAGAGAACAAGACTCGCACGATCGAGAACACACGAATGTTCAACCCCACCATCATCTCCGAGCCCAACTCCCATCCAGGTCTCAAGCCCTCACAGGCAGTCATTGACGCTCAGCAGCAAGCAGCCGAGAGCTCTAGTGCTGCAGCCGCGCGAGCCAGGAAGGAACAAGGAGAGGGCTCAGATGATGAGGGCGAAGGGGAAGGTGAAGATGGAGAAGAAGAAGACGAGGATGAGGACGCCAAAGCACAAGCGGCAGAGGAAGCCTTTGAGGAAGCATCTGCCCCACCGGCCATCCTCATCACTACCTCCGCCCCGTCCTCCTCAACCTCTCCTCACCTCGCCTCTGTGAATGCCCGCTCGCATCCGGCAGAGAAGACGCGGGACTTCATCGACGAGCTGCTCAACATGTTTCCAGGGGGCGAGTACCGTCCGCGGGCAAAGGCAAAGGGCGCTTCGTTGGGAAAGATTGCAGGCTGGGCGCGCAAGAGGGGTTACAATGCCATGCTGGTGATCGGCGAGGATCACAAGGCTCCAACGATGCTCACGCTCATCGGCCTACCCGAGGGGCCTACAGCAGTATTCCGCCTCACGAGCGTGCAGCTCGGCAAGGAAATTACTGGTCATGCCCGCTCTACCCCTCACACCCCAGAGTTGATCCTCAACAACTTCACCACTGCTCTAGGCCACTCGGTCGGCTCGCTCCTGCAGTCCCTCTTTCCCTCGGTGCCCCAACTAGAGGGTCGTCAAGTCCTCACAGCGCACAATCAGCGCGACTTTATCTTCTTTCGTCGGCATCGGTATGAATTCACCATTCGAAAGGGAGTGGAAAAGGCCCGTTTGCAGGAGATTGGGCCACGATTCACAGTCAAGTTGAGGAAGATGGTCAATGGACTACCCAATGGTGCTGGTGGATGGGATGGAGTCGTAGACTTTGATGGAGATGGAGCGCTTACGGCTCCTATTGCTGGATCGAGGGAAGAGGCTGAAGAGGAGAAGGCCGCGCAGGATGAAGCGGATGGCAGGACTGTACAGCCTTCCTCAACCACCGCTACCGCTGCTGCAAAGTCGAAGAAGCGGACTAGAGGTCAGGTAGAAGAAGCCACGACTGAATTCGAGTGGAAGCCCAAGATGGGGGTTTCACGTCGCAACTTCTACCTGTAAACTTTGTGGGCGCCACAAGGAATCTATTCAGGCAGACATTGCGCAATTCTGCTTATCTGTACAATACATTGGATGTAGAAGCGAGCTTCTCTGATGCAAAGAGCGCATGATGTGTGATGTATGTGACAGTCTGTATAGTTGAAAGCTACCTAATGTCTGCCAGCCTTCTGCCAAAGGACGTCGGTCCTTCCTCACCCCCCTCTCTGCATCACCCTTTGAGCTCCGTACTCGGAGGCAACAGCGGCCCAGTCCCACCAACCGCGGCGATGCGTCCAATCAGCCTGGTCCTTCCTTCGCGGGTAATCAATCGCACTCCAGGCTTGACGAATTCTGGACTACGAATAAACTGCAGTCGCAGTCGTGCTCGATCTCCTGTGCGGATGACGGGCTTCTCGTCGCCTCCGCCGGCTGCTCTGAGAGTGGTGGTAGTAGTAGTAGTAGCGCCGGAAGCAGCAGTCGACGCGGTACTGTTACCGGCATTGGCATTGCTGCTAGCGCTCGCAGCAGCCTCATCCTCTGTTGTGCTACCGTCCATCTTAGCAATTGCGGTAATCCTCACCGTCTGCCTAATGCCCGCCGCGTGGAGCACCATGCACGAGCCGACGGAGAGGGTGGTTGCGTGGTGCAAGCAGAGGATTTCGGCATCGAAGACTAGATAGGCTTGGGGTGGGACATCGGACTTAGCGATCATCACCATGCCTTTTCGTACCTGGTTGCGGCGCACACGCTTCAGGGCGAAAGAGGCGGATTGACCTGCGACGGCGGATTCAACATTGACTCGTTTCCTCTGCGAAAAGACCCGGGGGTGGGAGGAAGATGTTAGCTCAAGCCACGGGCTCATTTCGGCTGTAGCTGATTATGTCACCCTTTGACTCACCTGAATGGATCGTACTGCAGTCTGGATGAACTGACCCAGCGAGTCAGGTCCGATGAGGAGACTGTCTCCGATCTTGACTGATCCGCTCGTAATCACCCCCTGCAGACAAGAGTACAACATATGAGAACAAAAGATCAGCATCCGGCTCACCTTGGTCGCTACTCCAGCACCGACGACTCACCGATACTGTCGTACCCACGAATGGTACACTGAATATGTCCGAGATCTGCAGCTCAAAAGGCTTGCCAGCGTCATACTTCGAGATATTCGACTGAGGCAAGACGTTCAAGAAGCTCCTCAGCAGGTCCAAATTGTGTCCCGTGACATTTGAGATCTGAAAGATAGGGCAGATCCTGTCCGTCCCGAGCCTGAGCGCACAGTCTACGACCTGCTCCATGTTCTCAATGAAGACGGGCGTCTTGCGACATCCTGGAGAGCGCAACACTTTACTCAGCTGCTTGATTGTGGCCTCAAGGATTTGTGGAGGGCACATGTCGATCTTGGTGATTGTGACGAAGACTGGGATGGAGAGGGCGAGGGCCACTCCGAGGTGCTCCTTGGACATCCCAATCAAGCCTGCGTTAGCGCCAACCATGAGCATTCCATACTCGGGGAGATTGGCAGTCAGACCGCCGATGGTGGTGCGCAGGTACCTCTCGTGGCCTGCCAAGTCGAGGAAATTGACGATCTTGGCCGATCTAGCACAGACCTCCTCCCAGGAGAGTTTCCTGCCTTCCTCTTTGGATCCTACGATGCCCATGACATGCTCGCCGGTAGCAGTGAGGCCCAGGAGTTCCATTCCTACACTGCTTGTCCGACCGCTTTCAATCTCGTGCTTGTGGCGAAAGAGGTTCCTGTTGGGTATTGAGGCAAGAGCGAGAGCATATCCTGTCAGATATCAACCCCCACACAGTCAAGCTCGAGTCTTGGGAGCAAACTCACACTCTCGCTTTTCCCCTTCCATCGTCCAGCCCTCCTTTTGTCAAGACCCCCAATGTAGTACTCTTGCCCGCATCGACATTACCCACGCATGCCACTCGAATCTCAACAAAGTCTTGCGGTGCCGTAGGTATCAGCCTAAGCATGATCCACGCCTTTCTCTCCTCCTTCTTCTCAAGCAAAATTGCCGCCTCACATCCAACTTCCTTGGCTGCGTCCTTGACATTGGAGAGGATAGTGCTGTACTCTTCAGGTGAGAGAGGCATATCGCTCCCGTCTCGCTCTTTGCCGATGAGAAGGACGGACTCGCCTCCATGTGTAAGCACTCTACGAGCGAGTAAGGTGGCGAGGGAAGGACGCTCCTCGCCTCCACTGCTCCCGGTCGTAGTATCGCCATCTGCTTCGGGTGCTACGCCTATACCGAGCAGCTGCTCCTTATAGCTTCTCGGATCGGCTGGCGCAGAAGTTGCATCATCTCCCTCTTCGCCCAAGGGACCTCCGAGCTGAGACCTGTTAAGGTCAGAGGTGAGACTGTCAACGGTGGGTATTGAGCTGGTAGGTTTACTGGTGGAAGCAGTGGCTGAGGTGGAAGCAGTGGCGGAAGTGGCTGATCGAGGAGTGGTGGGCGGTATCCTCGACGACGAGGGAAGTGAAGCTATGGTGGACATCCTCGATTGGATGCGAGGTGTATATGCTCTTGTCAAGCTCGAAGTCGTAGAGCAGTGTGGTATAAGTGTTGGGTGAGCATATACGTGGTCAGATATCAAGAGGATGCGAATGTCCCGTACGAACGAATGACTCCATGCGCCTGCCTCCACGCCGGGGCCACCCGCTTGCTCCATTGCCTGCACGCCTGCAGCACACCGCTGACCTCAGTCAAGCCGCGCCCGCGCCAGGCAGCAAACGACGTGTGCAGGGGCGCGGGCCAAGTCGAGTCACCCATCAGGCGCCTACGCGTACAAATCGATGCACCTCGACAAACTTTACGATGGATATGAGCAGGGCAATGAAGCAGTGGCCACAAATGCAGATGAAGCCGAGAAAGACTGACTGCCAGTGCTGGACCTCATACATACATGCAGTCTGCTAAGACAACCTCGAGACCAAGTAGTTCATCAAGTTCTCCTGCTCATCTCCCGTCACACGCAGCAGCAGCGCAACGAAAAGGGAGAAGCTCTCCGGCGCCTCCCGCTCCAAGCGCTTGAGACTGTTGAGGTCAAGCTTCCAGAGTACACTGTTCAGCTCTGCGCGCGTAGTGGTGTTCCTCGCCTGGCGCGAGAGGAAGGACAGCTCTCCCGCGATTGTACCGGCCAGCATTGCCTCGTTGAGGTCAAAGGCCTCCTGCTCGAAGTCGTATCGAGCTTTGAGCGCTCCACGCTCGATGAGGTACATCGCATCGGGTTCGTCCCCTACCTTCCATACCAGCTCCCCACGCAGCAGCTCCACCCGCTCAAAGTACTTTGCCAGACGGTTGAAGAAGCACTCGTCCTGCTCTGCCGAAGCATAAGCGCCAAAGGTAACCAGCAGTAGTGGGTAGGGTTGCTCCTGCGCACCTCCCTGGGCAGAGGCGCGTCGTTGGAGATCGCTGCCATTACCTCGACGGCGGTGAGAGTGATCCCGCTCCTCGCAGCCCTTTTCCGGTCGTGCAGGTGCAGACCTCTCCCCTCGCTTCACCGCCGTCTTGGCAGCCTCGTGGAGGTGATGCCTTCGAGGCGAATTCTCAAAGGCCTCGTCCAGCACAAATGCAGGGGGTCGCTTCGTGTCTGGTACATCTAGCGCACCGTCGGCTCCCAGAGAGGCCTGCTTGAGCTGCTTGCCCGCCTGCAGACTGGACGCGTACATCCCGCGCAGGTAAGAATTCTCCGTCCACTCCAGAGCCTCGTTGAGGTAGTGGAAGGACTCGATACGCAAGCCGCAGTCCGACCAGAGGCCCACTGATCGCAGAGCACGACCCACCTCGGAGTCTGGCGTAAGACCACAGAAGACCAGGACGACGTCTTTTGCTTGCAGCAACCTCTGAATCCTGGTGAAAGCTTCCGCGGCAGAGAAGTCGATACCAGAGACGAGGTGGAAGTCGATGACGAGGAACCTCATAGGCTTTTGTTGCCAAGTAGCAATGTCCAATGCTTTCCTGATCAACGCTTCGACGGAGTTGATGGTAGCAAAGAAGAGGAAACCCTGGAGCTTGAGGATCTGCGTCTGCACTCCGACCGCCTCGAGGAATTTGCGTTGTGTCATCGGCCTGCGCACCGTGGAGCGAGCGATACTGCCATCGAAGCACGCGCGTACACTCTTCCTCCTGGCCATTTGGATGGTTAGGAAGAGGCAGGCGAGGCAGATGCCCGCCAGAATACCAATGACAAAGTCCGCTAGCGACATGACGATGATGATGAACCAGATGGTGAGGTACTCCCACATGTTCACCCGACCGATCGTGTCCCACACAGCTTCCTTGCAGAGGTCAATTCCCAGCAAGAAGATCAGTGCTCCTACTGTCGATACATTGAGGTAGTTGATGGCACCTGGACCAATAACGAGGATGACAGCAGTGGCTCCTGCCAGCATGAGACCAGAGAGGACATTGCCTCCACCGACACGGTAGAAGAGGAGCGAGTTGGAGAAGCAGAGATAATTGGGCACAGTGAAGAAGCATCCGGCAATAAGATTACTGATACCATGTCCAGTGAGTTCGCGATCGACGTCGACATTGTCTTCCTTTAGACTGACGCCCAATGCTGGGACATTGAGAGGAACGTGCAGTACGGAAAAGAAGGTCAATGAGATCATCGTGGGCATTGTGTTCCAGAGAGCTCTGATAGACGTCTGCGAGAAGTCAAGGTAGGTGAGGTACCGCCAGAAAGGAGCCTCTCCTGCCGAGCCAATGTCAAAGATCCAGCCTTCATAGCGAAGTTTGTCCAGGGGCAGACCCAGGAAGGTCACTGAGATGAGGTAGAAGATAGGCGTGATGGCAAGGAAGTAGCCAGGCATCAGGAGCGGATGATGGATCCTGCCAGCGATGATCTTGAGCACGATGGCTAGTAGCAGAGGGATTCCCCACAGTGCGATCATCTTTTCGGACTGGAAGAAGTACTGGAGCGTGGCCAGGTCATATTGGAACCCAGCCTCGGCTTCCAATCGACCGGCCACCTCAAAGCCTGTCTCTAGCAAGAATACTCCAACACCTCCAATGCATCCCACGAGAATGTGGCGAGGGAAGAAGCCAATGAGCACGCCCAGCCGTCCGAGGCCGAGAAGGAGGAAGGCCACGCCGGTGAAGATGGAAGACAGAGCAAATGCGATCATGGTAGTAGCTACGATAGACTTGGGATTGTCGTCTCCGATGGTTGCGATGATAGTCGTGCAAAGGATATGGTAGAAGGGCACGACCTGTGATCAAGCCATGTGAGCAGATTCAGCCGCCTGATCAACACCCTCAATTCACAGAAGACGTACTCACCTCGATCATCATGCTTCCGTTTCCACCCTTGAAGATAGATCCCCCCAATGTGAATGTCAACTGAGCAATCACACACGTCACAAAGAACATGCTGACTCCATCACCACCAAAATTGGCGAAGAGCGGGTAGCTCGAAGGGAAGATGATCAAACCGTAAGAGACTCCGTCCAGAATGTTCATGAGCAGACCCAGGATGGTAGCAGGTAGCAACCTGATAGGCTCGGCAGAGGCATCCAGGACGTCACGCCATGTGAGCTTACTCATGGAGACCGCTGCAGATCGGACGAAGTCTGTAGGCGAGAAGCACTCCCGAGTGGGCCGCTCTCCGTGACCTGGCCGCCATCCTGCTGGTACCACATTCCAAGCTGCGCTCAGAGATGCAGGCTCCTCTAGAGAATCATCCGGAAATCCAGCAGTAGAGACTAAACTTCCACCTTCGGCCGCCATGGAGGCCTGAGCAAGCACACCGTACCCATATGAGGTCCTGGCCCCCTTTTTGCCCTGAGCTTCACGGATGTTGAAGCTGGACCCACGGCCCTCGCCAGAGTCAGGGTGGCTCGATGTGCTTCGCTCTCGTGTGCGAGAACTTGCCGAGCTTCTGGATCTCGAGTTGGACCGATCTCGATCTATCGAGCCCGAGGCCTTCCTGCCGCGAGGGATCAATGGCGTGTTCTCCGTCGGCGCTGCATCTGAAGAAAGACGAGTGTCAGCCTCATCCTCGGCGAGTGTAGTACAGATAGGCGCTCGATCACCGGCTTTAGGGGTGACAGCATTGAGACTCTCCCCAGGTGAAGCCTGGAATGAGAGGTTAGGCGAGGCATTGGCACTGTCCTTCGCTCGCAATGTCCTTTGTCCTTCTGGACTAGCCCTACGGGAAGCCCCCAGAGCTTTGGTGAGGTTGCTCGCCCCAGTGAGATCAGACGGGGTAGACGGTCCTACACTGGTCTTGCCATAAGAGGTTGCCATCGCAGTATCCTCCCGCGAGTCTTCCAGGTGGGTTGGGATATCTGACGTACGTGGGGAAGGGCCGTCCTCAGCTCCTAGAGCGTAAGCTGCTAGCTGCGCAGTCGACTCTCGAAGAGAGTCTGAAGTGGCGGTGTAGGACGAGGCCAAGTTGTCGTGTTCGCCATAATTGAAAGACGGCTGGAATCGGCTGAGTGTGGGAGAGAACGAAGGCAGTAGGGAAGATGTGAGCTGCAAATTCGCATACAAAAGACGTCCTCGGTCCGACTCACTAGCTTCGCCCTTCCATGGAGATGCCGCTCCCAGCTGGATCTTGCGCTCCACCTTGCCTCTCCACATCAGAACCATCAGGCTTGCCAGCTCTCATTGCTTGGCTAGAAGAGCTCTCGCCCGTACGGTAGCTGCTGGACCTTGCCGCTGAGCCGGCGTTGCCTGGCGGAAAGGTGCTCTGTGGAGGTTGCTCGATGGAGGAAGGCCGTGGGAACCTCCCGTTCCCAACAGCTGAGGGGCTAGCTTGCCCACTGCTGCTTCGCAGACTCCCAAGACCAGGGAACTCCCAACCAGATCCTGATCTCTTGCTGCGAGAGAGGTAAGAGCCAGAAGAAGCAGTAGGCCGCCGTGATTGTTGTAGTCCGCCGAATGCTCGACTTGTACTCGAGGTGGAGAAGACGTCGGAATGGGAAGATGAGGTGCGTCTACCCCAGCCTGATGCGCCTAGGGAGACGGAAAGGATGGTTGAGAAAGCATTATGAGGTGCATTGATTCGTCAGAGAGCCAGGCAAGAGGTAGTCAGAGCGTGGGAAGATGATGGTGGGGAGCGGTGAGGTCGCGGCGGGATCAAAAGGCGTGACCGGGTCAGCAGCACGTACCAGGCACCCCTGCCTTGCATCACTGTACCTGGCGTACTACAGAGACCTGCACTCACCATTGCCCCCGGCCGGAGAAGCTGCGCCGTCGCCACTGGTGGGCATGTCGGGATGAACAAGACGGTAGATGAAGCAGAGATGGAAACACTGTGGGCTGCCAGCTGCGAGGCGACAGGCAGACACGGAGGGGGGCAAGAAGGAAGAGTATTCCCCTCCGGAGGCGGAGAGAAGCATTGCAGCAGCGTCCCGCTAAACTCCGACAAATAGACTAGCACGAGATAAGGGCCCGGCAAGACAGCAGCAGCACAGGTGTACATTAGAAACGAGATCGTTTCCTGGGTCAAGCAATACACTTTAGAAACAACAGCAATAGCCAAGATTTTAGCGGCTGTGAATGATAGACGGCAATAGATGCTGTCCGGACTCCGTAGAGGGAGACCCATGGAGGCGATAAGACCGGACCAGAGGGAAGCCGTGGGCACCACCTCAGCCAGGCACAAGGATCAGCTAGGGCTAATATGTACTATTGTGATATTGAGACTAAGCAAAGAGGCAAAGTATGTACACGGCACACTGAAGTGTAGTACGGCACTCAGACTGATTTGACTCAGCTCTACACGTTGCTGTTCAAGGCCCACACAGCTCCCTCCATTGCCAGCCTCTCCACCGGGTCCTCAACCCAACTAAGTGGCTCAGCATCGTCGAGAGTGGGGGGTTCCTGTTGTGAATACCACTCGTGGACTCTTGCAGCTAGAGCCGCATCGACGAAGCCGTGAGGGCTTTGCTCCCAGCTCTGGCTGTTCGACGGGCTCTGATGCATTGTGGGGTGAGCATCTCCGACTTCTGGATGCGAGAGCATGTCACCGCGAGTCCAATTCACGTCCGTGAACAAATGGGAGCGCTCACGAGGGCTCGATTCGCCCGACGACTCGTGACCATCAGAGCTCCTTGAGCTTGAGATCTCCGCGGACGATGTCTGAAAGCTGCCTGAAATCTGCTCCGCGCTGGAGACGCGCATGGAAGGAGAGCTGGTGAAGTCGCAAGAGGAGCCGGAGGATGGATCGAGACTCCGCGATTCAGAAGAAGGTGCCAGTACCCCTGAAGTCTGACCGTCGATGTTGCGGAGGGGAGACGAAGTGGGGCTCCTCTTCGCGGGGAGCACGATGGCGCAAGGTGGAAGATAGCCAGCTTGTACCTGTGCAAGCATCTCGAGGAGGACCTCATTCTCTTCCTTGAGGCGGTCGTTCTCGATCTGCAGGTGCTCCTGAGCCCGCACCATCTGTGAGGGAAGAGAGTCGGTATACGAATAGCGAGCATATGTGTCAGTCTACATCAGAAGGTCCCGAGCCCGTCACCATCGTCCTCCTGACTCACCAGTGCGCTCCTCTCCTTATTCCTCGCACGGCAGACCTTCTGGGATTTGCGATTCTGGGCCTTGCGCTTCTCGCTTCCAGAGCGACTTCTCTTGAAGCTAGAGCGGCCGTTGCTAGATGTGTTGGCCAATTTCGTAGGGAGGGACAGGATGGCGTCAGGCGGAGCGGTGAGGCCGGCTTGAGCTGGGAAGGCGAGGGTGGCCTGGGGGCGCTCGGAGGCGTGGAGCACAACCGAGGTGATGACAGGAGCAGCTGTGGAAGCACCGACGCTGGTCTCTGCGACAGAGTTGAAGGCAAGGGGGCCGACGGGAGGTGCGGTCGTAGAGGACAGGCCAAGAGGGACGATTGGCGCACCCTGACCAACAGGCAGCGTCAGACCTCCGAATGAATGATGAGACATGGTGCAAGAGTAGGTATGAATGACTGAGGGTAAGTGAGTGAGGAAGGCGAAGCAAACACCTCCCTGAGGAATGAATGAGTAGGGGAAGAGTATGGATCATGGAGAGAGTAGAAGCCATCAATGGAGGAGCGGGTGGGTTTAGAGGCAGGCCAGAAGACAGAACGGAGGCAAAAGGAAGGCAAGCATACCGGCTTTCTCCACCGGAGAATGACTACTCCTTGCAAGTCTGCTCATCCGGCGGCGCGGCTTACTGGCCCTGTGTAGCGGACTTGTTGAGTCCTGTTGCATCCGCGCCTGGCCTGGCGTCGGCGAAGGGTGCCGGTGCTGCTGCTGCTGGCCATGCACCATGATGGTATACAATTTCTTTTGAGTACGAGTACAAGTCCAGAGCGTCCTACCATCGAGCAAAAGTGACTTTTACCCCATCCCCCTTTTCCTGTCGACAGCGCCAAGAGTCACTCCACCCTCTCTCTCAAGGGTCCAACGAAACTGTTTCCGACAATGCATCTAGGTATCTCTCTTCACACTGCTCCAATGCCCGTGCAAATCTGCTTCAGCTTCAGCTTCTGCTTCCGCGTCTCCTCGCACTCCACTCCACTCCACTTCACCTGCGCTTGCCCGAGGTAGGGAAAGCGGATGCAAATTCTGATTCCTCAGGACCTTAGCACCCTGCAGTGCCCCCGTCGACGCTGCTTGGCAGGGTCTAGAGCCTGCGTGGGTTGCTGGTCGGGACATCGAGTAAAGGGTCCGCATCTCACCACGACACCCCGTCACCGCTCGGCTCCGGTAGCCCTCATGAGCGACCACGTCACGCCACGCCACGCCAGCTACAGACGCTACTTTTTGCCCGCAGCTTCCATGTAAGGGGAAGAGGGCAGAGAGGATGAGGATGGTGATAACATTATGCACTGGATATGGGAAGTGCGATGCACAGCTTTGCGAAGTGACAGAGAGAAGATCCTACGCAGGCGCGCCCAAACCTCTTCCCCGCCCCTTCTACTCTGTAGGTTCAATCCAACCCTTTAGCCTTTCCCCCTTTTCCCTCTTGCTAGGCCAGGCCAGGCTGGGCTAAGCAGCAAAGCTTACCGGGCTCGGCTTGAAGCTCGTACTGTTCGGCAGGACGGTCACGGCTACTGCACACTCAACTATCTCTAGCTTGACGTCCCTCCCAAAGTTCTCCCTCAGTGCATCCTCTTCCTCGCCTCCCTTGCTCTCTTTATTTCGATTGTCGTCAGTTGAAGGAGGAAAGAGCGACCCGATCGGCCCGCTCAGCCTAGGTATGGCTCGATATCGAGAGTGGTAGAGGGAAAAGCCGTCCTCCTCGGAGCTTGGGTGGAGGTGAGGAGGTGGGAGCGGACGGGGAGCAGATTTACTGGTGTGCTCGGCCACTTGGGTCAGGAAGGAGAGACGGACAGTCCAGTGAAGTTTGACTGGCGAGGAGAAACGAAGAGGGAGGGAAGGTAGCACAATGTCAGTTGTGACCAAATGACGGGGCGAGCAGTGTCCGGGTAACATCTACTCACCTCCACTAGTCGAAAAGTCAGGCGTCGCGCCACTGGGTATAGGTAACGAGAAGCTAGCTTGCCCTGCGTCGAGGGTGTTGTCATGGTGCTCTGCATGAATTTTACGAGTCGCCTTCTGCATCCGCCCGGCAGTCATAGTGCCTAGACTTGCTTCCACTTCCTCGTAGCTCTCGAGGACAGCGGCAAGCTGGACAAGAAGAAGAGAAGAGCGGTGCTGATCAGCGGTGCCCGTCGTGCTTCGCTATGGGCTCATTTGGGCTCATACTCACTCTGACGACTCGAGCTACTGCGCCTACTCTGTTGATGTTGACTACGCCCAGGATGGAATCGCCCAATCGGTACTTGCTCTTCACTAGCGTCAGCACCGCCGCAACCGCGCCATCTTTGGAGATGTCGTAGGAGACTGAAATCGCGAAAGAGATCGGGTCAGCGACCAGTCTAGTGTCCACCTCATAGTCCCACCTCGTCCCACTTACCCTTCTGAGAGTTTCGTGTCAGCACCTCAATAGCGCTCTTGCAAGACTCAGGGGCTTCCTCCTCGCCAGCGGCCGACACGCTGGAATTTCTTCTCAGTGGTACCGAGGCGCCATTGGCGGCAGTCTTGCCCTCGAGTTGCCGTAGCGTCTGCGGAGGACTGGCTATGAGATGTTTCATCTCCGTCTCGAGAGTAGTTACTCCATCTGCAGCCTCTGCACCACCCTCGCAAGATGCTAGCAGGGAGCGTGCGTAGAGCTGAAGATCTCGACGGCTGCGTTCTGTACGTCGTCAGTAGTAGGAGCGAAACAGTCAGCGAAAGGCGTTGCCAACGACGCCTTGGCAATCTCGACAGACTCACCACCTCGTTCTTGCCTTCGGACACCTTGTGCAGAGTCACTCGACATCTGCTTGACCATCTCTTCCGCTCTCCGCTTTGCCTCTGTGGACTTCAGGTCCGAATCCTCCTCCCTGATCTTTGCAGTATCTCGCAAAAGGATGACAGGATTCGTGAGGTCAAAGAAGGCTCTAGCACCGGCGATGTTCACATGATTGTATATACGCAGGGGTATCTTGATCAGCCGACTGCGTTGATTGCCTGCCTTAGCTGCGATTTTGCGAGAGTCAACTCGATTGGTGCCTATGACGAGTTCGTACGTGAACTTGATCGCCTTACCAAAGTAGGAGGGAGGAAGATCGGTAGGCAGCTGCATCGTGAAGCTGTACGTCTTGCTCTCGCCAGGCAAGAGGTTCAAGTCAACTGCCACGATGGAGGGAGGGGAGCTAAAAGTTGGGATAGTCTTGCTAGCCATGGTCTTCTGCCTGACCTCCAACATCGTCGATCCAGTTCTTCGATGCCTGCTCGAAGCAGCTTGCCCTCCCTCTGCTCCACCGAGCGCGTTGCGAAGGTAGGCTGCCCACCCCTTAGCTGCAGCAGCATCCCCATTCTCGTCATGACCAAGATCACCTCCTCCGATAGCTCGCGGTGCTGATGTGCCACTTGCCGATAGAGCGTCTCCAAAGGCCAGACGCCGCTTGACCTCTTCGAATTCGCCCGGCTTGATGAGGGACTCGTCTACTTCGTACGACCCTGAGAACTGGGCAAAGGACCAGAGAACAGTCTCCGTACCAGGAGCAGCAGTACCGCGCTGGGGGAAGAGGGGACTGGAGCCAGTAGCGATATCGGGTACTTGAGGGCTGCTGGAGACGTTCGAAGCGCTCGGTCTACGACTCGGAGGCGCTCCTCCATGACTCCAGCTAGTGAGCTGATCGCGTACGACGCTCTCCATAGTGTCGTTCCGCCCCAGGCCGTAGAAAGCATTCTCCGAAAGGGAAGTGTCCCTGCTCTGGCTAGGAGTCATGTCATACGCTCCTGGTATTGTCGTGTCATCACCAAAAGCAGCCTGCCCACCCTTTCCCAAGCGTGAGCCCTGCGCCCCATTAGAAAGCTCAAAGGCTGCACTTAGATCCTCGTGTTGTACCTGTATCACAGACTTCTTGCGAGAATGAGGATGATCGGCCTGTATCGAGGTGGACAGGCGGCGTGTATTACCTCTCGAATTCACTGCTCATGTGAAGGATTGGCACTGTCAGACACCACCTCCTTGGCTCTCTGCGCTGCTTCAACGTACTAACCTGTGTCTGATGCTCCCGGTACAGGCCGCGATGCCCCTAGGGTGTTCGCGCTGGGCCCTGAGCCAGCAGTGCTCGGATAACCCAACCCTATGGCTGCTTTGTTGCGAGGATTTGGCGCTTGCGCAGGGGAAGATGTTGCTGTAGGATTGGGAAGGGCGGCTACACTGGCAGACTTTGTATGCTTCTTCTCAAACGCAGCTCTGCCAGCAGACGGTAGTCTAGACGGCAACGCATGCTTCCCAATGACTCTCTTGCGTGTGGGCAGTACATTGCCTGCGAGGTCGTAGTCGATTGCAGCTTCACCATCCTCCTCCCCTTCCTCTCTAATGCCTGTTCCGCTACTCGTTTGTCTCTGTTTGCCGTTGCGTGCAGGGGCAGAGCGTATGTCAAAGCTCTGACTCTTCACGTGACCCTTTGGAGGAGGTGTGGAAGTGACCGCCTCTGCATCGCTGATGGTCCGTCTATCTCGCGAGAAGGATGCGTCGAGGGATCCTGGGAAGCGTGAAGTGGAAGGAAGAGGCTGCGATGCTGGAACGGGTATGTTTCGATTGGTGAATGTGATGAGACACCTGAGCTCCTCGCCGGCGAAAAAGGACGACTGGGCAGGGGTGACAGTCACCTCGAGTGGCGACGACTGATGCAAGAGGGACATGGCCCCCAAGGTACGAGGGATGTGACCAGTGGTCTAAGGAGGAGACAAGGTGAAGTAAAGGACGATGGCCGAGAAGCAACACAGCCAGGGCCAAATACGCCTCACAGCAGCGGAACGCTCGGGCCTTCGACTCGCGACTCGCACAGGCGTGACGCAGAGGAGAGTGAAACACACACACGCCGCAAGGAGACAGATACGCAGACCAACAGTCTTGGAAAGACGGATATGATGTGGCAGAGAGTGAATGCATGACACACCCTCTGCTCAAGCTCTCACCCACCGCCCCTCGAGCTCCATGATGCTCACCGGCACCTCGCCCTTCTCGTCGTAGTCGGTCCACTCGGTGCCATCGTCGAACTCCACCTCTTCGAACTTTGTGCCCGACTCTGACGCGGTGCAAGCCCACGTACCCTGAGAGTCACAGCAACGAGCACATGGTCAGCGATCTGAGGACATCCCTTCTACAATCTCGTTCACTCACCTCTGCCTCCCACCCCACCAAGTCCATACCACGAGCATCTACCACACACAGCGTCTGCCACTCTGCCACTCCATCCTCCGACATGCTATACGGCCTCCACCAGGGGGTCTTTGGTGTTGGCTCTTCGAACTCTGGCAAGATGGCAAAAGATATGGGGCAAGGGTGTAAGAGGGAGGGGCTTCACAGCTTCACTCTCTGTTTGGCTCCTGGTGTACTCACTTGCAGACGACTCCCTCTTGCAGAACTGGTATTCGTAGAGTGTGAGGTAGGATCTAGGCTGCTCAGTCTACTGTCACGTAGCCTGACTTGGATCTCCTCTGTATCCCAACCGACTCACCTGGCACTTCATCACCAAATCCGTCGTGCCCCTCGCCCCCTGCTTGGTCATCTCCAGCTCGGACCCAGGCTTGATTCCCACCAACCTAGGATGTTCCTCACGACACGAGATGCACTTTGTCTTGACCATCAGTATATAGTCATCTGTAGATGGACGAAGGTCCTTCACATTCTCCATTTGCGCCTTGATCTGCAAGGCAAGCTTCTGGAAGTGGTGTACAGGCAAGATAGGGGTAAGGGTCGAGGAAGGTCAGCCAGCCTATTGGTGTCGTGTGAGCCACCATGCTCTACGTGGGCGCTTCTGTACTGACTGTCATGGTGAGAATATGATGATGAGGGTGAAGGTGCAGCCTCGCGGACCTGACCAGATGTATTCAGCAGTGCAAGGTCTTGCTTGAAGATATGGTCTACTCTGTCAGTCAGGGCTCGTCAGGGGTCATTGGTCTGAACTTTCAAGTGTCCTTCGCTCGTATCCGTCCGTCGGAATTCGAAGTCCGACGCGACGGAAGTGGCACAGGGCAGCTGCGAAAAAAGGACGATTGACAGAGGCGACTTCTTCCTGACCGGGTATTACTAACAAGGCAGTCACCATGAGCTTCACACGCCTTCCCCTACGCTCTCTGACTCGAGCAGTCGCATCTTCGTCGTCGTCCTCATCTACAGCTTCCGCTTTGCCCACTCTCTTGCGCTCCTTTCATGCCTCACCATGCTCCTCCGCCGATGCAAAGAAGGTCTCCATGTCAGGCATCAGCGCAATCCGTAAAGCCGTACCCGGCACCTCGATGATCAAGGCCAAGGAAGCTCTTCTCGCCACGTTCAACGCCGCAGGTCAAGAAGACTTGTCTGCTGCTCTGACATGGCTAGAGGACGACAGGCAGAAGAGTGGTGCAAAAAAAGCAGAAAAAGTGGCTTTGAGAGAGGCAAAGGAAGGCATGGTCGGCATCTGCATCCTTGCCGATGGATTAGGAGCAACGGGAGCTTCGTCTTCGTCCTCTTCTTCGTCTTCTTCCATGCCTACTCCTCCGCCCCGAGCTGGACTTGTGGAGCTGAATTGCGAAACAGACTTTGTAGCCCGCAATGAAGTCTTCAATCAGCTCGTGCAGGACCTTAGTCATACTGCTGCTCTCTTCCCTGATTTGGCCCAGGGTGTCTCTTCCTCTACCGCAACGGAAGGCAGCTCAACACCAAAGCTCATCGACCTTCCCCTGCAGGAGTTCCTCAGCTTTCCTGTGTTGACCAGCTCGCCAGATGCAGCCAAATCTTCTACGCGTCCCAGGACAGTGCAGGATGCAATTGTGGATATGGTCTCTCGTCTGGGGGAGAAGATCACCCTCGCCCGTGCCTCGAGCATCTCTACCTCTCTCCCTCCCCTCTCAAGCGACCCAAGACGGTCCCAATCCATCGACGAGACGTACGTCGTTTCTTCCTTTGCACACGGCGGTGCGGGCACGCCCGTGACGCAAGGCGCAGCAGCCTTCTCCACCTCGGCGGGAAAGGTAGCCTCCCTCCTTCTCACGCGCTACCGTGGTCTCACGGGTAATGCAGCCTCCCCTGCTCCTTCCTCCGAGGAGATGACAAAGACGATTCGCGCACTCGGACGATCTCTCGCTCGTCAAGCTGCAGGAATGGAGACCACATCCATCCGTGCCCCTGCCGGAGCAGAAGGGCTTGAAGAAGCACCAGGCGCACCATCCACCGCCCTCTACTCGCAACCCTTCCTCATGCTCCTTCCCTCGGCGGGAGTCGCAGTCGAGGGTGAGGAAAAAGTAGAGGGCGTTCTGCAGAAGTGGTGCAGGGACAAGGGAGTGGACGAGGTGGAGGTGGTGGATATCAGGAGGTGGGCATTGGGTGAGACGGCCACCATTGCCGAGTCGAGCAGCCCGGCGGAGTAGGGATCACGTAGAGAGGCTTTTGCAAATACCAAATCGACACCACACAGGACGTGTAGAGCATACATATCGCTGTATCTGCAGCGAGAATACAATTGTATAGATTTGCGCATCAGAAAATCGACAAGCTGGACAGATGCGTACTAGATACCGACTACAAGTCTCGTCATCTACGCGAGTCCAATGCTCCATCTTCTTCCTCGTCATCACCATCCGCGTAGTGGAGACCGTTCCCCGAGGTCTGAAAGCCTAATGAAATGTAGGCAGCAAGAAGCGAATGTCAGCAGCGCGAACTGTAGCGCTTCGACAGCACCCTCTCCGGGGTATCGACTCACCACTATTATCCCACCCATCCATATCAGCCTCTTCCCGTCTCTTGCGGCGCGCCGCTTCCTCTCTCCTCTCACGTCTTTTCTCCTCTTCACTCTGTGCCATACTCGCAAGAGGATGTTGCGCTGGCGATGAGGAGAGCGAATACCCTTCCTCGAGCCCAGTACCACTATGCGAGCCCGGTCTTAGCCCCTTCTTGGGAAAGGCCGACGAGGCAGCATTGGGTAGGGCAGAATCTTCCGGCCTCTCGAAGAGCACCTCAGAAGAGTCCGGATCGCCCTCTTCACCATCAATGAATCCCTCTCTGCCACCGCTGGCGACTCGTCCGCTCCTCTCCCACTCTTGCTCCGTCGTAGCCGCCCGCTCGTACCCTTCTCCTGGCGCTCCGCCTTCTCTCACACCTCCACCGTCTTCGTCATTGAGGCCCTTGTACTTGATGTAGTTGTAGGCTGCAATGCCGCTGATGGCGATGCAGAGGCCGGTGATGTTGACTGGGGTAAGACGGTCGTCGAAGATGGAAGAGGCGATGAGGACGGTGAGAATCTCCTTGAGGATACCTGCGACGGACAGAGTGACGACGGAAGTCCTTTGTATTAGTCTGTTTCAGGAGAGTCAGGTAGGTATAATCGTCAGCAGCCAGGTCATGTGTTTGATCTAATACGTGGCTGAGCCGTACTCACGCATACTCGCTCAGACTCATACAAAAGGCGAGGACACCAGGTGCAAGAAAGAGGAGGAACGTCTTCAACGTCCGAGCAAATCCGCCGGCCAGCTCGGGAGAGTTCCACATTGCCCTCCAATCTTCCACCATGGGCCCGGTGAAGAAGAGAAGGACGGCCATAATTGGACAGAGCCAAAATATGGCAGCCACGGGATTGTTCATGCCCAGCTTCTCCTTCTCGAGGAGCATCTGGGTCAGGGCCCATCGGAGACCGCCCATCATGGAGGCGAGAAGGACTTGGATGGCGCCGATGAGTACCAGCTCCGTCTCTGCTGCGACCATCATGATGACCTGGTAGAGAAATGCGCAGATGTGCGACGGCGGCTCGAAGATTCAGACAAGGAATGATGAGACCGTCACGCTTCTCTCTGTACTCACCCCAATCGTGATGACCGTGATTACGCCGACAAGATTCCACCGTATCCGCTCCAGTCCGAACAAGAAGGCAAAGGCCAAAACGAAGACGAGGTTTGACGACTTGCACATTGTGTACAGAGTCAGTGAAATGGACTTGAGGGAGGTGTTGGAGAGGCCAATGTCTAGCGCGCTCGCCAGCGCACAGGGAACGACCTTCGAGCTACAGTAAGAGTGGTATGATAGCAGAACAATACGTTAAGCACTTTCTGTCACTGAGCCGTACTGTCGCTCATGAAACTCACATCCAATCCCTACCACTAGGCCGCCGCCTCCTGCCCTCTGGCGTGCGGGGCACCAGCTGCAGTCTGCCTGTCCGATCGAGCAGCAGTATCAGGCTTGATGCGATAGAGAACTGAGCCAGCATATGTAAAGATGTGACAAATACCGGGTATGGGAAATTGCGCTCCTTCGGATCAAACCTGAGGGAGCAAAGGCCGGGCGCGGGTCGTTCAGATCACATACGAGCCTCAGAGGGGAAGGTTGAGCTACTCACATCCACTTGTTGTACACACTGATGAGCGTTGAGAAAGTATCTTGAAGGGTCGTGAGAGATGACGGCATCAGTAGGACTCCGGCGCAGTCGCTGTCCCAAAGCTCAAGTACTCACACCAACTAGCAATTAAGCACCCAATGACAACTGCCCTCTTGCCGAAGTCCTCCTTGGACCTAATTCTTCCTGGCTTTCCCATGAGACGGTTCATCTCAGCTCTACTTCTATCGTGTCTGAAGCCGCTGGAGGTTGCATCAAGAGAGAGCGGATCGCCAGCCACAGCTGCTGATGAGGATCTACGATGACCCCTAGCTTGGCTGCCCGACTGCGTAGCAGATGTCTTAGCTGTGGACGGAGTGGATGTTGCTGCTGCTATCTCCGCTCCTGGATATGGATCTTCTTCATCATATAGTGGAGCTTCTTTGGCTTCTAACCCTCTGTCGTATGCACTAGCCTCGACATCTTGGTCCGAGTCGAACGAGTCTTCAGATGACCGGCCCAGGGAGTGATGAGGATGTAGGGGTGCGGACGACGTTGACGACGAAGACACCGGAGGGTATGTAGTAGCCATGATCCCTGCTCCTGGCTTCTGTAGCCTTGCACCGCTGCCACTGAAGCCCTCGACAGCGATGAGAGGTCAAGGTCAAAATATGATGATGGTGCAGTTGGTACGGAATGTGGACCCCGACGTCGCGGTGGGTGTTGCCGACTCGCCGTGGCTCGCATCAGTTGGCCAATGCACGTCGCGGGGAATTTAGTGCTCCGACGCAGGAAGATGCGGTACAAGATCTTCTTTGTTTGGTAGCATGTCACAGCTTTCATCATAGTCACTCATATCAAGAAGCGTCCGGTAGACAGCCTTGTGAATATACGCAGCAGACCTCGTACCATGTACACGGCTGCTGTGGGAGCTTGGGGCTGCGTTGCCGTCGTGCAAGCGCCTGCTCTTGCGTCCACCTCGTTCAGCCTCGCTTGCTCACAAGCCACCCAAGTTGCAAGCAGGGCCCTTGCCGGAGCAGCCCGAAACTTCACCACAGACGCTGTTTGTCTCGCAAAGAAAAAATCGGCTTCCACTTCTAGATGTGAGTGGCTTTGGTGCTGAGGCTGTTCTCTCTGTCCTTCTTGCTGATCGAGCTGGTCTACACCCTTTTCAGATACCTCGCGCCAATCATCCGATCCTTATGTGCTGGCCCGCACATCGCAATCCCACGCCTCCTCACTCGCCCTGCCATCATCATCATCGCAGGATGATCTACCTGGCGAAAAGTTCGTTTCCAGGTCTGCCTTCAAGCTTTTTCAACTAGAGGAGAAGCATCACTTCCTCGCACCGCGCAAGGGCAAAGGGAGGGGGCGAGAAAGAGTCATCCTCGATCTGGGGGCAGCACCTGGAGGATGGACACAGATGGCGCTCAGGTTGCTGCGCAACTCTAGCTCTTCCGTCGAGAGCAGTACAGAGGGACAAGCAGAGGAAGGAGTCGTTCGTCGTCCGCCCATCTTTGCCCTCGACCTTCTGCCGCTTCATCCCAGCGTACAGGCTTTACCTGGCGTCAACTTCATTCAAGGCGACTTTGAGAGCGAGGATGTCAAGAAAGAATTGGCCGAACGAGTCAGGCTGCATCGCTCGCAAGGAGGAGAGGAAGCAATAGATGACAAAGTTGATGTCATTCTGAGCGACATGCTGGGTGAGTATAGTTGACAAGCGGCCGCTCAACCTCAATGTCCTGAACGCGATTGCCCCAATACCTGTCACAGCCAATACCACCGGATCTTCTCTGCGAGACGGCGCTCTGTCTTTGTCGCTCCTCCATCACCTCTATCACTTCGCACAACGGCATCTTGTCGCTTCTCCTTCCTCCTTCCTCGTCCTCAAGATCTTTCCATCCCCAGAAGCCGAAGCCTTTCGGAGGAGGATGCTCCAGTACTCTGCCTCTTCTGGGAAGAAACGGGCCAGTGTCGAAGAGCAGAGCGGCGCTATTAAGGGCGGAGCTTTCGAGACCGTGAAGACAGAAAAGCCTCCAGGCTCAAGAAAGGAGAGTCGTGAGGTGTATTGGGTGTGTAAAGGGTTCCGAGGCAGCGAGAAGTGCTGGACTCTTGATGAGTGGTATGAGATGGAGGAGGCAGCCGGCTGAAGGTTGCGCTCAGCTCCGATATGGGACATGGTTCAGTCGACATGCTTTGTACTCTACTTGCTCTTCCTTTGTCCCTTCCTGTCCCCTTCGCTCAGACCCTCCCACCAATCCTTATACCCTGTATTCCACACCATCTTCCTGTCTGCGACCTCTCCCTCATCCCACCAGACGTCGCCTCTCTCACCCAATGCGACCTTTGTTCGTTGCACTTCCTGCCTCGCCTCCTCTCTGACTTTTGCGTCTGTAATACGACCGGTGAGATTCCTACGGGCGGTCATCAGCACCTTTTGCAGCTCGGAGCGCTTCTCAGCAGGAAGGGAGGGGTCGGCGCAGCGCCAAAGGCGGCAGCGAACGAGGAAGTAGTGACCGTCGGGCGTGGTTGGGTATCCTCCTGTTCGTGTCGAAGATGTTTTGTCGTCATCAACGTTCTCGCTCTTGAGAGTCGATGCAGCTTCAACCTTTTCCTTGCCGGCTCCCTCATTGCCGCGAGCGACCTGCTGCTGCGCCTTCTTGTTGCCCCGTGCGGACGCGTCGTCGCTTTCCTCCTGCTTCACCGCTTTGGCAGCATGCCTGGTGCTACGCCTGCTCGCGGCTTCGCCAGCTGGGGCAGCATCTGGAGCTCGGTCTGCTGCTTTGCGCTTGCTGCCCTTGGGTGGCATTCGGCCCTGAGTGTTTAGGTGGCCGTAGGCTGTACCATAGCAGCATCGGCTAGTCAGATCTTCGGAACGGCCACGGGAGTTGGATCTCCGCGCGAAGGCATTACGTCAATGCGCTCGGATGGTGCGATTGGTGGGCTGGGCACCTGTGGGAATGAATCACCTTCGTGCAACACTCTACTCTGGACTACCATTCCTCACCTCAAAGCCGCACATCGACACCATGATTCGTGCCAACCCCGCAGTTACCTCGTCGCTCTTCTCGGCTGCCCGCTCCTCTGTGCGCCCCTCTGTGCGGAGCTACGCGACAGCACCTTCTTCTGGCGGCTCTAGCAACCTTCCCCTCTGGCTCGGCCTGGGTGGTATCGCCGGTCTGGGAGCCTACTGGGGTCTGGGTGGCCTCAATGGCTCGCCGCCAAAGGTCAGCGGAAAGGATGTGAAGGAGGCACTGAGCCCCACCAGCGTCAGTGGAGCCTTGAGCAAGGAGAAGTTCATCGACTTCAAGCTCAAGGAGGTCATCCCTTACAACCACGACTCCTCCACGTGGGTAGATGGAAGCGTCAGCGGCAATACTGCACGCTCTATGTACTGACCCACAAATCTCTTCCTTCCTTGCAGTTTCGTCTTTGACATCCCTGACAATGCTCCCTCTGGACTCACTCTCGCCTCTGCTGTCGTCACCAAGGGTTCCGGCGATGGACCAAAGGACAAGGATGGCAAGCCCGTTATCAGGCCATACACCCCTGTTACCTCCCCAGAGACCAAGGGCCACATTGACTTCCTGATTAAGAAATACGTGAGTGGGATAACAGAACATCACAGCAGCATGCGTCATTAGCGACTGTACTGACCCCTTCCTCGTCATCATTGTGCAGCCGGGTGGAGCTATGACCGAGCACATCCACTCCCTGAAGCCAGGAGACAGCCTCGCCATCAAGGGTCCCATTCCCAAGTTCCCCTACAAGGCCAACGAGTTTGAAGAGCTGGGCATGATTGCCGGTGGTACCGGAATTACCCCCATGTGGCAGGTGATCCAGGCCATTGCCAATGACAAGTCCGACAAGACCAAGGTCACCCTGGTGTACACAAACAAGAGCGAGGCCGATATTCTCCTCCGTGAGAAGTTTGATGACCTGCAGAAGAACGACTCTCGCTTCAAGATCGTTTACGGACTGGATCAGCTGCCAAAGGGATTCAACGGCTTCACTGGCTACGTCACACCAGAGATCATCAGCGAGCACATGCCCGCCCCGGGCAAGGCCGACAAGATCAAGCTCTTCATCTGTGGTGAGTAGAGGTGTGCCAAAGAATAGTGGAGGGGGCAATGAACTGACGCTCCTCGACTTGTGTGGTAATTCTATTCAGGTCCTCCCCCTCAAGTGGAGGCCATCAGTGGTGGAAAGGGCCCCAAGGGTAGCCAGGGAGAGCTCAAGGGTCTGCTTGCCGATGCCGGATACCAGCAGGACCAGATCTACAAGTTCTAGAATGCTCGTCTGTCGTACCGCACCGCAATACCTAGAGGGTTCGCATACAATGCAAAAATGGAACAATTCGTCTGTCGTCGCAGTAGAGTGTGGTGATTTTACGCAAGCATCGCCGCTCTTATGTTGTGTGTTGTTCCCCTGCCCTACTTGAGACTTCCCTGCACCGCCTGACCAGCTCGAGAACACCAACAAATCGTCCCCTCTCCTCTTCCGCCATTACGTCCACCTCTTCCTCCTGCTCACCCTGTCCTCCCAATCCCAATCCCAATCCCAATCCCAATCCCACCACTACTGGTCTCAGATCCTTGACATCCTCTTCTCCTCCTCCTCCCGCAGTGGAAGAAGAACGCAAGAGACCGTGAATGGAGGAGACATACAGAGAGTAGAGGGCTGCCTGACCCGGGGGAGGCGTGCCGAGCAGGGCGGTATGCACGAGGGAGGGATTGATGGTAGGGAGCGTGAAGGTTGGAGGTGCCCCTGCAGCTGCGGCTGCACCATTTGCATGTTCATTGGGGCGCTGTTCGGACTCTGAGTCCGAGTCGGGATAGTCAAAGTCGTAGTTGGAGGTAGAGGAGGTGGAAGAAGAGGAGTAGGGGATGTAGGGCGTGTCTGCTGGGAGGGAGGCTTGCATCTGGAGGTGGGGAGAGCTAGGCAGTCAGCGAGCGTGCTTATTGAGCTTATTGGGCATGGAGCTTACGCTCTTTCGCCCATTTATGATTCACACTGACCACGATTCCCACCCTGCCGAGCTGAGTGACGACGACGAATGTGCGATCATGATATTCTTGAATGACGACTTCTGTGTGCTTGCCCTCTACTTCGCCAGCGAGCTGCCGTGTTGGGACAGCGTATGCCGAGCTTGAAGGTAGTCGCTGTACAGTCACAGTAGGCTGTTGTACTGAGCTCGTTGATGCTTCAGCGAGGCGGGGCGCTGACATGACCATGGTATCTGTGGTGATGGCGATGGTGGTGTGAACGGGGATACGCAATGAGCATCGGAAGTGAGCCATGCAGGCAGCGACTCTTCCGCTTGACGCCTCAGCGGACCTTTGCTCTTCTTTTCCCTCAAACCCACCGAGGATCGACGACATCGTCTACCTACACCTGAGCGCACCTCCCCAAGCTCAACCCTAGACACGTTGTCTCAGTCTGTGTCACTACTGCATCGTCGGCAGTCTCAGATCGACAGAAGCGCCTGTGCTACCGCCAGGAAAAAGTCTCCGAGCAGGCCTCGGACCATATCTACTCCCGTGGCTCTCCCGTCCGCCTACCGGTGACGCGATGCCCGCCCTCCTGCCTGCTTCTACTCCCTTCGGTGGCTCTCCGCTCCAACATTACGATACTCTCAGCTCATCTGCAGGCTCCTCATCACCTTCGTCTCCGCAGCCTTCGGGTAGCAAGAGGGGGAGGAAAAAGACTAAGCCGGAGAAGCCTGCTGCAAATGAGCACCTCCCGCCTCGGACATCATGCGATAGCTGTCGTACCCGGAAGCTCAAATGTGATGGGAGATCGATGGCTGAGGGCGGCTGTGAGAGGTGCTCAAGGGAGAAGACAATTTGCCATTATTGTGAGTATTGTGACAGGTGAATGCAGAGCTGAAGGTCGGAGCCACGGTGCTAACGTAGTCCTTCTTGACATTCTTCAGCGACGCGAGCTCCCATAGGAAGGCCAAAAGGCTCCGTCTGCCCAGTCAAGAAGCGAAAGGTGGCTAGGGAAAGCGATGAGAAGCCGGCGTCTCCCTCAGTCTTCGATGATCTCTCCTCAGAGTCTCCATTTCAGGCGGCAGGCAACGGCTATGTCCTATCACCTCCCTCTTCCTTACAGCCATTCGCAGCACTACAGTACGCTGTAGACCAGCAACAACGGCAACGACAGCAGGAGACTAGTGCTTTCAATGGAGGTGGAAGTCACACTAAAGGCTACTCCGATGCCGGCTCGCAGGCATACTACAGTGTCCCGCTGGATGAGCTACATGCTCCTCTTTACTCCAGCACATATCCTAGCGTGACGAGCGATAACCAGACACCAGCGGTACCCCAGGCTAACGGCATGTCACTCGAGACACAGCAGCAACCCTCATCATTTGCGGCTTCGTCGGTGTCTCACAGCCATCTCATGGACTCACCTCTGGCGACCCTGGAGATGGCAGCCTTCCTGGATTCGCTGGATCGTGTGGAGATCAAGCCTGCCGACGGTCTGACAGCGAACATGTTGCCAAAGGGTCAGATACGGTCCAGGCAGAACGGCGTGTCGTACCCACCACTGCAACGTTCCGCGGCTTTCCTTGGCCAGGACTCCCTCGACAGTGATGGCATGCCCCTCTACTCCCAACCCGAGCCAGACGTTCCTCCTTTCGCTCCATCTCGACGAATATCATATCAGGGGTCGCAGCAGTACACCAACCAAGAACAAGTCTCCATCCTTGACGAAGGGGTAAGCTACGCAGTACCTAGTGACTTCAGCTGGTGGGATTTGGGACTAGACGCCAATCTGATGGGCGGGGCCGGGGTCGGCAGTGTGAGCAAAGAGACAGCTAATGCTGCCGTTGACAACTCGCAACGTGGCTTCACACACCGTCAGGAGAGTAGCTGGAGTAGCGGCACTGCTCATCAGGACGCAGCCTCGGTCACTCATGCCAATGGCGGGCTACATATCACCAGCTCACGAGAGCCGACACAAAGTGATACGACAGCAAGTAAAGGAAGCTGCTGCTCGAAGAAGACAGCCCTGGCAAAGCAAGCGACGCCACCATCTCAAGTTCTCGCGCCCCCCGTCGTCAAGTCGTGCTGCTCCAAGTCAAATGGTGAGGAGCTCGTCAAGCCGGTGGAGCCTCCTGCGTCGGTCAATGAGAAGCCCAGCGGGCCATGTCCGAAAACAGGAGCGGAAAATTGCTGCTGCGACCCTCGCGAGCAGCCTGAGAGCGAACGAGAAGAGCAGGCGAAGATTGGCGGCCTCGACAGCGAAAACCATGACCTTCATGCAGTCAGCTCTTCGTCCTCCAAAGAGGCTACAGTGAACAATACACACACCCAGCCTCGAGTGCATTGCGTGCCCAACCCATCCGGCACAGGCTGCACCTGTCTGTGCGAATCTTCCGTCTGCCTCCTGGGCGTTCGTCGAACGTTGGGTCATCCTCTTCCCATTTCCCCCTCTCCGTACGAAGACGACCTCGACGCCTCGACAGACGCAGAGGGGAGCCAGCTACAAGGCGATAGGAAGACGCCTATTCCCTCGCTGCACCTCACCCTCTCTGCCTCGCGAGCCATCTCAGACTCGTGCGCCTGTTCAGCTTCGTGTCCCACCTGTTGCGGCGCCGCTGCTGGCTCAGAGGCAGGCAGTGCGTCCGCTCCATCTCACGCAGCCTTTAATGCTTCCCTCCTTATCTCGCTAGCACTACAGATCTACGCTCGCGCAGTGCGCATCTTGCGGGATGGCTTCTCATCCTCTGCAAGCAGCAGCAGTGGGGATGGTGCCATCGCTGGCGCTACCACAGGTACGGCCTCTGGATCAAGTTCGGTAGATGGGGTCGTGGGCGGTCTGGAGATTAAAATCGGTGGCTATCGTCCCAGCAAGGAGAATGCTCGCCGGATCGCTCTGCTAGCCATTCGATTGGAACTGTCAGATTTGGAAAAGGGGATGGGAAGGGTTTATAAGATGGCCGTGGGCGGGGGTGAGGAGAGAGCTGCTGCAGAGGAAAGTGTCGTAAAGAGTGGACGACAGACGCGAGAAGGCGGAGAGACAGGCTCGGATGTTGTCAAGAGTGAAGCGGGTAAGGATCCTGGCACAGGAGGTGCTTTGCACGTAGGGCCAGTGGCAGCAGGGGCAGAGAAGCCCATTCCACCTGCGCGTCGACTCCTGGCGCCCGTCGATGGTTTGGTGATCTGCAAGCTGCGAGAGCAACTTCGAGAGATGATCAGCCGTGTTGAGGCTTTGGAGCGCCTCTGATGGTACAGATATTGCATCGCAAATGGGCAATTGTAGAAGATACTGGTCTCGAATGTACTTCATATTCCTTCACAATTGACTGATACCATCGAGGTGCTCCTCTTCTGCAGTGAGTTGATCATCTCACACCCCGCGACATGTCCTCTCAGCCGTTTCCTCTTGCCTCTGCAACACCTTTCGAGCATCAAACCTTCCTCGTAGCCCAGCTGAGAGAATAGCAACTAAGCAGCAATTCCAGCTCCTCGACCTCATCCAGCCCTTCGACACGACTAAGCCGCTCGCGCTCCTGCGGTGGGAGGGAGCGCCAAATCTGACGGAGCGAGGAGGCACCTGCTATCACTGTACCGCTCAGACCAGTGACAGTGCCACTGGTGGAGCCGACACCTGCACTGCTTGCGTGGATTCGGTGTGAGGGTGTGAAGGCCGCTCGGAAGCGGTTGGCGTGAGAGAGTGGGGTGGGAAAGGCACGGGCGCCTTGCAGGGAGAGACCGCGGGTCTGGACATTCAGCAGTATGTGAGCATGTCAGTCAGAGCATATGGAAAGGTGTGATGCATGCTCATAACCATTTCTCACCTCGAGGTTGGCCAGCATGACCTTCCCAAACTTGCTCACATCCCCAGACCCCTCTGACTGCATCTGCTTCTGCTGCTGCTTTTCCCTCGTCTGCTGTTGGACAGAGCCCTCTCCAAGCACATCTCCTCCTTCCCCACCATCATCACCCGCAACGCACATCTCGTAGCAGATGCCGCGCACCTCTGACCCATACTCAATCTTACTGGCTATCCGCTTGAGTAGCTGAACAGAGGCTTCGGGAGGCATGTATGCCAGAACGCACTCTGCGAGGATCAGCGTGGGCGTGTCTGGATCAAGAGAGGCGAGAAGAGACTCTGCTTGTGCTCCAGGGGAGGAACCTGAGAGAGCGCGGAGATCACAGCTCTGTAGAGTATACTTCTGTGTATGCAGAGCTGGGCCTTCAGAGTTGCCTGAAGAGGACTCTGCCTGCGCCTGCGGGTCTAGAGGGGAAGCGGGATGCAGATGCTCTTGCAGGCGGGGGAAGCGCTGGATTGATGCGAGCTTCTTGGTGACTATTTGGGGAAAGTCTAGCTCGAGGTAGTGAGAGAGGTGCGGCGCTAAGCGGCTGTTCGACTGGTCGGCTCGAATGGGCAACACGTCTAGGTCAGCGGGTGAACGGCCATAGGATCCGACACGGAGCAGCTCACCATGATACGCCAGTAGCGAGCATCGCTCCCCGCTCCTACACTGATGATCTGTCTACCTTTACCCTTCCTCGCACTCGTCCCGTCCCTCGCCCCCTCTGCGTCAGCAAGTAAAAAGTCCTCTACCAACCGATCGATCATTTCGCACCTAAGGTAAGTGCCAATGTTGATGATCGGCGGTCGTCTCGTTACCGGCGGCGGGCCAAGGTGGCGAGGAAGGCTGCTAAGGGTGCTCCCGCCCGGTCCAGCGTGAGATGAGCTACCACTAGCGCTCGCAGGCCCATTCGTATGAGAGGGAGGAGGCATTGGCGCTGCACCTCCTCCTCCGCTGAACAGAGCCGACCAGATGTCTGTTTCTCTGTCTTGCCCCGCTCTTCTTGCTCCTGCTGAGCTCCCACCAGCAATCCCATTGTCTTGCTGACTTGTAGCAGAAGCGAAGTACCCCGCCTGTAGAGCGCTCAACCGACTCCCTAACGCATCCCCATCCGTGCCCCTAATCGAGTCATCTTCGTACTTCCGGCGCAGCTCCGCCCCACTGAGAGCTGGCTGAGCTTCCTCTCCATCAGCTCCTTCCCCCCTGCTGCTTTTGCCGTTGGAGGAAGAAGTTTTGTTGAGTAGTGTAGGCCGACCGCCCTTGGAGCGGGGTAGGCCGAGTGAGAGGGAGGGTCCGGGACGCGAAGAAGAGGAGGAGGAGGAGGGCTCGGCGTACGGGTCGCGTAGAGGTGCTGACATTCCGACGCAGGCTCTGTCTCCACAACGAGACTCAAGGGTACTAGCAGCTGGATACGAGCGAGGCAATGAAGATGTGATGAGGTGTACGAGGACCAGAAAGTGGGGACAAGTTCAAGAAGCTTTGGCACCTCGCAGCGGAAAGCGGACCAGGGCGGAGCCACACCACCTCCACCCGACGAAATCTGGGTGCAGGTCTCAGAGTAGGTTCCATGCCTGCCTTCGCTTTTGTGAGGGGACCGTCAGTCCTTCTGATCCACGCCGATCAAAGAGGTGTGGTCAAGTGTCATAACATCTCTACAGGACACTCGACATTGGGCCACGGTGAAAGGGAAACAAGCTACTGACGGGAAGGAGCCGATGATAGACAAAGAGGAGGCCGAGGTGTGTATGACCCCTTATCAAAGTCTGCAAGACGCTACCATGTCCAGTTTTCATGGCCTAGGCATCCAACGAGCCCGCTCATACGACCTTCTCAGTTGGCCACAAGAGCCCACCTCTGCCCCGCGTCCATCCTCTCCTTGACCTCCATCTGACCCAATTCGCCCTCCACGCCAACATCTTCATCTCCCCTCTCATCACCCATCAAATCCTCATACGGGTGCCAGACGTCCTTCTTGCTCAGCTTCACTCGAGAAGTGTGAGGATTGATGGCTTCGTCTACCTTCTTACCCAGTTCGGCGGCAGTTTGAGAGATGATGCTGGCGCGGGAGCGAAGAGTGTGGAATTGCCCCTGCGGCTGAGGTGGGTACTGGGAGGTGCTCACAGTTTGATCCTGACTTTTCCCCTCTTCCAGTATACCGTGCAGGCTCTGTGGTGGTCCAGAAGAGAAATGTTGCCGCATATCCATCCGGAGCGGTGAAAAGTGGACATCGCTTAGGCGCTTGAGATCAGCATGCGCCTCCTGGCTCGATGCACTAGCCTCCAGCCCTTCCTGGAGTGCCTTGAAGACCTCCTCGGCTGATCGCTTCTCTTCCGGATCAGCGCTATCGCTCTTCAGAGCCGCATAGTAGGCGTCTGCCTTGGCCTGGTCAAACTTCCTGCCAACGACGCCCAGCTTGCCCGCAGTCTCGCTGAAGACCAGCAGACCGAGGATGATATTGTACGCAAGCAGAAACTCGAGATTGTTCCAATCCTCACCTCCCAGAGGCAGCAGGGCGAAACCGGCCGAACAGACCAAGCGGAAGGCAATTCTAGCCCGCTGAGACCAATACGCGCTGCCTGCTATGTCGAGGTTGCGGTGCAAGAGGCCGATGATAGCCATGCAGAGCATCGCGACGGACATGCTGGCAGCGTAGAACCATCGGTAGCCCATCTCCGACGACGAATTCTTGACAAGTCGCGGAATTGAAGACGAGAGAAGAATGAGAGCTGCGCAGAGGGGATAGTGCAGCAGTGAAAAGGTGATTGCTGACCAAGGGTTGACTCGAAGTGCGTGAAGGAAGGTGCGGGACGCATCACCTGAAGGCGCAAGAGCAGGTCAGCGAGGAAGGTCAACAAGGCACTGCAACTATTACCGTCTACGATCTGAGGGCTACTCACAGTCAAAGTAGATCCAGACGAGATAGAAGCTATTGATGACACTCAACGAGGCCCGCAGCAACTGCGTCGACAATCCGTAATGCTCGTGCGTCGCAACAAAGGTCGAGTTCAAGATGCACTCGCCGGTGACCAAGACGACAAACAGCACTGTGAAGAGGCAGTGAAGGATGCGTCAGTAGGAGGTAGAAATCGTTTCGAAGGCAGTGAAGACGGCACCACTCACCTGTCCTCTCCGCAATATGTTCCACACTCTGGGCAGGAATAAAAATCGGCTTGCCCTTGCGCTTGTAGTAGCGATGCACGCGCTGCAAGAGCCCATTGATGAGATACTTGCTGAACAGGTCGATGATAATCCCCGCGACGATGATTGCGCAGATCCATCCCGGGTTGTATATGAAGGCGAGCGGGAGGTAGGTGCAAGCCAGCAAGAAGATGGGTACCATCTCGACCCAGAGTGCGGTGCGAAACTTGGGCAACATTAGGCCGTACACGAAGTGCACCATGAGCTTGAGCACCTTGGCACTCAAGTAGAAGGCGATAGACGAGTAGACGGCTCGGTGGTAGCCTTCGGCGAACCAGTAGCCTGTGTTGCCAATGGCCTCGACGAGGACTGGCCTCTCGGAGTGACCACCTTCTTCAGCACGTCGGCTCAAGGATCGCAACCCGTATTCGGCAGCGAGAGCCACGGCTCTTTTGGCATCGATTCCGCCAGACTCAGCCGTCAGGGCATCTGCAGCACTGACACTACCATCGGCCCCGAGTTCTTGATTGTGAGACATCAGAATCGTCCCTGCGTGTGCTGGGAAGATCAGAATTCCCGCGGCATTGGAAGTGTAGCCGACGAGGATGAGCATGATCACCAGTACGTACAAACGCTGGAAACAGTCGTCCGTACCGCTCATGTTGAGTTGTCGCCTCATGTCGGACCAGATGGAGAAGGCTGGGTAGAAGACTAGGACAAACTTCGCCACATTCAAGGCAGTAGCTGCTCCCTCTTCGGCCAAGCCATCGGCGAGTTGGTGAACGACGCCCACGAAGAGCAGGTCTGAGAAGAGCTCGAAGCGAGAGGACTGGCGCTCGTCCTTCTCTCGGTAGTAGTTGCCATTGTAGAGCCACTGGCGAACGACGGGTCGTTTGAAGAGATGCTTGAGCTGGATAGGGTCTTGGTCATCCATGACTTTCTGTGAGGAGAGACGACAGTAAAGAAGAAGGTTCAGACTCGACGACCTTGTCGACACTTGATCACCTTGCTCGTCTGCCAGACTGGAACTTACCATGTGCTGATGTTCACCTGATCCCTTCTTCTTTCGTGCATGTGCAAGCTCAAAGATGGCCTGTTCATCAACAGCATTCTGCCTTCCTTGAGCCTGTGATGCTCCCCCCTTCCCAACGCTAGCAGCATTCGTTCCCAGCAACCTCTCCGAGGAGTCACCCGAATCATCGCGCCTCCTGTGCGTTCTGTCCGTCTGGCCAGTGGCAGAAGACATGTTTGTCAGTGGCAAGCTGGGAACGTATGCGGTTGCAGCGTGGAGTTGAGGACGGGGACGGTCGATGAGTGGGATAGCTGTAGCTACTGGACTTGGGCTTGGCTCTGCAGGTGGAGATGAAGAGGTACTCAAGTCTGCGCTCGTCATGGGAATAGGACTTGATCTCCTGATGGGGGCAATGTCTGCACCGCCACCCTCTTGTACTTCGACAGTCGCACCATGACCGTGCCCGTGACCGTGTCCGTGAATATGGAAGTGACTCAGCGCGTGAGGGTGACTTCGGTGCTCCGCGGTGGGCAAGTTGGGATCCGGGAGTGAGTCAACATCATGGAAGCCTGGATGGGAGACGTGGCGGTGATCTCCATCATCGTGGCGCTCGCGGTGCCGGAAGCGGTTGCTATTGCGAGTACCGTCATCCGACCTGAGGCCGAGGGGATCCATGTTCTCGGCCGTCCCTAGGGTTGTGCTCGTGTGTAGTACGGGTACACTAGCGACACCGGAAGCAAGGAGTGAAGGGGAAAGGATAAGCAGCCACAAGTCGCAGGGAGAAGTATTTGGCAGAGGAGAGGAGAAGGATGATCACAAAGAGCCATTCGACTTCTTATAAGTCATTACTTGCCGTCGACTTGGACTTGCGCCCGCGTCACGTCGCGCCTGCTTTGCTTGAATGCAAGTCACTTTCGATTGCTCCTTTGCCTGGAAACAGTGTCAGGCACAAGTCCATGCGGCACATTGGCGGACAAGGCCGTCAGCAGACTTCTAGGTGGGATACAGCGCGAAGAAGAGAACAAGCGCTGAGCAGTGACACTCTGTAAAGGCATCTGGGACGCAAGGTATGAAGGGAAGCAAGACTGCAAATCACATCCAAACACTGGTGGGACGAGGAATGTGCCATTCAAGAAATGCATCGTACCGCGTTGCCCTTTTGCTCGAACATCTCAGCCAAACGTCAAGAAAGCTCATCTAGTGCGCCTCTCTCCTCCTGGGGGCAGCCTTGAGGATACTGTCCGTCCTGAGAATCAACTCGCTAGCCTCGCTGGCGCTCAACACCACCTGCCTCTTCAGCTTGTAGCTCTCTGTCACTCCACGCTCCAGCATCGATGCCACCTTGCCCTCGTCCAAATTCAGTCCGGCGTCTGTCTGGCCTTCTTGATGTGCTGCGCGTAGGCGCGCAACCAGGTCAGACGAGTCCAGTCCTGCGTTGGACGCCAGAATTGTAGGCAACTGTGGGTGCAAGATATTCCGGTAGGTACAGCGGTCAGCTTCCACAACTCACTACTGAGCCCACGCACTTGCGCAACAACTCACCTGCCTCAGAGCCCGTGCGAAGCTCTCTACGGCAATGGCCTGCTTGCCAGGCGTCCTCCTCGCCAGCTCGTCGACCTTCTTGCTCATGGCCATCTCTGAACATCCACCTCCGAGCACAGTCCTGGTCTCCTTGACCGTCTGCGAAAGCACACACAGAGCATCGTGTAGAGACCGCTCGGCCTCGTCCACCATTTGGGTAGTGGCACCACGAATGACCACAGTGCAAGCCTCACCAGCTGCTACACCTGAGAATTTGATCAGCTGAAAGAAGGGGCCAGAATGACGCCGGAGAGTCAGTATACCTTTCCGTCGCTTAGTTCGCTCTGCTATACCCGTTTCGGCTACTCACTCGGTCTTCTCCAATGATGACCTCTTCGATCACATCACACTTGCCCAGCTTCACCAGCTCAGGGTGATCAAAAGTCGATGCAATCTCTCCTCCAGTCACCAAACTGAGCCTCTCCACACCCTCAAAGTCGGCATGTTCGATGGACATGATCCCAGCGTCTGCTAGGATAGACTCTGGGTAGTTGTAGATGAGCTGCCTGTTGATGAAGCAGTTGATGCCGTGCGCCTTGATCCTCTCCACCTTTGCCTTCATCTTTTCCCTTTCTGCCCGCTCTAACTCGGCCAGCTTGCCAGTACCATCCACCCTCACTCTTGCTCCAAAGACTTTGATCTTGTCTGTGTCCATCGAGGTATTGGCGATGAGGATCTTTGCCTTCTCCATGCGCTTGGGGCAATTTGTACCGATCTTCTTGTCGAGGATGAAACCTTCGTCGAGGTATGAGTCTGTCAATTTGCCTCCCACCTTCTTGATGATTTGGATGTTCTCGAGATTGGTCGAGCCCTTGAGACGCAATACGGCATCTACTGCGAGGTTGGCAAAGTAATCCTTGTCGGCCGACAGCACCTTGGAAGACAGCGTTGTGCGTGCAATGTTCATGAGGTCTTTCCGGAAAGCTGTGGCATCCGTACTGAAACACGATGCAATGGCAGCGTTGTGTGTCAGTCTGACAGGCTACACTGCTGAGCGCCCCTATATGCCCCGCTCCTACTCACCCATGATCCTGAGCAGCCTCGTCCAATGCCTGCAGTGCTGCAGTGCTCGCCAACCTGTACCCCTCTACGATTGTCTGTGGGTGAATCCTCTGCTCGATCAACTTTTCTGCCTCCCTCAAGAGCTCTCCTGCCAGTACGCAGACGGTTGTGGTACCATCTCCAACTTCATCGTCTTGGGTCTTTGAGATGGAGACTAGAATCTTTGCAGATGCATTGTCAAGGGGGATGGACTTGAGGATGGTTGCGCCGTCGTTTGTGACTGTGATCTCTGATGTTCCCACAGACTGGATGAGTTTTGACATCCCCTTGGGTCCGAGTGTGGTCTTGACCAGGTCAGCAAGGGCGGTGGCCCCTACGAACGAGGAGAGTCGAGCAGACTCGGATCGCTCTTGTGAACCCTGTCAGGCGCAGAGGTATAGTTGCGAAGGGTTTACAAGGGCGTCAGTACGGTCAATTGATGGTCAAGATCCTCTTGTGCCATACGTTGCGACTCTACTGACCTCGTTTGCGAAGATCTGAGCGGACATTGTGTGTGAGTTGGTATAGGTGACAGGATGACCTCGGGAAGAAGAAGTGCGCCTCTGCTCGGAATCTCAAAGACCAACGCCGCCTTGGCTGAGTCTTGTGCGTGTCTCCACTGGACTGCCTGCGCGGTGTGGTGGCTTGGCCGTGTGTGTGTGCGCCGTGCGTGTGAGCGTCGCGCCGCGCCTGAGCCATCGGCCGTACCTCAAGGCGATGCATCCGCTCAACCTACCTTGGATCGTAGACGCTATCATCCCATCGCCATCGCCATCTGGTACCCCCTCACTCGCCAGGCCTTGTTTCTCATCTCGTGCCTCTCCCCTCCGCGGTCCATCTTGTATCCTCTTCCCCTCGTCCTCGACCTTTCCTACCCCTGACCCGACGCGTACCACATTGGCAAGTCTCGCCATGATGTCGCTCCCTACTCGAATGGCAGCCTTCCACTTGCGAGCCAGCGCCGGCCGCGTGATCTCGTCGTCATACTCTGCCTCTCCCATGGCACTCAACGTCGTGCCTCGATCCATGCTCCTTGCATCCACCTACGCTTCGCACTCGACGGCCACTCCCCTCCTCCGCGGCTACGCTACCGCTGCGCAGACTGCAAAGAAGACGGTCACCGCAGAGGCAAAGAAGGCAAAGACCGCCGCAGCCAAGGAGAAGGAGAAGCTCAAGCTGGCTGCACAGAAAGAGAAGGACAGGCTCAAGGCCGTTGCGCTCAAGGAGAAGGAGAAGTTGAAGATCGCAGCCGAGAAGGAGAAGCTGGCAAAGCGCAAGCAACTGGAGAAGGAGAAGGCGCAGGCGCTCAAAGAAAAGATCAAACCCTGGGATGCTCTGGACGACCAAGGCAAGAAGTGTGAGTGAAGCATTGTAGGGTTTTGGTTTATACCTCTGGCGCAGTGAGCTCACCTCTTCTCTTTACCCCCACTTCGTATTTGCCAGTGCCTCTCCCCACTGCCTCTCGCCCGAAGCGCATGCTCCCTTTCATCTTCTACGTCAAGGAGCGTCTTCCTCAGCTGAAGAATGACCCTGAGTTCTTGGCCAAGCATGGTGTTGCCTCTGGAGCCATTCCCGCCCACGTCTACGCGCGTAGCGTGGGCGATTCGTGGAAGGCCCTGAGCGATGCGGAGAGGGAAAAGTACTTCGAGGCCTACCGTAGCCACGACGTGGGATACAGGAAGGCATTGGCAGAGTGGGAGGCTGGCCTCACGGAACAGGACCGACAGCGAATCTCGGCTTACAACCGCTACATCAGATCGCACCCCGAGCTCAAGGGCCGCGCTACAAAAGTCCCTGCAGTCGAAGGCCAACCCCAAAGGCCTCTGAATGCCTTTATGAGATTCGCTCGTCAATGGCGTCAAGACAACCCGGACCAAGCCAAGATACCCGTTTCGGAGATGGCCAAGAGAGCTGCCGAGGCGTGGAAGAATGTAGATGCAGCGCAGAAGGAATCGTACGAGAGTGCAAGCAGGGCCGAGGGAGAGGCATACAAGAAGGCTGTTGAGCAGTGGAAGCAGCAGACAGGAGCTGTGAGCATCTAAGAATCAGTGGGTGGATATCCTGGCTCCGAGGAAAGCAATGGGAGGGAAGAGAGGCTGCACGTGAGCGCATCTCTGCAAGTGGTGGGACTGGCAGGCAGCCTGGTCCAAAAGAGTCAAAGTGGGCGGTATATGATGTATACTTCGCGGCGCAGAGCTTCGAATGTCCCTCGAAGGCTACCCAATCCCACTACTCGTACCCCATTGTCGTCTGCTGTGACTGCTGCTGGCTACCTGGTCATGCTGAGATCTTGCCCTGCCAGAGCGTGTACGGTGTGGATGTGTGCTTCTGCAAGTCTACGCGCCTCGCGAGTGGCGTCGTCTTTCCGCTTTGACGTGCGCCTCGCGAAACACGCCGGGCCGCACCCAGGCACACAATCACCAAAACCCCTCTTACACCCTCTCCTTCCATATCTGATTCCCGTACAGTCCATGACAGACAAGGTCGATTGGAGCCAAGGTCAAACACCTGCGCCTTCAGCCTTACGTCTTTTTCCTCCTTCCCACTCGCCGTTCCCGGTCGGTAGACGTTGATTCACCCACTGGAAGACGGGAAGACGCCGCGCCACCACCCTCCATCATGATCTTCATTCCCTTGCCCAAGACGGCTACCTCTCCCCTTCCTCCTCCTTCACGATCACCCTTGGCAGATAGTAGTTCTAGCACTTCAGGAGCAGGAGATGGCATTACAAGAAGACGCTCACGGCGTCCCTCGAGCAAAGCACAGCAGAGCAGCTCCGTCTCTCCCTCCGCTTCTTCACGAGCGTCCACCTCTGTCAGCCGCGAAGGGTCAGCCGCGGCTAATGCTACTGCCAGCTCTGTGAATACTTCTGCTCGATCTACTCCAGAAATCAGTGTACCGCCTTCGGCTGTGGCGAGTGCTGCTGTGCAGAGGGATCTGGCTAGGGTGTGGGAGGCAGTCAGTGATTCAAGGAGGATAGTCGTCGTATGTGGTGAGTAGCTGACCGATGTGTAAGGGGGTAGAGCGGGGTCCTTCAGACACTCACCTCTTGCTTCGGATGTGTCATGATTATCTCGATCTCCTTCCAGGAGCGGGCATCTCCGTCTCGCAGCCTGCCGGCATTCCAGACTTTCGCTCCTCTACCGGTCTCTTCAAGTCTCTCAAGGAGCAGCACCCCGAGGCTGGCCTTACCAGCGGAAAGGACCTCTTTGACGCCCGACTCTTCCAGTCAGAAGCAAATACTGCTCTGTTCTACTCTATGATCGCTTCGCTACACAAGATGACTGTCTCGGCGCAGCCTACCCTTTTCCATCACTTCCTCCGATGTCTTGATGAGCAAGGGCGGTTACAGCGCGTGTACACGCAGAATATCGATGCGCTCGAGGAGAGGGCCGGGCTGACATTTGGCCTGGGAGAGGGAGCAGGAAGGCTCTTCAAAAAGACCGCCAGTCTAGGCAAGAGGAAGCGGGCTGCCGGAACCGGTGTAGCTGTGAAGGTCGAAGCTGAGGACCAGACGCTTCCCGCAGGCAGACGGAGAGCTACCTGGAGCAAGAGTCAAAGTGCACCAAGCGTATCGCTCGCGCCTTCGCCTAGCCTCTTTGGTCCTTCACCAGAACCGACGACGGCCATGTTCCCACGAGTCATCCCTCTGCACGGCTCACTGGCGAATCTCGTCTGTACAGCTTGCGATCATAAGATGGCCACTCTCCCCACACCTTCTGAAGCAGTAGCCACCGCTATTCAATCGCTCGCAGACGGCGAACCGCCCGAGTGTCCTGCTTGCTCGGAGAGAGATGCAGTGCGTCTCGCAGCAGGTCTACGGTCGCGCGGTATCGGGTTCCTCAAGCCAGATGTGGTACTCTATAACGGCGACAACAAGTCAGGAGAGAGGGTGGGAGAGTGTCTTGAGAGAGATGTATTGGGATTGAGAGATCCTCTCGATGGCAAGGTGCCTGAGACTACCAACGAACGACTCGTTAGGAAGAGAAGGGCCGAGAAAGAAGCCGAAAAAGAGAGGTCTTTCGCCATCACTGAAGAGGAAGAGGTCAGTCAGTCAATGCTCAGCGTCGGTGGACTGCTAGGGGGAGGAGGCGATGATGTACTAGGCAAGGTCTTCGAAGAAGACGAACAAGACGAGGAGGAGGAAGAGGGCAAGATGGCCGACAGTCTGGCCGATTGCCACGTCTCTGGACCCAAGCCGCGGCCTCGCAAGGGGATCCAGCGAGCGGTGACCCAGCCGACTCCAACGGCGATGATCAAACAAGCAAGCACGACTTCCTCCGACGGCGGCGCTAGTACTGCCGGTGGGACTCCCACCAGCAGGAATGGCAAAGCCAAGCTCAAGCCTCTACCCCCAGATCTGCTCATCGTAGCTGGTACATCCCTGAAAGTGCCAGGTACCAAGCGCGTGGTGCGAGAATTTGCCAAGGCAGCTCGAGCTAGAGACGGCATCGTGCCCAAGGGATGCAAATCTCGGCACAATGCCTCTGCCAACGACAACCGTGAAGGCTCCAACACCCCTTCCTCTCGCTCTCGATCCCGCTCACGCATATCACCGGGCGAAGTAGATTCGGACAGTGACGCTGATTCAGACTCGGATGAGGAAGGTGCCCGCGAAGACGGTAGCAATCCACACCGCCCAATCCGGACCGTACTGCTCAACTACGACTTCCCAGTCCCCTCCAAGGAATGGGAGGGCATCTTTGACGTATGGATTCAAGGCGATGTGCAAGCTTCTGCTGGTGGGTTGTGGAAGGCTGCGCAGGGCTTTGGGAGGGGACGACCCGTCGGCGCTGGGGACGACTCGGAGGAGGAGGACGCAAAGGATGCTGCTGCGGGGGAAGAGGCGGAGAGTATCGAGGGCTGCGAAGGGTGGCATGTGGGCATGGATCAGCTGGACGAAGCTCGTGAAGTAGCCAAGAAGAACGGCAAGCTGGCTAGAGTCAGCAAGCAAGCCTTCACCGCAGGAGAGGACAAAGATTTCCTTTCACCACCACTCAGAACGAGCAGTGCGAAGAGCACTCGTCGAGTCAGCTCTACAGCTACAAACGGGCTTTCGGCTTCAGCAGGAGGCCGAAGATCACCCGCCGCAGGGACTTCTGCCACCTCGCGTCTCAAAGCCCTCAAGGAGGAAAACGCATCCTCGGCCGCTGCTGCCGGGTTTGGGGAAGGAGAGGATGTGGATATGACCGAGACGTCGATGGACTATAGCGACGGTAGCTCCCCAGTGATCAAGGTCACACCTGCTGCTTCACCGCAGAAAGGACGGGTGGGACCCAAGAGTCCGCAGAAGCCCAAGGTCGCTAAAGTTACCAAAGCAGCAAGCGGGACTAGTACACTGAAGCGAACCCCATCGCTCAAGTCTGCAGCTGCTAGGAAGACACTGGCGGCAAATGGGAGCGATGGCTCTGCCATTGCCGCTGCTACAGCCACTACCCTTGCGTCAGATGTCGCCCCCTCAACCAGCAAAGGCAAAGCAGAGAGCAACAAGTCTGCCAATCAGGGCCAGGTGGATAAAAGCTTCACTGCCGTCAAGCGACGAAATTCGATGCCCAACACGTCCACCTCCACTTCCATTGCAGGGACCACTGCTGGCAAGACCAAGGCTGGAGCCGGCAAGGAGGGCTCAGCAGCAGGTGCAGGGGGAGCAGGAGGGAGTAAGGTGGCGCGAAAGCCCTCGGTTGGAAGACCGAGGAAGAGTGTAGGCGGGTAGACTACCGCTGCATCATCTCGCACCTGAGAAAAAGTGGGAAGCACCCTCGATACTCTACTTGCAACCTCTGTAATGTCCTCTGGCGGATCTGCTCGCGTTTCTTCCTCGTACTAGACTTCTTCTATCCCAGGATCGGATCGTCTCCACCTACTCTCCATGCCATGCCTCACCTCTTGTCAATGCCCCATCCAAGACGTCTCTGCGAAACCTGCAATGCATCGATCGCGTCACTTCGAGCCATTCAGTCTGTCCAGCGCATAGCGTGATCCGCGGAACAACTGTGAAGTTAAGAAAAGACATCGATTGTACCTCTGCATGCCCCTTCTCTGCTATCATACAAGTCCCTCACCTCCTCTTGCACTTTCCCTCCCTTCACTCCCCCAATCCAAGCCCAACCCTATACCCAACCCAAGCTCCCCAATTCTCCCACGTCTCCTCAGCCATACTCCTCAATGCCTCCTCTCGCCTCTTGTCAATAGCCCTAATACGCTCCCTGATCACCCTTCCACCAGCCTCTGCGCGTGTGAGGCTCTGTAGCTTACCAAGGAGATGGTACGAGCGGAAGATGGGCTCGTCCCATGTAGAAGTCTCGTCGGCGTAGAGATCGATGAGGGCATTGAGTGTGGCGAGGAGGGGGAGGATTTCGCTTGGTTGCGAAGCACTGCCAACACCAGCACCAGCGGAGGAGGGAGAAGTGTAGAGGGCAAGTATGGAGAGGAAGCAATCTGCTGCGAACTTGTTCCTCTCCAATAAAGAAAGCTGCTGAGCCCCTGCATCAGCAATGGCCAGGACGGGGATGCGGGCGTGGTAGGCCAAAGTGGAGATGATGAGCGAGGCTGCTTGTGCCGCATGTGCGCCCTCTGGGCCTTTATAGCTCATCATGGTCATTAGAGGAGTCGTAAAGATCCTTTCTATGTCCGACTGGCCGTCCTGGCCTCCGCTCAGCGAGATAGGCAGCACTTCAAGGCCTTCGTGCATCACCACGAGGGCATTCAGACTTGTCCAGATCGGCTGAGCAACCGCACTCGACCATTGCGCGGCTTCGGGAGCGGCGCCTGGAGCTGCGAGAGCAGTCTGCACCCGTTCGGCCCATGGCATCAGGCCGCTCCAAACCATTCTTACGCTCTCACTCTGCTCTGCGACCCACTTTTGGAAGAGGCGCACCTGGCGCTCTTTCCTGGAGCCCTCCTCGAGCGGGTGTGTCGGAGGTGGCTGTCCGTAGGACGCGATAGCCGAAAGCAGGCTCGCTAATGTGCTATGACTTGCAAGAGTGAAGTCCCTTGAGGAAAGGGAAGTTCCAGTGAATTCGCTCTCGACTGCTGCTTGAGCAGACAGGATGTCCAGAATCGCAGCAGCGACTTTGTGGTGTACGAATAGGGTCGAGTAGGGTGACTCCCACTTCCTTCTGCTACCGCCGCTACCATTCTTCGACTTGGACGGTGTCCCGTTCACATTGGAAGGCTTGCTAGCGCTGACCTCCATTGAGAGGTCTCCATCGTCGTCTTTGCCTTCGCTTGCGCCTGCGCGGTCCGCTTCTGTGAGCATGAGCATCTCCTGCTCCTGCTCTGAGTCCAGCGTATCTTCGCTTCCCTCGCGGTCCCCGTCATCGTCTTCTTCCATGTCTTCGCCATCATCTTCGGAGTCGCCATCGCCTAATGTTGAGCCAGGGAGTAGAGATACGTCCTCAGATCCGGCCTCTGTGCAAATCTCGCCCAGCAGCTCCATCGCAAGAGTCATTGTGTCCACCTTTCGTGTAGTCAAGGACGAGGCAGGAGCATCCTCACCCTCATCCTGGGCGTCCTCCCCATTGCCATCACGCTGGACATCAACGTCCATGCCACTCTCGGCCTGCAGCTTTTGCTTCTCCTCTCCTCCGCTCGCTAAAGACGACTTCGCGCTCGCCGTCCAAAGCTGGGACGAGCCATTGTTGTTGAGGAACTGCAGGAGCAGAGGGGTGGCTTCGCTGACCTGCCATTGCATGAGTGTCTTGCAGCTGGAGGTAGCCGAAGCCGGTGCAGGGACCCATGCGCGAATGGCGGCGGGTAGGGCCGTCAGAATGTTTGAGCAAGAAGCGAGAGCTAGCAGTCCAAGGTTCAAACGCTGCACGTCCTCTGGGGAGCTCATCCTGGTGGTGCTGAGCAGACTGGCAGCCGAGGCCATTTGGTCCAGTCTCGCTTTGCCTGCGCTTGCTTGCTTGCTTGAGATTGACCCGAACTTGTCCAAGATCGTCTCGAGCCTTTTCCTGCTCTTGGTACCCGGCGCACTGCTGTTGCCTCCTTGCTCAAAGGCCACTACCTGCTCTGCTAAGTCTACGGGAAGCCCGACGAGCGAGGCGGAAGCGGCCGCATTGTCCTCGATCCAGGTAGCCAAGACATTGGCTGCTGTAAGAGCTACGTCAAGCTCGGCGTTCTTGATCTCGTCTCGCTCCTTCTGCGTGATCTTGCCGGTAGAAGAGGCTTGTCCGGTGTAGGCACTGGCCCCACGAGCGATAGCGGAGCACAGCAGGCCACCGAGGATTGACTTGTTGAGCTGTGTGAGCCAGAGCGGAGAAGTGACTGTCTCAAGCAGACACCAGATGATGGTGAGATGATTCTCGAGCAGGCTCAAATGCAGGAGATGTAGGTCGTGCGCATCGGCTTCGGCTGCTGCCGAGGCAGGTGTAGCGATTGCAGGTGCCACAGAATCTGGTGTGGCGGCAGCGCCTCCGCTGGTCTTGTTTGCCTTGGCTGCCTGTCTACGCTCTTTCCTGTTCATCTCCTCTGACTTTTTGGCGGCGCCGACCGCCTCGGGAACAGTCTGAGAGACTACCTGCGCTCGATCTGTCTTTGGCAGCAGCCCTAGCTCTTCAGCAGCGTACTGAATCTGAGCGAGAGCTGTCGCGCCGCCTCCCAAATTCCATACCTGCTCCCTGCCGCTCCATTGACCCTCTACACAGAGGTTGCGAAGACATCCAGCGGCTTCCTTGCGGACCTCTAGCCGGTGGTGGTCGAGGTGATGAAGCAGGCGCTGCAAGAGCATGTGCTTCGGCGCTAACAGCGCGACCCTGGATGTCTTTGTAAGGAGCAAAGGGTTGAGAGACAAGAGCGCCCTGTGGACCTTTTCATCTTCTTCAAGCGACACAGGCGCTGAGGGAGACGATGTGAGGGGCAGGCTGTTGATGACTGGGATGACATCCTCCTGCTGTCCCAGCTGTGAGCTATTGCTGGCGACCGCTGCACTGCCAGACGCAGTCGTTGTCCGAGCTATAGGGTTGTGCCTACGCAGCTTCTTCTGCTGTTGCTTCGGCGTGAGCTTCGGCATGATAGTTGAGATGTAGAGGTGTGACTGATGACCAGCGGTAGTCAATTTGTAGGAGAAAGAAGAAGCTGCAATATTCCGGCTTCCGTCTGTGGTCTTCGAAGTCCAAAAATTGTCGGAACGGAAGCCTGACCTTGCGATCTGCGCCTCTCCACAAGCGCTTCCGGGACGGGGTACGAATCCAGGCACACACCAAAAGGGGCCCCGGCCGCTCGTTGCTCTGATACGCAACTCCCTTTGTCGCCCCTCAACCTCCCTACAATCTCCACCAGAGCCTCAAGACACGATGAGGATCGCCTCCAAGCGGCTCGGTCGAGAGCTGGCCGACTTGAAGGCCAACGGGCCGCCCGAGGGCTGTGTCATTGTGCAAGCAGATGATCTCTCCACCTGGTTCTTCAGCATAGAGGTCCTAGGGGAGTCGGTCTTCAAAGGCGAGAAATTTTGTCTCCGCCTGAAGTTCTCTGATGGGTATCCTATCGAAGCACCTGAGGTCACGTTCTTGGTCCAGGACGGTTGGAAAGCACCAGAGGTAAGTCGCCTCTTTCCATAGCGGCGTAGCTCAGCCATCCTCTAATTAGATACTTATGCGTCTGTCTGTCGACCGCTCTTGTACTCTCGACAGGCGAGCCACTGCTACTCGAACGGCCACATTTGCCTCTCTATCCTCGGAAATGAGTGAGTACACAAGGCTGAGATTCGGTCATTGTTGCGGGCCCACAATGCCGATCTGACATTGTTGCATTGCGTACTTCTTGCCCAGATGGAGCCCGGTACTAAATACCTCAAGTATTCTGCTCAGCGTTCAAAGCATGCTCGCTAGCTGCAAGGTATGTCTGTACGCCATCGGCTGGTCTCTTTTGCGATCTTCACGTCTGACAATCTCACCTCGCTGCCCAATGCCCAATCTTGATACCCCTCCGATCCCCACAGAAAAAGGAAAGGCCACCCGACAATGATCGCTACGTTAAGCATGCACCTCTCAGCCCCAAGGATACAACATTTGTCTATCATGATGACACTGTCTGAGGTTTCTGCTCATACAGTCGGCTTTCAAGGCAATTCAGAAGGTCTATGTCACGCTCTTGCGGAAGGGAGTGATTAATTCAGACATCAGGCGCCCTAGGCTGGCAAAAGGAGGATGGTCGATTCACCGTGACCTTGCATAAGGCTCTGCTCTATTCAGCGCTTTCCGGCATTCAAAGAACCTATTAAGCGCTTACACAGGAGGGTTACTATTGGATCTTGATTCGAATGGGATGCACCTAACGCTCCACTTTTTTATGATCTTATGAAAGGGCGTCAACGAATCAGCAAGAAGGACAGTCGGAGAGCTCATGGCGATTGACGATGGGGTCCAAGTCAGTAAATCAGAGCGTCAGAGGGCGGCCAGACATCAGCTACGAGTTCAGCAGGGATAAGGCGGGTGATGGAAAGTTATTTCGAATGACTCCCGGCTCCAGTGTATGACCGTATACTACAGGTCGACGCTCGTGGCAGCAATGACGAACGATACCAACCCTGCTACGGTGCTCTTCAGCTCACACGCTCGCTGTCAAGATGCTTCTGTCCTATCAGTCATGCAGCTTTATTTCAAGTCTTGTCCACAAGGCGCTCGGCGACTGAAGTATCCGACTTTTTCTTTGCGTGAAGTGTATGACCAAGATCCACTACAGCATGTTCGACAGCTGCAGTCTCTGTGCGATTATATTACATTTTGCTCGCCTTCCCGTTGACGCATTACTCCGAGGCCACTCCAGCGTTACATGACTCGGTACGCAGGCGGAAACACTGTTTGACTGTTGCATTCCACAGACGTCGGGTTGTCAGTAGACGGGCAGATCAAACAAGCACGCTGCTGATGATGCTACTCACTACTGCTCAACGAAGACTTTCATGCCTTTACTGCTCTCTCTTACAGTCTCTCGTTTTGTATCTCTCGGAAGTGCCTTGCGCATGTCTAAGCACGGCGATACATGCATAGCGAACAGGAGAAGAAGTGCCTAGCCGTTAGCATACGTATCTGTGTCTGGCCACTTGCCAGACCTTGTCGATGCAACTAAAGCTCATAAGCGTATCCCCAATCACTCACCATATCCATCCTCGTCTGACCCGCCCGGCCCACCTCCCTGATAGTACTCCTTGACTACCCTGTGCACAGCATAATCTAAACTCTGATATAGTCCCACAGCTAATGCATTCGAAGGACGGACGAAGAGGTCTATGAAGTAGGCCTGGCAGTAAAATGGTGAAAGAATGAAGAGGTCAATGCTTCTCCCCTTGGCTGGCATTAGCAGAGCGCGCGTCCTTCACTCACACTATACATCAGGCTACTGGCCTCCTCCAGCAGACCCATCAGCTCCCTCGCTAGACCTAACCGTCGAAATTCAGGGCCAACAGTGACTGCCGTGACATGTCCATGTCTCTCCTTCTCCTTGGTCCCTCCAGCCCCGTCTATTCCTTCAGCCTTACCAAAGAGGTACCCCATGATTTGCGTATCGCCGCCTCCTGCTCTTCCTACTGCGCCATCAGAGCTCGCAGTCGACTCTGAGCATGAGGCGTGAGTGGAGACGAAGCAGAGATCAGGCCAGGTGGCTAGATAGTTGAGGTAGTAGGCGGTGGAGTAGGTCTCGGTAAAGTGGTCTAGATTGACTCGGTTGAAGTGGAAGAGGTCGGTGCATTTGAAAGGGCGAAGGCGCGACATGGTAGTGGAAACCAGGAGCTTCTGCCCGAGAAGAGTGTGAGATCAGAAGCCTGGCTGCTGCTCAAGACCCAAGAAGGAGTGATACTGGTCGTATGCAGTCTAGTCTAGCAGATGGAAGATCAGCTGCGACCTCGACTTGACTTGCTCCCTTTCCGCGACCTCCACCCCGCATCCCAAATTCCACTCTTCACGATTCGCGAACACGACGGCACACACGAGATCAGTTACAGTATAGCTATTGTCGAAGTCGAATGGGGGCAGAAAGATAGAGTCCGAATGTACTGGAATCGAGTGAGTCGAGACTGAAGCACGTTGAGCGAAAATAGGGACAGAAAAAAATGGACAAGTGATAAGAAGCGAAAGGTGGAGAGGCGCATTCGCGGCGACGTTCGCCTGATAATGTGCTCGTCTGCAACAGAGCAAGCAGCCCGGGAGGGGTAGAAGCCAAATGGAGTCCAAAAATGCTGTGGGCTATTGTGATCACCTCAGAACATGGTCTGGAAGGCATCTGCAAGGTCTTGGCTCGGAGACTTTGGAATTGATCGGCCATTGACGCCGACGCCCTGCAAGGATACGACAAAGCAAGAGAAGTTGTCAGCCTGAACGGCGAAGGAAACAGTACCATCGCAGCGTGCACTGTACTCACGTTCTTTCCAAAGGTGAACCCGGCCCACATGCCCAATCCTCCATTAGCCTTGGGCCCATCCTTCTCCTTGACGCCCTCCACATTCTTCTGCTTGTCCTTGACCTCCTTGTACTTGGCCATGTCCTCTGGGTTCTCAAAGTCGTCAAAGTAGTAGGTGTCCGTCTCCCCTTGCAGCTGAGGCACAAAGGGAGCAGTCAGAGACCTCAGGGATTTGAAGGAGAGAGGCGTGAAGAAGGGGTGCTTCTCCACCTCAGCAAGCGAGGCGTACCGCTTCTCAGGTGTGTCGATGAGCTTGAGGACAGCATCCCAGGCATCGTCCTCGAGATTGAATTGCAGATCTTCCTTCTTGGTGTAGACGGGACGTGAGAGAACTCTCTTCCAGTTCTTCAGGTTAGCCCAAGTCTCTTCAGGGGAACCACCAGAGAAGGGAGGAAAGCCACAGAGGAACTCAAAGAGCATGCACCCCAGGGACCAGTAGTCTACCGAGTAGCCGTAGCTCTTTCCTCTGAGGACCTCTGGAGCCATGTAGTCTGGCGAACCGACAATGGAGTCAGCATACTGAGGGTTTCCAGCACGCATGGCCTTGTACAACGATCCTCTTTCGGCCGGTGTACGGTACACGAAGTCTGTGTCCTTGACCTGGTCAAGACGGTGTCGCAGAGAGTCGATGCGGCCAGGGTTGAGAGCACCAGCTGCAAGACCGAAGTCAGTCAGCTTGATGTGGCCAGTCGTGTCGATGAGGAAGTTCTCTGGCTTCAGATCACGATGGATATAGCCGAGCTTGTGCACCTCGTTCACAGCTACGAACATCTCGGAGATGTAGAAGCGTGCGTGCTCGCCGCGGAGGACACCAGAGTTGTTCAGCATGGTACGGAAGTCTCCACCCGGCACGTATTCCTAGACGGAGAAGCACGGGAGGTGGGACAAATCAGCATCTGCCGGACGTAAGCTGAGGCTCGCCGACTATTGGTACTCACCATGGCGAGGTAGACGTGCTCGGCATCTTGGAAGGCATACAGTAGCTTCACCAGCCAAGGTGTCCGCGTGGCAGTCAGAATGTCCCTCTCAACTAGCACGTGTCGCACCTCGTCCATCTTGACCAGTGTCTTCTTCCTCAGCTTCTTCAAAGCACAAATCTCTCCTGTCTCGCGTTTCCTCGCAAGAAACACCTCTCCATAGCCTCCCTGGCCGACCTGAGTGACGATGTGGAACTGGGCTACCTTGAGCTTCGTGCGCCTCTTTCGAAGAAGAGCTCGCTCTCGCCCAAAGTACGAGGCAGCATCTTTGGCGTAGTGAGGGTCAGCTGGGTCCGCAGTCATCTGGAAGTGAGCCAGACGCTCTTTTCGGTCGGCAATGTATCGAAGATTGTCAAAGTAGTGGTTCAAGAAGTCTATTGGGCAGTAGCGAAACGGGTCAGCGTTGCATGATCTTGTATCAGTAAAACATTCCTCTGACTCTACTCACAGAGCTGACAGACGTTCGCCTTGCGTCGGACCTCCTGAGAGTTGGCAATGTCGAGCTCTGCAGGCTGGAGTCCCTCTCCGCGTGTCCAGCTCCTCCAGCTTCCCTGACTCTCCTCATTGCTCGGTTGCTGGGTGGTGCCACCGGCCACACCGTGATCCCTCCGCACAGCAGGTGTGGCGAGGACATCATTCGATCGTGTCTTGCTGTTGGCCACACGTGGAGTGCTGGGAGCTGAAGGGAGACCAGTGTTGGCCACTTTCAGCCCCTTCTTGGCATCCTTGTTGGATGAGAGACCTGAGATGTTATCGGAGGAGTTGTGGCTCTGAGGCAGCAGGACCCTGCTCGCTGGCTGTGTCATGGTGGGCGGCGGTGTGAAGGTGACGGAAGAGAGGGTGAAGGACAGTCGAGCTCGCTCACTCGTCGGCTTGCCTTGATGGATGCTGCTGGGGGAGGTGGCAATCCAGACGAGGGTACAAGTATGGCGATGGTCGTGGCAGCGAGTGGGTGATGAACCTTGAGCGAGATGATGGCTCCCGTGCGAGCGGAGGCGCGGGGCGACAGACTGGTGTTGGTTGAGTGTTTTTCGACACGCGCTCTGCTCAACGACGCGACTCAGGGGGCGGAACGGCAGCAACGCACAAGGCCCCACCCGCTCCCTTCCTCTCCGATCTCACCAACCCATACGACGGTAGCATCATCATCTGCACCACACACTTGGCTCTTGGCTTGAGCATTCTCCCTCACCATGTCCCTCCGTACACCTCGTCACGACTATGGCCCGACCGCTACGCCAGCCAGATATGCCACCCCTCGCGGCAATCCCCTCCTGGCGTCCAGCATCCACGCCCCAAACACGCCTGCCGGCCCCTCTTCCTCAGCAATGGACAGCCACAGCTTCGACTTTCTCGCACATCCCATCTTCTCAGACCCGGAGACTCTTCAGAGTGGGCTCCAGTTCGAGGGACTGTACTCAAAGATGGCCGTCTTCAAGGAGAAGATCAATTCATTTGTAGAAGAGAGTTATGTGCGACTGGATGAGGCAAAGGAGAATCACGATGCATTCAAGGAGGAGCACAAGGCCAAGATCAAGAAGCTGGAATCGCAGATGGAGGCAGAGAAGAAGTCGCAGAAGGAGCTCTTCGCTAGTGAGTCCAACGATCAGACGAGTAGAGCTGTGCAGGTATGGTGCAACATACTCAACATTTCCATTGCCTTTTCGCTTCTGCGCCCACAGCTATCGCTGAGGAGAGGGAAGACGATGCAGAAGCTCGCAGAGTGCAGTCAGAGAAGGAGAGATACTCGCACAGCCTTTCTTCGCAGCTCTCAGACATCCAGTCGGAGCTAGACGAGATCCGCAAGCAATTCACACAAAGGAGAAATCACAAGAAGAGAGTGGCAGGCAGAATGAGGGAAATGGCTAAGCTCAATGTGCCTGAAAGAGAGTTGTTGGAGAGCAGAACTGGTCTGCAGATTGGCACACCTGGACGTAAGTACGAACGCATGAGGACTAATCAGGTTTGGTGCTGCTCACTGTCTTGTGTTCTGACCTGACCTTCTCTTCGTACCTGCTGCTCTGTAGCCGACCAAGTCTCGTTCACATTCTCTCACCTGGATCCCGACCACCCGCACGAGCGAGCATGGTTCGTATTTGCCCTGTCTAGACGGACCTACACTGTTCCCGTTGTCCAACCACCTATCCCTCAAGCGACCCTCAACGGACTGCTTGCTGAGCTCAACAGCTCCAGGAATGCATTCCGGTTCATTAAGCAGATGAGGAGGGGATTGAAGGAGCAGGTGCAGGCTGGAGCTAGGGCGAGGGGGACACCAGAAGACAGCGCTTGAAGTTGTAGAGGGAGACGACTTTGCTGCAACCGCTTGTGATACCCGCGAATCGATCTGTGCGACGATTCGTCGCCGTCATCCCACCACAGGTCCCCCTTGTACTTGTATCTCTTCACCTAATCACGTCCGACCTCGAAGTAACACCAGCTCGACGCGTCTCTCCTGCATGGCGCATGGCGGAGGCACGGCGGAAGTGAAGTGTGTTTTGTGTTTGCGTCGCTGCTTCCGCTCCCTTCCTGCCCCTCCGCCATCGCCTCTCCTGGAGTTGATGAAGCTTCCTCACCTCCTCATACCCCGGAGCAACCTCGTCCCTTCCCCATCGAACCTGCATCGAGGCTCGGCATTCGTCTCTGTACAGCGCAGTAGCTCGCAACTTCTCGTAAACGCGTTGGGTATCTTCCCGGTCCTACACGTCACCCCTGCGCCCCCTCTACTCTCCGCCAAGCAAGACCTTCGGATCAGCGTCCATCCCGCGTTCTCCAGCTCTTGGAGCGGCCTTTCGCCTTTCAGACGTTGCTTCTCCACGACTCCTTCTCGCATCTTCCACACACAGACACCTTCGCTCAAGATGATGACCGAAGACGAGGACAGCTTCAACCCCACGCTCGCTGATGATGGCAATGACTCTGATGGGTGGGCTCCCGCACCCACCAAGAAGGCACCCGCCGCCGCTAGCAAAGCATCCACTGCTAAGAAACCTGCTACCACCAAAGCTAACGGCAGTAGCTCCAAGGCTTCCAATGGCTCGAATACTGCTGCACCAAAGAAGAAGCCCCTCGCTAAGCGCAAGAGCAACGAAGCTGATGAGGACAACGATGGTGACGCCGACTTCAGCGTGTCTCTCATAGATGCAGTGGAAGGACCGTCGGCGGTTCCCAAGCCCACGAAGTCCTCCTCAACGAACAAAAGTGCTAGTGAGACATACCAGAAGCTGTCTCAGCTCGAACACGTCCTCAAGAGGCCGGATACCTACATTGGCAGTGTTGAGAAGCACACCGAAAAGCTATGGGTCTTTGACGCGAATGCTCAGCAGATGGCTTACAGAGAGATCACCTATGTTCCCGGATTCTACAAGATCTTCGATGAGATCCTCGTCAATGCTGCCGACAACAAAGTTCGAGACCCTACGATGGACCAAATCAAGGTCACTATTGACAAGGAAGCAGGCACCATTACAGTCTGGAACAATGGTCGCGGTATCCCAGTAGAGATGCATGAGAAGGAAGGCATCTACATTCCCGAGCTCATCTTTGGCAACCTTCTGACCTCGTCCAATTACGACGATGACGAGGCGAAGGTCACTGGAGGTCGAAACGGTTATGGTGCCAAGCTTGCAAACATCTACTCTACAGCCTTCACAGTTGAGACGGCTGACAAGAAGTCGGGACACAAGTACAAGCAGACCTTCCGTGACAACATGTCAAAGAAGGACAAGCCCAAGATCACCGACAACAAGGATGGAAAGGAGTTCACAAGCATCACTTTCAAGCCTGATCTGCCCCGGTTCAACATGGATGGCATTGATGACGATATCGAGGCCTTGATGATGAAGCGTGTATACGATATGGCCGGTACTGTGAAAGACATCAAGGTGCAGCTGAACGGCAAGGCAGTGAAGGTCAAGACGTTCAAGCAGTACGTTGAAATGTACGTCAAGGCTATCAACGAGCTGAGCGGTGGAGCAAAGGTAGATGAGAACGGTGACATTCAAGAAGTACCAAACAAGCAGACTATCCTCTACGACTCAGTCACCGACAAGGGCAAGAATTGGGAAGTAGCATTCGCCGTCTCTGATGGAGAGTTCCGTCAGGTGTCCTTTGTGAATAATATTGCAACGATCAAGGGTGGTAAACATGTCGACTACGTGGAGAAGCAGATCGTCGACACCATCATCGAGAAGGTCAAGAATAACAAGAAGAATGGCCCTGTGAAGCCTCATCAGGTCCGTCAGCAGATTTGGCTCTTCGTTAATTGTCAGATCGTCAACCCTACCTTTGATGGACAGACCAAGGAGACGATGACACTGAAGCCAAGCGCTTTCGGTAGCAAATGGACGCTGAGCGAAGAATTCGCCAAGAAGATCATGAAGACCAGCGTAGTCGAGAACGTGCTTTCCTTCGCCAAATATCAACAAGACAAGCAGCTCAAGCGAACCGATGGTACAAAGAGGCAACGCATCACTGGTATCACCAAGCTTGAGGATGCCAACAACGCCGGCACCCGAAAGGGCAGAGACTGTACCCTCATATTGACCGAAGGAGACTCGGCCAAGGCGCTCGCCGTCTCTGGCTTGACTGAAGTTGGTCGTGACAACTACGGAGTCTTCCCCTTGCGAGGTAAGCTCCTCAATGTGCGTGAAGCTGCTCACGACTCAATCATGAAGAACACAGAAATCACCAACATCAAGACGATCATGGGCCTGCAGCACGGAAAGCAGTACCAGTCCGTGGACAGCTTGCGTTACGGAAGTCTGATGATCATGACTGACCAGGATCACGACGGCTCGCACATTAAGGGTCTGATCATCAATTTCCTCGACTACTTCTTCCCGACTCTCCTGAAGCTCCCCAACTTCCTTGTCGAGTTCATCACTCCCATCGTCAAGTGCACCAAGGGTAAGCAGGAGATCTCATTCTTCACCATCCCGGAGTACGAGAGGTGGAAGGAGCTGAACAATGAGGGACGCGGCTGGGTGATCAAGTACTTCAAGGGTCTGGGTACCAGCACAGCACAAGATGCAAAGAAGTACTTCAGAGCCATGGACAAGCACATGCTGCCATTTGACACCACCAAGGAGGGCGATCAGGGTCTCATTGATCTCGCCTTCAACAAGAAGAAGGCGGATGACCGAAAGGAGTGGCTTCGGCAGTTCCGACCCGGAACGTACCTGGACCACAACATCGAGAAGGTGCCCATGGCTGACTTCATCAACAAGGAGCTCATCCTCTTTTCGATGGCCGACAATGTCCGATCTATCCCCTCGATGGTAGACGGTCTGAAGCCGGGTCAGCGCAAGGTCATGTTCGGTTGCTTCAAGCGTAAGCTGAAGGCTGAGATCAAGGTCGCCCAATTGGCTGGTTATGTGTCTGAGCACTCAGCATACCATCACGGTGAGCAGAGTTTGACCATGACGATTGTCGGTCTGGCTCAAGATTATGTGGGCTCCAACAACATCAACATTCTGATGCCCAATGGTCAATTCGGTACTCGTCTGATGGGTGGTAAGGACGCTGCATCGGCTCGTTATATCTTCACGAACATTGCACCCATCACCCGGTCTCTCTTCCACCCTTCCGATGATGCTCTGCTCAACTACCTGAACGATGATGGTCAGAGCATTGAGCCCGAGTGGTACATGCCTACCATCCCACTCGTGTTGGTGAACGGTGCCGAGGGTATCGGAACAGGTTGGAGCACCAACGTGCTGAACTACAACCCCAAGGATATTGTAGAGAACATCTACCGAAGACTGCGAGGAGAAGAGATCCAAACCATGCAGCCCTGGTACCGCGGCTTCACCGGTCAGATCGAATCTGCTGGTGGAGGAAAATTCACTGTCTCCGGTACTCTCACCCAGATCGACGACAACACCTGGGAGGTCACTGAGCTGCCGATCCGACTCTGGACTTCCACCTATAAGGAGGGTCTTGAAGAGCGTCTGGTCGGCACAGACAAGGTGCCATCGACGATCAAGGAATATAAGGAGTACCACACCGACACTACTGTCCACTTTGTTGTCACGCTCAACGACAAGGGAGTCAAGGAGGTGGAGGCCAAGGGTGCTGAGACCTTCTTCAAGATGACCGCTCAGTTCTCGACGAACAACATGGTCCTCTTCGATGCTCAGGGTAAGATCAAGAAGTACTCGTCACCAGAGGAGATCCTCGAAGACTTCTTCCTGCTGCGATTGGGCTTCTATCAGAAGCGCAAAGAGCATCTAGTCGAAGAACTGAAGACCGTCTACGAGCGTTTGAGCAACCAGGCTCGCTTCGTGCAGATGATCGTTAGCCGACAGCTCGTCGTCAACAACCGTAAGCGAGCCGAGCTTGTTGCAGAGCTGCGCCAGAAGGACTTCCGACCCTTCCCGAGGCAGAAGAAGGCCAAGGTGGCAGGCGAAGTCAATGAGGACGACGAAGAAGTCGCTGATGAGGGCGATGAGAGCACTGCTGCTGGCGATTATGACTACCTGCTCAGCATGGCCATCTACTCGCTGACCAAGGAGAAGGTTGACCGACTCCTCGCGCAGCGTGACGAGAGGGAAGAGGAGCTGAGGATCCTCCTTGGCAAGACTCCTCAGAAGCTGTGGGAGCAAGACTTGAGCCACTTCCTTGCTGAATGGGAGGCTCTCCTGGTCGAGGATGAGCGAAGGCTCAAGGACGTCGGCAAGAACAAGAAGACCAAGGGCAAGGCCATGGTCAAGAAGACGAATGCAAAGGTCGGAGCTGCTGCCAGAAAGGTCCTCAAGGGCTCAGACGACGAGATGGACGACTTCATTGCTGATGACAGTGAAGACGACTATGTCCCCAAGGCCGCTGCCAAGAAGTCTCCTGTCAAGAAAGCCAGCACCAGCCCGGTTCAGCGCAAGGTCAGCGGTACTGCTGCGCCCAAGAAGACTGCCGCTACTGTCAAGAGCGAGAGCGCGCCGGCGGCTGCGAAGAAGAAGCCTGTCAAGGCCATTCTGAGCGATGAGAGCGATGATGATGCCTACACTATCAAATCGAAGCCGGCCACCAATGGCAATGGCAAAGCTGCAGCCGCTGCCGCCAAGCCCAAGGCCCGTGTGCCCTCCGTTAGCAGCGCCGCTGGCGGTGCTGCCGCGAAGAAGGCGAAGACCAAGAAGGCCTTTGACAGCGACGAAGAGGAGGAAGAAGCCATTGAGCTCAACGACGATTCAAGCTTCGGTGGCAGTCCAGTCGTTCCTCGAGCCAAATCTGGGCGAGCCCGAGCAGCTCCTGCAAAGTACAAGCTCGAGGAGAGCGAGGAGGAAGAGGAGGACAGCTTCTGATTCAATCGAGACAGACGCCACTCTCCTAGCCATGGCCCGGCCGCGCCCTCTGTAGAAAAAACACATCCCTTCTGCTCTGTATACTTGGTGTTCCCTCTTTCCACGATTCCCGTGTCACCTCAATTGCTACAGTCTATGAATCATCCTGAACCATGACTTGTGCTCCTCGCGTCTGTCCCGTTCCGAATTTGCTCGACTCCACTTGACCTCGCCTTCGTGCACGCGCCGCCCTGCCCTCGCAGCTGGGGTGCTTCCTCCGCTTCTCGCTTCAAGCAGCTACTGCACTGCTACTGATATCAGCTCACTGACCCAGCGTCAACCCCCAGTTCCAGCATCATGGCTGATTCTTTTTCCTCTTCTTCTTCTTCTTCGAAGAAGATTCAGATCTCTATCGATCGTGGAGGAACATTCACGGACTGCATTGCCATCGTACCCGATAGGCCAGACGGGGACATTGTCATCAAGCTCCTCTCGGTGGACCCGAATAATTACAAGGATGCACCGAGGGAAGGGGTGAGGAGGATCATGGAGATTGTAGAGGGTCGGGCGATTCGGAGGGATGAGAAGCTGAACACTGAGGGAATTGGTGAGATTCTACCGTAGCCGGTGAGATGGCGTCTAGCTGATCTTCGTGCTTCTTCTGTTCGGACTGGCAGAGTATATCCGGCTATCCACTACCGTAGCTACAAATGCGCTACTGGAGAGGAAAGGCGAGAAGCATGCTCTGATAACCACCAAGGGCTTCAAAGTAAGTCTATCTTGAGAGCCTTCCGCCTCCTTCCTCCCCACGCTGATCGCTGCTTCCTTCAATGCCGACAGGATCTGATTCGGATCGGCAATCAGACTCGCCCGGCTATCTTCGATCTGGCTATCAAGAAGCCGGAAGTACTGTACTCGGATGTCTACGAAGTGGATGAGCGGGTGACACTGGTCGGGTACGTCGCAATGTCTCCCCTACGGTTCTGTCGAAGTTCTGCACACGGGACACTGACAGCTGTCCTGCCCTTTCCTTGTCAGCTTCACATCTGACCCTCACTTCGCAGAGCACCAGGTCCAATTCAACGACGATGGCTCAATCAAGGAGGGTTACAGAGGCCAAGATGCACCTCCGCCTTCAGACGAGCCAGATGCAAAGGGCGGTGAGCCTCCGATCGTACGAGGTGTGAGCGGCGAAGCAGTAGCTATCCTCAAGCGGCCTGACAAGGAAACGCTCAAGAAGGACTTGAAGGCGCTCTATGACAAAGGCATAAGGGCGCTAGCTGTCATCTTGATCCACTCCTTCACATTCCCAGATCATGAGCGGGTGGTGGAAGAAGTGGCCAAGGAGGTTGGGTTTGAGCACATCAGTCTCAGCTCGGAGTTGATGCCTATGATCAAGGTGAGTTCGCGGCGTATACGTTGGGGTCTCAGTCCACTTAGCTTTCTCGATCTAGCTCTGACACTGTTTTTGCCTACGCTCTGATCTCTCATAGGCTGTTCCAAGGGGCAACTCTACTACGGCCGATGCCTATCTCACTCCTGTCCTCAAGCAGTACATCAATTCCTTCTTCGACGGTTTTGACTCTTCGCTGAAGGATGGCACTGCGGGCACAAAGGTGGAGTTCATGATGAGCGATGGCGGTCTGACCACAGCCAAGGGCTTCAACGGGCTCAAGAGCATCATCTCCGGCCCCGCTGGCGGGGTGGTTGGTATGGCGAATACAGGGTACGACGAGAAAGACGGCCGGCCGGTCCTGGGTCTTGATATGGGAGGCACTTCTACCGATGTCAGTAGATACGCCGGAAGGTACGAGCAGGTCTTCGATACCACGATCGCAGGTGTGACGATCCAATCTCCTCAGCTGGACGTCAACACGGTAGCCTCGGGAGGCTCCAGCAAGCTCTTCTTCCGTAACGGCCTCTTCGTCACAGGACCAGAGAGTGCTAGCAGTCAGCCAGGTCCCGCCTGCTACAGAAAAGGTGGTCCGCTGACCATCACCGATGCCAACGTTGTCACTGGACATCTCTCAGTGGACCTCTTCCCCAAAATCTTCGGTCCCAATGAGAATGAGGGTCTCGATGTAGAGGCAAGTACCAAAGCTTTTGAGGACTTGACGAAGGATATCAACAAGCAGACTGGCAAGAACATGTCAGTTGACGAAGTCGCTCAAGGCTTCATTCGCATTGCTAATGAGACGATGTGTCGACCGATCCGAGCTCTCACGGAGGCCCGTGGGCTCTCCGCTGCCAAGCATATCCTCTCTTGCTTTGGAGGTGCTGGTGGCCAGCATGCCTGCTCGCTTGCAAGGTCGCTAGGTATCAAGACTGTCTTGATACACAAGTACAGCTCGATTCTATCTGCGTACGGAATGGCTCTGGCCGATCGCGTCTTCGAGCGTCAAGAACCCTCCTCACAGCGCTGGGGTAGCGAAGGTGCCCTGAAGCAAGTCGAGGCAAGGGCGAGTGTGCTGGAGAAGGAAGTGCGAGAGGAATTGAAAAAGCAAGGATTCGCGGAAGATCGGATCGTCATCGAGTCGATGCTGAATATGCGGTACGATGGTACCGATACGGCTTTGATGACATTGAAGGGCGAGAAAGGGTGGGAAGGCGTGGAGGAAAGCTTTGTGAAGACATATCAGCAAGAGGTATGTATAGAAGTGGAAGGCAGCTCTACAAGTAGTATGCAGCTCACCTGGTGGTCATCCCTCCCTCTCCCCAACAGTTTGGCTTCACTCTTGAGAAGCCCATTATCGTAGATGACGTGCGGGTCAAGGGCATCGGCAAGTCCTACGGCGACCTGGGCGAGTCTGTCCATGCCGAGCACGCTCGTCTTCAAAAAGACGGCTTCAAAGAAGCGGCTGCCTTGGAGTCGGCAAACAAGAAGAGTGTCTACTTTGATGGACTGGGTAGGTCGGACATCCCGGTCATTCCATTGGGAGACTTGCAGGCGGGAGAGAAGGTCGCTGGTCCTGCGATCCTGATTGATGGGACACAAACGATAACGCTTGGTGAGTCGATGATGCGTACCTTTTGCTCTAGCGGCTTTGGAGGCAGCGCTCACCCTCCATTTTCCTCTTGTCCTGACCCTGCAGAACCCAAGTGCGAAGCGCACATCTGCTCTGCCTGTGTCCTGATCGAGATCAAGTATGAGTGAGACGTCATCGTGCTGCCAATCTATATCCTGCAACTGCGATTTTGCCGAGTGCAATCTATTTAGTGCCTTGCCGTCGGCCGTGACAGCAGCCCGGGCGGATTGCTATTGCCAATTTGACCCTGGGTGAGGGAGCAAGCGGGAGAGATTCGTGAGGCTACATGTAAGGAAAGTCGTTGTCCTATCTTACCTTCACCATCTTGTATACGTTGCAATCATACCATCCACCCGATCGCAAATACTCGATCTTGCTCTTCTGACACGTCTTCGTCATCGAAGCCAAAGCCTCGACAACAGACCTGAGAACCCGCTCACGAGCCTCCCTGCATCGTGTCCAGCATGCCCACCTCCACCCTCAATCACATCCTCAGTACTCTCCGACCCCTCCTAGGTGGTATCCCACCTATCCCACCAGGGGAAGGCGGTACCTTCTTCACGCCCATCACTCCCTTTTTCCTCTTCTACCTCTTCCTCACTGCTGCTCTCGGTATCAAGCTCATGAAGCGTACTGCTGCATGGCGTCAAACCTGGATTGTACTCCTGCTTGCGGCTTGTAGGAGTTGCTATATGGGCTTGAGGTGGAGAGAGGGAGACCCGAGAGGGTTTGCATTTGCGGTCGAGGGAGCCCTGTTGCTCATTCCTGGAGCGTTGATGGTGAGTTTGCCGGAGGGAGGAGATGGGAAGATGAGAACCAACCTAATGTTCGGTGGCCACGCTGACCTCTCGCTCCTACATCTGCATCGACACGCACTCTGGGCTCATCATCTTTGCTCGGACAGTATTACTCGATCTTGTCCCTGTTTCGTGACGCTGTATACTCCTACCAACCGACTAGTTGGCTAGGCAGGGCAGTGCTCAAGACTTTCCCGCGTTCCGCACTGGTGAGCAGCAGCCGTTACTGACAAAGAAGACGTCGGCTGTTGACGCTTCGCTTCCTTCGGATTTTGACTTTGTTCCACAGCTCGTCACATCCATCCACCTGACCATAGTCACTCCCATACCGGCAGTGACATGGCGAGCAGCAGCGCGCCTGTCGATACAAGCGGCCAAGTGGGCTCACCGGCTCAATCTCTGGTCCGCCTCGATGGGCTGCGGGACGATGCTCCTTGCAAATCTCGCAATGCTCGTGGCGTGGGGAAGTCGCACAGGTGAGTGTGCCAGGAACCTCGGGACGCCAGGCGAGACAAGGAGGCAAGTGCGCTAAAAGCAGCGTCGTCTTTACTTGCCTTCACCCTTGCCCCGACCAGCTGACCTACGCTTCATGCCTGGCTACCACTACGAGCCACGCAAGGAGCGGGCCAAGCTCCTCGCGATGCACATCATGGTCGTCACCTACAGTCTAGCAATCTTCTACCGAGGAGCTGCCTTTTTCCTCTCAGAGCAGTACACCTGGCTCGACTCTTCCGGAGCGGTGAGTATGCGGTGGCCATAGTGCTTCTCGATCTCGACCAAGAGTCGATGCAGGGGACCGGTGCTGACTTTACTCCTCCTCTGCTGCTCGACGCTTCGCGTCCACAGTTCTACACCCTCTACTGCCTCCCCGAAGCGCTGTGTATCTCCCTACATGTGCTTATCCCTATCAAGCTCACCATTCCGAACCCCAAGACACTCCTTCGCTTTGAGATCCCTTCGGAAGAGAGGGATGTCGAAGAGGTGGTGCTGGCTATCGAGGGGAGGGAGAGGGTGAGTATCTGCTCGAGAGAGGAGGGGAGGAGAGAGGACATGGAGCAGGGAAGCGGGCAGGGAGAGCATGCGGATGAAAATAGAGGACACGAGCGACCTGACTCTGCTAGAGGGATACCGCACTGAAATCTTTGTCATGTTCAGCCGCTCACTTCAGTCACTTGATACATGGTGCAACGGGTATATGCTATATCTCACGCCTCTTCTAAATGACAGCTGTAGCGCTCAAGCAGTCGCAAAGAATGCGTCGTCCAACACGGTAGCGTATCTCTTCTCTCCCGTCAAGAAGCGTACCCACGTCTCCGCTCCAGTCTGGAGGGTGCTGTTGAGCTCAAACTCAAAGATCCGCGCTCCGTGATTCCGTTTGACTTCCTTATCGTACCCGCCAAACCCTGAATGCTTGGCAAAGCAGATTGGAACACGCTGTGTCTGGACTTGGCGCTGATGCTCTTGCGTCTCCTCGTCTTGGTCAGACGAACTTGCGCTGCTGCCCGAGGACGAGGTGGTGAGCCGCGAGGGAGCACACCAGTCATTGCCATGCTGATGTCCACTAACAATGGCATGCACCCGCTCTCCCGCCGGTCTCCCTTCTCCCCCACCCAGAAAGGCATCCAGGTAAGCCCTATCCTGCCCTGCATACTTTACACCCTCCGCCCCCTGCCCATCAAAGGGCTTATCCTCATTCAACCCCGGCCAACGCAACCCGGCAGAAGTGAAGTTGGCACTACTCTCGTCTTCCACTCCGCCGATCTGCTCTCGCTCCGAGGCGGGGCCATGCTGCTGAGCATAGGCAAAATCGTGAGAGGGAATGTGCGTGAAGACAATCGAGGGAGGTAGAGGCAGTCCCCAGGCAGCCGCCATACGCTCTGCTTCCCTGCGTAACCAACCAGCCACGCTAGGGTGTACCCAGTCTTCGATTTGTGTCTGGTTGCCAGAAGAGTCTAGCATCGTCTTGCCACTGCGGCTATCGAAGTGCCAGAGGATTAGAGCAGGCCGATCAGCAGCTCCAGACGCGGCTTTGGCTTTGGAGCCAGAGGGAGAGGGAGAGGAGTAAATGGGTACCCAGTAGTTGTCTGAGCCTACATCTCCCCCTCCTATTCCCTTGGGCGCGAGACGAGTGTAGGAGAGGTGAGGGGCGATGCGCTGCTCGAAGCGGGTGATCATGCCGTGCGTAGAGTACTTGTCGTTGTCATGATTGCCTGTGAGGGGAAGCCGAGAATGCGGAGAGGGAAACGTTGTTCAACGTTGAAAGCTCCGGGGTATACCTTCTGGTTGTCATCCCCCTCATCCCACCTTTCGCAGTACTAAAAGGCACCCCTCGCCTAATCATCGGTCCCAATATCATCCCTACAGCCTCCTCCACCTCCTCCTTACTTCGTGCCGCCTCGCCCGAGATCAAATCGCCCAAGTGGACCACATAGTCTGGCTTCTCCATCTCTAGGTACTTCTCCACTGCGGTGGTGGAGAGTGCGTTGAGAGTGGAGGCGTTTCCGGGAGAGCCACCGTCGTCGAGGAGGTGGGTGTCGGTTAGGACTAGGAGCTTGAAGGTGCTACGGGACTGGGATTGGGAGAAGGAGAGGCGGGGGTGGGAAGGGTAGGGGTTGAGGAGTGGCTGAGGAGAGTGGGTAGTGGCTAGGAGCGTAGAGAGACCCATGGTCGCTTGTTGTAGGGGCGCAGACCTGGCCGCACTGGCAACAAGGAGAAGGAGGGGAAGGAGGAGGTGGTGTGCAGATAGCAGCAGCCGCAGGCTGGACAGGGACTTCATCTTGGCAATCCACAATACCAGCGTCAGGTATGACGAGGGAAATGAAATGGACTCCAGACGGGCGATACCGCCTCCCCGCCGCCATTCTAGGCTCGGAGCGGAACAAAGTAAGGTACGGTACGGTACGAGATTGGTGTGTCATGTCCGGTACCTTGAGCATTGCACGAATCCCTCCTCTCGCACGGGCCCACCACCGGGCCAACCTCAAACTTCACCGGAAATGGCAAGAAAGCGGAGCGGAGCCGACCGGAAAAGTCGAAGACGAAGAAGGTGGATAGGCAAGCAAGCACAGGCTCATGCTCATGATGTGGAAAAGGCAATGATGGCAGTCCGTCCGTTGGATACAATACAGGCACTTTACGGATCAAAGTACAGCAGGCTCCACTTTTCACCATCTCCCCGCACTTCTCTCGCTTCAGCTTCACGCCCTAACGCCTGTCGGAGCGCCTGATCTTGTTAATCTCCGTGACAATGTCCGCTGCGCGAAAGCAGAGGGGAAAGTGGAAATGTCAGCAATCGATACCAGATCTCTCTTTTCATTTCTGCAAACCGCGCCATCAACTCACCAGCTTGCTTGGCATCCTCGGCCTCCATCTCAAATCTCTTACTCTCCTGATCCGTGATCACAACCAGCTTGAATGCTGAAGAGACTTTCGCGCTCTGCTTGCACTCTGTCACCCTCGCAATGGGAAAGGAAGCATGCTGAGCATGGAAAGCTCGCGTATCCGTGGGAATGATGTGAATCCACTCTCCATCAATGGTGAGTGTACGTTCTGACCTGCCCACGAACATGGGTACTTTACGGTTCACCGTCCAGGACTTGTACGTTGAGGCTACATTCTTTGGCGTATGGTACCGCGGGTGAGCAGGTTCGGAGAGACGCTTGAAGATCGAAGCATTGGGATTGGTGGACTGACCTGCTAAGGCAGCAGTGCCACCTTGAGCTCCCAGGGTTGATCGTCGCACAAGAGCGAGGTTGTGGCTTCCTTGAAGCGACTCGACCGTCCTGTCCAGTGGAACGACGATGTTGTTCTTGTCCGGAACAATGAGAGCCCACTCATCGGCCTTCCCTAGGGATCGCTTGCGACAGATCAGCTCCAACACGTCCGCCAGGTAGATCTCGCTTGATGGCACCTCTAGTGTCGTCTTGTAGGACAGACCGGCATTGGGTGTGATGAGGAATCGCAAGAAGATCTTAGACGTCGGAGGCATGGCGCTCCTACTCAGGGCAGAAGAGGCAATGATCGGCGTGCCTTGGATGCTGATCAGAGAGCCGGCGGGGGCGTTGGAGTTCGCTGGACCTGTAAGACGCGACACGGGACCTGCTGGGGCAGGAACCACGTTTGACTGGCCCCTTGCACCGTGTGTGGCAGAGGCCATCGCGTTGCTCGATTGTTGATCGCCCATCGTTGCAGACAATGGAGGTGGTGGAATACCAGAAGTCGCCACGCGCGACGCTCTCCTGTTGATCAAACCTTGAGAAGCTTCATGCTGCCGGATTTGAGCAGCTGAAGCTTCACAGACGGCGAATTCATCACCTCCGAATTTGCCCACTGTCAGATTCCGATCCAAGGCAGGGTAGTCATCATCGACTTCTCCGTCCTCCACTATGCGCAAGACCCAACCGACAGTGGTCAGCCTGACATCAGGATGACCGTTCTCCTCCGGTGAGGGTGACCATCCTTCGTCAACATAGCAGTACAGACTGTAGCCGATCAGCTCTTCCATCGTGGCGTCCTTTCTCACATTCAGCTCGAACGATTTGCTAGCAGCATTGACAGAGATTGCGCCACTCGTATTGCCGCTGCCATCCGATGTCGAGCTGCCGCCAGGACCTCTCGACCAGGGAAAGTACACGCTGATCGTGGTACTCCCAGCACCTGATCCTGCATTGCGTCCCGAGATACCAGAGTAGTATTGAGCGAATGGGTTTTCTGGAGATTCATTCTGCTTTTGCAACATCAGACTGAGGGCTGACGCTTTTGGCTGCGAATGTCGTTGTGCTACCTGACCCTGTCCAAGAGAGTGGGATTGGAACCAAGCGCTCTGCTGGCGCTCTCTCTCTTCACTCTGTTGCGCAAGTGTCATACCCTTCAGATGTGAGCGTGACGGCTTGCGAAGCTTTGAGCGCGCTGCGAGAAGGGTCGCCTCACTCAGCGGGGCTTTCAGTCCTCCACCAGGGGATGGTGGGGAGCGGTCAACCAACCTGATCTTGGGATACTGTGTCGGTGTCGACCGATCTGTTGCATCCTGCGATGAAGATCGCATCTGTCTCGATTTGGGAGCATCGTGCTGAATACTATATTGCTCAACATCGCTGCCGCTGTCGACCGAGGACAAGCTGGGCCTACCGGCATTATATGGCGATGCAGAATCTGTCCGTGTACTCTGCGCAACGAAGCGTGGACCGTCTGAGGACGGCAACCTCGCAAAGTCACTGGAGTCGGAAGCTGTCGTCCCTTCGTACGTAGCGCCAGGTGTGGAGACTTGAGAGTCCATTGAATCACCTCTGACGTCTCTGCTGTGTGAAGATGACGAGGGATCATCGTCCACATGCTCTTGCAGAAAGATGGACGGCTGCAAGGCCACCGGTGTACTTTGAGCGGATCCCATCTGGTTCTCCTGACCACCCGATAAGGTGACCGCTCCGCCTCCACCGGAGGCAGAGGTGATATGTGGGCTGGACTGGAGAGCTGCGCTTGTCGAAGACGACCTTAATGACGAAATGGAGGCGGACAAGTCACTTTCGAGGGGCTCCCCTGCCAGTGCACCCGAAGGCGAGCCCAATTGTCTCGCAAAGCTGGACGTGAGTGGGGACAGTGGCGAGGTTGCAGCCAAGTCGTGGGCTCTGACATGACCTTCAGCAGAGGACTTTGTCGGCGTCATGACGACAGTCTGCGAGCTCTCCGCTGCCTTCGAAGGATCACCGCTTTGATCCAGACTTGCAGACCGCCTGCGTCGTGTATTTGACCTGGGCGGAGTTGTGGCTTTGCCCAAGGATCCCGATCGAGTGAGGTGCTGCTCTGGTCGAATTGGTGAAGGCGAAGGCGACCGAGGCCCGAGAAGCGGGTGTCCGTTGCTCCGCACGGTCGAAGATTCTCCAAGAGCATTTTGGAACCCGGAACCTTGCGCAGACCGAGATCGATCGATCAGGCGTCCTCCAAATACCTCCGAGTCTTCATCGACCTCCTCCAGCGGGTCTTCGTCGAGAGCATCTACCCTTCGCCCCTCAAGGGCTGCCGTTGCGGCTCGCGAATCTCGTTTCCGGCGGGAGCCTGTCAGGCTCGACCCAAGCTCATCTGCTCGCTTGCCCGAGACTCTCATACCCAGAGCTCCGGATCTGCCGGGGCCATAGATGGTACTGGTATACTTCAGACCGCTCGTTGCCCTCGATGCTTGTTTGCCGTCGCCGTCGGCTCCTTCCGCTCTTGGGTCCCGCAAGGTGGGTGTGAGGAATCCATCGGGACCTCGGCTGGCTCCCAATGTCCGACTCGACCCAGCCTGACGTACACGATCGGATCTTGCTGGTGGACTGAGACCAAAGCCATTGGGACCTCGCAAAGCCGGTCCGCTTCTTGTAGGCACAATCGTAGGCGAATAGACGGCATTGATCTCTGGATGTTTGGCCGGGTCATGTAGCCCTGCGATGGCGATGTGAGAGTCGGGGGCAAGAGGAAAGGCGACTGCCGAGGAAGCTACTGCAGAGGCTTTACGAGGCGTTGTAGAGATCGGAGTATTTAGGGAGGCGTCTACGAGAGATGGCTCTGAAGTTGCTCTTGCGAGGGGATTATGACGAGCCTCTGATTGGGCAATGGAGGGAAAGGAGATGATGCGTGGTCCATAAGAGTCATCCACCCGCCGCAGATACGATAGGCGAAGCTGATGAATGGTCCAGCTGGGCGATGCCAGAGCCAAGGAGAGACAGAGTCAGCATGGCAACGTTGCAAGAGAGAGACGCATGGTCGCATGCATATACTCACTCGGGGTCGACCAGGAGAGACATTGTATGCCACTGAGCTCAAGCTGCAGCGGCAGCGAGCTGTGGTGGATGGTGCGACTGTTATGCTGAGTGGATTGCCTCGCTCAGTAGTGTCCGTCGTTGCTGGGCAGAGTGTGGTCAGTACTGGCCCCGGTGGCAGAGATGGACGATGGTGAGGGCGTGAGCGTGAGCGTGATGGTAAAGTGTAGTCTAAGCTCGTCTGGGAGCGTAGCCGAGGTGCCCCGCGTGGTGCACGTCCCCCGCTTCGACTCCCGACGCGGCGACCAAGAATCCAACACCAACGACGTGTGCTGGGCGCTACCAACCTCATACCTTCACTCTTCGCCACAGCGTCAGATCAAGCTAGACCCCTTCTCTCACTCATCCGCAGCAGCGACATATTCTATCCCTTCATCCTCGTCTTTTCTTCCTGGGCGTCTTCTGTCTCACCCCCTCTCCCTACACATGCTTGCAGACCCCCACCGTCGAGCTTGACCCTCCTCGCACAAAGGGAGGACGCCGCTTCTTCATCATCAGCGTAGCAGCATAGACAGCCTGTACACTCTCCGACTCGCCTCAACTCCGGCTACATATCACCCAGATTGCCCAGACCGACTGGCCATCTGGCCAACGCCTGAGCAATTCTTAGCACAAGATGGCCTCTACAGTGGACTCGTCACAAAGACCACCCTCGAGAAAGGCCGTCCTGTCGCCTGTAGACCCCAATGTGCAGCCTGCGAAGGCCGAAGAAGGCTTCGAAGAGGCAATAGCCCTCGACCCAATGCCGAAGCCCCCTACAGAGGGACATCTGGGACCAGCGACAAGCTCCATCTCACAAGGCGATACAGAGACAACACCTGCGGTCACTCCAGTTGCCTCGGCTGTGACAGAGGAAGAAGAGGCAGGTCCCCCTACGCCCTCGAAAGACCCCAGCTTCAATCCCGCTACACCAGAGCTGCCAGACAAGGGTCGACGGCCATCGATTCCAGTCTCTCAGAGAGACCCTAGGTTCTGGTCTCCGTCACTGACTGCCTCACGGCCCTCTTCTTCGAGAGTGAGCCTTTCGAGACAGGCGAGCATATCCAATGCCTCCTCTCAGCTTTCCGATCCAGAGTCTCCTCTAGCGCGGGCGAAGGGCCTTGCGGAATCCCCGCAAAGACTGTCAGACTCGTCCGTCGCTACTCCCATCGAGCAGCAATATGCAGCAGCCACACCTCGCAGCGCTCGAAGCGCGAACCGCAAGAGGATGTCGCTAAACTACGTCGCTTCTCCTGCGGCAGGAGCGGCCTCATCCCCAGCCTTCTGTCTGTCACCGACGCCATCTTCTGGATCAGCAACATCAGCCAGCCGAACCACCTTCAGATCCTCGTCCCATCGCTCAGCCACAGCACTGGACGCCTTCGGCATTCGGACCGCACCAGCTTCTCAGACCTCTTATATCAAGTCAAGTGGGGACACCACACCTCAAATCGAGCAGCAGCAGCCTTCTTGGCCGACCTCGAGCTCGCCGAGAGAAGACGGCCAAACGGTCATGGACTCGTCCAAGGAGATGTTGGCAGAGATTGCAAGGAGGGAAAGGAAGATAGGCGAGTTGAGATCAGAGCTTAGACAAGAGGAGACAGAATTGAAGGCTCTGCAAGCCAAATGGCAGGCCGCTGTCACAAAGGAGATGGGCGCTGTGAGATCTCCTGATCGGAGCAGCTTGCGGGCGCCAAGACAAGTCAACGGCGCCAGGACAGGCGGCGCTGCAGTCAATGTACCTGCTAACATAAAGCCAACCTCTGGTGAACAGAGCTGGGAAAGCCAAGCAGATGTAGCGGCATCGGTGGCAGAGGCCATGAGAGGATTCTCCTCAAAGCTTCCAGCTGGTCTAGGAAGCCAACTCAACACTCTCATCGATGGTCTGCACGTACCCGCCCCATCAGCCTCGAGCGATAGGCCAAACTCTCCCCGAGCCCTAGACATGCTCAAGGAAGAGTCCTCAGAGGTGGGATCCGATGCTGGCGACAAGAGCCCAAACGCAGTATCGCGGACGGTAGTAGCAGACAGCAACAGGCCATCCTCAAGCGCCTCTGGCTCGACCTTTGCTGGCCCACCACCAGCTTTCTCGACATCTAATGCAAGCAGCAAGCGAAGCTCTACACTCTTCGGAAGCCTTTCGGCGTTCAGGGGTCAGATAGAGGAGAGTCTCAAAGCTGCTCAGCAGCCGTCTACAATGACTGGCGCAGAGGGCGGCAGCTCGGCTGGTAGGTCTGCTGCACCTCACAAAGCTGTAGGGCTGGATGGTCTTCCGGTCTCCCCGCTGCTCGGCTCATCGACTTCCACAGGGCAAGACTCACAAGCGCAGACGGCGGGCTGGTCTCAGTGGTCCAAGACGCTGAAGGATGCAGCGAGCGACGCCGCCGCGCGAGCAGAAAAGGCATTCGGCGAGGCGATTACCTCTGGCGGTCTGGGCGCGGGCGAAGCGACGGCGAAGGGTGCAGCGACTGCGGCGGACCGGCCGACTGGCTCGATGCCCATCTCAAGCGGCAGCTCGATGTCGAAAATGAGTCCCACCCTCGAGCGGAGGAGCTTCACTGAAGAGAATGAAAGGGAGAAGGCGGCGCTCGCAGAGCTGGAGCTGGGCTGGCTTTCGAATCTAGTCGGTGGAAGCGGTGGAAGCGGAGCCGCCAGCTCGAGCGAGCAGGTAGGCTCATCAGACTCGCAACCGAGGCGATTGAGCGACCGTACCCTGCTAGCTTTGTCAGCCGGAGACGGACTCGCTCCCGAGCCTCAGCCGGCGAGAAGCAGTAAGTCGACCTCGACAGGCATGTATCCTCCCTCGACCACCTCTACACGCAAGAACACTGGTCAAGCGGACCCCTCAGGCAGCTCGGGTGCTGCTGCTGCTGCTGCTAAGCGACAGTCGACGTTGACAGTGGGCGGTAATCTATTTGGTATGCTCTCCCAGGCGTGGGGTGGGGAGAAGATTGGCAGCGAACAGACAGCAGCCGCGTCCGGTAACTCGAGCTCTACCTCGAGTGCGGGTACGGCGACACTCAAGCCGAATGGTAAGGCTGCAGCGTCAGCTCATACCAAGGCAGGAGCTACCGGTGCACCTCCTTCCCTTTCCACGAGGAAGAGCACAGCATCGCCACCCCCACCCCCACCGTCATCGTCGGCTTTGGCGTCGAATCGGATCCCTCTCTCGGAGAGGCTGAAGGTCAAAAAGAATGTGCCAGCAACGACTACGAGCCCGCCGCCGAATTCTGCTGCTCTCACCGACTCGAAAGGAGTAGGAGAACAGGGAGAAGATGTCGCTGTTAGCAATTCTCCATCCGCGCCTGCCTCCGCTGCCACTTCCTCGACAGATGCAGAAGCGCCACCGGCAGCGACAGTGGCAGGTGTATTGGACGAGGACAACGATGGAGATTCAGCAGCTCCAGCTCCAGCTCCAGTGACTTCACCACCTCTTGCTGCAGAGTGATCGCGAAGAATTTGGTGTGCCCTTTGCACAAGAGCAGGACCAGAAGTAGGGACGCAGGTGCAGACGCATTGGATTAGACCAGCAGTGTGCGCAAGGGAGTGGACTTTGAGTCACGTCGCACTACACTACGCCTAGCCTAGATGCGGACACGATTTTACAACATACGACTTTTTGATGCGGTTTGCAATGACTATAGATGTACATTAAACGACGAAGCGAATCTAGTAAAGTAAAGTTCAAACGGGAGAGACGTGCGGATCCTCTGCGTAGAATAACGAAAGTACAAGAGGAGAAAGCCACACCATTACTTCTACCACTAACGAGTGTGGAACCAGTCTTGGACTGGACTGGACTGGAACAAAGTCTACTCGGCAAGAAAATCATCAAGATCTTGACAAATCATCTTCTGATACCTCTTTAATCCTTTTCCCATTCCCAAGAATAAACACGCCACACTCTCTGCATGTCCCAATTGTCTATAAGCCCGAAGTCTAACATGATTAACTCCAATTCCTACCAGTAAAGTCTTGAGTAGGGTACTTTGCTCAATGGGAACCACTGCATCTTTTCCTCCGTGGATCAAGAGGACTTTGGCTGGTAGAAGAGCAGGGTTGAGGAGATTTTTAGAGGCGTAGAGTAGGTGGGCGGGAGAGTGGAGGAGACAACTGGTGTGACTTGGACCGGCGGAGCGACGTAGCACGCTCAAGTCTTCGATTCCTCGCTCCGTCTCGTTTCTAAATCCCTTGATGACATCGGAAATTCCACTAAAGAGGATCAAGCCTGCTACTGGAGGAACTTCAGTTTCCGGAGAATAGATTTCGACGCGCCGGAGACCATTGGGAATGGGAATGTCCAGAATGGAGTCGTCGTCGACGTCGCTGTCGTCAAAGTAGCCTTCCCGGCGGGATTGCAGATAGCGCTGCATCCTGCTCTCGCTGTGTACGGGCGTAGAGGGAAAGGCAATGGAGGGAGAGTTGGAAGAAGCCCCTCTGATCGCGCTGGACGCCCGAGGGAAGTTGGGATGCTCGTCATCTGCAAGTTCGCCCAGAGAGGGGTTGTTGGCCGAGTCGGGCTTGCCTTTGCTGCCTCTATCCCTAGAGAAGCGACCTTCATTTGGCAACTGTATACCAGGTGAGAGGACCTCGTCTCCAGATAGAGCCGAATCATCGACCCATCCATCACCACTTCTCCTAGGGCCTCCAGCAGTAGTCTTCGTGGCAGCCTGCGGAGGAGCTGTTCCTGCTACCTTTGTAGGTCTAGGAGGGCTGGACGATCCACTCGCTGCGTACTTTTTCCTCTCTTCTTCCTCTTGCTGCCAACGCTCCTCACGTGCAATGTGACGCTGTTCCCTCTCCGCCTGAGCTTCGAGCAGACCCTCACGACTGAGCACTACGGCCTCCTGAGTGAGGGTGAGCAGCGCGAGGTGGGCCGATAGTCCATGGCCCATCAAGTGGATCCTCTGAGGGTCTCCGCCGTACCGAGAGATGTTCTGTCCCACCCATCGCAGGACCTCCCTCACATCACTGACCGACTGCTTGATCCTATCTTCGGGGAAATAAGTCACGTCCGGAATGACTACGCAGTTGCCCATCCTTCGCAAGCGTAGGGCGAGCTGCAGGTAGGCCTTGCGTCTGCTAGACCAAGAGAAGGGCGGGATAGAGCTCGGGAGAAAGACGATGACGGGAGCTGCCTTGCGTGTGCCTCGCGGAGCCTTCTCCTCGGGCTTGGCCTTTCCACTTTCCTCCAGAATCGAGCCATCTGAACCTACGGCGGAGGGCGGTTCATCAAAGTTGGTCGAATGCTTGCGCGATCGCTTGGCTGATGCGGTTGTAGAGACGGGCTCATAGTCGCGAGTCGAAGAGAGATTGGGCGGGAGATAGACGTCGAGCCTCTTGGCGCTGGCGGAAGAGCCATACAGGATCCCCTCTCGGACTACCGAGGATCCCGCGGCTGTCCCCAAGATCATCACCCTCCTGTAGCTCCAGTCTAGAAGAGCTGGGAAGGCCAGCTTTGTTGCCGTGAGAGAGTATTGGAGGGATGCCCAAGTCACCTTGACACACTTGGTGGGTGCGTACGGAAGAAAGGGCAGGAAGCGAGAGGTGTTGGACTTGATAGTTGGGGCATCTGCTTGTGCTAGGACGAGGTAGGTGAACCATGAGAGCGAGTAGAGGAGGAGACAGGAGAGACCAATGAAGAGGGGGATCGTACTGTGAAAATGGTGGGAGGTGAGCAGTCACAGATCTGTCAGTGTTTCTTCCAGTATGTCTGGCATACAACGAGCTTAAACTCACACTAGAGCCAAGAAGGGGACTGAATGGAGCGCGGAGGAGTGATTTAAGATAGCGTCAGTAGGGTGACTACACGTATCAGTCGTCGCTCGCTCGCTCGCTCACCAGCACAGCTGACTGCCAAAACAGGCCAAGCAGGCACCCCAATTACAATGACTGGCAAGAGACTGTACCGGAGGAAGCTGGCGGTGTACCGTGAGACCCGTCCGGGCTGCCTTGCCTCGACCAGCTGTCGTGTGGGTGAGGTGGTGGACATGGCCTGACAGATGTAGCGAGGGATACGAGGAGACTGAGGAGAATAGACGAATTCGATGAGAAGGGACTCGAGGCTCCAACCTGGTAAAGGTGACTTGCTTCCCCCCCCCCGGCGTGAGTGTTGATGTCTCTGGTCCCTGGTAGTCTACGCCTGAGCGTGAGCGTGAAAGGCGCCGGGGGACAGTGGCAGTCTCGAGAGCAACACACGCCGGCGGCGGACCCGCGTTTCGATTCAAGCTCCGCTGACGCCCCCACCCAAAACCCAAGCGGAAGCTTGGACCACTTTGAACGAGCGGCGATCTGTCCGTCGGTGGTGCAGAGCACAAGTGGACGTAGCTAGCACTTCTTCTTCGTACGCTCGCCAGTGCTCACATCGAAGTTGGGCTACCAAGATGCGCATGGTATGTCTCCCTCGCCAGAAGACTCATACCACGTCCACTGTCCTGTCCCACCCAACTAACATCTCCTCTCTCCCTCTCTTCCCCCATCCATCAGCTCAACGAGACCGAAGAAAACGACGTGAGCGTCTCCTTTTCCGACCAACAATCCATCAATGCCTTTTCCCGGTACAACAATCGAGTAACGGACTACGAAGAGGACTTGAAGAGGAAGAGGGAAGAGAAAGAGGCAGTGGAAGAGGTGATGATGGAATTGGAATTGGTGGATGAGGAGGAAGAGGTACTGTGAGTTGCCCAGACGCGCAGCTCAGCGCAGTGCAGTGCAGAAGACCATTTGCCCGAGCCTCGTTACTCACACTCCCTTTATCACCTCTCTTTGACTTTTTCGCAGCTACAAGATCGCCGACTCTTTCGTTCACCTTCCACAACCCAAAGTCATCTCCCTCCTAGAAAAAGAAACGACAAAGCTGGACGAAGAAATTGAGGCGCTCAAGGCGAGGGTGGATGAGTGTGAAGAGGAGATGAAGAAGTTGAAGGTGGTCCTTTATGGGAAGTTTGGGAGTAATATTAGTGAGTAGGAGTGTGTAGTTGGGGGAGAATGGCTCGGAGGGACTGGTGAAATTGAGCAGACAGCTGATGATCGCTCCTACTTGTCTTCTACCGCACCCGAACCAACAGATCTGGAGAGGGATTGAGACTCGCGAGTCAAAGCGTCGAGACACAATGGAGAATGATCGACAATGTATATTACATAGGCAGACAAGTTCCTTGGATGTCATCCTGACGAGTGTACTGACCGCTGGAGGTCCCTCTACGATGCAGCTGCGACAGCGGCAGATGCATCAGCCTTGACGGCTTTACCTCCCGCGCCCCTGCCACCCCTCTTGCGCTTCTTCTTGGCCTGACCATCCTCAACATCGTTGCCCTCTCCTACCGGTCGCTGCTGCTGCTGCTGCTGAGCCGGCCTCTTGGACGAAGTATCATCTTCTCTCTCCTCCCCGTCATCTCTGCTCTCGTTGCCTTCGCGAGCCGCATGATCTTCCGCTCTCTGCCGCTCCCGTTCCTCTTCTGCTGCCTTTCTCCTCTTTGCCTCTGTCCGTTCTGCAATTTCCCTCGTCCTCCTCTCCTTCTCTGCCTTTTCGGCCTCCAGCACCTTCTTTGGCTTCTTGTTGCTAAGCGGGTTGGCCTCTCGGGTCTTGCGCATCTTGTATCCTGCTTTACGAGCCGCTTTCGAAGACTCGCCAGTCTGCCCTACGAGGGAGGCTTCAGTGACTACATTTGACCCCAGAGCAGGTGCAGTCTGTGAATCTGGCTGTCCGCCCAGCTTAGCGTGCTCAAGCTCCTGCACCCTTGCTTTCGTCTTGTCGCTCATGGGTTCGAGAACGATGACTCGACTTTGATTTGTGTGCACCAGGGGAAGACCGGCTACTTCTTCGCGGAGATGATTTCGCAGCTTCTTCGAGTCGGAGGCCACAAGGTAGCGGTGCTTGTTGTTGGGGCCTGTAGGGCATACGGGTAGAGGCAATGTCAGCAAGGCAGCTACACGTGAGCGACGTACCTCCTCACACTCACCGATGACCTCCTTGAGACACTCGTCTGCGTCAATCGCCTCACGGTGGTTGCACCTCCTCCTCTCCCACGACTTGGCAATGTTCACGGCATCCTTTTCGATCTTGCCTTCCTTCTCCGCCTGATAGAGCTGTACCATACAGCACTGTGTGATGAGGCACTTCATCTCTGCATTGCCCGCCCTAGTCTTGCCCTTTGAGAGCTGTGAAGTCTGCAGAACATCGGACAGACGGTGGTCCACTTCTTGTGGTGTGAGATGGAGTGCTGCCAGGGAGTGGGTGAAGGGTGCATCGATGAGGAGCTGAAAGGGCGGGCGGAAGTTGAAGTGAAGGATGTAAGATGAGAGGAGCTTGCGGTATGTCTTTGATCTCTTTTGCCTCATGATGAAGTTGGTATGGCTGTTAAAAGGAGAGGGTAGTGGTGATGGTGATGGTGATAGTGGTCTGTCTGCCAATGGACGGAAGCAGGGGCGTCGTCAAAATTCCTGGCGGATGAAGCGCTGAGATGCAACTCCACCTCGCGCAGAGGAGCCGAGGCAAGGAAGGACAGGCAGGCACCACACACCACCACACCACCACCACCACAGGACATCGAGCATGGTATTCTAGAAACATCATCCACAGCCTACGTTCAGACCATACCATCAAGCTACATCCCGCCCCCCGTCTTCGTCGTCATCGTCTGCTGCTCCACCGGTCGTATTTGCACTGGGCGGCGAGTCACATCACAGTAGATCACAGACCATGCCAAAGTGAGTCTTCTATCAATCCAGAACAGCAGGAGAGACATCCTTTAAAGGCCGCGACGACGTACTGACCATTGTCTATGCTCTTTTCATGCTTGACATCACCGTAGCACACCGCCTCAGGAAGGCAGCAATGGGCTTCCACCGTTTTCAACCATCATCAATGTCCCCACTGGCGGCCTTCCAGGCCTCGCACTACCCTCTTCCTCGGCTTCATCACAGCCGGGACCCTCAAATAGCGCATCAGCATCAGCACCAGCCTCAGCAGATGTCCCCAGTCTGCGTCCTCCACCAGCCATATCGTCAATAGCAGACTCCATGGCAGAGGAAGATGCCGAGATTCCCGTCCCTGCAGAGACCCGGAGTGGCAGCGACAGTAGAGCGTCACCAGGACCGGTGTTGAACGCTCAAGAGGGTCTGGGAGGCGCATTAGCGGGTCCAGACCTCCAAATGATCAACCTTTCGCAATCGACACAGGCAGAAGCTCCAGCTTTAGGACCGCCATCGACAGCAGATACAGCCCAGCAACCACCATCACAGCCACTCTCGACCGACCCACAAGGGTCTGGCTCATCAGCCCATCCTACCGCTCCTATGTCGATGCAGACCGAGATTCGCAAAGCAGAGAACGAACAGGTAGAGTCGGAAAAGTCGCGGAAGAAAAAGGAAGACGAGGAGAAGCTGGCCCAGATCTATGAAGGGCTCGACTTCGATGGTTTGTGGTCCAAGCTAAGTGAGAGCTTGAGTAGGATGGAGGATGATTCGAGCGCAGCGATGATCCTGCTACCCCTGATAGAGGTGAGAAAGAACATAGTGGAAGGAGTTTTACCGTTGTGCAATGCGATGTACTCACCTGCTCTGTCCCTGTTCCTATCTCGCAGAGTCTGATGGTGGTTTCGAAGCATGTAGCAACACCAGAGGCTGCGTTTGCTCTAGAGAACACCTCGGCTCGCGGATCAGTGTCACCAGTCACAGAGACCAGACCGCCCCCCAAGACACCCCGGGAAGTGATGTCCGAGAACTTCTTCACCTTCACAGAGAGGCATCGCAAGATCCTCAACACAATGGTTCGAGCCAATCCTTCTCTGATGAGTGGGTCTTTCAGTCTACTCGTGCATAATCCAAAGGTCCTTGACTTTGACAACAAGCGCAACTACTTCACGCAACAACTGCATAAGGGGAGGAGAGAGCATTATACCAATCTCAATCTGAGTGTGAGAAGGCAGTACGTCTTCTCCGACTCCTTCCACTACTTTGCGCGTCACAATGGTCCGGAGATCAAACATGGCAAGCTCAATGTGCGCTTCTACAATGAAGAGGGAGTGGACGCCGGTGGTGTGACGAGGGAGTGGTTTCAGGTCCTTGCAAGGGCGATGTTCAATCCAGACTATGCCTTGTTCGCTCCCTGTGCGGCAGACCGGACGACATATCAACCCAATCGAGCATCGGAGATCAATCCGGACCACTTGGCTTTCTTCAAGTTCGTCGGAAGAGTCATCGGCAAGGCCATCTACGACGGCCGTCTACTGGATGCCTACTTTACACGATCCTTCTATAAGCATATCCTGGGCAAGAACGTAGACTACCGCGATCTAGAAGCCGTCGATCCAGAGTACTTCAAGTCGCTCGAGTGGATGTTGCAGAACGATATCACAGAGGTGCTCGATCTGACCTTCAGCGTAGACAATGAGGAGTTTGGTGAGACGCAAGTAATCGAGCTGAAGCCAAATGGTCAGAACATTGCCGTCACCGAGGAGAACAAGATGGAGTATGTCAAGCTGGTGACAGAGCAGAGGTTGACGTTGTCGATCAGGAAACAGGTGAGTTGACCTGTTGAGCGAAGAGGAGCACCAGCCCGGCTTTTTCCTGACTGACACTTACTTTGTCCATACCGCCTCAGATCGACGCCTTCCTCGAAGGCTTCCACGATGTCATCCCACGCTCCCTAATCCGCATCTTCTCCGAGACCGAGCTAGAGCTTCTCATCTCCGGTCTACCCGACATCGACGTCGACGAATGGCGCAACAACACGGAGCTACACGGCTATTCTCAATCCGACGCCGTCATCACCTGGTTCTGGCGGGCGGTACGATCCTTTGATCAAGAAACGAGGGCGAAGCTCTTACAGTTCATTACGGGGACGAGTAAAGTGCCACTGGAGGGATTTGGACATTTGCAGGGTGTTAGTGGAGATCAGAGGACCAATATCCACAAGACGTATGGGAGCGATCGATTGCCTGCTGCGCACACTTGGTGAGTCTAAGTTGAATCGCGTGGACGAGAAGTGAGAAGTAGATAGCACAGCGAGATTCGATTACTCACCTCTCCTCCTCCCTACTTAATCCTGGCGCACAGCTTCAATCAATTAGACTTGCCGGTATACGAGAGCTTTGAGCATCTAAAGAAGAGTGTGCTTCTAGCCATCAATGAGGGAGGAGAAGGGTTTGGCTTTGCGTGATGGAGGGGGGTTGCAAGGCGAATACAAGAGGGGAAGAGAGAGGGCAGAGCAGAAGAGTAGAGCTCGCTTGTCATCAGCACTATCACCACCATCACCATCACCATTATCGTCATGATCATCATCTTATCAACAGCTCCTTATGTGTGTCACTGTAGTGAGAGCATCACATGTGCGTCGTCAGAATCTCGCATCTCTCATCAGTTGCAGATCACACATAAGGGCAGTCTATATGGACAAGCGACAGTGCAGACATACGCATCTTCAAACCGGGCCAAAGGTCTATTTGCTCAATATTCTGCTCATCGTGTATATCTCAGAGCTCAGAAAAATAGTCAAAAGGAACGTCTCTTCTCTTTCAATCATTCATTCATTTATTACAAACGCGTCTTCTGTACTCCCACTATAGCTCCAGTGCGGACCTTCCCCTCTTCCTCCTGAGCTGCTTGAGTATCAGGATCAGAGGGCAGTCACTTTCTGTTGGAGAGGTAGTGCTTGATCAACCCGCTCGTAGACGAGTCGTGGCCCTCCGAATCGACCTTTTGTGCGTCGGCCTGTTGCAGGACGGGCAAGATCTTCTTGGCAAGAACTTTGCCGAGCTGTGAGACGGCGGAGAGGCAAAAACACAAAGGATTCAGTAACGTTCCTTTCGTTGCACCGGATCCCACTGCTCAGTGTATGTGTACTCACCTCGACACCCATCTGGTCAAAGGAGTTGATGCCCCAGACGAAGCCCTGCACGGCAACCTTGTGCTCATAGAGGGCCACGAGGGCACCCAGCGTACCGGGGGTGAGTTTCTGGAACATGATCGAGTTGGTGGGCTTGTTTCCCTCAAAGACCTTGGACTTGACCAGGAAGGTGTTACCAGCGTCCTTTGGTCCGAGCTCCTTCTTGACCTCTTCCTCCGTCTTACCAAAGGCCAGGGCCTCGGGCTGGGCAAAGAAGTTGGAGAGGAGAATGTCGTGCAGCTCACCACCTCGGATGGGGTTTTGCGACTCAACGGGGGCGAGGAAGTCACAGGGGATGAGCTTGGTGCCCTGGTGGATCAGCTGGTAGAAGGCGTGTTGGCCATTGGTTCCTGGCTGACCCCAGATGATAGGTCCAGTCTCGTAGTTGACGCGTTCCGAGTTGGAGGTGATGAACTTTCCATTGGACTCCATCTCGAGCTGCTCAAGGAAATCGGCAAACTTGTTCATGTACTGGTCGTAGGCGAGGATGGCCTGAGATTGAGCATTGTGGAAATTATTGTACCAAATGGCAATCAAGGCCAGCAGGACGGGCAGGTTGTCCTCCAGCTTGGCATTCTTGAAGTGCCTGTCCATCTCGTTTCCTCCCTTGAGGAACTCCTCGAAGTTCTCGTAGCCAATGACAAGGGCAATGCTGAGACCAATGGCGCTCCAGAGCGAGTATCGGCCACCGACCCAGTCCCAGAACTTGAACATGTTGGCCTCGGCGATACCGAATTCGGTAGCAGCCTTGACATTCGTGGAGAGAGCAACAAAGTGCTTCTCCACGTGTGCCTTGTCCTTGGCAGTCTCCATGAACCAGTCGCGAGCGGCAGTAGCGTTTGTGATAGTCTCTTGAGTAGTGAAAGTCTTCGAAGCGACAATGAAGAGGGTGGTCTCAGGGTCGCAGACCTTGAGAGTCTCGGCGATGTGAGTACCGTCGATGTTAGAAACGAAGTGAGCGTCGAGGTCACGCTTCGAGTAGGGCTTAAGGGCTTGAGTGGCCATGACTGGGCCAAGGTCGGAACCGCCAATACCAATGTTTACGATCGACTTGATAGTCTTGCCGGTGTAACCCTTCCACGAGCCACTTCGGACGGCCTCGGAGAACTCCTTCATGTGCTTGAGCTCAGGAATGACCTCTTTGACACCTGCAACCGAGTCCTTGCCCTTGAAGTCGCCTTCTAGGTCACGGAGGGCAATGTGCAGGACAGCCCGGTCTTCAGAGCCGTTGATAGGCTTGCCGTCAAGCATGGCATCCCTGTGCTCCTCGACCTTTGCCTCCTTGGCAAGAGAGATGAGCGAAGCAAGGACATCGTCGTCAATCAGATTCTTTGAGAAGTCAAACAGGAGAGAGATGTCCTTTACTCGGTCTCCCTTGAAGGAGCGCGAATACCTTTGGAAACGCTGGGGGTCCTTGGCGAAGGCTTCCCGCAGATTGATCTTCTGCTTGGAGAGCTGCTCAAGCTTCGACCAAGAAGGGTAAGAGGTGGCGAGCTTCGACATGGTGGTGATCTAAGAGGTGTGATCTGTGACGAAAGCGATGGGAGGTGTCGTTGTTGGTAAAGATGATAACGCCAGAAGTCGGGAAGAAGAGAGTGAGCTCGTGAGTGGCAGTCAGTTGGGGCCGCACACAGGCGCCACGCGCACGGCAAAGTGTGGCTGCCTTCCTCCACCTGTCCACCTGGACTACATTGCCGAGAGTCGGAACGGGAAGGGACGGGACGGAACGGGCATAGGACATAAGACAGGTGGATTGCAGACTCGCAGACGGAAGACATCGTACCCGCCTGGACACCTCAATAGTCTGTCTCGTCATCATCGTCGTCATCCATTCTCGCAGCGCCCTTGTCAAGCCAGAAGCGCTGCTGGCTGGCGCCTTTGATCGACTGCTTCCTCTTGCCTGCGCTCTGAGCAGCAGATTGGGATCCCGACACTTCGCCTTCCTCGGCAGATGATGAGGCGTCTTCACTCCCCCCTTCGTCTTCTGACTCTTCACTGATATACGCTTTCGGTACGTCCAGGAAATCTCTCCGCCTCTTCTTGACTTGCTCGCCTCGTCTGCTGCTCGCTTGGGCTGCGTAGCGAGAATCGGGCTCGTCATCGCCTGAGTCCGAGGCGAGCGAGTGCGGGCCCACCGACCCGCGACCAGGGCCAGCAGTCGATGCCAGATGTTGGCGATCACTGGGCCTGCTTGTGGTCGTCCTCAGAGGTGTGCTATGCTGAGGTGGTAGATGGTGGGAGCCTTGTGCTGCTGCGCCGGGGCGCATTTGCGAGGAGGCTCCTTTGATATGAATGATCGAGTCTACGCTGCTATTTCCTGCGTCTCCTATATCATCTCTTCCATTCCGACCGCTCATCGCTCGAGGGCCTGAAGGAGGCGATGGAGGCGACGGCTGACGAGGTGCAGCCTCGCGAGGCTCGGGCGGACGTCGGCTCTCTTTCCAGGCATGCGAGGGCCCCGGGCTTGGCGACCTACGAGGCGGCGACTTGCCCAGCAGTTTCTGCAGGATGCCACTGTGGTAAAGGGCTTCGATATCCTTGCGGTTCTTCATCAGCTCCCTACTGACACCGATGATGCTCCCCAAGAGAGACTGCGGGTCCTTCTCCAGACCTCCAGCTCCGTTCCTTGCCCCATTGCCGTTCAAAAGAGCTTCCCGAGCCGCTTCGTCAGGGTCTTGCTCGAATCGGTGGTGTCTAGTATCGTTGCTGCCCGGTCCTGAGCGCCCGGCTGTGCCGTCGCCACGTCTGCCCCGCGACATCTCAAATCCCCTCTCACATACGGCAGTGGTAAGAATGTCGAAAGCTCCCGCAAGGGACGTCCGCACGCTGATGATATTGTAGGAGCCAGTGGCGATATCATTCTCCGGATTTTGAGGGTCTTCGATGGACACCTTGAAAGGCTTTTGACCGTCTTTCCAGCCTCGATGAGATTTATGGAAGTATGAGCCACGGCCGGTGACAGAGATGCCGGTATCATCGTAGCCAAAATTTTTGCCATATAGCTCGAGAAAATCAAGAAAGAGTACCCCAAGGTTACGAGCTGGATCAATCTCCCCACGCTGCACTCGCGGGTGCATCTAGATAAGGAGAATAGCAGTGATACGCATGGTCAGACTGCGTTCTTCATCTGAAGAAACAGGATGACTCACCTGCATGAAGTTGACGACGAGCAAGATGACGCTGAAGCTGCCCAGTCCGCCTGTGTAGACCTCGCTCATGCCCCTCTGCTGGAGCAGATGCTTGGTCAGCATGATCAGAGGTCGGATGGCTGGAACTTTGTCTTGTTGCTCATTGACCCAATCTGCAGCTTTGAGTCCATTGGTCTGGTTGACACTGATGTCACATCGGTACCTCCCGTGGGTGCATACAAATTTTATGATGGGTACCTTTGCTTTGGCAATGACTTGAACATCCGTGGCCAGGTTGTTCCTACGTAGGCAAGCGGCCATGGCTCTCAGGACGTTCTCGCGGCGCTGAAGATCCATTGCCCTCGATACGACGACGAGGTCGATGTCACCTTGGGGCAGGTACAGTTCAGTGTCTTGACTTCCAAAGGAATGGACCTCGGCGTCTTTCCATTGAGAATTGATGGCATTGCGAATAAGTCTGATGACCATCTTTCGGGACTGGTGCTCCTCTTTGGTTGGCGCGATCCAGCGTTCGAATGCCATCATCTCGCGATGGAGCTGCTGTGCCGCATTTCTGGCGGTTTTCCAATCAACATCGACACTCCAAGGCGTACCTCTTGCGGCCGCCCTCTGCTGGTCCTTCTTGGATCTGATGTCCCCATCGCCTGGCTCGCCATCACCATCGATCTTCCTCTTCTTGCCCTTGCTTGACGATGCGTTTGCTGCCTCTCCGCTTCGTCGTGAGGACTTGGGACCAGTAGGTACGCCGTCTCGTCCCCTCGCCTGGTGGCGGCCACCTCGAGCAGATCCAGGCGAGGTAGGACGGGAAGACGGGCCTGCCTCTGCCTCTATCCCGCTGCCGATTCCTTCTTCATCCCCGAAGTCAAAGCCGATGAAGTCGTCTGCCCATACTTCCGGCTTAGAAGCCTCAATAGCCGTCATCTGAACCCGACGACTTGCAGAGATGAGGGTCAGGTAGGGAGGTTGTTGGTTGCAGTGGTACACTAAGGGCAAAGGATACGGAACGAGGCATGTCCCTCTGCTCCCGTCGGGCCAATGGCTTTTTGCCCAAATTGCCGTGCGCGCTCCACTCCGACGGTCGAGGGCAGAGAGGCACACCCACTCACACAACCACTCACAAAGGGCGTACCTACCCATTGGCCCCCCAACCACCACCACCCCTATACCCCACGCCATCATCAGACGGTGACACAGAGCTTGGTAGCAGCAGAGGTACTCCTGCAATCTGTCCCAGAGCTTTGAGGGCTCTGTGAGATCACTCCGGCTTGCTTTCTCCCCCCACGCTTCACACATCCTACCGCATCTCACCAGAGGATAGCATCGGTGACCAAGATCTCATCTCTCCCTCAGCGGACTTGAGGCTGCCGTAAGCCCACTTTGGCACAGGATGAAGATCACAAAGACGCCAAAGAGGCTCGCAGAAGCAGTAAGTCATCACAAGAGCAGGAGGTGCAAGCGTATACAGCAGGTTCCTGATGACCACATCCTCCATCACCTGCCGAACAGAGCCCCGAAGTCAAAAGCCTTCTGGACAAGGTGTCAGCGGTCAGCGACGATGAGCTGCCCATCGTGTTGGATCAAGTGTCGGAGTGGTGCTGGCCTAGAGGTGACTTGCACTACTGGACAGGGGTACTCAACCGCTTTGATGACATCTTGGCAGCAACCTGCAAGGAGTATGACCTCGCCAAGACTGTTCACGCAAAGGAGTTCACCACAGACCGCAAGAAGATGCTAGTATCCATCTTGCGCTTCTCCCGGCTGCTCATTGAAAACTGCACAAATCGCAAGCTCTATGATTCTTATGATGTAAGTGATGGATGATATCGAGGCCGCCTCTTCCTAACATTGTGCTGACTTGGTCCTCCTTTCGCCCTCCGCTCTTATAGCATCTCAACGATCTACTGCTCTGTCGGGACATCGACGTCCTTGAAGCGACAATCCGTCTCATACTTCGCCCCGCACAACAGTATAGTAGTCAGTCTGTTGGCCGCTTAGGTCCTTCCATATCACAGTCCCGCCTCGCCACCCTGGCTCTCACTTGGTCTCCTAGGGATCACGGGCTCGACATGGTCTCGATGGCTCGTCCAGATGCCGCCATCCCTGAAGAACTGTTGGGTGTAAGATTCCAATTCTACCGCCGCAACACGAGCAGCGGTGGGTCTCAGTCCGTTGGAGCATCCGCTGCAGCTCCAGAGGCTGGCCCATCTCGTTCTCATGTTGTTGCGAACGGCGCAACTACCACTCCAGCTCGATCTTCTTCTGCTGTTAGAAGAGATCGCCCCACGCCAGCTGCGTCTGCTTCTGTCGCTTCTGGGCTGGTGGCGCCGAGTGGCGAGCAGTCTGCTTCCGCGCCTGAAGAAGGTCTCACCACCATTACGATCAAGAGCGTACCCGCTCTCAACAAGGACCCTTCCACGATCTTGCGTGAGACTGTCGAAGAGTACAAGGTACCGCCTGAAGATCACTTCGAGCTTTACCTGAAAATCCGGTTGGCTGCATCAATGTCTGATCCTCAGGAACGACAACGGCTCCTTGTCTGCCGCCTCTTGGCTGTGGCTTGCTATTCTCACATCACCCCAGAGCCTCTCGCCAATGTGCAGCTCTTCCTCTACGAGCCTGACATTGTACAGAAAGCGGCTGCATTGGCAGAAGTGGATAGTGGACTCGATGAAGCAATCAAGTCAGCAGCGCTGTACGCCCTAGATGCCTTGGGCAGATTCAAGTCAAAGCTCAGCGAGGTCTTGAGCTCTGTCAGTGCTTCGGTCAATCACGGAACGCTCCTGCGTACTCTACAGACCATCATCGAACAACTTCAGCAGCCGGATTGCCCTGCCTCCGAGCATCTGATTGATAGTCTGTTTGGCCTGATCGCCTTCATCACATCCACCACACCAGGTTGCAACATGATTGTGGGGGCAGGACTCATTCCTCTCCTCGTGCAGCTGGTCAATACCTGCCGATCCGATGTGTACATGGCGCAGAGGACGGTTTCGCGGTCTATTGGTCTCATTGATAGCGTAGTCTACAGCTTCCAACCATCTTTCCAATGGTTCGTGGATGCACGAGGCTTGCCGACATTCGTTGCTCGTGTTCAGCATGAAGTAGAGAATGACATCAGGCACACCAAGGCCCGCACCATGGAAGATGGTCTAGGAGCCTTGTATGGCAAATTGTCTTTCGGCAGAGCCTCTTTACTGCGCAGCCTTTTGAAGACCCTGTCGCACATGATGACCTCTAGCGGCAACGCGGATGGTCTGCGAGGACTGATCGACTCTTCCCTCCTTGACTCGATCAAGGTGATCATGGGCGAGAGGGAAATTTTCGGACCCCAAATCCTGGCGCTAGCCATCAATCTTGTTTCGGCATTCATCCACAACGAGCCGACCTCACTCGGTATCATACAAGAGCGCAAGATCCCAGAGCTTTTCTTTGATCTGGTCGAGCAGGATATCGAAGCTGTCTCGGACGTCATGGGCGCGATACCCAATGCCATTGGTGCTATCTGCCTCAATGAAGCCGGGCTTGCCCTCTTCAACACCCGCAATATCATCACACCGATGTTCGCAGTCTTCACCTCAGCTCGTCACCTCCGAGTACTGCTGGACCGTGATAATGCTGCTATGTTTGGGTCAGCAATGGATGAGCTAATTCGTCACCAGCCTTCACTCAAGCAACGAGTGTTGGATGCCATCCTCGGCGTGCTGGACAGGATTCAAGAGCTAGGGCTGTCGTACACACCACCCCAAGATGATGCTGATGAGCATGACCGCTACAGCTTGCAGATGGTCCCAGAACTCCTTCCTTTGCCTGCGTCAACGTCATCGGCTGACAATGTGGCAGCTGGTACTACGCGCTCGCTTGCCCTCGGAGACGTGGTTATGGATGAGTCAGACACTCTTCGCAGCAAAGAAGACGATGTCAAGGGTAATGATGTGATTGGCTTCATGGACGTCACAGCTCGCTTCCTTGATGGCTTCTTCCAATCAGCCTCGCACTGCAAAGACTTCATGAAGTCAGAAGGACCAGAAAAGCTGCTGAGATTCGTCTCGTTGCCTTGCCTGCCTTACAACTTTCCTACGTCCAATACCGCAGACTCGTTGGTTTCTCTGCTACGCTTCATGACCGAGGTCAGCCCCAGCGCGGTCCTGGCTGCTGTTCTGAAGGAGCTGCATCGAGGCCTGACCGAGACGCAAGACCTGTGGGATCGTGATCCAAATGTCTCTTCTGTGGCGTCAATGCTGGCTCCTTCCAATGACGCCGCTCTCGCCGCCGCTAACGAGAAATTCCGCAAGCTGATCAGCCTCAACTCGCGATTGCACCTTCTATCCGATGTGTTACCAAGCTATGCCTTCACAGGACCCAAGACTCCTGGAGCCTTTCTTCAAGTTCTGCAGGCCGGCGTCTCTTCCCCTCAGCTTGGCCAGGCGACCCTCACTAGGCTGGGCGCCCTCCATAGTATCGTCACATGGGAGAATATCCTGATCAAAGCCACGGCGCCAAGTCTACCGAAGTCGCCACCTGCGGCCGACGCAACCGAGGGAGCTCTCGAGAATGTTGACGCTTCACGGGCACCACAACCGGGTCTTCCTAGCAACCTACTCGAAGACAATGCTGGGCTCGTAGAAGCCCGTGAAGCACCGGAACCCTCTTCTCCGACTACCAGGGATCAACTAGCAAAGGACCCGAGGATCAGGAACAGTACCGCTTTGAGATATGTTCTGTCCCAGTTGCCAGTGTCCCTGAGCTCCATCTTCTCTGAAGCAACCCGAATTCTCACCCCGAAGCGTTCGCCCGATCCGGCTCAGCGTCGAACGGCTGCTCAGGTAGCCGATTCCATCGGCAAATCACTTCGCGTGCAATTGGTGCCGCCCGAGTCCAACAATGAGTCCAACAATCTCGCGTTCATCACCATGATGATCGGTCACCTCACCAACGTGCTCTACGATGACCGCTCTGCGTCCGTCGTTGTTCACACGGGTGTGCTCCATGCTTTCGAAAGAGCTGGTGGTGTCGAAGCTCTCCTGTCCCTCTATCAACGCTACGTCGACCAATTGGACGCACACTTCGCACAAGAGGATGCTGGTGCAAAGGATAGCAACGAAGCTAGTCTGCGACTTGGCCATTTGTGTGGTGGGCTGAAGGTCAGTCTCAATTTGCTTCAGAACCTCTCAGCTTCACGGCCACTGCATGATGCCCCCGCCACACAGCAAATGACCGCCAAGGACAATCCGTCATCTGCTGACCAGTTTAAACCTCACGAATTGCTGCTGCGTCTGCGATCTGTGATCTTACCTCCAGTACAAGCGACTTGGAACAAGGCTTGGCTAACACAGGTTCCACTGAGCGTCAACCGATCAGTCATGCAGACTCTGCTGCATATTCTGCAAGCCGAGGGTGAAGATCCTCCAAAGCCCAAGGTGGAAGCTACGACAAGCCACGGACTTAGCAGTGCTGGGTCAACGCAAGCAAATTTGGGTGGTTCTGCTAGCGCGCTCAGCAACTTTTTGGGCGGACTCGGAGGCGGACTATCGGGAACACTCATGCTCGGCGGAGGTCCGCCTGGAGCGAATGGTTCTTCTCTGGCCCGCCGTCAGCCTGTTGTAGTTGCAGCAGACGAGAGTAGAATTCAGCTACTCACTGATATGGGATTCCCGCGCGGAGCAGCTCGACATGCTCTCTCTCGATATGGTAACAATGCGAACGCAGCTACTGAGTACCTGCTTGCCCACCCAGAGATTGTTGGCTCCATGGCGAATGAGCCGGAGCCTGAACCGCCGGCTGCTCCGGCGGCCACCACCCCTGAGGTTGCACCCAGCGCATCCAGCGGCGAGGCCCCTTCTGGCAATAGTCGCAGCGTCGATGACACTCCCATGGCTTCCGTGGGCGGCAGTGGCAATGTCGCCTCGCCTTCCCCCGCCGATAGCGATACGGCAATGCGCGAAGCTCCTCCCGACGTCGAGACCGACAAGTCCGGCCCAAGCACTGAGGTTGGTCAAGACGAAAATTCGTCCCTCACCTCCCTGCACGGCACGCTGAAGACCAAACTTGACGAATTGCGCAAGCCACTGGCAGCCAACATCACGATACGCGGTTTGGAGCTGGCAGATCACCATGAAACTCTAGTCTTTGACGTGAAGGATTCCATTTGCATCTTTGCGGACGACAAGGAGAAGACTAGCAATACCCTGAAGACGCTCCTCGAGAATATACACTCGGTGCAGCCTACAGCCTTCGCCTCGACTGAGGTAGCTACTGCAACGCGACTACACCTGATGGCGCTCATCTTTAACGAGCAGATCGTGCTGAAATCGTTCAACGAGGAGCTGGCCCAAATGGCTTGCAACGTCATCGGTGCCTTGGCTGCAGGCTACGAGCAACGACCTGAGCAGAACAAACATCCCAAGTGGCTGGCCAGTCTCTGCTTAGTAGCATCTGCTGTGCTAGGCTCTGAAGAGGAGACCTTGGAGGGCCGCAAGCCCGACAAGGATTCCGTTGAGACTACTGAGGAGCCTGTGAGGAAGCCCAGCCGTTTCGAGGCCGAGGCCCATGCATTCTATGAGCTATGCATGCGCGTCCTTGCCATGCCTGAGACGCTGGCCAATGAGGAAATGCTTTCGGTCTATCGACTGCTGGTCCTACTCACTCGCAACCCCCATATTGCTGCTTCACTTGCAAAGAGAAGTGGCGTGCAGACGCTCTTAAGGCCATTCTTGACGAGCCCAGCTGGTGTCAAGAACTGTCAGTCTTACCTCATTATTTGCCTTCGTCACGTGGTCGAATCTCGAAGTCAGCTCAAGATCGCAGTCCAGCAAGAAGTGCGTGCCTGGTTTGCTCAAGCAAGAACTCAAGTTGTCGATGCCACCGCCATGATGCGAGGTCTGAGTCAAGCAGCATTGCGAGACCCTCAGATCTTCATGGAAGTTGTCAAAGAGAACGTAGAGATGGCGGACTTCGTCGTTGCCAAAGGCAGTGCAGCGCTCAAGCTCATCTCATTAGACGACACCCCAGCGGCCAAAGGAGGGAAAGACTCTGCCTCCGTCACCGACGCGGATCATGCTGGAGACAGAACGCTAGCGGATGAAACTTTCGATGCACCCGCGTCACCTACAAGAGGTCACGCCGAGCTGGACGCCCAGATGGACGACCTGACAAAGAGCATCAAGGACAAAGACGGCAAAAACAGTGCCGGGCAGCAACACACGAGCAGCGATGCTGACGCTGTCATACACTTCCTCCTGTCTGAGCTCCTGCGTACCTCACGTGAACGACTTGCTCTCTGGTCTCAGAAGAAAGCTCGCCAGAATGTTGGTGGAAACGTGTCTCCCGCTGCAGCAAATGAGAAGCCGCAGGACCACAGTGACATGTCTTCCAACACGGCAGACGCAGCAAATGGCACTGGCGACAAGCCCGCGGCTGCCACCACCGATGCAACGCCGGAGAAGAGCACCGAGGATCAAGAATTGGATTCTACCTACTTCTACCTCTGCTTCCTGATGCAGTGCCTCACGGAGCTGACCTCCAGCTATGTCGCATGCAAGAGCTCGTTTATCAATTGCAGCAAGAAGCGACTTGCTGCTGTTGCCAGTGCTACCGGCAAAGATCTGTCCAGCTCAGCTGGCTCTGTTCCTGCGACACCGAAAGTCAGAACTCTGCCCGGAGTCACTACTCTGTTCTTGCATGAGTTAGTGCCGTCTGGCTTTGTCGAGCGCATCGACGATGTCGAAGAGAGCCGTCGAAGAGCGACGATCTCCAATTGGGCTATGAGCAGCATTGTTGCCCTCACAGCTGACGTCGGCTTTCACACTGCCATCAAGGAATTGTCCCCTAGTCTCATCAGTGTGCGCAAGCAGATTCTTGACGCCCTTGCCCGAGCACTCAAAGATGCAGTGGCATCGAATGAGGTCATCGAGGTGAGGTATGGGCGTCTCTATGCGCTCGCTGACCTTTGTCACCGCCTTCTCACGGCTCGCCCGAATGGCATTATCGGAGGCGTCAAGCAAAGCGAGGAACTGACACTTCACATTGCGAAGACCATGCTGGAGAAGTATTTCGTGCCTCTGCTTACCAGCGCTCTGGGCGACGTCGATTTGAACATGCCGACGGTGCAATCCCTCCTGGACGCTATTCTGCGCCCTCTGGATCACCTCACCCGCATCGCCATTAGAGCGCAATCCAAGAGTGAGCGGGTCGGTCGTGCCTTTGCCGAAGAAGAGGAAGATGAGGAGTTCCTCGATTCGATGGACGAGGAGACTCTCGAAGAACGGGAAGAGACGCCCGACTTCTATCGCAGCTCTGCTCTTGGCATGCACACTGGCGAAATGGGCACCACCCAGGACGACTCAATGGACGAAGACGATGAAGAGGAGATGGAAGATGATGAGATGGGTGAAATGGACTACTCTGACTCCGAGGACAGGAGTGACCTCAGCGATGAAAGCGATGAGGACGATACAGACGACGAAGATGACAACATGCACGATGCCATGGTTGAAGTCATCGATGAAGACAGAGCTACCTCAAGCGAGTCCGGAGAGGATGACGAGCTCGATGAACTAGAGGATGATGGGGAGGATGAAGATGAAGAGGACGGCTGGACTGACGATGACTCGGCTGACGATCATTCTAGCGGAGAATCTGAAGAGGACGCCCTCGACTTTGTCGTCGGTGGAGACGGCGCAGAGGGAAGTCATCCACTCCATGGACCCTACGATGGTCTTGGCTGGGACGACCCGGAGGAGGGAGATCTTCTCGAGCCCGTCGACGTTGGTGGTGATGAGGACGATGAAGACGAGAACGAGACAGAGGATGGCAACATGTTCGAAGAAGACAATTACGAGGAGGACGAACTCGACTTACTTCAAGACGTCGGTACGACTGCTCGACACATCCCCAGCCACGACAGGTTCGGTGCCAACTGGAGCTGGGCGAATGTGGCGCCAGGCGGCGGTCGTGGTGGCGCTACCGGTCCAATCGGCGCAGCTGCCCTGCCACCAACGTTCTTCCTGGGTCCCGTCGGTCCAGAAGGTGCTGGAACGGGCGCCGATGATGGCTTTGCCGGTAACCCTGCGGCGGGCAATCGACGTCCTCGTCCACGAGCACCTCCTCTTGTCAACACTGATCCTGCTTCCCATCCCTTGCTCGATGATCAGCGCGAAATTCTCAACCAGAGGCAAGCCTCGCGCCGTTCGCGTCGAGCAGGGCACTCTTCGGGCTACCAAGACTGGGCACAGAGTATTGACGAGCTCATTGGTGGCGGCGCTATTGAGCTTTTCGATGCCATTTTCGGTCGCGGAGCTGGTGGCGGGGGCGCCTTGCCTGGACCAGGCGGTGCACACGGTGGAGAAGCAGAGATCAGAATCGAGATGGCAACTGGTCAAGGCGCTCCGCACATGCAGATCACTGGCCCCTTCGGAGCGACTGACAATCCTGCTCTCGCTGGCATCGTGAACCGCCTTCCAGCAGGAGCGAATGCACGCTTGCCAACGAGGCATCACTTCAGACGTACGCTGACCGGCGTCCCTGAGCAGCGCCACAGCGATCCGGTCGCGGCGGTCCATTCCTTCAGGCCTGCATCAACGATGTCACGCTGGACTGACGAGGAGCGTATCGTCTTTGGTGAGCTCGCTCCCGAGCATTCCAGCCGTCTTCGCAACCACGTGGTCAACGCGCTCATGCCCAAATGGAAAGAGTCCTCGAGTGCCACGGCGAAGCAACAACAGCAAAAGGGGGAGCTTGCTGAGGTCACCAATGAGCGAAATCGAATTCTGGAGGAGCTGAATCAGATTCGAGACAGATTGGCCCGCAATCGGACCGAAGTCACTGATCTTCGCGATGAAGTCGCTCGTCAACGAGGAAGCCAAGACGATCAAGACGACCAGTCGCGTGCCACCGAAGCCTCAGCATCTGCACCGCGAGCGACCTCGACCGCCACAGGACAAGAAGACGTTGAGATGACCGAATCTTCTCAGCAGCAACAGCCGACAGCACAAGCGCAAGCGCAGGCGGAAGGCAGCGATGCCAATTCGCAGCCCCATCTGGAGCTTGCATCTCTGCAGCAGGGTTTGCGAGACCTCGACTCAGCCATTGCTCAGACAGGCGCAGAATTCGAGAGGCCCGAAGCTGACTCAACGGAGCAGCCTGACCCTTCGGCTGCAGCGGCAGAAACGACTGAATCAGCTGCGCCGGCCCGTGAGATGTTCAGCATCAATGGCCGTGAGGTTGACATTACTGATCTGGGCATTGATCGAGAGGTACTGGACGCTCTGCCGGAGGAGATGCAGGAGGAAGTCGTTTCGCAAGCTCTCCGTGAGCATCGAGCGGCTACTGTTCCGGGTCAAGAAGAGACAAGCATCAGTCCGGAGTTCCTCGACGCTCTGCCGCCGGAGCTTCGAGCTGAAGTGCTTGAGCAAGAGGCTGCGGAACGAGCACAGACTCGACGAGAACAGGCTGCAGCTCAGGCACGTTCAGCCACGGATGCCGCTGCCGCCGGAGCTCCAGCTGCTACTACTTCCCGACAGCAACAAGATGGAGCCAATGCGGGCTCCGCTGAACAGCGTCCGCCCAGCGCAGGCTTGGCTGGAGGCTTGACTCTTGGTCGTCCAACCCCAAGAGGGGCAGATGGGGAGGACTTTCCTGGCTGGCTCCGCACGCGCACAGCAGAAGACTTTTCTCGGCGCTTGGCGAGCATGGCGCAGCATCGACGACAAGCTGGTGGCGAAGCCGGGCAGAATGCGGGATCTGGCGCCGACAAGGGTCCTCCACGTGATGCGATTCAATTGCTCGACAGCAATGGAATTGCAGCTCTGATTCGACTCCTCTTCTTCCCAACCCTCAACGCCCGACAATCCGGTCTTCACAAGGTCCTGGCAAATCTGTCGCAGAACAGCAAGACTCGTACGGAGATACTTTCGATGCTTCTCCGCATCTTGTCAGAAGGCTCGACCGATGTGACTGCCGTAGACAGGTCTTACGCGAGCATGAGTGCTCGTGCCCAGGGAAACACGCCTGGCAAGCCTCCTGTCAAGCGCTCGACGTCTATGGGAGTTCTGCAGCTATCTCAGGCTGGCGGGTCCAACACGGGCTCGGCAGTCGCACCTCTGTCCCGAGCGGGCGAAGAAGCCCCCTTCCTCATCGCCTCTCGCAGCATCGAGACGCTCTTGCACTTGACCAGCAGCAACGATCAGGCAGCCCTGTACTTCCTCCGCGAAGACCCGCGTATGATCAAGAAGAACAAGGGCAAAGAGAAAGAGAAGGGGTCAGCACCGGTCAACATTCTGCTTGGTCTTTTGGAGAAGCCTTCTATCCTCGGCAATGCTCAAGTCGTCGACTCGCTCATCGCGCTGCTGAACACGGTCACCAAGCCTATCCCAGGTCTGGCCGCTCAGGCCGAGAAGGACAAGAAGGCTGAGGAAGAGGCGGCGGCAGCCGAAGCAGCCAAGAAAGGCAGCGAAGAAGCCGGGCCTGAAGTACCCGGGCCGTCAACGACTACCGAAGCGCCCGCCGTGCCCACAGCTTCTGTGGATAGCAAAGCTCCAGAGCAAGACGCAAAGGAGGACAAGGATAAGGATGCAACTGCTCTTGTTGCGACCAAGCCACCTCAGGTTGCAAAGGAGCGACTGGCTGCTGTCGTGCGCCCATTGGCGACTGCCATATCCAGCAAAGGTTTCCAGCACACTCTCGCAGTCGCCTCTCACCTGGCAAGCATCGACAGTGACTCCCGCCAGGCCGTCACCGAGGCGCTGCAAAGGGAAGCTACTGCAGCCACTGCTGTCCTGAGCGAGAACCTGGATATGCTCCTAGCCACTCTCCCGCCCAAGAAGACGGCAGAGGAGGAAGAAGCCGACGAGAAGGCCGCACAGCAACAACAGCAGCAGCGTGCCAGTGGAGATGTGGACGTCGATGGTGGGCAATCGGAGAGTCAGCCGCGGGTGGACCGAAAGAGGATCACCAGCTCGGCTTTGCCCTTGCTGGCTAGCCCTGCTAGTGCGCAGGCGAGGCTCTTGAGGTCCTTGCGAGCCATTGAGTGGTTGCACGGAGGTCGATGATTCGAAGAGGTCAAGCATTCAGGGGAGGCGGTCATGTCGAATCTTCGGTCTCGAAAGTCGTGGGAAGGTAGAGGTGATGAGGGCAACCGCAGTGGGCGGACGAGAAAAGCAAGCAATCAACTAATTACAACTCTGTAGATCGCCTTCTTCAGTCTTCCTTTTTCAATATCAATATCACACAGCACAAAACGAGTCTGATTTTCTAGCTGACCGAGCCATGTCTGATGCAGCTGAGGGAACGAAGTGAGATTGCATCTGTATATATGGTACTGTCCAGCTGCCCAGCCCACCGTTCCCTCTGATTCCTCTCCCTCCTTGCCTTCCTTTATTGCGGAGGCCGGAAAGGCTGCACGAGGTAATTTGAGAATTCCCTCAACTTGTCCGTCCCCCTGATCTCCGATGTTTCCAGTGGCACCTTTACAATGTGGAAGTCTTCTCCATAGAGTTCTACAATGGAGTCTAGATATTTGGCTTGCATAGACTGGCGCACACGGCAGTGGTCGCAATTGGAGCCTGGACCGGGAGAGAAAGGAGTGCCAGTGATGTGAGATGTGCTGCATTTGAGAGGCCCCGCTCTTTCTCATTTCGGGTAGATACTCACCCTTGGGAGGATAGAGCAATTGGTTGACAACGATGGCATGGGTATCAATCTCGTACTGCGTCAGCTCCTGAATCAACCGCTCCGTTTCATATACCGAGAGGAATTCAGAGATGCAGACGCAGATGAACGTCGTCTTTTCCGGGTCCTTGAATTGCGTATTGACCTCATTGATGACGGCTCGCATCGACTCGAGCTTGGCAAACATGTCCTCCTGATTGGGCTGGGAGCCACCGCCCATCATGCTCGTCATCTGGTTCAGCATTGGTCCAAAGCTCCTACCGAGCGTCGAGAACTTGGCAAGAGCCTTTTCTAGAACGGTGGGGAAGCTGAGGAAACGCAAAGTGTGGCCAGTGGGGGCCGTGTCGAAGACGATGACCGAATACTCCATTGACTTTACGTGCTTCATGATCTCTGCGAAACCCATGGCCTCGTCTACTCCGGGAATGGCAAAGGCTAGGTCGGACATCATAGAGGACATGGCTCCGCCTTGCTGGTCGGCTGAGGGAGAAAAGTAGGGAGGGTGAAACCAATCAGAGGTCACGTCAGTCAAGACTGCCTTGTTGTACAGGTCGGGCTACTACTGCCTGCCTGCCTGCCCACTCACACTGCTCAATCATCTCTTGAATGCTACTTGCTGGGTCAATCTCCATTGCACTAAGATTGTCAAAGCCATTGACCTTTGTGGCCTCTTTTCCAAACTTCTGACCAAAGGCATCGCTCAAGTTGTGCGCCGGGTCTGTGGAGATGAGGAGGACACTCTGCCTCACCTTAGCCAGCTGGATTGCCAGAGAGCACGAGGTGGTCGTCTTTCCTACACCTCCCTTTCCACCGCAGAAGATCCACTTGAGGGAGTGTTGGTCGAGGATGGACTGTAGGTTGGGAGGGTTGTGCTCTACAAAGGCTACGTCTGTCATCTTGGGCGAAGAGGGAGGTGATGTGCTGGTGAGGAAGGATGGCAGTGGTGTTGGTGGTGTTGTTGGTATTCAAGAGGCGCACAAAGGAAGCGGAACGGGGCGATGCGCCTGGACACTTCTGGCAGCTCCACTTGGTCATTACTGCCATTCTCGCTACCATTCACTGCTCCTCTTGGTCCATCATTCGTATCGCAGTGGTCATGGCAGCGACGTCTGCTTCAACTGCTCGAGGGAGCTTGCGGTCTCTCACGCAGCTGTATGGCCCTGCACAGCTCCTCGAAGCTCCGGGAAGGCCTTGGAGCGTAGACGACTTCAAAGCGGTGGACGATCGAGTGAGAGGGGGAGCGTCCACCTCAGCAGTGCGCCTCACGGAGCCTCAGGGGGACAAGACAGATGCAAAGGCCGGCGAACTCGTCTTCTCTGGGTTCCTCGACATCACCACACTTGGAGGGGCAGGATTCGCATCGCAGCAGTGCATCGCCAGCCCGCCTTTCCCCGTCCCTCTCTCACAGCAGAATCACAGTGGCCTTCGGCTGCTTGTGCGACCAGCCAAGGGAACCACTGACGCGACGGCTGACGATGAGGGAAAGGCGCCCGGAGGTGGCAAAGGCCCTGTCAGGTCGTACCTACTGAACCTATACCCGAAGCTGCCAGTCAAGCGACCCGATGGCCGCAACGAGTCCAGCATCACCTACGAGCACACGTTCCGCCTCGACCCACCAGTCTCGTCCAGCAGCCCAGACGGTGACGATTCAGATGACCTCTTGTCTGTTGATCTAGCCTGGAACGACTTCAAGCCCTTCTACAGAGGCAAACCCGCAGAGGACGCTGGACCTCTCGACCCTTCAGAGGTGAAAATCTGGAGCCTCATGGCACGCTCCGACTTTGGAGCTCAGTCCGGTCCCTTTGAGCTGCAGGTGCACAGTCTCTGGGCCGTTGGCAAAGAAGAGGGAAGCCTTTCTGCTTCTCAAGGACACGAGGTGTGTGGAAAGGAGCGTGCCTGTGTCTGGGCAAAGGAGGAAGATCGGTGGCAGCCAGCTGATATGAGCGGGTCTACAGGGTTCGCCCTCTACCTCTTCGCGACCCTCGCTCTTGTGATCTGGACCCTATGGGCTCTGACGCCCGACGCTTGGCTGAAAGCCTTAGGCATTGACTGGTACCCTAGCCGGTGAGTTCCCCTGCTAGGCTGACTGCAATGACGGGCTTAATTAACCTGACTCAACCCCCTGTCCGCTGAATTGTGTCTTTCATCCAGAGAGTGGGCTTTCATTCTACCTTCCTTCTCACTCGTGCTAGTCCTCTTTGCATACATCGCCTATCTGGGCCTCAATATACAAATGACGCCAGACTTAAGTGACCTACGGACGATGACAGGTGCGTCAAGGGTGGCCTCGCACCGACGCTCATTTTGCAACCATTGCAGCACTGACTGATTTCTGCTTCTGCAACCGCACTTTATGCTTCACGCAGACTCGCACGCAACTCTACTGCCGGTCAAGAGGGCAGATGGCATGACCTATGCCGAGGCCAAGGAGTACTACGCGCACGGGCATCCTATGCGTGAGAGCAACATCTCTCCCGAGGAGAGGCGGCGTCTGATGGGAAAGGAGATGTACGATTTGCCGCGCAGAGATAGGGAGTGATGGTATGATGGCCGTGGACGTGGACGGGCGAGTTCCAAGATTGGGACCGGAGAGAAGAAAGGAGGGCAGGGGCAAAGGGAAGCACGTCTCAGCTCATACCCACATTGTCACCACGTCAATCGAGAGACTGTCAATGCCGTACACCCAGCGACTACAGAAAGAGATCTGATATATGTTTGTCGATTGTGGAGACCATTTCCAGGTCAAGAAGGCAGCGTTTTGCGCAAAGTGCACAATTTCAGTTAGTGTTATTAGGTAAGCATTACCTTGCGCGCTTAATGAGAACTGGACGGTCAGATTGTGCGAAGCAGAAGTTCCCGTCCAAGGGAGTCTTCCCAGCGGCTCCTCTGACGACGAGGACACGCGCACAGTCTGTCGAGGCAAAGGTAGAAAGTACAAAACTATGAATGTATTTACTGAACGAAGGAAAAGAAACTCGAAGAGCAGACAAGAGTTGATGGGGAAAAAGAGGGTATGGGATGGGTTGCAGATGCGTATGCAGTTGAGTAGGTGGGGTGTGAGGTAAGGGAGGGGAACACAACGACCTGAAGGGAAGGGTCGCACCCGCTCAGATAGCGAGCGGATGGAGCGCAAAGCCCTTTCAAGTGGGCACGGCATGGGTGCCTACTTGGGTGTGTGAGCTGGCGTGGTGGCACTCGAGTGCTGGTGCAGGACATCGCGTGCGCGCGAGGACCTTGCGAATCCCTCGTGGTGCGTACCAGGTACGTTGAGACCACCTACATCTTGTGCCTCTGCACGCATAGAGGGAGTGCCTTGGAGGGACCCGCCAGCGGCTACGCCAGGGGCATTTCGCACCATGTCCAGAGACGCAGCAGCGCCAGGGGCCTGGTTGCCGTTTGCAATGGATTGCTCAGAATAGCCAGCATCGCCATTGGCAGCTTGCTGATCTTTCCTGGCTCCTTGTGTGTAGTCATTCGATTGTCCCCGCGCTAGTGCCTGCTCCACCAAGCCCTTCTCTGCCATTGCAGGGTCCACGAGGGAGGCTTCTCCGTTGCGAATCGCCTCGGCCATGGCCACATCGTCGGCATCGAATTGCTTCACCTCCTCCGACTGTCCCTGATGACCGGCCTTGGCGTGGAAGACGACCAATGCCTTTCCTGCAGCTCGAGTGAACAATGTAGTGTTCACATCCTCGCGCCGCTTCACTTCTGCTTCGGTCAATTCGTGGTCAGCATCCTGACCAAAGACGACCGAAGTGTAGTCGAAGGCCTTGAGCAGAAGGTAGAAGCCTACAGCCATGAGGGATCCAAAGAGTGGGCCAATCCAGTAGATCCAGTGGTACCCTGGGAATTGCACATCCACGACTGCCGGGCCGAAACTCCTGGCGGGATTGACTCCACACCCTGTCCATCCAACACCGAAGAGATGGCAGACGAGAAGGGTAAGTCCGATTCCCAGGGGTGCAAGGTAGGTACTCTTGTGCTTCTCTGCAGCGAGGAAGAGGACAGAGAGGACCAGCATGGCAGTGAGGAATGCCTCGATGAAGAAGCCCTGTGCGACATTGACACCCGTGGATAGGGTAGTCGTCACTGTTCCCACACCACCAAAGGGCGTCAGAGCCGCAACTAATGCCGCGCCTGCGATTCCTCCAAGAATTTGTGAGATAAAGAGAAGTCCGGCTCGGAACCAACTCAGTCCTCCGATGAGATAAAGAGCAAGGGTGATGGCGGGGTTGAAACTGGTAGGCGAGGAGAGTGTATAGGTCAGTACAAATTCCCTTCCAGCTACGGTGTGGTGATTCGCGCTCAGCCACATTGATTCGTTCTACTCACAGTCCTCCTGTTACTCGGTAGAAGACCCAGGCTTGAGAAAGAAGACTAAGTCCGAAGCTGACGGCAATGTACATAATCGTCTGATTACTCAGGGTCTCGGAGGTGACCGTGTCCGTTTGCACCGCGCTGACAGTGTACTGGGCAGTCTTGGCTCCTCCTAGAGCAAGGAAGAGGAACAAGGTGGTCCCCACGAATTCACCGAGAGCGGCAATGAGATCTTGCTTGACACCCATGATGAGAGAAGTAGGAGATCAGAAGAGGTAGAGGACAAGCAAGTCAAAGCTGCAGTAAGGTCTTGGATCGAAGGATCCTTGTGTGACCGCGAAAGCTATGTATGGTAGGCAAGAAGAAGGAACGATATAGGGAAACTCAAAAGTGATCAAGAGGAGCAGGCTTTACCAGGAGGACGGGAAACGAAAGTGCAAAGCAGGGCTGGCAACGTCGTCATGGACTTTGTAATCTTCTTCCCCTTTCCCCTTCCCCTCCGTCTGATTCTTGCCTGCTGCCGTTTGAGAGCAAACCCCACCTCTACTTTCGCCTGGCCTCGGCTCGAGTGCAAGGAGCTGCCCGATTTTTTGGAGTTCAGACGGCAACGCAGCAATCGCGAGGTGAAAGCCTCAAGTGTGGTGTGCATAGCGCGAGGCTGGTGAAGGGCGATCGAGCAGTCGGGCCTTCTCCCAAATCAAGCACATGCTCACTCAATGGGCAACACCTCGCTTCTCCACTTTTTCTTTGTATCCTTGCAGGTCCAAGAAAAGGCATAGTGCAACTCGCCCCCACCTCGGCTCGTTGAAGCGTCCCTTGAGGCTGCCTGTCTGGTGCCGATTCGCGACGCGGAGTTGAGCGACCCCGATGGCACGGTAGCCCTGCATATGAGCGGCACCTCTTTGTCTAAAAAGAGTGGCGCAGAGGCTGTATATTACCGAAGGCCGAGGGCTCCGCCAGCCAGAGGGGTAAACAAGCAGGACGAAGAAGGAGGACCCTTAGCGGGAGGCAAAAAGTGGGAAGCAGTGACGGAGGACTGCATTACGCACACTGCGCCTCGCCACTTTGGCGAAGTTGCCGGCCGTGTCCTTTGACCAGATGCCGAGAGGGAAGTGCTCACCTTCCCAAGAAGGCTAGACTTGGCCTGCTCTGGTCTTGCCCACCAAGCCTTGCTACGAATGGAAGGTTCAAAGACCTCCTTGGATGGGGTGGCCCATTGGGTAGGGTAGGGAACTCACTTGGGGAAAGACAAGGAGACGCAGGGCCAGGCCTGTCAGAAATACCATGTCATGACATCATACTATGTGTCCCTGCATTGTACTCCGCTGAGCCGTGGGGCGCACGGTCCATACGTCCTCTTCACTTCCCGCGTCTCAGCTTCGTCCCCTCCTGGGAACAAACAACCGGCTCACACGGAGCACTTCACTCACGGTACACTGCAAGCCCCTACTGCTTCTCATAAGTCTTCTTCTGGTTCCTCAAAGTGCTTGTATCAACATTTCAAGGGCTGAAGTAAATCTAGACAGCAATTGCATCCAATACAGGCCCCTCGATAGAAAGTACAACTAGCGAGAATGAATGTGGACGAGCCGACGTCACGGAAAAGGTAGGAACGACGAGATAGGAGCGACGACAGACAGTATGCAGCCAGGCTGCCGTCATGCAGAGTCGCCCTTCAGTGGACGCGAGGCTTGCGGCGATAGGCTTCTTGGTTGGCTGGAGCACCCTTGAACTTGTCGGTCAGAGCGGCGTCTACACAACGGGACAAAGGAGCGTGGGAAATGCAGTGATCAGCGCGCCGCTCTCAATGCAGGTTCCTTCCCTGGAAGTCTTCACGTTCTCCATACCAACTCACATTCCTTGTCATCAGCAATGTAGACGAAATGTTCCAGCTGGTGTGGCTTCGACGAAGCTTGTTCATCCTTCCTCTTCTGCCTCTGGTCGTTCTCGATGCGAGTCTTCTCCCTGCTGGCTGTTTCGTAGTCACCGCTGCGAATGCCCTGAGCGACCTTGCACCACAGTTTCCTGCTCTCCCTCTCACTTTGCTCCTCAAGCGGCTTCACCTCGACCTCACGACGCTGAGCGCTAGCATCGCAGAAGACGGAGTTGGATGAGCCACTGGGCGACTTGCCCTTGAATTTCGACACTCCAGACCATTCACCTTCCATTGTGTAGAAAGCGGAGGTTGGCTGGGAGACGGGCGAAACGGTGGCCTTGAAACAGTGGCTCTTGCCCGAGAAGTACCCTTTTCCGGTGTAGTTGATGGTGGCCAGGTATCCGGTACTGCTGCAGATGTGACTGGAACCAGTAAGCTCCAGGTACGGAGAGCCTGATGAAGCGCATTCATCGGTATCAAGAGCTTCAGTCAGTACGGGGAGCATAGATGAGGCCCTGCCTTGTTGCCATTTCCGTCAACTCACCATACCACAGTCCTTCGATGACCAAATTGGGCAATGTGATGAGGTACAGATCCTCAGCACCGGACGAGTTGGCCACCCTCAAAGTAGCATGCCCCACTTGCTTCACATTGATGGAGCGCCCCGAGAAGGCCGTCTTTTGACCTGAGTGACCCTCCAGAGTAACGCCGGCTTTGGCATTGTGGATCCAATACGCAGTGACGGGTGGATGGTGTGACACCTGCTCGGCGATGAGCTCAGTCTCACCACTGCCGTCCTTATCGGACCACTTTCCGATGAATTGCTCGCCGAGCACTGGGTTGAGAGGCTTCTTCTCACTGCCGCTCTTCTCGTTCCTGGCTGTGTATTGTCCCTTGAGTGTTCCGATGAACCAGCGAAGAACGTTCACTGGAAGAGAAACAGCATTCATAGAGTTGCAGTCTCAGCTGATGGCCCAGTGCTATGTTCATATTAAGGTTCAGACAACTCACCCATCCGCTCGACGTCATCCCGTCCTTGGCTGCAAGCCGCGAACAGATCCGGATTCTCTCCCCAGTAGCTCTACGAGACAAAGGCATGAGATGTAGCAGCATTGTGAGCTCTTAATTCGCAGGGTGAGGATGGCAGCCCTTCTGATTGGCCTCGACCGTACTCACGGGATACTCAGTCAGCGAGGTAGGGCTCAAGATGAAGCTGGGAGCAGTCATAGCAGACAGATCTCCAGAGAAGTTGGCAATGGACTCTGCAAGGGAAACAAGAGAATGATGATCATCCCGCAAGGATGGGTGGTGAATGGCCGAGCTAGCGAGCCATTGCCGTCTGACGATCTTGTATACGTACTCAAGAATTGACCCCATCCTTGCTTTTGCCCCTCGGGCACACCGGCCATCTCCTTCTCTTCAGCCATAATGCGTGGAGCGTGGGAAGTGCGGTCGAGCTCTAAAAGTCTAGAGAGGTAGTGCCAGTAGCAGATTCGAAACAATCTCTGTACGAGTTGACAAGCCGATGAAGCGGACGGGAGGCGGATGAGAGCGGTGTGATGTAGAGGATCAAGGAGCAGGATGTCGTCGCGGGCGGTGGAGTGAGCGCTCCACTGTGTCTGTGATTGGGGCCGCCCCCCGCGCAGGAAACACGTTGTGCGGAAAGACACGGCGTGTGTGAGTGCAGGCGTGCGGGCGGACGGAGGGGCGGACGGACGGTAGCCAGGCGGGCGACTGCCAAGACGAGCACAATTGTCCGTCGTGACGGACAGCAGCAAGGCCGAGTCCGTCTTTGGCGCGGATTGGGTATACGGGACATATATCGCTTCTGCTCTGTTGACGCTGGTGCGATGTCCTGGCTCAAGCCGACGTAGCACAACACCTGACGCACGAAATCTCCAGGTACATAAGTGAATACATTGCATGCTCTTGTCGCGGGAATTACAATCGGGCCCTATCGGCTACAAGTCCAGATCTCTGACGGGGTGGCTTCGCAAACGGCGTCTCCTTACTCTCGCCAATTCTGGTGTCAAACGTTTCCTCTATGAACAATATAGCTACCCGACCGTCCTGTGAGATACCGTGATTGATTCCTGTCAAACGGAGCGGAAAGCAGTAGCTGGCGTCAGACTCTTGCCAGCCAGAGCAGTCCGTGAACGCCATTGAATCATGTACTCACCATCCGAGCCAGGCGCTAGGAGGTCATTGGCCCACTCTACCGAAGCTTGCCAACATCGCCCTGCCCAACAGCTGGGCCGTAGTGCTTGGCCCACCATCAAATCGCGGCCCACGTTGTATCCATCGTGATCAATCGTGTGGCTGAAGCGAAGACTCTGACGTATCGAGGGCATGCAAAGACAAGTGTCAGCAAACGTGCCCGCAGCTCGACGTTAGCCACCCCGCGCTTCAGCTGCTCACCTTCTCCTTTGATACAGCGAGGAACCAGGCACCAGTGTCCGCTGCTGAGCCATTCTGCTGCCAAGCTGTGACACAGGCAAGAATGTGGAAGAGTCAGCCTCCGAGGACGCTCGTGCCTCGCCATCTGAACCCAGAGACATACCTCTGAAATGGTTGCCGCCCGTGAAGCTTTCCACGCAAGTGCCTATCCAATCTCCAGGATCAGCTCCAACCAAGACCTCTCTCAGCTCAAAGAGCTCATTCTCCCACCCTTTGCCATCGCCGAGATTGGCTTGCTGATAGCCACCTCTGTGTTGTCGCAAGCACTCAAATGAGAAGCCAATCGACCTATTGAATGTACATGATCGTCAGGAAAAGCTTGTCAGCTAGGACGTTACCGCAAAGACTTGCACGTCATCCACCCACCTAGCGTAGTCCAGAAAGCCTTCCTCGGTGAGGATAAAGGCGTCACTCTGGCCCGACACGATGAGGTTGATAGGCTCAAAGAGGCCCTCCGAAGCGAGCTGTCGGGTATGATGACCAGTGGAGAATGTCAGTCAGTTTCTCCGATGCTGCTGCGCTGACGGGCGTTACTCACTGCTAGCATACTACCGCCTCCAGCTCGAGGGGACAGCCAGCCATCCCTCTGAAGAGTTGCATCTGGCCTCAGAGATGGTGCCAGGAGCTTCCAAGACGACAGCATGACTGAAAGCGCGGCTGACGGTACCGACAAGGTCCGAGCGCCGGCTTGCATCGCTCCGGCATACCAGAGCAAGCAGCCTACGAGACATGCTGTGGCGAAGATGAGTCCCCTCATCGCCTATTGATGATGGTGGAGGCAGCGTGGGGTCGTCTCAAGTCATGGGTGATCTCGGCGTTGGAAGACAATGTCAAGGATGCCAAGCGCCGAAGGAGGAGCGTCGGCGAAGCACGGGATCGGGGCTGGCGAGTGTGGAGAAGGGCAAGGTGAGCATCGGAAGGAGGAGCGAGGCGATTGATTGTCAGCCCGAGGGAAATCGGAACGGACTATCGCCCGGGCTCGGCCCCACCTTGAGGGCAAGGCACAGCACTCGGCGGTGCAGGAGGGCAAGGTGGAACGTGCAAGGCATGTAGCGTCGTAGCTATTTCTGGTCAGATTAGCGCTCAGGGCCCGGGGATTCCGCGACGAAGCACACGCCCCTCGGCACACGCAGCAGGCAGGACAAAGCATTGTTATGGGTCTCGAGCGTGTGGATCCCCTAAATGGGGTCAGGCCTTTGCTCTTTGTCATAAATTTTGTATCTCCCACACCTTCACTCGCCTGTATAGCGGGTGCCCTCGTCGTCGTCATGTCTTTCAAGGAGGGCATGACTCCGTATGACCTCTGGAAGGACACCCATGATGACAGCTATCACGACGAGGTGAGCATACCTATGCTATCAGGCTACGAGCGCACGGAAGAGGACGCCTACTGCTCTGTTCAGAAGGTCACGAGGCTCTTCAGCGGCTGGAACTTGGTTCAAGTATGCTTGTTGGCGGCCGTTGCCTCGATTCCTCTACACGTCTATTTTCGAGTGTGCTCGCCCCTATTGGGCTTCCTCACCTACTCCGTCGTTGCTCTACCTTTCTCGATCCTGGTCTACCTCACCTCGTCACCCAAAGGGTATACAATATCTCTCTCGAAGCCTGAGCCCAGCTCGCCCCCCAGCTATTCGTCAGCATCATGGCCCTGGTCACGCTCTCCCTCGACGTCCTTGTCGATTCCAGCCCTGGTCTATCTGCTAGGCTGTGCCTGGTCCTTGTGCGTCTGGGCTTTTCTTCTAGGCACTGCGCTCTTCCGAGGTTTGCATCTCAGCGCCGACGTCTTCAGCTCCGCGCCGCCCACGATTGCCGAAGTAGGCGCCACGAGCCCGGGCCACTCGGTTTTCTTTGCAGTCAACCTCTACAACTCGGCCGAGGTGCTGCCTGCCTTCTCCAAGTCGCTCAAGGAGCTCTGCTCCTCCCTTGGCCATCGCAACGTATTTGTCTCCATCTATGAGTCCAACTCATCCGATGACACTTGCGAGCGACTGCAGATCCTAGGCGAGGAGCTCAAAGCGCTAGGCATTCCTCAGTCTGTGCGGTGTGGGAAGCACTCCGTCAGACATGGCAAGGTGGCCGGGGTGATTTCCAGCTACTCGCGCATCGAGTACCTGGCTTCTGTTCGAAATGAGGCGCTGGCTCCGCTAGATGACCTTGGCTCACTAGACTCAAACGTAGGGCCATTCTCTCACGTTGCCTGGCTGAATGACATCTTCTTCGACCCAGTCGACGTCATCACCTTGTTGAACACAAAAGGAGGTGAATTCGACCAGGTCTGCGCAATTGATACGGTGCCCATGGGTTTCTACGACACCTGGGTCACGCGCGACATCAACGAGGCGCGTTTGAAGCCTCTGTGGCCCTACTTCTCCAGCGCAGAGGACATCGCATCGATGAGGGTGGAGGAACCTATCTTGGTCAACAGCTGCTGGAATGGCCTCACCATCTTCGATGCCTCTTGGTTCACCTCTCACTCCCGTCGACCGCTATTGCTACAGGAGAGTGCGAAAGCAGAAGTGCAAGCTAAGCACAACCTGAGCCTTCCACTGCGCTTTCGCGCCTCACCAGCGCCGCATTGTCTGACGTCCGAGTGCCTCCTCACCTCGTACGACCAGCACCTCCTCTCAGCGCCTCATCGTCCACGCATCTACATCAATCCACAAGTGCTAGTGAGCTACGATGCTTCTACTCTCGCCCTCTACCACGTATGGAGTCGATGGTGGATCTCGAGAGCTTGGCTCTTTGTCTGGCAGGACGTCATCTCGACTCGTCTATTTGGGAGAGTGACAGACTGGGGGAGGAAGTTGCCAAAGTGCGCGCAGGAGCTTCATGCTGGCTGGGCCAAGCTGGACGCACCGCTCCGGCCCTTGGCGCCTTTAGTCGTTGACGGCGTCAACGGAACACAAGTCTCAACGTAGAACCTCGTCTTTGACCCTTCCCTTTCTTACTTGTTCTTTCTCTTCACTGTACATACCTTGCCGCTCGTGTTTGTCACCTTTGTATACCCTTCCGGCATCCGTGCTCCCCTCCTGTGCATAGCAGTGCCGTCAGTCTCCCCATGTCGCCGCCTCTTCATTTCGCCTGAACGAGGATGGTGCTCCCTTCAAAGCCCTCACTCAAATAGATGGTACTCGACAGTTCAATCGCTTCTCCTCGCAGTGGTGTCTGAGACCCTTCCCATTGTCCGAGCTCATCGAGATAGCCAGCTCTCTTACGTGATCTTCGGCAGACAACGCAAAGGTCCGAGCAATTGGTATTGCGCGTACAAATCTACAGTAACAGTACGTTTTATATATAAACCTTACAGCTCCTCCCCTCTTCCTCTCAACATCACCTAAAAGCAACAGGTGAAGCAGGTCTAGACCTTGCCGCCTCCTCCAATCCCGCCAACCTCTCCTTCCAAACAGGCACGCTTGCCAACTTTTGTTCCAGCAATTCCTTCTCCTCCTGTAGCGCCTGCCTCTTCTCGGTCCGCTCCGTGTCCAGCTTAGAAAAGGTATAACCACCTTGTCCATCGAATTGAAGGACATTCTGGTGGTACTTGTGAATCGAGGGGCGATGGGAGACACTCAGGAGTGTGATGCCTAGTTCGGTAGCGTGATTGTACATGATCTGCTCAATCTCTGAAGTGACGGCGGATGTGCACTCGTCGAGAATGGCATAGCGGGGCTGGTGGTAGAACAGACGAGCCATGGCGATACGTTGCTTGTCACCTCCACTGAGGGCGTCACGCCACTCACGCTGCACCTCCCATCCACCCTCGCGCTCGACGATGCGATCGATCTGAACGACTGACATGACCTTGAGGAGATCCTCGTCCGTCTTGCCCCTAGCGCGCATCTCCGACACGGTGTGGGGGTAGATGATCTGGTCCCGAAGGGTACCGAGGGAGAGGTACGGCCGTTGTGGGATGTAAGCGAAGTCGGATCCCTTGGGCTTCTTGACGATACCTCCGTACACAGGCCACAGTCCTCCCAGGATACGGAAAAGGGAGCTCTTACCGCATCCGTTCGGACCAATGATGAGCAGATGTTGTCCTGGCTTGACAGTGAAGCTCATCTTCTTGACCAGGACGTCGCCATTAGGGCTGACAATGGGCACGTCTTCGAAGATGATGTCGGAAGACTCTTCCGTCTTTCCCCTTCCTCGGAGCACAGCGGCATTCTCCTCTGTACCAGCACTGGAGACGAGCTTCTTTTCGAAACGCGAAGCTTTGACCTCCTGCATCGTATCCAGCAGGGACGAGACTCGGGCGGTATATCCTGCCATCTCCGACAGCTCCTTGTAAGACGAGACGATGCGGCCAAATGCGTCCGAGGAGGACAGCAATAGACGACGATTGGTCACGAATGCTTCTGTACGCGAGCCCATGTCTGCGGCAAGTCCTCCAATACCGGGCAGCTTGACAAAGACGGGAATGGAGCAGATGACGAGACCTAGGGAACCCCAGAGCCACTTGATGATTCCCTCTTCGATCATTCCGTGCACGATCCTGATCTTAGAGATGCGGTTGATGTGTTTGATCAAGCTAAAGTAGGACCTTTCTATCGAATTCTTCTCGATCTTCTGACCGTTGTATAGAGCCACCTCTTCGTTGTTCTCGATGAGCCTGCTGTGTGCCCACCTAAACTCTCCCTCTAGCTTCTGCGCCGTTGCAGCATACGAGCCGAAAGGTGGGGTTGCCGCACGCAACAATGCGGCGGAGCCTTGCACGAGAATGTTGATGATGATCAGACCCTCTGCTCCTACATTTTGCGACAACTGATAGTTGTACAATGAGACGTCGAGGATGGGCTTGGCGATGTTAGAGTAGAGGGCAGCGAGGGCAGTACTGAACTTCTGAATGTCCACTGTGATGAGCTGATCAGCGTTCCTGATCCGATCGTCGAGGTTGCCAAGCTGGTAGTATGTGTCGTCTGAGAGATAGGCTTCGTGGACCTTTTGTGTGAGACGAGTACGGTAAGAGAGGGCCAGCTTGCTCTGTAGGAACTCGATCATCGCGTTGCAGTACGTGGCCGGCACAGCTACGGCCATCCACCAGAGGATGCCGCCGAGGAACTGCTTCGTCTGTGCTCGAACGAGAGCGGAGACGATGCGACCGTCGAGGTCGGCGACATAGAGTGAGAGCATTGTTCTGAGGACGAGGAAGACGGAGTGGCCCATGAGGAGAAGCGCCTCCTTGCTCTTGTAGGATGGGATGATGATCCTTAGTATCCTCTTGAGCTGCTCAAAGAACTTTGCGTCGACTTCCACTCTTGGCCCCTTGCCCTTGCGGCCCTTCTTGCCACGACTGGATCCGGACATGTCCACCTCGGGGGCATCAGCAGTTTGAGTCACTTCCTTGACCTTTTCCACATCCCGATCTCCCTTCTCCCCACTGGCAGTAGAGCGCTGCAAGGCCTCTCCTGCCGCGGCCGTCTGCGTCTTATCAACCTGCTTCTTCTTTCCCTTTGGCTTGGGGTTGAGACCCCTATAGGTGGAAGCGATGATGAAGGAGAAGTAGGACAATTGCAAGATCCGCTGGATCAGAGCGTAGTTCTTGCGATAGCCGGAGGCTGCCTTGAGACCGGTGATGAGAGCCTTTTGTTGCAGCTCATCCCGCAGGTCTTGGAACTGCTCCAGCCGCGACTGGATTGCCATCTTGTCTCTCTACGTGGGAGTGAGATGCAACGGCGAGCTCAGGGAGTGTGATGGTTTAGCGCAATGCGATGGCGGCAAAGGCGAGTACGTGAGTGAGTGTATGGGTTTGTGGACGTCTGTACAGGATGCAATCGTTGGCTGCGTGGTGTGTGTGCCATTTCACGCTGCCCTGCCTGTCTGTCGCTGCCCCGCTTCCCCTCCGGCTCAGGCTTTTCCCGCGTCCGACCCTTGTCCCGGGCAGCCGCTCGCGTGGCACAAGCACGGAAGCGGAACAAAACCAGTGGAGGGCGGCGGGAAGATGTGCCCCTACTTCGAGGAGCTCTTTACTGTCACGGCTGTGACCGTTAGGCCAACTCATACTTACCGCCCATGTCATGGAGAGGTACTGGCCGAGGACATGGCCGCGGGTCTGGCGGAGGTATACCCGCTCGAGGTGGATACGGCCCGGCAATCTTCTCCAAACGTCCGAAGCTTGATGGTCCTCGCACCTCGGCCAACCTGGCCTCGCTACTAGTAGCACTGGACGGAGGGCCTTACCCTGCCTACAAAGATCTCAGAGGTGCATGGAGCTTCCCCAAGTTCGCGCTCCACATTGATCACATTCAAGCGGATCCGTACGCTCCGCCTTCGAAGTTCAGGGTGGAGCTACCTCATGCTAGTCACGGATTTCCCGTCGAGCTGTTCAAGTCGAAGATTCGGTCTATTGCTTTAGCGGACTACCTTCATAGGCGTCTCCACGAAGTGTGCTCTGCCAGAGGCCTTGATGTCAAGGCAGCATCTTCCGGCTGGTCAGGAGGCAAAGGTGGAGACATTTCAATTGATCTCCCCGCAAGTCAGGTGCTGGAAAGGACAGCTGTCGTGGTAGGAAGAGAGTCTATCGAGGCAAGGATCACCATCGGTCTACCAGCAGCTGGCCGCTCTATCCAAGGTCGCCGAGCTGCAGAGATCATTTGCGAGCACCTGCCCAATTTGGTGTCAGAATCACTCGTAGCTTCGGCTCATCGGCCTACGTGGACAAGGCTGGTGGCTCACGTCGACAGTATCGAGGATCAGGAAGCGTTGAGAGATCAGCTGTCTCGGCATCAAACCCCTCTTGTTGCCTTCATTCGTAACGGTGCCATCTTGCCACGACAGTCCGGTGCGAGCACTACGCCCCTCAGTGGACCTTCTGTGGTGCCCTTCACCTCGCCGGCCAATCTCCTAATCGAGATCAAGCTGCCAAACTCTACCGTCTCGGGAATGGGTCTGCCTGCGAAGTCGCTCATCGTGTGTGTCGGTGCGGGCTACCACGGCAAGTCCACTCTACTCGAAGCCATCTCCTTGGGCTGCTACAACTACCTGCCCGGTGATGGGCGAGAATTTGTCAGCAGTGTCTCCTCCGTGACCTGCGCCAGCTCAGAAGACGGACGAAGCGTCTCGTCTGTTGACCTGAGTAACTTCATACTTAATCTTCCCGGAGGCAAGTCCACCGACAACTTTTCCACAACGGACGCCTCTGGCTCAACATCATGCGCTGCGGGCTTCATGGAAGCCTTGGAGCTAGGATCTCAGCTCATCTGTATTGACGAAGACACAACAGCGTCTAATTGGCTCTCCTGCTCGCCCACAATGCGAAAGCTGATCAAGCGCGAGACAATCGTGCCCTTGGAGAGCAGAGCAAGTCAAGCCGTCCAGGCAAGTGGAGCGAGCCTGTTCCTCGTCTGTGGGAGCAGCAGCGACTTCCTCCGTCACGCTGATCTTGTCTTGAGGATGGAGGACTTCCTGATCGAAGACGTCACAGAGAAGGCCAGGATTTTGGTTTCTCAGCAGGACGAGGAAAGGGGCGCTTCGAAGGCATCGAATACAGAGAACATGCGGCCCCCTTTCCGTCAGCCGGCACCTCGTATTCTTGACACCTCTCGCCTGCTACCCGATGGGAAAGTCTTCACTCGCGGCAGGAGCATCATCCGGCTAGGAGGGGAAAAGACGGACGAAGGAAGCCAGTTGGACCTGCGCTGCATTCCACAAGTCGTGTATGAATCGCAGACGAGAAGCATCATTGCTGCCTTGAGACACCTGCAAGGCGACACCAGCAAGAACAGTGGAAAGTCGTTGAAGGCGGTCATGGAGGAGCTGGAGCGCAACATTGCGAGCGAGGGGCTGGACTGTCTGCAGACGCGGGATGAGCCAGATGGGTCCTTAGCGAGGATAAGATGGATCGACCTTGCGGGAGCTATCAACCGTATGCGAGGCGTGGAGGTAAAGCAGCAGTTCGAAAGAAAGTAAAGGACAGTCTACTTCTGTTTGCTCGGCGGAAGAGGAATCTGTCAGTCAGTCTCGTCACACATGTATTGTAGCCATAATACCATTGCATTCTGCGAACATGTCTGCCAGTAAGCCAACCAATGAAGGGCGTCCGTGAGTCCTGATGTCGTGTCCCGGCTCTCATCATCTCTGTCTGATCTGTACTCTAGCATTGGACCCCTAGCCATCCCTCGTGCTTCCCTTCTTCACCTGAAAGCCAATCAGAAGCTTAGCGAGCGAGCCTCGCTGCCTCCAGCATCTCTTTCCCAGTCCAACTCCCAAGTCTCCCAGAAGATCGACTGTAAATGTGCATGAAGGCATTGCAACCCTACTCATCTGCCATCAAGGTTCCCTTTCGAGGAACCGAAGCACCCAGTAGCGTCGCACCCTGCCCTCATCCTATCCCCATCCCCCTCCTCTTCGCAGAGTCGAGGGAAGAGGACCTCTTTCTCCTAGATAATCCGCTTTACGACCATTCACGATCATGGGAGCTCTTCACTTCCTTTGAAAGGGAGGAGAGCTCCTGGGGCGATGAAGGTGCTTTTTGGAGCGGTAGGGATCTTGTCGCCCATTGAGGCGCGACTTAGCGTTAAGGAGAAGAGGGGAAAGGAAGATCAGAGCTTCCATGGGTGAACTTTTGAGCACACGCCTGGAGCGGAGCCAGGCAGATTCGGGTGCGCGCAGCGAGAGACCGACCGTTCCGTTCCGTTCAGCTCTGTGCCAGTCGACTCGACCAACTACGCGGCAGAGGGTATACGGCGTGTACTTTGTACAAAAAGTCGATCCACGCAACGACAAGCAACCCACAGGTAAACGGTAACAATGTGATTCAAGGTTGAAAGCAAAAGAATCAGACATGAAAGAGTTGAATCAGGGTCATCTGAAATGACAAATCACAAGAACGGCCGCCCCTAATTGGCGACCTTGCTCGAGTTGACACCTTCCCCTTCCTCCGAGATCCTACCAGGGTAGGCTCCCTCCGAGGCAAGTCCAACGTTGCGCATGTCGTAGCCGTTGGCCTCCAGGTAGGCAAAGAACTCCTCGTCCATCTTGACGATTCCGTCGTGCTCGACCGGTGGGATGAAGAAGATGACGCAGAGCATGGCGAGGACGGCTAGCGAAGCACCGATGTAGTAGGTGACAGCGTAGTGCATGTCGTCCGACTCTGGCCACTTGTTCTGTGTAGGAACAAAGATGTAGCTGCCCACAAAGGCACCGACCTTGCCGATGGCAGCTGCGAATCCGTACATCACTCCCCTGACCGGAGTCGGCGCTACTGCCTTGGAGGCGAGGAGACCGAGGCAGTTACCAGGACCAGCTTCACCAAAGGCAATGTATAGCACGTACATAACAATAAGCCCCGCGGTGTGGTTCTTGAAGTAACCAAAGGCTCCGGCGAGCGCGAAGCCAAAGATGGCCTGGAGGCCCAGGAAAAGGCAAATGGTCTTCTTTGGGCCGAGTTTGTCAACGATGAGCGCGCCGATGACCGTGCCTGGGATGTAGCCGGCATTGAGAGCGATGGTGAAGGCCAGGTTGAGGGAAAGGTCGGCATTGGGGTAGAGTTCTGAAGTGAAGTACGACGCGTAGATTCCGGCGGGGTAGGAGACGAAGTCGTAGCAGAACCTGCGGAAAGAGGAGTGCGGATGCAAATGAAGTGGGCGCACCTGTCAGCATGCAGGAACGGAGTACTGGCAGATCCATCGAAGCTTGCCATGCGGGACTGACGCAGAACGTAGACAGCACTGCGCTGAGGCAGCGTGCCCAGTGCTCTTCGCCCTTCGCTTGCAGCTCTTGCTTTTCTTTGAATCTTGCTACTCACCAAACAATGCAGACGGCTACGAGCCTGAGCCAGTATTTCTTGATGATCAACCACCAGGGCATGTGGTGCTTGATAGCTCCCCGCTTGTACGAAGGTGGCTCCTGGATCTTGGTCCGCAGGAAGAAGAGGATGAGAGGAGGAATAGCACCGAAGCCGAGAGCCAATCGCCAGACCCAAGCAATGTGGTTATCGCCAAAGATCTTGTACAGGATCCAGACGGTAAATGGCGCGATCACAAAGGCGACATCAATGCAGGTGTTGGTGGCGAGAACGAAGAGACCTTGCTGCTGGCTCTTCTTGATGTTGGACTGCTCGGTGTTCTCTGCACAGGCGACACTTCCCGAGGGGTACTCTCCACCGATACCAATTCCGATGAGGAAGCGGTAGACAATGAGGCAGGTGAAGAGGCCAGAGGTAGAGTTGTTCGCACCGTAAGCTCCGGCGGCGAGGATGGAAAAGAGGACCAGGATGGCAGAGCAGATGAGCATACCCCACTTCCGTCCGGTTTTGTCGACCACGAGACCAAAGGTGAGCATGCCCAAGACGGTACCGGCAAAGCTCATGGAGGGGAAGAGGGTGGTGAATCGCGTAATCTCGCTATCGCTTGCACTGGCGTAGGGCTGGTCATATCCGGTGATCAGCGTCGTGACCGTACCGGAAATGGCGTTGATGTAACCATCCGAGTAGAGGGCGGCTCCACAGGCGAAGATGAGTGACTTGCCCGTAAGGCCCTTGGTCTTCTGGGTCTCCTCGTAGGCCTGGATGTCAGGCACCTGGGTGGTGGTGGTGACATTCTTCTCTGTAGGGGCAATGTCGAGAGGCGCCTTGGCCGCCTCTCCGGTGGGGGAGCTTCCAGACGACATGGTCAGTGGTCGTTGTCAGCGACGGTGGTGATGAGGATGAGGTTAGGAGGCGAAGGATGAAAGAGGATGGCGGATAAGGATAGGGGAAAAAGGGGGGGCGCGTGACGGCGGTCGCGACGGTCAACTCAAATACTTTGCGTGCCAGAGTAAATTAAGGCGGGAGTCGAGCGGGGGGGGGGCCCACGTTTCGCAGGAAACCTTCTATCGCGCTGCAGTGCTGTGCCTGTCATGGGCCAAGCCTGGATTAGTGAGCCCAGCCTGGGACAAGGAGGCGGCGAAGGCGGCGGGGGCTGCGTGGCGGGAGCGGGGCTCTGCCCTGTGGCGAAAGAGGCTGGCCCGTCCTGCATGACTGGCTGCACGGTCCCTTGGCGGCAAGGCGAAGAGGAAAAAATCCACGAAAGGCCGAGCCGAGCCGAGGTGCTGCTACTGGCTGCTACTGCTGCTGCTGCTTGCTGCTGACTGACTACTGCCGCCGTCGGCACAACTTGCGACTCGCTTCTTTCAGAGCCAGATCCGCACACCGCCTCGATTTTCAGCGCACTCACCCACCCAACCACGGCGGAAGTATCGGACCGGCAGAGGGGTAGCCTCACCTACGCACCTACGGACTGGCCAAGGCCGTGGGAGCATTTCGACCCACACACGAGCTGACCGCCACACCCCTTGTTTGTGAGGCAAGCCGAAGTCCGGCTTCTGCTTCCTTAAACCTCCTGCCGCCCCCTTGAATATGTCAAGTCAGATCGCAGCTTATCCAGATTGTCGGCACGAAGCGCACGTGGGGATTACTCGCGGGGGATGAGGCGGACGGGCCCCCGCTTGCACATGTCCATCGAGGCAAAAGTACTAGACGTCTTCTCGGCCTCTCCAGCCAATCTGCCTTTCTCCATCCATTTCAGAGGTTTGCCACTCGTGAGTAGGGCGCACGTTGGCCGTAGCGAATATTCATCCCCCGGCAAGCGCTCGATCCCCGTGGCGCAGAGGTCAGTCAGATCAGCATTTGAACCGAGGTAGCGAAAGAGCGTGACTCCGGCAGAGGCAGCGCACAATCCCCATGCGTATAGGTGAGCCAATACATTCACTATCCGCTCGAGCCCGTGACGATGGTCTATACAACAAGATGCGTCTCCGCTTCCCAGCTCCCTCCTCCTCTCCCTCTTGTGCGCATTTACTACGACTTCTCCACCTCTGCCTTGGTGATAGACACACCAGCGGGCGCTCCCAAGGCCTGCTTGATCTGGCCATAGATGAGGAATTGGCCTCCCACGAGGAAAGCAGTCATTGCGATCCTCGTTCCCAGTCCGGCCCAGATGCCCACGGGTCCAGTCTCCTTGGCGAGTGTGATCAGCTTGCTCATGGCGCTTCCGCTTCCACCACCGCCCTTGTTGATCTTGGACAGGAGCGTGTCTGCTGGGTGCGAGAGAATGGCGGCAGCGACTCCTGCTGTGAGACCACAGCCGAGCTGGACGGTCACCTCGCCCGCCTTGCCCGACTTGCCCAGCTTGTCAAGAGAAGGGACTTTCCCGACCAGCTCGTGCATTGTCTCGTTGGTGTAGAATTGACCAATAGCGTAGGGCACCTGGAGACGAGTAATGCAGACCACGTGAACGAGAGGGTCAATAACGTCTCTCTGCGACTTTCGTCCCTTTTGCCTCGCTTCCTGCCTTGACTCACCTGCTTGCACAAGATCGGAGCATATCCGGCATAGAATTCACTCAGGCCACCTTCCCTCGCCATTCTGCCAACAGCTCCCACCAGCCCATTGGCATAGCCCCTCGTCGAGACCAGCCTGATTCGAGCCGCCTCGAGCGGAGTCAGCAAGGTGGTAGCGATGACTTCAGCAGCAGAAGCACCTCCAATGTAGATGGCCATCCTGTACTTCTCTGCCGCCTCTCTCGAGCCTGCCATAGTAGCAAATTTGGCCTTGAAGTATTCGAATCCGGCGAACTTGGCTCCACCTTGAATGAGGTATCCAACGGCAGTGGGGCCGAAACCGGTAAGGAGACCAGAGGCACCCTCGGTTGCGATGATATTCCTGGCCATGGTGGCCATGGTGCTGTTGGGGGAGCCCTTGGGCTCGAGCTGGATACGCGTCTTGATCTGAGAGGACGCAACGTCAGAAATGATAGGCAGGTGCGATAGTTTGAGAGGTCAGTAATGGAGATACAAGGGTATGTGTCTCCCCCACTTCCCCCTTCCAGCCTACTCACCACGTCAATGGGCGTCATACCACCATGGGTGATCGTAGCGCACAGCGCTCCTGCCGAGAAGAAGCGTGTGTAGTCGCCCACGCTGAACGTGGGCACAAAGTCTGTGCTCGAAGCCATCTTGATCGTCTGAGGGAAGGCTCGTCTTGTAAGAGATTTAGATTGGAAGATGTCAAGCCGAGATGAGAGGTAGATAGGACGGATAGACGAGGATGCGGCTGAGCAGCTGGGCGGAGCTGGCGAGAGGTGGAGGCAGGCAGGCGCGAGCTCTTGCTACACCGGGCGAGGTGTGCGTCGGGAAGACTTGCGGCTGGAAGGAAGGCACGAGTGAGTATGATAAGGGAGAGAAGAAGAAGAAGAAGTCTGAAGCACTCGAGAAAAAGGAGCAAAGGTGCTTGATAGATAGAAGCAGGAATCTCTTCGGCCCTCCTTCGGACTCGGGTCTCAACCCAATCGGGCGCACCGCCGGGCCGTGCAGAGGTCGATGACGTCGAGGGGCGTCGGGACTAGGGCTCCTTCTACTCAAACGCAAGAGGGCATTGATTCTTCGGATCAAAGCACCGATGGACCGGACAAAGTTCAATACACTGCTGGACGATCAATCAGTCGAAACACACGCAAGCGGAAGCAGCAAGGTGCATTGTTGTATCGTCATTAGAGGTGAGAAATTGGTCAAACGGAGAGATATGTGCGTCAAGAGTAATGCAGCTAGCGGTTCTTCGTGAGATAGTGTTCGTGGTGTCACCGGTATACTCTATCCGTGTCCTCGTTCAATCATCAAATTTGCTCTTCCACACCCAGCTCAAACCAATCAAATCGTATCCCTGCGCAGCCGCCATACGGTAGTACTTTGCTGCCTTTTTGAGATCCTTTTTGCATCCCTTGCCAGCAGCATACAGCGCGCCCGCCTCGGCCTGCGCATCCGCATCGCCCAACTTTGCAGCCAGCTCAAAGTACTCCAGTGCCATCTTCTTGTCCATCTTGACGCCCCAGCCATAGCAGAAGCATTTGCCCAGCTCATAAACCGACAGCTTCAGCTCTGAGCGTACAGCCTTGAGATCAGCTTCGGTCCTGTTGCGCGAGGTAGACATGAGCTCGCCAGCTGTAGCGGCTGCACGCTGGATCCACTCGAAGCCTTTCCTGGGATCTTTACGAGCACCCCAGCCCTCCCTAAGCGTCATACCCCACATGCACATTCCGACGACACAGCCGCCCTCGACCTTTGCAGAGCGCTCAAAGTAGTAGGCGGAGCGAGAGAGGTCGCCTTGCTCGTGATACTGGATGCCTTGGCTCAGATAGTTTTCGGCTGCCGATGGGCCAGTTTTAGTGTTTTGTCCAATGGCGTGACGACTATTTGGTGTGTTCCGGGTATTGTTGCGCCTCTGTGGAGAGTTGTGTTGAGGCGGCACCTTCGCCGCCGTAGATGCTGAGCTCAATGTAGTAGAGCTCATCTGTGCTGCCTGTCTGACTGCAGGGCTGGAGCCAGCAGAGCGCTGTCCTGGATGCTGAAGCGTCGATATCGGCCTTGGACTCTGCCGTCCACCAGTCTGAGACTGTACACTTGCGCTTGTTCCTGTACTCGCATGCTCGAATCGTCCGACACTGGGCGACGCAGGAGAGGCGATTGGTGTCCGTCTCTCCACGCTCACAGGGCGTGACCGAGCAGCAAAGTCGACACTTCCCGGGCGGGAGCCTGGTCTGCCTTCGTTGTCGTCCTCACTGTACCTCACTGTACCAACACTCATCCTGCTTCCGATGGTGCTACTACTGTCTCGCCTGCTGCTTCCATCCAATCGCAGAGTCTCGACATCCAAATCTGATATGATGCTCTCTCTTCCATCGGCGGCAGCGATAGCAGCTGCACGAGCTCGACCGATGCGTGCCCCAATGGGACCCGCAAGAAGAGGATCATCGTACTGATTAGACGAGGGGGGTGGCGGCGGCGGTAGGCGTCCTGCGGGATGACCGCCCCTTCTGCCATCGACAGACGAAGGTCTCTCTCCCGATCCCCTCGGTCTGGCAAGTGGCGAGCCTGGGAGACGAGCTTGGCCATTCAGTGCCGATGCGACTGTGACAGGCCCACCGGTCGCAGCATGATTCTGTCTAAAGCCTCCCTGCTGAGCCGTCGGACTACTAATGATGCTGGCCATGCTCGAGCGCTGTGAGGCAGTGCCGTCGCTGCCATCATCCGTTACAGCTTCCCACTCGTGAATCGAGGCGGCATCTGCTGCGTCCGCGTGCTGGTCGCGGTAGCCATGATGTGGCTCGTGTGCAATCTCTGAACCAGCAGGCGTAGGAGGCCATACGTAGATGTGAGCTGCATCCTGACCACCTGATGAGGAAAGCGTATCGGTCGAAGGCTGAGCAGTGGCGTAGAATTTGCTGCCTCCTGGCAAAGGCGATGGACTAGATACCGGGGCCTCGGGATCCCTGGCTGGAACCTGGAAGTACGATGATGGCTCTTCGCTCATCTGATGGAGCGAAGGCGTCAAGCTGACGACGCGCGCCCGGTCGCCGCCTCTTGTCAGGGGTGAAACAGCAGGAGGTATCGGCTGCGAGTCTGCTCGTTGAGGCAGTGAGACTCGATGCAGCGTTGCAGTATTGACTGAAGCATTGCCCAAGATGAGTTCGCTGAAGTCCGCTCCTTTAGCGAGGTTCCGCAGAGCATCCAATCCGGACGTATTGCCACCCGACAGACCCAGACCCATGGTCCCTCGATGCTCTGACCCCGCGTAATTGCTCTCTCCTCCCCACTCACTACCGCCATACAAAGAGCCCTCCTCGTCATCGTCCCGGTCGGCCCACGCACGACCCCACCTACCGCCAGCTCCAAACTCTGCTGTCTGTACCGTGTTCACCGAGGACACTGAATCTCGCCGGGATAGGTTGACTTGATCGGAGGGCTCCAATGACTGTGAATTTGGCTCATACCCACGAGGTCTATTGCTGGAGGGTCCTGTATTGCTTTGGACGCCATTGGCGAGCTGACCTTGCCGGGCAAGAGGCGATGGATGGTTCGACTTGGTTTCTTCAAAGCGCCGAGGACCTGGTCCATCATCGACAGCTGAACTGCTGCGACCTCTCGAGGAACTCCAGTTCGATTCCTGTGGAGTGTAGGGCGATGAAGGGTTGCTGCCTACCCTACTGCCGTTGCTTGAGCTTGAAGCAGTCCGGTTGCGATTCTCAGACCGCGCCGAAGCTTCCTCCTCATTGTGATCCGCATCGACTTCCGGGGAATATTCTTGCGGTGTCTGTCTGATTGACGTGGACCGTGAAAGCGCAAAGGCCTTTTCCATCAGGTGGCTCTTTGCAGTACGGAGGGCCGGCATTGCGTTGGCATCGCGGGGTTCCAGGGTATTGCTGCGCGGCCCACCCTGCCTGGCTAGGGAGTCCAAGGGCGAGATGTGAGAAGTGGAAGAGCTGTTCCACCCATCTGAAAGCGCTGACGAGGCTGCAAATGGGGAGGAGTTGGACAGGGGCGATCTTCCGGGCTTCATCTGTCGCGTGTGTGATGATCTGATGGGAGAGGCATTTGATGATCGTCTTTGGCTCGACGATGGCTGCCACGACGACGAAGGTGAATCCCCGTCGGAGAGCTGCACTCCGGTTTGCTGCCAAGGACGCTCCTGCGCATACTGCTCCTGCGCCGATCTACTCATAGCGCTGATGCTGGGTCGATGGGAGCTCCGGCGTTCCTGAGTGAGCTTCCGAGCCTCCGAGGCAAAGTGGAACAAATTCCGACTGTGCCTGAGTACGAGTGTGCTGCCTGCTCCTCGTCAAGGCGGAGGGACGGCTGCCGGCTTTACAGTAGGGGCACCGCGGCAGCTAAGCACAGGAGAGCTCCGGAGACTGCTCACTGGCCAGCAAGAGGGTGCGAATGGAAGATTATAGGGATGATTAGGGATGAGAACAGGGGTAAGGGTGGTGATGGAGTAAAGCCCCGAAGGTCAGGGGGGTACTCAGAAGCCGGCCTGAGGCGCGCGAGGCAATGCTCGGCTGCAGCAACACCCAAGCCAAGCAACACCCAACACTTTCAGCCCCCGCTCCACTCCCGCCGGTGCTAGAATGCCCACTCCCACTCCGGACCCTCGCGAAGCGACGAATATTGACTGCCTTGGTATGGGAGCAATAGCATTGGACGGAGTCGTTACGGAACGTGATCACGATGGAATCTTCCGCGGCTTCTCTTGGCTCCGGAGATGCAGGACTGATGGCAATCAGTCGGGATCTGCTTCTGGCTCGGTCGCTGCCGGCGGCTCAGCCCACGCCAAGGAGTAGTGCGAGCTAAGGTCTGCCCAGGGGCTCACGAAGTACATTGGTAGCTAGCCAGCCGGACGAGGAGGGCGAGGTACAAAAGGCGACTGGAACCAGTCGCATTCAGTGCCATCCTCTGTCTCTTATCAAACCCTTCCGCCTTGCTCCACCGACACCCAACTTTCCCTTACCGTGCACTCTCGATTCCACCTCACACACTCCTTTACACATTTACAATGCTCTTCAAGCACTTTGCCATCCTCGCCAGCCTCGCAGCCAGCGCCTTGGCCATGCCCTTCGGAGAAGTCTCCGGACTGGACGCCGCTGAGAAGCGATCCCTTGAAGTACGAGGGGGCCATAGCTCCAGCGGTTTCGATCTGGACATCGACGCAGACATCATCCTTGGCAATTCTATGAAGCCTACCTGCTACGGAGAGTGGGTCAAGCACCCCAAGCACCACAAGAAGGTCTGGAAGCCTAGTGAGTGTACCAGAATGCCGAGTCGTCCCCTCAATATGAGGCAGACACCTGAATCAGGCATCTCTCGCTGATCACCATCTTTTCTTCACCACCCTCCTTGCAGAGTCATACTGCTCGCTTTCCATCGACTTGTCCCTCCACGAGGAGTCTTCCTACTGCTTCAAGTGGGGCGGGTGCTGTGCCAAGAAGCGTGAGTACGAATCGTCGACGGGGAAGCTAGTGATCGATGAGGCCTCGACTGACATTGAACACCCTCCTTCTTCCAAAAGACCACGACTCCATCGAGGTCGGCCTCAAGTTCAAGGCCAAATGCGAGGCTGCCGGAGGCGACTTCTGGTACGTCTGACCAGCTTGATGGCCTTGCACCCCTGTCACCACGGTTGCTCTTCTGAGTGATCTCTCCTCGAGAGCTTGCATACCCTGCTGTTCTGTTTGGCTTGTAATACCCCTGGCTCAATGTCATTCGTCCGGCTCGTCCGGCTTCAAAGCTTTGTGATTCCCGACTGTCTCTCACTTGACATGGTGATTTGAGTGAGGATCTGCCATGTCTCATGCGCCTTGCGTATCCGCTGCACCAACATGCCGTCTACACAAATGGCCCGGTGGGAAGCAAGGTATGAGGCGCTAATTATACGCCCATCTCACTCTTGAGATTGTGTCGGGCACGAAAGCCTTGAGACCGTCGGGGCGTCAGCAATGCTGCATCGTCTGAGCGTGTTCCGCTAGGAAGCGCTGACGGACAGTGTATTCTTCTTGTCCTTAGAAGCGCTGCACCCGGGCTGCATATGCATCGAAGTGCCGGTGTCGAGAAAGAATGCCGAGAGATGTCTGCCCACCCCCAATAAGCGAGCTCGAGCTCGAGCTGCGTTTCTCACTACTGGCGCGTCAGACAGGACATCCCATGCGCCTGTCTGTGTGCCCTGTCTTCTATCAGGTGCTGGCTGTGGATGCTACCTAGTCTTGCGCCCTCTCACTATTCGGTCCGCCGAGCTCCTTGTCCCCTCTTACCTCCGGCGGAGCGGATCGAAAGACGCCCACACCCATGTCCGTTCAACATCGGAAGGACCGAAGCAGAGGACGCCATCCGGGCGCAGACCAGTAGCGGGCGGGTGGATTCACTCATTGGGGCGGCGCTGGAAAGATGCGGTAACGAGAGCAAGATGCGCCCAGGGCCTTGCTAGGCTGCTCAGTTGCGTATTTGCCTCTCTCGTGCGGATGTGCAAGAGCATCCCTGATTCCTCTCATCTGATGCTGGGCGCCGCCAGACCCTCGGGTCGTGTGCCAGGGCATGGCTGGCATGCCCTGCGCGATCTACTGCAGCAAAGACTTCGGATGTGGCGGCGACTGCTTGTCCCGCTGCCTACTCGGCTGCTCCCTTTCGCCGAAGGTGACTGTCCAGGTGCCCTGTCTGATCCAGATGTGTTTCCAATGCTCCTCCTACAAAGTGGGACGTGCTCAGGAGACATGGACACTGGCGGTGCGACGCGGGAACGGTCATAGCCACGGGACAGGGCTGGCGGAGAGATGCAGCAGGCTGTCTCGGTGATGAACGGGTGGGTGGATCAGCGAGGGAGCCAGGCAGGGAGTGGTGGTCCAGCGCTGCCTCGGATTGACAATTAGACCGGGCCCTGTGTACCAGCAGCCGAGAGGGCTAGCCCAACCTGGAAGTCCTATTGCTGCTGCCCATCCCTCACCCGCTGCGTCCCGCCCATCACCACCCATCCTACTCACCTGCACAACCCTACACTTTGTCGTTCCAAACAAAGTGTGTGTGTGTGTGTGTTGCTGCTTCTACTCTGCTCCTTACGAGTGCTGCCTGCGCTTCTCCACACGCCACGTCGGGATCTCCAAGGCTTATCAACGCCCAGGCTATCTCCACCCGGAACGGCCCGTCTCCGCTACTAGACCCAAGAGGCCGACGAATCCGACGACGTCGCTGGACAGCATAACCGCTGTGTTCCCACCTTCCTCGTCCTACTCGCTCTCTACGCTGCCTCTGCGTGGTGTAGATCTCGGTGCCTTTGCTCGCGCCTGAGTCCGGATCTGCCGAGAGCGGGCCTTGCTTGTCAATCGAGACAGGCTTCTACTTGCGATTGCTCCAGCCCTCGGGCCCCGTGAGGATTTGCTGTGCGTGTGCTGCCTGCCCTTGTGCATTGCCGCTCATTGCTTGCTGCCCTGCAGCCGCCCTTTGATCATCCACACACCCACACGTTACCATACACGCCCCTCCCCCCCGTCAAGTCAACTTACCTCCACCCTCTCTCACACAATACACACGACATCAGATCGCGCACCCTTCGATCATCTCCTTTAGGCTACCAACACACCGCCTCGTTGTCTACGAGCCTACCTCTCGGCTCTACCCGCATCTCCACCCGCTCCGCCTGGGCTACCTCATCTAGCGTCTGGCAACAAGAGACTCTACACACGCTCCTCTTGATCCACCAGCTGACGGAAGAGGGAGATGGCATCCTCATCCACACCATCGGCTTCCTCCAATGGAGGAGCTGGGCCCTCAAAGTGAGTTCACAGTTCCACAGGGCAAGGGACTTGGGCCCGCCTGACACATCCGTGGGTAAGGTTGGAAAGCGCGGAGCCAAGACCAGGAGGTGGATCATTGGTGGCAATCGTCCCCGCCGGGAGCAAAGATCCGTCTACGCAGCCCTGGCGGGATATGCATTCCGTGCTCGTATGACTTTGTCTGTAGCAAACCGATGGTCTGCCGCATCCTGGGCTCATCGCATGTACTGCAATGGCCAGATGGCCACATCGCCGTGCCACGCGTCTCGGAACACCCGTACACCTCTTGCCTCTTCTCGTATTGCTCAGCTACTGACTTACTGCCTTGCACATGACACTCTACGCTCACTCTCACTGCAGAACAAGTGGCGGCGAGTCCACTGTACAACCGATGCCAATGGCCAGCGGCGGCCTTCACTCTGGGGGCGGCGGGCCATCCGGCTCGGCATCGCAATCTGCTAGTTTTGGAGGACCCTCTTCGCACACAGCATCAGACACTGGATCGGTGGCTACAGAGGATGAGGAGGACTTGGAAGACTACTGCAAGGGCGGCTACCACCCTGTGCATGTAGGTGATACATTCTCGGAGGGGCGGTATTTGATCGTCAGGAAGCTGGGTTGGGGTCACTTCTCCACGGTGTGGTTGGCAAAGGATCACAAGTGAGTGCAACTGCTACGGCTCTGAGTGCAGTGGTCAAGAGGAAAGCTGACATGTCCTCTGACTTGGTCTTTTTTTCAGGATGAACCGTCACGTAGCTTTGAAAGTCGTCAAGTCGGCTCCGCACTACACTGAAACAGCCTTGGATGAAATTAAGCTCCTGCAGAAGCTGGTCGCAGCTAATCCAGGGCATGCAGGCAGGCGGCATTGCGTCTCACTACTCGATCACTTCAAGCACAAGGGGCCAAATGGCTCACATGTGTGTATGGTCTTCGAAGTGCTCGGAGAGAACCTCTTGGGCCTCATCAAGAGGTATCAACACCGTGGTGTACCCCCTCACATTGTCAAGCAGATTGCGAAGCAGGTGCTACTGGGTCTGGATTACATGCATCGAGAGTGTGGGATTATTCACACGGATCTCAAGCCAGAGAATGTTCTCATCTGCATCGACGATGTAGAGTCTGTGGTACAAGCCGAGCTCCAGACAAATCCTGCAGCAGTGCCCACCAAGCTGGTCGGTGTACCCCCAAGTCAGGGACGTGGAGGTGCACAGACGCCGAGGCGGGAAGGCATCTTCATCACCGGCTCGCAACCACTGCCCAGCCCTAGCAGCAGTCTCAGCTCGAGTCCCATGCTGGATAAGTGGGCATTTGCAATGTCGAAGATCGAGGGTCGAGATAGCGCGAGTGGAAGCTTGAAGAGCGTATCGTCGGTGCAAGGGTCCGGCAAAGGCATTCAGGATAAGGAGCAGACTACGGAGGGAATCCAAAAGGGTATGGATGGACTTAGCACTGGCTCTAGTGGAGAGCCTTCCGCCTTCGGAAGCAAGGGAGGTCCATCTGTCGCCGCATCGCAGGCTAAGAAGGGTCCTTCCCTCCTTTCGCAGCAAGCACCCGGTGTCAAGACAGCTCAACCTCCAGGAACTCCACCGATGCCTTCTCCGTCTCGTCCTGAGTTCAGCAATTCGCCGTCGGGCGTCTCCTCCTCCATGGCCTCCTCTTCTGTCAACGACTCCATCATGTCGTCCGATGCCGGATCTGCCGAGTCAAGAGTTCCACATGCATTCGTGCCAGCCGTCAATGCTGGGGACCCCACGACCCTGCCACCACCTCCCCCTTATGACCCCAGCTCTCTGGAGAGGATCACAGTCAAAATTGCAGACTTGGGAAATGCCTGCTGGGTCGACCACCACTTCACAAATGACATCCAGACAAGGCAATACAGATGTCCCGAAGTCATCCTGGGTGCCAAATGGGGACAAACGGCAGATGTATGGAGTGCTGCATGCATGTTCTTTGAGCTCCTCACCGGAGACTATCTCTTTGACCCTGCTGCTGGGTCGAAGTACAACAAGGACGACGACCACATCGCGCAAGTGATCGAGCTGCTCGGAGACTTCCCCAAGTCTCTGGCCTTCTCTGGCAAGTACAGCGCGGACCTCTTCAATCGCCGTGGTGAACTGCGTCATATCCACAAGCTGCGCTTCTGGCCCCTCATCTCCGTCTTGCAAGAGAAGTATCTCATGCCATTGGAGGATGCCAAGAAGCTCGACACATTCATCATGCCGATGTTGAGGCTGCATCCCGACAAGAGGACATCCGCAGAGGTGGCTCTGCAGCACGAGTGGCTATCGGGGGTCATTGTGGAAGGGGAGCTCGAACAGATGTTCAAGGCTGGTCAGTTCGATGATCTCGCAGCGATTGCCAGCGGTGGTGGACGCAGTGGAGGTAGTCTCATCAGCGCCGTTGGCAAGGGTGTTGGCCCAGAGACAGACCTCGATGCTCTTGACGCTCTTAAGCCTGTCAGCAACTCTTTGGGCTCCAGCTTGGCCGACTCTCCTACAGGTGGACCCGCTCCGCTGACACTAGACCCAAAGGCCTTGCAAGCAGCGCAGGCAAAGGCGGCTGCGCACGCCGCTGCCCAGCAAAAGGAGCTGGAGTCCTCCTCAAGCGAGGGCGCATCTAGCTCTTTCCCATCGTTAGCAGCAGATGCCGAGGTGAGCGAATCGGCTTACACAACGGAATCAGGCGCAGGTGACAACGACTCGACCTGGAAGGCGCAGTCATCGACTTCAGCAACGGCCTCTTCTGAGCAAGCAGGTGCAGCGCTACAGCCATCTTCGCCCTCGCAGAGCGCGATGCAGGCCACGCCTAGAGCGGCAGGCCAGCCATCTCGAAGGAACCATAGCTCGCCTTCGCCCCATGCTCTGCCGCCACACGCTGCTGGACCAAACAAGACACCGGCGCCTCAGCCCGTCTCCTAGATATCAGTCTAACGCTGATACCCGCGTCCTGGCCCCCCGGCTCAAGGCTCCTCATCCCGTTCCCGCTCCGTTCGTACTCTCTCTCGCCGACTCGCGCCGCGTCTCGCTCCGGATCATTCGTCCGGATCTGCTATCCAATCCTCTCCCCCCCCCCCCCCTCTCTCTTCCGCGCTCTCTCTCTCGATTTTCCCCCTTTCATTGCCCTCCCATCCACCCATCCATCTCCCGCCAACCAGCCCGTCCGCCTGTCAGACCTCCCTCTTCTCCTTTTCCCCCTTTCTTAGAAGTCTCCTATTGCATAGAAATGTCTTTGGCTCTTATTCCGACAACCGTCTGCTTCTACTGCTTCTGCTTCTGCTTCTGCTTCACAAGGCCAGGAGGCATAGTGTGGTATGGTATGATCTATCTGACATTACGATTATGGACACGCGCCCCGTGCGCCCGTTCCGGTTCGGTCCGGAGCGTCGGATGCGGCTTGTAGCTGGCTGCTGTACTAATACATGAAGTGTGTGCGGGTAGTGCTGCCGGTACAATGGGAGTGGTGGAAATGATGAGAAGACGAAGGAGATGCTGCTAAGCTTCGTCTCATCCGGTCTGACTCGGGACAATCTTCCCTCTTTCTATGTCCTTTCTGTAGTTTTGTCCTGACTTCCTCGTCGCTGCAATGGTCTAATTGTCTCCCTCTATCCGGTTCCAACTGCTATCTACTTGCTCACCGTCCTCTCTGCTCCCATCAATTCCATGCATCCCTCGTAGACGAACAAGGCCGCTGCATTGACTGGAAATGCCCTGAGCGCGCAGGGTGTGAATCCGGTATAGAACATCTTGATCCTCCGCAGTACTCCCGCGTCCGGGCCCGGTCGATTCCATATCTGCACGAAAGCAGACCGCATGGTAGGATACTTGGGCTTCTCTCCTGGGATATCCGCCATCATCATGTTCTTGATATTATCCGCTGGAAGAGCAGAAAGCCAGAAGCACTCTGCTGCTAGGCCTCCAGAGAGGAGTGTTGCGATGGAGGGAGAGACCTCGTACGGTGTACCCTTCAGGTTGGCAAAGGCCTTGTTGAATACCTCGAAAGATCCAAACATGACTGCGAAGCTGGCGCGGAATGTAAGTGTCGCCGGAAGTGTCCGCCATAGACCTATCACGCCATGATGCTTGATGATCTGCTGTGCTGCGTCGATCGGTCCAGTGAAGTGACGGGCGGCCGTCTCTGCTCCACTGCCGCTCATAGTGACAGTTGATGCTGGTCCTCCGGAAGTAGCAAAGGATCTCACGCCAGGGAGATGTACTCGCTGGAATTGCATCTGGAGGAGCGTTTTGAGATTCTCCGTGGGCGTAGTGATCAGGCTGTTGGTCCAGCCTGCTCCCAGTCCGGCCAGAGCGTGGTACTGCACGGGCAGCGGCTTGCCCGTGTCCCCTCCTGTTCCGGTCATACGACTGAACTGTAACCGCAGATTGTGCAGTGTGCCTAGGAGAATCGAGTCCGACACAGCCCAGCCCACCGCGGGTGGTGAAGCGCCCTTGTAGAGGCCCAGTAGCGACTCCTTCCGAGCCATCTGAAGGAAACAGTCGATGGGCCCTTTGTATGTCCCTTGCGGCGAGACCTGCATCCGCACCTTGATACTGTCAAAGGGGTGACCATTGAGCAGCTTCGTCACCCCAGAAGCAGTGCCGGCTGCGTAACCCTTGAGGGAGCCGCTGGACCCTTCGTTGTTACTCTTCTTCTCCGTGGATGGCAGGACCTTCGTGAGGCCGGGCGTGGCCGAGGCCATACCTGGACCATCGCCTCTGGACTGAGCAGCCATCACGAGGGTGAGAGGGCGGGAGAAAGGCAAAGGAGCTTACAGGAGACGGTAAGCTTGCGAGTTGTGATATTGGACGAGCTAAGGTAACAGCTAAGCTTAGTTTTGCGGCTTCTCGGTATTCCTCAGCCAAATTCTCGGGCGACTTGCAGGTGGAGTGGAGCTCAGAGACGCACGCGTTCTTCCGTTCCGCAAAATCTGGACGGGGCCTTTCTCCATTCAGTTTCGTACCGTACCGTACCGTACCGTACCGTACATAGCATTTCACAGATCCACCCCTTTCTACGTACTCCGGCTACTCTGGACCCTAATAGAATGCCACGGAAGACTCGAGCTGCTCAGAAGGCGGTCGTAGAGGAGCCAGCCGCGCTGGAGGGAGAGCAGCGACAGCAGGAAGCATCCGAAGAGATCGCAACTTCCCCTACAGCAGCTAGCAATGAAGCATCGACGTCAAAGGCAGCAACAACGGCAGCGGACGAGTCGGTAGAAACCACGAGATCGAAGGGAAAAGGAAAGGCGAGAGGGAAAGGCCAAGCTGCAGCTGCTGTACAAGAGGAGGAGGGGGAACAAGCAGCAGGAGCTTTGGCTGGGGAGGCCCAGGCCGAAGCGGAAGAGGCAGAGGCAGCCACGAACCCGGCAACAGCATCAGAGGCGGAAGAAGAAGAAGCAGCGATGTCGAATGGACTGGCTGCTCCAACAGAGAAGACAAGATTGACTATGGAGCAGAGGCGGGAGAAGATGAATGCTCTCAAAAAGAAGATGGTGAGTCGTGAGCAGACAGCCCTGCATAACATTGTAAATCTTTCTGACAACCGCTCTCCCTTTCCTCGCATCTTCAGGCCCAATCTTCAACTCAAAATCGCAGAGATCTCGCCCTCGATAAGCAAGCTCGCTCCAACAACGTGCGCGATGCGACGAATTCCCGCAAGCTAGCCAAGGCCGAGCAGACACTAGACAGGATCGATGCAGAGCAGCGGGGCGAGGATTGGGAACGGCAGAGGAATTGGAAGTACACGATTGAGGATGGAGAGAGGTGGGAGGAGATGCAGGCGAGGGGAGAGGAAAGCAAGGACAAGGGTATCATCGGTGAGTAGAGCCTCGGATGGAAGACTCAGGCCTCAGGAGCGAGACTGATTGCGACTTCTCTTTCGTTCTCTCTCGCGTCGTTGTAGATGCAAATGGCTTAGCGGCTCGATCGTACGCACGCGGGCTCAAGTCTTTCAAGCCAGACATCAAGAGCTACCAGAAAACAGTCGAAGGGAATTCGGCCGGTCCTTCTTCTAGCTCAACAAGTCTGATTAGAAGAGGAGCCGCAGGCGACCCCTCGAGCAACCAGCAGGTAGTCCGCAAAGAGGACATCTACGCGGGTGTTAACAGCCTCTCTTATGGAGACCACAGACCCAATGATACAGCCATCGACCGCGTCGTCTCTCACATGAACATGGAGACGGACGTACGCAAGAAGCGCTCTCGCAAGCGTCCGGCTGAAGAGGGCGGAGAAGTGACGTACATCAATGAGAAGAATCAACACTTCAACAAGAAGATTGGGAGGTACTTCGATGAGTACACACAGGAGATCAGGGATAACTTTGAGAGGGGAACGGCTTTGTAAGAGACGTCAGATACATTTGTACCGTTGCGATGCCATAATCTTACGTCCTCATCTTACGGATACGATATATTCGATCATGAACCGCGACCAGGGTGGAATGCGTTCCAGGACGAAAGGCGCAACTTTACAACTCATTCAAGCCCTCTCGCACCTTCTCGCCCTCCTGATCCTTCTTCTTTTTGAGATCTTTTTGCCTCCACTGACTCAGATCACAGCGATCCCCTGCTTCAAGACCGGCAACGGTCGCGAACTCCTTCTCGTGACCTCTGTGAGGTATGTAGAAAGTAGGAGAGTCGCAATTCGTCTAGGTGTCAGTCACTCGCCTGCTTCTGCCGGCTTCCACGAAGCGTACTCACAGCACAACCATCACATTGTCCTCCATCTCCAACCTAGTCATAGCGCTGGCCGTCCGCCAAAACATCTCTGGAAAGTCCTGCATGCAACTCCAGTTCTCCGACTCTGGTGTGAGCTTGAACTTGGCCGGCACTGAACGACGATCTGTTTCGTGATGGAAGGGTTGAGGTGGAACGGGAAGGTAGAGAGCTTGATTGTGTGCTGCGTCGCCCGCGAGGAAGACCCAGTCGCCTGAGGAGACGTGAGCCAAGAGGGCTAGATGGCCGGGGCAGTGCTGCGTGCGAAGGAATGTGGTGGAGCGAGAACGCAAGATGAGAAGCAAGATCGGCTACGCAGTCAATCAAGGCTGTACTCACTCCAGACGCCTTGACGAGGAAGGTGGACTCGTCACCAAAGAGGTCATACGCCTCCTCAAAAGGCCCGATGGCCCTCTTCTTCCACCTTTCCCCACTTCCCTCTCCTACCTCAATGAACTCCCTTCCTTGTTCAAGATACGTGCTCGGGAAACTCTTCAGACCGCCCTTCTTGTCACCTCCGTTGATCCATTTCAAGGACCCCTCGCCCAGGAACAGAGGAATGGTGGGAGGGAACCGGTCCGTTGCACCGTAATGGTCGATGTGGGCATGGGACCAGATGATGCCTGTCAGGCTCGACGGGTCGACTAGATTGTGTGCTTGTGCTGACGAAGGGAGCTCAGTACGGCCGAAAGAAACGGACTTGAACATCTCCGGGAGGTTCTCGGGATCGTTCCTCCAGCCTGGAGCACGTACATTTAGAGCCGGCGGAAAGGAATCAGTCAACTTGCCGCGACAAGGTGCCTGCTCTATCGCGCTACTTACCCAGATCCCAGAGGTATCGATCCTCTCCATGCTGCAGCAATGCTCCAAAGATGGGCAGCGAATAGTCTGCATCTGCCTTTGCCTGCTTCCTCCTCTCGTCCTGCTCCCAAGCATCATCGGCCCACATCCCCCGACGGGAGTGAATCCAGCCCATGTGGAGAAGCTCGACAGAGCATGTCGGGACGCCCTTGGGCAGTGGCTCAAAGGGTAGGGAGCGTGGGTCAATGTGTGAGGTGTGAGGGTGTGACATAGTGAGACCTTCGAGGAATACTTGATCGGGTATGGAGTACTGTCGGTAGGGGGACAGGGGTGAAGAGGAAGGACGAGCGGTAAAGCCGAAGCGGTATGCGCCATCTGAAGCGGATATAAGGAACCTCCACTTGAGGTTGCTAGCACAGGTCACCCAGGGAGCTCACGAATTTCAGGTCAAGCAATGCTGGAAGAACAAACGACAGAGATGGATGCAGATGGATACATTTGGCGGCTAGACAACGAGCGACGTACAAGCATTACTGACCACCGATCATCTTGACCACGGCAATTCCGGAGGGCCACCCTCTTCACGCTCACTCTTCATCAGCGTCGGCATCGGATGCAGCGGAAGCTTGGGAGTTGGCAGTCTGAGATCGTCTGGACCATCGGAAGGATCTCTTGGGCTTCGAAGCAGAGGCAGGGGCATGGTCCCCCTTGCCCTCGCCCTCGGTAGATTGGCTGGGCGACCCGGAAGACGCACCAGACGCGATCGAGCTCGTTGGCAGACCATTGTTGTTAGCTCCGCCCCCGGCACTGCTACTAAGCTGTTGATCAGAAGCAGCAGATCCGGCGCTGTTGAGCGAGGCCTTCGAGTTCTGACTCCAGAACGCAAATCTAGATCGATTCGTCGGTCTGTCCCGTGGGGCGAGCGGAGAGGCATCCTGCTGAGAAGACGAAGGCACACTGGATCCGATGCTGGCGCCAGCCGAATGAGAAGACGCAGTTCGGTTCAGCGGAGAGAATAGATCTTCGGGCCAGACCTGAAAGCCATCTTGATTGGAGTCCATAGTACCCGGTCCCGCAGATCGGCGCGTTCCACCGCTGATGCTGCGAGGAGCGGCTGCGGGATTCTGTTGACTGGCCGCTCCTCCGAGTCCTCGTGCGGCGCCGTTCATACGAGATGCAGTAGGCTGAAATCCTTGACGCTGGCTCCATTGATCAAAGGCACTCCAAGATCGTCTACCTTCCTCGTCATCGGGAGGATTGGAAGCTTCAAAGGCCCTTCGCACAGCGTCGAAAGAAACGCCGCTGCTGTTCGGCCCATGACCATGGAGGCTGCTGTTAGAGCTATGATCTCCAAGGCTCGGAGTGCTCCAGTCAACTGGCCTGCCGACGGTCGCAGTTGAGCCAAGGTACCCCTGGCTGCCAAAGCCCTCTCTGTTGAGCCCTTTGAGCGCATCTGCATCAGCTTGCTTGCGGGAAGCACTTCGAAAGACTTTGGCAGATGGGTTGAGCTGATTGAGCGAAAGACGTGGGAAGGAGCCAAAGGTTTTGCGCTGCTGCTTCGCGGCTCCTGGTTCCACAGCTTCTCCATCTGAGTCGGAGTCTCCCTGAGATGCTCCGACCGTGCTGTCTGTGGAGTCTGTCTGACGCTCTTTGCCTAGCTGCCGTGCCTTGTTGGTACCCCACCAGCTGCGAGCACTTGTCGTTTTCGCGGCAGCTTGAGTTTCCTCCTCACTTTCATGTTCCGAGAGCGGTCCTAAGGCTCTCTCCAGCACAGCATCGACAACATCCTTGTCCGATTGAGTGCCATCAGCGTCGGATTGGTCTGAGGTATCCAGACCAAATCGCCCCAGAGCAGCTTCAATCGCCTCCGACCTGGTACCTGGCATGACCCCGGGATGGGTATCATCGTCATCTGTACTTGCGAAGAGGTTGCTTGGCAAGAGGTCAGTGGAGAAAGGCGAGACGGGTGGCATCATGTGAGCTTGGAGATTCCCGTTGGCCTGATTTGGCGAGAATGGTCCGACAGCGTCTTGCTGATTCCGAGGATGCAGCATCTGGCTAGCCCGGACAGCCCCGCCCGCGGAAGGACTCCCTCTTGGGAACACAGACGCGTGAGCCGGAGCTTCCAGACTCTGTGGATGATCTGAATATGGCTGCAGCCCTCCAAATGGCTGGAATGGTGCGTCGCTTCCATGGATGCCTGTGCCACCGATGCCGGATCCGCCAAAATCCTGAGAGATCCTGCGGCTGGACTGCTGGTGCGGGAAGTGGCCATGGGTCGGTGATGACCGGTGAAAGTCCTCGAAGATTGCATTTCTACCGTCGTCATATGGTGCAGACGCCGGCACTGAGTCGCTGACTGATCGAGTTTGTCCAAAGAGAAAAGAGTCGCCAGGTCCGTAGCCGTTCGACATGAGATGCAGGGCATCACTTGATCCGTGTCCAGAGCGCGAGAAAGAATGGGAAACGCCCCCAGAAGCGGCGGCGGCCGCTGCTGCTGCTGCTGCCGCCTGCTGCGCACGGGCGTAGCTTCTCTCCCTCAGACTTTGTTCTGCGGCCTTGAGATTCTTCTGCTCTTCACAAACTCTTTGTTCCAATGATGCGATCTTCGTTCGAAGCGTCTCGAGGTTCTTCTCGGCATCTTCTGTGCTTTGGAGCTTTGCTAGCCTCTCTGTTTCGATCTCCGTTCTACGATTCTGACCGTTCTGCAGCTCATCCTTGACACGTTGATCAGCTTGTGTCTGACGATCACCGAAGTTTTCGAGTGCAGCTTCAGCTGACAAGATTCTCTTCTCCAGATTCTCCTTGACCGCTTGGGCAGTCTTCAGCTTTCTCTCGGCGTCTCGCTTGGCAGCTTCTGCAGTCCTCTTGCCTTCATCGAGGGTCTTCATCCTGCCCCTGAGATCAGAGCGAGCAATGTCTTCGTCTCTTTTCCGTGATCTGAGATCCTCGAGCTGACTTTGCAGCTGTTGACGTGTTCCTTCCGAAGACGTCTTGAGTGACGACAGCTGTGATCTCAAATCATCTACAGCTGCTTCAGCTGCTGCATTGAGTGGATCAATTGCAGATGACGGCGACTCGACTGTGGAACGATCTGCAGAAGCTGACCTGGGTGATGGAGTTCCGCAAGCCTCGACTTCGTTTGCCGGACTATCGTCGTGTTGCGTAACAGCTTCTGGCCTACAGCGAACTGTGTCGTCCACTACAGTCTTCCGTTGCTGCTGTTGCGCAAGGACGCTACTTCGAGGTGGAGCTTGGGCGGGAATCTGCGAAGTTCTAAGACGATGAGGCTGCTTCTTCCGCCTGGCAGGCTTGGCGGTCGAAGACAAAGCAGTTCCTGTGGACTGGGAGTCTTCAGTGGGACCATCTCGTAGAAGTGATCTTTCATTCTGGGGAGATACGCGGCCTGGTGAGAGTAATGGTAATGTCGAGAGGTCAACTTCGTGGTCAGCCCTGCACAGCTTGCAGCTCTGTATTTAATCTCTAGACTCACGACGCTTCTTCTTGTCACCACCAGAACGCATATCAAGTACGCCCCACTGAGGCTCTGCAGGGTGGGCATGATGCTGACCCTTGACATCCTGTATCGAAGCTTTGTCCCGAATATCTTTGGCACCCGTCCACCATGTACCAAACGCTCCGACATACCACGATGTACGGCTATGATGAATGGAAGCATCTGGAGCTGCGCACTTCGTGCAAGCCTTTGCGGCATTGACCTTCTTCAAGTTACCCCTAGCCGGAAAGAGGTTGGGACAAGCGATTGCAGGGTGGGCTACCATTACGATGCTGAAGAGGGCATAATCATGGCGGATGTATGGAGGCGTGCGAAGAGAAACTGATATCCTGTTTGCGAAGGTCAAGACATGAGGGTACGTCTGATCAGGATCCCAGTCTTCGCCAGTGGCAGTATCAATTGCAGATACATCATTTGCGGCGCCCTCGCTCGAGCCCTTCCCCTTTCCCTCAGCGGGAAGAGCAGGATTGGGCTGGTTTGTTGGGGAGGCGCTTCGACGCGACTGATCACGAATGTGACGAAGATGTTGGTGCAGAGAGAGGTCGGTGAGGTAAGACTGGAAGGAGGCGTCTGACGGCTTTGTTGAGTAGGCGATTGTGAAGATGAGGGTAATGATGAGAAGGCCAGTGACGAGCGTCTGGGGATCTCCGGGAAAGAAGAGACTGGCAATGCCAGCCATTTGATTGTGTACGTTAGTCATGACGAGGCTGAGGCCCTGAAGGAAAGCTTCTCGTACTGTCAGAGCCGGGACCTCGTGCTCATCTAGCGTCCCACTGCCGTTGCGGCCTTGGAGGAGAGTAAGTCCGCCAAAGAGAAGGGAGCTCAGCCCCATGAACGCCGAGTAGGCGATCAAAGTAAGCTCGCTGGGACCAGACTCCTCCCCATCACCACCTCTGGTGCCTCTACGGGAAGAGAAGACTGAGGATCTCCTGTCCGCAGGTCCAGCAGCGGCAGCTTGTTCAGCAGCAAGTTCCGCCTCCAGCTCTGACTTGGAAGGGAAAGCTGGAGATGCCACTGTCCTGCTGGTCTGAGCGATAGGATGAGAAGCGATCGTCGTCGTGTTTAAGGGCGCTCGAGGGGAGCGACGCGCCGATCGACGAGTGTGAGGGTGCCGGAATGTGCAAACTAGGAGATGACGATGAGGCGAAGAAGACCTGGCCGATCGAAAAGCCAGACGCCTTTGAGCTTCACAATCAAGGCGCTAGTACAATGCAACGGCTGCTGTCTACCGCGGGCGATTGCTCGTCGTACCGGAAGGAGCAAGGCGGGACGGATATTGTACCCTGGGTTACCTCGGTAGGTACCGAGGAACGATGGAAATAGGGTGCAGAGAAGAGGCAACCACAGACGTAGATGCTCGCTGGAGCCGCCGGATTCAACGAGGGAGAAGGCAACCAGCGCCGAGTGGGATCGAAGAGGGAAACGAGGAAGGAGAGGGAGGAGGTGGTAATGGTACGGCCTATATCCCGAAAACAGGGCGGCAGAAGGGCGAAAGTGAAATCGTCGTCGTCCGGCTCGGAGCCGAGACGCGAAAGTCCGCACTATAGAGAGGTCGCTTCACGTCCTTCGCATCTTGCCTTCTAATTTATCACTTCCGTGTCTCGGAACAACTCCTTCTCGCCTTTACATCACTCGAAAGCGAAGCATCCGCTGCCACATTGCTTCTCTCCCCCCTTCTGATCCCACCCACTCACCTCACGCTCGACGTCATTGCGTGTGAGAGGCTGCATACAATCACACGGACCCTCTCTTGCCACGACTAGCGCGACTTGGAGCGCGTCGTACTCGAAAGAGCTCTCCCATCGCCATGGCTGACCAACCTCCGATCGAGCCTCAACAGCAGCAGCAAGATGCCAACGCAGCTACGCAGTCTTCTGATGCAGCCCTCGACACCACTGTCCAGCCCGCCGCTCCTCACATGGACATTGTGAAGCAACAGCCATCAGCTGCTCCTCCACAAGGAGCAGATCTGGCTGGCAGTACTACTCACTCTGAGCCGCAAGATAGTGCTAGCGGCATAGCATCCCTAACAGCCGCCAGTACGGAGCCAATTCTTCCGGCGGCGTCGAACGGGACTGTTGGCAGCTCGAATGCTATGGCTGATGCTGTCGCGAAGGACACTGACAGCAACGGGACATCCGGAAGCCTCAACGGTTTTGCTGTACGTGACGCGGAAACTACTGCTCATGGAGACATCACCGCAAGTGGCGCAGTCGTGGACAGCAAGGATACCATTGCGGACGTTGCGCAGCCTGTCGCACCAGATTCAGCCGCCTCGATCTCGCAGAGTGTTGCCGCTCCCAGTGCTTCGGTGGGTGCGACCGAGGTCTCAGCCCCCGGTACGGGCAACCCTTTCGACGCTCAAGAGGAGGCAGATGTTGGAGCTAGTGGTGTTGCCGTCGATGCTAATACAGCTTCGGCTGATGCTCAAAGGCCATCGGAGCTGGCGGTTGACCCAGTCAAGGAGACTCTGCCTCTGCCAGTGGATGTCAATGGTACTGCAATTGATGGACAGTCGGAAGATCATCCATCAGCTGCGATCACATCGTCTAGTGCCTTCAATACCGAGGCAGACCGTCCCACAGCTGCCGTACACCTTAATGGCACTGCCGCTCCTCCTACATCAGTTGTCGACCCCACTCCCATCAAGGATGCAACCATGACCGACGTCAGCGGTGTTGCTTCGGATCCCATGTCCGGCCCTGCTGTCGTTGCACCTGCTCTCGGCGGTCTAGGTGTCGGCACGGCGTCGACAGAAGCCCCAGCCGCCTCAGGCGTCGAATCGAACGAACCACCCGCCAAGAGGCAAAGAACCGAGACCCTGCCTGAGTCTGCTGCAATGCCGGCTGCGCCAGCAACTCCTACTGGGCCGCTTCCAGATGCATCTACGATTGCAATGACTCCTGCTCAGATCAAATTTGCCCAGAACAGCATCAAATCTCTCAAAAACCGTCCGGAATCTCCTGCGTTCCAAGCTCCCGTCAATCCGGTGGCTCTGGGCATCCCGCACTACACCCAGATCATTACCAGTCCAATGGATTTGGGTACCATCGATATCAAGCTCGCCCTGACAGCAGCCGCCTCAAAGGGCGGCAAGCCTACAGAAAAGACGAAACAAGCAGCCGCTTGGGGCTTGGACCCGGCCAAGGATGTGTACACTAGCGTGGAGCAATGGGAAGGTGATGTGCGTCTCGTTTTCACAAACTGTATCCGCTTCAATGGTCCGGACCATCCGGTGTCGGCTAGCGCCAAGGCTCTCGAGGCCGTCTTCGAGAGACACATGAAGACTCTGCCGATTGAGGTGGCACCTCCTCTGCCAGAACCAGTTGTCGACGACAAGAAAGCCCGCCGACCGTCTAACCCTGTACCTACTATTCGCCGCTTGTCTTCGGATCTCAGCGGTCGTCCCAAGAGAGAGATTCACCCGCCTCCTCCCCGAGACTTGCCCTATGCTGATGAGCCACAGTCCTCGTCTGGCGGCAAGAAGCGCAAATCGGGCAAGCCTTTGACCGCCAGGGAGCAACAGTACTACGCAAAGGTCAATCAGGACGAGCTCAAGTACTGTCTCAAGGTGATTGACGATTTCTTGACCAAGGCAAGCAACCAACACTTCATGTGGGTCTTCAACGATCTACCCGCTAAGGACATGGACTTTGCCCCTGCGTACTACCAATTGATCAAGCGGCCCATCTGTCTGAACCAGATTCAGGGCAGGCTCAGGAAGCGGGAGTACGCGGACAAGAATGACTTTGTGGCTGACATGAAGCTTCTCTTCAACAACTGCTACACCTTTAATCCTCCCGATAACGAGGTTCATCAGATGGGCAAGCGAACGGAAGCGGTCTTCGAGGAGAAGATGAGCAATATGCCGAAAGCCAAGCCACTCAGCCCCGAACCCGATATGGAAGACGAGGAAGATGAGGAAGACGCAGAGGCGGAAGCAGCCAAGCTGGCACAGATCCGAGAGCTTGAAGAGAAGCTTGCTGAGATGAAGCGAGAGGCCAAGCTGGGCAGCGCCAAGGCCAGTGGTAGTGGTGGCAAGGCTGGCGGGCCTAAGAAGAAGGCTAGCTCAAGTGCTGTTGGAGAGGGTAAGAAGAAGAGTGCTTCGAAACCCAGAACTTCTTCGGCTGGCGGAGCCTCAGTCGACGGTCAGCCGAAGAAGCCTAAGCAGTCTAAGAAGAAGGCGGCCTCGGGAAGCAAAGGAGGTGCTGGCAGCGACGACGAGGATGACGTTCGCGTCGTCACCTACGAGCAGAAGGAGGAGCTTGCGCGCAAGATCACTCAGCTTTCCGAAGAGCGACTTGACGGCGCCTTGCAGATCATTAGCGAGGACAAGCCGGCAAGCGCAAACGATGACGAGGAGATCGAGCTGGACATTGACGATCTCAGCCCGCGCACGCTATACCGACTCTACCGATACGTGGTCAAGCCCAAGAAGAAGCCGGGACCCAAGCCGGGAACAGCCAAGGCGGGATCGGGCAAAGGAGTGGGTGGTAAGAAGAGGAAGAACCTCGACGAAGAAGCAGAGGCAGCAAGAATCGCCGCTCTCCAGGAGCAGCTCAACTCGTTTGAGAGGGCCAATAGTGGGGCTGGAGCGGGCAGCGCTCCTGCTGCCTCCGCTGCCGCCCCCATTGCCGGCGGTCACGATGACCTGGTCCAGTCTGAGAGCAGCTCTGGTGAAGAGGATTCTGATGGGTCCGAGAGCGATTACTGAGAGGTTGCAAGCACGACTGGAAGAGAAGGTATCGGACTAAGGTCTGAGTTCTCCCTACCAAAATTCTTATGTTCTCCCGTCTCTCCACTCATCTGTATAGTCTTACTTTGACGAGGCACTGCCTCAGCTGTCAAAATCCTCCATTGTCATCCTGCATCGATGCGACTGATGTAGCAGCGAGATCACGTCTTCGGGTGTTTCAAATGTACGCAACCGTTTCAGTCCAGGACGAGGGTGCAGTGGGGGCGTGGGCCCTGTTTCGTTGTGCCAAGTGGAGAGGGCGGCGGCTGAGCTCCGTGCGCCGGGAGGGTCAGGGACACTTTGGCCCAGGGCAGTCAGTCATTCACCTCGTCACCCTCGCTGCCCTCGCACTGCTCCTCCTTGACCTTATATCTTCCCGACCATTCCACGATCACCTTGCCACTGCCCTCCCCGTCTGTTGTTCACTCATCATACGCTTTCGAAACCTTGTGACTTGCTCACTCTGCCCTCTGCGATTTCAAAAGTACCTCCAGCGGCTGTACAGAGAGCGTACGTGAACGGGTGCTCTAGCTCAGGAGGCCATGGCCTCGCCGTCTCTGCCTGCTAGGGCGCTCGCAGACCACAGCAGAGCTTTCTCTGATGACTCGCATAGGTCATCCCCACCGGTCAGATCGTCAGACTCCCGACCCTTCTACGAGGGCAACATTCAGAGAACCTCTCGGGAGTCTGCTAGTCAGATCGGTGAACAACCTAGCATTTCTTCTACAAACCTGCAGGATGCGATGCTTCATTCCCGCTCCTGGCTGGGAGATATGGAGTCTTATTCCCCCTCCAGCAGTAGGCGGCCCTTTGGAGAGACGGAGGACGACTATCTAGCGCGCCGGACTAGAAGTATAGCTGAGGCACATCGCAACATTCTCGGCAGAAGCCGGAGACGTACGGATCATGCCCGGGCTTTCTTCGAGCGAGAGAGGAATGCAGACCATCGTCGACCCTTCTCAGAGGGTCTGGGCTCCCTTGGAGGGCACGATCACATCTCACGCATGGCTGTATCTAGCGAACAGTCCGAAACAGTCATTCCTGAGAGGTTGCGAATGGCCCTTCCTAGGTACACTCCTACAGCTGATCATCCTCGTCAGGAGCAGACTCGCTCTGCAGTTGTCCCTAGCAATTGGGCAATGGCAAGGTACGTCTCACCCTTCAGTAGCATAGGAGCAAGCAGTTCCCGACCGGATAGTGGGCCATCTGCTGATCGCCCGTCAAGTAGCCAATCCACCAACACCGCTCCGTCAGCCATGAAGAGATCCTTCGAGGAAAGATCAGGTCGGCATTCACGTCCAATTTCCCGTCTGAGTTCCGAAGCGGCAAGTTCTGAGAGCCAAGATGCCGCAGCAGCAGCTGGTGGCTCGAGATCTTTACGTATCGGTCGACCGAACTCGCGTCAGGGTGCAACGCGAGAGCCGTGGTTGAGCCCTTGCCGCGGAGCTACACCAAAGAGGCGACGGCCCGAGTCTACATCCGACCTTCGCGCTTCAGCTGCCCTCTCGCCTCACCAGGTCGCAAGTACCTCCCGTGATCCAATGACGGCAACCTCGTTCCGATCGTCTTCTCCTTCCATATCCGGTCTTGCAAGCAGAATGACCAGCTTTCCCCCTGCTCTTGGTCTGTCATCGGGAGATCGAGTCTATTCGAGTGTGACTCCCTCTCCTACAGCTTCCGAAGACGAACCACCGTTTCTGGTGGAAGACGATGGGGATAGCGAAGTCGTGGACGATCACTTCGACGCACCCATTGCACCACTCGGTATAACCGCACAGCACACCTCGAACATCCAGGAGTCAAGCCACAGCAGCATGCTGCTTGATGGGCCTCCGCCCAGAGACTGGCGGCTGAATCGCGAGAATGGCTCATCTTCGAGTTCTCAAACAACCACCATTGGCGATCCAAGGCAGACATTCATCTACCAAGATTTTTCTCAGCGGCTCGAAAGTCTGCAAACTCAGATTGATGCCGCTCGAGCAGAGGTGCTCAGACACCAGACCGCCTATCAGGATTTGTGCGAATTGACTTCGGCTTCGTCGGGCTCATCGCAGGCGCAGTGGCATCTCAATCAGACCCGTGTCCTTCTAGAGCGGTCACGAGACCAGCTAGACAGATTCCGGAGTCTACTCTCAGGTCGACAGACTGAGCCGCCCGGTGAGGCGGAGGCAGCAACTGGTGAGATCGACTCCGGCATTGGCAGTGACGAGGACCGCACAACCACGTCGCTTGGGCAAGGTCCGCCTTCTCTGCCTTTGATCCGCCACAATTCACCTCTGGTCACTCCGTTTACGGAGAACGGAGCCATCGACGAGCGTCAGCGACCAGATGCCGAGTCTACACATTCGCACCTCCACCCTCCGAGTTTTGACAGTGCTAGGTGGAATGCACCTCGGACTCGTCGAGAGCAAGAAAACGTATCGCTGTTTTCTGCTTTGCCAAGTGAACGCAGCAGCCGACCCATATCAGATGCGACCAGTCGATCTCGACTGGCTGCTGAAACTCTGCCTGCACGAAGGTCAGATCTCTCTCATGCTGGAACCCGTCCATTTGGCAGGCCTCTCGGATATGCGTCTGGGAGTGATGGAGGGACATCAAATTCTGGGGATAGCTCAAGAGCCAGGCCTCCATCTCGAGACCGTCCATCGCCCTCGCTGCGGAGCCAATGGCCTTACTCGCCTTTTGGAACTGTCCCGATGCTCAGTGCAGGCAGTCCTGGCCTTCGCAACGAACCCCTGGACTTTGCCAGATTACACTCGCAAGAAGCAGCCGAGATCGAGGATATGCAGGCTCGGATATCGCTGGAAGAAGAAAGACAGGAACGACAGCAGCGAGATCGCTTTGAACTTACCTCGAGCGCTCCGACACACTCTTTGAGCGAACAAAACCTCTCTTGGAGCGAGCGCAACCTAGCCCACATCTGGCGCGACTTTGACGATCACTCAGCAGGCGAAGTCTTGGCTCGCTCTCGGGCATCCGGCAATGAAGGGCACGGCGGTCAACTTCGCAATATCATGCGTGGTGCAAGCGATCTCGACACTTCTGCAGCTGCTCTGCAAGCAACCAGTGCCCACGATCGCAGAAGCAACGATTATCAGCAAATGATGGACCTGCTGTGGCCACACCCCAGCGGCCGGCGTGTACAGGACTCTTCCCCGCGGATGCCTGCTCACCGCACTCCAGCAGGAGCCTTGTCAGGCGATGGGAGATACGGCATTGACAGCACTCACGGCTTGGACGCGCCCGACAGCGGTAGAGCGTCAGTCGCCGCTATGGCTCGCCGCTCGCGCTTCCGCTTTGGACATCCTGCTACGTTGACTTCAAGAGCTACTACAGCCTCTGAGGATCGATTGCGCAGCGCAGAGCCCTATTACACAGACCTCATCAACATGCGAGCGTCTCGTTTTGGTGGAAGGCTCGCGACGATGACAGCATCGACTACGAGTACCACTACGAGTACGATGGCAACGACGAGAGCTACCGCGGATCGACCTGAGATGGAGAGAGACGACGTGGATACACTACTGCGACGTCTGACCGTGCCGGCCGGTCTTCAAGAGCCATTCTTGGGCTTCATGGACGAGTCTAGGTCACGAGTGCGTAGGGGTGCCTCCGAAGCCACGCTGGAGGGGTTGAGCGTGTTCAGCTACGAGTCTCGGTATGCTCATCTACTCGCAGAGAGGGGAAACAGGCAGGGAAGCGCCGAGCGCAAGGGCAAGGCAAGAGCCATGGATGAGGACCCTGCGAGTCAGCCACTGCAAGGTACAGACGATGCAGTCATCGCCAGCAGCAGTAGCTCTTCCTCTGCTGCCGCCTCCTCAAGCTCTTCTCCTTCTCCCAGCATAGCAAGCGAAAGCGCCGGACCGGAGCAATGTCCCATCTGCTTGGAAGAGTACGAGGGTCATGACAAGATGGCAGCATGCTGGTGCGAGCACGAGTTTCACGAGACGTGCCTCAAGACCTGGCTGAGACAGACGAAGAGCTGTCCACTCTGTCGCTCCGTCGAGCCTGGTAGCGGCGGTAGTGCCAATGACAGTGGCAGTGGCGGCGGAGGTGGTGATGGTTTGCGCAGCGCATCGAGTAGCTTTGCGAGGTTCTTCCTACCTGACTTTGAAGTCTGAGTGAGTCAGCGGCAATTGTGGAAGAGGAGCTCCCAAGAGCGGGGGTGGCCCGTGATGGGAAACGGTAACGGCAAGATAAGGAGCGAGGTGCGCCCCTCAATGTCGGGCGTGTGCGGGGAAAGGCAGGACAATTGTACCGCGGCCCCTTGGTCTGCTTCGCTCGCGTCCAGGCCTACGCCATGGTGATTAGAGTTTTCATGTGTGCATGTACCAGATCAGACGTCTCTCTCGTCCCTCATCTACAATCTCATCCTGTGGTCCGTCGTTCGCGGCTCCTTTTCCCACTAGCCATCTCCCCTTGCGCTTATCTACGACGGGAAGGCAAATCTCAGATTAGCACAAGCGGGGACAGAGGGGGGCGCGAGCGCGAGCGCCCGTGAGTGGGTGGACCCGGCCCGTGCACGGCTGATATGCAGATGCGCATGAGCTCCGCTTCCGAGGTGCCTTCCGTATCTGCCTTGGAGCGCCGCTCCCTGAGTGGCCCTGCTCGGGTGTGGTGGGGAGGAAGGGCCCTACGGGTGATTGAGCAGGGGAAGGGGGAAGGAGAGGAAGGAGACCGTATCAGTGCAGCTTGCGTGCAGGTGAATACTTTAGTGAAATTGATAATGATGATTGAGGCTTCGTCCCCCGAGTTGCCTCTTTGCGATTGTCATCCCTGTCCCTGTCCCTGTCCCTGTCCCGCCATCGTCCATCCTCGTCACATCCCCCATCCCCCATCCCTCCCCGCCTTCCTCAACCAGCCATGTCCGCCGACCAAAAGTCCATCAGTTCGCAACCCCCCGCCGACAAGGAGAAACACTCCATCAACCTCACCTCCTATCAGCCACCCCGTACCAATGGCACGCACATTGTTCAGGGAGGAGAAGCAGGCGTGTACGAAGGCAAAGAGGCGCAGCAACTCCAGTCGCTTGGATACCGGCCAGAAGAGAATCTAGTGAGGAATAGAGGACTGTTCACACTCCTTTTTCAGGCATTGGCGATTGCTGCTATTCCTTATGGGTTTGGTGCACCCAGTGAGTAGACGTTGGGCGTGAACAGAGACTACCGCAAGGAAGAGAGACTAAGGGACTGATTCCCACACCCCTTGTCATAGTCATGAGCGCCATTGTCGGTGGTGGTCAGCTCCCCCTCTGGCTAGGATGGGTCGTCTGCTTAGTCCTTCAAGAATTCATCGGTCTCTCTCTCGCCGAGCTTTCCTCTGCCTTCCCCACCTCCGCCGGTTCCCACTACGCGACGTACCGTCTAGCGCCTCAGGGAAGTAGACGTTTCGCCGCCTATCTCACCGGCTGGGTCGTCCTAGTGGGGAATCTCACCATCACGCTCAGTGTGACATTTGGATTCGCCTCACTACTCGCTGCTTGCATTACCATTGCCAAACCAGAATTCGCAGCAACCAATTGGCAGCTCCTACTCATCTTTTACGCAATCCTCGTAGCGACCTTTGCCATTTGTCTATTGGGGAATCGCTTCTTGCCGTTTGTAGACTCCTTTTGCGCAGGGTATACATTGCTGGTCATTTTCCTCGTGCTCATCGTGTTGCCTTCCACGGCAGATGAGAGACACTCGGCTAGTTATACACTGGGACACTTCGATAGCACCCTTTCGGGATGGGGAGGCTTTGGCTTCGCCATTGGACTTCTTCCCTCTGCTTACTGCTTCTCTGCGCTTGGCATGGTGAGTGTAGGAAGGTCATGCATTGTTGGACCTGCTCTATTGACACGTTTCCATCTCCTCGCGTCTGCCTACCAGATCACCTCCATGTCCGAAGAGGTATCTAGCCCAGAGACGAGCGTCCCTTGGGCGCTTAGTCTGGCCGTCCCCGTAGGACTTGTAGCAGGCCTATTCTTCATCATCCCAATCTGTGCCACCCTGCCTCCCCTTGCAGACATCGTAGAAGCAGGCGCTAGCAGCGGTCAAGCTCTGCCTTACATCTTTGCAACGGTCACCGGCTCTCCGGGAGGTGGTGTGGGCCTCACTGTCCTCGTCCTCATCTTGACCCTCTTCTGCTGTATATCCATCACCACAGCCGCTTCAAGAATGTTCTGGTCTTTTGCTCGAGACCACGGCATCCCCTTTGGCGACTTTTTTTCGGTCATCGATGCCAAATTTGGAGTGCCGAGGAACGCCCTGGTGCTGTTGACGGTGGTGCAGATGCTCCTTGGGTTGATCTACCTGGGATCGACTTCGGCCTTCAATGCCTTTGTTGCGACGGGAGTCATTGCGCTCGCCGTCAGCTATGCCATTCCCATTGCGATGAGCGCAATATCTGATCGCAGAAGGACAGTGAATGCTGCATCGTGGCATCTTCCGCCTATGCTTGGGTGGTTTGCAAATTTCATTGCCTTACTGTGGGTCGCCTTTCAAGCTGTTCTCTTCAGCATGGTGAGTTGAAGTGGCTCTCGTTGCGCGACGACTTTGAGGCTGAGTCGCATTCATTGCTTCCTGTCGCAGCCTACCGTGCTACCAACTTCCGAGACGGCCATGGTGAGTATTGTCGTGGGGAATGGGTGACCAAGCAAAGCAGAGCTCACGCTCTGGCTCTGTTCCGTTCCGATCGCCATGCAGAATTATGCCTCCGTCGTCTTGGTAGGCTTGATGACTCTGTCGTTGGTGTGGTACGCTCTCGGCGGCAGGAAGCAGTTCGTCGTCCCGACCGCTTGAGCTGTGTGAGCGTGATACTTGTAGAGGAGTCTGCGTGGATCAATGTTACCGTCTCGTCCGCTTTGTCCTTTGTCTGCCTGAAGCATGCTTGAGTCGCATGGGAGCCTTTGGTCCGGCGGAGAGAGATGATTCCGTGGAACAGCCTGTAGGAATCATTCGAATACTAGATCGATGTCGAAGAGCTCGATGAACTGGGCAAGACAGGGGCAAGTGAGGCGTTGAGACTCGACTGAACACGACTCGATGACCCCCTGCTGCCTTGCACTCACCTGCTCGTTCATCACTCGGACCTTGGGTCCCGCAAAGCGCCTGTACTCCTCGAGGATGGAGCTGAGACACCACATCTGCAACTTGCGCAAACACCCAATGACTGTTCCCGTCCTGTGTCTTCCCTGGTTACACATGACAATGGCAGGATACGTGGCAGGCTGCACGAGGAGGTTGAGAGCCTGCAGGACTACTTCTTCTGTGATGGGTTCCCAGGCTGAGGTGGAGTGGAGGTGACCGAGGTGGTAGAGGGAAATGGAGTTCTGATTGCAGAACGTCAAGCTGATACCAGATTCAAGAGAGCATAGGGTAGGACGATCGAATGTCAGCTCGGCTCATCGCAGCGGGTTACGCTGCCAAGTGTCCATCTGTCCACTTACAGCTCTGGGCTGGGCTCCTCTGGTGCGAGCCAGACAAGACTGTTGAGTCCTAGCATCTCCAGGAAGGGGAAATTGATCGAGTCTGGGGATCCTGAGCGGTACAGATCCTCCTCGACCATGCCAAAGTTGTTGGGTGGGACGAGCATGGCGGCTTGCGTTGAGGTGATGGTGCTGGAGATGGTAGCAGAGTCGTGAGGGTCAAGGATCAGGCAGCGACGGAAAGGCGGCGACGCGCCTGGAGTGCGGGAACATCTGCTCCTCCTCGCATTGCACATCTCAGTATCCTTCCCTCTCACTCGTCTAGACAACCTACTGATGCGAGGATCATGAGCATACCTTCTTCACACACTACAGTACTGGTAACATAGCGCAGCAAGCCTTCCACTGCTGCTTCAGCCGGCACTACGGCGGACCATAGACACGCAGCAGCAGCAGCAGACATGGCAGCTTCTTCCTCTGCCAAGGCCCCTGGGGTTGCAGGTCACGGCGTTGATGAGCCTCTCACAGAGGTCGAGGTCTCCGGTCCCGTCAACCTTACAGTGGCACATCTGTCGGCGCTCTCATCCCGCCTCTTCTTGTCCCACCTATCCTCCATCCCATACTCGAAGACGCTCATCCTCGACCCAACCTTGGCAGGACCTCTAGGCCTCGTTGTGGACACCAGCAGTCTCAAGAATGTAGGTGTGGAGAGGATGTTCTGGATGGAGCAAAAGGACGGCGAATTCGAAGATGCAGAAGAGGAGAAGAAGGGAAAGGCCGTCAATGCACCTACAAAGGCAGTTGTGTACGTCTGCAGGCCAGAGGAGAAGTGGATCAAGGTCATCAAAGGTGAGTCGGCAGCCCTAGGTCCCGTCTCGGTTCTCTACGCCCCATTCTACTGCCATACTGGACCAAATTAGCCCGTACCCTTCCGCAAACGCTCCACGAGGAAACGGGTCAGTCAGCGTCCAAAGATCAAAGAACAGCGGGGATGGCTCTCTCGAGCTCGTCTCCGCTTCCGATTGCATCCTAGCCCATCCGCCTCCAAAGGCAGCTCTGTCTCCGACTATGCTCAGTCATGACGTTGAGCTTGGACGGCCTAGCTCAAGAACGGAAGACATCTCTCCCAGTCGCACGTTACGTCATCTCAATCTTCTGCGGCTACATACTGACACTCTTCTCTACATTGCTTCCCTGCCCGAAGCTCACATCCGCAGCGACGAGCACAAGTCACCGTCCTCTCCAACGCACACATATCATGCACTTCTGACTCCACACCGGACCGAGCTCTCGCTTCTGTCGCTCTCCCCAGTGTTGCCCAAGCTAGACCTGTACGACTTCGGTATTGAGTTTGTACCTCTCGAGCCCGACCTCCTGAGCTTGGAGGAGGAAGGAGCGGCATGGAAGGACCTCTATATCACCGGCGATCAGACCGTCCTGCATCGCAGCGCGATGGCTCTCATGACCTGTCAGATGCTCTGGGGCTGCTTCCCAAAGATCACCGGCAAGGGCAACTACTCGAAGCGACTGGCAGACCTGCTCATGCGGCAGCGGAGGGAGCATCTAGCTGGAGATCCGACGAATGCGAGTCTGACGACTTTGAGCACAGTGATAGACGGTCTGGTCATCGTTGAGAGGGGCATGGACATGGCTACGCCCATGTGTAGTCAGCTCACGTACATGGGACTGCTGGATGAGGTCATTGGTGTCAAGAGCGCTCATGTCGAAGTCGATCCTGCTCTCCTCAACACGTCCTCGACACCTCAAGGTCCGTCTTCAACCAGCACCTCCACCACAGGCATAGTCACCCCTTCCGCCTCCCGCCCGCTCAAAAAGCACCGCCTCGACCCCACGACCGATGTCCTCTACTCTCAAATCCGAGACCTCAACTTTTCCACCGTGGGCTCCGTCCTACACTCCTTTGCGAAGCGGCTCTCAACTTCGTATCAGGATCGGCACTCGGCAAAGACCGTGAGCGAGATGCGGGCCTTTGTGGGCAAGCTGGGTGGGCTGCAGAGTGAGCACACAGCTCTTCGCCTGCACACTGCTCTGACCGAGCAGCTGATGGGAGAGGCGAACTCGGATACGTTCAACCGCTCCTTGGAGATCCAGCAGAACATCGTTGCGGGCGTGAATCTCAATGCGCAGTTGACGGCCATTGAGGATCTCATCATTATGGAGGCGCCAGTGACCGTCGTCCTCAGGCTCCTTTGCTTGCTGAGCACCATTTCGGGCGGCATCAAGCCCAAGAACCTCGACTCGCTGAAGAGGGACATCTGCCAGACCTATGGGTACGAGCACCTCACTACGCTCCTCAACTTGGAGCGTGCCGGCGTCCTGACAAAGATCCGCCCACCATCAGCAGTGAGCGCAGCCGCTGCCCCCTCGACCGCTGCAAGGTTCACCGGCTCTCTCTCCGGCGGCGTCGGCAATGCAGGCGTAGGCGCGGGTGGTGTGCCGGCGTTCGAGCGGGTGCGCCAGCCACTACGTCTGATCAACGACGAAGTTTCCGAATCGGACCCGACGGATGTGGCGTACGTGTACTCGGGGTATGCTCCACTGAGTACACGAGTCGTGCAGGCCGTAGGGCAGAAAGAGGCCCTTGTCGGTACGCTCCAAAGCGCTAACAGCTCTGCGGCTGCAAAGAGCGGTGCGGGGGGACGAGGAGAGACACGCAGTAAACCCCGTGCGCACCCCCTCGTGGGATGGAAGGGATTCGAAGACGTCCTCGCAGCCATACCGGGCGAGACGTTTGATTTTGCCCAACCTCCCAACCTCATCCGCACCTCTTCCAAAGCTCCTCCTCCCCCCGCTCCCACTCCCGCTCCCGCAGCACATGCACAAGCAGGCGGTCCCGACATGGCTCCCACCCCCAACCCGAACCCCAATCCCAACCCCAGCGCCGTGGAAGACCCCTCTCCGCGCCCAGGCACCTCAAGCGATCCCAACCTCCCCTGGTCTACCGATCCGGACCGCCCTCGCACAACCGTGGTCTTCTACCTCGGAGGAATCACCTATGCCGAGATTGCCGCATTGCGATTCATGAGTTCACGCAGTCGGAATAGGAGGTGGTTGATTTGTACTACGGGAATTGTTAGTGCGGGGAGGATATTGGAGAGTGCGAGGGGCAAGTAGTTGACGTGGTAGGAGAGGAGGAGAGGAGAAGGGGGGAGCGGACTAATAGGCATTCAGAGTAGAGATATGGGAAGGTGGGTATATACCAAATCTTATAAGTATGGCGACGACGACTGAAATATATATAGCTACAACAAGACTTTGCCCTTTTTCTTTTTATTCGACGACTGTTGACTGTCTGTATCTTTCCTCCACTACGGGCGGGGAATAGGGGGCGCTCTATCCCTCCTTCCCTCCTTCCATCATTTCCTATGGTATGGCTGACCAGCAGCCACACACGCTGTACTCTGAACACCCTCTCCTAAAGGCATCTTAACCCATGTCCACCCTCCCTCTACCATCTGCCATCTAAATTACAAAGAGAAAAAGGAATAGAAACAAAAGGAAGGCTCTGAAGGGAAACCCCGATGTATCGATCGATTGACCAGCAATCGAGCCTCATGCTCCGTGCACCGTGCACCGTGCACCGTGTACCTATCAAGATTACACATCGGGGAGTGAAGGGGAGGATTTTTCCCACGGTGAGATCCTCGCTCACGCCACTCGCCGCCACTTGCCAATTGTCACTTGCCACTTGCCAGATGCCAGATGCCGCCATGCCTTGGTTTGAGCTGACTACACGTGGCTTGCCACGCGACATACATCTCACGTAGAAGATGGGAGACGGGAGCTTATTTACGATTCACTGGACTGGAGAGTATTGAGGGTGACGTGCGTGCGGTGTTTCAGGTAATCGCGGAGAGATCCAGTCGCATTGCCACCAGAGAATGGTAATTCTCGAAGCGAAGCGAGGCAGCGTAGCGTCACTTCCAGCGTCATCCACGCCCTCGCCATCGCCATCGCCATCGACATCGACGTCCTCTAGCAAGGTCTCGCAGCGATCCTCGCAACCCCCCTTCCCCTCGGCCAGTGGTGCGAGGCCGAAGGTCCGTCCTCTGAGAGCAATAAGCTCTGCCCAGACTTGAATATTGAAGCGGGTGCAGGGCGTGGTGTAGCACTTGTAGGTGAAACTACTGCCGCCTTTGTCGACGTCGTCGTGGGCTCCTCATCAATAGCAGCAATAGGCCCTCCACCATGTGCCTTCTTCTCCGCCTTGAGCGCCAGTAGCGCTGCCTCCAATTTGGCGAATGGCGCTTTTGCACCTGCACTCGGGTCGAGGGTGGTACTGGGACTGTCGCACATGAGTGTCTCTGCATCCTCACCCTTTGCCAAAGCGGCTGTGACGAGTGTGCTGTAAGAGCCAGGTAGAGAAGGGTCGACGGGCGTGTCGAGATCCATAGCGTCGTCATCGTCGTCGTTGGTTGAATCAGACGAGCGACGCGAGGAGGAAGGGGTACTTGAGAGGGACGGGCAGCTGGAGGCTGAAGAGCGACGCGAGGATGGAGGTGGGGTGATGGTGCCCTTGTTGTCTGGGATGAGAGCAAGAGTGGCTTTTGCAGGTGCTTCCGAAGACTGTGTGCTCAGGATCGAAGTCGCAGAAGAGGACGACACTGATGTTGTGGATGCTGATGACTTTGGCGTATCGTTACCCGAGGAGGAGGAGGAAGAAGAAGAAGAAGTCGACGAGAGGGCTGCTGGTCTTTCCTCGATGGCACTCTCGCTTGCCCTCCTCTTCTCAGCAGTCGTGACCTTCTTGCTAGCTGCCTTTTGAGGTGCAGGCTCGTCATTCTTCCTTGGCGGAGCGGCCTCTTTGCCATCAAAGGCGTCTTGGTCCCAGATGTCCATGTAGGAGTAGCCTTCGGGTCCACCCCTGTACTTGCCCACGACGTGATCATCCTTGCCTCCGTAGAGGGAAACCTCTCTGTATTCGAACTTGCCGCACCACCAGAGTCCACCCTCTTCCCAACCAATGTCTTCGGTCTTGACTGGGACGTAGAGGGTAGTCTTGGAGGTGAAGTCTTGCCAGGGCAGGGATTGGGAGCGACTGTGCCTGGCATCTGGTGGAGTGAGGGTGATCGAGGGGATGACGAATCCTCCTCGCACCACAGGCTCAGCAGAGGAGCATGAGCCACGTCGGGACAGGGGCGATGCGGGGCTTGAGGAAGCGGGTGAGGAGAAGCTACTTCTGCCTGCCATTCGAGACGAGTAGGTAGAGGGATGGTAGCCCTCGATACGGGAGATGCCTTCGCTGCCTGAAGTGCTGGCTGGCGTTGCGGGTGTAAGTGGGGCCAGGCGTGGTCGGTTGGAGGAAGAGGAGGAGGAGGAGGAGGAGGCGGAAGCAGTAGCCATGGCGGGGATGTGACACAAGGGATGGCCTTCTAGGTGAGAATCGTATGTGAGAGAGCGAGGGCGAGTATTGGACTGTCGAGGATGATCTAGATGAGGTCTGTATCAGGGACTAGGTGATTGGTAGATATCTAGGTAGAAAAGGGAAAAGGTGGGAGGAGGTGGAGCAAGTGCTTGAATGAATGAATGAATGCGATGTTCCTGGCGTGGCTGCCAGTCTCCCCTGTGCGACGTCCGTCTGCGTGAATCTTTGACTTTCGTCTTACGATCGGTGGATGTGTGTGCGATGACAAAGTGTGGCCCATTGGCTGGGGACGACGTCGTGTGGCCCGGGTTGCTGCCTCTGCTGATACTAGTGTGATGCTGAGCTGATAGTCCACGGGCCCTTTTTCCTCGCAGCTGGTCGGGACTTGAATTCCTCTTGGGTCGCAAGCGAGGTGGCGGAGATGCGAAGCGACGCAGTGGAATTGGGCTCTGAAAGCAGCACCCTGCCAACGACGGACGACGAACGACAAGACCTCGGAGGGAGTCTGCAGATGCGGGCGAACTATGGCCCTCGCTCCCTCAAGTCTCGCCGGCGCAGCAGACACCGAGACAGCGGCACCCACACCGAAAAAGTCAGTGGCGCAGGGAAACCCTTCCTTGGCTCACCGCCGGCAGTTCCGCCCGCGCGACGTCTTTCACGGCTGGGCCACGCACGCAGGACATGACGTCGTGACGCGCACGCGCACATTGGCTCACATCCCGAACATCCCCCCCAAGTCTCACCTGCACTTCCGCCTTACCAACCAAACGCGGCCCGGGATGTAGTCTAGCGGGCATATGCTTCTGGGATGACTAGAGAAATTTCGCAAAGTGCCACACCGTCACTCAGCACATTGAGCTGACCAATTGAGCCTCACTAAGCTCACAATGCAGATAGATTGAACTGGACAGCTGCTTGCGTACATGGCGCCAGCTCAGGAACTTCGGGATGCTTTAGACTTGTTGCCTTCCATGGCTCGCCGTCTTGCCTTGGAGTAACAATGTCTTCATCACCAGTCGGCGAGGGATTTGCACACGTCCACTGCACATGCACTCTATGTCATATGCTTCTCAGGACCCTTATCGAAGAACGGCAGTCTTTCACACACGTGGCGATCACCACTAGGGTCTTTCCCTGCCTGAAGTGGGGGGTTTAAGCAAATCACTGTCCGACCACGCGGGAGTGGAGAGAGCAATGTCTGAACTTGTGAAAGGGTCACTAGAAGATCCCGCCCGATCGATAGCACTCCAGCAAGCGAGGCGAGGCGAGGCGACGGCCAAGGAGGAGTCTTCGGACCTCCTTCCGACCTCTTATCTGAAAGGAGGGGCCCCAGAATCCAGCAATCCATGCCGAGCTCCAGCAAGCCAGAGAGGAAAGAGGAAGGTGAGCTTCCACGCTCCTCTTGCCATTCTATGCGCCTTCCAGACGATTTTCAGCAGTAAAACCCCGCTTATCGACCCGACCCGAGGTGTGTTTTTCGATCCGATCCACGCGCTCCCTCCCCCCTTCCTTATCCACTTCCCGAGCTGCTGCCGAGCTCGATCGTCGTCTACAAGTACAAGTGTCACTCTTTGCTCCCATCACACTCCATGTGACAGAGGGAAAACGACGTCAGTGGCTCGTCTGATTGACACTCTGCAGCCGCCTGCATAAATTGATTGGCTGACCTCGGGGAGGAAAGGACCTCTCGACTCGTGTGTGTGGAGGGTCACATTGATTCCATTCGATCCGAATCGAATCGTAGCTTGCCTCCTCCTTTCCCACGATGAGACTTCTGAAAGGTCAATGGCAGCGTGAAATCCATTTTACAACATAGGAGGAGAATCTGCTTCCGCTAGCCAGGAAGTGAAAGAGATGAGGCGGGCTATCGCACCTCCCCTCTGAGTAGCAGTAGCAGCAGCAGCAACGGCGGCGCGTCCGCTTGCAATCACCGTCGTTGTTCTTTGCTCCTCTACGAGTCCCAGAAGGTGGCCTTCCCGGTTATCGTCTGGTTGTAGAAGCATTGGGAATCCCAAGAGATTGCTGTGTGTACCAACATCGTAGCAGACGATGTGCACCACCGCCTCCACAGTTGCCTACGCATTTGGCCAATGTGAACACGTTTGAGCAATTGCTCTTGCGCATGATCAGCTCCAATGCCGAAGATTCTCGAGGACCTTCCTGGTGAGGAGAGCAACAAATACTGCCTCACCTCTCGAACTACGTCGTACATCCACCAAGAGCAAAGTGTTTTCACCTTCGATGATTCCGACGGCGGAGGAGGGAGGAAGGAAGCGGAGGCAGTCGGGCGCCTTTCTTGATGTCTGCACTTGCTCAAGAGCACCATGTCGAAAAGGCAGGAGGCCGAATGTTGTCTCCTTGCCTCCAGCCTGCCTCACAATGATAGGAAGGTGAAAGCTTATAATCTGCACAACGGAGGGTGCTGATAGATCAGATTCGTCTTCTCCTTAGCAGTGCTCCACTACGCTCTATCATCTATCTACCTGCCGAGTCTCCTGCGGAGCGCTTCACCAGTGTCCTTGTTGCCTATAGCAGAGCTGGTCTTTGCCCTTCCTAGTCCCCCTTCTCCGGCCATAGAAGACGTTCACTTTATCCACCATGCGTCTCAAATGGTCATTGTTCATCCTGGGCCTGCTGGGCCAAGGGGCAATCGCGAGCCCGGTGCCAATGTACGAAGAGGCCCTCCAGCGTCGAGACCCTTTCAACGCCTACACCTCGCGAGCCAAGCAAAGCAGAAACAAGGAAGAGGTGAGCCGTCGAGGAACCCACGGTACTACTTCCCGCGGCGAGATGCCATACCTCCCTCAGAGCTTGCTGAGCCGTCGAGACGGTGAGACTACCAACGATGAAGCCCTCGACGGGTATGAGCGAAGCTTGTGGTCTCAATTCGGCAAGGTCTCCGCAAATGAACGCGCTCGATCTTCCACACAGGCTTACCGACGTTCGCTCGAAGACGAATACGAAGATGAACGCTCTTCGATCGACGACGTTGCCGCCTTTGGGGAGCGCTCTCTGCCCGAGGGGTCCGAGGTCAATGATTCCACTCTACCTGGTCCTTCCCGCTTCGCTTCTCCTCAAGGGCAGTCCCAGTCCACTTCTCTCGAGAAGCGAGTCGACTTTTGGCAGCCCCCAGCTTCGCAACGTACCAAACAGCTGAGGGCAGGTGGTCTCTTCCTCGGTCTAGGCACCCTGGCAGGGTTGATGACTTGGGCTATCCTACGACGGAAGCATCGTCAGGCTGAAAAGAAGAAGAAGGAGGAAGCTGCAGCAGCTGCAGCCAAGGCACATCCTCCTACTTCTACCACACCACCACCTACTTCTGAAAGTGGGACTACACCTAGTGTTGGGAAACCAGTGAAGCCAGGGCACCATCGCTGATTTCGAAAGGGGAAGTGGGATAGGAATGTTCGCCTCGATCGCTGCGTCGAGTAGACGGCGACCGCGCGTGTGTGTATGCGTGTGTGTTGCCTTTGCCAATGCCTTTCTAGTCCTCAACAAGACGTGCGAAATATACATATCTACATACATACATACATTGCTCCTGCACAGCGCTAACCTGTGCTCCGCTGCTGAAGACTTGAGGTGTTCGTTCGGGAAACGTGTAGTGGCGACTGGTTCGCTAGCAATGCCTACCTGTTCAAGACTGCAGCAGAAGTCCAATGCAATTGCTGCTGCTGCCTAGACTAGCAAGCGCACCTGTTCCCACCCCCACCCCGGGGCTGTGCATTTGATAGCAAAGGGCAATTCCCGGCTGACCGGATCCCCAAATCAGCCGACGGATGTATCTCCGTGCTTGCTTCTTGCTTGAGGATTGCTGATTGGCTAGCGATAGGGATATAAGATGCGATGCGATCGGCGAAGCATCGAGGCCACTCGACACGTTGACAATCATCCGCTCTGCTTGCTTCTGGACTGGTCTCCAGAGACACAACGCCACCTTCTCAACGGAGCACGAGCACGTACCAGAGCTGGTCTCTACTATACCTACGGCCAGAGAGTGAGACTTTTGAGCTGCTTCCCAGAGATAGACGCTGCATCTCCCACCGCACACCATGCACATCCGGCTCTGTCTCCTCTTCGGTATCCTCGCCATCGCCCAAGGCATATCAGCCGCACCTACAGGCGCTTTCGATGTCAACTTTGCCCAAAGCAGAAGTGAGCCAGCCACAGATCACCGTCCACCCATTCAAGATCCCTCTTTCGCCCCTTACCCTTCGCCCCACCTCCTCCTACCCCGTGGCCGCATCGGGGACAAGATCCGTGGGAGCTATCAAGTGGCCTCTATGTTTCTTCCTCGCATCACGGGTAGATTCTCTAGGAAGGACGCCGTGGGTGTTATGAAGCACGTGGGGAAGAAAGCCGGTAAGGCGGGCAAGGGAGTGGTTAGCTATGCGGCGGGAAAGGTGATTAGGACGATGGGTGGGAGGAGATACGCGAGAGTGAGGAGGAGGAGCAGCGTTGCTGAGGGAGAGGGGGAGGGGGGTGAGGGCAGGGAGAGGCTCGGCCCAGCAGAACTGCTGTGATCAGCTCTTGCAAATACCACACGATGCCCTGTGATGTGATGCTAGCATGCCCTGCTGCTCGTAACCAATTTCTGTGTACTGCGTGGTACGATGCTTGCAGGCCAAGTCTAGGCTGCTTGCTTTGCACCAAGACGCACGCACCGCACCCGCACCCGCACCTCCACAAGACTGAGGAGCCACTCCCGCTTGGACATTGCAGACCCTGCTTCCTGAGTAGACTAGTCTACTTTGCTGATCCTGCCCCTTTCCGCTCGCTCCCTTACTTAGTCTAGCACTTAGCAAGGCTGTTTCCATTCACCTCATCTTCTACCTTTCTCCCCCTCCTCACTCACTCACCCAGGAAGATCCAGACCCAGTCATGCCAGACAACGGCAACGGCAAGGGTAAAGGCAAAGGCAAGGACAAGGAATCAAGAATGGACGGACTGGACTCGGATAACCCTTGTGTGAGTAGCAGTCACAGTCACCTTCCCTCTTCTTGCCTCTGCCTCTTCCCCCCTCTTCTCTTTCTCTTACCTCCCCCTTCCTTCCCTCTCTCCACCTCCCCCTTCCCCCCCTCTCCTTCCCTTGTGACCTTCAACCAAAAGCACCCCCGCGCCTGTGCCCTACAAAGCTGTATGCAGCGCACCTGGGACCAAGACAAGTGCAGCGCAGAGCTCCGTGCTCTGTACCTCTGTTGCTCACGTCTATACCAGACAAAGGGCACAACGGGACCGAAGGGAGAGAGGACAGAGGTGGATGCTTGTCCTTTACCCGAGGTGTTGAGGGGGAAATTGAGAGGGTTGGGGGAGGAGGCGAATTTTTGATCGTTGGTTGGGAGTGAGGGAGGGCAGGAGAGAGGGAGGGAGGGGGACCGAGCGAGGGAGCGAGGGAAAGTAACTCGGGGATTGGTTCAATATAGGTAGGGAGCTCTTTAGCACAATCGAAGTCGATCAGCAGAGACATCTCGTGTGCTGCAGCTCATGACGCCCAAACTCCCAGACAGAGGAGAAAGAAGGACCCGCCCAAACTACCCAGGCACAGGGAGGTTTGCCAGGCCGCACTGAGAGCGGCAACAGAAATAGAAGAAAAGAAAGAGATGTGGACCGCCTATTCCATTTGTGTATCATGGAGGGAAATAAGACGGGGATGGGACCGGGACGAGACGAGACGAGACTGGACTGGAAACCCACGTACGTACGTACAACTTGCTACCCTTCCTCTTCCTCCTCCTCCTCCTCCTTGTGCTCCCCGCTACTCGCTGACCGCACCTCTACGGCTCGGCTCTGCTTCCCGTCTCACCTTCCGCACGGCGAGTGAGCCTGCTCCCTTCTTTCCTACCTCTCTTCCTCAAACCCAACCCCTCCCTTCCTTCCCTCCTCTGATCCTCCTCCTCCTGCTGCTCCCGCTCAACTATTCTTCTTAAACCACTCAACCGCCTCGGCCGGCTTGAAGACTTCTTCCTCGTACGCTTCAAAGTTGGGTACAAACTTGGTTCCACCCCTTCCATCACTCTTTTCAATAAAGAATCTCGGCTTCCAAACACTACCCTTTTCTTCGCGCTCCTTGACGCGCTTGCGTTGGGCGTCTTCAATGGCGGATTTGGCATCGGTGGCCTTGTCGAGGTTCTTCTCCTTGATGCCTTCTGTCACGCCGGCCCATAGTCTACGCGGGATGAGGTGAGGTGGGGAGGGAAAGAAGAGGGGGGGAAGAGAGGGTCAGAGACGTTAAAATGGAGTGCTCGGTTGCTCTGCCTCTCCCACTCTAATGCTACTCACCTCCTCGACTCAAACTCCTCCTGCTCGCTCTCCGGTCGCACAACCTTTTCGACGGTCTTTGCCTTTTTAGCATCAAAGAGGACCCTCACTTCTCCCGTCTTGTGATTCTTGTAATCCATCTCCTCGCTCCACTTGCCCGAAATGTCACCTGCATGCTTGCCCTTGGCAGTGACTTTTCCACCAATGGCATTGTACGTTCCGGTAAAGTAACCCTTTGTCTTGAACTCTACATCGGCGTGGATATCCTGTGCTTCATTCTCCAACTTGGCGTGGTCTCCCAATTCCAGAACCATTCGACCGAACATGATTCCACGAGCATACATGTTAGGCATGCTCACACGGTATTCTCCATCTTCGGGTCGATTGAGGAGGATCAACCGGTTCTCACCACCCATGAGCGTTGCTGCCGAGTTTCCCAGGAACTTGCTCTTGGGCCGCAGTTCACCATAGATGATCAGACCCTCTGCGGGGCAAATGTAATAGTATGCGCTCACAGGAGGATGGTGAGAGACTTGCTCAGCGATATAAACTGCTTCTGACCCATTTGCATACTTGTAAGAACACTTGAAGAATTCTCCCAAGACGGGATTGTAGGGCTTCTTTACTCCCTTTGGTTTAATGTGCCAACCTGAAAGGTAGTACCGAGCAATGGCCAAGAACCGCTCTTGAGGATCATCGTGCTTCCCCACTCCAAAGATGAGGTCTGGGTGGCTCATAAAGTCGGTAATTCTCTCCAGCATACTACGAGGTTCAAGACAAAAGGTGGGCAGTGTGACCTTACTGAGGTCCATTCCAATTCTCAATTGACCCACGAGACTCAGGAGGATGTTACCGCTCTCCTCGTCGAGCTCTTCAGTGTCGTCGGCAGAGGCACCCTGAGGTGGACCTTCTTCTTTGCTGGGCTCCTTGGCGTGGTGACCACCGCCACCGACGGCTGATTTGGCTCCGGTGACGGCGCTACCCATGTGATCGAGGAGACCCATTGTGGCAAAGGCAGGTGGGTGGGATTGGAGGTGTGCGGGGGTGGAAAGTAAGATGGGCGCGATAAGGCGTGGCGCGGTAAAGGGGGAGTACGAGGTGGTGTTGGTGGTGGTGGCGATGACACGAGGTAGAGGCTCTAGGCTCTAATCAGGGTGAGTGGCGATGCGGTGCGATGATGGCAGTAGGATGAGTTGATGGGTACCAATCGGTGCGATGGGGCGGTGTTGAAATGTGCGCCTTTGGCCTTGGCTTTGGCTGCAAAGGGTGTGAGTGAGTGAGTGAGTGAGTGTGTGTGCGTGTGTGCGAGGTGTGGAGTGAGCGAGGGGCAGGCGGGCAGGCGGGCAAGCGGGCAGCAGCGCGACTTGAGGCAGCCAGCCAGCCACCCACCCGCCCAGCCACCCTCTGCGCGGCACGCCGTCCCCTTGCTCGTCCTGCCACCCAACGCCCCGCCCTGACGTCAAAATCCATCAACCCGTCCATGCGGGCAGGCGGAACAGCAATCCCAAACGTCCAAGCGGAGCGCAGCGGGGGGAGGAGGAGGAGGAGGAGGAGGAGGCACAGGATAGACTAGACTAGACTAGACTGACGCTCGAGTTACAGGCATGAAGAGGTTTCAATTCAAATCAGAGGCTCACAAAGTAGGATTGACAAATTCGAAAACAGACACAGAGACGGAGACGCAGTCGGAAACGGAGACGAGGAGTCGCTTGAAAGTCTATAAAGTCGAGAAGAAATGGTGATGATGATGATGATGATGGTGTGAGATGATGGTGATGGCGATTCTTGATGGGTGATGATGATGATGATGATGATGATGATGATGATGATGAGAATGAAAGAAAACAAACCAAAAAGGCAATATGGACAGTGTCAATCTACAGTGGCGGCGAGGGGGCGGAACAAGGAAGAAGCCATTCGAGTGTGGATGACCACGCCACAACAGAGAGGCTCTCCGTCCGTCCAAGACGCCTCGTCCTTCCACTCGTACAGCAACTCGCCCCCAAACCTCCCCCCTGGCTTGGCTTATGCTGGTGGACCAAATCTTGAAATGAAAGATTGCTGTGATGGGAAAAAGAATCGTTGCCGAGGAAGAAGTCCTTCTCTCCCTTTTGGCTTTTGGCGTGAACTGGAAAATGTATGAACAAATAGGAAATTGAAGTTGTGCTTGTGTGGGATGACCAGCGGGAAGCTCGCCACTTGGGAGCGCTGGCCGTCTGCTCGTCTATCGATCTTGCTGCCTGCTTGCTTGCCCTACTTGACATCTCCTTTCGACCTACACGAAGAAGTGAGTGTAGATGCGACTGCTAGGCGCCACCTCCATCTCCTCCATCTTGAAAGAGTTCAGCTCCTCCTTGATCCTCTGCGCCAGCAGTGGCGTCAGTCTATTGCACGTCGCCAGCTCTCCCCGCCGGTCATAAACATGGGCAGGCCAGGTAGAGTGGTAGATGTGTTCCTCGGTAAAGCAGATCCTCTTCTTCTGCATCGAAGGACGGTGGCTGGGCGCGGGAAGCGCCCCCGTGGTGGGGTTCGTCATCATTGTCAATGTTGGCATCGAGGAATTGGAATGGTGACCGAATGCTGGAACACTAGGAGGTTGAGGCGAGTGAGCTGGACGATCATCTTCGCCGCTGCTCGCTGGGCGACGTTGAGCCTCTGCATTCGGCGAAGGCGAGCGAGCAACGCCATCCATGCGGTCAACGCCTTCCGAAGTAGTGGACAGAGCAGAGAGCATGGGAGCACCCGGCGCTGGCGCAGCCTGGGGTGCATCGTACGAGCTTGCCCGTACACGAGTCCAGGGTCGATCGAATGCGCCAGACACAGGTCCATCGCCACCGCTTCCATTCCCAGCAAAGCGGCTTAGCTGTGAAGAAGAGGCACTCTTCTTCAAGATACCCTTGGGAGCTTTGACCAGTGCTGCACTCGCTCTCGATCGCTCGATGCCCTCGCCCCAATGACGTAGACTGTCCGTCTCGAATTCGTCGCCAGATTCTTCCCCTCCGTGACCACTGCCAGCAGCTGGCATGTGGGGAGGCAGCAGGTCCTGATCGTTGTCGAGATAGGCGCTTTCGGCCCCTACCCCTCGGCTGATGGAGTCCTGTGGGAAGTGAGAACTCATGCTGGGCGCCGATATGCTGGTAGGATAGACGTCTTGAGGCGGTGCGGCGATAGCATCGGAACCAGTACCTGCCTTTGGCTCCGTAGCAGGAATGGTCTCGAGCCCAGTAGGAGCTGCGCTGGCATGAAGATCCACAGATGAGCCACCGACCCTCAGCCGGTTCCTCCATGTCCTCTTGCTCTTCAGCCTCTCCTTCTCCTTTTCGATCATCTTCTGCCTACTCTCGACCACATCGTCCGTGGTCTTGCCCTGTGTGGCACCGAGAACAGTCCTGCTCTTTGCGGCAGCAGCAGCTTCGGCAGCGCGAGCCTCGGCTTCCTGCCTTTCGCGTGCGGCTTTTTCTTCAGCCTCGGCTTGCTGTCGCATCTGGATCTGATGCTGTCGTACGTAGTGCGCAGCAGGCGTCATGCTGCCATCGCCGACATTAGGGTCCAGCTCGACTGTAGCGTGCGAGACCGAAGCGGCCGCCGGATCGGACTTGCCGTTACCACTGGCACTCCTGCTCATTCCTGCAGAGGCCTTGGGGTTCGCAGAGATGGTAGCAGCAGAAGCTGACGGTGTGAGGGTACCAAAATCGTCAGTTTGCAGACCATCTCGTCCGCCCTCCTTGTCCTTGTTGAACATGTTCGTCAGGCCCATGAGGCTGTGTCGACGAGCCATCTTTCCAAGATTCCCGACCTTGCGAAGCATGACGGAAGCGCTGGACACCGTCGACGAGATGGAGATGTTGTCCGTCGAGGAGTTGAACTTGCGGTTGAAGAGGCTTCGCTTGCCACTGCCATCGGTCGAGGTAGCAGCTCCAGCAGAGTTGGACACCGGTGGCCTTGGTCCACGTCGAGAGCTGATTGATGCTGCAGACGAGGCGGCAGCACCGAATTCGGAGCGAGTGGGCGACGGTGGTCTGGCGATAGTGGATGACGTCGAAGGGCCACTGACCATTCGTGCGCTGGACATGGACGTGGGCATCTCTCGGCCGCTGGGCGCAGCAGAAGGACGCGAGCCGACAGAGGCGTTGTTGGCTTGCTGCTGCTGCAGCTCATTGACAGCACTGAGACTCAGAGCCTTGCGTAGCTTGCCACTGAAGCCCTTTTTCTTCTCGGTGGTAGGTGTAGGAGTAGCGCGGCCATTGATCAGGCTCTCGTCGCGATCACTACCTCCGTAGCTGGCGTTTGTCTCGTTGTCATCCTCACGTTCAGGCACGGGCTGTCTGGACAGCGGCGATGGCTTCTTGTATGCCGATGCCGGAGTTGGTGTCGATCGACCACCTACGGTAGAAGCCTTGTCGCTGACAGCTGCGCTGGAGTAGACTGACGAGTTCTGCGACGAAGTGGAATCTTGCCGAGAGTGAGGTAGAGAGCTATCTGAGCCATTTGGTCCTGTCCCAAGGCCAGAGGAAGTGGATCGAGTGCTCTCCGATCGAGACGCTGGTGCTGCAATGCGAGAACCGTTCTCCGTAGCACCGACTGGAGCAGATTGGTCTCGACGACTTGAAGACGACTCGTGAGAGTCTGTGCTGGGTGTTCGCTTGCGGAGCGAGGCAGGAGGCAAAAGCTGTGCTTGAGAAGCTTGTCCTCCCGAAGGTGACGATGTACCAGCGCTTGACCCTTGAGGAGTCTGCTGTCGTCTGTAGGGGTGGAATGCGGGATTACCTAGCACTTGGCCTTGCCCAGACAGGGGAGGAGCCATAGCACCTGGGGGAAGTGCACCCCTACCGCCTGCAGCGGCGGGTCCCGCCACTGCGGAGGAATAGGAAGCGCCAGGATGTCCAGCCTGAAAGGAGTCATTGTACCCGAGCGCCTGTGTAGGACGCTGAGGACCTGAAGGCACTCTTTGCCGAGCCGCTGAGCCGTCCAAGCTGGCATCGCCGACTGCTGCCGAAAGCTGCTGCATCTGAGCGTGTTGCTGATACTGAGCGGCTTGAGCAGCTAGCATCTGCTGATATTGTGCCCAGGCATACTGATTCGGCATCGTAGGAGGAGCAAAAGCCATGTTGTACGCTGGCTGGAAACCAGGAGCATTGTGGCCGTAATGAGGCTGTCCCTGTGGAGCACCAAAGGGATTCTGAGGTCTGCGTTGACTCTGAGGAGCACCTGTGTATCCTTGCTGGGGCATTTGTGCAAAGCCCTGCCCATTCCATCCCGGTTGAGGCTGCCGTTGTGGTGCTTGTTGTTGATGCTGCTGCTGCTCATGCTGAGCAAAGTACTGCTGTTGACCTTGATAGGGTCTAGGCTGAGGAGAGAAATTGGGATGCTGCTGATGCTGGTGGTGATGGTGATAGTGGGGGTGGGCAGAAGGGCTCGGGACAGGCTGAGGGGGATTTCTCTGCTGCTGAGGAATGGGGGGTGAAGATGCAGCTGCAGCGTAGGTACTTGGTCTTGGGGAAGGTGTCCGTGAGGTAGCGCTGGGCGATGAAGCGGCGGCAAGGTTTCTGCTTGAAGCCGATGGTGGCAGGTTGGAGAAGTAGGAGCCAGATGGGCCACCAGCACCACTACCTGCGAGGACACTGGAGCCGCCTGCTCCTGGTGTACTACCGCTGGAGGGTCGTCCCGAGGAAGGTCGAGGGGACGACAATGCGGGCCGCTGTTGTGAGCTGGGCGATGACAATGTGGTTATGCTGGGAGAAGACCGGGAGCCTTGTTGGTGCTGTTGTTGCTGATGCTCATCAAAGAGGGGTGAGCTCGGTGGTGGAGACCACTGCAGAGCGAGTGAAGCAGCCGCCATCTGGACTGGACCCAGCCCTGGAAGAAGGGTGGATCAGAGGTGACCCAGTCCTGGAGAGGCGAGGAGATGGAAGCAGCCCTCGACCCTTGATGCTGTCCACTTCTTCGTGGAAAGGGTAGCGAGGGAGCGAGGGAGGGAAGGAGTGTGTGTGCGTGTGCGTGGGTGGGGTGCCTAGCCACTCGCTTGTCTGCCTGCTGGCTCGACTGTGTGTGTGAGGGGGGGTGGTTGGAGAGGGAACGTGTGTGTGTGAGGAGGAGGATGGAGAGAAGAAAAGGTGCGAGGTTGGGGTAGCAAGGTGAGATGTGTCTGTGGGTAGATGAGGGGTGGGTGGCCAGGGGTGGTGGTGGTGGTGGGTGGGTGGGTGTGTCCTTGTCCCTGCAGCGAGGGGCGGGGCGGGGCGGGGCGTGCCTTGGCTTGCCTTGGTTGGGTTGGGTTGCTTTGCTTTGCCTTGGCTGTCTGCCTGGGTGATTTACTTTGTTGCAGTCCAGTGCAAAGGGGGGGAATCGCTCGGATCGGGTCGGGGCAAAGGCGACTTTGGGTGAAAGTGACACAATGGCACCCAGGACGCAGTGGCTCGCAGGAAGTCTCCACTTTTTTTCTTACCACGGCCAGCTCATCCAGGCGGCACACGACGTTGGCAAGGGAGATGATCAAGGATGGTGATGCTGTTGGGAACGATGATGCCGATGTGCTGGTGCCAAGGACAAGACTGGCGTGGATGAGAAGACGATTGATTGCAACCACTTGCCATCCCACACTCACACGGCCCCTCGGATCCCTCCCTGGCCCGGCCCCTCTGGCCCTGGTGCTCCTCCTGATTCTTATGGAACCCACCTACGAATTCCAGCTTCCCCTCGCCTCGCCTCGCCTCGCCTCGACCGGGCTGGAGCCTTGTCCGTCTGTCTGTCCTCTGCCGCGCCTGTCTGTCTGCGCCGCCTCTCGCTTGGCGATTCCCCCTCCTCGGCCTGCCTGCCGCGCCCCGCTGCTGCCTGCGCTTCCGCCGGACCGAAGATCGGCACGGCCGGGCGGGTCAAGGTCTGCCTTCTGCCTGCCGAAATCCTCCGCCACGCTCCGCCCCGCCCCGCCGAGCCGAGCCGAATCTCTCCCAGTGGTTTCCATTGCAACGAGGAGCTGCCAATCAAGCTTCTTTTCTCGCACCGCGTGGCAACTAGGACACAGCCTCAGACGGTCGTGATTAGATTGGATGGATCAATGGAGTCAGATTATCTTCTCAACGCGCTGTGGGAACCAGCGTACAAGTCTGAGGGGCGCTGGATTAGGAGGATCAAGCCCTGTGTCGTACCTTGTAGCGAGAGGGAGTCGTTCCTCACCTCACCTTTTCGAGGTCGCCCCCTGCCTACTGCGCCTCTCTCGACAGGGCCTCCCGCGCATCCTTCATCAGCTCGATACAGTCGTTGAAGCACTTCCTTTCTATTTGAAGTAATTTGTGATTCTTGTCGAGAACGCCTCTTCCCTCGAACAGGCTGTTAATGATTCTCTCAGGATCTTGCAGGTCACTCTCTTCCCACTGCCGTGTCGTCAGCTCTGCTAACAAGGCCTTGTATGTGGGTTTGGGCTTGTCACTCTTCTTGGATTTGATTTCTCCCGTGGACTTGAGAGAGGTCCCGACCTTGAGCTTCTCCAATCGTTTGGTGACGGAGGTGGTGTCGGATTCGCTGTCAGAGTCGGTGTCGGATCCGGTGTCGGATCCGATATCGTTCTCGGTGAAGGGCTCTGCGAGTTTTTCATTGACCTTGCGTCCTGCCTCGTGTATAGTCTGGCGCAGCTTCACCATGAGTTTCTTCCATACAGGACTCGCTTTGCCGGCGCAGTAGTCCAGCAAAACCTGACAGATGGAAGCATTTACTGCGATTATAGTCAGTGGAGAGTTGCGGGAAGCGACTGCCGCGGCTACCTACGTCATCCCAATAATTGGCTTTGTTCCAATTTGTTGACTTGTGGACTGTCAGTGCCTGCTCCAGATGCTTCTCTGCATTCTCCGACAGCCCCAGGCCGTGAGCCCTCTGCGGCAAGGGTGGATCAGCGAAGGGTAAAAGGGAAAGAATGTAAGTCAAGACGTGGCCTGGCGACCACGCGGCGCTCTACACTCACTTGCCAGACGTGCAGATACAACGAGCTCTCCAGGTCATCGATGTAACGATGGCTGTAGACATACGAGTCTCGTAGCGCCTCTTGGAGTGTCCGAAGTTGGTCCTGAATGGGCGCAAGCACGGCCTGGAGGAGTTCACTACCCGTTTTGCTGCGAGCGACCTGAAGCCCCTGACGTGATCCTTCGACTGCCTTGTCGACCGCTTTCTCCCAGTCCTTTATTGCCTGTGTGGCAGCGGCACAGCTGGAAGGCAAGAAGATCGGATTCGCGGAGCGTGTATCATCTCTGGCTCTTGCAATTGTTGCAGTTGCCTCCCACTGGTGGTGATGTCCACGTCGTTCGAAATCTAATCTCACGTTTCCAAAGTCCACGATGAGAAGAATGTTATCAGTGCCGCGAAGAAGGCGGATGTTGCCCTCATTCAGGTCCCGGTAGTGAAATCCTCCTTCTGCGAGTGCAAGAAGCTGTTCCGCAAGCTGCTGGTGGATGTACACAAGGTCGTGTGGCTTGATGTCGAGGGGAATGAGGATCCCAATACAATGCTTGGTTACAAGGACACAGAGAGAACGGGCAGGCCACGTGAGCGCAGAGTCTGTCGTGACGTCCGAAGTGGTGTGCCAAAAGCCAGCCGGCAGCAGCGCTGTGCCAATCGGATGAGGGGCATTTGGCAAGTTCACGCGCTTCTTCTTCATCTTGCGTAATATCATCAACTCATGCTTTGTCAGATGGGGGGCTACCCACGAGGCTTTGACCATTGTCACCTTTCCTTGATATTTCTTGTCTCGCTTGTCTTGATCAGCCCACACTGCAGTACGGGTCCTGAAAGGGCCAGGGCGTGCGTGTAGCTCGTCCAATTTTTTCTCAATCTTAACGATGCTTTCTTCAGCCTCGCTGTCGGCCTCAATGATGATCTCCTTTTGGGCCGCAATATTCCAGTGACCACACAAGAGGTGGGCATATCTCTCGTCGGTGAAGAAGTGCAAAAGCTTGATGATTTCAATCTGATCGTCTGGCTCCTGAGTGTTGAAATCTCTAGAACAGCCATATTGACTGGCATTGACATACCATAGCCGCACGACGCTCCCACACCACGTCATGAAGTGAACATGAGAGGTGATCGGACGGTACTGACAGAACTTGCGCTCACGTTGTGGTCAAAGAGACGGAGTAGGGATCAGCGCGAACGATTCACACCTGAGCACCCTGACCCTTGGAGACTTACGGAATAATGCAGAATCCGTTGGACAGTGTCGTCTAACCAGTCAAGGTAGTCTTTCGCCTTGACTTCCACAAAAGAGGCGGCTCCTGACCAGAAGGAACGGTCGTCGCCGCGCCGAGAACCTGACAATGACACTAGTATGTCTATTTTGTTGAGCTCTTTGTCTTCTGATCGGGGCTGTTATAGCGTGTGAAATTATTGTCTGTGTCCGCGTGGATTGGACTGGACTAGAGTGCCACACTAATGCTCTCTTGACTCACGTTGGAAATCTGCCGATCACCCTGGAAGACGAATGTGCCATACCCCGATTTTCCCGCGCTGTTGCCGAGCCTTATGCGCACAAGCTTGGCCAGAAGGCAGACGGATCTGGCGATCTCTGTTTCATTGTGCTCATTCGCCTGGGCAACTTCGCTGATGTGGTGGAAGATTTCGCACGCTTGCTCGTCGGCTGCGAGCTCCTTCGCCTGCTCATGGATCTTGTCACTTGTCTTCATCTCGTAGAACTCCGGGTAGAAGCGTTCTTTAGCATCGTCTTTGATGTCTGCTTCTGTCGGAGCTACACCGTCAAAGTATTTTCTTCGAAAGAAGGTAGAGAATTCAGTGGGTAGAGCGGACTGGAATACAGGCGATTGGCTTGATGTCGTCGCCGTGGCACGTATGCGCTCTTCCATAGCGGCCTTCGACAAACCAAAAAGAGCATCGGGAACAAGCGTCGTCTTTGCCGCTCTGGTCTTGGGGGGTCGCACATCCGCAGGTCGAAAGCTGAAGGTAAAGGGTTGGGAAGCACTCTGTTCACGAGCTCTTGCACGAGTGAGTGGCTCCGCCTGCATCTGTGCAGAAGAGGCGGCAGGTAGAGATCGAGCACTACAAGGAGGTGCTGTGTGTGAAACGCAGTAAGTACGAGGGGTTGGAGCATCCGTGTGGTGGTAAGGACGAGGGCGGCAGGCGACAGAGCCAGACAGCAATGCAAGGCGCTTCAGTGCTCCGCGCCCTGCCTCTTTCCGACACCCTTCTCGACCACCCTTATCGCGAGTCAGACTGAGCAAGATCACAGAGTGACTGGCTCCATACGAAAACGAAGCCGGAGTGCCCGATCCACCTGACAGGAAGGAGAGGGGGAAGGAGCGGTGCACGTTGATCCCTTGCAAAACGGAGACAAGGACGAGGGCGAGGATGAGGAAGGACGGTAATGAGCAGAGTCTATAACGAAGGAGCACTGAGCGAGTGGAAGAGCAAAATCGCTTGGCAGAGCAGACGAAGAAACGGGGAACAGAATCGCTTACGACTGCCGCTACCATTACAGCTGCTGCTATCCCTCCCGCTGCTCCTGCTGGCGCGCGCGCTTAATGCCTGCTTGCCTCGCTGTCCTCCTTGTCCACTTTCTTTGCTTGATTGCTTGCAGCTTGAGTTTTCTTCGAAGCTACTTCAACAAAGCTTACCATTACACGTACCATTCCCAACTTTCAACATCATGCATGTTCCTACCTACTTTCCCCATCCCCTTCTTTCTATCTACATCCCCTTTCTCCTTGCAGAGTGCCGTACTTCGTAGCGAGCGGTAGTCATTCTTCATCTTGTCTAGATCGATCGAACATGGCCTTCCACTCTTCCTTCATCAGTCTAATGCATTCGTTGAAGCAATCTCTCTCGATCTCAAGCAGCTCATGATTCTCATCCAGGGTGCCTTTCCCTTCGAAAAGACTATTGATGATTCTCTCCGGATCTTGCAGCTCACTTTCGTCCCATTGCCTTGTCATCAGCTCCTTTTCAACGTCGGCTAGGGAGACTTTCCTCTCGAAATCATACGATAGATATGCGGTAAGTTTCTTACGAGCGTCGCGTATAGTGTTGCGCAAGGCTCTCATGAGCTCGATGAATTCCGGATCCGCTGTGGAGCACTCGACCCTCAGAGCCTCAACAGGGGGGATGCAGTCCCGGAGCGAAGAGCGTGAGTGAGTGAAATGCAGGAAAGGCCATTGTTCAGGTGACCTACATTGTTCCAAGGGCTATCAAAGTCCCACAACAGAGCCGAATTGGTGAGCAACGTCTTCTCCAGCATGACTAGCTTCTTACGACCCCTATGCTGCACATGCCCACGATAGGGCGCCGTCTGCAACAAGGTCATGGGAGTGAGTGTGAGCAGAGTGTGAGGGCAGACGCACGTGTAGGACTGCACACGTAGTCAGGAGACAGGCTTCACTCACGTTCCAGAGAAGCAGGAATAGGCTACTTTGCAAGTCATCGATGTACCGATGACTATAGACGTTCGAGGTCTTTAGCGCCTCATGGAGTGCACGGAGACGCTCTCGAATGGGTCCAGCTTTGACCCGAAGGGAATCGTTGTCCACGTTGCTTTCGGTCTGAATGGGATTGTTGCCCATGTTGCTCAGAGCCATTTTGGACTTCTCGACTGCGACCTCGACCAGGAAGAGCCAATAGTTTACCGCATCTTCGGCAACGCCACAGCAGGTAGGCGCAAACATTGTGCCAGCTGCACGTATGTCGTCTCTAGCTCTGTCGATAGTCGCTGTTGTGTCGGGCTTCCCTGGCTGTCGACCTCGTTCTGAACTCTTGCTGACGTCTGCATAGTCTATGAGAAGAAGAGTGTTACAGCTGCCGCGCAGGAGGCGAACATTGCCGTCGTTGATGTCGCGATAATGAAAACCACCTTCTGCAAGTTGCAGAAGCTGCTCCACAAGCTGCAGGTGAGTCTGCACCACACCACCCGGGCGGGCTGATGGTCCGATGTGAGACCCAAGACGCTGCTTGGTCAGCAAGACACTAGCAGTCCGAGCAGCAATACCGAATGCAACGTCCGGCGTCGCTAGCTCCGAAGTCGTCTTCTGGAACTCAATGGGTGATTTCGCTAGACCGATCGGTATCGGGGCATTGGGCAACTTCAACTTCTCTTGCATGTCGCGTAGAATCGCTAACTCGCGCCACACCACACCTGGGTCTAGCCACGAAGCCTTGACCACCAGCACTTTTTCCTCGCTCCCATCGGCTTCATCAGCGAAGACTGCAGAACCCGATCTGAATGGCCCTGGGCGCCGCTTGAGTGGTTGGAGCTGCCTCTCGACTTTGACAGCGTCAGGGTGCGCCACACCATCGGCCTCAATGTCGAAGTCGCGTTGGGCGCCAAGATCCCAGTGACCATTCAGTAGCATTGAATGATCCTCCAAAGTAAGGAGAATCAAAATCTTGACAATATCTATCTGGTCATAGGGAGCTCGAGTGTCGAAGATTTGAGAGCAGCCATACATGTCTGCGTTGACGTACCAGAGCCGTACGAAATGCCCAGACCACGTCACAAAGTGAATGTGAGAGGTGAAAGCACGATACCGGAACATTTGGCCCTAGCAGCGTAATGCAAGGTCAGGAGCCATTGTCAGCGCCAACATGTCGCCTGATTGCCAAATGCTCGCTAAAGGATGCCCCTTTCAGCCTCACCGCAAGGAACAGACACCGCAGAATAATCCTATCCAGCCAGTCATACATATCCATTGTCCCGACTTTGATAAAGGAGACAAGATTCGACCAGTACTGCGATACTGAATCCCTCTCTGAGAAGCTCGCTGGTGGCTTTGAACCCTGTACGAAGATGTTTGCCGTTCCGTACTCGTCATCATCAAATGCATTCTCTTTGTCCTGTGAAAGTGAATGAAAGCATCTCTTCGTTCAGCGTCTCTACAGAATATGTCGGTGCTGCCACCCACAACTTCTATTGGCCAGTCGTCCATTTCAAAGAATTTGCCATAGTCGTTTTGGTCCACGTTGAAGTGCTTCCGCACTGAGTCGCTCAACCCGAGGAGGATGTTAACGATGTGTGCAGCATTTTTGTCTAGTCTTTCAACGTTATTATTGATGCCCTGAAAAGCCCTGGAAACTTTTGGCAGAGCCACAATCTTTCTGGCAGCTTCATCAATTTCCGGCGTCGTGGTCATGGTGTACACTCCAGAATGGAAGCGATCCTTGGCATAGTGCTTCACGTAGTCGTGATCCGTACCAACCCATTCTGGTTCATCGAGATCCTCGAATCTGATCCCGGGCCTCTCTGCCTGCTCAGCTTCAAGTCTCGCTCGCTCGATGTCCGCTCGTTCTTGATTGGTGATGCCGAGATGGCGACTGGGAACAATGGTCCTCAACCGAAGAGGTCTCGTGGTAGGCGGTACTGTTACAAGCCGGAAGAAGAACTTGTAGGCTTGCGAAGCGTTCTGCTGCTCACTGGCTCCGGCGCCAGTATAGGCCTCCGCCTTGCCCTCTGTAGAGGCGTTCGTGAGCATAATGCAAGCACTACCTCGAGGTAGACTATCTCGGGAGAGCAGTAGATGCAGCCGACTCCTGTTTGTGCTTCGGTCGTGGGAGATGATGGCGGGAGAATACGTTTTCTCGTCAAGCACCACAAAGTACTCTTAAAGGAGTGAGAAATTCTAAAAGGCCAGTAAATTCGACGGACCAGTCACATCACGCATGCCAGTGTGGGATGACGTTCAGCTGGAACTTTCGCAGCCTCGTCGTGACGCGGCCCTGAAACACTCAGGCGCCCCTTGCCCGCTTCCCGTCTATGTCGGCCGAGAGGGACGGCTGCGGCAAAAGTAGCAGAAGTTCAAGGAGACCATGGTGATTCTCACTCGGAGCTTGCGCTGCTTCTGGTCTGGAGCGAGTCGGAGAGGTCTGCCGGCCTGTCTACCGGTCTGTCTCTCTCTCTCCACCCTTTGCATCCACGAGTCTCTTCACCCTTCCATCCACGACCAGCCAGCAGCACCTCCCCCCGCTCCCCCTCTCTGCCTCTCCCCCTCTCCTCCACGCTCAACATTCAACACTCAACATCCAATTCATCGAGCACAACCCCAACCCAACTCTTGTCGTGCACCCTCTTAATGAGGAGAAGAAGACTCAGCGCAGGGGAGGCACAGTGAACCTCAGAGAACGAGGTAAGCAAGCAGATTGTATCACGACCTCCCACCCTCCCAACCTTCCAATCCCACAAACTCACAATCCCACAAACCCACAAACTCAAAACGAGTCACGAGCCACGGTCCACAAGCCACAAGTAGAGCAGTAATGGAAATAAGAGCAAGAGTTGCTTGGCAAAGCAAAAGCAAAAGCAAAAAAGGGGAAGGGGAAACAGAAAAACAGGGAAGAGGACCCGATTAGGACTGGCGCTACCTCTACCTCTACCTCTACCGGTGCCGCTACCTCTGTCTCTATCGCTACCGCTGCTGTTCCCTTCACCTGTCCTCCCTGTCCCTTTTGCTCGCTTGCTTGCACTTTGCACTTTGCACTTTCTCCCCACCGAGCTCTTTCATATCTCACCAGTACACGACCCTCAACATCTCGTATAGCCCCCCTTACCTCATCTACTTTCCTTCATCCATCTTAGTTTCATCCACCTTCTCCTTTTCCTTGTCCCCCTCCTCCTCTTTTGCTTCACTATCTCCAGCAGCACCCACCACTGCCGCCTTGACTTCCCCTTCCTCGGCTTCCTCTTCCACTTCGCCTTCCTCCTTGCTAGAATTACCAACAGCCTCCGCCGGCGTGGATGTCGTCGCTACAGGCTCAGCTGCTACAGGGGCTGCCGCTGCTGCCTCTTCTACCGTCTCTGCTTCTGCTGCCGAAGAAGCCTGGTCTGCCCCAACGGGAGCGGTCTCGGCGGCGGTAGGCTCAGCAGGCTTGTCCGCTGCAGCCTCTGGCGTACCTGTAGTGGCAGGGGCAGCTGTGGGGGCTTCCTTCTCCATCGTGGCCTCTTGCACCTCAGAGACGGCAGGAGCTTCAGCTTCAGCAGCAGCAACTGGTTCTGCTACCTCGGCAACGGCGCCCGTCGAGGAAGCCACTTCGTCAGCCGTCGTCGTTGCAGCTTCTTCATGCCGAGGCTTCTTGCTCTGGCTTGGACCTGCTTCAGGAGATCCAGGAGCGCCATCTGTCACAGCAGCCGCCTCGTCTCGACTTGCAGTGTGCGAAGATGGACTCTGCGGCTTGCCATTGAGCCCATCGTTGCCGTTCGTCTCGTCCGCCGAGCGTTTGCCGAGGACTGAAGAGGCAGGCGGGGATGGAGCATCCTTGTCCGCCGACACTGGCTCGGAAGTCTGCACTCCGTTGGCGCTGTCCAGAGGTGGGGAAGGCTGAGCAGCGGGAGCAGGCCGAGGCGGCATAGCAGCAGAGGCAGAAGCGGCACTAGCAAGGCCCAGAAGAGCATCAGCAGCTCCTTCATCGTAGTCCTCATCCACCTTTCTCGACGGTGCAGGACCAGCTGCAGGGACCTCTTCGGGAACATGGCGAGGAGTATGGGGAGCGGTACCAGGCTTGCTAGTAGAGCCCTTTGAGCCACGACTGAGCGGAGGAGACTGGCCTCGGGGAGACTCAGCAGCCTTCTTGTTGCGAGGAATCGGCGAGGCGCCATCGGCTGTTGCCTTTGGCTTTCGAGTTGCTTTCTTGGCTCCCTTGATGGCAGAGGCGGGTCCACCTGGAGGCATCCCACCGCCAGAGATCTCACTCTGTTCCTTCTCTCCTGTGCTGCCATCTGAGCGTCGCAATGGTCGGCTACGATCCAGGGGGTCATAAGGGGCTCCTCCTCCTCCCGCTTCAGAGGCACCTCCTGGTCCACCGTATGCCGGCGCATGATCATAACTGCTTGGTGGCGAATTTCTGCCATTCCCGTAGCGAGAGGATGGTGGCTCACCTCCTCGAGGCATAGCCTGGTGGGATCCACCCCTCTGCCACTCTCGTTCCCTCTCCCTCATATCATGCTCGCGTTCTCGATCCATATGAGATGGTGGCAGAGGCCTGCCGTATTGGTCTACATGACGAGGATCGCTCGGGTAGGCAAGAGCCTGCTGGTTGCGCGGTGAGTCACGCGGGTGAGGTGGAGGCGGGGGAGCAGCATACGATCGGGACATCGAAGGTGATGTTCTCGCTGAGCTGCCGATGGGAGGAGCGTCCATGGGCGCAAATGGCGTCTGTGAAGGACCTCGAATGCCGCGATCATCGATGTTAGGAATAGCAGGAGGTGGACCTCCCCTCTGAGGCATGTCTCGATCGATGCCAGGAGAGTGTCGTCCGCCTGGACCGGGTAGGTCTCTTGCGCCTCCCATACCTTCACCAGGAGGAGGTGGTCCACCTCCCGGTGGCAGAAGTGGTCCGCCAGGTCCTCCATGAGCGTACTGACCCGGAGGAGGTGCACCACCAATTTGTGAAGGAGGACCAGGGGCGATTCCACTGGCATTTGCATACGCAGTAGGGTGAACATCTTGAGGAGTCGGAGCAGACGAGACCTGTTCGCCCTTGGCTTCTGCGTTGCGAAGCAGCATCAGTCGCTGCTGAATGTGCTGATTCTCGGGATCCAACTCCGCTGCTCGTGCATAGGCGTCAATGGCATCGGAGATTTGGTTGTTGCAGGACTCGTAGAGACTTCCCAAATCGAACCAGACTTCGGAGATGTACGGGTTGAGACGAATAGCGCGAGAGTATGCATCAAGGGCATCGCGGAACTGGTTGATCTGATAGTAGAGGACACCAATCGAGCACCAGAAGGTAGGATTCTTGCCGTCCCTGTACACTGCTTGCTGATAGGCCTCGTAGGCCTTGTTGTAATTCTGCCCGGCCATGTAGGCTCGTCCAAGGAGGTACCAGCTCTGCGAGTCATTTGGATCAGATTCAAGACTCTTGGTCAGGAACTGAATGGCCCTCTCTTGGTTCTGGAAGCCGGCATTCGACTGATGGTAGAGCCATCCTAGCTGTTGCAGGACCTTGGCGTGAGAGGGATTCTCAGCAAGGACACGCTCGTAGGCTTCCTTGGCAAGGGCAAAGTCCTTTTGCTGCTCGTAGACGTGCCCAATTTGGAACCAGATGTCCACCTCGGTCAGAGGTCGTGGAGGGTTGCTGAGAATGTAACGGAAGCACTCGAGACTGGCTCCGAACTTGTTCTGCTGTTTGTAAATGATACCCAGCCTGAAATAGATCTCATTGGCCTTTTCGTAGTTGGGGTCCATTCGCACAACGCTGGCAAAGGCTTCTTCAGCGTGTTCTAGACTGCCATATCGGTCATACAAAATTCCGATGCCATACCACAGCTTAGGCTCCTTAGGGTTTGGCAGATGATACAGAGCCTGCTGATAGGCAGTGTAGGCCTTTTGCAGGTCGTCCATCATCAGATAGCAATGACCTGTGCATGGTTGGGGACGAAGCAAAAGGGTCAGGAATCCCGTCATACGCAGACAAGCGCGCCTTGCACGCTGCCGTCTCTCTGCCCTTATATTCTGACTCACCCATGGCTCCCCAGGTCTCTCCGCTCTCTGGCACGATGTTGAGTACTCTCTGGAAGTAGTCGACTGCTTTGCTGAATCGATCTAATGATCGGTGCACGCCTGCAATCGCACTAATGGCAGGGACCGAGTATGGGTTATGCCTCAAGGCAGACTCATAGGCTCCAATGGCTCGATCGAAGTCTTCCATGGATTCAGCAGCGGAGCCTACAGTGTATGGTGGGGAGGAAGGCGATTTGTGTCAGAAGGTAGACTACCGGAAGTCTCACTCTGCTCTTGTACTCACCAATTGCAATCCAAGCCTGCTCATTGGCATGCGCCAGCTTCTGCAGCGTGGACACTGGCTGTCCATCGGCAGGATGACCATGAGCGCCAGGCCCTCCTGGAGCACCGGCGGCAGCAGCAGCAGCTTGTGCCTGGGCCTGGGCTTGTGCCTCAGCTGCCTGTTGTGGCCCCGAGACTACCCTAGCAGAGCCATTGGCCCTGTTTGCTCCACCGCTTCGTGCGACTCCATTGGATTGAATTGGGCCTGGAGGAGGTGCCATGGAGTGGTGATGAGAGTGATGGTGGTGAGAAGGTGGGGGAGGCTGATGCGAGGGTGCGCCAGTCATAGTAGGGGGCGGTGGTGGCTGCTGTTGAGCATAGGCATGGTGAGGAGGAGCGTGCATGGATGGGTAGGGCGGTCCCGCTGGGTGCTGTAGATGCTGCTGCTGCTGCTGAGCTTGCTGACCGGGCGGTGGTGGGAGTGGAGGATGCTGCGAGCTGCCCAGGACTGGCGGCATGATTTCACGTCGCAAAGGACGAGGCAGAGGGGGTAAAAGGAAGGTTCGAGCTGATCAAGACCAAGACCTTGGCCGTGTCTTTGTGGGTTTGTGCAATGTCGAGTCTGGGTGCCCGATTGCTTCCACTTTGCACCACTTTTCCTTTGCTGTCGAGTGAGGAGCAGGGCAGCCACCACTCAGGGCACAGAGGGGCGACCTAAGAGCAATGCAGCAAATGCGATCGGGTTTGCGGCCGCGATTGCCGTTTCCTTGGGCCTCGATTTGAGGAGCAGGGAGAGCCAGGCAGGAACAATTAGTTGCCTAGGAGATGAAGACACTCGGTGCCGGTGACGGCGTTTAGTGCCTGCAAGGGTGGAATAGACGGGGGGGGGGGAGGAATCTGTTGCTCCGGTGCCGGCTAATCGGTTCGGGGGCGCACGCGTGTTCGGACGATTAAATGGTCCTTTTTCTTAGCTCCAAGGGGCGGCACTTTGCTTTCTCTTTGTGCTCTGAAGGGAGGGTATGAGAAGTATTGCAGTCGACGTGGACGAAGAAAGGGCTAGATGATGAGAAAGTACTCGGCCAGCGATGATGAAGATGATGACGACGACGAGGAGGAGGATGACGAGAGGAAGAATTGAGACGGAACGTGTACGACGTGACGATATGGAGGAGATGGTAGTGGTGGTAGTGGGAGTGGGAATGATGATGGTGCGGCTGAGTCCAAGTCACCTCAATCGCGAGTGGAAGTTGCGAAGTTGGGATCTGGTAGGATGGGATAATTATGGTACGTGGAAGGAGAGGGCGGGTCGGGGGGATCTGAGATGGCGAGTGGTGGGAAAGAGAAGGGGGAGTGAGCGAAGGGCGGCAGATGGAGGCAGGGGCAGGGCGCGGGCGTTGCGATGGGATGCGATGCGATGCGAGGCCCAGGAAGCAGCAAGCAGTAAGCAAGATGGAGCGACGGAGCCAAGTGCGCCCCGGCACACACGGGCTCCGCTCCTGGGCGATCGAACGCCTCTTTTTGCTCGACGAGTAGCAGCTACAGCAGCTACCTAAGCCCGCCCCTCGTCGGAGAAGCAAAAAGGGCAGAGTTAAGATCAGCGACAGCAAGCCATGCACTCACTGCCCCTCTGCCCGGGGGCCCATCATCAGAGGACCCGGACATTGGTGTGCAGCCGAGCGGGGATATCAGCCATCCCCCCCATCGCTCGGGTAGGGCGGGGCGGCGGCGGGCCGAAGAGGCGGATGCGCTCAGGGCTGCCCTGCCTGCCTGCCTGCCTGCCAGCACGATGATGCCACGCTCACACGGCTGCCTGAGACTTCGCATCTCAATCAGAAGGAGGAAGAAGCCAAGGCGGCACAAATGACCGACGGATAGACAGACAGTCAGTCAGTCAGACAGACAGCCGAGTCCCGAAAAAAGCCCAGCCTCACTTCGGTGTCCCTTAGACTGACTGCCAACGCATCCAAGCACACGCGCACACAGTGAAAGGGCAGCCTAGGAGGCAGACACTAGCACCACGAGGATCTTGGCAGCAGCCAGCAAAGCAAAACTCCCAGACCTTACCGCACGAAAAGAAGGGGTAAAGAGAAACAGCCGGACATAGATAGTAACCCTATACGTCCTCAGCACAAACGCCCTGCGTCGCGTCTTACCTAGCCCAGCCTAGCATAGCCTAGCCTCACTGTATCTCTTCTTCCGCTTCCGCTCAACTCTCCGCCGGCAAGGGGAAAAGGCAGGACGGGGCCTTCACGGTCTCACTCTATCCAATGCACTGCACTGCCCTGCCCTGCACTCACAACCCTGACACCCCATTCTAGCGTCACCAGTTGCTCTCTCTCCACCTCTCATCTCCGTTGGGCGTGCGTGCGTGCAGGCGTAGTGTTCAGTGTCAGTTTCACTTTCCCCCTTCTCCGTGCTTGCCGCGAATCGGCATACTGTAGTACTCAGACAGATCTGAGTCTCCAAGTCAGCAATCGCTCTTCGCTGTCGCAGCAGCCACCCACTGCCGGCTTTTTCTTTTTTTTTTTGCTCGCGTGGGACGCCTCGCTTCTGCGATTGAGCGCCTTCGGCCTACGCGAGCCGATGGGGCTGGGGGAGCTCGGAGCCGAGCACGGCAGAGGACATGCTAGCGTCCCTTCTATTGGTTAGATTGATCTGATCATGCTCACTGAAAGAATGGACGTCATTGTCGCACACTTGAAGGCGGAAACTAAGATTGTCATTGGATGGCAGTCAACTCTACTGGCTTATTGACTCAAAGCTCAGACCCCCTTCTACGCCAGATATCGATACACGCCCCTCTCTCCCTCCACCCTCTCCATATACTCCTTCTCGATTAGAATTTCAAACGTCTTCTTAATCTCCCCTACGTCAACCTGGAATCGCGCCTTGATAGCATCCACCACATCCTGCAGCAATTCAGCATGCTTGAGCTGCTTGCGAGCTTTCAAGATGCGCACTGCCGCTGCTTGCAACACCAGTCCACGATCGAGGAGGACTTTAGATTCCGTCTGCTCCTGCTCCTCGACTGTTTCCTTCATCTGAATCTGATTGATGCGGATACGATGGCGCTCATTCTTGAGGGACTCGTTGAAGTAGAAGAGGTCCGTATCGTGCACCTCACGTCCTTGTGGGTCCTTGCGTAGGACACGGGTCGGGATTTGCCCACAGGCGAGAGACTGGAGGGTGCGCTTCAGCTCAGACTCTTCTAGGCCAGTCTGCTCGCGGATAGACTCATAGGAGAGCTTCTCTCCCTGACTCAGCCCGTTGAAGAGGAGTAAGACAATGGCTTGGAACTCGGAGACGTGCAGCTCCTTCTCGCCGCACTTGGGGAACGTGCCTTTGAGCACACAGGTCGAAAGGGAGTGAGCCCAGTGCAGCTTTCGTCCGGAGTTGCGGGCAGAGTAGAAGGTGCGGAAGCGCTCCAGAGCCGCTGCCATGGTCGCAGGGATGGAGACTTCGACGATTGGGTACGTTGGCCAGTGGGCTTGTGTGAGCACATTGACATTGAGATCAAAGTCATCACCACCCTCTCCTTGGGTATCCGCCTTGAGCTTGTCCTGCTGAGTAGCGTAGCCCTTCATCATCTCGTCAGAAAGCGTGATGTCTTTCAGCATCGTCTCAAGCCCCTGCGTAAAGCCAGCTCCGCATTCTTCCTTGAGCTTGAGAAGCATACTCTGCTCCGCGTCACTGGACGCAGAGCGGTTGAGGAGCAGACGCTTAGCAAAGTGACGCTTGTAGAACTCTTCGAACATGTCCTTTGCATGTGTGTACCTGAACAGAGCCAGCGCTTCGTCGAGACACTTCTCCAGCTCCTCGTCGGACATGGTTCTGTTTCCACTCTTGAGCTTAGCGTCGAGATATTTCGCACAGAGTTCTGCAACTTTTCCACCACCAGTACGAGAATTGACGACCTTTTCAAAGCCCTCGGTACGTCGCTGCAGGAACTCATCTCGACTTGCAAAGGCTCCATCGACGGTGACATCGATCTTGGTCTTGAAGGAAATCAAGCGTTCGATCATCGTCTCCTCCTCGGCAAGACCGACTCTCAAAGTCTCCTTGTCTGCGTCCGTCTTTGGAGGCTTGGATAATTTGGCAAGGACAGCAGCAGAAGGAGGCGAGACAATTGCGCTTCCCACTTTGAGGATATGATCGAAGAAGATTGTAGTGAGGGGCTTGATGTGTTTCACCGAGTCGAGGTGCTTGTACAAGAGGGACAGCGAGACAAGCGGCGGCTTGTCCTCCTGTAGCAGAGCTGGAAGCCCAGTAGTGAGCCACTCGGCCTTCTTCTTGATGAGCTCATCCCGTGTGATCTCCACCATCCTCTGCTTGCCATTCGAAGTCGGCTCTAGCAGCCACTGGCCCCGCAAAGTCTCCTCATCGATGCGTCGCTGAGTGTGAGCTAGGTAGGACTCGATACTGGCTGCAGATATGACCGCTTCGACTGCAGAGCTATCGGATACGAGCCGAGCAGCTTCGACCTCATAGTAAGACTGGGTGGCGGTGAGGACAGCAGCCTCAAGGTCTGGGTAGGCTTGCATTCGGACTAGCAGGGCAAGAACGGGAGAGTGCAGGGACTTGTACGAGGGACCAGACGAAGACGAGGGCGCAGATCTGGACAATGGCAAATGGGCACAGCAGTCAGTCAGCATTCTGATCATGCTCCTCGCTGTAAGCTTCTACACCACACTCACCTCTCCTGCTCTACAATGGCCGTGACAGACTGCAAGATCTTCGCCCTAATCTCGACGTCATCAATGACGCTATGTCTGAAGGAGTCGAGGAGAATCTCCTGACTTGGCTGGAAGTTGACAGATCGCTGCTTGTAGGTGAAGCCAGAGTCGAGGGGTGCAAGAATGCTCTGAACGATATTCTGTAGATTCAGACAGACAGAGGGTAGATGGGGAAGTGTCAGTGGGAGTGCAGATGCGCATTTGCTTCCTCTATTTGTGCATGGATACTCACGCTCCTCTCTGCCCACCCATCCCAAGCCTTCTTCAGTCCACCCAACCACTGCTCACTTCCTTGGGCATCTGCACCCCCCTGAGCCTGACCAATCTCATCCCTCAACACCCTCGCAAACTCCACGCTACCCCTCTCAATCTCCATCCCTACCTTCTCATATAGCTCTGCTCCCGCTTTGCATACATGGACAAGTGATTCGACGATAGTGTACAATTGCTCATAAGAGTGGGTGTGGGTTGCTGTGTTCGCATTCACAGGGGAGAGGATCGCGCGCAGCGAGCGTGAGACCAGTGCGAGATTCTGCTGAGTATAGCTTGGTTTGAGAACTGGTGCTGCTTTGGCATTGATGACGAGTGTTGGGGTGGAAGAGGTGGTGGCAGTAATGCCTGGAGAAGCAGCGGAGGCCTTCTTTAGCCAGGAGGAGAGAGGATGCTCGTGTGCCGAGGCGGTAGAGGAGGTGGTGCTGGTGGTGGAACGGGCGAATGCTCGAGTGAGAGGACCGTCTGTTGGTATGGCGAGCATCTTGCAGTCGTAGCAGCAGCGGATGAGGGAATGAGTATGGTAACTGCTGCGTCAAGTAGGGAAGAAGGATGGATGAGTGATGCGATTTGGCCGCCTCGCACTTTGCTGACCACAATGCACGGACCCCAGTCAGTCAGCGCTGCCCGCCTCACCTGGCTGGGCAGACGGCCTCCGCCTCCCCCCTTGCACCCACCGTATCCACACTCGCACAGCCAAACCCACAATCAGGAGCAAATCTATATGTTCAAAACAGCCTGGAATGGATCATCGCTATATGAGAGAAGAGCACAGATGGGACCAAGTGCGCAGGCTGAACCCATTATCAGAAGAGAGGAGGAAACAGGGAAGCAGGGTCGAGGCGGAGAAGAGGGGAGCTTCCCATGGCAAGGCAGCTAGGCAAAGCATCGGAAAGATGGCAGATATCGCCAAGGAAGGGGGTCGATGATGGAGAGGTATAGAGAGAGACACGGTACGAGAGGTGAGAAAGCGCAGAGCCAGATGGTCGTGGTCGAGTGGCCAGGCATTGCAAACATCCTCTTCGGTAACTTTCCCTAGGCTATGCACAGCTTCAGTGGTGCTTGATGGCATTGGAGTTCGGCGCAGCATTGAAGGCATTGGAGAGGTAGTTGTTGGTGCTATTGGCGGCTCCGCCAGGGGCAGGCGCAGCACCACCTCCGGACCCATTGTTGAAGGCCGGAGCAGCAGCAGCAGAGTAGAAGCTTCTCTGCTGGTTCCCAAAGGCGCCTGGGGTGGCATTGTTGTTGGTGTTGCCAGTGTTGGCAGCACCATTTCCAACATTCATGCCAGCAAAAGAAGGGAGGTGTCCAAGAGCACCATTGTTGATGCCTGCGAGAGCGGAGACCTGGCCTGCGCTGTGGCCTCCATGAGCTGTCTGCTGAAGACCAAAGCTAGCGGCAGAAGTCGGAAGTGCAAAGCCCGTGTGGTAATTCAAGCCAGCAGCACCGCCAGGTGGTGCCTGGTACATGATACCGCCAAAGACGTTGGGCATACCAGCCATGCCGGCAGTCAAACCACCTACAGTGGGAGCGGCGAGGCCTGCCGCCAGTCCACCTCCGGGGAGCTGAGGGACGATAGAGCCATCGTTGCGGTCCTTGCCCCAGCTGACTCGCAATACTCGACCATGAAGCTGCACACCGCTACCGCCACCGAGATTGCCCAGTTGGAAGATGGCCGTAGCAGCGGCGTCGTGAGAGTCGAGGACGGCAAAGCCATAGCCTCTCTCAGCTTGCAGACGAACCTCGCGGACAAAGGAGATGTTCGAAAAGAGGGCGACGATGTCTTGCTGAGTAGTCATTGGGTGTAGATTGCCCAAGTAGACCGTAGTGTTGTGAGACGGGGCCGCAGCTACAATCTGCTCGTAGCTCATGGGCATTGTTGCCGCTCCCTGGTCGAGTGCAGGGGAGCCACCGCTTCCAGGACGAGTAGAGTGTTTCTGGTTGGCCCAGTTGATGCGAAGAGGTCGAGAGCCCAGCCATTCGCCGTTGAGAGTGCTGCATGGGAGAGAACCAGGAGGTGATGAGCAAGCTTTGTTGCGGTGGCACGGGAACAGGAGCCTCCTACTCACGACAAGGCACGGTGAGCATCGTCCGGGTCTCCAAAGGATGCGAAGCCGTAGCCGCGAGAGCGTCCTGCCGAGGAGTTGCAAAGAGGTCAGTCAAGTGGCAACATACTGCTGCGCCACACATTGGGTGAAGGCACTCACCAGTGTTGGGGTCGTACATTACTCGACACTCGCTCAGGGAAGGGAAAGCCGCAAAAGCTGCGCGGAGGGTAGCATCGTTGACCTAGATGTGGCAAGCATGGCGTACGAAGGAAGCAATTGTGGGTCAATTCATGTCCATCGTGGACGTTGTTCAGCCAGATCGAGACTCACCTCTGGGGACAAGTCACCAATGAATAGACTAGCATGGTGCGTAGTGTCTTCACGCACGCCAAGAGGTGGGACTCCAGCAGGACGGCCAGTGATGATGGGGGGTCCGCTGCCTACACCACACGCGGCAGGTCCTCCAGTGACAGCTCCGACTGCTCCGGGTTGGCCTGCTGGCGCAGCTGTGCCTGCCCTAGCTGCATTGGTAGTAGTGATCGGGGTGCCACTGTGTGGGCTGCTGGCAGCTGGGGCGCCACTGCCGTTCGAGACGGACGTTGGGGCAGTGCTAGACGAAGTAGTGGTAGCAGAAGAAGATGAGGGAGCGGACATCTTGTATAGCTGTCAGAAGGTGAGCGACTGAAAGCTGTGAAGTGATGATGCGATCGCTGCTTTGGCGATGTGATTGTTGGAGAAAGCCTGGATAAGTGATGATTCTGCTGTTGGTGAGTGCTGCTGAGCACAAAGTCTGTTTTTCTTGGATCGAGGGAGGATCGACGAGGATCGTTAGCGAGGTGCGAGGAGGATGGCGAGGATCGATGGATGGATGATGACAACGACGACGACGAGGACGATGACGACGAGGGCTGGGTTGCGAGGAGCGTGTTCGAGGATAGTCGTAGGCCAAGGAGAAGAGGTGGGGTCGAGATGAGGGAAGGGATTGCTCTGGATGGATGGGTGATAAAGTAGCTGGTGAACAAAGCTTGAGGGGGGAACAGCAAGATGACTGGAGAGCAAACGCTGCGTGACGCCGTCCTGCGGTGAGGCACGGCCCGAAGGCGGGGGGCAGCAGGCCTACCGCCGCGATCGGTGGGGATGGTTGGTCGTCCTGAGGGCAAAGGGGCGTCAGGTACGGAACAAAAGCACCGGCACTCACGGGGCCAGGCACTCGGTCAGTCTTCCTCTTCTCTCGTGCGCATGGCTATGCTCCCATGGGTACCACCCTCGCGGCTAGGTAGTGCTCTTCCGTTGCTCCCGGGTAGAGGACGGGTACCACCGGGTCGCATCCTCAAGGCCACGTCCGCCTTTGCCCCGCATCCGAATCAAAATGACCGCTACGGAGTCCGGGGAAGCTCAGGTGGACCGCTACCTGATACTGATACAGTACAGCCAGAGCTCCTCCCTAGCTTCACGGGTATCAATACCCAGAAGAACGACGAAGATTAATATCCGAGGGGCCTCGCGGACCGGGCGGCGAGGTGTGCGGTGAGCGACATAGGGGCAAGGGGGGCTAGCCGCGGCGAACAATCCTTATCCTCCTTACAGTGTCTAAGCCTGAAGACTTCTCCTTGCCCAGACACCCCTTGCTCAGACACCGGCATTTGATCGAGATGGACGTCCTGTGATCGGGCTTCGTCTCTCCTTGAGATGCTCCCACCCAGATCTCGCCAAGAACATGGGTCTGGGAGGCGGCGCAGATGGGGCACGGGGCTTGAGTAATATATCTGCCATTCTCTGGCCGACCCTTCCATTCGAAAAATTGAGCACGATCTTGGCACTTTCCGAGGTTGATATGATTGTCTCTTGGGTGTGGCGGCCTTTTGCGAAGATGAGGGAGACGAGGGCACTTCACACCATCTCGGCCTTCTCGCCCACCTCCACCCCCGCACTCAAAAGTCTTGAATGCGGAAGTGGCCGACGTGTCGCAACTCAGCCTTTCCTCCAATGTATTTACAGTTCGGACCTCTTACCTTGTTCCCGTCCTCATCTTCCATCGACATCGACATCGCCATCTCCTCTGTGAGGTGATTGATGGAGCAGAGCGGCCCAGTGCAAGCGGGCGATGCTTCAACTAGCAACGTGCCATTAGGCCCCACGCTCATCCTCTCGGGCGGGACGGGCTACAATGACCTCGTCTCCGCAACACTACCTTCCCCAACAACGTATGTCCTCCCGATAAGCGATAATGGAGGTTCCTCTTCGGAGATTATACGCTGCTTCGGAGGTCCAAGCATTGGAGATATCCGGAGCAGACTTGTCAGACTCATCCCTTCCGAGGTCACGAGCAATGGCGATGCAACTGGGACCGGAGGAAACGAGGCGCTGCGGAATCTCTTGAGCTATAGATTTCCAGTGGACAATAGCGAAGATGAGATACTGGATGAATGGAAGGAGGTGATAGCAGGGACTCACCATATCTGGGAAGGGGTAGACGAAGTCAGAGGCAGTATCGTCCGAGGTGAGCTGTGCCCGTATGCAGAATCGCCTACCCCAGCAAGTGACTGAGATTCCCTCCTCTGCTCCAGGCTTCATCACACACTTCCACAAGGCCGTATTGGCCACCTTTTCCAAGCCTTTCCCATCATCGGACCCCCTCTGCTCCTCAGCGGCTGAGCCCTTTGACTTGCACGGTCTCTCCATCGGAAATGCCTTCCTCTCCTCCTGCGCCCGCACCTTCGACTCTTTGCAAGCAGCCATCTGGCTCTTCTGCAACGTTGCCAGGATTGACACAAAGCAAGTACGAGCGATACCGTGCGTGGAGACTACCGAGACGTCACACATTGCAGCCCGACTTGAGAATGGACAGCTGTTACTAGGTCAATGCGAGATCTCTCATCCGGCCAAGAAGCGCGAAGGAGACGCAACACCTGCAGTGCTGGAGCCGAAGAAGGCCACGAACGGTCTGCTGACAGCTGTAGAGAGCCTTTCTCTATCGGATCCGATCACGAAGATGCTCAGACCAGTGATATCGCGGACGAACAGCAATCTTGTCTTTAGCAAGGCAGCGGGCAAGAATGCACTACCGAGCAGAATTCAAAGTGAGCAAGCAGTGATTGGCGGGCTGCTCACAATTGGCATGACTGACATCTGATGTACGCGCGTCCACACTCCTCCTCCAAACAGGCATACACTATGCCTTTCCCTCCATTGACGCGGCCGAGGGCCAACTGAGGCCTCAAGCGCTGAGCGCCAATCCTGCCTACCTCGCAGCACTACAGAAGACAGAGACGCTCATCTACTCGTGTGGCTCGCTATACACATCGATCGTACCTCTGCTCGTTCTTCAAGGGGTCGGGGTCGCAATTGCGCACTCGAAGACGATACGGCGTAAGGTTCTCCTACTAAATACACAATTAGATCGCGAGACTGGAGGGTATGATGCTCTGGACTTCATCAGGGCTATCACTCATGCCTGCTCGAGCTCGAGCCCGACCGACCACGAAGACTGTGCTGAGGTGCAGCCTCGACAACTCATGTCTCACCTCGTCTACCATCCCAAGGGGCAGGTCGCAGTGGATGTAGAACAGGTGGAAGAGCTGGGCATCAGCTGCGTACGGATACCGGACCGGCCGGGAAAAGTCGCATTTACCGAAGAAGATGTGAGATACGCGCTGCATGTCATCATGAAGGCGCAGTCAGAGGGCTAGAGGCAAGAATCTCTCCTTGTACTATAGAACAGACGTCCTTTGAAATCGTCAATCGCATATCATCGCATTATAGTGTTGTTTAAGCAGGCAAGCAGGCGAGCCCGATAGCCTGCCAAGAGGCAAAGCCACGTGGGCCCAAGCGGGGTCTCCCGTCCAAATTCTTGCCTCTTTCCGTCAATTGCACTTCCTGACCTTCTTACATCCCAACCATTCGTACGGCTTCCCTCATCTCGCCGTTACGAGCAATCTCATCCCTTTCTCATAAACCTTCCTTCCTCTAAACACGAGTAAAGAGAGTATGGCCCAAGGTTTCAAGCCGGCAAAGGCCGCATCGGCACAGCAGCAGCAGAAGAGGAAACAGACGAGCAGTGTGGCCAAGAAGGCCATCCAGCCAAAGAAGGGAGGTGAGTTGCCCTGCCCATTCCTGGGCTTTCCCATCCCACTCACTATTCCTTATAAACATCACTGAGCTAACGATCTCTTTTTTTGCTCCCCCTCTTCTAGCTCGGGTCTGCCCACCCAAGAAGGCCCCCGCTATCGCCATGGCTACCAAGAAGCGGCAACAAAACGCCTCAGTCGTTGGGCATATGGAGCAAGAGATGATTGGACGAGCGGCTGGTGGTGGACCACTGAAGATGCTCAAGGCGGCGAAGAAGGATGAGGATGAGAAGGATAAGGATAAGTCGAAGAAGAAGTGAGAGGAGGGAAGAGGGGAGACGGTAGAGGAAGGAGAGCTGGGAGAGACAGGGGTGAGTCGTCTCCGGTAGATAAGAGAGGTGGCGGAGAGCAGGCTTCGCCACTTCACTGTACTTGTACACGATCATCAACGACAATGTCACATCAGATACAAAACATCAGATGGTGAGGCTCATCCAGGACAGTGCTTCGAATTGGGCCATGCTACATGACTGAGGGTTCGGGAATGCAAGCCAATATCCTGATCACAAGCGAATAAACAGCGATTCCTGCGCCGAGGTGTTGCAGTCTTATCATCACGGTTCAACGACGTCTGCTCTCTTCGCTACGCCCACTTTCCTCCCACTACCGCCCTGTTCGGACCCTCCTGCATTATCCAACACGACCAAAGCATTCTTGAAGAAGACGCCTCCAAGGACGCTATACCCGGCCGAAGTAGGCTGGAAGGCGCTCAGACACAAGTCCTTTCTCCCTCCCGTGAGAGAAGTCGGGTAGGGCTGGTTAGGCCAAAAGACAAAGTCTTGCGGAGGGATTCCGAAGCGCGTGCGGCCGAGCGAGATGTAGAAGGGCTGGGTACGATCCTCTGGCGGCAGCTCCAAATCGTACTCCTCCAGACCGGTCCGACATGGGACCAGCCAGGGGTTGGCGACCGGCACCACGCTCTCACCTCCGATGTCCCTGCGAGTAGAGTTCAACGCAACGAGCTCGTCGTCGCTCGCGGTGGCCGAGCGTTTGAAGCTGCCGTGGATACGACTGTTGACCGCATCAGCAGCAGGGGCGCTCAGTAGGATCAAAGCTGTACCTGTGTCGAGTACAACGCGCCGCCGCTCATCAGCAGGATCGCTCACGTTGTGGTATTCGTCCTCTCCATGGCCCATGGACAAGCCATCGAAGACGACGCCCCAGAATGTCTGCGACTGCACGTCCATCCACACCAGTGGTCCACGCTGCGCTTTGCTGTCGACGGCACCGAAGAGGTAGCTCCCTCCTCCGCCCTCGCCCGTGCGTCGATCAGCCTTCTGCAAAGCAATGGACAGGTACGGCTTTCCCAACAGGTCGTCATCGATGGCTTTTTCGAAGGGTGTGTTCCACCCGCCGGGAAAATCCCTCCTTACGACGCGACTGGGCAAGAGACCTACCAGGCCCTCCATCTTGCGTTTTTCGCGACTGGGGCCCGTCAACGAAGTCGCAAGAGCCAGATTGACGTCCGCCACTTGTAGTGTCGACGAGAGCTGCAGAGTGTCGTACCCGACATAGCCAAACGTCTCTGCCTTTGCAGAGCCGTACGAGGCGTTCCAGGGCGTGCCTGCAACGGCGGAAGTGGCTCTCCTCGCTTTCCCCTCCTCGTCCAGTGTGCGATTGGCGAACGTCAAGGAGCGCTGCGGGTCAAAGTAGTCGTGATCTCTTGGGTAGCAGCACGAGGGAGAGTAGAGCCAGCCGCCGGCGGAGCCGCTGTCGAGGACCACTTTGAGCTTTTGAGCAGGTGTGCCGTAGCCAATCTCTACGAGCCACTCGCTGTTGAAGGGTAAGGAGGAACGTATCAAATCTTCAGCCTGTCAACATCCCTTCTGAGAGTCTGCAATGCACTGTTCCCTTTCATCAAGTCCAGAGGTATACGCACTTGTCCCTCTCTCCATCTTCAGCCCGCAGGGCATGGCTCCCTCCGTAACTCCACGACCGGCCATCTTGAGCACCTCTTGTCTCCCACTTTTCCCTCCGCACTGACCCTTCCCCAGCTCCGTCCCATTCCGCACGGCCTCTTGTCCCTGGCTCATGCGGATGGTGCAAGACGGCGCTTGCCCTTGCTGTCAGTTTTGCTTGTCCAGCCTGATGTTCCCAGACGCTCCGCACAGGCTCGTGGAGGACATTCAGACGATGTTGCTGTTGCTGTTCTTGTTTTGCTTGTTGTTGCTCCCGCGTTGGCAGTTGTATTTGCACTTCCGGCTGACTTTGACTGTTGAGCGGTGCAGAGGCGACGCACAACGAGGAGCTCCCCAGGACCAGCAAAGCCAATATCCTGGGAAGGAGCATGAGGGAGCTGAGGCTTTTACGGCGCTGGCGAAGCTGTCGAGGAGCTGGCGGGATGGCCATGTTGTATGCAAGCGTTGAGACCTGGCGACAAGGCGACTCCAAAGATGACTTGGCAGAATGCGAGGCCCGGTTCGTCTGATCTTGACCAGCACGCCGAGCAGCGAGGTAGCCTCAGAGGTACGGTGATAGAGGCTCGTCAGACCGGCACGGCACTGCACGGCACAGCACGGCGCGATACGGAGCGACTACAATGTATCACGCTTGAGCCGCGGCGAGAGCTGAGCTGAGCTGCTCTGGGAGTCGGGATCAGAGTCAAGGTCTTGGTCGGACGAGAGGAAGACGACCCCAGTCAAGGCCCCAGCCTCGATTCGTCCGTCCAGTCAGTCACTCAGTCAGAAGGCAACCGCCCAGCCTCAAACGGGAGCCACGACCGCAAAGCCTAAACCCTCCTCTTGCTCCTGTCCTCTCTTGCTCCTTGCTCCTTGGCGTGTGCCGTGTGCCGTTTAGCCCGGCAACCCGCCAAGGTCAATACTGACATTAGGTACCAGGTCCCAATGCAGGTACAAGTTCCAGTCCGGCAGAATGTAGCCTTCAGGGGCTGGGCGTGCGGGCCGTGAGGGGTACTCAACCAGGGGGTAGGGGGCAGGGAGCAGGGGAGGGGCCGATGCAGGTAGACTTCTACAAATACATACATTGCTTTGGCCCTTTGGCCTTTTGGCCTTTGCTTCACTCCGCGTCGCGGCGTACCGCTCAGCGTGATACATCGCATCACCGTTGGCTACCATGTGCAATAGACCTCACTAGATTCGAATGGCATAGCTCGACCCACTATTGCCTCCTGCCCGGGATACGTAGCGTACCCATTTCACCGATTGGTCTGCACGAAGAGAGGGAGAGGATACAGCGTAAGGTCAGATGACAATCCTTGTATTGTATTGTAGTATGCCTCGCAACTGCTGCGAGGTTGGGGATGCTCACATCCTGACTTCTCCCACACTTTGAGGTAGCGTACCAGCAGACCTGCAGGAAGAGCAAGAAGAGGATATGAGGACAAGTCAGTGCAGGCCGTAGATGCCGTTGTGCAGAGAGGTGCTACTTACCACTGGCCGTGAGCATCAACACCTGGAAGTCCATCTCAATCGGCGGGCGACTCCACGCCTTCCTAACAGTGACCTGACTCAACGTCGCCTCTGCCTGTAGACTTGCGTCTCCCATTCCCTGCATCTTTGGAATCTTCCAAACAATCGAATTATCCGCCGAGACCCACTTGGCTTTGCCTACCGCCACGGAGCACTTGACCGAGGTGGTATTGGGCGGTGTGGGGATGCGCAGCACAATATCTGTGCCGGTCAACTTCGAGTCGAAGTTAGCCTTGAGGTGAACCATGTACTCTACTTTCGACTTGCCGATCTCCTCTACGATGGGATGCACCTTGAATGGCAGATTGACATTCGAGGTAGAGCGATACCTCATCAGCTCAAACTCTCCGTCCGGGGGCGTGAAGCTGATAGAGCGGTCCGAGTCGTACTTGTTCAGCTTGACACATTGGTGGAATTGGCAGTCGTCGAGCTCTACTGCGCCGCCTGCGCCCATGCCTTCACCACCGACTCCATCCCCTGAACCGGTGTCGAGCCGGTCTCGTTTGCGGTCGAGGACGAGCTTGTCGTTTAGGCCGAACTTGCACTCTGGCATGCCTGTCAGGTAAGCTCGCATGAGGATTTGACCATCGACGTCCGCTCTCAGTACAGTGCCTGGCGGAAGAGCGGGAAGTATGTTGCTGTCAGTAGCTACACTTGTACCCTTGCAGCAGGCGACTAATCACCTTTTGTGCTCATCAACAGATTGACGTTCTCCACGACGTCGACAAACGCCTCATTCTTGCGGTACTTGACATCTGCTCTCCTCCAGCTGGTAGCTCCCGTAGCCTGGATGGTAATCTTGGCCGAGTCTTCCCTGACTGCCTGCTCCGACTTGACGCCTTCGGTGGTAATGTACATCTTGAGCGTGTCCGTCTCCGAAGTCTGTGGGTATCCAAAGTCGAGAATCTCTGCCAGAAGGGTAAGGCAAAAGGGGCAAATCAACCGAATCAGCATCTTCGGCTTCGTTGCTTACTCTTCCAACTCGACGCGCCTTTCCGCTCACCATCTAGCAGCTCGTAAATGAGCACAAAGTTATTCTTGACACTCTCCTCGTCCAACTTTCCAAAGTAGCTCCTACCAATATTGATCAACCTATAGCAAAACTCAAATACCAATGCCGCGTTCGCATTTCCCTTTGTCACTGCCACCAGATAGAGGTTCTGATGACGAACATGAAAGAAGGAGGTTGAGCCTAGAGTGATGATGGGTGAGCGTACAGAGGGGTTGGATACAACTTGGATGCGGAAGATGTCGGCTATGCTGCGCTTGAGGTCGTTGCGGAAGAGGCGGGAGATGAGGACGTCGCCTTTTTGATTGAAGATGAAGAAGGCGGAGATCATCGTTGCGGGCAGACTGGGGTGGGAGGAAGGGTATAGCTGAGAGGGGTGGACAATGCTACCTAGGGCTCTGGCAGAGCAGGCCGGTCAAGCGCGGTCAAGGTATGGCAATGGCTAGGCAATCGCTCGACCTAGAGGAGGAGGAGACGACGGCAGTGATGCTGCAGCTGATTGTAGCGGAGACTTGCAAGTGAGCGCAAGGGGGAGTAGGGAGTCGTACGGCGATGGTGCTGGAGGAACAAGGGCAACCCAACGCCGCCTCCCTCACGCCTTGCCCTCGACCAACTCGGGTGGAGCGTGCAGCCGCCGGCGGCATTTCAAATCGTGCCCCCTTCCGCTCCGCTCCCCTTTGTCTTCTGAGTCTACGGGCAGAAGTAAGAAAGCAGCAGCGCACAAGTACTTTTGAGGCCAAGCAAGCTGCTTGGCATAGATGTGGGAATAACAGTGGTGGTGTAGAGTACAACGTGGCCGGCGATGATATTTCTCACAGTGCTCGCTCAGGCTCAGCCAAGGAAGCTGATCCCCACACCCAGCTGCACGCCTTTCCTGCTCCCATCACCCCTCGCAGCGCTCAGTGGCATCCCGGCGTTAAGCTCTAGACGCAATGCTCCCTGCTCATACATCAGTCCCACACCCGCAGATGTAGAAGGACGCAGAAGAGTGTCTTGAAGTAGATCAGCAGGCTTTGCCGCTGAGAGGGAGAGGGGTAGAGAGGAGAGCTGCCCGCCGTTGAAGAAGGCGTGCATCTTCAGTGGCCAGTGAGGCTTCAGAGGCAGAGGAGAGAAGAGGGAGGCTCCGAGAGAGTAGAAGGCTGTACCACCCAGCGAATCTCCTGTCAACCCGCAGAGGAGGAGGTCACCCAGCGTCAGTGTTCCAGCCCTATGCGATCGCTGTTCCCTTGACACTGCACTCACTGCCGTCCTTGGGTCCGAGAGAGTTCATCTTGAACATCCGTACACAGGTCGGACCACCCAGCTGGAACCGATCTGCGAAGGGCAGCTTGACATCTGCCGCCGTCATCGGGGAGGACGTCTCTCCCGATGCAATGCTCGGTAGGGTGAGCGGCCGCATGAGCCCAGCCCTTGCGCCAGCAGCCCATGCCCAGCCGCTGCCTAGCTTGTTCTCTAGAGACCGATTGATCCCCCACTGTCCTTCCCACTTGACAAATTGAGCGTCACCTCCCAGTCCTGCCATTTCTGTTACACTCTTGAATAGCCTGCCCTCCGACCCACCCTGCGAGGGCGTGACTGCATCCCTCGTATCGCTGACAAAGGTATGCACCAGACTGCTCTTGACGCTGTGTCCGCCTCCCCGCGCCATCTTCCGAATCGATGCAGACGCGTACGGAGAAAGGCGATTCATCTGCCTCCAGCTGAGCTCCCATGCCAGCTCGTGCTGCGAGCTGGACGAGGCATTTGCAGTCAGGGAAGCTTTGAGACCTTGCAGAGCTTCGTAGTGCGAGGCGTAGAAGGTCTTGTCGCGATTGGACAGGTAGCCGGACAGAGTGAACGCGTGATCTGGTGAGGCCAGCACTGGTGTGGTAAAGGTAGCCTGGCGTAGTATCGCAGAGAGGTCTCGTCAGCAATACAGAGCGCAGAATTGCTCCTGCTCTTTCTCAAGCAACTCACGTTCATTGCCCCTCTGGTACGAGTGCCCGTCTCATAGCTTCCCTCGAGCTTCTCTGCTCCTCCGAACAGATTTCGAATCCTCCCTTGCACGCTCACGCTTCCTTCTCCGTTTCCAACATCAGTCGAACTCTTGAGGAACAACCGAGGCGACTCCCTGAGCTGTAGCAGCACATCCACATCCTGCATCGCCGTCTGTGGTGACGAGGGCGTAATGGCGGGCAGGATGGAGGCGTCGATGCCATTGTAAAGGTCTAGACGCTGCAAATCGTTGGCGAGAGAAGAGGTCAGCTGTAGGACGCCTTGTAGCGTTGTAGGCGCCCCTGGAGGAGGAAAGTCGAGGCGGCCAGAGGAAGAGTGCAGTAGACGATACAGGCGCGAGAAGGCCAGATCCTCGTCTACGTAGGGGCGGCAGACTCTTGCGAGGAAGGAAGGACGAACAGCTGAAGAGCCTGAGAGCCTGATATTCGCCAGACGGAGTACTGACTGCTCTGGCGAGGACAATCGCTGTTTGGTAGAGGAGAGTTGGGCAGTGTCAGCGCCTGCCTCCGAGCTCCCTCGCAGTGCTTCAGCTCCTACTCACAGCGCCTCCCTCCAATGCCATCTTCACTCGATCAAGATTGTGCAACTCCTCCTGCATCTCCTCCTTCGTCTCAACAATCGGCGGGCCAGGTATCCGCTCGCCTCGCGCTGCTGGCAAAGCCGAGGTTGACGAGGTAGCATTGCTGCGCTTTCTCGAGTCTGCCTGTTCGAACCGAACGTCTGCCTCCACGGTTGCAGTCTCTACCCTGCCAGGATCCTCTCGAAGCGGGTCGGCTGAAGTGGAGAGGGGAGGATGAGCAGCGCTAGACGAAGCCATCGTGGCGAAGAGCACAGGAGCCAATTCAAGAGCAGAGCAGGTGTCGACGCAGCGATGGGTAAAGAGGAATAGTGGTGAGGTCCTTCTGACCTACGAAAATGCAAAGCGAGGCGGAAAGGGGCGCGGAGTGGAGACCAACACTCTCGCCTGTACGAGGCTCCTCTTCCTCTTGGTGATCTTCACGCCCCACTACGCTGTCAGCAAGACAAGGGCAAGAAGACAGGCGGACTTGGCCTCTCACAAGGCGCCGAGATGAGCAGCAGCAGAGTCTCTTCCGCAGCCGCTGGCCCCAGCAGCAGCAGTAGCAAGATCGAGGCGAAGCCCAAGGACGCACAGGACCTCAAGCTCACCGTTGGCTCGCGGGTCATCATATGCCAAGATACGAAGCTCAGGTGGGACAATACGAACATTGCCAAGGGCTTACGACTCCTTGACTAATCGATCCATTCTTCCCCTCCTCCTCTCCTCTCACAGCGGCGAAATTTCTATTGCCTCCGGCTGTGTCCTTCACCCCCTCAGCTCCCTCCAAGCTCTCGGCGGTCCCATCATCCTCGGTCCCAATTGCCTCCTCGAAGAAAACGTCAACATCATAAACTCCTCCACCACCGGTCAGACTCTCACCATTGGTGTCGGCAACCTCTTTGAAGTGGGAAGTAGAGTGGAGATGCTTAAAGGGGGTGTGGTACGGATTGGGGATTGGAACTCCTTTGAGATCAAGGCGAGGGTGATTGCTAGGAGAGGGGAGATCAAGCTAGGCGATTGGTGCAAGGTTGGAGTGGGAGTGTGCCTCGAGGATGATAGGCCTGGTATGGGAGCAGGTGCCAAGCCGACGCAGGAGGAGCTCGAGGCTGCCCTACGTGTTGGGCTTGACGAAGACGAGGAGGGGCCTGAAGGAGCAGGGAGGGTCTCAGAAGGCGAGGGCGGCGAGGCGGATCTGGCAAAGAAGATGAGCAGGCTAGCTCTCCCTGCTCAAACACTCTCACGAAGACCAAGCGCTAGCAGTGTCGCCACCACACCGATTCCAGAGGAAGACGAAGAAGGCAGCGGTGAGCCCACGAGCACGGCTCCCCCTAGCCTCGACAATAACACAGCTACTGCGACGAACGACCCGGCACCCAGCTTGGCGATCCCAAATTACTCTGTTCTCCACTCGGCCGAGCCCGGTTCGGATGGACGGGCATGGAAGACACGTCAGTGGAGTGGAGAGGGGATCGTACAGGATGAGGCTTCTTTCACGAAGCACCTCGAGTACCTTAGAGAAGGTGAGTCTGTCGCGCAGAGCTGATATGTCGCTTCGAGCAGGAACGGGGTAGTGGCAACGAGCCAAAAAAGACATGGTGACTGACTGACGAGAGCCCTCGTTTGCCCTCCGGATCGCAGTGCTTCCCCGGCAAAACAAGCTGAGAAAGATCTAGACTAGACTGACTGTCACCCAAGACCATCAATATACCCGCTTTGAGAGAAAGCGTCAAAAGGAGAGACTCGTCAGATCCCATGTAGCTACTACTGCTTCGCTCGCGTCAAGAGCAAGAGCAAGAGCTCTTCCCTTCCTTGTCGTCGGTCACGAATATCCATTGAGTGATATAGCAAAAGGTAGTGCAACAATGAAGGTCACTTGTCGCACCACTGCCCTAAAGTCTCAGAGCGCGGTATGAGCGACTCTGGAGGTAGGGAGGCGAGTGTCAAAAGAGGTGGGATCTGCATTTAGCTCGAGAACTTCCTGTTGGGGTTGGCACCGAACAGGTCTAGCCGGATCTCGGGGAGCATCTGTAAAGGGATGGGTGGGGCCGAGGTTAGCTGCATTGTTCTCAAGCAGGATTCATGTCCGCATAGTCGCAACTCACCAGCTCCTCGAGCAGCTTCATCCTCTCGTCCAAGGTGTTGTCGACCTTGATCCTTCCACCATGTCCAGCCAGCAGCACACCTCCATTGCTGTCCTTGTTCAATCCCTTTACCACCTCGATCTCTACATCCCTTCCACTCTTCTCCTTGTACTGCTTCTTTGCCTCATCCGCGGCCTTCTTGACCAACTTCTCGTCCTTGTCACGGCAAGTGACTGTCACCTTCTTCTCCATGAGACGAAGGAGACCCTGAGTGATCAGATCCTTGAGGAGAGTAGAGTACTTCTTCTCGTCTTTGCTAAGTCCAACGAGCTTCTCTCGAGCACCCTCGAAGAGGTCCTCCAGGTGAGAGTCTCTTGCTTGTAGTACCGACAGACGAGCCTTGTTTGTTGCGTTCGACTCGGAACTGTACGTGCGAAGGTGAGGGGGAAAGGAGAGTGGGTGGGTCGATGCAAGGTGTCAGAAGGGGCAAGGACGACAGGATAAAGCCTGCGGGACCTCTGGACACTCACATCTTGTTGGCGACCTGAGCCTGCTTGATCTTCTTCTCGTGCGCAGAGTCAATGCTGACAGCCTCCTGACGAACAATCTTGGACTGTGAATTGAGCAGTAAAGCAGAGAGGAAAGAACGATGAGTATCGCAGCCCAGCGAGCTTGAAGCGAGTGTTCACTGCAAGGGCTCACCTTCTCAATAGCAAACTCCTCGTCTGCCTTGACCTGAATCTCTCTAGCCTTCTCCATTGCCTCTTGCTTGATGAAAGCGACCTGCAGGGTTTAAGGGGAAGGACGAGCTGCAGTGGTCAGCTACTGCGTTCATCAGGAGCGGCGAGGTGCCATCCAGGGCTCTTGACAGGCAGGGAGAAGAACTGAGCCAACACCACTACTGATCACGTCTACGATTGCGATACTGACCATCTTCTTCATCTCATTGAGGACCTCATCGTCGTTCATCGGCCGTGACATTGTGTAAGTGGGGGGAAGGTGTGAAAGTGTGGCAGATAGACGTTCTTTGTGGCTCTACTAGAGCGGGAGGCTGTATGCTGCTTGCAGAGGTATACAGAGGTGACTCCAATCGCAGGGTACTGTATATGTGGTCAGCTATGATCTGCTGTGGGTCGGAATACAGCGGGACGACAGTGTGATGGCGGTGACGATGGTGGAGAGGAAGCCCCGATGATGCTCATCAGCCTCGGAGGAGTGGAGACGCCAGGCGCACGCCCGCCCGCCCGCCCGCCTGCCCGCCCGCGCGCAGTGCCTTGTCCCCGCCTCGCGGCACTTTCATGGCGTCTCCTCTCCGCACGGATCCATCTTCTGCTCAATACAAGGACACGCTGCAGCAACAAGATTGTAATAGAAGTCGCGATCGTCCTTGCGAAGATTGCCCTGACAACGTACACTACAACATACCTTCCTTAGCCATGGTCTTTCGCGAGCAGAGGAGGGGGCGTTGCCGGTCCTGTGGAGCCACCGTGCGGGGTAATTGAGCAAGCGCTGGACCAAGGCACTCTGCAATGGAACAGAGGGGATGACCATCGTCTTGCGTCTGCTCTAGCCATAGCTCTGGCCAAGGAGGTCACTTGCAGAGTCAATCACCCCGTTCCAAAGGAGGGAATGGTATTGCCGCCGGACACGCCGGATCGTAAGCGGTGGGAGCCCTTGCATGCGCAGTGGTACAGTGCTTGCCGCCGGTGACGCAGTGGTTGCCGTCAGGACGACGATTGCTGCGAGGAATCTTCTGAAGCGTTGACGTTGGCTGTCCACCGCCGGGTTTCTTCTCCCCTTCTGCCCCTCCCCTCACCTACACACCATGACCCTTCGCAACCCCGCTAATCTCGCATAGCTCTCACTGAACCTAGAACTCAAAACCCTTTGCCCCTTGTCACATCCTCGCCTTACAACAGCACCAGCATTAATACACCAAGGGCCAACCCGCGTCCTTTTACTTCTCTCCTGGATCTCTTAATACCCTCGCCGCCATGACCTCACCCCGTCCGGCTCCTGCCTCGCACAAGCTGCCTCTATACATTCGCAACGTGTCATGCGATCAGTGGATTCGTCTGTCCATTGACAGCTCATCTACCGTGGCAATGCTCAAGGACAAGGCGCTCGACCGGTTGGGCATTGGTGACGAAGAAGCAGACTTACACTTCGATATCACAAGGCTGCACTCAGACAACAAGGTAACAGGCACTGCCCTCCGACAGAGCCACAGTCGACCAGGCCTGTCAACGGCAACGGCGACAGGCGCCAACGACAGAAGTTTCCTTGCTCGAGCACCGAAAGCGGTCCTTGCTGCTGAGTCGAGATGCGGAGCTCGACAGCCATCACGGCTACTTGTCGTAGCTGAGTCCATCGCAGCGCGCAGGCAGGCTGAGCTCATCTTGGGAGGTGATCCTGGAAGAGGTGGGCCAGGTTCGATGCCTCAGACCCAAATCAGTCCACATACGCAACCCACTCTACATCGCACCAGACACCTCAGGAGAGCTCAGAGTCTCGGCGTCAGCCGCACACCAGCATCGCCACGCCGCGACCCCGGCTCAGCGCAACACCCCTCCGCTGGATCACCACTACTCAAGCGTTTGCCAAAGACTGCGACATCGAATGAGTCCATAGCAAGCGTGCTTGCTCTCGCACAAGCTACCGATATGGTCTTGACTAGCACGCCCACCAGCAGAGTCATCAACACACCCAGCTCCAGCAGAGACGACCCGTTTCAGCATACATCGTATCTTAAGACACAAGCGAGCATCTCTTCCCTGTCCGGTGCAGGAGATGACGAACGCTCGCTCAGCCCTCAATCTGTCTCTCTGGATCTGCCACGGACTTCTACAGATACCAACGAACTCGAGCATGCAAAGTCAGCGGAGGCCATTGTGGTGCGTACGTCGTCTCCACCTCCAGTATTGGAGAGACAGGATTTGGCTCGTATTCTACGTGGTAACGAGGTCGCCAAGAAGTGTGAAGAAGAAGCTCTGAGGAGACTCAACGAAAGCCTCGAGAAGTCACATCTTGTCTTCGGCAAGCTTTCCACAGCTTCCCCGACCGAGCTTCGGCAGCCTCCGCTCAGCATTTCCACCTCGTCTCGAAGCGCCGAGCCGTACACTCACCGTCGCCCGACCACCATGACAGCGAACGCTCGAAGAGCTCAGAGGCAGAAGCAAAGGGCAATGGAGTATCTAGAGGTAGACGACGCCTTGCAGGACGACATAGACGTCGAGGTCGAGGTTGCCGAGCCTAATGTCTCTGACCCAACTTCGAGCACACATCTGAGGGCCTCGTCCTGGGTGCCACCAAGAGGGACAGTTTCATCAGACGATGCCGAGCACAAGGAGCTATCATCTGATGAGGCATCTACCAAAGTTGACCTCGAGCCTCTGCCAGGAGCAATGGATCTGATCCTGTGTAGAACTACAGCAGACGAAGCGATCACGCCAATGTCGCCTGCAAGCTCGAGCGGTGCGTCGTGTACCTTGGAAAGCCCTCACTCACTGAGCACGAGCTCAAGTCGTGGCCAGCATGTTGATCTTGAGACGACGGATGAGCAACGGCTTTGGGGCACGCAGTTGGAGGCAGATCTGGCTAAGCGTCGGAGACAGGGCGATAATGATGGCCTCTCACAGACGGCTGGCCCACTTTCAATCTCTGCCCATAGGCGTCACCGTAGTGGAACGATCAAGGCTCCTGCGCTACAATCTGTCAACACATCAGGAGTATTAAATGAGCGAGTAAGTGCCCCAACTTTGTACGAACAGAAGCTTCCAGCATCGCCACTACCTGTCAAGCCAGCTTCTTTCTCTTCGTTGCCGCCCCAGGAGCAAAGTGCGAAGGCCACGGAAGCTGCCTCATTACACGCACCGACAGCTTCTTTTGGACTTCAGCGAGGAAGTGCGATCGGCAGTGCGACCTCAATTGCATCTCCTGCTCAAGTCGATTCGCTACTCAACCAGCTACGCAGCTCAACAAGCTACTGCTACGAATCCGATGGAAAGCGTACCTCGCGAAGCCGTCGCACGGCGGGCCAGTACTGCTTGTTTTCGTTCAGTAAGGGTATGACACTCGACGAAAACGCAAGCTTGAGCAGCTGCCGCCTAAGACCTTTCGAGTTGCTCGAGCTTCACCTTCACTCGACACGACATCGAGTGCGGCTGCCTCGATATCATTACACAAAGAGCTCCGCACCACATCGCCTTAGTGGTGAAAATCTCTCCAGACATACTCCCAGCACGGCCTTTGGGGCATCCCCGACGTCCACGTCGCGCCCTCCACAGAAAGCGGTGGCTCCGCCATTGCTGGATTGCGACTATCTGGACAGCTTCGCTCATGGATGGGCATATGTGCATCACCCTCGAGGTTGCCCCGAGAAAGCTCGCGCTGTCGGTCTAGGATGCTGGAAGCTCAGATGGCTCGTTGTTCACCAGGGATATCTCTGTGTCTTTAGGCGAAGGCCTGATCCTGCGAATGATGGTTTAGTAGCAAGAGGTCGCGAGCAGGGTGGCGAGAAAGGCGAAGAGAGGACCAAAGCAGGCTCAGCGTCTCCTCAAGGTCTGATTGCTAAGCTCAATTTGTCTGTCATCTCGTGGATAAGTTCAGAGCTGGCAGACGGGGCGACGAACCCAGTCTTGAGAACTCTTGCTCAGGATCTTATCAATGTCTGCTTCAACAGCCCATCAGAGCACAAATCAGTGGGAGCGAGAAGCGAGACCGGACCGGGATCACATCATCACATTGTCTCTTTGCGCTTTCTCACGGATCACGCGGCTCGTTGCTGGTATGCACTCTTCCAAAGAGTCCATTGTCGCTACCAACTAGCTCGACGAGGAGACACTCTCAAGCTCGAGGAGCTGGCCAAGCTACCGCTTCGATCCAACATCGACGTCTTTCGCGGCATTGCCGATTTTCTCCAGCAGACGGAAATTGACCTGCCTTGCCCCTGGGACGCTTCTGTCAAGGTCAGCGTTGATGACTGGCGAAAACGCGCCTACCTCCGGAGCCTGGTCGCTGGAAGAGGTGGAGTGGTTTTACCAGGTAGATCTGGCAGGGGTGGGGGCCGGAATGCTTTATTGAAGACCAGGGTCACTCCGGTGGGCGGGAATGTAGACGCAGAAGATGCCGATCTGTGGAGCGACCATAGCGAAGAAGAAGGGGTCTTTACGGTACAAGGGGACGCTTTTGTCTGTACGGACCCCTCATCAAGTACAGTCGCTCCTGGCTCGCTGATGTCCGATTTGCAAGGATTCCCCGGCGAGGTTGTACTACAGCAGCGAGCGACAAGCATGGAAGAGGCGGTCACCACCTCTACTCTCATTGGTGAAGCGAAAGCTACTTCCTTGAAGAAACATAGCAAGCGACCGAGCACACAAGGTGATGGGACGCACCGCTTGTTCCAGCTGGGCATACCGCATCACAAATCTGCCATCAACATGGACCCATCCAGCTGGTTTCCTCCGCCACCACCGCCACCGGACTCTGGCTCGACGGATAGTACCTACAAGGCTCTAGCAATGCGACGCAACTCATTTGCGAATCTGGCTGCTGCCTTTGTCGGTGGCGGACGCCTGTCTTCTTCTCACGGGCGACGTTCAGGTACTGGTAAGAAAGGCCCTCCGGCCTTGGCCAGACCTGAGCTGACGCGCCTGCAGACAAATTCGAGAGGACCCAGTGTAGACATGGCAAAGCGAAGCCATGAGAGTGCTACACTGCCTGCAGAACTTACCGTCCTTAGCGGAGACGTGACATCTGCTTCTCTTCGGACCACCTCGTTGTCTGCCCCGATCGGGATGTCTACACCTCTTGCAAGTACGACAACAACGTCGACTTCGGACTCAGTCACACTCGAGGATTCTGAGGCACATACGGAACGCCTGACGGCGGGCGAGAATCTGGCGACCAAGCTCATCGTCTCAGATTCGCAGGTAGAGAATTGCTCCTTGCACTCCTCCTCTTCCCTCACTCCTAGACCTCGAGCGCTGGTGCTCATGCATTTGTCTGAGCCGCAAAGAATTCCAACGCCGAGTAATGGCTCACCTTCAGTCCTCAAGAGCCTTGTTTCCGAGGCGAGCGCCTCCAGGCCAAGCACGCCGAGAGTCTCAGGCGCCCTCTCGCCCCTCAGAACACAAACTGTAGACAACAGCGCTGCCAGTGGTGAAGGTAGCGGCAGCAGGTCGCCTCTCATTCCCCCTCGTTCACCATACAGGACATCGCTGGGCCGCAGGGCTGTCCAAGCGGAACATGTGGCCGTCACTCGTGCTCCTGCCAATGGTCATGGCGAGTCTGAGGGGCAGGAGCGTCGACCTTCGCTTGCTGAACTCCCCTTCCTTGTGCTAGAGACTACAGCTTCTTCCTCTGCCGTGGCCGTCCTCGCCTCTCCCTTCAAGCACGAGCCCCTAGCAGGCTCTGCATCGCCATCAGCACACGTGCAAACATCTGCTGCCTCTGCATCCATTCCTACGGCGACATCGCAAACAACAGCAAGTCTATCTCACGACGCATCGTCACCAGCAGCTCCAACGAATCAACTCACAAGTCAACAAAGCACCAATGCGCCCCTCTCCGGAGTACAGATGAGTCAAAGTCCCGGCCCAGCCGCAACTTCAATCTCAGGCGCAAGTCAAGGCATAGACATAGGTGATGGGTCACCGCTCATCTCGGCTTCTTCACTCCTTCTTGAGGAGTTTGCGCAGCAGAAGAAGCGGGGGAGGGGATGGAGCTTGAGTCGATTTAAGTCGAAGAAGGGATGAACCTCAGGCAGGAGAGAGGTTCGTCAAGGTGCCGCTGTAGTTGATTCATTCATTTCGGTCGGACAGGGTCGTGTATAGATCGAACCTATAATAGATGTTGTGGTACGCGGTACATATGTGAAACCTGCTCCCTTGGCGTGCAACCACACAGAGCAAGTCTTCCGGTATTCGACGGGCCATTGTTTCCTGTGCTGTAGACCTCTCGCGCAAGATCTGTTGGGACTCGAAGATACCAGCGGATCTTCTTCATCTGCTTGTAGGTCGATCCATGGCCTGCTTGGGACGAGTGGTGAGCGCTGGCCTTCTATGGCCTGAACGCTGCAGGTCTCTGTTTGACCTGCTTGCCTCCGTTCCCAGCAGCGGCAATCTCATGGAACGTGTCTACCAGCGCATCTGTTGAGGACTTGACGCTGCCGAGCTTTGCAGGCAGCTGGTACGGTAGCCGCACCCAGTGACCCCAGAAGGTGTACATCTGGATCTGGTAGGAACGGGGCGGCGGTCTGAATCGTTCCTGTGGATCGAATGAGCCCTATCCTTTCTCATTGCTTTCGACGGTAACTCGGCACGGCAGCTCGAACGCGATGTCTGGTATGCCGGTGGTGTCGGATCCTCTTCTGGGCGGCATCTCCAGTCTTCTCATTCCAGCAGAATCTGACTCTGCTCCTTCGACTCTCGATCATAAGTGCCACACCGAAGAGGTATGTTGCTCCTGCCTGTAGCCGACCTTGGCTAGGCGAGACAGGGAAGACTTGTTGGCGCTCGCTGGGTCAGGGAAGCAGTCGGTGGCAGCGGCTTTCTCTCGTCTCTGTTGACTGTTTTTGGGCAGCAGGCCCAGCATGCCGAGGGCAAAGGTCACCCCGGACTATTTATCGATTGTTCATGAGAGTTCCTACCTGGTAAGGCTGCCAGTCTGCACCAGGGCGCTCGCTCCACTTGTACTGAAGAGAGATGCCGGCGAAGAGTGGCTTCTGGTGAGGAAAACAGCCAATGAAGGTGTCTGATGCAGCGTTTGGCTTGTCTTCCAGCAGGCACAACCTGACCAGCTCTTCCTTCTCCCCTGGACGGCTTGCGGCAGCTTCATCAACAGAACGTGCCCGAGCAACTGATTTTGCCCGTCCTTGATGAGTCGGTGTTCGAGCCTGCCTTCTTGTAGCAGCTCTGTGACGCTCCCGTATGAAGGTGGGCGACGGTAGTCCCAGGCAGCTTCTGCAACGGGCAGGCTCGTGGCAAAGCTCGGTTGACGAGCAGTGTCTTTCAGCTGACTACGGAGCCGAGAGCAGATCGTCAGTGGCTGGCGAGACTACTGAGCACGTCTCTCGTCTGCTGCTCACCTTGTTGGTCAGGCCGACCGAGGTCAGTCCTGATCCCGGTGATCCCTATCTCTGTGCCTGCGGTGACCAGCGCGAGAGATTCAGAGGTATCAGCCTTTTGGCGTGCGTAGGCCAGGCTGGCGTGTCTGAGCAAGGTAGATGTCTTGTGCTATGAAAGTGCAGCGAGGTCATTCAATAGTATATCGTCAATTGAACACGTGGTGCCTGATTTCTCAGTCCATGAGATCATAGAAGTAAAGGTCTGGCGGTTCGCCTGCGTTATAGACAGATCAGGAAACCGAGGTGAGCGCACCAGCCTTGCATGTGCCGTGCGTATATGCTACTCACTGAACATAGCAGTATCTTCGAAATTAACGACTGTGGTTTAGGGAAGAGCGAGGCGTTGCTGATGCTGGACTGCGTGAGGAGAGGCATATAGTGGGGTAGGAGGTATGGGGAGCAAGGTACGAGGCGCGGTAGGGCTACAAGCAAGAGTGCGAGAGAGCGAGGAGGAGCAGTGAGGAATGCAGAGGGAAGATGGGAAGACTGGAAAAATCTGCTCGGACAGGAATGCTGACTCTCAGTGCGCGGTTGAACTGGCGAGGACTACAAAGCAAAGGGCAATAGCCGTAGTCGAACACAGGGCGGGCGTCTCCGGAGTCGCGTGGTACTACGGCTCCGAGATCCTCAAGGTACTGCGCAAGGGTTCACTGCTGTAGCTCGGGTATCTCTGGACGTACGACCTTCTAGTCAGAGCCGAGCCCTGAATCGTACGCAGGCCTCGCAGTAGATACTGTACATTACCTCCGAGCTTTCTCCACTCATAAGTTCTCCGGTCTCGGCCTCTTGCCGGCATTCTGAGCTGCGCGCCGGGGGTTCAATGCGAGGAGAAAGCGGGGTGGACCTCGCTTGGCTGCAAGTGGCTCTTACCACTCATTCCTCGTTACCTCAGTGCTGTGACTCTTTCATCCTGCTCCCTCCATCCTCCTCTTCTTCTCCTCTATGACTTGCTTCCGCAGCTGCCGAGATGCCACCCGCCGAGACCGACTTGAGGCGATGGACGCGTCTGAACCAAGGACAGACACGAGGCTATCCAGGCATCGCTTCACCGGCAGCAGATCACTCCGCGCCTGCCAAGGTAGCGTGTCTTGAATGTCGAAGGATCAAGATTCGATGTCTACTGCCTGCAAGTGAGCACCATGGCTCACCCGACGCCGGACCTTCGGACCTGTCACAAGACGGCGTTTGTGTGCGATGCGCTAGGCTGGGCTTAGAATGCCGGAGGAGGCCACATCGCAAAGGCCAGAGAAACAGCAGGCAGAGCGAAATACGGGCGGAGCCAGCCGCAATCGTGGTCGACCCACCGGCGCTGGAAGCAGAGCCAAGGAAGGTAGCCCCGGGCGTGTCCGCCATTGATCGAGTGGCTGGCCAGTCCGAAGGAAGCATGAGCCCTCGCCAGCCAGCGCTCAGCGGTTCTCCTCACTCTGGCCTGGAAAGTCATGACCAGACGGAATGGTCTCACAATAGCTTCTCTATCCAATCACTTCTCGGCGATGAGGCGAGGACTGCATCTGGAATACGCAAGACGCCTTATTCTGTCGGCGGGGTCGCCTTGACAAAAGAAGCTCTGTCACCCTCTGATGGCATGGCTTCCCAAGATGGTCGTAGCGTCTCGCACATCGAGACGCCACGAGTGGCCATGACAGGCGTCGTTACTGTCGTTGAAGAAGGACTGTTTACTTTACAACAAGCGCGATACCTTCACGGCTTCTTCTTTGAGCGGCTGAACGGAATCATAGCACTGCTGACTCCTCAACTCAACTCGTTCGAGACTCTTTCGCAACAAGCCTGGCCACAAATGCTTCTGACAGCAATATGTACTGTTTCAGCGAAATACGAATTTCCGGACAAGTACAAGCGCTCTTTGAACTTTTCTCAGAGCCTCACATCCAAGATCATCGAGGGTGAGATGAGACCGACCTTGAGTAATTGTCATGCCCTCAGTATACTAGCGATGTGGAGACCTCCGCATGATCCGAGCGGGTAAGTCAATTTGGTCTGTTGCGGCAGAAGAATCCAACACACTGTCTCATTTGCTTCAAATTCTCACATCTGCTTCGACCGACATGTAGATGGCGCAAACTCCACGCTGCATGCACACTTGCCTTCGAGCTGGGCTTACATCATAGCACACAACAGCTGGTGCAGCCTGGAGACCCTCAGAGGGCAGAAATCATACAACGGCAGCGGACCTACTATCACTTGGCATGTTTTGAAGAATTCTTTGTCAATCAGAGACGGCTCATCCCTCTGATCAACTGGGACGTCTTTCCTGATCCGCGAGTGTGGGTCGATAGTCTTTCGGATGATTGCCTAGATGTCGATGTGAGGATTGCTACTGCCATGGACAGCATCTCGATCTGCCGGAGGCTATCGGAAGCACTGCAAGTCGAGAGAAGTAAACTGCCAAAGGGTCGAGCGCTGAAGCTGCGCGAGGTGAGACTGATTCGGCTAGCAATTCATGAGCAGGACATCGCGATAGACACTTGGCTACATTCTCAAGGTGAGCGAACCCCTTGGCATCGACACCTCTTGCGCGATTCAGCTGACCAAGAGCTCGTCTTATGTGTTGGCCCGTTCGGCAGAACGAGGTATCCCAGCTCCCTTTGCCATGCGACCGTGCGGCGTGTTTGACAATCTCAATTACCATTTCTGCTACTGGTCTTCCATATGGGTCATCTTCTGTCAATCGGAGATGCGCTCGCCCCACTTTGACGAGGACAGAAGAAGCTCCTTTGCGCAGGCTTCTTCTTATGCTATTCAGCTCATCGAAATGTTCAGTGGACCGTACGGTCAAGGGGAGTACTACCGTTTCGTCCACGATCACGTGATTTGCTCAGCGGCCGCTGCAGCATGTTGGATCATCGACAATTGGTCAGCCATGCCACGTGAAGACGCACATCGCTCTCATCAAGCTCTGCGTCAGGCCAAAGATGCAACCTCGGCAAGCCAACACAGGCAGAATGAGCAAAGCAGTTACCTCTATGCTTTTCTAAATTTCTGTTGTAAGAAGCTGCCAGAGCAGCACATTCTGGATGATACAAGTCCCGTGGATGTTGGCGCCCTGGAGGTATCGCAGAACCTGGAGTGGCTTCTCGGATCCGACGAGCGCCAGCGCGATTTCACCATGCCGTACAATTGGACCTTTCGGAGCCGTCAGAATTCGCCGCCTCAAGCAATACCCCACACGGCTTTGTTCAACTCCGGTGGCAGCAGTATCGATGCCCCAAGCTTTGTGGAAGCAAACCAGACTGGCAACGGCGCCAGCCACCGCAGACAGAGCTCTCACTTACGAGGAGGAGGGGATCAAGGACGGCAGACGAACGACGGAACCGATGGCACGATACTGCACACCATGCAAGGTGACAGCGATGACGGCGGTGTAGCCACTGAGCAGGAAATTGACGAAAGTCTGGCTAGCTTCCTCCAACGCCTACTTCCAGACACTCACGGATCGATCATGAATAGTCTTTATCAAAATATGTAACTAATGACCACGTTTTCATCACTACTGTAATTGCGCGCCTCTAATTCACTAGCCCGATTGCAAATCTTTGTCAATCTAATGATACCCCGAAACCCAAAGCGGCCTAAACTAAAGTACGTCAGCATGGCCGTCCAGTCCCTTCTTCGCCTCGAGCACATTGACCCTGATCGCAGCACCGGAATCGATACTTCCTTCTGTCACCTTGACTTCTGCTGCGCCAGCACTAGTCTTGGATACCTCTGCTGTGATCTTTGTTCCGTCGGTGAGGGTAACCGAGGTGACTACCTTGCCATTGGGCGCATCGTCCAGAGTCGCTTGGGAGAGGCAGACGGTGCAACCGTTCTTCCTCACATCGTCCTCGATCCGGGCACCCTCATTGGCAAGGATGATCGCATGTCCCTCGCGCAGGAAGAGCGGCAGGGACATCACCGAATAGTCCTCCTTGAGGTATCGTCCGCCGGTCATCTCCCTTCCGTCGAGCAGATGGACCCACTTGCCATGCGGCAGGTAGTACTCGATTTCGGTCTCGCCGAAGATGGGAGCTACGAGCAGCGCTTCTCCCAGCATGTATTGCGAGTCGAGATACCACACGCTCGGATCCTCGGGGAATTCGAGAAGCATAGCGCGCATGATTGGGTGGCCAGACTTGACAGTCTGCTCGATGGCGGTGTTGAGCAGATAAGGCATCAGACGGGCCTTGAGGTGGACGAATTTGCGGGTGACGACGACGGCTTCGTCGTCTACCAACCAGGGAACACGAGCAGTACCTGAACCGTGCAGTCTAGAGTGCGAGGACAGCAGTCCGAATTGGACCCATCTCTTATAGATTATGGGAGGTGAGGCCGAGTCTGGCCCTTGTCCTCCTTTGCCGGGTGCCTTGAATCCTCCAATATCGCTCGCCGCGTATGCGAACCCGGACAACGTGAGGGAGAGCCCTCCTCTAACGGCTTCCGACATACCCGTCCATGTGGTGTCTACCGAAAGGGAGTTCGGACGTCAGTATCGAGTCTCGATCAGCAGTAGAGGCCTCGCCGCCCTCCTTACTCACCAGAGTCGCCGGCCCAGTGCACTGGAAAGCGCTGCCCTCCCGCTGCAGCAGATCGAGCGAAGAGACAAGCCTGACTAGTGCCAAGGCGGCGTTCCAATACTTCGTATACAGTCTTGTTGTACAGGAAAGAATAATGGTTGTGCATCGCGCGTGGCTCACTGCCAGAGTGGTATACCACATCCTCACAGGGAATCCGTTCTCCAAAGTCAGTCTTGAAGGCAGTGACACCCACATCGATGCAGTACTCGATCTGCGCCTGGTACCACTTGCAAGCCTCGGGGTTTGTGAAGTCGACGAAGCCAATTCCGCCCTGCCAGTCGTCGCTCTGGTAGGTACTTCCGTCTCTGCGGTGCAAAAGGTAGCCCTTCTGATCGGCTTCGGCGAAGATCTCTGCCTCCTGTGCAATGTATGGATTGATCCAGACGCTGACCTTGATGCCTTGACTATTGATGCGGCCCAGGAAAGCTTTGGGGTCAGGGAAAAACTCAGGGTTGAAGCGGAATGAGCACCACTCGAAGGGACGCATCCAGTAACAGTCAAAATGGAACACAGAGACTTGGATGTCGTGCTTCTTCATTCCATCAAGGAAGTGCTGCGAGGTCTCCTCGTCGTAATCGGTGAGGAAGGAGGTGGAAAGCCACAGACCCCAACTCCAGGTAGGAGGAAGAGGCGGCCGGCCGGTCAAGGACGTGTAACGAGTGAGAACATCTTTCGGTGAAGGTCCCATGAGGAAGTACATGCGCATTGTCTCTCCAGGAACTGAGGCTTGCACTTTTGATCGATGCTCGGTCATGATTTCCAGCGAGACATGCTGGGTCTGGTCGATGTAGACACCGTACCCACGGCTGGTCATATAGAAGGGGATGTTCTTGTACGCCATAGCGGAGCTTGTGCCGCCATCTTCGTTTGAGATCTCGACAGATTGACCATTCTTGACGAATGGCCCAAACTGTTCACCCAGACCGTACACCTTCTCGCCCTGAGCAAGACTGGGAGACATGATCATGTACCCCTGGCGGCGACTTTCGGGTCGGTGGTAAGGGTCGAGGGTCGTAGTCGAAGCAAACTCTCTAGCCGCATGCGAGCCCGGTACGTTGGTCTTGAGGGCCCAAGAAATGGAATCTGGCCCAATGCTCGAGACGACACGCTCCTTGTCATCGAGGAAGTCGATGGAGAAGACGCCAGGTCTCATGTCCACTCGGGCTTGCGCCAGGCCGCCCGCTGAGACAAGGAAGGCATACTTGTCATGCTTCAGACCTTTCGCCCTGATTGAGGCGCCATTTGCCTTGACACCATTGACAGAGCCCGAAGCACCTACTCTGTCGAGGCCGGCGGGAAAAAGATCGAGGCGGGGCTCGTGGTGTGCTTGTTTGCCGACGAAGTGCTTGGCCTCCACTTCGAAGGTGCCGGGGGCCGGGCTGCGAATCCATATCGTGATGGTGGGCTTGTTGAGCACGTCACCTCGATTCTTGATCTCTCTGATGGAGCAAAGGATGCGAAGACAGTCTCCACCTGTGCCTCTGCCGGTATCATCTGGGATGATTTCCACCCTTGCAGCCTGCCGGGCAGAGACCACCGTGCTTCCCTCGAGCTTGTTCCAGACACCTTCTACGAAGCGCATGATGTGAATTGAGGACGCAAGAAGACAATAGAGTTGATGTTGGAGCGATTCGTTTGGTCTGCTGGATGAAACAGACGCAACGTTGAGCAGAGAAGATGGGTATGGCGCGGATGAAGCTGCCTGTCCTAGCTTTGTACTTCCCCAATCTAATCACCTTGAGTTCCAGCGGTTATCTCGGCTAGAGATCCCCTCGCACTGTCAGCCATCCTTGGTCAGACGGCCACTTCGGCTTTCTCCCTGGTCCCGAGTCGACAAAGCACCAGAGAACGCAAGCATACTCGCCCTGTCCCAACTGTTGCGGGGCTCCACGGCAGCGGGAAAGATTGGCGAGTCGACGCGACTTTGCGCATGGACCAAGCAGCGGGCCCACCGGTCACCGGCGCCGGAGATTCACCGGTGTGCACGCACCCTCCAAGGCCGGTGGTACACAACACAGCTCATCGGACACCGGTACATCGACACAGCCACCGGTCCGCCAAGATATCCTTAATCTTCGGTCGACGAAATGTTCACCCCGAAGACCTTTCCGAAGCCCCACACTAGGTACACACTAGGTAGAGGTGTTGGAGGATGATGACCAGAACGAATTGATCACGCGACTCGGCGTCCCCAGAAAACTGCTTGGGGTCGCTGGACCTTGCTATTGAGTCCGGCAATCTCTGTACCACTTGTCTGCAAGAGATAGGCGTGTTCTTGTTCCAAAGTCAGGCACGGCTGTCAGCCGAGAATTCACATCTCAGACCCGGATCGTGCAAGCGTCTGATCGGTGACAGTATTCACGCGTTCCGTCCCCATGACAGCGGTATGTTCGGCTTCGGCTATCGGTACAGTCTACCAATCGATGTAAGCCATGGTCCCCAGAGCAGTCGATGTGGAAAGAGAGTGTCTCTTTTCGTCAGGTACAATCGACTCGAGGTTTCGCGTTCTGCCACCACAGCAGGCTTGCTACGAAGGCGGCGGGCTCTAGGTGGCCGGTATTGACCTCGTCGGTCCTGACAAGAAGCACTTTGTGCCCGAAAGGTCACGAGTCTTCTTTCTGTCCTCTGCAGTGCTGCGACCTTCAATACGAGGGTCGGACGTTGCAATACGCCCCTCGTGGGCAGGCCGGCCTCAGTGCATGTCGCGTGCTGAGTCCTCGCCGGTGACCGGTTGCAGACCGGCGCACGCAGCCACACCATTCAGGGGGCCAAACAAGCTCTGGCCTCGCACCGGCGGGGAAAAGGTTGCCGAGACGGCTGTGGGGGGCCCCGCATTTTCGACCGATCAAGACACTGAGGAGCCCCACCAGACCATGCAAGGGCAACACCATACGATGAGATATATGAGGGCAAGATGGTGGACTCAATCGGCCAAGTCCTCTTCTTTTTCGTCAAGCCAAAGTGCCCTTCCCAACTCCCTACACAGCTTCGGACCACCCATCCTTCGTCCCGCAATACCCCCCCCTCTCAAAAGAACACCACCATCGGTGACATCCATGGACGACAAGCAGACCAAGAGCGTCGATGGCAAAGACGACGTGGCCTATCTGACCAGGGATATGTCTTCGGATGCTGAGAGCCCCATCGACATTATCCCCGATGTCAAGCACGCCAACCGCGATGCTGCCGGAGGTGACAGCGACGAACGAGAGGGCACTCTCTGGGAGAACATCCAACGTAATAGACCTGCTTGTTTTTGGGCTCTGGTGAGTTCGGATGTGGCGAACATTTCCCCTCTCGAGGCCTGGACCTCACATCTGATTTGTCAAACTCGCTTCCTTTCGTAGTTCATCTCGTTGTGCCTTGTCATGGAAGGCTATGACCTGGGCGCAACCAACAGCTTCTTCGGCTTGGATGAGTACAAGCAAAAATTCGGTCAGCTCAACTCAGATGGCACCAAGTCCGTATCTGCCGTCTGGCAGACTGGCGTCTCGAACGCGAGCTATTCTGGACAGTTCATTGGCCTCTGCATCGGAGGATACCTCGTCGAAAAGATCGGCTACCGCCGGGTCAGCATGGGTGGCATGGCTTGGATTTCCGCCGTCTGGTTCATCGTCTTCTTCGCCCCAAGTATCGTCGTTGTCGCCGTCGGAGAAGGTCTGATCGGAATGGGCTTGGGCATCTTCCAGTCGCTTACTACGGCATACGCCTCAGAAATCTTGCCCGTCTCTCTGCGAGGGTACTTGACCTCGTGGTCCTGCGCAGGCTGGGGCATCGGACTCATCCTCGCCGCTACCATCGTAAGAGGTGGCTTGGACATTGAAGGTACCTGGGCGTACAAGATGCCTTGGGTCCTTGTCTGGGTATGGCCTCCTATCTTGGGCCTGGGCTGTTACTTTGCACCAGAATCACCCTGGTGGCTTTCACGAAAAGGCCGTGACGAGGATGCTAAGCGCAGTCTGGCTCGCCTCAACACCGGCCCTGCGGACGAGGCGCGCATTGAGAGGAGCTTGGCACTCATCAAGTACACGAACATGCTCGAGGAGGAAGAGGTCAAGGGAACCACCTTTCTTGACTGCTTCCGAGGCGTCAACTTACGCCGAACGGAGCTATGCGCCCTGGTATTTTGCATACAAATTTGGTCGGGAGCACCTATGAACTCTTTTGCAGTCGTCTTTCTTCAGCAGGCTGGAGTTGATGAACGTCGTTCCTTCGACTTCGGCGTCGGCATCAATGCCATGTTCCTCGTGGGCACTCTGCTGTCTTGGACGTACTTGTCGCGCTTAGGCCGCAAGACTATCTATCTCATCGGACTCACCATTATGGCTGTGATCGCTCTTCTGGTTGGCGTGCTGGGCGTCGTTCCACACTCAGATGCAGTTGCACTCGGAGCCGGTGCTCTGTTGATCATCCAGACCTTTGTCTTCAGCTGCACCATCGGGCCTCTGTGCTACACAATCATCGCTGAGATCGCATCGACTCGCCTTAGAGCTAAGACGATCGCTCTGGCTCGGGCCGCCTATACACTCAGCAACATCATCACTAACATCCTGCAACCGCGCATGATATCGGAAAGTGCGTGGGGTTGGGGAGCAAAGTGCGGATGGTTCTGGTTCGGCTTTTGCATTCTCACGATCATCGTGAGTCTTGTCCCTGCAGACTTGACGAGTAGTCGGAATCCAGCTGACTCAATCTTTGACCCCCAATGCATCGCACAGTACACTTACTTCAGAATTCCCGAGACCAAAGATCGATCCTATGCAGAGATCGACATCCTCTTCAACAACAAGGTCTCGGCCCGAAAGTTCAAGTCCACCAAGCTCGATGCCTTTGCCTTGTCAAAGGACCACCACTAGGCCACGGTCGCTCCGCGAGAAAGTACTGGGAGGAAGAATCGTCCGAAATGACATCACCGTGTATTGTAATCTTGTCTAGTGTATGCAAGTCCGCGTAATGGAATGTCCGCAACGTCTTTCTGGCCGTGAACATTCTGATTGTGCTGGCAGACGTCTGTTGTCAAGACTCAAGAGGCAAGCATGTAAATATCTGCCCTGATGACGTAAAGCTTTTCTTCATTGGCGATGAGGCGATCTAGTGGGTATTAACACATGGGACGGAGACGGACAGGAAAAGTGGTATGCGATGATTAGACGAACCTTGCAGCACGCGCGAGCGTGTGGCCGATGACGTTCACTTCTCCTGGTCGGGAGATGCCATACCTCGCAACGGCATTGCATGGGCAGAAGCGTTCTTGTGATTTCTCCACCTTCGAATGTTGATGAACGCCAAGGCGACGTACAGAAGGCTGTAGGAGTAGGCGGGGGGTAAGAGACGGTGTCACGCTTTTGGTCGATAGCCTCTTCCAAGAAGACCCTCGGTCTCTTGTCGTTGTACTCACGCTATGACAGAGCCGAGGCCGACGATTACTCCTCCTAGGATGGCCGTGGTGCCTTTCCAGTGGTCCTTAACCCACGCCATCACCATGAGGACGGGCACAGCAATCCAGAAGACGACTTCCATGCAAGAGAGAATCATGTACGCTTTCAGGCTCCTCCAACGCTGAAGAGCCCGGACGTGCTCCGTGAGTAACTCATAGAAGATGATGATGATGGACTTAGCAGAGAACGAGAGGGCAATCGTGTTGTTTCGGGCACGAGCCCCTTTGGCGAATTGACGGTACGCCGCAGCGCCTACCACTCCGTGTATGAGTATCAGAGCGACGATCTGGAGGGCCAAGACTGTACGAGACCCCTTGTGCGCGTCCATGGTCTTGACGGGAGTGGTGCAGTCGTGGCTTGCGTGTGTGGAACGGGAAGCGAAAGTAGTGAGTGAAGTGGGACAGAGATCTCGAGAGGTGAAAAGGTCGATGAGTGTGGGTATTCTTGGGACCCTCTCCGACCTCGACCCTTATAACCCATTCGTGGGTGAGCGTTGCCTCCCCCCTCGTGTCTGCCATGCGACTGATCGAGGCAGTCGACGAAGGGGTGCCTTGGCGGGCCGCCGGTGCCGGACGCGCCTCACGCCCCTCGGAGACGGAAGTGAGTCGGAAGTCGGGAGTGGGGAGTCGGAAGTGCTCAGTCGACGCGGAAGTGAGGTCCAGAAAGCCCGAAAACGTGCGTGGAATCGGCTAGCACCAGCAGAAGAATTGAGAGATCCGATCGATCAGGGGTCGGATCATGTCTTCCGGCTCCCGCACCGAAAGGTACGGCGCCAAGACATGCAGGCGACGACTTGCAGAAGAATAGAGCGCAAAGGAAGAGACATCTTATTGGCCCTGCCACACGGGTGGTGCCTGCCCGAGCCGCCCGAGTCCTCCTATTGCAACGGCAAGAAAGTGGTGCACGACCGAGACGGTCCTGAAGGCTGTACTGCGATGCAGCCTCATCGGGGGTAGCGGCGTGGCAGCTCTCTGCACAAGACGCTCGAGGTCAGGTACACGCGCTCTCGATTGACAAGAGGAGATCGAGCCACAAAGCGTCCGTAGGGTAATCTATTGGTGGCCACTGCACGCCAGTATCGAGATTGGAGTGCCTGCCATACAAGAAGGACATGGACTGATCGTCGTTTCCCGCCGGCACCGGAGCCAGAGCAAGGGAAAAATCGGGAAGTGCTGCGCTCGCATGCTCGCGAGATACCGAGGGCAACTCTGGAACTGGCAAATTAAAGGCATTGGGTGAAGCGCTGCGATTTGCGTCAGCCCGTGACGCTTGTAATGATGCGCCGTAGCGAGGGACACCCCGTGCCAATTGATGGGATCGATGGCGATGCCACTGGCTCAATGTGACGAGCATTTCCTCCAGCATCGCTGCCACACAACTGTTGATTGGGGACGGGTGAGCCGAGGCAGAGCCGTTAACGTCTGACCGTTGGTTATTCTTGATGGCGCAGCTTTGCCTGAGGCGAGCAGCTGCTTGTTTCACAAGGACCGTCAGGCATTCTCGTCTGGATGACTGACGGCGGCTCACAAGGCGGGTGAAAGCTTCGGCCTCGAGCAGCGCCCTGCAGCTGTCCAGCAGGAGAGCAGCAGTCAACATTGGGGCAAATGCCCAGAGCTGATCTGTTGGGGGACCACCGACCTCGGAGCTTTGCATGCCCACGGGGTCCGAGACTCTGAGCCTAGATCGTCCTGCCTCGCGCCAGCCATTACAGCTATGAGCGCGTGTGGCGTCTCCATCCTCGAGGCCGCAGAAGGCTCCGATGGCTCTCTCTGCTGCTTCGCGCCTCGCACGTCCTGGGCGTTCCAGCCAGATAGAAGTGGACTCGCTCGAGCGGATTGCCTCTATAAAGGTCGGTAGAGGCAAGATGAAGTCTGTTGTGCCACTGACCCCGGCGACGGCCGCTTTGGACAGGAACAAGCTATGCAGGGAGCTTTGTTCGAGGGACAACCAACCTTCTAGGAACGTCACTTCAGCCGAATGACCATATCGCACTGCAACGACGCTTCTCGCCTCCTCTACCTCTGTGAGACGCTCGTGCGTACGCTGACAAAGGGCCTCAGCCTCTCGACGGATCTCCTGTACCACAGGTGGCAATCCAGGTCTTGCATCTAGGTCACCGGTAGCTGGCGAGCCCAATAGTGTAGAACAAATGACCTCCAACTGCTCAATCGCGGCATAGATCTCTGCCAACATCAAGATGCGATGAGCTAGGTATATGCGGCCTTGCTGACGCGGGACATCGACTTCCCGGTCACTTGTGTCCTTTGTCGATCGAATGTAGGAAGAGGCGCGCTTCGCTTCCTGGTCAAGATGATGAGATCTAAAAGGTACCTTGTTGAGTGCGAAGTACGCTTGCCAAGCTGACAGAGTCCACCACAATGAGATCTTGGCCTCGGTATTGCACAGGTCCAGCTCCGAGGCGCCTGCATCCGATCCCTGTCGGGCCAAAGGCGCATTTGCGTCGGGTACTTCTGCCTTGTCGAAGCCCAGAGACAACGCTGCAGACACGGCGGCGGTGAGCAAGGCCTCTCCTATGATGGCGGAACCCTTCAGTGGCCCGAAGCGTAGGAGACCAGAGCAGAGAGCCATTGGTTCATAGGCTAGCAACAACGTCAGGGCCATGACTGTCTCTGGGGCTGGAGGCAGGGAGACGAGAACGGTGGTGCCCAAGCGGTCGATGAAAGCGCACACATTTTGCGCCATGTGCGACTTGTCTGGAGAATATCGGAGTGCCAGACTGCATAGCACGGCTAGGAGCAAGTCTGTAGGCAGTGAGGCCCTGGCTTTCGATGAGACGTAGACGCTCTGTAAGGATGGTATGTAGGGACTAAAGGCAAGGAGTGGTTGCAGTAAAGGCTCCAGCTCCTCGCACAGTTGAAAACTGACATAGTCGTGGATGCTTGAGTCTGAAGTAGATGAGAGCTCTGAGAGTCCCTTGTACCTTTCTTCAATGTACTGTCGGAAGCCTACATCTAGTGATAAGAGCTCCCCCAGCGCATATAGCGGGCGGTGAAGGTACCGTATTGCGTCTGCATTGCCAGAGCTCTGGCTCTGTGAGTGATCTCCTGTGCGTGGTAGCGAGGGTGAGCCTTCGCCAGACAGAGAGGACGTGCTGCCACCGTGAGCAGCTTCGTCAGGCAGCATGGTTCCGCCGGGCAAATGCTCGAGAGCAGAGAGACATCTCCTCTTCTGACGATGGCTCGCATCTTCCAGACTCTCCGGTGCTGCAATTCTTTCGGCAGTAAGGGAGCCAGCAAAAGAGCTGAGAGCAGCCGCCGCTTCACGTCGAGAGTGATCTGGGGAAGTGGAAGCGTCCGCTGCAAGAGGTCCCGTTTCCGAAGCAGTATCCGAAGGCTGTCCACGAGAGTCGGTCTCGCGAGGTCTGATCAAGAGTCTCTTGAGATGCTGATCATCGACGATACAGGCCAGCCCAACCCTCTGGCATCGGGAGCAGGCGAGATGGGCGGGTGAAGGGGCGCTGGAGTTTGGGACGAGTGGATCTGGAAGGTGACAGCGAACCTTCTTTGCGCGACAGGAGAGGCAGCACCGCCTGGCATGGATACGAGGCGCCTGTGAATTTGGCGCGCCGGGACTTCTGGCATCGAGGGCTGCCGCAGGCCCGGCCATCAGCGAGTCGGCATCCGTAGACCAGGGATCGTGGTCAGGAGGAGAATGGTTGGAAGGTGAGATAGCGTAGGATACCGAAATGATCGCCGGCGATGCGGGGCGCCAATCTCGCCCCTGGTGCTCCGAAGTCGGAACGGCGCCCCGCCGGTCAGTCGCGGCGGTACTGTCACTTCTCGGGCAACGAGCGTGCAAAGAAGGCAGAACGGTGGAAAGGTGGCCCACAGTGTGATCCAAGCAACAAGCACATACGATATATTGCGAGCCCAGACAAGGCTGCTGGACTCGGGCAGATGGTATCGAGTAGAGGAGAAGGATGATCTATGGACAGACAATGCAGAGAACAACATGATACGCTCTCGATGCTTGGATCGACCCACCCCACATGTCTTCGGGAGAGTGGCCGGGCAGCCGGCTGCGAGTGATGAAAGATCGACTCTTCCATTCTTCGTCAACCCTTCGGGGGCTCTGCTTGCTGTTGTGGTGGTTCCGATCCACTCAGCCTTTGACGAAGCAAGATGCTAGTGCAGACAGTGCCGGCTTCTGCTTCATCTTCGTCACGGAGTATCGCGCTCAAAGGGCTGCCACACACGCAGTGGGGGTATTTCGTTCTCTCCGATCGCGCCATTGTCTCTTCTTGACCAACACACTCAATGGCGGAATACTGTGCGTGCGACGCAAAGGGCGCGACATTAGCTTCATGAGCGGCAGCGCAAAGTAGCAGGCACAGACTCATCGTACTCACCTCCGGCAGTATAACACTGGCCCAGCCTGCTGCACAACTATAAATTGAGACGGGTCGAGCCGTACGGTATCGAGATAGTAGACGCTCGCCATCCTGATCCAGCCGCGGCTGAGTCGGGTCTGCGTCGAATGTAATGGACATTTCTAGCTGATGTGTGAAGCTCATGGCTGTGCGGCCACCTTCCAGTGTGCTGGGCCTAACGAAAAAGAGGGAAACAAGGCGTCAGATGAGGCATCAAGCTCCTAGCGCCTTAGACTCTGAACCAAGAGACCAACCTTACGTCGTCCTCGTTGGGAAGACGAGCGAGCCACACAAGCTCGAGCTCGCCCTGAACACTAGGTCGCGCGCGACAGTAGGCTCCGATATGGGTGACTGCGTTGTCCAGCTCTGCCCCTTTGAGGGTCATGAAATTGTGACGCTCAGGGCGCTGGGTCTCGGCGTAATCTGCTCGCTTGCGAGAAGTTAGTTGTGTCGTCTGAATGAGAGTGAGTACGATGGAGTGTAGCTTGAGCCTTGGCGGTGGTGCGGCGAGTAGCAAACCCCCGCGCAGATAACCTCCCACGGAGAAGGTCCGGCTGATGAATGCCGCTTTGACGGGCTGGCAGGGGTAACAATGGCAAAGCGGAAATGGTCAGTGCCTGTTTGCTCGCTCGTCTTTGCCCGAGGAATTACACCCACCCCTAGGCCCTCGGCAAAAGCGTCGTGCTGATGCTCGAAAGTGAAAGCCGACTGCTCGGAAGGAATTTGAACTACGCGGATTGTCTGATGCGATGAATTGTGGCGAGGAGCGTTAGCGCATCACTGGTGATTGCATGCTCTGAGGTTGAGCCTTGTACTTACCGTGACTGCCTCCAGTGTCTTGTTGAAGAAACGCCCAGGGAAAGTCATCTGGGCCGTTGCTGTCCAGTGCACCCTTCCGTGACGCGATTGCTCGTGAGGAGGTGCATCGCTCGGAATGAACACCGGCAGCTCCCATTTGTAGACATTGCCTCCTTCAACGCGTACACCCGCCGCCTCTTTGATAGTATGCACGGACTGATACGGTATGTTCGACTCAAAGATGCCTGTGTCAAACTACAAAAGGATCGATTTCGGCAAATATACAGAGGTGTCAATCGAGGGTCAAGCTTCCCGTTGTCTGGAAGCGTGTCTCACCAAAAGCGACTCTCTAGCGGTGATGGTCACCACTAGATCTCTGATATGCTCAGCAGACTTGCTCCTCGAAGGCACCGTTAGTGTCACCACCAGAGTGACTTGGGTAGAGGAGGCTGGTATACTTAAGCCAGTTGTAGTATGGTCGAGTGCGGTGTCTTCTGCATCATTGGCGTTCGCAGGATCGAGAAAGACGCTCGTGGATGCCGACGAGATGGCCAGCTCCATCGTCAGGGGGATGTGTAACGCAGTATACAATGTACATTGGGAATAGTATGCAAGAAGACCCTGTATCGCTCATGACATAGATGCCTCCGGCAGCGCACAGGACGTTCTCCGGCTATTGTCATCTGCTGAGCATAGGTCGAGTCATTTCGCTAGTAGGCTGTGGGGTGCCGTCAAGCGTGAGGGCCGTGACTCAAGAAAGCGTAAGGCGGGGTTGCGGAACCACGCGTGGCTTCGCTTACGGCCGATCATGCGGGCGGAGTTCCGTGAAAAGCCGCACACCTCCATCCTGTAGGTTACCCACAGCCATCTATGCAAGTGAAGGTGTAGCGAAAAGACGCTTTCCTTCGGAGATCGGGCAATCCTCAAGCGAACGTTCTAGCCTTTGATGGAGGCTTGCGAGGCCCTGTCCACTCGCAAAGACGAGGCACTACAGCCTCAAGCTGAGCCACGGCGAGCGTCGTGATAGCAACAATCATGTCCACCCCGCCGCATGGGACGCAGATTTGCAAGGCACACGACACGCTGACCGAGATTGCTCTGATCAGTTACAGAGAGTTGGGCCGATGTATCCGTTTAGAAGCTCTTGTACAGCCCGATATGAGGTGTGACCCGGAAGATGCTTAGCGAAGGGATTCGCTCGGTGCCGAGGACCTTGAGATCGCTGAACGCATAAGGCTCGTCGGAGCGTCTCTCGCGCGAGAAAGTAATGACCCCTTGCAATATTGCACTGCTCTGGGAAGAGACAAGACCGTCTTTACCGGACGTCGGAAGGGGCTCAAGCCTCGGACAGACAATCACACCGCGAAGGATTCTGCCTGCCTTGCCTCCAGACCCAGAAAGAACCTCGTCTCACGCTATCGGAAGCGAAGCCTTTACGGCGGCGTATGAATTTTATCTATACCCGGCCCCTTCGCGTATCAGAGCCAGTGGAGTCTTGCTTCTCCAAATCCCGTCCGTCCATGTATTTAGCCGCCGGTCGACTCACGGCCACCTACCGCTCCTTACCTGCGCCCACACTACGATCAATCCGCTCAAGAGAGCTAGAGGCGCGGTCAGAAGAGACCAGATGGCAATGTGCCTTGCCCTGAGCTGAATTCCACCCTGACGAAGACTTTCCCTCCAGAGTAGTCCTGCGAGCGAGGCGGCAAAAGTCCCGCCTAGAGCTCCCACGTTTGAACCTAGCGCAAGAGCATAAATGGCAGTCTGCGTGATGCTGGCCGTGCTTTCTGAGGAGAGGTGTTGTGAGAAAGGCGTGGAGACTATCGCACGGACGAGGATGATACAGGCCCCGATATTTGTGCCTCCCAGCTGTGGAATGGGAAGACGAAGGGTCTGTCAGCTCGTGAACGCAGTGTACAGCTTCACGTGGCACGAGCGAGGTCGGTCTGAAAACCCTCTGAACTATCGCGCTCCCTCCCCTCTTCTTACTCACATTGCACAGGAGTACGCTCAGACAGCCGATGAACAAGGCGGTGCCTATCTCGCCTGCGCCTGAGCATACCTTGCCCAGACCGCTGGCCATGATGTCGATGAAGCCGACATGGGCGAGCGATTCGACGAGGATGAACATGCCAAAAGCAAATGGCAAAAGCGGTAGTGGCAGACGAGTGAAGACGGCGGTGACAGTGGGAAAAGTCTTGGCAAACCAGCTAGGGAACTGTAAGCTCTTGAGGAGCATTCGTCGGGCAGGCCCGAGGTTGAAGACGGCGCCGCTCGCTGTCAGAGATGAGGCGTTGGCGTTCTCGCGCTCGCCAGTCTGACCCGGAGCAGATCCGATTTTTTGCAATTCTATCGCCTCACCCGGTGCATCAACGGCAGGTTCGGCACTGGATTCCACACTCTGGTTGGTGCTCATCTTCTGTCTCGCTTTACGCTCCGTGCGACCATCTTTCAGGTCTTTTAGAATATCTCTCAACAGACAAATGGCGGCTCCTGGCAGAGCGATTTCGTACACCTCGACGGCTCCAGTGACTGAAGTGCCCACCAGGACAATGAGCGTCGCCGCCATGACTATTGAGCCAAAGATGGCCCCAAAGGGATCCACGAGCGCCTCGCGTGGCCGTACATCCGGAGGAATCAGGTACGGCGGAATGTAGACGATGTCTCTTGCCGGGGAGGTAGAGCGACCCTGAGGAGGGTGTAGGGATGCAGGCGCTGCAGGGCTAGTCTCGCCCTCAACGGCTGTTGCAGCTGAAGTATCAGCCGCTGCAGCTTCAGACTGCTGCGTTCCTGACTGGGAGGCAGTCTTGTTACTTCTCCTTCCCGCGTTGCCGCGGTTACCGCCCGGCAGGATGTATCCCATCAGCGACCACTTTCCCGCCTTTTGTGTAACAAAGATCAATCGTACCACCACTAGAGCAGTCAGGCCACTAGCTATGGTCGGCAATGCCATGAAAGCCGAATAGGTGGTGAACTCTACCCCAAAGCCACTTGCGATGACAATGTTGGTCGGATTGCTGCTGACCAGCAAAGCGCTGCTGATATTTGCCGCGGAGAATTGAGCCCAGATCCATGCGTCCGGTCTCGATATGCCCGAGATTCGGGTAAAGTGAACCAGAAAGGCTGTACCGGAGAGTATGACTGGATCATTGCCTACCAGTAGCCCCAGTAGGAAGAAGAAGGCATAGAGGAGGTAGAAGAGGCGTGGGCCTGAGCGGCCACCCTTGAGGGAGACGTGCAAGGCCAGATACCGCAACAGGCCGGTGGCATCGAGTGAGATGGCAATGTAGGCTAAAGAGGAGGCAGAAAACCACACATTTGAGCCTGAGTGTCGTTTTTACACATGCTCCTTTCAGACCAAGTACTCACCCAGACTGATAAAGAGGGCCAAGACACTGTAAGGCTTCACACCTCCATCGCCCACAATGCCCAGCCTGATTTGCTCCCCACCGATGGTGCGTGTAGCGAGTAGGAAGAGTATACCGATAGCAGGTGCTGATACATGTGTTAAGGATATGTAGCGCCGCTGCGATCCTCGAGGACTGGTCGAGCTGCCGAGGGTCAGGGGAACCCGAGGGAGCGGCTCACCTCGCCTGCCCGGGTCGATGTGCTGATCAGGAGTGCGAGCTGCTGTTGCCTCTGGACCTGCTGCTCTGTGCCATACTTTTGCTACTCTCTCGGATACAGCAAAGGGAATGGGTATTCGAATTGGCCAGATGACGATCAGCGTGACCACTGCAAAGACGATGATTGCGAAGACGCCGTGTCCGTCGAGGGAGGTAGGTGGCTCTTGCACCGCGGCTCGGGCTGGCCGAAGCAGGGAAGTGTGGGTGGTGAGATCTCTCGAGCTCATGTGATGCACTGGTTAGCGCTGGTCTGTAGCATCATAGCATCAGTGACAAGGGGAGGATCACCACGGAAGAAGCCGCGATGTTGGGTATCGCCTTTGCACTGCCAAGCACACAAAGGTACATTGACACTTGTGCGGAAAGGGAAACAGAAACGTGCCTCGCTCGGGCCGCGTCCACCTCGGCGAGTTTTCCATTTTGGAAAAGGCCGAGGTCGAGGTGCCTTTCCTTCCGTCGGGGCGCATACCACGACTAATACAGCACCTTCAAAAGTAGCACCTCGCAGTCATGGTGAGTACGGGATCAAGGTGTACCGAAGCACAAGGTGGGAACCTCATTCCCCAAGTATGCTGAAGCCTCTATCGACGTGCGCTCTGCCATCCTTCTAGGCTCGTCTACCCACCATTGCCGCCCGCGCCCCTCCGCGCCGCAAGACGTCCTCCTCTCACCCCACCTCACAACCAGCAGCAGCCACCCACAATGCCGTGACAAAAGCAGCCAAGCGTTCCGCCAAGAGGAGTAAAGTTCTCTCTGCTCCATCGGGTGAGACTACGACGAGTACCGCAGAGCGACACAAGGCTTTGGGTATAGCGCCTACCATCTCCAAGAGCGCTCTCAGGCGACGCAAGAGGAAATTGAGGGACGAGGCTGTGCTGGGGCAAGGCGGGCTGGAGGAGATCAAGGGTCAGCTGGAAGAGTTGGACAGCAACGAAGACGACGACGATGAGGAAGAAAGGGCAGTGGATGAGGGACTGGTAGCAGATTACACGACACCAGCAGCGTCAATGACTCAGGCTACTCGCCCTGCCTCTGAGAAAGTGGGGAGCAAGCTGAGGAAAAGAGTTCTGTGAGTGATGGACAGTGAGCTCAGGATCGCTAAGTTAGAGCCTCCTCGCTGACATCGACGATTGATGACTCTCGTGCCTCATAGCGCTCAAGAATCAATGCGACAGCCCTTCATCCTCAAAGACCTCTACTCAACTCAGCAGCAGGCCAGCGGTACCGGCAGCGCTACTTCCACCGTATCGGTAGCGCCAGCGCCCTCACCCTTTGCTGCGATCCGACGACATGCTCAGAACTCTTTGGGTCTCACAGCGAGCAATCCAGCAGCAACGCAAGGAGGTGACACGGTCATGAACTAGACAGGCTTCTCGTCTTACCGTCCAATATACGAACGCATGTGCTCCCATCTGTACTTATATCACAATCTATACATCTTATTGCATCAACGTCCAGACTGGGTTCCTTTCTATGGGCCCTCACCAGCATTGATTCTCCTGCAGAGCTCCTTGAGTGCTCTGCCAAGATACTCAAAGTCCTCTAGCTCCAGCCAAACCTGTGCCGAGATGCGCGCGTAGACTTGCTTGTTGTGGCAGGTAAAGCGGAGGTACTGACAGAGAGGCACACAGTATGGGTCAAGATGTTCAGCAAGACGATCGTCCGAGTCGACTAGAATGCGCTTGCGATCACTCACCGTGTTGAATTCATCGAGCAGTCGACTCCACAGCCACGTGCTTCCCTTACTGGTCAGCCAAGCACTTGGATCTGTCCCAACTACTCGACTGGCCAGCGGCAGCCTCGCATTACACATCGCCGCCGTCAGCGAGGGCGGACTGGTCTCCAGAAGCTCCGTGCCCAAGATGCGAGCAACGGTAAGACCTCCCAAGAGGGCGAGGGAGTGATTGTAAGACCGGATGCGCGCCTCGCCGCCGATCTTTTGTCTAAAATCGAGGGCAGCATCGATGGACAGAAAGGAAGAGTAGTCGATTGTACCTGGATAATCCCACTGAGCACTGCAGGGATCAAATTGTATCGAAACGAATTCTCAGTGCACTTTTTCTCGCCCAAACCGGCACCAAGGACACTCACATGAAGTCATTACCCTCTTCCTTCTCCTTTACACTTTCCCTCTCGGCCTTGGAGCGGTAGAACCAGCTGGTGGGCAAACCGCTAGTGCACAGGTGCTGATTCTTCAGAGGTACATGGAATATCGCGCAGCTGCGATGCACGTAGCCCCACTTGTGAGCATTGGTGACGACTAGAGCAGGAATGGAATGGCAGTACAGGATGGTCAGCTTCGACAAGGGTAGCCTGAAAGCACCCGTTCTTGTCCTCACAGAAGTCGGGCTGCGTCTTTCCAAGATCTACTTCTATCTGACCGAACGCATGAGCACCGTCGACCTGTGGGAAGATTGAGACACATAATTTCAGCTCCAGACATACACTTGGCGCCGAGCACGCTTCACTACACACCAGACTGTATACATCTTCTTCTCGGCAGACCTGCACTAGCTCCTCCCACGGTAGGACCAGTCCCGGCATCGAGCTGATGGCATCAAAGGCTGCCATCCTCACTCTTTTTCCATCGCTCTTGAGGTCCCGAATCTGTTTTCTGAACTTGTCTACCAACTCCATGTGCGACAGAGGGTAGGTAGTCTCTACCCGCACTAGCGTCGGCTTAGGTGAATAAGTATCTTGCACGTACTCGAAAGTCTTCTCTAGGGCGCCGTAGAGGGAGCTGAGCACGACGACGTGATCTCCTTGCTCCCACGGGAATCCTCGCACGACACTGTTGGTACCGGTGGTGCTGTTCATAATGATGGCAACCGTCGAGGCTGGACAGTTGAGGAATTCAGCTACGCGAGTGCGAGCGGCTTTGAGGGCTGGAGGGGCAATGCGCCTGTCGAACAGCTGTGAAGAAGTCAGGATGAACGGACGGTCAGTACATCATCATAGGTAGTGTGGTCACATCACATCATGCGGCTACGCACATCGGGATTGTCTTCCGCCTTTGCGGAAAAGCTTTGATAGGCTTCGAAGACGGGCTTGGGACATGACCCCAGTGATCCTGTCGATGGGCAAGTATGCGGAGCGTCAATGCAGGGAGTCAAGACCGTTGCAACTGCTCAAAATTCACTCACCATTGTTGAAGCTCAAGTAGCGCCGTTGAGTTGCTGCTTCTCCTTGTTTGACGCCATGTGGCCACCATCTACTGATTGGCTTGCCGAAGGTCTCGTACCCCGGGACCTGCCAGCCCTCGAGCTCAAGTGGATATCCCTCTGGGATCTCTTCGCGAGGCACACTGAACGACGACGAACTTGTGCCATCTTTTGCATCTCCGTCTTGGCCATTGGACCCCGCTATCGCGTTCGATGCCCAAGGATTAGCAGACTTCTCTGTAGCAGATGGTGAGATCATTGTAGCAGAGGGTGCTGGATCAGCCCAAGGATCGTCGCCGGCCCCAAGGGTCAATCCCGAGAAGGCGGAGCCAGTGTTGAAAGAGGGAGTCGAGCCGTCCTGTCCCCCAGTCATAGTCCTGCGTATCTCGTCAAATCCCCCTGCAGAAGCGCCCTGAGGTACCACGGGTGTTTGGGGCGGTGTCTCCTCCTGCACTTCCACCCCGTCCGGTCCGCCAGCATCAGTCCACTCGCCGCTTGTCCACCTGCTCAACTTTCCTTTAGCAAAAGTCGAGAACTCCCACGGACCCCGAGGTCCATCTTTGTCCTCGAGGTCGGAAGCGTCCGCGACCCAGAGGTATCCTTGAACTTGTTGCTTCTCGCTCTTTTCCTTTCCGCTGAGGAGCGCCTGCACTCGCTCGGCTGGCAGTGTGGACTCTAGTATCTCTGTGATGGTCTCTGCGTTCCAAGACGAACGAACGTCATTGGATATAGCCTCGTCGGTAGAGGCTACGAGGACATTTACCGTGGCCCGGGTATACTCGTCACCTTCGAAGAGGTCCAGCGCGGCCAACTCTGCGTCTGAGAGACCGCTGACCACCACACCTCGTACAACTGCGCCAATCTCTTCGGATCCATCCGTCTCTGCAGCTGTATCAACAGGCGCAAGAGCAGGGTATTCCTGGCCTTTGACACGGTAGACTTTGTACTTTGGCAGCAATGCGGGCACGACGCGAAGGTGGGAGAAGCGGCGCGTGGAAGGGTCTTCCAAGGAAGGGCGACGCAGGGTGCCTGCCAAGACCCGAGAGAGGATGTGGGGATGGATCAACGTCCCGTATACGAAGAGGCTGGCCATGACGGTGGCCGTACAGGGATCAGAGGGGAGATGGTGACGAGGAACGCAACGAGGATCGATGGTAAGAACGAAGACGAGCAGCGTTGCACCAACGGAATCATGACTCGCCTGAGCACAGACCACGTCAGCGCCGGACACTCCGGACCATCGTCCTTGGCGGGCTGATGACTCACGACCATCAGAGCATCGCATCGCAATCGAGATCAGTATTGTATTGTGAACTCATCGAGGTCATCTGGAGCATCGTCATCACCCACGTCACTCTCCCGCCGCTCTTCCGCCTGCCGGCCTTCCTCCTCGGCCATTTCCTCCATAGCTCTCCGCACCGCTTCATCGTGCTCTTCGTCCAGCTCCTCCAGCACTTCTGCCTCCTCATCTGTCTGCTCATCCAGTTGCCATCCGAGACATGCTGCAGCGAAAAGAGACAGAGATCGCCACGAGGAAAGCAGTGACTCGAAGTCTTGACGAGTCGTCGGCGGAGGCGTAGTAGTGGGACGGAAGCGTGTGGCCTGCCGAGGACCTTTGTTTGCCAATGAGCGGGCCCCAATCCCTGAACCACTTTGCCTTCCTCTGACCGAAGACTTGCTAGAGCGTATCACCACTGGAGCCTCCTCATCTTCCGAGTCAGCAGCAGCGCTCTTTCTGACGTTGTCACCTTGCTCGGCTTCACCGACACTGCCGTCCTTCTCGCGTGCATCAAGAGCCATGGCCCGACTCATATGACCCCGCAACGATTTCAAGTCGCTCTTGATTGCGCTCTCCACCTCTTGCGCCCCTTCTGCAAACCAATCCCTGCCGAGTGTGTTCAACTGCAGTCTGAGCAATTGCAAGAAGCCCGCGTGCAGCCCGGGCTGGAGTAATGCTCTGTCCTCGTCCGCCCCCGCAGTCTCTGCCTCGGAGGGGTGAGCGCCAAACACATCTCCGTACGATCCAATGGCGCTGGCAGATTGGCATACGAGGGAGACATGATTCCTCCATGCCAAGAGCAAGTCTTCCGATCCTTGTGAGATGAAGAGGTGGAACAGCAAATGGAAAGAGAGGAGAAACGCTTGCCGGGCTTGATCGTCTGACTGTGACTCGGAAACAGATTCCGAGCCTTTCTTCTCTACGTGCTGGAGATCTCGGCCTGTCCATGCCTTCAGAGCTTTACGAAGAGTCCAGCTCTTATCCCTACTCCAACGTGTCCTCTCTGCCGCCAGAGCGCCCTCGGGCCAGGAACGCAGCAGCGAGAAGTCCGCCAGTCGGATCCTCTTTCCAGGTTCCCCTGATTGCTGCTCCCCCTGCAAAGAGCCCGAAGCCGAATTGCCATTCAGACCCTCTGCGCCTTGTCCAGTCCTCTTGGCCGCCGTGAGTAGATCCTCCTCCAGCTTGCGCTCCTCGTCAGACTGGCCACGACGTCTCTTCGTCCGTTGCTGATCCTCCAGCGCTCCACCGCTGACTGGATCCAGCGCATCGGTCGTGAGGGCTTCTCCCAGCATAGATTGCGCCACCCTTCGTGTCAGAGCAGCGTCCTCATCCAGTGGACGAGCGAAGGAGCTCCACTCTGCGTACTGCGATGCGCGTAATGGGTATGGCGTCAGGTCGCGGTCGAGAGCTGTGATCAGCCCGGGCGTGAGGACGTGCGAGCCTGCGGACTCTGATCCGCCGAGAGAAGAGCCCATTGAGACTAGTTGTCCGGCCTGACCATCCCACCTCCTGTTGATGACTTCTTTAGCCTCAACATGAAAGAGGAAGATCGATCGCAATGCCATGCCCTCCATAGCTCCCAGCATGGGTGGTCCACCTTTCGCCCCTGCCTCGCTGGCTGGTGTGACGACGAGTGAGTGCCAACCCGGCGGGACCAGCTTGAAGCCCCGGAACTCCTTCCTCGCACCAACACTCGAGCTTGCACCTTGTGACGACGAGTCAGGATCAGAGCCGGAGACAGTGAGTGAGATTCCATCGAGCGTCAGCAAAGTGGCAGGGGGGAGGTCCTCGAGGACAAGGTGGCCATGCGTCTCGTAGAGTTGGGCCAAGCCAGACGTGGGCGCTTCGAGGGGCAGCGCAGGCGGCACTGACAGAGGTATTCTCCTTGTCCTTGACACTGGGTTTGAGACCATGACAGGGAATCAGCTGGCTGTGAGACTGCTATGCAAAGCTGGATGCTGCACTTGCAAGAGGATGAAGCCAGATCCACTTTTTGGAGGCGGAAGCGGAAAGGGGAGTGGAGCAGAGAGGAGCGGCAATTCCGAATGGATGGCATGGTGCCCTGGGCTTCAAGTCTGAGGTTGCCAGAGACAATGCTGAATCCTTACGATAATGCTGGTATCGAATTACAGGTCACACAGAGGAAAAGGTAGCACAAACGTGAGGATACATGGGGAAATTCCTTCGAACACTCTCCGTGGCGATCGCGGTCCTGATGCGCTTCCAATTTCAGTCTGCCTTGCTCTTCCTCATTGCCTCCTTCTTGTTCTCCTCCCTCTGCAAGACTAGCTCCGCAGCCTTGAGATAGTCGTCCCACCTCTTTTCAAAGCCCTTGCAAATCCTCCTAGCCACATTTTCCTCTGCTCCGTCCGCCCCCTTGCCTCCGCCGGGCAAATCAACCTTGTCAGCCGTGATGGTAACGCAGACCCCACCACCATAGGTGATGATGCCGATGCCCAAGGTTCCTTTACCTGCCTGTGGTGGACTGGCTGCCCATTTGACAATGGGAGAGCCGCCGATGGTGATGGGCTCGTTGTTGGGTTGAGGGGGTGGTCCTGGCACATTGGTCAGGACTGCAGTAAAGGAGCTCATGCTGAAGGAGAACGACGCCGCAATCAAGGACTGCAAGGGCGTCCAGAGTGCGCCAGGGAAGAACAAGCTGCACCGGAGAGGGAGGAAAGAAAGTAAGTGAGCGTCCGTATCCTCGCCTGAGCGCTGCTGGTCCTTGCGTTCCACTCACGGGACCTGTCTAGTACTGATGTTGATCAGCCAGAAACCAATGCGAGGGAGGAGTCCATGTTTCAGGACAGTCAAAGCCCTCCTGTTTGCATGCAGCCTCTTGTAAATCTGTTCAGGTCCTTTGGGAAGCTCTCCGTCATTGGGCAGATATGCGAGGGCTCCAGTCGACCAATTCTGCATCGACCAGTCACCTGGCTGACGGATAGAGATTGGCACAAAGATCGAGACGGGCATTGGGAGCACCTTGTGCGATAGGGCAACGAAGCGCTGCCAAAGACCCTGCGAGGCGACAGAAGTGTAGTTGAGAGGAGGATGGCGAAGGTCGTTGCCGATAACGTCAGCGAGGATGGTGCACAGCACATCGTTCAAGGTGAGGTGCCGAAGGATGGTGTGGTTGGCCCTTTGGGGCTGAATGATCTCTAGCCAGCTGCCCTGTCTAACGCCACTGAATGCCTTTTGTATCTTCTTGACGTCGCTGATGGGGTAGCTTTCCGAGATCGCATACTGTTTGCCGAGCGTTCGAGGTCCGGGGTAATACTGGGTCACCTGAGGGCATCGCCAGAATGTCAAGAGGAACATGAATGCCATGTAGCTGGCCTGGAAGGAGGAGAACAAGATCTCTATATACCCAGAGACGATGAAGAAGGTCCAAAAGGCAAAGAAGAGAGCGATCTGGACGGGCAAGTACTTGTGGAAGGCATCGAGGGGCTTCAGACCCTTGTGCATCTTGGATGGAAGCGCTTGACCCCGCTTGACGTCGTGAATTGTGTCTACGGCATCGGCCAGCATACGCTCCAACTCCGGTCCGAAGGAGGTGATACTAAGCTGACTCATGACGAAGCCCTGTCCATCGGTGAGGGTGTGGTGACCTCTCATTACAATGGCAGCGCGAGCACCTCTATCGTCACTGTAATTCTCGAGGAGGTAGGCTTCCCAGAGTGGCTTCTCGAGATCCCAGGGAAGAGTGCAAACGGCGGCTACAAAGTCATCGAGCTCCTCTTTGCCTGCTTTTCCCGGAAGCTGCTTGATCGCAAAGTGATTCTTGACGTCAAAGTTCTCGTCTGTGACAAAGGTGGAGCCATGGAACCTTCTGCCAACATTGGCCAATTTGCTCTTATACTTTGGAAACTTTTCTGCTAGCTTGCCCAGTGCAGGTTCCATCTTCTCATAAGTGGCATCATCGCCCAAGATGTAGCAGGCTACACAGACGGGGTTGAAGTCGAACTTGGAGAGGTGTAGCCACATCTGATCAATGCCGCCGACGGCATCTCTTCGATCGACGTACTCCTGCTCGATGACAGACTCTACCCAGTGGCCCGAGGACAAGAGCTGGCGAGCGACTTCTCCTCGCATGCCTGGCTGGCGAGCCTGAGAGGCAAGATGAGATTCTACTACATCGTGCGCGACTTTGAAGGGAGAGATCAGAGCCTTGTACAAGGGTGATTGGTCTGAAGCTGACTGAGAGCGCTCCACACCATCCGGTCTGACCATGGCGGGGAGGCGGGGGAGAGTGAGGAGGGAGGGGAAATCAGAAGAGAGACAAGACGGGGTCTTTGAAGGAGTGAGCCTGATGGGGTGAGAGGAATGCAAAGGAGTCGTGGATCAAGACGATGGAGGAGACGCAATTCGTCGTCGTCGTCGTCTGCACCAATTCCGTTCTAGACTACGTGAGCCGAGGTGGGCCCCCGCCTGCCAGAGCCCTTGCGAGCAACTCCGCTTCGTCGTCCGCCGGTTGCAGCCTCCACTCGGTGCACATCGGCGGTGCAGAGCAAAGTCGCTGAAAGAGGCCCCCATTCACACTCACACCAGGCACACCGCGGGGGCAAGTACGCGGGGTAGAGGAAGAAGAAAGAGCCACGACGTTGAGCACAAGAGTAAAGAACCAAACATACATCAGATATCAACAGGAGGGCAGCAAGAGCATCTGAAGTGGTAGGGGCCACGCCACTGACGGCGGAGGAGGCTAGAGCATGCGCCAATAGCGCCATACTCATACCCCCCGGACGCACAACGGTCGAGCCGAACGCGACTGGACCAAGAAAGCCGCGTCCCCACTTTAGCAGTTGCAGCCGCTCTGACCTCCATCGGCATCGATTCTGATGGGATCAGGATAGTCGGCATACAGCTCCTGCTCCGCCTCTTGCGCAAGGGCATTCTTGGCAATTGTCTGGAAGGCCTGCTCAACGTTGATGTTCTCCTTGCTGCTCGTCTCAAAGTAAGGCAGGTTGCCCTTGGACTGGCACCACGTCATTGCTCGCTTTTGTGACACCTAGAAAGAGAGAAGAGAAAAGGGCTTGTCAGCCACTGTGGGTTCTAGGGTGCTCCTTGCAGACTCACCATTCTCTTGCTCTCCTCGACATCGATCTTGTTTCCCAACACAACAAAGGGGAAGTTGTCTGGGTCATGTGGGCTGGCCTGGATCAGAAACTCGTCCCTCCACGAGTCCAGTGTGTCGAACGACTTGGCAGAGTTTACGTCGTACACCAGAACACAGCAATCTGCTCCTCTGTAAAAGGCGACACCCAGCGATTGGAAGCGCTCTTGTCCAGCAGTCTGTGTAGGGAACGGTGAGAGGGTTTATACGTCAGTCGATCCTTCGCCAGAGTCATGGCGTCTTTGTGTTCGTCATACTTACATCCCAAAGCTGTGAGACAGTATGGAAAGGGAACCTTGCGAGATCAGTAGCCGTTGCAGTAGCACACCTCGCCGTCGCTTGCACTCACCTGCATTGTCACCAGGCGATCATCCACCACGACCTCTCTTGTCAAGAAGTCAGCACCAATGGTAGCCTTGTACGAAGATGAGAAGCGCTTGTTGACATCTGGCAGGCGGCGGGCATGGCTAGAAGTCAATATCACCGTTGCAAAACAGATAGGCGAGGGGAGAAACGCAGCGTCGTAGGCGACTCACATTGGTTCATCAGCGATGTCTTTCCGACTCTGATTTGTCAAGAAAAAAGAGTGTCGGAGATGAGTGATCAGCAATGCGAGATCGGGACCATTTGGCGATCACACATGCTACTTACCCCGAGTCTCCCAAGATCTAGCAAGCGATAGACAAATGCAGCCGGGAGAGGTGGGGAGCAGGCATATTGCTGGTCAGTACGCGCTCTACGCTCGAAGATCGCAGCAGGGCCGACCTGAAGCTTCCTGGCTGTGTAGAGGGAGGCCTGATTATCTGGCGGCTCAGTGCCCTGAGCGGTCTAGGATGATGACTCACGATGACCTGCGAGAGCGAGGAGAGGGTGCGGAGCAGAGGGGTGACAGAGGGGCGGGTCAGTACGACGTATCTCTTGCTGGTGTGCGATGGCAGAGCTCGACTGCTAGCAAGCCAGCCCAGCAGCAGCCCAGATCCTCGGCCGAACCTCCGACGTGGCTGCCCTGATCATCACATATCATATCAAACCCCCCCCCCCCCCCCCCCCCCCCCCCCCCCCCCTCACGTCCACCCACGATCTAATGGACCTCACG